AACCCCTAACACCCTAACACCCTAACACCCTAACACCGCTAACACCCTAACACCCTAACACCTAACACCCTAACACCCTAACACCGCTAACACCCCTAACACCCTTAACACCCTACACCCTAACACCCTAACACTCCTAACACCCTAAACACCCTAACACCCTAACACCCTAACACCCTAACACCCTAACACCCTAACACCCTAACACCCATAACACCCTAACACCCTAACACCCTAACACCCTAACACCCTAACACCCTAACACCCTAACACCCTAACACCCTAACACCCTAACACCCTAACACCCTAACACCCTAACACCCTAACACCCTAACACCCTAACACCCTAACACCCTAACACCCTAACACCCTAACACCCTAACACCCTAACACCCTAACACCCTAACACCCTAACACCCTAACACCCTAACACCCCTAACACCCTAACACCCTAACACCCTAACACCCTAACACCCTAACACCCTAACACCCTAACACCCTAACACCCTAACACCCTAACACAACCCCTAACACCCTAACACCCTAACACCCTAACACCCTAACACCCTAACACCCTAACACCCTAACACCCTAACACCCTAACACCCTAACACCCTAACACCCTAACACCCTAACACCCTAACACCCTAACACCCTAACACCCTAACACCCTAACACCCTAACACCCCTAACACCCTAACACCCTAACACCCTAACACCCTCCCCTAACACCCTAACACCCTAACACCCTAACACCCTAACACCCTAACAACCCTAACACCCTAACACCCTAACAACCCTAACACCCTAACACCCTAACACCCTACACCCTAACACCCTAACACCCTAACACCCTAACACCCTAACACCCACCCTAACACCCCTAACACCCTAACACCCCTAACACCCTAACACCCTAACACCCTAACACCCTAACACCCCTAACACCCTAACACCCTAACACCCTAACACCCTAACACCTAACACCCTAACACCCTAACACCCTAACACCCTAACACCCTAAACACCCTAACACCCTAACACCCTAACACCCTAACACCCTAACACCCTAACTACCCTAACACCCTAACACCCTAACACCCTAACACCCTAACACCCTAACACCCTAACACCCTAACACCCTAACACCCTAACACCCTAACACCCTAACACCCTAACACCCCTAACACCCTAACACCCCTAACCACCCTAACACCCTAACACCCTAACACCCCTAACACCCTAACACCCTAACACCCTAACACCCTAACACCCTAACACCCTAACACCCTAACACCCTAACACCCTAACACCCTAACACCCTAACACCCTAACACCCTAACACCCCTAACACCCTAACACCCTAACACCCTAACACACCCTAACACCCTAACACCCTAACACCCCTAACACCCTAACACCCTAACACCCTAACACCCTAACACCCTAACACCCTAACACCCCTAACACCCTAACACCCTAACACCCTAACACCCTAACACCCTAACACCCTAACACCCTAACACCCTAACACCCTAACACCCTAACACCCTAACACCCTAACACCCTAACACCCTAACACCCTAACACCCTAACACCCTAACACCCTAACACCCTAACACCCTAACACCCTAACACCCTAACACCCCTAACACCCTAACACCCTAACACCTAACACCCTAACACCCTAACACCCTAACACCCTAACACCCTAACACCCTAACACCCTAACACCCTAACACCCTAACACCCTAACACCCTAACACCCTAACACCCTAACACCCTAACACCCTAACACCCTAACACCCTAACACCCTAACACCCTAACACCCTAACACCCTAACACCCCTAACACCCTAACACCCCTAACACCCTAACACCCTAACACCTAACACCCTAACACCCTAACACCCTAACACCCTAACACCCTAACACCCTAACACCCTAACACCCTAACACCCTAACACCCTAACACCCTAACACCCTAACACCCTAACACCCTAACACCCTAACACCCTAACACCCTAACACCCTAACACCCTAACACCCTAACACCCTAACACCCTAACACCCTAACACCCTAACACCCTAACACCCTAACACCCTAACACCCTAACACCCTAACACCCTAACACCCTAACACCCTAACACCCTAACACCCTAACACCCTAACACCCTAACACCCTAACACCCTAACACCCTAACACCCTAACACCCTAACACCCTAACACCCTAACACACCCTAACACCCTAACACCCTAACACCCTAACACCCTAACACCCTAACACCCTAACACCCTAACACCCTAACACCCTAACACCCTAACACCCTAACACCCTAACACCCTAACACCCTAACACCCCTAACACCCTAACACCCTAACACCCTAACACCCTAACACCCCTAACCACCCTAACACCCTAACACCCTAACACCCTAACAACCCTAACACCCTAACACCCTAACACCCTAACACCCCTAACACCCTAACACCCTAACACCCTAACACCCCTAACACCCTAACACCCTAACACCCTAACACCCTAACACCCTAACACCCTAACACCCTAACACCCTAACACCCTAACACCCTAACACCCTAACACCCTAACACCCTAACACCCTAACACCCTAACACCCTAACACCCTAACACCCTAACACCCTAACACCCTAACACCCTAACACCCTAACACCCTAACACCCTAACACCCTAACACCCCTAACACCCTAACACCCTAACACCCTAACACCCTAACACCCTAACACCCTAACACCCTAACACCCTAACACCCTAACACCCTAACACCCTAACACCCTAACACCCTAACACCCTAACACCCTAACACCCTAACACCCTAACACCCTAACACCCTAACACCCTAACACACCCTAACACCCTAACACCCTAACACCCTAACACCCTAACACCCTAACACCCTAACACCCTAACACCCTAACACCCTAACACCCTAACACCCTAACAACACCCTAACACCCTAACACCCTAACACCCTAACACCCTAACACCCTAACACCCAAGCTGAGTAAATGCATTTTATCAATTTTCTTATTTTGCTTCGTTCCCAAATATTAAAACTTTTTTAGTCGAAACAGGATTACCTAAAACAATGATTTTCTTGCTAGCTGCACCATATATAAATTCTTGGCATTTGTATAGGTTAATTTTTTGATTTTATCATGGGTGTTATGAAAAATTGCCATATCCTTTGTGATTTCTAAATTAGGTGAGACAAATTCAACTCTATCCTCCTTTATTTTGGTTAAGATGCCTTCTGGGTTCAAATATCGTTATGGCGTTAGTTCCAAAACAGCCAATTATATAAGTATTGGTCTTTGGGTCTTGCCTTATCTTGATGATATTTATTCTCCTTTCAAGCGAACAGGGCCTTATTTGCTTATTTTGAATGATAGATAGATTCATAATGCTTGGATTTCTGCCTATTTTTTACTTTTTGCTATCTCAGCTGTCCAAAATCGTTCTTTGACATTCGCTATCACATATGGAAAATTCATATCAGTTGTAAAGCACAACTATTTGCCATCTGGGCTGAAAGCACTACAATTCAAGAGCTCACCTATAGTGAATTTAAGCTCAGATGTGTTGGATATCATTTGACATGTCTTTCATCTCTAAGACTTCTTGCTGTCCTGCTTGATCTTCATCATCATAAAACTTGTAGCAAGTAGTGAAGTTGTTAGAGACATTTTATCATAAATTTCTATAAATCAATACCTTCTACCTATAGTAATTATTATCTAATTTTTGACTCTTCTATGGTTGTTTATTACATGAAGTTCAACAGAAATTTAAAATAAGCAAATTGAATCAGTGGAACTTATGCTCCTCCAAAATTAAATTTAGTCTTTGTAGCTAATCTAGAAGGTAGCTTTCTGGAGTGGAAATTTTGAGAAGGTTTCTGGCTTGAGATTAATGTTTCTCATATAAGGCCAATACAAATTATCGCTAAGTCTTAGAAATATCAAGTCTATAAATTTTTGGAAGTCTTGACTGTATTTTTCTTTAATAGTGATATCTGGAATAAAGAGGTTAGATTAAAAGACTTCATTGAAACTGTCATTCAAATTATATTTCCCAATAACAAGGCTACTTTTATCTCAATAGAAATTTCAGTTTTAAAGCATAAGTTGTCTTCAAAATTTTCAATGTTTGAGCCTACTCAGTCATTTTTCTCAAATTCCAGTCATTTGTTGTGCTGCAATATATCCAAAAATGCTTTGCTTCTAAAACATTTCCAATTTTTCACAAGCCATTTAGGCTATGAAAAGACAAATATCAACCTTGATAAAAGAAATTCAAGTTTAGCTAAATTTCTTAGAGAAAACCAACAAATTTAAAAGAAGAACTCTAAAAAAAACGCCACACAAGAAAAGGCAAATCAAGCAAGAGGGCCTTAAGAAGCCTCGAAAGCTACATATGTGTGAAGAGAACTATACGGACCAAAATTATTGCGAAGATCTTGAAAGGTAGTCAGGAACTTACGAAACTGATATTAATATTACAGCATTGATGAGCATATTTGAAGAGGACAAAATTGTTTCTCGTGTCTAAGATATATTAATAAATTCAGCATAGGTAAATCGAATATGGTTATACATCTTTAAAGGCTTTTTTAAATAAGCGTGTATTTTTGGCATAAATTGGCTCACTAATAATCCCTTTTATGGAAGTTATTGAAAAAGATTAATGATTCTATTTTGTGAATTTTATTCAATTGATCAAAATTTTACGTTATTACATTAATTCAATTTAAATTTTAACGGCATCCTTTTATATTTATTCTTCTTTCAGCTCTTCTTTTTTACCGCCCATCTTCTTTAAATTAATTACTTATTTATTATGTATGCATAAATTTTGGGAGGGTCTCCTATGTTGGGACATTTTTTTTCACTTGTGGAACCTGTGGAGTTTCACAACTTAAATTGGCTCCATATGTGGGATTTGGGCTCCACACTCTGGAAAACGTTCCAACATATGGAGACCCACCAAAAATTATGCAAATACATAATATAGTAATTGTCCGAGGAGGGCGCTATCTTGCGCCATCCTCGGGCAATTCAAAAATGGCCCCACACCGGGAATTGAACCCACTTATGGGGCCATTTTTGGTGTGTGTAGAGCATCGACTTCCACGCACCGAAAATGGCCCCACACGTGGGTTCAATTCCCGGTGTGGGGCCATTTTTTTTAATTGCCCGAGGATAGCGCAAGATAGTGCCATCCTCGGGCAATTCCTATATGCATTTCCCATTAATTCAATTCCTTTCTCAATTATTATTACATTAAACATGAATATAAGCTGTATCGAAGACCAGCCTCCCTCAATAACCCCTGATTCCTTTCACAATTTTAAAAAACTTAACCCAAAGACAGTCTTCAAATCCCAGCTACACACTTTTTCAAAACCCCAACGAATAAAAGGATTCCAACTATCAGCTGGCCCTCGAAGCAGCAGCATAAGCCCCATGAATCGCTTTCTCTCTACAGAACAAAGCCACCACCCAGCTCTTTCTTCAAGAAAACTCGAAAAAGAGCTCAGAGAAATAAATTGCCAGCTTAATGATGAAAATTTTCCTCCACGAATAAATTCGACATTTGACCAGAGTTCTTTGCTTCATAACAAATTCAAAATGATACAGAAGCCCTATCAAAATCCCAAGTACAATGAGGTGGTTTATCTCAATAAATTGTGCAATCATTTAATTGAGGAACAAAATAAGCTGAAAATTAAGCTAGCACAGCAGGAAGATATTATTGAAGGAATGAAAGGAAAATCAAGCACACATGGCCACCCTTTGAAATTGTTCCAAGAAGCTGTAAACCATTTAGAAAAAGAAAGAAAAATAAGGCAGTTAAGTGCGAGAAGATCGGCAACGCCAAGAAAGAGGAGTATTATTATAAATCATAACTCGGCTTGTAAGGAAAATCCTGTAAACCTGTCGCTCAATTTGAAAGGGATAAAGAAAGATGACGACGAGCTGTTTACGTTTCGACCAAAATCTCCAACAACGCCTAATAAAGGAGCATTCCCAAGAGAAGTATTCAGAAGAATAAAAAACAGTTAAATTTGTATTAATATTTAGGTTTTATATAACTTATTAGACATAAATTACGAATTTTCAACAATCTATTATTAAACTGTAATTGGTCCTAGATAAGCTTCGCTCATTTCACAAACCCCCATCATTTCATTCCCATTGACTCTTACAGACATAATTCTCAGTCTTACATCGCCGCCTGCTTGAATTGTTTTTGAAGGATCTGTCTTATTGACCCATCTAGGGTGAAGTCTAGCTTCTGGCTCCAAATAGTAATCTGCAGCTATATTTTGTGCTGCCACAAACATGCTCATAGGTCCCAGCGTGGCTGTGAAGCCAACTTCTATGACTTGACTCACCATGGCGTCAGCGACTTCACCTTTATAAGGCATAAAGACCAAAGTTTTATATATAAGAGTATGAACAAAACGTCGCCGCTGGAGTCTTTACCTTCCCTTCACGAATTTTTTCATGTTTGAGCACTTTTACGATGTAGCCGGATTTTGTGTCGAATGGGCCTTCAATTGCACCGTTGAGGAGGATAGCGAGATACTTATTGATTCTTTTTCCGAGGTATTCTGGGGTTAGTTTAGGTTCTTCTTGAGACTTAGAATGAAAAACATTATAAAATGGCTCGCTAGTTTTTATGAAGATTTGGAATCTTAAGAGTCCGATTTAATTTTCTTAACTCCCCCTCCATGAGTGAACAAAACCATTAGAAAAATCGCTATTTTTTGCCCAAAAACCCACCCTTCGTGAGTGAACAAAATTTTTTTTAATAAAAAACAAATTTTTTATGGAAAAAATTTGATATATAAGTGATAATTAGTATAATGAAATCTAGAGCTAATTCTATTTAATTTTAAACAAATTGCATTTAAAACATAAATTCTATAAATTAAATTAATATTTGCTTCCCAATTTTTGCAAATTAGGATTTTTTTAACAGGGATAACCTCCGGACTTAAGAAACAGAACCCTTCCTCTTCGGCAAAAATAAAAAAAAAAGCCGAATACCTACTTTAAAAGTGACAGAAGCTATTTTCATCCTCATCGGAACGAATCCAATCTGTTCCATAGGATTTTATCTCCGATCCACCTTCGATCAACGTCACATTTTTTTCCCTCAAACCTTCATAAGGGATTAAGACTTTATCTATTTTAGACTATTTAAATTCAATAGCAGGTCGATTAAATAATTGAGTGCCTTGTTCTTTGCTTTTATTAAATATGTCCAGTTAGAAAGAGGCTGCGCCTTCTATTTAAACTCTCCGAGATTTATAGTAAATGTAATAGCTAAAGCCTGTTTTAAATTAATCAGTTACTCAAATTATTTGTAGTTATGAAAATATTTTTAAACAAGTTTTAAAAGAAATCGACTCTGATTCTACAAAAATTGGTAGCTATGTTGAAAAATTCTGACAAGCACAAAAACTATCGAGAATCGAGAAAGATCCAGTTTTAAATTTGTTAGCCTTGCAGTCAAATGAAGCTGTTGAAAAAGCCAAGGCAATCTTTACAGTAAAATTAAATAATAATATCGTGTTATTCTGTGAAATAGGAAGGCAAATTGATGCAGTTATCAAGAGATTTCACAGAGAAAAGTCCAAAGGAATTTCGCATGAAATTCATTCTGAATTGAAAAACATTCATAATAGCTTTGAAAAGGTAGGGGAGAATTTACAACCAGAATTAAGTAAGTATAAAGAAGCTATCAGAATTGATCCAAATGATGCTGATGCATACAATGACATAGGAATTATCTTCTATGATGAAAAGAGAATTGAAGAAGCAGTAAAACATTACAACGATGCAGTTAGAATCAATCCAAACTGTGCATTTTATTATTCAAATAAAGGAAATGCTCTAGCTGAATTAGGCAGAAGAGAAGAAGCTATGGAATGTTATAAAGAAGCTATCAGAATTTATCCAAATAATGCTGATGCATGCATTGGCATAGGACTTATCTTCCTTAATGAAAAGAGATATGAAGAAGCAGTAAACTATTACAACGATGCAATTAGAATCAACCCAAACTGTGCAAAATATTATTCAAATAAAGGAAATGCTCTATATAAGTTAGGGAGAAGAGAAGAAGTTATGGAATGCTATAAATAAGCTATCAGAATTGATCCAAATTATGCTGATGCATACAATTGCATAGGAGTTATCTTCTATAATAAAAAGAGATATGAAGAAGCAGTAAAAAATTATAACGACGCAATTAGAATCGACCCAAACGAAGCAATTTATTATTCGAATAAAGGAGGTACTCTAGATGAGTTTAGGGAGAAGAGAAGAAGCTATGGAATGCTATAAAGAAGCTATCAGAATTGATCCAAATAATGCTGATGCTTACTATAACATAGGAGTTATCTTCTCTAATGAAAAGAGATATGAAGAAGCAGTAAAGCATTACAACAATGCAATTCGAATCGGCCCAAACTCTGCAACTTATTATATAAATAAAGGAGATGCTCTTGGAGAGTTAGGCAGAAGAGAAGAAGCTATGGAATGCTATAAAAAAGCAAATAGTTTATAAATGCTTAATTTTATCAATAATAAAGTAAATTTTGCAGAGATTTTATTATTAGTATATATCATATAAATTATTAAATATATATGACTTACATTAAAGTTATAGACTCATTAGAATAGCCAAAGGGAAATTATATAGGGAACTACTTTAAAACAAAATGCAATTTTTAGAAAGCTACGGAAAATGAATTAAGAGATTAAGATATATAGGAGCAATTAAAATGCCATGTGTAGATTAAATATTATAATTCTGCTTGAGAAAAAGTTGAACCTAAACTTTGGCTTTGAATATTAATAAGTATTCCAAACAATTTTTCAAATATTGCACGTTAGTAGCATTTCAGAATTATTTCATCAATCATATTCCAAACTTATTCAGACTATAGCATGCCAATTCTTTTAATTCATCGAAAATGGACCGTAATCGATTTACTCAATTTTTGAAGTAGGGATAGTAAGAGTTATTTCCTTCATTTTAAAAATTTTAATTGAGAGAATTGGATTTTATAAAAAATTAGCAAATGCGAAGCTTATTCATAAAAATCCATTTCAAATTCCAATATGATATTTTAATTGTCACTCTTCTCTTCAATACTTACGGCCTCATCACTTGCAACCCAAATGCCTGCATTCCTAAAGCTGTAATTTTTATATAACAAAGCGATGGAAATTACGACTTAAGCTGCATGAAATCATATTTTGGCTTTGATTCTGGATCAAGCTGGATCTTTGGTGATTCCTTTCAAAAATCTGATTATAGATCTTGCAAAAAAGCATGGTCGATATGCCCTCATTTTTTTGGGCAACGGAGTCTGTGATCAGCATTTCAACATTCCTGAGTGTAGCTATGACCTTGGAGATTGCAGCTACTGTGGCAATGAGTGCAAATTGCATTTAGGTCTAGAAAATCAATTAATGGAAGTTACAGTCCAGCATGCAATGTTCCTTCTTGCTATTATGCAAAAACGTATGCTGAAAATGCTCTGTAGAGTGCAACTCAATAATCTGAGGAAATGGAAATTGCAATAGCGAATGCAACAACGCTCAGTGCAATTATAATAACGGAGACTGCTTAAGTCTCACTTGTGCTGAAAATTGATTTATTTTAGATGATAGGAGACCAAGCTTGTAACAATGAAAAATGCGAATATGACAAAAACGACTGCGGATGTACACCAGAATGTCCCAACAGTATATGAGGAGAGGGGGTATGCAAAGAAGAATGCAATAATTTAGTCTGTGAGTTTGATAAATGAGATTTTGGGAAAAGTGCGATTCTGAATGGAATACTGCCACTTGCAAGTGAGACTATATTTGTGGATCTCTAAGTTTTTCGCAGTCGACGGCTATGGGAAGTGCAGTCCTGGGTGCTTACTCCCCCCTCCGTGAGCAAACACAACAATTTGTAAAATCCCTATTTTTTGCCCAAAAACCCACCCTCCGTGAGCGAACACATATTTTTTAATAGAAAAATTTTTTCATGGAAAAAAATTTTGATATATAAGTGATAATTATTATAATGAAATCTCTAGCTAATCTTTTAAAACATAGCTTTACAAATTAAATTAATATTTGCTTTCTAATTTTTGCGAATTAGGATTTTTTTAAATTTCGAAAAAATAAATTTCTACAAAATTCTATATATAAATTTTTTTAAAAAAAAATTAACTCCCTCGTGAGCGAACAAGATTTTTTTGTTCGCTCACGGAGCGGAAGGAGTTAGTAGGGTAATGCAATTATGATCAAATGATCTCAGATTCTGAAAAGTGGCACAAAAACCAGGAATGATTGGTTTACTCTTTATCAGCAGATAACTAGAAATGATACCGTTCTAATATGACTTCTGAGCGGCATCTAGCTATAAGTGCAATCTCATTATGGCTCTAGACAAAATGAATGCCATCCAGAGTGCTTTATACCTGATTTTTTTTTCTTGGATATTAACTAAGCCTTCTTGCGTTGTAGAAAACTGAATTTAGCTTTTAGCTTGAAATTTTCTTAATTTTTCAGTAGTTTCTGATGCTATTTCTTTTTCAGAAATCTCTCATTTTCCAATAAATAGTGATTGATAATAAGGTGTTGAAAACTCCAGAAATATTGGACTGAGGCAAAAGCATAATCCAATAAAGTATTCATCTTTGGCAAAGCTTATCTTACTTCTGGGATTGCATCGATAATTGATAGAAATTTAGCCATCTGGAACCCTTGCAGAATACATCATCTATTTATTTTAGCAGGCTTTAATGAATATTAAACGCTCCAGCCTTTTTTAAAAGTTTTGATTTAGATATAAATTTGTAAAGATATAATTTCAAAGCTAAAAAAATGATTTCAAATTGTGGTCTTTAATGGAATATAGTAATTTCGATCGATAATCATAATAACCGATGGAACTTTTTCCCGAAGAGTTAACAAACGCTTTTGAATTTAAGGATCACCTCAATTTTGGAGGTTATGGAACTATCTATCGAGCCATAAAGAGAAGTAATTTTTATTCAGGCAATGGGCAAATGTATGCAATAAAGGCTGTAGCCAGAACTAGCACAGGGTCAACCTGGAAGGATATTGGAGCAGAGCTACAAGTACTCTCATGGGCTAATCCATACAAACTTCGTTTAGACTCCTTTTTTGTTAAAGGGGAAACTTTCTACATGGTCATAGATTATTGCCAAAATGGTGACCTTCTTAAAGCCGTAGTTGATAAGATTTGTGCCCATGAAATATTTGAAGAGGACGAAATCTGAAAATATTTTATCCAGATCTGCTTTGGGCTCGAGTCTTTGCACTACAACGGATTTATTCATCGAGATCTTCATCCACAAAATATCCTTTTAGACGAAAATAAAGATATTAAAATAGCTGATTTTGGCACTTCTCGCTCTTTACTCACCAAAACAATTCAGGGTGTTGCCAGCTACCAGTCTCCTAGGACTCATAGTGGAGATCTCCAGGTTAAAGAAAGTGATGTTTGGGCAGTAGGCTGCATTTTGTATTATCTCTGCAACCTTGAGCATCCTTTTGGCGATAATGTGAATAAAATAAAAAATGAGCCTCATAGGCCAATAAGAAGCGAATACTCTAATGAATTGAGGTATTTCGTTGATTGATGCCTAAAGAAGAGGCGAGAAGATAGGCCAACAATAGTTGATATCTTAACTAATGAGTTTATAGTCAATAAAACTCTAAGCTTAGGTATTACAATTCCACAAACATCTGCTATGAATGCAGCTATTTACCAAATCCAACTTGAGAAAGAAAGGGAAAGAAATGAGCAGCTTAAAAAGGAGTTATCTAAATATAGAAAAGAGAGCATAGCCCGGAAAAATGAAATTGGGTCGCTTAAAGAAGAAATAGGCTACTTAAACAGCATAATAAATGAGAATAAAAAGAGTGAGAAAGATCTCAAAGACAGGATTGAAGACCTGCTTAATTCTCAAATGATTAAGATTCCTCAAGCCCAAATGATCCAAGAGCTAAGAGAGAAGAGATCTGAAATTTTAAATAGATCAAATGGCCCAGAATTAGAGCAAGACTTTAGAAGAACCTGCTCAAAGTGCAGTAGCGATATTTATGCTCTTCAGCAAGCTTATCAAGATTATACTAATGCTTATCGCCAAAAAGCATCTCTTTATACAATTACAGGAAAAGACAGCAGAACTAATTTGATTATTTATGATACAGAAAATAATATTAAGGAAGTCAGGATTGTAGAGACTCCTCAACCTCTGGATTGGGGTACTTGCATTACTCAGCTTCCTAACGGTAATTTATTTTGCTTTGGTAATAGCGAACTTTCTGGAGTTTCATTGATAATTGGCGAGAATAATATTTTCAAAGAGCTGCCATCTGGAACTCCTTGCTGTGCCTCATCAGCTATCTACTTCAATAATAGTGTTTATTGCTTTGGAGGATGAAATAATCAAAATTTAACTCTTTCAAAGAGATTTGATTTAAATAAAAGCCGATGAATTAAATTAGAGCCACTGCCACAAGCCGATTGCCATTGCAATAGTGTAATATTTAATGGGGATATTGTGATTTCTGGATATGATAATAAAAATCTTTTGAGGTATTCAATTGGTAGCAACACTTTCGTAGCAACTCCTTATGATTTTCAAGCTCGTAAAGGCAAGATTCTTATAAGTACAGAGAAACTGTATTTAATTGAATGTGGTAGTAATGGATCAATCTATGAAAGCGAATTGTCAAATGACACTGCCTGGAGACGAATTGGAGACTCAGTAATAAGATCTGATTTGGATCAAGTTTATTTGTCATATAATAAAGGAGGAATAAACATTGTATACCTTTATGGTGATCCTACTAGTTACTTCAAGTTTAATTTAGAGACGAAAAGATTAAATAAGCTAGATTAAAATAATTTGATAATAAATAGGTCTCGTTTAATAATCTTTACTGTAACTCTTTCAATATCTTTTATTGATCAATCTGACTTATGTACTTAGGCACTTATTTAGGTTGAGTGGAAAATGTCAGCTATCTAATAATCATTATATGATGGCAAAGAAATGTTTCGAACCTGAGTGCATGAATGAGGTGGGCTATGCATGCAAATACTCTTCTCCTGACACTTTATCTTGTGAAGTGCATGCTTTTGAGCATATAAACTTGCCTAATAGATCTCATAATCTTCAAGCAATTTTTATGCAGCCTTGTAAAGGGACAAACTTGCTTAACTGTCAAATAAGTACTGTTTCTAAAGACCTCAACAGTAAACCCAAGGAAACAGAAAGCACTTTAAACGTCATAGACACCTTAAGAAATAAAACAGCTGAGATATTGAGTAGACCAAACAATCCAGAATTAGAGATAGATTTCAGAACAACTTGCTCAGCAATTCAGAAGAATCTTAGTCTTTATGATCCACCACTAAAGCAAGCATGCCAATATTATCTTAAAGCTTATCAACACAAGACATCTCTTTATAATACTACAAGAGATTATGAAAACAGCAGAACTAATTTGATCATTTATAACACTGAAACTAAAACTCAAGAAGTCAAAGTATTCAAGACTCCAGAACTACTAGACTTAAGCACTTGCATAACTCAACTTCCAAATGGCAAGCTATTCTGTTATGGTAAATATAGAGTTTCTGGGATTACAGTGCTAATTGATGTAAATGGTGATGTTAAAACACTACCATCTGGAACAGAATAATCGTAGTTATTTTTTATCAATTTAGTACTTTTTCTCTTGCTTTAAATATCTAATAAATTGAAACTTCAACTCAGATATCTCAATCTAACAGATCTTAAAAGAAATCAGTAAGAATTAGGACCCATCTGGAACTCATTGCGCTGATTCATCATGTATTCTGGCTTTAAAGAATTATTATTGTATATGGATAATTTTTTGAAATTGCATATTTATGGGATAAATCATATTGTATGTTCCCAAGCTGCGGTTCATCTTATAAGCATCGATATTATTAAGAAGAAATTGCACAGCAGGAGAGTAATAAAAGATCTAATAATCTATATACCCATTCCATCTTTTCTCAAGCCCAAAAGAAATTTATAATCCATCTCTCCCAAAAGTTAAAATTTTATCAGGGACTGCAATAAAACATCAAGTGGCGTATATCTATTTTAACAACAGCGTCTATTGCTTTGGAGGAAATGATGAAAATCGTTGTGCTTTAACTCTATCTAGTAGATTTGATTTAAATGAAAATCGATGAATTCAATTAATTCCAATGCCAAAAGCTGATTATTATTGCAACAGTATTATATTTAATGGAAATATTTTGATTTCTGGGTGGAAAAATAGAAATATTTTGTTATACTCAATTGATATTGACTCTTTCTCGATGATTCCTTATGAGTTTGAAGAGAAGAAATGAAAGATTCTGATAAATGCAGAGAGTTTGTATTTGATTGAATGCCCTGGATCAATTTATGAAAGCAAAATTGGAATTTATTCTAATTGGAGACGAATTAGAAAATCAAAAATCAATTGCAATATTTCTCAAGTGTATTGCTCATATAATAAAGGAGGAGTATACATCTCAACTATTAGTCTGCAGACTAAACAATATTATTATTTTAATTTAGATCAAAAAATCATTATTGATGTTGCTTACTATAATAAACATGTCGCACTTAGAAGAGTAGATCAAAAGATTGAAGCGATAAAATGAAATAACCAGAATTTTAAGCTCGATCCTTATTATCTGGATGAATGAAATCTAAAAGGCAATACACTATACAATTTAGGGGAAAATCTAGAAGTAATCGAAGTGAATGACGAAGCAATCAAACTCATTCCAAAGAGCACTTGCTTTTACTATAATAAAGCCAACGCTTATATGAAGTTAAAACGATATCTAGAAGCAATTGAATGCTATGACGAAGTAATTAAACTCGATCCAGACTATGCTATATATTACAGTAATAAAGGCAATGCCTTTAATAATTTAAAAAGATATCCAGAAGCAATCGAATGCTATGACGAAGCAATCAAACTCAAACCAAAAAACGCTAGCTTTTACAATGATAAAGGCAACACTTTTTATGATTTAAAAAGATATCTAGAAGCGATCGAATGATATAACAAAGCAATCGAACTCAATCCAAACTATACTATATGTTACAATAATAAAGGCAATGCTTTTAATAATTTAAAAAAATACCTAGAAGCAATCGAATGCTATGAAGAAGCAATCAAACTTGATCCAACTAATGCTGATTTTCACTATAACAAAGGAAATGCTTTAAATGAATTAGGTAGATATCCAGAAGCATTAGAAAGCTATGATGAAGCAATCAAAATCAATCCATATAAGGCCAAGTATTTAAATGGTAAAGGTAATACTCTTTATGCTTTAGAGAGATATCAAGAAGCAATGCAATGTTATGATGAGGCAATCAAACTTAAACCCAATAATCCTTTGCATTTCTGCAACCGAGCAAGAGTGCTTAATACTCTCAGAACAGAAGAAGCAGCTTTGCAGGATTTTAATAGGGCTTATAATTTGAAGGAAGAAAAATCAAATAAGTGGTGTTTTCTTTGGGGATGAATGAAGCCTTTCTGAAAAAGATTTCAAAATTATTAACGACGTATTTGGCCGAGACTGTATTGAACTACTCCAAAAATAACAGATTTAGAATAAATTTGGTTATAATAAACCGTCATTATAATAATTATATATCCAGCGAACCTCCATTTGCTCTGGCCATAGAAAATACGGAAATATGCATGCCTTGTAGCTTCATCTGTGAACTGCACTTAAGCACCTTGGTAAAAATATATAACTTTAAAGCAAGCATTCTTCTAATTATGGGAATGAATGAGCTATTACCAATTTTAGTTTTATCTTTTAGGTATAAAAGTGCGATTGATTAAAAATTGTCCTTTTATATTTCCATTAATTAGCTTTCCTAGATAATTGCATTTTTCAACCATTTGGATTTCAATATTTTAATTATGCATTTTGGTGGATTTTTAACCACACTGTCTTATTAAGTGGGTTAATAGATCTCATTTAATGCTCTTGTGTTATTAACTATATAGCAGATTTAAATAAAATTAGCTAGCATTATAGTAAATATATGGAGCTTATGCAATGTTTCGAGCCAGGTTGCAACCATGAGGTTGAATACTCGTGTCCATGCACCTCTCCTGATACTCTATCTTGTGAATTTCATTTCGGGAAGCATTTGAAGCTCCCTAACAGAACTCATGCTTTCAGCTCGATTTTTGTAGAGCCATGCCAAGCTACCAAAGAAGAAATTCTTAAGTTTCTTATAAAGGCAAACTCAAAAAATAGCAAGCTAAGAGGGAAGATCCTAGCATCCTTTAGCCAGCGCATTTTTGAATCCAAAAATGATATTGAAGAACTCTTAAAAAATTTGGATTCTGGCTCAGCTCAAATAACCAATTATTTTACAAAAATTTCTCAAGCTCAAAAATTATTCAAATTAGAGCAAGACCCAATTTTAGGACTATTGAGTTTACAACCTGATGAAGCTATTAAGAAATTAAAAACAATTATCCCAATTAATCAAGAATGGTCCAAAACAGCAAAGATATTTTGTGATCTCAGCGGAAAAATTGATAAAATGATTGAGTGCTTTATTGGAGATAAATTTGAAGCTTATTTAGATAAAAGACTGTCTAATATAGAAAACACTCTTCAAGAACACAATAAAGTTATTAAATCAGTCAATGAAGAGCATAAAAAAATAATTGACTGAACGAACGCTCAGATAGCGAACATTAAAGACTCTATTTCTAAACTAATAAATGAGAATAGAAAAAGCGAGAGGGATCTCAAAGACTGGAAAGAAGAAATGATCCCTAAAACAACAAATGAAATAGACCTGCTTGATTTTCAAATAATTAAGACGACCCAAGACCTTAGCAAAAATAATGAATCAGAAAAGGTCCAAGAGATCCTTAAGAGCTAAGGGAGAAGAGATCCGAAATTTTAAATAGACCAAATGACCCAGAGTTAGAACAAGACTTTAGAAAAACCTGCTCAAAATACAGAAGCAATGCCTGTGTTGATGATCCTACTCTTCAGCAAGCTTATGGAGATTATATTAATGCTTATCGCAAAAAAACATCACTTTATACTATTACAAGAAATGGCATCAGAACTAATTTAACTATTTATGATACAGAAAATGATAGTAAGGAAACCAGGATAGTAGAGACTCCTGAACCACTGGACAATTGCACTTGCATTGCTCAGCTTCCTAATGGTAGTTTATTTTGCTTTGGTAGAGACAATCCAGGTTCTGGAGTTTCATTGATAATTGATGAGAATTATAGAGTTCAGCAGCTGCCATCTGGAACTCCTTGCTGAAACTCATCAGCTATCTATTTCAATAGCAGTGTTTATTGCTTTGGAGGATATAAACAACGTTATTTAAATCTATCAGAAAGATTTGACTTAAATGAAAACAGATGAATTAAATTAAAGCCGCTGCCAAAACCTGATTTCAAATGCAATAGTGTAATATTTAACGGGAATATTGTGATTTCTGGAAATATTAGTCAACATCTTGTGAGGTATTCAATTAGTAGCAACACTTTCACAACAATTCCTTATAAATTTAGAGATGCTAGACACAAGATTCTTATAAGTGCAGAAAGACTGTATTTAATTGAATCTGATGGAGCATTCTGTGAAAGTGAATTGTCAAATGACACTGCCTGGAGGCGAATTGGAAACTCAGCAATAAGATCTGATTTGGATCAAGTTTATTTGTCATATAATAAAGGAGGAATAAACATTGCAATCTATCGTTCTAATCCCATTAGTTACTTCAAGTTTAATTTAGAAACAAAAAACATAACTAAACTAGATTAAAATAATTTGCTAATATATAGGCTTTATTTAATAATCTTTTGCTATTAACTCTTTAGCTCTGTAAAATTACCGCATAGGTCAATTTATTTATATTTGTTGGACGGAGAGCATTACTTCAAGTTTGATTTGGCTTCAAAGAGATTGAATAAATCAGAAGAATTATAAAATGATTAGTTAGAAGAATTTTTAATGGTTTTTATATAAATCAATTTTGAATAAATCGAAGCTATACAATTATATATGAAGATATGCTCCTAATTAATCTAAAAAGATTATAAATGTAAGGATTGCTAATGCTTTATCATAAATTACACTTCTTTAGATGTTCCTAAAATGTTTTTAATTTCACCTAAGTATTAGAATTCTAAATTATTTTTTAGATATTTATATGCAATGCATATAAAAGTGTTTGAGAGAAAAATAAAAATTTATGTGAATTTTTCAACCCTTTTTTTGTGAATTTTTGCTCTACCCAATAGGAATATAAATTGTAATAATATGAGCACTATAGGATGCTTTGAGCCAGAGTGCGACAGTGAAGTTGAACTTTTATGCAATTGCACTTCACCTGTGATTTATTCTTGCTTAAAACACATAGTGAAGCATTGCGAATCTAGCGAAGGACCTCATAATTTTAGCTCGATTTTTGTAAAGCCCGTTGAAGGCACAAAAGAAGCAATCCTTGGCTTTCTTATGGAAGAAAAGTCGAAAATTGAAGAAATGAAGGCAAATATAATAGCATCCTTTACTCAAACTCTTTGTAGTTATAAAAATAGTTTTAAGCAAGTTCTAAAAGAAATCGACTCTGATTCTACAAAAATTGGTAGCTATGTTGAAAAAATCTTTCAAGTACAAAAGCTATCGAGAATGGAGAAAGATCCAGCTTTAAATTTGTTAGCCTTGCAGTCAAATGAAGCTGTTGAAAAAGCCAAAGCAATGCTTACAGAAATATCAAATAATAATATCGTGCTATTTTGTGAAATATGAGGGCAAATTGATGAAGTTATCAAGAGCTTTCACAGAGAAAAGTCCAAAGGAATTCCATATGAAGCGCATTCTGAATTGAAAAACATTCATAATGGCTTTGAAAAGGAAGGGGAGAATTTACAGCCAGAATTAAGTAAGTATAAAGAAGCTATCAGAATTGATCTAAATAATCCTGACTCATACAATGGCATAGGAGATATCTTCTATAATGAAGGGAGATATGAAGAAGCAGTAAAACATTACAACGATGCAATTAGAATCAACCCAAACTGTTCAATTTATTATAGAAATAAAGGAAATGCTCTTAGAGAGTTAGGGAGAAGAGAAGAAGCTATGGAATGCTATAAAGAAGCTATCAGAATTGATCCAAATAATGCTGATGCATACAATGGCATACGATGTATCTTCTATAATGAAGGGAGATATGAAGAAGCAGTAAACTATTACAGCGATGCAATTAGAATCAATCCAAATTCTGCAATTTTATACAATAATAAAGGAGATGCTCTATATGAGTTAGGGAGAAGAGAAGAAGCTATGGAATGCTATAAAGAAGCTATCAGAATTGATCCAAATAATCATTATGCATACAATGGCATAGGAAATATCTTCTATAATGAAAAGAGATATGAAGAAGAGTAAAACATTACAACGATGCAATTAGAATCAACCCAAACGATGCAATTTATTATACAAATAAAGGAGAAGCTCTTAGAGATAGAGGCAGAAGAGAAGAAGCTATGAAATGCTATAAAGAAGCTATTAGAATTGATCCAAATAATCATTATGCATACAATTGCATAGGAAAAATCTTCTATAATGAAAAGAGATATAAAGAAGCAGTAAAACATTACAACGATGCAATTAGAATCAATCCAAGTGAAGCATGCTATTTTTTATGGAAAGGAGATGCTCTTAGAGAGTTAGGGAGAAGAGAAGAAGCTATGGAATGCTATAAAGAAGCTATCAGAATTGATCCAAATAATGCTGATGCATACATTGGCATAGGAATTATCTTCCTTAATGAAAAGAGATATGAAGAAGCAGTGAAACATTACAACGATGCAATTAGAATCAACCCAAACTGTGCATTTTATTATTCAAATAAAGGAAATGCTCTATATAAGTTAAGTAGAAGAGAAGAAGCTATGGAATGCTATAAAGAAGCTATCAGAATTGATCCAAATTATGCTGATGCATACAATGGCATAGGAAAAATCTTCTATAAAGAAGAGAGATATGAAGAAGCAGTAAACTGTTACAGCGATGCAATTATATTCAACCCAAACGATGCAATTTATTATAATAATAAAGGAGATGCTCTATATGAGTTAGAGAGAAGAGAAGAAGTTATGGAATGCTATAAAGAAGCTATCAGAATTCATCCAAATAATGCTGATGCATACATTCGCATAGGACTTATCTTCCTTAATGAAAAGAGATATGAAGAAGCAGTAAAACATTACAACGATGCAATTAGAATCAACCCAAACTGTTGAATTTATTATAGAAATAAAAGAAATGCACTTAGAGAGTTAGGGAGAAGAGAAGAAGCTATGGAATGCTATAAAGAAGCTATTAGAATTGATCCAAATAATCATTATGCATACAATTGCATAGGAAACATCTTCTATAATGAAAAGAGATATAAAGAAGCAGTAAAACATTACAACGATGCAATTAGAATCAATCCAAACTCTGCAAACTATTACTTTAATAAAGGAAATGCTCTATATGAGTTAGGCAGAATAGAAGAAACAGTGAAATGCTTGAACAAAGCGAGGAGTTTATAAATGCTTAATCTTATCAATAATAAAGTATATTGTAGAGATTTTCTTATTAGTATATATCATATAAATTATTAAATATATAGGATTTACATTAAAGTTACAGATTCATTAGAAAAGCCAAAGGGACATTATATAGGGAACTAAACAAAATGCAATTTTTAGAAAGCTACGGAAAATGAATTAAGAGATTAAGATATATAGGAGCAGTCAAATTGCCATGCGCAGATTAAAGCCTATATATTAATTAAAATTTCATAATAAGTATATACAATTAAACTTTTAAAATGACTGATAATTAATTTCGAAATAAAAGGATGGCAGCTTTAAATTTTTCATCACTTAATCCTCATTTGACAAAATAAATTATTTCGGGTTTGTTTTGTGGCACCTACAATTAAAAGCATAATAATTTTTTTTGTAATGAAGATTTAAAGTAAATTCAAGAGTCTGACTGATTTCTCCAGACAGTTTTTCTACTACAATGTTAACTACTCTAGCTTCATTAAGAACTCCTTGAACCACCATATAATTGCTATATCCTCTTCCCTTCCAAATTGCATCAACCTAAATATCAAAATGCCTCACAAATTCAGGAATCATCTCACAACCCAGCTCGATTTCAATATCAAAAGTATTCTCCCTACCAAAGCTTTTACCATTCCACATAATTCTTTTTTCTTTTATTTCTAATTGGAAATCAGATGGCTTCATATCGAAATGAAGCCCGCTAAGATAAATATCTCCAAATTTTTCAATACAAATCATACTAGTCACTCCAGAAACATCATTATAATGGCATTCATCAACATCCTAGTCATTGTCTTTTTCTTTACTAATTTTATTATGCAAAATAATTCTATTATTAGTGTCTTTTAATATATATTAATTTTGCATTACCTTAATAAAAAATTTTGATAGAAAAAGAAGATATTGTCTGAGCCTCCTTTAGTTTGGGCTATATCGACATCTCCTGGGGCTAATGGAGATTTGGCTTTATCAACAAATCTTGTAAACCCAATCCAGATTGATGTCGGATAGCGTGGGGGTAGCCCGAGTCAATGGAGACATGGGCTATAACTGTAAATTCATATCAAAAAGATCAATCTTTTTCTGCTGTAGCTTAAGAGAGCTTGTGTCATGATAAACCACTTATTGATTGAGAGGATTTCCCGCAAGAACAGAGTAATCAGGGAGTTGGTCTCAATCTCTTACAGAGTTCCATGAATTCTCTGCAATAACTCTTCCTCTGGAGTACAAGTTTCTTTTTTGGCATTCATTAAATCATGCATTTATAGGCTCTATGAACTTCTTTATATAAAGCAGTCCAGCATAAATCCTCGGGCTACTTTTACAACCACATTCGTATCTTTAAATTTTGCGCCACAATACCCTTGCCAGTATTCCGCATCTTGTCCTTGCTCAATCCACCTCACAACGGCAACATTATGAACAGGAATTTCTAGTGAAATTAATTTTCACTTATCACTAGCCATCCTTTCATTAGAGGTTACTGACATAATCATCCTCCCATTGCTATCAAAAGCTTCTAAAGTGACAAAAAGTGGGTCATTCACATTCAGGCCAGTTATGATACCTATTGTTAATCCCATTAATAGCCCCATAAGCATGCGAATTACCCGCTGAGTTTAAAATTTGCTCCGATAAAAACTAATAATTTTGGCCAGACCAAATTGTAATTTTAGCAGATAATTCACCTACTTATCTGACTATTCTAGGAAATAAGTATAGTTAATATAATTAACTATTTGATGTACTGAATTTTAAGGATTTAAACCTTAAAATCTTTTGAACAATTATCCCAATTAATTTTACAATTAAAGCAAATTTGCTTGAATTTTTTGAAATTTAAAAGAATATTTATCTTAATCCTGCATTTAGCTAAGTATAGGGTTCAGGCCACGATTTCCAAAAAAAACATTCGAAAATTTTATTAAGCTATTTTTCAATTTACACAATTCAATAAAAGAGGGACTTAAATAAATATCTAATTCACGAATCATAGTGAGTTAAATGCAATTTGAAGACATATCAGAAAAAATAGCTTTATATATAATTTTGCTATATATATATTGCCTTAATAAAATAATGGCTTGGTGGAAAGAGTTTGGCCAGGACCCCAGTGAAGAATTTGAAAGCGAGATTGAAGACGAAGAAGAATATTACGAAGATGAAGAAGAATATTCTCAAGAAGAGCCTAATCAAAAAGTCGTTTTTAGGGAAAGAGAAGAAGTCGCCTCAATGGGTCAAAATCTGTATCGAGAACTGTTGGTTAATACTTCAAACAAAGGCAAGCAAGAAAATATTATAAAAAATTATGAGACATCAAAAAAGATATACAATGACGAGCAGTTCCCTGCTGGTCTTTCAAGCTTGTGCCATGATTGGCTTTTACCAAACTTCCAGTGTAAAAAGCGTAATTGGAAAACTTTTCAATGGAAGCGTGCTTCAGAATTATTTAAGCAGCCTATAAAGGTGTTTAATAATATTGATCCAAATGATATTATGCAAGGACTTTCAGGACTTGGCGACTGCTATTTGCTATCAACGTTATGGACTGATTATATAGTAGACGATTTTTTCCCATGCTTCACATCGAACGAAATTGCCTTTGCAGGATCTCGAATTGAACGAGGAGTTTCTGAATTGTGGGTTTTATTGCTAGAAAAAGCTTGGGCAAAACGATTTGGAAGCTACTGAGCAATTGATGGAGGTTTTGCTGAGCATTCACTAAGGGATTTGACAGGAGGACCTTGCGAGTTTATTCCTATAAACGACGAATCACTATGAGATAGAATGTTTGAAGCAAATGAGAAAAATTGGATTATTTGTGCTAGCAGTTATGAAGAAGATGGAGCTCAAGACTGTGAATCCGATGGGCCTCGTAATGGGCCATGCTTATGCTGTAATTGACACCAAAGAAGTGACTTCAAGAAGAGGTAAAGAGCAAATTCTTCAAATAAGAAATCCATGGGGAAACCAAGAGTGGAAAGGTGACTGGTCAGACTCTTCAGACTTATGGACTCCTCAATTGAAAAAGCAGTGTGGATGGTCTAATTCAGATGATGGAACTTTTTGGATACCTTTCGAAGACTTTGCTCAATATTTTGTAAACGTCACTATTTGCAGAGTTCACGATAATTATTATTATGAAGGACTTCACCATACTCAAGGACAGGGACAGTTTGCAGTTTATAAAGTAACACTTTCCAAGCCTGGAAGTACGTATTTTATAACAACTCAAGTAGATGAAAGAAGATTTAATGAAGAAGATGGCTATCAATTTTCGCCAGCCAGGATCATTGTTGGGAAACTAAACCAAAGAAAGCAAGGAGGCAAAGGTCGTCGCCTAACGTTTATTAGTGGTTTCTGTGATATAATGCAAAGAGACATTTGAACGATGAATGAACTTGAAGTAGGAACTTATTTAGTTTACGTCCAAATGGACTGAATACAAGACGTAACTGAAGACTATGGCTTTTCAGTTTATTCAGAGTCCCCAGTCAAGCTTGAAGACGTCACTTTTCAAGAGAAAAATTTTCTTTATGATGTCTATACCTACAACTTGGCAAAGCAAACAGTTGATCCAAGTTTACTCTCAGAAAATATTTACTTTTATGAAGTTGAGCGTCTTGGACCTGGGGAAGATGGGAAATGTATGGAAGGAATTATGTTTGATGTAATTAGAAATAAATCAGAAGACCTCATTATTGAATTAGAAGTGCTCCATAAATCATTAGAAAATGTAGAACTTGTGGGAATTTATGAAGGGAAAGACTCGTATAAAATAAAATTGAAACCAGAAGAGAAAAAGGTTGTTGTTAAAAGACAAGTGATTTTAACTGAAGAGATAGATTGCAGAGTAACCAAGACAAAGAAAATAATAGCTATTTAATAAGGAAAAAAATTATTATTTAATAAATTGCAAGAATGATAACAAATTATATGAAATTTATTTAATTCCAAGCAAATAAATTTAGCTAGGTTTTGGGTACTTTTACAATCTAATAGAGAAGGTATATTGCTAAGTACTGTAAAAGTGATCAAAGGTTAAAATTTCGAATTCAATTTAAAAGCTTTGTTTTTTCGAATCTGCAATCGGAAATTACAATAAAAAGGCTTAAAAGTTCAAATTAGGTAAAATTGTTTTTAAAGACTCAAACAAATATTGGATTTAAATTGTTTAATTAAGCATAGATAGATTTAAATTTATTATAAATAACTATTAATTTTATAAAAGCACTAATACGGTGAAATTTGTTGCCAAAAACATAAAGAAAATTATTACAATAATTTAAGCCTTCTTAATTTTTAAACATTTTAAAATGATAAATGATTAAATATTTCAATTTATATATTTAAATATTCTAAGATAAATCTTTAATGTATATATGAAAAAATCTTTGGGATCACAGCTTATTATATTCAATCGGAGAAAAGAATGAGGCTATTGAAAAAAATAAATTTTCTGTTTGTGAATAATAAAAGTAGCAGTCTTTACTGAGCTTCCATTTATTATGATTATAAACCTAAATTTGTTGTTATTTTTTTTTTCTTATTGAAAAATTTCAAGGTAAGTCGTTATGCTTCGATAATAATCTGTAGTATAAACTCAAATTTAAATTTTCTTATTAACTTTTTGATTAATTAGTAGTTTTAATAAACAATGGAAGATGATTTACTAGCAGCATCAAATTTAAAGGCAATTTCCCATACAAGCTCTTCATTAAACTGGTTTCACATATTTTTAATTATCAAAAACTCATTTTTTGATGCTTTTTCAATAATATATAGCTGCCAAGCAAAGAGAGTTTCTCCAAATAATTCCAATGAAAAACTCCTTCAAATTATATTAAGTATTATAATTTATCTCCAAATAGCAAGATTTAATTGAAGCAAAGATCTCAATATGAATGATTACATCGGAAAGAATTGAACCATTTTAAGCTATCTGAGCATTGATCAAATTTGTGCTGATTCAGGATACCTCTATGGCTGTTTTTTAATGTCAAGTATTTCTGTTTTAATATGCGCGATTTTTGTATTTTTGTTTTCAATAATAAGCTATCAAAAACTGGCTTTTAAGTCACACATTGCTTTAATTCCAAAAATAATTATGCTTTTTCTATCAACAATAGGATTCATTCCATCCCTTGTTATTTTTATGTTTACACTAAAAAATTCAATAAGTAAAGAAAACTCAATAGAAGAATATTCTACTTGTACAGACTGCAATTTGAATCTTGGGGCTACTGGAATTGTTTGATCGCTTATTAATTTGATTTTATTACCAATAATTGCATATGGGAGAGAGATTTTTTCAGCAGAATTAAGACATACTTTTGCATTGAGAAGTCTCAAAGCAAGAGCTCACTCATCAATAGACATTGAGATGATTTCTTTCTCTATTATTATCTCTGTAACTTACGTTTTAATTAGCGATTACAGCTACTATTTTCATCAGACAATCCTTGTCCTCTACTCTTTATATATCCTTTACAGAATTCTGAAATATGCTCCGTATTACAATATTTTTTTGAATGCATTAATTTTTGCTAAAAATTCAGCAATTCTATTTACGACTCTAGCCTTTCTTTTTGGTAATGCTATAGGAGATTCTCAAGTTACAATTGTCTTTTTTTGGCTAATCAACCCAATATTAATCTTCATCTCTTTGAATTATGCTATGAAAATAATTAAAGAAATCGGGGAAAACACAAGTTATAATTATGATCAGTATAATTTTGAGCTACGATTAAGGAAAACCTTAATGGATGATTCGCCTAGTAATCCCACAAGTGTCCTAACTGAATTCTCAGAAGCTACAAAAAGACGAGGATACAAAGCTGATAAACTTTTTGTGATTTGGGAGTCCAACTATTGCTTCTACAATCTTGGAGACGAAAGACTAGGAAGGGTAAAATTCTATAAAATTTTTCTTTTCAAGCCCACTATTGAAGGCTGCTTTCAAGAATGAGCAGTTTCTAGGCTATTTGAAAAAAATAATATTGGGGTTTACGAAGATGTTAGCACTATATATTACTTTCTGGAGTTAGACAGCATCAAGGCGAAAGATGAGCTCCTGTGTAACAAGCTTATTGATTTTTGGAACGAATTGACATCTTCAAGGCCAAAAATAGAAAAGCTCAACTTAATAGCAGAAACGGTATCAGACACTATGGATGCTGTTAATAATGGATACTCAAAGCTTGTTAAGAATTTCCCAAATCGGGCTTCTTGCCACGATTTATATGGCTCTTTACAGATTGATATCCTTGGAAAGCAAGAATATGGCAGTAAATTGATAATGAAAAGGGAAAGTCTGCGCATGATAGACCTTCAGGAAAATAAAAATAAATTTTCACCTTTTTCTGAAAATAATGGGTTCATTATTATTTCTGCTAATAATGACTCATATTGCATAGAATTAGTTAAAATAGCCAACTCCTAGCCTTGCAAAATATCAGAGATGCATTTTTCCGTCTTAACTTTATATTAGAGCTTGCTCCTCTTAATCACATTGAAGCCATTTGAGAATCCAAAAGTAAATAAGCTAGCTGCTTTGCGCGTTGTCTCTACTTTTATTCAGCATCTGCAGTTTTCTAGTCTTTTTTCAGCAATGGAAAGAGTTAAATCTTAAAGGATGCGAGGGTAGACAATCATCTAGACTAATTAAAGGAGAAGAGGGAAAAGAACTCGTGAAGCGAACTCTCTTCAGCTGAGGCCCTTTTATTATAGTTAATCACTCATTTGGCACTATTTTCTATGCGAATTCTATAGCAGCTCATATTTTAAAGCAAACTATAGGCAGTATTGTTGGTTCAAAAATATTGACTTACATTCCTGAGCCCTATTCCAAAAACCATTATAAATTCATGAGAAGGTACATTAAAAACTGTGTTAAAACAGAATCAGGCATAGGGATGCCAAATGTTCTCCAAACTGACCGAGGCTATTTGGTGGAGTGCAACTTTGAATTTCATTTGGTTTCCCTAATTAAAAATATTTATTATGTTCTTGCAATGAAGCCAGTCTCAAAATGGGTCAAAAAAAATTAACGATTCTATTGCATATTTAAATATATTATTACTGAAATACCATAAAATATCTAAAAACCCAATTTTTTATAATCATTTAAAGATTTTTGCCTTATAGCAAATAAAATACCTCAAAAACAAGAGAAATCGCTTTAGTTTCTGATGATGGGATAGTCCAAGCGCACAGTGAAAGTTTTTTACATTATATTGAGAGTTCCAAAGAAACTGGAAAAAATGAAAATATCAGTGATTTGATTCCAAACCTCAATTTTGCTCTTCTCAAATCTCATGTGCCAGTTATGATTGGACACGGTAATAAACACTTGCTATTTGTATTAATTAGGACCACATTAAAATCTACAAGCTTGAATTTATTACTTTTAGTTCACAACCAGCAAGAAGTTGAGGAATGAAATCGAGGGGAAGATGAGTTTCAAAAAGAAATGAATGAAGTGACCTTAAAAAATTTCCAGTTATTGGCTTTATCAAGAAGCGATCTTCGAAGTAACACGTTAACTCTTCTCTCTGAGTAAATAAAATATTGGAAAAACTATTTTTCTTCAAAAACCTACCTTAATAAAATATATTTTAATAAAAAATGTATTATTAGAAAAATTTGAAGGTATTTATTTAACTAAAAGTTGTATAATATATAATTGATAATAACCATAATGGATCTCGAGCTAATTTTTGAGATGAATTCTAAAAAACTAAATTTTTATTTTTCACTTACAGAGAAGGGGAGTAAGCAATTCCTTGTACGCAATCAATGCTATGGAAAGAGCAAGCCATCAGCATTAATATTGATTAACTTATATAGAAGCCCGCTGTAAATCCCGAAGGACTACCTCTACCCATGATGCTTCACTCGGATGCCCGCCACCAATTGCAACACGATCTTCAAAGCTTCACTCCTATAGACGAGGGCCAGCACTCACTACCTGCAGTCGGATGAGTTGGACTATCTTGCTTTCTGGTCGAGCTGTCAGCCAAAATGTATATTCAAAGCCTGGGATCTCACCCAGTTTCACGCTAGGGAGTTGCCCAATTGACTAAGCCAAAGAGCCTGGTGTAAATGAGCTTCCCCCTTTCCAACTTCGCCTTCTATTTCCCCTGAGACAAAACCCTGGTACCAGAATGAGTTGGGTCGGCCTATTATGACGTTGCGCTCGACTGAGCTATACTTTACCGAGCGCTAATTTCCCTTCCACAAGATCGCCGGTGCCTGCGCGGGCCTCAGCTACACAGTTTTGAGAAAAAGGGCTGGCTCGCCGTCACCATTTTAATGCTGATGAAAAGAGCAAACCAAAATGAGGAAAAAGATGAGAATAAAATCAGCGAAAAAGTGGTCTCCAACACTTGGGGAAGCAGCTACTCATCTCTTAGCTTTATAAGTAAGTGATATTTAGACTATGGAGAAAAAAAGAAAAAGAATGCTCAAATTGCGCTGAAAGTAACCCAATGGACACTTGCAGCATCAATATTAGCGATTATTGGAATGAATATTGGAATTTTGTTTTATATTAAAACAGAAATTCAGCATTCAAATGACTTACACCCACTTGTAGGCAATTGTTTTACTAATTGAAGGGGTAAATTTTTATAAGGATTAAATAATATCATTTATAATCAATAGAAAATTGGTGTTTATTGATACTTTTGCTTTCTCTATGAAAAAATATAAATGGAATCCATCCCAAAGTTTGTATTCGTTATAAATGATCTTCATCAATCTTTGTTTTTACTAATAAAAATGTTAATCCAAGTTTTATATATCGAAATATTTTATAATTTTTTTCACATGTGGCCGTGCTAAATTTAAAGATTTGAACATTTCTTTATCATAGGGAAAGTTATCAAAGGCGGAACACTTCGCCTCCATAATGCTGCAGATAACTAGGATTGCGGGGTTATCAAGAGCAATAGACTTTGCAACAACTTATAATGGCCTTAACACGACGTTTTTAGAATCCTGTTTCAATACAAGCTTAGCTATTTTGAGCTCACTTCAAAGCACGATCTTGGCTGACTATGATGAGTGGAGCTACTGTTCAAGCTCAGAAATGGTGACAAATGAAATAATTCCAATATGAACCCGAGATACCTTGCACACTAACTCTCATTACAATTTTTATGATATGGTTACAGTTTATCTGAAACGTGTAAAATATATTCAGGGAAATTCATTTATCAATAATGTCAAGCAAGGCCAAAACTATTCAGATGACGAATTTTTTTTAATTGTGAATGGATTTGGGGTGGGCTATCAAATACTCAATACTACTCTTGCTGGACTTATAGACTGCGAGGTAGATAGGATAAATGATGATGATGTGGTAGTCATTGTGTTGATTTCGATGGGGATTGCTATATTGGGTACTCTGTCTGCGGTACTGCTAATCTTGATAGTTAATTTTAGTAGGAAATATAACGAAATTTGGAATTTCATCAGAAAGCAAGCAATCATTTCTTATATTGAACTTTTTCAAAGCTGCTTTAATAGGCTTTCAACTGTTTTGGATTGTGCTTCAGATCAGCAAGAGAGAGATTTTCATAAAATAAACAAGGAAAAACTAAGACAGATACGAGAAAAATTTACAAGAAAACTTGCTGCATATTTTCTTCTACTTATCAGTACTTCTATAGTTTATTATTTTGTTGTTGGTTATGTACTGTATCCTGCTTGCAAATCAAATCTGATTAAAAGAAATCATCTATTGGAAGCATACTACGTGAGGGTAAGCCAAATTTCTGAGGCTAGCTATCTTGCAGCTGAGTTGGCTCTTGGAAAAAATAGCCCAGCTCCTCAAATCCTCTATCCGCATTTTGATATGAAAGATCCATATAAGAGGATCTTTGAAGTTAGAGACAGCTATTATGTATCAGGCCATGTTATTAGTAGTATGAAAAATAGAGAACTTTTTACAAGCAATTTAGCAATGCTGTTTTTTGAGAAAGTGCCCAACGCAAAAGATGTGATTTTTGATATAGGAACTTATCCTGGAGCTCTTCTATTAGGAGCAGAATACATGGTGTTATATCATTTGGCCATTCTATACATTTGTCAAAACTATTTGGCCAAAATTTTTCACTTACAATTTTGTGAGCAGGATAAGCTAAATTTTTATATTAACTTGCTTTTAAAATACTTTGAAATTAAAGTTTAAGCGAGAATTATTTTTAAATAATTGTTATTAATTTTATTAAAAGTAATTTTTTAGGGGGAGTAATTTAAACATGGGGAATATTTTTAAAATAAATTATATAAATTCCTTGAGCAAAAAAATGGAGCCGAATACACATACTATGGCTATTCCAATTCAGTGAATATTGTTAAGGAGTTAAATAAATTTTTGAGACGAGCATGAATATTGCAAGAGATGATTAGAGCTCGAACTCCAATATTTGGAAGAGATTCAATGAATTATGTAGATAAGCAAGTAAGCTATGTCAGTTCTTTAACAGCTTTTTATGGGGTATTTTCCTTTCTGTTGTACTGCGCCTTATACTGGCCGGTCATTAGAAAAGAGAGCAATAAATTGCAAAAGCTTTATGAGATTTCTCAGCTTATCCCATCAGCAACAAATAAAAAATAGCAGATTAAATTAAAATTTTGTAAATATAAAAACAGTTTAAATTTAACTTGGTAGCTTACGTTATTTTTCTATTAATTATAATTATTAACTATCTATCTATTGATTACCGAATCATCATCAAAAACTTTTAGTTTAAAAATTAAATTAAATAATAATGATTTTTGATTTATTGGATCCTAATCATTAGTAGTAGCCTCCCTATTAAATTACAAAATGAAGGATCATAAAAATTTGATAGGGTATTCAGGTTGCTATTTTTAGTTGGATTTCCCATTTGGACTGGCATATATTTTGGAATCTATTTTCCTCTTGAAAATCGAAGCTACGAAGACGCTATTTGCAAGATTACAAGCATTGACACATATAAATTTTCCAAAGGGTAATTCTATTTGCTGCTTTTAAATCTATCTGGGCCATTTCATATAAATCAGTATATATAGCTTGTCAACTTTATTACCAAAATAAACTTTTGGTACTTAATTGATGGAGTTTACTACCCTGGCTATGGTTATGAGTCTAATGTAGCTGATTCTACTGTGTCTGACTATACCGAAGACAATATATATCCTTATTCTTATTCTTCTTGTATCCAAGACAAAGGTGACTCTAAATGTTTACCTGGACAACTATTTTTACCTAGTCGGTCTTACAGCAAAACTCATGGTGTCCCAAGATTCGTTATCGACAACAGTGTCAAATACAGATGGTGACTGCATAGCAAGGATGAAAAAGCCGAGCCCTCAGAACTCAAAAATTTGGGTACCCTAAGAGTAATCTCACAAATTCTAGAAGTTTTGTTTAAAGATAAAATTTGCATACCTAAAGACGATTATAGAGCCCTTTGGGCTATTACATTCGGTTTTCTTACTGTCCTGCCAATTCCCGTCATTATGACTGCTTTCTTATGAGAATTTTGTAAATTCACGCCAGTTAAAAGAACTGAGCTGAAGTATTGAATTGCCAAAGTGACAATGAGAAAAAAAAGACCAAGCAAGTTTTAAGTAATGAAAGGCCAACTAGAAGGGCTTTATATACGATGAGCCCTTTTCTTCTTGCAGAATTTCGAAGTGAAAAGCTAGAATCATTCCCAAAACCTTTGGTGCGCTATTTGCAAACTGTATAGCATAATGCTTGGGCCTATGAAGAATACAATTAGAGGCTTTTAATTATTTATCGTCATTTTTGAGAAACTAGATGATTGATTTTTATGCTTACTTGATTAGTAGAGGGGGTATTTTATTTGTAATTACTTAAAATTCTGCTGTAAATTGAGTGCAAACATTTTTGCAGGCATAATATGTCTACTTGGCCCTAATTAAAAAATACTTATTTACTTTCATTCCTAAAGTCTCCATAAGCATTTATAAAAATGCAGCATGATTAAAGAGCAAGAATTTAACAACAAATTTTATTAAAAGTTTTTAATTTTCAGTCTCCTTTTTGAGGAGAAGAACTTTGATCATGTCCCATGTATCATTGGCCCTAGTTTCGATTCCTATGATAATTTTATTTAGAGTTTGGACTTCGCTTTTGATACCTTGGATATTGTCATTGATTTCTTTATAAAGCCCTTTTATTTCTGCTTTAAACTGAATCTGATCGTTTTTCATGCCATCAAATGACTTTTGAATTTCTAGTTTAAACTGAATCTGATCGTTTTTCATGCTATCAATTGACTTTTGGATTTCTGATTTAAACTGAATCTGGTCGTTTTTAGCACCATCAATTGACTTTTGGATTTCTGATTTAAACTGAATCAGATCGTTTTTCATGCCATCAATTGACTTTTGGATTTCTGTTTGAAACTGAATTTGATCGTTTTTCATGCCATCAATTGACTTTTGGATTTCTGTTTGAAACTGAATTTGATCGTTAATTGCCTCTTTGATTTCTTTTTTAAAATTTTTACTTCTGCCTAGATATATTGTTTAGAATAAAATATTCTTGTTTATTTCTTTTAAAAATAGAGAGGCTTAATTTTTTGTGGTTATTTTTGGAGTGGGAAGTCATTAATCCAATGTGAGCACCACAGAATACCGCTTAAACCTATCCCCTTCATAATGATATCAAGTATGCGATTTAAATTTTTCTGATTTCAAGCAGAGTTGTTGCTACTTTGAAAATGAAGATTAGCAACGGGTATTGCTGGAAGACTCTGGATTGTCCTAACGGTGCGTCTTGCAATCTCAGCTAGTTTAAGCATAATTATATAATAATTATTTATTTTTATATATTAACACTTGATCCTATATAAAAAATACTCATTCACTTTAATTCCTAAAAGCTCCATAAGCATTTATAAAAATGCAACATGATTAAATAGCAAGAATTTGACGACAAACTTTATTAAAGGCTTATTACTTTTGAGGCCCCTTTTTGAGGAGAAGAATTTGTACCATGTCCCATGTATCATTGGTCCTGGTTTCGATTTCTATAATTTTTTTATGAGAATTTGGACCTCAATTCAGATAGATTGGAGATTATCTTTGATTTATTTATTAAGCTTAATCTGTTGAGCATAGAAATCTTCAATTAGCTCTTTGATTTCTCTTTTAAACTCAATATGATCGTTTTTCATGCCTTGAATTAACTCTTTGATTTCTGCTTTAAACCCAATCTGATTGTTTTTTATGCCTTGATTTGGCTCTTTGATTTCTGCTTTAAACTCAGTCTGATCGTTTCTGTCTTCTGTATTAAGCTTATTCTGCTGAGGATTGAAATCTTGACATATCTCTTTGATTTCTGCTGCTAATTTTCGGAGGTCTCTCTTATAAAGCAGGCATCAGCCAACAAAAAAGCCGCTTCAAATATGACTAGAGTTCCGTCTAAATGAAATTGTGACCCTATAATGCTATCAGTTGATGGCCTTCGAAATAGGAATTGTGGCTAGAACAATAAGGATTAAAAAATAAATCCAGATTATTTTGAAAATATCTTTATTTCTCTTTAACTCACTTTTATTGTTTCTTTCTTTGAAGGATAAAATTTTTCGGCTCAACACATTGTCAAATGTTATGATGCCGAATATCGTATGGAGTCAAAATATAAGAATTATCCCTAGATACATCTCATATTCCATTAAAGCACACAAAATCTTTCATAAATAAAATCCTATTAGATTTATCCAATATATTTGAGCTATCATATTAAAGACTTTCATAATCTCTGTTAAAATTTCTATATGTATATACTCTTTTAAGGCAAACTTTAATGTAAATAAAGCTTCCAATAAGTATCAAAATTGTGTAGAAGACTAATAAATAGTCAAAGAAACAAATATCCACAAAATCATACTCATATCTTCAATTATTTATTATAAAAACCCCTAATGCAACTGCATATAATAATAAATACCAGCTACTCTCAATAAAAAAGAAACTGAGAGCATTTGATATTCCAATCATTTGTGGAATTCAGCTATACTGCAATTTCAATTGCTTTTCACTCGTAATAAAGCAAAGAATTCCTGAAGAATAAAATCATATTTCATTTCATATCAAAACATTGTTCATGTCAAAACTAAACAACTCACAAGAATGCACAGAAAATTTGCTGGCAAACTCAAATAAGAAATCAGCATTATCATCTAAGTATTTCCCTAATAAAATTAAAATTGAGTTGGCTGCAAACGATTGCAAAATAATATAATATCCTTTTCCGCTTACATCAATTGCATCAAGTTTTTGAAAAATAAAGCTATCTAAAACCAAAAGTGCAAAATGAAATACCCATAAAATGATCATATTAATAAATGTATAAATTCATTTTTTGTAAGAAAACTAGCTTACTGGCAAATGAAAAAGAGTACTTTCAAATAAAATTAACTCAAAATGTTAAAGTGTTGTGATAAAACAGCTTATAACTTTGAGAGATCTTCACCTTCTCTCATAATAAAATGGCATTTCAGTATAGTGGAGGAGGAAATCTTTTAGATGAGTAAAACAATCCCAATAACTCTAAAAAATTCAAAAAGCTAAGCATAATTATATAAAATGGGCTCTTATAAAAAATCTAAGCTTAATTTGAGCGGAAAATAATTGTGCAAATTTTGATTATGAGACTTCAGAACGAACTAAGCCCGATCTTTTCCGTTTCCCGAAAGCTATTTTCTTCTTTGAGATAAAGAGCAAATCGATTGGAAGAATGCTTTTTTGAAAATAAAACCTTGAGTCAGAAAATAAATTCTTTTAAAGAACCTGGATGATTTAGAACCAAACTTTTTATTTTAAAAATTCAAATATCTGTAGCAAAAAAATAGGGTATTTATTTCTGCTTTTAAAGCTTTAAAGTTAATAATTTATTGGTTTAATTCTTTCTCCTAATCGAAAAACATGCCTAATACTTTCATCCCTAAAAACCCATAGACCATTATTCCATAAATATTTTTAAAAAAACATTCTGGAGACTGGTCCACATAAGCATCTGGAAATTCCAAGAAAAAACCTATTTGCCAAACTCATGAAACATAAAATAAATCGTCTAATATGAAATTTGTAGACCCTATAATGAATATAGTTATGGCCTTCGAAGTAGGAATAGTGGCAAGAAAAATAAAGATTATAAAATAAATCCAGATTATTTTGAAAATATCTTTATTTCTCTTTAACTCACTTTTATTGTTTCTTTCTCTGAATGATAAAGCTTTTCGATCCAACACATCGATAAATGTTATGATGCCGAATATCGTGTGGAGTCAAAATATAAGAACTATCCCTAGATACATCTCATATTCCATTAAAACACACAAAATCTTTCATAAATAAAATCCTATCAAATTTATCCAATATATTTGAGCTATTATATTAAAGACTTTCATAATTTCTGTTAAAATTTCTATATGTATATACTCTATTAAGGCAAACTTTAATGTAATAAAGCTTCCAATAAGTATCAAAATTGTGTAGAAGACTAATAAATAGTCAAAGAAACAAATATCCACAAAATCATACTCATATCTTCAATTATTTATTATAAAAACCCCTAATGCAACTGCATATAATAATAAATACCAGCTACTCTCAATAAAAAAGAAACTAAGAGCATTTGATATCCCAATCATTTGTGGAATTCAGCTATACTGCAATTTCAATTGCTTTTCACTCATAATAAAGCAAAGAGTTCCTGAAACATAAAATCATATTTCATTTCATATCAAAGCATTGTTCATGTTAGAACTAAACAATTCATATGAATGAGCATAAAATTTTCTGAAAAACTCAAATAAGAAATCAGCATTGTCATCTAAGTATTTCCCTAATAAAATTAAAATTGAGTTGGCTGCAAACGATTGCAAAATAATATAATATCCTTTTCCTCTTGCATCAGCTATGTCAATCTTTTTAAAGATAAAGCTGCCTAAAACCAAAAGTGCAAAATGAAATACCCATAAAATGAACATATTTATAAACGCACAAGTTCATTTTTTGCAATAAAATCTTTCTAGAACTAGCCTACTGACAAATGAAAAAGAGAACTTTCGAATAAAATTAACTCAAAATGTTCAAGTGTTCTGATCAAAAACAGCTTATAACTTTGAGAGATCTTTACCTTCTCTCATAATAAAATGGCATTTCAGTATGGTGGAGGAGGAAATCTTTTAGATGAGTGAAACAGTCCCAATAACCCCAAAAAATTCAAACAGCCAGATTTGAAATATTTTATGTAAAACTTATATAGAAATTGCTCGAATCAAAGGCTTTACTTAATCCTTCCTCCCTCCGTGAGCAAGCAACACATTCGAAAAATCCTTATTTTGATAAAAAACTTCCTCGAGCAAGCAAAAAATTAAGTTTAAGAAATAGTTTTGATATTTTATTAAATAAATAAATAAATAAATTACCAAATATAAATTTTATACTTTACTGCAAGTTTTGACAGGAGATCTAAATTTTAAAAAAAGTATTAAATGATACTTTTGCAGGCACGCATAAAGATTTGTCTTCATGTATGTGTGTTAGTAAAAAGAGGAAATGGGCTGATAGATACAATGATATCTCAAAAAGAGAGTATTGAAAAACTAAAAGAAGTTAAAAGCCTGAAAGCTATAAAGGCTCAAAACCTCAAAAAGAAAAGATATAAAGCTTCTCTTGAATCCATCAGAGATATCAGGAAGAATCACGAAAATGGTTCTAGCGTCAGAGATTTTTCAGACGTTTACCTATTCCTTATAATTTCAAAAAATTTAAATTTTCCATTTTATTTTAAAAAATTCGAAAAAAAATAACTTTCTTAAAGCAAAGATTTAGAAACTGACTCAGAGAAATCCTTCGAATCCAAAAGCTCACACTTACACACATTTTCAGCAACAAATTTAAGCCCGAAAAAAATTCCCTTCTTCGATGAGAACTTGAAATTAAGCGCCGAACTGGTCGAATACTTTGAAAACCCTAGCTTTGACAAAACTCTTGAGCAAAAAAAGCTCGATAATTTAGTTGAATATTTTCAAGTAAAACTTATATAGGAAAGATATAAATTAATATCCCGAGAACTGAAAGAAAATGAGTACAGAAAAATGATCACAAAAAAGATTAAAAAATTAGTTAAAAAATTCTTCAAAAAAAAGCCTGAAAATAATAAAAATCTCGCAAGATTTAATACCAAGAGGAGAGGAGGAATAAATAAACAAGTAATGCCTATTTAGACCTTCCAATTTACAATGCAAAAAAAAATGAATGAAATTGATGAAAAAATTCAAAGGCATATAGAATTACTAATAGCTGAAGAAGCTACGAGAAAAGAACAGATGAATCAGCTGCCTTCGTTCCCGTCTAGATCTAAAAGTCCAGAGAAAAAGCAAGTCGAAAAAAGCTTAAGGCGGTATTTGGATCTTGAGTGCAGCACCATGGATAAAGATGCAGATAAAGATATGGAAACTGAAAAGAGCCAAATTAAAATGAAGCTAGGGATTGATAAAGTATTAGCTGAAGCACGAAAACAAAGAATATTTAAAAGTCTTGACGCTAAAGCCAATGGGATGTCCTTCAATTTAGAACGTGGTGAGTGGATGCCAAATCTGAATAAATGCAATTCTATAAATGGATTGAAAAAGATGAAAAAAAATACGAAAAATACTTTATCGCAAATAATCGAAATGGGAAAATTACGATTTCAAGGGAAATAATTAGAATTTCTTCAAAAAAATTTTGAAAACCGTTTAAATTACTAATTTAATGACACTAAATGATTTCTTTAAAGAGCTTTATTAATTTTCAGAAATCTTAAAATATCTGATTCTTTATAATTATAGACAGGTTTCTATAAAACTTACTCCTTCGTGCAACAAAACCAATGGAAAAATCCCTATTATTCGCCCAAAAACCCATCCTCCATAAGTGAACGAAAAATTGTTTTAATTAAAATATTTTAATGTATAAGTGTATATAATATGAAAATTTCTAGCTAATTCTATTAAATTTTGAATAAATTATATTATAAAACGTATACTTTGCAATTGAATAAATATTTGCTTTCCAATTTTTGCGAATTGAGATTTTTTAATTCAAAAAAAAATCGCCCTCCTCTGTGAATAAACAAATTTTTTGTTTGCTTACGGAGAGGGGTAAGTTAGAAGAACTATGCTATTATATAAAACTATTGAGAAATCCAATGTTTTATTCTCCTTAGAATTAAAAATTGGAAATAAAAGCCAAAAGTGTTCAAAGTAAAATTTCTTTCAGAAGAAAATAATGATGGTGGGTTAGCTAAAGCAGCGGCACATGCCCACCCTGCAAAATATAAGAATTCTTTAAAAACTCAAAAATCAGGTCATATATCATCAATAAAATAATAAGCTAAAAATAAAGAAGAACACAAATAAATTGCAAAGCTATATACTTCTATAAGTTTTGCTTCAATTTCTTTGATCTCATATTTTTGTATACTTTTTGATATGCTACACATTTATTTTATTGCAGGTAATAAGTATTTATGTTAATTTATAATTAATAACCTAGAGCTGCTAATAAGTATCTACTTATAAGAGCATAATATAAGCTTCTTAAAATTATCAGGACATTCAGATAACAAAAAAAAATTCGATTTAAGAAACCAAAAAAATTCTCTAACCACGCAAATTTCAAAAAAAACAGAGTACACAACGTAGAAAAATGGGAAAAATGATTCTTCTCAATTATTTAATCCGCACCAGAAGCAAAAAAATATTTCAGAATAAGCAATGTAAATGACTGACAAATAATTAGATGTGCCTGATGCAATATCGATCCTTTTGTATCCAAATTCTTCTATATGACTTATAAAAATTAAACTAGTGATAGATCATAATACACTTCCACTGAGTTTTTTAATTATTGGCTTGAGTAAGATGTAAACTGCTGCATTTAGATTTGCTATGGACAATGAAATGTTATAGTTGTATGGGAGACTACAGATATGATACAGAATTTTTGATAGTTCAAATAGTGTCGTTCAAATTTTCTAGTCTCCCGACCGAAGTTTTCTTGCATATTTTAACTATGAGGTTTGGCTTCGCATGGTAAATTATCACAGATATTGCAGGAAGCAGGAGCCTCTAGGCTTCATGATAGGGATTTCTATCCATAGTTTACAGAAATGTACCCTAAAAATCACTACGTAAAAGCTAAGATTTTTAGGGTGCCTGACAGTCTAAGTGAATTATCTTAGCCCAAGAAAGATTTTTGCATCGGAGCCAGAAACTATAGCTTGCCTAGCCAAATAAAATGGCATAAGTAGTTAGTGTAACTTGAAAGTGGCTGCCGCCATAGGCTACTTCGCGTGGAGTTTAAACTTATAAATTATATAGATAGATACAGACATTTATAAATAATTGATAGCGCATACAGAGTATAGCATAATGAGACAAAATTGTCATCAGATATTAATTTCAAAAGACTTTGGCTGTTCATTTCATAAATAATCGGGCATGAGTGATAGCTAAGTAAACACAAAAATCACTCAATCACATAATAGAACAGAAAAATTGGCAGAAAGTTGATTGGGAATAGAGAGAAAATTGCTCACTTATATTTTGAAATATTATGCCTTTCTATATATTGTCCAAATAGTAAGGCAGCGACTAGCTCTCCTTTTTTAAATAGAAGAAAATATGATTTAACCTTCTTTTAATTTATTTTTGTAGGTAAAATAATATTTTCTACGTAAATACCTTTAATACTCAATTTATTGTTGAAAATCGAAAATTTATCAACACTTTTTCTACTTTAAATGATTAGCATACGTATAATATTTTTTGAATAAGTTAGTAAATCGACCAGCTTTTAATAAAAAAACCTCCCTTTAAACTGAAAAAAATTAATTTTTTAATTAAAAATAGGAGTAAAGCAATTGAGATGGCAAAAAATGTAATATCTCACATATACTTTTTCTTTTGATTTGCCTATTCAGTACGAAGGACATATTTGTTTTAAAGTAAGCCATTATGATTTAACTGAAAGGGCTATTATGGCTGCTTAATATATTTATTTCAAATAATTATTACTACAAAGAACTTTTAAATTCTCCTCCGTTAATATATCAATAATTTATGCATTCTTGCATTATTATAGGTATTTCCTATAAGCTGCCCTATAAGATTTTGCAAGTGAACCCTTCTCTCGTTTAGCCATTAGAGAATTTCCCTCTCCAATATTTTGGGCAACTTATAGGAATTACCTATATGTTTTAGTCAATCCCAATAATATATTTTAAGATCACTGAAGTAAAATCTCATACATATTAAGGCTTTATAATCATAATATAAAGCTTATTGAAAAACTTCAGAAATATATTGCAAAATTAAGGCTTTTAGAAGCCACTTAATATTACTAAACACAAATTATTAGAAGATATGGATTATTAAAGTTTATCCAAGAATCTATCGAGAGGTGGAATTGGTCCTTCCATTCCTTTTCTTACTCTAATTGCATTAACAATTTCACTGGACTTGGTGCTAGGGTCAAGAGGATCTCCACTTACAAGTGCCCAGTGGTCGAACACACATTGAGGGAAGGCTTGTCCTGAAGTCTGAGATCTCAAGTGAGCAGTGAACCCGAAACTTTCAGCGACTGGCAAGTAGCATTTAACCATAGTAAGAGGAGTACCAGAAACTGGCTCTTCAGTGTTAACAATACCTCTTCTAGAGTTCAAGCATTGATAGACACCTCCAATAACTTCAGTTGGGCATTGAATTTCGACTAAGAACATTGGCTCTTGTAGCACTGGTTGGGCAGTCAAATAGGCAGCATAGTAAACTCTTCTGGCAGTTGGGACAATTTGTCCACCACCTCTGTGGATGGCATCAGTGTGGAGATAGGCGTCCAAAATGTTCATTCTGATGCCTCTCATGTTTTCTCCTGACATACATCCTTCCTTGGTAGCCCATTGGAAACCAGCTTCCATGGAGTCTTTGATTTCGTTCATGTATTGGATACCTTTGGTGGCGTCGACCAAGATATTGGCTCCAGTGGTTTCTGGACCGAAACACCAGATCTTTTTGGCGTCGTTGGAGTCCCAGCCATATTTGTCTTGGAGGAGCTTAGCTCTCATCTTTGGCTCAGTGTTAGGGGCAATGTCACCTTTTTCGACATCTTCAGCGAGGCCGCTGGCGAATGGCTCAGCAGTGACGTAGAGCCTGTTGTGTTTGTTAGGGGACTTGGGGGAGAGAATTAAAAACTCTCCTGGGTTAAATTATAAGAGGGCTTTTTTATTTAAAATTGAATTTTTTAAAAAAATTTTTGGCAAAAAAATATTGTAATTTACTTTTTTTATGACAGCCCGACTTGGACATACAGACTTGGTTAGAAGTGGCTTGGACAGTTTCTTTGTAAGTGACGACTGGGTCAGTCTTGATGATTTCAATGCCAGCGAAGTCAGTCAAATCATTTAAGCAGATTTCGACGTGGAGTTCTCCGCAGCCTGCAATAATGTGTTCTCCAGTTTCTTCTGAGCTACATTGGACAAGAGGGTCACTCTTGGACAGCTTCTTGAGGCCGTCTACAAGTTTTGGTAAATCAGCAGCGTTCTTTGGTTTGACGGCTACTCTGACGACAGGGCTGACTGAGTATTTCATGTTTCTTAAGGTGTGGGCTTCTTCGTGGGTTGAGATGGTACCGGTTTTAAGGAGGAACTGATCGACTCCGACAAGTCCGACGGTGTTTCCACAAGGAACGTCTGGGATGTGTTCAGTGGTTCTTCCCATCATAAGGACAGTTCTTTGGATAGATTTGAGGTAAAGATCGTCTTTCTTGCCTGGGTGGAAGTTAGGCCCCATAATTCTGACTTTTTGGCCAGTTGAGACTGTTCCTGAGAAAACTCTTCCGAAGGCGACAAATCTGCCTTTATCAGTTGACGGAACCATTTTAGAGATGTAAATCATAAGTGGTCCATTAGGGTCACAGTTTCTAATAGCAGTGGCGCACTCGTCATCAAGAGGGCCTTCGTATAAGTAGTCGACTCTGTATCTCTGCGCGACTTTTGGTGATGGGAGGTGGAGGACAATCATTTCTAACAAACAGTCAGCGGCATTGATCCATTTCATCATGACCTTCTTTAGTTCTCTTCCGATTTAAATTGGATCAAAAAACTCCATTTAAATTGGAACATTTTTTTGTTAACAAATGAAAATTTTAAGTGAAAATAATAAATTTAGTTTTGACTCAATTTAATTTGAAAAATTGCTTATTTAAGCAGTTTTACACTGAATCTATAGCTTTTTGAATTAATTCTATTTATAAATTAAAATTAATATATAGTGCTCATATAATTTTTTAAATATCACCCCCCTTTAAATTGGAACAGAATTTGTTAGTTCAATTTAAAGGGAGTAAGAGCTTCTTTTCTCTCAAATCTCTGTCTTCAGTCTTAAGCTCAACTCCAAGGTGGACAAGCATCTTGTCGACAGCTTCCATATTGCCTTCCATGATGTTTCTGGCCAATCTTTGTATTGGTTCAATGACAAAAGCATTGAAAGCTCTCTTAAGTGGCTTTCCGGTGTCTGAAAGGTTAGTCTTTTTCCATTTCTTGGACTCGGCATCGAAGTAGTTTTCACCCCATAATCTTTTCATCATTTTGTTAGGGTCAATACCGAACTTGCTAGCATACATGTGGGCGAACCTCTTTAAGGTGAAAGCCCAGCCCATCAGTCCTGAGCCGAAAGCGACGTTGCCTTTGGTTGGGTCGACTTGGAGGTCTCCCATAGTTCCGTCGTCGTAGGTGGCAATGATGGAGTTAACTTTTTCAATAGTTCTTGAGAAGCCTTGGAACATGGACTCTGGGTCAAGCTGGAGTTCCAGGAGGTTTCTGTCGACCTTGTTGATCATAAGAGCTGGCTTGATCTTTTCTTGTAAGGCCTGTCTGAGGACTGTCTCTGTCTGAACGCAGACACCTTCAACGCAGTCAACAACCACGAGGGCTCCGTCAGTTACTCTGAGGGCAGCAGTGACTTCTGAGGAGAAATCGACGTGGCCAGGGGAGTCGATTAAGTTGATAAGGAAATTGTTTTCTCTGCCTGAGCCGTCAGCGTCGTATGGGTAGTAAAGAGAGACTCCAGTGGATTTGATGGTAATACCTCTCTCCATTTCGTCTTGACGAGTGTCTGTGTATCTGGCGTCTCCAACCTTGGATTCTGCGATGATTCCTGCCTTGCCAATCAGGGAGTCAGTGAGTGTTGACTTGCCGTGGTCGACGTGAGCAATGACGGACATGTTCCTGATGTTCTCTTGCCTGTCCATGATTTCTCTGATCTGCTCCACTGTGAAGTTAACCATTCACTATTTTATTATATTGAGAGATAATGGCCGCAGATAAGACAATATTCAAGCCAATATGGAGGTGCTCAGATGTGTAAAGAGAGATCAGATGCTGTCAGGGATCATAAGTAGAAGGTGTCAAACCATGGGGAACGAAAACTAAAAAAATTCTGGGAAACTGAGGAGGCTAAGGATTTTCAAGAGGGATTTCTGGCCATGAGGCCGCAGAATTGAAAGATAAATTAAGATTAATAAGCAAGATCATGCTTAAAGCAAGCAGAGAGTGAAGAAATAATGCTGATGCGATTTTGAAGGATAACTGTTCTTAAGTGCAAGCCTTGGATGTATTTTTGAGAGCAAAAATAGGGTTGATATTTTATGGAGTGATAGAAAAAGAAGAGAGTATGGTAAGATTTGAAAATCTTTTTAAATTTAAAAACTAAATTGTTTTTAAAATACATGAAATTCATTATTAAACTGATTCCGGTCTAATCTCGTCAATTTTTTAAATTTAGTTGATTTGTGGAGTAGCCCCAAAATGTGAGATTACGATAAGATAAATAAAACGTAGATATTCATATAACCTGGCAAAAATGGGAGTAGATCTTTAGGGAAAAAAAATTTAAATTCGAATTAAAATATTAGGCTTGTCCTTTTAACCATGACAAAATTAATTTTGTTTATTCATTTTGCAATAATTATAAGAAAAGTAATTTTTGAAAGTTTTATATATAAATACTAATACGTTGAAATTATTTGATTTTGCTTATTATTTAAGCAGCAATTATATAGTTTCAAAAAGTTCTGATTTTTTCCTAAAATTATTAATAAATAAAATCTGCTTTTTAATTCCTCATAAATTTTAACTTCTTAAGCCGCAATTTATAAATTCAATTATCCTATCTATTTAACAAATCTCAATAAATTCAAAAATCACACCCTTTTTATTTAACTTTATTCGAACTGGCTGCGTTTTAAACTGATAAAGCTAACAAAAATATAAATATTAAGAGAGAATTACTTAAAATAAAATTCTTTAAAAAATGCTTCTATTAATAATATTTTGAATTGATTTGCTGTACTGACTTAAAAATTTGAACCAAGTCGACTGTTATTTTGCATAATTTTCCTCTCTTCAGAGATGCTAGGAAGCTGATGTGGACTAGCTTCACCGCAAGCACTTGCTTTTTTCTCTAAATCCATTTGAAAATCAATCGGCTCGAGCTGAACATATCCGTTTTCTATGGAAAAAGGTAGTTGAGCATGAGCAGATAATTGAGAAAGCTGTCTGTATTTTTTGTTGCACCCTGGTACCCTGCACGCATAAGGCTTCTCACCTGTGTGAATAAATCTATGCTCGATAAGATTTTGCTTACTAACAAGCTGCTTGTTGCATATATTACAGACAAAAGCTCGTAAAAATAGATGCCTTGTATTTATATGGCGTTTTAGGTTGTATTTGCTTCTGAATTCGCGAGCACACCAAGAATAATAGCAGGTAAATTTGATATTTTCTTCCATTTTAAAGTTACTGAGAAGTAACATTTTCATTTTTTTCTGTTTAATTAGATTAATGCATAAAAAAGGCGAAAATCGGAAAACTGACAGCACTGGTTTTTGAGTATTAAAAAGTGGGATGCAAAAATAATAGAGTTTTTATAGATCTTTCTTTACCTAGAGTTTGGGAGATAAAGTAAACGTCGTAAAGAAAATATTTATAATATTAAAAAGAAAAAGAGAGCTGATTCTGATGATAAATTTCTGAAAAAGAAATTGAAAGGAATGAAAATTAGGAGTACTTAGAGGGTTAGGAAGATGAATTTTACAATAATAAAATTCTGATTAGATTTGCTGGGTTTTTTTACATGTTTAATAGATTTCATATCTTTTTTATATTAATATGAAAATATTAAGAAACAGTTTTTACTGTATTTCTGTTTTTAATTTATGTTGTGTTTAAGTAGAATATTTTTATGTGGATTTCCTAAAGCTTTAGCTGCATATTTCCGCCATGAGCTTAACAATAGAATCTCGAAAAATTCCTCCTTTATTTTAATTGGTTTTTTAAGGTCAAACTCAACTCGTTTTGCTAGAATGATGCTTTAAAATTGATAAAAAATTCTTTACAAAAATAAATTACCCCCTTCGTAAGCTAAAGATATTTTTTAGTTCGCTCACGGAGCGGGGAGTAAAGCACCAGCTTAAGATTAAGCCACTATTAACTTATTGGCTCTTATTTATTATTCTTTGCTCGATTATGTTTGCCCTTATCTTATTCTAACTACTTAAAATTAATAAACTATAAAGAGTAAATTAGCTTATATAAATTTTATAGTAAATTTTGTTCTTTATTAAATGGGCCTAAGGAAAAATTTTTAGGAAAAAAAATGACGATTTTATTTGTTATTAAATGGGGGGTAAGAGTTAGATTCGAATTAAAATATTAGGCTTGTACTTTTAGCCATAACAAAATTAATTTGTTTATTCATTTTGTAATAATTATAAGAAAAGTAATTTTTGAAAGTTTTATATATAAATACTAATACGTTGAAATTATTTGATTTTGCTTATTATTTAAGCAACAATTATATAGTTTCAAAAAGTTCTGATTTTTTCCTAAAATTATTAATAAATAAAATCTGCTTTTTAATTCCTCATAAATTTTAACTTCTTAAGCCGCAATTTATAAATTCAATTATCCTATCTATGTAGCAAATCTCAATAAATTCAAAAATCACACCCTTTTTATTTAACTTTATTCGCACTGGCTGCGTTTTAAACTGATAAAGCTAACAAAAATATAAATATTAAGAGAGAATTACTGAAAATGAAATTCTTTAAAAAATACTTCTATTAATGATATACTAATTCTACTAAATAGCCTATAATTGAATCCTTATATGCCAAAAAAGCTATTTTGCTAAAAATAAATATATTTTAAATTGATTTGCTGTACTGACTTAAAAAATTTGAACCAAGTCGACTGTTATTTTGCATAATTTTCCTCTCTTCAGAGATGCTAGGAAGCTGATGTGGACTAGCTTCACCGCAAGCACTTGCTTTTTTCTCTAAATCCATTTGAAAATCAATCGGCTCGAGCTGAACATATCCGTTTTCTATGGAAAAAGGTAGTTGAACATGAACTTTCCTATGAGCAGATAATTGAGAAAGCTGTCTGTATTTTTTGTTGCACCCTGGTACCCTGCACGCATAAGGCTTCTCGCCTGTGTGAATAAATCTATGCTCGATAAGATTTTGCTTACTAACAAGCTGCTTGTTGCATATATTACAGACAAAAGCTCGTAAAAATAGATGCCTTGTATTTATATGGCGTTTTAGGTTGTATTTGCTTCTGAATTCGCGAGCACACCAAGAATAATAGCAGGTAAATTTGATATTTTCTTCCATTTTAAAATTATTGAGAAGTAACATTTTTCATTTTTTTCTGTTTAATTAGATTAATGCATAAAAAAGGCGAAAATCGGAAAACTGACAGCACTGGTTTTTGAGTATTAAAAAAGCGATGCAAAAATAATAGAGTTTTTATAGATCTTTCTTTACCTAGTGTTTGGGATCCAAAGTAGACGTCGTAAAGAAAATATTTATAATATTAAAACGAAAAAGAAAGCTGATTCTATTGATAAATTTCTGAAAAAGAAATTGAAAGGAATGAAAATTAGGAGTACTTACTACTCTCCCCCCTCTGTGAGTGAACAAAACCATTAGAAAAATCCCTATTTTTTGCCCAAACACCCACCCTCCGTGAGTGAACAAAATTTTTTTATGGAAAAAAAAATTGATATATAATTGATAATTAGTATAATGAAATCTCGAGCTAATTCTGTTTAATTTTAAACAAATTGCGTTTTAAAAAATATAAATTTTACAAATTAAATTAATTTTGCTTTCCAATTTTCGCAAATTAGGATTTTTTTAAAAATTCGAAAAAAAAAAATTTTTTATAATTAACTCCGTGAGTGAACAAAATTTGTTTGTTCACTCACGGAGGGGGGGGAGCTAGAGGGTTAGGAATTTGAATTTTACAATAATAAAATTCTGATTAGATTTGCTGGTTTTTTTCTAAATGTTTAAAACATTTCATATCTTTTTTATATTAATATGAAAATATTAAGAAACAGTTTTTACTGTATTTCTGTTTTTAATTTATTTTGTGTTTAAGTAGAATATTTTTATTTGGATTTCCTAAAGTTTTGCTGCATATTTCCGCCATGAGCTGAACAATAAATCTCGAAAAATTCCTCTTTATTTTAGTTGGTATTTTAAGGTCAAGCTTTTCTCGTTTTGCTAGAATGATGTCAAGAACTGCTATATCCTATTAGTTGAAGCTTGTTTTAGATGGTTATACAAAATGCTCCATAAAAAATATTACATCGGTACAAAAAATATAATAGTCATTTATGTAACTGCTTGCATGATTTAAACGATGTTTTTTCTCAAAAATTACTTTTTCATGCTAATAACTGAGCTAAGCTCAGCAGAATCCCTAGCTCAATTAAAATCAATTTTTTTTTATTATGTTTTTTGAACAAATAATTTATAAGCATTCAGCATTTAGCGTCATCAATAACTTATATAAGATTTAATTAAAAAATTTCAGAGATAGAGAATACCAAAACCTGCTATACACTCACAGAAGATTTAATAAAGATGGATCGTCTATCAAGTAAGTCTGCATTGCTAAAAGGAGCACAGGTGAAGATGCGCTGTCTAACAGCAGGCAAAACTACAAACTGAAGGTGAAACATCCGAACATTATTGTTCAAAGACCCAGAATTGCGAACAGGCTCAGAAATTGAGGCACTTGAGTGTTTTTTATCTGTAAAGCATAAGCAAGGACAATCGGTTCCTCTCCCAATACATCGAAAGTGGCAAGCTAAAATCTCTATGCAAGGTCATAAAGTGCCATTCTTACAGCCATGGCTGCGAAGTCTATAAAGAAGGAAGCATCGGAGACTGTTTTTACATCATTTTTGATGGAAAAGCCAAGCTCATCTCTTCAAAAACCTCCCTCGTTAACGAGCTTCTCCCTGGAGACTCCTTTGGAGAGTTTGCTTTACTATACGGTCAGCCTCGCACAAATACAGCGATTACTACAGAAGATTCTGAGCTGATTGAGCTAGACAGAGACTCATTTGAAAAAATCGTAAAAGTAAGGCATAATCAGAGCGTCCTTTTTGACCCTATTGATATTCTCCCATTCTTAAAAAATACTGTTTTATTTAGATATACAAGGCCAGAAAACTTGGAATTAATAGCACAAATAATGACTCTAAGAGAGTATTCGGCGAATACTGTTCTACTAACCCAAGACGAGCTTCCTCCAGGGATTTTTATAATTTATTCAGGCTCAATAAAGATTTTCAGATCAATGTCTTTTAGGGAGTCTGCTACAAACTGCACAGAGTCAATGATAAAAAACCCGATAGAAGGAGATAGGACTGAACAAAAAGAAATTACCATTGCAGAGTTAGGGCAAGGAGAAAGTATAGGGGATTATGATAGTTTTAACGAAAGCAGGGCAAAATTTTTTGCAGTCACCAGCATGCCAAGCTTGGTATTTGTAATAAGTAAAGCGGATATAACACGTGACATTTTGTATGATATGAATGTAAAAGCACTAGAAACCCCTGATGACCAACAGCTCAGAGAGACCTATTTCCAAAAGCAAAAATGGAATATTTATAAGAGCAAGCTTATAAAAACAGTCAAAACTGAGATGACGCTCTCCAAAAGGTAAATTTTAGGTTAGTAAATGGAAAACCTCGCTAAGGTCAGTCACCCCTCAGCCAGTCGAGAGACTTAATTTAGACCAGATCCACCTGCCCCCTATCCGGCTTTCAAGCAAATCCCAAAGCAAAACTCCAGTGAAGCAGAAAATAAAATACCCACTTACAGATAGATAAATTTTGTTAATAAAATGGTCAAACGAGTGATTCTAAGGAAAAGATGCCCTTACCACACCAAATCTCACAAGATCAGACAGGTAAAAACACCAGGAGGCCGTCTCCTTGTTCACTACGTGAAGAAAATCGCTAAAGGACCTCACTGCAAAGAGACTGGGGAAAGATTAGCAGGTATTCCAGCATTAAGACCTAAAGAATACTCAAGAATCAACAAAAAGGACAGGACTGTCTCAAGAGCTTACGGTGGAGTTTTATCACATAAAACAGTAAAAGAAAGAATTATTAGAGCTTTCCTCACTGAAGAAGTTAAGGTCATCAAGAAGAAAATGCAACAGCAGAAGAAGACCAAGTAAGGATTTATTAACTAAGTCTTTCTAAATTCATCAAAATTTTTCCTCCATAGCAGGAAGCCTATGCTTGTGGATTATGCTTTAAAAGTAAATTTTTGTTTTTCATTGGGAAATTTTGCCTCTAAATTGATTTTTTTATTGTATTAGCTTATTATTTATAGGATTTATCATGTAATAAGGCATTTCAAGCTAAATTGCAAGCTCTCATTTTCAGCTGATTAATTCACAAAATTAGTTTTCAGCTTTAGAGAAATAACTAGCTTTCCAAACAAAAAAAAATTTGTTCGCTCAAGGAGGGGATTTTTTCGAAAGTTAAAAAAAAAAAATTTGGCAATAATCTAGGTAAAACTTAATTTAATTTGCAAAATTTATGTTTTAAAATGGATGCTCAACATAATTAGCTATTTTTTTTTCATAAAATATTTTTGTTCACTTATAGGGTCGGTTTTTACCTTAAAAATAAGTAGTATTTTCCAATGGGTTTGTTCGCTCACGGGGGGAGTAAGAAAATACTCTTTCATAATTAAACTGCTAATATTCAAATGGCAGCTGATATCCGCATTAAAGGCGAAGGCAAGCCAATTCCTCACATCCTACAAAAGCCTAGAAAAAACCAGTTTGACGAAGTCCTTCTTGAATCCGAACGACTCCTTACAGGCTCAAATGCGAACGCTGAAATTAATCTACCTAACCCCGATCTCACTGTAAATCTCAAATCTTTGTCAAGCCTGTATTTAGATGCCAATAAAAAATTCATTGAGCTTAAAAAGAAACTTGAGCAGTTCTACTTGGACGCCAGACGTGAGCATCCAATTCTTCATCCGAACCGCTCGCATCAATGAACAAAATTACTGTACCAGTCCCTCCATAAACTGCTGAATGAGTGTGTTTTCACAAGTGCTAGGAAGCTACAATTAGAATGCCTTGACCGTGTATATGATTGATACTATGAAAAAATTGGAAAAGAAAATAGCTTACAGGTAGAAGAAGAACAGCCGAACGGCGGCGTGATTAGAGAGCCTATAAGTGTTTTTGAGATTGAAGACGAAGTAGAGCAGCTAGGAGACGCCCAGAATTTTGATAAATTATCACATTATAGTCGAAGGCAAATAAATTCAGCTAACAGCCAAAGGCCGATAACTGCTATATCTACTTCTTCAAAATGGCTTGAACAAAGGCCTCAAAGCACTTTTAGAGGTGCAGTCCAAGCTTTTGTAGGGGCTGGAGAGCCTATAAAGCCTACAGATGATCCTGGCTTTGAAAGCACCTATGTCACCTACAAGCCGCTTGGAGAAGACGCAGAAAAGTTAATGGAAAAAAGATTCCAGAACTTCAGAAACAAAGAAGTCGCTGAAAAAAGGCTCAGAGACGAGATGAACCAAAAAGTCAAAAGATGGGTCAGCGCACGAGCAAAACGAGCTGAAGAGCAAAGCAGGAGGACCGAAAGCTTCAGATTCGCATCAAAATTCGAACAAAGAGCTTACTCTCCTGCTCGGCCAGCGACTTCTTCATCTTTTAATGTAGGAAAAGCAAGCTTGATTGATTTTACGAAGCAAATTGACCCACAAATAGACTTAGAAAGTGAGGACAGCAAACTTCCCCCACTGGTTGACGAGACTTTGCCGATGCATAAACTTGATAAAGTAAATACTTTAAGAAAGCTCCATGGAGACCTTATAGATGCTAGGAATGTTGATGAAGGTAAATTAATCCAAGACCCAAGCGCAGTTACACTTACCGTGTATCCTCAGTCTACTTCTAAAGGCTGATACAAGCAAAGTGACACAAGTCGGCCAGTTACAGCTGGGACCACATTTCCAGCCCCCAGAAGTAGCAGCTTAAGAGCTCTTGACAGGCCTATAACAGCCCAGACAAGAGGCCAAATTGAAGAGCTATACGAAGTCAAGCGAAGATTGGCAAGCCACAATATCCCTTGTTCTTTTGACGCAATGAAATATGCTTTGTTGACACCTGACGACCTGCCGTCAGAGCAGCTGACTGTTTCAAGCTTGCCCAAGCCTGGAGCTGGGTTATTGCTGAACCCGTTCATCAAAATAGGGAAGAAGAAAAAGAAGAAAAAAGGCAAGAAAAAGGGCAAAAAGTCGAAAAAGGCGTAATAATGTTTATGTTTATTATTGAAGAGATAAAAGCTTTAAAATTTTTCTTCTGGCTGACGGGGGGATGTAAAGCCTTTCTAAATCAGCTGCGGTTAATTGGTAAAACTCAGAAAGAGAGATGCCTTCGTCGTAGAATGCAGGCAAATATTGGCTAAGGCTAAGAGAATTCAAGACTTCTTCGAGAGATGCAGATGAACTGTAGATTGCAAGGTAATTTAAGCCGTCTTCTGGGCTGCTAAGGCTAGCTGGGGTCTTTGATGGCGGCTCTAAATCAATAATGACTTGTCGTTGGCTGTTTGTTTTGTTCTGGAGAATTGAGGTAAAGCGATTTTGGACATTTTGAAGCGTTTTCTTAATTGTGTAGCCATTTTGTAGTTTTAGGATTATTAGTGCCAAAGCTCGTGATAAGGCTTCTTCAGTGCTTTCAAAGTCTGAAGAGCCACTGATAACTTTAGTTTCTTCGCTAAGTTTGAGTTTTCCATATCTTACGATATTTGAGCAGCCTTGGTTTCAGATTTCCCAAAACTTGTTTTTACTTCTATGAACCATGTAAATCTTTTCTCTTGCATTGATTTTGGCGCTTTCCATAATTAATTATATCAGTCAGTGCAATATCCGAACTTGTATAATTTATTCATAAAAAGCTCTTTTCAAGGTGCTTAAAATCTAAATCCCCATTTCATGATGATTTCATTTTTTTAAGCATATAAAGTAAATTAAATGTTTTACATTAATGCTCTCTTCCTTGAGGAATGTATGAAAAGTAATAACTTAAATTTTAAAATTTTTGTTATTTACTCCCCCATAAAATTTGCATTTTTGGGTAATTACTCCGCTTCATATTTGTTTTTCAATAGGAAAATATTAACGATAAAAATACTAATTTTGATAAAACTAGTTAGATTTGTAACAAACATAAATATGGGCAAAAGTGAAGACAAAGAACAAAGCGAATCATCTATCTCAGTTAACCCAGATAACTCAGGTCCACCTCCGAATAATAATCCAGGGTATACTTATCCTGTAGGAGCGCCTATTGCGGAGTACCCTTATGTTGCCAATGGAAATCAAAACTACCCTCCTCAAGCTGACCCATCTTGCTATCCTAATCAACAGCTAGCTCCAATGTACATAGGCAGCGCAGTCGTAGTAGACCAGCCTCCTATGCAGGCACAAAATATTCCTATTCAATTTGGACGTAAGCCCGTCACAATGGTATGCCCACAGTGTCATGAGATGATGAATACAGTGATAAAGAGAAGGCCAGGACTGTTCGTTTTTCTACTAGTGGTGCTTTTGGTCGTAGTCTTTTGGCCTGCGTTTTTTGTTCCTTTCTTCTTTATCTGCTGGTATGATGTTTACCATAACTGTGGCAAGTGCAAAATGTCTCTTGGGTCGAAAAAGATACTTGGAGGATAGCAAGAAAATAATTAAAATCTCATTTAATCTGTGTAATCATCTAATTTTACTGATAAATTAGCTTAAATTCAGGCTAATCATATTTATAGAAAGAATGCTATAGGGTTTATCTTATTAACTAAGCCAAATAAGCTCTCAAATTTCTTTATGGCTTAGACTAATGGAAAAAAATCTGTAGTAGAGAAAGATTTTGTCTTTAGTTGTAATTTTGCAAGTAAATAGTTCAATCAGCTTGATTTAGTATAAGCAAAATATACTAATAAATGAATTGGGTGGTCGATTTATTTTTCTCAGGCGAATTACTAACTCCCCCTCGGTACAAACTATATTATAATAATACATAATCAATGTTTATAATAAGTAAATTATTTTAAATTTTAGAGAGCTTTATTCTAAGACTTAATTTTTTAGATTTTTCATTGCAAATATTTACAAATTTAGAAAAAATTAACCACCTTGGTTAGCCAGGGGAATTAAGGTCTCAACTTCGCACATTTAAAGATTCTGAAGATTTAACAGCTGAAGAATGTGATATAATTGAAAAGGCTTATAACAAAGGTTGGTGGATGCAGAATCTTTCTCAGCTCCCGATTATGTATTTAGCTGTCACAGCGCTTAGCAGTAAAAACATTTATAAATTATCTTTGCGGAAAAAAGCAGGTGCTTATTTGCTTGTTGGAAGTGGACTTGGTGCTTGCTATTTGATTTTAGGAACATTTATATGAAATTATTGTTCTCAGGAAGCAGAACCTGTTTTGAAAAACTTTTTTAAGAATTATAATCCATAGAAATTAAGGAATCTAATTATCTAGGAAAGAGAAATAATATTAATTAGTAACTCGCAGGCTAGTTTTTAATGAGAAATCCTTAAAGTTACAAAAACTTTTTATATTGATTTTCATGTGTCAATTAATTAAGAATGTGTACTTCGAGCTTGGGATAATAAAATGGCTATGCATGGAAAAGGTTTGCGGAATAAACCTTTCTTCTTACCGAATTTTATTATTATCGGATTCGGTTTATCTGGTGCACCTTTATACATGATGCCAAATGTGGCTTATTACCTAGGATAAGTCACTTGGCAAGGTATTTTAGGACATAGGGGAGTTTTGCCGCTTGACACATCTGAGGAAGGAGACCTTTAGGCGGATCACGCGCAGTCAAGCATAGAGTGAGGTAAGCATGGCCTGTAGACACTTTCTGGCCTTTTGATGGATCTTCTGTATAGCTTGCTAGACAATGGCTGCTGACTTCAGCAATTGGGAGTTAAAAGTGAGATTTTGATAGTACTTCCTACTCGAGAATCTGACTCCCCTCCCCCTTTTAAATTGAAACAAAAAATTTTGTTTCAATTTAAAGGGGGGTTAAGAAAATTTTTTTATAAAAAAATTTATATATAAAAAATTTTTTCAGAGATAAAATTTTATAGAAAATAAATTATATAAATTTAAAGAGACAATAAATTGAACAATTGGACAAAATAGAGTTTAAATTTCTAAATCTTATATATGTTTGAAGGATATTAAATAGGGTATTAACGTATTTACATATAAAATAATGATTTTTACCTAAAAATTTTCTATTATAATAAAATTTTGTTTCAATTTAAAGGGGTAATTTCCCAAAAAAGTAGGAATTTTACCTATATTTTTGTTTCAATTTAAAGGGGGGGGTGAGTAATGTAATGAACTTAGAACTTGAAGAAAAAGAAATCAGGCCAGGACACGCTAAAATATTAATACCTTTGGAACTTAGAATTCAATAATAGCATCACTTCTTTCAGGTTTGTTCTCCAAGTTAGTTTTAGTATTTTTGTTATATTTTATAGCACACCCTTTCTCTATTTTCTTACAGTGTAATAATCATTATTACAGCAAGTATATTTTGAATAAAAAACCCTCTTAATTGATCAAACCAATAAAATAATAATGCCTCCTCATCTTACTTTGCAGCTCGTCAAATATTTTATGATACCTTCATAATTGAATATAAATTCCCCTTTCGAAAAAATTTATAAAATGTTTCTATAAAAATAATAGACAAATTTTATCAATTTAAAGCACCAAATAAGCTCTATTTCCATCCATTTTTATTCTACCAAAGAAAATAATTAATTCAAATAAATTGGTATAAATGTTGTTTGCTATCTTTAAAAAAAATATGTTTAATTTACCAATATTTTTTCCATTTTAAAGGGGGAGTAAGTACATTGCGATTATTCATCCATTTTAGCAAATCCAATTCAGAAATTTATAAGCATAATCAATTAAATAAAAATCTATTGAAATGGGAGATCTAAAAGAAGATACCGACGACATCCTTAACTTTGCAGAATTAATTGATAAATATAACTCGTCCAAGGCTCATAATAGACTGAAAAACACGATCGCTGCTCTTACTGCAGCAATTGCAATACTTTTACTCGTCCTCGCATTCTTTTATGTCCAGCACGTCCAAATGCTTGACATTATCCAAAAGCAAGCGTCTATTCTTGAAGGGAAAGAAGAAATGATCAAGAAAATTCTGGAACATGGAGACAAGAACTCTTGGTCCAACTTCCTCATGAGGCAATTAACTGAATACTCAGAACGTGCCATTTTAGGATACGGGTATACTTTTGCTTCGAAGGTCTTGAGCTTTTTCTAATTTAACATGCATTTATCAACTTATTTCTATAAAATAATTAAAAATTTATAGCTATAAGAATAGATTTATAGTGCAGATATAATAAACTATTACAAAAATGTCATTTCTCGTCAGTCGCAAAGACCACCACCGTTCAGGCGTCAAAAAAGAAGTCAAGCGCTTTTTGGGCGAAAAAAAAGCAGGGACTGGAATTGACCCTAAAGGTACTTTTATTGAGTTTTTGAAAAAAGATGTGAAGCAAAATCTAGATGTCCACAGAGATACCGTAAAAAGTGTGGAAAATTTAGACTCAAGAAGTAACTTGCCAGCATTAGGCTGCACAAAAAAATATCGAAGTGTAGCTGCCGAGAGCAGAGAGCCAGTTCCATACAGGCTAGAGACGGACCATATTTCTTTCCGTGCAACTGACAGCAAAACAGGCTTCATTCAAGCAGGTAATAGCATAATGGGCAAGCCGAACCATACAGTCCCTAATCCAGTTGATAAAGGCTGGTCTCCAACAGTCCATAAGGTATCTATGAGAAACTGCCAGAGCACCCCTTATGATATCATAAATTTCGAAGAAAATCCCAATGCTGTTGTGAGGAAAGCTATCAATATTGACGCGAGGAGGGAAAAAGGAATCACTGAGTTTTCAGATTTAACGAGACCACTGCATTCGGGTGTCAATAAAGAGCATTCTGAGGCGATTGAAAAAGATCAAAGGGTGTTTTTTAGGAAAACAGGGATTTTTACACATATTTATGATGCGGCTGCTAGGCTTGGAAACATTACAATGCCATTTGATAAGCACCAGGATTTAGGAGGGAGACCAGCTTTTAAGTGCTAGATGTTTATATTTAGTTTAATAAAGAATTAATTATTTCGATTAAAAATTGGGCTAATTTAAAAAGGCAGTTTTGTAAAAATATTTATCTAAAATTTGTTAATCAATTAATCGACTTCTTCAACATTTGGTCCTTTAGGTTGTCCTCCAGTCTCTCCACCAGCTCCACCAGGGAATCCACCTGGGAATCCGCCACCTGGGAATCCTCCAGGCATACCGCCAGGCATCCCTCCAGGCATTCCTCCAGGCATTCCTCCAGCAGCTCCTGCAGCTTGATAAATCTTGGTCATGATTGGGTTGCAGACTGCTTCAATTTCCTTTTGTTTAGCCTCATACTGTTCAGTTTCTGCATTTGGATTTGACTCAAGCCATCTTTGGATTTCATCAATTTTAGTGTCCAAAGCTGTCTTGTCAGCAGCTTCAATCTTGTCTTTTAATTTTTCGTCATTAAGAGTGTTCTTTAAGTTGTATGTGTAGCTTTCAAGCCCGTTACGAGCTTCAACTTTTTTCTTAAGCAGTTCGTCTTCCTGCTTGAATCTTTCAGACTCAGCGACCATTCTTTCAATGTCGTCCTTGGTAAGTCTGCCTTTGTCGTTGGTGATTGTGATTTTGCTAGCTTTGCCAGTTCCTTTGTCTTGGGCAGTGACGTTTAAGATACTGTTGGCATCGATGTCAAAGGTAACTTCAATTTGTGGGACTCCACGAGGCGCTGGTGGGATTCCTTCTAAATTGAATTTGCCTAATAAGTGGTTGTCTCTTGTCATAGATCTTTCACCTTCGAAGACTTGGATGCAGACACCAGGCTGGTTGTCAGCATAGGTGGTGAAAATTTGGGTTTTCTTGGTTGGGATGGTTGAGTTTCTAGGGATCAAAACAGTCATAACACCGCCGGCAGTTTCAATTCCGAGGGAAAGAGGGGTGACATCAAGCAGCAATAAGTCTTGGACTTGGCTGGATGAGTCTCCAGAGAGAATAGCTCCTTGGACTGCAGCTCCGTAGGCGACTGCTTCGTCAGGATTGATGCTTCTGCATGGCTCTTTTCCGTTGAAGAATTCTTGAATCAGCTGTTGGACTTTTGGAATTCTGGTGGAGCCTCCTACAAGCACGACTTCGTGGATTTGATTCTTAGCCAAACCTGAGTCTTTAAGCACTCTTTCGACTGGCTCAATGCAACCTCTGAAGTAGTCCATGTTCAGCTCTTCAAATTTGGCTCTTGTAATGGTTGCAAAGTAATCAGTGCCTTCTGCCAAAGAGTCAATTTCTACTGAAGCTTGAGTGGCTGAGGACAAAGTTCTTTTTGCTCTTTCACAAGCAGTCCTAAGTCTTCTGAGGGCTCTGTTGTTACCATGGATATCAATTCCGTTCTTTTTCTTGAAATCAGCTGCACAGAAGTCGACCATTCTGTTATCAAAATCTTCTCCTCCCAAGTGAGTGTTTCCTGAGGTAGCTTTGACTTCAAAAATACCGTCTTCAATAGTAAGTAAAGACACATCAAAAGTGCCACCGCCTAAGTCGAAAATCAAGACGTTCATTTCACCTGCTCCTTTCTTGTCAAGACCATATGCAATTGCAGAGGCAGTTGGCTCGTTGATGATTCTTTTGACGTCAAGGCCTGAAATGGTGCCTGCGTCCTTGGTAGCTTGTCTTTGGGAGTCGTTGAAGTAAGCTGGGACTGTGACGACAGCGTTCTTGATGGTTCTGCCAAGATAAGCTTCAGCAGTCTCTTTCATCTTGAGTAAGACCATGGCAGAAATTTCTTCAGCGTAAAATCGCTTGGATTCACCTTTGAACTGGACAACGATTTGTGGCCTATCATCAGGGCCGCAGACGACTCTGAATGGCCAAAGTCTCATGTCTTGTTGGACAATGGTGTCGTGGAACTTTCTTCCGATAAGTCTTTTAGCGTCAAAAACTGTGTTTTCTGGGTTTCTTGCGACTTGATTCTTAGCGGCATCGCCGATAAGTCTTTCTGTTTCTGTGAAGGCGACATAGGAAGGAGTTGTTCTGTTGCCTTGATCATTGGCAATGATTTCAACTCTGTCGTTCTGCCAAACACCTACACAGCTGTAAGTTGTACCGAGATCAATACCGATGCAAGGACCGTCTCCTGACATTTAATTATAGATTGTGATGGGCTAGGGCTTTAAAAGGGATATCGAAGGTTCTAGAAGTCATTTTTCCAAAATGTCATCCATTAGATGAGTGAGAAGAAAAAGGGTTAAAGAAATAGCAGAAGAGCTGGGAATAAAGGAAAGACCAGAGAGATATTATGGGTGACTATGGAAATTATGATTTTTTACTTACTCTTTAAAGAAATAAGTTATCTCAAATATTTTTAAGTTACTTTGCTTATTAAGTTTTATATCTTAAAACCCTTTTATATTAATGTTTTTATATATTGTTTAGAATTTAAATTTCTAATTTGACTGTTAATGGCTTTTTATTGCTTTAAGTCTAAAATGATACATTTTTTATTCATTTCTCTTTTTAAAAAATATCATAAAAAATTTAAAAAATAGTCTTAAAAATTATATCTTACTCCTCCCCCCTTTTTAAATTGAACCCAATATACTTGAAATTTATTTTTCCTTTATGAATTTAATTTTAAAAATTGATTGATTTAGTGTGAAACTATTTAAATAATATTCTGCTTCCCTTTTTCCGATTTTATAAAATAGTATTTTTACCTTTAAACTTTTCATATAAAAAAAAAATATGTCAATTTAAAGAGAGGGTTAACATATCCCAAAAAATATGAATTTTATTTATGTTTTGTTCAGTTTAAAGGGGAAAGTTAATTAATGTTTCATAATCTTTTTAGGTGCTTTTTAAATAACACATTTGAAATTTAAATTCAAAATATTTTCAAGGCAAAACGAATTAAAATTAAAGAGTTTTTGTTTTTAAATAATTTTATTACAGCATTAGGGGATTTAGAAACCAAAGAAAAAGTTATGTCAATAAAAAGTGCATTTTTAATGTAAAGGATCAAGGAGCTTGAGAGCTGCAAAAAATCATATGGGAAGAGTTGCTTGAAAATAAACTCAGAAATAGATATGAAGATTAGCTAAAAGGATTTATTATTTAGAAAAAGAGGATTAATTTTAAGATCTTTTAGTATTTTAAGATTTCGCTGAGAATCACAAAGATTTGCATACAAATTGGAAATTTAAAACAAGAAAATCTCTTTCTGCATCAATCTATGATAATCTCACTAAGCAGAACTATATAGAATTCATACCTCTTTATGGATCGGGCATCTTGAGGAAGATTTCCACAATTAAGCTAATTTTGCCTGAACTCCCTATATCCTCTCCAATAAACACAGTCCCTAGCACAGCCAATGGACCTCAATCTCCATTTGTCTCTCAGCAACCTCAATCTCAGCCATTTCTGCAGTTTTTGATAGCATCTCTTTAATCCAAGTAAAAACCTGCGCCTGGAAATGCCAAAAAACCTTCTTCCTAAAGATCTAATGTGTCTGCTTTGGCAGAGGTGAGTGCTGCGGCGGCTGTGTCTATATGGAATGCAAAAATCTGCCTGAATGAGAAAATGAAATACGAGAACCCAAACTTTTGTATTGATACGTATCCCTGAAGTCTTTAGACAAACGAGCCACAAATCCCAGTTTCCAGCTGCAGCTGTCTGAGGTCTGGGTGTCTAAAAATCAAGCATGCTACGCAAATGGAAAATCCGCCAACCCTGCTGTAAGTGTAAGTGTGTCTAATGTGAAGCAGATATAAGGAAAATATAAAATTAATCTATTATTTAAGTGAAGCTCTTTTGTGGAGCTTTGGTCCTTGGAGGAGTATAAGGTCTGTTTGCGCCTACCCCAATTTGGCCTCCCATCTTCTTGTCTGCTGGTTTTAAGATCTGGAAGCTGCACATTAAGGTTTCGTCAACGCTCATTAAAGCTCCTGCATTATCAAATTCTCCACAATAATTCGGAGCTGAAAAAAGGGTCACCAATTGTCTTTTCGCAAAAAATTCATATCCATCTTCTACGACCTGATGCGCTCTACACACCAGGTCTAAGTCATGTTTTCTCAAAAAATTCGCCACAATTTCCGGGCCAAAAGTAAAACTGACGCCTCTGTCATTTTCTCCCCAGCCTTGTACATCTTTATCAGGATCACTCCACAACAAATCACATATAAGTCCAGTGTCTGGAACGTCGCTTGGCCTCATAATTCTTCTGATCTGTTCCATATTGCTGAGCTCTGGGCTGAGTCCTCCGTGCATGCAGAAGATTTTGTCGTCAATAATAGAAGCTATAGGCAGACAATTGAAGCAGTCTGTGAAGGTTTTCCACAGCTTGATGTTGTACCGGCGTTTGCACTCGTCATAAAAGCCGTAAATTCTGTTGATGGAGGCACATTCGTGGTTGCCTCTGAGGAGGAAAAAGTTTTCTGGGTATTTGACCTTGTAAGCTAAAAGTAAGCAGATGGTTTCTAAGCTCTGCTTGCCACGGTCAACGTAATCGCCAAGGAAGAGATAGTTGGCTTCAGGCGGAAACCCTCCGTATTCAAAGAGACGGAGAAGGTCGTAGTATTGTCCGTGGACGTCGCCACAGATCTTTAGAGGAGCTTCAAGTTCCAGTAGGATGGGCTGGGAAATGAGGATATCACGGGCGCGAACACAGAGATTCCTGACTTCTTGTTCGGTAAGGTTGACTTGACGACCTGGACGGCTTCCACGAACTTCGAGGAGCCTGTCGATGATGCTATCGATGTTTAAATCTGCAGTACCAGCTGTGACCATTTATGAATTATATAGGGTTGTTGAACGGAAGTTATGATGCTGAGCTGGCAATAAATACAAAATTTAAGGCGGAATTAGAATTCGCTAACTTTTTTAAGGTAAATTTTTTTTTAAAAAAAATGGATGAAGATTTGTAGGGAAATGGGGTAAGATTTTCGGAAATAAGGTTTTTTTATTTGAATGTTGTGGATTCGCATAAGGTTAATTCATATGGTTTTAAATATATGGAATTTCATAGTTTATGAGGAATTTTTTTTATCAGATTTGAAAAATCTCAATGAATATGGCAAAGAATTCAATAATGATAAAGTTTTATTATGTATAATTCAGCTGATAAGAAATTTAAGATGATTGCCAATTAAGGCATTTTGATCAGATTCAAATTATATCAGAAATTGTTATTAAGCTGCTAATTTCAAAATGGCTTAATAAGAAGCACATTTGTGCAGAGATACTTAAAATCTTCAGATTATTTTAATAAATTCAAGTTAACCTAATTAGCTAAGGCAAGAAAGATTTTAAAGAAATAGAAATTTTTATGTTTGAATAAAACAATAATAAATAATTTCCATATTCAAGTATTGTATTGATTTAATTGGGATTATAAATTGAAGATGTTTAGCCAAAAACCTTATTTAAATTTTGCTCAATCTAGATAACCTTCTAAGGCGAAGTGCAATATTAATGTATATATTAAGTGGATTTCGCAAAAATAGACTAAAGGATTGAAGATCTAGGAAGAAAGCAGCTTACCTAATATTTATAAATTTTTAAAAAAACTAATTTTAATAAATTTTAAAATAAAAAAACTCTTATGGGAAGCTAGAAGCGTTAGAGCTTATAGAGTAAAGTTGTAAATTCTAAAGAAGCATTTCGAGCTGAAAGTGAAGAAATAAAAGCCTGTTACAGTCAGCTATGCGAGAAGCGCAACCAACAGCCACTGATTATATTCAAATAGAGGATTTTCAGTTAGCCCTTGATTTATAAACAAGCAGAAGTTTTATGTGGCAAAGAAGCCTTGCTAGATATTGCAGACAATCTGGAAAAATCAAAATTGCTCAAAATTACTTACAAAAAGCCTTGGCTATTCCAAAAAATCTTGCAGTCACTCAACTAAATATGTGTGTAATCCTTTCTCAAATGCAAAGTATGAAAAGGCCTTAGGCCATACTATGGAAGCCGTGATTGTTTTTGCAGGGATAATTAAAATATGGGATCGCTCAAATTTTCTGGTCTCCAAACCGAAAATTCATCTAGTAATATTTTAATATGAGGTTCGTTAAAGTTAAACTATTGCCAGGGAAGCAAGAGCCGGCTGATTTTTCCTACTGGATTCCTGACCTTAGGGAATGGAATTTTCCAGAAGGGTGCCACTTACCCCAGGCGGTGGAGACTGGAATCTTTATGGTGCTGATCAAACCCAAGTGAGTGCCTGAGCTCAAAGAAGAGCCAACTTCAAGACTGGTCCTCATTGATGAGCAAAGTCCGAGGCGGTCACACCTTTGGCGGGTCTTGAGAAAAATAGCGCAGAATTCGCTCCAGAGTGGTTTTGGAGTAGCTGTGGCCGAGAAACCTAGCAATAGACGTTAAACGTGTTATAGATAATTAAGATAAGTTAAGATTATTTTGCTGGACGAACAAATCAGTTCAATGCAAAATCCGTTTAAAAATATGAGGAACAAGCCTAATCCTGCCTATTGCTTCACATAATACAGGAGTTGAGTTTGGAATTTCAAACAAAAAAAACACAAGACGCCATTACAATTTATAGAAAAGCCAAAAATCTCACAAAAGAAAATGTATTACAAGACCATCTCTCAAAATGAAGCTTTTAAGCATGAAGTCACATTAGTAATGCAAAAAACCTCAAAATATAGCCAAGCTAGCAGCAAACACCTTAACATAATAAGTAGAAAAGATATCAAAGTATGCCCAGCTTATCTTTCATAGCAAGGCCTTAAGCATATAAATAAAGCTTAAAAAATCCGTTGGCTCCCAAAAAAATAAAAAATCTAATTGAATATTCTAAAAACAAGCAAAAAACGCTGATACAAGCTTATCAATAACCCAATAACCCCAAAACATAGCAAATCCCAGCCAAAATAAGTTCCATGATATCCTCAAATCAAGATACAAAGAGCCTGATCCCTTTCAGAATGCTCCTTCGACTTCACCCTACCCTAATGTAAATTCTTAATATTTATTATATAATCAAATGGTGCGCATGAATGTACTTGCGGACTGTCTGAAGAGCATAATTAACGCCGAGAAGCGAGGAAAGAGACAAGTGCTGATCAGACCATCATCAAAAGTCGTCATAAGGTTCCTACGCTTGATGCAAAAGCACGGGTACATAGGAGAGTTCGAAGTGATAGATGACCACAGATCTGGCAAGATCGTTGTCGACTTGGTGGGCCGCCTCAACAAATGTGGCGTCATTTCTCCTCGTTTTGACATTGCTTTGACTGATATTGAACAGGTGGCTACAGATCTGCTCCCTTCAAGACAATTCGGCTATGTGGTTTTGACCACAACTTTTGGGATCTTGGATCACGAAGAAGCCCGTAAAAGACACACTGGAGGAAAGCTGCTGGGATACTTCTTTTAACTAATACACCAGTTAATTCCATTGAACTTAAGTGAATGAAGTTATTATATTAATCAAAATATGCATAATTATAATGGTTAAGCTTATTTTTATATAGGAAAATTTGGGGTCAAAATAGATATAAGAAGGTATAAATAATATGCTAGAGCTTGAAAAATTTTGTTTTTACTATAGGCAGGGCTCTCATGCTGTTTTTAGGCTCTTGGATGTTTAGGATGATGTTTTGTTTAGATAGGAATTTACTTTTTTCTACATGAAGTCTGGGAGTAGGGGTTTTGACGCATTTTTTAGGTGCTTGAGCTGCTAGATGCTCAGACTTAGTTGTTGATATGTGTATTTTGGTTTCTGTAGGGCTTGATATGATTTTCAGTAAATTACTCATTTTAGGAGTATTTTCAATATTTTTGAGAGGCTGAAATTCGTGGAGAGCTGGCAATCTTTGGTGGTAGGAATTTATATCAGTAAAAGAACTGATTCTTGGAACTTCAAGGACTTTTTGAGTCAGCGACATATGAGATCGCCGCTTAAGCTCAAATTTGGATTTTATAGGGCCCGAGCTGTTATCTGTAGACATAGAATCAGGGGTCATCAGCATTGAAGGGTACTCTTGGCTAATTTCTTCGTAGTTAAAGCCTTTCCTTACATCCAAAGCATGGCGAAAAATAGCTCTTTCACCTAATTTTTTATTCTCCCTTTTAGGATTAGTAGAGATCGGAGAAAGGATTTTATTATGCTTATTTCTCCTTACTGAATAAATAACTCGGCTAATCCTCTCTAGATCTATCTTGGGAGTCTCAATTAATTGGGCTTGCTTTTCCGCTTTTCCTTTTGGTTCACCCTGTAGAGCGTTGTCCCTTTCTATGCTTTGCAAGATATCATAGACGCCTGACCAAGGCGAAATTTCAAAGTCTTGGCTTTGAGTCATTTGTTTTCTTGTCTTATCAAAATGCGCTAATTGGCTGCTGATTTTTTCACTTTCCAAAGCTAATTCTGAAACCGAATCTAATATTGTAAAATTGTCCATTATAATTTCTGATAATAGAGATCTAGTAAATTTAAAAGATATTATCAGCCTCAATGATTTTCATATATATGAAAATTTAAAATAAATCAAAGGGATTTTTCTATAAATGACTATCAAAAGGATGCAATAGCTTACACTTAATATGATTCTAAAGCGCACCTTTAGGGCAAGTCAGACTCTCCCAGCAATGCCCATCATTCATATTAACTCTCAAAGTAATCACGACTCTCCTCGAAGTAGGAAAAGTATGGATCGCTTAGTTGGTTACATCGTGAAGGGGATAGGTATAGGCGGTGCTTTGTGGTACTCAAATTGGCTTAATAAAGACTTAAAAACAGATATCCAAAATTCAATTAAAGGCATGACTCAGTTTAAAGAAGAAATTCAAAAGTCATTTGATGGCATGAAAAAAGATCAGACTCAGTTTAAAGCAGAAATTCAAAAGTCATTTGATGGCATGAATAACGATCAGACTCAGTTTAAAGCAGAAATTCAAAAGTCATTTGATGGCATGAAAAACGATCAGACTCAGTTTAAAGCAGAAATTCAAAAGTCAATTGATGGCATTAAAAACGATCAGATTCAGCTTAAAGCAGAAATCCAAAAGTCATTTGATGGCATGAAAAGCGATCAGATTCAGCATAAATCAGATATCCAAAAGTCAATTGATGACATGAAAAGCGATCAGATTCAGTTTAAAGCAGAAGTAAAAGAGTTTAATAAAGAAATCAATGGCAATATGAAAGATATCAAAAGTGAGGTCCAGACTCTCAGTAAAAATATCCATGGAATCGAAACAAGGACTAATGATACATGGGACATTATCAAAGTTCTACTCCACAAAAAGGAGACTGAAAAGTATTAAGCTTTTAATAAAATTTGTCGTTAAATCTTGCTCCTTAATCATGATGCATTTTTATAAATGCTTATAGAGACTTTATGAATGAAAGTAAATGAGTATTTTTTAATTAGGGTCAAGTAAACATATTATGCCTGCAAAAATTTATGCACTCAATTTTAATTAATTACAAATAAAATGCCTCGTTATTAATCAAATATGCATAAAAATTAATCATCTAATTTCTCAAAAATGACGATAAATAATTAAAAGCCTCTAATTACATTCTTCATAGGCTAAAACATTATGCTATATAATTTGCAACACTGCGCACCAAAGGTTTTGGAAATGACTCAAGCTTTTTACTCCGCATTGCTGCAAGAAGAAAAGGGCTCATCCTATACAAAGCCTTTCCAGTTGGCCCTTTCATTACATAAAACTTGTTTGGTATTTTTATTTTTTTTCTCATTATCACTTTGGCAATTCAATCTTTCAGCTCAGCTCTTTTCACTGGAGTGAATTTAAAAAATTCTCATAAGAAAGCAGTCATAATGACGAGAATTGGCAGGACAGTAAGAAAACCGAATGGGATAACCCAAAGGGCTCTATAATCATCCTTAGGGATGTAAATTTTATCTTTAAACAAAACTTCTATAAATGTGTGGTTACTCTTGGGGTACCCAAAATTTTTGATTTCAGAGGGATCTGTTTTTCCATCCTTGTTATGCAGCCACCATTTGCATTTGACACTGTTGCCAATAGCGAATCTTGGGACACCATGAGTTTTGCTGCAAGACCACCTTGGTAAAAATAGCTGTCCAGGCAAACATTTAGAGTCACCTTTGTCTTGGATACAAGAAGAATAGGAATAAGGATACACATTGCCGTTTGTATAGTCAGACACAATAGAATCAGCTGCATTGGACTCACATCCATAGCCAGGGTAGTAAACTCCATCAATAAGTACCGAAAGTTTATATTGGTAATAAAGTTGGTAAGTTATATATACTGATTTATATGAAATGGCCTAAATAGATTTAAAAACAGCGAATAGAACTACCCTTTGGAAAATTTATATGTGTCAATGCTTGTAACCTTGCAAATAGCGTCTTCGTAGCTTCGATTTTCAAGAGGAAAATAAATTCCAAAATATATGCCAGCCCAAATGGGAAATCCAACTAAAATTAGCAATCCTGAATATACTAGCACATTTTTAAGATCCTTCATTTTGAATTTAATAGGGAGGCTACTGCTAATGATTAGGATCCGATAAACCCCAAATTCATTTTTGGTTAATTTAATTTTTAAAGTAAAAGTTTTTGATGATGATCAAGATAATCAATAGATAGATAGTTAATAATTATGATAAATAGAAAAATAACGTAAGCTATTTTTATTTTTACAAAAATTTAAATCTGCTATTTTTTACTTGCCACTGATGGTATTAATTTATGTATTTTTTTTTCGAAAAACAATAAATTTAAAGTAAAAAAAGATTGATAAATTAATAATAAGAATTCTTTAAAAATAATTCTATTTTAATAGCAAACTAATATAAAAATAGCTTGCCATTAATGACAGCTTTTCCAAAAATAAGATATATGATGCTCACAAAATGTAGGAAGCGAAAAAGTGTAGCCAAATAGTTTTGGTAAATGCATTGAATGGCCAAATGATATTACACAACGTATTCTGCTCCTAATAGAAGAGCTCCAGGATAAGTTCCTATATCAAAAATTGCATCTTTTGCATTAGGCACTTTCTCAAAAAACAGAATTGCTAAATTGCTCTCTATTTTACATGCTACTAATAGCATGGCCTGATATATAATAGCTGTCTCTAACTTCAAAGATCCTCTTATATGGATCTTTCATATCAAAATGCAGATAGAGAATTAGAGAAGCCGGGCTATTTTTTCCAAGAGCCAACTCAGCTGCAAGATAGCTAGCCTCAGAAATTGGCTTACCCTCACGTAGTATAGGGCTTTACCTTGAGGAGCCCTATAAGAGAGCAGATTCCCGGTGGAATCATTACCTTTATAGGGCTACACAAGGTAAAACCCTATATGCTTCTAATAGGTGGCATCTTTTCATCATAATATATAGCGTGGCGATTCAATCCTTTTTCTTAAATATTACATCAGGGAGGCTAGCAATGTTTGGGCCTTGAGGAAGGGAAAAAATCTTGAGGATGCGCATTCGGATGAGTTTTGACTGATTTGAGTGGGACCATAATTAAATATGGCGTCTCAACTTGGGTCTGGCCTCCGGCCAGACAGTTTCGAGCCCTATTTAATTATATCCGGCAAGGTTTTGCCATACCAGAGACGGACAGCAACGACAGGTAAGCAATTCTGGAAGTGTTCAGAGCCTGTCCCAAGTCCTATTTCATGCATGGATTTTACCTCGTGGGGAAGGGAGCACAGTAGTTGGAAAGGGGTGGCCCAGCAATGTCCTCAGGACCAATCGGGCACTTCACTAGCGTGAAGCCGAGAGTTATGGCTCAGGCTCTGTGTTTTCCCTTTTTGCCGAGAGTCGGCCAGAAAATCCATTTTTTGGATTTTTCCCAGCAGACAACTCACGTCCTCAAGCAGAATAGCTCAGGCATGAGTCGCCTTAGTCGGCAACACTGCCCCGGAAGAGTATTTGCGATCAAGGCAAGTCGACCCAGAGGCTTGCGGGCTCTACGTGGAAGAAGGCAGCGGGAAGCTCTGGGATGGGCAGCCCCGTAAAGGGCGTCAACGTATAAATTTAATAGATAGATAGATTTGAGTGGGATCAGCTACGCTAGGGCGGACTAGCAATTTTCACATAAGGTTGATACTTGAGCTAGAAGAGCCTAGCAATGCATAGAGCACAATTAGGCCATTCAGACAATTCTCTAGTAAAAATATGGGGCGTTAAGCCTAAGCCTCGAGTTTCATCTTCGTCATGAAATCACCCGAAAATTCAACTTTTTCAGAAGCCTACACGTGGCGCACTCAAATTTTCCAACTGCAAACTCATTTCCGATTGGAGCGCCACAATGATATGCCAATGTGCAGACTGTCAGCATGCAGAAAATTGCTATGGAGTGGTTATTGGTGTATGTGACCTTTAGAACGCTTCTTTTATAAGTAGTTAATGTTAATAACACTTTTAATCAAATTGGATTTGCAAGCAGGATACAGTACATAACCAACAACAAAATAATAAATTATAGAAGAACTGATGAGTAGAAGATAATATGTAGCAAGTATTCTTGTAAATTTTTCTCGTATCTGTCTTAGTTTTTCCTTATTTATTTTATGAAAATCTCTTTCTTGCTGATCTGAACTAAACCATATCATAAAAATTGTAATGAGAGTTAGCGTGCAAGGTATCTCGGGTTCATATTGGAATTATTTTATTTGTCACCATTTCTAAGCTTGAACAGTAGCTCCACTCATCATAGTCAGTCAAGATCGTGCTTTGAAGTGAGCTCAAAATAGCTAAGCTTGTATTAAGCAGGATTCGAAAAACGTCGTACTAAGGCCATTATAAGTTGTTGCAGAGTCAATTACTCTTGATAACTCCGCAATCCTAGTTATCTATAAAATTATGGAAGCAAAGTGTTCCGCTTTTGATAACTTTCCCTATGATCGAGAAATGATTATATAAAAATCCATATCTTTTTAATTAAGCATGGCCATGGTGTGAAAAAAATTATAAAATATTTCAATAAATAAAACTTGGATTTTTTGACATTTTAATTAGATTGAAGGAGATTCTTTATAACGAATACAAACTTTGATATGGTTCCATTTCTATTTTTCATAGAGAATAGAAAATGCCAACTAGCACCAAGTTCTATTATTATAAATGATATTATTTAATCCTTATAAAATTAATATAAAATTTTTAAAAAATTTATCCCTTCAATTAGTAAAAAAATCCCCCACAAAGGGGGTGTAAGTCATTTGAATGCTGAATTTCTGTTTTAATATAAGGAGATAAAGGTTGTTGCCTGACGTTTATTAGCGGTTTCTGTGATATAATGCAAAGAGACATTTGAGCAATGAATGAACTTGAAGCAGGAACTTATTTAGTTTACATCCAAATGGACTGAATACAAGATCTAACTGAAGACTATGGCTTTTCAGTTTATTCAGAGTACCCAATCAAGCTTGAAGACGTCACCTTTCAAGAGCAAAATTTTCTTTATGATGTCTATATCGTCCAATCCTCATTTTTGCTCGAGCTGTGTCGACGTCTACGGACATGACCTGGGAGTTAACAAACCAGCGTTTGCTTGTAAAAATACTCCTGGAGATAAATTTCCAGTACAAAGAGATTTGCGCCCAGGGAGAAGGCTTGCAAACCCCTTGGGTTGCGTGATGAAATTTTGGAGCATCCTGAGCCAAAACGAGGCTTGGAATATACCTGAAATTTGGCGAAGCAAACAGTTGATCCAAATTTACTCTCACTCCCTCACTTTAAATTGGAACAAAAAATTTTTTTCCAATTTAAAGGGAGGTTAAGAAGATTTTTTATAAAAAAAAATTTAAAAATTTATCGAATTAGATTAATAAATTTGTTTAGTAAAATGAGATTTACTCTTTATCCTTTACAAACACAGCAAGATATAAACTAAATTTTCATTATTAGTTAATACGCCACTATTAATTGGTATCAAAACTATTTATACAAAAATTATTATTTTTATTGATAAAACAAATTTTTAGAAATTTATCGATCAAAGTGCTAATTTTATTTAAATAATATGTTATTTATACTCTATTCTTTAAAATAAAGCAATAAATAAGTAAAATTTTCAATTTTTTGTAAAGAATTCATATTGAATTTATATCAAAATTATTTAAATAAAAATATTATTTTTATCTAAAAAAAGAAAATTTTTTTTAAAGTTTAGCAATTAAGGATATTAAAGTTATTTAAATAAGATGCTCTTTATACTGTTTTCTTCAAACAAGAGCAAGATATAACTAAAATTTTTAATTTTAGTTTTAAAAAAAAACATTTAACTTATATCAAAACTTTTTACATAAAAATTATGATTTTTTATCTATAAATTTTTTATTATAAAATTGAATTTGTTTCAATTTAAAGGGGGGGTTAATAAATAATTTCACCCTAAATAATACCCAGAATCAGCTTATTTTATTTAATTTTCTTTGGACAACTCCATTTTCATATCCATCAATATAAATATCTTTATTGATATGAATTTTCTTTTACCATCATAAATTGTGTACAATAATTAAATGGCCCACCGTACAAATCCATTCACCCAAGAGCTCATCGAGACAGCTAGAAAAATTGCTACCCCTGGCAAAGGAATTTTGGCTGCTGACGAGTCGACTGGAACCATTGGCCAGCGTTTTTCCAAGATCAATGTCGAGAATAATTACGAAAATCGCCAAGCTTACAGATCTCTCTTGTTCACAACCCCAGGCATCGGACAATACATCAGCGGCGTCATCCAATACGAAGAAACCCTCGATAACAAGCTGGAAGACGGCACTTCCCTCCAAGTTGTCTTACAAAGAGAAGGCATCGTCCCTGGCATCAAAGTCGACAAAGGGACTGTAATCATCCCAGGCACTGATGGAGAAACAGCCACCCAAGGCCTCGACGGTCTCGCTGAAAGATGCAAAACTTATTACGAAAAAGGCTGTAGGTTTTCCAAATGGAGAGCAGTCTTAAAAATAGGGCCAAATGCTCCTTCAGAAAGAGCCATTGAAGAAAACGCACATACCCTTGCGAGATATGCCGCAATTTCTCAAGCTAATGGGCTTGTCCCAATTGTGGAGCCTGAAGTCCTTGCAGACGGCACCCATACCATTGAGGAATGTGCTGAGAAAAGCCAAAGAGTTTTTGCAGCAGTCATGAATGCCCTTCATATCCACGGAATTTTGTTTGAAGGGATGCTTTTTAAGCCAAATATGATCACTCCAGGCATTTCAGCAGCAGAAAAGGTAAGCGCTGGAGACGTCGCATGGAGGACTGTGCAAGTCTTATCAAGAACTTTGCCTGCAGCTGTGCCTGGAGTCATGTTCTTGTCAGGAGGACAAAGTGAAGAGGAAGCTTCTTTAGAATTAAACGCCATTAATGCGCTGCCAGACGTAAAAAGACCTTGGACCTTGAGTTTTTCATTTGGAAGAGCTCTTCAAGCTTCGTGCTTAAAGGCATGGCAAGGAAAACGTGAAAATGTTGAGGCTGGGCAGGCTTCCTTTATTTCAAGGGCTCAAGCTAACTCTCAAGCAACTCTTGGGCAGTATCAAGGAGGAGCAGGCGGAGACGGAGCCAGTCAGAGTTTATACGTGAGCAATTACGTTTATTAAGCTAATTCTTAGTTGATTTATCTGAATTTTTTAAAGATCTGCCTTTTGTGACTCGATATGCTCGGTCTCATAGGTATGCTCAGCCCCATGGCTGCAGCCACAGCCACCAGATGTTTCATGGCTTTCTTGGTCTACAGATTCATTAATGGCCTTTTCTTCGTGGCCATGGTCACATTCTCCTTCTGAATGATGGTGATCTTCAGCATAATGATCATGAGCATGGTCATGGGCATGGTCGTGGTGATGGCCATGATCATGATGATGGTGGTGATGCTTACCATAATGTCCTAAAGCAAGAGAGATAAGAAGTAGCAGTACAAAGAATTTTGCGAAACCCATTTATTATAAATTCTTACTATTCTCATATATGCAAAATAAATTAAGAACGTATTGCCTATAAATTAACCATTAAAATTAGAAATTTGATGAAGAATTTCTGCTTTTTCTGCAGCGTCAGTGCTTCTTAATGCTAAAATGTCATTAGTTTGCTGAATATTTATCTGTGCTTCAGCAAACACAATTTCTTTGAATTTATATAGGCAATGCCTTTGAGTAGCGCGCTAAGCGCCCGAGACTTCCTGATGAAGTCTGGGCAGTGGTTTGACCAGCTGATGTTGGTCAAACCAACATCCAAAATGACAAATTCTTCTCATATAGAAGATTTGTCAAATTGGATGCTGGTTTGACCAACATCAGCTGGTCAAACCACCGCCCAGACTTCGTCGGGAAGTCTCGGGCGCTTAGCGCGCTACTCAAAGGCATTATCTATACAATTCCTGCAGTTTTGACTGAAGCATCACGATTTCATTGCAAACTTCTTCATTTGCCTTTTCAGGTTGTGAGGCCTAGCTATCAATTACTTCAAATTTCTCAATTTCCATGTTCCTCTGCAAGCTATCCAAGCTCTCCTCAGCTAGTTTTATTGACTTCTGTTCAACTTCTCTTGCATATCTTAGCTCGTTTTCATGCTTTTCGAGCTCTGCAATTTCTAAGTTTCAGTCTTTATTATATTTATTCAAAGTCTCCAGAAGTTTTTCTTTTGCTTGTCTGATCTCTTCAAGTCTTGTTTCTTGTTCCGAAATCCTTGATAAATAATCGTCAAAACTTTCTGATTTTTCTTCCACAGTCTGAATGCCTGATAAAATTATTTCTTTATCGGAGTTATACTGTGTTTTATAGTTATCAAAAATGCACTTAGAGCGAACAAAACCATTAGAAAAATCGCCATTTTTTGACCAAAAACCCACCCTCCGTGAGTGAACAAAAATTTTTTTAATAGAAAAAATTTTAATGGAAAAAAATTTTGATATATAAGTGATAATTAGTATAATGAAATCTAGAGCTAATTCTGTTTAATTTTAAACAAATTGCGTTTTTAAACATAAATTTTGCAAATTAAATTAATATTTGCTTCCCAATTTTTGCAAATTAGGATTTTTTTAAATTTCGAAAAAAATATTTTTTATAAAATTTATATATAATTTTTTTTTTAAAAAAAAAAAAATTAACCCCCCTCCGTGAGCGAACAAAAATTTTTTTGTTCGCTCACGGAGGGGGGGGGGGGAGTTAGATTTGTTTTTTTAATGAAAATTCAGGAGGCGGTCTGTTTTCTAAGTCAGTTGATTTTGAAAAATTCCTTGGAATTGAAGAATGTGAAGCAACTTGTTTTGTGAAAGGGTTTGTTGTAGAGAGCTTTTGAGATCTCTCTGATTTCGATAGCTTGTGGTCAGGTATGTCATCAAATTCTTTTCTTTGCCTTTTCAAATAAAATAAATTCATCTTTATTAGGTAAATTATAGATAATGGAAAGAGTTGACAGCAGCACAGATGCCTCTCCCAAAAACTTCCCATGGTGTGACTATCAGCCTCTCCTTCTTAACAAAACTGTTACTAATCGTCACGGAAAGGGAACTAAAGTTAAGCGAGGCCTGGAATCTGTTAATGGTTTCAGGCTTATCGACCCAGAGTTAAAAGAGATCGGGATTTTGGAAAAATCGAAATCAATGTCCCCTCATTTTAGAGGCTGCGACTTATTGATAGGAATTTTTATCCAGTCTGAAGGAGAGCCAGACTTTTCTAAAACCCTTAAGGCAGTCATTACTAATATTGAGTATTTCCTTGAAAATAATCACTCAGTCGTAGTTGTAGCGATACTAGATGGACTTACAAAAACAGTCAATGAGAAATCCAAGAAAAAGATTTCACAAAATGAGGTAACCCAAATAGGGCTTAAGCCTTATTCAAGTTATTTTGAAATTGGAAAAATCGCAGATAAATTTCATTTCGACACTACTCCAAATGAAAATTCAGCTAATTATATATCAAATTATAGTGGGAAAAAAGATGAAGATGAGATTGCTCATGCTTTTATGCATTCTAACTGAAAAATGGAAACAAATCAGAAGTATCCAATAGATTTTATATTTTGTATAAAGGAAAGAGAGGCTGGGAAACTCAACTCTCATTTGTGGTTTTTTGGAGGGTTTTGCCAACATATTAATCCCCGGTATGTAATTTTGCTAGATGCAGGCATCAAGCCTTCAAAAAATTCTCTAACTTAACTCCCCCCCCCCGTGAGTGAACAAAAAAATTTTGTTCACTCACGGGAGGGGGGTTAATTTTTTTATATTTAAAAAAAATATTTTTTTTTCGAAATTTAAAAAAATCCTAATTTGCAAAAATTGGAAAGCAAATATAAATTTAATTTATAAAAATTTATGTTTTAAAATGCAATTCGTTCAACATTAAACAGAATTAGCTCTAGATTTCATTATACTAATTATCATTTATATATCAATTTTTTTTTCCATAAAATATTTTTCTATTAAAAAAATTTTTGTTCACTCACGGAGGGTGGGTTTTTGGGCAAAAAATAGCGATTTTTCTAATGGCTTTGTTCACTCACGGGGGGGGGGGAGTAAGTATCTTTATATTGCGATGAGGAATGATGAAAATATAGCAGGGTGCACAGGAGAAATGAAACCAAAAGCGAGCAGCTGTAACAAGCTCTTTGAGTATGCCCAGAGGTCAGACTACAAATTTATTTATATGTTTGACAAAGGCTTAGAAAGTGTTTTTGGTTACATTTCAAGTCTCCCCAGCAATTTTAGCGCATATCGATGGGGGCCACTCAATATGAAAATTTTGCTTGAGTCTCATTTTAAATCCATTTGTAACCCTAACGAAATTGATTTTATGAACTCTAATGTCTATTTATCTGAAGATCGCCTACTCAGCTTGTCTCTTTTTGTGCAAGAAGATAAAAAATACATTTTAAGGTACGTGAAAAGATCAAAGGCCACAGTAAATGTGTCTAATAAAGTGTACAAAATAATGATACAAAGGAGAAGGTGAATCAATGGAACATGATTCATTCTTCTTGAGTCAATTAAAAAGACAGGCTTTGTCATTAAATGCAAAACTGCACACTCCCCTTTAAGAAGATTCTTATTTTTAATACAAATGTTTTTGTATTTAACCAATTTCTTTTTTTCTTGGCTTATCATTGGGTTTTTTGCTGTATTTTTATTAGGCGGGACTCATAAATTGAATTTGGATATGTATGTGCTGAATATATTGATGATCATATATGGGCTTCTGCTGTTTTATGTTTTAATCATATCTCTTGGGGTCTCTCCAAGAAAGCTAAAAAAGGTTGATACGTCGCTGACACTTGTTGCTTTTATTTTATTTCTAGTTTCAGTTGTAAGCTGTGTAGTTATTGGAATATTTTGATTGAGAGATAGTCAAGGGTCAGAACAAGTATATATATATTCATTACTAGTAGTTGGGATCTTATTTATCTTAAATATTATGTTCTATTTAGAAGTTTTTATCAGTATGTTCCATTATCTTGCATTGATACCTATCTTAGTCAATATATGCATGATATAGGGTTTTCCCTTATATAGCCGGGCTGTGGATTTTTAACGGAATCCTTTGGCTGGTGGAGTCAACTCAGTACTTTGGTCGGACTAGCTCACCTTAGGTCCCACCAGCCAAAGGATTCCGGACAGAATCCACAGCCCTTGCAGGGTCTATATAGGGGGAAAACCCTATATATGCAATTTGCAATCTTCATGATTGTTCATATGATCCTCAAAAAATGACATTCGATGAGGAAAAAAGAATGAGGAAATTCCAGACTTTTCGGTCTTTTTGGACATTGATATGAATTGCGTCGAATGGAATCTTCACGTATTTTATGTTTATTATGATAGAAAAAGAAATCGGCACAGTTTTAATTACAGTTAGCATGATTGGGATGATTAATTTGTGTGTGAGGTTTTCTGGAGGGCTGGGTTATCATATTCAGGAATGATTGCTTGATAAGAAATGCTCACTCCCCCCCCCCCCCTCCGTGAGCGAACAAAAAAATTTTGTTCGCTCACGGAGGGGGGTTAATTTTTTTTTTTAAAAAAAATTTATATATAAATTTTATAAAAAATATTTTTTTTCGAAATTTAAAAAAAATCCTAATTTGCAAAAATTGGGAAGCAAATATTAATTTAATTTGCAAAAATTTATGTTTTAAAACGCAATTTGTTTAAAATTAAACAGAATTAGCTCTAGATTTCATTATACTAATTATCACTTATATATCAAAATTTTTTTCCATTAAAATTTTTTCTATTAAAAAAATTTTTGTTCACTCACGGAGGGTGGGTTTTTGGTCAAAAAATGGCGATTTTTCTAATGGTTTTGTTCGCTCACGGAGGGGGGGGGGGGGGGGGTCAGAAAATTATCCAACTGAAATTAATTCTGACCCTCCTCTGATAGAGCCTGATTCTAATTTGCCAGATTTAGACAAAGAAGAGGACTCTCACGAAAATGATAGGTTTCGAATATAGAAGTTTCCGATGTTTGGCGCTGTAAGGCCGATAAATTCTGATCGGAATTTATCGGTTGGTTGCACCAAATCAATGCCTTGGTCGGACCAAAAAGCGATTTGGTCCGACGAACTTGGAAAGCTCCTGGGAAAATGTCTGCGCTTTCAGCGCTATATAGAGGAAACCTCTATATAGCGCTTTCCCGAGGATGGCGCAGAATGGCGCCATCCTCGGGAAAGTCAACTAAGCATCCACACGGGAACTGGGAGTTCCACGTGTGGATGCCATTTTTGACATGTGGGATCCCAAACTTCCACATGTCAAAATGGCATCCACACGTGGAACTCCCAGTTCCCGTGTGGATGCCTTCCTGGCTTTCCCGAGGATGGCGCCATTCCGCGCCATCCTCGGGAAAGCGCTATATCTAATCCTGTTGCTTTTAGGCCAAGTGAACTTCGAGAGCATCAAGCTTCCTTTAGAAATTATGATCGAATTTAAATAGTTTTGCATTTAGGACCTAGTATAATTAATTTTCTGAATTATGCATCATTTATGGTACAATATCCTCTAGAATCGTTATTCTAAAAGTCTTCACCATAAAACTTTCTTCACCTGCATCAAAAATTACAAAACTGCTTTCATTTATGATCAGTTTCATAAGAAGTATTTTTTCCTAATTAAATTTTAAATTAAATTTTATTGCTACCTTAAGCTGATGCTATTTAATTTAATTAATAAAAATCCAAATTAGGCTGCATATTAAATTTAACTAAAAGTTGAAATTTAAGTAAATGTCCACTGAACATTTTATCAGAAGAATTAATCTATTGAAGCAAGAAAAAAAATCCCTTGAAAAATTGCTTCAAAGTACAGAAGAAGAAGTTTTGAAAATAATGAAGAAAAATTCTGAAGAAAGCTGAAGAGTGAAACAGTTGCTGGAATCAGCTTTGCCTCTTAGTAATGAAAGTAGTCGTAAAAAGCCAGGAGGAATGATAGAAAATTCTTCACAAACTGAAAATAGTTTATACCTTATAGGGTTAAATCTGTAAAAAAATATATATTATAGAAATTTAAGTTAAAAAATAATATTGGGTATTTAAATTTCCATAGGATAGCAACACTTTATCATGCGATTGCCCTTGAAGAAGAAATTATTACAGTTAAAGAAACACTCATAAATATAGCTACTAATCATAGAATGATGAAAAATAAGCTTGAAAGGAGAAAAAAGAAAAATAAAGTGTTTGAAGACTTAATAAAACAGTATCAAGAAAGAGTCGAGAGTTTAAACAGAGAAAAAGTTAATTTGAGAAATAAAATCGAAGAAAAAAGAGAGGAGCAAGGAGCCATGATTGAGTATGTTAGGTATGGGGATTTAATAGTTGATCCTGTGCCTTGTGTTTTTAAAATTCAGAATGAATAAATAATTTTTGATTTTTTTAGTTAATGTAAATAAATTCTCATATTTTTTAAAATTTTTAGCAAAATTTTCAGCAAATTGTAATAAATCGAATATGGCAATTAATTTTTAATTTAAAATGCATGTTCATCAAATAGCATTATTTTAATTCAAAAGCCATCATAGTTTATTGAAATTAAGCTAAATTATCAATTATTTATTTTTAAAAATTTTAAAATAATTTATCTTTATCATTTTATCTGCATCTACATAACTAAAAAATAATAAAATTAAATTATTATTTAAGCTTCTAAGTTATGATTCCTTAATGCAGACATAGAAAAATAAATTCCATATTAAAAATGACAGAAGTTCATTTCTAATTGAAAATTTTGCTTCAGCAAATAAGCTTCTATTTTTTTTGGAACGCCAACCGCAATCAATATTATTCAAGAACAGGATAATATTATATGCAATAAAAATTATGAAAAAATAATTCTGAAAATGCAGCTCAATAGTCTATTAAAAGATTTACCTTGATTTAAAATTATATTTTATTTTAGAAATTAATTTAATTATTCAATCCTTTTTAAACGTTAATCAATTGAGTGGCAGCCATATTAGCTTGGACTTGAAGAGAAATAATTAAAAGGAAATAGTAGAATTAGCAAAAATTCAAAAGTATTTAATAATTTATAAGAATATTTAGAGCAATTTAACTATTTGTAGTTAATATTTTAAAATAAATAAAAAACATTTTTATCAATTTTTTAGCTTCTATTACAATAATTAGCACCTTTTACTTCAAAAATATAAATAGAAATACTTACTCCCCCCCCCCCCTCCGTGAGCGAACAAAAAAAATTTTGTTCGCTCACGGAGGGGGGTTAATTTTTTTTTTTAAAAAAAATTTATATATAAATTTTATAAAAAAATATTTTTTTCGAAATTTAAAAAAATCCTAATTTGCAAAAATTTGGGAAGCAAATATTAATTTAATTTGCAAAATTTATGTTTTAAAACGCAATTTGTTTAAAATTAAACAGAATTAGCTCTAGATTTCATTATACTAATTATCACTTATATATCAAAATTTTTTTCCATTAAAATTTTTTCTATTAAAAAAATTTTTGTTCACTCACGGAGGGTGGGTTTTTGGTCAAAAAATGGCGATTTTTCTAATGGTTTTGTTCGCTCACGGAGGGGGGGGGGGAGTAAGCAAACTATTCTCTGAGTCCATGCTGTCAAAACGTCCTGATACTACTTAATCTCTGATTTTGAGCCAGAGCAACTTCTTCTCAAAGGTGCCTTTTTGATGCAATTCCTCCATTTACCCAAATAAAAAGTATAAATAAAATTAGCTTAGAGAACAAAATTTTTTTGTTCGCTCACGGAAGAGTGTGGAGTTATCAATTCCTATTGGAATTATTTATAAAAAACAGTGGCAATTTTTAAATTATTATTTATGTAGATTGGCTTTCTATAAATATAGAAATTTGCAAATGTCGCCATTGCAAAAGAAATAGTCTAAATATAATATACTCATATTTGTTTTAAATCATTTCTCTCATTTATCTTTATTTTAAAAGAAAATATATATCTAAAATCATTAATGATTTGGTCTTAAATTATATGTAAAAAATTATTTTAATATATTGCTATCTCAGCTATCTGTGAGCAAACAAAAAAAATTTGCTCGCTTACTCCCCCCCCCCCCTCCGTGAGCGAACAAAAAAATTTTGTTCGCTCACGGAGGGGGGTTAATTTTTTTTTTTAAAAAAAATTTATATATAAATTTTATAAAATATATTTTTTTCGAAATTTAAAAAAATCCTAATTTGCAAAAATTGGGAAGCAAATATTAATTTAATTTGCAAAATTTATGTTTTTAAAACGCAATTTGTTTTAAAATTAAACAGAATTAGCTCTAGATTTCATTATACTAATTATCACTTATATATCAAAATTTTTTTCCATTAAAATTTTTTCTATTAAAAAAATTTTTGTTCACTCACGGAGGGTGGGTTTTTGGTCAAAAAATGGCGATTTTTCTAATGGGTTTTGTTTCGCTCACGGAGGGGGGGGGGGGAGTTAATGAAATTTGCAAAACCCTGAAATCCGCTGTTAAAAATAAATTTTAATAAAAAGTCAAAAAAATAAAAATGGCATAATAATTTACTTATAGGAATTGCCCGAGGATGGCGCTATCTTGCGCCATCCTCGGGCAATTCAAAAATGGCCCCACACCGGGAATTGAACCCACGTGTGGGGCCATTTTTGGTGCGTGTAAGTCGATGCTTGCCACACACCAAAAATGGCCCCACACGTGGGTTCAATTCCCGGTGTGGGGGCCATTTTTGAATTGCCCGAGGATGGCGCAAGATAGCGCCATCCTCGGGCATTCCTATAATTCAAAATGGTTATTTGTATCATCATGTCTAATAATTAAATCCATTAATACCTAAATAAAACTCACCTATAAGTAAACTATTTCGTCGACCCATCTCTTGAATCTCCCGCTTCCCTGTCCGTTTGCTTTTTTCTAACACGCTTTTTTCTCTGAGGTGATGGGTTCTCTTCCAGAAACATCCATTCCCAGGCCACTCGCTTAAACTTTTCCTCGAGGGTGATTTTATCTTTCTCTTCACCCTCTTGTTTATTTTTACTGCCAACATCCCGCTTACGCCTTCTCTGCCGCTTAACCGAAATCTCAAACTGAGTAAAATAGTCTTCATCAACAGGGCTTTCTGTGTAGCGCTGACAGTTTTTCATTTCCTCTGCAATAGATTCCTTAAGTCCTGAAGATGCATTACCCAAGTCTAGTTGAAGGCTGGACAGGAAATCATAATACCCCTTCTTATCAGAGTTCCCTAATGTATCATATGCGTTCGAAATTTCCTGGAATTTTTTGTTATTTACTTCAGGATCGTCTAAATTTTTATCAGGGTGATATTGCCGAGCCAGTTTATAATATGCTTTCTTAATTTCCGTAGGGTTTGCGTCCTTATCAACATCTAATACCTTATATAAATCATCATTTTCATCCATTTTATTTTTGCAAAGTAGGAGTGGGAAATCCTCTAGAAAATTTGAATTATTTGGGCAGAATATAAAAATTCTGAGGGGTTTTTGTGAGTGAATGCCCCCTTTGTGTGGGCGTACACAATATGATGACTAATGTGCTATTTTTCAGGATTTTTTTGATGAATTTTCATGAAAATGGACAAATACATTTTTTTATGAATTTTGATTCTAAAGCATTATTTCGCACAATTGATTCTGCATAAGATTGATAATATTGAAATCTCTTGTTTATAATGCTAAGACCCATATATTTTCATCAGATTTAAAGTTTAAAGCCTTTCTATTTTTTTTCAATTATTTTTTCAAATAAATTATAAAATTTAAATTTTTATTATTAAAGGAAGTTAAAAATTGCGCTTCTTGATTTTCGGTTATAGCAAGATAATTTTGCTTATAAAGGCTGTGGTTTATAAAGACAATTATTTTCTTGAAATACAAGTCGGATTAGAGTAAACTTTATCATTATTATTTCGGTTGATTCCAGAAATTATGCTTCACCTTTTTCTCATTGTGTAAAGGAATCGGAGCAGGCCTTTCATTGAACACAATTTTATTGCTTATTGTCCCTATAACCTCTAATCCGCCTTGCACTTTTTTTACAACATATAAAGGCTTTTTTATGATTTCTTGTTTTCCTCTTAGGACATGGTTTCCGATCACTAACTCCCCCCCCCCCCTCCGTGAGCGAACAAAACCATTAGAAAAATCGCCATTTTTTGACCAAAAACCCACCCTCCGTGAGTGAACAAAAATTTTTTTAATAGAAAAAATTTTAATGGAAAAAAAATTTTGATATATAAGTGATAATTAGTATAATGAAATCTAGAGCTAATTCTGTTTAATTTTAAACAAATTGCGTTTTAAAACATAAATTTTGCAAATTAAATTAATATTTGCTTCCCAATTTTTGCAAATTAGGATTTTTTTTAAATTTCGAAAAAAATATATTTTATAAAAATTTTATATATAAATTTTTTTTAAAAAAAAAATTAACCCCCCTCCGTGAGCGAACAAAATTTTTTTTGTTCGCTCACGGAGGGGGGGGGGGGAGTAAGGTATTTTTCCCATTTTCTTCCTTAAGTTTTCCGAGATTCATCCCGTCGAGCTCGCTCTGGGCTTTGACTTCTCCTTGGAGTTCCATCAACAGATGGCTGCTTGCCTCTCCTTTTCTCACAAATAAATTCATTATAATTTGCGGGAATTTTAGGCCAGGATAAGCAAGTTCGTGTATCTAGGATTTTTATAAAAAATCGAAGATTATAAGCAGGTAGATTTTTGTTCTAGATCAAAAGCCATTACTTTACATATAACGGTTCGCCAATGCTATTTAATCATATTAAGAGAATTAGGAAAAATCAATGCAAATAAATTATAAATCTTTGAACTAAGCCCGTGTACAGTAACGAAAATTATGAAGGACAAATTAATCTCATAAAATGGATAGAGAAAAATATTTTTAAAAAGCTAATAACATCATTGGCCAATTAAAGCTTTATGATGTTTATTATTTATTTAAATATGGAAAATTTGAGAAAGGATAGCTGGAATAGATTGATTTTAGAAGCAAGGAGATTAATAATGCTATAGGATTATAAGGTATTTATACTTAGTTGCCTATAAGTCTAGCTATGAATAAGTATAAAAATATTTTTTCAATGAAATATCATTTGCTTTGAGATTTAAGCTTTTTCTCGTTTTTTAATTTAGTTAAAAATTAAGAAGATGACTATTTATTTTGATATGGATCCAGAGTGAAAGCTATTAAAACCAGATGCTTTCATATTAAAATTTTTAATTCTAATATACTTTATCTATACTAAAAAAAATATTTCTCTGTAACTATATTTGTATTCTACTTTCAAGCATGCACAAAGTCTGTATATATTAATCAATTTTATTTATTTTAACATTTTTTCTAATGGGCTAATATTGTTTGAAATCTTAAAGGGTAATAATAAATTATCATTTTTAATAGTGAAAACTAAAATTCCTGAGACTTCTAAATGTGCTAATATCCTGCATGATTTCTGAATAAAAATATTTTTAAATAATAATTGATTTAAAAATACCTGCAAACGCATCAAATATATAAATTTTATTTATGTTTTAGAACAAGAATTAACAACAAATCTCTTCTTCTAAATTTTAATAAGTATGAACAGTTTATATGAAATATTTTTAACATATTGGTGGAAGTTTAAACGCCTTTCGCACTGGAAATGGCTCTTTTCTCGCTCCTACAAAATGTATCCCTCTATTCTCATATCTCTGATGTGGTAAATGTTCTTCAATTTTTACATAATTTTCAGGATCTTCCTCAATACTTTGAAATTTTTCTTTCATGATTTGCTTTACACCAAGCTCCATTATTTGCTGTTGGACTGTCAATAAATTGTGCCTTGCTGAGTTGTTTCTATTTACAAGAAGCTCAAGTTTCTGGAAGTCTGAATCAAATGAGCTTGCTGTTGAGAATAAAGTTTTATTCTTTTTTAATTGATTTTTAGTATAAAATCTATAGCATTTATCATATAAATATCTAGATTTTGGAAATAGTTTATCAAATATATAAATTTAATTAAAATAAGGCAGTATATTTTGCTTCGGAGTAAATGGTTCTGGAGATCGAGAATTTATTGATGGGAGTTTAGGAGGCTCCACTGATTTTGTTTCATTGCGTAAAGATAATTGTTCTTCTCTAGGCTTCAGCACTGAAATGCTTCTTAAAGACGGATCTTCCTGAATTGGGCTCATTCGATTCTGAAGTTTATTGATACTGATGTTTAGGTGGTTTTCTTGTTTACTATGGTCCTGAGAATTCTTGTGAACTTTTCAGGCTGATTTACGTTTTCTTTTAGGCTTATAGATGGAATTAATTTGTGCAAGGGCTGATTTCATTTATAACTGATGTATTTAAATAGTATTTTAGATTTGCAATTATAAATATTGTCTTAACTCAAATTCTTATAGCATTAGTCTGAATTTTTAGAAAATCTTTTTAGAGTATGGCGTTTTGGAAAGCACTGTGATGTTCTAGGGATAAAGAAGTCAGTGTTACAGAAACAACCCGCCTTCTTCCAAGGCTCGAGTAATTATAACTCAGGGATAACCGAATTGTCTCTAAGCAAGAGTCTCCATTTGTAGTCTTCGCATATGGAATTGCACCGCCTCAGCTCCATCTTAGAAGAATCCCAACCGAATTCACAAGGGTTGGCATTGCAAAAATCGCTTGTGGGTCTGAACATTTTCTTATGCTCACTGAAAACAACTTTGTTCTAGCTGCTGGGAATAATGCGTATGGACAATGTGGCCGTGATCCTCAAAGACCTATAGAAAACCCAATTTCTGACGAAAGTGCAATAATTCAAGAATCACCGACAAATTTGCGTCTTTCTGCATTTAATATTGAAAACCATAGAGTTGTTGACATAGCTGCAGGCTCCTATCACTCATTAGTCCTAGTACACCCTCAAGGACTCAGACAAGATGCAGTTTCAAGAGTAATGGCATTTGGCCACGAGCTCGGCTGCGGATTTTTTGATAAGCAGCACCGTCATTTACCAACAGAAATAGAGCTTGGCCAGTCCTATTCAATGGAAACTGTATCCAAAATTTTTGCTGGACACATGAGATCAGCCGTGCTGCTTGAATCTGGAAAACTGCTTATGTGGGGCGAATGGTTTAATGGTGCTAAACAGCGTCAAATGAGAGAAATCAAGCTTAGCCTAAAGTCAAATGACCGTTGCAAAAAAGTCTCAATCGGAAAAATGCACGCACTCATGGTAACAGAACAAGGAAAACTTTACTCATGGGGCGACAATACATATGGAGAACTCGGAACAGGAAGAACTATAAAAAATAAAAATTCCCCCAATTTGGTCCCATTTTTCCAAAATATGACTATTTTAGATTGTGCAGCTGGAGGAAGGCATTCTTTAGTATTAGAAGAAACTGGAAGAGTTTTTGCCTTTGGGGATAATAGTGAAGGCCAATGTGCGATTGATGCTAATAGGACATATGAGCCTATACAAATTGAGACTGTTGGGATGTTAGGAGAAGACAGCTCAAAAGCTAGGTTTATTTATGCAGGAGATGCACATTCAGCACTGCTATCAAGTGAAGGAGATTTATTTGCGTGGGGAGATAATAGTGCGTGTAGGCTAGGAATTAGCTCAACTTCATCAGTTTTTAGACCTACACTGGTAGATGATATTATGGGGAGGAATATCTGCGCGGTGGGATTGGGAGGATTTTTCAGTGTTTGTATTATTGGGCCTCATCAGTTTTCTTTGGTAGGGAGAAATGAAAATATGATTAAAGTGCAGACGATTTTTAACGAAATGCTGCAGAAAAGAATTAATGAAGGAGAAGCGCATGAAAATTAATATATTCCTTTTCTAGTATGTAAAGGTTATATTTTATTTTCCTATGAGGCGCTTCCTTTTGCTGCCATTTCCTCGGTATGATTTGGTCCATTTAATGCATAACGCGGAAAAAGTTTTGACCAAATAGTGCCGAGAAAATTGCTTCCAGGTAATAAAATTCACAAACAGAAAACGTGCTAATATTTTTTGTAAAAATTTTATTAGTTGGTTGAATTTGGTGAAAGGCAATTTAGCAGTCCGGTTTGCATCAGGCTAAGTTGTTGAACTCCGTAATAAAGAATAATTTAAGAAAAATTTGAAAGTTCTAAAGATCTTTATCTATTAAGTTTTCGAGTTTAATAAGATCCCACTTCTTCGTCACCGCCATTTTATACATCTCATCTTTAATTTTATTCTTCTTAATTTCAGATTTGCTATTTATCAATGCATTTATTCGCTTTATTTCTTCTTTCGCTTCAATAAATGATTGTATTCTTTGTGATTTTGACTGTATTTTATCAATGCTTTCTGATTTCAAAAATTTTTCTTTTCTAGCAACTTTATTGGTACCCTTAAAAATACATAAAAAATATGCAAATCACCAAAAAATTAATTTTTTAAAAAAAATTTATATATATCTAGCAACTTGCTCAAGGTTTAATTTATTATTCAGCTCTCTCAATGCTTTTTTATTTTTTCTTAAATCTTGCTGACTTTTTGTGTCTCTTTTTTCCAATTTTTCAAACCGCTTGGCAAGACCTTCAGAAAATTTTTGCCGTTTCATTTCGTCTTCTTTATCAGCAATTTCTTTTTTTTCTAAAGTTTTTCGTGTTCGTTTCTCATAACTGATATGAATATTGTTGAGGTATTTTTGCTGTTCTTTATTTAACTGGTTTAAAACTTTGTCCTCTTTCGCTCATTTTTGGTAATATTGAAGGCGCCTTGTTTCTTGCTCTTTTTCGATTTGTTTTCTGACTCTTTCTAATTTTTCTTTTTTTCAATGGCTTATAGAGTTTTGGCTGTATTAAGTATAAATATTTATAAGAATACTGGCATTACTATAAGATAATAGTTTTAAGCTATTTATTCGCTATTGTATATTTCATTTAGTTCCATTTTTCTTTGCTCGTTCATTCTTCTTATCTTTTCCAGCCTTTCTTTGCTTTCTGCGTCAGCCATTTTTACCATTTTCTGTTTCATTTTGAATTCTTTATTTGTTTTTCTGGCTGTCATCTCAATGTGCATTCTGAATTTTTCTGCATTTCTAAGCCGCCTTTCTTCAGCATCTTTAGCTTTTTGTTCTTTTATTATGCTTTTTATATTAAATAGTTAATAGTAATAGCTATTTCCATTTATAGGACTATTAACTCTAAATATTATAGTTTCAATTTTCTTATTTCTTCCTCTTCCCTAGCTTTTCAGTCAAAATCTTTATTTTCTGCTGGCTTTTTTCTACTTTTTGATTCAGCAGTTTTTATTTTTCTTGGAGTTATGATTGGAAAGCTGTCAAGCTTAGATTTTTCGGTAGATATTTCATCTTTTATAGCAGGACGAAGAGAGTACTGCAGTTCATGATCAATCAAAGTTCTTACTACTCCCTTTGGTTAGCGAGCAAAATAATTAGAAAATCCCCTATTCTTGGGCAATTAACCACTTGTCCCAAGCAAAAATTTTTTATACATAATATTCGATGTATAAATTATAATTGTAATAATAAGATCTCAGCTAAATTGTATTAATTTTAAAAAGGTTGCACCTTTTATAAGATAAAAATTATATTTCTCATTTCAAGTATAGAAGTTTCCTATGTTTGGCGCTGTAAGGCCGATAAATTCTGATCGGAATTTATCGGTAGGTTGCACCAAATCAATGCCTTGGTCGGACCAAAAAGCGATTTGGTCCTACGAACTTGGAAAGCTCCTGGGAAAATGTCTGCGCTTTTAGCGCTATATAGAGGAAACCTCTATATTTAAAATAGGAAAAAAATTGTATTATTTTAGTATTTAATAAAAATTAGCCTTCTTTCTGTAAGAAAATTTTAATCTTAGCCAAGGGAAGTTAGCTCTCTATTATGTTTTTCCTTATTGGCAATGGAATCTCCAAAAACTCTATCACTTAGCGATAAGGAATTAGATGGCTTTGTTTTAACATTATTATTTAAAATGATTTATTTATTAGTTCTTTAAAACAATTAGTATGTTTTATACAGGAAATAACATATTTTGCATTAATTTATACATTAAATACCCTTTGGATTGCATATCTTCATTTAAAAGATTATTTTTCGCTTTTATAACTTTTCTTATCAGAAAAAGCCTTTTCTTTTCAAAAAAATTGCTTAATGATTGTTCGGCCTTAGGTGAGATTTCTATCTTTTTAAAATCTCTTGAGCTTTTCGGCAATAAATCTTGAGGTTTTATCCCTTCTCTTAGACATGCTTCAATTGTTCTTGGTGTATTCGATAGCCCATACTCTTCAAGCTGTTTTAAATTCTCAAGTGATTTCTTATTTTTTATCATTATAGAAAATAGATCATGTTAATTAGCTTAAAAGACATTAGACTGTTGGTAGCCCATACCTTTCAAGACCTTTCTCCCATTAAGTAACTTAATGATTGAATTTGAGTCAAAGCCAGCATTTCTCGAGCCGTTTTGGAAACTAGCAAAAGGTTTTATGCTTTTTTATAAGAATATACAGCTATTTTTAATAAGAATTTTATATTATTTAATTAGAGAAAATTGTATGGGATTGTTTTGGAGACATTATTGAATCTCATTGAAGAAAGAGCTTTCACTGGTGACGATCCGCCTTCTCCATAAGTAAACGACCTATTCGTAAAATTCTCTGATTTTCCTGTGATCGGGTTAAATAGTCCTCTTTTCATCTGTTTATCTCTTATAGGCGAAGAGTCATTTTTTAGCTCAAATTCTGATCTAAGAGTGGTCCTGTCAATAATATAATTTTTGGTAATTCCACGGATAGGGTCAAATGACTTATCCTTCCTCCCCCCCTCCGTGAGTGAACAAAAAAATTTTGTTCACTCACGGAGAGGGGTTAATTTTTTTTTTTTAAAAAAAATTTATATATAAATTTTTATAAAAAATATTTTTTTTCGAAATTTAAAAAAATCCTAATTCGCAAAAATTGGAAAGCAAATATTAATTTAATTTATAAAATTTATGTATTAAAAACCAATTCGTTTAAAAATTAACAGAAATTAGCTCTAGATTTCATTATACTAATTATCATTTATATATCAAAATTTTTTTCAGTAAAACATTTTTTTATTAAAAAAATTTTTGTTCACTCACGGAGGGTGGGTTTTTGGGCAAAAAATAGGGATTTTTTCTAATGGTTTTGTTCACTCACGGAGGGGGGGAGTTAGGCAAGGACTTGGAATAAATTATCATTTGGCCGTTATCATATGATTTCGATACTGGATTATTGAATTTAGATCCTTGGTAGCTTGCCTTAGTTTTTACTTGCTCATATAGCTTATTGATATCAATTGGGTCTTCTTTAAATTCTTGAAAAGTCGCAAATGGGGGTTGCGTTGCTGCTCGATTCGGAGAGTTTGACTTGCTACTGGATTTTTCTGGAGAATAGACCTTTTCTTCTTTATTGTAGATCTCTTTTAGTAAGGTTTCAGCTCTTACCGAGTAATAATAAAAATAGGGCAATTTTCTATTATCGTTATTTGCAGATTTTTGAACTTTACCACCTAAGTGTGGAATTTTTTCCGCGTGTGAAAAGAGGATTCCACATGTGAAATCAAAAGGGCTCCACACGTGAAAAACACCTTTTCACACGCGGAAAAGATTCCACACTTAGGTGGTAAAGTTCAAAAATCTGCAAGTAACGATATAATTTTTAAATAAATAATTTTTTATTTGGAGAAAGTTAGAATTTTTTCATTTTCTGATGGCTGTCTTAAATAATGAAGAAGATCGCCTCCATCTGAGGAGTTTCGTATATGATTCGAACGATAAGTTTCTGAAGAGGCTGGTATGGCACGGTTTAATTCATATGATGCGGTTTTTTGAGGACTTTTCAGCGTTGGGCTCGGAGTAAATGATCTCTGTGGGTAGTGGTAAACATTGACTTTGCTCATAATTACGTTAATTTATTCCAAAATGAAATTAATCTTTTTTATGCAATTAATACATAGGCTAAAAATATATAAAATAGCTTTTTATAAATAAATTTAATTTATTTTCTTGTATGCTATATTAATTAAGAATTATTATATAAAGCAATCATAATTTAATATTTTTCTTACTCCCCCCCCCCTCCGTGAGCGAACAAAACCATTAGAAAAATCGCCATTTTTTGACCAAAAACCCACCCTCCGTGAGTGAAACAAAAATTTTTTTAATAGAAAAAATTTTAATGGAAAAAAATTTTGATATATAAGTGATAATTAGTATAATGAAATCTAGAGCTAATTCTGTTTAATTTTAAACAAATTGCGTTTTAAAACATAAATTTTGCAAATTAAATTAATATTTGCTTCCCAATTTTTGCAAATTAGGATTTTTTTTTAAATTTCGAAAAAAATATTTTTTATAAAATTTATATATAAATTTTTTTTTAAAAAAAAAAAAATTAACCCCCCTCCGTGAGCGAACAAAATTTTTTTGTTCGCTCACGGAGGAGGGGGGGAGTTAGAATTTAATCTATGTACATATATAGAATTTTCCTGATATTTAATAATCACATTATGTTTTACAAACAATTTTAATTTCAAGAAAAATGATTTTATATAAGCTTGAATAAATTATGATTTAATTAATTAAATTAATAGCATTATGCTAGAAACAACTTCTCTACATGTTATATTTAAACGTGAATTTAATATGGTGAATCTATTGATTCTTCTTTCTCTCACATTTTTATCTTACGCTTACAACCAAACTCTCTTTATTTTCAACCAAACTCTTGACCACTTTCATGTCCCATATCAAGATGCTGGCACTTTTCCTCAGCGATACTGAATCGTAGACAACTACTTTAATCCTTCATATGGCCTTGTATTTCTATATCTCTGTGGTGAATATGAATGCCCAGGGGTTGACCCTACAAGACTTTTCCCCCTCCAAGTGGCCAAAGATAATAAAGCTCGGTTTGTAGTCCTTGAACACCGTTATTATGGAGAATCATTACCTTATAACTACTCTGGGATGCTGCCTCAGCTGCTTACCTATTTAAACGCTGAACAAGCTTTAGCAGACATTGCTCAATTTATTCGGTTCCTTAATGGAGAAATGGCTCTCACAAACCCAGGAGTTTCTTTTAAGTGGGTAGTAGTCGGTGGAAGCTATGCAGGAGGTCTAAGTGGCTGGGTCAAAACTCGCTACCCAGACCTCGTCGCTGTCTCATGGGCTAGTTCAGCTGTGGTTAGGCCCATTCTAAACTTCACAGACTTCGACAAGCAAGTATATCTCTCAGCCTTAAAAAGTGGCCAATCCTGTGTAAATGCGATACGTGCTGTAAATTCTTTAGTAGAAACCCAATATTTAGCGAATAATCTTGGCCCAGTCACTGACATATTTAATGCGACTGCAGCTTTTCAAGGGACCCCTGACAAGAGACCAGTGCTGTTTTATATCACTGATATAATGGCTGAGCTGATACAGTATGGGCATAGGACTGAGCTATGTGACGCTTTGATTGCAGTTGACAATGCGTGGGACATGCTAAAAGAAGTAGCTATTTTAGGAGACGAGTATGGGATGGCTGATCCAACAGGATATGCTGTGAATTCTCTAGGGTCATTTGTGTGGACTCCAAGTACTGCAGGAAGACAGTGGTGGTGGCAGCAATGCACACAGTTTGGCTGGATGCAGACGCCCTCTGAGTATCAAATGAGGTCAAAATACTCGATTTTAAGCCAATTTATAATATAAATAGCTATTTTCTAATATAAAATAATTCATTTATAAAAGAATACTTAAATTTGACATTTTGGGATTGGTATTGTAACGCTATTTATAATTACCCAGGAGGTCTCCCATTACCTGACGTAGATATTGCAGGCTATGATCTAAATTATCTAGGCACCAATATACTTTATACAAATGGAGACGAAGACCCTTGGCAGTGGGCTGGAATCAACGTAACCAGCACTGATGCAAGGCCTGTTTTGCTCATTAAATGTGAAAACTGTGGACACTGCGTTGAACTCTATACACCTGCTCCAACTGATCCTATTGAGCTGACAAGGGCTAGAATCAATATAAGGTCATTAATTTCAAAACTCCTGAGAAATAATTAATACTAATCGACATTTTTATAATAAAAGGTTAAGGGCTATGCTATAATTATTTAAAAGCCCCATGAACGTAAAATTCTTGCTATCCGCAGACAACAAAGAAAATATTTCTTCGAGGTCTTACTACAACCCATTCAAGCTGAAATCTTCAGTAAAAGTCTTGCAATTTGGAGAAAACAAAAATTTATCGATTGATATTGACCTACAGGACAGTGAAAATCCTAAATATTTAGGGTGTTATGCAAAAGAAATATTTATACTAATTTACCGTGAATAGCATTTTTATTGAGCCAGAAACCAGCAGGCTTTGCCAATTTGGCCAAAAAGTTCTCCTTGGTGGATTATTCTTCGTAAATAAATATAGAAATCTCAAACGAATAGAAACGTCATGCACTCCTCAGTATGGCTATATAAAGCAGCAGTTCCAAATCACAGAAAAAATGCGAGCAATTCTTATAGACTGGATAATTGACGTTCATAACAAGTTTCAGCTTAAGCCTGAAACTTTGTTTCTGACTGTAAATCTTATTGATAGATACTTAGAAAGGTCACAAATAGCAAAAGAAAACCTTCAATTGGTCGGGGTAACTGGCTTGTTTATTGCTTGCAAATATGAAGAAATATATGCACCATATGCAAAGGATATGGAAAAAGTTACAAGTAATGCGTATACAAAAAGCCAGATTATTGATATGGAAAGAAACATGCTAAAAGTGCTGGAATATACTAATTATATATAAGAATAACACTTATTTTTGCTTATAAAAATAAAGACTTAAATAGTTTAATAGGAGATATAACATTACAGTAACTTCTTCCTATGAATTTCTTGAAAGATTTGCTCGAATTGTGATGATGGAAAGCAGAGCTCATAGCCTGGCAAGGTATTTTATAGAACTTTGCTTATTAGACTGCAAAATGATAAAATTCAGCTCATCTACAATGGCAGGATCTGCTGTATATTTGTCTCACAAAATGCTAAAATTTATGCCGGCTTGAGATCATAGACTAGAAGAGGAAAGCCAATTGACAGAGAACGATTTAAGAAACTGTGCAAGAGAGATGTGCGGACTGATCCAGGGGATTAAAAAAACTGGATTAGAAGCTATAATAAGGAAATATTCATTACCTAAATATCATGAGGTCGCAAATATCGAAATGCTTATGGTGAGGTAAGGTATAATTTGTAATATTTAAAGCATTTGCTATTAAATTTTTTAATTTCCGAGCTTTATATAGTATTTTCTATATAGTCTAAAACATAAAATTCCTGTATATATGAAAAATTTGCATATTTCCCATAATGCTCCCTTCAAAATCTATAACTTACGGAAATAAAGGCTCATTCAGAAAAACGATTTTTCAAGCTGCAGCTATAAGCACATACTCCAAAGAAGACGCCTATGAAAAAATGAACTCTTTTAAAAGTATTGGGACTGGCTGCATATGGGCAGGAATTATATATAGAGTTAAAGAATCAGAAGATTTTTATGAAGAAATCAAAGGTGTAGGACAAAAGCTATTATCCTTGGCTAGCAAAATGGGAATTTCTGATATTGTGCTAGGTGTAAGAATTTGAGAAAAAGGAGAAATTTCTAGCTATGACCTTGCCAGGATGGTTTTAGAAAGAGCTAAAGAGCTAATTGACTATATTTTTTCTCTGCCTGAGCCAATTGTTCCTCCCCCTCCAAATCCACCTTCTGTACATATAAAAACCCCTTCTCCTTCACCATCGCCTTATCCTTCTACTATTAGTAGAGCCCCAACCCCAAGGCAGCCCAAAAAAATTGAATCCGAGCTTGACCGAGCTTTAAAACGGCTTTATAAGATTGTGGATGAAATACAAGAGACTGATATGGCAACTATGAAAGAATTAGTGAATCATTCACATATTGGGAAAGTTTTATGCTTAATTTATTAATATTGGCACTTTTTTATTAGGAATTCTCATTAACCATATTTATTTTTTTATGATATATTTGGTCTTCACAGCTTGATAGAAAAAGATCCAAGCTTAAAAAGATCAGTTAAATTTTTTGAATTAAAAGACGTTAAAAAACTCATGCATAGACTAGACCCTACTACAATTTCAAATTTCAAGCTAAATCAAACAATTTTCGCGCTAAAATCAAGGCCAAAAGTCAATTTCCATTCATTAGAAAAAATCTCTCACTGTGCAGCATTAATTTATAAGTACCTAAAAACTTTTATTAACATCAGCCACGGCAATTATACAGACGTTTTTGCATTAAAATTTGAAAAAGAAGAAAAAAAGCTTCCCAAACTGAAAAAAAAATTGACAACTTTGAGCAACACCCCAAGGATTTGGAAGCCAAGGCTAAAAGAAAGAGGAAGTCATTTACCGTTCAAAGAGGTATGAATTAATTAGTTATATGGCTTTTTCTTTTGAAGAATATATGGTGCCTCATCCTGTAGGGATTTTTGAAGATAGGTTTGCGTCAGAGCTAGATCATTATGATAAAAAGTTTGGCAGAAGAAGCTTGGATCTTGATGAAAATATAAAAAAGAAAGAAATTAAGCTGAAAAATCTTATATAATTTATAGTAAATAGAGCCTTTTATAATATAAATGTTTTCTTATTGCAAATAGTAATAGAATTAAACATTTTATGTAGAGAAATAAAATCATTATAAATTTAAATATGAAAATTGATAAATTAGTGGATCGAACACTAAATAAATCAATTGCTGTAGAAGTTTCTAAAGAAGAAGCCGAATTTATAATGGATGAGCAGGATCTAGAGGATCAGCCTATTAATAAACTTATGGGGCTTGTACAAGTATTAGAAGAAAGTAGAAAAAAAAGAGATTCACTTGCTGAGTAAACTGTAATATTTCATTTTTGTGGCAAAAATCTTAAATAATAATAATTTTTCCTCCCTGAAACCTCCAAATTTCATATTTCTCTTCATTTTTTCTTATTTTTATACACAACTTTATCAATCCATATAAAATTAGCTAAATGGAAAACTCTTTAGACGAAAACAGCATAAGCATTTCTCTAATAGAAGGCACAGAGGCATCCCCTCTTAACCCAAGCTCTTCAGTATCTCTAAAAAAAGATCACTGGTGTTTGCTCAGAAATGTCCTAAGAGCGGTAACTCTTTTTCGGTGTCACGATGTAGTCCCAAATCAAGATGCCGATCAGGTCGTTGGAGAAATTCAAAAAATCCCAACTGACTACGAATACAGAAAAGCCCAATCTCTAAGACGAGATTCCTCAGCTTATTCAGTTGCATTAAATGACTTATTCTATTTTCCATATATATATTCTTTATAATATAAAAGTAAAAATTCATTATAAAAAAGCATAAGACGAGAACAACGTTGATTTAATTGCCTTGGGAGAGGGACTCCTGAAGATATTGAACACTTAAAAGAAGAAATCATAAATGATCCTTATCGGCATTTAAGGATAAGCAACCATCCTCTGTCACTTTTAAATAAGAGAAACAGAAATGGGATGACCCCGCTTTATTTGGCAAGCATAAATGGGAATTATGAAGTTGTAAAACTTCTGCTGGACAGTGGGGCTGACCATTTGATTACTTCTAGTGTTGACAATGAAGAAGTCACTTGCATTGAAGCAGCGGCAAGGCTGAGACATGCAAAAATTGTGGAACTTTTGGCTGCAAAGCAGTGGCCTGAAAAAGTCATTGAGAAGGTTCTAAGCGATAATAAATCACAAAATGTGGAAAATATTGTAAGAAAATGCAGCAAAAGTAAGAAAAGCAAAAAAATGTGCTGCTTTGGAAGGTTTTAAGGTAACCTTTATTATTAAAGGTTTAAATTTTGGTAAATGATAGTAATTTTAATAAAATTTGGCAGGATCTTAATATATGCAATGCTGTATGTGTGGGATTAATTGGGATGCTCTAAAGTTTGCTATTTCTTCTTTTGCAAAGGAAATTCTTTTCCGCTTCCTTCATGCAAGAATAATTGTTCTAATATAGTAGTCTAAGAGCCTTAAAAAGAGATATGATTCTATTAAATCTCTTTCAATATGTTATGGTGTAAATTAAACTGGTTTCTATGCTAATTGTATCCTATTCGAGTAAATAAGATTTAGTTAAATTTAAGCTTGCATAGTTAGTGTAATAAAAATCAGGAAGCGCTAAAAATGTGTTTTGGTAATTATCAGTTGAGTAAGGGAAAATGCTATTCATAGAAACCTTTCACAAGATTTTCCCCAAAATATAAAATAAACTATTTAATAACCGTAGCCTTGTTTAGCATTTTGATTAAACTTTACTAACTCCCCCCCCCCCCTCCGTGAGCGAACAAAAAAAATTTTGTTCGCTCACGGAGGGGGTTAATTTTTTTTTTTAAAAAAAATTTATATATAAATTTTATATAAAAAATATTTTTTTCGAAATTTAAAAAAATCCTAATTTGCAAAAATTGGGAAGCAAATATTAATTTAATTTGCAAAATTTATGTTTTTAAAACGCAATTTGTTTAAAATTAAACAGAATTAGCTCTAGATTTCATTATACTAATTATCACTTATATATCAAAATTTTTTTCCATTAAAATTTTTTCTATTAAAAAAATTTTTGTTCACTCACGGAGGGTGGGTTTTTTGGTCAAAAAATGGCGATTTTTCTAATGGTTTTGTTCGCTCACGGAGGGGGGGGGGGAGTAAGTTGAAACTATATTACTTGTTGCCGTTTATATTAATTTTGTATATTCAAAAATTTCGGCTTCTTTTTGAAGTTAAGCCATATTTTTTGGAAAATCATCATAAAGTCATTAAGAAGAGCTGAATTACTTTTCATTTTAGGTTATTTTCTCATCTTTATTATTCATAAAATTAATATAAATTATCCTAATCAATCAAGTAACTATTGTTAGCATCTAAGCTCATCTTATGCTTGGAAAAAAATTCATCATAATGTCCATCATTTTTTGATTTGAAGATAAAAGATTGCATATATCAGACCTATGATAATAATATAAACAGAATAGTTATTCAATTTGTTTCCATGATCGAAATCGTTTGATATATTTATTTTTTCCCCAAACCCTGCATAATTTATGCTTTTTATTATCTCCTTTAATAATTAAATAAGGCGTCTTGGCATGGGCATGGTTTCTCAACTATTCAGTCTTGAGCACATATTTCATTATATAAGGCAAGGTTTTGCCAACCCAGAAATGGACAGAAATATCAGGTAACAATTCCGGCAGTGTGTGGAGCCTGATCCAAGTCTCTTTTCAGAATTTGATTTTACCTGGTGGGGAATGAAAGGCTTATAGTTGGAAAGGGGTCTTCTGACCTTTCGAGCATATTCTAGCGTGAAACCAAGAGCTACGCCTTTGGTCTGAGTTAGACCTTTTGCCGACAGTCTACCAGAAATTCCATTTTTTGGATTTTTTGTGCAGGCAACCGTTGAAGCTCGAAAGCCGGAAGGACAGTGTTGAAATCCGAACGCCCGAAGCTGAGGGACTATCAGATCAAGACCAGGTGGTGGACAGCGCTTTGTTGACTGGGAAGCCCGTGAAGGTGATCGGCATTGGACATTAAACAAGGTATAGCGTATTAATTTATATATGTATGCTTATCTCTTCCATAACGGTATTCATTTTCTATAATATGAAGAATTTCTGTATTGTTACAAGCGGAATTATTTCTGGATTAGAAATAGATTCTGAGAAAATTCAAAGTTCGATCCTTATTCTTCAAGCAATTATATTCTAAAAACTTAGAGCAATCTCCTCGAGTAATTCTATATATTTTTTGTCTCTTCATTTTTTGAATCTATTTCGTTTTGCTTCAAAGCCTGCTTATAATATCAAAAAAATTAGCTGTTAATAATTGTTTATATATAAAAAATCCGTTAAAGCAATTTAATTAATTAAAATGGAACTGCTTGAAGATTTGATGCATAATTTTGATATAGAAATTCAATAGTATTCCAGTCAAGGATATTCCAAAACTTATTGACATAAGAAGCTCGATTCCACAAATATTCTAGATATACAATTCTAATAAAATTTGCCTTATTTTTTATAGTCTTATCAGCTTAATACCCTATTTCGAGCAAAATAAACCCTTATTATCTCTTAAGATATTTTATTCCTATTTAAAATCTTATAATAAGAATGCTCCCATACATCATTTACTAAAAAAGGGTAGCATTTTTCTCCATCAATCCCCATCAGTGGGTTTATATTAAGTTTTGTCGTCCTTATCTCAATCTGTTTTCCCTGATTCACACAAAGCCAAATCCATCCTGACCCAAATAGTCCAGTCGACTTTGCCATAAACTCAATCTGAAACTTAGTCCAATTTCCCCACTGGCTCACAATTTGTTCCAATAACACCCCACTTGGCTTTTCTGACGAGCACTGTGGGTTTGTCAGCATCCACCAATAAAGTAAATGGTTATAATGCCCGCCTGCGTAATTTTGGAGATCTTTGTCAGTATAAGCTGATAATTGTAAATCAGCCAAACTTTTATGATGAAGCTCAGGATTTAGTTTGATATAGTCATTCAGGGATTGGACTATTTCTTTGTGGAGATTCCCTTGATGCGATAATAAAATATCAGAACTCAGGATCGGCTGAAGAAAATCTTGTGGGTAAGGCAATGGGCTATGTGTAAAGTTATAGGCAGAATTTGAAGGAAAATACTTCTGTTTCTTGCTACATATGTGCTCGTCACATGTCTGAGAGCTGATAAGCACAAAGCTGAGAGAAATCAATAATAAAATGCTAGCACTCATAATTTTCTTATAAATTTACCTTTATCTATCTTTTTTCCTTAATTTTGATAAAAATTTATACAAGCCTTTATTATCAGCTTATTTAAAATATAACCAAAATAAAAAACAAATGGTCGACCACTTTATCAAAGAACTCAAGGAAAAAGAAGCGATTTTAGACACCCGTAAAACAGATCTAGGGCTAATAGAATGAGTTCACAAAATCCACCCTGTAAATCAGTTTATAAGGAAAAATTTCACAGACCCAAACTATGAAAGCCAAATTTTAAATAAAGTAACCCATATAGAAGAACAATAAAATGGCAGCATATCGCAAAGGCTTGGTATCAGAAATGCTGGGGAAAAGGCAAGCAGTCTCATTAGTTTCTTCGCCGACGAAGATGAAGAAAACGTGGATTTCGAGGCCGAAGTCAGGAAAAGCAGTAAATAAGCACAGAGAAATGGAGCTTATTCAGCAGATAAAATTTGAAACAAAAAATAGCATTACTGAACTGTTGGGGAGTGGAGTAAATTTATATAAAGGAATTGCTGAAATTTCAAGCCATTTTATAGTGATATTATTGATAAAAGGGTAGCATTGGCGAAATATAGGCTATATATAATAGAAAATAGAAATTTTTATGGATAGTATAGATACTAAGCTATCCGAACAGTATAAAATTCATACAAATATGCCTGAAACTCTTATATTTGGCTATGGTTTTGATAGCCCTACTCTATTATACACAAATGACGACGGTATTCTCCAAGCTCAGCAAAAATTGTCGATTTCTCAGATTGAAATAGTTATACAAATTTTAGAAACATGAAGGCTTTGTAATTATAGCGGGGTAGCTTGTCCTTTGTGTATTGTGATCACCCCGAATAGTCAATATAATAAGATTGTGATGAGAGAAAATGAGCTTAAATAAAAATTCAATTAAGGAAATGAAATCTTTTTTGGGGAAATAAGATTTATTTTCCTATATAAAAAAGAAAATCATTGAAATACAAATAAGCGAATTTTCACCAATAAATATGCCTTTTCTGTATTAATGCATCGGCATTATGCAGCTTCAAGTAATAATTAGGAAATAGAAAGCTGGAGACCTTTTATATATAAAAGATATATATGAAATAAAAAATTCGTATAAAAATGATCTAATTATTCAAAGATATATTTTGCCAAAAGGAAGAAAAGCTTCAAAAATCAGGATTGTTTGGACATCAAAAGACCTAAAAATCTATAAAATCACGAATATAGATAGAATGGACGGCAAAAAGGAGCAGATCCCGGCTCCTTGTCATTTGATCGAAATATATTGATTTTTTTTGACATTTCCTAGGGTATTTTTGTCCTAAATTTTCCATAATGATAAATTCCATAGAGTTTTACAGTTTATTAAAAGAAAATGTCTCACGAGTAAAAAGTTAAAAGTCTTATACAAAAAAAAATTTCTATAAAATGATTATCAACAGCAGAACCCACTAGACAGTGTTTATTATATCAACAAAACAATTGACACTCGGAAAAAATATGGAAGTGAAGGTACTCCCCTTACAAATCATATTAAAGTCAGCAAAAATAACCTAGAACAGTATAATAAATTATTAGAGAATGTACACTTTAATACATAAATATGTCCCAATAAGTTTATTTAAGAAACTTCAGGACATTCACAATGAATATAAATATAGAAATTTTGATAACAAAAGAAAAGAAAACTAAATCAACCACACACTCAAGCGAGCAAAAATCAAGGGACGCAGGATGATTTGAGCATGATTATGATGACAAAGCCAAAAATTTTCCTTCTAAATTGCTTAATAAGTCTATGTTTGATCAACACCCATCAAAGGGTATACATAAAAAGTCAAATTCTTCACAAAAGATAAAAAGCGCTGATGAAGATCTGCATGCATATATAAAAGACTCAATTCTTGGGTTTTCGCCACCTGTTACAATAAAAAAATTATATCAAAATTTGTTTAAAATACCTCATCTAGCAGAAGAGGATGAAGAGTTTTCGTGTGATGGCTGTGATTTTTCTCATAATTTTGGAAATAAATTAAAGAATTAAATTAAACGGCTATGATGGCCATAAGCGGACAAAACACTAGCCATCGCCCATCTTTGCTTAAAAAGTCACCTGCTCAAGGAATTATATCCTAGCCCGTCTGCAAAATGCACAGATGGTCCCTTTAAGAAGAATCCATGCGGTAGGCAGAACCTGTCTAGCCCATCTGGCATGAGCAGGAAAACCTAAGGCAAGAAACAAGGCACCCTGCTTCTGCAGGCCTCCGATTCGAGCTAACGAAGCGCTTACTTTCGCCACTAATAGCGCTGGCCCACCGCTCGATCAGGAGGTGTCGCCTTTGAGTTCTATTTCTGTCAACCTAACCATTTTATTCCTAATAAATTAAGGAATATGTATTGCACTGATTTCCTTGACCCTGACAAATCTGCTATTTATGAAATAAAATGCATAAAAAGCTATGAAAAAGCTATAAAGCAGCTTCATGAAGTAAGAAAGGCTGTCAATTCATTTTTGGTTCAAAAAGAAAATAAGACACTTAGCCAGTTGGTGCTGGATTTTGCCGAAGACCAGTCCAATAATTTTTATTTTTTGAAAATTAAAGCATTTCAATGTGAACAAAAAATCAATAAAACTATTCACCAAAAACAAAAAAATTTAAGTCAAAGATAAAGCAGCAAGATAGATTAAAAAAATTAATTTACCACGACCATAAGCGGTATCTCACTAGCGGATTATTTAACTCCAGGAAAGGTGGCCTTGCTGGTTACGTTCACACAAAGTGCAAATGGTGTAAGGCCCAGCCAAATTCTGCCTTCTCAAATTTTCTGGCGAAACTCAACTAACCTGAGGATTAGCTCCCTAAATTAGAGCCACTCTTTGATATGGGGAAAAAGCTGTAACCTCAAAGTCCAGCTTCCGTCAACTTCACCCATTTTAACTATTAAAACATCAAGACTTATACTTATTTCTAACAGATTTAGGCAATATAACTAAGTTACCAAAAATTAAAAATTAATCCAAGAGAGGATATAGAAGTTTCCTATGTTTGGCGCTGTAAGGCCGATAAAAATTCTGATCGGAATTTATCGGTTAGTTGCACCAAATCAATGCCTTGGTCGGACCAAAAAGCGATTTGGTCCGACGAACTTGGAAAGCTCCTGGAAAATGTCTGCGCTTTCAGCGCTATATAGAGGAAACCTCTATAAGTTTTTATATGCCAAGGCAAGCACTGTTCTAATTCTGTATCCGATTCTCAATTTTTTGGAAATGATTCATTAAATTTTACTACAGATTTTGATAAAAGTGGAAAATTTCTAATTTTAAGAGGAAATATGATAGATGATAAAAATGAAGAAAAAGACTTGTCACAGATGCTTAATCCTAGGCTTTATGAAAGAGTTCCTGTATGCCGCAACTGCTATAATACTTATAAACTAAGGGATAAAGGAAATATCAGCCAATATCAAAAAACAATTCTTCTGACTAAAAATAAAGAAAAGAAGCAAAAAAATATTGAGCAATTAATAGAAGAAATCAACCCACTGATAGCTGAAAAGTGCACAGAAAGCTCAAATACAGATTTTCTGCTAAAAAGAAGTGAGTCATTGCCATTTCGAAGACAAGCTAAAGCTGTAAAATCTGAAGTATCGCAACCACCATGCCAAACTAAGCTCAATAAAGTAAAATCCTCATTATTGAGTCCAAAATCAACACAAGCAATTTATTTCAAAAAAAAAATGATTGAAATTCGTCAAGCTGCCAATGAGTTAGAATTTCCTACACATCTTAATAAAACTTCATTAATATAAATAAAATTGCAAGATGGTGTTTATGAGTGAAGTTCTCAATTATATTAGCTTTAAAACAAGGATAAACCCATCCAAACTTTCTCATTTCACCCCAAACAACTTAACACCTGAAATGAGACTGACTTTGGCTAAACATAGAATTTGGGAACATATTATAGGAGGAAATGTAAGAACTGGGCTTAGATGGCTTAGAGGTCTCCCTAAAGGACAAAGCAAACTTGACTATTTTAAAGGCGCCTTTGACTATGAGATGTTCCCTGTTGAACTTTCTGACCAAATCCCTCCAATTGCTGCAAAACAGATGGTGGCTGAGAAAAAAGCTTTGAGAGGCAGACAATTATGTTTCCTTCCTAAGAAGAGTGTGCATTCAGTTCCAAAATATGAAAGAAAGAGATACCTATGGAGAGAAGAAAGACGTAAGCAAAGAGAAGCTCAGTTTGGGAACAAAGCAACCACTCTTGAAGCCATGCGAAACAAAGATTACTAAAAATAAGCTTACTAGAACTTTAGGAAATTTTATAATTAAATGGCTCTTTCAGGACTGAAAAGCATGCTTGGAATCAAAGGGGAATCTAAAAAGAAGCAAGAAGCCTTTGAAAGCTCTGAAACCAGCCCAGAAATGGAGTACCTATTGATTTCTAGCTTGCAGCATTTAGGAATCCCAAAATATACAACAAAAACGTTCACATATGATAAAATTCAAGGGCTTGCTGCTGTTGGTACTTTGACTGGATCTATTAAAATTTTTGGAAAGCAAGGGATTGAAGCAATAATAGAAGGCGAAAAACAACACCCAATAGAATTTTTAGCCTTCATTACGAATAAAGGAGTTTTAGTGAGCAATAGCAATATTGGAAGAAATTTGACGTTTTGGAGCATTGAAGAGATGAAGGTATACTGTTATTTTACCCATTTTCTGTAGCAGATTTTGCTTTATATATATAAATATTCATATAATAAAGAATAACATTAACAATCCCAATTGATTTTCTAGTATCAAAGCTGTATTATCCGGAGGATGGAGACTTTATATATCTAGGCACACATGGAGGAGAATTAAGAGTATTAGATGTAGAGCAAAAAAGACTGACTGCTTATGGGCTAAGTTTTTCTCTATTATGTCCTGACCAAGCTGAAGACCCAATCATTGACTTATCATTTCACCCTGAAAAACCTGAAAAAATCTTAATTTGCTATGAAAATCGTGGAATCGTAATATGGGACTTCAAAAAAAATAAAGTAATTAAAAAGATCAACAACACCCAGCCTACCCATTGTGCAGCCTGAACACGGGATGGAAATTCAATTGTATGTGGCTTATGGGATACATTAAAATGGCGACAGGAGCCCTTTTCCTCAACACCTGTAGCCGGGGTCACCTGGGGACCTTGTGGAAGGGGAAAAGGCGCTCGGAGTGTGCATCCGGCTGGGTTTTACCTTGGCACAATGCAGCGCAACGTCGAATTTGGTCGACCGCAGCTCATTTTGTCACCAAGTGTTTTACCTCGGGGAAAAGGGTCTTCCAAGTTGGAAAGGGGAAGCTCAGCAGCATCAGGAGGTTCCTCCTGATCAATCGGGCAATTCCTAGCGCGATACCAGGCGTTGCGTCCTGGGCTTAGATTTCCTTTTTGGCCGACAGCCGTACCAGAAAATTTGTTTTTCAAATTTTCGGAATGGGCAACCTCGTTCTCACAGCCTCAAGCAAGGCCACAGAATTCCTAAATCTGCCCACTCAACACTGGAGCAAGGTGGTAGCTTGCAAGGAGGAGACGACCAACAGAACAGGCTAGCCATTAAGTTGGAGTCCTGTAGGCGGAAGTCACAAAGCGGAGGAACCTTCGGTCTGGGTGGCTGCGTTAACAAGTAACAGCTTAGCAGTTGATAATCTCGTAATTAGATTAAGATTAAGATGTGGCTTACGGGATGGATCAATTGCTTTTTGGAATTTAGAAGAAAAAAAGCCATTTATTTATAAATCATTAAAACCAGATCCAGATGTAAATGATATTAATTTAACTGCTATTGATACCATTATATGCATGGCCGACAAAACTATCGTTATGGGAGGCCAGCCCTTTAATTCCCCAAACCAAATCACTTGCTTTACAGGAGACGAAATAAATAATTCTTTTGTTTATACTTTGCCTTCAGAAACCCTTCCATTGCAGATTTTTCCAATTCAGAGTATTGATGATGGGGTAATTAAAGAAAATTTGGTGATTGTGACTCAGGATGCATCAATATTAATCCATGACTTTAAATCTCCTTATCCTTTTTACCCTACTGAAATATTTGGGCCTTTGCAAGTGTTTTGCAGTAGATATTATACGATGGCGAATAATGGGCAAGAAGTGATGAATTTGATAGAAAGCATGGCATCGCCTGAGTTTGAGCTTGTTCTTAATGGAGGCGTTGTGAGTGAAACTTATCAAGATATTTTTGGGATGCTTATAACAGCTCATTCTTCAGGATTGATAAGATTTTGGTGTGTTTCTAATGTAAGGACTTATAATTTGACGAATTTATACGATTTTCTGCTAAATTGGAATAAATAGGGAAATTAAGAATTAATTTTGTATAGAAAATAAGGAAATTTTTATTTTTTTTGAATTTAATTAATAGACTGCAAAATATCACTCCTCAGCCAAGAAAAAAATCCTTATTTTAGAGGGTCGATTTTTATTTTCAATGAAGTTGCTGATGAAAATTGTAAAATTTCTGCTCTTGAAATATCTATTGAAACCAAAAAGCTAATAGTCGCTTTTGATATTGGAAAAATAGGAATTTGGCAAATAGGAATTAATGAAATTAATTTATTAGGAATCCATCAAGTTCATACATCGCCAATCCTTGATTTAAAAGTAAAAGGGTCATTTATTATATCAGGGGATCTTGTAGGAGGATTATCAATATTTAATATGGATTCCAGCGAAATAATATAATCTTTTGCATAAATTTCTTTTTGATTTTATAAGTGAAATGATTTTTAAAATGTTAAAAAAAAATTTTAGCATGCCATAAACTCAGTTTTATATATTATGGCATGTCAAAATTTTTTTGAAATTTTAAAATTAATTTGGCATAGCAAAGCAAAATGAAATTTTACTAATAAATTATATATTCATATGACCTAAAAATCTCCAGAAAAAGCGAAATCTCAAAGCAACAAATATCTATAAGCCAAATAGAAATTTATGATAATATAGCTGCAGTTTCTGTATCTAATGGACTTGTGCATTTATTTGATTTTAATACTATGCAGCTGCAGCCTCCAGTAAAGTCTCCAAAAATTGACTTAAAATCTGAAGTCCCGAAGAGAAGCGATGTTGGGATCTTAAAAATGCTTTATACTTCAATAGACCAGCAAAAAGTCGTGATTGCTTATGAAAAAAGTATGCATCTTGTGCAGTGGCCTTCTCTAGAAGTCCAAGCTTCTCAATACTGGCTTACACCCATTGTCTCTACCAATTTACTTTATTTAAGAAGTGAGGTATACGCCGCCTTGCTGCATTCTGATGGTATGATGTCACTGTTAAGAACTGACAGTTTAGAAAGGATATGGAAATCAAAAATATCGATTCCGATTGAGTAATCTTTATTTAGAGCAAACTATAAAGAATTTAATATGTCATTTGATGGGCATTTTATAATAACTACAAGCTCTAAACAGATATTGACAGGCTGGCTTACGTTTTTTGATGAATCGCGAGCTGAGTGTAACTTATACCACAAAAATTATATTTTCTATAAAAAATTACTAGACATTTTTTTGCTAAATTTATGTAAAAAAAAGCATAGTTTTATTTAATAAAAATGCTAGCAATGACTTCAAAAAAGAAAAAAAATCATCAAAATTTTTAGGTTTCAAAGTAAATCGTGAGGTAAATTTTAATGGAATTTGTAAGAAATATTTAGTTGAAAAACCGAATAAAAAATGCTTGATACAAGAAAAAGAAATTGTAGAAGATAGACCACAAGAAGAAGAGAAAAAAGGACTTGAAGAGGAAATGAAAATGGGGGAATTAGGAAGCGCAATGGAAAAAGCGCTGCAAGGGGTCAAAGAAAGAGGAGAAAAAATACAAAATCTGGATGTCAAGATTAAAAATATGGCTGAGCAAGCTAAATCGTGGGCAGACATGATAAAAGAGCAAGCAGAGAAAGAGAAAAATAAGAAGTGGTGGCAGCTTTAATGTGCTTTATATTATAAATTAATTTATATTGAGTACATATAATATCATTATGTGCTAACAACCCAAACCAAGCTCAAACCAAATTACTTTATTTTTTAATTTAAAACAAATCCAAGTATTTTTTAAACCATGTTAATATACTAAAATTTACAATTAAATTTTTACAATTTAAAGATTTAGGCTAATAATTAAACTGCCTAAAATTTCAAGTTCAAGCCCTTCTACGTCATAGCCAAGCTCTATTAGTATATTGCTACAATCTATAACTCTAAAAAGGGGATAACCTGTAATGCTGCTTAATTCATTAAGGAGACTCAGCTTGCTAAGTAAAGGATTGGCATATCTTATTTCATTAGCATAGAAGATTTTACAACAGGTTGATGCTGATCTATCTTGATTTTCCATTATCTTTTTGCCTTTATTAAAGTTATAGGAAGAAAGTACTTCAGCTATTTGCCTCACTTTTAAATCAGAATTAGAATTTTGATTGACTTGATCATTTTCAATAGCATATATTATTTTTAGCGCATCTATACAGCCTAATATCTGTGGTTTGCTTTTATCAAGCATGCTATCAGCATCTATTGTCATAAAATCCTTGCAACTAGCAATAAGCCGCTTCTTTATCCAGTATCTAACTTCAATGTTAGTTTCAATGCAGTCCATTTTGTTTTTGCTGTTTAAAGCAATTGCTTCTGAGGCATTTTTAATCACGAGCTGCCTTTCATTAGGATTTGAACCTATTGTGCTTTGAAATTTGATTGCACGTGCTCTTATATCTTTTTTTTTCATTATTTCGGGAACTCCAGAGACAGGGTTGCTAAGCAGACTTCCTACAAAGGGAATAAGCTCTATAGCTACAAAAAAAGCATTGACCATAATGCTTGAATTATCAATTGTAATATCTCTCCCATCACAAATATTCTCTGCTTCGCTAAGAGCACTATATAATCTGTTGCTCAGAGCTGCTATATAGTTTTTAAGTTTAGAATTGCTTTCTATTACAGGATTTATCATTCTAAGATCGACTCCGCTTGCTTTTTTCTCCCCAAATTTTTGTCCTTGCATTCTAAGTTGACTAATTTCTTCTAACAGTCTTTTTTCAAACTCAACTATCTCTTTATTAGCGGATAGAATCTTTTGATGTGATTTTTCATCCTGCTGCTTTAATCTGATTAGATCAACTACATTTTCAATGATTTGAATATTCTGAGCCCGAATTCTTGCATTCTCATCATCAATTTGTTTTTGCAGCTTTGCATTGTCTCCAACAGCGATTTTGAGTTGCTGCAATTCCTCCTTAAACTCATAAAGCTTAGTAAGCTTGTCAAGCAATTGAAGACTATCTTTCTTTAATGCTTCATTTATATCGTTAATGCTCCCTTTTGAAAGGTTACTGCTGCCGTTTTGCTCTTCTTGCATCAAAGCACGAGCTCTGTTAAAATCATTCAAAGCTTCTTTATCCCTTCCAAGGCTATTAAGCACTATAGTGCGATTGAAATAATATAACAGCTCATTTGGGCGAAGTCTTATTGCTGCATCATAGCATTCTATCGCTTCCTGCTTTCTTCCTAATTCACTAAAATTAACACCTCTATTATTATAGGAAGCTGCATCATCAGGCTTAAGTCTTATGGCTGTGTCATAGCATTCTATCGCTTCCAATTTTCTTCCTAAATCACTAAGAGAATTGCCTTTGTTATAATAAGCTTCAATGTAATCAGGTTTAAGTTTTATCGCTTCATTATACAATTCTATTGCTTCTAATTTTTTTCCTGATTCAGTAAAAGAATTGCCTTTGTTAAAGTAAGCTTTAGCATAATCAGGTTTAAGTCTTATTGCAGCTTCATAGCATTCTGTGGCTTCTTGCTTTCTTTCTAAGCCTTTAAGAGCAACGCCTTTATTAAGGTAAGCAGAAGCATAATCAGGTTTAAGCCTTATTGCTGCATCATAGCATTCTATTGATTCAAGATTTCTCCCTAAGCCTCTAAGAGCAACACCTTTATTATAGTGAGAAAGAGCGTTATCAGGTTTAAGTCTTATTGCTGAATCATAACATTCTATTGCTTTAAGTAACTCGTTCTTCTGATGGTAGTTACTTCCTTTTGCTAGCCAGCCCTCATTATCTAGAACTTCTTTAGCCATGTCTTAACTTTTTTTTATTAAAATTCTCCAAAGAATTTGCTTTAATAGCTTGCGTTATAAACTTTGCTTTTTAAATTAAATTAAGTTTAATTAAAAAATCCTAAAAATTTTTTTAATTTCCATAATAAAGAGACCTGATAATAAATTTCAATTAAAAGACCATTCGCTCAAGAAAAAAATAGTTGTAGCTTTATTACCTATAAGGCATCTATCAAATTTTTATCCTTACTTTATAATCCCACAAAAGCTGATTTAAATGAGCTTTTTCATTATAGCTTATACAGTATTTAGCTTTGCATCTAAAAGCCTTTAATTTTCACAATTGAAGTTGCTTTAGAATCGTTCTTGAAGTGGCCATAATTACCTAATAAGATTAAAGCGTTGTTGAAATAAAATTTTAACTGTTCTCTGACATTTGATTCTGATTCTTTCCATTTTTAATTGCTAGATTTCCGAACTAATGCAAAATAAAAAATCAAATTTTTGCATAAATGGAAGCTCCTTGTCTGATATTACTCGCTGAGATTTTCAAGACAAAATAGCAGGCATAAGGCTCTTCAAAAAGGCTTTCTAGCTGGAATTCGCAGTGAGATTGGTGAAAATTTTTTTCTGCGATCTTTAAAATTCATTCGAATAGGCCTGATTTTAAGGTCTAATGGCCATAATTTAATTTTAGTTTGTCTGATATTCAGGAAGTAGTGGAATTAATAATAGTCTCACTATCTATTAGCTTCAATATGAAACAATCTGGAATCCAAAAAACTCCAAATTCCTTATTGTTATTTATCTTAAAATTTAATTTAATTATACTTTGCTTCTTCCTCAGGCATCATCTGAAATAAATCATCAGCTATTTCCATAACTTTTTTAGATTAGATTATTCGGAAGGTATTTAAAGTTACTATTCAGCTGATTGCTCCTACGCTTCGGAGAGTAGTGTGCTATGTTGGTAAACAAAAAGAGATGAACTTAATGCCCTAGGTTTAGGACTCAATTCAATAGGAAGCAGCTCACGATTCATTTCTATGCTGCTAGACATCGCTAGGATATATCAAACCCCAAAAAAGTATTCCTGATATATCATAAAGGCACCTGAGAGAACTAATTTTGGCTTCCGACCATTTTATGTATATATTCCTAACTTTAAGAGACCTATTATGAATGTCAATGCTTTCTAGCATTTCCATCATACTCTCATCAATTAATTTCTGCGCATTTTTTTCAATTACTTCATCATTACTGTCCTATTTAGTTTTTACCAGAATTATAACATATTCAATTATTTTTCATAAATTTAGCGCAATAATATAATAACTTTTAAAAGTATACTAGTTTACGATGAATAGTCCACTAAGGAGCATTTTTGGTTAGCCAGAATCAGCTGGCTTGTCAAATTATTTGCAAGGCATAGTATTTGGCAAACCAAAAATGTATCTTAGTGTGTGATTCTTCATAAATACATATAATAGTCATTCACCCCTACTATAAATCAATTAAGTGCTCCAAGAGCCTACACAAAATTTCATCAGAGTCCCCATCTCTAATAAGCAGCTGTATCAAATCATGTGCTCCTTTATTTTTAAAAAAAATTGACTGTGCAATCTCATTCCCTTTATAAATTCTCGCACAAGTAGCAGCTGACAAAAGCCTTAACTGCTTAGTTTGACAGGAAAGAAAAGGTATTAAATTTTGTAAAATATTTTTTGAAATTAATTCATGTTTCAGCTCATTTGTGGTATTATCAAGAGAATGATAAAGAAATAAAAAAGAAAAATCTCTTTGGTCTTCTGTCCCAGATTTTATGCTTAAAATAAGGTGATCTTGGATATTTTTCAGAATTTCTTGCACTGATGAAGGATCATCTCAGGCAGCTTCTGCTAAATAAGCTAATGCTAAACTTCCTATTGTTTCCGGGGATTTTGCTCAGCTTTGCCTTATTTTCAGCTCATTTTGATCTATTTTGTCGGTAACGTAAACTCATTTAGAAATTTCTAGTCATTTTGTATCAGCTTTTAAGGTGTTTAGTGCGAATAGTTGAGAGTCTTCTTTTGGAGCGGCTTCTGGGTCTGTGTTTTCTTTTTGCATTCTTATTGGAGATTGAGTGGCCGATTGTACAACGAAATCTTGAGACAGCATAGCTTCTACGTTAATATTTCTTCTAATTTTCCTAGACTTATAATTTGAGCGCTTTTGAGGAGGCTTGTCTGTCTCTTGGGATGCTTCTCGACCTTCACAACAGCCCATATACAATTTTTAAATAATTAATTAGCAATAAAAACGGATTTGACAGAGATAAAATTTTGTTATGAATTAATGATTTTTTGCTGCTTTGTGAATCTTTTGATAATTAATGGGATTATTTGAAGCTGGAAATACCAAAAAAGGCTCATAAATTATAAAGAACATTAATAAATTATATAAAACTTACTATAGAATACAGCGATTTTTGAGCTATTACAGAAGGCGGCTAGACTATTTTCTACTAATATAAATTTTTATTGGCATTGCTTTAGGCTTTTCTAGCATTTTTGTTTCATATTTACCAAGATTTATAGAATCAATATCCATTTCTATAAAAATAATGTCGGAGACCAAAAGTCTTAATTGTTATGATGCACTCTCAAATGATAGCTCAGCACTCTTCAATTCAATAAATAGCAGCACAGAGCTTAGTGCATCCCATCCATCAGACGAAATCTCAGCTTCTGGCTGCTGCTTTTCATCTTTTTCCTACAATGAAAATTTCGATCCAAACACAAAAAAGGCAGGAAGAAGAACTGGTGACGACACCATAATTCTGAGTCTTTTTTCTAGAGAGAAAAATAATAGGCCACCTAAAAAGGAATATCTGAGATGCCAACTTATCAGAGGCCACAAGCGAATGATAAGAAATTTAGGAAGTGACATAATCCCAAGGAAAACTTTATAACAAATTAAATAAATAAAAAAAAAAATATCTGATAGGCTAAAAATAATTTTTTTTAAAATTATATCATAATTTATGTTTAATTATATTTGTATTGGTATAAATAAAGCAAAAATCTGCAGAGAAATCTTTGAAACTTATAACAAGCTGAAAATTTGCTATGAAAAAAATAAAGAAGTGCTAAACAGAGCTTGCCAAACAATAAATGGGCCTAAAACAGATGGACAAGCCAAGAGACAGAAAATTAAAGAAGATCGTGATATAAGTCGAAGCTATAATAATAAGTACTGCAAGTCATATTTTGAGTCCTCTGAGGTGAGAGAAAGCTATCAGCTATATATAGATTATTTATTTGCAAATGCTGGCCCTAGCGAGCTTTCAAAGAAATTCAAGTTTTCTTGCTGCAAGTCAGAAAAGCATAATGATGAGTGTATAATAAAATGAAATATCCTGAGACATTATGTGAGCTTAAAAATGATCCAAGATTTAGGAGTTCGACCGTGGCAGTATTGCGATGTGACAGTTGTCAACCAAGAAGAGGAAGGTATTAGTCAAGAAAATTTGAAAATAAGCATCTTGACTGATTAGAAAACAAATGGAATTATCGAAATTCATTGATAGGAATAGAAGTCAAATGGTGAGCGCATAAGTGTTAATTAATATTACAAACTTTTTATGAAATTGGCTTATGCTAAGATAAATTGTAAGAACCCTTCTATAATATAGTGAGCAATATTGAATATTAAAGCAAAATTGCTCATTTTAAAAAGTCAGTGTTAGATTTTTATCGAAATCAAGGTTATATTAAAGATTTTTGGCTCATAATTAATTTAATTAAAATATGCTGGTGTGTAATTTTCTGGTCTCTCAAATGAGGCTTGATTTCCCTTTGGTGAATTTATCAAGCTATGTCAAAGAAGCGGACTGAGTGGTTTTTCCTTTCGGAATCTTGGCCATAGGAATCGAAATTTCCAGAAGCGAAGAAGTTAGAGACTGGGACATTTAGAGTGCTTGACAAACCCAAATAGGTTGCCTGAGCTGGAGTTATCGAAGGTCAAATCCTAAGGCCGGCTTCTCTTTGTAGACAAATTCAAAGTGGCCACACTTTGGCGCCATGGTAGCGAGCAACCTGATAGTAGACATTATATATAATAAATCTAACTAAATTGATTCATAATTAATTTAAAAACTAATAAATATAAATAAAATGAAAAATCAACAATTCAACCCTAGGGTTTCTATGATCATCAATCAAAGAAACCTACAATCTCAAAATTCTTTTAAACAATGACGAGCATGCGAAACAATCCACACCATTTTTGCCATAGCAGGGCTTATTCTGGCAGGAATTGACTACGAAATAAATTATTCTTCTTTTCGACCACAGGGTGGGTTTTTGCCTTATCTGGGCACCATGACAGGCTTTTTTATCCTCATCAAAGACGATAAGATCGAAAACGAAAAGCTGGCTCGCACTTTTGGGAAGCAATATGGGCCTGCTAAAGGCAAGTTAGTCTAGAAGTAAGCATGTCGAACGCTTATCCCGTACTCTGAGCACTACCGAGGGTAAGTCATCCATTCCATACTGCAGAGCTAGTACCAAACGTGATCTTGTGAGTATCCCTGAGAGGTTGGTGACATCGACAAAAAGGGCCTGGTGAATGATACCAGTGCTTAGGGCCATCTCTGCCTGAAGCCGGCTTGGCTTGAGAGGGGCTGAAATAATCCCTAGTAACCCGCTATAATTTAACTAATCTAATCTTTTCGAACAGCATCAAATTGCCTAGAAAACAGCACAGCTGATGAATTTTTTAGGCTCATCATTACATTTGCTACATTGGTGTCTATTTTCTTTTTATTGCTCAGGTATTTCATTAAAAATAGCTGAGAGGAAGACCTTGAGTATGAAAAACATAACCTTCCAATCAGACAATCACAGATTCTAATTGATGAAGAAGATGAATGAAATAAAAAGCAAAATTTTAAATTTCCAGGAATTTTGTGCCTGGAAATCTTATTATTATTAGTTTTTCCATACCCAAATGTTTATTGGAAATTTTATGTTCCATTGAGGTATAATTTTGAGACTTATCAAACTTGTTATACACTGCTTGAAGTGACTTATTTTATTATGCATTTTCGATGCATTTTTTTACTTCGAGCACTCGCAAACTATTCTCCTTATGAAAATTATTTAGCCAGGCTTTATTGCAAAAAGCATAATGTTAGCCCTGATATTAATTTTTCTTTTAAATGTAAACCATTAAAAGAGACTTTTTTAGGCATTTAATAATTAATACCTAATATTTTATAGAATAAGACGTTTTCTGCATATCATTTTTATTAAAAATCAGCTTAAAAAGAATATTTTTAGAAAAGCTCCAATTATTTGGACTATCATTGCAATCCAAATTCCAACGATTTTTTTGCTTGGAACAACTCTTAGGGTGATTGAAAGGCCACTTTCTAATATAACAGAGCAAGATTTTGCTAACCCATGAACTGCATGGTACTTAATTTTCTGTATGATGGCAATTCTTGGTTTTGGGCCTGTTTGGCCGTTTACTGTTTATGGGAGGTTTATTGGCTGTATTCTTGGCTACGCAATAGGGAGGTTTGGGTTTACTATGCTCTTTTATAAGTCAGAAAAGTCTATAGTGTTTGATGAAAAGCAGCATCAAGCTTTTATAAGTATTTTAGGCACATCTGCTGCTGCCACTGTGATACAGAATGGAATGAGATATATGATATCAAGGAAAAAAAGAGGGCCTGAGCATCCAATGACTGTTGATTACTTTTGGAAATTAAAGACCGCGATATTGGAGTTTAAAGATAAAAAAGATGAAGTAAGGGTCCTTGATAATACACAGGATAAAATCGCAAGGGATTTAAGACAGTCTATTAAAAATATTGATGCTAAATTGGATATACCTTAATAAATTGTATCAAAAATTTATTAAATATTTTAAATGTGAAATAGGATTTAGGTATGAGATACTATTATAGAGAGATGGTATAGATCAATTAAGCAAGCAGAGAAGTTATTAAGAGCGCCTATTGAAAAGAAAATTGCGCCTGATTCTTAGTTTTAAGATAAATCTTAATTACTCATTGAAATAATCAAAATTTTTATTTATTTTGAAGTTTTATGTATTTTTCTAGGAGAAGGTTCAGAAATTTTGGAAGGGTTTTCACAAAAATCTTGAGTGGTAATAGGATGATGCAAAATAATGTTCTTTCCTTTTCTGTTGGCTTGATTTTCAAGAGCTGCTCCTAGGCTTGAAAGTTTTTTCTCAATTTTTACAATTTCATCGACCTTTTTGGTCTTCTTCTTTTCATTTCGTTTTTGAGCGGGCTGAGAGCCTCCAGTTTGCCAAGGTAAGACTCTTTTATTTTTGCTTTCTTCTGTCATTCTTATTGATGTAGTCTAATTATAAAATATGCCCTCTACATATAATTAATTTATAAGTTTGATATACTACGATTTATTAATTTTTTTATATGGAATAAATTTAATATATTTATGTAAAGAGTATATTTATATAAAGCTTTCCCATTTATTTCGGATTTAATTTCTAATTTCATAATTCTCCCCTTTTTAAATCGGAACAAAATATTAGTAAAATTTCTATATTTTTGGTACTTTAGCTCACCTTAAATTTGAATTTTATAGGTGAAGACATTAATTTTCATAAAATTAATTTCTACCTTATTTAATGAAAAAAGCGTAAGTAAATAGATTTCGCACTGAATCGATTAATTTTATTGAATTAATTCTATATAGTAATAAATTAAAATTTAAAAATAATGTGCTCAATTTATATTTAATAAAGAAAAATTTAATATAATTTTTTTATTAACCCCTTTAAATTTGACTAGTGTTTTTTTGCTCCAATTATAATGGAGGAGTTAGCAAATCATATTATATCACTTAAAAACCTTTATTTATTCCTTGCAATTATGCAAAAAAATCTGAAGTGGAAAGGTAGATTTTCGTAAATTTTTATTATAGTCAGTCAGGCTAACTAACCCATAAGGCATTTTTTTGGCTTGACTAAAACTCTTTTTTCCCTGCTCAGATCAGTTTTTATCCACCATTTTTTTATAAAATTATAGTGTTATGAGCCTATTTATTCTAAATGCTATATATTTTTATAGAATTTACCAATATCCTAGCAATAAATAGTAATTTTAATTTAAATATATTACTTGAATACAGTTTGGCTTATATTTAAAACTTATCAATATATTTAATCATGTCACTATTAAACAGAATTAACGGCTACTAGGTCCACATATAATCCCTCTCAATTTTCTTTATTTTTATCTACGTCATTAATAAAATGGACAAACTTATCGCCTTCAGCAACAAAACAGAAGGCAGAGATAAATTTTGCAAGGTCGTGCAATATGGAAGCAGAATGTTAAAGGCTATGCTCGCCCATCCAGGAACTAAAGAAAGGCTTCAAGGTCTTTTCGCAGCAAGCAGAGATGCTAGAAAAATTTTCCGTCTTTGGAAAAGTGTCCATGAATATGATTCTATGGTTAAACTTCTTCAAAATGCTGGATTAGATAATACTCAGCGTGCCCTTCAATTTTTATCTCGTTTGGCTTTCTTTTTCTATTGACTTTTTGATAACTTACTCTTCTGTACTATTTTAAAATAATTAATGATTTTTGTCTGCTTAAAATGTATTGAATATTTTTATAATATAATAATTTAATTTTTACTTATAGCTCGCTTCATGAAATAGCTCTGTAGAGAACAGAGCTATTGTAGGGTACGAGCAATATAATAGTTATTATTTTTATAATAAAAAAATTCGCAAAATAAACGTTTTTAAATTAGATTTAAGCTGCGTATTTTAGTTTCCACTACCTAAACACCATGCGCTCCACGGTTTAACTTGAGCCCGGCCGAAACCCCGGTTCTCGGTAGAGGCATTTCCCTTCCAAATCATACGAACTTTGCAGGAAACCTCCATTTCCAAATCAACAGCTTACCTAACCCTTATTAGCTTAGGCCAGGCCGCCCCTGCTATAGGACCCTTTTCAATTTGAGAGATTGCAGCCCTTGAGTGTTGCCTAGCCTGTCTTCCTTTTTGCCCTAGTTCAGCGCAAAAGGAAAAACTCAACCGCTTATACGATTCGGGAGAGGCCACGAAGCAGCCTAGGCAGGCAGGCAGGCAGGCTATCCTACCTCCATCAGGTATCCAACCTGGGCTTGGCACTGATGTCAAAAAATGCAAAAAACTTCCATCCAAGCGGAAATAGTGCTAGGTTTCTCGCTTTGTGGCTAACCTAACCCTTTGGCAGCTTCTTGCACCATTAAACACGTCTGATATAATAAGAGCATCCACCACTAGGGGACGGGTCGCCATTTTATGTATATAATAAACATTTTTAATAAATAATTTTACAAACGTCAACAAGGTTAGCAATTTTATCCCAAATCAAATTCATAAAGAGAAACACTCCAAAATTGACGAAATCAGCTATGACCTGCTGGTTCATTGCTTTAGTTTTTACTTTAATCAACCTTCTAAGAAACTTAGCTATAAACCTCTCTAGAGACGCAAAATTCAAGCTGCCATCAACTGACCAAAATGCTGCTACAACTAAACAGACACTTGATGCATTAAAAGGTGCAAGAAGTCAAATTTATATTAATCTTGTAAAGACCCTAGGAGACATGATTCCTGCTGCTTCAGGGGCACAAGTTCCAATGAAAATTTTAGGAAAAAATTTCTCAGAAAAATGGATTGGCTTTGGTGGACTTGTTTCAGCCTTAATTTCATGCTATCAGGCTTGGCCTTAATTAACTAGCTAGTAGAAATAAGATAATTGTTAATTTTTTGATTTGCATAATAAGACGAAATTAAATAAGACACTCCAGCATTTGTATATAAATCTGGATTTTTTGAAATTTTATATATTATATTGATAGTATTACTCTGATAATAATTCCCACCTTTAAAAATCATCAGGTTTTGTAAAATAAATTCTTTTATTATATCTTTTTTACCAATCCCAAAAGAAGCGTATCAATTCTCATAAAAATAACCCTTATAAGGTTATCTATTCTATATTAACATTAATCTTCACCAGTCTTAAAATTATAATAAATATGATCAGTTATGCTTTATCATAATTAAATAAAATATGACAACAAAAGATCATGAAGATGCATCAATTATAAGAATCCAAAAGTTAATCCGAGGGACTTTAGCTAGAAAATCATTACTAGTCACAATGCCAGAGTATTCAGCCTTTATTTTTCGAAAAAGAAACAGAGAAAATTACGGACCGAAAATCATGTATGATTCAAACATGATTTTTGACGATTTTGCAAATGAATTAAGACGGTATAAATTAAAAAACACAGCCAAACCTCCAGGTATTTCTAATTCTAAAATTGAGAAAAAAGCAGAGGACAGTAAAGATTCTGAGAAAAAGTCTGAGGAAGATGTGACAATAAATGAGCCAGAAGTAAAAGAAAATCCGGGACAGGATGAAAAAATTGTAAATAAGGAAGAAAATTTTAAAGAAAATTTAGAGGAGAAAAAAATTGAGAATAATGAAAGCAGAGAGATGGTAGAGAAGAATGAAAAACCAAATCCTGATTATTTAAATTTGGATAAGCTGAATGAGATTGATAAGAAGAGTATTCAACTAAATAAATTAGATTATATTACGAAGGGTGGCTATAGTCCCATTTTCAGATGACCAATCTCAAAATAGACCACAGGGTAGTAGAGGTATGCTACGTTATTATGAGCCCGTACCCGAAAACCCTGATTTCTCTGCTATTCAAGTAAGGCCACTAATCATTAGAAATAGTGCTGGGTTTCTCGCTTTAAGGCTAGCCTAACCCTTGAGCAGCTTCTTGTGTCAAAAAAATATCAGTCACCAAGAGCTGGTCATTCGCCACCAGCCATTTTAAGTATATAGTATTCAAGGAATAAGTGTCAGAGCTGATTATAGCCCAGATTCTTCACGAAGAGATAGTGTAACAAGCGATATAGATGGAGATATCAGCCCTGAGCTTAGCAAAGATATTAGTGCTGGAGATGTAAATACTTCACGACACAAAGATATTCTTAATAGTGATATAGAAGGCATAAGTGATATAGAAAAAGAAGAAATTGGCACAATAATCCATGATAAATCCCAAGATCAAATAAATGAAAATGAGTTAGGTGGACGAAATTCTGGTTCTGATAAAGAAGAAAACTCAGATTTATATATAAAAGAAGCAACGGAAAATAGTCAAAATAAAGAAACAGAAAATCTGAAAGAAATGCAAACTTATGATGAAAAGTCTGAAAATAAAATTAGTGGAATTATAAATGAAAAAGATGGGACGCCTAATGCAGAAAATTTACAAAAAAATATTCAGATTGATCAAGTGGAAAAGGAGATTGGAGGTGAAGAAGAAATTGCTAATGGGGAAGAAATAGAAGAAAATGGACAAAATGAAAATAGCTTGATAAAAGAAGAAAAATCAGATATAGTGCACAAAAATAATCAAGATATAGCATTAGATTATATTCCGGAAAATTCTTGTAAAGATTCAGCAGAAGAAGAAAAAATTAAAATAAATGAGGAAAATACTGTCACAAAAGAAGATAATTCTGAAGATACTTCAGAAAGACTTAAAAATAAGGATTTAGTGGAGTTTCAAAATAAAGAGCAGCAAAGCCAGTCTAAAGAAGAATCCAGTCAAGAGGAAGATAAAGCCTCTAATCTCTTAGAAGAAAAGCAAGATCTTAATAAAAATCAACTTCAAAATGAAACTTCTCAGGTTGCTAATAAAATAGAAATCTGTGAAAATGTTGAAAAAGAAGAAGCAGCAAAAGCTGCTATAAATGGCCCAGAAAAAGAAATTGCTAAAATAGATAGTATTCAAGAAAATGCAAATAGAAAAAAAAGCTTGGCTTCTATGAGAAAAAATGAAGAAGAAAAAGTTTTGATAACTAATAAAGATATTCTCAAAGATAATCAGAATACCAAAAAAGCCGAAGAAGAAATCTATAAACATGAAAAAGTTGGAGTAAATAAGGATTCTCCAAAAGAAAATAACTCAGGGAGCTCTTTGGAAAATAAAAATAAAGAAGTTGAAAACCCTTCAGAAAAAGAAATTTTGAAGGAAAATCAAGGAAACAGTAGTGAAGTTCCAGAAGTCCAGCAAAACCCTACAGAAATCAAATTAATCCATGAAAACACAAAAACAGCTATCATAACTCTAGAGGTTCAAAGCGAAAGGAATTCTGATTCACTTGAGAAAGTTAAAGCAGACCAGCCAATAAAGAATGATGCCGAATTTAACCTAGAAAAAGCCAATCTCAGCAATTCATTTAGAGATTCTCCTGCTCGAAAAATAGAGCCGAACTTGGAAGAAGCAAAGGAAAATAGTCCAGCATCTTCTAAAGTTATAGCACAAGAAATAATTAAAGATGATAAAAGCAGCAGCCAGAATAATGCTGATAAAACAGATGGACAACAAATAGTTGAAAATCCTATAGATTCTGACTCAATTGTAAAACAAGAAGCGGAAAAGCTTATTCGGAAGAATTCAATGAAGTCAAGCACCCCAAACAATTTTGAAGATAGCAAAATAGATATTAAAAATGAGCAAAAAGTTATGCCTGAAAATGATACCAATAAATCTCAAGAACCTTTAGCAGGCATAGATAATTCAGAAAATGGCCAGGATAAATCAAAAAATAATACTGCAGAGATTTCAGCAGAATTTCCAATAAAAAATGAATTAATACTTGCTAAGAAAGAAAGTAATACAGAGAAAATAATAAAAGATTAGATTGGATTAAATTCTAGCAGTATACAGAGATTACTGCAACCCTCGCTGCCCCACAGATAGCTTCGTGTTGGCTCTAACTCCCCCCCCCCCTCCGTGAGCGAAACAAAACCATTAGAAAAATCGCCATTTTTTGACCAAAAACCCACCCTCCGTGAGTGAACAAAAACCCACCCTCCGTGAGTGAACAAAAATTTTTTTAATAGAAAAAAATTTTAATGGAAAAAAATTTTGATATATAAGTGATAATTAGTATAATGAAATCTAGAGCTAATTCTGTTTAATTTTAAACAAATTGCGTTTTTAAAACATAAATTTTGCAAATTAAATTAATATTTGCTTCCCAATTTTTGCAAATTAGGATTTTTTTTAAATTTCGAAAAAAAAATTTTTTTTATAAAATTTATATATAAATTTTTTTTAAAAAAAAAAATTAACCCCCCTCCGTGAGCGAACAAAATTTTTTTGTTCGCTCACGGAGGGGGGGGGGGAGTAAGCGCTATCTCAAACCTGTCCTTTCACTTCTGATGCTACCAAAAATGATGACGTAGGAGCTCTCTCGGGAGATCGCCTTACCTGGCTCCTTGGTCCCAATAAACGTCAAAGATTCCCTGAACCTCCGACAGGGCTTGGAGTCTGAGTGGACACCTTTGCCTCATCCATGACCTATCTGAGCCATATTGCAGGATCGTTAATGCTCCCATATAGTGCTGAGGGACATTCTCAAGCATGTAGATCTACAATCTAGAAAAAAGGTTGAGGGTCAGCCCATAGATCAAAAAAAATCTACTCCTAGAACTTTTTAATGTAGCTCTTCTCCTCTGGGTCCGGATAAACTCTCAGATCACCAGAAACCAGTCAGATCACATATTTTAGTAATTCTAATAAAAAAAGAAGAAGATACGTCAAATTATTTTGAGAAAGAATATGATTCTACCCAAAAAATACCAGAAGATTTTGCAAGGCTAAAAGATAAAGAAAATGAAGAAAAGCCATCAAAAATTATTAAGCAAGATACACAAAGAAGTGAGAAAGTTAAAAGATACCCTGATAATTCAGAAGTAAGTAAAAATGAAATTGACCCAGAAGAAAAAGAGTTAGAAAAAAATTATGACAAAGAAGACTATAAAGTCGCAGAGAATAGTGAAAAAGAGAAAGTTCAAAGACAAGAGGATCAAAGCATCTATGAAAAAATTAACCTAGACTCAAAAAGCCCAAGAAAAAAATCGATCAAAGCAAATATTAGTATTACAGAAAATAAGTCTAACTCCTCCCCCATACTGAGTGCATGATTTTATTGAAAATTCTTAAATTAACCCATCCTGGTTCATATAATCCACATGAAGCAATTCCTACAAGCTTAAATAAAACTATCAATCTTTGATTATAATGAATATCAGAGATATTCAGTATAATCACTTCTACACAACTTTTATGCGATTTCTAGCATATTTAGTAATATATTATATACTCTATCTGGTTAGTGCATAAAATATTTTATATAGAAAAAAATTTTAACCCAATTTACATATAATTTTTTCCAAAAATTTTATTTTTCATCCTTAATCGAACTAAAGCGATCAGCACCATCAAAAATGGAGGGATAAGCAAGAAAGAGATCAAACTATAGCTCCAAAGTACTATATGCCAGCTCTTATTAGCGGAATTAAGCCAGAAGTAGTCCCAGAAAATCGCAAAGAATTTAATACTACCGATCACATTATAAATCACAAGCCAGAAGAAGCTTCAGAAAACCCCCCTGCAGCAGAAAATAAAATTCGAGCAAACAGCGATAATTTTCAAAATCCACCCTCAAAAAAATTCGATTCCCCCAGCAAGCAGCCTTTTCATCGGAATTTTCAGAAAAAAAGTGAACGAAAAGCAGATAACACAGATAAAAAAGATAAGAAAATTAATTCACAAACAAGCAAGCCTTCAAAATCACATGAATTAGAAGAAGGAAAAGGGCTTACTCTGGAGCATAATAAAAACTTAGAAAAAATTATTGGCAGTGATATTTTTGCTGACCAAGATTTTCAAAATCAAAATCCACTTTTTAATCCGCCTCCACAAAGTGTGAAGCATCAAAAATCAAAGCCACCTCTTCCGAAAGAAGAAAAGAATAGCTCTTTTTTGCAAGAAGAATTAAAAGATCTAAAAAAACTTCCATCAAATAAATCTCACCAAACTCCTGCTTTTTCAATATATTCAGATGGAAGTTCTTATTTGTCTGATAAAAGTATCAATGTGATTAGCAGTAGAGTTACACCTATACAAAGTGCAATAAACTCACAAGATCCTATAAATCCTCTTTGAAGTCAGTCACCTAATGATTTCTTACAAAAAGATCCTGATTCTATGCTAAATTTCCTTTATTTAATAGCTTAAATTATAAACTGTTTTCAAAATTAAATATTTTCAAGAGAATTAATTAGAAAAAAAATTTGGGTAGGTAAGAAAAAACTTCTACCCAAACCAAGAGCTCCGAAGCAGTAAAAATCCAATTCTTCCACATCTTGATCAAACTGCCACACTAACGAAAAAGCGCAGCCCAAAAAGTCAAGATTTTTTTGAAAATCATCCTCAAAAAATCCCAAGTGACACCACAAACTTTTCTTCTACTCCAGCCAAATTCAAGTCAAAATCCCTAAACCAAACCCATTACCATGCAAATCCTTATAACAACGAGCCTGCCGACCTAAATTTTGACCCAAGTATATACAAAACCAAAAAATCTAAAACAAAAAACAGCAAAGAACTAGACGACTTAACAAATCCAAAAACAGCTGGACAGTCCAAAAAGTCAACTTCTTATGGAAAATATAGGTTCCAATATAATCTTCAGCCAAAAAGTACCACAAATGTGCTAGTTTTAGATAAAGGGAGTCCTTATGAGCTTGAAAAAGGGATGAAAATGCTACAAGAATTTTTTGGGGTAAAAGTAGACATTGTGGATAATAACCACAAAAAGAAGATAAGAATTATCAAGCCAAAGCTGCAGAATATAAGGCTGCCTGCAATTAAAACAAAAAAAGTCATGAAAAAAGAAAATTTGATACTTTAAGCTGATAATTTTAATAATCATTTGCTTATGTTTACTATTGAGAAGAAAAATATTTATTAATTACTGATTGTATGGTTATATAATAAATATGTATGACACAGACATAGCATGGGTTGATACCTTCACATATATACTTAAAATGGGGACCTAAGCGCACCCGACTTTATGTTCAAAGCGAATTGGGCGAGAAAATAGTTGAGATATAGTCCAACAAGAGATTATGTATATCTAGGTGAGGTTTGACTTGGTACCTGTGGTTGAAAGAGCTAGCCTGGCAACGTCCTTCGAGACTTAAAGGTTGATGTCACTGCGATATCAGGGGTTTCGGCTTAGGCCACAGATGTCATGCCTTTTCTCTGTAGCTGATGAGTGAAGACACCAGGCAATCGTTAGACTCCAGGTTTTATTCTCTGGATAAAGCTACTTCCCAGAGCTCATGGCAGGGCGCAGAAATTTATAATCCGCCACTCAGGACAGGAGTAGCCGGTGCATCTCTCCAGCTGCAAGGAGAAGCTTAAAGGAACCCTGAATCTAACATCAGTAGCTAAAGGAGGTGAAGATGGTGTATCACGACTTGCTGGCGAATCGTTGAGCCGAGCATAGGGACATTTCCAAGGCGGCAAGCGGATGAATCTCTACAAGGATCCTTGGTGACTGCGTTAAAACTAAGGCAAGGCCTATCAGTTTAATTTAAGATTAAAGATACCTTCAGCATTATTTTAGCTGCCTGCTTTACAGCTGGGCTTGCTGAAACTATTAGTTGGTTTTTAATTTATAGGACAGATGATTACAAATCGCTTAAACCTCCTTACTCCCCCATCTTTGATCGAACGGATAGAAAGATTGAGGTAAAAAATTCTTGAAAAATTAAAATTTCCCATACAAAAAATTTTATGCGCTAGTGATAAGAGATTAAGGATACACTATATAAAATAATAGCTAGATATCAATAATTGCTTAAAAGCGATTATACTGTATAATCTCTAAGACTCATTATTATCAAAAATAAATAGTTAGATTGTGGGCTGGGAGAGAGTTTCATAACCCCTATGAAATCGCAAAACATAGGGATAATCTTTATCATTTTTAGGAAATTTAAATACGATCGATAAGGATTAGGGAGTTAAACAAAAAAATAATTTATTATCAGCAGTAATTTAGCATACAAATAGATTAATACTTAATTATCTTTATTTTATTTTTAAAGATGGATTAAGAAAAACATTGAATCACTCTCAAAACAAGTAGAAAAAGAAAGAGAGAAAATTGTGGTCGCATCAAAGCAAAAAGCCCAGGAAAAGAAAGTGACTAAGTCAGAATCCATGCTAAAGAACATGAACCAACAGTTAAGCTCATCTAAAATGAAGTCGACCATGATTGTGGCTTTATTTATGATTGCATTCATTTCAACATTGAGCAGCACTTACCAAGGAGTTGTGGTGGCAAAGCTGCCTTTTGTGCCTTTTTCACTACTTCAGTCAATGACACACAGAAATTTGCCAGGAATTGACATGACAGATTGCTCAATGATTTTTATTTATGTGCTAACCTCATATTTGGTCAGGACAAACATTCAGAAGTATTTCGGATTTTCACCAAGAACTCCATTTAGTATGTGGGATCAGCCTGGTGCTCCTAAATATTAATATACTTAAATTCTTTGTTTGGTTACTGTATAAGATTTATATGAATCTAAAGCTATTTATATATGCATTTCGAGATATCAATTATTTTAAGCCAAAAAAATAAGTTTTTATGATTAATCAGAAAGAAATTCATTTTATAGCAATAGACAATTTATCGTAAAAATGAATATAATAATAAAGCAAAATGGAAAATCTGCCTATTAGCTTGATTCCTCCTATACTCATTTATCTCGATACTGCCACAATCTTCAGAGATTTCGCCCGCATAAACAAATCATTTCTTTCAGCAACTAAATATATAGGGTTTTTACGTAGCTTAGTTCAACGAGATTTTTATATAAGCACACCTCTTTATCTCACAGAAAACTATTGTATCAAGCTTTTATCTGAAGGAATCAATGGATTTAAATTAGAATTACTAGAAAATTTATTCCTTTATATACTAAATATTTTATTTTTATCAACCATTTTTATAAATTTTATGCCAATTTATATTAAAAAGCTATAGACTTCAAAGGATTTTCTACAGACGGAGGAGTAGACGAAGACAGCTTTTCTTTTTGATTTGAAAACCTCTTTCAGCGCTCTCAAAAAGGATACTGCTGCCACGAAAACAGAACCAACGTCAATATCGCTGCCGTTTTAGTTGATTCTCAAAAGCAGCATATCGAATATTACCAATCAAAAAAAGAAGCAATAAAAATAATCAAAGAATGGCTGCACAAAAAAGGCAAAGACGTGCCCAATAAATACGAAGACGCAGCATTTGCCGTATTTAAATACGTTTTTACAAATTTCCCATTAGAAGCCTTAGCAACTAATGAAGACTGTACATTTAAAGACAGAGTCAGAGAAATTTATTATAATTTAGAAATGAAAAATAAAGATGTGGAAAAAACAAGAAGGCATCCAAATAATCCATTTATTTTAGATATCCCTATAGATCGACAAGGAGGTGATAATGAAAATTTTGTTTCCTGTATAAAGGGGCTCGATATTTCTAGAGAAGGGGGTTATACTTGTCCTGTCAAAACCATGATGATTTTTGTAAGCGAAAAATACATTGATGTTACTGATACGTGTCTGAGCGTTTTTGATAATTTATTTGATGAAAATAGCGTAAAAGGTTTGGTAGAGCAAGATTGAAGGCTAAAAACTTATGAAAAATGCCAATATGAAGGGTATGAAATTATTGAATTTATGCAGCTGAGTCAAGGACTTAAGCCAGTTATATGGGTGAATTTTTTAGAAAGTCCTAGAGTTGATAGCATTGAAGTAGAGCTGCAAGGGAAGTTTTCAGGAAATTATTTGTATGTTAAACTTATTTGTCCGGAAGATAGAAGAGAGGAAAGAGATTGGCTGCATGATAATATGAATATAGACAGCACGTGGGTACTTCCAAAAGGAAAAATAATTTCTTATAATGATAATTTAAGCTTAGTAGTTTAATAATTTTATTTTTGTAGAAGTATTTACAGATAATTTAGCCTAAAGAATTTTCCTCTTTATTAAATACCATTGACGCAGGATCTATATTATTAACCTCCTCTTCAGAGTCCTTTTTACGTTTTTTACTCTCTCTGCTTCTTCTCTTACCGCTTTTTCTTAATTTTCTCATCCTCCCTTCTCCTTTAATTCCTTTTGTCATTTCATAAAATTTTACCAATTTTTCTATCAAATCCCTATCCCGTTCATATTTTTCAGGCAAAAATTCTAAACATTCTTCAGCTCTTCTCCCAGTTAAGGCTTCTTTATGAAAAGCATCATTTAGTTCATTTTTAATGGTCCTTACCCTTTTCCATTCATCTAAATTAATATTAAAATTCTTTATGGCTTCTACAATAATTTTGTCCCTACGTTTTGAGCTAAGTCCTTGTGTTTCTAAATAATCCCTAAATTCAAAGACGTCCCCAATTTTGGAGGAAATGGAGTACTTATGCTTTAATTTGGAAGTAGCATAGTCACAGAGGGTTTCTATATATGTCCGAATAGAGGTGTTTATTTCATTTTTCCATTTTTCTTTGTTGTACATTTTTTTGAAGAGTTCTTTGTCAGTTTCTACAAGGGAAAGAATTTTGTCTTTTTTGGTAATGATGCTGGTGAGCTCTTTCATGCGACGATTTTGCTTTATGACGGTTTTGTAGAGCTCTTCTCAAGAGCTGTGCATGAGGTTGGCGTCTGAAATTTCGATTATTGAAGTTTCAGCTGCTTCGCTTTGGGATTGGGGCTTATCATCTAGAATTTCTAGGCATTCCATTTTAGGCTTCTTTAATAAATTATAGGCCCCTTCATGAAATTTTCATTAATATGGAGTAATTTTAAGTGTGCAAAACTCTTATTAATTATTTACTCCCCCCTAAAAAAATTGTTCGCTCAAGGAGGGTTAAATTTTTTTTATTTTATAATAAATTTTTTTTTTTCGAAATTTGAAAATATTCCAATTCACATAAATTGGAAAGCAAATATTAATTTAATTTGTCAAATTTATGTTTTAAAATGCAATTTGTTTTTAATTTAAACAGAATTAGCTAGAGATTTCATTATATACTAATTATCACTTATATATCTAATTTTTTTTTTCATAAAAAATTTTTATATCAACATATTTTTTTATTCTCTAATGGAGGATGGATTTTTGGGGATTTTTCCAATGGTTTTGTTCGCTCACGGAGGAGGGGAGGAGTTAGGATCTTAATTGCTAATATATTAATTATTATATAAATCGCTTAATTAATCATACAAATAAATTTAATATTTACTAACTCTTTTAATTGCAATCGAAAAAAAATTTTTAAAAAATTAACGAGCAAATATATAAAGTAATTAAAGACTAATTAGGTAAGCTTTTTGTGAATAATCATGGCAATTGACTCAGTATTAGATTAGATTGGCATTTATATAGTCCCCACTTCCTGAAACACCGTACATTCTGCAGGCGAACTCCTACAGGCTGGTCTCCCTCAAGGCAGCTTGAGCTCAGGCCGAAGCCCCCAGATTCTCACTCAAGACATTTTCCCTCCTGATCAGGAAAAATCAGATTTTGCCAGAGCTCTTTCCAGCCAATTGCCCAGCCCTACGTAACTTAGGCCAGATCGTCACATTGAGGGAACTTTTTAGATTGGAGAAAGTAGTCCTGAGACCTCCGTCTAGCCTCTCTTCTCCTTTTTCTCCGAATAATCTCTGAGGTAAACACTCAATATGCTTGTGCAGACTAGGGGCAGGTCGCAAAAGCAACTTAGGCAGGCAAGCCATCCTACCTCTATAGGACACCTAATCTAGGCGTGGGCGCTGCTGACAAAAAGATGTAAAAAACTGCAGCTCAAGCAAGCCACTAATCATCCGAAATAGTTCTGCACCTTTCGCTTTGAGGCTAATCCAACCCATAGGCAGCTTCTTGCACCAAAAGCCATTTCAGATATATAGACACCCGCCACAGGAAGGACGGGTCGCTCGTCAGCATTTTTATGTATATAATTGACTCTGTATAATTCCTTTCTAATTTCCATAAAATGGCCGTTAACGAATGAATACCCTTCTAGGGACGGTCTATTATTTATATCCGAACGTGTTTTTTTGGTGCAAAAAGCTGTCCAAGGGTTGAGTTATCCTTGAGACGAGGGATCCAGAATTATTTCGTTGATTGGCGGTCTGACCTAAGCACTTTTTATGCCATTGGGTGCCCGAAAGAGGAAGGTGACTTGCCAGCCTAAGCTGTTAGTTTCTAGCCTCAAATCGCATATGCGTCTAAGACTTTCCTTTGAAGTTAAGAAGGCCTGACAGGGATCAAGGAAACTCAGGAGAAGAGTTTTTCTAGTTGCAAAGGGTAATTTATTGCAATAATCTGTCCTGGCTAAGTAGAGGTAAGCGATACTAGGGCTAGGGTAGAAGTTCGAGGAAATTCTGTATGATCGGAACTACGAGTGGATACCTCTGCACAAATACCGTGTTCGACATGGCCTAAATAAGCCCTAGGGGACCAAAACTCTTCATAGCACATAGTGCCTAAGAAGTGTGGTACTTCATCTACTGTATAATTACTTTCTAAAGCAAAATTAGAAACAATTTCTTCCGCAACTCCTTCAGGGGTATCTGATTCTAAATTATACAAAAAATCTAACTTTGTTCGCACAACTCTGCCAGTGCTTTTATCTAAAACTCCAATCTTAATAGACAACTGTATATCTTTTGACGTATAAAATCCATTTACTTTTGAATTTTGCTGAAATTCATCTACTTTTGGCGTTTTTTCCTCAAAATTCGAATTTTGTTCATCAGGGATTTCTAAGATATTGATGATATCATGATTTTTATCATCATTTTCGTCATTATTGAAAAAAGGATGATTCAATAATTCTTCAGCTGAAGGTCTTTGATCCATATCAGTTAGGCATAAAGTAATAAACTCCTTGACATCTAAATTTCCTATTTTTTCTAATGCAAGTGGCTTGATTCTTCTAGATACTCTTTGGTAGATTTCCATTGGATTTTTGCATTCACTATAAGGCATTTCGCCGGTGCACATTTCTAAAATGCACAGGCCAAAAGAATAAATGTCAACATTGGTCCCGTAACGCTCTTCAAATAGCTCTGGCGCCATATATTGTGGAGTCCCTACAACTGATTTATTGTAAGAGCTTCTCATAAAGGTAGATAAGCCTAAGTCTCCAATGCGAATTTCACCAGTTCTGGCACTTACAAAAATATTGTCACATTTGAGATCTCTGTGTATTATTGGGAAAGGCTTTTGAGAATGCAAATAATTTATTTCTATTTTATCACTATTTTTAATTCTTTTTGGATTAATAATATCTTTTCCTCTTTGAAAATAGATAATATAAAATATTATAAAATAGATAAACCCTTTAGTGTGTAATAACCCTTCCAAAATAAATTTGCATCATTTTTTGACCACTTTTAGCCTTGGTGTTTTTATTTTTTTCAAATATTGTTTCAATGACCCACCAGTCATAATTTCAGTAATAAACACCACTTCTTCTCTGTTTTTATTGTGCCATGCTTTAATAAAGTGCAAAATATTGGGATGTTTAAGTTTCTGGATTATCATAATTTCATCCCGCACCCTTTCTTTTTCAGCTTTTGTCATCCCATGTGTTTTTACAGTATTCCAGGCAACTTCACAGCCTGTATCATTGTCAATAGCTTTATAGACTGTCTTATAAGCGCCGCTTCCTATTTCTTCATCAAACCGACTAAACCTGCCTGTGGGAGAGTTTTCTATTATTTGAGGAGCTGCTTTATTGTAGGTCATGCTGCCTCCTACAGCTTCAATGTTGAGCCTTTCGTTATTTGTAACATCCATTCTGTAAGGTTTTTGGGTTTAATTAATTTTAAAAATTACATATTTGTTTTTGACTGGAAATTTAACATGTTTTTTATATGCTTCTTTTTTAAGCATTTTTAAGCTGAGAATTGAATTAAAGAATTATAAGAAAGATCAAGGAAAATTCATAAAGAATTTAACAGATTTTTCTTATAGTAAAACTTAAGATTTTAATAATAAAATTCCTTAACTTCTGGAGATTGTATTTTGGAAAAATTAAATATTAAATATTAAAATTACTCTACATCCCTTGCAGAGTCTTTTAAAATTTTTCCAATTTTATATGGAAGATCTCTTTGAAATTTTTTCATAGATTTTTCTAAAATTTCATCAGTAAATTCACTTTCTGATGGAAAATCCGTAGAGGAAACCATACATATTTAATCTAATTCCACGCTTTTTGTGGCTTTACCCCCTCGGCATAGACCTAATATCAAATTCTCCCTACATAAATAAAAGTAATAGTAAGATACCTTTTTATTCACAGATATTATGATTTTTAATTAATTTACATAGCTCCACAATCAAATTAAACAATAACTTATAGATTTATATCTTGAGTTTCTGCTGTATGAATTATTTATTTCTTATACTCAGTTGAGTCAAAAGGACTTGTCAACGGAACATCCGAGAAAGTCATGCCTTCTCCATACTGAGTGGCTTGATCTTGATGTGATCTTGGCCCTTCTATTAACTCAAACTCTTTCGCTACAAAATCTTGAGCTTCTTCTCGGTATTTTTTCACGTTAGCAATCCTCAAATAGTACTTTTGCGCGTGACTTCTTACTTGATCTGATGTCCTTGTCCCAATGTACTCAGAAATATTTTTTCAATCTTTCCCATAAAGCTTAATACCTAATAGAAATGCTTTGTGTTCTCTTTGGGTCCATCTCCCAGTATTGCTATCTTCTGGAGTTAATTTATTTTTCGCTGTTTTCATAAATATTAATATCTTAGATTTAATACTTCTGCATTATCGAATTCACTATTCCTAAAACTGTAAATACTCCCCCCAAAATTGCGCATAGAGATATAATAAGCTGTGGCAAGCTTTTATAAACTCTTGTGTATTTCATGATGATATTATCAATATCATAATTAAAATACACAATTCCAAACACTGCTTCAATTGGGCTTGTGCTCCCATTCATAGAAAACTGATAGCTATGAAACTCTTCTCCTGTAATTTTATCATAATACTGTATTGGGATTATTTTCAATGTATATTCATGCTTTGCTACGACCCCTTGCTTATCTGTTTTAATAATCCCGTCATAAGGCGCGAAATTCGTCTGCTCGCCTTCTCCAAATGTTGATAAAATATAAGAATTCCTATGTTCTCTACCAAAGCTTAAATGGTTTATTCTGTGTGATATATCGATTTTTTCAAGATACTGCTGAGGGACTTGGCTCATCATTTCATGTGTTGCATGAAAACTTATGTGGAAATTTCCTGGGACCTTGTTTACAGTAAAATGCCCTGAGATTTCGCAGCCTTCTTGCTCTTCAATCATTCTGACAGTGTTAAGCATATTCATTTCGTATTTTTTGTCAAGTTTTGAGCCATCTTTACTGAGACGTGTCTTTGTTAAGAACCCTTCAATATCTACGTTGTGAGTTCCCATTTGATCCATTTGATCTAAGCTTAAAATAATGCAGGGGGCATTAAATACTGTGACGTTTAAGTTTATTTGCAGCATTTTTGCTCCTCGGTCTTGGTCTACTAAAGTCTCTTTTTGGACTGTGTTTATGAAATAATAGGAAATTTCGGAGATAAATAAAATCAGCATGATTGAGAAGGCAAATGCAGTGATGATTCCGCCTGAGAGGGTTTGTTCGGAGACGTCGACTGATTTTCTGAACAGATCCAAACCTTTGAAGCTTTTCATAATTATGAAGACATATTAATTTTAACAATAAATTAATCAAGGTTGAGCAGAAAAGACTGTGAAAATAAAGGAAAACAACGATAAATGTAGAAAATACTGCAAAAATTATGAAGGTAGAAAGAAAATTAAAATTTAGGTTCAAAGAGCGATGTTTCTTGCAAAGGACCCAGTGAGAGGAATCCAAGATTCTTTGAGAGTCCTAGAGTATAGACGGGTTCCTGGATGTGTGACGCTCCAATTGAAAAGAGAGTCCTTTAAAATCTTGAGGAAGTAGACTCTAATGATCGTAGCCTACGACGTCTGTTACTCAGGGCTGACGCTTCTTTAGTTCAAGAGCTGAGAGAAAACAAAAATTTAATTATGAGTAGTCTTATCACTAATCTCTGATCCCTAATCCCTAATATAGAAAGATAAAATTTTTTATATAAATTGTAATTTATGAAAAAATACTTCGCTATTTAAATTGGAATTGCTATATAATTAATATTAAAGATATTTGTCATTTAAACGCATTTTCTAATGCAATAAACCATATATTAAATCCACTAAAAACTAATAATGAATAAACAATTATATCTAACAGATTCTGCCAGATATATTAATTATCTTTTTTTATTGAATTTTCAAAAATTAAATGATTTAATTTATTGAGTTCTGCAGTATATTTACTAATTTTTTATGAAGCTGGCTATTAACTAATTTAGAAAACGTAAGAAGATGGCTCTAAAGTATTATAAACATAAATGGGCAACTGCAATTTTCGAACCGAAAACAATGACCCTTCTATATGTAACCACTAACTCCCCCCCCCTCCGTAAGTGAACAAAACCATTAGAAAAATCGCTATTTTTTGCCCAAAAACCCACCCTCCGTGAGTGAACAAAAATTTTTTTAATAGAAAAATTTTTTATGGAAAAAAATTTTTATATATAAATGATAATCAGTATCATGAAATCTAGAGCTAATTCTGTTTAATTTTGAACGGATTGCTTTTTAAAGTATAATTTTTATAAATTAAATTAATATTTGCTTTCCAATTTTTGCGAATTAGGGATTTTTTTTAAATTTTCGAAAAAAATTTTTATATAAAATATATATATAAATTTTTTAAAAAAAAAAAATTAATCCCTCCGTGAGTGAACAAAATTTTTTTGTTCACTCACGGAAGGGGGGGGGGAGTAATCAGCTCTGACCCATCATCAATTCCAATTCCAGTACCCAATTGGCAAAGGAGGCTTTGGCAAAGTATGGCGTGTTGTACACAAAAAAACAAAAATCCCTTACGCTATGAAAGAAATGCAAAAGCGGAGGATTATTCACAAAAAAAGCGTGCATTCAGTAATGAATGAGAGAAGACTACTAGCGATTCTTCGTCATCCCTTTATCGTTAATATGAGATTTGCATTCCAAGACCGAGAAAATTTATTCTAAATAATTAAAACCATTAAAAAAAATTTAAAAAAATTATAAAAGTCCTTAAATATTAGCATAAAATATATATTTAGCTATGGATTTGATGCCAGGAGGAGATTTACGTTATCATCTAGGCAAACAGAGAAGATTTACAGAGGAACAAACCCGCTTTTTTATCGTGTGCATTTTAAACGGCCTTGAATATCTGCATATGAATGGGATTATTCATAGAGACATTAAGCCAGAAAATTTAGTTTTAGACGAAAAAGGCTATGTCAGACTAACCGACTTTGGCATTGCTAGGATCTGGCAGCCTGAAAACGGCAACGAAACCTCAGGAACTCCAGGATATATGGCTCCTGAAGTAATTTGTAGGCAAAACCACAATATCCAAGCTGATTATTTTGCTTTAGGTGTTATCGTCTATGAATTTATGCTCGGAAGAAGACCTTACCAAGGCAAAAATCGGAAAGAAATCAGAGATGCGATTTTAGCAAGACAGGCACAAGTAAGGAAACAAGAAATCCCTGAAGGATGATCTGTGGAGGCTGCTGATTTTGCCAATAAACTTTTACAGAGAAAGCCACAGCAGAGATTAGGGATAAACGGACCAAGCGAAGTAAAATCTCATGCGTGGCTAAGAGATGTGGACTGACAGAGAATTTTTGAAAAAAGGCAGGCTTCACCTTTTGTGCCAGGCCAGGAAAATAATTTTGACAGTAAACAAGTAATGAATGAATGAAAAGATGAGGCGGAAATTTCCGAAATAAAGGAGTCGTCGATACAAGACTTGTTTGTGGGTTATTTCTTTGATGCAACTTTGCAGCCGGATAACAATATTACCCAGCCAAAGGAAAAGGCATTAAAGAGTTAATGTGTAAGCTTAAACAAGCTGAATAAAAAAAAAATAAATTTACATATAAAATAATGCAAAATTATATAAAAAAGGGTATATTTAATAATACATAATTTTTTTAATATAAAAATTATTGTAAATTACTAGAAACATGGCCAGGAAGACATGAAACTGTGACTTCAAGCTGTGACCACCCAGCTTGCTTAATAAGATCGAATTCTGTGTATTTTGTCCTAATTTCTTTGCAATTTTCTTCTTGTATAGTCTCATCATTTTTTATAGCTTTGTATGAGTATACACAATTTGCAAAGCCTATTCTGTGAGTGTTGTACAGTTTCTCATCGCAGATACCGCATTTTTCGATATTTAAATGGCTAGCCTCAGCTAGTAAATTAAAATGCCCGAGCCCTTTATTTACTGATACAATTTGTTTGTAGGCCAAGCAGTTTATGTTCATACACAAGCCTTCTTTTACGAGTCCTGATTTTTTAATTTTTCATGGACTTTGTAAGTTCTCTGATATTTTTGTGTTTGAAAATATGCTGATTTATCTAAATTATTACCAAATTCCTCTTAAAATTATAGGAATATTCAATTTGAGCATTTTTTTGCAATATATTCATATGAAATATACATCAAGAATGCCTTCCTCTATTTCTGGGACATATTCTTCTGATGACAATTCTAGGTGCTTATAAATTATTTTTAAGTCCGTTTGGTTGCAGCACTGCTTATATTTAACTATTTCTTCCTGCAACTGTAAAACGGTTGATCCATTTTTGATGAATATACATATATATTCATCAGTACAGCAATGAAGCCTTATATTCATAAAGGTTTTATCTTTAGGTTTTTCTTTTGGGCTAACAGAAATTGAAAGTTTTTCCCCATTTTCTGCGTTTAAGTCTAAAAGGGTTGTTGGATCGTGGGAGTTATGCTTCCTAAACTGAATAAAATTCCTTTATTATCCAATATTTTAAAATAAAATCTCAGCTTAATTATTCATAATAAGGATATATATTTTGCCTCGGAACTTGAGAACTACTTTATATTTGTCATGTGAATATAAAGAAGTTAAAGCGTTTTTAACTTCTTTATGAATCTGCCTGAATGATGTTTCCTTTGGAATCCACTGCTTTCTTGTCCATCGAGCAAAATATTTCTTATCAAAAGCGAAAATAATCTTAACAGAAGCCATTCGAGACTTGCACCCACCCATTTACAGAATTTATATAATGCTTTTTTTCTGATCTCAATAAATCAATTTTTTAATGGAAATAAAATAAATGAAATATCTTGGTAAATAAAAATATAAAAGATATTATTTATAAGCAAATTCTTCAGTATTCTCTATTAAATATTTTCTATTGAATATTAGGTCCTCACTTCACAGAATTTATTTCGATGCTATACGTTACATAAATAAGCCTAATATTATAAATGGCGAAATAAAAATTTAATTAACTTATTTTTGAGTTACAGCCATATGCATAGGAGATTCACCTGCTTTATGGAAATGGTCTCTTACGAGCTTATTTATAGTTTCAACCCACTTATGAGAGTTTCCTAAAATTTCCTTAAAAAAATAGCTCCTTTTTGAGGTTGTATTCTTTTCTAAACAAAATAACCCAAAATATCAATTATTTATATCTATTTGCCTATTTATTATTATATTAATAACAACAAATTCTTTATCATTCTTTGCCTCAGCTTTTAAAACAGCTGAAAATTCTATATCACCTTTATAAAGATTTTCTAAATTTTTATAAAATACCCTCGGTTCATCTGTGATAATTAACTGTCTTTTTCTATAAACCCATTTACATCATTTTTTAATGATCCCTATCATCAGCACTTCAGGCTCTTTATTTTCTTCTCTATTCAAGAGCTCTATTTCTAAAACGTCATTTTCTTTAGGGTGATTTATTTCAGGCATATTTTCATATGGAACTGCTTGAGACATGATAGAATTTAAGTCAAATCCACTAATAAAAGGATGATTTTTCAATGCATTCATATCATTTGCACTGCCTAAACTGCCGCCTCCAAGCCTATCAGCTGGATTTACAACTAAAAGTTTCCTTACTATATCAATTCCATCATCTGGCATATTTTCAGTGAACTCAATTCTCCCTTCTCTAATTTGTTCAAAAATCATAAAACTGCTGACACCTCGAAAAGGTGGCTTCCCAGCCATCATTTCATAAATTGAGCAGCCAAGTGCTCATAAATCGGCACTAGGCCCTACATTTTCATCATTTAGAAGCTCAGGAGAGACATATCTAAATATTTTTTACTCAGCAGTTCCTACAAAGGTCCCGCGTCTTTCCAATTCATGGTCTTGATCTTGGGAATTTTCAGGCTCCTGGGACACTTCTTTGGCGGTGCCAAAATCTGATAGTCTTAAATGGAAATCTTGAGATAGCAAAAGGTTGTCGGGCTTTAAATCTCGGTGGACTATGCCTTCACTGTGTAATTGATCAAGTATAAAAATAAGCTCAGCTGTGTAAAAACGCGCGAGTTCTATTGGGAATGATGGCTTAAATGAAGAAATTAGGCTGCCAAAATCACCGTTTGGACAATATTCAAGCACAAAAAATAAATTTTCAGCGTCTTGAAAAGTGTAATGGAGTTTTATGATCCCAGGGTGGGTTTTAAGCTTGGTCAAAATATTTTTTTCAATTAAAGCTTGCTTTTCTTTATTTTCCTATGTAAAATATACTTTTTTTAGAAGAGATTTTTCAACGATTTTGATTGCAAAAGTTTCTCCGGTGTCTTTTTTAATTGCTTTTACCACGCGGCCATATGCTCCTGTACCTAATATCTCTATAAAGTCAAAATCATGCTGGTCGACTCTTTTCGATTCAGCCATTTAACTCAAATATTATCTTACAAAAATTTTTCTAAATTAATCTAAAGTATTATATTCAGTTTCAAATCCAAATTATTCAAAAATTATTAGTAATTTATTACTTTTGAGCAATTAAAGATTCATATAAGATGACTGCATCTGCTTCTTCATCACTATTTATCTCTTGAAGCTGCTGCTCTGATTCATCATATATCAATCCACACTCAATTTGCGGCTTAAAAATATTTTCAGGAAAATTTTGACTGCCGTCGATTTTTCGAAAATTTATAAATTCTTTGCCATAAACGCCAACATCCTCAATCCCCCTTAACATTTAAGAAAAAATATCTGTAAATTTTCATTTTTTGGTAGACAAATTCCCCTTCAATTCGATCAAAGTTTTATTTATAGGTAAAAATTATAATTTTTATATATATTCTCTTGGTGGTAATTTGATATTTTACGAAAAAATATTATATTTTAAATGGTTGAGTGCAATTAGAATTCTATATCAACAAATTTAGCTCTTTAAATCAAAATTTATATAATCCTAATAATTGCATTTTGAAGGGGAAGAGTCAGCATTTTGGGAGCTGTCGAAGACTACAATAAACCTTTTCGCTCATTTCGCGTTGTTTATTTTGCGTATAATCGTGTTAATTTGATAAGAATTTTTCTTGCAAACATGAGCTAAAATCTCTTCAATTTTATTTTTGTTATCAACCGGTTTGCTAGCTCCTTTAAAAAAATGATTATAATCAGGAGACTCAATACTGGGTTCATTTAGTAGAATTGAGCTTCCAGGGCCAGCTTGGGTATTATTTGAAGAAATTGAAGATGTAATTAGATTGGAAAGTCTATCAGTGCTTAATAATTCATTTTTCGAAAAGGATATCGAGCTAGGCAAAGCATTATTTTTCACTTTTCCAAGCAGCATTTGTTTTAGCTGCTGCAATTTTTTATCTTTTATTTTGCCTTTTTCTGTCTCCTTGTTTTCAATCATTTCAATTATTTCTCCGAAATCTTCCAATCCAAGTGGGGATTTCTGTTCTGGAAAATCTGTATGTACAGTATCTTCTGCATCGTCAGTTAATATAAGTGTTTCATCATACTCATACAAATCAGGTAACATTTGATTTTTGTACTTATTTGCGAAGAAATTTTCAACTGATTCTTGGTTTTGGTTGTCTGAAGGTAGCGATTTATTTTCAAAATTTCTTAGCTCTGTGAAGTATCCATGAGTCCCACTTATCGTTCGTTTATGGCTTGGCTTGTTAGGTGTAGAGAGAGATTTTAATTTAAATTCATCGATTGAGAAAGCACTTCTGTGGGTTGGGCTTTTTTTGTCTTCACAAGTAAATTTAACAAGAGAGCTATCTTCGTTAGAGTCATTAGTTTTCCCTAAATAAAATATACTTTTTGGATTTAAATAGCTATTATTTTACCTTATTATAGTTAATCGTCGTTTAGTCATGCTACTAAGAATAATCTTTCATCGCCAGCAAAATTTCTGCATTTTCCTCTTGTCCCAAGAGCCTTCATTTATTAAATCATAATAAATTGAACTCAAAAAAATTCAATTATTTATAATTTTCCACATGATTTAACCAAATAAATTAAAAATTTATAGAAAATTTTGTCAACTATGCCAATACATATAAAAAATATTTTTAAATTATTAATTGACATTTTAACAAATAAAATTAATCACACACTTCTGGCAGCTTATCCTCTTCTTCTAGCTCTTCCACAGCTTTTAGCAACAACTCAGAAGGTGCAGTGTTGTGTGTTAAGCTTGATTTTACATTCCCAGTCTGATAATATTGTTTTGTCCAATTCAGTAAGCTTTGTTCTTTAATTTTAAATTTATTCGCTACCTTTGTTGGCTCCTTCGTCCTTTCTACTTCAGAAATCATAAAAAGTTTTGTATTGGAATCGATTTTTGTTTTATCTTTATTTTTCCCTTTGTTAGATACGCTTGATATAAAATCAAATGCATTAACTACATTTTCTTTAGGAGGCTCTGAACTATCTGTAGGTGGCTCAACAATTTTTTTTGGCTTTAGGGAATAACGCTTTCGTGGGATTATAGGAATTGGCTCATCACTTTTTAAAATTTCATTCTTTTTGATGGCAAGTTCTTCTTGCTCAAGCCTTCTATAGGCTTCATTAATAAGCCTTTCTTTGGCTAATTCTATGTCGTAGTTTAGAAGAGCTTCAATGATGGTTGACGGGAGATAAAATTTTTTAGATGCTGATGGGATGTCTGAGGAATGTGTGAATTGAATGATAAATTGCCTGATTTTGTGGAAAAATGGGTCTTCGTCGATGCTTAAAGCGCATTCTTTAACATAGCTTTCTATGAGAGATAGTCGGGCTGCAGCTTCTGGTACACCTTTTATTAGGGCATATATCCCTACTTCTCTTGGGGTTAAATTCATATTTTATGCCCCCAAATAATGATGAACACTTAAGAAATGGGCAAATAATAAATGCTAATTTAAATAAAAAGTTAGAAATTATATTATAGATATAAAGCTCTTTTTGAATTTCAAAACTATAGATATTAATTATGGCTTAAATTTTAAAATTTGTTTAATATTGAGATATTCCAAGTGAACACTCAATGAAGATATTGAGTCCATTTTGAAAAAAAAGAACTAAATAAAGAAAGATTTAAGCTTCAAATCTGGAATTCAGCTTCTCATATTAATAAATTTCATAATTTATATTTAAAATGCATAAAAGGAATAATTTTTGCTTATGATTTCTGTTGTAAAAGTTCTTTTATATAAAGAGATGAGTAAGTGAAAGTTAATTTTTCAATTTTAAATATTTTTTTTAGTTTCTAAATATCTGAGACTCTTTATCTTATCTAATAAATTTATGAAATTATCTTAAAGATCCAAAAGAATTCTAGTAGGCTCTTCTACAGCCATTTTAATTGCTCTTAAAAAGAGGACCGCATCTTTTCCATCAAGCAGTCTATGATCATAAGTAAGTGCAAGATACATTATTGGCCTTGCCACAATTTGGTCTCCTTTGACGACAGCTCTATTTTCAATACTATGCATTCCCAAAATTGAGGTCTGTGGAGGATTTATTATGGGAGTTCCCAGCATAGACCCGTAGATGCCACCATTAGAAATCGTAAAGCTTCCACCTTGCATATCTTCTAAAGCTAGCTTATTGTCTCTTGCAAGATTAGCGAAGCGCCCAATTTCTTTTTCAATATCAGCAAATGATCTATGTTCACAATTTCTTAGAACAGGGACCACAAGGCCATTTGGAGTAGAAACTGCAACTGAAATATCTGATAAAAAGTTAGCTTAACCAAAGAATAAAAAGCCAAATTGTCTAAGGTAATTATAATATTTAAATAGCCCTTCCCCTAAGGTAATTATAAGAAATAATTAATTAAAGAAATATCTACATAATTTTTATATACGATTTCATCTCCATCAATAACAGCATTTGCTACAGGATTATGAAGTAAAGCATGGGTGGCAGCTTTTACGAAGAACGACATAAATCCAAGCTTAACTCCATGCTTCTTTAGAAAATCGTCTTTATATATATTTCTCAGTTCCATTGCACGGCTCATATCACATTCTTGAAAAGTGCTTAACATAGCATAGGTGTTTTGGGCACCTTTAAGCCTTTCAGCAATTTTTTTCCTCATCTTGCTCATTCTTTCTCTGGTTTCAGTCCTTTCACCAGTTACCTTAGGAGCCTCAACTTTTATTTTGGCTGCGGTTTCTGGCTTTTTCTCTACTTTAGGCTGTTCTTTTGGCTGTGATTTTGCTTCTTCTTTCGGAGCTGCCTTATTTCGCTAATTATTAATAATTAATTTTTAATTAAATTCAATTTCTTGTAACAATTTTAAATATAAAATTAAATTTAATTGTTAAGGCGAGTCAGGGGCTTCTTTTGGCTGCTCTTTTGGCTGTTCTTTTGGCTGCTCCTTTGGCTGCTCTTTTGGTGCCTCAGCTTTTGCTGCACTTTCAGATTTAGCTTTGTCTGTGTCCACAATAAATAAATCAGCCCCGACAGGGATATCATCTCCTTCTTTAGCAAGCTGTTCTACGATTTCTCCAGCAACAGGAGATCTGATTTCTTGGCTTAATTTATCACTTTCTATTACCACAACGATTTCGTCCATATTCACATATTCTCCAACTTTTTTGACCCAGGATTGAACAGCGCCTTCTGTGATTGACTCTCCCATTGAAGGGACTTTGATAGTCTGCTTGCTGAAATATCTACAAAGAGATTGAGTATTGATATTTCTGCAAGGTATCGACTTGAGTAAAGACTTAGATACTGTGCCATAAGCAAAACTAGAGAAAGTCCTTAGCATATTTATCCATTAGTTAGTGAATTCACATAGAAATATGCAAGCCAAATAATATTTTATATACAAACTATGAAAGTAAATTTTGGACTTGGCTCGATCAAAACTCTTATCAGCAACTACCAAAAGCCAAAAAGCGACAGGGAAAATTCTAACTCAGAGATAACCAACGCCAATATGCAGAAGCTATCTAAGCACGGAAGATCCCAATCAGTTGAAAAAATTCTTTTTAAACGAAGAATCCATAGTATTGAAAACTCTGATAGAGATTTATCTAGCAGGTATCATATTTCTTACAAAACACAATCAAATTTTAAATCACTTGACATCCCACTCAAACAGTTATTGAGAAGCAGCTCTACTGAGCTCAAACCAAGCGTAGAGATTGCCATGGTTTTTAATAAAGCTCAGGAAATAGTGAAAAGCGAAAATTGTGATAATCCTTTCGAAAAAATCAAAATTATTTTATAGACTTTTAATAAGAAATACAATCTGAGTCACAGAAATAGGCTTATTTTCTATAAAAGTTGATATGATTATTTGGAGAAATGCACTTTAATTTTTGGAATATTATAAAATTATTTGATTTAATTATAAATGAAGACAAATGCTATAAAAACGAAATGATGCTTATAAGAGAAGAAATAAATAAAGCAATATTTGCGAATAAAAGAGAAATTCAAACAGAAATTCTTGAACAGTCGTTAGATAAGCATTGAGATATTCTTAAAGATTTAACTGAAGAGATTCCGTATTTTTATATTTATGACATCGCTGTAAAATCAAGTGAAGAAAAAAGGAAAATTATGAAACAAAATAAGCTAAAAGGACGAATAATAAAAGAAAATTTTGAAAAAAGTCTTAAAGAGAAAGATGCAGTAATTAATAATTTGAAAGGAGAAATCGAGATATTAATAGGAAAATTAGAAAAATTGGAATACGAAGCCAAAGAATTTTTAGGTGAAAGAATTGCATTAGAAAACCAATTAAGCAGAGCGTTCAAAAAAATAAATGATTTAAATTCAGCATTAGAAAGCCAAGAAGATATTATTAGTGAATATGACAAAATTAAGTACGAATTACAAGAAACACTGAAAAAAACTCAAATTTTTTCTAACGAAATGGAAACAAAGTTATTTACGCTTCAACAACAAAACCGTGAAATTAAATTTCAATATGACAGCTTATCCGATTCATTTAAAACGTGCCTATTAAAATTAAAAATTGCTTATAAAGAAAATCAAGATTTTGAAGCAATAATTTCTAACTTAGAATTGCAGAACTCAGAACTATATATTCGTGCAGCAGCTGGATTTGAAGAACTAACACCAAGACCCGATTTATCAGAAGCATTCGAAGAGGTTGAGATCGAAATGCCTAAGGCGACAACACAAGATAAAGTGCAAATATTATGTACTTATATAAAAAAATACAAAGAAAAAACATTTGACAGTCCAAAGAAAAAAGGCAGATCAACCCCAAACAAAAAACATAAGCGAAGACCAAGCAATTTGTCTTCAATCGGCGAAGATATAAAAAAGTCAGTATTAGACTCCTCCCGTATAAGTAGCAATAATTCTTAATTGTAAATTAAAAAACTTTTCTTCTCGAATGGGCGATTTTAAAATTTTTTCCTATAAGTAATTTGTTGATATTTTTTCTGTGTTGTGATATTAAGCTTTTAGCATATTTATTATGCCTTTCCGTAATACTATCATCGAATAGTCCCCTACCTGATTTAATTCTTCTTATTTCAGAGGCTTCTAATAAAGCTGTAAATCGTTTGTGGTCGCTATCAATTTGGTACTTTATAAAAATAGGACTGAGCTGATGCCATTTTTTATAATTTTTAGCCTATATCTTATATAAAAAAATATAGTAATTACCTAAATTAACCTTATAAATATAACATAATAGAATAGTGTTTTTTTGCAATTGCAGGCGTTGTCAATGTGGCATCACTCTGGGCAAGAATTGCATCCCTCTCCTGCTTTGTAAAAATTTCGAAAAAATCCTGCTTACTAATAATATAAAGTATCAATTTTTCACTTTTTGAGATTGCCTTTGCTTCTCGTGAGGCTCCAATGATGACTTCTCTTTCCCCAAATATTTCGCCGGTTTTAAAGTTTTTGACTTTTTTAATGTATTTTTCTTCGGTAATTAATGTTTCTTTAAGACTGTCTCCTGTAGGGATACTATTTACTTTTTTTATTGTTATCAGCATTTCTAAGCTGACCTCGCCTTTCATTATGATGTAAAAATGCGTTGCTGGGGAATTATAGGTGTATATGACTTCGTTTAAGGAAAATTGTTGGCATTGCAAAGAATTGCAAAAGATTTCGAGCTTGCTGACCCTTCATTTTGAAAATAAAGGAATCTGCCGGATTTGGTCTTTTTCTAGGTAAAGCACTTTCAGCCGAGGCTTAAATACAAGTAAGTCGTAATCGTGCTTATTTAACACAAATAAAAATACCTTGGAGTCGTTTGCTGATACTGAGTATGTGTATTCTTTTGAGCTTATCAGCTCTTTTTCGCCTAAATTATTAAATGGACCTAGGACAGATTTTGTGTCTTCTTTAGTTATAATAACAGTTCCTTTTACAATAAAATAAAGTTTTTCAGCTAGCTGTCCTTGAACTACAATATTTTCTGAAGGCTCATAATATTCCGATCTCAGCCTATCACAAATATGCAGTCTCGTTGATTTTCCCAATCCATTAAAAAACCAATATTTTTTACAAAAACTTTCCAAAGCATTTCTTTCAACTGCACTTCTTTCATCTGCTGTTTTTTCTGCTATTAACTCGCCCGCAATAATAAAATCACTACTTTGAAAGTGGTTGTCTTAGAAAATCTGGTTCCTTCACACGACGATTATTTCATAACGACTATTTTTTTTTTTGGCCTATTTTTTTTGGCCTATTTTTTTTTGGCCTATTTTTTTTTGGCCTATTTTTTTTTTTTGGCCTATTTTTTTTTGGCCTATTTTATTTTGGCCTATTTTTTTTTGGCCTATTTTTTTTTGGCCTATTTTATTTTGGCCTATTTTTTTTTGGCCTATTTTTTTTTCACCTATTTTATTTTGGCCTATTTTTTTTTTGGCCTATTTTTTTTTCACCTATTTTTTTTCACCTATTTTTTTTTTGGCCTATTTTTTTTTGGCCTATTTTTTTTTGGCCTATTTTTTTTTCCAATTCATGAGCAGGTTGCTCACACAGGGAGGAGTAAGCAAACATCCAAATTTTTAATATCATCATAGCTTCTTATTGTGTCTTGGAAATCTTTTCTGTCTAACAGTCATTCAGGAAATAATTCGGATTTATGTATTTTGCTTTTATTTGGACTTTTTTTATCTTTTCGAAATGCTTTGATTTTTTCTTTGAGCTCATGGTTAGAGCAGGCAAGTAAAGGAAGTTTTGGGGTGCATGGGACGGTCCAATAATTTCTTGCTGCAGGCGATGAAGGATTTGTAAGGGAGCTCAAAAATGTGGAATTTACTTCTGGGGATTGGGGCTGGATTGACATAGAAGTGTTTCGGAAGTTTTCGACAGGAGAGTAATGCATAGATTATTAATCGGTAATTTTAATAGAATTTTTTTAAATAATGATGGGAGTTTGGTGAGTTTTATAGGTGCGGGAGCATTCAAAGAAAATTGGTGAATGATCCTTTAAGTATTGTTATTATAAAACAAGACATAATTTTGGTACCTTGAACTTGCCTAAAAAGCTTTTATAAATAGCTATAATTAAAAGATTTAATTAAAACAACCTTCAAATTATAAGTTTAGGATAGCTATATTGGGCTTAAAATTATTCTGAAAGAATAATAATTTTTTTTTGATTCACTAAAGCATATTCTAATAATTGTTTGTTCGTTTTAACTAATAAATATTTAAATCTAATAGCCAATTATTCGCATTTTGTCTAATCTTTAATCTTTTAAAGCATTTTCTAGAAATTAAGAAAAATTTATTACATTCCTACAAAGGCTTTTAAGTTCGATAAAAATTGCTTGGCATACTCTCATACGATTCCATTGTCTATGCTGAGGATCCTTAATAAATCCTAATTGGTTATTTACTTCAACCTTATTGGTCCTTTAGGCAATAGGCAAGTTTTATAAATGCCAAATTGCATAAGGACCTCGCAATTGGGTGACTCTTTTTAACCTTCTTAAAGCGATTTGAAGATCAGATAGAAGTCTTGCAAATACTTACAGTTGACTGCATCTTGCTCTATTTGACTTTCCTCTAGCAACTACTCAGAATAAATAAATTAAACGATTATGCTTGCCATGAGCGGATAAATCACTAGCTATCGCTTATATTGGCTCAAAAGGTCGCCCTTTTCGATTTCCGACCTGAATTACCTGCCCAAGAATTAGTTCCTAGGGCAGAGTCGCCATCTGTAAGGTGTCTGATGGATGCAATAAGAAGAATCCATGTGGTAGGCAAGCCTGTCTCGCCCATCTGGCAGGGATAGGAAACCTTCAGGGAAGAAGCAAAACACCCTGTTTCAGCAAAGAACCTTTTGGATGGTCTACTTAGCTCACGAAGACCTTATTTCACTACCCATTGTGCTGGTTGACCATTCTGATAGGAGGTATCACCTCAAGTCCTATTTCCGTCAACCTCACCATTTATATCTCTACTCAGAATAAAGGTTCTATCTTTATATCAGCAGGAAAAGAGACAGAAAATGGCGCATCTAGGATCTAGCCCATAAAATAAAAATATTGTGTTAAAAATTGCATTTAAAGAGAGAGTTATTTTATTCTTACTACGATTTCCTTCTCAATGTTTGAAGCTTTATAGGAATCTTCAAAATTATTTCATTAATATTGAAAATACCCCTAACAATTTTAAGCTATTTTATGAAAATTCCCATCATTTATACTGCAATTAATTTCAGTTTTTGAGCATTTTAGAATTATTTAATATATTAAACTATACGATACTTATCATTTGACATTCATTAACTTTACTGAATATTGCAGATTTTTTGGTTGTTAAGTTCTTTAAATAGATCAGCTTCCTCTGCTTCGAATGGAAGTTCATTATCTTCGTTTTTGACTGTAAAAATAGGAGGAAGAATTCTTCGGATTGTAAAGCTAACTCCTCATCCTTGATCGAACGACACTATTAAAACTGCGAAAATTAGAAATATCTTTGATTAAAAGATTCAAATAGTAAAGCATAGAGCCTGGCCTACTAACTGCTTAATTCTAAATACATATTTTGATAGTAATGAATATTAGAAATTATGCCATGTAATCACTTCTAAAAATTTTTCACTATTATTTCTAGCATACTTGCTAATATACACCACACCATACTCTATCTCTATTTCGAGTACATAAAAATATTTTATATGAACAATACAATATAAAAATTTTAAATTAATAAAATATTTATATGTCATTTTTTTCTAGAAATTTTTTAGTATTTAGTGCTCATCTTTGATCGAGCAATGGTGATAATTTTATCAGGGAGTAAGGAATTCTTCTTGAGATTTCAAGTCTTCATTAATTCTCGTATTTGAGGAGGCTTTGGAAGTTTCAGAGTCTTCATAATATTCAAGGGTGCCCGCTGTTGTTTTTGGTGATGATAACATGCTCTAATTATAATTAAGTAATGGAAAGTAAATTTATCAAACGTGAAAAACTGGAAAATATTATTTTCTTTCTCCCCTCTATGATCAAACAATTTTTTGCTAGCTTAAATTTTAATACAAATTTCCATTCGATATTTATCTTAAAATATATCAAATATTTTTTTTATAATTATATTTAAACCTCTTGTGGAGGACTTTTGGGTGAAAATAGTATTTTTCCAATGATTTTGCCCACTAACAACGGAGAGTTAATTTTATTATAATTATCCATATTGTAAGAATAATGATGAGCATTACATATGATTTATAGTCTATTTTATTGTTTGGTTTGAAGGCTTGCTAAATAAGAGTTATTAATGATGCCAAATAAAATATTTAAAAAATATCTATGTGATTCAACAAAATATCTTTATATTATAGCTTTTATATAAAAAACTTATTAAAATCCAGCACTATTTCTAAATTTTTCATTATACAATTTTATTTTATATCATTTAATTATATAGGAAATTTTATATTATTAAATATAACTAATTATAGTCTATATATTTATAAAAAAATTTGGTTATTTAATTTATAATTTTTTAAATATATTATTAATCATAGATATGAGAATTAAAAAAAATTAATTAATGAATAATAACCCCATAGGTGATCACAATAAATTTTTTAAATTTATTTTAGATGGTAGCACACATTTAGGTGCTTAGACGCTTAATAAACAAGAGCAAAGATCTAAAAATCGTATCCCGAGAAGACACTGATGGACTTCTAGACGTCGAATCAACTGCAAGAAATCAGCTAAGCTCTGCAGGCAATTTTTTAGAAATGACAACGAGCCCCAAGCACCTTATAACACCTTTAAAAATCCCAAATCTCCTTACTCCCCATTAAAATTGAAACAAAAAGTCCTGCTGTAATTAAAATGAGAATTAATTTTTTTTCAAAAAAATATATAAACTTTATTTTATAAAGTATAAATCAATTCAGCATGAAAAATGTTTATAATATTCTAAATTCATTAAAAAATATTGCTATTGAAAAAGCAATTTGTTAAAATTTAAAGGTATTTAAAGTGCCTAAAAATCGGAATTTTAACAATATTTTTGCTCCATTTACAGGGGGAGATAGCAGGGCTACTCTCAATGATGAGGATGAACTATCATCAGTCGAAAGACGAAAATTGCATATAAGGAACACCCCAGTAATAAATTCAAAATATACTAACTGCCAGAGAATCGGCTCCACACGGGAACCATTTTCCACGTGTGGAGCGATTTTTTCACACGTGGAAGTCAGGATTCTTACGTGTGTGGAAAAATGGCTCCAAACGTGGAAGATGGTTTCCGTGTGGAGCCGATTTTCGGTTGCCCGAGGATGGCGCAAATAGCACCATCCTCGGACAATTTCTATATCTCGATGTTTGAAAAAGAATGAGAAACAAGCTGCGAAGTAACGGCTTAATGATCCGTCTAAGACAAGATTTAAATCTATACGGCACATCCAATGGTATTTACCATCAAAGATCGCAGAATCTTGAAGCTTTATCAAAAAGTCCTGAAGTTACGAATATAATAGAAGTATCAACAGGAGCTCAAGAAAAATTGCCTATTTTTGTGTTTCATCCGAAGCATACAGCCAGGGTTATTTGAAGTGTTATTTTATTATTGATTTTAGTGTACACAGCAACCATAACTCCATATAGAATTGCTTTTAAAGACCTAAACAAGGTTGACGAGGAATATGTGATAGATTTGATTGTTGATATTTTATTTTTCATTGATGTTATTATGAATTCAATGACTGCGTATTTTGACGATGAAGGAAAATTAGTAGAAAAAAGGCTCAAAATATTATGGAATTATATGAAATCTTGGATGATTCTGGATTTGGTTTCATGTATACCTTATAACTTGTTTATAGATCTTAATGAAGAATTTGCAACAACTAAGAACTGAAATGTGTTGATAAGGCTATTGAGACTTCCTAGGCTTTATAAGCTTTTCCAAGCTTCTAAAATTATGAGTTTGCTTAGGAGTTACAGAAGAAGCGCATTTTTAGACAAAATTCAAGACTATTTAAGCATAAAACACAGCGCGTTTAGACTTTTAAGCACATTTGTGACTATCCTTATATGTGCCCACTTATCTGGCTGCACTTGGTTTTTGCTTGCAAGAGTCTATGGATTTTCCCCAAATTCCTGGGTATTTAATTTTAATGATATGGATAAAGATTCCTTCACTTTATACATATTTTCTATATACTGGGCCATAACAACCCTTACAACAGTTGGCTATGGCGATATTTCAGCTCAAAATATCGTGGAAAGAATCTACGCAATGCTCTGGATGCTTTTTGGGCTATTTTTTGTATCTTTTGCTATAGGAAGCTTATCTTCTTTAATGAGTGGTCTCGACACAAAGGAAAATCTTTTAAACACAAAACTGGCTTGTGTTGATGAATTTGCAAAAGAAACCCATTTAAATAACAATCTTAGGCATAAAATAAGGTCAGCACTAAGGTATTCAACTGAAAAACAAGGATACTCGTGGAGAGATAAACAGACAATTTTTAATGAGCTGCCGAAAAACTTGAGATATGAAGTTGCGTTGGCTATGCATAAAGGGGCTGTAAAGTCTATTACATTTTTTTCAAATAAAGATAGAGGCTTTGTAGCTGCAATTGTGCCGTTTTTGCAGAATTTATTTTTAGCTTTCAGTGAATATGTATAGTGATGATAAGGCATTAAGGACTAAACATTATATAGTTAATATTTCTGGCCTTTTTAAATAATAAAATATATATAAACAAGGACAATATAGCGATGAAATTTATTTTCTTGTAAATGGAAGGCTGAATTATGTAGAAGAAGAGGAAGGAATTGTTTATAAAAGTCTGCAAAGAGGAAGCTATTTTGGAGATATAGAAGTTATACAAAGAATCCCAAGGAAATACACGATTCAAGCTGGCATGGATTGTGATTTGCTATCTATGAATAAATCACTAGTAGACTTCATATTTGAAGAATTCCCTAGTGTAGGGAAAGAAATGAAAACTGTTGCTGAGCTAAGAGACAAAATGAATAGAAGATCTTATAATGAAATAAAAGAGTTGTTAAGGCTCAGAAAAACCAAAGATTTAACAGGAGTGACAGTCAAAGAAGTAAGAGAAGTCATCATCAGCAAAGTTGAAAAATTCGATAAAGCTGGTACTAAATCTAAAGAAAAAAACGACGAAGACCTAATGGAACAAATAAAAATCTGCATCTCTTCAATTGAGCAGAAAATCATAAAAATTGAAGAAGAATTAATTGAAACCAAAGCCATCACAAAAGCGACCCAAGAGTGTATGGGGCATTATGAACGAAACTCTTTGATGGAAGAGTCTGAAGAAGGTATATTAAAAATAAATCAGTCAAACGATTCAAGAAGCTTTAACGTCCTCGGAGATGACATTTCCTTTGCTTAATCCTTATTGTTTTATAAATAATAAATAATTTCCATAAAAAATCTGCATATTAGAAGACGGGCAATATTGGGAGTATAATAATGGATAATTCTGCAAGGCTTGATATTATAAATCCAATAGCAGATGTGAATCTCATTATTAAAAAAATCCAGAACAATTGTCATAGAACCCTAAATTCAAGTAAAGAATGCTTTCCATATGTGGAGAGCTATGCATATAAGCATATACCAGAAAATAAGAGCTTTTCTATAATAGATGGGAGTTTTGGAATAAGGGGAAACAATGGTTACGAAAACCATTCTCATGAGTCTACATTGAAGCATAGTGATGGGAAATTTACTGTGAAAGGGATGTTTCAAACAAAACGGAAAAATTTTCAGAGCTTGCAGTCTTGCTTTAAAATTTATAAATCAAAAAGGAATCAAGAATCTGTAAAACAGATGAGATCTTTTGATGCTTCTTGGACAGATATTGTCAAAAAACTAATATATATTAATAACTGATGATCTGTATAATATAAAATCTTCATATTTTTATATCATTAAATCCTAATAGTCCCAAATTAGTCTAAACCTAAATAGTTTGAATAGAAAAGCACGCCTTTTGATAGCTTTTATCTAATAAATAGGAAAAGAGATAATCAGTATGAACGTTTTTATTCATTCAAATTAGATATAAACTAATATAATTCTAAATGATAAGCAAAAAATTCAAAAAATACAAAAAAGCTCGAGAAGACGGTTTTCTACTTATAGATATAGCAGAAAGACGCCTTCACCAACTCCCATAATTGACCAAAAAACAGACTCGTCTTATTTAATGTCGAAGTCTTCAAAACTTCATACCAAGCATCAAAAATGTAATCATAGAAAAATAAATTCAACAGAAACTTCCACGCATGAAAAAAATTCCGATTTTAAACCCGCTATATCAATCGAAACGAAAATTTTGCCAAAGAAAATAAATGAATTTTGGCATTAATTAACTAATTTTTTTTGCTAATAAATATATTATTTTGCATGATAGCTTGAATAATGAGGTAGAGCGAAAGGCATCGCTTGTAATTCTAGACAGCTGCAGAAAATGGTTAATTTATAGCTTAACTATTATAAATAATAAAGGATTTCATGCTTACAGCTAGTTTCTGACAAATTTAATTTAATGAAAAATGTATTTTACAGTTCACGATTAAGTAAAAAAAATAAATCATGTAATTTTGAAAATGGATTGAAAAATACTTCAACAATAAAACAGAATCATGCAGAAAAACTTTAAATAATTATCTTGCAATTATTTTTATTCAAAATTTAACTTCAATCATATCTTAATTGTGGCAATTATAATATATCTTTTTTTAATTAAATTTTCACCATCTTTGATTCTATAGTTCATGCACGCATTTGGCGTGCATTTAGAGCTGATTGAGAGCAGAAACAGAACTAATTGAGTTTTTTTGAACCAATCTGACAAGCCCAATTTGGCAAATAAAGCCATAATGGTTTGGTTTTGCCAAATCGAGTTTGGCTCTTCAAAATGGGCAGAGAAGCCAACAGGCTTGATTACGGCTCAGCCAACTCTAAGGGGCCGCCAAATGCGTGCATGAACTATAAAGGTTCAAATTTTATTGAATAGACTTATGTGCTATATTAATTTAGACACCAATTAATCTTTGCATAATAATTTAATATGAGCGATACATACCAACTGAATCTCTACAAACAGATGCATACTATGTTATCATCTCCACCTAAGCCAAGAGACAATAATCAGCCATATCGCAATCCTTTGGTCCCAGACACTCTTGATCAAGCTCCAGCTTATAAATCAAGATCGTCAGTTCCAGGGTATATGGAATCCTCTAACTCCCCCCCCCCTTTAAATTGGAACTAAAAATTTTGTTCCAATTTAAAGGGGGGTTAAGAAAATTTTTTATAAAAAAAATTCAAAAATTTATCGAATTAGATTAATAAATTTGTTTAATAAAATGCTATTTACTCTTTATCCTTTAAAACAAAGCAAGATATAGCTAAAATTTTATTATTAATTAATACGCCACTATTAATTGGTATCAAAACTATTTACACAAAAATTATTATTTTTATTGATAAAAAAAAAAAATTAAAAAAACAAATTTTAGAAAATTTATTAATCAAAGTGCTAATTTTGTTTAAATAAGATGTTATTTATACTCTATTCTTTAAAATAAAGCAAGAGATAAGTAAATTTTGAATTTTTGTAAAGAATTCGTATTGAATTTATATCAAAGCTATTTAAATAAAAAATATCATTTTTATCAAAAAAAATAAATTTTTTTTAAAAATTTTTTAAAAACAAAAAAAAAATTAAATATTTTTAAAAAATTTACAATTAACGATAATAAATTTATTTAAATAAGATGTTCTTTATACTCTATTCTTTAAACAAGAGCAGGATATAACTAAATTTTTAATTTTAGTTAAGAAGAAACATTTAATATATATCAAAACTTTTTACATAAAAATTATGATTTATATATATAAAATTTTTTATTATAAAATTAAATTTTGTTCCAATTTAAAGGGGGGGGAGTAAGCCACTAACTGAAAGACCTCGAGGGATAGCCAGGACTTCTTTATCTGACAAGCACTCAGGCTCTTTTGCATTTTCATATGAAACACCAGAAGACTTTGTGCCTTCTCGCCGAGTAATTGCTCAAAAGTCCAGCGAAACGTTTGAGCAGCCGATTTCTGTCAGAAAGTCTGCTTACCAGCCTCCTGAAAGAAATCCTATTACTCAAAACTCAAAAGAACTCGAAGTCCACCAGCCAAAAGTTAGAGGAAAAGGACAGCCGCCATCTTCATTAGGTGAAGTAATCACCCAGGATAAAAAGCCAGTAGAAGAAACACCTGCAAGGAACTCAATGTATTTCCAAAAGATGAGGAGTAATATATTTGATGGCAATGCTGCTGAAGTAGAAAGAGAAAGACCTAACTATTTTCTGTAAAAAAAATTTATTTTTTTGGATAAATTATTTTTTATATGAAAAATTGTTGCGGTGAAGGTAAGAAAAAAGTTGTTATGGATAGGCCTGAAGGTGCAGGGTCTCTTTTGCAATATAATTATGCGCTTGAATATAGAGACTCTGGTGTGTCTGGAAAGCCAAGTGATCATAAGGTTGAAAAGGAAGCTTTACAGCAGACAAAGGTGTCAAGAGGAATGGCTGAAGTATTTAAGATGAGAAGAAACCAATCAGCGGTCACTTTCGCTTAGTTTAACTTAGATTTAAATAAAAATTAGCATTTATGTCTTCTTATTTTAATCATTTATTATTATTTATACAATTTTGGAATCAAATAAATAACGAAAACAATTTAATTAATTTTTCATAAAATTTTATGTTTTGGATGAATCGTAATTTTAATTTATTAAGACTTATAGGTATTAAATCACATTAGCACCAAATTAAAAAGAAGTTAATAGAGCAGCTTCGCTTATATTGTAATAAATTCATATATCCCTTAATAAAATTGAGAAATAAAATGGTGACGTTGACGGAAATTGGACTCCGAGGCGCACCTCCTATGGAGCTGTCAGGACCCATTGCTGATGAAGCTGAAGATACAGATCTCATTCCTGTCCTAAGTAGGCTTTCAGTTGGGGAAGCCGTGCCGAAGAGGAAGTTTTATTTCTCCCCCGAAGGTTTTTCCCTGTCCCTGCCAGATGGGCTAGACAGGTTTTTCCTACCGCATGGTCTTCCTTCATCGGGACCATCGGGGGCACTCAGACAGAAGTGACTCTGTCCAAAGGAGCTGATCCCTTGGACAGGTGGTTTTGACTAGAAATCAAGATGGCGTCGGGCCTGGGAGTATGGCCACATCAGAACCCGACCTGGAGTCGTCTTTCGAGTTGAGGTGTTGAGATCCGCTGGTTTCGCCCACGTCTGGCCTTTTAAAACTAACTAACTAACTAACTAACTAACTTAATAAAATTGACATATTTTTCAAGGGTATTTAAGGAACGGGTTTTATTATTATTGGGATCTGGAGAGGGTAGCGCCTCTCTGTAACGCGAGTGCGAGATTTGGCTGATTGGAATTGGATGTGGGTCATTCAAGTCTATCAATCATGGACTGCGCAGAGAGTCCGTCCTATTCAAATTAGGGGTCATGTGCGGGGCTTCAAGTAATTGGGGTTTCGTATATGTTAAAGTGAGAGGGACTGCCCAAGGCTGGAAACAGAGCAGGGATAACTCTCCGTCCTTAATCATGGAAGGATCGCGGACTTGAGCATTTCTGGTAGGCTTGGTGATACCTATCTGGTCACAAAAGGCTTCCACCAACTTTTTCTTTTCATGATATATAAGAATAATATTTATCAATTTAATCATAGTGAAATATATTAAATTATTCAGCAATTGTCATTCGCAAATAGCTGAAATGGTTATTGTCTCTATTTAAAGCATCATAAAAGTTCCCAATTTGGTTTGAGACAGAAATTTACATGCATAATAGAGAATTCCATTGCTAAGATTAATTCTTTTATTATGCGATATTCTGCTGAGCAACATTTTAGTCAATTTCATGCATTCAGACTAAAAATAATGGCAATATATCCCTAGGAAGAGCATAAGATTCACAATATGGTTCACCTTAGACTCCATTGAAAGAATATATTTCTATTTGACGAAATCTTAAAGTCCTAGTTTAAATTCCTAACTATTTGTTAGTGGAAATTTCGAGTCATAACTGATTTTATATCCTCATCGCCTTTTTGAGTATAAAAGTTAAGACATTTAGTTGTATGGTCTGAGGTTTAATTTTTTTGCAAATTTTTTAAAGTGCTCTCTTTTTAGTCTTGCCTGAAAATAGCATACTGCAGTCTTATTTGTGCTCAAAAGCAGTTAAGCTTTTGTCTTAGATTTGGAAATGGCTAATTAGCACATTCCATGCTTATTCATGAGTTAAGTTATTCTTTCTATCTTATCAAATAAAATTCTTTGATAAATATAAAATATAAGTCAACTATTTGAGCTAATTTGTAGTTGCATTAAGAATATCGAATTTTCATATTATCTTTAAATAATATTGCAATCTATTTCTAGCGGGCTATATTAATTGTCTTTGATGACGTCCTCAGAATATTTAAAAATGATCTCTAACTGAGAGGCTGTCATATACTGCAGTTTATATGGATGCATAAACTTCCACTAAAGATGACAGAACTATTATGCATTGCGCAGAATTCCAATGCTAATTAATAATCATTCCTTAAAAAAGCGAAAAATAATTTTATGCTTTTCTTGCTTCACTTAAATTAAAAAGTTTAATTTTTTATCAGATGTAAAAATCAAAAAATTCGTTGCCAGACTTGATTGGTCACTCCCAAAGTAATAAATTTCTGTTCAAATTAAGTAATATGGCTATAGTTTAATGAAAACCAAACTGGAGAACTATAAGTTTAAGTGTTATTATGACCATTGCGAGAAATCTTACTTAACGAAGTATCATCTTCGAAGGCATATCAATTCTGCCCATCTAAATATAAAAACTTTTACATGTCCGGGCTGCTCGAAGTCTTTTTCAAGCAAACAAAATTTCAAGGAGCACATGCAATTGCAGTGCGGGCACAAGACATCTATAGGAGAAAAAGAAGTCAAAGTAGAGGCTGAGTTGGCCATTCTAAACAAGCTCCCTCTGATGGGCAGACTCAGTCAAATTTTCTCTCAAGGAGAAACAATGAGTTTTTCTAAGGCAAAGAACAACAGCAACAGGCCTATGCCAGTGCTCCCACCAGTAGATGGTGACAGGCAAAGCGTGTGGGGTAATACAAAGATCCCCATTCTTCCAATCCTACTTAATTAGATAAAGCAGGGAGTGTGGTTCTTTGTGTAAATAAAATAAAGGGTTTATTATAAATTAAGCTGCTGAGTCTATATTTATTGATTTTTGAGAGCTTTTAGCTTATATTTTGTATTTTCGATATATAAAGAGTTGTATAAAGAAAGCTCAATGCATTTTGTTTATATTATTGCTACAAATGGATATATTATGTTGGGATCGTCCTAGTATTTTAGAAAGTCTCTATAATTTTGATTAGATTGGTTTAAAGAGCATTGTTGTGTTCCATATTTGTGACCAGTTTGGAGGAACTTCGGCTTATATAAAAAATGGGGGAAATTAATATTAATTTCGGATCTTTAGATAGAAAATTAGTTAACTCTAATATCAGATGAACTATTGATTTATGCCTACCTCTTAAAGAGCCGATTTGGCAAACCAATTCGCCCAGCATTATTTTAAAGCTATATATATAAAGATTAAAACACCTTATTTTATGTTTTAGCTCTGAGTTTGGGTATTTATTATTGATACTAAATCATTATCTGATTGTGATGTCTTTGTAAATTGGAATAAATTGTTTTCATCAATTATTTTTATAATTTTATTCTGATTCGCTTTTATCTCATTTTCCTTTTAAAATATCTAAATTGAAATCTAATTGATTAATTATAAAGAAGATCGTATAAAAATTCAATGATTTTTAACTCTTTGGCTATGATATTTAAATTATCTTCTATCTATATTTTTGAACCATAAAAATAAACCAGGAATTAAGGATCCTAATTTTTTTGATAAATATAAATAAAGTATTTCAAATAGAATTAAGATAAGCTATTTAAGATAATCCATTTATTTAAAGGATTTTAAAATTTTTTAATTCTATCGTCATTTATTTTTAAGATGGCGGTATTGAAGACAATTGATGTTTAAATATTATCTTTATATTTAAATTGAGATACTAAATCCTATTTGAAATATTGATAACTTCTGAATAAGAAAGCCTTCTCTTTATATTAGTTTTTTTACAAGTATATAGAATCCCTTCTAAATATTTTTCATAGATAAAAGAGTTGAAAAATATAAGTTTAATACTTCTCAGCGCAAAAGTAATAATCTCTCTAGACTAATAGGACTAAAGCTCTAACTCCCCCCCACCTACGTTAGTGAACAAAAAAATTTCGTTCACTCACGGAGGGTTTTATTTTAAAAAAATTTTATATATAAATTTTTTTTTTCAAAATAAAAAAAAATCCTAATTCGTGAAAATTTGAAAGCAAATATTAATTTAAATTTATAAATTTATGTTTTAAAAAGCAATTCGTTTAAAATTGAACAGAATCAGCTCTAGATTTCATTATACTAATTATCATTTATATTTCAAATTTTTTTTCCATAAAAAATTTTTCTATTAAAAAAATTTTTGTTCACTCACGGAGGGTGGGTTTTTGGGAAAAAATAGCGATTTTTTCTAATGGTTTTGTTCACTCACGGAGGGGGGGAGTAAAAAAAATGGTATTGATTTCTGATTGATTCAAATCTACTCTATTGCATTAATTTTCATATTTTATCTCTTTAAAATTTTCGTTTTTTTATAAGAATAAGCGTTTTAAATTTATGAAAATTAGCATTAAATAGTAATGGCTTGGTGGAAAAAAGGAGCTCCATCTGCCCCTGAAGGAGAAAAAGCAACAAAAAAGGAGGCAAAAGAAGAGGAAAAAAAGGTCGAGGAGCCAAACAATAAGCCTAGCTGGGCAAAGGCACCAGCAAAAGAAGATTCTAAGGCTGCCCAGCACAAAGAGCCAGCTTCATCGCAAAGGCCAGAAATATCCAAATCAGCCTCAATAGAAGAAACAAAGACGGCTTTGACACCAAGCAAGACTTTGCCTATACAAAATATCGATTTCATAGAAAAAGGAGAGCTAGTGAGAGCAGGTACTGGCTTATATAAAGGGCTAATAATAGGGACTTCAAATAAAGGTGAGCGAGACCGTATTAGAGCCCTTTTCGATACCCAGCAAGTTCTTTACACTGATCCTCAGTTTCCTCCTGAACAATCTAGCTTAGCTAACTCCCCCCCCTCCGTGAGTGAACAAAACCATTAGAAAAATCGCTATTTTTTGCCCAAAAAACCCACCCTCCGTGAGTGAACAAAAATTTTTTTAATCGAAAAATTTTTTATGTAAAAAAATTTTGATATATTAATGATAATTAGTATAATGAAATCTAGAGCCAATTATGTTTAATTTTAAACGAATTGCTTTTTAAAACATAAATTTTATAAATTAAATTAACATTTGTTTCCATTTTTTGCGAATTAGGATTTTTTTAAATTTCAAAAAAATATATTTTTTATAAAATTTATATATAAATGTTTAATTAACCCCCCTCCGTGAGTGAACAAAATTTTTTTGTTCACTCACGGAGGGGGGGGGAGTAAGAATTTTTCTGGGCTATCCTATAGTGAACAAAAGCTATGAAAATCTTTTCAATGGAAACGTGCATCAGAAATTTATAAAAAGATAATTAATTATTTTTTCTCGGATACTTCCCTTGGCAAGCATTTTCTCGGCACTGTTTAGTTGAAAATTTTTTCGTAAGACATTTACTCGGAAAAGCTTATTATGTATTGCAATAATTTCTTATCATGCATATGCATGTCATTTTGAATTTTGGTATAGAAATTTTTATCATGGGCAAACAGCGCCATCTATGGGAAATTTCTATATGTGAAAACAAAAAAATGCGTTTCAAAAAGCAGATTTTAGTGCTGCAAATTCTTAATTTAAAATTTCATATTAAAATGGCGCATATAGCGTCCATAAGAAATTTTACCAACGGATTATATTAATTTTGCGAGATAAATGCCTCAAAAAGACTTACCAATGCTTGTTGAGAAAAATCTAGATCAAGAGGCTTCTAGAATTATAATATTCCGAACTACTGTTTTTTAAAAGCAATTAAGGCTTAATGATGACATAATACTACTGAAATTCTCATATTATATACAAAATTTATAGTCAGCCTATAAAAGTTTTCAACAATATCGATCCAAATGATATCTTGCAAGGAGACCTTGGAGACTGCTATTTCTTATCAACCCTTTCTGCAATAGCTGAATTTCCTAAAAGAATTGAAAAACTTTTTGATACCCAAGAATACCAGCCATCAGGCTGCTATACAGTCAACATTTGTGACATGGGGACATGGACTGACTACGTTATTGATGACTTTTTCCCTTATAACCCAAAAAAAGAAAAAGTCGCATTTTCAGGGCCACATATCCAAAGCGGGATAAGCGAACTTTGGGTACTTTTGATAGAAAAAGCTTGGGCTAAAAGATTTGGGTCATATAAAGCTATAGACTCAGGGCTTACACAAGATGCATTAAGAGACCTAACTGGAGGCCCATGTGAGACTTTGCCAATAGAAGATGAAAATTTGTGGGAAAAAGTTCTTACTCCCCCCCCTCCGTGAGTGAACAAAAAAATTTTGTTCACTCGCGGAGGGGTGTTAGTTTTTTTGTTTTTAAAAACATTTATATATAAAATTTATAAAAAATATTTTTTTTCGAAATTAAAAAAAATCTAATTCGCAAAAATTTGAAAGCAAATATTAATTTAATTTATAAAATTTATGTTTTAAAAAGCAATTCGTTTAAAATTAAACAGAATTATCTCTAGATTTCATTATACTAATTATCATTTATATGTCAATTTGTTTTTCCATAAAAATTTTTTGTATTAAAAAAATTTTTGTTCACTCACGGAGGGTGGGTTTTTGGGCAAAAAATAGCGATTTTTCTAATGGTTTTGTTCACTCACGGGGGGGGGGGGGGGAGTTAGTGCCGACCAAAGAGATTTTATTATAACAGCTTCTAGCTCTGGAGAAGAAGGAAACGGCGATGCGATAAATGAGCTTGGCTTAGTTACCCTTCATGCGTATTCTGTAATTGCTGCAAGAGAAATCATATCAAGAAGAGGCCCAGAAAAATTATTACAAATCAGAAACCCATGGGGTTCTCAAGAATGGCAAGGTGCTTGGTCAGACAACTCAGACCTATGAACTCCTGAGCTTAAACAACAGCTAGGCTGGAGTAATGAAGATGATGGGACTTTTTGGATGTCTTTTGACGATTTTTCAGAATATTTTTCAAATGTCACCATTTGTAGGGTCCATGATGATTATTACTATGAGTCCCTACATTATACACAAGCTAATAATGCATTTTCAGTATTTAAAGTGACAGTTCATGACGCAGGGGAGACTTATTTTATCTCTACACAAGTAGACGATAGGGTTTTTAGTACTGAAAGTGGCTATACTTATTCTCCTGCTAGAGTCATTGTAGCTAAGGTAAATGAAAATATTGATCAAGACAGATTATCATATATAAATGCAGTCGGAAACTACGAAGAAAGAGATGTGTGGTGCAGCTCTGAGGTAGAAGCAGGGACGTATTTGGTATATATAGAAATCAATTTTTCAGGGAACTTTACGAATCAGCTTGCATTTTCTGTGTATTCGGCAGCTCCGGTTACAATAGAAGATGTGACGTTCCAGGAATGGGATTTCATAAGCCAGGTTTATACGTGTGACTTGGCTAGGAAAGAAGTAAAACCTGCCTTGCTTGGCCCTGATGTTTATTTTTATAGTGTAAATCACTTTGGGGAGCGAAGTGATGGAAAAGTAAAAGAAGGGTTTTTATTTGATGCGATTGAAAATTGTTCCAAAGATTTAGTGCTGGAGATGGAAGCTATTCATAAGACGATGATAAATATTGAGATGCTAGGGCAGTTTGCGGGGGCTGATACTTATAAAGTGGTTTTGAGACCTGGAGAGAAAGCAGTGGTGGTTAAAAAGCAAATTGACTTGGCGGCTGGACACACAACGGCACAAGTTATAAAGAAAAAGAAATTGACTTCGGCTTAATAGAAAACAACTTTTTAATAATTGCTTTATTCTGTATATGTTAAGTTTTATAATGGGAATCTTCCTGGATTTTGCTATTTTTTATTCTTTTATAAGTTCCTGAAAGAAAAATAAATTCTTTGACTGTATTTTATATATTTAATATAATAAAAAAAATACTTAGAAAAGCAAAAAGCAATTAAATATATTATGGGATAAAAAATTTAAGTTAAAAACGGAAACATCAGTTCCAATAATATGGCGTGGTGGAAAATACAAGGAACCCCTGATGCTTATGAAGATGAGGACGAAGATGTCGATCTTGAATACGGTGAAGAAGAGGAGGAAGAGGAAGAAGAGGAAGAGCCGTCTTACTCAGATAAAAAACCTGCAGGAACCAAAGTTCTGTTCAGAGAAAGAGAAGAAATCGCTGACATGGGACAAAACTTATATCGTGAACTTATTTCTAACACTTCAAATCAAGGCCAAACAGACCGTATTCGTCAAAATTACGAAAAATCGAAAACACTGTTCGTCGATCAACAATTTCCTGCTGAATCGTCAAGCTTAATCAAAGATCCAACGTTGGCAGATTTCCATACCCAAAGGCTGTGGAGAAGCTTTGTATGGAAAAGGGCTGAGGAAATATAACTTTTCTGATAAATTATTTATGATCCACAATTTATCTGACTTTATTAGAAAATTCAAAGAAAAAAGCATATTTAAGCAGCCAATAAAAGTTTTCAATAACATTGACCCTAACGATATCCAGCAAGGCAGCCTAGGAGATTGCTATTTCTTATCAACCCTTTCAGCTATAGCAGAGTTCCCTAAAAGAATTGAACAGCTTTTTGACACTCAGGACTACCAACCATCAGGGTGCTATACAGTCAATATTTGCGATATGGGTGTTTGGACTGACTATGTAGTAGATGACTATTTCCCATGTACAGCTGATGGAAAAATTGCATTTTCTGGGCCTCATATTGAAAGTGGGATAAGTGAATTGTGGGTGCTACTGCTAGAAAAAGCATGAGCGAAGAGGTTTGGAAGCTACTGGGCAATTGATGCAGGGTTTACTGAAGATTCGCTTAGAGATCTGACTGGTGGGCCATGTGAAACTGTTTTTAACGAAGATGAAGAGATGTGGGATAAAATTTACAATGCAAATAGAGAAGATTGGATTATTACAGCTGCAAGCTCTGGTGAAGAAGGCAATGGAGACGCTGTTAATGAAATGGGTTTGGTCACCCTTCACGCTTATGCAGTCATTGATGCTCAAGAAGTTAGATCTAAACGAGGTAACGAAACTATTCTTCAAATTAGAAATCCTTGGGGGTCTCAAGAGTGGCAAGGAGACTGGTCAGATCAATCAGATCTCTGGACTCCAGAGCTGAAAAAGAAGCTTGGCTGGTCCAACTCAGACGACGGAACTTTTTGGATGGCTTTTGATGACTTTGCAAGGTACTTTTCTAGTGTGACTATTTGCAGAATCCACGATAGCTACCATTATGAAGCTTTCCATCACTCTCAAAAAGAAGGACAATTCGCAGTATATAAAGTAACACTTTCTCAGCCTGGCCAAACCTATTTTATTACTACCCAAATGGATTCCAGAAGATTTGCAGAAGAGGATGGATATGAATATTCCCCTGTAAGGATTATTGTTGGAAAAGTAAATCCTAGCTTTCTTATATGCATTATTTTTATTTTAATTATTTTCTTTTAATAAATGCAGACTGTATTTTTTTATAATTTTATAATAAATACGAGAGTAAGAAGCCAGGGAATAAAGGATGCAAGCTTCAGTATATCAGTGGACTTGCCAATGCATATCAAAGAGATGTATGGAGTGTAGCTGATCTTGAAGCAGGAACTTATCTTGTTTATGTTGAAATAGACTGGTTGAATGAGCTCACAGATCAATATGGGTTTTCTGTTTACTCTGCTTCTCCAATCAAGCTTGAAGATGTCACATTCCAAGAAAAAAACTTTCTTCAAGACATTTATAGTGGGTTTAGAAAATTAAAGAAAATAATATATGTAATAAAATGAACTAAAAATGAAATAAATTATTTTATACTTACAATCTAGCAAAGCAAGACTCTCAGCCACGATCTATTGGTGAAGGCATCTCCTTCTATACCTCTACTCACTATGGAGCCAAAGATGACGGGAAATTCATGGAAGGTTTCTTATTTGACTGCATCAGAAATAAATCCAGAAACACCATTATTGAGCTCGAAATTATGCATAAGTCCTTCGACAACATGGAACTATTAGCCCCATTTGAAGGAGGCGACTCATACAAAGTCAAATTAAATTAAATTTGTGTTGATTAAAGTCAGCCGAATTTTTCCGCCTCTGCAAGCTCATCAGCCTTTAAGCTACCTGCTTACACTGACTGCCTATCATTGGCTTCGTCGTACCTGATATGCTCCCGGGGTGTTAATTAGCTATGGGAATGGGATCTTGGGCCGTAACCCCCAATTTCATACTGAGTACCTGCTGTCTTCAAGTCCCTAATTCGAGTAAAGATGGGACCTAGTCTTGGGGACATTCGCCTTCAACTCCATGCTATGAGGAAAAATCCCATATCCCATGTATCACACCTGTGGCACTGCACGAGAAACCACTGCCCGAAGATTTTAAAGATGCCTACCTTTTACTTGACTTGTTTCCTCTTCTGGACATTGCCTGCAGGTGTTGAGGAAATTGCATTAAAAGATCGGAAGGTCCCCTCCACCATTTAATATATATACAAAGTCAAATTGAAGCCAGGCGAAAAGGCAGTCGTAGTGAAGAAACAAATCAGCTTGGTAGAAGAAACCAGCGTCGTTATAAGCATGAGGAAGAAAATAATTCCAATTTAAGTTAAACTTTCTTAATAATTTAATGCATTAAAATGACGACACCTGCCAACCTGCCTTTGTTGGTGCAACAGTCCAGACTTATGGCTACAGCGAATTGGGAGGATTCTAAGCCGAGAATCAAGTGCAGGCTCAAGAGGCATGCATCTAGATATGTTTTGGTTGCTTTCCTGTGTTTGGAAATGGAGGTGCTCAACAACGTCCTTTAGGATCCGAGGACCCATGGGCATTCCTCAACCGAGAAAATGGGGATTTTGGCCCAGGTCACAGGGGAGTAGTCTTTTTCCTGTAACTGTCGAAGGAAGGCACTTCAGCAACTGAAAGACTCCACAGATACTCTAATCACCCATAGCAGGGCTGCAGAAATCCATAAGCCCACTCAAGACTCAAGCAGTAAGGAGGAGACAGATAGTAACGGAAGTGGTATCTACCTCCCAGGGCAAAGAACCTGGGCTGGAGTCGAAAAGCAGTAGAGCCTCCCTCCCGTACAGGAGGTCTTTGGCGACTGCATCACCAATATGGCCAACTCCTGACTTTTAATAAATCCTAATTCTTAATACTTTAACGGTTATTTGTAATGGTTTTACTAGGTTTTTTTGGAAGTTCTGGGATTTCGCCTTCTATAAACTGAGGGAAATTCACAAAAAATTCATTGATTCCTCCAGAAAGCAAATAAATATTATCATAGCCTCTTAAAGCAAATTTTTGGGCTGCTTCTACACCTGGCCTTTCTTCCCAGGAATAAACGATAATGAATTTATCAGGCTGGTTTCTAAGTCGGAACACTTCTGGAATTATTCGATCTCGAGTGATATTGGGTGCAGGGAAGCAAATGCTTTCTTTTATGTGGAAAAGGTGATAGTCGTCTTCTTCTCTTACGTCAAGTATCACAAATTCTGAATCTTCGGTGATGCCGAGAGCTTGAGTGTTGACTGTGATAACTGAAAATGTGGATAATGCATCACTAAGGGCACTGCTGTAAATGCTGGCATTGTCAGTCATTTCTTTGAATTCTTCATGGCCAGCTTCGTTAGGGTTATCTCTTTTTATATTTTCTAAGATCCCAAATTAATAAGAAGCATATTTTTTGGTTGGCTATTAATTTTGTATCATTATGAACTTCTATCAGATTTTTTTCCATATTGACTCTTTTAGTATTATAGTAGTTATATTTAAACTAAGAAAATGAAATAAATCAATGAATTATATTGAGTATTATATTATAAATATAAAAATATATTCAAAAGTATTATAGCAATATATTTAAATTAAAATAAAAAAAGGATATTTTAAATCAATTATCAAAGATAATCAATAAATATTTTTGGAAAAAAAAAAATATAGCTGTTCATTGTTTATTAGGGAGTAAGATTTTTGCTAGAGTGCTGCATCTGATTCTTTTGAAGAGTTCTCCTTTTCGCTTTGCAGCTGTTTGATTGCTAACAATTTCTACATGTTTCATAGTTTTCCCAGTATTTACAACTGATTGGATATGCTGGTACTTAGAGCTGCGCGCAGGGACTTTTCTATCAAGTGGATTGTTATTCTTTCTATGCTGCATTGTTCTACTATAAATTATTACAAAATTATCCCAAATCAATAGAAATTCAAATGAACTAATTAAAACACATAAAATTTAGCTTTTTGGCTTAGCTCGATACATCATTTTTCTATAAGTCTCTTCTGTTGGCGGCACAAAAGTGTCTTTAAGCGCTTGTGGGCACACTCTCAATAAATATCCCATAGCATTTTCAATTCTTTTGCAAGCAGGCACTTCTTCTCCCTCTACAGTTTCTTCATCCCCAATTTTTGGAAGATTAGCTAAATAAGCAGCCCTGCTTACAGCTTCAATATATTCAATAAAGCTCATCTCTAAATGCCTTTTTTGATAAAGATCATCTATTTGAGTCATCATTGATTGACTATAACACACATCGACTTCTCTCGCTGCAAAAGTGCTGCTTTGTAAGTTTGCGTCATTGCAAAGGGCTCTGAACTCTTCGAGACTCATAAAAGGTTTTTGGCCTGGAAGCGCTTTTTTGCCACTGTATCGCTTATAGACAGCATCGAGGATAGGCTTATAAGCTTTTAATACTAAATCTACGTCTTCACAGACGTATTTTTCTAATCTTCATTTATTGGTGTCATAGAGGGTTATTATAGGTAATAAATGGTCATTGGTAAGTTTTTCTATGCCTTCTGCAGCATTTGAGACAATTTTGTGCTTGACGTATTTATCATTTGCGATTCTTGCGATTATTTCTATGAATTCATATCTGCAAAGACCATTTCCTGAGTTATAAATTTGATCCTTGTTTGTCTGAGAATTTACAGAATTTCATAGGACCCCGAGATCACTGATGCTGAAATGGTCATCAAAAACGCTTGCTTGGTTTAAAAAATCTAATAAAGAATTTGAAGTGATAGAAAAAATTTCACTCCCACTCCCAGCAGATAGAAACCTATAAGTTTCTCTTATACCTATTTGTATAGGATACCACAATTTTATAGAAACTTGTGTACTATTGATTAATCTAACTTTATTTCCTATAGACCCTATCAACATAAATGTGCATAAATCTTTATATATCTTTTTAAGATACTCTTTTACAGCCTCAAGATCTTCAGGCTTTTTCACAAAATTTGGGATGCGAGTATGTCTAAAATCGAACTCAAAGCCGTCCATATACTTGTTTTCCGTATCAAAGTCATAATTCTTAAATAGACTTTGTGGAACAGTCCATACAATTCTTTCATACTCTGTTTCCATTTCTCTAGGAATATATGAAGGAGCTTCTTCTCTAGGTTTACTATTAAAAATATCTTTAATATCACATGGAATTCCTTTAAAATCATGCCTATTTATATAAGTAATTTTATAAGCTTTTTCTTGAATTTTTATTTGTAAAGGAATATCAATAGTTTCGTTAGAAAATTCTAAAGAGACAGCAGGACCTTCAAGGTTGCTGAAAAAGAAGCTGTTTACCCCTGGAGGGATAACCCTTGTAGTTTCATAAATCCCTTGGCTATTTTTTAATAAATATTCTGGTTTGTACTCATCACATTCTAAATGAAGAAAAATTGGTTCCTCTAAGGTTCCAGATACCCCAGGGATCCATCTAATGGTCACTTCTTCTCATTTTTCGCATATTCAGCAGTTGAGGCGTTCTTCTTTTTTGTGTGCTTGAGCATCAAAATGAGTCATTCTTCGAAAATGATGCGAATTTTCGAAATTATTGTTTGTAGAAGTAGGAGTGAGAAATCCTCGAGAATTTATAGTACAACTGTTTCCATATACGTGGAGACCGAGGAGTGTATGGTTTTGATTTAAACCATTTGTGAGTTCTTCACATTCTTTTGATGTGAAAGAGTTATATGAGATATCAAGGTGAAGAAGAGTTGTATTGGTTTGTATAGCATGGCTCAAGGCTGATGCAGCTTCAATGTTATGATTCCTTCCAAGTGCGTTTCATGACAAATCTAGCTGCTGAAGTCCATCATTCTGGTTTATCCCATCAAAAATCTCAATCCCTCCTGTCCCTCTAATATTATTCCAATGCAAATCTAGCACCCTCAGCTGCTGATTATATCTTATCATTTCTCTAATATATACATAAAATGGCGTATGGCGACCGACCCACCCTCTCTCAGTGGTGGTTACCCATGTATATCCGGGCATGGTTTTTGGAGCCAGGAGTTAGCCCAACAACGTCTGGGACCTCGAAGCGAGAGGCCTAAGCGCGAGAGCCGCTGTTTTTGCGACCAGACCCATGGGCAGTTACTCGTGACTTCTTTTTGCCAGCAGCGCTCAGCCCAGTGAGTGCCCGAAATGAGGCAGGGCGACTTACCTGCCTAAGCTGCTTTTGTGGCTCGCCCCGAATGGCGAAAGCTGTTGAGTTCTTTCTCGGGATGACCGGAAAAGAGGGGAAGGCGAGTTAGACAACTAAACGGGGGTCTCTCCAGTTGAAAAGGTGCCCTTCAATGGGCAGATCTGGCGGACGACGAAGCGGAGTTGGCGTAAACTTAGGCGACGATCCAAGTTGGAAATGGAGGTGGTCAGCAAAGCCGGTATGAGACGGCCCTTGACAATACCTCTACCGAGAAACCGGGGGTTTCGGCCCGGGCTTGGTGAACGCTCTGCCACCACACGGGAAACCGTGGCATGCGACCTCGGACGTAGTAGGGACCTTAAATACCCATCGTAATCTTAATCTTAATCTTAATCATTTCTCTAATAAATTTGGCAGACTCATCCCCAATGTTATTTCTTGCCAAGCTTAAACTACTTAATGTTTTATTTTCTGATACACAGTTACATATTTTTCCTATATGTTTTTCGCTTAATTTTGTATTTTCTAAATCCAAATGCTTTAGCTGGCTGTATTTTTCGTTCAATAGCTCAATCAAGGTATTAACTGCTTGTGTGCCTATGATATTTCCAGCCAATATTATTCTTTTTATACGTTTATTTGACAGTTTTGAAATGACTCTTGCACTTCCAAACTCGCTTAGCCTGTTTTCTCTTACATTGAGGATATCAATTTCTTTAAGATGTCCTAATCCTTCAGAAAATGCATTAGCATAGTTGTCACCCATACTGTAATTATGGATATCAATTGAGGATTCTGGGCCTTTGCGCTTGACTATTCCAAATGGCTTTGGGTTGAGCTTTTCTTTGTCAACCTCTTCAAGATAGGCTAAACTTGGTGGGTCTTCAACTTGTTCAAATTTATGACGCTGGCAAAGAGAAGGAAGATTAAGGTAGCAGTCAAAATATTCTAATTTGGCATGTGGGCCCACACGAGTTGTTTGGCAGTCTAGTGATTTATTTGCTGCTTCTCTTGAAGCGAGGAATAGTTTTCTTAATGTTTGTCTTTTAATATCTAGCTTTATTTTAGGCGGTGACTGGGTACTGTTTCTTTTTTCTCTATGGGTGAGAGAAGAGGAAAATGATTCATCAATTGAAGATCTTTTTATTCTCCCTATTAAAGGGAGCTTGAAATTTCTAGCTTCAATGCTCATCAGTTAATTTATTTATGATATCTTGAAATGGAAAAATAGATAAAATTATTGAAATTATTCTCATTCTAGCTGGCTTTTAGTAGATAATTTAGATAATATAGCACTGAGAAAAAGCAAAAAAGCATTTTCTCTAGCGTTTTTACTCAATATACACATCGCAATCAAGCCTAATCGCAACATAGATCGGCAGTAAATTTGCCCAAAATATGCAAATATTTATGATGAGCCAAGATGCGTTACTTTTACCCAGAAACTACAAAATATGGATACTTCTATATCAAAAAATGATAATCTTATACGCCTTAACAATTATAAAGCTAATTCTATAATATTAACATATCGCCTTATTCAAAGCTTTATGCAGCTGATATATAATGACTAACCTCCTGAAACCACCTCACCGAGACTCCTTTATCTGGACTAACAATCCCATTATCATTGAAAATAAAAATATTTTCTATTGGTATCATGCTTTGGCGATAGGCCATAGAATCAGTCTCTTTGTTCCCAAATCCTGCATAAAATGGCTGTGTATCAGTAGGGTAAAGCTCACGGATTTGCTTAAGTGCGTTTATCTTGAAAATATGAGGAGCATGCTTGATTATTTCTCTTACTAGTGAAGTAAAAACGGCATCAGGAGACACAATGACTGGACCTTCAGGTAAAAGTTGATGATTTTGCTTTATTGAAGCTAGCAATTTTCTAGTAGATTTTACTTGCCCGATAGCCCGGGAAGACAAATAAACAATTTTATACCCTTTTTCTGATAGAGTACGGTAAAGATCGACAACGCCTGGACGAGTTCAGTCTATCCCTATAGTAGGCAAAACAATGCCTAGGAAGTCAGATTTTGTTATTGTACCATCGATATCTGAGACTATTATTTTACTTGTATGAGGCCATAGATACACCTTGCAGGTTAAGGTGCGCTTACCTTGGAGCATGCTGGAAACAGAGTATTCAATATCATTGGCACCGTATCGTAGGCCAAGCTGATGAAGTCTTTCAGAGTCTAGTATATAAGTTTTCCCAGGCTTAGTATATTTCCCAGCTTTAGGGGCAGACAGACGTTCGAAATTATCTTCAATGTCGCATGATGAAATTATTGAATATAATAATGGGATCCCTGTTTCTCTTATGTGGAATTCCCCATCAATTTTTAAAATCAGTTGTTCATTGCTTAAGAATTCGTATTGATTTTTATATAATGCAGACATTATTGATATACTCATTTAAATGATTTGGTTATATTTTATAGACTATAGGATCAAAATTTTATAAAGAACAGAAAATAATAATTAAAATTAAAAATAGAAACCTCTAAATAGACATATCTATTAAGAAAATACAGACATTTTACATAAAAAATATACAAATTCTTTTCAAAATTTCTGAAAGAAATTTTGTTTTCATAAAACACCTTTTCAGGGTCTTTACTAGGCAGAAATTCGTCCCTGCATAAAGCTAATTCAATTCTTTTTTCAATTTCATTTTCAATGTCAAAGCTTGCTTTGCTGTCAACAGGCATAACTTTTGCTGAGGTTTTTGCACGATGGACATTTGCATCATGAAAACTTTCCTTTGCTCATAGATTTTTCGCTGATGCCCTTTTTTCTCCTTGGGTTTCGTTTGAAGCTAAGTCTTCGAAATACGCTTTACCTTGGTCATTAAGTTTCATTTGGACATCAGTTAAGCGTCCATTGACCCTGATTTCTACTGTTTTGGCCCTGCTTTTTAAGACTTTGAATTTGCCAAAAATCACATGAAAGGGTGTACCATGGAGAGTTCCGTCTTCATGCTCAATGACTACAACGTCAAGTGCTCCTGAAAGAGTTGAGCCATTTACGTGAAATGCCCATGATAAATTGTTGACGAATCTAACCATAGTAACAGTTATTTATTATATTATGCTGCTATATTGTCAATAGTTTTAGATACCATATTTCTGAGAAAGTTGCAATTTTAAATAATCAACATTTAGACAGAAATTAAATTTGGCAAAAAGTCGATCTTTAATAAGTAATACAGTAATGCTCATAAATAAAAAATGAAAAAAATTTATTGTCATTATTTAATAAGCTGTATTAGATTCAAAGAAATTTAATTAAAATAATTAAATTTTAAGAATATTATTTATTATATACTGTAAGCTAATTTCAATAGCTTATAAAATAATATTCTACATCTTTTTCCATCACTTAAAATTAAAAAATATCCTTACACGTTCTCATTTTCTCGGCTATCTTCTCATTTATTATCAAAAAATCCGCCAGATACTGCTATATTTAATTCCATTTATATTTTTTTATATAATAGTCAAACCATGTTAGGAAATTTTGAAATACCCTCTCCTACCCTTATAGCTCCAAACTGCTCAGAAGTAAGCAGTGAACTCTCCTTATCCCCGCTCCGTGAAGAAAGTAAAGAGCTGAACACCTTAAGGCTCCAATCCGCTTTATTAAAACTCAAGAAAAATCACAACTACAAAGACCCTCCCACAGACATTAAGCTTGAACAATCAATTGACGGCTCATGCAAAATTTACGTCCGTAACACTAACTACAACCACGATAACTCATCTGAGCCCACCTGCACCCCTTCACTAAACGAGCCACAAGAACTTTATCCTACAGAGCTAGAACAGATAATCAACAGACTCAGAAAAATTGCAGAAGCAAGAAATTCTGAGTCCATATCGACCCCGCCTACCCCTACTCAATGCTATATTTCCCTTGATCACTGCAGCATTGTATATTTCCCTGAAAATGCTGAAGTCCAAGAAACATCAGAACAATATGAAAATCTCCCTTCTTCTAAAGACACCCAAACACCCAATGTGGAGCCTAAATACAACTTAAAATGCCCTCAGACTTTACGATTCATACAGAGAGCTTTAATGAGCTGTACATCAATAAGCTCTTTGCCTAGAACTCCTGATGATATTGTGCAGGAGTCTATTGATAGGTCTATTATTATTATCCACCCTAGGGAAATAAATGATGAAGGATTTAGGCCTGCTTTGTCAAGACATAACTCGTCACATAATTATAGAGTTACGTCAATATCAAGGCATGGAGCTGAAGACCTAAGTCTTCCTGAAGCGATTCAGACGTTAAAAAAGAAATTAGAAGAACTGAGCATTGATGACTGCTCAGAGCAGGCGATTGATGATGAAAATATAAGGATAATTACAGTAGAATATTCACCAAGCTCTTCGCCAGGGAGCATTTCGTCTATTGAGCAGTCCACCCCTGTTATAAAATCTCAAGAATATCCTGATTTGTTGTCACCGGAAACGAGGTTTAAGCTTATGAGAAAGCTCCATGCTGTGCAGGAGGATATGGAAGGGGAAGAAGAAAATATCAGAGAAATTGATGAGTCTACTGTAATTTATACGAATGAAGAAGAAAACTTTATGAATAATGCAAGGAGTGAAGCTAATTCTGCAGCAAGCCCAGTTTATCATATTCATATTGAGCCGAGTTTAAATGCAGTGGCTGAGAGATTAAGGAAGCTAAGGAGTGATTCAGAAACGCCGGAGGATTATTAGAAATAAATCGGTATTTCCATTTTAATTTTTTTTTAATTAATTAAGGTTATCACTCCCAAGGGAGTCAATTTCTCTTATTTTCAAAACTTTCTCAATAAATTCTCGTATTTTTTGAATTGTCATTTTAAATTATTGAAAGCTATTATCAGGTAGCTGAAGTTGTTTATTCTCTTCTCTTGCACTCTAGTACTTGCTTGCTAGTCTGCACTGCCTTGAACTATGCTATTTCTTTAGGAATTGGCCTGTATTCACTCTTGCAAGTCAGAAGATTGATGCCACCTTGTATGTATCAACATAGGTTGACTTACATGAAAATCAAAAGTTCGAATCTGTAGACTAAAATGGAAACTCAAAGCCAAGGATGTAATGCGCTAGGTAAACTTCCTAATTACCTCAGTGTTACTAGAATAACACTTTCTAACTCTGAATCTCACTTTGTTTGAACTCTTGGCTTATTAGCCCAGCACTGCTATTCCACTTACACAAGTAAACCTATCGTATAGCATATCTCACACCTCTTTCTTCCTTTTCCTCAAGGTATAGCCCTTTCAAGGCATCAACTGCAGGATCTAAAATTCGGTTTATTTTCGCGCCATTTTTCTGTACAAGCGAAATAAATCAATTTTCTTATTAATTTTACTTTTTTACCAATTATTATAAGATTAAATTATTTATAAGTTAAATTCAATACTTTCCAATAAGAATGAACTTTTAGGTATTAGTAATTGCTGTTGAATTAGTGCGATCGGGAGTCTTTGATCTCATTTCAAAAATTGATAGTCTAGGACTAGTCTTGCTGAAGTCTATATCTTGTGTGATTCTTGCCCTCACAAATTCGAATTTTGCGTTATAAAATCCTATATCATCTTTTGTCACAGAATATTTTCTTTCAGAAAATTTGGCAAAATCTGGAGAGGAGTTTCTGAGAAAAGGGTCTCTCTTAGTCTCAAATCGGGCCTCGTTAACCAAGTTAAGGGGAATGTATTTCCTTTCAGTTTGTTTATTAAAATCAACTTCTGGGACATGCTGCTTTGGTAATTCAGGCGTTTTACGTCTTTTTATCCTCGAAATTTTTTGAATTAAATTTTCGTATTCATTTGCGTCAATTCTTTTGGTTTTTAGGAAATCAGCTAAAATAATTTATTTTTTAAAAAAAAAAATATTAATTTTTAGATAGAGCCATTCTATTTTTATGTGTATCAGTATTAATAACTGATTTTTTAGGATATATGCACTCCAATTCATGATTAAGACAACTTGGCAAGTGAATTCTTTGCTTTCTTGGAGTAGCAGTACTAGAGCGTGCTAAACATCCTCCGATAACTTTAGGTTTAACAATAGTAAAAAGAGGGGAATATTGCGTAGCCGTCGGGACGTCTTCAATTTTCCCTGAAAGGACTTTTTCTCTCTGTATTCGTGACTGGCATTTAAATGAGGAAGTCATTTGGCCTTTCCCTGAAGTCTGGATTTCCTGATCCATAATTTCTTGCTGCACCTTTGCTAGTTCTTTTTTTAAATCGCTATACGTAAAAGATTTTGGGGTTATTGAGTGGTCTTTTTTTCTATCAGTTTTATAAGCTAAACTAAACGTTAATGTTTTTCCATATCGAGAAATCAGAGGTGGGCTTACAGTTTTAACAATTTCTTTAATATCCATTTTATATAAATTTTCAAAGTCTGAGCTAAAACAATGTTATTGACAACTATAAGAATGTGAAACTATATGATGACTATTGCAAAATTATATTATTTTTTATATAATTTTATTTATAAGTAAATAATCCTTAATAACAACTGCCTTAGGCTAATATTTATAAATTCCATATATAGATAAGATTAATTTTTAGTTTTAAATCTAGAGCCATCTAATTTTCGGTCCTTGACCAGTGTCGAGCTTGAACTTAAATACGAAAGCATTTTTCCCAAAGCTTCAGTTGTATTCTGAATCCCTTCTCTTGCATATCCAAACATAGCAATAAAGGCTATGCATTCTTCAAACTCTGAGTACATCAAACTATCATTTAAGCACTCAGGATTCATCACAAGCCTGAAAATCTTAGCAGCTTCATGGTTTGATAAAAGTCCAGGAATCATTTTTAAGTCAGATCCTAGTTGTATGACCTCATGCACATAAATCCTCAATGGATTGCTGCATTTTTGATTTGAGTAAATATTAAAACAGTCTATAAGTGCTTTCTTATATTTGGCTATCAGCATCATTTCTTCGCTCCTCATAAGCGAAGACTTCCAATTAGGGATTCCTAAATCAATTTGATCCATTCTTTGCTGCGGCACTCTTAGGCTGCTTGCTAAAATTCCTAAAGCGTTTTCTTTGTCTTTATGAATAATATCAGCAACTTCTGTCATGATCTCCACAAATTTCTCAAAATTAACTTGTTTGCCTTGGCTTAATCTATGAAAAAGCAGCTCAGCAGTATTCATAGTAAAAGATTCCGAGTTTATTAAGTTTAATTCAGTGCACATCAATCTAAACAAGCTTTGGTCAAAAAATGTTTGGTTCCAATGGAGTAATGATGAATATCTAATAAAAATTGATCGGAGTTGGGCTATATAAAACGTTACTGAAAGTTTCAAGACCGATTTCAGCAATCATTATTGAGGATTTTGAATTTCTAGACATACGAGATGAAGGTCTTGAAGAGGATTCTGGGAGAGAAAGGCTAAATAATTTTTACGTCCTTGGAGAGGCAAGGGGAGAACCTGCTTGGGGAGCGTATTCTTTTACTCTAAGGCTTGCGGGAGGAGGAATTTTTGTTTTTTGGTCTTGTAAAGCTGAAAGTTCTGTTTTGAGCTGAGCTATTTCTTTTTTCTTTTTTTCAATAAAGTTTTCTCGGATTATAACTGGAGGTGGAGGTGGCAGAACTTTTGGCTGTTGAGGAGCAGGAGCTTTGCCTTGCTGCTTAACTGGGCCTGGACCTCTTGCAGGCTGCTTGGGAGGTGCTTTAAATTGCTGAGTATTTGGAAGAGCTCTTCGTGCATTCATTTTTTTCTATTTAATTTTGAAAATTTAATATAAATCATTTTTTGGTTAGAAATTAAACCACATATTTGATTAAAAGCTTTGATTAAGAGCACAAAGGAGTACTTTTCAGTGATATTTAGGCTTTTACAAGCTGCAATTTTTATTATTAGCTGTCAAATAAAATAATTGATTCAGGAATGATATAATATAAATTTAAAAAATTACTTCCCTATACAAGTTAGCTTATAATACGATTAGCTGCATTACCTTTCAAACATAGGAACATCTTGCAATTTTTCTGATTACAAACATTGGATTTAAAATCTGCTCTGCTTCTTTTTTGCAAACGCTTCCTGTTTATTTCCTAGCATGCTAATAGAAGGACTTCTAACTGTTGGCGTTGCAACAACACTTCTTGTCGACATTTCAGCTGTTTGTTCCACCTCAGTATACTTTAAATGTGCTAACTCTCTTGCTGTCTTTGACGTTTTATCTTTTAAAACATCTTCAAGCTCTCTTACTTTAGCTTCTTCTCTTTCCACCATTTCTTGCAAATAAGAAGTCGGGTGCACAGGCTCTCTTGCCGCTTTTCTTGCTAAAACTAAGCTTTGCTCTAAAACATTTTCATAATTATTCTGAGATTGCTCTAATTGGCTTTCCAATTGCTCAATAAGCTCTCTTTGCTTTTGAATGATGCTTAGCATGCTTTCTACTTCTTGATGCATATTTCCAGTAAGGATAACAGAAGGGTTATGTCCTTGAATAATGTTGGTGAGCTTTGGAAGGTTGTTTCTTATGATGCGGTTTTCTTCACGTAATGATTTGTTTTCTTCTTGATAGGCTTGCTCTAACTTACTCATGGAATTAAAATTATTTACTCTTCTGTCTATGCGAGAAAAAAAAAATTACTGACTACAGAGGCTTATAAAATTAAAAAAAAATCCAATTGGAAGCAAAAAATGAATTTAATTTAGGAAATTTATGTTTTTTAAAATGCAAGCCGTTTAAAATTAAACAGAATTGCTAGAGATTTCATTATAGTAATTACCACATATATATTTTTTTATAAAAAAATATTGGTTTACTCATTGAGTTATTTTTACTAAAAAATAGGATTTTTAGATTTTTTTTTATTACAGAGAGTATGTTAGTAAATTAAGCTATATTTTAATGAAAATAATCTGCATATTAATTCGATAATCCTTATTAAATATGCGACATGTGGGTCACCGAATATTTTCATATTTTAATAGAAGTTAGGTTCATAGGACAATGCTTCCTGGGCTTGATAAAAAGTTACACCATATCCGGCGTTTAAGCGCACAAACCCCTGCAGCCAACTGCCCGACAAACAGAAAATCACGTATAAGTTACCTAAAATTATCTACCCCTGTTTCTCGAACATCTCCATCATCTCCAACTTTTGAAAATACAGCAAAACCCTTTAAGGATTATATAATTAATATGGAGGTGATTACTTAATATTTCCTTGAAAACAACGCAACACAGTGGTCGCAAAGTCAATTTATAGTGTAAACTAAGGTTCAGGCCTTAAATTCTAACCCTTTACCAGCCGGATGACCTTAGTGGTGACTCCTTGATCAAGTATTAATTATCCGGATCAGCTTTCGCTTCCAGTTTCGGAGGCCTGGCTCCTTTTTCCTAGATGTCATCATTTCGTCATGGTGGCTGAAGGAAGTATCAGTCTAGCCTTAACTTCCATAGAACCCGATGGCCAAATGACGGATTATTCTTTCGGATCTGTCAAGATTTTGGGGTCGCAGTACAAGCCCTGTCCCTAAAATAAACCACTGTTCTAATAGCGGTTGAATTTCAGCCCGGCAAGTAGGTGGCTCTAGTCAAAAACGTGGAGACAAAGGAAGATTTTAAGTTTATTTAATTTAAGGATTATGATATAAAATTCCAAGAATGCCCTACTCCACAAGATATGCTTAAAAGCATTAAGTCCTCTTTTGCAGAAAACAAGCGTTTTTTAAACCCCTCTATTGAGAGAAATTTAGAAAAAATGAATTTCAGTCATCAGCCGCAGGCTGATGCAAATCCACCGTATAAGTATGAAAAGGAGTATAGACCTCCCCCACAAATTGAAGTAAGGCATTCAGACTACGTCGAAAAATTTTACCATTCCCCAGAGTCGGCAACTTTACAAAATAAAATATCATTTCCAGGAGATTGGGATTTTGACGTAAAAAAAATTTTAAAACAAAGCGAAAGCATCGCTTTCGCCAAAGCCCTGGGAAATAAAATCGCAGCAAAAAATAACCCGGAAGAAGCAAATGCTCCAGATGAATTTTTGAACCTTTTGTTAAGGGAAACTGAGACACAACAAACTATAGAAAAAGATGAGCATCCCGAAATTACAAAATTTTTCTGATACAAAAATATCTACGCAGGTCCGCCTTCAAGAGAAGGCGGAAGTTTAGTAAAAATCAAAGGAAAATATTATTTATTTGGAGGCCAAAACAGAATAAAGCATAGTGATATTAGAGTTTTTGACCCTCTTAAATGGACATGGTCTATCTTAGAAACAGAATACAGTCCTAAAGGAAGAATAGGGCATTCGGCTGTTGGCTATAAAGGGAAAATGATTGTGTTTGGAGGCTGATCTCAGTATTCTGCCCGCTTAGGTATCCGAAGATGTGTAAAAAAACTGTTTGTTTATAGTATAAAATCAAATAAATGGCAGCATTATATAGGTGCTGGTCTGCTGCCATCAGCAAGAAGACATCAAGCGTCCAGTAGAATTGGAAAAACAATGATCATGTTTGGTGGAATTAGTCAAGAATCAAAAGTTTTAAGCAGCTTATATACACTTGATATTAAAGATCAAAGGTGAACTAAACATAATATTAGCGGCGCTAAGCCTTGTGGCCGCTCCCATTCTACTTTAACATCTGTTTATCCTTCAGCGATTATGGAAATGTTCAATTTTGACCTTTTTTCGATCCCAATCCAAGTTGGCTCTTCGAATGGATTTTATTTGTTTGGCGGAAATTCTATGATATACAAATAATTTTTCATCCAATATTATAAAAATAATTAATTCTTGAAAAGTATCTAGGGCATGGCAAATAAACAATAACAAAAAGACCTAATAAATTATATGAGAGGAGAGGCAAAAAACGATTTATGGATTTTAAGGCCAGTTGATGGCTATTTAGTATGAAAAGAGTTGAAACCTAAAGGAAATACGCCATCAGCTAGATTTGATCATACAACTGTATATGTGAACCATAGACTTATAATTTATGGAGGGAGAAATGATGCACTGTTAAATTTTGAAAAAAACTCTCCTTGTAAGGATATTGGGATTCTAAAAATAGAAACCTTGGAATGGGAAAATGTATTTATTTCTGGAGATCAGCCTAATTTTCGATGGGGACATAATGCTGGAGTTATTGGTAGCAAAATGATTATTCTGGGAGGACTTGATTATTATCAGTTTATGAACTCAGACATGCTTTTACTTGAAACTGATCAAATAATAGCTAAAGAACGAATCAAAGCTTATGAAGAACAGCCAAGACCAAAGGAAGAAACGAAAATTAATTTCAAAAAGTATATAACAGAGCTAACATCAAAATTCGGATTAGCTGAAATGTAAATTTAATACGATATCTTTTGCAATAATAATTTATTAGTTACTCCCCACTCCGTGAGCGATCAAAGCCATTGGGAAAATCCCTATCTTTATGGGTAAAAACCCACCTATCATGAGCGAACAAAAAATTTTTTAATATAATTTTTTTTTAAAAACATTATATATAAGTAATAATATTATAATGAAATCTCGTGCTAATTCTGTTTAATTTTAATCAGCTTGCATTCTAAAACATAAATTTTTACAAATAAATTAATATTGTTTTTAAAATTATTTCGTATCGGGATTTTTTTTTAAGTTTTTTAAAAACAAAATTTTGCTATACAATTAGAGGTAAATTTTAAAAAAAAAATCAACTCAGCGAAAAAATTTTTATGTTTCGCTCACGAGGGGATTTGGATAATCAATGTTATGCTTTATTGAATGAATTTTTCATTATTCTGATTGTCATCAACATAAGCCACTAAGGAAAACTTTTTTGCTAATTAAACTAAATTTTCGTTTACAAAACATCTGACAAGCCACCAATGCTACTTTTTGGCCTATAATAGTAAATTATGATAGATACTTTTTCTCTCATTATATGATGATGCCAGCTAGCATTTCTACTTTCAGTTTTCCTTATTTTTATTTCCTTTATTGTTTTTACATCAAATAATCGCTTGAGAAAGAGTCTCAACTGTTTGCTGCTTAAATGATGAGCTTCACTTTATATACTTTTCAAAATATTGGAGTTTAAAGGTCTGGAGTAATTGGTAAGTCTTTTAAGAAGTCCGGGATGAGTTTTTGCATGATCGGAATTCATAACAAGCTTTTTCCCTTGTTCCATAGACGATAACTGAAGGCGCAAAGTAGCCCATACTTCTTGGAAGCAATATGCACCCGCAAAGACAAGGAAGCTCAGAAGGAGGCACTAGGCATTTCCCTCTTGTCCTAACTCATCCCTCCATAAGCGAATAAAACCATTGAAAAATTCCTATCCCCTCCTAAGGAACAAATTTTTTAATATAAAAATTATTTATTTAAAAATATTTTGATATATAAGTGATAAATACTCTCATGAAATCTCTAGCTAATTCTGTTGAATTTTATATAATTTGGATTTAAATTAATTTTGCTTTCCAATTTTTGCAATTTGGGATTTTATAAGTGTCGAAAAAAAATTTACAATAAAATTTCACTAAAACACCCTTCATTGACGAACAATTTTTTTTTGTTAGCTCACTGAGGGAGGAGTAAGCACATGCAAGGCTAAGAGAGTCCTTTATCGTAGGGCTAGACTAAGACATGATTAGGTGAGTCTCCCAAGAGATTGCTGGCGTCACATTTTTTGGGTGGCATTGAGAAGAAAAGGGTGTGCTGTTAGGGCCACTTGATCCCGAAGCTGGTGGTAGGACGGAGAGTGGCTGAAATAGTCCCTGGAGACCTGCTATAATCTAATCTAATCTAATCACTTTAAATATTATTCTTCCAGCTTCAGATGCAGCCTTAGTTTTCACAATATACATACGTATCTCCAAAACAAAATCTTATATATCGCAGCTCCCCTCTATTTATTATCTCCCCGCACGTTTGCATCCTCTTTCTTCTGAGTCATATTTTTGCCACTAAAGCATATGGTCATAAATATGGTAAAGAGCCTTGATCGTCTTTATAGCAGAGCCGTCTTCCTTGGTTACAGAAGAGGAATTACCCTACAAAACGAAAACCAATCATTACTAAGAGTCGAAGGTGTAAAGACAAAAGAGGACGCCAAATGGTACATCGGAAAGAGAGTCGCTTACGTTTACAGAGCTCACACAGCACAAACCAAAAAGAACAAACAAACCAAATACAGGAGCATTCAAGGAAAAGTAATTGCAGCTCATGGAACAAATGGAGTTGTAAGAGCAAGATTTTCCCATAATCTTCCTTCACAAGCTATTGGAAAGTTAGTCAGAGTTATGCTTTACCCAAATAGACCAGCTATAGCTAACTAAATGAATTTTAACTTCAGTAATTTCTTTGAATTTTAATAAATAGAGCCTAAAATCAAAATTTAGATTTATGTGATTAAAATATAGAGATTAATAAAGTATTTGTAAGCTTAAATTATAAAGGTGATTTTATTTTTAAATTAAATATATGCAAATAATATTGATCCCATATTTATAAGGCATATTTATTCCTTGAAATAGCCTCGCTTAGCTTGTGTTTCAAAATTATACATTCACTGATCTTAGCCTAATTATCATTAGGATATGAAACAACTTGTATTCCTATCAAAATTTTCATAATTTTAAATTCAATAATAAAATGATAGTGTTGCTTCTTTTTCTAGCAATTTCCGCAACAGCTACAACTAATACTTATCTCACTTTTTCCTCAACTTCTAACCCTTCCAGCGCTGAGATCACACTTACAACAGATATTTCATACTTCGCCAGCAATTACCAAGACTATACGATAGAATTTTGGATGCGCCCAACGTGGAATACGAAGACAGTTTCTGTTAAAAACGTGACCAGGGACAGTGCAGACTGGGTTCTTCAATACACTCCAGGAACTCAAACCTTGCTTCTTAATCGCCAGACAACCTACATAAATTACTGCCAATTTACGTATGTTCCAGTTGGTGTATGAACCCACATAATGTTTGCAAAAACTTACAGTACTTTAAAATTCACCTGTTATATGAATGGGCTGTCTACCAATGTAACAGAAACAGGCACCGCATCCTTAATTGGGTATTACCCTAAATATGTTTACCTTGGCAGCACTTATGAAGGGAACATCCTTGACTTCAGATTTTGGCTTGCCGATGTAAGAACAGAAGCCAATGTACTTAAATATATGAACCACTATTTCAGCTCTTCTTTCCCTAGTACTCTTTCACTATATTGGAGATTAATGAACCCAAGCAGCACCACTGCAACTACCCTTACAGAATCTGTCGCAGGAAATTCCGCATCTATTGGCTCCAGCTTTGTAAAGGCTTCACTTTGGGTCAGTGAAACTTCTAATGATATCGTGTGTGCTACTAGTCAGTATATAGCAAGTGGGACCTGCACTGCTTGTAGCAGCTCTTGCAGCATGTGCACAAATTCAGGGTTATCATGTACAAGCACTGCATCTAATTATTTTGATAGAGGCTTAGATTCCACCAATACTGTATATTGGGTTCCTACAAGTGGCTCTGCTGCAACTTTTGAATTTTGGGTAATGCCGAATACATGAGATGTATCGTCTCAGCCAGTTTTATATTTTCAGCCAGTTTTGCTTATCCAAAGAAAAGCTGACACTTCAAATATAGTTTTCATTAACTCAGCAAGTAATGAAAACCTTCAGTTGTCTATGCCTGCTAAAGAGTGAGCACATATAGCATTTACAAGAAGTGGGACATCAAATATTATAGCTAATATTTATTTTAATGGCGTTTTGAAATATACAGGCCAATGGAGTTCAACCTTTGAAACTATTGTTGACATTTGGCTAGGCAAAACTTCATCAACAAGTGCTAATTTTAATGGAGTTCTACAAGAACTTAGGCTGTGGAGCGCAGTCAGGACAAGCTCAGAGATTGCGTCGTATATGAACTTAAAAATGGGATCAACACTTCCTTCAACGCTATCTGAGTATTGGCCTTTGAATGAAGGATCAGGGACAACTATAAATGATAAGAAAAACAGTGTGAGTATATATAAAAGTATCATTGGGAACTTGTGGAGATCATTAGACTGCACAACAGAAGGCTGTAAAATATTGTGCACTGAAGGGTACTATATGAACTCGACAACGGGAGTGTGCACTGCTTGTGATGTATCCTGTGGACTTTGCAATGCCTATGGCGCAAGCAGCTGTTTAACATGTGCGACAACTTATCCTTAATCCCCCTTGATTAAAGGACAAAACCTGCTATTTGAAAAATTAAATTTTTAGAAAACATTTTTATATAAGGAATAATTATCATAATAAAATCTCCATTATAAATTTTAAACCTTTAATCCTTGCAGGAGTGAAATCAATTTTCTCACTAACTCTTCTCTCTTTAAGAGAGAACGTGGCTTTTTCGTAAAATTTTTTTTTGGAAAATATAAAAATCCCAAATCTCTAAAATTGGAAAGCAAAATTAATTTAATTGTAAAATTTATGTTTTAGAATGCAAGTTGTTTTTTAAATTAAACAGAATTAGCTAGAGATTATAATTATCAATAATATATACAAAGTGTGGGTTTTTGCCCAAAAAATAAGGATTTTTCCAATTTTTTTGTTCGCTCACAGAGGGGGGAGTAATTGTAATGCTCACTCATAAAGGGTGAGAACAAGAAAAAGAGTTATCAAATAAGTGACTCGCCTATTTGCTATTCATCTTGCCCTTCTGGTTATGTGCTTTTAACAGGGACAACTACATGTGCAAAATGTGCCTCAAACCAGTTTATTAGCAGCGGGTCTTGTGTAAACTGTGACTCATCATGCTTAACATGCTCTGGGTCTTCAAGCTCTCAATGTTTGTCCTGTGCTAGCGGCTATACATTGGTATCTGGCACCTGCGCTGCAAACTGCCAAACTGGACAATATAGAGATACACCTACGACTTGTAAAACATGTGACTCATCATGTTATACTTGCAGCGGATCAAGCTCAACGTGTATTTCATGCAGCTCATATAAATAAAATGGCATTCGGTTCGAGAGAAATTAGCTCTGCTAAATTTCTCTCCCTCATGGAATTTTTTTTTTATGGGGTTAGGTTTTCTCTCGAGAACTTCTGCACAACAATAGCTGTTTAACTTTAGGGATAACCAAAGGAACAGCTCCTCAGTGCGCTTAAGATCTCGGAGTTTTTACCCTCAGCACTTCTCCATGCGAAGAAGACCCTTAGGCGGAACACGCGCAGGAGCTGAGTCAAGACAGAGCGACGGTAACGCGCCGGGTGAGATGTGCGGCGGCTAGGGGCGAAGCGTCAATAGAAGGCTTGGCCGGTTGGGCTGGCCACCGCGATTCAAAGATGGCTCCGTGACGTCACTAGCTAGCTAAAAGTTCCATTTTGGGACTGCGGCACTAGACACCTTAAACACCGAATAATTAAGTTAAGTTAAGTTAAGTATTTCATGTAGCTCAACATTAGTTCTTTATAATAGTCAATGCGTGTCTTCTTGCCCAGAAGCCACCTACAATAGCGGAACATCCTGTATCAGTTGTGACACTTCTTGTGCAACATGCAATGGAGGAACCAATTTAAACTGTGTCACATGTGCTAGTGGCTACCCATATAGAGACTCAACAGGCAAATGCGTGGCATCTTGCCCAAATTTGTTAGTCCCAAGCCAAAACTTGTGTGTCGATTTTTGTCCTACTAATTATTATGCTTCAAATAGCCAGTGCTTACCATGTGATCCAAGCTGCTCTGGCTGCACTGGAGCGGGGGCATCAAATTGTGCTGGATGCAGTAATAGTTATCTTTATAATGGAGCTTGCTATGCAACTTGTCCGAGTAATACATTTGTTAGTGGAACTTCTTGTGCTAATTGTGATTCAACATGCTCAGGATGTAGCGGATCAGCATCTAATCAATGCACTGCATGTGCAACAGCTTATCCATATAGAGAATCTGGAACTAATTTGTGTGTGGCTACTTGCCATGCGACTTATTATTTGGTGCAGGATTTTGCCCATACATTTTAGCTTGCAGTTATAAACTTTTTGTGTTTGGGTAAAATAACTCCCTCATATAGAACAATTTTTTTTATTTTTAGAGATAAAATAATAAAATCTTGGTAATTTGATATTGCCAAATAGGAAATCTAAATATACTCTTTCTATTTTAATTGTGAAGCGAAGAAGAGTATTTTTTTAAAAAAAATTCTCACTATTAATCGATCATTTTTTATAATAAATTTGGAAAATTAAAAAATAAACAAAAATATATGGCCTATTATTTAGTCGCTGACCTCAAAAGCTGTGTTACTTCTTGTCCTTTAGGTTATTACATATCTGGAACTAATTGTTTGCCATGTGATACCTCTTGCGCAAGCTGCTCTGGAACCTCAACTTCCTGCACTACCTGTGCTGCTGGACAATTTTTGTATTCAAGCCAGTGTCTTACAAGCTGTCCATCAACAACTTACGTCGAAGAAGGATTATGCCTTGCGTGTAGTACCTCCTGCTCTACATGTAATGGTCCTTCATCCAGCAATTGTACAGCATGTCCAACAGGCTATTACCTCTCTTCAGGTGTATGCTCTCCAGGATGTGCTTCTGGCTCTTATACACTAAATGGTGTCTGCTATACTTTATGCCCAAGTGGATACTACGGCACTTCTTCTTTTACCTGCATAGCATGTGATTCTACCTGTTTAAACTGCAACGGCCCTTTAGCAACCAACTGTATATCCAGGCGCAGGGCACTTTTAATAGTGTGCATTTCACCAAAGAAAATTTGGCTGAAAATTATTAAATAATGTCGAAATTTAATGTTTTTTTCGGTCATGCCTCACACTTAAATATATTCGAATAAAATTTCCATGTCGCACTATCAAAAATACGCAATCATTTGGCATGGAGCCGTATATCCTGCCCAACTGGAAAAGTGTTATACTCAACCTCATGTGTTGACCAATGTCCTACACAATATTATCAAGACTCAAGCACTAATAAATGTATTCAATGTGCTTCAGGCTGCGACGTATGCACTGGGTCATCTATCGAATCTTGCTCTCAATGCTCAAATAGTATGCTTATTTATATTGGCAGAGATGGGACAGGGTCATGTGTTTCTACCTGCCCTACAGGGTCTTATCAAAATAACACTTCGTGTGCCCTTTGTGCTTCATCATTATGTCAACAATGTACTGACCAAACTAGCTGCCAAATGTGCGCGTCAGGGTCATATATGAGCTATCTAGATTCAAGCCAATGCTTAAGTTCATGCTCATCAGGACAGCTTCAAGATTCAACCCAAAGGAAATGCTATGGGTATACTTCTAGATACCCAACTGGGTCTATTAACCTTTCTGATCTTACCAAAATTCAAATATCGAGGTTTCCTCTATATAGCGCTGAAAGCGCAGACATTTTCCCAGGAGCTTTCCAAGTTCGTCGGACCAAATCGCTTTTTGGTCCGACCAAGGCATTGATTTGGTGCAACCAACCGATAAATTCAATCAGAATTTATCGGCCTTACAGCGCCAAACATAGGAAACTTCTATAGCTTACCCTGTAAGCATAATCAAAGGTATCGGCACTATCAATGTTTACAAGATAACTACAGATGCCACTACTAATATTTTAAGCCTCGATACTGACAGTACAAGTATTTTGCTGCTCTCCAATACTATTTCAATAGCAGTTTCTTCACAGCTGTTTTCTTATTCCTCAACTTATGGCATTGAAATTATTGCTGGTACAATTACAACTTCTACAGGAGCTTCCAATGTGCTGATTTCTAAGACCGATTGGATTTTTACAGTGAATGGGTATACATATTTACCCCTAGTGACGATTATTAATAAAGGCTTAAAAGGCATTGAAGTACCTAAATCTCAATCCTTTGTGCTTGATGCTTCTAATTCTTATGATCCTAGTGGATCTCTGGCTTCAGTCACTCTTTCTTATTCCTGAACTTGTAATGATCTCAGTTCAAACTACCAAGACTACATGACAGGAATTTCCACAACCTGGGCTGACTATGTCTTAAAAGTCAGCACAACTCAGCCTCCTACAAAAACCTGCACATTTTGGAATTATAATAGCCCTCCAACCACCATGGTATATACTGAAAATAACGTTCTATCTGTAGACACAGTCCTCCAATACATTTTTACTATGAGCGACAACAATAAAAGGTCATCAAGCTCCTCAATATTTGTAAGAGTGGTTAGCAGCAGCCAAACCCCTTTGTCATTTACATCGACTCCTTTATATAAAATAAATACAGATAGACCTTTTCAGCTTGCGGCGTCAACTGATTATAATTATAACCCTAGTGGGCTTAAATGGATATATACGACAACAGGACAAGCTCCAACATTTTTGACACCACTTACAGGGACATGACTTTTAACAGTGGGAGAAAATTCGATGACGGCAGGAGCGAGCTATACTTTTAGCTTGACATATACTGATAATGCAGTAAAAACAACAGCTGTGGTGTCAGTTACTACAAATACTCCACCTTCTGGGGGACTGCTGTATTTAGATAAAACGACAGGAACTGCTTTGATGACAATTTTTAATGGGCAGATGCTTGGGTGGGTTGATGACGATTTGCCACTGTCTTATTCGTTTTCTGTGGCACCATCATATATATCAGGCCAAAATGAAATTGCTGAGTATTTAATTACTGGCCCTCAGTCGTCTCCTGTATTTGCTACTTATTTTGCAAGAGGAATGACCACTGTTATAGGGTATTGTTATGATTCTTATGGAGCAAAATCTTCATCAACTTTATCAATAACCATTAGCGATTTGACTGACATTGTCAAAATTTCTGACCAGTCACAGCTGATTCCTTATGAAACTACTGAAAATAACGCAGTTATCAGTCTACAGATGTCAGGAGCTGTCGCTATACAATTAAATGCGACTTTTACAGATGAATCATCTGTACTAGCAATTAAAACGAGGCTGCTTAGTATTGTGAATCAAGCTATTTTAACAGCAGATTCACTATACACAGATGGATCTCAAAGCGAAGCTGTCTACATTTACTATGCAAGCATGATGGCGCTAGAGCCTATAGTAAGGCAACCATCTTCTCTATCCATTTGTAACACAACACTAAACTATTTAAATGATATTCAGCTTGAAAGACTAGCAGTAAAACAAACCTTAACCGTTTCTAGCTCAAATGCAGCAGCTACAAGTACCCAAAATGTATTAAGCACAAAGCAGTTCATAAATTTATCCCAAGCTTTATCGAAAATTATAATATATATTACTGATTTATCTGATAGTAGCGAACTGATTTCTTCAGTTACTGAGCTGATCGTCAATATAAATAAAGTCATGTCGTTAGATCTTCAATTGACAGAGGATGCAAGAGATATAAGCCTAGATCGAATCAATGTAAAAGCTGCTAAGGATTTGATTACTAATCTTAAAGGAACTACACTCAGTTTAAATAATGGAGCAAGTGTAAAGATACCTCAACTGAGTGGAAGCGAATCTGTGCAAGTGTTAGCGGCACGTATAGAAAATAATCCGTTTGATACTACTTCAACAGTAAGCCTGGATGAGTTTATTCAGGTGGATTTCTTAAATGCAGATACTGGAGCAACTATAGCAATGAAAAATTTATCTGACCCATTTTTGATTTCTTTCAATGTTACCAGAGATTCGCTTATATCTTCTCTATCATATAATGAGAAAAATCATTTTTATCAATAAAAATCAATTATATTTAATTGTGATTGCTCAAAGGAGGCAAACTAAAAATCAGAAATCAGTAGCTTTATATATTGGAGAATTAGCATACTTCAGCAAAGGGTAAGTCAAGAAAGAGACTCCAACGTACTTATATGGCCAGAGTGTTCTTTTTGGAAAAATACATCTTGGTCATCAGATGGCTGCAGCCTTTACAACATGGGAGAGGTCTACACTTACTTTGAATTTGGTAAAAGCATTCCTAACTATTTCCAGCTAGTCTGCGCTTGCAACCATCTTTCTCAGTTTTCCATCAACTTTCGCGCATCTCAGCAGCTTCAAGTTCCATCCTACATAATTAGAGCTAATGACGACCCTGTATTTTCATTCAGATACTGGGAAAGTGCAATAGTGATTTATCTAATGTTCATTGGTCTCGCCTCTTATTTTATTGGCCTCAGCTTTGCGTATTACTGGGACAATTTCAACCCTGGCTTATCAATTCCTTCACTCCTCTTGGAACAAAAAATCCTGTTCCGATTTAACGGCTATTAAATTTTTCTCAATAAAATTAAGCAATATTTTGAATTTATTTTTATGAAGAATTAATTCTAAAAATTTATCGATTTCAGTGTGAAAACTGTTTAAATAAAATTCTGCTTTCACTTTTCCCATTAAATTAGATAAACTTCTTTTATTAAAATTAGTATTTTATCATAAAATTTTCCTATTGAAAAAAAAATTTTGGCTTAAAGGGAGGTGAAATACCCAAAAATGGAAATTTAACCTATATTTCATTCCAGTTTAAAGTGGAGAGTCAGTAGAAACCGAAAAATCCTTTAGATACTGTGATCCAAAGAAGGTAGAAGCTGTTTTATCTCAGCTTGAAAGAGAACTTATAAGGCAGCTTCAAGATTCCAATAAAAGTAAAAAAACCGCAAACCCTGGAGTTTACATAAGCAAAATCTTATCAACTGGGTTGGTCAATAAACTGATGCAGCAAAACGAAAAAGCCCCTAAAGGCCAAATAGAAGCCTATGACATTTCTGACCAAATGCATCCAATAGAAACCCTCCTTTATGACGAAAATGACTATGAATCTAATGAATATGAAGGATCCCAACATTCAAATAAATTTTTATATAAAGATGAAACAATGCTATCAAGAATTAAAAAATACATGAAAAAAGGTGTAGGAGACCCAAGGTATAATCCAACTGTAACGTCTGATTTTGATGCAAAAGGTCCAGGAATGCTTTCTAGAAAGGACCTAGAAAGCACAATCGCTCAGCTAAAGCTTCATATGAACCATTTGGAGACGAATACACAAGCTTCAACCCCTATAGACCAGTTTTTGTCAAGATACGATGACTCATTGAAGCTTTCTCCTAATATTATTCGTAGACTGCATTTGGATGATAAAGAATTAAAGAAAGGAGATTTGAAGTCTTTAGGATACAGTCCACAGGAATTCGCTGCAATTAGGTGTGATAAAGATGACAATGTAATCCCTGATACAACCTTGCTGACCGGTGGAAAATACTGTAAGTTTTATTTTAGCTGAAAAAATCGTTGAAGAAGTCAAAAGGTTTTACTATACTTTGAAGCTCGGATACTGGTCGCTATTCTGGCTCTATTTCAAAAAAGAGCACAAATTCTTCGCGCTCTTCTACAACCTGCATATAGAATACACCAAAAAACAAATGGTCACTCTGCTCGCTATATTTTGCATCATTCAGCTTCTGTTATGTCAAGTCTTTATTGCATATATGAACTGGGAATGGGAAAAAACCTACAATCAAAATGGCGTCTGCATTTGGGGCTGCAATTATGAATCTCAGCTACTAGCTGGAGCTATCTGTGCCATAATCCCATGGCCTATCTTTTATTTATGTAAATATCTTTTCGCTAGAAATTCTGTAGAATATGCAGCTGCCCATGCTTGGAAGGTCCAAGCCTACCAGAATAAGCACTGTCGAGAAATGATAGGGACTTTTGGTGTTTTTATAATGTTTATTAGCATTATTGCAGCAATAGTTATTATAAGCGTTTATGAGCCTTTCAGCTTAATTCAAGGGGAAGATTTTGCGTATTGCTACTTGGCGTCAGTTATATGGAGCTTTTTCATTGGTGAATTTTTGGGGACGCTGATTAAGGCTTGGTTTATATGGATGGCATCTCATGATTTCCACTCACAAAAGCCAGAAGAGAGAGGATTTTGGTCAGAGCTTTCAAGAAATGTCCTGACTTACCTGCCTTGTTTGCTTCCTACTGAGCTTTAATTATTAAAAATTATTTTTGGCGTTTATTAGAGTAAAATTGTAACTCCCCCCCCCCTCCGTGAGCGAACAAAACCATTAGAAAAATCACCATTTTTTGACCCAAAACCCACCCTCCGTGAGCGAACAAAAATTTTTTTAATAGAAAAAATTTTAATGGAAAAAATTTTGATATATAAGTGATAATTAGTATAATGAAATCTAGAGCTAATTCTGTTTAATTTTAAACAAATTGCGTTTTAAAACATAAATTTTGCAAATTAAATTAATATTTGCTTCCCAATTTTTGCAAATTAGGATTTTTTTAAATTTCGAAAAAAATATTTTTTATAAAATTTTATATATATTTTTTTTTAAAAAAAAAAATTAACCCCCCTCCGTGAGTGAACAAAAATTTTTTTGTTCGCTCACGGAGGGGGGGGGGAGTAAGAAAATTAACAGAAGACAGCTTATCAGATGAATTAGCTTAATTAAGCGGCTCAAAAAATCAAATTTTTACTGTCAAGGCTTCATGTAAAACTTCACCAGAATTTAAATTATTATACACCCCGTGCAGATTGATCGGCCTCTGTGGTTGTTTTGTTTAGTGTTGCCGTACTCGCTGAGCATTGATGATCGATTGCTTGAGTTTAGCGAGATATTATTTAAAATATAGCTTGTCTTTTGGTAATAGTCCTCATCTTCTGGGGCCATAAAGCTTTTAATGCTGGTGCTTACATCTTTTTCGAAAATTCCATTGAATTTCTCTGAGTTTTGTCTTGATTCAAGTATTCCTGTAGATTGCAGGTTGATCTTAATAGGGCTGATTTAAGCAAATAGAATAAGATCCAGAATCCCCTTCCCCTTTTACGAAATTAAACAGAATTCGACAAATCAATCCTTTTAGATAGATTTCTCAAACTCTATTTGACTTGTCAGGAGTGGAGGAGATATCGGATCTTATCTGGCAAGCTAAAATCAGCCCTATGAATAGCTAAAAGGGCGTATACCCTATAATTTCATCGATGTATCTGTTGCTCCTGATACTTCGGTGTACCTGCTTTCATTAGAAATGTCTTCATTTTTTGATTGTTTCCATGAGTCCATTTCAGTGTTTAATTGCTCCTGCTTTTCACTTTGGCTGTTATATTCTTGTTTCTCTTTAAGAGAAACACTTAGTGGGTGAAATTGTGGAGAGTTTTGTAGGATAGGTGCATTCTCAAATTGTGATGCTTGCGTTGACATTTTTATACAAATTTGGATTAAATTCACCTATTTAAGGTATAAACTATTTTTTAAACTTTTATCATCATTTCCATGATTGATTCAGCTTGAATTTTTAAAAAATACCATAGTCTTTGCTTAATTCAATATTAAAAAAATTATGTTTTCTATAAAAATTAAAAAAATCTGTATTTATTGTCTATATCAATTAAACATTCTATTTTACCTATTGAAATAGAACAGTCTATTGAAATTAGACGATTTAAATTTTTTATAAATATATAAAATGGAGTCTGAAAGCATAACTCTAAATATCAGAATTACAGGTACAAGTGACGAATTTCCAATCGTTATCAATCTCACTGAAACAGTTTCTGACTTAAAGTTGAAATGTGCAGACCATTTGTCTATAGACCCAGCCCCAACGAAATTAATTTACAAAGGTAAAACATATACAGGAAAAGTACTTAAAGATCAAGATACGATAGAATCATTAGCTTTCGATTTAACCCAAAAAATTTATCTTGTTAAAGGACAGTCTGCTCAATCTCAAGCCCCAAACCCATCACCTGCACCTTCTCATATTTCATCAGGAGCAGGAGAATTAACAGGTTTATTATATGGCCTCAATCATTTCGGGGTTATGAATCAAGCTACTTCTATGATGGACAGTTTATCAGATCTTGACGAAATTTCTAGAGATACAGGAATTCAGATGCCAGATCCAGCATTTTTAAGACAATTAATAGGCTAAAGAAAAAAATTCTTGAAAATTACTGTTACTTTTATAGAGAAAACAATAGAAATTTATATATTGAGCCAAATTAATGTCAAATCCTGCAACTAGACAAATGATGATGACTTCTATGCAACAGATGATGAATAATCCTCAAATGAGAGACTGAGTTTTTAATTCGAATCCACAGCTAAGACAGCTATCTGAGAGAATTCCAGGGATTAAAGATGCGTTGGGGAGCCCTCAAGTGATACAACAAATGATGAGCACTATGGAAAGAATGAGTGTGGGGAATACAGCTGGGCCAATGTCAGGAGAACCAGGAAGTTTTCCAGCACCTGGTGGGGCTAGTCCTCAAATTGAGAGCTCTCAGCCTTCTCAACCTCCTCAGCAGCCATCAGCAAGTCAGCCACAAAATTCCCAAGCTCCTCAATTTCCTATGTTTAACCCTTTTATGATGAACCCAATGATGAATCCAATGATGCAGCCTCAAAATCCCCCTCCTCAGCAAGCTCCTTTGCCAAATCCCCCTCCTCAAGCACCTTACCCTCAATATCCTATGTATAATCCATATGGCTACTACGGAATGCCCTATATGCAGCCTCTCTATAACCCTATGCAGCCTCAATTTAATCCTTTTGCAATGCAAGGAGCCAATCCTGGAATGGCAGCTCAAAATCCTAGAGAAATATTCAGTGCCCAACTTCAAAGGATGAAAGAAATGGGCTTCATAAACGAAGAAGCTAACATCAAAGCTCTCCAAGCAAGTGGCGGCAATGTAGAATTAGCGATTGAACGGTTATTAAATATGCTAGGATAATTATTATTTTAAGCTTCAAGCTAAATAAATCAATTCAAAGTCGAATAATTGTTTATTACAAATAACTGAGGCTGATTGAGCGATGGTTCGAGCCAAGGGATATGCAAAAACAGAAGAAAAAGAAGAATTAAAACAGACTACGCTAGATAAGCAATTAATTAAGAGGCCATAAGGCCTGGCGATCTGCTGAAGTTAAAAAGTAAAGATTTATTACTGAAGTAGTTGATCAACCGGGACAGGCTGTTGGTTTAGAGCATATTGCTCATACATTTCTTCAACTCTATTCCAGTTTACTATATTCCAGAATTTTTCTACGTATTCCAATCTGCGGTTTTGATACTGCAGGTAATAAGCATGCTCCCAGATATCACAGGTGAAAAATGGAATAGAGGTAGCTTGATAAACTCCTACCATCATAGGATTATCCTGGTTTGGTGATGTTGTGATCACAAGTCTTCCTTGAGGTGTTACACTAAGCCACGCCCATCCTGATCCGAATGTATTCACTGCTGCATTTGTGAATTCTGCTTTAAACCTATTGAAATCTCCGAACTCTTTATTGATATGAGCCAACAATTTGCCTGAAGGCAGCTCTTTTCCTTTCCCTAGACACAGCCAAAACAAGCAATGGTTATAGTGTCCTCCTCCATTGTTCCTCAGAGCAGTCTGGTGTTGTGCCCTTTCTCTAATAATTTCAATAAGCGGGACATCTAGAGTCCCTAATGCTGCATTTAATTTATCAACATAGGTTTGATGATGTTTTGCATGGTGAAAAGATAAGGTTCTGCTGTCATAAAGAGGCTCGAGTGCTGTATTTTCGAATGGAAGCTTTGGAAGCTTGAAAGAAAAGAATCTCTTTAGCATATTTTATCACCATTGAAATCATGGAAAGTTCTGGTGATGTATATGATTGCAGCATATTTCATATTTAAGCCTAATTATGATTAGAAATTGTCCTCTTCCCCTTCAGGATTCGGCCTACTTGGCAAAAATGGCTCATCCCCTCTGATTTCTCTAAACAATTTTTTTGCCGCCTCAAAATGATCACTTACCTCAAACCCAAGCCCAGGATTTGGTATATGCACAGCCTCTCCTGAATTTTCTGTAATCTGCTGCAAATAAGTCGCATAAAATACGATCTCTATAGGAAATTGTTCAATAAGTCTTTGGAATGAATGCAAGTTTTCGTCATAATTAGACAGTCTAGTATATAGATGAAGCACTGAATAGCCTTCAGGACATGTAGAAGAATTAGACGATAATTGGAGAATATAAATAGGGAACTCGTTCTCAAAGGTATGGGGAGGCACTGAAAAGAGAACAGGCCCATCATTTTCATGGAAAACTCCTCGTGAAAGAATTACTCCTCTGGTAATTCCAGCTTGTGGGACTGCTACAAGGCTCTCATCGACGTTCGCAAAGGTGGAGTTAAGCAAAACTCGGTTTCCGTGAAATTCACCTAAGGTTGTGGCGATTCCTTTAATTTTGTTGTCTTCTTTTAAAAGCCCAAAAATGCTTAATTCTTCAGTGATCACGTAGGTGCCTTCATAAACTGCAGAAACTCTGCAGAATCCTTGAGAGATGTCCCCTGCGCCGTACATTGGATATAATAAAGTGGATCCTTCTTTGTAAATTCCTAAAGAGCTTGAATATTTTTGGATTTTTCCTAATGCTTCACCAAGGGTAATAGATCTTGTGTCTCCATCAACAAGTAAAATTGCATAGAATAAGATATTTTGCAAGTTCTCAGGGAGCCCTTTTTCTTCTAGCAGCGATTTGAAGTCTTGATTAGGGTCGAAGTCTTCTCCTTCTAATAGTTTTGTGCAGTGCTCAACAATTTTCATTAATTTTCTCTTTTCAACAACATTTATTTGGTTTTAAACCATAAATAATTCTATATTTCTCTATTATCTCTATAAATAATTTTATTCATCCTATTCTGATATATAATAATATACCTTAATTTCCCTAAAAAATATTTTTGAAATTATTTAAAGCCAACCTAAGGCAAAATCCTATAATTTCTCATCCTGGAAAATTTCACTTTTATTGCATGGCACTTGTCTAAACCCATCCTGAGTCCACAGCATCCCAGATTTCACGGACTTAAACTCAATATACTGTGCAATCCCACACGCTAATAAATAATCTACAACATCTCCAACCGAGTAAATCATTTTTGGCTGCAAATCAAAATTAAATCGTCTAGGAAATTGGTTACATTCTTCATCAGGTCCAGGAGATATATGAATTTGTTTGTTTAAGAAAGGAGGAGATTCAGGACTGATCAGAAACTTCTGAAATTCATTGAAGGAAAGAGTGCCATCTATACTCCCATAATATCCTTGAGAATCCAGATGAAGCACTTTGTGGCCAGATATAGCAAGTGCTGCAGCTAGAATGCTAGAGGTATTATCAGTGCCTAAGATGATGTCATCAAAGTGGGTTGCAGCTAAATCTTCCATCAATTAATTATTTCTGATTATAACTAACAAAAATTATGACAAATCTATTAAATTTATAATTAAAAAATCATATATAAATTAATGAACAATTAAGCTGGTATAGCATAATTTTAATTAATCAGCAAGCGCTCTTTTCCTTATCATATGAGGATCTTTAAAAGGCGAATTAGACCCTGTAAATGTCTTTTTAGACATACTTATAAACTGATATGGAGAGTAACTTGTTGGTATATACTGGCTATGCTTTTTCAAATCAGGAGTGTTATATCTTATCTGAACTGGCCTGAAGTCTCTTTTATTTGACGACTCATATCCAGATTCATATGTTTTTATATGAGAAAGAGACGGCGATGATGACACTTTATGCTTTATCTCAGGAGAAGAGCTTTTTCTTTCATAAAACAATGAATAAGAACTTTTCCCTGTAAATTTCATTTTTGTCTCATGTGTAAGTTGAGGGTCTTTTTCGTGCTTTATATCAATTGGTCCTCAATTGGGAAAATCACATTGGTATTTTGTTCGGCCTGAGAACTTTAAATTGGAAAAAGATGAGGAGACTGTTACTGGCTTGGAAAATGGTTTTAGGTCAGGGGCTTTGTAGTCTTGCTTTTGTGTAGTTATTAACTCCATTTTAAAAGGACTTGGAGAGTAGGAAGATCGGACTCGTTGGGGAGGGCTGCGGCTGGATGGCTTTTTGAAGGTAAGTTGGTATTGAGAAGAAAATGACGTTTTAGGATAAAGTGTCTTTTTTATTGCTGGGCAGCTGTGCTTGCCACAGGTACACATAAAACAAATGCATTGTCGGGTGTAGTGGTCAGATTCTGGAATTAAGTCTAAGGAATCGTCTTTTAGGATGCATTCTCTTCTTCGAGGAGCACTTTGAGGTCTTTTTATTGCCATTTTTAGTAGTTTATATAAATATTTCACTAATATTCAGAGTGAACCATAAGAAATAGTTGAGGAGTTTATATAGTGAGATTGGTTAGCACTCAATACCTTTCAAACTGGGCAAATTAAAAATCTTTATTTATTTTTTATGAATGTCTTTGGATATTAAAATTAATGATGAGAATTGCTCATTTGTAGTGTGCATCGTTAAATAATTGAACCAAATTTTTAATTTTTTATTATTTTAAATTTAAAATATCTAATAAAAAAATATCTTCAAATCATTTAGTAAACTAATGACCCAATGTTATTAATTATTTAGATTATAGTGCGATATACTGTAGGGCTTTAGCTTTATTAAGACTTGAAAATTTTGACCGCTCTCTCTGATTTAATCTTCTGAATCAAAACCTATTATTTATATAGCTAAAACTAATTAAAATTTAAGTTATAAACCGCATGGGTTTTTCTATAAATCTCATATTAAATTAACATTAAGGCAAATAAGAATTATATATATATGGCAATAATTTCTGTTTCTTTCCCCAAGAATCAAAATAACTATCTAAAAGTAGTTATTTTCTTAGAATATTTAAATTTTCGATTTTATTTTATTCAACCATATTTCGGTGACAAAATTCGTATTAATTACATGGAAGTCTTTTTTAAAATTTAGTTTCGAGGACTAATTGTTTAATTTTAAACATTTCTATAATAAGCTTGATAATAATTATGATTATATGTAAAACTTAGGTCAATGGGAAGCTGATATAGAATTATTGAGTAGTTTCCCTATTTCAATGAAATACAAATATTAATTAAAAATTCATGTGGCTTAAAAAATAATTTAAATATAATCGCTTTATCAAAATTCTTAATATTCTAAGTCTAAATAAGAAAGCTTTCAAAAATCATTTCATTTTTGAATCAAAACTCATATTTAAGTTTTTATAAGAGATACACTAAGAAGGTTTTTATTTAAAGCTGCTGCATTTTATTATTAAATCTATTTCAGGAAGATGAAGGCTGGTTGTGTAAACAAACATTATTTACAAAAGAGTGGTTTCTATAAATGATGATCATATGGTTTGGTATATTTGATTACTTCTTTCAATCACAATGGCGAACTTTTATAAATGGATAATCTTCTTTCATCCAACACCCAGGCAAAATCTGGGACCTCTAAAAAAGCTATTGCAGCAGTAAGCGTCATTGGCTTAGTAGGCATTATTGCGGTTATTGCAGTTTATTCTGCTTCTTCAACCCCAAACCTTCTTTTGAAGCAATACGAGCTTGAAGAGTCTGAATTCCAAGACTTTCTCAATACTTATGGCAAAGATTACCAAGGAGAGGAGTATTCTTTTTAGCTTATATTTGCCTTTTTATAGTTTAAAATTTCAATTAAAATTGATCGAATATTATTATTACTTTGAGGATACCTGAAACGTCTTCAGATTTTCAGAGACAATTTATCATTTATTAGAGTAAATAACTTACAAAATCACGACTGGGTACTTGGAGTCAACAAATTCGCTGACCTTACCTTTGATGAGTTCCAGCAACTCTACCTAATGCAAACCTTCACTCACCTCGAGTCAAAACACTCCAAAGATTTCCAATTTGATGTCGAAGCAACCCCATCCAAAGTCGACTGGAGAGCTAAAGGTGCAGTAACCCCTGTAAAAGATGAAGGTGCATGTGGTGGTGGTTCTTACGCATTTGCAGCAGTTGGAGCAGTCGAGTCAATCTGGAATATCACTGGGCACCCTCTTGTAGCTCTTTCAGAACAAGAAATCATTGACTGTACTGGAGAATATGGCAATCATGGCTGCAATTTTGGAAACGTTCAAGGCGTTTTCGAGTATGTTACAGAAAAAGGCATTACTTCAGAAGCAGATTATCCTTATACTGCTAAACAAGGCACTTGCAATGGTGGGGACGTGTCTAAAATTGTTGCAGAAGTAGACGGATATACTGCAGTCCCAGAAAAAAATGTGACTGCTTTATTAGCTGCTAATGCTCAGCAGCCAACTGCAGTTGCTGTACAAGCTGACCAGTCCTCATGGCAATTCTATAAAGGAGGGATTGTCACTAACAACTGTGGAAACAAGCCAGACCATAGCGTTTTAATTGTTGGATACAACAACATTAATAAGCCTCCTTATTGGATTGTCAAGAATTCTTGGGGACAAAACTGGGGAGAAAGCGGATACATCAGGATTGCAATAAAGGACGGTGAAGGGCTCTGTGGAATCAACCTTTACCCGTACTTACCTAATGGCGAGAACTAAGCGTTTAATTTTAGAGCATTTCTATAATAAGTTTTATAATCGAAATGATAGAATGGTCTAGGTCCAATGGCAAAGTCTTAAATAACTCTTATCATGTTGCTTCTCTATTTCCTTGAAATGATGTCACAGTGTAGATTAAAGATTCATATATTAAATTAAATAAATTTTAAAATATAAAAGATGAGGTTATTTCAGAAATCTTACCAAATCTCAGCATATATTAATGCTTTTCTTTAATTAAGGTAAGTTTTGAAAAATATCATTTTAAGCTTTTAGATCAAAATCTATTTTCAAAATTTTATAATAGATGCATAACTCCCCTTTGCGAAAACAAAAAATTTTGTTCTCTCATGGAGGTGGTTTAAAAAATTTAAATTTTATAGTAATTTTTTTTTTCAAAATTTAAAAAAATCCTAATTCGCAAAAATGGGAAGGCAAATATTTATTTAATTTGTAGATTTATTCTTTAAATTGCAAGCTGTTTAAAATTAAACAGAATTAGCAAGAAATTTCATTATAATAATTAATACTTATATACAAGTAATTTTTTTAAACAATTTTTATTATGCTCATTCATGGAGGGTGGGTTTTTTGGGCAAAAAAATAGGGATTGTACCAATGGTTTTGTTCTCTTACGGAGGGGCAAAGTAAGGAGGTTTTTGAAAAGTTACCACGTTCTATTATTAACTTCATTTCAAGGAGATTATTGGCAACGCAAATAAATATTACTTATATAATGTGATTTTTATATACGATAATATTTTTCAGATTTAATCTCCCGTTTTAACGAATCGGTGAACTTTATAAATGGATAACTTTCTTTCACCCAAAATCCAATCAAAATCTTGAATCTCTGGAAAGGTCGTTGCATCAGTAAGTGCAATTAGTTTAATAATTGTTATTGGAGTTATTGCTATTTGCTCTGCTTCTTCAACTCCAAGTCTTCTTTTAAAGCAATTTGAGCTTGAAGAATCTGAATTCCAAGATTTCCTCAATATGTATGGCAAAAATTATCAAGGAGAAGAGTATCTGAAACGTTTTCAGATCTTTAGAGATAACTTATCATTCATCAGAGTAAATAACTTTCAAAACAATGGTTTAGTGCTTGGAGTCAACAAATTTGCTGATATTACCCTTACAGAATTCAAACAAAAGCACTTAATGAATTCATTTCCAGAAATAAGCACTAAAAACTCAAAATTTTCAAAAGTTCTATTAAAGATCCTACACTTCCAAACTATGTTGACTGGAGAATCAAAGGTGTAGTAACCCCTGTAAAAGATCAAGGCCCATGTGGAGGTGGTTCATGGGCATTTGCCGGAGTTGGTGCATTAGAGTCAATTTGGAATATCTCTGGAAACCCTCTTGTATCCCTTTCTGAGCAAGAATTAATTGATTGCGACACTGATATGAGCGAATTAGGCTGCAAATTTGGAAATGTTGAAGGCGCGTATGCCTATATCTTTCAAAATGGCATCACTTTTGAAGCTAATTACCCTTATACAGCTAAAAAAGGCACTTGCAACGCTACCAATGTATCCAAAGTCGTTGCAAAAATCCTGGGATATTCTCCAGTCATGCAAAATCAATTTGTAGCTCTGATGGTTGCAGTCGCCCAACAGCCCACTGCAGCTGCAGTCGAAGCTGACCCATCTTCATGGCAATTTTATAAGGGAGGTGTTGTGACAAGCAATTGTGGAACAACTCCAGACCATAATATTCTCATTGTAGGATTCAGCTATAATACAAAACTTTCTTATTGGATTTGTAAAAATTCTTGGGGACAAGACTGGGGTGAGAACGGATATATCAGAATAGGAATGACAGATGGCCAAGGGGTCTGTGGGATTAACATGTACCCTTATTATCCATATGTTGACGTCTAATAATTTATAATTCCATAATAAGTTTTATAATGAAGGAACTCGCACCTTATGTCCAGATGACAGATTTAGATGATTCTTTAAAAGTAGCTTGTCCTATTTGCTACAATGAATTTGACAGTGCAGATCTATTGAGTTTGAGCTGTGGGGACAAGTTTTGTAAAAATTGCCTTGAGATGTTCCTTACTAACAATATAAATGACGGCAAAATATCAGCTATTGTATGTCCTAACTCAACTTGCAATGCAGTATTAGCAGACAACTTTATAGAATCATTGGTAACTAAAGAACTTTATGAAAAATTCTTAAAAATCAGAGAAAATAAAACTCTAGAAAAAAACCCAAACCTTATCTGATGCCCAGTCCCTGACTGTGGAGGTTACAGCTATATTTCAGGGCCAGGGAAAAATCAGCTGTCCTGTAATAAATGTGATACAAAATTCTGCAGTGAATGCATTAGTCGATGGCATGAAGGCTCATGCCAAAGAGACCAACTATTAGACGATTATATTGTAAACAACAAACTAAAACGGTGTCCTGTATGTGCAAGCTATATTGAAAAAGCATTTGGCTGCCCCTCAGTAACTTGTACATGTGGAAGCACAATATGCTGAAAATGTGGAAAAATAATAGATGAATCTCATGATATGGCTAAATGTATGCTCGGAGGGTCTTATGGCAGTGCGTCTTGAATATTAATTGTTATTTTGATTTTTTCTTGGGTCTTATTTCCATTTGAATTAGGATTTTTGACAATTTATTTTATGGAGGACTGGGGAGATCCGAATCAAAGAAGTTTTAGAAAATTAAAGCCGTTTTTTTATTTTATATTAGTATTACTGTCACCAATTGGGCTGGTTTTGGCGTTACTTTTTGGAGGAATGACACCTGGGACAATGCTGGTGCTAAATATAGCAAAGGCCTTAAAATTTGAAGAGAAGATGAATAAGAGAATAAGCAATCTAATAGTGACTGTACTTTGATTGCTAATAGTGCCGGTAATTGTTGCGTTAGTTGTAGTTGCATTTTTATTGGTGAATGCATTACTTCCTTTGGCGGGGATATCTTTAATGGTAGCAAAATTAAGTAACAAAAATCAATAATATGTTAAATAATTTTGTAAGATTATATAATCTGTGCGCAAGTTACACTGATTTAGGTAATTACCTGCATCAAAAATAGGTATATTAGATGGCTTAAATACAGTAAAAAATTGCAAAATGTATGTGGATCATATCACAGCTCTAAAAATTATAAAGGATGTGTACCCCATAGACAAAATTATGCTTAATTAAGCTATTCATAGCTCTACTATCTACATCAAAAGTTCTGGATAATTTTTCTCGTGTAAAATAATTTAATTATTAAACAAATTCATCTAAATCTCTAATTTTCCTTAGTTAACCTATAAGCTTAGACGCATATTTCTTCGACATCGAAGCTTATAGGAACTATATCTGCTTCATATCTATTAGAAAACATAATATTCTAGTACCTTTATTCAACTTGTTTGCAATAAAGCAAGCATGCTGAGCAATTTCTCCACTTTCTGTCATTTTAATAATTAAGTGTAGCTTTTTATATAGCTTTAGTCTTGAGTTATAGTTTTTTTTTGAACAATCTGGAAACTCTTATGCCTATTTTTTCATGCAGAATTCTAAAGGCAATCTCAGGGTGCTCAAAAAAGTTGAGTGGTCTTTCTTTTCGAGTTTTACTGCAGCTTCAATTATTAGTATAAAATATTTCTCCTTCTTAAGTTCCAACCGATGCATTACGAACACATTTTGCCTCATCTAGAAAGGCTCTTCCGAATAAGCCAGAGTAATTTGTTTTTCGTATATTTATTTTTTCACGTTTCATTTCTTTAAAGTTTAGATCTGTGCGATTTCATTCTAGGAGTGTTTCTTCATCAGGAACTTCATCAAAGTTGTAGCCAATGTTCTTTAGACCAAGACGTTTCTTTGTAATAAAAGTCATTTATTATTATATAAATTATATCCCCCAAATTAATAAAAGTATAATTTTTATTAATAAAAAAAAGGGTCAAAATAATTAAAAAATTGTTATTTATTATAATGTGCAAAGTAATATGGAAGATTTAAATTTTTATAAAAATGCATATATATTTAAAGAGTTCATATCTCACAAGTAGGTAAAAAAATTTCTATTATCTATTAATATTAGTAATCAGTTCATAGAAATTATATTTCCTTCGTAAAGAATAACTTACTTCATGAAATATCCATCCGCAATTTAAGTTTTGCATTTTATGATTTTCTTTACCCATCTTAATAATTATTTTAATAAAAATGCTCATACTCCTATTTTCCAAAAAAATTAAAAATTTAATTTTCTATATTATTGTTTCTAGCAGACAAAATAAAAGTGTTTTGGATTGCTTAAATTTCTTATTAAAGCATTTTCGTTTCCTTATTTCAACATATTAGCTCTTTTATTTAACTACTTATAATTGATGAAATAATTATTGTCTAAACGTTTAGCAGTTAAGTAGTCTTTTCTAGATTCCTTTAATATTTAAAAATCTTAATAGGCATATTTTGCGATATAAAATGAGAGACCAATTAAAGCTGTCCATGGAATTAAAGGCTATCCTTGCTTCAGATGACCTTAATACTTTTATGCAAGCAAAAGTCAAAAGAGGTGGGGTTTATGGAAAAGAAAAGAAAACGATTCTTCATTTGGCTGCTAAATACTGCCAAAGTATTGCCATCCCATACTATTGTGTATATAAATTATTCATTATTTAATTAAATTCTACTTAATTTTTTAATTTTTTAAATAAATTTCTCTATCCATTTTATTTAACCTAAACCATCATAAAAGTCAATCCAAAGACGAAGACCAAGCGGTCCAACTCCAGCGCTCTTCATTATGCTTGTATATACGGAAAGCTGCAACTTGTCGAGTTTTTGGTTTCCTCTTGTAAGGTTCCTGTAGATATACAGAGGAAACATGGAGAAACTCCTTTGCTGCTAGCGATTCGGCACAATCATAATGAACTGTCTGAGTTTTTGATAAGCAAGAATGCAGATTTAAACGTCAAAGACAGCAAAGACTGGACTTTGGCCCATTGGGCAGCCAAAAATGGAAACTCAGGATTGCTATCCAAGTTGATCAAATTAGGAGCACCTTTTCAAGGAGTCACGAAGAGTTCAGAATATTGCTTGCACTTCGCTGCAAGCAGTGGAAATGCAGACATCGTCAAAGCACTTTTCCCTTACTTTTACCCTTTCGCATGTGGCGAAAAAGGGACTGTACTTCATTATGCTAACTTCCCCCTCCATAATTGAACAAAAAAATTATATAAATTTAAAGTAAAATGTTTTATTCGAAATTTAAAAATTCCCAATTGGAAAGCAAATATTAATTTATAAAATTTATGTTTAAAATACAAGCTGCTAAACTTAAACAGAATTAGCTAGACATTTCATTATACTCATTACTACTTATATTTAAAAAATATTTTTTCATAAAAATTTTTTTTGTTGGGGTGGGTTTTTTAGGCATAACAAAGAATTTTGCCAATGGTTTTACTCGATCACAGAGAGGGAGTAAGGGTAATTGGGAAATTGTAGAGTGGGTTATTTCAAACACGATTTGGCAGAAAATGCCAAGATTGAGTATTTTATTAGATATTGGGGCAAGCAGTAGCTTGATATTTCAGTATTGTAAAGAAGAAATTAACTTACTCCCCATCAGTAAAAAAAAAATGTTGTTCGCTCGCTGAGTGGATTTTTTTTTCAAAAATTTATATATAAATTTTATCATAAATTTTTTTTTTAATTAGCAAAATTGGAAATCAAATATTAATTTATAAAATCTATGCTTTAAAATGCAAGCTGTTTAAATTCCAACAGAATGAGTTAAAGATTCCATTATACTAATATTATATCAAAATATTTTTTCATAAAAAAATGGCAAGATTTTTCCAATGGTTTTATTCGCTCACAGAGGAGGGAAAGTTAGGAGTTGTTTTGATGTATGATAGAGCAGATTTGTTAGAAATTTTATATATAAATAAAAAAATCCAAATTCAATTGTTGGTTCACGAAAAATTAGGACCAAGATGTACCGAAAAAATCAAAAAGCTGGAAAGATGGGAAAATGTGAGAGGTCTACTTTTTGTATATAAACATCAAAATATGTATGCAAAAGTACCTTTGAGCCTTACCAGAGAGATTTCCGAATATATTTAACTATAAATAGTATTATGAATGTAATAAGTTTAAGTTAATTTGCTGCATTTTGATCAACAACATTAACTTATTTGATGAAAATTAATTTTTGAATATATAGAGGAATATGAAGAATTTTTTTAAATCTATTTTGTTTGGCTATTGATTTGCGTGTTTGAACTCATTTTTAAGTTAAAGAGGTTCTTATTTAAAAATTTTTGCAGTTAGTAGTCTAATATTCAAATTTATTAACTACTATCCTTTAAACTAAAACAAATATCGGTAAATTTCATTTTTCGGGTACTTCAGCATTCATTAAATTCTTTTATTTAAATAGAACTTAACAGATTTCGCACTAGTTTGATTAATTTTTTGATTTAATTCTTCAGAAAAAAGCAGAAAATTTTGTGTTTATTTTATAAAAATTAACACCCTTTCAATTTGAACAGGATTTTTTGATACAATTTAAAGAGGAAGTAAGAGAAAATTTAGATTTCCTATAAAATATCAATAGCTATTCAAGCTTATAAAATTTTAAAACTGTTAATTAAATTATATTAGCACGACCTGCTCTCTAAATCAATAAATAATGGCATCCTAAAAATTGCCTCGTTTGAATTCCTTCTGCTAGAAAATGCACTATTATCCGGGGAACTAGAATCAGTATCTGGAGAACTTTCTCTGTGTGAAAATTGACACTTGCTACCATAAATGCAGTATCCATTGTCCTATACACATAAAGATGGCGACGTGCCACCCTACCTCTCGACCCTATTTCTTCAAACCTCCAGACAACAGCCCAGTGGCTGGGATTTAGGTAAAAAGGGGTCGGAATCCTTTATGTATGTCGGGCTAGTTTTACTCAGGCCCTATGGAACTAATCCCCAGAACAACCAGTGGAAAGAGCAAGATCGGCGACAGTCCTGATTAGTGCTGAATCCCTCGAGCAGGACTCAAGAGATGGCATTTGTCTAACGAGATACTGGGAGTTTCGACCCAGATGGTGGCCCTTAGGCTCCAGAAGCCGTGGAAGTCAAGACTGGTTGAAAGAATCCCTTGCTTGAGGCAACTAGGAAGGGTGTCCGCAGGGATTCCTCAGGAGCGATGAGCTTGTAGAGGTGCAAATCCTCGGCTCTGCTAGACAAACGATTTTTAATTTATTTATTTATTTATTATCCCTTGTCTTGATACATTTTGCATCCAGGGATTTTCGGTTTTGCGCTTTTGTGCGATTTATTTCTTAGTTCCTCAATTCCATGCGCAAAAGCGCATTTGTTTCCGAATTCGCACTGCCCTGATTCCCAGTTTTTGCACATCTCAGTTTTATATTTGACCTGAAATTCTGTATCGGTTCCTTTAGCTCTTATTGCCGAATTAGACTTCCCATATAAAGATTTTTCGTTTTGGAGTAGTAGCGATGTGCTTTCAAGTCTTTTGCTTGTGCTTTTGCTGAGGTTGATATGTTGGGTATTCATAATTTTCAAAAATTATTTATAGCTGCTTAATCTAAAACAATTATGGCACAGGTTATTTTGTGAATAGGGATAAATGAAAATGGAAGCAGTTAATCTGCCTCTCCTTGATTTTTTTAAGTCTAGGGTATTATATTACAGCAAATCATAAGGCAGTTAATGGGTTGCCCGTCAGATAGGCTCATCTCTTAGGATAAGTTCGCACCATAGCCTATGTCTTGGTGCTAGAACTAAATCAATAACTCTTAACCAATCAAATCTGATTTAACCTCCGATAATTTTTATAAGAAATGCTTGATTAAGATGAAAAAAAGAGTAGACTTTATCTTGATGTCGAATACTTCTTTCATTATGATAATTAATAAAATACAAATTTTGAGAATAGGCTATTGAATAATTAATTGCTATTAGCAATTAAACAAGTAGAGTTTATAAATTAATAGACTAATTAAATATGGAATATATACGTTTTATGGAGTCCATCTTAAATTAGAATAATTTTAAGGTAATTCAATATTAATTTTTAATTAAATATTTCTGCTCATGAATAGAATTTATATAGATAATTGATTTTAGACAAATTTATATCTGTATATTAGCTAAAAATTACTAAATGGAAAATTTATCTATTTTTATTTTTAATTAATAAATATAAATTGCTATTTTGAGATTTACTAAAATGTTATTATTCAGTTAACTATTCTCTATTTTTATTAATCTTTCTTTTTTAATTGTATGATAATTATACATTAATATGGCGGAGGCGACCAACCCGACCTCTTGGTGCAATTTCTCAACACCTACAGGGAACGGTGAGGAAACTAAGCTGATAAACAGGTCAGCATCCTTGGTGCATATTGGGCGTTTGCTTTTACTCGAGCCTCAGTTAGCTAATCCTTTAGATATGGGTTTTACATCTGGTGATTCTTAAGGACTTCAAGCCAGAATACCAAATTCAAATTCGGTTATGTAAGACTTTCCTGAGGAATGGGCGCCTTCGTGTTCCTCAGGAACGATGAGCATTTAGAGGTGCAAATCCTGACCCTGCTGTGATGTTGAACGTTAAAAGTTAATTACTTATTTAATTGCATGCTTATAATTAAAATTTATTTTGAATTGATATAGCCCGAGTCTCCTTTAACTCGGACTATTTTTATCTTCCAACTTTAACTGGGAGCTGCAAAACCAACATTTGCTGGCATACCAACTTCAAGATGGCAAGCCTGTCATCTGGGAGTTGGTTTAACTAATAAACTTTGGTTTTCTATAACCCTAGCTGACATCGACAGACATCGCATATTCCGAGCCAAAAGAGGATCGGGCTATATAATATGTCAACCCTCAAGAAAACTAGATCAACAAAAGCAGATCAAGCCAGAGAATATCTACGATTAGTTCACTTGAAACAAAAAGAGTTGAAGAAAAATAAAGATTTGCATGAAGAATCCAAAAAATCCAATCAAATGCAGATTTTAGATGACAAAAATAAGCTAGAAGACATTGAAAGGCTTCAAGAGGAGCTAGAAAGATGCTCAAAAAATCAAGAAAAAAACCAAAAAATAATTGGCTTATTAAGGAATGAGCTTTTGAAATTTGATTTAGAAACCAACCATCACAACTATGAAGAACAAAAAATGCCGACTAGCACAAAGTCAGATCAAGAGCCTAAAAGACTTGATATTGAAGCTACACACAATTTAACAAAATTAAGGCTTGAAATATCAGAGCTTAAAAACGAAATTGCTAAACAAGAAACTGTTATAAACCAAAAAGAAAAAAAACTTATAAAATTAGCTACTATAAATCGGCCTGTCTCTGCCAGGCTTGAAAGAGAAGCCGCAGCTATGGACTCAACCCTAAAAAATGTCCAAAATCGATTAAAGCTGCTCAAACACACCGAAAATCTTGTCCAAACAAATGACATAGAAGGCTTAAATGGTCTCCTTAATACAATAAATGAATTCAAGCCAGAAAAACCTGAACCTATTTGCACAGTAGATGATGCATGAACAATAGCACCTTCTGAAGTCAGAGAAAAGCTAAATGAAAATTACAAAATAATGAAAAAAAATATTGAAATCATAAATAGTTTAAAAAAAGATTTATCAGAAGGCATTGAATACGACACAGTTTTGCGGGCAAGATTAAATAAATTACTAGAAGAAAAAAACAAAAAATTCAATAAAGATCAAGAAAGCTCATTAAATGGAATTTTAAACAGTTTGGGGAGCGGATATGATGCTGAAATTAATAAATTAAAACAAGAAATCATTGACCTCGACCAAACATTATCATCAAAGTGGCTTAAAAAGAAAAAAGAAGTAAGCTTCGAGCCAGCGCAAATAAGTGATTAATTGTTTTATCTATATACAAATAAGTATTTTAATTAAAATTGTGATAGCATAGCTGAGCAGCCCGTGTAGCCTAACGGATAAGGCGCTTCCCTCCTAAGGAAGAGACTGTGGGTTCAAGTCCCATCTCGGGTGTTTTTTATAATGATTTTTTTAATAGCTTTCATTGTCAGCTTGACAATCTCAAGCTTAGCTTATGCGTCTACAAGCCTTTCTAATTCATCATATTTCAATATAGATGACACTGAGCAGCTGCGGAACCTTCCTATTCCTGCTGCACCTGTTATTTTTGGATTTTCTCAAGAAAGAGGCTTAAAAGTGTTTCCTCCTTATAAATACCCTCCTTGTAGTTATACTTATTTCAATGCCCTCAACAAGATTCATATGGATTATAAAAACAATACAGTCAGCTTGACCTGCGCCTATGAGAAAGATCCATATATTGTTTTCGGGCCAGATTTATTCACAAAATTGTCATTGCCGATGGAAGCGAAAAAGTCTTTAATTAGGGTGAAATGGAAAGGGGAGCCAATAAAAATCCTACCCTATCACGAATTTGCGATAGGTTCATGTGTGGATAGTGACTATACAACTGTGAATTTATTTCATTTAGCTCCAAGGTATAAACCAAAAACATATGAAAATACATTGAAGATAGCTCAACAATTGAGAGCCAAGCCGAAAAAACCGATGTTGATGGTATTTTTAACAGTTGATAGCTTTTCAAGAAGACACTTTTTTAGAAAATTAGAATCTACGTTAGGATTTTTAAATAAACTCAAAGAAAGCGGAACATATGATGTTTTTGATTATAAATTTCATAATATTATTGGTGCTGATACTGCTGAAAACCAATTAAGAGTTTTTGCTGAAAAATGGGTAAGAGAATTCGTTGGAGACCAAGACGTAGACTTTGCTGGAAAAGACGCGATTTGGTTTAAATTGAAAAATCTAGGATTCATGACTTTATATGGAACAGATGCCTGCTCTCACAATACAGTAAAATCAATAGGAAGACGCCCAGTTGTAGACCATTCAGTTAATTTATTTTATTGTGCCAATTATATATATGGTGACTATAGAGCTTCCAAATTTAAAGTGTCTAAGCAGCGTTGTTTAGGGCCTGAAATGGCTCATCATTATTTAATGGAATATTCTATAAATTTCAGCAAACAGTATATAAAAGCAAATCAATGGGTCTACAATCACATGACGGCAGCACATGAAAGTAGTGGACAGCATGCTCAAGCCTTAGATGATGACCTTAAAGAATATTTAGAAAAATATATTAATCAATTCGAAAAAACACATGAAATCGTCATTTTTCTTAATGGGGATCACGGAATGAGATATGGAGACTTTTTGTCTGACCAAGAAAGCATCCAAGAGCATAGGCTGCCTGCGCTTTTTATTATTGGGAAGAAAGAATTTTTTAAAAAAATTGATCCTGACTATAGCGTTTTGCAGCACAATTCATTAAGACTGACAACAAAGCCAGATCTCAGAAAAACAATGCTTTATCTAGCTCATTGGCAAAGTGATGTAAAATTTGAGTATGAAAAAAATAATTTTTATAATCTGCTATTGGAAAAAGTTCCAGACTCCAGAACTTGCCAAGATGCAGAAATTCCGCTATGATTCTGCTCAAGCTATAGAGCTTTCCTTTGGATTATCCAGAACAATAAAGCTTAGAAATTCTTATAGAAAAATCCAAGCTTTATCCCATACTTACCAAATCCTATTGATCGGCGAATTTTTGACCCAGCTGACAGTAACTACTGAAATAGAAACAACACAGAAAAAAATCTTGGTCACACCCTCAATTTTATAGGAAAAATTCTTTTTGAAGAAATGAATGACTCAATGTTCATGAAAAGTCAGCCAGACACACTCTGCACTATAATAAAACTAAAAAAAATCGAAAATGCAAGCATGATAAAAGTAGATGAAAATAATATTTTATTTAGAATTATGGTAAGCGTCGAAGAAAGCACAAGGGCTCTGCTAGATTCTTGGATCATTATAACTTCAACACCTCTTAATGACGATATCATGAAAAATGAAAATTTTTTGTCACAGCCGATTGTATTTGAAAGTAAAAAGATGTTCGTTAGAGTAATCATTACTTAGATATTAAATATAGCAAGAGCTGATAAATACGGTGGCCCTTGCGAAATGAAGGCTAGAAAATCAGGGCTGAATCCTCAGTTTTGTGTTTGCAATGATGAAAAAATCAGATAATTTTAATTAACACAATAATTATAATGATCTTTTTTAAACCTTATGAATTTTCAAGAAAAATAATCCAAGAACCACTCAATAAATTGAAGAAGCTAGAAAAGGATGATGATCAAGAGTCTCCGTATGAAGAATCAATATACGTTAGAAGGGTGTCTATTTCAAATCCGACACAAACTCTTCATGCGGCGTATGCAACTGTATCAAAGCATAAAAAAGTTTTATTTAAACATAATAAAAGCAGTTGAAATGCGGCTTACCCAGAAAACTCGCCCAGTCCTACAAATTTTTCGACTCAGGACTATAAACCTTCATTTTATCCGAATGCTTCACTAAACCCAGAACTAGAGAGAAAAATAAAGGCAATAGGTGCAGTTAATAGAACCTCAAATTTATTTAGAAAGGAAAAATGCTTTTCATCACCTAGGTATCAAAGAAATGTAAGGAAAGGAAGTCCAATTAAAATTCATAGCATTAGCCCAAACATTGCAATTAGCTTAATGAGAACTCAGATAAATGAAAAATGTAGCCAATGTGGCTATGAGAATTGTACTTGCTTTTCCAAGTTATATTGTGTTGAATTGATTCTGGTGATAGAATACGCTGATATATAAAAATAAAACGCCTAATTTGTATAAGAATTATAGGTACAAATTTAAATAAATAAAATATAGATATTTTAAATCAAAAAATAAAAGAGCAGCATCACCATAATAAAAATGCAAGAAAAGCTTTACAAAATGAAATCAATGAACTTGTAATATCAAAAGAAAATCAAAAAATTAAAAAATTAAAGCCAATGCTTATAAAAACATATAGAGCACAGTCTGTTGATACTCAACTTCTTAGTATAGAAGATATTGAGCAAAAGCGCAATGCAACCCTAAGTGTTTGTGTTACACCTGTGACATTACATAAGAAGCGTAAATATAAATTTTAATTTTTGTTTATTGTATGCCTCTCATCCCTAATAAAATTAATTTGATTAATTAATTATAAATTATCTTCAAAAGATATCACCTTTCCTTTTGCCAAAATCCAAGTGATATCAATATTCATATTTTCATGCTCCCATCCTTCTTCAGACCTCCTATTTTCAGCACATATTAATTTCGCACACAAATACATCCCAGAGAATTTTCCAATTAAATCAATATCTACTTCATAAACCCTTGGACTTTCCAAAAAATTAATCCACACAATAGGCTTAATCACAAAATCAGTTGGCTTAAATTCAAAATATTCATATCCTTGGCACTCACACTTTGGATAAGTTTTAATCTTTTGTTCGCTTTCCAAAAACGTTTTAACACAATCATCATTTGTTAAATTATCATAATAATTAACATATGGCATTTTTGTCTGGGTATGGCCTCCCGGCCATACATACTCGACTCATATTTTAATTATATCCGGCAAGGTTTTGCCATTCCGGAAATGGGCAACAAAGCCATGGTAAGCAATTCTGCAGAGCAGAGCCTGGCCCATGTCCAATGACCAGAATGGATTTTCTCCTCGAGAGGAAAGAGAGTCCAGGTTTGGAAAGGGCAAGCCCAGCAGAGTCTACAGACAATGCCTAGACCAATCTGGCAACTACCTAGCGTAAAACTGGGCGTTACGTTCCAGGACTTGGAATTTCCCTTTTTGCCGAAAAAAACCCCAGAAATTCCATTTTTTTGAATTTCGGAAACCCAACTCTCGTCAACTCAAGCAGCAAGCCGCAGAAGTCCATAGCCCGCCAACTCAACACTTAAGCTGCAGCACGCTGTGGGAAGGAGTAGACGTATGTCCTCTTGGCAGACCTTTATAATTTGTTAGGACTACGCCGCAAAGCAGGTGAACCTCCATATCGAGGTCCTTGGTGACTGCGTAATCAAAACGGCAGACGCCTTCTAATCTATAAGTTAAGTTAAGTTAAATTATCATAAATACTGAGACCTGGGTCAGTTACATCAATATATGATTCACTTGTAAAAATAATTAATGTTTTGATTGGACAAGTAAAGTTTCCGACTCTTGATATTTCAAGGCCTGTTATGCAGGCTATAAAAGGAGCGGTATCAGCTTCATTTATATCAATTGGAATATCTAGCAAAAATGGATCATTTACATATCTTCTTGATTTTAATACATCACATTGTTTTTCTTCTAGCTGCTGGTATACATAGCGAACTTTTTCTTTGAAAGCTTCAGGGTCATTTTCGCCACATGCAATGGCATCTAATGGAAAATTAGAAAAAACATACTTAAATATAGTAATTCCTGCATGCTCACATTTCTTTTGTACATTCCTATTTTTTTGCCTCATCCATTCTTTTATGATTTTAATAGCTTCTCTTTTAGACAGATAATATTCCACATTATTGAACTGTGAGTCAACCAGCACACTTACGATATTCACATTTGTCTTATTTTCACGGCAACAATAAGGCTTCTGGTTTTTTTCAAAGAGATTTTCAAGTCAATAAATAGGATTATCCTCATCAACCCCTCCATTTGTGGAGTAGCCTTTAAAATCTAAATATTCATAGTCCTCTTTATGCTTAAACTCAAGAGATTCTTTCAGAAGTCTATAGCACGTGCAGTCTGCTAAATCAAGCGGTTTTTGGATATAAAAATCCCTTTGGACAAGATTTCGAAGAAACCCAATCGCTTTCGTTGCATGATAAAAAGTTTTGCTTAATAAAACTATGTGCCTGAATATTTGTGAGGTTTCTAGAAAAATAAGAATCGAAGGAAGGATATCGCCTGGCAAATGTTCCATAGTTTGAATTATTATTCTATATAATTATGCTTATTTGTTTCATAAAATATGTATCATTTGGATAAATATTAATCAGGTGGCATGAGCTATTTGGATCTTTGTGATAAATTTAGCGAGGTAAGAGACCACTGGCTATCAACAAGATCTTTTTCTGATGAATATTTAAATTTTCTTTTATACAAATCAGAAATTGATAGAACTTATGCGAAGGGTCTAAAAAAGCTTGCAAAAATGCCAATTTTCGGGATGGCAAAAGGCACTCTGCTACCAGGGTTTAATACTCTTCAAAATCTGTGCATTCAGCATTCAATACAGCTTAAGATCCTTTCAGAAAATTTGCATAAAGATCTTGCTTTAACATTGAAGCAATTAGCTGCCCATCAAGATTTAATCATAAAAGATAAATCAGAACTAGCCAAAAGAATTATCTCTGAAAGGGAAAAAATCATAAAATCGCATGAAAAAGCAAAGAGCAACTATATGAAAGAATTTAAAGAAGGCCACGTGACTGATAAAAGTCTGAAACTGGAAGAAAAGTATAAAAATTGTATAGAAAGGCTGAATACTTGCAATAAAGCTTATATAGAAAATATGAAAGTGGTTTTATCAACTTATCAAGAACAAGAAGAAGAAAATTCTAAAAAACTAAAAGAAGTGCTGATAAAAATGATATCTTATGAGCAAGCATATATTAATACTTATAGAAACGAATTTGAGCCTTTATTGCCAGCAATGCAATCTTTCAATCCGCCTATAGATTTACAAAAATTCATTAATGATAACTTAACTGAATCAGGAGTTGATACTGTGAAGTTTATGCCTTATCTGCCTCCAACTCCTAGACAAAGTTTGAATTCAATAAGCAATAAAGAAGAAATCCTACAAGGTATAATCCAAAAATGCTGGGATGGTGAAGAACTAACCAGAGAAGAAGGATCGAAATTTTTATGAACAATTTCAGACGAAATCGGTAAAAAAACCTGAGTCCAACTTCTCAGCAGTGTTAGGACTCAAGGCCGCGAATTAATTCCTCTATCCACTTTTGAAGCATTTGGAGACCTCATGTGATGTGCCCTTACTTCTATGATGGAGAACAATGACTATAAGTACGCAAGAGAATGCATCAGTCTTTCACAAGTATTTTATACAGAAGAAAACAACGAAAAAAAATACATCCAAGATTTCCTTATGATGCATCCTCTCTGGCAAGAAGAATATAACTGGGAAAAACTTATAATAACTGCTATTGAGCAAGAAATTGAATTTTTTATCCAAAATAAAAATATAGGAGAATTAAAATCGCAGATTATTGCTATATCACAGCTGACTTGATATACACATATTATGACGATTTATAATGCAGATGAGGCAATGATAGCTCGATTAACAGCTCGTCTGAAAGGACTATATAATATTTCTGAAGGATTTTCAGTGTATCCATAAATTTAATAATTAAAATATGGCGTCTTCGTCTGGGCATGGCCTCCCGGCCATGCAGCCTCGACTCATATTTTAATTATATCCGGCAAGGTTTTACCATTTCAGAGATGGACAGCAATGCTAGGTAAGCAATTCTGGTAGCTTTCAGAGCCTAGCCCTAGTCTATTCTCAGGGGTGGATTTTTCCTCGTGGGGAAGGAGGGTGCAAGGTTGGAAAGGGGAAGCCCAGCAAAGTCCTCTGGACCATTCGGGCAACTCCCTAGCGTGAAACTGGGCGTTACGTCCCAGGCTTTGCATTTTTCCTTTTTGCCGATAGCCGACCAGAAAAATCCATTTTTTGGGTTTTTTTCGGAAAAGCAACCCATGTACAAGCAAGTAGCTCATCCATGAGCCGTCGAAGACGTGGACATTTGCCCTGGAAGCACCCTGGTGATCGAAGCGAGTTTGTCTCCAGCAGACTGGTGGGCCCGATGCGACGAAAGGCGAGTGATAAACCTGGAGTTGTAACCCCGTAGTGGACGTTAAGCGATATAAATTCTAATGTAATGTATCCATAAATTTAATATCCTTCAATATTGAAATAATAAATTACCTAGTTAATTATAAGGAAAAATGCATTAATTAATATTTACAAGAGGCTCTGAATCGATAGAAATTTCTTTTATAGCTGGAGTAAATTGCCGTAAGCGATACAAGATTGATTCTTGTTCTAAAGGATGAACAGATCTAGGGGTTTTAGGAAGAAATTGCAATTTCACTTGAGGATTTTGACTACAATTTTTTAGGTCAACATTTTTTGCTTTTTTCCTGCGATGCCGACGTGCTAAAACTCCTTTTGTACCCGGTTTCCAATCTTTTACAACTCTCATTACATGGCAAAGTACTGGGTATTTTTCGTTAAAATAAACAGCATGCATTCTGTAAGTAAAAGTTGATAATAGTCCGTTGGCAATAATGTAGTAGACTAATGGCCGTTGTACAGGTAAAGGAACAGGAAAATAGCTGATCCTTTTTCATTGATATCTTTTAGTTAGTCCTTTGACTTTGGGAAATTTCAATAAGCTGTATTCTTGATCTTTAAGAAAATAAATAAAGCCATTCTCTGGGTAAGTATAAATTAAGGTAGGATGGTGTTGGGATATTTTGAAGTTATACTGCTTCGAGTATTCTTCAAAATTAGATAGGATAAACTTGTATTCAGAGCCTTTGAGCCACCGTTCTTCCCATAGGAATTTTGGGAGCATTTTAATTTATATTGCTAATGACACTCCATTTTCAAATTTTTGGGGACTCTAAATATAAATATAATCATTTATTGTTTAAATTAATTGACTTACTCCCCACCCCCTTTAAATTGAAACAAAAAATTTTGTTTCAATTTAAAGGGGGGTAAAAAATTTTTTTATAAAAAAAATTTATATATAAAAATTTTTTCAGAGATAAAATTTTATAGAAAATAAATTATATAAATTTAAAGAATTTCATGAAAAATTAATTCATAAATTTCTCAATCTCAAAGTGTAAACTTGCTGAAATGGTATTCTTCTAACTCTCCCCATAACAATTGGACAAAATAGAGTTTAATTTCTAAATCTTATATGTTTGAAGCATATTAAATAGGGTATTAACGTATTTACATATAAAATAATGATTTTTACCTATAAAATTTTCTATTATAATAAAATTTGTTTCAATTTAAAGGGGGGGTAATTTCCCCAAAAAAGTAGGAATTTTAGCTATATTTTGTTTCAATTTAAAGGGGGGGGGAGTTAAGAACCAATTATTATTTAAATCTTGTTATTCCCGTAAATTTATTAAAATTCCATAAATTAATACTTGATTAATATTATTATTCAAATTTTCTGATAAACCTATAATAAATATAAATAAAGTAATAGTAATTTAAATAAACAATATGAAAACTATATAATTAATTATTCCAAAATATGATTATAACCTTATTTTTTAATCTAAACAATATTTTTGACAGACCCCTAATAATATCTCTCTTATCAATTGGGGTAAATTTTCTGTCTTGTTAAATCTGACAAAAAATTCAATAAAATATAAACTATCACAATTTATTAATAAAAATGCCCTTTTCTGGCCAAAAGCAGTAACAAAAAAATGACCATAAAACAGTTTTAATGTCCGAAGCAATTTTACGCATATTCAAATTTATCTAGTCTTTTTATAAGAAAAATTAAGAATGCAGTTCTTAAGAGTTTTACTAATAACAATAATTAATGGAGCCCAAGAAAAGATATAAATACTTTCAATGAATCTTTTACAATAGATTTATTATTCTAAATAAATCAAGCTTACTACGAATAGGTATATAACCTTCCAGCAAAAGCACGTAGCGGCACTTTTTCTGATGACTTGTTATCCAGAAATTGAGACACACAAAATGGAGGTTCTCAGAAGGACTCAAAGTATAGTCTCGTTCACACATCTGCATCACAATGCTTCAGTGACATGATAGACGAAGATCCGACACTTTCTTATAGTGGTGACATTGACTCTTCTTCAGACCTTTCTATCAATATTGGCACTCTCCCTTCTTTGTGCCGCACCAAGACAGGAAGCAAAAGAGCACAACAATACATTGCAAAGAGTCGACCAGAAGAAATTGAACAAATCGTGAATGTTGTCGCTCCACATCTAGGTGATTTAATGACTGACTTATATGGTAACTACATGTGCCAAACTTTATTCCAAAGCTGTTCGTCAGTCCAAAGGCTTATTCTTCTGACTGGAATGAGAGATGATATTATCAGAATTTCAAGAAACCCGAGAGGGACACATGCGCTTCAAACTGTCATTACTCTTGCTAGTTTGCCTGAAGAAGAACTTGTATACCAAAAAGCTTTGCAAGGCCACATCGTAGAGCTTTCATTAGAAACAAATGCGTCTCATGTAATTCAAAGAATACTCTCGACATTAAAAAATAAGCATTTTGTTATAAGAGAAATTTTAGGACATGTCAGAGAACTTGCTCTAGACAAACTTGGCTTGTGTGTAATATTATTATTATTTAACGGTTATCGCCCACTATATTGGACCAATCTCTTTCATTTAAAAAATACCTTTCATACTTCAACTTTCCATTTTTCCTCAAATTCCAACTTCGATTCCTTCAGTCTTTGTAAAAAATTTAAAATTCCATAATTATTCAAAAACACCCATCTTCAATTCTTCTTTTGTCAATTTACTGCAAATTTCACTTCACCTCTTACCTTACAGATTCATTGCAAATAACTTCTACTTAAGTGCAAACTCAAATCTAAAATTTTTCGTTTAATCCTTTTTGCTATTGCTTGCCCATTGTCTGCTGCAATACAAATTTTTCATTTTACCTTCAATAATACCACGAACTCCAATATTTCCATCATTTTCAATAATTCCATCAATAATAGCGCCATTTTTACCATTTCTCCATCTTTTCGCGGGTGACCTATACTCTACCACTTCGCTCTTTTTCTTAGGACTTTCAGCTATGGTAAGCTCCTCTCCACAATTTCTCATACTTGCATGCACCTGAACTAGCTCTGAACTATCTAGCACCTCCTCATTTTGGCTGGATGCCCACCATGTAAATTTTGCCCAAATATCTTCTTCAAAGTCTGCAGGAACTTCAACAAATGCATCTTCTTCATAATCTCTATAGTCTTCATAGTCTTCATAGTCTTCATAGTAGCTCATGTAGTTTTCATAGTTTTCATAGTTTTCATAGTTATCATAGTCTTCATGGTCTTCATAATCTTCATGGCCTATGTAATCCTCGTAATTTTCATAATCATCATAACTTTCATAATCTTGAAAAGCCTCAGAATCTTCATAGCCCTCATAACCTTCAGAATCCTCAGATGGAGCACCTTGGTAAGTTGACTGTACTGCATGGATTGGAGATTGGAAAGATTGAAATGGATTAACTCTAGATATGAAGGCTGAGAAGTGCTCTTGAGCTGGAGCGAAAGGATTAGTTGAAGCTGATGCATCCAATGTGAGAGGTTTTCTTGATTGAATAGCCATAGTAGCGTATGTTTCTGGCTTGTCTGCAATTTGCCGCGCAGGACCAAATGGATTTAAATACATCTTTTTTAATGGCTTGTGTGTAATAAAAAAATGTGTGAATGATCCCCAAATTTTCAATGAGTTATTAAGTCAAGCGTTAGTTTTGATGCAAGATCCGTATGGTAATTATGCTCTTCAGCATATGATTGATCAGTGGCAAGAAGAGTGCTCGTTTCAAATAATTAGTTGCATTAAAGGTAAAGTAGTACAACTCTGCATACAGAAATACTCGTCCAATGTGATGGAAAAGTGTATAAAAGAGGAAAGAATGAGGGAAGAAATAATAAATGAGCTTATTGCAGAAGATAAGCTCCCTGTTTTACTAAGTTGTCCGTATGGGTGTTATGTATTGAGAACAGCTGCGTTGGAGTCAGATCAAAAACAAAGAGAGAGACTAAAGAATGCCATAGATATGGCAATCCCAACGTTGCATCAAAAAAAGCTGAAACCAAGATGGGATGAAATTTTAAGTTATTTAAGATAATATTTAATAGAATGAATGAAAAATTTGTGTGCTTGTAAATAAGTATGCATCCTCATTTGCGATCTGAAAGAGAAATAATGAAATTAATTTTAAAATGAATAAGAATTAATTACAAAACAATAAACATTGCTTTTAAAGTATTTAGTTTGAGATATACAAATGCCATATATAATATTTTTATTAAATTACCTAATTCTCAAATACTTTACAGAATTTTAAAATAGGGATTTTAATTTAATTTAAGTAGTGAGATTCAATAAATTAATTTTTCTCAAAGAAATTCCAATTTTGAGATAAGAATTCTAAAGCTTTATTTTGATGCTATCAAATAATCTTTCTTTATATCGCATTTAACTATTAAATAATATCAGCTAAAACTAAATATTAAAAAGTGTTTGGTAAAAATATTTTATTAAATATAAGAATTCCAGAAAACTCATCCTCTAACTTTTTTCTTAAAAATGGATAAAATAGACTTACCTCAGCATTCCCATATCAACGTCGACGGAGTGACATTTTTCAGCAACTTTGATTCAGGAAACCTTGCAAGAGCAGTAAGAACAGGAATTGGTCAAGTATCATATATTTAGTACGAAATCTGAATTGCGGCTGACGCAGCTCAGAGAGGACACAATAGCTACAGAGTTTGATTTAATTTTGGAATCAGAGGACTAAGAAAAGGAACTTTATTGAAATTGACAATCATGAACATGAGTAACATAAGAATCCTTGCATCACAAAACTATAGACCTGTATGAAGAGCAATTCCAGAGCAGACACAGTGGCAGCGAATACTTACAGAATGCTCTTATGAAAACAATTTTGCAACTTTATTCAAATTGTCATGGACAATGGAATATTTTTAAAAAAAAAATTAAATCATAAAAATAATTCAAATTTTTTTTAAAAAAATTAAAACCTATGGAATACACATATGAGAACAGTGATTTATATTTTGCCTTTGCTCCTCCTTATCCATACTCAGAAATCATGAAAACCATCGATTTTTTTGAAAATGTGTGCCCTGCTGACTCATTATTTTACAGAGAAACTTTAGTTAGAAGCCTCGACAATCTTAACGTCGAGGTTATCACAATCTCAAACAGAGAAAATTTCCAAAACCAAAGAGAAGAAAAAATCCCTTATCTTTTCCCTTCACAAATGCCAAGATCTTTCAAAGCTAAAAAACCTATAATTTTTATCAGCGCCAGAGTCCATCCTGGAGAGACTCCAGGATCTTTTATATTAGATGGATTTTTACAAGCTTTATTAAGCCAAGACATAAGAGGATTTATGCTGAGGAAAAATTATGTATTTAAAATTATTCCTGTTTTAAATCCAGATGGGGTGCGCAGAGGCCATTTTAGGGTTGATCAAAATGCTGTAAACTTAAACAGATGCTATGAATCACCTTCATTCGTAGACCAGCCAACTATTTACGCTGCAAAAGTTTATTTTGAGTACCTGCATAAAGAAGGAGGGATTGACATTTATTTAGATTTCCACGCCCACAATTCAAAACGAGGCTGCTTTGTATATGGAAACTGTTTACCGCCAGAAAAACAAATAGAAAATGAACTATTTGCAAAAATAATTGAGCTGAATTCCCCGTTTTTTGATTTCAATGAGTGTGATTTCAGTGAAAAAAGCATGACTTCAAAGGATCCAAAAGATCATTTTAATAAGGAAGGAAGCGGCAGAGTAGCATTTTATAAGACAGCGGGCATAATTTGCAGTTATACAGTAGAATGCGCATATAATGTTCCTATTCCTCTACATACAGTTTCCCCACTCGTTAATGTTAAAACAGGCAGAAGACTATCAGAGTCTATAAATTATATATTGACCCCTGATAGTATTGATCTCTATAACCGCGCGTTTTTTAACGATATTGGCTCAGCTGTAGCCTTTACTATTTTAGACTATACCAATATTAACCCAATCACAAGGATACCTACTAGTGAATTTAAAAATTTAGAAGCAATTAAAGCTTATTTAGAAGTAAGGCAACATCTTCCGAGCAAAGGAAAAGCCCCTGTAAGAAGAAGTCTTTCAAGAAATGATCCAAAAGTGAAGCAGCTTGAATCGAAAATTATTCCACAGAAGCTTGCTGGGATTGCCAAGCGACAAATACACAAAATGAAAATTGTGAGTCCTATGTTTTCTGATAGGAATGCCACAAGTGTTGGAGCAATCAGGTCGAAAAAAAGACTTGGATTGCTTTTGCATAGAGGAAAGCCTAATAATGCAGATATGCAGATTGCATTGGGTAACAAATAATGATATATTTCTTTATATGATTTTCTCAATTTTTATATAATTTCCTATTAAAATGCCAATTTTATATAATTTCTAGCATGTCTGTGATCGTAAATATCTCTAATGAGGATCCTGCATTCGAGCTGCTGAGAATTACAAAAGGTCTTATCAACGCAGAGTCTATTAAAGACAAGTGAATTGTCCACTCAAAGGTCATAAAAGTTGAAAAAGTCCTGAAAATCATCTTTGAACAGATCCAGAATCTCCTTGAAGGGAGCGATTCAGATATCCAAGGCCGCTTTACATTAATCGCGTTTTTACTAAATTCAAGAAAAAATAATGAGCTTACCTTATATTTGATCACAAATTTATGTTCCCTCACAGAACAAAGAAAAGCAGCTATGCAAGCTCTTTCATTTCTCTATGATACAATCTCAGAAGGTTTTTTGAAGTTTGCTATTTTCAAAGCTATTGTGTCACAAGCTAAAAATGCTGATCTCTTAAACATGATTTTGCCTCATTTGCAGAAAATCGAAAATTTCAGCAAAGAATGGGCTGAAGTCAGCTCAGGAGAAAAACAAGAGTTTTATTGGGAAATCTCAAAATTGCCTATAAACGAAAGCTTAAAAGCGAAATTTATAAAGATGCTAATCTCAGAAACCTCTGAACTTCCTCATGAGCACTTTGAAGAAGCTTTTTCGCAATTAATTTCTTATTCTGATGCTTCAGAAATAGGCTCTATTCTTCAGCTTCCTTGTATTCACAAAATATATGGCCATTTCGCTGAGCTTGTAAAAATTTTGCAAGAAGTTTCAGTGCCAAAATACCTTCAATTTAAAGAGCATCATGAAGAATATTTAGAATCCAAAAATTTTAACGCTGAAAAATGCCTTGATACTATAAGGGTTTTAGCGTTATGTGATCTTGCTAAGCAGCATGAAGAATTTACTTATGCAGAAGCCGCTGAACATTTGAAAGTAAGTGAGGATGAAATTGATGAATGGGTAGTCAAGGCAGTGACCTTTAATTTGCTTGATGCAAGAATTGATGAGGTTGAGAGAAAAATAAGGGCTACCAAAAATACAAGTGATCAGAGTGGAGGATATTGGGAAAATATTGGAAATTTGTTGGAAAATTGGGAAAGAAATTTAAATAAATAAGCTTTTTATAGCATTTAATAATTAAATTAAGGGGATAGAGAATATTTAAAGCGCTCGGCATGATAGTTATTGAATTTTGCATTTCATTACACTCATTTTTGCTACAGAATGCAGTGAGTTTTATAATTTTTCATGTTTACTATTTTATTTAAATACCAAATAAAGAATATTAAAATGTTTTCCTAAAATGGCGACTTAGTGTGAAGCAATGCAAAGCACGTTGGGCACCTGTGAATGACATCCATACATTGCGGCATGCAAAAAGGTAAGCAGCTACAAGGCCAGAAAACACAAAATATAACCAAGCAGAGTATCCAAGTCATTGCTCCTGGCTGGTTTCTGATAACAGTTAAAACGTTTCTATTGCAAGTTGGGCAAAACGCTTGCTGTGGAGCATTTCCCCAATGCGTAACTTGATGTGGAACTTGAGCTTGATTTCCTTGGCCTTCACCTGCCTGGATGATGATAACTGGTTGTGGATTTGGTGCAAAATTTGGGTTCGGATTAGGCAGACCTTGTCCAGCAGGATAATTAGGCTGATTCATCCCAGGCTGACCATAATTAGGCTGACCATAACCAGCCTGACCATAATTAGGCTGACCATAACCAGCCTGACCATAACAAGCCTGACCATAGCCAGGCTGGCCAGCGCTTGGCTGAAAGTTAGGATTAGCTCCTTGATTTAGATTAGGGTTATATGGATAGCCCGAATTTCCCATTGGAACTGGGTAATTTGCTTGATCAGGATTGACCGGATAGGTAGCTGCTTGCAAATTTTCTTGGTTGGGAAGCAGAGCTTGATTGGGGTTATTTGATTCCATATTTTACTCCACAATATCTACTTTAATATTCGAATTAAAATTTCTATTTTTTATGAAGATTAATTACTCTCCCATTCTTGATCGAACGATAGTAAATATTAAAATGAAAAAATGTACCCCTTTCCGCTCTATAAAATATTTCTATTATTCTTAATTATAATACTTAAACTTTTTAGATTACTAAGTTTTTGAGGATGGTTGATGGCTAAAGCACTTCGGATGATTAATTCCATGCAGATTATTAATAAAATAAGTAAATTACTCTTAATTTGCTAATCCAAACTATTAATTTTCATAAATTATAATAAATATTAACTAATCTATTGATTTATTGTATATAAAAATTTGTAATATATGAAAATTGTTCGATCAAAGATAGGTTTAATTTTCCCAATTTTGATGAATTTTTAATGGAATCGTTCGATCGAGGATAGGGCTGAGTTAAACTTAATATAAGCTTTATTACAAAATGCATCAATTCTTTCTAACTCCTCTGGAATGAGCAATACTACCCATCCTATTTTAGAAATTACCCCCCTTATTAGCAATAAAAGAATTTTTGTTTATGTTAATTATTATTTTAATTAAAATTATAATTAATTTTTCTTACTGCCCCCCCCATCCTTGATCGAACGACTCGCCGTCGTTCGATCAAGGATGGGAGTTAAAAACAATTTTTTTTGGGAAAAAAATTTTATATATAAAAATAAAATATATATATATATTTTTATTTACTTTTAAATAAGAGTGTTAAGAGTATTTAATAATTATTTTTACAGCAAAAAATTAAATTAATCTCATAAAATACCAATTTTTAATATATTTTGATTTATTAGTTACCCCTTTAAACTGTATAAATTTTAATTTGTTTCTTATTAAATTAAATTTTTTTTTATAAATTTTAAAGAATCTCTATTTTATTAGATTATTGAGTTTTTAAAGCCCTGATTGATGACTAAATCACTTCGAATGGTTGATTCCGAAGCTTTCTGTCGTCTCAAAGTCTCTGAAAACAACTTCATTCCCCAAACTTTTGATAACTAATATATTTTTATATATATAAAATTTTGCGTGATATGAAAATCGTTCGATCAAGGATGGGGGTTAATTTTCCCAATTTTTAGGAATTTTTACAGTCAATCGTTCGATCAAGGATGGGGGGGGGAGTTAGCTTAAGTTTTTGGATTATGCAGCAAAATTTAAGAAGTAAAGTAATGATTATTTTAAACCCAAAACAAATTATTTTAATAAAAATATAAAAAGATTAATTTTTTGAAAAAAGCAAACTACTTATATGCAAAGGAAAAAGTAAGATTACTTAATTTATAGAAACTAAAATTAACTGATTATTGCTATTTTTAAAATATTTTTCGGAAAGCTTTTATAAATTAGTTGCTTTTTTAGTTAATAAGTGCTAAGATATAGTTTTGAATTGTTTTTTACTTTAAGGATTGCATTGACAATTTCTAATTCATGGTCTATTACTTTATTTTTGAGAATTCTATATAAATTCACCAAAACTCTAAAATTATTGAATCTTAATTATATTAGCTCATTAAGTTAAAATCTTTATTCAAGCGATACTTTTCCAATATGTTTTATTGATTTATAAGTTTATAAATTATAATAGAATAATACAAGTTGAAATTTCTCAAGAAAACATTTATAAAACAATAGTAAATTATAGCTTGCTAAATAAGGAATCGATTGAAAAATCATCAATACTTTTGTTATATCAATTGCAATGAAGAAATCCAGTTCTCAGTCATTGAGAATAGCTTACAAGCATAAGAATGCAAAATTATGCTGAAAAAAGATGCATGGTAGTAGCTCAGCCGAACACACAATTTTTTGCAAATAATTCTAGTATACCCTATCCTATTTTCATAACATGAAGCAATGCAATAAGATTTAAAGTCTAAAAGATATACATTGTGAGATGTGAAGTATCATTGCGGAAAATTAAAATATAAAAATTCCTATTTTAGCTCAATTGATCTCTCTAGTTGTATTCTAGTCTTGAATGCTGTATATAGAACTTTTTCTTCAATAGCGCGATAAGGCGCATTCCTAGGTTTTACCGGAGGGTCTTGGACATATGAAAACCTGCTATTCCTTATTCATGGGGGAGACAGACAGCCTAAATAAAGAATTGTGCCTGATTAATCTCGAGAACTTGAAGAGAGGCTGTGTGGAAAATTTACATTTTGGTTCGTCAAATGGATCTGACGAGCCAATTCTGGCCAGTACTTGAAATAAAAAATGATAGTTGCCAGAATTTTATTAATTTTCTGATGAAGAGCATGATCAGAATTTTAATAATTCCTTTTGACAATAAAATTCAAAAATCAAACTTTTAATAGGAAATTTGAAGAGATAATTAAATCGTTAAAATAACGTAATGAATACTCTTTACTGCCTTAGGGAGACGATGCCAGTAATGATTTTTAAATTTTGACTTTTTTCATAGTGACTTAACCATCTTAATAATTTTTTAAAAATCCAAACATTTAATAGAAGATTTAAAGAGATAATTAAAGCATAAAGTAAAGGTAATGAGTACTCTTAACTGCCTTAGGGAGACGGTGCCAGTAATGCTTTTTATAATTTGAATTTTTCATATTGACTTAACCATCTTAATAATTTTTTTAATTTTTTTTAAAAATCCAAACTTTTAATAGAAGATTTAAAGAGATAATTAAAGCATAAAGTAAAGGTAATGAGTACTCTTTACTGCCTTAGGGAGACGATGCCAGTAATGCTTTTTATAATTTGAATTTTTCATAGTGACTTAATTAATTACTTGATCCTGTGCCATTTATTAAAATTCTGATCATGCTCTTCATCAGAAAATTAATAAAATTCTGGCAACTATCATTTTTTTTATTTCAAGTACTGGCCAGAATTGGCTCGTCAGATCCATTTTGACGAACCAAAATGTAAATTTTCCACACAGCCTCTCTTCAAGTTCTCGAGATTAATCAGGCACAATTTCTTTATTTAGGCTGTTTGTCTCCCCCATGAATAAGGAATAGCACGTTTTCATATGTCCAAGACCCTCCGGTAAAACCTAGGAATGCGCCTTATCGCGCTATTGAAGAAAAAGTTCTATATCTATTCAGAGAAAATATTTACTATAAATATTTTAATTTCTGCATATCTCTACATAAAAAGGGCTTAAGCCACTATAAAAATACCAGCTCACTAATTTGTCATAAAAATTCTTTTTCATTAGATATTCAAGAAATAATATCATTCAGCCAGCACCTCAAATTCAGCACTTAAATTTTGGGATTGGAAAGAAAAGCAAATAAAACGTAGGCAGTTACTAATATGGCTTTGTAAATGAATGAAATATTTATTACTCTAATTGGTAAATTTATAGTATCTATATTGATTATAATGATTCAAAACTTCTTCTAGCAAGCGCAATCTATTTTCTTATAGTAATAAGGAAATATAAGAGTGCATTTTTAGCTCTTGCATAACAATAATAAGCTCACTTGGTCATAACTCATCCTGAATTCTTGAAATGTATAAACCATTTTTATTATCTAGATTTATTATATCTCGGTGAAAACAAGAATTTCTCAAATTCAGCCCAAAACTCATTCTGAATTGTACGATCCATATGTCTTTTGTTTCTATTAATCAGCAGTTGCTTTACATTCCATTTTTTCACATTTTCATCTGCAGGGACATCATGATATTTCATATAAAATCCACGAACTGACAAGAACAGCTGAACCAAGTCATTTCCCAAAGGCCAATCTTTGAATTGATATCTTGGTCCTTGCACAAAAACCGCTGCAACCCTTCTCCAGTGATTTTTATTAAACGTCAATGTTTGGTCGTATATTTCAAAATTAACAATTTTATCCCTGACTTTTCTTGTCAACATTACAGGTTGCATTGGCTCTTTTTTATTTTTAAATTAAAAAAAATATTAATTTTAGACAAATTTATTTATTATTAAAAAATAATTTTTTTTTTTAAAAATAAATTACTCACCTATTGCATTATAGCATAATCCTGAATATCTTCCATATAAATTCCTTTATCTAAAAACTGCAGAGCATTATGCAAGCACAAATTCCCTGGACTTTGATTAGAAGGAACCAAAATAATTGGGTGTGGTGGTATATCTTGTGACTTATGTGGCAGCTTTAACACCTCCTCTAAAAATGATAAATTGCTTGACTCTCTCTGCCGCTTTCTGTTTTTCATTGACTCATTACAATACGTCAGCAGGTATTTATAACTTACATTTGGGGTCTGTAAAATGCTTTCTTTAGTACACAAAGGCCGCTCCAATGTTTCTCTAGCTGCAGCACGCCTTTCTTCTTTTACCTCCTCTCTGCTTGTTTTTTTGATAAGGGTGCTTGCTCTTAGTTCTTCGTCAATGGCTTCTGATGTATCAGATTCCCCTTTGAAGTAAGAAATAATTTCAGGCATATCGGGCCTAGAAACTAGATCTACGCCCATTTTTCCACAGTCCTTGATGTAGGTTTTGTAGTCTTTGTCAGAGTTTTGTAAGTAGAACCACAGAGAACCGATGGTGTATTGTTTTGTTGTTTTTGGCTTTCACGCTGTCGGGTGGGAAAGAGGGACTTCAAGGTTGCCAAAATAAAGCTTTCCTCCGACGAAATCAATTTTCTTGTTGTTCATGATGTAATCTCTGAGCAAAAGAATCGGGTCTTGGAAGTTTGCCATTATTTTTTATTATTAAATTGATAATAAGAGTTTGAAAAGAAATTGGGAACTATACCGTGATATATAAATATGATAAAAAATTAGAATGATTAAGCCTGATTTATATGTTTAAGGGGTAATATAAGAAATAAATTAATGGAAGATATAAATAAATGATGAATAAATTTAGAAAAATAAATAAATTATATTTAGCTTTTGTAATGATATTTTGAGTTGTTTTGAAGTTGTGCTTATTCGATTCCACAGATTTATCAATTAATAAATCTCAAAATGGACGCTTGTGAGAATTGCAAAAGATCAGACGTCGCCTTAATGCAGTGCAGTAGCTGCCATCGGGTTGCATACTGTTCTCAAGCCTGCCAAAAATCTAACTGAAAAGTCCACAAATTAATCTGTGATAACCCTAATCTAGTCCAATGGGATCCAGAACTTGTCGAGAATTTTCTAAATTTCATGATAGAAAGTATCGACATTTACAAAATTTTGCTATTAATTGACCGCGTTGCTGCACAAAAATACCAAGCTAAGCTACATTCAAAGCCTTCTCGCCATGATCACGACCATGGCCATGAAGAACATGGATGCTCACATAAAGCCCATTCCATTGTATTAGACCAAGACTCAACTACACTTGAAAAAGTCCTCGCTCAGGCAACTTCACGATCACGCCTCTATGAACTTCTCCCAGAGATTGCCAAACAAGCAGCAGATATTTTCAAAAATATAAAAGAAAAAGGCTTAAAAGATGGTCTCACAATGGATGAGTGAGATTACGGTTAGAGGTTTAAAAGTGGTTTATTTCAGCCCCTATCTAGTTGAGCTTCTACTTCACGCTCAAGTGGTGCTAAGCCCTAAAGCCACCTAATGTCCTTTTCCTGCTGTGCCACCAAAAAAGGTGATGTTGTCAGTCTAACAGGGAGACTTTCCCTAACCTGCTTGGATCAAAAATCGTAGCACAGGACTCTGTTAACTCCTGTTAATGCTCAGGGTATGAGGGAAGCGTCCAATGCCTCCTTCTGGAACTACCTCTGCCATTTACAGGCAACATTATGTTCCTCCAGAAGTGTCCGATTGATGTTGCACCTTCAGTCCCTCTTGTCTCTGGGTCGAGGGAGGCCCAGTAATCTCAAGTCTGTACCCCACCACGGAATCACTGCCACCTGCGACCCAGTAGTCGCCCATAACCAATTTTTCTTTTTCGGCTCCAAATCCTGGTTTTTTATCGCTCTAAAAACAACTAATTGTTATGATTACAATATTCTACAATGGATGAAGACACTGAAAAGCAAGTATTAAAGCAACTAATGGAAGAAGCAATGTCAAGGAGAATCCAAACTGAAGTAAATTCCACCTATAGACGAGAAGAAGAAACCTTTAGCAAGCAGCCTATGCTTTTTGCTCATCCTTCAGGGTTCCAAGAGACAGTAAACAAAGAGCTTGACATATTGACCCAGGAAACCATGGAAAGTCTTATGACGAGAGATTATGCAATTCAAGACAATTTTCTTGACAATTACAATGTCACTGATAAACTCTTTGAGGAGTCTGAATATCTTGATTTTGATGGGAAATTCGAGGAGCTGCTTTCTCAAAAACTGAAGAAAATAAGGACTGATAAAGTTTTGTGGATACCTAAAGATACAATTGATGCAAGTATTAAAGGAAAACATGAAACTCCTTTGCATTTATCATTATCTTATTGCCCTGCTATGCAGTCTCTATCAGACCATTTCTTTTCAATTCCATTTGAACTTAATAAAAAGACAAATTTAAGCTTACAGGTAAATGACCGTATTCTGCTAGACTGTTTTTCTGTAAATACTTATATATTTTTACAATGAATTGACCTATAATAAAGAAAAAAATTTCATACTAGGCTATTCTAGGAAAAAACTATATCACTATGCACATATGGACAGTGGGTTCGGAAAAGACGACTCTGGGAAGAAAATCACCTGTATTTATATGATCACCAAAGGATACGGAGAAAGAATAATTGTAGGAAATGAAGAAATTCCAATAGTTCATAATAGACTGGTAATATTGAAGTCAAGAAAAGTACAGATAACGGTGCCGGAGACCTCTCAGAAGTTCTTTTTAGCGTATTATTTTATTTCTGGTCCATGTGATCCTTATCAATAAGTAATAAGCATTATAATAAGAATATGGAATATGAAAGAAGAATTGAGGATCTCAGGAAACTTGGAGAGCACGCAGGTGCAGAAGGAAATCATAAAGAAGACGAGCAAGCTTATAGAGAAGGAGTTAAAGAAGGATACGAAATTGGAATAAATCAAGGCAGGATAGAAGGAAGACAAAAAGCATTAGAAGACTTACAAGCAAGAAATTCAATGAATTCTTAATTATTTTACAAAATAAAAGTATCCTTATAATTTTTAACTGAAATAATGCATTATTTACGTCCAAAATGAAGTCCCTTCTCATCTGGATCTCTATAATTAAAAGGCACAAGCCACCAGTACCAGTTTTTCCCTAGTGCCTCCTTTAAGTTATTCCAAGCCCCTTTATCGAAAGGTGATACTTTGTATTCCTGCACCTTTTGCTTCTTTTTTTCACAGTACTCGATGGTTGTATAGTTCTGTATCATCAGTCTTATATGGAAAATACAAAATCCAATGACCGCAATTCCGAGCATTAATATCAAAGAATAGCAGAGGACCACAAAAAAGCATAGTGCCGCTGACGATTCAGAATCATTAAGCACTACTACGACTGTTTCCCAAAACGTTGATATAAAAATAGCTAATGCAACAGCTCCATAAAAGACTATCAAGAAAAAATATATATCTATTTATAGTAAATAATACCTTATTTATTCTCTATTATTATTGTGAGCGTAAAAAATAAAAACCTTTAGAGAAGCTTCCACTCACTATAAATGCCTATAGATTAATTGCATTTGTCAACCATCCTTTCATATATTAAATTTTTATTTGCATTTTCAAGCATTTATTTTGATGTTTCATATTAAACTCAATATATAGGATTCCTATAAAATATATGAAAAACTATACTTATAGTTGAAGTATCCGACGCAGTTTGCTACTCAGTTACAATGATGGTCCATTTTCAAGTTGCATCTTTCACACTGTTTGCAATGATGAGTCCTGTCTGGCTTTCTCATAGTGCATCGTGCACAAGTTCTAATAGACCCGTCTTTTCTTTTTTCAATCAAAACGACGCTTTCTGAGGAGGACTCGTCGTTTTCATCATCAGGAATATCCCATTCTCTTTCTCGAGGGATTTGGCCTGGGTCTGTTTTTAGCGCTCTATAGTGGCTTACCAATATCCAGAAGATGCACCATGTAACCAAGGTAAAAAATATCCACCCCCGGGTTTCTGCATTTGTTTTTTCACTATCGCTATGTCAGTAATAAAGCTCTGGCCTGTCATCTGTGTCGCCTACTAAAGGGTAAATATAAAAAATCAGATAAATGATATATCCTCCGATAACTAAACCTAAAAGGACGACTACTGGGAGATATATGGCGATGTATAGAAAAACTGTTAGTAGTCGCTGCTTGAAGTCAGCTTCAGACCATGGTGGCAAGTTATTTTTCAGCTCTTGTTCGCTGTCTTCAAAAGCTCGGGTTAAATGCTGGGAAGATGGAGTTTCTGCCATTGTTCTATCCGTTTATTGAAAATTGAAATCATTGAAGAGATTACTGTAAAGGAATTAGCGATTTAGGAGAGATTTTTAAGATTTTAAGTTTATTAGGATTTAACGCAGATTTGGTGAAATGTGAGAGGGCAGTTAAATTTGGCATAGATTTATTTGGATTTTAGATTTTAAAATTGTTGAGTTTTTTTAGAATTTTGATATTGGGATTGCAGATTTTAGCAAGCAAAAATGAGAAATTAGATGTTAAGTAATTTTGGTAAATTAATTTACATAAGACAAGAATTGAATTATTTCTTATTATTTTAAGAGATGATAGTTAATATATATCTTGTATTTTAAACTATAAATTGGAAATATAATTAATAGCTGGAGGCAAAATTGCGTAAATAAAAACTTTATCAAAAGAAAATAATATAAATATGAGTTGGCAAACAAAGATTGCTTCAAAACTGAGAGAAATAAGATTTATCTGCTGCCAAGCATCAGGCCACAGCGCAGGTGTGAGAAGTTTTGATCATAATAATAAAATGACTACGCACTAAAAGGTTGCTGTCATCAACCTCTGCAATATTTATTATTATGCAATTCAATTTCATCATCGACCTTTATTCACAATCATAATATAGAATTACTACATAGGGTAATTTGGTGGCTCATGTAAGAAATGAGACATATGATTTTCACTGCCTGAGATACCCGAAAGGGTTACCATTAGGTGGAGCCCACACTGGCATTAGGCTTGAGCAAGCTAAAGGCGGCATGTGAAGGGATTACTTGCGACACAAGATGGCTGCTAACATTTCCGATTAAAGGGCTTAAAAGGTTGGCCTATACATGCCTAAATCATCCTACTGAAGGAAATACCATGTTAAAACTATTATTAGTATTGAGAAGCTTCATCAATACTAATTACCAAAGCGTGAAAGATGCTGCACCAAGGTTTCCTTTCATTGTCAGAGAATGTGAAAATGCCATTCCTCTCATTATTGCAAGATATGACTTTGGAGTTGAAAGAAAAGTAGTTGCCGAGAATCTAAGTGAAGCTGAAGTTAAGCAAGCTGTCGAGGATTTGATAAGCCAAGCAGATTCTATCAACTCTCATAGATTTCTTAATAAAGCTTAATTTATAGGCTAATTCTTAAAGATAATCTTTCTATGCTCATACTAATTTTAGTAACTCAATAAAAAATAATATCTATTGACAAAACTTGAAAATAATATATTTTAAATAAACTTATCTATAATTATAATAAATAATATTACTCACGGAAATGCATTTTATATGCTCTATAGGTATAATAATATTAGTATATATTATTTTTTTCTAAAAACTCAATATTCTCATCTTGATCAAGCAATGAAATTCTGTTGACTATATTAAAAGGAGTAAGGAGATTTCTAATCTAATTTTAGCAATTTTCCCAGTTTCTAACTCTCCTCCCCTCTGTGAGCGAACAAAAAAAATCTTGTTCGCTCACGGGGTTAATTTTTTTTTTTAAAAAAAATTATATACAATTTTATAGAAATTTTTATTTGAAATTAACAAAAAAAAAAATTTCGCAAAAATTAAAAAATAAACATTAATTTAATTTGTAAAATTTATGTTTTTTAAAACGCGATTTGTTTTAAAATTAAACAGAATTAGCTCGAGATTTCATTAATATATCGGAATTTTTTTCAAAAAATATTATTTATTTAAAAAAAATTTTGTTGCTCACTCACGAAGGTGGGTTTTTGGGAAAAAATAGCGATTTTTCTAAAGGTTTTTTCGCTAACGGAGGGGGAGTAAGAAGTATTTTAGTGCTGCATTATGCCAAAATTTTAAAATTTTTGTAAGCGATGCTTTTTCGCATTGCTATCTATTACCTTCTGAATCACAGCATAGACACACAAATAAAACATATTTAATTTTCTTTTTAAGCATCGAAACCGCATATTTTTTATATAAATCTATCAGATATCTGGTGAATAAATAAAGCTTACCATGACAACTCCTATTTCTTTTATTACTGGAATTATATAACTTATGCTCCATCTGAAGCTGTCTTTTTTGCAGATTTATATTTTAATACGTCATAATATTAGCTAAATGGGAGATTCTGAAAAGCTCGTGGTTTATTACTCCTGCTTTAACTATGAAGTCGACCCTCAAGAATTCCCTCAACTCCAATCCTTCAGATATTCATTGCTGTCTTTACTTGGAGAAGACTGGCTGCAATCTCTTCAAAGAGAGCTTGAATTTTTGAATATCAGGCTGGCGAAATATTCACTTGAAGTCTTGATTGAAATTTTCCTCACTCCCCCCCTCTGTGAGCGAACAAGATTTTTTGTTCGCTCACGAAGGGGGTTAATTGTTTATTTTAAAAAAATTTATATAGAATTTTTTTTTTTTCAAAATTGAAAAAAATCCCTCTTCGCAAAAATTGGAAAGCAAATATCAATTTGTTTAAAAATTAAAGAGAATAGCTCGAGATTTCATTATAATAATTATCACTTATATATCAAAATTTTATTCCACAAAAAAAAAATTTGGACGCTCACGTGGGCAAAAAATAGGGATTTTTTTAATGGTTTTACTCGCTCTCGGAGGGGGAGTCAGCATAATTCAGAAATCTCATAGTATTGATTTTGCTGGTTTTAAGCAAACTTTTAAGTATGAGCTTTCGTTAAATTCAGTTTGGACTGACAAAAACCAGGAATGCGCTTATCTTGAGTCACTGCTGAATGAATTTTTTATAGCGGCAATGTCTCTGCCTATAGATATTGAGCTTAATAGGTATGAATTTAAAGTCTTGCCGAGTGCCAGAGTAAAGTCGCAGCTTCAGCCACTTGTAGTTGCACAAGAAGAAGTGCAAAATTTTGCCTCCAGAGTTTGTAAAGTACTAAGAAGGGCTAGTTTACCTCTTGAAGCTATAATTGGGCCAGAAATGCTAGCGTCATTATCAAATTATATAGATAGTCTTTCTAATCGAGTGCTTTCTACTTTTCAAGTAACAAGTCAAGTTGTTACAAATATTATTGAAGTTAATCCGTTCAATTTAAATGTAAAAGTAAGCTATTATTAATATAAGATTTGTATTACTTAATAAGCCTAAACTGTTTATGAAGGGAAATAGACTATAGCTAATTTTATATTAAAAGTTTCCCGCAATTTAAAATGGCGGGATGTGGTTATTTGGGCTCAGTAAGTCCTTGATTCTCTGAGAGTCTGGGCTACAAGAGACACTGGTAAAAGAGAGTAGCTTGGAGTTGAGGCGAAAGTAGTTCTAACGGTCGAATAACTGCTTGCTCAGAGGTCGTTTTCTATCAACAATTCACAGGAAAGACAAGAATTAGTCAATCTAACTAACTAAAAAAGTTTCCCATATGATAAAGGATAAGAGTGATTCAACCTGCGCGAGATTTTTATAACAAAGCCATCGAAATTTGGATATCTCTTAACGAGCAACTCAACCCTACAGATTTTGTCTTGTCCGTCAAGGCAAAAATGGGCTCCTGTTGGACTGAAAAATTACTGAATCCTGCGCTACATTTTTATCAAATTGCAAGTGAAGAATGGATAAAATCCAAAGGCATTGGAATTGATTATTTTACTCGAAGGGTCAATGAAAGGCTATGGGAAATGTGGCGACAGTCAATTATTGAGGCTTCTAAATCCTTCCAAGAGCATATGATCCCAAAAACGATAATTTAATGTAACCACATTTGAGTGTCGAATGAATAAATTAGCTTAAATTGTGTTAAAATGTTATACAGCGGCAACAATGGGAATCTGAATAAAGATCTTCCTCAACAGTAGCGCTGGCTTTATTTATTTCAAAAATTTTTGTGGTGTCATCAATAGAATAAAACCGCGTGCTTGCTGAGCTCCGTCTTGATGCAGCTGGAGAAACTTCAATGGCTAAGTTTTTCAATCCTATCACAGTTAGAGCAATTGCACATAAATACGCAAAATCTCCTTTTAGAAGCAAAAGTTTTTCATTAGACAATTTGACTCCTTTGGCAGAGAAAAACTCTTCAAGCTCATTTATAGGCTTGATAGTGTTTTCTGAATCTAGAATTTTTAAGTAATCGCTGCTGGTTTCGATAAATTGAATTTCATCTTGTTTATCTGCAACTTCTTCAGGGAGTTTGTAGTAATCTTCATTAATTTCATGTTCTGAATCATTAGTTAGCAATGGCAAATTTGCTACAGAGTTGACGACAGGGCCATACTCTTTGACTCATTTTTTTATCCCTCCATCCAATATCAATGGAAGTTTGCCAATTGACCGGAGACAGTACCAAATCTTTGAAACGGACTCTAAATTGCCATCGTCATATAGCCCTTTATATATTTCCTTTTTATGCTATGGAATATAAAAAATAATTTAGCATGCTGAAATAAAAAATCTTTTACAAAAATTATTTTCAAATATTGAATCATAATGTTATTTAGATTAGAAATTATAGATTATTATTGGAATTTCTTCAGCAAAAGCAAGCTTTTTAAATGTTGAAACAAAATCTTCTGTATCTGATGAGTAGCGTAAAAGATAAGAATTTGGTATGTGTATTGGTGTAGTATCAATAAATTTAGCACAATGAATGAGCTGAATTTCATGGGATTTTATGGTTTCAGCTAATTGGGAAGTTGTGATGAGTAAAAATTGGTACTGGCTACCTTTTTCTATTTTTATATAGTATAGAGAACAATAGCAAAGTTTCTATTCATTATAAATGGGTATGAATATATTTTATGCATAATTATTTTTATGGAAACGTCACACTGCTATAAATTCGCATGTGAAAATAAACCTACTTTTTTGTGCCATTGTGCAGCAAAAGGATGTTTTATTTGCAAAAATCATTTGTCAGAGCACATTGAAGACTCTTCTGTCTCTCACAATCCAAAATCATTATATGAAAAGCCTGATCCTGATAGTAAAATTTTAATTTACTCTCAGTTGATACAAATTGATGAGTCGCTTGGAATTATTGAGCATAGCATTATTGAACAGGCTGCAAAATTTATTCAAAAAGTTACTGATAGAATGAACAGAATAATTGAAAAAATAAATCTGACTAGGAAAGAATGTACAAATTTAATATTAAAAATAATTGAAACTGCAGAAATATATAATGAAGATGGTGAAATTTTTAAAATTATGAGGCTTAAACCAGACCAAGCTCTTTTAGAATTTGATATATTAAAGAAAGAAAAAATAATTTTGCCTGAATTAAATAGCACCATTAAATTGGGGAATAGTTTCCAAACAAGCCTGGATTTGATTGACTCTATTTTTAGAAACTCAGAAAGCAGCAATATGACTGAAAAAAACACTAGTTTTAATGATACACAGCAAACAAGTCTAAATATCACAACTGAAAACAAACAAAAATATCTTCAAGCACTTAAGCCATTCTTATCCCATATAGTAGGGGCTAATTTCATTTTAGAGCCATCTTTTTCTGGCAATGAAGAAGAGAAAGAACAAAGAGAATCTGAAAAATTATTTTATTTCAAAGACCAAACAAAAATCCTTGCTTCAATTGATTTATCTACAATGGAAACTTCAGAAAAATCTCTATCTATCCCCGAAGAAATGTGTACAACTACATCTATGTGTCTTCTACCTTATAACTCAATATTTTGCTATGGGAACTGGCAATTAAGCCAGCATAAGCAAAAGCCATTTTCTGGCATTGCATTTATTATCGATTGCAAACAAAACGTATTAAGATGCCAAGATGGTTATCCTTGCATTAATGCTGGCTCAATTTACCACAATGGAGAAATCTATATCTTTGGAGGGAATGATGGAAAAGATCTTGATATTGTAAGGTCATTTAATTTAAAAGAAAAAAAATGAATGCCAAGAGGATCAATGCTGAGTCCTTCTTCAACATGCTCATGCGAATTTTTTCAAGGAAAAATATATGTTGCTGGGTGGAATCATTCAAAAATTCACAGTTTCTGTCCTTATACAGGATTTCATGATACGCTAGATTTATCTATAGTGCAAAGAACTAACAAAGTAATTTTAGCGAGTGAAGAGAGGCTTTATTTGATAGAGTCAAATGGAGTTATATATGAAAGCTGGGTAAATGATCTTTCAAACTGAATGAGTGTAGGAATTTTTGAAGATAAAGGGAGATATTCCAACTCTTATAAGTATGTGGGGCAAAAAAGTGCATTTTTTATGATATCTGGGGTTTTATTCAAATTTGATTTTAGTTCAAAATCAATTTTAAAATTAAAATAATATGAGTATTACAATTTAGTATTGATTTGAAAGGATTACTCAATCTAGTATTAATAATGTTTTTGATTGCAAACTAATATTTTGAGCTTATGAAATCATAAATTGCATATTTTTTAAATTTTCAGTTCCAATTCCTTACTGGTTTCACCATTAAATCTTAAATATATTTATTTAAACAATGAAATTATCGTGATATTAATGAAATATTACCGCGAAATCAAATTTTCTCTAGTATCCTGGGATACAATAAAATATATATTAAAGAATAATATTGAAATGAGAATTAACCCTATTAAATATCTTTATAACCAATATTTCTATAAATATTCTTAAAATGTTTCACAAGCAGCATTATCAATCAATATCTCAATAAAAAATGAAAATTATTTAACCTTTTATCGTTTCTGATCTTCATGCCATTATCTTTATCTTTTTTTAGTGAGAATATATAAATATTATGTCAAATTCTCATGACAATTATTTTTCAATAGCTCCTGAAAGTCTATCAAATTTATTCGAACCTGATGGAATTCGAAATGGAAAAAGTTTCGAACTTTTATCACAGCTAAACGGAGTATCTGGAATCTGTGAACTCTTAAAATCAAACGCTTCAAAAGGTATAAGTGAAAACCCGTCTGAATTAACTAAAAGAGCTCAGCATTTTGGGGATAATCGTCCTCATATATATAATAGAAAGCCCTTTTGGCGCTTTCTGCTCATGCCACTATCTGACACAGTCCTTCAAATTTTAGTTATAGCATCAATTGTATCTTTGATTGTAGGAACAATTGAAGATCCCATCGAAGGATGGTACGAAGGTCTCGCAATTTTAGTTACTGTATGCATCGTAATATTCGTGACTGCCATCAATGACTACAAAAAAGAATCCCAGTTCATCAAGCTGAACCTGCAGACTGATCTTTGTAATATAATTGTTATAAGGGAAGGAATGGAAAAAGAAATCACTTTAAAAGAGCTTTTAGTCGGTGATTTATTATGTGTGACAACTGGTGATATATTACAAGGTGACGGTATCTATATAAGAGGGAGCGGATTAAGTGTTGATGAAAGCTCAATTACAGGGGAAAGCAAATTGGTCAAAAAAGAAGCCTTTCAAGACGGAGATATAGCTTATGACTCATTTTTGATTTCTGGAGCAAAAATTATTGAAGGAAGCGGATTGGTGCTTGTTTGTGCAGTAGGGCAGCACTCAGTGCTCGGGAGAAATAGAAGAATGATGAACACTTTGGCAGATGAGCCAGAAACTCCACTTCAAGAGAGATTGACTGTTTTGGCTACGTTTTTAGGTAAAATTGGATTTTATGCTGGCATAATTCTTTCCATCGCATTGCTTCTTCATTTATTTATAGGTGCTTGGATTGATGAAAGATGGGGCAATCAAGAATGAACAGATCTTGTAGACGCAATTATTCTTGGGATCACTATTATGGTGGTAGCCATCCCCGAAGGTCTTCCTTTAGCTTTAACTTTAGCTATGGCTTATTCTATCCTCCGCATGAAAGATGAACAAATTTTCGTCAGGCACTTAAAAGGCTGCGAAATCATGGGAGCAGCCACCAATATTTTATCAGACAAAACAGGGACTCTTACACAAAATATCATGACTGTTACCAAAGCAATGATATTTGGGGAATCCTTAGACAAAATTGACTGTTCAAAGTTTCCTTCTGACGACGTTAACTTGTTAGTAGAGTGCATTTCTAGAAACTCGACTGCCTTTATTAACAATAAAAACCAAAAGCATGATTTGGTAGGAAACAGAACTGAATGTGCCTTACTTATGATGCTGACACAATGAGGGTTTGATTACCATGCTTTTAGAAACCCAGAACACCTTATAGCGCAATTTGCATTTAACCCAAGAACTAAAAGAATGACGACTGTATATGATTCAGAGAATGGAGAAGCAATTGTATATTCAAAAGGAGCTGGAGAAGTTATCCTGGATTTTTGTGATCAAGAGCTTCTGTGCAACGGACTTGCAGAGAAGCTGACAGATGAAAGGAAAAAAATTCTTTTGGATATTATTAAAAATTGGGCAGATTTAGGATTGAGAGTAATTACGGTGGCGTATAAGAAAACTTCTTTGGAAGAAATAATTACTGAAGGCCCTGAACGAAAAATCAATGAAGAAAAAGGTGAGCAAGGGCTAATTTTAATAGGAATGCTAGGAATTGAAGATCCGCTGAGACCTGAGGCGAAACAATCGGTAGAAAAATGCAAAGTTGCTGGAGTTATTGTCAGAATGGTGACTGGAGATAATTCAGAGACTGCAAAACGTATAACTTATACTTAACTTATTTAAGGTTGGCGGCTTGTCTGTTGGTAACGCAGTCGCCAAGGGTCTTTGCAAGGGATTCACACGCTTTGCGACGTTGCCAGGGAGAATTCGTTTGAGTTGATATGATGGATGGTCAAGCATAGGTAGCAACCAGACACCCCAATAAAGGAAACCCCACACCCCACCCCCCCCTTTCACAGATGGCACCCCCATCCCCCATCAAAAAATAAAGGGTTTATCCTATAAAAGTAATTTATAGGAAACAAGCAAAATAATTTAAATATAATCCAATTAAAATACTATATTGATAAATTAAGTCCACAAATTACTTTGTATTTATGATTAATTAATAAATTTAAATTAATTAGCAATTAATTAGAAAATATATTAAATTTGTTTTTTTTATATTTATAAATATAATGCCAAAGTTATAGATAATGGCATTAATTATTAAATGAGCCAAGCAAAATACAATAACTTGCATTAAATTTATTGATTCATAAATTAAAGCAAATCTCATGCTCATTGTACAAGGATTGCAGGACTGAATTGGTAACAGGATTCAATAGTGCTAATAAAAATAGTATTTGCTATTGTCATTTTCACTTTTGATCTATAATTGGGCTCTTTAGCCATTGTTCCACAAAGTTCATAAATATATGCAGCATATACTGCTAATTAATCCCAAAAATCATTATCATGCTTTTTAACAAAATTTCTTCAGATGTGGTGTCTTAGTAATTATAGGAAATTCTCACCCCATTCCACCTACTCCTTAATCGATTGTGCTACGCTATGTGAATATTGTATAAATCAGTAATTTTGAATATTCATAATAATAATTTATTTATTACTTCTGCTGTAAATTGGCATTTTTCATATATATTTTATGCTATATTAAGGGGGGTGGGGGGGGGGTACCATTAAAAAGGGGGGGGTGGGGGGTGGGGGTGCCATCTGTGAAAGGGGGGGTGGGGGTACCATTAAAAAAGGGGGGTGGGGGTGTCTGGGTTGCGACCTGTGTTTGACCATGATGGATTCACTTGACAAGTTAATTCGAACACCATCTTTTCTCTTCTTCATCGCCTTATGACATTGCACCTATGAAGTAGAGTTCTATATCTTTATCTCATTCTTGCCTTTTCGGCTCTAGTGTTGAGTAGGAAGGCTATGGACTTTAGCAGCTGCTTGGGTTGAGCGAAAGATTGCCTGCACAAAAGTTCCAAAAATGGAATATTTCAGGTTGATTTTCGGCAAAAAGAAAAATTCAAAGCCTCGCTCTAGGAAGTTCCATGGTCTAGGCATTGTCTGTAGCTGATTCTGGGCTTTGCCTTTCGAATTTTTTCACTCAAGAAATATCAAATCCTGAAAGCGGACAAAAGCTAGGCTTTTTACTTTACCAGAATTGCTTACCTCGCAGTGTTGTCCATATCTGCACTAGCAACCTTTTCGGATGTAAATAAGTCTATGCTCAAAGCTGCATTGCCGGAGGCAATACCTTAGTTGAGACGCCATATTTATGCAATATGTATAGCCAAAAACTGCGCAATTTTACCACCTGGGATTTTAGATGAAGAAATAGACGATTATATAATGGAAGGAGCTGTTTTCAGAGAAAAAGTAGGAGGACTTGTAACAGTGACTAATGAGGATGGAAAATTGGAGGGGTTTAAGGTTGGAAATCTTGAGGGTTTTAAAAATATTATAATCAGATTAAGGGTTATTGCAAGATGCTCCCCTGAAGATAAACTTTTACTTGTTATTGGACTTAGAGCGCTTGGGGAAGTTGTTGGAGTCACAGGAGATGGATCAAATGATGCTCCAGCTTTAAAGCACAGTGATATAGGCCTTGCTATGATGTCAGGAACTCCGTTAGCTAAAGAAAGTGCTGATATCATACTTCTTGATGATAACTTTGAAAGTGTCGTGAATTCTGTGAAATGGGGGAGAAACGTATATGCCTCTATCAGGAAATTTTTGACTTTTCAAATGACATGCAACGCAGTTGCATTAGCCATCAGTATTATTGGTGCTGGAACCACTTCTGACTCCCCTCTAAATGCTATTCAAATGCTATGGGTTAATCTAATTATGGATGCACTTGCTGCTTTAGCGTTAGCAACTGAACCTCCAACTGACCAGTTGTTTTTTACAAAACCTTTTGGAAGAAAGGAAAAAATGATAATAAAAGACATGGTAGTATCGATGATCACACAATCTGCTTACCAAATTGGGATTTTATTAGTCATGCTATATGAAGGACCATGCATCTTTGATATAAGCAATTGCTTAGAATTGCGGAGAAGGGCATAAGGATAGAGAGCTCTCTCTATAGTTGGTCTTGCCAACCAAGGTTGGTCTAACCGACTGGAGGTTGATAAATTGAACGATAAGAGGCTTATTTGCCAACTATCCAGTTGGTTTGACTAATTTGAGTTGGCCAGATCAACTGGAGAAAGGAACTCTCCATCCTTACGCCCCTATCGGGCAATTCTAGGCAATTACCTATATTGAAGAAGGATGGGGGCATGATTCATGAGATGAGGAAAATGGAAAGCATTTTACCCTCATTTTCCATACATTTGTGATGATGCAAATTTTTAATGAAATTTGTTGCAGAAAATTGTCATTGTCTGAGATAAACATATTTAAAGGGTTTTTCAATAATAGTATATTTATTAGTATCCTTGTAGTTACTACTGGGGTGCAGTTATTATTGGTTAACTTTGGAGGGAGCTTTGTCAGATGTACAGCTTTAAGTCTAGAGCATCATTTGATTTGTGTTGGATTGGGAGCAGGTTGTATTCTTGTGTCTTTGTTTGTTAGATGCATTTATAAACTTTCTGGAAAATCGAAAAAGAGCGTAGAAGATGAAAAATATCCTTTGCTTAGGAGTAACTCTAGTAATCATTCTGATTTATAGTCAAGTAACTAATAATTAAAATTAGATACTAAGAATTGTATAGCTTACACCCCGTTTTGGATCGGCCTTGAGCACCCCCTAAGGTCCCAAATTTTTTTACATGTTAAATATTAATTTGACAAGTTAAAATATTTGGGAGACTTATCAAATAACACTTTAGCATTTAAAATTTTCAGGACCGTCAGGGGGTGGGTGACATGGGGAGGGGTATTAATGGTAAGCAATCACGGGGGGCGTGCTATATTAGGAGCACAGTTTTTAACAAAGAGAATTAAATATTTAGCTTGATGCATAAAATTAATTAGAATGCTTTGTCTAAATTTATTATGGCGTATTATCAATATAGCTTTCTAAATCCCATCTTTTTATACAAATTATTACGCTAATCTATAATGTGGGGCAATATTTGACTAGCAAAGTATTCTGTATAATTAATTATATATCAGTCAGTTTTTTCCTTTAATTTCTTATCGATAAATATTGATAAATAAATTCAGAGAGAAAGCCAAACGAGTGGTGAACAAAAAAGCTTACAAAATGAAAGAAGTTGTTTATTAATTATTCAAGTTTTAGTAATGATTTACCAATTTAGAGCCTTTGGAAAATAGGAATATTCAGATGAAAAAATATTTAAGGCTGCTTAAGGGAATTTGAATTGAAATTTATTAGAAAAATATTTTTTGAAAATTTCGACTAATGTGTTTGTTACAAATTCTAGAATACTTATTGGAGCCTGAATATCCAATTTAAAAAGGCTTATCATCCAATTTTACATTGATAATTAAATTCTAACTCCCCCTCCGTGAGTGAACAAAAAAATTTTGTTCACTCACGGAGGTGGGTTATTTTTTTTTTTTTTAAAAATTTATATATAAATTTTTTATAAATTTTTTTTTTTCGAAATTTAAAAAAATCTCACTTCTATAAAAATTTTAAAGTAAATATGAATTTAATTTATAAAATTGATGTTTTAAAACGCAATTTGTTTAAAATTAAACAGAATTAGCTCGAGATTTCATTATACTAATTATCACTTATATATCAAATTTTTTTTCCATACAAAATTTTCCTATTAAAAATATTTTTGTTCATTCACGGAGGGTAGGTTTTTGATGCAAAAAATAGGGATTTTTCTAATGGTTTTGTTCACTCACGGAGGGGGAGTAAGAATATATTTGCCTATGGATAATTAATGATGTCTGAAAAATGCGAGCCTCAAAATATAGATCTGAATTCTTACAAAATTTGTTGAATAATTTTATTAATTTCGCTTTCAGGAGACAAAAATTCATTATTTCTCCTGCTATTCTACATTAAAAATTTTATCTTTGAGGTCTGATCATGCGATTTATAATAAATGATGGATTACAAAAGATCATTAAGCAACATTTCAGAAGTTTCTGAAAGAAACGAACAAAGTGAGAAAACTACACCGACAAATTGCAGTTCTCAATCCTTTTTTCATCAGGCACTTGTTTCTATCTCGGAAGATGAACAGGACTCTGACTTATCGCCAAGATTATTGCCAAGTAAAACTCGTATAAGCAGAAAAGAAAGCAAAGATACAGCAGATGAAACATTAAGGTCAGTTGTATCAAACAAACGCAAAAGCATATTTGGTTCAAACCAGGATTTGGATCAATTGGTGTCCTTGCGAATTAATGGAGATAAATGCTCTTGTACATGCATTATGTTTTAACTGTATTTAAACAGATTGTGTAATGAATTCTGCCATCTGCTTTAAATAATTCAAAGATAAAAAAATCCTTACTCCCCCCCCCCCCCTCCGTGAGCGAACAAAACCATTAAAAAAATCGCCATTTTTTGACCAAAAACCCACCCTCCGTGAGTGAACAAAAATTTTTTAATAGAAAAAAATTTTATGGAAAAAAATTTTGATATATAAGTGATAATTAGTATAATGAAATCTAGAGCTAATTCTGTTTAATTTTTAAACAAATTGCGTTTTAAAACATAAATTTTGCAAATTAAATTAATATTTGCTTCCCAATTTTTGCAAATTAGGATTTTTTTTAAATTTCGAAAAAAATATTTTTTATAAAATTTATATATAAATTTTTTTTTAAAAAACAAAATAAACCCCCTCCGTGAGCGAACAAATTTTTTTGTTCGCTCACGGAGGGGGGGGGGGAGTTAACAGTTTCAGATTAATGAAATATTATTAGTTTTTTATTCTGCCTATTTTAAGCCTAATTATTAAATTTCATAAGAAGAATAGGTTAATTTGATTTTTTATTTAGTTAATGGAACAACCATTCTATGTGAAAAGTGACAATTTTGCCCCAGCTCAAAAGAAATCGATAAATGTTGCAGAAGCTTATGATTTAGAGGAATCTTCTCCTTTTACTTCAATTTTTGTTAATAAAGATCCAAAGAAAATTAATGATCCTCAAGAGAAAAATAAAGAAATATTTGCATCACCTGAGAGACCAGAATTAACAATAGCAGATCTAGAGCCTCCTTCAACAGAAAGAAACTTACTTGCACTTGCCAAAAGTTCAAGGGCGAGCGATACTTTTGCGCTATCAAAAACGACTGATGGGAGTTTATTAAAAAGCAAGCTAAGTGTAAGATTTTCAGACACAGATCAGTCAGGACAGATAACTCCTATATCAATAATTGAAGAAAAAAAGTCAGCCAACAGTTTAGATACCATAGAAAATACTTACCCCCCCTCCATGAGCAACAAAATCATTGGAAAATCCCTAAAATCTACCCTACTTGAGCGATCAAAAAATTATTATGAAAAAATGTTTGAAATAAAGTGATATTTATTATAATGTAACCCTGCTAATTCTTTGTAGATATTACAAATTAAATTTATTTTTGCTTTAAAGTTATTTCGAATTGAGATTTTTAAATTTGAAAAAAAAATTACTGAAGACTTACTTATATATAAATTTTTTAAAATCAATTAATCCGAGCAAAATATTTGGTCCACTTACAAAGGGGAGAGTTACGATAATTTAAAACAAAAAGAAACAAAGCATCTAGAAATCGCACGGCCTCATTGCCCAACTTGTAGATGCGCTTTGGAGTTGCCTGAAAAGCAACATGAAAATGAGAAAGCGTCACTTGGGGTATCTGAAAGGGATATTAAATATTTATCAAGCCTTGGGTCTTCGTCTTTGCTAAAATCTAATTATCCTGGATATTTACAATTTGAGTCTCCGGTTATTCAGAAAATTCAAAGACCTTATTCTTCTCCAATAAAGCTAGATAGCCAGAAAACTCCAAGAATCTATATATCGCCTATATACAACCCTGCCACATCACCTAGTCATATTTTCCGAGAAAGGCTAAATCGAAGAATTTTATCTTTTGAAAAAAATAGTCCAAATGGTTATAATTTGTATCGTAAAACTTATTAAAAAACATTTTCCTGGTTATAAGTAATAAAATTAACGTCAAGGACATTTTTATATTTCCTTTAGATTCTATAATGGACTAAAGAAGACTTACTTTAGGAGGTTAAAATTATAGAATTCTTTTAAAAAAATTATTTTAAGCTAAGAGTTGATTTCTTGCTTTGGCCATATAAATCTCTTATGCAAGCCTAAATCTTTGAAAGCCAAACTGGTGTACTAAAATTAGCTCATTTCAATGCATATTATGGCTTGCTCGAAAAAAAATCAAATAGTCTTTATTTTTTTTAATATTAAAATTTTTTGCTATCACACCAAAATTTAAACCCTTAATTTATTTCTTTCTATTATAAGCATTTCTAGAATATTCCTCCTGACTTCCATTAAATATTTTAAAGCGATTTTTATTTCATTTTTAATGGAATTAAAACACGTGTTCCTTTTGCCTATCCTATTCGCAGCAGCTCTCTACACCGAAGATGGCGCTGTAGTTCAACTCACTGAAGCTAATTTTGCTACAGAAGTGCTTAACTCTGAAGATTTTTGGATAGTCGAATTTTTTGCCCCTTGGTGTGGCCATTGTCAAAAATTAGCTCCAGAATACGAAAAAGCAGCCGAGTCTCTCAAAGGAATTGCTAAGCTTGGTGCAGTCGATATGACTAAGCATGGTGTTGTAGGCAACCCATACTCTATCCAAGGCTACCCCACTCTAAAAGTGTTTTACACAGACAAAAAAAATCCACAAGAGTATTCAGGAGGCAGAACAGCCAAATCAATTGTCAATTATGTCCTAAAGCAGCTTGGAAAAGAAGTTGAAGATGAAGAGCCAGAACCTTCCAACGCTCCTCTCTACACAGAAGATGGTTCTATTGTTCACCTCACAGAGGCCAATTTCGCTACAGAAGTGCTTAACTCTGAAGATTTTTGGATTGTTGAATTTTACGCTCCTTGGTGTGGCCACTGTCAAAAATTAGCTCCAGAATACAAAAAAGCAGCTGAGTCTCTCAAAGGGATCGCTAAGCTTGGTGCAGTTGATATGACTAAAGATGGCCTAGTAGGCACTCCTTATAATATCCAAGGCTACCCAACCCTAAAAGTATTCCACACAGACAAAAAAAATCCTCTTGATTACTCAGGAGGCAGAACAGCTAAATCAATTGTTAACTACGTCTTAAAACAGCTTGGAAAAGAGCCAGAAACCTCCAAATCGGCGCTTGTGGAAGAAGAAGTCTACGTCCTAACTGATGACAATTTTGAAAATATTGTGAAACAAAGCAAAGATGTGTGGCTTATTGATTTCTATGCACCTTGGTGTGGACACTGTAAAAGCTTAGCTCCTGAGTTTGCAAAAGCAGCAGCTGAATTAAAAGGACAAGTCAAATTAGGAAAAGTTGATGTCACTGAAAACACTGAATTGGCTGAAAAATTCAAAGTCTCTGAATACCCGACACTTAAAATTTTCCCACCAGAAAATAAAGAAGAATATGAAGCTTTTATTAATGCGAGAAGCTCTGATGTGATTGTAAAGACTGCACTGGAAAAACTTGATTCTTATGGGGTATCAATACCGATTTCACAATTCACAAAACTAGAAGTCCTTCAAAAAAATTGCGAGAAAAATGTATAGAAAATTCCTGGGGATAGCGCAGAATACGCTATCCCCAGGACCAACCGGGATCGGATCCCACATGGAACGAGGGTTCCATGTGTGGATCCATTTTTGACACGTGAAAGTAAATATCTCACATGTCAAAAATGGATCCACACATGGAACCCCCGTTCCATGTGTGGATCCGATCCCGGTGGTCCTGGGGATAGCGTATTCCGCGCTATCCCCAGGAATTTAGTATATGTATTATAGGATTTTTACCACATATTTATGACAGTTCTGCTGAAGAGAGAAAATTAAGTTTAATCATTTGGTGTTTGTGATATCTAGTGAATCTCCCAAAAAGGGATTAGGCTAAATTAATAATGTTTCGGAGTTTTTTGCACCTAAAATATCATAAATATTCCTTCACTCATCTCACTAGCGTAACTGTGCATTTTACTTGGTGTCTTGTCTTAGCTCCTGTGCTTGCTTCGCCTAAACGTTATCTCAAGTGTGCTAACAGATACATCATAAGCCTTTCCAAATATCCAAAGACTTAGGCTAGAGAGCTCTATCCCCCTCCCCTTAACTTTTTGATATATCTATATATAGGTTCTCTGACAAGAAAGGGCTTCAAAATAATAAAAATGAACTTAGAATAGAAATTTTGGCTAGCAAAATTTCATATGCATCAGCATTTCATTATTATACCGAAGAAAGAAACAGATATTTAGAAGTTTTCCAAGAATTAGTTAAAAAGAACAGAGGAAAACCTATTTCATTTTTGTGGGCACAAGCAGGAGACCATTATAAGTTTGAACAAATGGTCGGAGTAGGGATGGGATACCCAGCTGTTATAGCAATTAGCTTGCCGAAATCAAGATTTGCACTCATGAGAGCAGCATTTAGCATGCAAGAAGTAAACTCATTTGTGAACAAAATTTTAATTGGAGGAGTTTCTTTACAGGAATTTAAAGAGCTTCCAAAAATTGCAGAAGTGGAAGCTTGGGATGGAAAGGACAAACAACCAGAATATAGATCAGAAGACTTATAAGTAATGATTAATACTTAAATAGAATAAGAAAATTTTAGACTAAAAGACATGACTTCAAATATTTTAAAAATAAAATCATTTTTATTTATGCAACTTTTAGAGCTGCTGATGCAGCATTTCTCTTAATTTTTCATCAGCGATTCCAAATCATAAAACAAAAACTTCAAATCACACCACATAACTCCCCAACTCAGCTCAACAGACCATAGCATATCATCACACATTCCAAACCACTTCACAAATTCTACTGGCAGTAGCAGCAACTCCATATATTTTAGGCATCCTTTTTTTAAACATTACTTCAAACATTTCACAATTTCTTCGTACACTATCTTTAAATGATTCATAAAAAGAGTTCAGATGTGATTTCTGATACTCAGCATTGTTTTCAACTTCATCTCTTTTTCAGATCCTCCTATTCGACTCAAGGGTTGCCCTCATCATTTCTTCTGTAAAAATTCAAATCCACACTTTTCGCAGACATTTCCCCCTAATACGTCTTCGCTTACACCGTTTCTAAGCCTTCAGCTTCAGCAGCAGTGCCCACATCTGAAGCATCTAAATATTTATCTCCAAAAATTTCATATTTATTTGCAGCGGCACCTTCATAACCCAAGCCTCTTTAGCGCATCATTGTCAGCATCTACAAATCTTTTAATCCTCTATCTATCAGTAAGCTGAAAGCCAAATCCATTTCTCATCCAAGCTACTCTAGCATTCAAAAACAATTTCTACATCAAAACCCAAATTTTAGCACCAGCACCTTTCAAAATTTTCCATCATTTGAAAAATATAAAAAATAAATCATATTATCACTAATAGAGATTAAAACAGACTATAAATGCAAGATGCTTAATTCTTTATTTAAGCACACTTACTTCAATAACAAAAATACAAGCTTAAAATCGTAATATTCACTACAGATGGCGAGTTATATAATAATATATAGTTTATATATAAGTATTTTTGGATGCTCCAATTTAATGATTTGCTTAACCCTTTTGATAAATTTATTTACAGTAGAATAGATCGTCCATTATTGAATCTTATCAGATTTTCTTTCATTATTTAATATATCACGTTTTAATAGGTTGTCGAAATAAATATTAAAATTAGCCATGCGTTGCTGCTCTCTTAACTGGCTTAAATTTATATTATTCGAATCCTCAATTATCCAAATTGTAAGCTGTTATTTAGGGAACTGGAGCATTTATCATCTATGTAGGCGTGAGTTGTCTTAGTGCACCATTAGTTATCGCAATAGACAAAGAATGGGTAGGCGCCGTTTTAATTGTAATTGGAATTTTTATGCTGATTTTTACCGCTTTTGCAGCATATGGGACTTACTATGAAAAGAAATGATGTCTTTGTTCTTATATGTTTGTTGCGTTTTGGTCAGGCTCTCTCCTACTAACTTTTGGGATTGCTTGTTTATGGGGTCGAGCATATGCTGGACAATATTTAGGAAGTGATGATAACTGTTATAGTTTAAAAGCCCTTACTCCCTCCTCCGTGAGTGAGCAAAACTATTAGATTAATCTCTATTTTTTACCAAAAGCCCACCTCCGTGAGTAAAAACAATTTTTTAATATAAAAATTTTTATGAAAAAAAGTGATAATTATTAAATTGAAATCTCTAGCTAACTCTGTTTAATTTTAACCAGCTTGCATTTTAAAACATAAATTTTTTACAAATTAATTAAATATGCTTTCCAATTGGATTTTTTAAAATTTCGAAAAAAAATATATAAATTTTAAAAATAATATCCCCTCCAACAAAATTTTTTCGTTCGCTCACAAAGGGGAGTTAGAAAAGCTTCAGACACTGTTATTAGAGCAGGAAGTATTATGTGCACTATTTTCTGCCCATGCAATCTAAAGCCAACTACACATGTAAATCTTTACGCTAATCAAACTTTTATTCATGGGCCAGCTACCAAGATACAAAATTGTGATACTTGCTGGAATATTGAATATTATCCAGCTACTACACAAGCTTTATTAGTCGCTTGAATGAAAAAATATTTAAAAATAGATGTGACGCCAAGCAACTGTGTAATACCTGATGATGCTTTTTCAGATACTTATCTAGGGGATTATGCTAAATATTTGCCTTTGTTAAAATATGTGGAAAACACTTTTAGCTGCTCTGGGATTTGTGTTATGGAGAATGTCTTTCTGTTTACCGATATTAATAGAGGGACTCCAAATGGAAATTGTAGGCAAAAAGTATATGAGTGGGTGAATTGGATTACATTAAAATTTGGGGTTACTAATATTGTATTTGGGTGCATTCAAGTAAGAATTATTTAGATTTTTGGTATGATAATTGCATTTATGATTAGGCGGAAAATCAAAATCCAAACTGGGATTGAATGTCAAAGCAATGTTGTTGACACTGAAAATGGAATTAGTGAAAAGCAAGGACTTGATGAGAATGTCACTTATACTTATACTCAAACTGATAATGATGCCACTAATAGAGAAATCACTACCAAAGATATCGTCAATTTTGAATAACTCCAACTTAAATTAATAATTTGAGAATTCACATATTATATATAGTTTTTATTGTTCAAAAATGCATAAAAGAAATAAAATAATGCTGAGACAATTAGATTTATTTGGAATTAACTTAAGAAGTATATAAATACTTTGGAATTTTATCTTCCTCTTCATCTTTCATCAAGCTTGCCTCCAGATCTTCTGTTGGGATGCTTTCAATTTTATTATGAGAAATCTCCTGATCTTCATGTCTTCTTTTTTCCAGTCTTTCTTGTGCAGGATTAATATTCGGCTGGCTTTTAACTCTTGACATAGCATTGAGGCTAGGTTTTGGAATTTCTACAGATTCCAAGTCCCAAATTTCATCTGCATACTCTTTTATAGTGCGATCACTTGAAAATCTCCCCATATTTAACGCTCCCGTAATCGACATCCTAAGCCATTGATCTTGATTTTTATAAGTCGCATCAGCTTCAGCTTGTTTTTCAATATAAGAATAAAAATCAGACTTGACAAGGTACACATCATTATGCTCAAGTGACTCAATAAGTGATGATAATTCTTTCGGGTTGCCAAAAGTCCCATTTTTGACTGCATCAAAGAGTTTTTGTAAGCGAGTCCCTGCTGGCTGCCCACTATGCTGTCTAAGTTTATCAACCTCGTGGACTCTTGCACCAAATATAAATGAGTTTTGGATACCGACGTCTTCTACAATTTCTACGTTGGCGCCATCCATTGTTCCCATTATGATGGCTCCATTCATCACAAATTTCATGTTGCTGGTTCCTGATGCTTCAGTTCCTGCAGTAGAAATTTGTTCAGTCAGGTCAGCGGCTGGGATGATAATTTGTGCACTAGAAACGCAGTAGTTTGGAAGGAAGACGACTTTCATCAGGTCACCTATATCAGGATCATTGTTAACGACATCTCCAATTGAATTGATAAGTTTGATGATTTTTTTGGCAGCAATATAGCCTGGAGCTGCTTTTCCTCCTACCATAAAGACTCTTTTAACTTGTTTTGCTCTATCATCAACACTCATTGCTTTGAGGGTAAAGTATCTATGAATCATATAAAGAGCAAATAAGTTTTGTCTCTTGTATTCATGGATTCTTTTTACCATAATGTCAAACATTGCGTCAGTAGGCACTCTGATTCCACACTCTTTTTCAATCCAGCGGGCCAATCTTTCTTTATTTTGCTGCTTTGCGAGTCTGAATTCTTCTTTAAATTCTTCATTATCAATAAATCTCATCAAGGATTTGGTTTCAGTAAGGTCTGATAGCCAGCTATTAGATTCGAGGTATTTTTGGTAGAGGTCTGAAAGAGGCTTATTTGAACATTTAATCCATCTTCTTGGGGTGACTCCGTTGGTTTTATTTTGGAATTTGTTAGGGAAGTACTCGTGGAATCTAGCAAATAGCTGAGTTTTTAGAAGGTTGGAATGAAGGGCTGCAACACCATTTACGGCATGAGATCCAACAATGCAGAGATTAGCCATACGGACTGTCTTTGGTCTTGATTCTTCAATGAGGGACATGTAGCCCATGATATCAAATTTTTTAGGATCGTTGGCATATCTTAAGTAATTTTTGGCATTAGGGAATTGACATATATAAAAATAGTATATAAAAAATATGTGCAAACCTCCTCACCATATCTTTGGCCAACCTGGTTCATAAAGTGGAAATTGATCAGATAAATAATCTCCAAATGCCTTGGAAGAAGCCTTTCAAAGAGCTCAATACTCCATTTTTCCAAAGCTTCGGGCATAACTGTATGATTGGTATAGCTAAATACCTTATAGCAAATATTCCAAGCTCTTTGCCACTCTAGTCCATACTTATCCACTAAAACTCTAACTCTTCCCTTTTAAGATCGAGCAAAAAACTATGGAAAAATTAATCTCCATTCCGAATAAGCAAAAAATTTTTTTTATAAAAAAAATTTACATATAAATAATGATTCTTATAATAATATCTACAGTTAATTCATTAAAATTCAGACAAACTGCATTTTAAAACAAATCTGAAATGAATTAGATTTTCCCTAAAACATTTCAATGGATTTCCAAAATCGAGGGAAAAAAAAATATATCATTTTAATATAAATTTTTTAAAAATAATAATTATCATCCTTTTAAGAATTAGCAAATAGTTATCTCAATTAAAATAGAGTAAGCAGCTCTGGTATAGAAATCGCAGGATGCGTATCATTTAGCTGAATCGCCACTTTGTCAGGAAATTCTTCCCAATCTCTTGATTTCTTTAAAAATCTTCGAATAACATCTTGTATGGTTGCACAGCAGAAGAAATATTGTTGTCTAAGTCTCAGTTCTTTCCCACTTGGTGTTGAATCATTAGGATAAAGCACCGAAGTGATATATTCAGCTTTTTGCCTTGTTTCAATAGCTCTGAAATAATCTCCTTGGTTAAAGCTTTGGAAATCAAATTCATTAGTAGGGATTGATTTCCATAATCTTAAGTTAATAGTATTGAAAGTGTCATATCCAGGTATTGGGTTATCATAGGCTACAGCTTTAACTGTTTCGCTTGGGATCCAATTTGATTTTTCTACGCCATTTTCCCACCTTTTTTCAACTCTTCCTCCGAAGTATACATCATATGACACATCAGAGCGTTCAATTTCCCAAGGGTTCATCTGTGCAAGCCAGTAGTCAGGCATTTCGACCTGGTAGCCTTTGACAATCATCTGTCTGAAAATTCCATAATCATATCTAATCCCATACCCCCAAGCTGGATAGTCTAAAGTGGCTAAAGAGTCTAAGAAGCAAGATGCAAGTCTTCCAAGACCTCCATTTCCAAGGCCAGGATCGACTTCTTCGTCATAGAGCTCTTCCAGCTTGTAGCCTACTTCTTCAAGAGCTTCTCTATATTTATCTTCAAGGCCTAAATTTACCAAAGCGTTTTGCATTGATCTGCCGATAAGAAACTCAATTGACATGTAGTAGACTCGCTTTTTGTCTTCTGCTGTAAAAAGCTGCTGGGTGTCATTCCAGCTTTCAATTAGTCTGTCTCTAATTGAAAGAGCTGTAGCTTTGAAACAGGAATTTTTATCAAAATTGAAACGAGTGCGAGCCAAAGTATACTCGACGTGGGCTACAATTGATTTTTGAATTGTGGATTTTTCAGAGTCTATGTATAGCTTAGGATTTCTTATTGCTCGCCTAGGCTACTAATTGAGACTGAAATTGTTGAGTTATTTGAGCAAAATTTGTGCAAGAGTTGAAATATAATGCAATTTTAGCTTGTTGGGACTTTTTGGTTCAAATAGTTCGATTTCCAATTGGAGCAATAAGCTGCCCTGAGCTATATTCTGCCATAAGTTCCCAGAGTTTTTCATTAGCTTCTTCTCCTCTCATGACGGAATCAAATTCTGGGCGATAAAGTTTTTGGGCTGACAACTCAACTCTCGATGAATGACGACTGCCTTTGCGACGAAAGCCAGAGCCTTCTTCATCGACAAATACTCCAGAGCTGTAGCGTTTATCTGATCGCTCCACCATTATATTTAATCAATTTAGATCAATTCAAGCTAATTGTGAGAAAAATAAGGTTTTATATTTTAAAATTTTTTATTTAGCAATAACTATTCAATATAGATTAGATTAAGATTTTGTTCTAGCTGGTCTTAGAGGTTTATTTGAACCCCTCACTCTCTACCGCAGGCTTCAGGCTCAAGTAGCCCTAATCGCCGGCGACCCGATGTTTTACCATAGCACCAACTCTTCCAATTCCTGATAGTGTTCAGGGTATGGAAAAAGCGTCTTATTGCCTCCTTCTTGTCTATCTGCCTGATACAGGCATAATATTGATTCCCAGAAGTGTGCGCCGACATTACTCTTTGGGTACATCGTTTGTAGGTCAAAGAAAAAAGCCTGTCGAGGAGTCCCGACAAGGAAAAAAACCTACCCTGAACTACCTCAAAGTATCGGATCCACTTACCTGGGATCAACTCACCAGTTTCCCTGAAACTATAGACCATTGGCATACTTTAAAAAGTATTCAATATAAAGAATATATTTTCCAATCAATAAATATGATTTTGATAATAAAATATGATTTCTGAATATTTTAGAGGATATCAATAAATTTAAACTTTTCATCACAATTTATCTGATATTTCTGAGGCTCCGATATAGATAACCTCTTAGATAGCATTTTAATAATGCAATTAGTTAATTAAAGAACATATTAGAGCGAAGAGGCACTTTTATGTTGATCACTTCATTAATAAGCATTTAGAGTGAATTTGATTCTAGTCGTTTAGCACACTGAATAAAAATAAAATACAAACAAAATCATCAATATAAAAATTTACATAATATTTATCAATCGATATAAAATATTATTTTTTGATAATTTCTTTTCTTTCTTTCTTTATCTCTAACCTCTATTCATACACCTCTAATTTTATTTTTTTAATTTTTAGTCATTAAATTTACGAACTCTTTCACATCTATAACTCCATCTCCATTCACATCCACCTCACTCCAACCCTTTAAATTGGAACGAAATCCTGTTCCAATTTAGAGGGGGGTTATTTTTTTAAAAATTAAATAAATATAAATAAGGAGTTATGTTTTGAATTTTAATTTTTTTTTGAAAAATTAATTAGTATAAAAACTGTTTAAATAAAAATCCTATTTGCTCTTTTTTTATTAAAATAGGTCAAAAAATTATTTAATCAAATTAGAATTGCACCTCCTATTTTAAAAAATTTGTTTCTAACTCCCCCCCCCCCCTCCGTGAGCGAACAAAAAAATTTTGTTCGCTCACGGAGGGGGGTTAATTTTTTTTTTTAAAAAAAATCTATATATAAATTTTATAAAAAAATATTTTTTTCGAAATTTAAAAAAAAAAAATCCTAATTTGCAAAAAATTGGGAAGCAAATATTAATTTAATTTGCAAAAATTTATGTTTTTAAAAAAAAAAACGCAATTTGTTTAAAATTTAAACAGAATTAGCTCTAGATTTCATTATACTAATTATCACTTATATATCAAAATTTTTTTCCATTAAAATTTTTTCTATTAAAAAAATTTTTGTTCACTCACGGAGGGTGGGTTTTTGGTCAAAAAATGGCGATTTTTCTAATGGTTTTGTTCGCTCACGGAGGGGGGGGGGGGAGTAAGCTAAAGTACCCAAAAATTGGAAATTTTACCTATATTTTGTTCCAATTTAAAAAGGGGTAAGAGTCAGCAATAACTTGATTCCAATAGCTATCTGCTACGATTAATTCCTTTCCCAGAACCTCTTTTAGTTCGTCAATCGTGATATCCCCACTTCCGTCTTTATCAAACATCTTAAAAGCAGCCTCTAAATTTTCCCTTGACACAAGTTTATTATAATCTGAGCAAGCTTTCAAAAACTCAGAATAATCAATATTCCCGCTTCCATCAGTATCAACTTCTTTCATAATTTTCTCTACAGTCTGTTGGGCTTCATCTTCACTCATGAATTTCCTGTATTCTGCATGCAGTTCAGCTCTACTGACTTTGCCATCTCCATTTTTGTCAAGGACTGTGAAACTTTCTTTAAGCTTTTTTGTTTCTTCGTGGGAAATCAGCTGAGTTGCAAGGAAAATGTGGACAGCGGTTTTAAGCTTGGATGAAGATTGGAATTGCTTCAAGTCGTTGAGTGCTGAGCCAAGATGATTATTTTCATTTGAGCGGAAATTTTGAATCCAAGGGTGGTTTCCTGCGTCTTTTGCAGTAATTCGGGTATTTGGGTCTACTTCTAAAAGTCTTTGCAACAGGTTTATAGCGTCACTTGAGATTCCTGGGCATTGTGCAAATAATAGGGGCTTTATCCTTTGGATTCGAGGAGGCATAAGGTTTATTTGTTTGATACTCCTGAAGAGGGAGATCCTTAGGCGCAAAGATTTGCAAAATAAGGTTTAGAGAAAGTCAAAGTGTCCCATGAGGCCTTTTAACCAACCATGAATTATTGTTTTCGGATTTCATTACTAAGGCTGGGGAAGAAATTCTCTAGATGCCTGTTTAAAAAGGGCGGCGAAACTGTAACAACTAAGTTAATATTAATAAGAGATTCCTGGGCATCTTTCAGGAGTGATTCTTATTGGGTTATCTCTGACTTGTTTAAGGATAAAAGTTTGGTCTCTTCCTTGATACGGAGGCCTTCCAGTAAGCAAAATAAACATAATGATCCCACAGCTCCATTCATCACATTTCTCATTATAAGATCCTGTAAGCACCTCTGGAGACACATAATAAGCTGATCCAAAGCACCCATTAAGTTTTCTGTTTTTATCCAGCATGCACGAGCTCCCAAAATCTGCAATTTTAACATTTAGTGTCCCTTCGCTATCTTCAAGCAGAACATTTTCAGGCTTCAAGTCTCTATGAATGACTTTTTTTTCATGGCAATAAGAAACGGCTGAAAGGATTTGCTGCATAATACGTGATGCGTCCTGTTCTGAAAACTTTTTTAAAGCAACTATTTTGTCAAATAGTTCTCCTCCTGCGCAATATTCAGTTGAGACGTAAAATTTCCATGGGTCTTCGAAAATCTCATAACATCTGAGGATATTTGGATGATCGAGGGAGCTCAATACTTGGATTTCTTTGAGCATATAAGTAGAGTCCATTTGCTGGGTACTCAGACCAGCTTTATGGATTACTTTCACAGCACGCTCTTGGTTAGTAGGCTTGAATATACATAGCTTAACGTCTGCGAATGCTCCTGAACCGATTTTTCGAATTTCTTTGTAGTTTTCGGAAAGTCCTCCCATGTGCCGTTGTAAGAAGGTTCCTGGGTTTACGCTTGAGCCTGCTGGCTCGACTTTTTTAGGCTCGGTTGCTGCCTTATTTGATTTTTTTGATCCTCCGCAACCCATTAATTAATATGTCATTCGCGATTATTATGCACGTTATTTTAAAGATAGTTAGGATAAGCACATTTATTATAAAAATAATATTGAATTTGATTTTTAGCTAGTTTTTATTATCTTTATTGTTAAAAGCTAAAACTATTACTAACAAATTTTGCTGATTGCTAAATAAACTCAGAACTTGCTCCACTTTAAATTAGGCAAAAAATTCTGTACCAAGCATTTAAAAATATGCGTTTTATAATTTTAAATTGTTACAGTTTTAACTTATGTGTCAAAATTGAGATATCAGAATAATTAAAAGAGAAAGATAGTATCCTTATTTTTTTACTTTCTGCTTTTAGCTAATTTCTTTATTTGATACCTTCCTTCACAATTTTAGAAAATGACTTTATAAAATGGCATAAAATCGTCAGAAAATGAGAAACTTAGTAACAGCACAAATTTAAATAGAGAATAAAGCTTCAATAAAATCAATCTTATATAGTAATTATTGTATACGAGCTATCTCTTTTTATATATGCATGGATTTAATAGCGACTCTGGTTGTGAACTGCATTGGCCAAATTTTCTGAAAATAAACAATGAAAAAAAACTATTTGGTATAATTTCTTTATTAAGCTTGAACCCTAGAAGTTTCATTTTGTCAATAAATTCATCATGAACAAATCGTGAAGCAACTTCAGCTACAATTAGATATCCTTTTTTCTTTAAGCACCTATAAGCTTCTTTTACCATCTCCACATGATTAGTTCCCATAAGAGAAAGGCAAAACACAGCTATATCTAATGCTCTATCTTGGAGTGGTAGCTTTGTAATATCGCAAGCAGTGATATGATCAGCTTTTGCAATTAAGTCATAAGAATATACTTTAATCCTTTCAAGATCAGACAATTTTGTGTATAGAATCCCATCGCCACAGCCTAAATCAGCTAATTTAATAGGGTTTCCTGAGTATAATTTTCTAACTTCTTCTTCTACCAAAGAAATCGGCTTCACAGGCCATGACTCTATTTGGGATTTAAAGCCTTTGTGATACTCTTCAAACATTTCTGGATTTTCTTGAAATAACTTAAAACTTCGAGAGCTTTCAGTGGTATAAAGCATTTCGTTTAAAAATCGAAATTTACCACCTTGAAGCCTATCTTCTCTTGATCTTTTTCTTTTCATTATCTGAATTTAGCCATCAAGATTATTAAATATGATTTTACAACTGGAGCTGTATTAGAAAATTCAGGGGATTCAAACTCTGTTTGCTATGGACTGTTATTGGAGATCCGGATGCGGTTATGATCAGAGTTCGCTATTGTTTGTTTTGAATATTCGAAGTTTCTGTTTATTAGAGGTCTAGGACTTTTACTTTGCAGAAGATGTAACTATTTGTTATAGAAATGCTAAACAATTAATTGAAAAAAGAGAGAAGTATTGGTACGACCGGCAGTAAGTTTAAGATGAGATTTAATGAAAATTAATATTGGGTTAGAAATTATAGTAAATAAATTAGTAAACAGGATGGCTCTTATTATGTCCTGAACAGGAACATTTAAACAAATTAATCAAGATATTTAAATTTGGAGATATCATAATAATAAAATGGCAAGCAAAGACGAATTTATCCAGAAAATTGTAAAATTCGCAGAAGGCATTCCTGCAGTTCAAGAGATGAGCAAAGTAACTGGTTTATCTGTCCAAACACTTACTTTTGGCACTTTAGCAGCGATTATCTTTTTTATTCTTATATCAATTTGCCCTACCACAACTATTATTCTAATTGGAGGTTCTTATCCTTTCTATTTCTCAATAAAAGTTCTTGAATCCAATAATATAAATGATGGAAAAGAATGCCTAAAATTTTGGTTCATATTCGGAATTTTCAGCTTGATAGATCCAATTCTAGATCTTTTATTATCATTTCTTCCTCTTTATTTCTTACTAAGAGTTGGACTAATGGTGTTTCTATTTTGGCCTCAGACAAGAGGTGCAGTCATTTTATATGATACAATGAAACCTCATATGGATAAGTACCAAAAGAAATTTGAAGACTTTTTAGAGGGAATTGCAAAGCAATCTTAATAGAATTATAATGTTATTAATATAAAAAATCTATACAATTTAGGCTAAATAAGCCAAATAGCTTCGCTTTCATATGATTATAATTCAAGCTGCATAGTAAGTTATAACAGAATAAGGATTGAATGTTTAGAAAGTTTGTTTAAAAATATTCTTTTGGTGAATATCAAATCTCTTTGGCTGATACATATGTATTTAAAATGAAATTCATCAATTAAGACAGATTATGATTCTTAACTTATATAGTTTATGAGATATCGTCAATTGTGCTTTTTTTGAGCACAAGTATGCCGCCCATAATGGTGGGTCAGTTTATAAGTCTGGAATACGTAGCTAGCCCGCCAGTATGGACGGCATAATTGTGCCCCAAAAAGCCACAAGGGACTATATCCTGATTTCATAGGCATAATGAGTTGCATAATCATTGATTTTCGAACTCTAAAGATAGAAATGTCTATAAGCAACTTTTATCTTTAAGACTATCAACTCTATCCTTTAGATTTTTGTATAAGAATGAATTCCGTTCTTAAATCTAATCTCTAAATTCGCTTATTTTCACATATAAGATTTTATAACACGTGATTACTAAGCGTTTTTCATTAAACGAAACAAGCACCTTGAAGCTATAAAAAAATATGCTGAGAAGAATAATCAACAGGCCTTTCTCTTCATTATCAAAACTCCAAACTCTTATATCAGTAAAATCATGGGAAGAGTTAAAAGATTTTACCAATGAAAATACTCAGCTCATAAGAGATTTTGCTTCAGGGACTCCTTTTACCGCATCATCTGGAATCACATTTTCAAAAATAGCTCGCCATGAGCAAGATGAAGCCTTTGAAGTCTTAAGCAATATCATTCCAGCCAGAGAGCCCATGGCAGCTAAACTTCATATGACAAAAGCCGAATTCAAGCAAAATACGTGTTTAAATTTACTAGTAAACTCTAAATATGAAGATCTAACCATTGTAGCGAAGGACAAGAATAAAATTATTGGAGTATTTACTTGCATTGATTGGGCAAATCAGAAGAAAAAACACCCGAAAACAGAAGAAGAAATAGCTTTTTGGAAAAATAAACTAGAACCGATCGCCTTGTTTTTACACAATACGAATCGAGTCGGGCCAAAATCAGGCCGTATAGCGCACGGAATTACATCAGGAATAGAAGAAAATTATTTAAATCAAGGAATTGCTAAATCTGCACTAGCTTTAAGATTAGCTATGACTAGAGTCCTAGGCTATGATTTTTTTATCGTTGAATGCGGATTTGGATCTTCTAACGCATTTATGGTCTACAATAAACTATTGCAGTTTGGAAGCGAAATGAGATACGAAGATTTCGAGCATAATGATCAGAATCCTTTTGAAAATTTAGAAGGTGGGTATCTTTTCATGTATAGGGAACTACAGAAGTAAAATCTAATAGCTTCATCGTTTAAATATTATTTGACTTGCTGCATAATCATAAGATTGCTGACTCTTTGAGTTTTTTTATTCTTTAATTAGTTGATTAAGCGAAGCCATAAATCTGATTTTAAATTGGATTTTTTTCTTATCTGTATCAATTTAATGAAATATATTTTTATTTCTTTTTTGGAAATCGCAAGCATAGCGTGGCTTACACTTACGCTTAGTTAGATTATAGAAAGCTCCCTATAAGATTCAAAGATCCTTACTCCTTGCATAACGCGACACTCACTCTTTCTTCAATAATCTTAGTACGACCTTCAAAGTTTTGCTCTCCCCGGACATGGGCCTGTGCATTATTGAGTCACCGTGCTGGATTCAAACAGGGTTGCCCACCATTGAAAATTTAAAAGGTTGAATTTTCTTGTCGAGTCTTGGCTAAGATGGAAATCTGTAGCCCAGGGCGTAGCTCTTGGTTTCACGCTGGGGAATAGTCCCGATAGGTCAGACCAATGCCATTGACACCCCTGGGAAACCCTTTCCAACTTTCTGACCTATCTCCCTCTGAGGTAAAATTGTGGCATTGGATAAAGCCTAAGATAGGGCATCTGACATTACACTTCACCAAATCAAGAAAAACATAGCCGGATACGCATCTCGAATACCAATCTCTCTTTCCTAATTCCCCTCACCCTTTCGGAGGTCAGCTAGATGAGTTAAGAGTGTGAATTGATCCACCATGCCATTTTAATGTCTATGCAATCATAGCTTAGCCAAAGTAGGGAAATTAAGTATTTTTAGCAGAAAAATCTTCTTTCCTCTATAAAATATCGTTCTTTGCCCTTTTTGGTTTTATCAAAGTCTCCATTGTATTTTTACCTTATTATAAAACGGTTAATCTTCATCCAAAAACATATTGAAAACCTATCTTAAATCTTTTGTTCTTTCAAAAGCAGATTTTATCTTATTTAACTTTACTTAAAATAAGCTTTACTAAGTCAGGTACACCCCTAACTTCATCAGTATCTTCCCCAGTCAGCGTAATTCCAAATTTTTCTTCCAAAGCGGTGAGAACTTCTATTTCAGCAAGTGAATCCAATCCAATTTCATCAAAAAAGCAATTACTTGTCACCTTATCCACTTCCACACCTTCTGCGTTTTTAAGTTGCTCGATTACAGCTGACTCGACTGAAGCTAAGCTAGTTGCAAAATATCTATTAATATTTATGCTTGAATTACTGCTTGAAATAGGCTGCCACATATAGCGAAGATGATTTTGTACGGGCTTTGAGAGAAATCTTAATCGGCTCCACATTTTAACTATAAGTTATATGGTGACATATTGACTATTTATTTTTCAAATCATTTATTAGAAGAAATCAATGCTTTTTGATTTCTTGTTTTTTTTTTAACTAACAGAATCTTTAGTTATTTTGTATCATACGCTGAAAATTTATTTACTATATATATGCAAGTTTTATAGGATTGGAATGCCAATTAAATATTTGCTTTAAAAATGTCAGCTTGCCATTGTTAGTTTATAAATATAAATTGATGTGTGAAGCAATATTTCCAATAGACTATATTAATTTTAAATAAGATAATATGGAAATATCTTGCGAAACAAATATTTTCGAATGTTTGTCACGAGTGAAAATTTTTTTGAAAAGGGATATTGTGCTATTGTATACTGCCATAGGAGTTTATGTCCTCCTAGTTGTAAGATTAATATAGATCAGCTTATTTGGGCTTCTTTCTGCTATCCTTATGCATTTGCTTCCTTTATTAGGAATTTGCTTTGTCTGTAAAAAGATTTCACATATCCACACAATTGGTATAGTAAATTACTTGTCAAATCCGATCCAAGAACTCCTTCTCCATAGGTCAATTTTTGATATTTTATGTGAAATTTGGTTTGTTCCCAAAATCACTTTATATTTAAAGCGATTTGCATTACCATTCTTCATTAAGATGAATAGAGAAGAAGCTTACGAAATGTTTAATGAATTAAATCCAGATTTCGCAAAGGCATTAGATACAAAGGGTGTTGTTAATATTCTTCCTCAGCCAATCTACAATATCATTATGCCATATAAATCACCTCTTAAAGCTGAGATTTCACCAATAAATGGGCTAGAAGCTCTCTCTGAGCCTATTCAAGCCCCAGAATCTGGCTTGATCCATGTAATGAGTTTTGACTCCAATGACCAAGTTGTAAGAATCACAAGCAAACGAACTGAGCTTTTAGGCTCAGGCAGTCGAGCTGACAGAATCAAGCCAGTCTCACATAATAAAATTGATGAAAAAATCAAAGAAATTACACAAAAAATCCCCACACTTCAGCCTGTGATGGGCAAGATTTTAGGAAATAAATTTAGGTCTTTAATGGGTCTGGTTAGTCAGAAGTCATTGGTAAGCTGCACAGTGGCTTCAGGACTAGCGATTCTATTGCAGATAATTGTGTCTAAGCAATCTCGCGCTTTATCTTTAGTTGGGATCAAAATTGCTTTGTTTATCTGTGCTTTTTCAACGTTAGGGTTTTCTATATTAGGATTATTTATAAAATATCTTCATAAACAAGTAGAAGAGCCTAAAAAGTCTGAAGAAATAGACAGTCAACAAAGTGAAGAACTGGGGCATCGCAAATACCCAAGTATGAGGAGGATAATAGAAGAAAGAACCAAAATAAAGTCAAGATTTAACACAAAGGGAGATAAGAGAAGTTTCTTTAGCCCTGATTTAAATATGGCATTATAAAGTCTTCTTTATACTAAGGGGTTAACTATTAGTCATCAAATATGTTAGGCTTGCTTCTCAAATTGTCAAATCTTGTCGAATGAATGTCAATGCCTTCTTCTTCATCTGGCTGGTTCCTAGTTGCCATTTCTATGTTTTCGTATTTTGGAGCACCTCGTCCTTTTCTATATTTATTGATTAAATATAAAATGCTGAGCCCTAATGCTAGGTATCCTAAACAGTAAAATATGGTACCCCAAATTGAATTTTCGTTGGTAATAAATAAAGTTTCGTCTGATTTTCTGATTTCAGTCATAATACAGCTGTTTTGGGAGGTTTTTTCATAGCCGGTGTCGCAGTCATAGCAGCCATCTCCTGTATACCCTTCATTGCATATACAAATGCTGCCATTTATTTTCCCATGCTGTGAACATTTAATTGTATTTCCTTCTTCTCCTTTTTCTATTACAAATGTAGGTGGCACAATTGTGGGCGCTGAGAAAATTTTTCCTTTATTTGTGTACAGCACACCTTTAACCTGGACAAATTTATAGGTCGCATCTGCTTCTAAATCAGCCTTGCTAAACAAAAATTCCCACCTTAAGCCTTTTTTGTCTAATGAAGCTGCACTTTTTGGTCTAATGAATTTTTTGGATTTTAATTTTTGAAGAACAAAGGCTTTGGCGATTATGTCAGAATTTGTAAGTTTGTCTATAATTAAGCCTTCATTTGTGTAAGCCTGCTGTGATAATTCAATAGCCACACTAAAGCTGTCTTCTGCGATTGTCTGTTTTCCTTCAGGTGTTATACTTATTACAATAGCATTAGGGTCAGCTTCAATAGGCTGCCCTGGATTAACAACTTCAGGCGCTTTTATTTTTTCACATTTATTATTTTCATTTCTTTCATAAGAGGAATCACACTTATCGCATAAATCTCCGGCATAGCCTTCATCACATTGACATTTTCCTAATATAGCATTTCTTCCATTAGGTCCACAATTCATTGAAGGTGAAATAATGGTAGGATTGTTAGGCTTCTGCTCTACTTTAAACTGAGGCAAAGAAGTAGCTACTTGGAATTCGTTTCCTTCGTCATCAAATAAAGAACCCTTTGCAATTATAACAGAATAAGAAGCTCCGTATGCCAAATCTTCTGAGTCGAATTCAAATTTCCATTTGGTTTCACATTTATTATATGAATTGAAATGTGGGCGAACTAACCCACAGTCTTAGAACTCGTAGCTAGAGTGACTCAGGGACTTTGTGAAAAGGGGGATGGCATACGGTGATGTGTATCTGCCCGGATTTACTTGGTTTGGTGGATCGCAATGTCAGATTAGTCGATCATACTCACTCCAAATCAAGGTTTTATCCCAAGAGGAGATGGAGCTTAAAGATGGAAAGGGAAGTCCAAGCAAGATCAGTGCGGTTCCTCCTAGTCAATCGGAAACTTTTCACAGCACGTTGCCACGCGTTGCATTCTGTGCTTCGAGATTTCCTTTTTGGCTGGAAAGTGACCCAAAAATTCGATTTTTCGAATTTTCTAGATATTGAACCCCGTTAACGCACGGCGTAGTAACCCAGTGCCTCTTTGAGAAGAGCAACTCTGACTGGGAAACAAGCGGTAAAGTGTTATGCATGTAAAAGCGGCTCGATTTGAGCCTCAGGAGCTTTTCAATAATCTTAATTAGTTAACTAGGTTTCGCCTTTATTTAAAGGAGCAGCAGAGCTTGCTTTTGCAATTTTTTGATTTAAATCGTTGATTATATACACAGAGTCAATAATTACTTTGTTGTTTTTCACAGCCGTAATTTTGTTTTTTTGAGAATTATGAGGAGCTGAACTAAAGGTAACGAAAATATTAAGCAGCTCATCTTTCTTCATTGGAGATGAAACATTGATAGTGACTTCAGTTATGGTGGAAGGCTCATCAATTTTGTCTTTGATGCACAATCCTTCCGATGGCGTAAATCCTGCAACACACTCGTGACAGGTAACTCCTGTGTATGGTTCTGGACAAACACATTTGAATGCTTCATTACAAATTGCGTTGGCTTTAGGATTACATATGCAGCTCATTGTGCAGTAGCTGTGCTTAATCCCATCTGACACTAATTGGAAACCTGATTCTGTTTGAGATTTTTCATCAATTTTCAATTGGTAACAAGTGCTTTCTTTTAATTTTGATGCATCAAATTTGAATTTAATTTTATTTGGAGCATTTTTTGATATTAATAAACTCCCAGCAGTAATTTTTTCATATTGGTCGCTTTCTAAAGACACCAACTTACTTCCCCTCTGTGAGCGAACAAAATAATTTTGCTCTCTCACAGTGGAGTTTTTATTTTTTTTTTAAATTCATATATAAATTTTATATCATTTTTTTTTGAAATTTAAAAAATCCTTTATTCAAGATAATTTTAAAGCAAATGTTTTTAATTTGTAGGGATTTTTCCAATCGTTTTGCCGTTTATGTGAGAGGAGAGTTACCAACTTCTTTAGCATTAGCAATTGGACTATCAAAAACAATAAGAATTGTAAGCTCTTCATTTGGGTTATGATGAGTCAAATGCCCAGGATCAGCCAAAGTTACCATATAGCTTGAAGACTTTTTCTCTTCAAATACCGGAATATATTCAATATTAAAAGAAAAAGGGAAGCAGGAATCAATATCTTTATATCTCTGTATCAAATGATTCGAAGCTACTGCCTGCTTTAATACAAGCTTATATTGTCCAGGCTCAAGTTCTTCATTTTCAATTATACTCGCGAAATTCATAAGTTCTCCCGTTTCGTCATCAGTTAAACTTTCCCATTTACTTTTACTAATTTGTTCATCATCTTTAGATAAAACCATATTTAAATCATTTGTGAGGAAATCATAAGTGGACTCGATCGACACAATAGCTTTGACTGGGATATTTATTGTCATTTCATACATAAAATTAGAATTTTCTGTACCATCTGATGTAATTCCGGCAGGGAAGGACTTTTTTTCTCCTATCATCCATTTATCGAAAATTACGTAATTATCTGATCCATACATTTCTTTTTCTTTTGTGAAATCTATTGAGGATTTTGGTAAAACTTTGGAAAGGTCGTGGTCTGTTACTTTGCATTTCAAAATGTTTTCGACTTCTTCTGTGGTTTCTATCACAATTTTTAAGTCATAAGTGACGCAGGAGTCTTCGATTTTGTCTTTTATGTAGGTGAGTAATAAGTAATAAGGAGTTTTTTGAGCTTTTATGACAAAAATGTAGCTTCCTATGTTTGATTTGTTTCGGGAGTAAGCGACTGGGTCTTTAAAAGAGGAGTCTCTATAGACAGCACTTTCTATGATGACTTTTGGGTTGTTTGAAATAGTCATGATTCTTGCGATTCCGCTCTTTGGATAATTAAATATGGCGTCTTCGTCTGGGCATGGCCTCCCGGCCATGCAGCCTCGACTCATATTTAATTATATCCGGCAAGGTTTTACCATTCTAGAGATGGACGGCAATACTAGGTAAGCAATTCTGGTGGTGTTCAGAGCCTAGTCCTAGTCTAATCTCAGGGGTGGATTTTTCCTCGTGGGGAAGGAGGACACGGAGTTGGAAAGGGTAAGCTCAGCAGAGTCCGTTAGGACCAATCGGCAAGTCTCTAGCGTGAAACTGGGCGTTACGTCCCAGGCCACGTGTTTTTTCCTTTTTGCCGACAGCTGACCAGAAAATCCATTTTTTGGGTTTTCGGAAAAGCAGCCCATGTAACAAGCAAGTAGCTCATCCATGAGCCGTCGAAGCCGGAACACTTTCCCAAGAAGCACCCTGGTGATCGAAGCAGGCCATCCCCAGCGACCTGTGGGCCCGATGCGATGAAGGCGAGTGATAGTACCTGGGGTTGTCACCCCATAGTGGACGTTAAACGCTATAAATTCTATAAAGATAAGATAAGATTCCGCTCTTTGGTGTTGATATTTTTAACACTTCTGAGCTTATTTCATCTTTTATATTGCGCTAGATTGGTTATAATATATTAACTCTATGCTAGACTATCTAATTGTAGCCATCTTTATATTTATTATAATATAAAAATTGACCAAAATCAGTATATCTTAAAAGTTCCATGGAAAGAAATGGAGCCATCTCTTGCTTGTGGTCCTCCAAAAACTTTTGAATGTTTTGAAGTCAAAGAAGGTGGCAATTCGCCTCCATTGCATGTAAGTTCTTCACTAATATCTGATGTCTTTATAGAAACTTGAAGCGGCCAACAAGCATTTGGAATATCAACTCCATGTGATGAAATTATATGTAAAATATAGCTCCCTTTTTCTAAATCTACTATAAGCTCGCTATAATTTTCAATACCTAACGATCTTGCTACAACTCCATTTTCGTTAGAAAGCTCAAGGGAGATAAACCCTGATAAAGCATTTTCAAACGCAACAATGGCTTCAAATTCACTGTCTTTTGCAAATTCAAGAGGTATAGAATGGTCAATTGCTTGAGAATTATGCATGATGCTGAATTCATTTATACCAGTCTTACACTGCCAGGAAAATTATTTCTTATACATCAAAAATTAAAATTTTATTGTAAATAACCATTCAATAATCAATTATTATCCCTTGCATAAATTTCATTTTGCTTATTTATGGTAGATTGATTTTAAAATGTCAAAAAATTTTAACATACCATAGACTCAGTTTTATATATAATGACATGTCAAAATTTTTTTGACATTTTAAAATCAATTTACCATAAATAAGTAAAATAAAATATTACCAATACATTATAAATTTTTTCGAAAAAAAAATTTGAATTTAATTTATCATAAATTTTATGATAAAAATTATTAAAAACATGTTTACTTATAAAAAGAGAGATTTAGCATCGAAAACAGATGGGAGAGAAGCTGGGCCTGAGCACTGATAAATCGAAGTGATTTTGTTAAACTCTGTCATAGAAATGATTTGAAGATCCATTTCAAAGCTTGGGCACAGCCTTCTCGAAGGCAGAGCTGCATCACTATAATAGCTGATTTCCAATAAATAGCTTCCAGGCTTTATTTTCTTATGTAGTCCACTGCTAAATTCTTCAGCTGTCGCCTTTTCAACACTCTCCACAATGCTCTCAGCCGTCATCAAGTTTATTTCAAACGTAATTTCTTTTTGTGGAACCACAAAAACCCTTATAATTGACTCTTCATCAATTACAAAATCAAAAAGAGTTGCCCCCATCAATACATCTAATTCCAGTTCTTTATGCCAATGCAGGTTTCCTGTTTGGATTTGTCCAACTAAATTAAGTGACCCAGGCTGGTCTACATATGAACAAGTCTCGCTTTTCCTTATCATTGATTCAATATCATCCCATAATGATAGGTCTTCAACTATAATGCTTGTTGAGAATTTCACACAAGACTTGTAGAGGGATTTCCCAGACTCTTTGAGAACTAAGGTATACTCTCCTTGGGTTAATGGGAATGCTGGCAACTCAAATCTATGGGAGGCTTCAAAGCTGCCGTATTCGAGGATCTCTTTTTCTTTGAGGACTTGGAGAATTAGGCCACTTTGTAAGAAGTCTGACTGGATGTGGCCAGTGAGCAACGCGCCATCAGTTGTGATTTTGAATGGGATTTCAATGTTTAATGGTTTAGCAGACTGTAAAAATTCATATTGATTTTCATTCATCAGCTGAGAGTAACCTTCAGGGCTATTAAATCCAAACAGGATAGGTCCTGTATTTTCAAGAAAACGCTCAGTCATAATTTCTCCTCCAGGGAGCTTCACATTGCAATTCTGCGAAGACCCAGCAGTTAAAGCTGATATTGGTGCAATTTCAATAAGCAAAGAATAAGTATGACAAGCATCCTTAGAATTAGGATAATACGAAATTACAAGCCTATAAGTCTGATGCTGCTTCAAAATTTGGTTAAAGCCATAAATTGCCACATCTCTTTCTCCAGGCGCTCCATCACTTATAACTGTACTTTTTCCCATCATCAAAGCAACCCTCATTGGTGAGCCTTCACTTTCAGCTGCAACTCTAATAAAGCTTTCACTGTTCAAATAAAATGCAATATCATTGGTAGCGTTTGTATAGGAATTCGGAGCCATCATATTTGGAATAAACACTTTTGTGACTGGCAAATAATCACTTGGAGTATCTTTTACACCTAATTTGTCAAGGGTATTTAGAGTAGGAGGGAAAAGCTGAGCGTCTTCTTGGAAGCATGGCCATTTTTTTAGCTTGGTTTCAGTGGTTCCTACAAGTTTTCCTCTTACTCCCCCCCCCTCCGTGAGTGAACAAAACCATTAGAAAAATCCCTATTTTTTGCCCAAAAACCCACCCTCCGTGAGTGAACAAAAATTTTTTTAATACAAAAATTTTTTATGGAAAAAAAATTTTATATATAAATGATAATTATTATAATGAAATCTAGAGTTAATTCTGTTTAATTTTAAACGAATTGCTTTTTTAAAACATAAATTTTATAAATTAAATTAATATTTGCTTTCCAATTTTTGCGAATTAGGATTTTTTTAAATTTCGAAAAAAAATATTTTTTAGAAAATTTATATATAAATTTTTTTAAAAAAAAAAAAATTAAACCCCCTCCGTGAGTGAACAAAATTTTTTTGTTAACTCACGGAGGGGGGGGGGAGTTAGTTGAAATGCTCCACAGTGAGGTAAAACTTTATAATTGTCTGGGGAGTCTATATTTTCATAGTCGTTAGTTGTGTATGATATTTCTTTAGAAGTTGGGCCAGACTTGATGCTAAATATATAAGTGCCTGGGGCTAATGCTCCTTGGAATGACCTACGATCATGTTTTCCAAGCTTCAAAGAATCTGTGGTATCGCCTTTGACTATTTCTGTGTTTTCTCTTGGAAGTCTTTTTTCTAGAGAAATAGTAAAATCGTTGATAACAAAATCTGAATAAATATCGAAATAGCAATAGGCATATATTGGTAGATAAAATGTGGATTGAAATACAACTTCTTCCCCTTTGGCAACTGATTTTAATGGAACTCTAAAGAAATCTCCAGGAGTTGAGCTTAAATCTACTTTTGATTTCGTTGAATTTAAATTTTCGCCGATTTTTGCAAATTTATCAGCTAAATCCGAAGTGTTATCTTCACAAGCATTCATCCCCAAAAACTCAGCAAATCCTCTAACTGCTTCATTTGGAGATATCCCTATTTCCAATATAAACGTTTCACAAAACTTATGTCTCGGATCATTTATTACACTATTCAAAACTCCAAACTCAATTGAATACTTCCCAGGCTGCAGCTCTTTTAGAATCCCTTCACTTTCCCCAATTGCATTGCTTTTTCCAATCTCTATCCCTTGACTATTTTTCAGTGAAATATCAATATCGATTCCTGAAGGCTCTACTGTGATTACTCTTAGCACTGAAGGCTTTGAGATTTCAAACTCAGTAGCTTGTTTTACATTGAGGAAATCTGCTATAACACGATCTGAGTACCGAAGAAAACCATTATCGTCCATAAGTCCTGGAGTATTCAAAGAATGAGGGATGTGGGCGGCTTCACAATTAAAGCGGTCTTCTCGCTGGATTATTGGCTCAATATTCACATGAAGAGAAAAAGGGATTTTACCGCCTAGAGAATTCAGCATATCATGCTCAGCAAGTGTCATGCCAGCATAAAATACAGTAATCGCAAATTTTCCTGCACCAAAGCCAGAGTAAACAGTGACCGCATTTTTGTCAACTCTTCTGCCAAATAAGCATGAGCCTCTCTTTACACAGTTTAGCTTTGAAAATTTGGTTAGGTTGGTTTTCGATTTTGAAAATAATAAGCCCATTCCTCCTCCAGTTAAGAAATCATAGTCTAATATAAAGCTTACGAAGTGAAAAAGTTATCTTTCAAAGACCAGTCAAGCCAATATCTTTGAGCTCTTGTGAGATTTCTGGGTTGGTAAATTCAAAGGTGTTAAGTACTGAATCACCCATCTCAATTTTTGAGGTGTCGAGAATATAAGTGGAATGAGTCCCTGAATAAGGGGTAAAAGATTGAAGAGTATCGCTAACATCAGATAAATCAGGAAACCCTTCTGCGTAGTTTTCCAGCGATTTAGGCAAAAGTTCTTTCAGGTTTGCATAAGGATGAACTGCAATATTAAAAAACAGATTGGGGAGGTTGCAATCTTTTTCATTTTTCTGGTCTGTTTCATCACTCATGATAGCATTCATTGCTGTCACTATGATAACATAATTTCCTTTTCCCAATTTATTCGATATCATTAAGAATTCTTCTTGTACAGCACTAGAAGTCAGCATGGTATTGGATCCTTTCAAAATTGATATTTTTAAGTCATGAAGCCTAGGTTCTGCTGATAATCTATATAGAATTTACCTAATCCATGAGTCTTCTGCTAAAGCCAAATCCCAAGATAAGCTTTCGTCAGGCGCTAAAAATCGTCCTGAAGTTTCTAGATGTTTCGTGTTTTCAAATGAAGGCGAAAAATAAGAGAGGAGTGGAGGAAGATCTGGAAGGTCACATGCAAACACTGATAGAAGCTGAAAAAGAATCCATAGTGCCATGTTACCGTTTTATAATTAAGTAAATGGGTTTATTAGATATTAGTGATATTAGCCCAGTCTGGGGTCAGTCTAAGTAGAAGCTCTGGAGTGGCAGCTTTTCTTTCTTCATCTGTCCAGTCAAATAGTCTGGTTGGCCTTTCACCGTTTGGAAGACGAGTTTCTTCATCTCGAAGCTCGTCAAAAAAGGGATGGGCAAGGCATTCAAGCGCTGAGGGTCTTAGATGGGGAGAATACACTAAAATAGTGGATAGGAAATCAATGACTTCTTGGGAATTTTCACATTTAAATACTTGCCGCCATGGTGTAGATTTTACATGTGGGAATTTAAACTGGTTGTAGTCAGGGTTCATGTCATGAAGCTGCTCTCTTGTTGGAGTTCCTAGAAGCTTAATAATTTCTACAAGCTGGTCTATAGCGCTTTCCCCTGAAAATAAAGCTTTTCCTATTACAAGTTCAGCTACAATGCACCCAGCACTTCATATATCTACTGTAAAACTGTAATTCACTGCTCCAAATATAAGTTCAGGAGCTCTATAATACCTTGAGCATATATAAGACACATTATTTTCGTGAGGTTTTAAAATTTTGGCACTCCCAAAATCACATAGTAATAGTCTATATGCATAACTATTGATAAGCAGATTATGAGGCTTCACGTCCCTATGACATATTTTTAGCTCATGCAAATATGCTAAAGCTCTAAATAACTGATAAGAATATAGTTTGACCAAAATCATAGGCATTTCTTGCTTCATTGCAGTGTAGTGTTTTCTTACTTTGTAAATGGTTTCAGGTATGTAATCCATGACTATATTTAAGTAGACTTCACCTTCTTGTTCTCCATTGCTAAAAAAAGAATCTCGATAGCGAATGATATTTGTGTGCTTTACTTCTTTCATAAGCTCAAGCTCACGGCTTTTATAACGATTGTCTTGTAGGACCTTTTTAATTGCTACAACCTCTCCTGTCTCGACAACTGTGGCTTGAAAAATTTCAGCAAAGCTACCTTTAGCAGTAATTTTTAAAGCGCTATAGGTTAGTTTAGGCTCTTTCTCTTCTTCTGTTTTTTGAGAAGTGTCGATTTGTGATACGATCATTAATTATTATCATTGATAATATGAAGTATGGCAATATAATTAAATAAATAATAAGATTTATATCATGTTTTATTTAAGAAGTTGATTTTTAGTTTTAATTTTTGTGCACATATATTGATAAATATAAGATTTTGACATCTTAAAATACTGGAATTTATGCTTTTTATAATTAGACAAAGTTTTTATAAAATTTTTTAAAGCTTTTTTCCTTTTTTGAGTAATTTAAGAAAATCTAATTATTTATTCAATATTGGAATTATCGATAGATCCTTTAATGTTAGCAGGACTTTCGACGTTTAATTTTTCTATGTCTTTTAATAGCTGAACGTTCATAATATAACCCTCATTAACTCTATACATTGCATCATCTCTTGCAGTGACAGTCCTCATTGGTGGTATTTGACGAAGTCTAAATTATAATTACCCTCTAACTGTGCTTTGCTGTAAGAAAGCCTTGTCAAATTTTTCTAAATTTGGCGATTCTGGGGTTTTAGGCACAGTTTCAAACAGTATTTCTTTTCTACCAGTTGCTTTCCCAAAATTTGCCAGAGTTTTAAGCAATTTTTTGTTAGATCATTCATCGAATTTTAAATAAGGCCCTAATAAAATTTTTGGCTCATGAAGTTCTTGTCTTGGGATCATTTTTTTGAAATTTACGGTCTTTATATGTTTTTTAGGGATATCTATATCACTAAAATCGATTTTTCTTTGATTAGGAGAAGTAGATGAGCTTATAAACGGCTTTCTCTCAATTTGTACTTTAAACTTTACAGGAGTTTTAATTTTTGTGTATTTTTCAGGTATCGGACTATTATTCCTCGAAGATTTTTGTAAAACCTGCTCTTGAAAATCATCGAACAGTGATATAGTTCTTCCTAAATTTATGTCAAAATTTTTTAATTCTCCATTAGGATCATTCGTCGATTTTACACTAGGAAACGAGCAGCTCATATCGTTGCTAATGCACCCAGGCAAAAAGATTTTTCTTTTTCTTGGCTTCACTATTTTTTTCATAAATTTTGGACCTTGATCTTCTCTTGATTTTATTAAATTATATTTCGGGGTATAACTGCCTACTTTTGGAGACTCTGTTTTATTGCGAAATGCAAAATTATATTTTTCTCGAGAAACGCTCGAAAATGAGGTTGTAGGTCTTGTGTATGTAGAAGATTTTTTTCTTACTTACTCCCCCCCCATCCTTGATCGAACGATTGACTGTAAAATTCCTAAAAATTGGGGAAATTAACCCACATCCTTGATCGAACGATTTTCATATCATGCAAATTTTTATATATATATAAAATATATTAGTTATCAAAAGCTTGGGAAGATGTACATAATGAAGTTGCTTTCAGAGACTTTGAGACGACAGAAAGCTTTGTAATCAACCATCTGAAGTGATTTAGTCATTAACATATGCTTAAAAACTCAATAATCTAATAAAATAGAGATTCTTTAAAATTTTTTAAAAAAAAAAATTTAATTTAATAAGAAACAAATTAAAATTTATACAGTTTAAAGGGGTAACCAAAAAATCAAAATATTAAGAATTGGTATTTTTATGAAAATAATTCAATTTTTGCTGTAAAAATAATTATTAAATACTCTTAACCCTCTTATTTAAAAGTAAATAAAAACAATATATATATATAAAAATTGTTTCCCAAAAAATTTTTTTAACCCCCATCCTTGATCGAACGATGGCGAGTCGTTCGATCAAGGATGGGGGGGGAGTTACTTTAAATTTATATGTTAAACATCCCTAAGGGGTGCTGTCATCTCAGAAATGGCAAAACCTTGCTGGATATAAAATATGTGCTCGAAGCTGCATGGCCCGGGAGGCCATGCCCAGGTGAAGACGCCATATTTTAATTATGTAGCAAAATTTTTCATCTTCGTCTTTTAGTTTTTCTAGTTCTTCAAGAACATCATTGATGTTTGATACTAGGAATGGCTCGCTATGTTTTAGTCTTGGCCTGCGCTTTGGAGTTAAGTCGAGAACTGGATGAATGTAAGTTGTGGCTTTTCCTTGTTTAGAAAAAAGTGCTTTGGGTTTTAAAAAATCCATTTATTCAATTGCAATACATCTTTTAAAGCTAATTTGATTAATTTTTCACTAATAATATTTTATTTTTAAATTCATTTAAAATGCAAAATATTAATAGATTTTTATTTAGAAAGTATCCACACGATTTCCGACAATTTTTTATCTTTTTTTCTATGTATATATATGCATGCTTACTTAATTTATCTCATCTATAGTGAAGCCTCTAGATGCACAGCTTAATAAAGAATTATTTTAGTCGGTTTTAGATTGCTTATACGGCTTTTAAACTGAATTCCAGTAACCTTGTAAGCACTAGAGCCTGGCACTCATCTCCTTCTTTCTCCTAGCGTCTGTTCGATCTAAAGGTCCTGCCTACATTTGGCAGTCAAAAGGGATAAAATGCATTGTATGAATGATGCGAATAAAGCCCCTTTCATACAGAAGTATATATGTAAAAGCATAGCCATAATAATAAAAGCTCAATAAGGAGAAGAAATTGATGAAGTGAATCTCCTCTCATTTGAAGCCATTTTATATCTATCTTTTTCTCTATCGAATTAGCTACTGTATCCGAGGTTGAATAATAAAATAAACCAATATGGCTCACTAAAAATAGCATTTATCATTAAGAAAAAAAATTTAATCCCTCAATATCACCTTATCTAATTTCGCTTCAATCCTCTTTTCATAGAATTCTCTAGAAACTAAAAATTTTCTCTAAAAGTCAATTATTTTAAATAAAATTATAATTTTAAAGAAAAGATTTTTACACAATGTAAATAGTGCTTAAGGCAATGATTTCTTCTTACTTCTGCTTTTACTTGTGTCAAAAAGCATATTAATGGACGATTCTTTTCTGGGGACATAAAGTCTTTCTATGTCATCAAAAAGGCCGCTTTCGTAGTTCTTCGGCATACTTGGACCGAACTGGGCATAAATGTATGGAAGATAATTTGAATTTTTACTATACCTTGGGCTCATTAAATAGTCTGAGCATGGTGATGTGGAATTGCTATCTATTGGTGAATTCGTGACGAGTAACTTACTGCTGCTTTTATTCGACTTAATTGCAGGCAAACTGAGCTTATCTGCAAAGTTTGTAGGAGTCTTAATACGACTTGAATCTGCGCTTGGCTTTTGATTATTAGAAACTACCACAGGGAAGCTTAAATGAAATGAGCGTAAACGTTCACCTAAACGAGTTTTGATACTCATGTGTTTATTTTTATAATAATAAAATCCATAGTTAGCTGAATATCATGTCGTCATCAGTGAAAATGGTCGGATAAATGTGAATTTGAAAAGTTACAAAATTTATACTAATTCCTCCTATTGGCTAGCAAAAAAATCTGATAAATATTTTGAAAAATTATTGTTAAATGTTATAAAAATGTTGAAGAATTCTATATTTGAAATGATAGTATTCCTTATTTCATATAATTTATGTTTGAAGACGCTAGATGTCTAAAATTTAATATAATATTTTTTATATTTATTATTAAAATCATCATAAGATATAACAAAATTAATTTGTATAAAAAATTTTTTTTGATAGTTAAAGGAAGCTAATTTTTGCTTAAAGTTAGCATTATTCACAGTATTGCTCATTGATCAAGGGGAAGTAAATAATTTAATTAATATTCGGGTTTTTATATTAATCATAATCTATTATTCAACTACTTGGTTATTTCAAATGAGTATAAAAACCTTAAATTTTTAAATATAATTGTTTTAAATAATTTCTGAAATAAATTCCTTTTGCTCACTCCCCCCCCCCCTCCGTGAGCGAACAAAACCATTAGAAAAATCACCATTTTTTGACCAAAAACCCACCCTCCGTGAGTGAACAAAAAATTTTTTTAATAGAAAAAATTTTAATGGAAAAAAATTTTGATATATAAGTGATAATTAGTATAATGAAATCTAGAGCTAATTCTGTTTAATTTTAAACAAATTGCGTTTTTTAAAACATAAATTTTGCAAATTAAATTAATATTTGCTTCCCAATTTTTGCAAATTAGGATTTTTTTAAATTTCGAAAAAAATATTTTTTATAAAATTTATATATAAAATTTTTTTTAAAAAAAAAAAATTAACCCCCCTCCGTGAGTGAACAAAATTTTTTTGTTCGCTCACGGAGGGGGGGGGGGAGTCAGCAATTTTTCTACACATATCGTCTACATGTGAAACTCTCACAAAATTTTGAATTTTCTGTAAGCATTGTGGGCAGTTTATCTCACTTTCATCTGTGCATTTTGCACAAACAATGTGCCCACATGGGTTGATAGCAACTGCTTGTGCTGCTGTGTTTGAGCAGACGCCACAAGATAAATAAGCATCAAAAGCAGTGAACATTTCTTTGATTTTATCTAAAATAATGGCAATATTTTCTTCTTTTAGGCATAATTCATCAAGTTTTAATTGGAGATTCTTGAATTGAGGGTTGCTAATTTCAGCCTTTGCTTCATCTATTTGTATTTCTAATTGAGTTATAAGCTGGGTTTTATTTGTTAATAAATTTTTGAAATATTCTTGGTCTTTTATATATTTTTCTGATTCTTCTTTGCAGGCAGCTAGCTCTATTTCTAGCTGTTGTATACGATTTTGATTTCTTGTCTCATCAATCGTAATGTTCAGCTTTGTGATGTCTTTGTCCTTTAGTACCTGAGAAGATTTCAATCTAAAAATTTCTTGTGCATGGATTGCGTTGTGGTTTTTCTCATTATTTAGCTCCACTTGCAGTTCTCTTATCTTTGATTCCAAGCGATATTCGTTGTTTCTTACCTTTTCTTTTTCTCTTTCCATCTTGTTTACAGCTTCGCTGAGGCTTTTTTCAAGTTTTAGACTTTTTTGACGAAGTTCTTTATTTTCTTCAATTAGTGTTTTTGCTCTCCCTTTCCATTTAGCTACTTTATTTGCTTTTTTATCTAGTTCGCTATAATGGCCTTCTTTCTCATGAATATTTATAATTATGGCAAAATGCTGCCAAAATTTCGGCCAGTAAGGACAAAACGGCCTAAGGCTACGGGGTTACAGGTGGTAAATTTCCGGGTGGGGTGCAGACTTGGGCTACTTGGCTTCCAATCTACCCCAAAGACGAGAAGACCGAAGGCACAATACCAATCGGGGCATTTCTGGAGGAGTATTATGCTGCCTGCAAATGGCAGAGGTAGCTTCAAAAGCAGGCATCGGACAATCCTCTCATACTCTGAGCACTACAAGGATTAAGAGAGTCCTTTGTTGCAATTTTTGGCCCAAGCAGGTTCAGATGAGTCTCCCCCCAATAGACTGAAGACGTCACCAGTTTTGGTGACCATGAAGGAAAAAGGCGTTGATGGCTTTAGTGCCAGCACCATCTGAAGGGTGAAGCTAAAACTCGACTGACTAAAGCTGAAATAATCCCTGTTTAAACCCCTCTAATCTAACTCCCTCTCCTTCTCATGAGCCTGCTCTTTTAGTCTGTTAACCTCTAAAGTCAGATCATCAATTTTGATATGTGCCATTTCGAGCTTTTCATTCAATTGACTATTATTTATCTCAAGGTCTCTAAGCCCTTCAGTTATGAATTTTCTTTGGCTGTCACTTTTCTTATATAGCTCTTCAAGCTCTTTTATTTCAGCTTCTTTGTATTTGTATTCAGTTGAAATATTCTGGATTAATTTTTCATATTTAAAAGTTTCAACTTGTTGATTTTTTCTCATTTCTTCTACACTGAATACTATTTCTTTTCTAGCTAGCAGAGCTCTATCTAGTTTTTCTTCAGCATCCTGCCTATATTTAGCCATTAGAGACATTTGATCAGTTAATTTATAAATCTGGTCTTGAAGAGATTCTGCTTTTTTCTTTCAATCACATTTAGATGGAACAGCTACAGAATTTAAGTTAGAAAAAATTTCAATTGTCGGCTTTTCATTGTTATTGAAAAATCCAATTATTTCAGTGATCAAAATTGGCTGAATTTGTTCAGTCTCTGTATAATTTTCTGTGAATTCGACTTTTTTAATCTCTTCGCTGTTCATTAGAATAATTGAAGGCTTAACTTCTTCTAATTCTTGTATTTTATTATTTGCTTCTGATAAATCAGCTTTTAAATATTCGCATTTCATCTGCAGCTGGATGATTTCATTCTCATATTTTTCTTTTTCATCTTTTATTTGGTTTTCTAATAAATGGACTCTATCTTCTAAACCTTCATTTTTGACATATAGAGCATTAAGCTCATTAGTGTACTCTGATTTCCTGCTTGTAATTTACCTTATTTTCAAAATCTTTGCCCATTTCATGGACTTCAAGTTTTAGTTTTACTAACTTTTTTTTATTAAAAAATAAATTTATATAATAAAATTTTTATAATTATAAATTTATTATAGTCACTGGATTAAGTCATTTGTCCCATCTTCACTTGCAATTCCTTCTATCTGATACTTTGATTTATATTCTTCGAAGTTTTTTCTCATAAGCAAATTTTCATTCAATAAATCAATATTCTTTTCTTTTAATCCAAGTGTTTTATTTTTTTCATCTTTATAAAGCTTAACTAAGCTTTCAAAGTGCTTTGCTAAAGAATCTAAAGCAACATTTCTTTCATCTAGATCTTTTCGATGGGCTTCAAGCTTAATTTCAAGCTCTTTTACGTAAATTCGATCAGATGTTGGCGAGGCTAGATCTGGAGTTGTAGAAGAATGAAAAAAGCAAGCTCCACGGTGACTGCAAGTCGAAAGTCTGCCAGTTAATTTTGGTAATGATGGGGAGTGAGATATTTTCTTTGTGGTTTTTAAAGGCTTAGGCCGATATATGATATTCATATTATTAGATGAATTCAAATATAGCTAAAAAATGATTTTGGCTTGGGTTTTATGATATTTCTTGAAGGAAAAAGGAGTTGATTCAGCCAACTTATGTTGGTCAAACAAACTCCAAAAATGACAGAACCACTTGCTGTTTGAATTTTTGCCAATTAGGAATTACTATAAACTGACATAAGTTGTTCTTACCAAATCGTCCTTTTCCTATTGGAGAGGGTGTGCAATCCCGAGCCAAATCGTTCTTGAGCTATAATGGCAGATAATTAATAAAATATGCGTGTAAATAATATTCCCAATTAATTGAATTTTTAATCCTGACTCTGCTGTGACCACAATAATAGCTATTGTTTTAATTAATAAGAGTAATCCATTCATTTGATATGAAAATACTTACTCCCCCCCTCCGTGAGTGAACAAAAAAATTTTGTTCACTCACGGAGGGGGATTAATTTTTTTTTTTTTTTAAAAAATTTATATATAAATTTTATAAAAAATTTTTTTTTTTCGAAATTTAAAAAAATCCTAATTCGCAAAAATTAATTTAATTTATAAAATTTATGTTTTAAAAAAGCAATTCGTTCAAAATTAAACAGAATTAGCTCTAGATTTCATTATACTAATTATCATTTATATATCAAAGTTTTTTTCCATAAAAAAATTTTCTATTAAAAAAAATTTTTGTTCACTCACGGAGGGTGGGTTTTTGGGCAAAAAATAGGGATTTTTCTAATGGTTTTGTTCACTCACGGAGGGGGGGGACTTAGAATAAACTTGAAAAGTGAGTATTATAATATTTATTACATATATATGCATTAATTTGAAGAATTAAATTGCTTTCTGCATTTTCCTGATCATTTTATTACTATATATGCTGAAATAAATTTGAACAGAAAACTATAGGTAAAACTTCTTATTTTTCTAATTCTTCTATACTAATAAGAGACGTTGCCATCGTGGCCACACGACGGTTAGTAGAGAAAAAAAAAAAGAATTCGGTGCCAAAAATAAAAAAGTGGCCCCGAATGATCACAGAATTGCAGGTACAGTAATTCCAGGATGGGGTGAAGGCTTGGGCTTAGTGGGCCTCCCATCAATTCACAGGCAAGAGGATGACAGCGCAATATCAATCAGACACTTTTTGAAGAGCATTGTGTTGTTTGTAAATGGCAGAGGCAGTTCCAGAATTAGGCATTGGACACTCCCATCATACCCTGAGAATAAAAAATGCTATTTTCCAAAATTCCAATCTGAAAAAATTGGAAATAGGAAACCAATTAATTGTTAAATTTATGTTTCAAACAAAAGCTGATTAAAATTAAACAGAATTAGCTAGAGATTTATCATATTAACTATCACTTATTTATCAAATATTTATCAAATATTTTTGCATAAAAATACTTTATATTAGATAAATATTTGTTTGCTCACGAATGGCAAGTTTTTACCCAAAACAAGGATTTTTCCAATGGTTTTGTTAGCTCATAGAGGAAAGGTGGAGTAGTATCCTCAAGATCCTTTCTCAAGGCTGTTACTACCCCTACAGTTAGCTACCTGAGTATAGAAGGATAAAGATCCACTGAGAAAACTGAACACTATAATAATAGAATACCAGGAGGATGGAAAAGTTCTCGTAGAGAGTTTATTCCGATGACACCATTTTATTATTATACCTTTAAAATTGAAACAGATTTTTTTTTTCAATTTAGCAGAGAAATCCATAATCGTTAAAAGTAATTTGTTTTAGACATGCAAAATAATCTTTTGCAGACTGAAGGGGAATTAGTATTCATATACGCATTAAAGCTATAGGAAATTATTATAAGTAGCCCGGTAAGGGTATGAGAATAGAGAGTTGGCAAATGAGACTCTCTCAACTGGAGAGTTTTTCCTCTCAAATATCCTGCCCTTACAGGGCAAGTATAAGAATTTCCTATATCATATGGGATAACCTCCAAACCAATAAGAGAAAATGTTTTTAAACTCATAGCAAAATTTAATTTGATTTTTTTAAATTTTTTCTAAAATACTCTATACTAATGACGGGGTTAAGCATAAAATGAATAGCTAGCAAGTTTTAGCCTAGTTCATTATCGGATAAAACTTAAAAGACTATATATCTATGATCGCCTGAAAATATATTTCCATATACATAAATAATAAAATCCGGATTTTAGCGATTATTAAAATCAAGGCTCATAATTTAAATGGGTTGCTGCAGTTCTCACCCAGTGAGTAATTTTTCTAGCAGAGACAAGCACCTCTCATGTGAAGAACAATATTTAATTTCCTACACAAATTCAATTATATTTTCAAGTTTTTATTTTGATGATCTTTATACCAAAGCCATAAAGTTCACCGAAGAAAAAATAAACAAAGAAGACTTGAAAAACTTTTTTTCAGAAGCAAAAATAAAAATCTCTTTACTAGAGCCTGGGTCATCTACATCTGCAATGCTGCAAAAAATGTGTGAAGATAACTGCTATGATGTGAAATCTCTAAAGCTAAGATATCTTCCCTCAGTTGCTCAGATAGAAATTTAAATGAATTTCTCACTGGGCAATCCAAGGTAAAACTCTGTATCTTTAATTTTATTAGGGAAAGGAAAATCGTATGATAAATGCATAAAGGTCTTCGAAGTATATAACTTGAATGAAAAATCATTTCTAAATAAAAGGACGCTGCTAACGATTTTGCATGATTTAGTGGAAATAATTGAAATGATTTTTCCTGAAAATGTTGACGATTCCCCTACTGTTGTGAGGTCATATATTAAAGATTACTGCAATAGATTTCTCAATGAAAAATTGCGAACATTTGACAAAATCATTAAAATTGCTTTTAAAGATTCACATGAAATACTCTGTGAGGATTTTCTTAAAATACTGGAGACAAATTATGCATTAACTTTATTATTTGAGGCTAATGGCTTGCGGTTTCTTCTCACTGATGAGGTTATTTCTCATGAAACATCCACTTTATTCAATGAAATGTATCCGAAAACAAATAAAAATGCATCTCTACACAATTTATTCACTACTTCTCCTTCAGACCGAAACATAGAAGGCAAAACCTATGCGAAAAATGTAAAAAATTACTCGATTCAAGTGGCAACTCCAAATAAGCTGCAAGAAAGCATGTTTGAAAAAAGTCTTGATAATTTAAATATTAATGTAGCAAAAGATCCATTAGAAAAGCCATTAATTCACCCTATAAGCTTATCAGATTGTGAAGAAAGAAGCAATTCATCAGTTGAATCAATAGATATCAATACAAACTCACTAGGATTGCCACAGCCTAGACTTATGAGATCGTCATCTTCAACCGAAGACCTAAGAAAACAACTCTTATTACCAGAAACCAAAGACAAGAAAAAAGGGATTTTAAAAAGAGCATCAACAGAATCAACGCCACTATGTAACCTATCAGTTCCAATACCTCAGAAAACTGTCACTTTTTCTGTTGAAAGTCCTAGAAGGCCAGATGATAGAAGAAAGTCTTCGCTTGAACCAATTATATTAAAAGTGAATTTAGGGGAAAATAAGCTTGAAAATCTTCAGCTAAACCATGGAGAAAACCCGTCTTTAGTTGCAACGACTTTTGCTATCAGACACGGGTTGAAAAAGCAAGAAAGAGACGAACTTATCAAAAACTTGAGGTCATTAATACAAGATTAATTATTTGGTGTTAATTTAGATATTTAATTATATATATGTTTCTTCTTTCCAGTTTAAATCTAAATTAATATTTAATAAAAATTCAATTCAGTTATATTAATTTTTTATCTAATACTAAAAATTGAAAAATGGTGCAATGGTCTTAGAAAAATCAAAAAGTTCAACAATTAATATTGATGCCAAAAAGAAAACTTATTTTCAATTATAACACCCTAGGCTGCATTTATATCAGATTTTCATAACTCTTTTTCAATCTAATAAACCCACATAAAATGGACACGTTATACCTCACATATCTCGGGATTTTTTTATCATTTATCCTTTGCGTCTCTCCTTTTCCGAACATGATTAGGAGAGCAAAAGATAACGAAATGCATTATGTTCCCATACATTTCTTATGGGTAAATCACTCCACAAGGATGACATGGCTGTGCTATGGAATTTTGAAAGAAATAGTTCCTTTTATAACGAATTGTGTTATGACGGGACTGGCTTCAATTTTGATGCTCATCCTCTACTATTTTTTTACTATAGAACTTTCTCTTCAATAGCGCGATAAGGCGCATTCCTAGGTTTTACCGGAGGGTCTTGGACATATGAAAACCTGCTATTCCTTATTCATGGGGGAGACAAACAGCCTAAATAAAGAATCCTACCTGATCAATCTCGAGAACTTGAAGAGAGGCTGTGTGGAAAATTTACATTTTGGTTCGTCAAATGGATCTGACGAGCCAAATCTGGCCAGTACTTGAAATAAAAATGATAGTTGCCAGAATTTTATTAATTTTCTGATGAAGAGTATGATCAGAATTTTAATAAATGGCACAGGATCAAGTAAATTAATTCAAGACTTAATTAAGTAGTGACTTAACCATCTTAATAATTTTTTTAAAATTTCAAAATTCAAACTTTTAATAGAAGATTTAAAGAGATAATTAAATCGTAAATATAACGTAATAAATACTCTTTACTGCCTTAAGGAGACGATGCCAGTAATGATCTTTATAATTTGACTTTTTTCATAATGACTTAACCATCTTAATTTTTTTTTAAAATTTCAAAATTCAAACTTTTAATAGAAGATTTAAAGAGATAATTTAAGCATAAAGATAACGTAATGAATACTCTTTACTACCTTAGGGAGACGATGCCAGTAATGATTTTTATAATTTGACTTTTTTCATAGTGACTTAACCATCTTTATAATTTTTTAAAATTTCAAAATTCAAACTTTTAATAGAAGATTTAAAGAGATAATTTAAGCATAAAGATAACGTAATGAATACTCTTTACTGCTTTAGGGAGACGATGCCAGTAATGTTTTTTATAATTTGATTTTTTCCATAGTGACTTAACCATCTTAATAATTTTTTAAAATTTCAAAATAATTTTGATAAAATAAGTCCTTCTTGAATACTCTTAAATTTTTGCTTATTAAAACTAATAACTCTTTCTACAAAACAAATTGTGGAGTAGTTGAGACCATATGGAGCAAGGATTTCTAAAGGAAAAACTTGCTGATGATGAATGCTGTAATCATTATTGTCAAAAGGAATTTATTAAAATTCTGATCATACTCTTTATCAGACAATTAATAAAATTCTGGCAACTATCATTTTTATTTCAAGTACTGGCCAGAATTGGCTCGTCAGATCCATTTGACGAACCAAAATGTAAATTTTCCACACAGCCTCTCTTCAAGTTCTCGAGATTGATCAGGCAGAATTCTTTATTTAGGCTGTTTGTCTCCCTCATGAATAAGGAATAGCAGGTTTTCATATGTCCAAGACCCTCCGGTAAAACCTAGGAATGTGCCTTATCGCGCTATTGAAGAGAAAGTTCTATAGAAGCTTTGCAAAGTTTATAGCCTTATATGTATTGTTTTTGACAGGACTTTTTGGATTATCATTTTGAATTCTCCCAGTAGATTGGGTAGGAAATCTTGCTGCTACCCTAGGTACGCTAACTTACATTTCAACAGCAAGAAATTTAAGAACTGCTTTAGTTACATTAAATCTTAAGTTGATTGATTTGCCAATAACATGCGTAGCTCTTTGCAACTCACTTGCATGGGCAAGCTATGGATTGGTAATCATGGATTTTCCTTTAATAATTGGATGCTCAATTGGAGTTATAGTATCCATAACTTTGTTAGTAAGTTATGCATGGATTAGATGTAGCAGACTAAAAAAAAACAACGATTAATAAGCATTTAAATTTTTTTCATAATGAATTATAGTTCTAGAATATTAAATGCTTTCAGCTTTCGATTTAATCATGATGAAAGTTTTTTTTTTCTTGCAAGATTTGTTATCATAAAAAGTCATTATTTTTAGTGTTAAATTTTAAGTTTATAATAGTAAAATTAAATTATGAAAATGAGGTTATTTATAAAATTTATTTGATAATAATGTTTTTGTAAGAGATATTAAGAGCTTCATTATTTTTTAGGATTATTGAAGTAATTATAATTTAATTATTTGCAATAAAAATAAAAATTTCAATTGAAAGTCTTTGAAGATCTAATAAATCATAATTTATGTATGATTTTATTTAATCTAATATCTTTATTGAACGCTCTACAATTTTATAGCCCAGGAACGCATATTGATAGTCCTAGGCTAGGATGCTGGAGGGCAACTTCCCAGGTTCGTTCTCTAATTCAAGTTGATGAACCAACTCGGAGATTTGTCCTCCAGTATCTTAACCAGGACGATCAATATGCATTCCTGGGCTATATAAATAAAACTTAAATAATGGATTTAAATATTATAAATATACATTAAAATCAAGCCACTTGAAAATGAAAAACGATGAAGTATTCAATGAAATTTTTGATTCCCACAATAAAAGCCTACTTAAATTTTGCTTAATCCACGGAAAATCAGAATATGGATACAAAGAAGAGTACAAGGAAAATATCTTAACAATTAATCAAGGCACATTTCTAATCCCAAGGAATAATCGAGAGTTCCTCCAATCTACTCATAAATTACTTACTCCCCCCCCATCCTTGATCGAACGATTGACTGTAAAAATTCCTAAAAATTAGGGAAATTAACCCACATCCTTGATCGAACGATTTTCATATCATGACAATTTTTTATATATAAAAAAATATATTAGTTTATCAAAAGCATGGGAAGATGTACATAATGAAGTTGTTTTCAGAGCCTTAAGACGACAGAAAGCTGCGGAATCAACTATCCGAAGTGATTTAGTTATCAATCTAGGCTTAAAAACTCAATAATCTAATAAAATAGAGATTCTTTCAAATTTTTAAAAAAAAATTTAATTTAATAAGGAAACAAATTAAATTTAATAAGGAACAAATTAAAATTTATACAGTTTAAAGGGATAACTAATAAATCAAAATATTAAAAATTGGTATTTTATGAATTAATTAAATTTTTTGCTGTAAAAATAATTATTAAATACTCTTAACCCTCTTATTTAAAAGTAAATAAAAAAATATATATATATATATATTTTTTATTTTTTATATAAAATTTTTTTCCCGAAAATTTTTTTTTTAACCCCCATCCTTGATCGAACGATGGCGAGTCGTTCGATCAAGGATGGGGGGGGAGTTAATCTTCAACTATTTATATTCAAACACAAACTATTTTTATTAGAAATAACAGTCTCTGATTCTCAATCCACAATAAGGAAACTGATTTTTACACACAGTCGAATAGTCATCAAAAATCCTCTTCAGGCAAAACTTCCACATTCAATTATCGAGAGAGGATTATGGCAAGACTTATTTCTTGACATTGAATCTCTCTATAATCTCTGCTTTCCTAATAGCACTCTGCAATATATCCAAATGATCTCAATTACAGGGACATTTATGCTCAGAAAAATCATGTCAACTTATGATAAATCAATACCTATCCCAGACCAGCATCATTTTTCTGATTTATTTACTTTTAAACCTCTAATGATAACTTCATTAACTTATCCTCACACAAGCAAGCAAAATCTTTTTGTCGAAATTTCACCAAGCAGAATCCTGGAGAAACATAAATTAAATTCCCCAAATATGCTTCAAAAAAGAAGTCTGATTGAGATGGAAATAAGTCAATTAAAAGTTGCGCATATGAAAGGAATTAATTTAGGAACAAAAATATTTTTTACTTCCCGCTCAGTTAGCGAGCAAAAAAAAATTGTTCACTCACTGAGGGAACTTAAAAATTAAAAATTCTCAATAATTGGAAAGCAACTATAAAATTAATTTGTAAAATTTATGTTTTAAAATGCAAGCTGTTAAAAATTAAACAGAATTAGCAAGAAATTTCATCCATTACAATTATCATTTATATATCAATTTTTTTTTTTTCATAAAAAATTTTTTTGTTCACTCGCCAAGGATGGGTTTTTGGGGCAAAAAATAGGGATTTTTAAATGGTTTAGTTCTTTCACGAAGGAGAAGTTAGGAAAAATAAAGCAAAAGCAGATATTGAAGATAATAGGAAGAAAAATAGGAAAATCACCCATAATTATACACGAGAAAGTGATATTGAAGAAGAAATAGAGGAAAATATAGAAGTTGACATGCCAGAAGAGAATAGGCCATTTATTGGAATAATTAATTCTGAAAGTTGTACGGCAAAAGAATTTTTTAAGCCTCCTGATTGATTTTCAGAAAAATTATCTTCAGTGATGAAAATAAGGCATTTTACTCCTCCATTTGTTAATATAAAGGATCTTCAAGGCCAGCAGCTTATTTATAACCCAGCCTCTAGATTTTACGACCAAGAATGGTAATATGTATACTAATTTAAGCGCTAAAAATTTAAAATAAATAATTTCCACCTTATTTATGCTTTTTAAATCTGAAAATCTTTTATTACTAATAAAATGAGCTACACAGAGATATGTGACAAGTTCGAAACAGTTTCTTTGCATTTACAAAAAGGATCTGACACTCTTTCATCCCTTGGTAATTATACTGAATTTGAAGAGCTTGACGCCCTTGGGGCCATTGGCTTAACCAAGAAGATGTTGATTTTTACAATAGGGAAATTCAAAATTTGTTAAATTTAGGCAAAATCTCTGCTTGATTCGAATAGCTGATCTCGCAGAGTATTATTTTGATCTGACTAGTACATTTTTTTTTTAACATTTTTAGCAAGGACGATAAAGCTTTTTTTATATCAAATATATATCCAAAGATCAATCCCTATCAGAAATTAAAATTCCATGTAATTATGATTAGGATATAATGTTAGATAAAAAATTTCCTGGCCAGACCAAAATAAGACAGCCATTCGATCCACACAGAACTTTACCTTAATTAACAAATTTTCCTTAAATTTCATTTCCACATTTTTAAAAATCAACACCTTCTTGGTTAATCCGATGCCCCCAAAGGGCGTCGAGCTCTTCAAATCCAGTATATTTCAAAGCATACAAAAAGAGCTTCGAAACATTTAATTCACATCTCAGCAAGCTCGTTGACACTTTTCAAATCGATTTACCTAAAGAAGGAAACATGGATACACTATCAATGGCTCTAGTCTCCTTAAACTCTCATACCAAAAAATTCATCCAAAGCAATACAAATTTTCTTAAAAATCTTCAGCTTGATTTAATAGAACCATTAGAATTATTTTCCCAAAATTTCAACTCTACAAACCAGTCACAAGTCATGAAAGCAGCATTTCCTTATAAAGAACTTGCAAGATTCAAAGAACAGCTACTAAAAGTAAGAGAAAAATATTTCACAAGCTCAGAAACAGCAGAAAAAGCAGCCCAAAGATTCGAAAATCTTTCAAAGATTGATTCTGATAAAGACAAAAGAGAAAAGGCCCAAAGAGATGCAATTTACTATAGAACCCAATCAGTCAATGCTTGTGAAACCTACATGCAAATTGTTCAAGAAGTAAACAATAAATGAGACGAATACGACCACATCATCCCTGGCATTATGGAATCTCTCCAACAAAGTGAAGAAAGCAGGATCCATTTTATTAAATCCACCCTTGAAAAGTATGCGAAACATTTCCAAAGATACCATCACCTATGTGGAGAAAACCTTGAAGAAATGGCAACAATTATTGGAAACGTTAATAGCAGCATTGATATTTTGGTATTTGTTGACAGCAATAAATCTAAAATCGGAGGACTAATTAGAGAAAAATTCATAAGTTATGAGGAGTGAAAAGGTAGCAAAACTACTGCAGAAATTAAAGAAGAAGAGTATGAAGTTTTGGAAAATCATGAAATCAACCTGGACTTAGAACAAATTAATAAAGTGTTGGATTATTTGATACCAACCTTTAATAACAATAAAGGACTTAAGCCAACTGATGACTTGTTAAGCTTTGATGAAGATGTAGAGAAAAAATATTTAGAGCCTATGCATTATGCTAGACTATCTTCAATACTTGCAAGAAGTGAAGGGAGAAGTTTGTTCTGTGAAATTTTGGAATCAAAAAGAAAACAAAGCTTCTTAAAGCCAGAAAATTTAATAAAATTGTCTCAGTTTTTGAAAGAAGCTTTAACAGTTATGATACATGATAATGATCATAATCCTGTTGAATTTATTCAAATTTTATTGCTGTCTCATGTTTTTCATACAGAAGATGAAGAAAAAAAGAGAATTTACCTTGCTAATTATATACAGCATCATATTTTTTCGGATAAAGGAAGATGGATTCATGCTATAGAGCATACAATTGCTGCTAAATTAGAAGCTGATAAAGAATTTATTGAGAAAAATAGCAAGCAAAATAAGGAATCAGGAATCTTCGGAGCTTTAAAACAATATGCAGGAAAAAATCCTTTCCAAAAAGACCCTGAAATGGAAAGAGCTGAGAAATCAGTAGCTTTTACTGTTATAAGCCAATTCAATTATCATATGATTTGTATAGGCGTTCCTATTGACATTGCAAATAGTATTGTAATATCTTTGTCAAAAAAATACGGTCTTGACCCTGAAAAAACTACTTTTTTGCTTTCAGAAATTCAAGTTAATCAAAAATCTGCAATGAAATCAATGTATTCTAGTAGAGATTCAGTTAAAATTAGACAAAGAGACACTAATAAATGGGGAGATTTATTATCAATTGCATTATCATTAAAGTTTTTAGAGCCCTGTGACTATTTTTCGGTTTTATTGGTTAGCAAAGTATGGCTGAATAAATTTAAAAAATTTACTCTCATTGAATTTAATAATATAAAAATTATTTTAATTGTAAAAATTTTGTATTGATGTAATATAAGATTATTTTGAAGAAATGGCTACTTGATTGGGATGTAGAGCCTGAGAAAAAATCAATAATTAGAACAAAAATTTGGATGCATATATTGCAAGCTGACTCTTGTCCTATTGAATATTCTGCATTTTGCTCAAAAGTTAACGAAAACCCTGAAATCCTTGGTGAGCATTCAGAAATTATTGATATGGATGTATTTCGCTCTTATCAAAGCAGCAATCAAATTACACAAGACATATTAAGAAATCTTTTAAGAACTTATGCCTTTTATAACCCTGATGTAGGATATTGCCAAGGAATGAATTATATAGCAGGAACTCTCTATATCCAGCTACAAAATGAAGAATTTGCATTTAAATGCATGTCACAATTAAAAAAATGTCAGCTAGGGGTAGGGTTCAGGTCCTAAATTTGAGCTCAGTGAGAGAAGTTAACGACTTCTTGAGAGTCTCAGCTCAAGAGAATGGGGTTTTAAATAGTGTTTGGTGTAGATCAGAGAGGTAAGGGGCTTAGGGACAGTTACGGTTTGATGGTAAGGCCTGCCCACCTACAGTTATTCAGAGCTGTGGTCCAAACTGATTCCAAGAAGTACGTTACGTGAAGAGCTATCATAAACTTAAATGCATGGTCGGTTTAATAGAAAAATATGATATGAGTGCTTTATACGAGCACAATCTGCCAAAACTAAAACTATTTTTCTATCAGCTTGATCGACTTATAGGCCTGCTTCTTCCTGAAGTCTGACAAATGTTCAAAGAAACTGGAATTACCTCTGCCCATTTCAGCTCGCCCTGGTTTTTAACTATTTTTGCCACAATTTTACAAAATAAGCCTGCAATTTTATACCCAATATGAGACTTATTCATTTTAGAAGGATGGAAAGCTATATTTAAAATAGCTATAACGATCTTAAATATCGTTTCTAATTCTTTTGATGAAGAAAGCTTTGATACAATCATGACTGACATAAGCAGCGCTCATCTTCCTAGGACTGAGATATAGAAATTTCCCATAGATGGCGCTGTTTGCCCTTGATTTGCCCATGAGGAAAATTTTTTAGTTTGACCAAACCATATGGTACTGGTCGAAACAAAAAATATCCCCAGTGGGCAAATCAAGGGCAAACAGCGCCATCTATGGGAAATTTCTATACAAGTTTTTGACGAGCATTTTATAGAAAGAGTTAAAAAAGTTAAAATTTCTTCAGAGTTGTTAGAAGATTTAGAAGGGGAGTATGAAAAGCTGAAAGAAAGTGCAAGATTTAAAAATAAGAAAAAATAAAAAATTATGATAAAAGGATTTGGTTAAAAATAAATAAAAATTATTTAAATGGAGGTTTTTGGAGAACTTTCCCGGATTTTCTTAGAGGCTTGCTGGAGTCTTTTAATGGGGTGATAATAGGAGATTTACTTCTATATTGGCTAAGGATAGGAACATTTTGCAAATTTCCTCTTGATGATTTTGATCTTTGCATTGGAACTTTGACGTTATCGCAATAAGATTTATTCATATTTTCAAATGATTTATCGCTTATTGTGGAGCTTTCCATCAGGATGCTATTAGAATTCATTCTTTTGTGGACAGTTTGGGCAGGACTATTTAGTCCGTTATATATAAGGTTCTGATAAGGCAAATTATACTCTAAAGCATTATTTTTAATCAAATCTTCTATAGTTGAAATGCTTTCTCCTTCTCGGCAATAAATTCTGTTATTTTGAATTGATAAATAAATTCTTTTGCCTTTAAACGTATAAGATAATTCTTGCTGCTTTGAGAAGTAAGACTCAATCCTATGTGCTCTTAAAAACGAAGTAACATTTTCATCAAGAACATCTAAAACGCTTTTTGGCTTAGAAATTTCACCAAAGCTGTCATTCGGGTTCATATTCTGAAGATTTGCCTGCAATTCACTTTTTTGGGTTTCAGACTTAGCTAATTTTTGTTTTAAAATTTCTATTTCTTTTAATAACGACTCGATTTTTTTGGATGAAGTTTTAGATGCTTGCTGGCTATTTCATTGCTTTTTTTCATTTTCCAAATTTAAATTGGTTAGTTTTAATGAGGTAATTTGAGAGTTCATCTGTGCAATCTCTTTGTCTTTTGTTTCTAAAAGCTGCATTAAAGACACTTCTTTGATTTTACTTTTCTGAAGCTCATTTTCTGAGTCCTCATTTTTATTTAAAGTGTAGATGTTTTCTTTGTCGCTTTTTGATAAATCTGATCCTTTGTAAATCTCTTTTATGGGGGTTGTTTTGAAAACATTTGAGTCTTTTTCAATTGAATTTTCATAGATTTTTCTTTCCTTTAAAATCTTATCATTTGAAAGAGTATTCGTGGATATATCTAAATTACAGTCATTTTTTTTGCTTAAATAAAGGATCTCTTCGAGCTCATTTTCACCTTCTGAACTTTCAGTTAATTCAATGACTGGGCTAAGCGAGCTTATATGGCAAATTGAGGCGTCTTCTTTTTTATTAGAGTTCATAAATAGCAAAATCTTTGGTGAATCAACTTCATCTGGCAGCTCATAAATAGTATCTTTAGCTGTTTTAAAAAGAGGCAACCATTGCAGCCCTTCTTTAGGAAGAAGCTCAAGCTTAAGGCTCACACTTCCAAGGATTTCATTTGGAAAACTTAACGATTTGACTATTAGTCTTAAAATTCCAACTGGCAACAATTCAAATGAATTTTCTTCATTTTCTACTGTTAAAGGTGATATTACTTTTTGAATTTGGTCATTAATGGAGATGTAGCATCCAACTTTTAAATGGTCAAAGCCTTCAGCTCGAACAATGCTCAAATCGATTGTATCTGTTATCATATTTAATTTTTAACGACTTTGAAAGAAATTTCAAGGTTGAATTTTAAAATGTCGGTCGATACTATAAATTGAATTAAGAAAAAGGTCTTATTATGAATAAATAAAGAGTTAATCAGCTATGAAATTGTTGGCAATATAAATTTTCAATAATATCATTGATGATCGTATTCCAAAGTATTTTGATGGGGAAATTGTTATATCAACGCTTATAAAGCAAATAATTTATTTAACAATACTTTTATAATGAAAGAGCTAATATGTAAAAATACCTTTAAGGATAAATTAAAAATTTTATTTTAGTTGAAAGATGCATTTGATATTCATATTCTTCTTAAAAAACCCTAATCTTTAAGGAATTTATGTAGATATTATAATTTAAACTTGTTAAAGCTTATTGTAGTATATAAAATCATTTACAAAGAAATTTACAATTAACTATTGTTTAATAATAAATTTCTAACTTGAAAACCTCATTCTGTAAATAACTTACATATTGCACTCGCCATATATATAGCATTAAATATTTGGACAATAAATATGCCTTATAAAAAATATGGGCTGTGGTTCAAGCATGAATGACCCAGAGGTCAAGGCTTTATCTGATCAGCTAAAATCTTTCGTTATCGAAAAAGAAAAGCTTCAGAAAGAAGTCAACGACATCAAAAGCAGCCTATCAAAGAAGTCCACTACCCATGATGAAATCAAAGCATTAGAGCACGAGAACAAGAAGCTAAAGCATGAAATTAAAGACCTTGAAAAAGACATTAAAGAAGCAGACCAAGACTCCAACACCAAAATTGCAGCCTTAGAAGCCAAAATTAAAGAAGTAGAAGAGGAATGGGAAAAGAAAAAAGCTGAGAGAAATGACGTAAGCAAAAAGCTTACAGAAGTCAATGGAGAATCAGCCAAACTGAATGATGAAGTAAAAGCGTTGAATTCTCAAAAGGCAGCTGAAGAGAAGAAAATAGCTGGCTTGAAACAAACTTTGGAAGAAAAATTAAAAATAACCAAAGATTGTGAAAGCTTGACAGAAAAGATTGCGGGTCTCAAAGAAACAGTTGAGAAAAAGGATTCTTTGATTTCTGGCCTTGAAAAAGAGTTACTCTATTTCTAAAAAAATTCATTTTAATTGTATAATAGAGATTTCTATTAAATCATAAAATCCATATTTATCATAGGAGTTAGCAGAAAACGAAACTGAGGGTACCGTTGAAGGATATGAGGCTGAATTAGCTGAAGCTAAAAAAGTTAACTATAAAATAACAGAAGACACTTTAGCTCAAACTAAATTCTTACAAGAATGCAAAGCAGCTAACTATGGTAAAGCTCTAGAAAACGCTAAGGACAAGCAAAGTGAGCTACTCAAGCAGCTTGAAATAAAAAAAAGCGAAAGAGCTGCATATGAAAACCAAACTCGCAGCAAGCAATCCCAAATGGTAACCCTTCAAGAAACATTAGAATCTAGAATTGCTAACTTAAACCCTATCACAGAAGAAGACTTCAACCAGCAAATTGCAGCTACTGAAAGTGTTAATGCAGAAATCCAGAAAGAAATCCAAACCTTAGAAGCAACCAAAAATGCTAACTCCCCCCTCCCTCTGTGAGCGTACAAAACTATTAGAAAAAAATCTCTATTTTTTGCCGAAAACCCACTCTCCGTCAGCGAATAAAAATTTTTTTTAATAGAAAATTCTTTATGGAAAAAATTTTCTGATATATAAGTGATAATTATTATAATAAATCTCGAATTAATTCTGTTTAATTTTAAACAAATTGCGTTTTAAAACATAAATTTTTTAAATTAAATTAATATTTGCTTTCAAATTTTTGCGAAGTTGGATTTTTTTAAATTTCGAAAAAAAATTAACCCCCCTCTGTGAGCTAACAAGATTTTTTTGTTCGCTCACGGAGGGGGGAGTAAGAAAGAAGAATTAAAGCATATAATTGCTAATGATGACCAAAGCCAAGAAAATGAAGTTGCCAGACAAATTTCTGATAAGGAAGCAGAAGTCCATACCCTTGAAGCTGATTGGAAAAAGAGAATTGCAGATATGAAGGAAACGATTCAGAGCTTAAGCAATGAAAGGAGATCACTTAAAGAAGAAATTCACAAACTCCATGAAGAACATCATGAAGTGGAGAAAAAGATTAAAAAGGCCAAAAAGCATCACCATCATTAATTTAAGAATAAGAAATCATTATTAAAAAATGATGATTACTACTTAACGGTTTGAAGGCTTATAGCCATTTCTGCTTCTCCAATGTCTTTGAATCGTTATAGCAGCCTTCTCTTCTTCGATTTGTCTTGTATCCCGTCTTCTCAAATCGTTTTCTTGCCTCCTAACACTGCTTTCTTGTCTTTTAATACTGCTTTCTTGTCTTTTCACACTGCTTTCTTGTCTTTTCACACTGCTTTCTTGTCTTTTAATACTGCTTTCTTGTCTTTTAATACTGCTTGTGTTACTTATGTTAAGTCTATTCATTCTGCTTTCAAGCTCAGATAGTGAAATACTTCCGCTTCGATTGATATCAATTAATGCAAAAATCTGTTTACATTCTGCTGGAGATAAATCTACATTTAGCTTGCTTAACCCTTTTTTCATCTCATTCAAATTAATGCACCCATCATGGTTGGCATCTAAAAATTTGAATATCTCTTTTATAGATCTTCCACTTTTAGTCAAAGCACAATAGACATCTCGAAGGAAATCTCTTTCTTTTACTTCAATAACCTGTCTATCATATTTCCATACTTTTACTAATTCTCCAATATGCAGCTTATTAATCCCAGCTCTAAATCCAGCAATTCTGAGTAATGCTAGCATTTCATGAGGAGTAATATGAAGTTTTTCAAAGCCATTAATAAGCTCTGTTTTCGTTAAATATTCGCTGCAATTTTCGTCGACTTCAGCTAGTCAGGCCATTAATGATCTTGGGGCAATTTTAATTTGAAGCTTTTGCAAAAGTGGAAAATCATTGAAATTCGTTTCATTATTGTTTTCTTTTACAGGCTCGTAAAAGTTATCTAGAGATTTTAAAAAAAGTTTGCCTGCTTTGAATCTTTCCACTTTGTTTTTGTTGTAATCGTTTCTCTCTTTGGTGATTCTGTCTAATAATGATGGGATAAATTGACGGGTTTGTGTTTGCCAATTTTCACCTGTAGATTTATTGAGATATTCAGATAAATCAGGACTTAATAGGGATAAACAGAGCTCAGAACTTGTTAAGCTTTGGATTCCGGCATTTGATAGTTTGGACACGATGGATTGCTTTATGTTATTAGCTTGAGTAATGCTGTAATTTTGCATTTTAAGTATTTTTAATAAATTAAAGTTAATTATAAAATTTAATCTTTTGTTGAAGTTGATTTTTTATGTTTTGGAATATAAAGCCATAGAAGTATGCAGCCAATAAGTACAAAGCTAAAAAAGAAAATTGATTTTCAAGAAAGTGTTTCAATAAAGCTGTTTATCACCTCTCCAAGCAAGGTAGCATAAAGATTAGATTCAAGCATTTTGTGATTTGCCTTCAGCTTTAAGCACTTTTCTTTTTCCCTGCAATATTCTTCAGCCATAGGAATCCTTAGTTCTGTGTCACATCTATTTCTTTCATAATCTCGCCTGCATTGGTCTATTTCGGTCTCTAAGAGTAATTCATTTTGTCTTCTCAGGCTCATTACATCATCATTTCAGAGTTTTAATAGCGATAAAAAAACGATAATCACAATAAGAGCAGAAAGTATTAAAATAGAGTTCTTTGAATTAATTGTATTTGAGTAATTCACTTGTGGGATGTTTTCCGATGAAAAAATAAGTTCTGTTTTGCACTGAGAAAGATTTATACTCCTCTTAAGCTTTTCAGTTATTAATTTTTTCACCAGTTTTTGACTTCTTTGATAATGTAATTGATGACGTCTAGATGCTGATAATCTCATTTATATCATATTTAATTACCATATTAGCCTTTCCAAAAATAGAATTAAGCTAAGAAATCTATAGCTGAAATGAACTGACTGGTAATAATTTAGATAGGCATCATTCTAAATCTTTTGAGTAATTTAAAAAACCATTATACTAAATGAAAAAATTCATCTATACTTTTCTTTTATTTAAAATTGCTAAAGGATTTCAGAGAAAATTCAAGTATAATCACCATTTTAATACGTATTAGTTTCTTCTTTATATATGTTTTCATCGATTTTATCAATATAATTCTAATTACAAATTAATAAAAAATTTATCATTTTTAATTAAGCTTAGTCTTAATAACTTCTTTGTATATTGGATTTTTAGTAAAAAGTGATTATGAGAAAAATTTTTGCTTGAGTCATTTTATTTAGCAACAGGGCTCTACAAGTAGTCATATCTGTTTAATAATGAAACAATGCCTTTTAAATTGATTGCAATTATTCTTATTAAAGGTATCAAAAATCAAATCTTTATAATTTTGTTTAAAACGATAATTTTATTCAATATTGATATTAACTTTTATCATGATTTCATTTCTCTTTAACAATTAAATTGATAGGCGAGCTTATTGGCCTATTTTTAAAATAGACATTAAATGTTATGAAATTATAATTAGAACCCTACAGAGAAAGTTTTCTTTAAAAATCTCAATTTTTACAACAATAGACTTGCTTTATGGTAACGATAAAGCTTTTCCATTGAGACTGTTTCAGAAAATTTCGACAAACTTCAAATTATAATTTTTTCAACAATTTTAGATAATCAAAGGGCTTTCTCCAAAGAAACTTTCTTCTCCAATTTAAAATTCTAAAATAATTTGAACTATATTTTCAATCATAAATCTTAAAAAGATTTTTATTAACTCCCCCATCCTTGTTCGAACGATTGACTGTAAAAATTCCTAAAAATTTGGGGAAATTAACCCCCCATCCTTGATCGAACGATTTTCATATCATGCAAAATTTTTATATGTATAAAAATATATTAGTTATCAAAAGCTTGGGAAGATGTACCTAATGAAGTTGTTTTCAGAGCTTTGAGACGGCAGAAAGCTACGAAATTAACCATCCGAAGTGATTTAGCCATCAACCTAAGCTTAAAAACTCAATAATCTAATAAAATACAGATTCTTTAAAATTTTAAAAAAAAAAAAAATTTTAATTCAATAAGGAACAAATTAAAATTTATACAGTTTAAAGGGATAACTAATAAGTCAAAATATTAAAAATTGGTATTTTATGAAAATAATTCAATTTTTTGCTGTAAAAATAATTATTAAATACTCTTAACCCTCTTATTTAAAAGTAAATAAAAAAAATATATATATATTTTATTTTATATATAAATTTTTTTCCCCAAAAAAATTTTTTAACCCCCATCCTTGATAGAACGATGGCGAGTCGTTCGATCAAGGATGGGGGGGAGTAAGAATAAAAATCCAAAACTCCATACTTAATTTACGCCTTTGAAACATAACCATGGTTTCCAGAAGTTCCATAATTAAAACTTGCAAGGCAATATTGCTAATTCAGCCTTAAGAGCTATTATATGATATTAAATTATCATTTTCTGAGTCAATCATATCTAAATAAGCAGCATGGACTTAATTTTTATCAATGGGGCAATGCGTATTTTCTATAAGTAAATGCAGTTAAATGATAAAAAAAAATTTTCTCGTTTTCAAAAAGACCCTGATCAGGAAATCTTGCATCTACTTTTAAAATATATTTATGGATATTGTATTTCAATTGGTTGATTTATGTAATTCTTAATTTGGTTATAAAAATATGACGAAATTCGAGGCCATGAGCCACATGTTGATCAAGAAAATTTCAAACCAAGAATCAGAAGTTAAGCATTTGGATATCTTTTCAGTTGAGCGACCTCTGCCCATCCATCTGTTTACATATCTTGAATACCTTCAAGATGAGCTAGAATGCTCAGACGCGGTTTTTGCGCTAGCTTACTTGTACATTGAAAAGTTACTCCAAAAATACCCTAAATTTGTAATAAACGCGTCCAATTTACTTACTCCCCCCTCCGTGAGTGAACAAAACCATTAGAAAAATCCCTATTTTTTGCTGAAAAACGCACCTTCCGTGAGTCAACAAAAATTGTGTTAATAGAAAAAATTTTTATGAAAAATTTTTTTTGATATATAAATGATAATTAGTATAATGAAATCTAGAGCTAATTCTGTTTAATTTTAAACGAATTGCTTTTTAAAACATAAATTTTATAAATTAAATTAATATTTGCTTTCCAATTTTTGCGAATCAGAATTTTTTTAAATTTCGAAAAAAAAAAATTAACCCCCCTCCTTGAGTGAAAAAAATTTTTTTTGTTCACTCACGGAGGGGGGGGAGTTAGGCTTACGTTTACATCAGTAGTTTCTGCTTTTAAATTTACTGAAGATAAAATCATTTCATATAACGACATTGCTAAACTTGGCCATTTAGACGTAAAAGAGCTGTCAGTGCTAGAAAGGGTATTTCTCTCCTCTTTAGAATATGAACTTTGGGACGAAGAAATAAGACAAAATTATGAAGATTTATTAATAAGCTGAAACAATTTCAGCATGTATAGTGATATAGAGTATGATGAGGACCTAGAAGATATAGGAAACTTAAGTACGAGTACTACTGTGAGCTTAGATGAACTAACAAATTTCTCTGAGCTGAGCGCCTTTTTCACAGACATATAATGGTAAAATAACACCTTTTTTATTCTCAGAACTGATGAAATTTAAAATTTGATGTTCATCAAACTATCCTGCTTCCATATATCCCAATACAAATATTTATTAATTTTCTATAAAAAAGTCCAAAAAAATACACAAACAGTGTGATGATTTATAATTTTATAAATTAATGTAGTGATTAGGATTGAATTTAAAATTTATAATAGGTATGGATAGAATTATTATTTCATTACAAGCAATTTAACATTTTCCTTTTAATTAAATTATAATTGACGAATAATTAGACCATTCTATTACTTTCTTAAAAGTGAAACCGATAGAAAAAAATTTTATTATGATGATAAAATTATTTGTTTTAAATTATATTAAGACAAATTAAAACATGCAGGATAATTTTGAATTAAAAGATATGCCTTATTCTAATTATTTATAAATGCTATTATTAGCAATAGGTTAAATTAAGATATAAAAACAGATAACTCTTTAACAAAATAGACTGTTTTCATATATTAAAAAGGTATAAATCTTGTAAAGCGATTAGCTATAAAACGTTGACCTACAAGGACTCAATTCAGCCCTAAATGATGCAACAAGTCTTGAACTTGGTCTTGTATACAATAGGGTTGGTGTTGGTGGATAATGAGGATAGTTCCTCAGCATCCATGGAGAATATGAAGGCCTTGGATCAGGAGTTCTAGAAAGCCTATTTTTCATAAGAAAAGGTGTGCTTTTATTAAACAATAAAAGTAAAATTTCATTTAATCGGTCAGAGTAAGCTTTAACGTCTTTGCTAGATATAGCACTGTTTAGCATTTCAAAAAAAGAATCATAAAATTCTTGAAAAACGATTCCTGAATCCTTTCCAAAATCAACAGAAAGGTCAATCTGGAGGTTTTTCGCGTTGTAGCGAGAGTATAAGGCATCTGCAAATATTTGCTGCAGTTTGGAATAAGAATTTTTTGAAAGTAACTTGCCTTGGCTAGGGTTTATGTATGATCAAATCGATTTGAGACCTTGAAAAATGTTATTATTCATTCGTATAACAGATTTTTCAAGGAGGTCTGACACTTTGTAGGTTTGTGTGGTAAAAGCTGCTATTTCTACAAACATGCAGCCATAATCATCAATAAGCAGCTTAACTTGCTTCCTTTTTATGAATTTTTTGTCTAGTAAATACCCTCTACAGCCTTCGCACTCCCATTTCAAATTTTTAGATCTCAAGGGAGAATAATTTTTGCATAAAATTTCGATTTCTTTGAGTAAAGCTTCCTCAAAGATCTGCTTTTTATTATCTCCTTTCATTTTTGGTATAAATACTCCATTTTAGGACTCTTTCTCAATAAAGTTATAGACATTCAACTGTAAATCAAATTAAATTATTATAAATGACTCCTAAGAATAGATTAATTAGAAAGGAAAGGCTGATAAATTTAAATAAATTTATCAATATATTAATTATAGTATGATTTTTTTGTATCAGGTGGGTTTTTTTATTTTTTCAAATCTAATAAAAATTATAATTTAAATCCTTTAATACTAATTTGAGTATGAATTATAGATTCGGCGCAAAGCATGGTTGAACTTTATCTATATATTTGCTGGTAATTTCAAGTTTGATTCCTAAATTTGATATTGGTTCCAAGCCATTTGAAATGGCTTTAATACTAAATTGATGACATACAGAAATTTCCAAAAAATCATTCAATTTTTGAGATATATTGAGGCCAAATACTCCGTTACCTCCTACTCTTACTTTAATAATCTTATTTTTGCCAGCATCATATTGAAGAACAAATTTTATATCGGCTGAGTGGTTATGTAATAATTTTAGAGATGCTGCACATGTAAGCGATTGATTTATTTTATGTGATATATATGCAGCAATCCCTTCTTTTAATAATGAATTTTTTGTTTGGTTTAAATATTTTAAAGCGGCATTACTCTTTTTATCAGACCATCATACAGCGATACTTTTGTTTTCAAGCTGCTTTAACCCATAGTTATAGCCAATCCTAAATCCAAGTCCATAAATTCCTATTGGCTTTACTGCCCAAAAATCCATTAGCTTGGTACTTAAAACAGTCAGTTGGCTGTTTATTTCTGAACTTTTATATTTAATTGACGCAGAGTAATTCCTTTCATGATTTTCTTTATTGGTTTTAAATGAAATTTTATATGGATTATAATGATAATCAAGTTTCGTTGATGAATTTAAATTTGTGAAATATTTGTGTTGAATAAATCATGATTTATAAGCTGCATTAAGATCCTGAATCCCTAAAAAAAATACTTGGCCATCATCATTCTTAGAACATATTACAGAACCTTTTACAGAACCTTGTAGAAAAGCTTTTGTGTCAAAACGCGTTTTAAAGCCTATATTTTGATCGAATTGGAATATCAAATTATTAGAGAATCCTTGCTTTAAGCATTTTTTTTGGTTTTCCTCGATTTTTGAGTAGCCAGGAATATCTCCCATTTTTTGAGTTTGATATTTAAATATTAAACCCTTTAGAAAATAATTTCTATTTTTCATTTAAGTATCAAAAAATTATTTATATAGTCTTTCAGTACGCATACTTTTCCTGGTAAATTTAATCTAGTTAATGTATGCATATTTCACTATAATATATTAGGTGAATTGATTTTTCAATTGCAAATACCTGCTAATATGTTTGATCCTTATAATAAATTTCACAAGAACTAAAATATGTGCAATAAAATTATAATGCACAGTATAATCTTCTCATTATTTTAAAATTTATATCCATGATAAATCTTATATGTATCTGTAAATGCACATTAAACTCCTTGAAAGTCAAATTATAATTATGAATTAGGTTTGGCAGTTCACGTCTATTCACTCTGTTACTTTGAGCTATCAATGGCAAGGGCTTATATCTATCATCAAGTGAAATGATAAAACTTAAATATCGAGATTGAGGATTTTGCATTAGTTGATTTAATCTGTCCAGCACTTCTATAAACTCATCATCAGTGTATTATTTTTTGTGAGCATTGACCAAGAATTCATATCTTATTGTATGGCACAGCACTAATTTTTCGTTTACTTCTCTCTACATAATTTTAAAATCTCAATTATATGAGTTCATATTAATTTAATATTATTGAAGTTGACTTAGCGAAATGGAAAACGATGAAACCACGAATTTTGAGATTTTATCTGCAAACGATAAAAGCTTTGAAGTGCTATCAGGAGAAATTTGTCAAGAAAATCAGAATGAAAAAGAAGTTGAAATAATTTATGCTAACCAAATTTTTGATGTCTTAGAAAATGTAATGGCCACTCTAAATTTAGAAGAAAGAAGACTTAGAATGAGTAGCGATGAATTTTACATTGCAACTGAAGGGAATGAAGAAATAGAAAAAGATAAAGAAGCAGCCAAGCAAGAGGAAGTAAACTATTACCCTGCCTGCAATGATGAAACAAATTGGTTTTCAAAATTCGGCACAAATATTCGATATAAATTAGAAGACATTGAAAATATGCCGATTTTTGGATACGATAAAGCAGATTTTGATGAGAATTGTAGCGATATTGTACTTTTGGCTAGAATTTATAGAATATCTGCAGGGAAGCTTTATAAGAGAAATAGCTTTGTAATTGGAAATCCTAGATGCTTGAAAAAGAAGTTTTTTGATGATTTTAAAAAATTGATATGAGTTACATATAGATCAGGGTTTAGGCCTCTTCAATCTCGAGAAGGAGGCTCTGTGAAATCTTTTACATCTGATGTAGGCTGGGGCTGCACTATTAGGGTTGGACAAATGATGCTTCTAAATACCCTTAAAAGACACTTGAAAGGTAGCACAACAGAAATAGATCTCCTAAAACTAATCCAGGAAAATTCTTTTTCAGCTGGCTTTTCTCTTCATAAGTTTATGGAAATTAGCCACGAGTTTCTAAAAAAACCTGGGGATTGGCATTCTCCTTCAATGGTAAGCCACTTTATTGAAAAATTATCAGAAATAAATCAGATACCTAATTTCAAGGTAAAAGTATTTATGGATTCAATGCTGTATAGAGACCAAGTTTATGCAATTGCAACTGAGAAACCTATAGAGAGAGTGTTTAATTAGGGAGGGTAAAAGCGGGTTTATTTCAGCCCCTGATCCAGTCGTGCTCCAGCTTCAGGCTCAATGTGACGCTAGTCACCAAAGCCACCTAACGCTATTTTCTGTCGACGTCATCAAAAATGCGACGTCGACATCTTTCGGGAGACTCACCCGAGAACCTGCTTGGACCCAAAAAAATTTAGCAAAGGACTCTCTTAAACCCCTGGTAGTGCTCATGATATGAGGGGAACGTCCAAAGCTTCCTTCTGGAACTACCTCCGCCATTTGCAGGCAGCATAATGCTCCTCCAGGAGTGCCTACTTGGTATTGCGCAGTCTGTCTTTCGTCTGTGGGTCGAGGAGAGGCCCAGTCAGCCCAAACCTCCACCCACCCCGGAAATCACACCCCATCTAACCCCGTGGCGCTTCGGGGCCACCATTTTGTTAAGTGACCCCGAATTTTGGAATTTTTTGTTTGTCTGTCGGGCTGCGGCCTTCGCCATCATGGAAGGCGTAATTTTTGAAACCTATAGAAGAAATAAGAAAAATTTGCATATGCCCAGATGATAAAGATGAAGTAATTAAATTTGAAAAGGTGGGAGATATTATATGCTCTATGTGCAATAAAAAAACAAGTGATTATACATGAAAGAATTCTGTCTTACTTATATTTCCCCTTATGCTTGGCTTTAAGAAGATTCAGCCTGAGTATAGTGAAACAATAAAATTTTTCTTATCTCTTCCACAAACTGCAGGAGCCATTGGAGGAAAACCAAGATCAGCTTTGTATCTGGTAGGGTATCAAGGAAATTCTTTGTTGTTTTTAGACCCTCATTTTGTTCAGCCATCACTTACAGGTATTGAAGAACTGTCTAGTAGCATTGATAGCTATCATTGCGATTCGCCCAAACTTATTCCTATAAACTCTGCTGAAAGCTCAATTTCTCTTTGCTTTTATATTAAAGATGAACTTGAGTTCAATAAATTTCTAGATAAAATAGAAGAAAATAGAAGATTAATCCATGGAGTTATTTTGGTAAAGAATCAAGAATTAAAGCAGAGTAATGAAGAAATGCTATTTTTTCAAAATTAAATGAAAATTTAATTATAGTATGTGCTTAATTTTAAGTTTATAAATAATCTCAAAAAAGACTTTTTTGTTTAATAAATATTTAGCAAAAATAATATTAAGATAAAAAATGAGACAAGGTGGAAACTCTTCAACTGAAGTCAGCATTGTCCCAATTGATTCTGAGAAGCCAAAACAGGTAAATTTATATCAAATTTCTGCCAGAAAATCAAGATGGGAAGACGGAGATTCATTCAGAGTAAGCAAAAGAAATTCTGAGCTCGTTAACACAAGTAAGGGTATTCAATATTCCAGATGAAGTATTGATAAAACATTCACCCCTCCACCATTAACACATATACCTGAATTTTTAACAAAAGACCAGCTTGAACTTATACTCAGACAAGCAAGAATTGAAGACATTTCACGTAGACTTACAGCAAATGACTATGAGATTCAAGATATTGAAATCAGATCACCTTCTCCAGAACCTATTTACGATCCTAAAACAGGCCAAAGAGTAAACACTCGCGAATCAAGAGCTAAAGAAAAACTTCTTAAAGAAAGAAACTTGTGTATAGAAGAATGCTTAAAAATTGATCCACAATATAAGCCGCCTGCAGATTATAAACCACCTAAAGCTATGAGGAAATTATATATTCCTCAATATGGAACCGCTCCTCCACAAAGCTATGTAACTTTAATATTATTCTTATTTGAATTATATAGCTTGTTTTTTTAAAATAAATAAGATTTCACAAAATTGATATAAATAGGTATAGGGCCTCGCGGAAAAACGCAAAAAGCACTTGAAAAGAAAACTAATTGTAAAATTTATATACGTGGCAAAGGTGCTTCAAGAGGAAAAAACTATAATTTTGAAAGCGAAGAAGAGCCAATGCACGTTTTAATTATCTCAGACTCAGAGCACGATCTAGAAAAATGTGTCTCAATTTTAGAACCGATTTTGAATGGACATCTAGACGATGAAGAAAATAAGAAAAATCGATATGAGCTAATGAAGCTTGGAGCTGAAAATAGGCTTTCGATTGGCTATAAAACAGACTGGTGTGACCTTTGTGGAGAGCAAGGACATAAGAGATATTGCTGCCCAAGCCGTCCTTTGGCATTAGGTTGAAATCAGCAGTGTGAAATATGCAATGAGAAAACTCATTTTACTGAAGACTGCCCTACAAAGAAAAGGAAGAAAAAAACAATTGAAGAACAATTAGAAGAGCTTAATAGAATTTCTGGGACTAATATGCAGCTTTCTCAAAATGATATTATGATGATTAAAGCTTATAAAGTGCAGCAAAAAGCACTCAAACAAAGCCAAGTTGATGAAATCCCTGAAACTGTTGTAGAGGAAGAAGATCTATTGCCGCCAGGAGTTGACCCAAGATATTAGTTTTAAATTAATTTCTTAGATTTTAAGTATTTCTGGAAATAAACTATTTGGAGGATTGATATCAAAATCAGCATAACTATTGTAAAAGCTGTGTAGTAAATAACCCGAGAATATATATACTAGTCTACAATGAATAGTCCATTAAAGAGAATTTTGGTAAAAAAGACGTAAGTTAGCTCGAAAAATTGTTTGGGAAGCCAAATTTAAATTTTGACTAGCCAAAAAATGCGTGTAAAAAATTACCCTAATAATAAGCACAATTTTACTTATTATTAGAGAGAAAATAGTGGCTAATGATCGTAAACATGTATAGTCTCATTTGTATTTCTCATTTCCTCTTCACGCTCTCTTATATATTGAAGCTCATTATGAAGCTGCTTTATATACTCCTGGACTATTTGAAGCTGGACTTTTGAAACATCTAATGATTTTACAGATAATGGATCTGATGGTTTTTTGGCATCTATTCCTATTCTGATATCGAGGGACACTGAAATTTCGGAAGGGCTTTGATTTTCAATGCATAAATGATATGTACCGTCGTTTGCTGCTGTGTAGTTTAAATTATCATAGTGAGTGCTTGGAGCTTCATGAATTTGATCGACGTCTTTATAAGAAAATCTTGTCCAAATTGTGCCAGATTTTTGCAGTACCTGTGTTTCATATCAGAATAATGTACCTTTTGTGAGTTCTTCACTGAAGCATCTTATAGTTTGTTTGCGAATTGAAAATTCAAAACTATTTACACCGAGAAATAGGGAAATAAATATAAGCATAATTATTCTTACACAAGCTGTATTTGAATTCTTAGTAATAATATTATTATTTATTTTTATTATTTTCAATTTATCTAATTGATGAATTTTATTTAACTATTAATTAAGATAATTTGGTCAAACACAGGTAGCAACCCTACACCCCCACCACCCCCCCTAAAAGTGGTACCCCCACCCCCCCCTTTTTTAATGGTACCCCCACCCCCCCACCTCCCCACCCCCCCCCTAAAAAATGGCACCCCCACCCCCCCCTTAATATAGCATAAATATATGACAAATGCCAATTTAGAGCAGACGTAATAAATAAATTATTATTTTAAATATTCAAAATTACTGATTTATACAATATCCACATAGCGTAGCACAATCGATTAAGGAGTAGGTGGAATGAGGTGAGAATTTCCTATAACTACTAAGCACACCACATATAAAAATTTGTTAGTGAGCATAATAATGATCTTTGGTATTAATTAGCAATATATCCTGCATATATTTATGAACTTTGTGGAATAATGGCTAAAAGTCGAATTAGAGATCCAAAAGTAAAACTGACAATAGCAAATACTATTTTTTATTACCACTATTGAATCCTGTTACCAATTCAGTCCTGCAATCCTTATACAATGGACATTAGATTAGCTTTAATTTATGAATCAATAAATTTAATGCAATTTATTGTGTTGTGCTTGGCTCATTTAATAATTAATGCCATTATCTATATCTTTGGCATTATATTTATAAATATAAAAAAACAAATTTAATATATTTTCTAATTAATTGCTAATTAATTTAAATTTTTATTAATTAATCATAAATATAAAGTAATTTGTGGACTTAATTTATCAATATAGTGTTTTAATTGGGTTATATTTAATTTATTTTGCTTGTTTCCTATCAATTACATCTATAGAATAAACCCGAGAGGGGGGGGTGGGGGTGCCATCTGTGAAAGGGGGGGTGGGGGTACCATTTTTAGGGGGGGTGGGGGTTCCCTTATGGGGGGGTGGGGGTGTAGTGTTGCTACCTGTGCTTGACCAGATAATCCAAAGTTTTAGATAAAAAAAATGTAACAAAAAATATGGATCACACGGCTAGTTATAAATATCATTACTTAATAGGATAATATTAAAGGAAAGCACCAAAGACATATAAAAATTAAAAAATGAGACTCAATTCATTTAATTAGAATTTTAAAATTATCTAATATGCACAAAGCTCGTCAAGAAAGAGCTGCTCTTATGGAGCAAGCTAAAAAGAATCAAGAAAAAGCTAAAAAGCCACAGAAAACCACTTCATCTTCATTTAATCCTACAAGTTCTCGAGGCGAGCCAATCTATTACTCAGCAACAAAAATGGACGGAATGGGACTTTGGTGTCAGCCAGTAGGGACAAATCCTGCTCCCAAGCCTGACCCTCTACCTCAGCCTGATCTCACCTCTGACATTGACTCCAAAATTCACAAAGAAATGGTCGAAGTCCTCCAAAAAAAATGTTCCTCATTAGGCATTAAACTTGATCAAGAAAAAATCGCAAAACAGCAAGCAGAATTCAATTTGAATCAAATCCAGTCAAAATTAAACGAAATTTCTGAAGAAAAAACAAGCCTAGAAAATCAAATAAAAGGCTTAGAAGACAGAATTAAACAATTAGAAACTGAAATGGACGAGCAATGTGTATACCAAAATTACGCACAAACACAAATAGCATCACTTCAAAAAGAAGCTGAAAATGAAAGGGAAAGAGCTGAGAGCTATAATAAATTATATGAGCAAGAAACTAAATTAAAAGAAGAAGAAACAACTGAGTATCAACAAGAGGTCGAAGCCTTAAGAGCACAGCTTGAAGGTCTAGTTGAAGAAAATAGTCAAGTGAAAGAATATTTAGCCCATTTGCAAGCAGAAAATGAAAAATTATATGAAGAAAGAGACAGCTTAGGTCAGAAATTTGTTAAAGAAATGACATCAGGGCAAACTCAGGAAGAAAAAGCTAAAATAAAAGCAACCAAAATGAATTTATTGTCAGGAGAAAACAGGGCTCTACAAGTGAAAGTAAAGGAGCTGGAAGAAGCAAGAAAGAAAAATCAAGAAATTATGAAGAAAAAAGAGGAGGAAATTAAAGTGTTAAAAAGTGAAAATGATAGCCTAAAAAATAGGATAAAGACAGAGCAAGAAATGAGGAAGCATCAAATTGATTTGGTTGCACAAAGAGACTCTAAGTTAAAGATACTTGAAGAAAGATATGCAAAGTTAGACCAGCAATTCCAACAATTATTGAAAGAGCATCAGGATAATAAACTAAATGGACAAAAAGCTGCGCCAAAGCCAAAGCTTGTATCTGTTCAAGCAAGGCCTGAACTTTTTGAAGATTAATGCTAAGCTTATTTGATTTTATAAGCTGATTAATAAATCCTTTTATAAATTTTCGAATAAATATGCGAATTATTGCTATATTTGAAAATCATAATTTCCATTAGCATAATATCCAATTTATCTACAATTTTGTTAATTCAACCTTATAGATTATTTCACATTTATATGCTTTTTTCTTGTAAACTCATGTATATTTTCCATAAAATTAAATAAGATGATTGGGCACTTTATAATTGCTATATTTCATTAGATAGTATAATAGAAATGCGATTGATTTTCAATACCCTAATAATCAAAAACTCAAAAGAATTTCAATTTTTTCCATAAAAATTCCTAATTGCATCTAAAATTAATACCTATACATAATTTGCTTCACATTCATTAGTAAAACAATGGCTGACCAAACTTACTTCGTTGAAAAGAACATAGAGCAACTATTTGAAACTCTAATGGAAGCAGTTGTGACTGCAAAGCCCGAAAATCCACGTCAATTCCTTGCAGCACAGCTTCAAGATGATCGTTCCATTTCATTCCAAGACTTTCTAGCACTCTTTAATGCTGTTTCCAAAATTTCAGCTGAAACCAACCCTCGGCTTGCATTCAATAGAATTATTGAAGAGGTTAGGATTAGGATTATTTAAAGTCAGGCGCTAGTCATATGATGATGTAGTCACCAAAGATCTCCCATACGGGAGGTTCTTTCGCTTTTCGACTCCAACCCAGCCCTCTACGAGTGCCCTTCTGGCACCTTCTGTCTCCTCCTTGCCTTGAGGCTTCAGTCTTGAGTGGGTGACTTATGGATTTCTGTGGCCCTGTTACGGGCAATTGGAGTAGCTTGATTCCATGGATCAACTCCTTGGAGTCTATCGGGCGCCGAAGTGCCTTTCTTCGACAGCTACAGGAAAAATACTACTCCACTGTGGCCTGGCCGAAACCCCCAATTTCTAGGAAGGACGTTGTTGAGCACCTCCATTTCCAACCACAGGAAAGCAGCCAAAACCTACTCGGATACACACCTCTTGAGAGTCTGCACTTGATTCTCGGCTCGGAGTCCGTCCCAGTTCTTGGTAGTCATCATGTCTGGACTGCTGCGCCAAGAATGCACAAATTTTGCCCATTTTAATGTATATAGAATTATTGAAGAGACCTGTAAACTTCTCCATTGCGAAAGGGCAAGCCTTTTTATTCATGACCCAGGCCAAAAATGTTTAAAGCTCGTTGTAGGAAAAGGTGCTAAAGGTTTAGTTTTGTATGAGAACTCAGGGTTTACTTGGACTGTATTCAATACAAAGCAATGCGTAAATATCCCTGATGTTTATTCTGATCAAAGATTTGACTGCTCTGTAGACTTAAATACAGGTTTCGTATCAAAATCTATGCTTGGAGTACCTATTCTAAACCAAGAAAGACACCCTATTGGAGTTTTACTTGCCTTAAATAAGTCGACTGGAGCTTTTTCTGAAAAAGATGAAGAAATAATCCAAATTCTTGCAAGCCAAGCTGGGATTTCTATAAGGAATGCTTATTACTATCAAGAAGCAATTTATAATGAAAATAAAACGAAAATATTGCTCAATTTCATCAAGAACTTGAGCAAGGATCAACCAGGGCTGCCTTTAGCTTTAGAATTGGCAAAGCGTGCAGGAGAATTAATCAATGCTGATAGATGCCATATATTTTTAGTTGATAAAAGCTCTGAAAAGCTTTTATTAATTGCAGCTGACTCTGAGGTTGATTTCAAGCTTCCATTAAATTCAGGACTTGTTTCATATGCAGCGACTACTGGAGAAACAGTTAATGTGCTAAACGCTTACGAAGACCCAAGAAATATACCTGATTTTGATCAAATTTTCAGCTACCATACTCAGTCACTTATGGCTGTACCTATCAAACGTAATGAACAAGTTATAGGAGTTATTCAAGTGACGAATAAACGTTATCATAATGTTTTTGGTGATATTGAAATCTATGATTCTTTCACCAAAGAGGATGAAAAACTGCTACTTGTCTTTGGAGAAGTTATAGCAAAAAAACTAAAAAATTCGTTTAGGCTACTTTTAGATGTTACCCCTGTGACAGAAGATGTGTCGAAGTTTGAAAGCAGCTTTGGAAAGAGAAAGAGCGAGCCTGAAGAAGACAGTCCTGCGATGCAAGTAATCAAAGAGGAGAAAGAGACAGAATAATTAAATTCTTGCACAAAATCAATAATTTTATATTAGCTACTAAATATTTAGCAGAGGCTCTAAATAAATTTTTAAGAGATTAATTAATTTTTATTGTCTAATGGTATAATTAATTTATAATTTTAAGCTAATAATTTGAATTGGCTTATTAGATACTTAAAAAATCTCTTTACAAATAAAGCAATAAAGTCTAAGAATTCAATTGGAAGAAAAATCAAGAACAGTCTAGGTCATGAGTCATAAGCATTTCGCATGCATTGATTATTTTATTTAATGTCCAATCTTGTATAATGGGTAATTATCAAAAAATCTAGCCTAATCAATAAACCTATTTTTTATTGAGAAATATGAAATTCCGAATATTTGGTATTAGATTATTACAAGAAAGAAGGGAATATGCAATTTTGAGTCTGCGAAATCAATATATACATTAAATTTAAATTGCGAACTACACTTATAATTAGGCATTAATAACAAGGACGTCAAATATTCCAATATTTTTAATGTTTACGTTAAATTTCAAAGCAAGCTTGCTTTGAGATAAGTCTGAGTCCTAAATCTTATTACTCAAGATTATATTTATGCTGTTCAGAATTGAGATGATTTTTATATCCTATATCATCAATCCTGACTAAACAGCTCAAGCAAGTCAAAATTTTTCTTTGTGTTACTCCATCTATATTATTCAGCTTAAACCTACTTCCATCATCTGCTACAAAAATATCTCCTACACGAACTTCTTCAGGTATTTCAAAACTTCCATAAGAGTCTTCATCTGCGACCTCTTCGTCAGAATATTTATAAGAATCATCAGCAATATCTTTTTCTATTTCACTTTCTGAGCTCTTACTACTCAAATCTTCGACTGCTTGCTTTTTCATAGCAATTTTCCTTTTCCCTTCGTCATGTTTCAACCCTTTCACATATTCTATTAGCATTTTAGCTCGATAAATTTCGATTGTACTGTCTTTGGAACTTTCTCTATCATTGCAAGCACATGAACCCATACTATTTTTTTTGAAAAATTTTATATATTTTGCGATGCTGGTGATATATTACTCGAGGATTCTAATGCGTTTTATTAAGCTTCAAGAGATACTAGCATTTACTTTAGAAGGTACAAGAATAAAAGGAAAAGCTGGCTCTAAGCGAAGCGGATAATATTAATATAGACTAATTTTAACGGAAATCACTAAAAATATTATATATAAAGTTAGAATATTAATAAGAAAAACTTTATAGAAGATTGCTACTATATTAATTGCATGTGATTTTTGAAACTTATAATTTTATGCCATTTTAGTTAGATGATCAAGATAATGCTAATTTTTTATGGTTGCTTGGGAAATTAAATTACCATTTTTGGTGGCAAATCAATTCTTAAAGTAGGCAATCTCTATCACCTCTAAAATTTGCAAATTTAAAGAGCAGCAACTACCCAAAACCGTCAAAATAAATTTCCTCTAGTTTGATATACAGCATCAGCATAGCTGAGTACTAAGAGCGCTTACATATATAAAAAGGCTTTGGAGAATTTTTTTGTATCTAAAATTACTCAACGATCAATCAAGCAATTATTTATATATGTAAATAAATGCATTATATAATCACTTAACTTGCTTTCATATATACCAAAAACATCAGGCAAGCAGAGAGCAAAATCATAATTCCATATACAATAAGTTTATTTTGTATAGCCCTACTTTGCATCAGTGATATCAAGCGGTTACCTTTGGTAAGATTTTCATTCACCTCCCTATTCCTTTGAATTGACCTTTGAATGGTCTCACGCTGATTTTTCAGCTCTGAAAGTGCTTCGATAGAAGAATTCTCAGCTTCAAGAGCATATTTTTTAGCTTCAAAAATCAATCCTTCTTGCTGTATAAACAAGCTATTTGCTCCCAAAAGTCTTTCTTTTTGCTCATTATTGTTTTTCTACATAAATCTTTACTTTATTCAAGCTTGTTCCCATCAGCATTTCTTTTGATTTCTGATCACTGATAAGGGCTTGCTCTTGTCTTATTTGTCTTTTTGCTATTTCCAAATCATTTCTAAATTTTCTAATTTCTTGCTGTAAAGACTGTCTTGAGTTTGCAGGCATCATAGAGGTTTCGATTTCCATTTGCCTTAGCTATATGATTCTTACGCATTTTTCAGCTTCTATTATATCTTTTTCTATTTTGCTCATTATTGATCCATTAGTTTCTTGACTCTGGAATTGTGATTGCAATTCTGATTTGATTAGATTCATGTAATCACAGAAATCCTTTTCAAAACTCAAAAATAACTCACTCCCCCATCCATGAGCGAACAACAAATTTTGTCGAGTGAATTTTTTTTTAAAATAAAAAATAAAGCAAATACTAATTCGTAAAATTTATATTTTAAATACAAACTGTTAATTTTAAATACAATTAGCTACAGACTTCATTGCAATAATTATCACTTATATATCGAAATGTTTTTTTCATAAAACATTTTAATTTTTGTACACTCACGTAGGATGAATTTTTACTTAAAATATAGAGGCTTTCAAAATTTTTTTTGTTCGCTCACTGAGGAGGAGTCAGACATTTTATTTTTTTGAGACTTTAAATCACTACAATAAATCTCAAGCAAAAAAGCGTTTTATATTAAGCTCTCTCTATTTTGATTAGAGATATATATAGGAATATCCTATGCTTTGTTAGATAAAAAATCTCAGTGGGCTAACCAACTCAGGTAGTCAAACCTACTGAGAGAGACTCATTGTCAACTCTCCAGATGGTTTGACCTACCTGAATTAGTCCAATCAACTAAAGAGTTCTCCTGCAATTATCGGGCAAAACATAGTAAAAAACTATATGAGGTAGGAAGAAATAAAAGGAAACATTATTGCAATTATTATAGAAAGAATTAAAATAAAAGTTTTCCAATTTTTAGGCATTATAAAATAAATCATGGGATGTTCTGGAAGTTCTAGTGTAAAAGTTTCTGCTTCAACTAGCGCAATTAATAGCAAAACAGAAAATAAGCCATCAATAGAGCCTACAATACAGCCAAACAGCTCTAAAAATGCAACTTCTACGTCAACTAAAAAGCAAAATGATCCGAATTCAGGGAAAATAGTTCAAGTTGAAAATCATTGGGCGATAATGCCAGTTTTAAATTTAAGAGCCAAACTATATCTAATCAGATTAAATTTAAATGAATAAGTATGCTAAAATAGTAATAGCATTTAAATTAAACTTATCCTAAAATATAATAAATGGGCATAAAAACTTTATTTGCTGAAGTAAAGAAGAAAAAGCTCAATCCTGAAGATTCAATGGAAACACTTACTCTGTAATAAATAATAAGAGATAAAATAAAATTGTTTTCCTATAATATTTTTAAAACAAATATAATACATAAAACAATTAAAGATAAAAATCTTTTTAAATAATTAAGCCAATTTAAGTTGGAAAATTCAGCCATTAAAAGGAGCGAGACAGAACAATTTTAAAAAATATTTCAAATAATTTTGAAGAAGAAAAATACAAGTCAATTAGAAAAGCCAATAAAAGATTCAACGAAACAATAGGGCAATTTCCATCAGGAATTTCACTAATGCAGTCTTTAGGGTTTCGAGATGAAGAAGAAAATGTTATCTTCGCTCCAGGATTGCCACGAAGCCATGTAATGAATAAAATGCATGACTTAGAAATAGCTTATAGAAAGCTAAATGAAACATAACTATACACAAGCATTTTATGTATTTAAATTCATACCCCAATAAATAGATTTTAGCAAAAAATGGGCACACTAGCATCACACTCTCTTTTTGACGAAGATTTTGATGAACTAGGAACTGACTCCCCCCCTCCGTGAGCGAAAAAAAAAAACTTATAAATTTTTTTTTTTAAAAAAATTTAGATATATGTTCTATAGAAAATTTTTTTTTCTTCAAAATTTAAAAAAATTCTAATTTGTAAAATTTGGAAAGCAAATATTATTTTAATTTGTAAAATTTATGTTTAAAACACAATTTGTTTAAAATTAAGCATAATAATTATCACTTATATATCAAAATTTTTTTCTATAAAAGATTTTTATTCGCTCATCGAGGGTGGATTTTTCTAATGGTTTTTTTCGCTCACGGAGGGGGAGTGAGCAAAATCGCCAAGAATTAGAAGTTTATGCAGATAAATTCGAGGCAATGTTTGATGACATCCAAAACTATGAGCTACCTGATGAATTAATAGATGAAATTGAAGCTGCATTCAATGAGTTGTTGTGTTTAAAACAAGAAAATATTTTACTCAAAAAGCAAGCTCAACGACAGAGGGAAATTCAAGAAATCTTGAGATTTAAAAAAGCAAATGAAGAAATCACACAGAGGAAATCTAGAGGAAGCAAAGAAAACAAAATTTTGAAAAATACTGGAAATCTGGGAAATAAAGAAAAATGGCAAAAAGTGAAGGATGAAAATAAAGAGGAAAATAAGGAAAATTTTATACAGCAGGTAAATTTTATATAGAAAAATAAAGGAAAGAGTTCTTCTACTCCAAGAAAACCAAACTGCATTAATACTTCACCACAAATAATCTCTATTTTGGGAGCTCAAAATCAATCAAAAGCTAAAGAAGAGAATCTAGCTCAAGGCATTAAAGTAATTGAAAAAGAGATAAAGCAGCCACTAAATGAAAATATAGCTCCTGACACTATTAATTCAAGCCTATGCCAAAATGAAAATATTCAAAATAAAAGTGTTTTAATTTCAACCGTCCCTGCATTACTAGAAAATAATTCAAACAGTACTCCTTTTCAATCTAATGTCGGAAAACCAATCCTCCAGCCTTGCAAAATTATTGCTTCTCCACCACCGCCACCACCAAATATTAAAACAGCTGTTCAGCCTCCACCCCCTCCACCTTTGCCTTCAAATACTCAGCCTATTCTTAACACAAATAAGAGCATCCCCCCTCCACCTCCTCCCTGCCAAGCCTTTGCTCCCCGTTTCAAAACTTTATTTTGGCCCAAAATTAACGAAAATACCACAGGAACTGTTTTTGATTTTCCAAAGCCCCTATCTGCCAATTATGACATATTAAATAAATTTCCTTATGTTTTACCCAAAAAGATTCCTACTCCCAGCTCTGCAAAATCTAAGTCTCTTATTTCCCACAAGAGAGAAATCGCAATCTCCTCTGCTTTAAGAGCATTGAGCTTAGCTCCTGATCAAATAATCAGAAAGTTAATAACCTGCTCTGCTGATTTGTGTGAAGACTATGAGAAGTTATCAATTCTTTATAGAGTTTTTCCTGAGGATGCTGAACTTCTGCCTTTGAAACATATCAAAATTAATGATGAATCTCAATACACTTCTTCAGAACTTTTTATGATCAAGCTTGCTGAAATCCCAAATTTAAAGCTTTTAGTAAACTCCATTTATTTCAAGTCCACATTCTATATAACTATAGAAGATTTAAAACTTTGCTTGCAAAACTGAAGCAGTCTATGCATAAGACTACTTAACAATTCTCGGCTAAAACATTTTGTAAACTTAGTGCTAACACTTGGTAACGAAATGAATAAAAATCATCCAAAGTTTGGCTCAGCCAAAGGCTTTAAAATTGAATATCTTAATGAGCTTTTCTCTATCAAAAGTGTAGATTCTTTATCGTTACTTGAGCTATTATCAGAACAGTTTAAATCTGAAAATAATGGAAATCCACAAATTTTTTCTTCAGCAGAGCTTGCACTTTTGCAGGAAATTTCTAATGCAAGCTTCACAGCTCTCCAATCAGCTCATATTGATTTTTATAAGCAATTTAGATCATTATCAAATATAAAATTCAATAAAGAATTTGATGAAAATATGGAAAATTTTGTTAGTGAAGTCATTGAAGACGTTGAAAACGAAATGAATATATATGAAAATTGTATGGAAAATGTGAAAAAATGTCATGAATATTTTTTAGAAAAGGAGGAAAAAGACGAAGAAGGCAGATTGATGATGTTTATAAATTTGAAAAAATTCAGTGAAAGCCATATTGAAATTTGTAAGCAAAAGTGGAATTATGTAAGTAGAGAAAGCAAGAGACTTACAGTGCTGCCAAGTGGGAAATTGTCGTTAAGAAGGGTAAGCAAAGTTAATGGTATGAATAATTAATGAAATTAATTCAAATTTTGCATTATAATAAATTTTAAAATATTTTCCGTTGCAACGTATTAAATTTAAAATAGAATATGATATGATAAGCTTCTATTTCAATTTTCTTTTAATTTAATATTAAGCTGATTTTATATTAAAATTTAACTATCAAATTTATCAAAGAATATTCAAGAACTAAAAAAGATGATTTTCAGAAACATTAATTAAACTTAATTATTCAACCCACAAATGGATGTAAGGTGCATTATTCCAGTGAATACTCTTCAAGAAATCAATTTTCAGAAATATCGGCTATTCAAAATTAATCTCACTCCTCACCTTTGGCTACTAGCAAAAACATCTTTCTCGGTAAACAATTGGGATAATTTGATTTTTTAGGATTTTAAAAAAAATCCACTTGCATATATTTGAAATGAAAAATCTTTAAAACCAATATTTTAGGATGCAAGATATAAGATTTTTATTTAAACAATTGGAGAAACCATTATTATAATCATTAATTATACAAAAACATTTTAACAAAAAAATTTCATTTAAAAATGGTTTGATCGATAACGAAGGAATGAAAAGGGGTACTTGCCCTAAAAAGTTTCTTCTAATGCTTTATTTGCTAGCCAAGGGGAGTCAGGAACCAACTTGCTGCAAATTCATCAAAACGTTTAAAGCATCGAAGTATTCATACCTCAGTAAGCTTTGGAGAGCAAACTAGTTTTGAAAAAAGTGAAGAAAAACCTCCACAAAAGCATGTGGAAATCAAAACCCATAACATAGAAAAAAGAGATAGTATTGATATCAATGGAACTTCTTCACAAGACACTGATAGAATTAATTTATCTCAATTATTAAGTAAGGAATACGATTTATTTACAAAGGAATATGAAAAACCTGACAGGAAAAAAATATCGCCAAAATATAGAGAAATAGTTGAAAAAATCACTCCAGTGAAATATATGAGGAGAAAATGTGCATTTAATGGAAGCAGGCTTAGAGGACAAAATAGTCCAATTGATACAAATATTTCGATAGTTGGAAGACCTCTATCTTGTGCGTTGGGAAAAAGAAATAAAAATCAAAAAAGACCAAAATCATCTCTAGATTTTACTCCGGGGTTAAAGAAAAGTAAAAATGAAAATATTGGAGAATTAAGCTCAAAATCTTTTATAGGCTGAGAATGCTTAGGAAGTCGTCCAGGAACTTGTTCGCCTGATATTCAGATCCCATTTAAAATTTCTACTGATAAATCTAATAGAAATGCTTCAAAAGACTTATTCAATTTTAAACCGAAGTCAAAAAGGGAAAATCATAACAGTTCCTATAGTTTTAGCCAAGTTGCTCACAATATTTCCAAATATGGATCTTCTAGAAAAACCCTGATTTAACGTAAATTAATTGTTTTATTAACTAAAGCTTGCCAAACAGCAAGATGCACGATAATAAAAATTGATATATAGATGATGAAAAATGTATATATGTATTTTGATAGCAAGTTATAATAAATTAATATGGCAAGAAGGGATTCTAATATCATCGAAATAAAGCTTGAAAGAATTGGCAAAAAACGTTTTGATTCTGAGCTTAATGGTGAATTAAAATCACTTCCTGGTCACCCAGTCTCTATAAGTTCTCAATGGCCGATCCCAAATGAGCTTTCCACACCTGATTACCAGATTTCACCATCATTTGGGAAAATGTATGTCGGCGAAAGTTTTACTTGCTGCCTCAGAATTTCTAATATTTCACAAGGAGTTACTTTAGAAAGGGTGATTATTGCTTGCCAATTAAAATACACAAACGTAAAAAATATCCCTATGCTTTTTCAGACTGAAATCCAAAAGCTTCAAGCTGACCAAACCAAAAGATTTGCATTTTCTTTACAAGTTGACCGTCCTGATACATATTATCTTAGCTTTGCAATCACTTTTAACTTGAAAGACCTTCCAGAGCCAATAAATGTTGGAAAATTATTCAAATTTGAAGCAAAAAACCCACTAGAGATGTCAAATACAATTTTTAAAGCAGAAAATGGGTTTATTGTGCAATGCAGGGTTTCCAATACGACTATTTATCCAATGCATTTAAACTCAGTGGAATTACTATCTAATAAGCAATTGTTTACTGTAATTCCTCTCCATGAGCAACCTAAAGCAGACATGTTTAATTGTGGGGAAATCAGAAGCTATCTGTATCATTTAGTTGAATCTGTTCAATTATCATCATTTGTAGACTTAGGAGTTTTATCAATTACATGGCACAACACAACAGGTGATTTTGGGCATCTTGAATCTCAGCCTCTAACATACACATTCAAAATGGATAAAATTTTAAAGCTGGCGATTGATAATAAGCCAAAAAATTTTGAATTGGAAATGCCTGTGCAAGTGAATTTAATCATTTCTAACATATCATCAACTTTTATGCTAGATAATGCCAGAATTGAACTGCAAGATTCTTTAATGAAAAATGTTGACTTATATTCAATGTCGTCCACGGCACTTGGCAAAATTTTGCCGCTTGAATCCAAAAGTGTAACTATGGCTTTATTCCCAAAAGTGCCAGGTATACAAATATTAGAAGGAATTAAAATTTACAGTGGCACAAATACGTGTGAATTTGAACCGTGCCAAATTTATGTCAAACCTTAATAATTTAGTATAATTATTTATTTAAACAAATTTAACTCCATCTATTCGGTAAATTTTTTTAAGTTTAATTGAAAAACGAAGATAATATTCTTAATAGCTTTAAGCATTCGTTGCTAAATCAATTAATTCGTTTAATTAATATTATGAATTTCAATAGTAAATTAAATTCTCATCAGTTCATTTTTTGTGGTGAAATAATAATTTTCAGAAAATTTGTAACGAAAATTTTTAATATCAACAATTGAAGCAAAAATTACTAAAACAGCAGCGAGGCTACAATTTTTGATAATCAGTGATTAGCTTTTATTACAGCTTACCCTAAAAAGCACGTATTGAGAATTTTAAAAATGACTTACTACTAGATATAGAGATTTGCAATAAATAATGATTAATTGAGTCACCATAACTTTTATCTAATATAGAGCTCTATTTAACACTCAAATCAAGCTCGCTTCTCATTATTCTTGAACCAATTTTAGCATAAAGAGGAATTTTGACACGTCACAAAAATTAGTGACATCATATTTTATTAATAAATCGGAAGGTTTCTGGTATCAGTAAAAATTATGAAATAAAATACGAGCTTTAAACATCGTTTTTACTGTCATTATTATTAGACTCAGACTCTGCTTGAGGATAGCTACCATCCACATCAACTACTTTAGGCTCAAGCCTTTGCTTTTCCTCAGTCCCGTTCTCATCACCTCCAAGTCCCGTTGTCGGGCTCTCAATTCCTGCAAACTTTTTCAGCTTCATCTTGATCATGAAAGCAATTACTAGACCAAAAATCTATATAACTTTTACCTGGAAGCATCCAAAAACAATATTGGTTATTCCAAATTTCAATGATATATACCCAATTCAATCATAAATTTTTTCTCTGCAATTACCTATAGGTGTCCCTCTATTGATATCAGTGAAGAGAAAAACGTTTTCTTTAATGCAAACTCCTGAACAGTCAAACCTTTTTTCGACATATTTCAGCAAATTAAGGTACTTAGCATACTCTTGCATATAAGTATCAGAAAATGCATCATCAGGAATGACACAATTATCAACAGTGACGTCTATTTCCAAGGCCTTTTTCATAAATGCAATTAGAATTGCTTGAACTTCTGGAGGATAATATTGAATGTGCCAGCAAGTATTGCAATTTTGAAGTTTGGTAGCCGTTCCATACGTAAAAGTCTGGTTGGCATAAAGGTGGACTTGGGTAGTAGGCTCAAGGTTGCATGGGCAAAAGATCGTGCACATTATACTCCCTGCTTTAATAACTGCATTTGAGGCATCTCGAAGACCTTTCAAGTCGTAGCACTTTTCGTCGCTACCTAAATATTCCTCATCATATACATAAAATTGCGTGGCATCGACTCTCCCTCTCATGTGACGGTAACCTATGTATATTCGAGCATGATTTTTGGGCTAGTAGTTGGCCAAGCAATATCTGGTGTCCTGCAGCAAAGGACTTGAGCGCGAATCTGCTGGTTTGTGGCCTGATCCAATTGGGAGTTGCTTATGACTCCATTTTACCAGCAGTACCTGAGCAGGGGAAACCTGAAATGGAGCAAGGTTGATTACCTGCTCAAACTGCTATAGTGGCCCTGCCCCAAACCGTGGAAGCAGTTAAGTTTTTCTTCAGGGATGATCTGGGGGGGAAAAGAAGCTGACTAGACAGCAATGCAGTCTCTCTAATTAAAGGAAACCGAGCAGGAGCGATACCTCTAAGGGTGATAGGCAGAGCAACTAGGCGTTCGAAGAGACAAAGCTTGAAATTGTGATGTCCGTAAAGGTTTCCAACCCAATAGGGCAAAATACTGCCATGAAGCCAGAGGCTTGGACTGGGCTCAGAGTTATCATAGGTAAAACCCACCAATCCGGCTATGCCGTTAGGCGACAAGCATCGCACGGAATGCCACCAATGTGAAATAAGGACTCTAAGCACCTCATTAATGTATAATATTCTTCAGCATAAGCTGCTCCCCATAGGCAAGCTATGCCAAAGACACATAAAAGGACTCCTGACCATCCAGCCACAAACATATAAGAGTAGAGTCCCCACTTATTTTCCTTATAGGTGCCAAAAGCAGCTACAAAAGCAAAAATGATCATTAAAATGCCTATAACGATCATGCATACTCCTACCCATTGTTTTTCAATTGCCTCTACCAGAGGAGAGTCAATAACAGTTGCTCCAACATATATAGTAAAAGCTCCAGTTCCAAGCTGGAGAAATGAAGTCTCAAATAAAATAAATTTGAGCCAATTTAAATGACAACAACGCATTGGCGATTTTATTATGCAGTTAAATTTTACCTATTAGATGATGTCTCATTCATTCGTTTATTATCCGTTTTTCCTTACCCCCTTTTGAATTTGAATAAAATCATAGATAAAATTTCTAATTTTTGGGTATTAAACCACTTTAAATTGGAATAATTTTTTCGAAATAGAAAAATTTTATAAATCTTTATAAAATGAATTAGATGAAATAGTGCAAAAAATGCTATTTTAACAGTATTAAACTGAATCAATTAATTTTTAATTAATTCTTCATAAAATAAATTAAAATCCAAAAAGATTGGACTCAATTTATATTTTTTAAATTTTAAAACTTTTTTGATAGAGAAAATTTAACCCCTTTAAATTGGAAGATTATTTTGCTACAATTTAAAGGGGAGCAGGCTAGAATTATGGTGTGAGCTCAATAAATATGGAACGATTTTATGTGATATTTAATAGTGTTATTTGCGATAATTCAGTAGAGAATCTTAAAAAGGTTAATAAAAATTCAGAAATAAAACGGAGGCATTCTGATAAGGTTAACTCCTTACTTTGGCTCAGTAAAGTGGAACTTCGGTTCTTCTGAGAGCTTTATCTATAGAGACACTATCCATATGGCACTGGAAGCAGAAAATTATTTTTTTGATAACTGGAGGCGATTAGAAGTTCTAATGACCTTTTAACTGCCAATCAGCTACTCAGAGATGAAGTAGCATCTCACGTGTAAGGCTTCAGAAAACAGAAGAATAGCTATTTATGATTTATCTAACTAACAAACTATCTAATAAAAATTAAACCAAGTTTCCTCTTTTTTCTTGCTCTTGCTCTAGAGATTCAAAAAGAGCCTTGAAATTTCCAATTCCAAATCCATTGTTATTGTGTCTTTGAATGAACTCGTAGAACAGTGTAGGTCTGTCTTCGACTGGCTTTGAGAAAATTTGTAAAAGATACCCACGATCATCAAAATCAATTAAGATGTGGAGCTCTTCAATCTTTGCTAAATCTTCTTGAACTTGGATTGAAGAATGTGCAAGTCTTTTTCTTAGGCTGTCGTAATATTTAGGAGGAACTTCTAAGAACTCAACACCTCTAGCCCTTAAAGTGCTTATAGTTGATATTATGTCATTAACTCTAACTCAGCGAGAATTATAGGGAGCATAAATTTTTAAGAATTAATTTAATATTTAAATTTTACACCTATTAATTTTTTAGAAAAATCCATACTTCTAAACAGGAGTAAGTGCAATATGCTGTACACCTGCTCCACCATAATATTCAACATATTCTTGAATTTGGCTTTTTCTGAGTCCTTCAGCAGGCTCATTTATCGGCATTTTGATGACTTCATCCCAATCTGCGACCACAACCGACCTCAAAGATGAATAATCGGTATGTATTACAGATTCATCAGCTGACCAATATCGATGGAATTCAAGATACTTCTCATACCACTCCACTGTAGGCGTCATATCACCATCTGGCTGATTTCCAACGATATGATCAATGACTTCCAAGTTAATTTTAGGGAAAGCCGCATTTATAGGATCATCTCTGGTTACAGCCCTATAGCCTGGTAAAAAGGGTCCTGTGTAGTCAACGTTCTGGATCAATGTGTGGATGGTATCTCCATAAGTCTGAAGAGACGCAATAACGACCGATCCATACTCATCTTGCAAAACTTGTGGCTCACGGATTCCTTTGCAGCCTTTAGCTGTCGCCTTCTCGTACATCCCTCTTGCATCGCTTACGCTAAATGCGATATCTTGGACCCCATCACTGTGCATGGCGACGTGACGATTGACTTCATTATCTTCAGGTGTGAGAGCTGATGTGAAGGCAAGGACTACTTGGTTGTTTCGGATGACATTGGTACAGAACTTTTGGTTTCCAGTTTCAAGCCCTTCATATGCACATGGGCTGAATCCGAATCTTGATGTGTAAAATGCTGCGGCTTGTTTTGAGTTAGAGACGTAGAAACGGACGTGGTGGAAACCATAGAACTCTCCGATGTCTGGCCTTGCTTCTGACTTGGTGTAATAAGTCATTTTTATTAAATTCGCCAAAAGCCACAATAATTCGAGATGGAGAAAAAGAGGGAAATGAAATAAAAATTTAAGTGTTTAGGGGACTTGGATGGATGCAGAAGGAATTAGAAAAATCAACAGAAAATAATATTGAGTATTTACTTGGGTAAATTAGATACCAGATGAGTTAATATAATTAACCCTTTTTAATAACAGATCAATGAAGTTAATGAGTAAAAAATTTCTAAAAATCCTTTATAAATTTTATTTGTATTAGATCTTTTTTTACTTACTCCCACTCAGTGAGTGAACAAAATCATTGGAAAAATCCCTATTTTTTGTCCAAAAACCCACCCTCGTGAGTGAATAAAAATTTTTTAATAAAAAAATTTTTTATTAAAAAAATAAAGATTTATAAGTGATAATTATTATAATGAAATCTCGAGCTAATTCTGTTTAATTTTAAACAAATTGCGTTCTAAAACATAAATTTTATAAATTAAATTAATATTTTCTTTCCAATTTTTGCAAATTAAGATTTTTTTTTTAAATTTCGAAAAAATAAATTTTCTATTAAATTTATATATAAAAATTTTTTTAAAAAAAAAATTAACCCCCCTCCGTGAGTGAACAAAATTTTTTTGTTCACTCACAGGACTTAAAGCTTTTAATTTGAGTGGCTTTTATTTTAAATAATAAAATTACAATATGTTTAAAGACACAAAAATTTTGATATTTCTTCCATAAATACTTACTCCTCGAGCAAGAAAGCTATTTTTTTAAAATTTAAAAATCTTAAGCTAGAGATTTATCTAAATAATTATCACGTATATATATAAAAATAATTTTATAAAGATGTTTTATTGACAAAAATAATTTACTTACTCTTGGAAGATTTATTCTTATCAAAAAAAGAGATTTTTTCAATAGCTTTTCTCTTTGACAGAGTAGGATGAGCTAATATCTTTGAATACTTTTTATTAATAAACTTAATGGATTTAATTCATTTAAAATAAAAGCAACTAAATTTTGTTAAACACTTATTCCATTTTTTCTTGATGACGTAAAATAATTCACTTTAAGCTTAAAGATATATTGAAATATAATTATTTTCTTTATTATGAATCAAAATTTAATTGAGAATTAGACTTTGAGTCGCGAAATGGGAAGCATATTGAGAATTTTTTAAAATTAATATGGCATTTTATACATAAAACCATTATTATAATTACGAGCATGCTTCATATATCATTTAAATCTTAAAGCATCTAGACTTTTTAATTATTAATTAAATTCTTTTTCTTTTAAAATGCGCTTTTTAATAAAGACTACAAATTCTTCGTAGCTTATAACTCTGTCATGATTTGTGTCAATTAGACGTATAAATTTCTTCAATTCTTTTTTTGGGACCATTGGCATGGAATATTGAAGTTCAGTCAAATTTAGCATACCATTTCCTGTAATATCATATACTCTCCTATTGAAAATGGTAATTTCTTTAAACTGAAAAATTCATGAGAAAGCATATTTGTATAGCAAACTTTGTATTATAAAGAAGTATATAATTTAAAGACCTTTTCAACCATTTCTTTTGAAATCATTTTGTTTCAGTTGATTGCAGTAGCTAAAAACTCAGAAAATTCAATAGTGCCATTCTCATTTGTGTCACAATTTTTCATAATTGCATCAATATCAATATTAAAATCAACCTCCATTCGTCCATAGCCTTCTATAAGCTCTTCTTTGCTAATTTTCCCATCTTTATTTGTGTCGAGTTCTTGAAATAATTTGGATAACTCTTTTTCATCTTCAGCAGTTAAAATGTGTGAAGCAATAAATGATAGAATGCATTTTTCAAATTTCGATTTAATCTGTCTAGTATTTACCCTAATTTTTCTTATTCCCCCCCCTCCATGAGCGAACAAAACCATTAGAAAAATCCCTATTTTTTGCCCAAAAACTCACCCTCCATGAGCGAAAATTTGTTTAATAGAAAAATATTTTTAAAAATATATTGATATATAAGTGATAATTAGTATAATGAAATCTCGAGCTAATTCTGTTTAATTAAACAAATTGAGTTTTAAAACATAAATTTTACAAATTAAATTAATATTTGCTTTCCAATTTTTGCGAAGTGGGATTTTTTTAAATTTCGAAAAAATATTTTTCTATAAAATTTATATATAATTTTTTTTAATTACCCTCCTCCGTGAGCGAACAAGATTTTTTTGTTCGTTCACGGAGGGGAAGAGTTAGCTGATTTAATGCATCTGAATAAATAGGATTTTCAGAAGTGATGTTTTGGATATTTGATTTTATTCATGGATGCTCAAGTGCTTGCTCTGCGCTTATTCTTTCGTTTGGATTAAAAACTAATAGCTTTTTCAATAAATCTCTAGCACTTTCTGGGCTTTGAATTCATTCAGGGCCATCAAAGTCTAGTCCTAATTTAATTGAATTTATTACATCTTCTCCAGTGTTTCCTACGAATGGTAGTCTTCCAGTAAGCATAATATGCAAAATAACTCCTGCGCTTCACAAATCACATTTTTCATCAAATTCTCCAGTTAGTACTTCTGGAGCTATAAAATAAATCTAAATTAATATCACCGAGTGAATAGATTGCTTTGATGTATTTCCTAAAATATGAATTGAGAGATCAAAATCAGCTATTTTTAAACGTGAATCTTGGGCTTTAGATTCAAAAAATAAGCTTTCTGGCTTTAAATTTGCGTGAATGATGCCACGTTTATGCAGATAGTTTAATCCGTCGAAAATATCAATCATACATTGGATGGCTACAGAATCGCTTAAAAATGAATCATTTGTTATTTTTCTCAGTAACTCGCCTCCTGAAAACCACTCCGATATGACGTAGAAATATAAAGGAGATTCTATTAATTCATATATTTTAGCTATATTTGGATGATCCTGATTAGTTTTTACCATCATTTTAAGGCGTTCTATTCTCTTTAAAAATTTTGTACGAATTTCTGGTGTTATTTGACTTTTTGGGTATTTTTTTAATATTCGTTTTAATCCTATACGTTTATCAATCACAATAAAGACTTCTTTAACTGTTCCTTTGCATAGGGTTTTGACAGTTGTATAGTTTTGTCTAATAGATCCTTGCAAATATTTTGCTAGAGAGTCTCAGTTGTGACGCTTCGTATTTTGATGTATTGTGGGCTTTTTTAAGGTAAATTCCTTATTTAAGCTTGGCTGTGTTGAAGGATCCTTAGTAGGAGCCGTCTTTACATACTCTAATAATTCATCTCTATCAGCTGAAGAATTTTCAAGTATTTTTGGCTCTTCTTCAGGCCTTGAATTACAGCAGCAGCCCATGTTATTTTAAGAGAAGAATTATATTGAGTATATATAAAACTATGATTAAATTAAGTAATATTCTTTACGAATGCATATGCATTTATCTAAATATTAAATTGTGGTTTGATATTTTAAATATAAAACTAAAAAATATTAATAAATTACAATTTATAAATAGGATATAATGATATAATTAAAAATTTAGTACTTACCCCCTCAGTAATAGGTAATTTTAGGAGATTTTAGCAATAAATTTCAAATAGTAAATAAATCGAAATTGCTTATTATTTGGGGTAGATGTACAAAATTTTCATTTTTCACTTTTATCTCGAATCCCGATCATAACAAATTTCGATCTATTCATATAAAAATTTACTATATTATTCTCCCAAGAATAATGAAGAATTTGCTAATTAATGGGAGAGTTAGTACTACATCTATTTATACTATAAAGAGAATAGCTTAATCACTTTGAAAGATCATATTACTTACAATATTATAATGATCTAGAGCTACTTAACTTGCTTTGCTTCATTAAGTAGTTTTGCATATATTCTATAAATTCTTCATACGATATAACTCGGTCCAAATTTGAATCAATCATTCTCATAAAGTTCTTCAGCTCTTTTCTTGAAACCATCGGCATACAATACTTAATTTCATTTCAGCACAAAGTTCCATCCCCTGATATGTCATATAGCTTAAAAGCTTTTTCAAGTGTCTCTTCAGAAATCATTTTATTTCAGTCCAGAGCAGCAGTTAAAAACTCAGAGAACTCGATACTGCCACTTCCATCAGAATCGCAATATTTCATGATTGCATCAATCTCGATGTGTGTATGAATATCTGAGCGCTCATAGCCGGCAATTAACTCTTCCCTACTCAGTTTTCCATCTTTATTTGTATCAAGTTCTTGGAAAAGGTCAGAAAGTTCTTTCTCTTCTTCTGTCGTCAAAAGATGAGAAGCTATGAATGTTAAAATATATTTTTCAAAATTTGATTTTGCCTATATAAAAAGTACCCTAAATTCGTTTAAATTCTTCAATGCAGCGAGGTAGACTGGATTATCGCCTGACGGTTTTTCGAGATTTGACTGGATTCATGGATGATTAATTGCTTCTTCAATTGTAATTCTGTCGTCTGGATCATATGTAAGCAACCTTTGTAATAAGTCTTTGACACCATCAGGATACTGGGTCCACTCAGTTGCATCTAATTTCAGTCCTTCTTTCATTGAGGAAACTATTTCTTCTTTTGTCTGGCCTGTAAAAGGGAGTTTTCCAGTCACCATGATATGTAACACTACTCCAGCACTTCATATGTCGCATCTTTCATCATAATCTCCAACTAAAACTTCTGGAGCCACATAATACATCTAAATTAATATCACAGATCGGACAGCGGGGTTCAGCTTTCGTTTCTTATTTGTATATGAAGAGAGATCAAAATTAGCAATTTTTAAACGTGAATCTGGAGCTTTTGATTCAAAAAATAAGTTATCTGGCTTGATATTTGCATGAATGATTCCACTTTTATGACAATAATTCAAACCATTAAATATATCTATCATGCAACGACTTGCCATGTTGTCATTAAGATATGAGTTACTTACTCCCCCCCCTCCGTGAGTGAACAAAAAAAATTTTGTTCACTCACGGAGGGGGTTAATTTTTTTTTTTTTAAAAAATTTATATAAATTTTATATAAAAAATTTTTTTTCGAAATTTAAAAAAATCCTAATTCGCAAAAATTGGAAAGCAAATATTAATTCAATTTGCAAAATTATGTTTTAAAAAGCAATTCGTTTAAAAATAAACAGAATTAGCTCTAGATTTCATTATAATAATTATCATTTATATATCAAATTTTTTTTCCATAAAAAATTTTTCTATTAAAAAAATTTTTGTTCACTCACGGAGGGTGGGTTTTTTGGGCAAAAAATAGGGATTTTTCTAATGGTTTTGTTCACTCACGGAGGGGGGGGAGTTATAATTTTTTGAAGCAGCTCTCCTCCATCTAAGTATTCCGATATAATGTAATAGCATGAAGAGGATTCCAAGGACTCATAAATTTTTGAAATATTCGGATGGTCCTACTTATTTTATACCAAGTCTTTAAGAATTTCTACTTGATGCATGAATTTCAAATACCCTTCTGGATCATCTTTTGTCTTTTTGTACTGTTTTAAAATCCGTTTTAACTGCGTTCTTTTATCCAAAACAATAAAAACTTCTTTATCGGTGCCTTTGCATAGAGTTTTGACAATTTTATAATACTGCCTCACAGAGCCTTGCACGCTTTTAACGAATGATCCTCTCCTTAGACCTTTAACTAAACTTAAACTTGCATCGGACTTTGCTTTCCTTTTTCTTTTCAAATCTTGCGGAGTAGGTGGTAACGATGGCGGACCTTTCTTTATGGACTCAACTAAGTCTTCACGGTCACGTTGAGTATCTTCTGTAGCTCTTGTATCTTCTTCTGGCCTTGATGCGCAGCAACCCATTTTATTTAATAACCAGGAGCTTTAATTCGAAAAACAGTTTTTTTAGCAATACCTCATTTAATTAATTTAGAGCAAAAAAATCATAAATTTCTGAAAAGATTATAAATGTTTCGAGCAATTATACATTAATTAATTAGTGGTTAATTTAATCACCAATATGAAGCTTTTTTTATAATTAAGCTTTTTATATTTTAATAAATAAGCCCAAAAAAGATGCAATTTTATTTAGAAAGGTCCAATAATCTCAAACTATGTTTTTTTGTTCTATATGCAAAATCCGATTAAAAACAGCAATTTAATATCTTAACAAATGATTATTAATGAACCAAATTTCATACTTTTTCGTTTTCTTGCTTTAAATTTGACTTTCTATTTGTGACCCTTGGAGAAAGCACTTTGGTTCTAATCTTAAAAATCGGAGGAGTTTCAATCAAAACGTTTGGCTTTTCTGCTCGAATATCTTGTTTTGATACTCTACTCAGCTTTTTTGCCGCTTGTTTTTTTTCTTTAAAAGGACTAGCATTCTGATCCATAATGCCAATTAAATCCCTAACGAGAGAGTCTTCTTCTTCATATAGCTCCTCTTCACAATAGCACTTGATAGGCTCTATAACTAAGTTATTATTGAAGTCAGACTTTTGGTCAATTGACTCAGATCTGTCTTCACAGTTTGCACTGCCCATCGGACTAGAAGGACTTGATACATTGCTTTGGCTTTTCTGTATAAATGTGAATCTTTTAGATCTCACCCTTTCTAACTGCCCGAGATTTGTACTAGAGTGGCTGATTTTTAAGCTGAGTTTATCTAATTGAAAATCTTTTCTTTTATGCATTTATATCTATAATATCATATTAAAAGTGGGTTAAATTATACTGTCTTGGTAATTGTCACCAGCCGTGCATAACCATCTGAGCAGCCAATGGCAGCCATATCTCCGCTATATGAAAAATCTGTTGAGAACACCGAATTCGGTAAATCCATGACAGCGGCAAATGGCTTATTATAGTTCATCGTATCAAAGAATCTTGCTTCATTACTGCCTCCAGCAAGAATCATTTCTCCCTCGTCATGCTTTGAATATTGTGCTGAATAAAGCTTGCAAGGCTCAGCTGATCTTCTAATCCCAACACCTCCATCCCAGTCAATTGTGCATATGCATTCTCCACTTCCTAAGTAAAAGTTTTGCAACTGTTCTCTTTCTCTCCAGCTTCCTGCTAAGATAACTCCATCTTTGATATCTAACGTATCTCCACAGACATGAGGACCAAAAATGGCTCTTACAGCACATCCTTCTCTGATGTCCCAAACTTGAATTGTATTGTCCCATCCTCCACTAATAAGAATATTAGGGTCTTGGGAGTAAAATTTAACTGAGAAAATACGATTGGAGTGCCCAGGAGATCCAGACCCTCCAGGCTGAAATTCTACTACTGCTTGTTTAGTGGTTTCATCATACACTCTTACTATTAAATCTCTCCCAGCAGTTGCAAATTTAGTCCCATCAGGTGCGAAATCTGCACAATACAAAGGGTTATTCGCTGAATATAGTCTATGAAGAGATTTTCCGGAAGTAACATGCCAATGTTGTACACTTCCATCAGCATGGACTGAGATTAAAACATTTTTTGTTTTGGATGAACTTGTTGTAGGCCTCCATCTAATGCAAGTTGATGTCACTTTTTCTTCTTCGTTTCCTTGAGTTTCTCTTCTTTGCTGGTTCAGCATATAGACAAGCTTGGAGTTCCTCATGCTGAAAATTCTAATTGTTCCATCTTCGCAGCCAGCAGCTAAAAATCGGTCTAGAGGGTCAAAACGAACACATTGAATCCCAGTTGATCCGTCTCCTACGAATCCTTTGGAATAAACTTTGCGGTTAACATTGATAGGTTGAAATACTGGGAAGTTTACCGAAGGTTCCATCTTATCGTATCGTTATTTGCAGATTTTTGAACTTTACCACCTAAGTGTGGAATTTTTTCCGCGAGTGAAAAGGTGGTTTTCACGTGTGGAGCCCTTTTGATTTCACATATGGAATCCTTTTTTCACACGCGAAAAAAAAATTCCACACTTAGGTGGTAAAGTTCAAAAATCTGCAAATAACGATATATAGGAATTTTTTCAATTTTTTTAAAAATAATATGTCTCAAAACTGCGCCTATATCAGACAAAAAGATTATTTGAAACTAAAGCCTTATTGAAAATTTTCCAAAGCTTATAAATTATGAAAGTTCTGAATTTTTTGAAAATATTTCATAAGCTTTAAATAAATGTGCAATTCACCATTTTATATTATTTCAGCCACAGAATGTCAAGTTTAGTGGTCACTCAAGAGAGCGAGTTCAACTTTATCTTGCGTATTCTGAATACAAATATTGATGGAAGAAGAAAAGTGATGTACGCTCTTACAGCTATAAAGGGTATCGGAAGAAGATTTTCCAATCTTATCTTAAAGAGAGCTGGGGTAGATTTAACCAAGAGAGCTGGACAGCTTACAGAGGAAGAGATTGAAAAAATCGTGACGATTATTAATAAACCAACGGAGTATAATATTCCTACTTGGTTTCTTAATAGAAGACGTGATATTGTGGTTGGGACTGATTCACAAATTGTAGCCAACTTTTTGGATGCCAAGATGAGAGAGGATTTGGAAAGAATGAAGAAAATGATGCTGCATAGAGGTCTAAGACACTGGTGGGGAGTCAAATGCAGAGGTCAAAAGACCAAGACTACTGGAAGAAGAGGAAAGACTGTTGGTGTCGCAAAGAAGAAGTAAAAATAATACATTCTTTAGTAGAGAAATTTGATAGGTGTTGTAAATTTTTAGAAGTCTTTATTTTAATTGAAATCAAAAGTCTAATGTTGAGATAAAATATTACTATTTAAATTTAGCAAGGTTTGTTTTTAACCTGCTAATTAGCTTTCATAAGTTTAATTTAACGTTTGAAAGATATAAAGAAACAAAAATAATATTTTGCTTAGTTTTAGCTGTTTAAAACAGTATTAAATTATTTTAAAATCAATTCTCATTATTAATTTAATATCGCAATCATTTTAGATTATTTATATGTCTTTAAATCCTTTCTTTTTGGTACTTATCTTCAAAATTTTTATTATTTTCATTTTTATAAAAACTCTTTTAAATTTTTAAAAATACCCAAATAATTTGGGGCCTTAGAGCATAATTTAGCAAATTGCACAAGCACAAGCTCAAACCTCTCAAATTCAAATAAAACCTAATTAAAGAAAATTCCAAATTTTGCCGGCTATTACTCAGCTTAAAAACCAATATGCACAAATTCGCGCGTATTAATAATTATTTAACTATCCAATGAACGAAAAAATCTCCTTAAACCAGTCTGCAAAATTTTTACCCCTAAAATCAGAAAACGACCCTCCTAAGGCATCTTTCAAAGATCTAATTGGTCAAGCATAGGTAGCAACCCCACACCCCCACCCCCCCTAAAAATGGTACCCCCATCCCCCTTTCACAGATTGTACCCCCACCCCCCCCTCTCGGGTTTATTCTATAGAAGTAATTGATAGGAAACAAGCAGAATAATTTAAATATAATCCAATTTAAACACTATATTGATAAATTAAGTTCACAAATTACTTTATATTTATGATTAATTAATAAATTTAAATTAATTAACAATTAATTAGAAAATATATTAAATTTGCTTTTTATATTTATAAATATAATGTCTATGATATAGATTATGGCATTAATTATTAAATGAGCCAAGCACAACACAATAACTTGCATTAAATTTATTGATTCATACATTAAAGCTAATCTAATGTCCATTGTACAAGGATTGCAGGACTGAATTGATAACAGGATTCAATAGTGGTAATAAAAAATAGTATTTGCTATTGCCAGTTTTACTTTTGGATCTCTAATTCGACTTTTAGCCATTGTCCACAAAGTTCATAAATATATGCAGGATATATTGCTAATTAATACCAAAAATCATTATTATGCTTGTTAACAAATTTTTTTCATATGTGGTGTGCTTAGTAGTTATAGGAAATTCTCACCTCATTCCACATACTCCTTAATCGATTGTGCTACGCTATGCGGATATTGTATAAATCAGTAATTTTGAATATTTAAAATAATAATTTATTTATTACGCCTGCTCTAAATTGGCATTTGTCATATATAGAAGTTTCCTATGTTTGGCGCTGTAAGGCCGATAAATTCTGATCGGAATTTATCGGTAGGTTGCACCAAATCAATGCCTTGGTCGGACCAAAAAGCGATTTGGTCCGACGAACTTGGAAAGCTCCTGGGAAAATGTCAGCGCTTTTAGCGCTATATAGAGGAAACCTCTATATTTATGCTATATTATTAAGGGGGGGTGGGGGTGCCATCTGTGAAAGGGGGGTGGAGGGGTGGGGGGGTGGGGGGTGTAGGGTTGCGACCTATGCTTGACCATCTAATTATGATGAAATCCAAAACAGAGTCCCCATTCTCCCGCCAAAAGAAGGAAGACTTTAGCATTGCATTAGCAAAAGGAGTTCTAATTGATTCAGATATCAAAGACGAACTTGAAATATTAGCCCCCGTGCAATTGAACGGATTTACTTTTAAATCAAAAACCAACAACCCAAGAGAACTTCTCCGCGAAAATTTAAAAAAAAGAATTAATGACCGAAAAACTGCACATATGGAAGCTGAAGCAGCTTTTACAAAAACTAGTACTGAGTTAGAAGGGAAAAATAAGCCCGCCAATGAAAGCGAAAGCGACAGCGAATTCCATCCTGAGGAAGAAGAAGCTTTAGAATTGCAAAAAATCATCCAGCTTGAAGAAGGTGAAAGCTCTGAATCTGCTGAATCAATAGAGGATAAAGACCCAGAGAATGTGAAAGACAAATGTGAAGAGTCAAGCGACACTGAAAGTGAGACGGAAACTGATATTGAAGAAAATAAAAATGAAAGCAATAAAGAGACTGAAAACACTATTCCTAACTTAAATATACAGGAAAGTGCAATAACAGACTCAATTACAGTGGCAACTTCTCCTTTTATTCCAGTTGAGAAAAGAAAAGCTCCAAGATTTGTGTCTAAATTTTTAGAAGATGAGGCAGAGCTTGGAAGTGATCATGAAGAACATGATGATTTAGTTAAAGTTCACAAAGACAATGATGAGAGCTCGGGGGATGATAAAGATCTTGAAGAACTTATTGATGCTGGAGAAGTTGATGAAGCCAAAGAGATGCTAGAAGCTAAATTTCTAGGAGATATGGCTGTACAAGACCATCAGCAGCTACAAAAAGTTGTAAATGCTGATTTTAAACGCAAAAGAAATCAAATTGATTATTTAAATGATACACCTACAATAGGAACTAAAAAAATGAAATTAATGGAACAAAAGAAGCAAATCCTTGAAAATAGAGAAAAAGGAGTTGTAGTAGAAAATCAATTTGGGATGGCTTGCGATAACACAGAAGAATTAGATGAGGAAGAAATGAGCAAGTTACAGCTTTTGAGGGAAACCCATAGCTTGAAGTTAATTAGAAACCAATTTAGCTGCCCAATAGAAATTGATGAAAAGTCACTTTCTTATTTGATGATGCTAGAAAAACCGGAAAATAAAATTCCATGCAAATCACTATTGGGAGAAAATGATAAATCTAATAGTATAAGGGTGTTTAGAGAAAACAGCAATCTTACATCGAATAAATCGTTTGTGTTTTCAAAGGGAGAGAATAAAGAGCAGAAAGGAAAGGGGATTTTCGAGAAGAAACGAAAAACCAAGTTGTATAAAATGCTTAGTAATTAGGTATGAGTATTTTAACATTTTCAAATAAATTCTGTATAAATATAAATCATTTTCTCTTTCTTGAAAAAGATTCATTTCACAGCACTTATAGTACTAATTCTAGTGTTTTTCTTGTCTCTTTGTCCATAAGAAATTTATAGCTCATTGCATCTCCAAAATTGATAAGCAGGGATCAGATCTTCTATTTAAAACATGATATCTTTAATTATCACCCTCATTAAATTACTTAATTTTGCCATTTTGGACAAGTCAGAAACTATCCGTTGTAGTTCAGACATTCCATTTTGGCTCTCAAAAAATCTATTTAAATCTCTTTTTTCCTTTTTAAATTAAAAAAACACCCCAAATTATAAAGATTTTTAATCCAATTGGAACCAGAAATAACTTAAATAAGTCAAAGGATTAGTGTTTGATCAAGTTTTAATTAACGATTAATTTAACAGCATTTTCAGCAGCTCGTTCGAGCTTTAAAAATCTAATTTTTTCTGTCAGAGTCTTAGGAGTTCTTCTTTCTTCTGCAATTTGTTTTAGAATGTCATAAATCAGATTAATTTTTTGCTTTGAAATTTCTTCATCTGATTTCATGCAGTCTTTTATGCACTCAGTGCATACACTTACAGCTCTCTTTATTATTGATCGCTTTTTTCGATAAAGGATTTTTGCAAAGCTTCTTAAATGAGATTCGTGAGCTTCTAAGTCCATTTCTAAAATTGTGTTTGATTTTGATAGGATGTCTAGTTTTGAGCTTCATTCTTGCATAAATAAATCGAGTTCATTTGCAGTGTTTTGGAAAGACTCTATTTCTTTGCCTAAAATAGAGTGATTTCCTTTCAGTGAGGATGCTAGGTTGACCCAACGATAAAAATCTTGCATTTTAATTTTAATCCGTTTTAGGGATTTTTAAGCCAAAATGGTTTTTGATATGGCTGATTTTAATTTACATAAATTGGAGGAGATTTATGGTAATTTTTCAAGAAAGAATAAGGAGATTTCGTAAGGCTTAGATATGTGGGAGAGAGGGAAAGCAAAGTTAAAGTAAGACTAGATAGTTAAGTTAGAATGAGTCTTTGGGGAATATTTTCAGCCCTAGCCGCTTTTGCTTGCTTCTGACTTCTTGTCCTAGTGATCGGCTTGCACTTACACTCTTTTCTTTCGACGTCACCAAAAAATGGTGGCGTCTCAATTTCTCGGAAGACGGACCCAGGCACTTCCTTGGGCAAATTTTTTACTGGTCGGAATGATCTACCTGGGATGAGAGGTAGGGCACAACCCTTAATCCTCCTTCTGGTCCCCATTGCCCTTTGCTCCAAAAATGTGGAGTTGTCGCATAGACTTTGGTTTTTTTGTCTATGGGCGGGGTAAAAGCGTTTTGTGGTATCCCTATAAGGAGAAAACCCACCAGACACAATTTCCACGTACCATACCCTCTTAGGCCAAAAAAACCCCGAGGGTATGGGAGAAGGGCGGGTCGGACAAGTCATCATTTTATTTGTGTAAGTAAAAGTTAAGATTTTGATATTACTGATCATGACGAAGAATTGGAAGATAGGGTGTAGCTGGTGAGATGGCGGTAGAAAAAGAAAGAAAATTGATAAACTATTCAATATATACTTCGCTTTCAAAAGAGAGCATGAGCATGTGGGAAAAAAATGCCATTAAACTTCTTATTAGAGAAAACTATAATTTCAATGAGGCATCATATAGAAGACTTAATATCGTAATCAATACTCATTTGAAATGGCATTTATATATGAATTTTCAAGTTTAAATCTAAATCAAACGCTTGCAACGAAAAATTTGGTTTCTTCTTGCGAATCAGAATAATTTGCTAAAGTTATTTTAGCTAAACTTTCTTAATCTATTAAGAATTGCTTATTTTTTATCTGTCAACACTTATTCTCTCCCTTTAATAAAATCCAGCGCCATTATATCCAATTTGAATATGAGCTACCAAATGCTATCAAAAGAAGCCCTTCTTTCTGAAAATCTCAAACTTAGACAAGAAAGACTTGCATTTTACAACTTAATCTCAATTACCCAAGACCAAATCTCTATTTTGCAAAAGATTTCAAGCGAAAATGACTCATCTCAAAATACCCCAAATCATATCACAAATCAAAAATCTTATTCCTCCGAATACAAAGAAGCTGCTGATTTTTTACTTCAAGAATTTAAAGAAGCAGTTGAAGTTGATCTTAAATTGATAGATGCAGAGTCCAGCCTATTATCTAGCAATGAAGACATGGACAAAGGAGATTACTGTGATCTTCTTCAGAAAATAATAGAAAAAAAAATCAGCACATATAATCACGTTATGCTTGCAATTAGGGCAACCAAACTTGCAAAAAGTTAAATAAAAGGTTAAATTTTTGTTTATTTTTAATTAGTTTATGAGTAATTATATAGTGATAAATGTATGGAAAATATCATGTTTGTAATAGAAAATGTGGATTTTGGTGATTCTGATTATAAATTATATTTTATGTGTTTTTTCACTTCCTGAGAAATGCCGAGCTTTATCAATAGGAGGAGGAACTGATAGGGGAGCTTATGAGGCAGGGGCGATTATTGGATTAATAAATAGTCTTCCAGCTGATGAATCACAGTGAAAAGTAGTGACTGGAGTTGGCACAGGAGCCCTTAACGCATTAATTGTTTCACAGTTTTCTATCGGTAAAGAAAATTTTCTCACACAAGCTTTATTAGAATTCTGGGGTAATTTTACGTATAAAAAAATATACAAAGATTGGGATGGTTGATATATTGAAGCATTCAGGTCAAAATCAGGTCTTTATAACTCATCTCCTATGAATGATACAATTAAGAGTTTAGGCTCTCAAAATTTTGAAAGATTTTTGGGTGTTGGAACCACAGACCTTATATCAGGAAATTATGTGTTTTTTAATTCTACGACTCAAAGTAAAGATGCAATGCTTTTAGGAATATATGCTAGTGCGTCAGATTACGGATATCTCCCTATAGTTGAATATAATGAGTTTAAGCTTGTTTCTGGGCATATTAAATTTGCAACTGATATTTTGCATGCATAAATAAAATGGCATTCGGTTCGAGAGAAATTAGCTTTGCTAATTTTTCTCTCCCTCATGGAATTTTATTTATAGGGTTAGGCTTTCACTCGAGAAACTTCTGGACAGCAATAGCGGTTTAACTCTGGGGATAACCAGAGGAACTGCTCCTCAGTCCTTTCAAGATTTCGGGCTTTTACCTCTCAGCACATCCCCACGGGAGGATGACCCTTAGGCGGAACACGCGCAGGAGCTGAGTCGAGACAAGGGCGACGGCATCGCGCCGGGTGAGACGTGCAGCAAGGCTGGTGAAGCAGGAGTTGATAGAAGGCTTGGCCAGGGCTGACCTGTTCCAAGATGGCTCGCCTACGTCACTAGTTTTGCCATAGGCCCTTTTGGGCTGCGGCACTAGACACCTTAAACACCAGATAATTAAGTTAAGTTAAGTTAAGATATTTTGCATGCAGTAAATGCGTGCTATGAACTTGGATATGCTCAAAAGGATATAATTCTCGATATAGTTTTGACATCTGGAAAAAGCATAGAGGTAGTCGACACAACACAATATAGGACCCTTCAATTTTTAACAAGATATTGGGAAATTACATCATTTTATAGTGCGATGCAAGCAATCCTTAATTTAGGTATTGATTTTCCAGAAGTCACTGTAAGATCTATTGTTTATCCTCAATCTCACCTTCCATACTCCTTTTATCTTTATGATTATTCACACAAAGAAAATGAAAAAATGCTTATTGAAGGTCAAAAAGATGCTATAAATTCTTTAGATTTTATTGTTAGTTCTTAATTTGCATTATAAATAAAATTTTTGGCTTAAATATATGATTTTTTAAAAATCTTGAATTTGGACAATTATATTTTCAGATATATATAGAATAATTACGAAAACTTATTTGAATTTGCTTTAAAATTCAATTAAATGTTTTATTACTATACTTCGTGCAAACCATCTTGGTGAAAAAATAATTCATAAGAATTGAAATGATAAATAGAAAGATGAAATTGCTATTATGATCGAAAAAGTAATAAAATTTTGGTTTATAGATTAGCAATTGAAACTCAGAAAAATGTGAGTTAACTCTTCAGCTCAATGTCAGAATGAATAGGTGCAAAATTAATAAATTTTCAAATTAAAATAAAAATTTGTATTTAAAAATATTTTTATATATAATTGTCTAAACTTGATACTAAATTTAAATTAAAGTCGTGCATACTGCTTTAAGATTGATAAAATCCAAAAAATATTTCTTTAGAAAAATATTAAAAGGTAAAATTATCCTTACTCCCCCCCTCCGTGAGTGAACAAAACCATTAGAAAAATCCCTATTTTTTGCCCAAAAGCCCACCCTCCGTGAGTGAACAAAAATTATTTTATGGAGAAAAAAAATTGATATATAAGTGATAATTAGTATAATGAAATCTAAAGCTAATTCTGTTTAATTTTAAACGAATTGCTTTTCAAAACTTAAATTTTATAAATTAAATTAATATTTCCTTTCCAATGTTTTGCGAATTAGGAATTTTTTAAATTTCGAAAAAAAAATTTTTATAAAATTTATATAGATTTTTTTAAAAAAAAATTAACCCCCCTCCGTGAGTGAACAAAATTTTTTTGTTCACTCACGGAAAGGGGAGTTAGTTAAATGAAAAATTTATTTTCTGTATATGAATGGGAGATTAAGATATAATTATTTTTTTTTGCATTTAAGTAAACAATTACTATTTGTTTTTTTGATTTTCATCGAGTTGACTATCTAAAATTCCTAACACGTTAGGATTAAGCTTATAAATAATTTTCAACATAGTTTTCAAATGTAAAATGGATAAGTGCTGACAATGCGAAATAAGTCATTATATATTTATTCAACAATAAATAGGCTTCTTGAATATGACTTCACAAGTCTAAGCTTTTAGCTTTAGCATAAAGTTATTCAAATTTACTTATATTCAGGCATTTACTGCAATCAAAACTTATTAGATTTCCTCAGGCAGCCTAAAATTAAAAGATCGCTTGACCTTTAAATTTTTCAAATAGCTGCGCTTTTGCATTAGTTCTCAAAATTATTTATTTTTATTTTTTGAATTGACTTGCACAAAATAATTTTTTCAATCTTTTCGAACTAAAATCTTACACTTACACTTACACTTAATTAAATTATAGAAAAGCTTCCTCTCGGGATCCGGAGATCCTTATTCCCTTACTCGTCTGCTTCGCCAACAATTGTCTCACAACCTTCAAAGTCTTACTCCTACCAGACATAGTAATTGACATGCTCCTTGGTAGTCGGAAAGAGGGGTCTGACTTCTAGAAAATTTGAAAAGCAAATTTCCCGGTTACGTGTTGCCAAGATGGAAATTCGTAGTTCAAGACACAACGCCTGGTATCGTGCTGGGGAAAGTCCTCGATCGAAAAAGGAATCTCACTGGTACTGCTGGGACACCCCTTTCCAACTCCGAACTCCACTCTCCTCGGAGGTCAAACCTTGGCCTGGATGTGAGCTTGCTGTCTGCAAATCTGGACATTGAGCTCCGCCAAATCAAGTAAAACCCAACTGGATGCACATACCGAACGCTAAAACTCCCTTCCACAATTTCCCTGGGTCTCCCCAGCTGCAGGTGCTAGGAGGTTGGGTTGGTTCGCCATGCCATTTTTATATATTCAAACTAAAATTAAATAGAGAGCCTAATCTTATTCATGTTTGATAAATATGGAGGCGATGGCTTTTATTACAAGTTCACTAAATTATTTTTATATGATTTAACATGATTGGCAGGACTGGTAACTTCGGGTTTTCCAGAATTCGGCACGAATTTACCTTCGGGATGCTAATTTCTTCATGATTTCCTTCATTTTCCTCGAATTCATAATCCCAATTTGCTGGAATTTCTAGACCGGTTAAGAGCAAAGGCGAAATTTCTTGCAGTCGTTTTCTGGAAATTCTATGTCGGCTGTGAATCTTTTTGTGGACAGAAAGTTGTGAAGCCTGCCTGAATTTTTTCCCACACCCTGGCTCGTCACATGGGAAGGGTTTTTCCCCAGTGTGGATTAAGGCATGCTCCTTCAAGTTCTGCTTGCTCACAAAGAGCTTTTGGCACTGGTCACACGTGTAGGACTTAATCTTCAGGTGAGAAGAATTAATGTGCCTTCTCAGGTTGAATTTTGTTTTGTAAAGCTTGTGGCAAAAGTCGTAGTAGCACTCAAACATCATGGTCTCCATATTTTTATTTACACCTACCTTCCAAGAGCGAGCAAAACCATTGGAAAAATCCCTATTTTAGGCAAGCAAAAATCGTTTTTAATATAAAAATATTTTTTAATATAAAAGTAATAATTATAATGAAATCTCTAGCTAATTCTTTTTAATGCTAAACAGTTTGCATTTAAAATATAAATTTAAAAGTTAATATTTCTTTAAAGTTATTTCAAATTAGGATTTTAAAAAATTCTCGATTTTCATATATAAATTTAAAAAACAATTTGCTGTTTACAAGCGATAAAATTTTTTTTGTTTGCTCACAAAGGGGGAGAGTTAGGAATTACCTTAACTTTTTACGAAAACCGTTTTCATCACTGTGAACTCACGGATGCCGATTTCACCTAATTCACGACCCAAACCGCTGTTTTTGATGCCTCCAAAAGGCACTGGCACCAGGCTTTTTGTTACATCGTTAATAAAAATCATCCCAGCTTGAATTTTTGGAATAATTTCTTCTTCTGCTCTCTGGACATCTACAGTATAAATAGTAGCGCCTAGCCCATATTCTGTATTATTTGCTACTTCGATTGCTTCTTCCACACTTCCTACTTTATAAAGTGGGAACACAGGGCCGAACGTTTCCTCTTTCATCACAGGCATGTCTTGTGTAATATTAATCATTACAGTTGGCTCTAATTGGGTGCTTGACAAAACTCTTCCGCCATAGACAACTTGTGCGCCCATATGGGTTCCTTCACACGACGCCTATTTCATAATGCATATCACTTCGGCCTATTTTTTTGTCTAGTCTTTTTGGCATAATTTTTTTAAGCCTCTTTTTTTAACGCTAAAAATTTATAATATAACTTCTGTCAAAAACAATAGAATAAAATTAACTGAAAATCACCTTGAAATAGTCATTATGGAATAATTTTCAAAGCAAAGGGATAAAAAAATTCAAAAAAAATAAATAAAAAGCAATGAAAAAATAGGCAAAAAAAGGTGAAATATAGGCCCAAAAAATAGGCTAATAAAAAAGTTATGAAATAGTCATCTTGCAAAGACGCAACCCATATTAACTGATCTTTCTACTTGTCCTGCTATATTCGTCAAAATGTCTTCCCTTGCTAATGGGCCTAACTTTGTGGCTTCATTTAAAGGATCTCCAAATTTCCAATTTTCGAGCTCTTGTATAAGCTCATGATAAAACTCGTCATATACTGGCTCCTCTATAATAAATCTTTTTGGAGCAATACATACCTGTCCACAAGCATTTAACCTTCTAATTACTGCTGATTTAGCCGCATTTTTTATGTTGCAGTCTCTTAGCACTATGAAAGGGTCGCTTCCTCCTAGCTCTAAAACACATTTTTTTAAATTTCTCCCAGCAATTTCAGCTACAGATCTTCCAGCCCTTACCGATCCTGTGATGTGGACTCCTTGTACCCTTTTATCAGCTATAACTTGACCTATTTGTTCAATAGTAAGCCTTACAGATTTAAACTCGTGCTCTAATCCTGCATCTGTGGTAATTTGGTCAATTGCTGCTGAGACTTGTGGCATATTTTCATCATGCTTTAATATGATTGTGTTTCCTGACATCAAATGTGGGACGACTGCTTTAAATGGAGTCCAGTATGGGAAATTGAAAGGCATTATTACAAGCAGTGGACCAACTGGTTCAAATCTTACATATGAGCGGCCATCAGGAAGATCATAGGTAATTGGATGTAAAAGCTTTTCAGCATTTTCTGCATAGTAGTCGCAGCATTCTGCACATTTTAAAATTTCAGAAATTGAATGAGTGATTGGTTTACCCATTTCAATTGTCATGAGTCTTGCGAGATGATTTTTTCTTTCTCTTATAAGGCTGCCTAGAAGTCTGATTTTCTCAGCACGAGCTTGGAAGGAAAGTTTGGAAAAGGACTGAAATGCAAGCTGAGAAGCATTGATAGTGTTTTCTAGCTCTTCTGGAGAAGTGAATTCATAAGTCTCTAGGAGTTCATGGGTATATGGATTTTTTGAAGCATAAACTCTTTGAGCCATATTGTATAAAAATGAGTGCAGAGCGTTTAATGTTTAAAAAGAATTTAAAGAGATGATTTGAGATTGATTTAATGTTACCCATGAGTAAGTAAAACTATTGGAAAATCTTTTTTGGAAATTATACAGCACGAGCAAAATTGTTTATCTAAAATTTTTTTAAAATAAAATATTTGATTTATAATAATTTTATTCCAGTGAAATCTCTAATCTATTATATTCAATTTAAAATAATTTACATTCTTAAAAATAATTTATAAATAAAATTTTAAATTGGAATTTTTATAAAAGATTTTCAAAAATATTTAATCCACTTCGTGAGGAATCAAAAAATTTATTCGACACAGAGGAAAAGAGTTAGAACTATTAGGATTTGTTGATGAAATTAACTTTGATGCAAATTAGGAAAAATTAGCTATGTTAAATATAATTTCGAAAATAGCACACGAAGGTGCCGAGATTAAATACGTGAAATTCATGAATGGTACAACCCTTCTTTTGCGGTAATTCTTAATTCTGGATCCCAAACTATGCATTTTTTAACGAAATCTACAAATTCTTCATCGCAATTATCAAGAATATTTTCAATACACTTCGAAGTAGGTTTTTTATTTCTTCTTTCAAATAAATGTAAATAAAACGGCGACTTATCCGACCCGCCATTCTGCCAGGGACAAAGGAGGAATAAGGTTGTGTCCTGTCTCTCATCCTCGGATAGATAATGCCGACCGGTAGGAGTTGTCCAAGGAAGCACCTGGTGCGTTTCCCCAAGAGATTGCGAAGTTACCATTTTTGGTGATTTCAAAAGAAAAGGCGTAAGTGAAAACTGATGCCTAAGGTGAGGAGTATGAAGTAGGCGAAAGCAGAGAGGGTGAAATAAATACCGAAGACGCATTCTAATTTAATTAATCTAATCTAATCATTCAAATAATTCCAAAAATTCTTTGTTGCCTGCGAAGCACTTGCTCTCATCTTTTACTTTCCTCAAAAATTCTGCTGAAGGAGTCCCAATAGTGCACATAATTAAATTTAATAAATCATTTTGATCTCTCGCAGGAAAAAGCGGCAATCCTGTATGCAGTTCAACAATCACACATCCAAGAGATCACATATCTATAGCTGTATACAGATTTAGCCTCAAAACAACTTCAGGCGCTCTATAATATCTACTCTGCATATAAGCTCCAAAAGCTCCTTCATTTATTTTGCATGATGATCCAAAATCTATAAGTTTTATATCTAAATTTTCTTGATTTTTAAAAAGTATATTTTCAGGCTTTAAATCACAATGAATTATCATGTTATCGTGAATATGGTTAAGAGCTATAAGAAGCTGCTTTGTAATGATTTTAATTGTATTTAAATTTAATTTCCCATTGTTTGATTGAATAAATTGATAGAGATTATCACCAAGAAGTTCTTGCGACAAACAAACATGGCCTCGAAAATCAAATCTTTTTTGAATTTTAATAATATATTTGCTATTTGATTGATCAAGACTGTTGAGAAATCCAAGTAGTTTTGCTTCATCATTTCCTATTTTTCTGAACTGAAAGTGACGCTTAATCCTCTTTAAATTGGAAATAAAAAATCTGTTCCAAATTAAAGGGATTTAATTTGCCAAAAAATGGAAATTTAATAGGGCGAGTTAAGAATTTTTATTGCAACAAAGTTATTAGCTTTGTGATCAAAGCATTTGAAAACTTGGCCAAAACTTCCTGAACCGATTTTTTTAATGATTTCATAGCGATAGCATATGTGATCTTTTGGGGTTCCGATATAATTTCCATCTTTATCATAATATTTCGGCAGGATTTTTCTCGTAATAGGAAAATAGTAAATCTTGTTACAAAGGGCTAATTCTCTTTTTTCTGTAGCGCTCAATTGCTTTACTCCCTCTTTAAATTAAATTTTTTTCCAACTTCTACTTTATTGGTCATAATAGAACGGTATGGCTAAGTAGCATACCTACCAGAAATATGGACTTGCCTTATGCAATCTAAGTCTGATATAAAATATTGCTCTATTATAATCCCCCGTTTAAAACAAATAAATTAAGGTAAATTTCGATTTACCAACATGAAATAGGATATTAAAGCTATTTGCAAAGAATAAATTTTTACCATAAAATATAAATTTTTTTCCAGTAATTTACCCAAAAATAGAATTATTAAAGATATTTTGCTCTAATTTAAAGGGAGAAGTAGTGACATCGGAGAAATTTTAGAAAAGCAAGAGATATTTGTTTCAGGTTTCAAAATTTTGGGTTTTGGGGATATATTTGGAGTGCTATCTATTTTGTTGTTTGCTATGAAAATATTTACATCGGAGCTGTTTTCTATACTACTATTTTTTGATAAACCCTTTGTTTTGTAATCGCTGATAACAAAATGACTTGCTATTAAAGAGCAAGTACGCTTTCTCATTGGTTTCTTTTCATTAATGTTTGCATTTTCAATGTTTATATCTTTATTTTCAATATCTACCCCTTCTTCGATAACTCTCCCAGGAATTAGAAAATTCCTAATAATTAGTAGGGATTTTAGCACAGAATTTTTCAAATAGTAAAATTTATATGAATAGATCAAAATTTGCTTTTTCAAATTTTATTTGCAAACCCAATAATAAACAAATTTCGATTTATTATAATTTTACTATTTGTGCTAAAACCTCCACAAATAAGCTAGAATAAGATGATTCATCTTAGGTTAAATAATATTCCAACGACATTTTTCAAAAATCCTGTTTTTTGAGATATTCAATTTTTAATTTAATCTAAAATTTAAATGGCAGTTAGAGGTAGTTCCTGCAACAGAGCTCAACGAGAGAAGTTCTCGACTTTGAGAGTATCGGCTTGAAGAGAAGCTTTCTTGACTTGGGGACGGAAACAGATCGACGGTTAGACTAGTCTCATCTACGTTAGTCATAAATGTTGGTCCAAGTTGAGACAATGAGGGAGCAGGATTTTAAGAGCAATCATTTATCTAAGCTTAAACTAAAATTTAATCTAAACCTAATGCTAAAATGTGACTTAAATTGAGGATTATTCATATTTATTATTTTGTCATTTGCATACATTAGCGTTAAATTTAAAATTAAACTATTATTTCTCTAATTTTTATATAAAAATTCAAACTTTTTTCATGAAAAATATATGATTCAACCCTTTCATTCTGGCCAGAAGAATTTATCCATTTATTTTTCTTATTATTTTTTTATGCTGACACCTGATATAACCTGCCAAATTTTTAGCAAACTTAAAGAAGACCCTCAAAACTTAAAGTGCTTTGACTGCCGCAAGCCAAATCCTGATAGTTGCTTAATTAACAACGGTATCTTTTTATGCTCAGCCTGCGCTGGTAAACACTTATCAGCCTTGCCTGAACTTACTCTTATAAAGCAAACGTCAATTGATCACTGGACTAATAACTCCCCCCATCTTTGATCGAACGATTCACTGTAAAAATTGGGAAAATTAAACCCCATCCTTGATCGAACCATTTTCATATGATGCAAATTTTTATATATATAAAAAAATATATTAGTTATCAAAAGCTTGGGAAGATGTAGCTAATGAAGTTGTTTTCAGAGACTTTGAGGCGACAGAAAGCTACGGAGCCAACCATCCAAAGTGCTTTAGTCATCAATATAGGCTTAAAAACTCAATAATCTAAAAAATAGAAATTCTTTAAAATTTAAAATTTTTAATTCAATAAGGAGCAAATTAAAATTTATACAGTTTAAATGGGTAACCAATAAATCAAAATATTAAAAATTGATATTTTTATGAAATTAATTTAATTTTTTGCTGTAAAAATAATTATTAAATACTCTTAACCCTATTATTTAAAAGTAAATAAAAAAATATATATAAAAATTTTTTTCCCAAAAAAATTTTTTAGCCTCCCATCCTTGATCGAACGATGGCGAGCCGTTCGATCAAGGATGGGGAGTAAGGAGATCAAAAGAATGATTGTAGGAGGAAACGCAGCATTTCGCGAATTTTTAAATTTTTATGACATTAAGCCAACAACCCCTATAAGCATAGCTTTTAGGACAAGAGCGGCAGCTTTTTACAGAGGAATGCTATTAACATTTGCTGAAAAATTACCATTTAAAGGCACTTTCCCACCTAGAGACACAGGAAAATTAGTTTTTGAAGAAGAAGCTAAAGGAGTCTATCCAGAACTAGCCCCGAGATCAATGTCAGCGCCTGTGATCACTGAACAAATAAAGGCTTATAATCAAGAACAAAAGGCAAAAACATCCCAAAATGAAGGAGGAAGGCTTTCCAATGTCTACGGAAAAATCACAAATGCAGGAAATCAAGCTTTTGCAAAGGTAGAACAATTCGGCCAAACCCCAAAAATGAAAGAAATTGAAGCTAAAATGTTGAAAATTGTGGACAAAGTTGGAAAAAATGTTACAAATTTTGTAGACGTTATTACTGGGAGACCTAAATCTCTTGATTTAACAAAGGTAATGTATTTAGAAATAGCAAATAGTCCACTGCATACTTATGATAAGATTAACGTTGATCAGAAATCACAGCAGGTAAAAGTGGAAGCAATGACTGCTTTAAATAGATTTACTACAGATGAGGAAGAAGAAAAACAGATGGCAGAATTTCCTGAGCCTGGGATTCAAACTAAAGGACTATAAATGATATTAAAATATTCAAAATATTGGTTAGAGTTCTTTTTTAATAAATTAATTGTGACCGATAATGATAAAGAATATATGAGTCTGAAATTTCTTTGCCACTTTGATAGATTAAGCATTAGCCCAATAGCTAAAAGCTTGAAAAACGGCTATAATACCAAACTTCACTCCATCTTATCTATTTAAAAATCTATTTAGACTAGCTGAGATTGTAAACCCAAATTTATTCGATCACAGGAAAAAAAGTTTAAATACACATAATGAACGAAGCATTAAAAAGAAAGAAGTCCGTCTATTCGCAAATTTAGATTAGGCTTTTTAGTAAAATATCATCATTTGTCTTAATAGAATCAATAAAAATAATAAAGGATGACTGTAAATGGTTTTGTTTATCTTATTATTTATTCTTTAACTGCAAGAATATTTTGAACACTTTATATTTAGGTATACGCCCTTCCTATAGATGGCGCATTGCGCGCCATCTATAAGAAGGGCGTATATATGCATAGCTCACAGATCATTTATGCTCGCAGCTAATTCATAAAGACTTGGGAAAAGAGCCATCTTGATTTTCTCTTTAAAAAACTTTTATTACTTTTAATCAAAAATCTTGCTGTAATTAGTATTAAATATAAAAAAACAATAAAAATTTATCTATAATATATTAATTATTTTTAATATTTTAAACTTCAACTTAGGTTTGTATTGTTTTAATTTTCCATTTTCTATGTTAATTCGCTTTTGACCTGATGCAGCTTATTAGCTGATCAGTCCATATTTATTGGTTTTTTATTAGAAGGTTCGTTTCACAGCCAAGCTATCAAATTCTAGCTAATATAAATATGATAGAGAATATTGAATTCCCTTTAGCAGCCTATGCCACTAATTACTGTGAAAAATTATGTATATTAGAAATTTAGAATTAATATTTTGTAGTTACTCTTCTTCGTCCATTGTACTTCTTCTAGATAAAGTTTTCCTATGTTTAACTCTTTCGTTTAGAATTTTATGATTGAGGATAATTGACTTAAACATTTCTTTCTTTGTGGTGCCCTTGATGCTGTATTCTGCTTTTCTAATATTTGTATTTGAAGATCTTAACCACTCAAGCATCTCTTCATTCGGAGTTTTATAAGTCTCTAATTCTTCTCGCTCAGCACAATTTCCCATTTCTAATAAATGCTTTTTTTTTAATTTATAGCGATATATGGAAATATGTCTGAATTCTGGATTTGGTGAAAAATTTTGATTAAGCCAGAACGAGCGCCAGCGACTTTTACAGGTTTATAGGTAACTTTTATAATGAAATATATTATTCTAGAAGCTTAAGCTCATTCAAATAAATAATTTATTTCAAAATATCATTTGTCTGTTTTAGGAATTTATTATTTTTTGCATCAATAATTTATATATAGATTATTCAATAATTTGGATGCTGCTATAGCTAGCTGAGCAGTAATCCTTAATGAGCACAAGAATTAATAGAATTTGCTAATAATAGAAACTTTTGCAAAATTAATTAAGCTAATTATGCAATTCTTTTTAATTTTATCCCATTTACTTTGAATTATACATCCAACTCAAAATTTATCGTGCTTTTCTGATTCAGATTCAATAAGAAAGGTTTTTAATTTTTTATTATATATAAATTTGTGTTATATAGCAATTAAGTAAATAAAAAATCCTAATTTTAATCCAAAATTATTTTGGAAGAATTCTTGTATTATGATAGCATAGCATAAGATTGGGATCGTTTAACTTATCTTGATTAAAAATTTCAGTAAGCCTAAATGTTTAATATTTCTTTCTTTCCTTCTTATCAGAATTTAATTATTTTTAAGCACTAGAAAGTCAAAGTATGCTTCAGATAAGAAGCTCAACTAGTTCGACTTCCAACCTGAGTAAATTGCTAGATCCAAATTGTATTTTATTTGTTATTTGATGGGAGCATAACAAATTTTTCTTTATATTTTTTGAATAATCTATGCATATTATTTGCAAGGTATAATAAATATATATTCGTTCAATGGAACCTATAAATGATATGATTTATATAGAAGCCTGTTAAAGTAATTGAATTTCTGATTTACCCTTGCCAAATTAACAAAAATTATTTTTTTATTTATCCTTTTAATTTAAGCATTTGTATCATAAAAAATATATCAAAATTAATAATTAGTCTATTGTTTTTCTATCTGATCACTCACTTTCTGCTTTTTATTTTTCTTATTTTGTATTTTTAACTTATGCTTCTGCAAATGTGATCTAACTTGAATTTTTGTTCTTGTCCCAATGTGCTTTGCAATTTCATCTAGATCGCTTTCGCCAAGTTTTTCTAAGGCTTCTAAAAATTTGGACTCTTCTTCTTCTGTTCACCTGCATTCTTGGCGTGATTTTTTTGGAGGCGAAGGCTTTTGATGCTTTTGTGCAGATTCAATCATCAATTGAAAATATTCACCTGCAAAAGCTTCCTGCAATCTTTCTAACTCTCCCCCCCCATTTAATAACGAACACTTTTTTTGTTCGTTATTAAATGGGGTCTAAATTATAAAATTTTTTGGAACAAAAATATATATAAAATTTATATTAAATATCTATGAATTTTTTTATAAAAATTTCAATTAAAGAGTTAATAATAATAAAGGATTCAAATGATGGCAACAGAAAGAGAAAGCGCCTAAATGAAAGCGAAAAGATAACTATTGCTAACTCCCCACCCCTCCGTGAGCGAACAAAAACCATTAGAAAAATCCCTCACCCTCCGTTAGCGAATAAAATTTTATTTAATAGAAAAATTTTTTATGGAAAAAATTTTGATATATAAATGATAATTATTATAATGAAATCTGGAGCTAGTTCTGTTTAATTTTAAGCAAATTACGTTTTAAAACATAAATTCTACAAATTCAATTAATATTTGCTTTCCAATTTTTGCGAATTAGGATTTTTTTAAATTTCGAAAAAACAATTTTCTATAAAATTTATCCAAAAAAAATTAACCCCCTTCGTAAGCGAACGAGATTTTTTTGTTCACTCACGGAGCGGGGGAGTAAAGCAACAGCTTAAGATTAAGCCACTATTAACTTATTAGCTCTTATTTATTATTCTTTGCTCGATTATATTTGTACTTATCTTATTCTAACTACTTAAAATTAGTAAACTATATAAAGACTAAATTAGCTTATGTAAATTTTATAGTAAATTTTGTTCGTTATTAAATGAGGCCTAAGGAAAGATTTTTAGGAAAAAATGACGGTTTTGTTCGTTATTAAATGGGGGGAGTAAGCTATTAATTTTCTTTTGGTCGCTAGATGATATCGGAATATAATGCTGAAAAAGCATATTCGGAGTATCCGGCAGAGAATCACCAATTTGAGTCAGGGTTAAAATATTATTGTACAACTTATTTAGCGCTTTGATGTCAGGGACAAAGGGGTTTTGATTTTGAGTTTTAATTATACCTGTAATCAAAGATTGGTTTTGCGCTAAAATTCCATCTATATTAGGTTGTTCCATTTTATTACGATTTTTATTTACTCCAATAAGAACGTTAAAAAAATTAATAGATTTTATATGCATAAAATAATAATTTTTAATGCAATTATATTTTATATATCAGAGTTAGAAGATTTAAAACGCTTTTTCGCTGGAGTTTGATCAGATGAAGAAATAATTCTCTTTGCTGGCATATCGTAGTCTTCTGAAGAACTTTCAATTGGGTCATCAGATTCCTCAGCCTTTTTGGTTGCCGATTTAAATGGTGTTAAAATCTTATTAGGGTCTTGAGAGTGCAGTTTCTGTATAAAGCTCGCTGCTAAGTTTATGCTTTCTTCATATAAGTCTTCCATATGCTCTTCCAGTTCAGGATCAAGTACTGCTGCAAATTTCTTATCTTTTTCTATAGTAATTTCAATTGCTTTTTGTATAGAATTCAAACAAGTCTTATCTTTGATTTCTTTAGCAAGTTTATTTAAAAGCTTTGCAGCTAGATAAGACTCCTTAGGAGTGAATGAATAAAAGTTTGCCTGTGCGATCATTCTTGGATAAATTTTGGCTTGAGAAAAGGTTAGATTATTCAAGGTCTCTTTGCTTAAGTAGTAAAACATATTGAAATGCAGATTGACTGTAGGGGTAAATTTTGCGTGCTCCCTTAAGTAGTCAGGGTTGAGATATAAAAATACAAAGCTGAAAATTCTGTTTAAATTCACCTGGGAAAGGTCTAAAGTTTGGAATGAGCCAATTTCAGTTTTATTTAACTGGTTCGTTATGACAGAAAGAACCATCTTGAAAGATTCAGCCAAACACATAGCATTTTTCTCACAAAGAAGAGAATAATGAGTGAAAAACACATGTAAAACCTGCTTTATTGAATCAGGCGAATCTTGATCAAAAAACAATAGCAACAGCTTAGTAAGCACAGGCTCTCCATGCTTGATTTTTTCTAATAGCAATAATTTGCATAATCCTTCACACGTCAAAGCTTGCATGTATGAGTTATTAGAATCCAAATAGCTTGCAGCAATAGCAAATACAGTTTGTCCTGAGCATGAAAGGTCTTCATCATTGTCTTGAATCATCTCATCTTCATCTTCTTTTAATATTTCAAAGACCATGAAAAAGTCCAAAACAGCTCTCAGTGCTAAGAATTCAATTAAAGTGTCTTCTTTTTTGTCTAGGACTGTTTTAAAAATATATAAATATTCTCTACACCTATCGTATTTCAGCAAGCAATGCAGCCCTAAACTTTCAATTGCAAGACATGGGATATAAGTGTCGGTGAACTTAAAAGCAGGATATATTAAAGTGTTTATGATTTCTGAAGCATCTGCATCAATATCCCCTTGTTTCGAATTTCTCAGCATTTCTGAGTGCAGCATAAGTGATCTATACAAAATCAATAAAATTTCATGCTCTAAGTGGTTGAGCTCTTCTTCCATTTTATTGACCTGCTGCAATACTTCTTCATACTGCTGTTTTACTTTTATGGCGTCTGAATATTCTCCTCTATCAATCAACCTTTCTTTTTCATTTTCCAAAGCTTCAATTTCATCATCTAGCTCAGTGATTTTTCCTAATAAAGCTTCTCTTTTTTCAAGCATAGATGGTGGCCTTTGGGTGTCCTCCACAAACACCCTGATATTTTCATCTTCTATAGGCGCAATCAATGGGTCTCTAATTTCATTGATAATTTCTATCATAATTCTGCAAAATTCAGTCTCATATTCTTTTTGAAGCTGCTTTATTAAACTGACTGAAAGACTTAGCACATCTTGAGCACGATAATAAAAATAGTCAGTTTGGCCGACACAGTTATAAGCATCTTCAATTTGTGCTGAGGCGTTTACTTCTGGCACAGCAAGTGGAAGCTTAAAGCAAACTTCTCTATAAGTGTCTAGCAATTTTTGACGAGAAAACTCTTCACCTCGGTCTATGCAGTATGATATTAAAATCATGTTTTGAGCGAAAAATAAATCAGGCTGCTGTTGATAAAACAGCACAAGTTGGCATAAAAGGTCGACATCGGGGATGACCTTTTCTAATATTTCTTCATGACTTCCTTTGAGGTATTCGGTAATAACTCTTAAAAGAAGCATTGATGTTTTTGATATCGACGACTGAGTATTTTTTCCTGGTGTGTTTATAGCTGAGCATAAGCTAGGGAATAAAACTTGTTTGAGAAGCTCACTTAAATCTGCTGGGGAAACTATAGTTTCACATACAAGTTTAATGCATTTGGTAACTTCTCTTTGATATTTCTTTTCTAATGTATTGATTTCAAGCAAAGTTGTAAAATATACAATAGCTTCGTATTCCTGGGCTTCTTCTTTGTGGGCTTCTTGTTTAAACCAACTGAAGAAAGACGAAATTATTTTTCTGGCTTCGTCCCTAATTTTTTCACTTCTGTCTTTAACTGATAAAGATACAATTTCTCTTCGGATTTCTAGGGGAAGTTCACTGAATAGCACTTCTTGCAGTCTTTTGCAAGCTGCTTGTCTTACGCTTTCTTCTTTATCACAAAGTCTTCCTCCTATGCAGATTTTTGTTTTTTCATTCATTGGCATCAAATTGACGGCTTGTTTTCTGACGTCTTGTAAAGGATCGTAATTCATAACTTTTTCTATCTCTTCTAGCATATTAAGCTTTGCTGCTAAATGTATTGAAAAATATCTTACAGGAGAATATTTATCTTTCAAAAGCACCTTTGTGTTTTCAATCATCTTACTCCCTTAAACCAGAGAGATTTTGCCCTTGATGCGCAGAGTTTTTGTTTTATAGAAAATTTTATAAAATATTTATTAGAGAAATTTGTGGATTTTTATAATTCGCTAATTTGATTTGCTAATTATTTTAAAATGCCAATTGATAAGATTAGTCAATGAAAATAGCAAACAGTAATATAATTTATGCACCAGATAGATCGCTGCACCCCAGCAGAATTTTAACTAGAAAAATATTGTTCAAGACACTTTCATTATAGAGTCTAAGTCTGATTAGGCATCTTTAACCATAATCGGAGATTTGCCATTTTGTTTTTTACTTTTCAAAAAAAATGACAAGTTAATTTTAAATTTAAAATGGATGGTCAATAATGATCTAAAAAATTTCTATAAAAATATTTAATATTAAATTTTTAAAAAAATTAGAATTTTCACTATATATGCTTGCTCTCATGGACGGAGTTAGTGAAAATGTGGTCTGGGATATCTAGAACATCACAAAAGTTCATAGCAATAAGTCTTTCGAGCATCCATACGCAGCCTAATCTTGTAGGCTTTTCCTTAGCTTCACATCCTTGTAGCATAAATAATTAATGGTGGCGACAACAAAATATGTCCATGCTGACAGCACACCGCTTTGGGCGCCTAATTCGCTTTATAGATTAAAAAAGATTTAGGTTCTTTAATCCTAACCCTTAGCTTGCCTAGAGCAGCCGTATGGGGTGGTTTAACCTTTGGAGTCAGCTGGTGACTATTCCAGTCCAAGAATTAGTTATACGGATGGTTTTGCGCTATGGGTTTTTCTCTGCCGGTTCCGAGGGCCATGGTTCTATTTTCCTGAGTGTCAGACAATCGACAGGAGGTATTGGGCTATCTTTACCTCCATAGCACCAGATGGCGTACTGACAGGGTGCCTTCCTAGCCCGTCGAGATTCTTGGGGATCACAGTGCAAGCCCTGCTCCTAGAGAAGCACTGTTCCAAATAGCGATTGATATCCGCTCGGCAAGCAGGTTAGTGTTGGTCGAATGCGTGCAAGGCATCAAATTTGGAAGACACTAAGACTCTTAATTTATTTGTAGCATAAGTTTCATTATAGCAACGACAGTTCTGAGTATATTTTTGATATCATTTTCACTGTCAAAGGTAGAGACTTTTTTCTTGAGTTCGTCGAGGACGGCTACAATTACTTTCATACCTCTTTCTGAGGCAGGATCTCGACGAAATTGAGGAATCAGCTGTAAAGCGACGTTTTGAATGGCTCTACTAAAGCTTACTGGGTCAGCATCGAAATGAGTGACAAGCTCATTTACGTAGCGTTTTGGGACTGATTTGTATGTGACAGCTTTAGTTAGAGCGATATGACATAAAGCAAAGACATTATCGGCTGCAGCCATTTAAAATTATTAGCCCGCCAGAAATTAGAGGAAAGACGAGTTAAGAAATAATAAGGTTTACTGGTATAGGATAGAATAGGGATTTAGGACGAATAGGCTAGCCATCATATTTGAGCTTGATATTTGAATTTTAGAAGTTTTACAATTAATATTGATCTAAAAAGATTTATTATAAAATTAAGATTAATTTTTCATTTCATATTAGCTGATTTTTATGCATAATAACTAACAATTTTTGCAGTTAATTTCTTCCCATTAATTTTCATAATAAAATGCTTACCTCATCTTGATCGAGGGATTCCATATAAATTTCCTAATAATTGAAATTAATCCCTACCTTTGATAGAACAATTTTCATATCTGCAAATATGAGCAAATCCCGAGCTCCTTCAAATCTGGCAGCTTATCTTGATAATAATAATAATGGATTTTAGTGATTAAATCGCATAATCGCTATTAAGCGATTCTAATGCATTTATAGTGTATTTATAATATACTCTTAAATTGCGGCTACTATTCTGAAATATTTTCGAAAAAAAAAATTAATAAAGCATTTGCATGCAATTATTTTGTTATTCCATTCTTGATCAAACTACGGGGCTCATTTGGCCAAGGAATGGGAGGTTTAGAGGCCGAAGATCATTTTCTTGGAAACTTTTGCAGAGCAAAGAACACCCTGACTTCAAAATTGTCTCTAACATTTACACACACGATCCATTAGGATCAAAAGTCATCCATCTCAAAACAACAGACAACCACAAAGCATTTGCCTCACTATTCCGTACAACTCCAGACAACAGCAAAGGAACCCCTCATTGTTTGGAGCATATCGCCTTATGTGGTTCTGAGAAATTTCCAGTCCGAGACCCATTTTTCAAAATGATAAGCCGATCACTAAACTCCTATATGAATGCATGAACAGGGCCAGACTTCACAATGTATCCTTTCAGCACACAAAACGACAAAGACTTTTCCAATTTATTAAGCATCTACTTAGACGCTAGTTTTTTCCCACTTATAACATACCCAAATTTCCGTCAAGAAGCATGGCGGACAGAGTTCGAAGAAGGAAAATTAGAATACAAAGGTGTTGTTTTCAATGAAATGAAAGCCACCATCACAGACTCAAATGACTTTTTTATTCATCTTATAAATAAATATCTATTAGAAGGCACAACTTATCAGTATAACTCTGGAGGAGATCCTAAAGAAATCCCATTACTATCTTATGAAGAATTAAAAGAATTCCATAGGAAGTTTTATCATCCTTCCAATGCGACTTTTATGTTTTATGGAGATATGGATATACAGAAATATCTGCAAGAGCTAGAAGAAAATGCTTTGAATAAATTCCAAAAATTAGAAATGGATACTAGCGTAGGCTTAGCTGTAAAAAGGAGTGAGCCACTTTATATAAATGCAAAGTTTCCTGCTGATGAGGTATCAGTTGACCCAGACAAACAAGGAAAATTCGCAATCTCTTATTTGTGTCCAGAGATGTCAAAAGATCCTTATTTTAATTTTTGTATGAGTGTGTTGAGCTCATCTTTAATTGATGGCCAAAATACCCCACTTTATAAAGCTCTGCTAGAGACACAATTAGGTAAATCTTTTCTTTCTGGGACAGGGTTTGATGCATCATCAAAGGAGTCTACTTTTACAATAGGCTTAAATGGGATTAAAGAGTCAGATAAAGAAGCTATAGAAAAAGCTATTTTCCAGACATTAGAAAACTGTGCAGAAAATGGGATTGATAGAAACTTGATTGATTCTTCAATCCATCAGATAGAAATCAGAGTAAAGCAGGTAAAATCCAATTTTGGGCTGATGCTAATGTCCTCTATGGTTCCTTTTGTGCTTCATAATGGTGATCCATTAACTCCATTATATATTAATGAATATGTAAATAGACTAAGACAAGATTTAGCTGAAGGAAAGCCAGTTTTCCAAAATTTAATCACAGAGCATTTATTAAAAAACAAAAATAGAGTCACAATTTTAGGAGTGCCTGACACAAAATATGCAGAAAAACTAATTGAAGAAGAAAATAATAGATTAAAATCACTTGAAGAAAAGCTCACAGAAGAAGAGAAAAAAAATCTCGAAGAAGAAGCTAAAGCTTTATTAGAAGACCAAGAAAAGCCACAAAACGTCGATTTGCTTCCTACACTAATGGTTAGCGATATCGACCCTAAAATTGATTTGATTGACTATACATTCCAAACAAAAGTAAACGAAATCCCAGCTAAGTTTATAGAGCAACCGACAAATGGAATAAGCTATATTCGTCTAAAAATCGACATCTCGAATTTGCCTGAAAGACTAAAACCTTTCCTTCCATTATACAATCGCCTTGTAAACCAAGTTGGCACTAAAAAACACTCTCACGGTGATTTTGACAATTTAAAGGACATGTATACAGTTTCAGGGGTTTCCTGCTCTTCAATAGTCGCTTGTGAAAATGATTCACTTGATAGCCACACTGAGCAGCTATCATATAAAATCGCATTTTTAGATAGAAATATAGACAAAGGATTTGAAATTTTTTCTGAGTTTTTGAATGATATTATTTTTTCTGAGCATGACCACATCAGCAGACTAATACAAAGAAGCGTGAAAAGTAGAACAGATGAGCTGAATAATGAGGGGATGAGCTACGCAACTAGTGTTTCGTCAGCTTCTTTAAGCCCAGCAGGGAATGCATATGAAGGATTAAAAATACTTCAGCATGACTGTTTAATAGCGAATAGTTTATTAAGCCAAGAAACTTCTGAGCATACTTTGTCCGACATTGCAAGCAAGCTTCATGAAATTCACCAGTTCTTGATGCAGAGGAAGAATATGGAAGTATTAGTCCACACATCAGAACTGAACAGCTTAAAAGAAATTTTCATTCAAAAAATCGGAGAGCTCTCAAGTGGATTTGAGCTGGAAAATAGAAAGTTTTTATATGAAGGAAGCTATAAGTTACCATTTTCTCCAGCATTGATATAGAAATCTCCCATAGATGGCGCTGTTTGCCCTTGATTTGCCCATGAGGAAAAATTTTTGGTTTGACCAAACCATATGGTACTGGTCGAACAAAAATTTTCCCCAGTGGGCAAATCAAGGGCAAACAGCGCCATCTATGGGAAATTTCTATACGTGAATATTACACTTTGCCGATGCAAGTAAATTACGTTATTGAAGCAGTCAAAGGAACTTCATTACTAAGTGCAGATCATGGCCCGCTTAGCATTTTATGTGAGCTGCTGTCAATGAATATGTTTTTGAGGGAAATTAGAGAAAAAGGTGGAGCTTATGGGGGTGGGATAAAATCGAACACAAATACAGGAGTCCTAACACTTTATTCTTATAGGGATCCAAATAATTTGAAAACTTTCCAAGCTTTTGAAAAATGCATCAATGAAGTCAGTAGGGCAGAATTTGATCAGAGGCAGATCGATGAAGCGAAGTTAAGTGCTTTTTCGAAAATCGATAAGCCTATTCCAGCTTTTGATAAAGGATTAGGGTTATTCTTCCATGGTCTCACAAATGAATTGAGGCAAAGCATTCGAACTCAAGTTTTAGAAGTCAATAAAAGCGATTTGTTGAGAGTAGCTGAGCAATATCTGCTAAAGCCATTACAAAATAAGCAGTCATCAAGAGTGGTTTTCGGATCAGATTCAATCGATAAAAATTTACTTGCTGAAGAGAATTTCGTAGTAAAAAGGCCAATCAATAAATAATTGAATAGATTTTTATAAGGAAAGATGCTTATGCTTTAATATAATATGGATTAATAACTTTTTGATGAATAAATAATAATAAACCATGCAAAATTTCCAGCATTTCATAAATGGAAAATCGCTCCAAATGTGAGATAGCAAAATCCAACTCAGATCATGATAAAAAGAAAGAGACTCACTGCATAAAGCATTTACCTTCTCCTACTAACTCCTTTCCCTTTATGAGTAAGCAAATCCATAGAAAAATCCTACATTTTGGGTAAGCCCTCCCTTTGTGAGTCAGCAAAAATGTTTTAAATATGTAAATTTGAAGAAATTATTATTATGAAATTTCACTAAAAAATAATCCACTCAAGAAGATAATTAGCAAAAAAATTTTGATCACTCATAAAGAGAGGAAAGAGTAAGCAAAAGAATATTAAAAAGGCTAAAGAAGATTTGCCTAATAAAAAACCTAAAGTTGGGGTTCCTAATTTAAAATTCGACAACCATAAAAGCTCCACAAATCGATCTTGCATTACAATTTCGACTTCACAAAGCTGCAAAGCTTTAAGTGATCGTAATTCCGCATCAAGCCAAAAGCCAGTTAAGTCAAAAAGTGTAAAAAAGAAAAATTTGATTACTCCTAGAAGCACAAAATCAAAAAGGTCAGGATCTTCAATTTCTAAAACCACAAATGAAAGTTCAGCAATTACTCACCCAATTTCTTCTGAGCGGATACAGTCGAGTTATGAAAGCAAAATCCCAATCCACTCAGATTTGTCAAAATCTTTTGTCCATCTAAGCCAATCCGACTTACAAAATATAATCCTTAATAAAACTTTTGAATTTCAAGAAATCCTTGAAAATGAATTAAAAGGAAAGCCAAAAACGCCTTACCAAATCTCAAAAGAGCAAAGATTAAAGGCAAAAAACCAAGCCTCAGCTCGAAAAAGAGACGAAATTAAACAAAAGCTTGAAGAAGAGGAGCTAGAGCGGGCTAAAAAATCAGCCGAGCTTTTCCACAAATCATGCGAATTCAGGCTTAAAAGAGCAATAGAAAACAGCCTTAAAAAGTACCAAACAGCTTTACAAGTAGAAGATGCGAAAATGATAAAAGAGCAGCAAAAAACTCTTGAAAAGCAAAAACAAGTCGCCATAGAAAGCATCCAGAATTTTTATAATGACAGAATCCAGCTCCTCAAAGAAAGAATCGATGAGCAGAAATTCTATCAGAAAATTGTAGAGTACGACCAAAAGAAACGACTTTCTGAGGCAGAAAAACTTCATAAGGCACAGCGGAAAAAGCAATTAAAAGAGCAAGCAAGCCTCTTACACTGCGATGACTCTGATTTTCTTTCATTAGAAGCTAAAGAATTTGAAGAAAGAATAATTGAGAGGTACAAAAAGGAATCTTTCATATCATAATATTGCTATTTAATCCAATAATAATGGTTAAAAAGGTGATTTGTAAACTTGATGGGAATGACGGCAGCTTTCCTCAGCCTTCAAAGTCAAGCTTCATTTATCGAGTCGAGCCAGGGACGACTGTAAGCTTTCAAATTGAAGCTGGGTCTGTTGTAAACACAGAGAACACAGTTCTTATACTTGATATTCACAGAGGAACGAATCCAGAAACTCAAGCAACTCCAGGTTCTTTTAGTCCTTTAGGTCATTGGATTTGTGATGTCACTTTTTCAACTCCAGGCAACTATAATATCTTCATAGAGTACACGGATAAGGTTTCGAAAGAAAAATTGCAAGGATCAGTAAATTATCTCATTGTCGACCCAGAGATCAAAATTGGAGGAAAAGTAATACCCATCAATGGAATTTGTATGCAGAGTGTCTTGTCGCGCTCTCTTGGGCCTATAAATAGATGGTTTGAGGTACTGAAGCACCAGAATGGGCTGGGATATAATTTATTTCACTTGACGCCAATACAGGAGCTAGGACCATCACAAAGCTTGTATAGCATTAATGACCCTAATAAGCTAAACCCAGAGTTGTTCCCAGGGCTGGAAACTGTAAATTTTATATAGGAAGAAGCAAAAACTCAAGCTTTGCAAAATGTATTGGCACAGCTGGAAAGTGAAGGGGTAGGGTGCATTCAAGATGTCGTGCTTAATCACTCAGCTGATGGCTGTCCATTTTTAGAAGAGCATCCAAACGCAACTTATAACTTGAAAAACTGCACATATCTGACTGTAGCTTATGAACTAGATAAAGCTTTATGCGAATTTTCAACATCTTTATGGAAAAGATGTGTAAAAAACTATGGAAACCGCAATAGGATTGAAAATGAGAGAGATTTAAGCAACATTATTAGAATTTTAAGAGTTGAGCTGCTACCTTCATTGAGGCTACAGGAGTATTTCCAAATTAACACAGAAAAGGCTTACGAAGATTTTAAAAATAATGAAACTCATAAAACACTCGATATTAACTTACTCTACCTCAATGAGCAAGAAAAACTATTGGAAAATCCTTTTTTGGGTAAAAACCACTGTGCAAATATTTTTTTAATATAATAATGTGCAAACAATAATTATTAAAATAATGAAATCTCAGCTAATTCTACTGAATTTAAAGTTGGAAATTAAATTATTTACTTGCTAATTTTTCGAATTATGATTTTTTGAATTTAATAAATATCAAAAAAAATTAGCCCTCTCTGTTGGGGCAGTTAGCCCAAGAATTACTCTCTAAAGGAACCGAGTATTTTATGAAGAAATACGCAGTAATTGGTGAAGGAGAAGGAAGATTCTTAACAACAATTAACGGCGAACTTGTTTGGAGAGCATTTAATACACTAAAAATGAACAGAGACACCATCTTATCCGAAGCCAAAAAGCTGATCAACGGAATAAACTCATACTTATTAGGAAGATATGAAAGACACCAAGGGGAAATCATAAGCAACATAGAAGGAGACATAAGATATCACAAGATTGAACAAAATAACGTAGAAATCACCCCTGCAAACCCACTCGTAAAACCATATTTCTACCAGCTTAGAAGTGGAGATGTAGCGTTGTTTAATGGATTTATTATTGGCTATAACGAAGTACTAAAAGATTTCGCTGATAAAGAGGGTTGGCAGTACTTCAGAAGAAACGTAGTCATATGAAGCGATTGCATTAAGTTGAGATATGGAAGCTCCCGAGATGACTGCCCTGAGCTTTGGGATAGAATGGAAAACTACGTCACAAATATAGCCAGAATTTTCAAAGGAATTCGTCTTGATAACGCTCATTCAACACCTCTTCATGTATCTGAATATTTATTATCCAAGGCTCGATTGGCTAATCCTAACCTTTTTGTGATAGCAGAGCTGTTTACAAGCGACCAAAACACAGACTCTTTATTTGTCAGAAGGCTAGGAATTAACTGTCTTATACGTGAAGCTATGATGGCTAATAACCCCAGGACGCTTGGAAGGCTTGTATATGAGCACGGAAATGGAGAAATTGCATCTTTAGGGAGTCTTGAAGAAACTGATCTCAACAACAGCAGCTTACTTGGGATTCAGCATGAGTCAGGAGCAACCAAACTTATTGCATGGCCAGTTCCTGCAATTTTTTATGATTGTACACATGATAACGAAACTCCAGCACAAAAAAGAACAGCCCAAGATGCATTACCAAACGCCGCAATGGTCGCTCTGTGCAACTGTGCCATTTCTTCTACAAGAGGATACGATGAATTAATTCCTAAACAGTTATCAGTAGTTACTGAAAGAAGACTGTATAAACTGCCAGTTATTGAAGAACAAAAAGTAAATGAAATTAAAGTATTTGAGGCAGAAAATGAAGAGTATATAAAAGTCTTTGTAGAGTATACAAGGGGAGAGCCTGCTAGAGAAATCTTTATTAAAGGAGAATGGGATGGATGGGCAAACCCTATACATTTAGAAAAGTCTGGAGAAAATAATATGTGGAAATCTGCTTTATTGTTCCCAAAAACATATGCTGGAAGAGAATTTAACTATAAGTATATAGTTGATGGAGTGTGGCTACATGATCCAAAATTCAGATTTTCAGGTACTGGAGCTTATACTAATAACATTTTATCAGTAAATCCTCAAGCAATCAGCCCAGGAAATTCAGAAAACCTCTGCCCTGCTAAAAAATACCTTAATTTGCTTCATACATATTTAGCGGAAAATGGCTATAATGAACTGTATGTTCATCAATGCACAGAAGATATGGCCATGGTTATCAGACAAAACCCTAAAACGCTTGAAAGCTACGTATTAGTTTCTAGGTCTGCTCATTATAACTCCAACGAGGCAATAGCTTTTAATGGGCTTAAATTACCAGGCCTATTAGATAGGGTTGAATTTATAGCCACTTTGGCTATGAAAAACACCAGATTTGAAGAGCATCACGATTTTGTCAATGGATTAGCTGGAAACTTAGAATTCACCACAAATTTAGCCCAATTTTGCAATGTTTCCCGAGATATAACTGAAAATGTTGATGTTCTGAATTTCTTTATCCACCTTCCGTGAGCTGATTTTGAATAAATAACACCTCCGAGGAGCAAAAATTTTTTGGTATATTATAAAATTATATATTTATTATATATAAGTGATAATTATTATAAATAAATCTTTGCTGAAAGTAATTTGTATTTTAAACATGGATTTATCAAATTAAATTAATTTTGTTTTCCCAATTTTTGCGAATTGATTTTTTTTTAAATTTCGAGAAAAATTGTGCTGCAAAATTTATATAAAAAAATTTTAAAAAGTTTATACCCCTTACTTCACTAATCGAAGGGGACAGTTAGAATCCCACAAGCTTTCATAGCTATTGTGAAGACAAAACTAAATGCAGAAACCTTAGAAGGGATTGAAAAGGGATATGAGATTTTAGCGAGCTTCAACAATTGCAAGAGAGTTTTTGAAGGGCTAAGTTTACAGCAAGTAAATCATATACTCTGGAGATGCAGCCAAGAGGAGCTTGATGCCTCTGGAGGAAAAAGAGATGTGTACGGGATACCTGGGTATAAAGCATTTAGCTATGCTGGATTAGGAGGACTTGTTGTTGAATTTCTACCACTTACGATCGGGAATAGGCTTGGGCATGAAATATTCAATAACTTGAGGCAAGGAAGCTGGCTTATTGATTATAATGTGTCTAGGCTGCAACAATATGAATTGCCAGCTAGACTTCAACAATTCATTCATGATCATTTTGGCAAAATCAAATCTTTGCCAAGAGGAGTGATCCCTAATTTCCCCTTATCTTGGATTTAATGGATCGCCATCGTTAATGCATTATATATTAAATTTTTTCCACATAAAAATATTTTATGCGTTAACCACAAGACATAGAATGTGCAATGTATTAACAAATATACTATAAATTGTGAAAAGATATATTATATGGTATAATCTATAAGATTCATATTGTCAAAAATAGGGAATTAGATTTGATACGTAAGAGGGAGTGGGTTTCATCCTTGAGTATATGAAATTTGTGTGGTAAAAACTTTTCCCCAATTTTTGGAAATTATTATTCAATCAAGAATGGGAGTAAGCACTTTGTAAAGACCGTTTTCTTGCTATTTAGAAACATAAAGCTTTATGTGCTAACTCCCCCCCCCTTTAAATTGGAACTAAAAATTTTGTTCCAATTTAAAGGGGGGTTAATTTTTTTTTTTTAAAAAAAAAAATATCAATATAAAATTTTTTATAAAAAAAAAACTTTCAAAAACATATCGAATTAGATCAATAAATTTGTTTAATAAAATGCTATTTACTCTTTATCCTTTAAAATAAAGCAAGATATAACTAAATTTTCATTATTAGTTAATACGCCAATATTAATTGGTATCAAAATTATTTACACAAAAATTATTATTTTTATTGATAAAAAAAATTTAAAAAAAAAAAAACAAATTTTAGAAAATTTATCGATCAAAGTGCTAATTTTGTTTAAATAAGATGCTATTTATACTCTATTCTTTAAAATAAAGCAAGAAATAAGTAAATTTTGAAATTTTATAAAGAATTCCTATTGAATTTATATCAAAACTATCCAAATAAAAAATATCATTTTTATCAAAAAAAAAAAAATTTTTTTTGAAAAATTTTTTAAAAACAAAAATTTAAATTTTTTTTAAAATTTAGCAATTAAGGATAATAAATTTATTTAAATAAGATGCTCTTTATATTTGTTCTTTAAAAAAGAGCAAGATATAACTAAATTTTTTAATTTTAGTTAAGAAGAAATATTTAACTTATATCAAAACTTTTTAGATAAAAATTATATATAATTTTTTATTATAAAATTAAATTTTGTTCCTATTTAAAGGGGGGTTAATTTACCAAAAAAGTGGAAACTTTACCGATATTTTGTTCCGATTTAAAGGGGGGGGAGTAAGAGACTTATTCAAGGGAAGCAAACTTTTCAATGACTCAGATGATAGTTTAGTAGATTACTTAGGAGTTGCAGTATCACAGTTTTGGGGAAGAGTCCCAAGCGCAAGATCTCATATAGGAGCAGACTCGCTTTCAGCAGGTCTTCCACACTTTTCTCTTGGCTTCATGAGATGTTGGGGTAGAGATACTTTCATTTCTCTAGCTTTCACCTCTAAAGCAATTAACTAATTATCAAAACTGATTTAGTTTAAATTATTTTTAATAATATGATTTAATTTTTTTATTAGAAGCAGCAATCTAAAATTTTCTCCATAATATTTTTTTTTAAAATATTTAATATCGCCAATCGGTAGCAATAATTGCATTCATTTTAAATTGGCAAGGGAGATTAAGAGGATTGTTATTATGCACTGGCATATGGCAAGAAGCGAGAGAAACTATTATCACATATGCATCTGTAATGCAAAATGGCTTAATCCCTAACTTACTAGACTCTGGGAATAACTCTCGCTATAACGCCAGAGATGCCACTTGGTTTTTCATGCAAGCTATTCAAGATTATATTAAAATGTCTCCTGAAGGCCCTGCTATTTTGCAAGAAATGGTAAAACTTCGCTTTAAAAATGGTGAAATTGACCATTCAGATACCCCACCAATTCAGCTTGCAGAAATAGTTCACATAATTTTACAGGCCCATGCAAGAGGTATTGAATTCAGAGAAAGAAATGCTGGAACAAGAATAGACGCTCACATGCGTGATGAGGGTTTCAACATAAAGATAAGCTTTGACCCTCATACAGGATTTATCTATGGAGGAAACAGATGGAACTGTGGAACCTGGATGGATAAAATGGGAAGCTCACCTAAAGCCGGCAACAAAGGTGTCCCTGCAACACCAAGAGATGGAGCTGCAATTGAAATTGTTGCACTTTTGTACTCTAGCATAGACTTTTTCGCTAAATTATTCGAGGAAGGAAAATTCCCATACCAAGGTGTAACCCTCGCAGATCATACAAATTTAAGCTATCATGAGTGGAAAACTAAAATTGAGCAGTCTTTTGAAAATTATTTCTTTATCCCAGAAGATGGGAATTCTCCACAGGTAAACAGAAAACACTTACTCCCCCCCCCTCCGTGAGTGAACAAAACCATTAGAAAAATCGCTATTTTTTGCCCAAAAACCCACCCTCCGTGAGTGAACAAAAATTTTTTTAATACAAAAATTTTTTATGGAAAAAAAATTTGATATATAAATGATAATTATTATAATGAAATCTAGAGCTAATTCTGTTTAATTTTAAACGAATTGCTTTTTAAAACATAAATTTTATAAATTAAATTAATATTTGCTTTCCAATTTTTGCGAATTAGGATTTTTTTAAATTTCGAAAACAATATTTTTTAGAAAATTTATATATAAATTTTTTTAAAAAAAAAAAATTAACCCCCCTCCGTGAGTGAACAAAATTTTTTTGTTCACTCACGGAGGGGGGGGAGTTAGGGATTCCTGGGATTTATAAAGACACACTAAGAAGCTCGCTGGATTATACTGACTATCAGTTAAGACCAAATCAGTGCATTGCAATGGCAGTCGCTTCAAAACTGTTCAATCCAGAGCATGCAGCTTTTGCATTGAACCAAATAACAAAATATTTAATGCCAGGCGTTGGGAGAGGACAAGTTGGGATCAGGACTTTGAATGAGGAGGATAGAGATTATAAGCCATTTTATGATAATTCTAATGACTCAAATGATTACTCTATCGCGCAAGGGTTCAGCTATCACAATGGACCTGAATGGGTATGGCCTGTTGGGTATTACTTAAGAGCGTTATTAACATTTGACCCATCTAAGAAAGACTTTGTAATGAAATGCCTTAAGGAGCATAGAACTTATATTGAAAACTCAGCGTGGATGTCAATCTGTGAGCTAACAGACAGAGGTGGAAAAGAAAACAAGTTTTCAAGCATGGCCCAAGCTTGGAGCGTGTCAACACTTATTGAAGTCCTTTATGAATTACGCTAATTTAACCATAAGCTTATTTAATTTATAACTATATTTACTAATTATATATACATTAAAATGGCGACATGTGAGCCTGCCTCTTGGCGCAACAGTCCAGACCTTATTGTTAAGCAAACTGGGACGGACTTTGAGTAGAGAATCAAGTGCAGGCTCAAGAGATGAGTATTCGGATAGGTTTTGGCTACTTTCCTATGGTTGGAAATGGAGAGGCTCAATAACCTCCTTTTGGATGCGACTACCAATGGGTTTCGGCCAAGGCTAGAGGCTAGTAGTCTTTTTCCTGTAGCTGTCGAAGGAAGACACTTCGGCACCTGACAGGCTCCAAGGAGTTGATCCATGGAATCAAGCTACTCCAATCACCTGTAGTAGGATTGTAAGAGGAGACAGAAGGTACCGAAGTGGCATCCACCTTCGGGGAAAAGAACATCTGGGCTGGAGTCGAAAAACGGTAAAACCCTCCTGTACAAGAAGCCTTTGGTGACTGTGTCACCAATATAGCTAACGCCTGACTTTAATAATCCGAATCCTATCTATTTACTAATTTGTGTATATAATGCACTATAATAAAGAATCTCAGAAAGAAGTAATATAGTGGCTTAATATTTCTTCCCAAATTAATTTATATTATTTCCTTTAAGCATGCGCTTGACTATTAGCTAATTTTCATTCAATTCAAATAATCTCTCCTATTTTGTTCTGTTAGGTTATCTAAAAGTTCCATTTACAAATATTAAACTTATTATCAATAGAAATTATTCACCACATCTGATAATATTTTGCTTTGTCTCTACATAATTTTCAATATTCTAATATTCCTGATCGCTTTTTATATCAATAAAATTAATGGAAGGAAACAATCCATTCAACTCTCGCTGCCTTCAAGAGCTTCAGGCTAATGGTCAAACTTACAAGTATTACAGTCTCCCATCTCTCAATGACGCTCGTTTAGACAAACTCCCATACTCCATAAGAATTCTCCTTGAAAGTGCAATCCGCAATTGTGATGAATTCTCGATCAAGTCTTCTGACGTCGAAAACATCTTGAACTGGGCAACTACAAGTCAAATGGACATTGAAATTCCATTCAAGCCTGCACGTGTTGTTTTGCAAGACTTCACTGGAGTCCCAGCTGTTGTTGATCTTGCTGCTATGCGTGATGCAATGCTAAGGATGGGAAATGACCCTCAGAAAATCAACCCTCTGTGCCCTGCTGATCTCGTAATTGACCACTCAATCCAAGCTGATGTGGCAAGATCTCCAGATGCCCTCAGAATGAACGAAGAAATCGAGTTCAACAGAAACAAAGAACGCTTTGAGTTCTTAAAGTGGGGACAAAATGCTTTCCAGAACTTCTTGATTGTCCCTCCTGGATCAGGGATTGTCCACCAAGTCAACTTGGAATATCTTGCAAGAATTATTTTTAATTCTAATGGGTATTTGTACCCAGACTCAGTTGTTGGAACTGATAGTCATACCACCATGATTAATGGAGCTGGTGTTGTAGGTTGGGGTGTCGGAGGAATTGAAGCAGAAGCAGTCATGCTCGGCCAAGTAATTTCAATGGTTTTACCACAAGTTGTAGGATTCAGACTTACTGGAAATCTCCCACAAACAGCAACTGCAACAGATTTAGTTTTGACAGCAACTAAAATGCTCAGACAAAGAGGAGTTGTCGGAAAATTCGTAGAATTCTTCGGACCTGGTGTTGAAGGCTTATCCATTGCAGACAGAGCCACAATAGCTAACATGTCCCCTGAATACGGTGCAACTATGGGCTATTTCCCTATGGACCACAAGACTTTGGATTATTTAAGATCATCTGGAAGAACTGACGACCAAATTGCATATATTGAAGCTTATTTAAGAGCCCAAGGCTTATTCAGAGATTTCAATGGTCCTGATCCTGAGTTTTCAGGCGCAGTTTTAGAGCTTGACTTAAGTACAGTTGTGCCTTGCGTTGCTGGACCTAAGAGACCACATGATAGAGTCCCAGTCTCAGACTTAAAGAACGATTTCTTGACTGGACTTACAGGACTAGTGAATTTCAAAGGATTCGGAGTTCCAAATCCAGATGCAACAGCCACCTTTGATTATCATGACCAACAGACCACCATTAAGCACGGCTCAGTTGTGATTGCAGCCATCACCTCGTGTACAAACACCTCAAATCCTGACGTTATGCTTGCTGCTGGTTTATTAGCTAGAAATGCAGTTGCTAAAGGGCTAACAGTTTCCCCTCATATCAAGACTACTTTGTCTCCAGGCTCAGGAGTTGTTACTAGATATTTAGAGCTTGCAGGTGTTTTGCCACATTTAACTCAGCTTGGTTTTGCTTTGGCAGGCTATGGATGTATGACTTGTATTGGAAACAGTGGAGATCTTGACGAAAGCGTCCAAAAAGCAATTCAATCTGAAGACTTAGTAGCTGCAGCTGTTTTATCAGGCAACAGAAACTTTGAAGGAAGAGTAAACCCATTCACCAGAGCCAACTATTTAGCTTCTCCTCCTCTTGTGGTCGCTTATGCTTTGGCAGGAAGAGTTGATATTGATTTCGAGACTGAGCCATTAGGCACTTTTGAAGGCGCCCCTGTGTTCTTACGTGATGTCTGGCCGACCCGTGATGCTATTGCTCAAACAGTTTCAGAAGTAATTAAGCCAGAAATGTATAGAGAAGTTTATACAAGAATTGCCCAAGGCACCCCATCATGGAACTCTTTACAAGTTTCAGAAGGGTTTTTATATGAATGGAAAGCAGAGTCCACTTATATCCACAACCCACCTTTCTTCCTAGGTCTAACAGCAGATGTCCCAGCAATCAAAGATATTACTGATGCTTATGTTCTTCTTAAGCTTGGAGACTCAATTACCACTGACCATATTTCTCCAGCAGGAAACATTTCTAAGAACTCCCCAGCTGCAAGATATTTGACATCCAGAGGAGTCCAGCCTAGAGACTTCAACTCATATGGCTCCAGAAGAGGAAATGATGAAGTCATGGCAAGAGGAACTTTTGCTAATATCAGACTTATCAATCAACTTGTTCAGAACCCAGGCCCTCAAACTGTGCATTTCCCAACTGGCGAAACTATTGATATTTTTGATGCAAGCCAAAGATACCAACAGGACGGGCAACAACTCATTGTGATTGCTGGAAAAGAATATGGTTCTGGGTCTTCTAGAGATTGGGCTGCTAAAGGACCATTCCTTTTAGGAATTAAAGCAGTCATTGCAGAAAGCTATGAAAGAATCCACAGATCTAACTTAATTGGCATGGGAATTTTACCACTGCAATTCAAGCAAGGAGAAAGTGCAGCTACTTATGGCCTGACTGGAACTGAGAGATATACAATTGCTCTTGGAGGACAAGTTAAAGTGAACCAAATGATTGAAGTAACTACAAGTGATGGAAAAAGATTTGAAGTCATGACAAGAATTGACACTGATGTAGAAGTGGAGTATTTCAGACATAACGGCATTCTGAATTACGTCTTAAGAAAGCTTAATAAAGCATAAAAACTTTTTATCATTTTGTGTTTAATAGGAAATATAAGAAAAATGACTAGTAATAACTCTTCAATTATATTTTACCTTAATTATATAAAGACTTGCTAATATTAAAAAGATAGCCTTCTTCATTGGGAGAAAATATAGGAAAAATCTTATATTTAAAATTTAAATATTAAATGAACTCTAAACTGATAGAAAATTAGTTTGTATCTATTTTGTGTAAAAAATTTTAAAAAATTATAGGATTAGGAAAATTGCATTTGTGATGTAATTTATTGCAGTGTCTGATTTCAAAAATATTAAAAATCAACCCTTCATGAATGAACTAAATCTACTCGAGAACCAAAGAAAGAATAAGTAAAAGGCATATTAAGCAGAAAACCAAAAAGTGACGTATAAAAAGTACTAAAGCAATAATATATAAAACACTTATAAAAATTATTGATCAGCAAGTAAATATAAAACATTTTTCTTGGAGACCATTCTCCTGCTTTGAAAATTTACGAAATTTCATAACAAATTTGAAGAGATTGGGCTAAGAGAATATATAAAATTGAAGGATTCTTAGATGGAATGTGGGTCAGGGTGACGGAATTACTCGATAAGAAAAATGAGTGAATGGTGACAGAAGTACCGAAAACTACTAAGCGATTTAGAGTACTAGCTTGATTACATAGAATTTTCTTCACCCACTTAAAATAAAAAGCGATATAGGTAATTTTTGATTTTACGGCATTAAACTGCGTAAATTATTACTTTAGACTATAAAAAAGTAAATTTCGTCCAGATTTATAGCAATTTATTCACCTCATGAACTTAATTTTGCTTATATATACAGTAGTCAAAATATGGCTAGAATCTTAATTTATAGCCGCATTCCATTTATAATTTATATACTCGTCACTATTGTTGTGAAAATAAAGAGCCCCTCATAAAAAGCATAGTAATTGATAGCTAAGCTAAATAGTAATAATTTAATTCTGAATCAAAATATTTAAAAAAATTCTAGAGATTGCAATACTAGTTTAAGGCTTCCTACAGAAATTTTTAATAATATCATCGTGAATTTAAACAGTGTAAATGCAGTAATTTGATTGCTTATAATTCTTATATAATTTTTGGATAAAATATATAGTTGCTAGTCATTTAATTTTTCAAGAGTGTCCGCAAACTTAAGCAATGCGCCAGAATATGCTATTTCATTTTCTGATTTAAAATTCAGTCATATAATTTGATAGCTACCTAATTAAAATTGATAATCCCAAATTTATTTGCTTTATTAAATTTCCCATTGCCTAATTTTTTTTAAGCCCTATTATCCCTTATTATCCTATGAATTGCAAGAATAATAAATAGTGTTTTTCACTCTAAAATTTGGATATGTAATTTCTCCATTCATTCAGAACCAATTTAAGTAAAGGCTTTGCTAATCAACATTTATTATTGGTGTAGTTTACTCCCAATTTTGCTTATGGAGATCTCTTATCAAATTCCTTTGAAGTTTTAAATATTGTAATGCAAAATTTCTAATAAGCAGTTAAGGAACTTATATTATACTTCTTTTTCATGGTAAAAATTTCAGTACTAAAAAATTATAAAATGTTGCCATCTATGGGTCAAGTTATCGCCAAAACCATACCACCATTTTGGAACAACCCAAGCAGGAAATCCAGACATGAATCGTGCGTGCTCTCGCTATTTTATAACCCCAAAAGTCCTATTTTCAAGCCACCGAAAAAAGAATACTTGCGCTGCAAATTAATCAGAGGTCACAAGCGTATTCTTAGGCAAATAAAAAAATGCATAATACCAGCAAAGACACTGAATAGAATTGACCCCTCCAACCCCAGTGCACTTCGTCAGTACGAGGCACTCAGAAATTGCTACTACAGAAATGCTGATGAGCTCGATCCGCTAACAGAGACAGTAAAAGGCCCAATTACTGACGGAAGGGCAAAGAGAAAGTCAGCATGGTGCGAGGACATTGAAAACAGCTTTAACATGTCTTTCTGTAGATCTTACTTCGCTCCAAACTCCATACGAGAGTCTTATTTCTTGTATGTTGAACTGATCTTTATGGAGCTTGATGCTGAAGTTTTATGCGATAAGTTTGATTTCCACTGCTGCAGAGAGAAGAATCATTCCGGTGAATGCATCGAGAAGTGGCTACTCATGAAAAATATTATACAATTCGACATGATCAGAGAACTGGATCATGAACCTATAGTTTGTTCAGAAATCATTCTCCCTAACTATGGCTTAGATAAGCTCAAACACGCACATTCTGAAATGATTAGCCAAGCTAATATGTAAGAAGAAGAAAACTCATGACCTGGAGACACCTTAAATAGCCAAAAATATGTTAATAAATAAATAAATAGGATGTCAATATGATGTAAAAATTACTCAGAAATCATATCAAAAAAGAAAAAAAGAATATTTTGTAATAAAAATTTTTGAACTATCAGTGGGTTTACGCTTCTATGAAAATTGTTAATTAAATTTGAGCTGATTATTATTATTATTACAGTTGCTTAAATACTACAAAAAAAACAAATTTTTTACGTTGATTATTGTCATTTTTATAAAAAATATTTATCAATAATTCTTAAGCCTACTGTTTATATAATTTAGATCAAAGAAAATTGTCGGTTGATCAATGAATGAAGATGATTACTTGCAAAATATTCAAAAAAATCGATTTGAATTCAAATAATAAATAGAGAACGCAAGGCTTTCTTAATTGCTAAATATAATCAATTCTAAAATGCTATTCGAGTAACTTACTCCCCTTGTTCGATCACAGGGGTTAATTTTTTTTTTTAAGAAAAGTTTATATATAAATTTTATAGTAAGTTTTATTTTTTGAAATGCTAAAAATTCTAATTCGCAAAAATTGGAAAGCAAAAATTAATTTAATCTGTGAAATTTATGCTTTAAAATGCAAGCTGTTTAAAATAAAATAGAATTATCTAGACAATTCATCATATTAATTATTACTTATATATTTTAAAAATTTTTTTATCAGAAATTTTTATATATTAAAAAAATTTTTGCTTTATCACGGAAAGAGAGGGGGAGTTAAAGAATAATTTATAAACATTAAAAAAATTTTAGGCTTTAATATTTTTTATACATACTCGGAAAAATCTTTAAACGACCTATTTCCTAACTCAAATGATTGCTGCTTTATTTCATGATGGATAGATCTTTTTTTATTACTATTCGTTTTTTTGATTAATGAAAGTTTATGCTCTCTAACGCTATCTTTTGCAATTTTGAAAATTAGCTTTCCATTAGTATATTGATGAGAAGTATCATGAATAGAAGTTATTATGAAGCCCCTGTCCTTTGGAAACTTCAGTCCCATCGAATCACGTCTATTTCTGAAATTCTCTTCTGCATTGTATATTGTTTTAATCAAAGGAAAATTCATTTGATAGTTTACTTTATGACTTTGAGAAATTTTTGTATAGCCCAATTCTTGCGTTAGATCAGCCTTGTCTGATGTCAACCAAAGTCAGATGAGGAGTTGATAAACCAACACTTGTTCGCAAAAACAATTCCTATATGTTAAATGTCCAACAACAAGAGGACTTGTCCAGCAAGCGTTGGCTTGTCAAATCTCCAGCTGACACAGGGGACATCAGACAAACTCTATCAAAAGCAAGGATCGGGCTATATGTGCTTCTTGTGTCGCATAGTGCTTACTAATACTTATCGGAGCTCTCACATAGTTAGGCATGGGCACTGATTTTTTTCTGATAGAAGGCTTAGTGCTCGGAAACGAATAGCTTTCGTTTAGTGGGTCAATTTTTTGGCTTTCGTTAAAGCTTGCTTGCATAATATTAGCAGATGGCGGTCTTTGAATGGAACTATTCATTAATTGATTAGACTGTCTTTTTTGAAGATGCTTCGATTTTGATCTCTCTAACTCATTTTTATGCTCAATTTTCAAAGCTTTATACTCAATTCTTTTGTCGTCATTATCTGATGAATCTGAGTCAGACTCCGAGCTTTCAACTTCTTGAGCTTCTTCATGAGTTATTTGCTCATTATATATAATGCCAACTTCATTTAACAATTCTTTTATTTCTATATTTTCTGTATTTTCCTCGCTATATAATTAAAATGTGGCCTCAGCCTGGCCATTGAGCTTTAAGCACATATTTTAATTAATTTCGGCAAGGTTCTGAAATGGAAATATATGCTAGGTAACTAATCCTAATACTTTTAGGGCCTTGCCTTAGTCCGCTTTAAGGAACTGGATTTTGCCTCGAGGGATAGGAAAACTTGGAGTCGGAAAAACCTTCTAGGCCTATCGGGCAATCACTAGCGTGAAGCAGGAGTTATGCCCTCGGCTATAAGTTTACCTTTTTGTTGGGAGTAAACCAGAATTCCGATTTTTGGAATTTCTATGCAGGCAGTCCTCGTCTGCCGTATGTCACGTGGCCACAGTCGATCACTCTCCGTTTGGCGCGAGCCTCAGGAGGATATAAGCTAAACCCCCTAGTGGGGAGGCGGCAGTTGGCCATGCGAAGAGATGTGGAGAAGCTCACCTGCGGGTGCATCTGAAGCTACTCGATATTCTAATTTAATGGTAATGATATTTTGCTCGTCATAATTTTCTTCCATATCAAGCGTATTTATTTCTTGAGTCAAGCAGATGTCTGCAATGCTTCCAATCTCTGATTTGTTTTCTGCTCTATCATGATCATAAATGGCGTCACTCATATTTTCTCTTTTACATTTTATAATTATGAGGTTTGGCTTTCCACAGCGATTTTATCATGGCTATGATAGGGCTTCAAGTGCCTGCAGTGCTCAACTCAAGACTCTGTCCCTTAGGGAAATCGAATTTTTGGAAGCATGCCACAACCCCAGGCAGTGGAGGCTGGACCTTTAAAATGTCTGACGGACCTAAGTTTGTTTTGCCCAAGAGCCGTAAGAATGGCAGTCGAAATCCGAACACACGAAGTCTATGGACTATTCATAGGTGAAGCTGTGTGGTGTCTGACGTGACGGTGAACCTGAACCCAAAGTAGGGACAGAAGCCCAAACAATTGATTTAATATTGATACTAAACGAGAAAAAAATTTATCTTAATGCAATATAATGTTTTCTTCCCTATCGAAAGAACTGCAAATCTGCCTTATCTCTGTCCTGGACTTAACAAATGAAAATTGTCCATAAAGAAAATTGCAAAGCTCTTGCAATTTTTTACGAAAAAGGATTGGACAGAAAAAAATCATGAGCTGCTTGCATAAATCTTTCCCAATAGTTTCTAAATTTTCTTGTGATATATGAGATTCCTCAATTAGATTCTTTTTAGACGGGCCAAAAAAGGAAGACTCAAGTGTAAAACTATTAAGAATTCCAAATTCTCTGAAAAACACAATTCTTGAGGTTTTTTCTTTATATTTTTCCATTCTAAAGCGTGAATTCTTATAAGAAATCAGCCCATTTCTTTTTGCTAATAAAAAAGGAAATAGTTTAATAAACAAATTATTTCTAGTATCATCTAAATCCCCAGTGGACTTACAGGCATATATAAATATATCTTTTTTCGTTGAGTGGCCATGCATATCGCAATGCAAAGCAATTTCTCTTTCTTCTGATAGCATTTGGACAATTTTTTTTGAATAATAAATAGTAGGGTGCATATATTTATTAGGATTTATTCAGCGTCTATTTAAATCAACTCCAAGAAGACTACACCTATAATTTCCATATATAACACCATCAGGATTTAGCATAGGAATTATTTTGAAAATATATTTTCTCCTTAATTTTATCGCTTCTTTTGAGTTTCCTAATAGAAATTCTATTGCCCCTTTCATCATGTAGGAAGAATTTGATTCTCCTGGATGGACTCTTGCTGTTAAAACTACTGCTTTTTTATTCTTATGCTCATTTGTATTTTTATTGTCATCAGTTTTTGTGTTGCTTTTATATTTTTCAATAAGTCTTATATGAGCCTGCTGCCTCAAAATTTTCTGTTTTAAAAGCTTTCTTGCAGCAGCACTTTTTTTATACACAAATAGCATGGTGAAATCACAGATTCGCTATCTCCTAGACCTGTTTCGAGTTTGGGGACCTTGCTGCGGCCTGAAGCCAAACTGATCCGAAACGGAGTTACTGGTACTGGGCATTTGCTTTCTGGTTGGGTTTTGCCTCCCTCGTCTGGAAATGAAGACTTTGTGTCTTCCCGATGGACATTTGAGATAGAAGACTTTTATTCCTAGTGACCACTAGTGCTGACGATGAAGGCATAGTTGGTACCGATATTAGCTAGGAAGTTTATCCTTAGCGGGAACTCTAGTCACTCAAGTAGCCGTCAGGTTCCAAACCTGCGTACTCCAAGGCTCCGAGGCAGCATAAGAACTGATTTTTAACCAGAGGAGAGCTATTTCTGGTGGAAATGCTGATATACTCAGGGAGCTGAATGGGTCTTCTACGAAGACTCGTCTCGGGTGAGGCATAAAAGGAGGAAGAGCCCTAGTCTATAATTAATGCTAATGTTAATGATGCAGCACTTTTTTGGAGGTTTTTGTATTCTTGTTCTCAAGACGTGTAGGTGCTGATATTTTCTGTTATAGTTAAAACTGGGCAAATATTCCCCGCAAGAGTCCTGCATAATGGGTTCACCCTCAAAAATTGGCTTGCATTCGGATTTGAAGAATAAGAAGACAGGTCGTCCATTAGCTGAGTATAGTTATAAGGAAAGCTATAAGCAAAATATACTAAATCATTTTCATGTTTAAATGTGAAGGTAAACGTCAACGTAAAATAATAACGAATTTTGCTTTTATCGTATGATGGTCTTTGTATATTATTTTGAAAATAACTTATCATCGTCCCATCTCTATATCACTCTTTTCCGGTTAATTCAAATTCTCTTTTTGAAAAAATCAGCGGTTTCATTCCATCATTGAATAAAGACTTCCGCTTCATTAAATTGATGATATTAATGGGTGAAGCGGATTTGCCGTCTCTGATTGTCTATATCTAAAAATTTTCACAAACACTCTCTTTTTTTGCTAGCTATACTATTTTTTTGTTTCAGGGGCGATTAGAGGCAGCCAACCTGCTTCACCCATATTAAATCTTACTTTGTGGTTCGCTTTATAATTTTCTACAGAGAAATAAAATCATTGTGTGTGCCCTTGAGTTTCCATATCGAATTCTAATAGCAAGTCATATAAATCTTCATTATGTTTTATTGCTTTTCTTAAATTTCCACTTTCGAATTTCGAATTAAATTTTAAGGTGTTTTCGGCTGGTATTACAATCGTATACTCTTGGGGAAGTTGCTTAAAGGGAGTGTAGCTTTTCATATTCAAATATTGTTGGTAGTCTGATTAAGGAATACCATAATCATGTGATAAAGCAATTTCATTACGAATTTGGAGAGGAATTTCTCTTTTGGGGATTTGGTTGTGTAAATTTGAATCTTCATCGTAGACTCGTGCTCGAGAGTCATAAACAAGAATGCCATCCATTTCGTAGCGGTATAGATTAGATTGGCCTGTATCTTCTTTCGATCTCATAAATGCTCAAAAATCATCGTTTTGGTTTTGAGCATTATTACTTGAGTTAATATACTTTATTAGGCAATTAATTTATTTTTTAAAATCTACCTTTGCTTTCCTAGTGCCTTGCACAATTTATCCTAATTGGAATAGAAGATTCCATAAAAATATTTATACCTAATTAAAATAAAACAAATTCACCCTATTTATTATATGAAAATAAGACAAAAACCCAGTGGAATATTTTATTTATTATGATTAGATATAATTATTATCTAAAAAATTAGGCTTTGGTATAGCAAATTAAAGGCATTGGGACTTAAGCATCAGTTTAATATAGTTTTTATCTTATAATTTATCTGCAGAATACGTTTATTGGATTTATTTTTATTCCACTAATATGCTAATCGCTGGGTCTGTTTGGTTTTATTTTAATAAAATATATTAAATGAATAAATATTTATCTGATTAATATCAAAATTCATTAGTTACTTAAAGTTGCCTATAATGGATGAGAAAAAACACTCTTGCAAGCTATCTCCCAAATGCATTTTGGTATTTATGACTGCGATAAGTATCGTTATCTACATTGATCGTGGAGCTTTATCTGCTATTATTCCAATTCTCCAAGAAGACTCAACTTTAAATCTGAATCCAATTGAAGCGGGTTCATTAGGCTCTCTATTTATGCTTGGTTATATGATAACTTGCCCAATATTTGCCCATGAAGCTCAATTCATTCATCCTTTATACTTGATGGCTATTGGGCTCATTATATGATCAATTGCTGTATTATCGATTTCCATGATTACCTCATTCTGGCCTTTAGCAATTGCAAGAGCTTTTACAGGGATTGGAGAAGCATCATTTATCTCTTTATCCCCGCCTTATATTATGGAAGTAGCCCCAGAGCAGCATAAAAGTATGTGACTTGCTATATTTTTTGCGTCTATGCCTATAGGATATGCAATCGGATTTGTATATGGGAATTCTACATACGAATTATTTAATGCTTGGTACGCGCCTTTTGCTATTGAAGGCATAGCGATTATTCCTCTAATCATCATTTCGTTGCTTGCTTATAAAGACCCTAGCCTGCTTTCAAGAAAGCAAATAGGAGAAAGCAACGAATATGCAACACTCACAATGTGCCAACAACTTGAAAAATTGGCCAAAAATCCAATATTTATCTGCTTGTCACTTGGATATGGGGCTTATGCATTTACAGTAGGTGGCATTTCTTATTGGGTAAGATCTATGTAGGGTCCTGATTTTCTGCAAAAATATTTTAATTTAAGTGCGAGTTCTTCAACCTTGTGACTAGGAGGAATCACCATTTTCTGTGGACTTGTTGCAACCATTCATGGCTCTTGGATTTTAGACAAAAGACTGGTAAAAGAAAATAAGCTTTTTCATGATGGTCTCGCTACAGAAGAGGAAATTGAAAATACAAGGACGAGAGAAGCTACGTTTATTCTTCTTATTTCTATGACTTTAGGGACGATTATTGGAGTAATTGGGTCGCTTACTGATGATTTTTATCCTTTCATTATTTGTTTGGGAATTGCAGAATATATGATATTTTTGTAAAACTAATTTAGGGGGCATGGACCAGTGGGAATTGCATTGATGACTTGTGTTTCAAAAGAAATGAGAGGACAGTCTAATGCGATTTCTATATTTATTACACATCTAGTTGGAGACTTTCCTTCTCCTTTTCTAATTGGGATATGATTTGAAACAATAGGATTATACTGGGGAATGTTCTGTGTTACAGCTTGGCTGAGCTGGTCTGCTCTTTTTATGGGATTAGCATGAAATTTTGCTGTAAAATATATGTAGAGATATAATGGGCAGAGTGTGCTTTATGTATTGTCTCATCTATTTAAAAGTAGTAAAGAAGGTTTGAAAAATAGCGCGAGAGATGTGAAATTTGAAAAATTTCAAAATTAAAAATTAGCCAGATAGTTTTAATTAATAGTAGATATTTAAATTTTTAAAAATAGGACAGAAGTTATGCAAAAATAAATTTAAATATTGTTTTTCTCCAAACAAAACTAATAATTTTTAATAATAATTATTAGAGATCTGTTTTTAATTTATTTTACGTTAAAGATTATGATTTTTGCAATAATTTACCTTACCCATATCAGTTTCCTATTTTTAGCTTTTTTTTTAATAATTTCTCAACAAATATAAAACTCTTTATCATCTTAAGGCTCTATTCTCATTATTATCTGAACATTTTCGACCATACAGATTATCTTAAAACTAACTAAAAATGCAGCTTCTCAACTTATAATCCAAATAATAAGACTGAATGGGAACATGCTGCGCAGCCAGGCCAAGAGGAAAAGAGCTTGATATAATATCAACAAATCGAAATGTAACACAAAGATTGCTTAAAACAGCTAGAGTGGAAACTCGTGAAGTAGGAGTTCTTGTGAACTCAATTAGCTTAGAAGGCTACTATTCATCTTCCTGCAGTTCCAGAAGAGATCTAAATTCAACTAAAAGAAGTGGCTACGACATAGAAACCAATAAAAGTGATTCCAGAAGAGCAAATGTGCCACAAATTCCTATAAATAAAACATTATTTACAAAAGAATCAGAAAGTCAAAGCCAAAATTCCCTCATGCATTCTTTAAGAAATGACGAAGCAATCGAAAATTCCAGAAGTTTTTCAGAAAATCCTGAAAGCAAGCCACGAGATTTGCTGAGTTTAATTAAAAGTCGAAATTCAAGCGTCGAAAGTATTCAATCATCGAGTGTAAATAAACCGCACTTACCTTTAGAGCGAAATTCAGTAAGTGAAATTAAGCTTTCACCTTCAAATTCAATCAGCGTCATTCAACTATCGCCAGACGGCACACCATACAGTAATCCTCGAAATCTACTGACAAAGAAATCATCATTTTTAAATATTCCAGAAAAAACCTATATGCGTCAAGAATCATTGATAAGTGAGGACTCAGGAGTTTTTTCTGATGACAGTGTTGACTCAGACAGAGGTGGAATGTCACCTATAGATATCCTTGCTCCATTAAAAGATCCAGCAAAGGATTTTCAAAGTGCGAAAACGATGAAAAAGCATGTATCTATAAGGAGCCCATCGAAAGAAGATCTTAGCATTGAAAAATCAACGCTTAAGCCTACAGCAAGAAACTCGTTTATGACAATAAAGAAAGTTCAAGTCATCCACACAAAAGAAATCAATAGAGTCAAGCTTACTAATGACAAATTTCAGCTGAACCAATATACTGCTGACTGCATGGTAGGGCAAGGGGCTTTTGGCAAAGTTTACCGGGCGAAAGACAGTTCTGGAAATTTAGTAGCAATAAAAATATATAATAAGCAGCAATTAAGACACAGATGGATAGGGAAAGCAAAAACTGCACTTTTTGCAGTGAAATGTGAAATAGAAATCATGGAGAAGCTTGAGCATCCTAATGTTTTGCAGCTTTATGAAGTAATTGAAAACGACGTCTGCAACAAAATTTATATGATTTTAGAATTCGCACCAGGAGGGACCTTAAACGAAATATCGCCTATGGAAGAAAAAGAAGCTCTTTATTACTTCAAGCAGCTAATTCTAGGGCTGGAATATCTCCATGAAAAGGCACTCGTGGTGCATAGAGATATAAAGCCTCAGAATTTATTGCTAGATGAATACTTAACTTAACTTAATTATTCGGTGTTTAAGGTGTCTAGTGCCGCAGACACCAAAAATGGACCTTTTAGCTAAACTGGTGACGTCACGGAGCTATCTTGGAATCGCGGTGGTCAGCCCAACCGGCCAAACCTTCTATCAACGCTTCGCCTCCAGCCGCCGCACATCTCACCCGGCGCGTTGCCGTCGCTCTGTCTCGACTCAGCTCCTGCGCGTGTTCCGCCTAAGGGTCATCCTCCCGTGGGGATGTGCTGAGGGGTAAAACTCCGAAATCTTGAACGCACTGAGGAGCTGTTCCTTTGGTTATCCCCAAAGTTAAACAGCTATTGCTGTGCAGAAGTTCTCGAGAGAAAACCCAACCCCATAAATAAAATTCTATGAGGGAGAGAAAATTAGCAGAGCTAATTTCTCTCGAACCGAATGCCATTTTTATTTATATTGCTAGATGAACACAATAATCTAAAAATATCAGATTTCGGGTCTGCCCAAGAAATGGCAAATGGAAGAGACGAATTTTCTAATAGTGCAGGGACTTGGGCGTTTATGGCACCTGAATTGCATGGAGGAAATGGATCATTTAAGGGAAGACCTGTAGATATATGGGCAGTCGGAGTAACCTTGTTTTATATGCTGGAAGGAAAAACTCCATTCAATGGGAGGAGGCTGATTGATCTGTATGAAGCTGTGAAAAACCAAGAAGTGGTGGTTCCCGAAAAATATAACGATGACTTGAAGGATCTGATTTTGAAAATGCTCAATAAAGATCCAGACCAACGAGCTTCCATAGAACAGATAAAATCCCATCCTTGGGTAAAACTTGTATAAATTAAAATATTTTTATATAAACATAAAATGGCCAAGACCTTACTAATCATAATATATTTTAATACATAATTATAAGGCATGGACATTTAGTCAGATTTATTAGTAAAATATTTGATAGTTAAATAATTCTTATTTCCTTGGAGAAATTTGTTGAAATTTGGGAATGTTGAACATATTAAAAGATGGAAGGACCAAGAGTGCAATTATATGGAATCCTTTTGTCACAGCCAACAAGGACTCTATATGAATTTTGTTCATTGTGTAATATTCCATTTGATTTTGTAAGAGTTGATTTACTTAAAGGAGAACACAAAACTGAGTGGTACTCTCAAATAAACCCAGATCAATTGGTTCCTGCAATCACTCATGGAGATTTCAAGCTTGCAGAGACTTTTGCAATTATCCCATATCTAGCTGAGTATTATCATGTCGATAATCAGTGGTACCCTCAAGACCTCCATAAAAGATCCCACATTAATGCTTTTTTCCATTGGCAGCATAACACTATAAGGAAAAGCATTCGCACCTTAATTTTAGAAAAAGTTATTGGCCCCAAACTTATTTCCGTATCACAATTTAAAGTATTTTTTCTTAATTTTAAAATAAATCTATTTTATTATGCTAAGTTCTTAAAAGAATCCTTTTCAATGTTTGAAATAATAAATTAAATAAACTCCTCCTATCTATTTATTTTTTCCACCTTATTATTTAAATTCCAATGATAAATTTAAATTAAAACAAAATTATTATAAACTTTTGTCTAATTTTTTTTTAATAAATAGAAAATTTTCTATTGATATTAAACATAAATTAACTGCATTTCATTAAGCTGAGTTAGAGGAATGCAGCCAATAACAGCTGAAAGAGAAGCAGAATTAAGAGCTGATGCAATAAATAAATTGCGAGATGTAACTCAAATGCTTGAAAAGTGGAACTTCATTGCTCAAACTTCTGATTTAAGCACAGCTGATCTTGCATGCTATAATGAAATTGTTCAATTGAAATTTCTCAATTTTGACTTCAATGAGTGGCCAAGGATCAAATCATGGGTAGAAGAGATTGAGAGACTTCAAATTGTTCAAGAAACAAATGGAGAACTATTAGCAGTTGTTGAAAAATTTAACACTCCACAAGCTTAATTATATAATCAACTACCTTGCATAACTTAGCATGCCTTTTCTATTTATGATAATAAATTACAGTCCATGCAATTATATATTTTAATTTTAGTAGATCTTTTATTTTTTATGGATATCTTGCATAAAATAAAGATTAATTCTGCATATAGCATAATAAATAAATAATTAACGCTTATCGCCCACAATTATTGGGCCAATTCTTCCATCAGGTATCATTAAGATCGCTTTTGATTGATGGTTAACTCAAAACAATTCTATTTCTCAAACTTTTCCGTTGTTAGTAATCAAGATAGTTTTAATTTGTATTACTTCCAAGTGTAGGTGTTGTGCACTGTGCGCATCGATGGCTCTTGTTTACATTCTATAATCTGATGAATACACTGGATGTAACCATATTGATTCCTCTTATCCCACTCATGCAGAATTTATATGAATTTTATTCATTGTATATATCTCATTTGATTTTGTAAGAGTCGATTTGTTTATTACCAAAGTACCATCTTGTCAATTAATTCTTAGGGAAATCAAGGTTAAAAGATGAAAGAATTATAATATTGAATGCTTTGATAAAATTGATAAAGAACTTTTAAAAAATCAATTCTTAAATTGCTCAAGACAAATTATTAGCAAAGAAATTACAATATGTATCTTAAATAGTTGACAACTGAAATTTTATAACTCAAACATCTGAATTAAGCATAGCAGATATTGTTTGCTATAACGAAACTGCTCAATTGAAATTTCTTAATTGTGACTTTACTAAGTGGCCAGAGATTAAATCATGGATAAAGAGATTGAGAGACTTTAAATTGTTCAAGAAACTAATGGAGATCTATTTGCGTTTATCCAAAAAATGAGCAGCCCAAAAGTTTAAATATATGTCTAGAGATGCATGAGTAAGTATGATAATCATATCTGGCACAAATTTCTATCTTAATAGAGAAACACTATCTAGTGTAAATTATCATTTATGACTTGCCCATGATAATAAATTAGAATTAAAAATAATTGATAATAATTAAAATCTTTTCAGCTATCTCCATTTTTTTATATGCTTTTTACACTCAAGATCTTTTAAATCAAATCATTTATTTTTCCAGATTTAAAACTTAAAAGAAAAATAAATCATGGAAGAGAAAATTATCTAGCGCTTCTTAGGAAAATACCGATTAAAACAATTAACAATAAAATACTTGATAAAATTAAAAGACTAATAATTATTCTAGATATGATTTCTTGGCATTTTCCCCATAATCACATTTTCAAATTCTTCAAAATCAATCTCCCCATCACCATTAGTGTCAAGTTCTGATATAATATCCCTCCAGATTTTATCCAGCACGCGTCCATCTTCTCCAATCGCATCTTTTATCTCCTTTTTAGTAATCGTTCCATTTTTATCTTTATCAAACATAGCGAAAGCCGCCTTAAGATTGCCAACAGACATAAGTCTTCTTTGGTCCATAGATGCCTTTAAAAATTCTGTATAATCAATAAATCCGCTTTTATCAGTATCGACCTCTTTCATGATTTTTTTAACTTCTTCTTTAGCTTCTTCTTGGCCCATAAACTTGATATATTGTTCCATCAGCTCGGCTTTGCTTAGTTTTCCATCTCCATTCTTGTCGATTGATCTAAAAACTTCTTTAAGACCTCTTGTATCATCGTTAGAAATGCAATGCAAGGTTATAAATGTACTTAATGCGTCCCTCAATTTTCCTTTACTTTGAAACCCCTTTAAATTGTCAAGAGCTGGCTCTAACGATTGGGTATTTTGAATTTCTGGGCAGACTCTTTGAATTCATGGATGTGCTAAGGCTTCTTTTGCATTCAACCTTGTTTCCATAGGGCTCAATAGTGCTGAGATTAAATCTTTTGCGTGCCTAGAAACTTCAGCCCAGACTGGCTCTCTAAATGACCAATCTCTTTTGGAAATTTTCACAAACAACTCTTCTTGGTTTCTTGCTTGAAAAGGAGGATGCCCAGACAGCATCATGTAAATAATTACACCACAGCTTCATAAATCACATTTGAAATTATATTTTCCTGAAATAACTTCTGGTGCCATGAAATAGGCAGTTCCGATGACTTCATTAAGTCTTTTAAATCTTTTTGATACTTTTGCAATTCCAAAGTCAGAAACCTTGATGCTATTAAGTTCTCCTTTATTTTCTAGAAGGATATTCTGAGGCTTTAGATCTCTATGGATTACATTATGCTCATGTAAATAATCTACAGCTGAAAACAATTGCTTTGCAACTGAAGCTGCATCATCTTCTGAAAATTGGCGCCTTTTAATAATTTCATCAAACAGCTCTCCTCCTTTGCACAACTCCATCACAATATAAGCTTTTTTTATGGAATCGAAATATTCAAAAATTCGGACAATATTTGGATGATCAATCGATTTCATCACGTTTACTTCATTGAGGAGTTCAGCTTCTGGCATAGAATTAGTGTTTTCTTTCGTAAAAATCTTAACTGCGCGCAGCTGACCCGAATCTCTATGAGTAGCTTCTCTAACTTCTCCATAGCCACCCTGGCCTAAGGACCTCCCAATCTCATAGACATCAATAAACTTAAGTTTATTAGCACTCACAAAAAGCGTGTCTTCACATGACGACTATTTTATAATGGCTATTTTTTTTTGGCCTATTTTTTTCACCTATTTTTTTTTGGCCTATTTTTTTGGCCTATTTTTTTTGGGCCATTTTTTAGCTATTTTTTACTAATATTTGGGCCTAATTCCATACTAATAATTTTAATATAAATTTTAATGTATTTTAAACGATTTTATCAACAAAAAATGCATTTTTTAACATATCTCTTACTCCATGAATACTAATTCATTGTTTTTTAATATTCGAGAATTTTAGATTTAATTAGGAGTTTTCCACTTAATTTACTCAATATTAATCGCCTAAGGAAATGACTCCGTTACTCAATAATTATTTAGTTCTCTCACTCCCCCCCATCCTTGATTGAGCGGCTCTCCATCGTTCGATTAAAGATGGGTTTAAAAAAATATTTTTGGGAAAAAAATTTTATACATAAAATAAAAATATAGATATATTGTTTTTTATTTACTTTTAAATAAGAGGGTTAAGAGTATTTAATAATTATTTCTACTGCAAAAATTGAATTAATTTCATAAAAAATGCCAATTTTTAATATTTTGATTTAGTTACCCCTTTAAACTGTATAAATTTTATTTTGCTCATTATTGAATTAAAAATTTTTTTTTTAAAATTTAAAAGAATCTCTATTTTTTAGATTATTGAGTTTTTAAGCCCAGATTGATGACTAAAGTACTTCAGATGGTTGATTTCGTAGCTTTCTGCCGTCTCAGAGCTTCTGAAAACAATTTCATTAGGTACATCTTCCCAAGCTTTTGATAGCTAATATATTTTTATATATATAAAAATTTGCATGATATGAAAATCGTTCGATTAAGATGGGGTTTAATTTCCCCAATTTTTAGGAATTTTTTACAGTCAATCATTTGATAAAGGATGGGGGGAGGGAGTTAGCAGCTTCATAAATGAGCCTCGACAGAAAAAATAGGCCAAAAAAAATAGGCCGAAAAAAAATAGTCGTTATGAAATAGTCGTCGTGTGAAGTAACCCACAAAAAGACCTGGCTCAATATCAACATCATCCTTACCTGAATGCTTTTTACGGAAACTTGCTTGCTTTCCAAAACAACAACCCATGATTTATTTGTCTAGCTATACAGTAAAATAATAAGTTTGTATTATAATTTATGGACCATAATTTTAATTTATAGCTTTCTCATCACTAGTGCCTCGAATTCTTTGATATCAATTTCGCCGTTACCGTTGGAATCTACTTCTCTCAAAATCTCACTCCACACGTCATCTGGAGTATTTTTTCCATGACAGAGAATATTCCTAAGCTCACTAACATTAATTGTCCCGCTTCTATCTGTATCGAATACGTTAAATGCAGCTCTTAAATTTTCTTTTGAAATCAGCATTTGGCTATTGAATGTAGCCTTAATAAATTCATTATAATCAATGTAGCCGCTTTTATCAGTGTCTACTTCTTTCATAATTCGCTTTACCTCGGTTTTCGCTTCATTCTCTCCCATCATTTCTAAATATTTTGACATCAATTCTATTTTGCTTAATTTTCCATCTCCGTTGGAGTCAATTGAAACAAAAACTTGTTTTAATTCTTTGGTTTCTTCTGATGTAGCAATCTGTGAGGTGAGGAATGAGGTTATAGCGTCTTTTAGTTTGTTTTTCTTCTGGAATGCTTGCAAACTTGAAAGGGCGCCTCTCATTGCATTTGGATCTTGAGAAACTGCAGACCTCCTTGTGATCCAAGGGTGCTCTAAACAGTCTTTTGCTGATAAGCGAAACTTAGCAGGACAAATGAGTTCTGAAATTAAGTCTTTGGCTTCAGAAGAGATATGAGACCAATATTGGTCTTCAAATTTTAGCTCGCATTTTGTAATTTCAGAGAAGATTTCTTCGTTTGTATTCCCGTCAAAAGGGGGACGACCAGTTAGTAAAATATAAAGGATAACTCCACAGCTTCAGATGTCGCATTTTAAATCATAATGCCCTGCCACTACTTCAGGGGCTAAAAACAAGGCAGTCCCAATAATTTCTCTGGATTTATTTTTTGATAGTGTAGCAGTCCCAAAATCAGAAACCTTTATATTTGTTATATCGCCTTTGCTCTCTAAAAGCATATTTTGCGGTTTCAAGTCTCTGTGAGCTATGTTTTTATCGTGCAAATATTTGACTGCAGAAAAAAGCTGTTTCATTATGCAAGCAGCATCGTCTTCACTAAAAGTTGATCTTTTCAATAATTCTTCAAATAGTTCACCCCCTTTGCAGAGCTCCATAACCAAATATGACTTTCTAGGGGTGTCGAAATATTCATATATTTTAACTATGTGAGGATGGTCAATTATCTTCATCATATTGACTTCATTCAAAAATTCTTTTGTTTGAGCTTGGGAGTTTAAATCTTTGGGTAAAATTTTTACTGCTCGCTGGGAATTCGTTATTCTATGTGTAACCACCCTGACCTCACCAAACGATCCCTTGCCAAGGGAGGCACCAAACTCATAAACATCGATAAACTTCATGTTATTCTGCTTTATAAAAAGACTAGGCTCTGAATGGATGTTGTTGTGACTTTGATTTTGGATAATTGAAGGCTTTTTTGCTTTAGATGAAGTGCAACCCATTTTTATTATGCCGATAAAATCAAGAAATAATATAATAAAGATAATAAATCAGTTTAATCACGCCCGAGGCGTCTTAATTTATTGCTTTTACTAATTATCTCATTATTCTAGCGCTCTTTATTCTTTTAATTTCATCTTCATCTTCGCTATTCTTTCTTTTCATATTAATCATGCCTCTGGGTTGTTTAACTAATTTCTTTTTATATATTTTTTCTTCGAATTTTATTTTTTTTCATGAGAATTTTTATACAACTTTTTTTATAGAATTTACGAAAATTAGACCAGTTGTTTTTTCAATGCAACCCCACTTCCAAGTGTTTTGATAATTTTATAGTGATCTAGAATTGACATTTATAGGAGGTTTATTTAGTTTTTTTATTAATTTGAATTAGGGATTGCTTATATAAAGGAAATAATTTAGTATTAATTATGCAAGTTTATTAAATTAGCCGCGTTTCCATTTTAGCTTTTTTCCAAATTCAAGTCACTTTCTTATTTAAAAAGATGAATATGGGCCTTGAATCTTGAGTTATCACCCTATCATTTCTTCTGCACAAAATTGGCCAAAATCAGATCAGATAGCATCATAATAAAGCTTCTCTTTCTCAAAATCTCTGGCGCGGCAAAGCCTTCAGTTATGAGAGTTGAGAAAAAGGCTGCTTCGTATATCATTTGATACATTTATTAATTAACCAAATAGGCTGCAATAATATAGTTCTTTAAATAGTGATAAATATGTATTTAGAGCTAATTGAGTAATTAATATGCCAGATAAAATAAATTTACTGAGGAAGGATTAACATCAGCGCCCTAGCGATGATTATTTCACTTCTCCTTTGAATTATTTGAGGTATTATTCAATCTTGTAACAATTATTAATTAATAGAAGCTCATTATAATTAAAAGGGGAAAAAAAATCTAAAACTATCGCAAGACTGTGAAGAAAATATAAGAAAATAAATATCTCTAAAATTACTTGGCTGATTAGAACTATTTCTTTTATAAACTCTTAATAATTCCAAGTAAATATTATTTACAATAAATTTATATCAGACATAAATTATCAAGTTTATTTAAGTATTAATATGGCTCTTGAAATCGAAATTAATTGCTTTGCTTTCCTCATTCAATCGAGAACAACTATTAGAAAAAATTTATATAAAATTTTTTTTATATATCTTTTACATATAATTTTGTTATAATGAGATATCACTATTCATTACATTTTATATAGATCCATTATAAGCTTAAATTGAGATTTATATTTTAATTATGGATTTTTTAACATGTAAATAAAATGAGAAGGCAAAAAACCTTCCTCAAATTTGCATGAGGAGTTAGCCCACAGAAGTATCTTAAGGTTACAAATATTGCATAGGAGTATAATTTAAAACTGAGTCTAAACCCATTCGAATTTATGTAATACAAGCTACCATTCTGTTATCAAAGATCTGGTTTCCAATCCTATATTAGCTTCTTTATTGAACATAACTCTCACGAATATCTTCATTAGATATCTGTAAGTTTTGGACTACTATTACCCATATAAATTTGCATGAATATTTCTTTAATTCTCAATTATTATTTTTAAATAATTCAATATGATAACTGAAGCTTTAAAAAGCCAGGTAGAGTCCTTGAGACACCAAATTGATTTGGTAACCAAAGTGCATGCCGCAGATTTAAAAAGTACCCGTGCAGCTCTTGATAAAAAAATAGATGCAGCTTATAATGATAAAGAGCTCTCATTATCCCATCAAAGTGACAAGCTAAATGAGCTTCAGCAAGCCTTAATCTCAGAAAGAGAAAGATCCACAAAGCTCCGTATTGAATTTCAAGAAACAAAGCTAAGCAACGACCAAGAAATCGCAAATTTACACGAAAAAATCCGACGTATCAAAATAGAAATCCAAAATGCAAATGAAGATTTCCATAAGCACCTCAAACCACAACTCCAAGCAATGAAAGAAGAAGAATATAAGCTATCAGAGTCCCATAAAGACTATTTAGAATCCCTCAGCAGCGAGCATTCTCAAATGCTTGAAAAACTCAAAACTCAGTCAGCCACAATCCTTCAAAATATTCAATCACTGCAGATGGAAAAAGAAGAACTCAAAAGAAAACTCGCAATCAAAGAAGGTTGTGGCACAAAAGACATTGAAATCCTGAATGAAGCTGTAAAATCGACTCGTCACGTTGTAGAACTACAAGAAACCAGCATAAAAAGACTGAAATTTGCATGTGATGAGATTAATGAAGAAAAAACAGCACTTGATAGAGAACAGAGATTACTGGAAGAAAGGGAATATATATTAAAGCACGAAAATGCAGGGATGAGAGAAACCATAGAAAGGCTAGAAAGAATGATTTATGGAAAAAAATCACCTAGAAAAGACTAATATTTAATTATTAAAAAATAAAATGTTTGAAGGCGATAAACTCTTTCCTGTCTGGGGTAAACACTTTCCTTCAATTATAGAGAAAGAATTCACAGTAAATGAAATCAAAGAAATGCGCAAGAAGATAAAAGAAACTCCTTACAAAGAATTATTCGAAAAAAATAGGCAGTTTTTCAACCCATACGCAACTTCTAAATATCTAGAACTGCCACCTTTAAAGGCAGTAAAGCTTGAAGAAGACGGGCTAAAGGACAAAGTAAACTTTAAAGGGAAGGATGGAAATGTTTATACAGGACAAGTTGACGAAAGAAATAGAAGAAATGGGTTAGGATATTTGCTATACGTTGATGGATCGCTGCATATGGGATTTTTTTATGCTGGGGCAACTAAAGGTCGAGGACGCCGAATTGATACAAACGGAATTGTTTATCAAGGAAATTTCAAAGATGGAGTGCTTAAAGGAGAAGGGTCTGTTACCTGACCGAACGGATTTTCATATGATGGAAGCATAGAAGATGGAATCCCACATGGGACTGGCACAGAAACGACTGAAGATTATACATATACAGGCAATTTTGTAAGAGGGGAAAAACACGGATATGGGGAAATTAATTGAAAAGATGGGTCTTGGTATAAAGGACATTTTACGATACAAAAGATTGAAGGAGAAGGAGTCTATCATTGGACGAATGGAAATGAATATGAAGGTGAATGATTTCGAAATAAAATGCATGGAAAAGGAATCTTTAAATGGGCGGATGGAAAGGTCTATGGAGGTGATTTTTCACATGGTCAGAGAGAAGGCCATGGAAAACTTACATGGCCTAGTGGAAGACAATATGAGGGATATTGGGAGAAAGGCTTATATGATGGCATTGGAATAGAAATATTAGAAGATGGCACAGCAATTGAAGGGGTGTGGGTGTCTGGAACAATATTTAAAAAATTCGATCCGGTTGTTCCGGGTCCTGATGAAGATCTATTTGATCACATTGGTTCTAGAGAAGTTTTAAAACAGCTTGCTCCAAACTATGATGAACTTTTAAAGAAGGTCAAAATAGTAAGAAGAATAGGGAAAATTCCTAGCTCCCCCTTTATGAGCAGGCAAACCATTATTTTAAAAAAATTAATCCTCTTTAAGAGCTAATAAAAAATATTTTAATATAAAATTTATTTAATAAAAATTATTTTTATATATAGATCTCTGAGGACAAATGCCCTAATAAAAACTTATTTTAGCATTTTAGAAAAATCAAATTGGCAATTAAGAGATATAAAATGAAAAATTCAAATTTAATTTTGGCTTTTTGATTTCCGTAAAATGTAAAAATAAATTTTCTATTCGGGAATTTGTCCTCAGAGATAGAGAGGCATGAGCTATAAAATGTTTTTGATATACAATTTTAATTAAAAATAAAACCTTTACGAGTTTAGCAGGAAATTCTTGCCCGCTCTTAAAAAGGATTAAGAGTGAGCCTGTTTCTGATAGCTTTAAAGAGCCTGAAACAGACTACTCAAGAGAAGCTAAAAAAGAACGCCGAGAGATCCTGGTTAAAGATATCAACGACAAAAAGAGTCAAATGAGAAACAAAAGGCTTAAAGAAAAAAACATTAATACGGACGACCCCAGAAAAGCAATTTTATTGGATTTAGAAAGTCCTTTATCAAAGCATCAAGTTTTCCTTAAAGCATATACAATACATGCAACCTTGCCACCATTCAACTATGAAGATCCTGATTTTGAAATGCCCTTTGATTTAAATTTTTATGAAGAATGAACTGATGTGGGAGAAGGAAAGTTATGCTATGTTTATTTATTTTGAAACACTTATGCCAACTTTGATACCAATTTTTTATTTAATTGTTTACCAATATATGGCAAATATATTGATCTAAATTATAAGAAGACGCTATATATAAAGGACAAGTCGACGATAACGACAAAGCACAAGGAATGGGAACTCTTTTATATAAAGGAAGAATTTATGAAGGATTTTGGAAAAACAATAAAAAACATGGCTTAGGACGTCAGATTGGTGCGAAGGGCGACGTTTATCAAGGATATTGACTCGATGGGAAAAGAAATGGCTTTGGAGTCTATGAAATTGTAGATAAAAATTATCTGTATATTGGAGACTGGGAAGATGACGTTTTCCATGGCAGAGGAATATTGACTACAGCAGAGGCAGCATACGAAGGAGAATGGAAAGAAAACAAGCAGCATGGAATTGGAGCTTTAGTATATGATGATGGTAGAGTTTACAATGGAGAGTTTAAACAAGGAATTATCCAAGGATACGGATCCTTAATTTGGCCGAACGGAAAAGGCTATGCAGGACAATGGAAAAACGGAGAAATGATCGGAGTTGGAACTCAAGTGACCAAAGAAATAAAATCTTTATACGAGCAAGGCCTCGCTGACTATATATCAAAGCGTGCTTTCAAGGACAGCGACATAAAATCATTTATCCCAGAAAGTGAAATCCCAGAAGAAGGAACTTTCGGCGTTGTCAGAAGCAAGATATCCGAAAACCCCCAAGAGCTTCAAGAAAGCTATATTCCTGACGAGCCTGGAGCTATAGATTAATTTTAATATAAATGGAGCAATCTGTGCTAAGCACTGAGTTTGTGACTAATTTTGAAACAGTAGAAAAACAAGAAGAAAACAGGCTGAGAGAAATAATCACCGAAAACCCACTTGATTTCGATAGTTGGCAAGACTTAGTGAAGCACATTGAAAGCTATGTAAGATTCATTTAGAAATCATCTGATCGCAATGTAAAAATCTATAGAGAAATTCTCAAAGAATATCCGCTCTGCTATGGATACTGAAGGAAGCTTGCTGACATATATGCAGTCCAAGGATTAGATGACCAAGTTATAGGTGTTTTCGAAGAAAGCTTAGAATTTCTCCCTGTCTGCGTAGAAATATGGGCAGCCTACTGCAGCTGAAAGATGAACAAAAACAACGAAGAAGAAGCTCGACAGTAAGTATTTATATAAGCTTGTACTTATTATAGGTTATTTGAAAGAGCTATTACAGCTTGTGGCAAGAGTTTCAAGTCTACTTTATTGTGGGATAAATACATCGAATTCGAAAAAACCAAAAAACGCTATGAAAACGTAGGGAACTTATATTGGAGGATTATCCAAATCCCTAATGAAAAACTGCATGACTATTATCACCGCTTCAAGCTCTTCATGGAAGCAAAAGGCAGAAAAATGGAGCATTATGGGGTCAGCCTGCCTCCACAGCCTGATTCAGTCCCTGTTGACAAAAGCGATCCTTGTAAAGATAAAGCAGGTTATGAAACAAAAGCTGAAATGTATTATTCAGCTACTTGTGAAGTTTTAAGGCAAAACAGACTGACAGAAATAGTAAAAGCTTATGAAGCTACTCTTAAAGAATACAATAAAAGAAAAAATTATGAACTAAATATCAAGAGAACGTTTTTCCATGCCAAAGCACTCGATGATGGACAATTAGATAACTGGAGGAAGTATTTAGAATTTGAAGAATCTGAAGGAGATCATGAAAGAATTGTGTTGCTATATGAAAGATGCATAACCCCAACTTGTAATTATCCAGAGTTTTGGGTCAGATATGCGTCGTATATTTATAAGAAGTATGGAGAACAACAAGCTAGAGAAATCTATGAAAGAGCAAATACGAAATTTTTATCAAGAAGGGTTGGGATGTTTATAGCTCAAGGACAATTTGAAGAAAAATTAGACCATTTTGATGAGGCTAGAGCACTATATAAGCATGCTTATGTTGATTTAGTCCCAGGACTTTTTGATGGATTATTTAAACACTTGAATTTAGAAAAAAGAGCAGGAAATTTAATAGAGGTTGAAAAGCTATATAGCCAGGCTTTTCAATTTGCTGAAACTTCTACACAAGATGTACTTATTGCATTTGTATATCAAAACTACGCACAATTTCAGTTCTATACGATGAACAGACCTCAAAAAATGATTGAGCTGTATGAAGAAGCGTTATCAAAAGGCTAATCATGAAAAAAAAAACTGATGAGTAAATTACAGTAAAATTTTAGACCTATAAAAATGGCAATCGCATGAAAAGACTTAAATGAAAAAAAGAACTTTTTAACGCTATACTGCAAAAAACTCCCACAGTCGATTTTTGTCATTCACTCTTCAAAAAATATGATATATTAATTAATAGCATTAAAAACTAATCCGATTATATAAAATTGAGAATCAATACTGTATGCAATTGCAATTATTAATCTACATAATTGAGATAGAGTTTTATCGCACCTTAGAGTATTTTTTTTTCCATTTAAAAAATTACCCTAAAAAATAACTGTAAAAGCTCCTGTTAAATTTTAATAAAATATCTGGCATATAGTTAATAGAACTTTCAAAACAATCCCTAATAAGCACTATATAATATTATCTACACTATATCTCTATTTTCTAAATTATAGCATCAAAACTTCAAAGTGAAAGCAATAGATAATTTAAAAATCTTAAATTTACAGTCAAATTTATAGATTTCAAATTTACCGTAATTTACCCATTCGATTCTTTCATAACTATCCCTATCAAAAGTATCGAGCAGAAAATCGTTATATCTCATATATATTCAATCATTATCTCATCTAAATAATTCAGACGAAAGACTTATAAAAATCAAGGGAACGTATGAAAAAGCTATATCAGACGAAAGCGAAGTAATTTTTTATTTCTTTTCATATTAATTTTAGCTATATTTCAGAAAGCCAGAATTTTTGATCAAAAATTAAGAAGTCAATTTAAAATGCTATATATAGTTAAGCACAGAGGAGAAAGAAGAAATGTGGATTTTATATTTAGACTTTATTAGGGATCAATGGATGGATATCGATACTGTGAGAGAACTAGAAGAAAAATATGCAGAAAAATATTATTTGTCAGTGCCTTATAAAACTTCATACTCACAGCTGCTGAATATTAAAGGAGCAAGAGTTCAAGATTCTGGTCCATACAAAAGAGCAAAAATAGCTAATTAGTAATAAGTTATAGCAGCTATTTAATAAATTTGTTTTTTCTTCTTTCTTCTGCCTTCTAATTTGACGTAATTGCTATCTTATTGTACAATAAGTTTAAAAAAATTATCTGTCTATACTTTACGCAAGTAATTTAAGTCCATAAATGATTAGATTTTCCTTTTTATTGGATAGATAAATAAAAAACTTTTATAATTCACTATAATTCAAAAATTGATGGAGAAAAAAGCCTCCTTCGCCTATTCAAAGTCAGTTTCCCTAAAAAGGTCAGATTTCATACTCCCACTATTCAAAAGAAAAGTTTGGGATAAGGAGTCTGAAACTACTCGAGTTTACAACTGAAGTACTAGCATTCCAGATCGTTGGATCGAAATAAAGGGCAGGGGTCATTTTAAACATGTTTCAGAAACTTCAAATATAAAAAATACACTAGATTTTTTAGTGTCATCACAAAAATACATCAATAAAATATCAGCCCCTGCCTTAGAAAAATATCAATCATTGACAGAGCACAAAGCACCGAAAATCATCAAGCCAAAAACATCGAAGCCTTCAAAAAAAAGCATTTTTGGGTTTCCAAAAACGCCTAAAAAACCACTTGATGCTGAAAATATCCCTGCAAAGCCAATTCATATGAAATCTTCATTTACAGCTCATCACTGACCCAACAAACGAATCTCTAATAGTTTGAAACCAAAATACACCTATTCCTAATTTTTTTTAAAAATAAATATTAAATCTTAAGTTTAAGTTTAATAGAATTACTCTTGCATTTCAGTGCTATAACTCTTGGTTTACTTGAGGTCCATTAGCAGCTCTGAACAACAGTAGGTGGACCGGCCTAACCGTCGAACCGTTCAAGTTAATAAGCCCTTCCTGACTTCTCTAGTCATTGCCAGCTTCAGCACCGACCTCTTCTCTTCAAGCCGAGACTCTCAAGAAGCTTTGACTTCTCTTACTAAGCTCGGTTATAGGTCCATCCTGTTGGTGGCAGGAGTTAGGATCTATCCCTAACTTATATTTTTAATATTGTGAAATACTAAATAAATTATATCTTTATTTATATACTTTATATATACACAATGAAATCGCAATGTTTCCAATTTGAAGATTTTGTTCTCAAAGAATCTGAAAGCTACCCAGATCTTAAGCAGTTCCGTGATAAATATACAATAACAAACTTTGCGCTACCAAATGGATTAACTACAGTGCATAAGGAAAACGAAGAAAATGAAGGGAAAAATCCTAATGTGGTAAATAATCCGAGTCTTGAAGAATTTTTAAAGAGATTTGACAGAAAAGATACTTCTATTGAAGCACCAAAAGAGAGAAGAGGAGTTAATGGATGGAAACTCACAAGAGGGTCATTAAAATCTTATAGAAAAGGACGGAGCAGCTCTATGCCAAGATTGGATTCTGAGAGATAGAAGAGCTACAAACTAATAATAAATGTATTGATAAATAACGAAGTCTGGGATAAAATAAAATATACTATAGTCTTTTGGCGTTATTTCTGACTGGCTCCCACGAGCCAAAAATGGGTTTTCCACGAGCCAAAAATGGGTTTCCACGTGGAATTTCTGGATTTTCACGCGTGAAATCCATCTTTGGCTCGTGGTAGCCGATCAGAAATTTAAGCAACTGATCATAAAAATTTTGGTGAATCAACTTTATTAGTTACCTCTTGAATATCTCACGTATTTAAGCTGCTTCTTTGAATATGATCCTTGGGACCTTTTCTTTTCTTCTCGGGTTCGCTTTGGTGGATCTACTAACACCATGTTGTCCAATTCATTACGATTCTCAGGCAAAGGCTCTCCCTTTTCTCTTCTTTCCTTCAAGTATCTATGAATTTTTTGATTCAAACGAAACTGTCTTAAAACTTTATTGACATCATCTACGTTATATCCACTGACTAGTGCAATTTCCTTTTTTGTATCTAATTCGAATCTTTCTTCTGTCAGCTCAGAGTCATGGAAAGCGTTTAAAATCTTCTTTGTTTTCTCTTTTTCTGCTTCTTCGATCTGGGTTCCTGATTGCCAAAATTTGCTAAGCGCATTGCCAGAATTTTTTATTAATTCCATAATTTCTTGCTTAAAATCTCTCAAGTAGTAAACTTCTTTTGAGCTGATATCTTCTAAATATTTTTTGAATGACTCTTCTTGTTTTTTCAAATTCTTCTCTTGCTGTCTTTCTTGAAAAGTTCTGGCAAATCTGAGAGAAGGCTGTCTAAAAAAGCCACTTAATCTAAGCTCGCTCACTGAGATGTAATTTTTTTTTTTAAAAAAATTATATATAAATTTTATAAATTTTTTTTTTTCAAATTTAAAATAATTCCAATTTATTAAAATTTGCTTTCCAATTTTTGTGAATTAGGATTTTTTAAATTTCGAAAAAAAATTTTTTTATAAAATTTATATATAAATTTTTTTAAAAAAAAAAATTTAACCCCCTCCGTGAGTAAACAAAATTTTTTTGTTCACTCACGGAGGGGGGGGGAGTTTAAAAAGAAAAATTATGGTGATTTATTAATTTGATAAAATTACACAAAATTGCAGTTATTAGTGTTTGGAGGAGGCAGAAGAATTTGAGGGATCATCACAATAATATGTAGAGTCATCTCTTTGTTTTTTTGTATCTATTAATGTTAAGTCTTTGAGCTCTTCATCTTCAGAATCGTCACAGATCACTTGGATGCTTGTTTTTCTTTCACGCCTGGACTGAGTTTTCGTGTCTTTTCTCGTATGATAATTATAAATTTTTTTTTGTAAATTCAAATTCAGAGGAAATTGTTCTTCAGGCTCTCTTTCTATACCAACTATATTTATTTTATCAAATTTGCGCTGAATTCTTCTCGTTCTTCGCTTAGCTCTAGAACCCGTATATGGGTTTATCATTCTGTGGCGAGCTCTGTACTCTTCTACAGTTTTCATATCCACTCTGGAGCTAATGACCATATTTGTACATTTTTTTGCGACATGCCCATTTTCATTGCAAAAATAACACTGTATCCCCAGAATTTTATAATTATTATCTTCACATGAAACTTTGAAAAATTGAAAAAGATCAAAAATTTCAGGCTGTTTTTGGAGTTTTTCAATCGCCATGACTCAGTCCAACGTCATCACTTCAGTAAAGCTTTCACATTGGGCTGAAGCTGTCCTTCTATGGCCTGTAAAAAAACCTATTTCACCGAATATTTCATTTTTATTAAGAATTATATAAGCACAGCCTGTATTTTGATGAAAAATGTTGACAGATCCTGTTGAAATAAAATAAAGTTTTCTACTTCTTTCACCTTCTGCTAATATTCCATCTCCTGGTGCAAATGTTTCTAATCTTAATAATTTTGTCATGGAAGTAATCGAACTCAAAGGAAAAAACTTTGGGAAAACCCTGCATCGCAACAAAATTTTGCCGTGCGTTCTTGAAGAAATTTCATCTCTTAGGTTGTCACTTAAAAGCTTAAGCACATCTTCTTCACCAAAGCAAGACTCCTGCTCTAATCCTACATAATCAATATATCGTTTCACTTTATCCTGCAGTTCTTTAGGAAGCCTAAGCTTTTTCATGTATCGATTGACACCTAGTGTTATGTCTCTTTTTTTTTGATCTGACTGATGGGATGCCATTACAATACTACTGATTTTTCCCAAAAGATATGCATAATAACCACATGTAATAACCATACACATGATAGCAACAAGCCTTTCAATGGAATTTAAAGCATGAATGTCTCCGTATCCTACTGTGTACATGGTAGTAAAAGCTCAATAGAGAGTCGTTATGTACTTTTCTTGTAAAGAAATCCCCATCTCTTCTTCTAATTCTATACGAAATATTCAAGAACCTCTTGAATCATTTTGTGAAGCTTTGCTGAAAGCATAAAATGTGCAAGCTGATCAATGAGCTATAAAAAATATTGTTAAGCTTGTTCAGGCATAAATAAAATGGCATTCGGTTCGAGAGAAATTAGCTTTGCTAATTTTCTCTCCCTCATGGAATTTTATTTATAGGGTTAGGTTTTCACTCGAGAACTTCTGGACAGCAATAGCGGTTTAACTCTGGGGATAACCAGAGGAACTGCTCCTCAGTCCTCTCAAGATTTCGGGCTTTTACCTCTCAGCACATCCCCACGAGAGGATGACCCTTAGGCGGGAACACGCGCAGGAGCTGAGTCGAGACAAGGGCGACGGCATCGCGCCGGGTGAGACATGCAGCAAGGCTGGTGAAGCAGGAGTTGATAGAAGGCTTGGCCAGGGCTGACCTGTTCCAAGATGGCTCGCCTACGTCACTAGTTTTTTGCCATAGGTCCTTTTTGGGCTGCGGCACTATACACCTTAAACACCAGATAATTAAGTAAGTAAGTAAGTAAGTAAGTTAAGCTTGTTCAGGCAATTACAATAAAAACAGAAAATAATTCACTAGATAAAATTTCTTCAATCTTAACAAAAATTGATCTTAACTTCAATACCCTTGCTAGTTTAAAAATCCTTAAAAATCTTATTAATTTAAGTATTTTCAACAAACTTGCAGAGGGTGAGCCAGAAATAATGATTTCGTAGGGAAATGAAGATATTATGTCCAAAATAAATCAACTTTGCAAGTAATTAATAGTAATTAGTTTTCGACTGTTTATTGTAATCCCACTTCTAAAAAACGTCGTATTAAAGCAAAGGCCAATATCAACAAAAAAAATCAATGAAATTGCTATTTCAAAATTCAAATAAGAGCTACTAAGAGTATAGTCAAATGCTAGAGAAAAAGGTATAATAAATCCTTCATGCAAAACAGAAATTATGATCAGTATATCTCAAGCAACTCTTCAGCGATTTTCTTGATTAAATAAATATTTTTCGTCACAAGGTTTTTCATCTATTAAATTATTAAGGTGAAGTGTTTCAGTATTTTTCCTTTTAAGTGCTCTTGGCTCATCAATGCTTGATGGGGTGTTACTTTCTTTTATTCGGTTTATTTGTTCTTGTATTTCAAGTAGGTATTTCTGAGATTCTCCAAAAACAGCTGATTTTCTGCCTATTGTGTCCATTATCAATTAATTTTTCAGATTAATATAAAGAAACATTATAAGGATTATATAAATGTTATGTTGGCCTTGAAATGGATAAAAATAAATATATTTTTGATGAAATTTGAATTAAAATGGAGCTTATCTTTTTATATTAAGAAAATTAACTAAATCTATTTAATCCTACTTATAATACCTGAAATAAAGAGATTTATATTAAAAACAATTGAAAATAGTAAATTTATAAAAAATTTTAGGAATGCCCTATGAGATTACATTGACAATTTCTGCATATTTAGAAAATAAGATATTCAAAACTGTAATTATATTGTCTATAAAGTAGTGTCAAAAATGGCGATATGATGAATATTGGAACTAAAGAAAATATAATTTGAGAATGGATCTAAAATGTTAGAATTTTCTCAGAGTTCTCATCAGCTGAATTCCTTATGAATTAAAGTCTTTAATTGTTAAGTAAATGATTTTGTTTTAAAGATAAAGAAAATAACAAAAAATACCTAAACATCTGAGGGGTTTAAATTGTATGGATAATGCTGAAATACTCCTAAGGCATTTGCATCTCTTTTAGTTATGAGGAATACCAAATATCCTTCAAATAAAATTTCTCGAAGATTTTAATGAAATTTTTCTTTTTATTTTACCTATCTTTATCTTTCCATTAATCATTATGAGCTTATTTCAGATAAATAGAGTTTATTGTATAATTTACCTTAATGCTAATCTTAATTCGGCATGCACTTCACTTTTTCAAATCTGGAACTATATCCATTTAAAAATCCATCAAATGCATAAATTATCATATTCAGTTACTTTTACTATAAAATAAACTAACGAATATGGAAAATCTCTCTCTCCCTGAAGCACAGCTTCTTTATGCGATTTATAAACTAGAAAATGATGGCAGACTTAAGGAAGACGATAAAAAGAAACTAAAGCACATGGTCATTTCACAAGATGAAAGAGTCATGAGACTCATTGATCAATATAAAGAAAATCAAAGCCAAGTCAGCTTATTCCAAGATATTCTTAAAATTGTAAAGCCAATAAGGCAAAAGCCTGAAACTGTGGCTATTCCTTCTCGAGATTTCACCAATGAAGACAGCAGCCCGCTTGGGAAGTTTCTGCATGAACAGAAGAAGAGGCAATCCAAGAATGAGGGATTAGCTTTATCGCTTCATAAAATGAGTGATGAAGTTGAAATATCTCCAAAAGAAGAAATGCCTATGAGAGAAATGCATCTGAATTTTATGTAAATTCAGTTCTAGATTATTTAAAAAATTGTTAAAAAAATAACAGGGATTTCTTAAATTTTTTATTTTAATTTATGTGTCCTACTTGGAATTCCCCTGATTCATTGGCTTCAGCAGCAATTTCCCATTGTCCATTCTCGTTTTCATGAGCTATACGAGTGATAAGGTCAGCTGACGAGATTCCTAATAAATTTCCTTCATTTCATGAAATTTTCAAAACTGGTACTTTTATGCTAAAAATAATTTCTGAATCCCAGCTTTCATTACTTGATGTTCATAAAATTACATTTCCATCTTCACCTGCGCTGATAATCCTATACCCATAAAATGGCTTATACGGCAGTGCTGCTACATCTCGTACGCATCCAGAATGTTTTAATAGTTCATCAAAATGTATTCTAAATTATCATAAAATTATCTTCCCTTAACAATAATTAACTTATAGAAGTATTTATATGTATATCATATAAATTTTCTTCATCCCATTTCCATACTTTTACAATCCCATCTGCTCCTCCTGTCACAAATCTTTTCTGCATTTCTATGGTGTCAAGAATACTTTGTGACACAGAAGGAAGCCAAAATACAGAAGATACACCTCCTTCATGAGCCATTAGCTTTGTTGACTCCCATCTATCATCTAATAGTCAGGTTATAAGTGAAATGCACCCATCTGCAGATCCTGCAAGCAAAACAAGCCCAAATTCATAAGGTGCCCAATCCAAAGATGTAATTGGAGCTTGGTGTTCTTCATATTCATATATAAGTGTCCATTTATTTTGAGCAGCTTCTTTTCATATAGCTACCTTTCTGTCTCCGCTTCCTGAAGCTAAAAGATTGCCAAACTGTGGGTGAGACCAAGATAGAGAAGTTACAGTAGCTTGATGATAATTAATTTCAGAAATTTTATGCGCATTGTTATCCTCAATAAGGAAAACAGAAATTTTCCCATCTGAGCCACACGTAGCAAAGCGCCTTCCATAATAATCGAATTTTGTATCAAGAATCGCCCCTTCATGAGATGTTGCTACAGATGTTTTTGGAAAAGCCATATAAAAATTTATCTTAATCTATCATAATTAGGGTTATCGAAGTACCTTTTGAAGTGCTCGTACAGGTTTATATAAATATTGACTCCTAGCACCAATCTTCCAAGCCTAGGCCAAAGTCCATGTGTAAGGGTATGGATGCCTTCGCGCTTCACAATCAGCTTGATCCCGCTAAAAGGAATTTTTTCTAAATGACTGTAGCAGCAATTTCTTGTTTGAAGTTTGGTTTTTATTACGTCAAAAGGATGAGTAATAAGAGCAGCAATTATCGCTCCTGTTGTGCAGCTTAAAGTTCTTGATATGTTAGGATGTGTGTCTTTATATTTTTTATGAATATTCTCCATGGTCATGAAAAAGGTTCCTGAGAACAATACGTCTCTGAGTAAAGTTACTCGAAGTCCTGAAAAGCCAGAAAAACTAAAAGTGAGTTGTCCTGAGCCTGTTCCCATTAAAGAGGTCTTAAATCTCTCAATTGGAGAAGACACAATTACAGCTGTAAGTTTTGATAGCATTGCAGATAATCCAGCACCAAGTGATCCAAATCAGTCATCTAATGGCGGTCGAAGTACTTCATAGAGCGAATAATGAACAATGTTGATGCTCAGCATAGAAACTAGTGATGGTGAGAGACCTCGCCATAGACTAGTAATCCCTCGATGAGAAATTATTTGCTCAATTGAGTTTTTTACAGATAATCTCTTAAATGATCCTATCTGAGTGTTCTTAATTACGTCTAATGGACAAAGAACTGTAGCATAAACGGCAGATGAAATGCAAGTTGACGCAATTATCGCTATTTTATTTTCACTTCTTTCAGTCATTTAATATTACTTAAATTTTAATGACTGGACAATAATTAAAATGAAGTTGCAAAAGTTAAGCAAATTAGCTAAAATAATCAGAAAATAATTTGTAATTATTTAGAGGCTATTATAAATATTTAATAATGATCCTCAACAGAGTTATGAGAGATCATAGTAGTGATCCTACCAAAAAAATAATTTAATTCTTATGATAACTTTAATAATGCTCATAGCTCATAAAATGGATCGAAAGATAATTTAAAACCATAAAAATCTTTGATTGAGATGAAAAATAAAATTAATCCTTCACAATTATGATTAAAAGATCTTTAAACACAACGCGGCTTAAGATTTATATATATTTCTGTTTTTGCCTAGTCGATTAGTTTTTAAAAGTAAGGAGCATTGAAAATCTGATTTTTTCCTGGAGGTTTTCTTTAATTTAGGGTATTAGTGCAATAAATAAAGATAAGCCCAATATGATTAAATATTTTGAGAAGTATAAATAATATTTTTAGAAATTCGAAAGTAAACTGTTGAATTTACTTGCTAGCAGAAAATGACTTAAATCATTGAGCATTTAACTTCTTTAAAATATCTAATAAAAATGTTGGGCAGACTTAAAAGAATGGTCTTTACGAATCGCGTAATAATTATTGGTGGCAACGGAGCACTCGGAAAGCATATGGTTGATACATTCAAGACAGATTGGAATGTGACTAACATTGATCTTGCTGAAAATCCAAATGCAAATAAAAATATTCTCTTAAAAGAATGCTCTTTCGAAAATTATAGCCAACACTGCAAGAAAAGTCTTTCAGGGACTTACGAAGCAATTATATGTGTAGCTGGCACATGGGCAACTGGAGGAATTTCCAACATTGAAATTTTTTCTCAAATCCAAAAACTAATTGATGGCAGCTTAGAACCCGCTATTTTAGCTTCACATCTAGCAGCTGATCATTTAAATGATAGTGGCTTGCTAGTTTTTACAGGAGCGTTTAGACCGTTTAAAAATACTTATCCAGAAAATCTTGCATTTACATTAATGAAAAATGCAACTCATAGCTTGGCTTTGAATATGGCTGTAAGGGACAAAATTTCGCCGTTGGCAACTGTAACAACAATTTTGCCAGACATTTTGGACACTAGAGTAAATAGAGAAGCTATGCCAGGGGAAAATAGAGCAAACTGAATTGATCCAGGAAAAGTTGCTGAGCTCGTTAAAAGCTGGGCAAATGGGAAAAATATGCCTACAAATGGAAGTTTTGCGGAATTGAAAATGATGAATGGGAAACTTATTCCTGAATTTATTTAACGAGAATAATTAGATAGCTAATCTAAAGCAATGTTCTTATCTATTATTCGTTTTTAATAGTGATAGGCGATATAATTTTTTTTTAACTCAACAAGACTCAAACCTTTATTTTCTTGAAATTTCCAATAGCGGTCTCATTCTATAGTTTCCACAATTACCTTTTACAGCCAAAAATTGATACTAAACTCCATTTTTCTGTCCACGTGGTTATATAAAATGAGTGAAAAAGTTCGATTCCTGACTCTAATCCGCCCTCTTATGTGTGTGCTTCCAGAAGTCAGCAACCCCATGAGAAGAGTGCAATTCCGAGATAAGCTTGTATGGACTGCAATCACCTTATTTATCTATCTAGTCTGCTGTCAAATTCCTTTATTCGGTATCTCCACTTCAAGCAATGCAGATCCACTCTATTGGGTTAGAGTAATTATGGCTAGTAATAGAGGAACTTTAATGGAATTAGGGATTTCCCCAATTGTCACGTCCAGCATGATCATGCAGCTTCTCGCAGGATCAAAAATCATTGACGTCGACCAAAGCCTGAAAGAAGACAGGGCACTATTCCAAGGCGCCCAAAAACTCTTTGGGATGCTCATCACAATTGGAGAAGCTGTAGCCTACGTTGTTAGTGGAATGTATGGGAATATTTCAGACATTGGAGCAACGACTGCAATTTTGATCATTATTCAGCTGTTTTTGGCAGGAGTTATCGTTATTATTTTAGATGAATTTTTACAGAAAGGGTATGGACTTGGCTCAGGGATTTCTTTATTTATAGCTACAAATATATGTGAGAATATCGTATGGAGAGCGTTTAGCCCCACCACAATTACAACATCTAGAGGAATGGAGTTTGAAGGAGCAATTATCGCTTTATTCCACCTCTTGATAACCAGAACTAATAAAATCCAAGCTCTAAAAGAAGCTTTTTACAGATCCAATGCCCCAAATATCATGAATTTACTTGCAACAGTCTTTATTTTCTTAGTCGTAATCTATTTCCAAGGCTTCAAAGTAGATTTGAGCATCCGCTCATCAAAAGTTAGAGGACACCAAGGCACTTATCCGATAAAGCTTTTCTACACTTCAAACATCCCTATTATACTGCAGACAGCCTTAGTATCAAACCTTTATTTCTTCTCACAAATTCTTTATCGTAGATATAGAACTTACACCTTGGTTTGGCTTCTTGGACAATGGCAAGACTTAGATCAAGGATACTCAATCCCTGTAGGTGGACTTGCCTATTATATTTCTCCACCGAGAGAGTTTGGAGATATTGCAGCTGACCCAATTCATGCCTTAGTTTATGTCATTTTTGTCCTGTCCTCTTGTGCATTGTTCTCAAAGACTTGGATTGAAGTAAGTGGAAGCTCTGCAAGAGATGTAGCAAAACAGCTGAGAGACCAACAAATGTTTTTAGAAGGACACAGATATGAAAGTATGGTGAAAACATTGAACAGATATATACCAAATGCTGCAGCTTTTGGAGGAATGTGCATTGGAGCACTTACTATTGTGGCAGATTTACTGGGAGCTATTGGATCTGGGACAGGAATTTTGTTGGCTGTCACTATTATTTATCAATATTTTGAAGCTTTCTATAAAGAGAAACAGGAATCAGGCGGAGTCTTTCTATTTTAAATAAATGCTAGGTTAGATAATATCAAAAAAATGTATCCCGATAATTTTCTAATTTCTTTTAAGAAATTTATTAAAAAAACAAATATTTATCTTATAAAATCATTAAAGTCTATTTACTGATAAACGAGTTATCTTTAGTTTGGATTCACTACAGATCCAACAGGTGCAAAGGAAGGATATTGCATCGAACCCATAGGAGCTGCGTTGAATTGGCGCATCTGAACTCCAATTGGCTGATTCAGCACAGGCTGGCTCATAATAGGCTGAATAAAGTTCTGAGGAGCAGGGGCATTTTGAGATGCTAACACCTCAAATTTCTTCGAATTCTTATAAAGTTTCTTAGCACAGCCAATATAACATCCACAAAGTCCTAGTGTGCAAATAATATTTATGATCGTGCATGCAACAATCATAGACTCAAATGAGTAATGTTCACCATTATGCTCTTCTCCATCATTATAATCTTCTGATTCTTCTGTTTCATGATTTTCAGCATGCTCTTCTCCTTGGCTAGATTCAGACTCTGAGGTTTCTTCTCCTTGATGGTGTTTTCCTTTTTCTTTATCACCTTTATGGCAACCTCCTTTATGGTGATTTTTTCCTTCTTCTCTATTGTGGTGGCTTCTTTCATGCTCTTCTTCTTTTTCATGATTAGCATTTCCATCTACTTCATCATTTTGCTCACTGTGATGTTTTTCTTTATGATCTTTTTTTCTATGGTGGTCATGCTCTCTTTCCTCTTCGCCATTATCTTCATTTTGATGATGCTTTTTCTTATGGCCTTCATCACCAACTTCTTCATCGTGATGGTGCTTTTTCTTATGATCTTTTTCTTTTTCTTCATCTTGATGATGTCTATTTCCATGCTCCCTATGCTCTTCTCCATTAGGTAGATTTTCATCGTTTTCATTAGAATTCTGAGGATGCTTATGGCAAGGTGGTCGATGAGCATCTTTTTGAGGATCTTCTGGAGGAGATGGGAAATTTTCAGCTTCATGCGGAGGTACTGAGCCTTCTTCTCCTTCATGGCTTGGAGGTGGAATATGGCTTTCTTGGATTTTGTTTTCAAAATTTTCCTCATTAGAATTTTCATTGCTTGATGGCTCATATGGATCTGACGAGTTATTTTCATCATAAGGCTCATCGTTACCCTCATAATAGTCTGGTTCCCAATTATTGTCTTTTGCGCCTTTAACTTCATTGACAAGAATAAAGCCATAAACTAGATTAGCAACAATTAAGAAAATCGCAAGGAACATCAAGGCTCTTAAGTATTTCCTTGCTGATACAGAGTCTTTTTTCCTGCTAGCTTTCAAGCCAAGCATTGATGCGCCTATTAAGGCTGTATCGGCAATTACTTTAACGATATCTTTATTTAGTTTATTTTGACGTTATTAGATATTTTAGCAGTGCGCTATTATCTAATATTTACTATAAAATATAAGCCACTTACTTTTTTTCTATATGAATTATGGAAATAAACTAGTATTTTATGGCATAATATAGCCCAGGCACCAATATAGATTGGCATGGGATGAGAGAATGCCTAAAAAACTCCTGAGTTGTTTTCCGACAAAATTAAAAAAGCAACTCCCGAAGTTGACAAATTCCTCTATTTTCAACTCCCCAATTTGATTCGTCAACTTTGTTGGAAAACTAACTCGGGAAGCTGCTGAGCATTCTCCAGCCTAGACCGATCTATATCGATTCATAGGCTATATCGCAAGTTGAAATTTTGATTTGATATTGGTGTGATTCATAATGTTCGTCTTGGCTAGCATATGAGTACAATCCTACAGAAATATCCAATATCCCTACAATAAGCATCAAGTATGATGCGACTTTCACCCATTTAGCCCATTTGTCACGTAGTTTCTTAGTTTCATAGAGTTCTGGGTTCATTACTGGAGCTGAAATTGGGGCGAATTGCATTTGCTGCATTGGTTGAATAGGAACTGGTAGATTTGGAAGAGGTCCTAGAGGAGCATACTGAAATCTTCCATCAGGGGCTTGCTGAATGTAATTTTGGGGCTGCGGCCTGGCAAAGTATTGCCTTTCCTGGTTTTCCATATCGTAAAAGGTATTATTATTAATCAACAATTTTCGAGGGTTTAAATGACTATCAATTAAAAAATACACAGGAAAATGCATAGCATGACTGAAATCGGGATCTGAAGTCACTTATCAAAACATTTTTGGGTTTATTACTGAAAGAAAAAAATGTAACGTCAAGTAGCCTTGAAATATGGCTTATTGTTATTACTTGTGAGGATAAGTGCAAAATTATATAAACTTTTATAATTTATGAATTATTGAAAAAGATTTTCTTATGAAAATCTAAATTAATAAACATTCTATGATCGAATTTTATTATTATTTAGTCTTGTTTTAGTTTGCCGTATATGCATATTTATTTATTTAATGCATAAATGCTATTTTTAATTATCTAGTAAAGATATTTTCTATATTTAGTACTAGAATTTCTTCTAAACAATCATAATTTTCTAACATTTTAATTATTATTTTCTACTTATACTAGGAGATTTGTACAAACAGAAATGTCAAACAATGAATTTTCACGAGGTCTTACTGAAAAACGCCATCTCTATACACCAATTCATCGAAGAACCCACTCTACTAACATAGAAACAGTAAAAGGAATCGCATCTGTGCAAAGTCATCGTCGAACTTTATCAAACACAGCACAAGAATTTACTCCGATTCAAAACCCTCAGCCAATCAAAAATTCATTTCGCCCACTTCTAAATATCGAGCCAGCTCGAGAGCCCCTAACCCCAGATTCATTAAATTCTCCTGCTTCTTCTGCATCAAGCCAGCATATAAAAAGTAACAAAAAAGGATTCACAGGACTTTTAGATGCAGCGATTAGCTATTTTAGCCATGAACCTCAATTGGTTATTCAACCTCCTTCAAATGAGATTAACGAGATGAAAAAAGAAATCCGGCGATTGACTGAAAAGCAGCTGGAAACAGAAAAAACCAATGAAAAGCTATTAAACGATTGCTCAATAATGAAAATGGCGCTTGAAGAACAGAAAGCTAAAAAAGAAAATTATGAAAAGCATATTCAATCATTGCAAGGCTATACCCAAGAGCTGGAAAACGCAATTAAAAAACTCCAGGCTGAGCTGAAAAATGAGCAAAAAAGAAATGAACAGTTGAGAATGACTATTGTGACAAATGAAAGCCAAGGGAATGAAAGAAAATTGATTGGAAGAGAAATTTATGAAGATGATACCAAAAAAAGAGGAAAAGAAGAAAGCTTGAGAGTGGATAAACCTTCACCCACTCCAATTATGTATAAGCCGATTTCTCAAAGGGGGATGAAAGAAGAGAAAAGAAGATCAATGGGCTTCACTTAATTTTCATAATATTAATATGTCACTATTTATTCTAGTAAAATATTTTTATTAAACAATATTGTGATAGGTAGAACTAATAAATAGGGCTCCATGTCAAATGACAGGGTATTTTTGATAGTTTAAATTTCATCGAAGTACATTTGGTCGAAATTTTTAACGGGTTTTTTTGGTCAAGTGTCTCGTTATCAAAAAGTTTCAGCCAATTTTCCGACTAAATGTACTTCGGTTATACACACTATCAAAAAGTGCACAATCATTGGACCTGCACCCAATAAATATCTGCCATATCATTTTTAAAATAAATTTAAAATACTATCCTTACTTAACAGCAAACTGTGTAGTTTGAAAATCTTCTATTGTAATTTGATAGCAGAAGCCTTATTTCTGGGTTTGAAGTTAATTTCCTCGCTTTTGAAATATCTTTCTTCTTTCACTTTGAGAAATTCAATAAAACTTCTACAGCTTTTATATTTCCCCATCTGCACGCCACATCTAGACAGCTTTCCATTTCATTTCCATCCACTTGACTTTTAATCAATGGATTTGCACCGAAATCCATTAATAATTTTATTATTTCAGGATATCCATTTAACGAAGCTTCATAAAGTGGCGTCTTTCCTGACACATTTCGTTTATTTAAAAATGAATTTTCATTTGTAGGACTAACAAGGAATTTTCTGGGGTCATTTGAGATAAGTTTTTCAATCGAAATTATATCAGATTTACTCCCTCGTCTTATATGGTCAAACAAGCTTTCTCTTCTTTTGTGATCTGAAATAGCTTCATATGAAGGGTTATATGAAATAACGCTAGAAGATGTTGTGCGACCAGGGCAACGAATAATATCATTAATAAGGTCGTCAACATTCAAAACTACATTGACTTCTCCAGAGTCTTTGAATACATGTGCTGCACAAATTACAGTGCCGACAGATTTTCACTTTCGTTTTGAGCAATTTTCGATTCTTTCCATTAAATATTACCAAATCATTAAAATCTTGTTTTAACATTTTTTATTTTTGTTTTATTTAATTGCTGATAAATATTTTTGATCAAAAATTTGGTAAACTGCTTTTAAGAATTGAAAAAAAATTATATAAATAAATTAAAATAGATCTAAAGAGATTCATTGGGCTTGATCGTCAACTGACAGAGTAGTGAGAGATGATCACTAGGATATTCTTGAGAAGGTAATCCTGTAGGTCCAATGCTTTCAAATGATGGTATATTTAATACTCTTGATATAGAAAAACCTCTAATTCATATATAATCAACTGTTTTTTTCTCAACTCTTTCTCTAATTTTATAAGTTGTGAAGTTAGGCTCTGATCCAAATATCATATATGCACTTTGAAACTTCAGTTTTGTGTGACTATTTAAAATATTGTAAGTTTTACTTCCTGGAATACTGTTGAAGTCTCCACACAGAATTATTGGTAGTCTTCCTGCACATTTTTCAAGCTTGCTTACTCTTCCCGTTAAAATTAGAGTAAGCATCTAAAAAGTTCATTTTTTGGCAATTCATAAAGAAATTGGACAAAATTATTATGTAAATAGTTTGATAAAAAACTGAAAATTAGCTATATGTTTAAATTCAAAACAGGTTTCAAAATTAAGGGGATGAGAGTTAAGAGATAGCGAACCTGATTTGCCCTGTCTTCTTCATATTTTGATCTTGATTTCAAATGAGTTCCTACAATCAAAAATTCGATAGCTCCAAAAGCCAATTTAATTACCAGGGCAAACTGGTTTGAGTTTGGAAAGTATCAGGATTCTTGAGATATCAATGTGAATTTCCTTCTGTTAAAAAGAATGCAAAGCCCATCGCGGTGCCATCCTCTTTTCTTTTTGAAAATTCCTTCAAATCCTATCTTATTGATCCATGGGACAATAAAATCATCGTAGTGATCGATTTCACTGACTTTTTTCCCCTTAAGATCGAAAAAAAAAAAATTTAAAGGGTGGCTAATTTCCGAATATTAGGGATTTTCCCAATAATTTTACTCACTCTAAAGGGCGGGAGTGAGGCAATATATGTCAGCTTTTGATTCTTCAAGGTCATGCATTATCTGAGGAGCTCTGTAACCTCAGCTTAAGAATTGATCAGGGACAGAAGGAAAAAATCCAGATAATTGATCTGAAAGTGTATTCCATGTCATGACAGTAAAAAGTGGAGGAGTTGGCGCTACTTCAGTCAAAGTTCTACCTAGGAGCATTTTATATCCATTTTGGTAAGTTACTGGATAAAAAACGATTTTTTATAAGAAGATGTTAACAAATAAACCCAGCAATATAAAAGCTTCTATGGATTGAAGGTTTTCGTAATGCAGTTATTTATTTCTAAATATTTATAGCATTTTTAAACGAACTCTCAAAATAAACAAAATTTAGGATCTGGAAAATGAATTTAATTAATCAGGAATTGTGCGAATATTTTTAATGAAATATATTATCACTAAAGCTATAAATGCTTCCTTAGTAAAACATAAATTTTGTTGGAAAAAAATTGTTAGCCACTTTCCACTCTCTTCTGCGATGAAAACAATTATTTAGCTTATGTTGTAAATGAATATTGTTCCTTCAAACAAAGAAGCTATTGAAAGAATTACTATTAGCTGTATCTCATTTGTTTTTAATTATTTAATAGTAGCAATTTTGATAATGAAAATAGAGATGCGAAAGCATCATTAAATTGTGTGGGTTAGCTTCAATATTATTCCACTTTATCTCCAAATTTTTTTTCAAAAGATATTAACATATGATTAACTCCGGTAGAGGGTATATAATTTTTCAAAAAATGATATATCAATTTTATAATAATTTTTTTTTAAAATTTAGAAAAATCCAAATTAAAGAAATAAAAATTAAATTAATTTAATTTGCAAAATTTATGTTTTTAAAACGCAAACTGTATAAAATTAATTAAACAGGATTAATTAGAGATCTCATATTACTAATTATCAAGTATAAATCGAAATATTTTTTCCATAAAAATTTTTATCTTAAAACAATTTTTGCAGGTGGGTTTACCTAAAAAATAGGAAGTTTTCCAAATGTCTATTTCCTTCACAGAGGGGGAGTAAGAATCAAAATTTAAAACAAAAAATAGAAATACAAAAATGGCAGATTTTGACTGCTGTTTTTTGGAGATCAATAATCGTCAAAATTATATTTTTGAGTATTGTGAAAATTGAGATAAACCATTAGAATGCTTTAATAAAACACAAGAAGTTTGCATAACAAAAAGAGCTTCAAATATGTATTAGTGTAGGAAAAAAGACTCCAAAATTTATAAGAGTGGAGCATAACCTATGCAAATAATATATTTTAATGCTTTTATAACTATTATATGAGGCTAATTGAGAACGAATAATTAAGATTAAGCCTTATTCCATGCAGTTAAAGCTACTCCTCTTTGGTACCACATGCTTTCACTTCCTTCTCCTCCTGAAAGCTTGACTGACATGATGATCTTATTTCTCAAGTTATTGAGATATACAGGCAGAGGAATCAAATTTTCTCCTCTGGGCTTATTCTTAACCCAACGCAGAACACAGCTTGGGATGGCATGTGAAAGTTCTGGTGTTAATTGTAAAGCATCATTTTCCCAACAAGCGCTTTCTAGCTTGAGCCCAGTCATAATAAATCCATCATCATCACTTCCATGCAACTGTCCACCGACTTCAAGCTCAATTGATAATTCATCCAAAGACCACATATGCTTCTGACTTGTAGCTTGGCGAGTGGCAGTCATAAATGCTTCTGGGAAGAAAAATCCTCCAAACCAGACCCCTTTTCTTCCATAATCATTTGAGGCAGCCAAGCCACTTAGTTGGTCAAGTCTTGCTTTGAAGTCTAAAAGCCACTCTGTGACTGTTATAGGCGCAATTGGGTATCTTCTCCACTTCTTAGGAATTATGTCAGCATGCAAGTCTTGTGCAATCAACCTGATAGGATTTGTGAATTTTTGGGTGCCGGCAGTCATTTCTTTAAGCTGGAATAAGTCACTTCTTACCTCGCTGAGAAGAAGTGAGCCAACTTGGATTTCTCTTTCTAAAAACCTGAAGAGTGGGTTTGTGATTGATAAAGCAGTTCTATGAAGGGTAGGGAGTTGAGCTGGGAGAAGATCTATTAATTGACCAACACGCTGATTTAGTGCGACAAGCCAAGCACTTTTAGTTTCTTCTGCTTTTTCGCTGTATGCTAATTCATCATCTCCAGTGCCTTGGATGGACACAAGCTTCCCTACAGCTGTAATTGCTTCTTGGCTTTTGAGTAGCTTTTCTGCATTGCTTGGCAAGCCAGCCCACTCAGGACTTTCTACATCTGGTAGATTATGAATCCAGTCTAAGAATTGGCTATAAGTTCTAGCTTCAGGAATCTTTAACGGATTTTCACCTCTAAACAGCTGGAATTCTGGTCCAAAGCTTTCTTCTCTGAAGAGTTCATTTACAAAGGATGATAAAATTTTATCATCAAATTCATTATCAACTCTGCCTCCATATAAAGATTTCGATATAGTTGCTCTAATAGCGTCCCAAGGTATCTTTTCAGGTGGAATATTAGCACGATTCTGAGAAATATTGTCAATCCATTGATCAATTGCATCAAGTGTGCAACGCTGGTCAGCTTCACCAAACTCATAAGCTTTAGTCCAACCTATAGGTGTATATCTAAGCCTTTCTCCTAATACTGCATGGAACCAAGAAAGCAAAAAGTGGAGTCTTGACCTTTCCGCAGGCGATTTATCAGTTCTTTCTGGACTTAAAACAGTCTTAAAAGTTCTTATCATTGAGGCTTTAATTCCGGCTGGCGGCTCAAACACAAAAGTATTTGAAATTCTTAATAAGGTGCTTGGGACTTTTGGATGGATTTCCATGGTCAGGAAAAGTCTGAAATTTTCATGAGGCTGGAGCCTATGTAGCTTCTTTTCTAAATCAACAAGCCAAGATGGAGCAAGATGGACATTTTTAAGAAGAACCCAAGTGCCAGCTTTGCTAGCTGAATTAATTGCTTTTTCGGCTAACTCAAATCCTTCAGATGAACCGATAGCTACAGAGGTGCAGCGCTTGTTAAGATCTTTTACAAGTTTATCGACCTTTTGTGAAGGATCAAACCCAGGAGCAGCACACAATAACAAAGGAGATTTAGGTATGCTTTCTTCTAAGACAACTTTTCCGAGATCATTTGAAGTACTTTCAAGCAGTTCTTCGCCTAGTACAAATCCAATAAGTTTCCTTGTTACTGTAAATAGTCTATCAGGTCTAAAAATCTTCAAAATTGTCATATCAACAATCATTTCAGCTATTTTTGCTGTGCTTTCGTTATATCTTGGATTTACATGAGCCCAACCACTTGGGATGCATTTTTCAGGATATGCTGACTCAAACATATCAAGCCATTGAGACTTGTATTGAATTAAGCTTCTTGGCAAGTCTTGGTATAACTCTTTCTGTGCAAGTCCTACTATTTCTTTAGCTTGAGTTCCTGCTATTTTTCCATCCAAAAATGAATGCGCAGAAGTATCGTGATAATGCTGGTTTCCTCTCATAAAGAGATCTAATTCTTCTTCGCATAGGCTGACTAAATGAATCTGCAGCAGTCTTAATGCAAATACAAGCTTATCGCTTTCCAATAAACCTCTGCTGACAGATCCATAAAGTTTTATGTATATTTCATGCCTATGAATAGCTTATTATTATGCAGAGGCTATCTAATTAAAATGAATCATAAAATTATTCACAGTTATCCGATTGGCCTGCTATTTATATGAAGATGATATAGATTTTCTTCGTTATCATATCAAGACGGACAAATGGATCAGTCCTAGGGACTTTTTGAAGATCTTGATCCTTATTCAAAACATCAAATATTGCCATCATGAAGAAGCTTAAGCTGAAATGATATAAGAAATGGACATTGCTTAAACTTTCTATTGCGAAGTAAATCCTACTTGAAGCAATTGCTAAAGGCAAGTATTTGTTAGTGACTTCTATAACTTCCTGCATAATTTCTTCTGTCTGTGCAGCTTCTTTGCTGACAACCTCAGCTTCTTTTTTAAGGTTTTCTAAAGTGCTCATAATGTGATCATCATCAAGAATATTCCCTCTGACATCATTCAATGCTTGAAGCAGTTTTTCTTCTAGTTCTCTGATTCTTACTTTATATTCTCCTTGCAAATTAAGCAAATCAGTTCTTTTCTTGTCAATTTCAGGTCTTTCATTTTTCAAGAAAATATTCAAGCATTGGTCTTGTAGTGAGCTCATTGTGACAGTGAAGTTTACGAACGTGACTCTTGAACAAAGATCTGGTGTAAATGTATACTAAATATTATAAAACATAAATATAATGCAAGAAACTCAATACCCTAGTTAACATCGAAATGGAATTTATATAAAAATGGTATAGCATTTGGATTACGAGTAACCATGAACATATTGAAGCTCAGCGAGAAATCAATTTCTAAGTCTCCAACTCTGATCAAGATTCTTCCACCTGTCTTATAAATTTCTTTGTTAAGCACTGAGTTCAAAACTGGGTCAATTTTTTCGACATCTTCTATAAGCAATGGGCAACCAAATCTTAAAGCACTTTCCAGGTTTTTCATAAAAGCATCATCAGCGAAACTGATTTTTACGATTTTTTTGTCAGCATAATAAGACATCAAAAATTCTATAGCTTGGCCTGATGGGTCAATAATAAGAGGATACCTATTAAACCTTTGCAAAATGATAGCATTTTCCACACATAAATCATCTTCTGGTAAGTAATGGGATTTCCACAAAAGCCTTTCGCTTGGTTTTGATAAAAATTCTACAAAGCTCATATCAGCTCTATATTTAATGCCTTGCTGCTCCACAAAATCTTTCCAGTTGGTAATCAATGTATGCCTATAGAAGTGGTCAAAGAAGCCAATATATGCTAAAAATGCTCCTGATAGTAGAACATCTCCAATCATTGTTGACATTTGGGTTTGGAAAGCAGTTGACGTATTTTCCCACCTATCTCTTTCTGACGACAAGTTATAAATAAGATTCTTCGACCTTGCTACTTTCTCTTGTACCACAGTCATTTCATTTTTGATTTTCTGGACCTCCGCAATCAGAGCTGCATAGTCATTTTTATATTGCTCAATATTTTTTTCTAAATCTTGGATTGTTTTCAGCAGGAAATCGTATTGGTCTTTTAATTCATTTCCTTGTTTTTCAAGCTCTCTGACTTCTGATCTTAAAGGTTCTACTCTATCTAAAATGTCGGCATATTGGACTTGTGACTCAACCCATTTAGCCATTGGCCCTGCGGCTTGGGAAGCTCTGAAAATTCTTTCGATGTCCCATTCTTTGGTTTCTATGATATTTTTAGAAATTCTTTTGGCGATGGCAGGGTTTAGATTTTCAGTCTTGAAGTTGATGATTGAAGGGATAAAATCGTCTTTTTTCATGATACCCTTAATTTCATTCCATTCAATTGTTCGGAAAGTGTTGGTGATAAGGATAATTGTGGCTTCAAGTGTTGCTTTTACCAGAGCTGGAGGACTACCAAGCACTCTTAGTTCATCTAAGAATTTCTTTTTGATCCCTTTAACTGCGTTTTGGGCTTCAATTAAAGCAGGTTCAGCTCTTGATAAATCGTTATTGACTACTTCTTGGCGTTCTCTGATTTCTTTATCTTTGACTTCTAGTTCTCTAGTCATCAGAATTGAAGCTTCTCTTTTTTGTTCAGCCTGCTTTTGTTCATTGACCATAAGTTTAAGTTTATCATTAGCTTGTTGTTCTTTTGCAGCTAACTCTTTGGTGCTTTCAGCCAAAGATGACTGCAGCTTCTTCACTTCTTCTTCTGTTTGTCGGAGCTTATCAAGACCAATATTTAAATGGAGCTGTTGTTCTTCAAGCTCGCTTTTCTTTTCTGTATAAAGGTTGACGAAATGTTTAATGAAATCAAGTAGATCTCTTGGGGTGATAAAGTTGTGCTTCTTAGCTGATTTTGCTAGTTTTGTATTTGTGGTGACGACTGAGTTGTGGATGTTTACTATAGAGTTTACAATGGCTTCATGTCGGAGGTCTGGGTCTTCTTGTTGGGCTGCATGATTGAATGATGATGGCAGGAGATCCATTTTGTGGGTGAACTCATTAGCTACTTGGAATAAGGCTTCTTGTGGCCAGTTACCAAACCAATCGATCACACATCTGTTAAACAGTGCAGGAGAGCTTGCAGTTCTGTTCGAGAAGTCAGGGTTTGCAGGGTTCATGGTAAATACAACGTGCAAGTTTCTCTGGACATTGAAAATAAAGTTTCTATATAATTCTTCTTCTGTGTCCATTATTTTCCCTTCTCTTTGTGCTGATTCTTTGCATTGGTTCATCAGTGACATGTACTCTTCTCCGTCAAATAGACCTGGGACTTCACCACTTGCTAGCAAGGCGTTCATTCTTTCTAAGAAAGCTGTGCTCAGTACATTGGACTCATCAAAAATAAAGCAAATTCTTTCTCCTTTGCAGCCAGCTCTTTTCATGACACCTCTTAAATCGTCATCAAAGTCTTCAACTGAGTAATTCCTTCCTGCCTTGATTTGAAACACAGACAAGTTATTCATCCATGAGACAAATCTTGAAAGCGTCGTCTTGCCTGTTCCTGAGGCACCAACTAGCAAAAGGTGGCCAAGTGGCTGTCTGAGCACTCTGTCAATTCTGCAAATATGGTCTAGCACACTGTCAAAGACAACCAGTGGGACATCAAGCTCTTCTTCATAGAAAGTTTTGAGTCTTGCAAGAATATGCTTTCTGAGCTCTTCTCTTTCGACTGAAATATAATGCTTAGTCAAATAGCTTGAGAACAAAATAGGTCTTTCGAGTGCAGCAGGATTTACATTAGGGAAGTATGCTAAAGCAACCTCGTTTATGTTAGTGTCACACCATTCTTTTTCGGATGGCTGGACCATTCTGTCTTGGAAAAGTCTTAACCCTTCGTGGACGTAGAGTCTGACTAAATCTTCAATAGTCTCTATAGGCTCTAATGCTTCAAATATAGCATATTTCCAACGAGTAAGCTCTCTTGGACTGTATATATAATGAGGCTGAATTTCTGCAGTAAATGTGTCTTGAGATCTCATATAGAATTCTACCATAGCTTCAGTCAATGGTCCAGCGTGTGCTCTAACTCCCCCCTCTTTAAATTGGAAAAAAATTCCAGTTTCAATTTAAAGGGTTTTAATTTTTTCTTTATAAATTAATTCTTTTAAAAATTAAAAAATACAATGATTTTTGATTTTAATTTATGATTATGAAAAACTAATTCAAAATCAATCGATCCAGTGTGAAAACTGTTTAAATAATATTCTGATTGCATTTTTTTATTAAGTTAAGTCAAAACTAATTTCATAAAAATTAGTACTTTCCATTTATAAAAATTTTCCTATTGAAAAAAAATTGTTCCAATAAAGTGCCAAAAAAATTTTTACCTATGTTTTGTTTTCATTTAAAATGGGGGAGTAAGTGATGGCACTCTCTTAAGCATTGCTCTATTAAAAGTCCCATAAATCTGCAGCAGACTTTCTCTTCCAGGGAAATCTACAAAAATAAGTGGCGTATGTCTTAAAAATCTTAGTGACAATGGATGCCTTCCTGCATCTGTAGGTGGGTTGCAAGCTCCTACAAACTGCATTCTTTCTAGAGTAACCCATTGTTTATCCTGAGGTCTCCAAAATCCATTTTGCTCTGTTAACTGCCTTAAAAAGGTGATAATGGCTTGAGTTCCATATTTGTCTTCATCTGGCAAGTTGATCTCATCACAGAAGACTACAAGCCATTTATTAGGCTGATGAGGTCTTAAAATAACGCCATTAGGAGTTCGTGAGTATTCGCAATAATGGTCAAATGCTTTAAGTATCAAAGATGGGGTAGTTGAACTGGAAAAGTTCACAAAAATCATTTCAAAGTCAGGAAGAGCTTTTAGGGTTGCCATAAGGGTCATAGTTTTACCAGATCCAGGAGGTCCACAGAGCAAGAAAGGTCGATGCTCGCTGAGCCATGAGCAAAGGACTTCTTGGTGTCTGAGGGTGTCAATAGTTGTAATAACGACATCAGCGTCCACAACTCTATGGGTGTCGATCTCCATACTTGGCACTTTTTTCTTCCATAAGCTCCAGGTTTGGTCTTCAATTCTTACTTCATAATCCAATAATGGCGATCCAGTAGCAGGAGGCATGTCGAAATCAGCTTGTTCTAGCACAAACATTGAGAACTTCTCTCTTTCTCTCAAATTAAGTGACCCTCCGACGCCCCACATGACGCACATTGCAAGCCATTTAGTCATATATCCTTCCACCTGGCTCAAACTTAATGGGAAATCTTGATGGCCTTCATTATACTCAATTACATTGCTTATTCCTTTTCTCACCAATGCAAACATAGACTCCAGTACTCTGATCCTTGTGAATTCCATAATATGTGGCCTTGCTTCAGCATATTGAATGCACCTGGTTACAAAGCATTCATCGCCTTGGAAATATTTTTTAACCCCATTTACACAATCTTTCCTTATTTGGGTAAGTGGTGTTTCTTTTTCTTCATCAGTGATTTTTTCGTCGAAGTTTTCTTGGGCAAGCCTACACATGAAATGGTGGTAAATCATGTCAATCGAAACTGTTTCAGCGCTGAACCATACCATACCGCATCTACTGACAGTAGCTAAAGTTGCGTATTTTAAGGTCTCGACTTCAAACATAATTTTTACGTTTGGAGGGATAAGAAGTCTTTCACCGTTTGGTAAGGTGAGAAGCTTGTTGTCGTCGAGGACGGAGTTCAAGTTTTCTGCCCACTCTGGGTCGACGTCACCGTCAAAAATGATCCAATGGCGCTTGTTGCTTTCTCCACGGACGTTGTCGAGGATTTTTCTTAACACGTGGGTAAAGACACCATCTGTCCATTCAAGAGTTGTTGAGTCTAATCTGCCGTATAGCTCATCTTTTATGATGGCTTTGGGATCGATGATGTAAGATTCTCCTTTTCTTTCGTCAATAAGTGAGGATGCTTCTAGGAGAAGTCTCCAGGCTGCGCTTTTACCGGAGCCACTTGGCCCAACCATCATAACACCGTGGTGGATTCTTAAAATTTGGTTGAGTTGTAGCACTTTTTCAATGAAAGCTGGCTCAGGGATTAAGTTGTGTTTTTTGCACAGCTTTTTCAGGTTTTCTCTAACTCTACCCCTTTTAAATTGAAAAAAATATCGTTAAATTCCCCATTTTTGGCAAAGAAGCTCTCTTAAATTGGAAAAAGTAATAATGATTTGTATATAAATTGTTTTGACCTAATTTAACTGAGGCAATTCAATTAGAATGCTATTTAACAAATGGAATGCTGAATCAATTAATATTTTAACTTAATTCTTTATAAAAAATTAAAATTCAAAATTATTACATTCAATTTATATTTTTTACTATAATTATTTTTAAAAAAAAATAACCCCTTTAAATTAGAAAAAGCTTTTTTATTCCAATTCAAAGGGTGATAAGAGCTTCTTCTTGGATTTGAAGAATATCAGCACCAGGAATGACACCAGAAAGTAAAGAAGAAAGAAGCGGCACATCTTCAGCAATAAGTTTAGGCACCACAGTATCACAGACCGATCTCAACAAAATATTTTGTTCCCAAAGTTCTAATGACTCTCCTTCTTGTTTCTCCGCTCTTTTTATATTTCCAGCGGTCACAAGGACACTTTTAAGTGCTCTCAGTCCAAAATCATAATGTGGCTGATTAGATAGCTGATCATTACACAAATCAAATAGCGACACAATTTTACCAGAAAGTCTTTCAGCTGTTTGGAAACCCTGAGAATAAAGCATGACTTGTGCAATAAGTTCTTTATCTGGCTTAACCATAGCAATTTGTCTGAAAAGCTGCTTCAAGTTGTCAGGAAGGTTGGATCTTCCAGCATATCCAGGGTTCATTGTAACGAAAATTCCGACATCAGGCTTGAGCTTAACTTCTTTTCCTAGTAGCTCAATCTTATTAAGTAGCTCCATAAGACCAGTTTGAATGACCAAGATTTGTTGAGAAACTGCAGACAGCATTCTTTCTTCTAAACGATTGAACTCATCAAAACAACCCCAAGCACCGACCTGGCAAAGCCCGACAAAGATTCTTCCCATTGCTTGGAAGTCAAAGGTTTCATCACAGTTAAAGACCAACACAAATCTTCCAATTTGAGCTCCTAATGCTTTGACAGACTCAGTTTTACCAGTTCCTGCAGGTCCGAATGGGTTTCCTCCCAATCTCATATGCAAAGCTTGAGTCAGTGTCAAATAGCAACGGTCAGTCAAAGGAGTCTGCACTAATTTATCTCCAACCCCTAAATACTCAAAGCCATAATAGAAATGCCCATTTGACATTTCAATATTAAGTTTCTTCAATGGGTCTGATTCCTTCGGATACCAGTAAAATCTCATATGAATAAGCCAATTGAAATCTCTTGTCGACTCAATCCCTAAAGATATCAGACTTCTAGTTACATCTCTTTGATGGACAAGATCTGTAATAAGTTGCTCATATTTTTTCCTGATCTGTGGGGCAAGGTTGCTTAAGACTTCTCTGGCAAGCGCCATAAGCATGCTTACTGTATATTCCTCAACAGTTCCTAATGATTTTGTAGGGATATTTGCTTCAATTCTGTGGGACCAGTCTACTTGTGAAGCAAGAAGCATAATTTGTGCAGGGAAAATGCTGGCGACTTCTAAGAAACTTTCATTGGATGCAATTCTTGTGACGCATTGTTCTAAATTATAAGCAAGACTATCTCTCATTTGGTTTTCTACTTTGCTGAGTCAGGCATATATAGCAGGATCGTCACTGATTTTTACAGGATTTGGGTAATTCACCCTTTCGTCTTCTCTGGAAACCATAGCTACCAATGTATCATTATCAGGGGAAACCAAAGTTGAAATTCCAGCAAACATCTTGGTAAAGTGTCTTTGGACATTAACCACATCTCTGCTATTACCAATGATTTCTAACAAATCTTCATCTCCTACAAAGTAGAAACGAGCAAATGCTTGTCTTTGGGTTTCCAAGTAGTCTCCTAGCGCTTTTTGGATCTTTGCTAGCAGCTCGCTGAGTCTTTCTAATGTTTTTTGAATTCCAGGGACTGCCATTACATCAAGAATTAATGGCTTTGCACTGACTTTTCTCATTAAAGAGGTAAATTCACTATCAATGCTTTTGAATTTGGCAAATTCAGTAGGAAGTTGCTGCTTGATATCAGCAGATCCAAAGAAAATCCCTTCAAGATAAACCCACCTTCTTTGTACATCAATCCATATGTCAAAGACTACACGGATTTTTTGGAGCTTGTCGTCCCATGGGGCGACTTCTTCTTCAAAGACTTTATAATGTGGTGACATTTTCATAGAGGTTAAAGAGTTGATATGTTCGTCAAGCTTCCCGAATAAATCATCCCAACCTTTTATAAGTCTGCACTTATTTTGATAATTCACGAGGTCTAATAAGAAATTGGTCCAGTATTCTCTGACACCCTTTAAGAATTCTTCTAACGCCATTTCTCCAGCTGCTTGTGAAAGAATTTCATTGATATACTTTTCATGCTTCAATGGGTCTGCATCCCAAATATTCCCAAGTGTCATTTCACTAATCCCGCCTTGTCTGAGCTTAAGCCTCTGGTTTAGGTTTTTCCAATGCCTTTCTTTTAATGCTTCTGATTTTAGCTCAGAAATGATCTTATTGGATTTCATAAGCTTGCTGAGCTTGGTTTTCATCGCATCGAATGCTTCATATTGTCTCAATCTGTTTGGTAGAGCATTTAAGTCTTCAATGGCTTTTTCTAAAGTGCCTCTTATCTTCTTAGACACGATTGCGCTCCATGGAGTGTCTCTTAAAGCTTCAACAGAGCTCCATACTCTTGAAAGCTCAGTCCATACCTCTTTAAGTCCTTTCAGCTCTTCTTCTAGCGGCGTAAGTCTTTCTGGGTCAGGCACTTCCATATCTAAAACTTCTTTTGCTTTGCAGATTTTGACGTATTGTTCAGCCACTCTTTTCACTTTGGTGTCTAATGCTCCAATAGCTTCAATGGCTTGTTGTGGAGATTGCTCGCCTCCGTAAGGTTTTTGGTTTTTCCAAGCGTCTTCTAATTCTTTGATCTTGTCCATGACCATTTTTTCTTCATTGTTAATCTTGGCTCGTAGGGTTGGGATTTCAGCTTCCATTGCTTGGCTCTTTTTGGTAAGGATTTGTCTGAATGAAGACCAGTCTCCTTCTAGCTGCTCAATCCAAAGCCAGTCTGATGGGAAATGGAACCTTTGTCGCTCAAGTAGACGTTGGGCAGTTCTATATTTGTTCATTTCACCGTCCCAAGCTTCTAAGTTTTTCTTGACATCCTGGATTTCTGTTATAAATAAGGTGACATCAGATGAAGCTGAATCCAATGACTGTTTTTCGAGCTGGATTCTTGCAGAAGTGATAGTGGAATTGAAGCTTCTCATAGTTTCGCCAAGCTTAGTCCCAAATCTTGTTAAGATTTCTTTATGCCATTGGTCATATTTATGGTTGACTTTTGTTTGGACTGCCTTATAATCAATCACAATTGGCCCAAAATGGATTTCAGTTTCTGAGTTATCAAAGGTGATTCTATTTTGCTTAATTTCTTCCAACAATTGTTGCCAAAGCTCAATGCTGTCTCCAAGTTCTTTATAGACATCAGAAGCTTGAGTATCCCAAAGTGCTTGATAACCTAGCCAAGTTTTGACATAGTCTTCAGTTTGTTTTAGAATTACTTCAAGAGTATCATAAGCTTGTACAATATCTTCCATTAGCCCAGCTAAAATTCCTGTATAGTCTCTTTTAGTGTATTGTTCAAGAATTTCGTACTCAGTTGCTTCTATTCTGTTCAAGCCACAAATGATATAAAATTGCCTATGCAATAAAGTGCTCCAAAAGGCTCTTGCTTCTTCTAAAGGAGGATCTAAAAATAGAGTTTGGTCTTTCAGCTTAATTTCGTGAACTGTGTTACAGTTTATATAGAGCGCGTCTTTTTTCAGCTCATCCCAGCGCTGGAATTCTTTTATCCAAGTTCTAATCAGCTCAGAAACTCTTTTCTTTAGCACTTCTTCGATTTTTTTATCAAGCTCTTCTACCCAGATTTCAAGATTTGATAAGTCAAGCAAGCTGAGGTCGTCAATTACTCTTTGAATTTTATTCATTTTTTCTGTGAAGTTTTCGACGGTTATGGCGCAGGTTTCCATATTTTCAAGCTCATGTTGGATTTGGTTGTTTTTCTCTAATAGGTCTATGACTTTTTCTTCAAATTTAATTACCTTCTCCATAAGCTTTTTTACATAGTTATCAAGCCTAGTTTCTGAGTTCCACATAAGTGAGGTTCCTTCTAGCTCCTTCTTGATTAGTGTTAATTTTTATTTTGGATTTAAAAATGCAGATTTTATTGAAATTTAACTTCTCAAATTAATGCTTTAGGATTATATTTAATAGATTAGCTGGAAATCTCATTATTATAATTATCAATTATATATCAATATAAATTATACTCAAAAAATATATATTAAAAAGTTTTTGATCTAGCTAAGTGACTTAACTTGCTAAAAATAAGGAATTTCCTAATAGTTTTGCTCATACTTTAGGGAGTAAGAAAATTTTTTGGATCTCTGACTTGTTTTCGGCTACTAATTTTTCAATTTGGACGTCAATTTTTATGCAAGTCTGCTGATAAGTTCTGAGAGCTTCTTGAAGACTTGTGGAGTACGGATAATAAGTTTTAATATCATCTGCTTTAATTTTCATTGCAATTAGACCTTTAAACCCTAGCCAGCTTAGCGCTCTGACTTCTTTAAACAAATTGATGACCTGTTCATCAAAATTCACGACAAGTTCTAAATATTCTTTTCCATTGGGGTCTCTTTTTTGCACAACGTCAAATATTTTATCAGAAAAATCAAAAGTGGCACTATAAGCCATCATATCCTCAATCCACTTTTCTACCTGCTTCTGGGTGCTTAATTTTCTTGCAAAAGCGTCTCCAATCTCTTTTAACTTTTTGCCTTCAGGATGCGCTTCCCACGTGTTTCCTAGCACATCTTCAACTCTTTTCATATAGATCTGCAGCTTTCTTTCTATCTGCTTAGCCCATATAATGGCTCCAGACACCTCAGGGAAGTCTCTTACTTTGCTTACCAAAGCTGCTTCAGTGTTAGAATAATGCTTCTTGAATTTTTCTTGCAAAATTTGTATATCACTCCTCACTTGAGTGATCAGCTGAGTTTGGTATTCCTGGATAGCTCCTCTTATTCTTGGTCTGAAGAAAAGCGCATTAAACTTGCTAAAAACTCTGAACATCTCATTAGCTGATTTTGCACTCCCTAGCCTGTCTCTAAGTTTAGCTGTAATTTGGCTTTCTACCCTGTCTATTTTCTGTTCGTATTGTTTTTTGGCAGCTTCCCAAATTTCAGTACCTTCTTTGCTTAAATCTAATATATCGAAGCTGGTGAAGTGGTTATAAGCCAAATTGATTTCTTTTAAGGCCATGATTTCGCCTTGTTGTCTGTCCTCACCGAAAACTCTTGTAATCACATTTTTCAGCTCTTCATGATTTTTTCTAAAAGTGATTAAGTCATTGATTCTTGCTTCTAAATTGGAATGCTCAAATGACTTTTTAGGCAGAAGCCTTTCATTTCCTCCTTTTCTGCGTGCTTGACTTCTGATAATTTCTTTAAAAAGTTTATAATTTTCTTCCCAAGTTGTAAAAATAGTTTGGGATTGCTTCATAATTTTAGAAAACTCGTCCCATTCCAAGGCCATTAGGCGATCTCTATGAAGGATTCTCATAAGCTGAAAGGCCATATCTTTGGAGACTAAATCAATTATCTGTTGAGCTTTAATGAGAGGATATGAATCATTGTGTTTAAGCTTTTTCATGTGCGTAAATATAGCGTCGATTGATTCACTTATGCTTTCAATGCTGTCTGCTGATAATAGCTTTTGGGCTGGGAAATCTTTCATCAAGATATTTGCGGTTGTGCAGATGCTTAATGCGTGGTCTAGCCCTGTGTCAGTATGAAATGACATCATAGTGTGGATTCTTTTCGCTTGTTTTAAAAGATCTAATGTTATAGTGACTTCAGGAAGCTTTAATTGGTTGTCAATGTGATTAAGTGCTCTTGTTAAGCATTCCCAGAAATTTACCTCATGCAAGATACTGGGTGCTAGATTGTCCTTAGTTGAGAGCCTTGTAACTTTTCTATACTTTTCTATTAAATATAGCTATATTCATTATTATTAAAAAAAATTATCATAATTCAATAGGGTTTCTTATAATTTCATGAATCCATTTATCTACACATTGAGTCAGGTTTGACAAAAACTCTTTGTCACTCATCAAGCTTTCAAACATCTCTACTGTCAGTCTGGAATTGAGCAACTTCGCTCTTGAAGCTTTTTCTTTGACTTCAGGATCAATCACCAAAATAACCTCAGGGATTTCTACGTTTTGCTGACATTGCATCAAAGCAAGCATTGTTTCTGAAATTTTCTTTTGAACTGCTGCAAGTCCGACCTTTGTTTCCATTTTGTTGTCTTCTTCATGAGAAACATTTTGACCACCTTTAAAGGAGTTGAATAGAGGTGCAAATGAAGCTTGCAAATAGGTGTGAAGGAGTTCAAAAGGAGTGCTATCTGGGCTTATATAGCTTAAATTCACCACCTGTAATTGAGGTCCCAGAGGTGCATCTTCAAGCATTCCTTGTGCTTCACGCTTAACAAGTGCTAACATTGCATAGGTCGGCCCTTTATATTCAACCTGTAGACTCAAAGTGACATCTTCGTCAGATTTGGTAATGATCAGAGCTTTATTCTGAGCTTCAGCTACAAATAAGCTGAGAAGCTCTTGCGATGAACTGGCATGAAGCACTGAATACATTCTATCATCATCGAGGTCTAGGATAGGGCATGCTACACGCATGATAAAATCACAAACTTTCTCTGCTGGAATAGAGCGGCGCTCACTACTTTCTTCCTGAAAACTTTCAGCCATTTTATACACCAATGTTACTTATCGATATATGAGAGCATTTATATAAATTAGGAAAAGATTTTCCTTTATAATAGCTTTTCTATTAAAAAAATAAGATTATTTTTAAGTTTAATGAATTTCTCTTGTCTTCTAAGTCTTCTTTACTTGAGGTTCAGCTACGATAACTGCTCTAAACAACGGTATGTGAACAGCCTAGCCATTGAACCGTTAAGGTTATCAAGCCCTTTTAGACTCTTCTTCTCTGTGCCAGCCTCAGCTCAAACATTTTCATTTCAAGCCGAAACCCTCAAGAAGCTTGACTTCTCTCACTAAGTTCGGTTTATGGGTCCAGCCTGGTGGATCAGGACTAAGAACCCATCCCTAACTGCCATTTTAAATATTTTAAGATTAACTAAAATTTAATAGTTTAATATTACCAATATATTAAATTTAATATTTTTTTCTACTTATTCTTTTTCCTAAACAATTCATATCTTTCCTGCTTCAATTATAAATAATAATTCAAATATTTCAATTTTATATCCAGCTTCTCAGTATAAATGGAATCGCAAAATCAAAATTCTTTTGCGTCCTTAAATAACCATAATCATGCTGAGCCTACTGATGAAGAAGAAAAATACAGCAACGGAATTAGCCATAATCACACCATGCATAGCAATGGATTTCATGAGCATCCAGAATCAGCTCCACGAGAAGAGTTGAAAGTGTCAATACCTTCCAGAGCACAGCCTAAGCCTCCGAAATCTTCAAAATCCAAAAAATTCGATATTTCTGACTTAAAAAAAGATCCAGAAATGTATCAAAAGATACTAGATGAAGCAATACGCATTGAAAAAAATAATAACAAATCCTCGATCTATGAGCTTGATTTTCAAATTCAATATCCTACTGCTTTCGGTGAAAAAATACTAATAACAGGAAGCTCAGAGATTTTAGGGAATTGGGATGTGTCAAGTGCCTTACTCCCTCCGTGAACGGACAAAACCATTGGAAAATCCTATTTTTTTGGTAAAAAAACCTAGAGCAAAAAAATTTTTTTTATGAAAAATATTTAATATCTGAGCCACTCTAAAGTGCCTGACACTGGCTTCTCTAGGCCACTTGGAATTCTAGCAGCCTCATAAAGGTGAAAAACCAACTCTAAGTTGACAATCCTTGCAAAGATTGTGCTTTTGTCAATTTGGAGTTGACTTGTCACCTTTAGGTGACTGCTAGAGCAGCAAGTCTCTGTGGAGAAACCATCATCAAGTCACACTATAGCGGTGTACCCTATATAGAAGTGATAATTATTATAATAATATCTCTAACAAATTCTGTTGTATTTATATATATATTTTAAAAATAAAAATAAATCCCTCCGTGAGCGAACAAAACTTTTTTGCTCGCTCACGGAGGGGCAGTTAGAACTTGAATGAAGCCCAGGAAATATATGAAAAATTTCACTTCCGATCCCAGAAGGACAGTTATCTGATTTTGAGTATAAATACGTTTGCGTTAAAGGAGCCGACGCTGTTTGGGAAGGAGGAAGCAACAGAGTTTTAAAGCTCTCTGATGGTAAGCCAAAAGGAGAAAGCTTGATTTTTAATAGACACGATGCATGGCAAAAATAAATGAATTTTAATTTTGATAGTTTTTATATCAAATTAAGCTATATACCAATATTAAAATAAAATTTAAAATGACAAAAAAGTAAAGAAGGACTTATATGAAATGCTGCAAGAATGCTATTATTTTATCAATAAAATAAATGTTTAAAACTTAAAAGATTATCATGGGTTTTCCTGTATATTATAGCAATGATTAGTCACAGAGAATCAATTTCATACTATATTTTATATAATTTAAGCAATATATGCTAAATTAACTTATTCCATTAGCGGTCTAGCATTGCCAGCTTCGATCCAATCCATTGGTTAATCAAAATTTCTTCTTGCTGTCTTGCCAGTATCAGTGACTGCGGGTCTCTTGGAGATGGAGATTTCAGATCAAAGCAATGGGCAGCTTTTGAAATTTTGATTACCAACGTATTAGCGTTGATTTCATCTTGAATGCATCCTCCAGACCAAGGATCCATCACTCCTTGTGAAAAAACAATATTCGATGCATATCTCAGCGTAGAATTTACATTAGCAGTCATTCCATAATTAACAGGCTCCCAATCCAATCTTGGACTCACCCCAAATGTTTGCATGCATTGCTGACTAAACTGAGTAAAACTCCATGGGCGTTTAGGGAACATATCATTAGGCAACCCATACTGTCCATATGGCATTAAAAGTTCAGTACAAGTTTGATAAGTCCAAGGGTCAGCTTGCATGCTGGAATCATAATAAGTATCAAAGCAGGTTGTTTGGCCTGTGGAATTGTAAAAAATATCAGCAATTAATGCCAAACCTTGCAAAGTCGTCCACATATTTTCAGTCTGAGTATGCTGAGACATAATTGAGCAGCTTACGTTAACTGGAAATGCTGGAAGCGTGCCTGCAATATTGTAAGGATAAGGATAGTTAAATTGAGCCATCGTTTGAAAAGCATCGGTTAAGAAGTCTTCTAAGGCCATAACATCAGACATCTCATCAATACTATTGCAAGTCTTAAAAATCAGCTCTAGCGCTGGGTATTGTAAAGGTCGATCTATAAAGTTGTCCAAAATATTGAAGCCGTCAAAAACGTTACCCATACAATTTCGGTCTACTAAGAAATAGTCCATAGAAGCTATATGAGAAAATGATGAGCCGTCTGTATCAAGATATACCTAATTATTGAATAATTGTATCATACAATTAGATCTTATCCTATTTAAATATAAAATATTATAAGGTTCCTGGGCTATTCATTATAATTAGGTATACATTAAAAGCGGAGCTGAGCTTGCAATTGCACCATCGACCAAATGAGGATATTTAATTCTAAAGAAAGCTGACAGCATTCCTGCGTAGGAGCCTCCGAATGCTACTACAGGAGTATTGTTTTGTGGCTTGAGTTGGCTTACGATGTCAGCGAAATCCCAAAGAGCTTGGTCTGTGCTTAAGTATTTGTAACTATAGGTATTAGGAATGGACTCACCATAATATCTGTGCTCTATAAATGCTATAGTTGCGTTGTATTTAGGCCCATAGTAGCCGACAAGAATCCCGGTAGCTGTATAAAATACTTCAATTGGGGCTTCTCCTCCAACATACACAAAAAGAGGAGAATTAGGATGGCCTTGTTTTAATAGGACTTTGATGTTGATGATTCCTGGATCTCCATTGATATGGTCCAACTTCTCACTCCCCCAATCCTTGATCGAACGACTCGCCGTCGTTTGATCAAGGATGGGGGTTAAAAAAAAATTTTTTTTGGGAAAAAAAATTTATATATAAAATAAAATATATATATATATTTTTATTTACTTTTAAATAAGAGTGTTAAGAGTATTTCATAATTATTTTTACAGCAAAAAATTGAATTAATTTCATATAAAAATACCAATTTTTAATATTTTGATTTATTAGCTACCCCCTTTAAACTGTATAAATTTTAATTTGTTCCTCATTAAATTAATTTTGTTTTTTAAAAAATTTTAAAGAATCTGTATTTTATTAGATTATTGGGTTTTTAAGCCTAGGTTGATAACTAAATCACTTCGAATGGTTGACTTCGAAGCTTTCTGTCGTCTCAAAGTCTTTGAAAACAACTTCATTATGTATATCTTCCAAAGCTTTTACTAACTAATATATATATTTTTATATATATATAAAATTTTGCATGATATGAAAATCGTTCGATCAAGGATGGGGGTTAATTTCCCCAATTTTTAGTAATTTTTACAGTCAATTATTCGATCAAGGATGGGGGGAGTCAGTAAAATATAAGGTTTGGTAGGAAGCCCCCACTTCAGCTGGAGTCACAAACCTAAAACTGCTTTTAAGTCTTGCCAATGCACCTATTGCAAGCAATAAGATTAAAGTCACCATCTTTATATTGTCTGCAGCTCTCAACTTTTAGGAGTTTAAATAGAAATGTTCTTATAATAACTGAGATTTAAGTAGATTTAAGTAAGTCCAATAATGTTGAGGATTAAGGTATTAATCATAATTATTGTAAAGGAAAATATATAATAGAACTGGGATGCTCGATATATACAGAAGCATGCTAGAATATTTGATGTTATTTTTTATAAATTTTGATACCCAAAGAGTTACTCTAGATAATCTGATAAGAGAATTTATATTTTTTATACCAACTCTATATAAATATGCATTAGGAATTTAGCTAACTGCATTTATTAACATTCTTCATAGGTAAGTATATTAAATATGAGCGGAGCAGGAACTGGGTACGATTTATCATCAACCACTTACAATCCAGAAGGAAAAGTGTATCAAGTTGAATACGCCATGAAAGCTGCAGAAAGTGGAGGATCCATTATAGGACTGAAATGCAAAGATGGAATCGTAATCGGTGGAGAACGGAATGTCTTATCTAAGATGCTTGTTCAGCACAGCAATAAGTGCATATTTGGGATTACCAAAAATATCGGTGCAGTTGTCACCGGTGTGATTCCAGATGGAAAAGCTGTGATCTCAAGGGCAAGACAAGAAGCTACCCAATATGCTGAATTCTATGGAAAAGATATTGGCTCTACAGTGCTTGCAGACAGAGTTGCTCAATATATGTATACCTTATCATAGATACTAAGCTTTCCTATTAATAAAAAAACTACATATAGGAGCTCTTTAGTCTTCATAATTATTTATATCTTTTTACTCTATATGGAGGCTTAAGACCATTTGGCTGCTCCATTATTATGGCCGGCATTGATGATGGCACACCAAAGCTTTTCTTAATCGAACCTTCAGGAGCTTATTTTGAGTATTTCGCTTGTGCTTCAGGCAAAGGAAACCAAGTATGCAAGACAGAAATTGATAAGCTAAACCTTAGCGAATTAACTTGCAGAGAAGCTGTTTATCACATTCATAAGATGCTAGTCAAGAGCCGAGAAGAAGGCCAGGAGAAGAGATACGAAGTCGATATTTCATGGATGAATAGTGAAACTAACTTTTTCCTTGTTCCAGTTCCTGTGGAGTTTAAAGACGAGATGGAAAGAAAGGCTAAAGATGATATTGAGAGTGAAGAAAGAGGAGATTAAATAAAGAATTAGAATAATAATGTGTGGATGGTTTAAAGGAACTGTGATATATAGTTCATGCACCTTAATAGATTTCTATACCACAGCAGAATACCGACCAGAAAAAATATGGTACAGGGCACCTGCCTTATACAGTATAAGTCTGATTAGGCACCGTAAAACCATTAACTGAGATCTTTCATTTTCGTTTTTACTTTTATAAAAAGCTAACAACTACAAATTAATTTTGGAAATTAAAATGGATGGCCAATAATGATCTAAAATATTTCAGGGGCTATATTAAATTATATATCATTTAATAATTTTATAGTTTCATCTATCACTAGCTCAAGTACCATGTCTGCAACATCTAGCTTGACTTGGACCTCTTCTTCTTCATAGTCAAGTCAATTAATTTCTTCATCTTGCACATCTTGACACAGCAATCCGCTCATTTTTTCTTCCCTTAAAATCTGCAGCTTGTTTTCGTCAATTCCACCTTGCACAATCATGTCAGGAGATGGATAAGCCCCACCTCTCAAGTATGCCCATTTGTACATATACTCTTTCACCCTTTCAAATACACTTACAAGCTGTGATTCTCCGAATAAAGTTCTTTGTCGAATACTTCATGGATCAGGCACTCCTCTAGTCCCATATGGTCTAATATAATTAAGTGCTTCATTCACACAATCAAATAGCATTTGCAAATAAATCTGCCTGGATGGAATATCTAGCGAATTAAATCCAGATTTTAATTCAGTGCACAGCTCAGGAGGTAAAATTAAGTCTAATGTTGGGTATTTCACCAATGTCCCAATATCCGCGTTTTGCAATAAATTAAGCCTACTTAGAGGGTCATGATACGCTGGAGTATTTATAGAATCCAAAATATCATTTTCAGCTGGTAAAAGTTGGCTCAGCATTACATCAAGATATTCATCAATAAATGCTAAATTTGGGTCTATCTGAGCACTCATTTCTTGGAATGGGATGATCTGTAAGTACAAATCAATTTCATTAATAATCACTTGATTTATTAGTTCATCTGTATAATCATCAGATCTGGACGTAGAAAGAGTTTGGTCTTTAATGAGATCTGCAGAGTTATTTTCTATATTAATTGAAGAATTATCAGATTCTGAGTTCATTTCGGCATCAATTTGGTTTATTTCTTCTTTTGTAAAGAGTGGGGAAAATTTTCGATCCTGGTCAGGAGAATTTCCTTCTATGTGCTTTCGTATACGCTTCATAATATCAAGATCAGAGTCGTCTGAACTGTCTTTATCAAAATCTTCAGTATCCAGAGGTAGAGGTGAGGAATTTCCTTCGTGCAAGCTTTCAAGGCTTGGGACTGAGTTCATTTCTCGATTAGAATTTGATGAAGAGGACCTATCTGAGTCGCTTAATCCAGGAATTTTCTTTTCTTCTAAAATTTCTTTATTCATAGGTTTTTTGATGGGCTCTGCCTTTTCATTGTAATTTTCTTTTTTGGGTTCTGAACCATTTGTTGGGTTATTTTTTTCAATAGAAAGGCTTGCTATACTTGCCACTAATTTAGGGCTTTCTTGAGAAAGGCTCGCGATACTTGCCACTAAAGTAGGACTTTCTTGAGGGACTTTGACAGGATTGGAAAATTTATTAATTTTTTCTTGTGGGAGTTTTGGAGAAAATAGATTTGATTTAGAAATTTCTTGTGGAAGTTTTGGAGATAATAAGCTTGGCTTAGAACTCTCTGGTGGGGGTTTAGGAGAAGATGACATTGGGGTGTTGCTTTCTGTTGATTTCAAAGAAAGCGGAATTGGATTGATATTTTCTGATGGAATATTTGGAGATTGCTGAATTTCCTGGGTAGTTTTATTTGGGTTAACTGGTGTGCTGAAAATTTGCTTACTCCTCCCTCCCTGAGCAATCAAAGAGATTGGAAAATCTCTATTTTTAATCCTTATAAAATTTTTAAAAAAAATATTTTGGTATATAAGTGACAATTATTATAATGAATCTCTAGCTAATTCTGTTTTAAAAAAGCTTGCATTTCAAACCATAAATTTTCCAAATAAATTAATATTTGCTTTAAAATTATTCCGATAGGATTTTTTTTAAATTTTGAGAAAAAAAATTATATAAAAAATAATTGACCCTTTCCATAATGACAAAATTGTTTTTGCCCCCTCGCGAAGGTGGATGGAGTTAGGATTTTCTTGGGGAGCTTTTACTTGGAAATTATTGATAAATTGTCTAGGACTTTCTTTCAGTAATTTTTGCTCATTTTTTTGTGCATTTGTATATTGTCTAGGACTTTCTTTCAAAAATTTTACTTCACTGCTAAAAACACTTGAAATCAGCCTTGGGCTCTCTTTTGGTATTTTTCCTTCACTACTTAAAGTACTTGCAATTTGTCTAGGACTCTTCTCTTTAAGGATTTTTGCTTCGTTATTCAAGGCATTTACAATTTGTTTAGGACTCTCTTTAGCCACCTCTTTATTAAACGTACTTGAGGTTTGCCTTGGACTTTCTTTGGGTAGCTTTACATCACTATTAAAATTGGCTGGAATTTGTCTTGGACTTTCTTTCAGAATTTTTATTTCATTACTTACAACTTGTCTCGGGCTTTCCTGCATAATTTTAATTGATTGACTAGAGGTAGTCTCAATTTTTTCATTCCTTTCTTGTGTATCTTTGATCTCACTCTTTTCATTCCTTTCTTGTATATTTTTGACCTCATTCTTTGGATTCACAAATTGTCTAGGACTTTCTTTCAGGATTTTCATTACGCCTTCAGGAAGATTTTTTATTGGCATAGGTCTTTCTTCTATATCGTTTTGCTTACTCCTCTCTCTCAGGAGTTTTTTTTTAAATTTATAAAATTTTTTTTTTTCAAAATTTAAAAAAATTTCAATTCGAGTAATTTTAAAAGCAAATATTAATTAAATTTGTGAAATTTTATTTTTAAAATACAAGCTGCTTAAAATTCTACAGATTTAGCTAGAAATTTCATTAAATAGTTAACATTAAGTTCTCTCACAGAGAGAAGGAGTTAGCATTTTCTTGCGATGGCTTTGAAAATGATTTAATATTCTCTTGTGGGATCTTTGACAAATTTAAGGCTTGTTTAGGATTTTCTTGTGTAGATTTCGGGAAACTAGAATTCGGATTGATATTGTGTTGTGGTAGTTTAGTATTCCCTATAAATGGATTAATCTTATCTTGAGAGGAATCTGAAATTGGTGTAGGACTTTCTTGAGGAATCTTATAAGTATTTGATCCCGCTACCCATAAATCTTCTTCAGAATCATTAGACTGCGTTTCACTATTTTTCAAATCTATTGACGATGCCGAATCTTGCCCTTTAACAAAATTTCCATATCTTTTTGCTGAATTACTCTTAGGTTCTCCATCTTCTTGCTTTTCTTGAAAAGATTTAATTATTCTGTCTTGATAAGCATTTTGTATAAACTCAGGCTTATATGGCTTAATGTTTTGATCAATTTTTATTGGAAATTTTTGAACTGGCACTTTTTCTGAAATAAATTGTTTTATTTCTGAATCCAATTTCTTTTTTTGTAGATTTCTTTCAGAATCACTCATTAAATCAGATTGATTTTCTTTTTTTATCTCAGTCACTTTTTTATCAATTTGAATTTTTTTAGCTTGTTCTTTTATTACATTGGGAGATATTTCTTTATTTGAATCACTTTCTTGTTCATCAAGCATTGCTCTTAGATCTAAAATCATAGGTGTAACATGTAAATCATTATCAGAAACTTCTTCTATTGTTTTTTCTTCTGCTTCAGAAACATTTTCGAATGAATTTTTATAAAAATGCTCACTATTGTCTGGTTCTGGGATTTCATCAATCCTAAAATCTTGTACTCTGTGACTTGAAGGTTTATCAATTAAAAACCACTCAATTTTAGGAGAAAATGCTTCTGTATCACTTGATGCAGCGTGATCTCTCTCTTCAGTCTCTTCTGTGACATCTTTTTCTTGGCTAAGCGCATCTTGTTGTGATATAGATGAGCTTGATTCTTCTTAACTTACTTAACTTAATTATCTGGTGTTCAAGGTGTCTAGTGCCGCAGCCCAAAAAGGACCTATGGCAAAACTAGTGACGTAGGCGAACCATCTTGGAACAGGTCAGCCCTGGCCAAAGCCTTCTATCAACTCCTGCTTCACCAGCCTTGCTGCACGTCTCACCCGGCGCGATGCCGTCGCCCTTGTCTCGACTCAGCTCCTGCGCGTGTTCCGCCTAAGGGTCATCTTCCCGTGGAGATGTGCTGAGAGGTAAAAACCCCGAAATCTTGAGAGGACTGAGGAGCAGCTCCTCTGGTTATCCCCAGAGTTAAACCGCTATTGCTGTCCAGAAGTTCTCGAGTGAAAACCTAACCCCATAAATAAAATTCCATGAGGGAGAGAAAATTAGCAGAGCTAATTTCTCTCGAACCGAATGCCATTTTATTTATGAGCTTGATTCTTCAATTATTGGTTCTTCATAGTCTTCATAAACAGATATATAAGGTCCATTAGAAGTTTCGGACTCTTCTGATTTTTTCAATGAAATTCTTCCTATTGGCAGGAGTGGAATTTTTATAGGAACTCTATCGCGCTCAGAAGCTTCAGGTGTAGCTTCATAAGGATTCCTGCTTGATGATTCCGTTCCTCCTGTCCTTACAGCTGAATTTTCACCAATACTCCCAAGCTCATCAAGTTGTGCTTGTACCATGATTTCATTATCTAAAAATTTTTGTTCAATTTCAGAAAATCTGGTTTGTAAAGTAAGTCTAAACTGATCAACAAGCTCACTTTTGCTATTTTTCAAGCTATCAGGAGGGTCTTTAAAGTCAATTCACTCTTCATCTCTTTCTGTTTCTTGCCTTTCTATTGAAAATTTTGAAGTATTTTGGCTTTTTACTGGGATTGATAATTCTTCTTGGTTTGGAAAAGACTCAATTGATAATTTTTGCTTTTTATTAAATAATGAATTTAATAAAGAGCTACTGAATCCTAGTTCTTCAGAAGAACGAGACTGGTAGGACTCAGTTATTTCTTCTATTCGTCTTCTATGATAAATATTCCTATATCACCTTTGAATAATAATAGCAGCTTCATCAGGAGTATATTTATTTACAGATAACAATTTTTTAGTCTCACTTACTCTTTCTTGAAGAATTTTCAATTTTTTCATTAATGCTTCGCGATTATCTTGAGTAGGCTCTTCCAATGATTCTTGTATATAAGGATGGACAGCGATATCTGAAAGCTCAGAGTCAGATTGATTTTTTCACCCACTTAGATTATTTGATTTATAGTTCTCAATTTTTTTCATGTCCCTTTCGTGCTTATAACGGTTTAAAGGACTTACATATTGGCTTTGAGATAGCGGGTCTACTAATAAGCGTTTTTTAGTTTTTAAGTTAGAGCTGGAAAGTTCATTTATGCGGCTGTTTCCTTCTTTCTTCTTTTTTTTCTTTTTTGTTTTCTTAAAAGCTGATTTTCTTTGTTTTTCAACCATTTCTAAAGCTCGTTCTCTTTCTTTTTCTTTGACTAATTCTTCAAGCCTGGTTTGGAGTTCTGCAATTTTAATTTCTTTTTTTTTTAGCTGCATATATTTTTGTACGTTTGGATCTGGACTTCAATGGGGTTCCTTAATTTTGTCAGCTTCAATTTTAGGGCTTTTTCTTCTTGGTTTTATATTTGGGTATAAGTCTAGCCCGATATTTGCTCTCCTTTCATTGAGTGATCGTTCTCTTTCTGCTTTTTTCTTTTCTCTTAATTCAGCTTCTTCAGGATTTTTCACATATTCTTTGTTTTCAAATTTGGTTTGGTCAGCCCCTCAAGCCATTTTGTGTAGCTTTTTCTCTTTAGGTGCTTTTTTGAAATTTTGTTTTCGGATGGCTTCATTTGTTTTTTTCAGCTTGGTCTTTTTTTCCTCTTCTTTTTTCTTTGTTTCTTCCTCTTTTTTAATATTGATACTTTTTTCTAATTGATTTTTAGCAAGTGTTTCATAGATAATCTTTTTAATTTTTCCATTGGGAGCTGGCTTTTCTTTTATAATTTCGGTTTCTGGCTGTTTTGGCTGAAGAGGTTGAATTTTTCTATCACGCTTAGCAGATTTAGAACGTACTGGCTTAGGACTTATCTCGTGTGAGATTTTAGGTTCAGGAGGGCTTGCTAATCTTTTTGAAATTCCTTTTAAGCTTGATGATCTTTTAATGGGTGAAGTTTCTTTGCTTATTGCGTTTCTTCCTTTCAGATTGATATTTGTTTCAGATTTTCTGATTTGAGGCTTAGATTTTATGCCTAGTAGAATAGAATGATTTCTGTTAGGAAATAATAGTAATAAGAATTTACAATAAACAGCTTTTATAGTATTAGCTCGCTGGCAATTATTTTTATATAATAGTATAATAAGTTTTCAGGCTTTTTTGTTAATGATTTTTTTGTAGCGAGGGTCTGCAGCGATTTGATTTTTTTCCCAGTTACAAAGGTAGAGTTATTATGAATTCCATTTGTATTTACGTTGAGGATATACTTTGGCGGTGAAAATTGGTTTTCAGTGACATACAGCAAGTCTTCCTGATTTTTCATATTAAGTCTTTAAATTTTGATATACTATTTTAAATCAATTTTAAAGACAATGATATTTCATTGCTAATCAAGGTAAAATATATTTTAGCGTAGTTTTAAATAGCTTATTATAGCAATAACTATAAGATCATACTTTAATTATGCATTCAAGGAAAAAATAAAATTGCAATCTATGAAATTTTGGATTAATAATTGTTCAGTATTATAATATAATTTCCAAAATTTTTATATTACTTTTTCTGATGTATTGGCATTGGAGTTATTGATATTTCAGGCGTTTGCACCGATAATCTTCTTCCACGCTCAGCAGAGTATAAATCCCTCCCCTTTTTCGCACTTATTGAGCTATTTCTCCTTACATTGCATGACCTTGGTCTATTATGCTTCACAAGTTTTTCTTCACTTTTCGCCAAGCACTCCTGTATTTCTTTCTGGATTTTCTGCTTTCTTTCTTTATTTCTCTTATGAGCATTTTCTGCAGCATTATCAAAGTTATTTATATAATTGCAGTTGCATTTAGTTGCCCTGCATTTTTTGCATTTTGCATTCATCTCCTCATGAAGTAATAAAACTGCGACAGTTGAGCATTTTATTCCATTTATATGGATTGGGCTTTTTTTCCTTACGTTTCTTTTCTTTCTTTTAGGGGAGTATAGTCGAGGTTTTTTTATTGATACAGAAAAACTGTTGTGAAAATTATCAATAAGTCTAATTTTGTTTTCTAGTTCTGGATTAAGAGGGGTATTAGGATATATAATCTCATGTAGTGAATTATTGTGATATTTTTAATGATTTATTTAGAATTTAACAAATCTAATAGATAGATATAGGGTTATAGAAGTCTTACAGTCTGATAATGATGAAGTTTTTGGTCTTGAATCAAAATGATCCCATGCAGAGTATTCTTGTCTTCTTTGAAATATCATTGGCTTATGTCTTGATACTCTTGCATAAGCTTCATATAAAGTTTGAGATGGGCTTCCCAATGATACTCTTCTTGCTATTGGCTGATATTCTTGACTTAGCTGAAGTTTGGAATCCAAAGAGCTGTTAAGAGGAAAAGGATTTTTGTTTAATTGCTTTGGGAAATCATTTTGTTTTTGGAACATTGAAAAATTTTGAAGCGCATATTCAATATTTGCACTGAGCCATGAACAACGGTCTCCTTGGATTGAGTCTAACTCCACCGATCCTTGATAGAACGGCATCTTAAAATGGGAAATTAACCTTTGATTTTAATAAAACGCTTTTCAATGGTAAAAAACAAAACCCACTTCTCTTATCCACATCAAATCTAACTGCCTATCTTTAATAGAAATGAATAGTAAAGGTTATACCGAAAATTCGTCCTTAAATAACACGAATACGATTTTTAGTATATTTGCTAATATTTTGCATACTCTATCTCAAATGATAGCAATCGGCTTAGGCAAGGATAAGGGGAGTAAGGAATATTTTTCTTCTTTAAGCTCCATTCTTATTAATATAAATGACTATTTATTTGAATATACAAGTCTAGTATACTCTAGGATAAGGTAAGATTGCTGGGGAATTAGTTGCTTTTCAGCTCTTAAGCTGGCTAATCATCTTATGCTTAATAAATAATTTTTAGCTTAGGAAGGCAATTTATCACTCTTGGATGAGGTAATCTCAAATCTGGGGATAAATTAACGCTGCTTAATATCAATATATTGACTTGTTGTATTTTCAAATTTTCGAAAATTATTTAAATTTATGGCCCAAAAGAGAGACATTTGAATTAGAAATATTCCAATCTCCTTGGCATATTGCTGATAATAATCAGCATGATATTTCTTAAATATTTTATAATCTGTTAGTATGCGAATATCAAAATATATTCAAATGATATATTATAAGCAAGAGAGATTAATTAATATGCATGATAGACTAATCTGAAATTCTTCAGACTTGAATGCATATTAAAATCACCATGCTATGCATAACTGATGATTTTGAATTTTAAACTCTCTACAGTTATACAAAGCATCCCTAACTAATAATTTCCATAATTACTTATGACATCAAAGTAAAACTCCATGGTTGGCTATTTCAAGCACATTACCTGCAATGTTGTAATAATTATGTCTGCCCATAATAATAAAGTTTGCAGAAGTATTTCAGTGATAAGCAACTCCCCATTAGGCTTACCAACATTCAATCAAACCCCTATTTCCCTTGCCCCAGATTTTGCTTTATCATTGCTTAACAAAGAGCTCGAAGCTCAAAAAAATTGCTCAATTCAAGTGATCCAAGAGCTGGTAAATCTTTATAGACAAGCCATTGAATACTATGAATTTGTCAATGACCAAAAGTTCATGTATTATCAAGATCGTTTACATAAATTTTTAGTCAGACCTGATATTCTCCATGCAATGCAACAAGAAAATGAAAGACTAAAAATAACGAGAGCTACAAACAGAAAACCAAGAAGCCGAGCAACTACAATAGCCAAACTCCAACCAGTGAAATCGAACCCTGAGCACCGAAATTTGACTTCAGATGAAGTTAAAGCAATAATTCCACCAGTTTCGCCCAAAAAAATCAATAAAATAATGACAAAAAACGAAGATGAAACCAAAATAGTTACAAGCAAAACTGCTAATGACTTCAAAACACAAGATCTAAATTTAGAAGAAAGGCTAATTAATAGAAGACAAAGATCTTCAAATACTTCATTAAATAGCAGCTTTAATCAAGACAGCTGCAGCCCGGATAAACGAGTGCAAATCCCATATGACGATTTAAGTGACAATGAAGAAGAAACTCGGGTCAGCTCAAGAAGATCAAGCTCAATTTCGGTTAACCAAATCAATAATGAATTAAATAGAATACAACAAGAAAGGAAAGAGTTTTCTCCAGAAGTCCTGGAAAAGAGGCTAGAAGAGATTATGGAAAAACATTTTTGTGAGAAAACTGAAAGAATTGCAGAAATTAAAGTAAAATATGAAAGAGAAATGCAAAGACTTAGCGAGTCAGGGCTGGCTAGCAGAGGGAAAATGAATGAAATTAGGAGACTTATGAATGAAGAGATTGAAGCTGTAAATGCAGCTTTGGAATTTTCGAAACAAGGGGAATTACTCAAACTAAAAGAGTGCTAATATATATTACATAAATTCTGAACTTTATATATAAATCTCACCAAGATTGATGTTTTCTCAATTTTAAATTTTAATATAAATTTTCAATTTTCCAGAAAAATTTAGTGACTTGAAAATGAATTGATCAAGAAATATTATTTATTAGATATAGAAAAAAAATTATTGTGTGATTTTTTCTTAAAATAATTCACAATGGCACGATGGCTGCTGAGTGTTTTCTAAATGTGTTGCAGATTTTCTTGTAGAATACAAGGAAATGTTTATTGTGTTTTCAAATTCTTCTTCTGATCCTTCAGCTTGTGTATCTATATAATCATCGTCAAATTCTTTCGCGCAGGAATAAATGGTTTGTGTATAACTAACAATACTTGGAATTGAAGATATTGATTCACTATATTCTATGGATTGCATATCAATTTATTTAAATTTTATTAGTGGTTTAATATGATTTCTATTTTCAAAATGTCATCACTGATCTTTCAAAACCCTCATAAATATGGAGATTCTGTGCTAAGAAAATATATGTGGGCCTACGCAAAGGAAATTTTTATTTTATTTTTTAAGTTTATTTACATGAAATAAAAGACTTTTCAAAGGATTTTCTGTTTGGTTTTCATTTACCTGCAAACTATTTTCAGATTCATTTCGGTCAGAAACCTGATTATTTTCATCTTTGCTTGTAGCATCCTTGCAGCTTGGCATCTCAGGGTATAGCTCTTTATTTTTGCAAATTTGTGTTCTTACAGATAAGCTTTGCTTAATTCCTAACAAATTTGGTTCCAAGTCCATTGATTCTCACCTCGTCACATTTAACGTACTCATTTCATCACTAAATGTACTTTTAAGGCAGCATGTAAAACTATCTAAACTTTCAGCACAATTTGCATTTGGGCACTCATATCTTGAATTTGGACAGTTAATCTTATAAGAAATATATTCTATTAAGCAGGAAATAGAAAATGAGTATACCAGAGGAATCAGCAGTATCAATTTCATCTTTCTTATCGTTAATTTTAATAAATCTATTTAGATTAATAGCTTAGCTTATATTTTTGGACCTGCAGCTTTAGTTTCTTTAGAAGATCCAGCTTCGTATTTCTTGAAGTTTTCGACAAATTGGCCTGCAAGTTTCTTCAAGGTTTGGTCATATTCGTCTTTATTTGCCCAAGTATTCTTTGGAGTAAGAATATGTGGATCAACGCCTGGGCAACTTTGAGGGACATGGAGTCCAAAGATAGGGAGAGGTGATGTTGGAACATTGTCAAGTTCTCCAGCATGGATGGCGTCAAGAATTCTTCTTGTGACTTTAAGATCCATTCTCTTGCCAACTCCGTATTTTCCACCAGACCAGCCAGTGTTAATGAGCCAAGTTGTGGCACCGTGCTTTCTTAATTTAGAAGCAAGCAATTCAGCGTATACAGATGGGTGAAGTGGTAAGAAAGCTTCTCCAAAGCAAGCTGAAAAGGTTGATTCAGGGTCTTTAATTCCGACTTCAGTTCCTGCAACTTTAGCAGTATATCCACTGATGAAGTGGTACATAGATTGTTCTGGTGTCAATTTAGAGACTGGTGGAAGTACTCCTGAGGCATCACAAGTCAAGAAAATGACATTCTTTGGATGTCCTCCAATAGCTGGAAGTTTTACGTTAGGAATGAACTCAAGAGGGTAGGAAAGTCTTGTATTTTCTGTCAATGAGACATTAGAAAAGTCAACTTCTCTAGTGCCTTGTCTGAAGCAGACGTTTTCAAGAACAGACCCGAACCTAACAGCATCATAGATTTCTGGCTCTTTTTCTCTGCTTAAAAAGATGCATTTTGCATAGCAACCTCCTTCGATGTTGAAAATTCCTTCGTCAGTCCAACAGTGCTCGTCATCTCCAATAAGTCTTCTGTGTGGGTCGGCACTGAGGGTGGTTTTTCCTGTTCCTGAAAGTCCGAATAACAAAGTTGTATCACCTTTTGGTCCTTCATTAGCTGAAGCGTGGAGGGAAACAACTCCGTATTTCTTTGGCATCACATAGTGCATAACTCCAAATAGACCCTTCTTCATTTCACCAGCATATTGGCTTCCAAGGATAACCAATTTTTGGTCTTTGAAATTGACATTAACGGAAGTCTGTGAGGTGACACCTTCAACATGGGTGTCAGCTGGGAATTCTCCTGCATTTAGGACGTGGTAATCGATATGATCGAAGTCCTTATTCCCCTCTGAGCAAATAAAAAATTTTGTTCACTCCTGGCGTTAATTTCGAAATAAAAAAAACGATTCGAAATAGTTAATATTAATTTAATTGTAAATTTATGTTTAAATATGGAAGATGCTGAAAATTAAACAGAATTAGGTAGAGCTTTTATTATATTTATATAAAAAATTTTCATAATTTTGTTTGCTCATTGAGGGTGATTTTGTTCTCTCACGGAGGAGGAGTTAGCAAGCTCTTCTTCAGTTGGGCGGATCAGCATGTTGTGCATGAAAAGGGCATGGTAAGCTCTTGTGCAGATAATTCTGACCTTAAGTCTGTATTTTGGATCCCAACCAATGTATCCATCAACCACATAGAGGTATGGTCTATTGTTTAAATAGTCAATAGCTCTCTGCTTGTTAATCTCATATGAAGCTTCAGACAGAGGGATGTTGACCTTTCCCCACCAAATGTCTTTTTCTGTGGTCTCTTCTTTGACAACACGCTTTTCCTTTGGTGAACGCCCAGTTGCTGATGCTGAATAAGCACAAAGAGCTCCTGTGCTAGACATAGTAGTTGGAAGAGTATATGGATTTGCTGGCTCTTTACCTAAGCACATCTCATAATATTCAGGAACCATGAGGTTGCGGTAAATGTGCCTGTTCACGATTCCAAGCTTTTTCAAGTCAGGATGGCCTGTAAAGTCATGGACTTTAGCCGTAAAAGATCGACTTATGCGTCCCAGCATATTTATTTATTCGTGGATAAGAGAGTAAGTATTATTGGTGGATGAGATTAAATATGGGTCAATGACTATCCTGGACAAAGATTTTTTGTAAAAATCTTGTAATTTGTAAGAAAGTAAAATAGAATTATTAGAATATTCGAAAATGGAATTATGATTTTATATGAAACCTTTTTGAGAAGGAGGTAGCTATTCTGTTGGATTTGGAAAAATAGGTATATGATATAACATGGCTTTTATTGGATGTGAATAAGAATCATACTTTAATTTGTGCAAAAAAGAATTTCTATTTTCAAGTATTATTTTGAGATCATATTGAAAAAGTGTATATATTTTGGATATCAATAATTAAGTATTTTTGATTAAAAACTAGAAATAAATTATTCTAAATTGATTGTTAATTGACGATAATTGCACACAAAGTTGACTTGAAATGTGACATTTATTTTGAGACATTACTGATTAAAAATATCTCAGAAAATGTGGAATTTCGATAAAAGAAAAGGTAAAGGTATAAATTGTATAGGAAAATGATCAAATATTCGGTTCAAAAATTTAATAAAGCAGTTTTACTAATATTTCATTAATTTCCCCATAAAGTTAAGCTCAACTAGTGATTTTAATTGATTAAAAACTCTAATTACTAAAAAGATATGCAAGCTTAGTTTAAAGGAATAACGCCTATTCTTTATCGAATTTAAAATGCTTGAATTAATTGGCATTAAATTTTTAAATATTTTACTTACAATAACAAATCACAATTTGTGAGAAACTGCATGCAGGTTATTAGCGTAAAACGGTCCCCCAAACGCCTATAATTAGACTTAAAGAGTCTCTATTATTCTTAATCTTCATATTCATAAATATAAATCAACAAAATAATTTTCACAATAGTTTAATATTTTTTTTTTTATATTAAAAATATTTTTAGTTTAGAAATTTATGTTTTGATTTTCTATATAATTAAAACACACTTTATTATTTCACATTTAAGCACCTTAATTCAGTAAAATTCTATATGCATAAGAGATTTAGCTATATAAATGCGGATTTGCTTACAATTCAAATCTTATTTCGCCTTGCTAACTAAAATCCTCCATTTTAATAATTTTACATTTAAGAGCCTTTACTGTATTTTTTCTTCATCCTACTCGCACTCAAAATTAATTTTTTCATCTCTTCTTTTTCAATCCAATATTTCAAATACACAACTTTTTGTTTTTTCCTTATCCTTCCCCACAATTCTTGTATTGCTTCCTTCATATGTTCATTAAGAACTTTATTTCTTAAGCTTTCAGGGATATTTAAAAGTTTTCCTGATGCTTGTTTTCTTTTCTTTTTCTTGACTTTTGAGCCTGCAAGCTGAGATATCATTTCTTCAAGGACGTCATTCCATTTTTCTATTAATTGTTTGTATTTTGAATTATATGACTCTAAGCTTTTTTTCCATGCAGCTTTTATTTTTAAAACACATTGTATGTAATAAACAAAGTGGCTTGGAACCAGCTCTTTTGTGGCAATTTCTTTGATACATGACGCAATATTTCTTTTAGAAATTTTCATAACTAATGGGCCACCTAATAGAAACATTAGCCGCAGCTGATTTTTAGCCAAAGCAACTTGACGAGTCTTGATATCAAAACCAGATGGGAATTTTGATCTAAAACATCTTTGAATTTTATTGGCCTTTATATGCAAAAGTTTATATCTCTGTATTTTCTTCTTGAGATCTTCATATAAAGATTGCCAAGTCACAAGCCCATGGGCCGAATAAATCAAAGTAAATCAAGTTTTTTCAAAAAATTCCTTTCTTGAAATAATGTTTTGTATTTGCTGGGCTTTTTTTTCTGCAATAATCCTCATTTCTTTTCTCAATAAAACGGATTTTTTCATCATATCTTTATCCTCATCTTGCTGACTTTTTCTTTTATGAACTTCAAGCCTGTGCTTTTCTCTTTCTTTGATTTTTCCTAATATATCACTTTGATTCATAGGAGTAATATAATTAAAATATGGGGCATGGCCTCCCGGCCATGCAGCCTCGACTCATATTTTGATTATATCCGGCAAGGTTTTACCATGCTAGAGATGAACAGCGATGCTAGGTAAGCAATTCTGGTTGTGCTGAGAGCCTAGCCCAAGTCTGGTCTCGAGATGGATTTTTTCCTCGTGGGGAAGGAGGGCACGGAAAGTTGGAAAGGGGAAGCTCAGCAGAGTCCTTTGGACTATTCGGGCAACTCCCTAGTGTGAAACTGGGCGTTACGTCTCAGGCTACGTGTTTTTCCTTTTTGCCGATAGCGGACCAGAAAATCCATTTTTTGGGTTTTTTCGGCAAAGCAACCCATGTATACAAGCAAGTAGCTCATTCATGAGGCGTCGAAGCCGGCAACACTTGCCCCAGGAGCACCTCGGTGATCAAAGCAGGTCGCCCGATGCGACGATGGTGAGCGGTATACCTGGGAAGGTCGACCCCGTAGTGGACGTTAAGCGTTATAAATAGTATAAGATAAGATAAGAAGATTCATAGGAGTAATATTTGCTAATGACCTATTAAATTCCATCCTATTTAAAAAGAGTTTTACTTGAATTTGCTTATATTAAATATTAATTAAATATTATTTATTCTTTCTATATAACCATACATAATTTTGCCTTTGCTCATTTCTCCTTTTTTCGAGTATTGATTGCACTCTAAATTCAAATTCAGCTCTTAGCTCTGGATTGGCTTTAATTCTTTGTATTTCTTTCATATATGAAGGCATAAACACTTTTTTATAAATTTGTTTAGTGGTGCCTTGATGTTTGACACCTGGCTTATTCTCATTTCCAAATTTTATCTCGACTTTGAATCTTGCATCAATAATTGCTTTAACCCCGATGAAGCATTTTCTTTCAACAAAATTCGAATGCCGCCCTATTATTTCTAGCAAATCAGTGACTAACTCCCCCTTTTTAAATTAGAACAAAAAATCCTGTTTTAAATTTTTTTTTTTTAAAAAAAAATTTTAAAAATTGAATGCAATAATTTTTGAATTTTTAATTAATTTAATTAGTTTAAGAAATTAATTAATACAGTGTGAAAAATGTTTAAATAATATTCTGCTTGCACTTTGTTCATTAAATTAGAGCAAAGCTAAATTATAAAATTTAGGATTTTTACCTTTAAATTTTCCTATTGAAAAAAAATTGCTACACTTTAAAGGAGCTTAAAGTATGCAAAAAAATGGAAATTTTGCCTATATTTTGTTCTAGTTTAAAAGGGGGAGTGAGTGATACTCATAAACATCTGCAGTTGGCTTTACATTTTTAAATGATGCAAAAATTTCTAAGCGGCCTTTTTCTCTTTCTATTTTAACTCTCAACGGAGAAGGCAAATCCTTAACTTTGACTGAGAAAAATTGATACTCATTAGCAGCGATAAATCCTTCAGGGGATTCTCCTTCTTCCACATCAATGAATTGGCTTGAAAATTTTTTTTCGTTGCACACTATATTTAGTTTTTGAATTAAATCGTCAAATTGTTTTCCATAAAAATTCAGAGGAAGTGATTCCTTTAATTTAGGCATTTTGGATTTAATTGAATATTTTCGATTTGTAAACACCTCAATAAGCTTGAAAGGTTTTTCATAATGCTCATTTTGTTTTACTGTTAGTGTGCTTAGTGATGAGCTTGATGACATAGAAATCTTAGGCAACTCTACTGTTTTGTTTAAATAAAAAGTTTCATCTTCAAAGTCTGATAAACTAGAATGTCTTTTCATAAAATAATTATAAAAATTCTATAGTCAAAGTATTGTAAAAAAATGCAGATATTAATCGCATGAAAATATAACTTGATTATTTGATATGCCTTTTAAAACTCATATTTTAAATATATATTCATTAGAAGTTTATTGATAGACAAATGGCAGATGCAATCACCAAGGAGATATGCTAAATTGGCGAGGTGAATTCTTAAAACTTATAGCTAGATAAACCCAGGGACCGTCTGTAAGGAGGATTTAGTTGGTTTGTAATCGTGTAATTTCTAATCACATGTCGGAAATTGCATCATGGGCAGCCAGTATTATCTTGGTTGACACCTCGGCCAGAAAATTCGATTTTCAAAGGGCAACCTAAATCAGGAGTACTGCACGGTGACCTATCCTGCACTCCAGCTAGTGTGCGAGCCTATTTCTGAAGGAGCATAGCCATAGATAGATGCAAATCAAGGCGAAGATAAATACCGTTTTAAGGTATTTCAGTGGGTTTTCAATAATTTTAGCTAAGAATTAGGATTAGGATTATTAAAAGTCAGATGCAAGCCATATTATTGACGCAGTCACCAAAGATCTCGCGTACGGAAGGTTCTACCGCTTTTCAACTCCAGTCCAGAGGGTCTATCCCTCTTGCGAGTGCCCTTCAGGTACCTTCTGTCTTGAGGCTTCAGTCTTGAGTTGGCGGCTTATAGATTTCTGCAGCCTTGATACGGGCGATTGGAGTAGCTTGATTCCAAGGATCCTTAAATCTATCGGATGTCGAAGTGCCTTTCTTCGACAGCTACAGGAAAAGACTGTCTCCCTGTGGCCTGGGCCGAAACCCCAGTTTCTCTGTAGAGGAATGCCCATGGGTCCTCGGATCTAAAGGAAGTTGTTGAACCCCTCCATTTCCAACCCACAGGAAAGCAACCAAAACCTACTCAATACACACCTCTTGAGCCTTCTCAACTTGGAGTCCATCCCAATGGGTCGTCGCCATAAGGTCTTGACTGCTGTGCCAAGAGGGCAGGTTGACACGTGCCGCCATTTTAATATATTAATTTCAACTAAGAACTAAGTAATCACCAAAGAGCTTGAGCCAATGAAAACAATTCTTATTGAAAGCTTATGTGAGTTTTTAGAAACAGGGGAAAGAGCAGTGAACACAAATAATGAGTACGTGAAATGGAATATGAGAATCAATGAACTCGCTGACAGAGTTTCAAATAGTCACCTTCTATATGACTATTATATAAAAACTATTCAAGACTATACTATTAACGTTGTGAAAAATGATCTCATAAAACTGCAAGGGGAAAAATTATTAACTCTCCTTTTAAAATTGGATGTTTAATCAGTATTCTATTTTGTTCCCCTTTAAAATAGAATTTTATTGGTAAGTTCCTATTTTGGGGCATTAATTTAAGTGCTAAAGCTATTTATACAGAAAATGAATTTACCTATAAAAATTAAGGTTTTCTCAAATTTGAAGGAGTTAATTTACTCGAAAAATTGAAATTTTACCTATATTTTGCCCCGATTTAAAGGTAAGAGAGTAAGTAGATTTGCATGGAGATGGGAAAATCATAAAATTTTAGTTTTCTATATAAGAAGAATATTCAGCTACTTAGATAGATATCACGTAAAAGACTTCAAAAAAGCTACATTAACACAAGCAGGGCTTAACATCTTCAAAAAAGAAGTTTTTGATGAAGTCTCAGATCTTGTCAGAATAGCTCTTATCAATGAAATCACAAAAGAAAGGGAATCAATTGCAATAGACCGAGACAGGCTAAAAAAATGTTTATTTTGTTTTGTTCAAATGGGGCTAAGTAACGCAGAAATTGTAAAAGTCCAAGAATCAAGTGAAAAAAGAGACAGGCTAGTATGAAAAGGAAACCCAGATTTAAAGTATTATGAGACTATTTTTGAAAAAACTTTTCTTGAAGACACAAGAATCTTTTTTGCAACAAAATCAAGCCTATATATCACTTCACTGAGCTGTCCTGAGTTTTTAAATAAAGCAAAACTTATTATTGAGCAAGAAGAAGAAAGGGCTGATAAACTATTTGAGCCAAGCACCAAGCCAAAATTAATGAATTATATCATTGATGAACTTGTTGCTAATAATGCTCAATCTTTAGCAGATATGGAAGGCACAGGCTGTCTTGAAATGTTTAAGCACGACAAAAGAGGCGAGCTTAGGATCATGTTTTTACTTTTCAAAAAGAGAGAAAATACCTTACTCCCCCCTCCGTGAGTGAACAAAATTTTTTAATAGAAATTTTTTTTATGAAAAAAATCTATATATAAGTGATAGATAGTATAATTAATCTATAGCTAATTTCTGTTTAATTTCAAGAAATTTGCGTTTTAAAACATAAATTTTATGATTTAAATTAATATTGGCTTTCCAATTTTTGCGAATTAGGATTTTTTTTAAATTCGAAAAAAAAAATTTCTATATAAATTTTTTAGAAAAAAAAATTAACCTTAATAAAATTTTTTTGTTCACTCACGGAGGGGGGCGTTAGAAAACATTACCTCAAAAATGGGGCCTTATATTATCTCAAGAGGATCCTCTATAGTAGAAAATCAAGAATTGCAGCAAGACGCTATTGCATATACAAAACGCTTATTAGACTTTAAAAATGAAATTGACAGCTTATTAGAGTATGCTTTTGAAAATCATCACCTATTTCAGAGATGTCGTGATATTGCTTTTCAAGATTTTATGAACAAATGTCCATTTTCAGCACCTTATATTGCATCATATTGTGATAATGAAATGAGAAAAGGGATAAAAGGGGTGTCTGAAGCTGACATTGAGCAAAGAATGATAAACATTGTGAAACTTTTTTCATGTCTGCATGATCGAGATATTTTTATAAGAAATTATACAAGATTTTTAGCAAAAAGACTTTTAGATGGGACAAGTTTGAGTGATGATGCCGAACAAAGCATGATCGCAAAGCTAAAAGTTGAGTGTGGGAGTACTACAGTTAGCAAAATCGCAAATATGTATCAAGATATCGCAATTTCTGCAGAAACCATGGCTGAATTTAAAAAGCTGAGCCACAAAGGTATGCCGCAAGGTGTTGCTTTAAATGTGCAGGTATTAAGAAGCGGGTGTTGGCCAGAGCAATCCACAGAAGCCTGCATGATACCACCAGAGCTAGCTGATTGCAGCAGAACATTTCAAATATTCTATGTAAATAAGCATCAAGGAAGAAACATCACTTGGCTGCTTGGATTTGGACAATTAGAATTAATCACACTATTTGCCAGCAAAACATTTACACTAATAATGAACCCATTTCAAGCCGCAATCGTTTTGATGTTCAATAAAGGAAGCAGCTATACAGTCTCCCAAATCAGGGAAGCTACAAAACTATCAGAAAACACTTTAAAAGCAAATCTTATTATGTTTTTCAACCCTAAAAATAAGCTTTTTAATAAAGAAAGCAAGGGAAAAACACTGGAAGACTCTGAGACGATAACATTAAATGAAAAATTTTCATCGCCAACAATTAGATGTGATTTTACTCCAAAAAAAGTGAAAAAAATTGAAGCAAGCTCTAAAGAAGATGAGCAGGCTATTTCTGCGGAAAGAAAAAATATTTTAGATTCGGTGATTGTTAGGATTGCGAAGGCTAGAAGAGTTATAAAGCATCAAGAGCTAATTACTGAGGTTATTAGGCAGGTGGGTCTTTTTAGACCTCAGCCACCAATGATTAAGGCACAGATTGAGAGCTTGATACAAAGAGAATTTTTAGCTAGAGACCAAAATGATAGAACAACTTATAATTATATCCCTTAATTAATAGGATTTTAATTAGAGATTACTTTTTAATAAAAATAAGTTTATTTATTAGTAATTCGAATTGATTGGGGCAGCTGATAAGAGTTATTTAATAAGAGTTTATCTTGATTAAATAAGGGAAAAGAAGGTATATATTTTAAGCAGTTATAAAGACATTTTTTTTGAGTAAAATTTTTGTCTTCTTTCCAGTCTCTGTTGCTTTTTGCTCCAGGTTTTTTTCCACTTGTTTTTGTGATTAACAATACTAAGCACCTCATCCTCTTGATATTCTTCATCTACAACTCTTTTCTTTCTTTCACTTGCAATATTGCTTAAAAAGTCATCGACTCCTACTTCTTCACTTCCTTCAAGCTTGTATGGAGTATTCTTTTTTTGGGCTGGCTCTTCTTCGTTTTTAAGATCTTTCATCTAATAATAATTAATGGTAATTTTTACTAATTTTTAAAACATAATGCACCCCCATAATTTCAGACTATATACTTCTTATACTGCTGAGGAAAAAATATATAATTTTCATGATTATCTCTAAAGACCAAGTTTTATATGTTTAATTTAAACAAATGAATATAATTAAAGATAAGCTGAATTTGACACCAATATAAATCCAAAATATCTTCTCTGATTTTATTAAAGAAAATACATTCTTGGATTGAAAATATATTCATTGCAGAATATATATATTTATTTTAAAAATTTGAATTTTAATTATTTTTGATATATCTATCTAAGAGCAGCTTAACCCGCTTTGAATTTACCATTTTTGGAAGCACAATTTTAGCCATTAATTGATATTTTGTCAGAATATCGTAATAAAATGAGCTCAAAAAGACAGCAAAAAATGCAAGAGAAAGAAGAAGAGCCTCAAAAAGATGAAAACTTTGAATCAGATGAATCATTTGAAGAGGAACAAGAAGATGCTCGGAAAAAAGACGAAAAAGAAGTTCAAATGCCCCCGCCGAAAAGAAATAAAAGCGCATATTTATTTTGGACACTTGAAAAGAGACCAGAAATCATGGAAAAATATCCAGGAATTGATGGAAGAGAAATTCTAATAAAACTTGGAAAACTATGGAAAAAAACGTCAGAAAAGGATAAAGAGCCATATAATAAAAAATATGTGGAAGATCGAGAAAGATACGAAAGGCAAATGCTTGATTATGAGAAAAAAGGAAAATATTATGATAATGAAGGACACTTGGATAGATCTCAGTTTTTCGGGAGGAGAAGAAGATCAAGATCAAGCGGCTATGCAGCCTTTGCAAAAAGAAAATCGCAAGCTGCTCATTAATTTTAACTTATATAAATTTATGTCTAATTGATAATATATATACTGCGGCATTTTTATAAATAAAAGACACAAAAAATAATTAAATAGTGAAAAGAAATATGCTATCTTAATACCTTAAATTATGTCATAATATTGATATGTTTTGCATCCCTAACTCCCCCGTTTAAATTGAAACAAATATCTGTAAAATTTCCATATTTTGGTACTTTTCCCCCTTGAAATTTGAACACTTTTTTTTAATAGGAAAATTTTATAGATGAAAATAAAAAATTATTTTTGGCCTAATTTAATAGAAAGAATGCATGCAGAATATTATTTAAACAGTTTTCACACTGAATCTGTTAATATTTTGAGTTAATCCTTCATAAAAATAAATTAAAATTCAAAGTATGGTGCTCAATTTTATTTTTTTTATCGAGAGAAAGATTTAATATTTTTTTTAAAAAAATTTAACCCACTTTAAATTGGAACAGGATTTTTGGTTCAAATTTAAAGAGGGCAGGAGTAAGCGCATTTATAAATTAATTTAATAAATAAAATGGAAAACCCTCGAAGAAGTTCACGTCGCCGAATCAACGCTAAAAGAAAATCTGACATCGTATATTTCGATGACCCAAAAGATAAAACTCTCACAAATAAAGTCCAAACAAAAGCCAAAATTGAACTTAATGATGAAGAAAGAAACTTGCTTTACCCAGACAAGCCGCAAGATGAAAAGCGATTTTGTATCTGCAATAGAACAGAGCTCGAAACTCAAGGGCTTACAATGATTATGTGCGACATTTGTATGGACTGATTTCATGATGAGTGCATAGGTATGACTTCTGAAGAAATGGAAAACCTCGACTCCTTTATCTGTCCCAAATGTTCAGGAAAACCATTTAAACTCCCAGTAAAAAGACCACAGCCAAGCAGTGCGGATATTGAAATCCTTCTGACAGCATTAGCAGAAATTGACGAAGAAAAGCCTAAACTCAAAAAAAGGCAAGTTGATGTTCAAGCTTCGACCCACAAAATTTCAGTATTTCACCTTGCTCAACCTATAAATACAGGAAGATATAATAATGTTATAGGCTATATCAGGAATGATTCTCATCCAAATCCTAATGAAGATAATGGAAATATTATTCCAATTACCCTTGGGGATATTGATAGAGGAATAGTCTGCAGCTCTTGGGGCAATTTTAAAGTTTCTTCGACACAGGATGGGAGATTGTTAGTATCTAAAGATTATTCGTTTAGAACTCCTATGAAGGATTTTAACTCCTACACTTAAATTGGTAATAAAAATCTAAACTCCCCTTCCGTAAGCGAACAAAAACCATTGGAAAGCTCCCCTATTTTTTACCCACCTTCATTGAGCGAACAAAAAATCTTTTTAAATATAAAAAAATTATATATAAATTTTATAATTTAAAAAAATCCCAAGGCAGAAATTGGAGAGAAATTTTAAATTGTAAATTTATGTTTAGAGTGTAAGTTGTTTAAAATTAAACAGAATTAGCTAGAGATTTCATTATTATAATTAACATTTGTATATCAAATTATTTTCATAAAAAATTTTTTAAAAGCATTAACCCCTTCGTGAGCGAACAATATTTTTGTTCACTCATGGGGAGTAAGGGCTTTTTTTAAAAATATAAAAAAAATATAAATTGAATACTTATTGAAAAAAATAGTTCCAATTTTAATGGTTAAAGTATCCTAAAATGGAAATTTATATATTTTGTTTAAGTTTAAAAGGGTGGAATAAGAAAAAAGAAGAAGAGGCTATAACTCATTCAGTCCCTGTTGCAGATATTGAAGTCGAAAATGAAGGAAATCAATGTATAATAAAATGTGATGATTCAGAAGATTTGATAATTCCAACAGCTGATTTTTCTTGCAGGCTTGATAATGAGAAAGCGCAAAGGCTGACAGAGCTATTTGGGATTGATTGCAGTTGGAAGAGCTTAAGAGAGGCTATAAATTCAAAGATCAAACATAAGCCTTCAATTCTGCTTAAAGTGAATGCAAATTAGGTATTATATAATAAAATAAGATTTGATGAAATTAATATATGAGCCAATATCAGTTAGGAAATTTTGAAAAATTTTGCTAGTTCTCTTCCATCACTTATTAAAGCAATTTATAGATTAAAGTTGATTCAATAGATAATTTTATTATATAGTAAATTTGCATCTGATTCTTAGTAAAACATTAAAATTATTAAATAATTATAAATTCGAAATTAAGATAAATATTTAAGACTAAAATAGCAACGAGTCAAAACACATATAAATTTTATCGAAGCTGAAGCGTAGGAAAACGGTGTGCTAAGGATATAATGTTCTAAAAATGATGCATAACTAACTGAATAAATTTAAAAATGTCCATCAATTTAAATTTCCTGATGAATTTCTAAAAATAAATTAATTATAATTATGTCCATGTCACGTATAGATATTCTTAGAGATGATGCTAAATTTGATAAAACAGCTAGAATTTTATTTGATCAGCTTGATCGAAATAAATCCGGAGCTTTAGATAGACAAGAAATAAGAGTAGCCCTCCTAAGATACTTCAGAGATAACAATTTAGAAGAGCCTTCTGATATTGAACTAAATAAAGTTTTAAAAGATATAGATCTCAGTGGAAGTGGAGAAATCGACTTTAATTTATTCAAAAATTCTCTTAGAAGGGTTCTTCAAGAAGAAACAAGATAAGTTAAACTAAAGCTATAGCGATTCTTAATTTTTCTTGGTTAATAATTATGTTGAAAATGGTATAGTGATCTGACTCCCTCACCTTGATTGTCGAGCAAAAAGATCTTGCTTGCTCATAAGGAGTTTGTTTTTTTCGGATTTAATATATAAGATTTGTAACATTTAGATTAAAAATAATTTTAAAGGGTGAAAGATAATAAAAATTTAATAAAATTAGCTAAAATCTCATTATTATAATGATTAATTGTATATCAAATTGTTCTTTATATAAAATTTTTCGATATAAATTTTATGTAAGCAAGGACTATTAATTTCAAAAATAGGGATTTTTCTTATTGTTTCTTCACTAATTAATGAAGGTGGGGATTAATCAAAATAACTTCAAATTCTTCAAAATTTTAGAATCTTACCATTTATTAATGCTATGGTCAATAGATTCCAATTCCATTTGTTCCATATTTTAATCCATTAATTACGAATTTCGGATCTATTTAATAAATATGTCATCATCGCTACAGTCTATTTTATCTGACGAAGCTAAATTTGATAAGGCCTCTAGAACTGTGTTTGACTCAGTAGACAGTGATAGATCAGGAAGAATTGATAAAAGAGAACTTATAATAAAATGGCTATGCAGAGGTGTTTTCTCAAACAAACCTTTCACTATCCCCAATACCAATATAGAATACCGCATAGGGTAATTTATTGGAATTTGAAGAAATGAGACATATGGTTTTTACTGCCTAACACACCTGAGACGGGTAGCCAGCCAAATTTTGGCGAGGTCAAATCCGACCTGCCAAAGCTTTTCTGGCTTTTTTTGGGTGTTCTGGAATATTTGATGAGACAAGATGGCTGCTGAGGTCAGAGCTTGGGAGTTAAAAGGGTAGGCTTCGGTCTAAAAATTTCGACTGAATAAAGCACAACACGTTAAAATCTAAGATAATAAGTAAGTAATATAAAAGAGAACTTGGAAATGCACTGATTACTTTTTCAAAGGAAGCTGGAATCAGTCCACCATCACAAGTGGATATTGATAAATCATTTACCCAGTTAGACCTTGATAGAAGTGGAGATATTGACTATAATGAATTTAAAGTCTATATGAGAAGACTATTGGAAAAAATGAAATAATTAAATTTATTGATTTTTTTGGAAATAATATAGTTTTGAACATATTTGTAAAGTTAATTTGCATTAATTTAATTTCTTCTAAGCTTATATTTATATAGACATCTTTCTTGAATTTAATTCTAATATTCAAAATGGCTACTCTAGTTGCTCAATAGTTTATAATTTCAGTTTTCAAGCTGAGTCTGGAACTACCAAGAGATCCTTAATTTTTTTCAAATATTTTTCTTGTATTTCAAGATTATCATCATGATTAACTTTTAAAATATAATGAGAAATAATTTCTTTTTATATCATTTGAAAATTTATTTAGGTATTATATATTTTAAGTAGTAATTTCTTAGGCCTCTCAGCCCCAACATAATACTCCAATGGTTAATGTTTAAGTAAAATATGAAATTGGATTCTAATAAATTATTTTACATATAAAAACTCAATTATTTCTTATAAACTTAAGATTCCTTGATGTAAATAATTCATAGAGACCTCTGCAATGCATTCTTTCCCTGAGTAATAAATGGAAGAGAAATTAAAAGAATGCATTCTTCGTTGGAATCGAGTTGGAAGCCCTGATACTTTTCGAGACACAACAATAAGGAGTTTTTGCAGCCAAACACCACCTATATCAACTCAGAACCCCGAATACCTTATTGCAAGGATTTCTGGCTTAACTATGGCTGAAGCTTCAGATGCCTTGATGTTGGCTGAAGAAATAAGGCATTCAGGAATAGAGAGAGTTCTAGCGAAGTTAGAAGCGCTCGGACAGAAAATTCCTTCTGTTTCTGTATCTAAAAGACCAAGAAAGACTAAAAAAACAAAAAAATCAGAACCAAAACTTAAAAAGAAGCAAAAGTTATAAAGATGTAAGTAAATAGTTAACTGAGATTTATCGCAAGCTTCTTGGTTTTGGTTCCCGTTGCAATTTTTTGTATTTCTATCTATGCAAATAATTTTTTATTATTAACTTTTTACTTGAATAGCCAAATGATGTTTAATTTATGCATCGATTCTAAAAAATTCAAATCGAATGGTTTTTTAAATGGGGATTTAGATAATATTTTTAACCCTAAAAAAGATTATGTATACCTATATACATTTATAAGCATGGTAAACATTTAACATGATATTATTGCTAATAGACCTATGGCCATTTTAACTTAAACTTAATGTGAACTCCATTTCAGATGCACGTAAAATTAATATTTTTTTGATTTGCAATACTAGATTGAGTATCAATAAACTTTAACAATTTTAAACAAAATTAACTGCCTCATTACGGTTTATTTGCTAGAGCACTTTTTTGAGACCTTCCAATAATATCTGGAGTTTCATTATATTGAGCCAAACTTTGCATCAGCCTGACTTCATCTCCATCCGTATTATTATAATCCCCACTAAATAGCCTAATTCTTGCAGCATTCTTTTCAGGGAGTAAATCACTCAACTGTCTCGAATAAACAACTTTAGAATTAGTAATTGTTTGATTCTAAATATCCCTTACATTTTCTTTTATCATTTTAAGTGTTTGACTTACAGTATTTTTCATCAAAAAAACACAGTCAATAAGTTTAGAATCAAAACTCAAAGGCTCTTTCCCTAATTTTTTTAAATTTTTTCCTGACCAAATTTTAATATTTTCATACACACTTCTTATTCTCCTTACTCCCCCCCCCCCCTCCGTGAGCGAACAAAAAAATTTTGTTCGCTCACGGAGGGGGGTTAATTTTTTTTTTTAAAAAAAAATTTATATATAAATTTTATAAAAAATATTTTTTTCGAAATTTAAAAAAATCCTAATTTGCAAAAATTGGGAAGCAAATATTAATTTAATTTGCAAAATTTATGTTTTAAAACGCAATTGTTTAAAAATAAACAGAATTAGCTCTAGATTTCATTATACTAATTATCACTTATATATCAAAATTTTTTTCCATTAAAATTTTTTCTATTAAAAAAATTTTTGTTCACTCACGGAGGGTGGGTTTTTGGTCAAAAATGGCGATTTTTCTAATGGTTTTGTTCGCTCACGGAGGGGGGGGGGGGAGTTAGCTTGTCTTTTTCAATTTCTATATCTGTAAACTGCTTTGCAGCTTCTTCTGATAATTTTTTAGCAGGATTATTTCCTTCTAGCTTCGTCATTTCCAACGAATTTATTTTTTCCAGCATTTCGTTATTTTTCTCTATATAATCCAATATTTTTTGTTTTGATTCATTTATAGTCTCCATAAGATCTCCATAAGTTTGTTCCCTAGTTAGATATCTTTCAACCATTTCTTGTGCATCATTCAGCCCTGTGACACTTCTAACTTGTTGAAAAGCTTCTTCAATTGATGAAGATCGATCCATTTCACACTTAAGTTTTTTTTGTAAATAAATAAACCAGACCCTATGACACAAGAGCCCTTCTCTCATCTGTAAAGCTCTCATATTTCTGTCTTCATTGGCTGCAGCTTCAGCAATTTCTAGCTGTCGATGAAATCTTTCGTCTCGTTTTCTTGAAGTTTCTTGCTTTTGTTTTACATCTTTTTCAATAATTTCTAGTCGTTCTTGAATTTCAGTTTTTTCTCTATTAGTATATATCTCCAAATTTTTTAAGGCTTCTTTGGTTTGGATTTTGGCTTCTCTTGTCCTTCTTTGTTTATCTAATTCTTCATTAAGTGTTTGTTGGCCTCTTCTTATTGATTTATTTAATCCTAAGTTTCGCTTCTCTAGATTGATTTTTGTCATTTTCATTCTTTCAATGATATGCTCATATGCTTTTCTTGTCATTTCTGCGTCTTCTTGTTTTTTTTTGATATCATACAGCTGCTCTTCCATTTCTTTTGCTTCTTCTTTCATAGTATCTAATTTAAGCCCTGTCCTGGTTTCCATCTTCTGTATTTGTTCTAGCTCTTTTTTCAATTTTTCGAGAGTATTGTCATAAATTTCATTATTCGCTCTATTTTTATCGTGCCTTTTTCTTAAAATTCCTAGCTGTGTTGAGACTTCTTTTAATTCTTCTATTTTTGAAACTTTTTGAGTTTCGTCACCTTGAGTAATTGTGCTGTTAAGGAATCGTGAAGCATCTTGAGTAGATACCATTTGGCGAATTCTGCGGTGGTTTGCTAGATTGAATGAAGTATTATTGGCGCTTATGGCTTCCTTTTTTCATCTAGCAGTTGCTGGGGCTGTTAAATCAAAAATCCCGGAGTTGTCCATTGAATTTTTACATGATTTGTTATAGTTAGAGAAAAAAGTTGGAAAATTCTTATAGAAGTAGGAGTTTACTGGGCTATTTTACTATTAATGATAAGATTATATAGTAAAAGGAAAGAATAATGAAAACTAATCAATAATATCATTGTAAAAAATAATAATGAAAGCGATGTCTCAAGAGCCGGCGGGAAATCTTACAAACAATAGCACTAGCCAAACTTGTTGCCTTTGCCCTCCTATCTATGCGACATACGCAAGCAGCCCTATGAAGAAAGTATCTAGCAATAAATGAGCACATGTAGAGTGTAAAATTTATTTACTCAGCCACTAAAACATTTTTATTATTTACCTTTATAAATTTAAAATTTTTATATTAAAAATTGCTGAGGTTAGGCATTCAATACATATTGGAAACATACATCGATGATTCTGATCCTGACTCCCCCCCCCCCCTCCGTGAGCGAACAAAAAAATTTTGTTCGCTCACGGAGGGGGGTTAATTTTTTTTTTTAAAAAAAATTTATATATAAAAAATATTTTTTTTTCGAAATTTTAAAAAAATCCTAATTTGCAAAAATTGGGAAGCAAATATTAATTTAATTTGCAAAATTTATGTTTTAAAACGCAATTTGTTTAAAATTAAACAGAATTAGCTCTAGATTTCATTATACTAATTATCACTTATATATCAAAATTTTTTTTCCATTAAAATTTTTTCTATTAAAAAAATTTTTTTGTTCACTCACGGAGGGTGGGTTTTTGGTCAAAAAAATGGCGATTTTTCTAATGGTTTTGTTCGCTCACGGAGGGGGGGGGGGGGGGAGTTTCCTGTCAAAGGGGTCGAAGACATAGATCCTTCTGCTTATATATTAAAATGCGCAATTTGTGAACGAAGATCATGCGGCGTCTGTGTAAACTGTGGAGATCAGTCATGTCCATATACATTCCATCCACAATGTGCAATTAGAAAAGGGTTAAAAGCAGATCCTCCTCATCTATATTGTCCTGATCACTCCAATATCCCAAAAGAACCAAAACCTGCTCCTCTACCTGCACATATGATTAAATCAGAAAAGCCGATTAAGAATGAAATAGTCTTGATTAACCATCGGTTTACCTCTTCCCAATCTATCAAACATTTAAGGCGTATAAAAGCGTCAACAGACTCAGACAATTTTTCGATAATTGAAGATAATTTTAAAAAGTTTCCTCAAGATTTGCTTATTAGATCGTCATTACCTTATGAGAAAAAGACAATCTCAGGGATTTCTAAGCCACTCCAAAGCTTAAATAAATGTAGCGCCCTCATACATGGGCATGATCTCGTTGCTTTAGTGCAGTTTATTTTAACTTCTAGAGAACGAAAAAGAGCGTCCTCAGATTATTTTATTGTGCAGCCTTATCAAGGAGAAGTATCAAATCTCAAATTTGATATGCTGCTTAAATATTATAAACTCTTTAACAGAGATTTTGGGACAGATTTAGAAATAATAGGAAGATGCCTAAGCGAAAGCGAATGTGGGACTGATGAAGTATCAAGAGAATTGCTATATTGCCTTGAATACCTTTCAAGAAAAACTCTCCCTTCAGTCAATCATTTAAAAGGACTTTTATCTCTTTTAGTAGAAAAACAGCAGCCAAGATTAGACATGTCAAAAATTCACGACATAAATCGTGAAGCTTGAACTATCACACAATGGGGATTCATTTATAGATGCCTCAAGTCTGGTTTACGCGAAAAAAATCAGTCTGACTACGAAGTAAGATTCCACGCTGTCGAAGAATGCGATTGCTGTGTCTGCTATCATTGTAACGAAGATGAAACAATTTTAAACCCTCTGATTGGCTGCAGAGGATGCAAATTACTTATACATAGAGCTTGTCTCGGATTTCAAACTTATGTTGACGATTATTATTGTGAGTTGTGTAGGGAAAAAGCATGCCCAAGATGCATACTTTGTAGTAAAAAAGGAGGGCCGATGAAAAAAGCTGGCCCTGAATGGTTTCATATATCGTGCGCTTTATGGGACCCAAAGAGAGTAGAGTTTGAAGACATAAGGAATCTAGAAGGGCTAAGGATATCTGGAGAAAATATGATAGGCCAATGCACTGTGTGCCATAAATCGCAAGGTTTATTATCTCAATGCAAAGAATGTGGAGAACTAGCTCATTTACTTTGCGCTTGAAAAAATGGGATGAAGTTCGAAACTGAGGATTATATAAGCTCAGGAATAAGGAAACTTCTGGTACTAATTTAAATATAGGTTCTTATATCCGTAAATGCATCCTAAATTTTTTAGAAGAGAGCTGCTTTGAACTTGCTGCTAATTGGCTAAGGCACTTATTCCGCCTAAGGGCTCTCGCACCACTGAAATGCCAAGTTGTAAATACTTTAGCCTCCGAAAGATTAAAAATCAGGCCCTTGAGGCTGCACCCTACCTGGTGTTAATTACCTGATATATTTGGTTTAAAGGTTCACTAATAATGCCAAATATCATAATAAATATATCAATAAAATCGCTGGAGGATGAAAAATATTCGCTAATTCTGAAAACGGCATTATATTACTATAGGAAATTTCTTGTCAAATTTGTTTGCCATACACACACACCACAAAGAGATGCTGAAGAACAAAAGGATTTAAGAAGCCGGCCTTTTAGGTACTATGAAACACCTAGACTTAAGAGAAACAGAAGTTAAAGCACCAACAAATATAAATTTAGCTAAATTTTGTTATCATTAATATTGGTGAAAAAATTGTTTTATGTATTTCTTTATGATACTAGCCCGCTTTGGGCTACTAAGATAATTAAGCACATTTGCTAGACAACTATTCATGGCAACATCTTTGAAAGCAAAAAGCACATGATTCTGGGGAAGAAAGGAAGCTTAAAATAACTCTATGAGTTATTCAAATATACCATAATATATCATTTCTTAATATATCTTTTCAAGCTAATAAATCAAATTTAAAAGTTCTATTTAAAAATCTCAATAAAAATAATAATATGAATCCTCCAAATCGTCTTAAATGAAAATCTGACTTCGATAAATACGTCGTTATCGTCAACTTCGAAAAACGACAATGGCAGCACACAGCAGACGACGACTGAAACGTATATTGAGCTAACGTCTGAACAGTTAAACAAATTTTCAGCCCAGAAACAGGACAGAGATTAGGCGATATGCAGCTTCTCAATCATTTTCCCAACCACTACGAGCTTACAAGAAAAGACCTAATGGTAAAAAACATCAAAAGATACAGACGTGAAATGGAAAAAGAAAACAACCCAATAGCTGAAAAAGATGAGCATGGAAATTACATTCATCTTGATATTATTCCTACAACTTATAATCTGCCTGGGGACTATTCTATCTTTGTGGAAGAATTTAAGCGAAACCCAAACACGACATGGATTATGAAACCTAATGGAAAATCTCAAGGAAAAGGAATTTTTCTTGTAAATAAAATTTCACAGGTAAAGAAATGGGCAACTTCGTCAAAGGTTCCATTTCAGTCCATTGCTATGAAAGAAGCTTATGTGATTTCTAAATATATTGATAATCCTTTATTAATAGGTGGGAAGAAATTCGATTTACGTTTATATGTGCTATAGCCCAAGGCTTCTTTTGGATTGCCCTATGCTATATGGTGCCTAAAACAACAGGCTAAGTTGGCTTGGGCAGCATCAGTTGCCAAATCAGCTTGATCAACTAATTATAATGCCACTTGTCAGCTGGCAGAGTTGACTTAGCAGCTGATGCTACCCAAGCCAACTCAGCCAGTTGTTTAGGCATCATGTAGCCCAGGAAAATCAAAAGAAGTATCTGGGCTATAGTAACTTGCTATAGGCCACTTAAAGCCTATTTATATAGGCAAGGATTTTGTAGGTTTTGCAATGAAAAATATACATCAGATGTGGCAGAAATAGATAATATGTTTATCCACCTTACAAATGTAGCAATTCAAAAGCATTCAGATGTTTATAATGATAGGCACGGAGGGAAATGGAGTTTACCAAGCTTAAGGTTTTATTTAGAATGCACAAGAGGTAGAAATGCGACTGATAAATGCTTTAACGATATAAAAGTTGTAATGATACAAAGCTTGAAGTCAGTATACACTATTCACGTTAATAGATTGTTATGGAGCAGCTCTTTACACCCAAACTAATAACAGCAAGATCAATTCTTAGACAAAAGAAGTCAAAAATGGTAAAATTTTTACCATAGTTTTAAATTTGGCATTTTTGTAATTGTCTTATAATAAGCAATATATTGGTAACTTTGAGTCAAAAATAATTGGTCTATAAGGATCTATTAAACTAAATTGATTATACAAAGTGTTATGATAAATGATAGGCATTGCTTTGAAATGTATGGATATGATATATTGCTTGACTCTGAATTAAAGCCATGGCTGCTAGAGGTGAATGCTTCACCAAGTTTGACAACTTCTACAGAAAAAGATAGGGTTTTGAAGTCACAGCTGCTGAGAGATGTATTTCAGATTGTTGTGCCTAATGATTGGACTGATGAAAAATCGGTCGAAACTTTTTATTTACTCGGGAAAAAATTTAAAATTCGATAGCCTCACTAGGAAAAACTTTTTGCCAAAAATTCGAAAGAATTCAACACTAGAAAAATGTTCCGATCAAATGGCATGCGGCCTCTGAAAAATCAAAGCACGGCGCTAATACATGTACAGAACGAAGCGTTGGGTTTTTCGATCTACTTATTGATGAAGGATGCAGTGAGCCTGAAAAAGGAGGAAACAGAGGGCCCGCAAGGAGAGGGAACGGCAAGCTTTGGAAATAATTTAATTTTACTATATTTAAATATTTTGTATTGCAAAACTGTTATTATTGATTTTTATAAATTTAAAAGAAAAAACAAAATGAACATTGCTATGATTAAGCCTTTGCTTCCTAGAAGTCGGCGGCCTTTACCTCATCCAGAAGACTGGAACGACCGTTTTACTCTCGCAAAAATCCCTAACTATGATACATCTTCTGGCACTCACATATCATCTTTGAACCAGTCCAAGAGTAATGTCAAAAACATAAGGGTCAGCTCTCTGAAACCTCAATCAAGCAGTGGCTCCACAAAATCAAGGAACCTCACAAGAAGTTCATCGAGATCAAGCAGAAGACGTCCACAAGAACTTACAGATAACCAAGTAGAAATCTTAAAAGACGAACTGAGAAATACATGAAGAACTTTTCAAATCCCAGAACAGCACCAAACTCTATATGAAAACAGAGTTTTTACTTTATCAAAGCCAAAAATAGCAGCATTAGTGGCAAGAGAAATTGATTCAATAGAAAAATAAATAAAATGGGATTCTGTTGAGAGAAATTAGGTCTGCTAATTTTCTCATCCCATGGGATCTTATTTATGGAGTTTCATTTTTACTGGAGAACTTCTGCAGAGCAGCAGCTGTTTAAGTCTGCCACATAAGGCTCGAGGCAAGGTTCCTCAATGAATTAAAGAGGCGCAAGGCTTATCAACTCAGCGCGCCAGAGGAAGGCGTCCTTAGGCAGAACACACTCAGGAGCTGAGCTAGGGTAAAACCAATGCGCTGAGTGAGAAGCGCGAGTCAGGCTGAAGGCGGCAAGGTTTAGGACGGTCTATCCATTCTGACCAAAAAGTACTGTGATGTCGCTAGTTTGGCTTAAGGTCTTTTTTTTGGGCTTTTGGCACTAGACACCTTAAAATTTTAAATAATCGTAATCGATTAATAGAAAAAAGTACGTCAAATATATGTGAAATTTTGAATTTAATAAGAGACAGGGAGTATTTATTGTCAAAATTAAAAGAAGAAGCTGACATGGTAGAGAAAATCACCGATAAAGTAGAGCTTGAAATGGCAAAATATGAATGTGCGGACTATTTAAAAAAATTAAGAGAAGTAACTCTCAATACAGTTGAAAACATTTGCATATGAAGAGAATTTTTTAAAGACTTAACCTTAGATTTTCAATGAGAGTCTAAAGGGTATTTAGAGAAAATGCAGACTGATACCTTATTCTTAAAAGAAACTGTGCTTTCTAAATATTTCAAATTCAAATCAAAATCTGATCCTTTGCTTTTATCATTAGCTGATAAGTCTTCAGGGTCTATTATTCAAATAATGAATTTAAGTAAAAAAAAGAAACAAAAAATGCCAATTCCTATCTCATATCATTCCTATACAAGGTAATTCCTTCATATGATGCCCACACCGTAAAGTTTTTTTTTTTTTTGGCTTTTTATTTGGCATATTCTGTGCCAAAAGGTTCCTTCACACGACGACTATTTCATAACGACTATTTTTTTTTTGGCCTATTTTTTTTTGGCCTATTTTTTTTTGGCCTATTTTTTTTTTGGCCTATTTTTTTTTTCACCTATTTTTTTTTGGCCTATTTTTTTTTTGGCCTATTTTTTTTTTTCACCTATTTTTTTTTGGCCTATTTTTTTTTTTTCACCTATTTTTTTTTTGGCCTATTTTTTTTGGCCTATTTTTTTTTTGGCCTATTTTTTTTTGCCTTTTTTTTTTTGCCTAGCCTCATTAATGAAGCTGCTGAGAGGACTAAAACCTTATTGAGAAACAGAGACTTTTCCTTACGCGATTAATATTGAGGAAATTAAGTGAAAAACTCCTAATTAAATCTAAAATTCTCGAAATTTTAAAAGCAATGAATTAGTATTAATTGAGTAAAAAATCTGCTAAGGGTGCATTTTTTTGTTGGTTAAATCGTTTAAAACACATTAAAAATAATATTAAAACAATTAGTATGGAATTATGCCCAAATATTAGTAAAAAATAGCTAAAAAATTGTCAAAAAAAAAGGCCAAAAAAAAATAGGTGAAAAAAAAATAGGCCAAAAAAAATAGGCCAAAAAAAAATAGTCGTTATGAAATAGTCGTCGTGTGAAGATACGGTGCCAAAAACAATTGACTAAATTGATAAAAATCACCTTGAGAAGTCAATATGGAATTATTTCCCAATCAAATAGACCAAAAAACGATCAAAAATAATTAAGCAAAAAAATGGGCCAAAAAAATGATGCCAAAAAAATAGTAGTTGTGTAGCTTCGCATAAGTTACGCTACAAGGTATAAAAAAGCTGAAGAAGTAATCAAAGCAATTGGAACTGGAAAAGAAGAAAAATCGAAGGGAAATAAAAAAGAAAATGGATTGAGACCTGCAAAATTAATAGAAAATGAGGATGAAACACAAGATCCATTTGAAGATAAATCAATGACAAAAGAAAACGTTATTTTATTGGATGAAAATGAAATTAAACAGATTTCCGAGGAGTTGGCAAGTGAATTAATTAATACAGAAGCTTGAGATAGCGCTCCTGGGATAGTTAACGAAAGCTTGCATGATATGATTAACGCAAGTCTAATGCTCTATTCCAATATAATTCTAGACAAAGTTGTAACGACAGTCTTGATGCAGATGATTCCTGAAGTTTCTCGAGAAGCGTACAGAGAAATCAATGATTCTGAGTACATTGACATATGGAATGGCATTATTTTATATGTGGTAGACCAAAGTGTATTAGAAATATGCTCAGATGAAGCTTTAGCAATACTTTCAGAAAACATTACTGAAAGTATACCAAGTTTTTGCAAAATTATATTATTAATTTGCTCAGAATAATAAAGAAAGCTTAACATTAGATTTAATCTGATGCGGCATATTATATCTTCTATTAAATTAGACTCCTACGTTATTGAAGCTCTATCTGAAGAAAATTCTCAAAACAAAGATATTGTCCAAGACATCCACAAGGATCTTATCAATGATTTTGTTACTCTTGAATGGATTGAAGAGCTTGCTGAAGAAGAGCTCGTTCAATATAAAATTGATGAAGTTCGCAAAGAATTGCCTGTTCATTTGCAGAGAGAAATTTTTGTCAGGGATAAAGATATCATTTATAATAGGCTTGCAGAAATAGTTTACTTTGGAATTTTGAATGACTTTGTAGGGAATCTGTGGACTCCAGGCATAATTATTTCGGCTGTAGAAGAAGAAAAAGGGAATCAAGAGATTGATATAAATGAAATTTTCGTGCTGAGAGATCCATCTGTAGTTATTGAAGAAGTCAAAAAGTCACAAACTAATAAAATAAACTCTGTGTATCAAAGATAAACTTGGGTATTTAATATTAATTATTCTTTAAGAGTCCTAGTAAAAGAAGTTGGCTTGCTTTAGGTAATTTTAAGTTGGCTTTTAAAAGGCTAATGATTAGGAAAATAAATATCTCCCTTGGATGCAGAATATAGAATAGGTAACATTTAAAATTTAAATTAGGGGTAAGTTAGTTAGGGTTAATGGAGCCCATATCATATCCTGCTTCTCCAGAAATCAAACTTTTAGGATTGCTGACAACTTCTTTAAACATATAAACTAATCCTCCAATTATCGCAGCCTAAGTGATATTTACTCTAATAAGCCAGTTGATCCAAGACAAAAATAGAGCGAATGAGTGGATGCCTGACAACTCATCCCACAAATCTTGATTCTTTTCAGGGGTGCTTGACCAGACACTCCCCATAGTGATTAGCCATATCAAGTCCAAGATCGCCAGAGCTACATTGAGGAGAATCAGTTTTTTCCCAATATTCTCTTTATCATCTTGTTTAACATTTGCATTGTGCCACAAGTAATAGCAAAGCAGCGAAAAAGCAAAGTTAAAATCTGTTCTCACTAAGCAGGTGAAGCTTGAAATTACCTATATAAAGCCTACAGCCATTCCTAAGAAACCGTACTCAATACCTGAAGACAGCTTTTCTTCCATTTATATAAACTAAATTTAATTAAAATTACTTTTAGTATAAGACTTTCCTAAATTGCAAGCTAACTTATGAGATTTCGTTTGACGGGCTATTTAATTTCAAAAATGAAGGAGAAGTCATGAAATCAGTAGCTGTGTTTATGCTTTCTGTACAATACACGCTTTTGTGATCTTTTAATGTGTTAGTCATCATTTCGAGTTTAGAGCTAATATATGCCAAAGCTCGATTCAAATTTTTTCTATTTACATCAAATCTTGAAGATTTATCAGAAAGTTGAAAAACAATTCTGCTAATCGTATTAGTATTATTAATAAGACGGCGATTTCAGAAACTTCTCTAAGAGAACTATTCATCCTCCAACAATTTTTTATTGTTACGGGATCAATTTCTTAATCCCCTCGTGAGCGTGAGTGAATAAAAATATTTTGTTAGCTCACAGAGGAAGATTGATTTTGTTTTAAAAAGAATTTATATATAAGTTTTATAGTAAAAACTTTTTTTGGAATATAAAAAAAATTCCAATTTACAATTTTTTTAAAGCAATTAAATAAAATTTTAGTTAATAAATGCAAGCTTGTTTAATTCCAACAGAATTAACTCGATATCTCATTAACTAATTATATTTAATATATATAAATATTTTTCATAAAAAATTGTTTTTTGCTCACGGAAGGTGGGCTTTTACCTAAAACATAGGAATTTTTACTATGGTTTTTTGTTTGCTAACGGAAGGGAGGATAGTTAGCGACTCTTTATCCAGCTAACCGTATATGATATGAGGGTTTGAGTTTTTGGTTTGCAGAGCTCAGCTGCTATACACTCCTGAAAGGCTCATTCTCAGGCGAAATACACGCAGGAATCAAATAATTAGCGAGCTTATCCTGGAAACTAGTAGGCGGCAAGTTGCCAGAAAGTTCTATGGTTCCTAATGCGAAGGGTAGCGAAGGCAATCCGCTACTACAAGAACACATTAAAAAGAGCTTAAATTATATGTCCTGCGAAATCAAGCGGCAGCTAAACACTAATTAATTAAGTAAGCTAATCACATTAACCGTGGAGAATAGCAAGTCTTGCAGACCATTCAAAGTGCACTCATCTTTTTCAATATTAATTATCCTTTTTTTGAATTCCCTTTTTATCTCATCAATCTTTTTAGAATTTAGACTAAAGCAAAACCCTTCTTCGAACTTATATCTATTAAGCTCATATAAAAGTTCGTATTTTTCTTTATTTAAATTGTCTATTAATTGTTCATATTGGCTTGCAGTTATACTTAAGTTTTCAGTTTGGTCTTTTAAATATGTATAATAAGGCATCATATCTTGTATACATGAAATATTTGCCACCCTTTGTATCGCTTTGAATTTGTTATCTTGATTTTCTTGGAGTTTCTCAAGCCTTAAAGCTTCGTTTTGAAAAATAAAAAATTCTTTTATTCCTCCAATGTCTTTTTCAAATTTTATAAGCTGAAGGGAATTATTTTTTTGTTTTTCAATTGCTTCATTTCTGCTGTGCTCAGCTGAAATACATTTAATAGCCATTTGATAGTCTTCGTAAATTTTTAATTCTTCTTCAATTTTCTGCTTGTGTAGCTTCTTTATTTTGTGGAAATCCTTCTTTAGATTATCTATTTCTTTGTTTATGTTCTCTATATCTGCTGATAATTTTTCCAATGCACTTTTTTCATTAGCTAAGCTATTTTTTATATTTTTCAGTTTTAAACTTATAGAATCTACTGGCAGCATAAACCTTTTGATATTTTCTTTTCTATATATAAGCATGTATTTTAAGGTTTCTTGATAATATAATTCATTTCTCAATCCCTGTGTAAAATCATAATGCTCTTCGTTTCTTACATGATATAAATCCTCTATACAATCTCCTTGAGCAATCTGGTCTTGCATTTCATTATAACATTTTTCAAGCTCCCTCAATTTCTGCTGCTTTTCTAGCACTTCATTATGTATTTCGTTATAAGCATTTTTCCTCGATATCATATAATTTCGCAATTGATAGACATGATCTTTAAGATTGCTCGTCATTTCTAGTGAATTTGCGTTATAAATCTCTACTGAATCTCTTTCATATTGAAATTCTCTATATTTAAATCACTTTTCAACTTTTTCTTTAATATTGCTGATAAGGTCTTGAATGTGTTTTGAAGGAATTATATTTATCGAATGGGAATTTTCTGTTTAATAGTTACTTCTTGAGAGATTCTTTCATGAGTTTCTGGCATCTTGGAAGTCAACTTCTGAAAATGTTAGGTTTCGGGATTTAACTTGTTTTTTAACAAGACAGAAGCTTGAATTTACCTTTTTTACTTTTGGAAGACTTGGAGTTGCGTCTCTGTTTTCTGTTTCTGTTGTTGTAGTTAATTCAGTTAAATGTAGTAGCCTTTTTGATGTTGCTTTTGGAAGGGAGTGCCTAAGAGACTCGATTTCTGATCAGTTTGAGCTTGTATAGGTATTACTTCATAGAAGGAGGAATGTGCATTAATTATGGTTTAGCTAGTTAGCAGATATAAATAATTATTTTTTATGAATTAAAAAATACTGATTGCTAAGCTTTATACTGAATAATTCAAGATTGGAGTTAATAGTTTCTAATTTATTCATTTTTCAAACAGTTTATGTGATCAAGGGCAAGGACCAAAGTTTTTTTAATTTAATATTCCCGAATGAAAATGCAATTTCAAACCCAAGGAAAGTCATTTTCCATAACTCACTCTAATTTTTATATATAATTGAAAATGATTTTCCCACTTAATTAGAATTTTTTATATAAATTGCACCTAAAATTTATATTAGTGTTTCGGCCTTTCCCCAAAAATTAATGATCCCACTCTCACATTTGTGGAGCCATTACGTATAGCTTCTTCATAGTCTCCAGACATCCCCATGCTAAGCTCAATTTCCCGCTCTTCCAAACTCAAAACACTGCATATCTGCCTCTTTGCCTCATTCAATATAACAAAATCCTCTGCACTTCCCCTTAGCCCAATAGTCATTATTCCTTTAAAATTAAGTGACGAGCAATTGCTTATAATGTGACTTACAATTTCATGACAATTTTCTGGGGTGATTCCTGACTTTGTGGCCTCATTTGAGGTATTTATTTGGACAAAAACATTTAGCTTCTCATTTGGACGCGATTTTAGAGCTTGCGTGTTAAGCTTTGTAGCTAAGTCTATACTATCTACTGTCTCTATAGCAGCCAAATTGGGAACTGAAAGCAATTTTTTGATTTTATTTGATTGAAGATGTCCTATCATGTGCCACCTAATGTCGTTTGGAAGCTGAGATGCTTTTTGTACGAGCTCATCTACGTAATTTTCCCCAAAATATCGATGGCCATTGTCATAAGCCTCTCTTATTGCTTCAGCTGGCTGTAATTTTGAAACTGCAATTAGTCTAATAGGATAATTGATCCCTAAGCTGGATTTTAGGGTTTCTATTGAATTTGTGACTCTTAGTAGATTTTCTGAAATTGCCGATCTCATAAAAGTTTATAAAATGAAAATAATAATTGTATTTTATGTGGATAATAAATTCCACACTAATAATTTTAATAAATCAGAGCCTAAACTTTTACGATTTTACTTAGGCTTTTAAAATATTAAAAAAAAAAAAATTTTATAAGCTTATAAAATACAAAACTGACTATTCTGCTGCTCTAGTATTGGTATCCCCTGATTCTAGTTTGCATCATTTGATCTCAAAATATGTATAATAATCAAAATTACTTAAATAATTTATTCAATACTAATTTACTAGGAATTCGTTAATATTTCAAATTATAGCTCTATCTCATTTGATTAAAGAATAATCCTCACATTACGTATCTCTTTCATTAATTTCACCTTCAACTTTACCATCAAAACATAAAAATTCAGAATTTCTCTTAATTAGTGTTTCTTCATATCTATTTTTGCTCTTAATAAACGTCATCTTTTTTACTTTTCTAAGTGGCAAAAAGTTTTCATCATTTCAGGTATTGATTTCTATAAAGCTTTCAGAGCGATCTATACCTAATTCCACTGAATAAAAGCATACCTACTGGTGATCGTTATCCTATTTCATATATAATATAGGACAGCGGCTAATCAGTATAAATTTTTTTATTAGTAATTAGGCATATTTTTTCCTCTTCAATTTTTATTCTAAATTCTTCATCTCTAAAATTGACACTTCTAGTAATCACTGAAGAGCCCAAGCATTTAGAAGGCTCTTCAATTGAATATTTGCTTAACGTTCCACTTTCACTAAATGACAGAAGCTCAAGCTTGGGCGGAGCTGTTGGATCATCTGCTTTCATTGTGTGAAGAAATTTTACTTTTGGATTAAGAGCTGGTTCTAAATATGACCCATATTTTATTCTGGTAAATACATTGTGGTCGTAGCATAAATTTTTTACTTGGGGGTTTATTTGATAAACATGGGTTGTCCCTCTTGAAGTTGAGACTGAAATCCACTTTTCGCATTTGCTGATAGAAATATCGCTGATTTCAGCAAAAGTTCGGCCTCTTATTAGCTTATAAATCAGCTGATATTTTCCTGTTTCTGTAATTGATTTGGGAGGGTTTATTCTATATACATGAAAACTATGCCCATCAATAGGAGATACGACTAAAATATGTGATGACTTGCTGAACCTTAACTCAGAGACTTGCTTATTAAATGCTTGGAATTCTGTTATAACTTGGCTATTTAAAATGTTTTTGATTGTAACTTTACCGTCAAGATTATTAGCTTCGCTATTAGGTGAATCAATATATGATATCAGTTTAGAATAGCCATCTTGTGCTATGCCTTGTACTGTTTTTGAAACTTTTGTTGTGAATGAACCTGTAGCTGATTCTTGGTCTTTTAAAGAATATGCGATGTACAGGTTAGAAATTCCAGCTACCATTCTCATGCTATAAGAAAAACATCTTTCAGGAATTATTGAATATATACTTTTTACAATTAGATCTAAGGATCTATTTTCTATCTAAAAGTTCCTATAGGAATTTTCCCTATATGGCCCGATAAAGGCCGTGGGTTCTCCGTGGAATCCCTCTGTTGGTCAAACCAACTCAGTGCGTTGGTTTGACCAATTTACGGGTTGTTCAACCAGCAGAGGGATTCCACGGAGAACCCGCGGCCCTTATCGGGGCATATAGGGAAAACTCCTATATTTTAAATAAAAATAATTTTCATATACAATTACCACAAATATAACTTCTCAAAGCTACTTATAGAGAAAATATCAATGCTGCACGAATCCAAGCAAGCGCATAATGCTATTGAGTTGCTAATTATAGACAAAATTTTATCAGACGCTTGGATAGTATGAGAAATCCGTTTTTGCATCAATGAATAAATTTTAATACAATCCTGCGGGAATTCTGAAGTATCATACAAAGATGTGAGAGCTATTAATCCATCAGATTCTGATGCAATGGAATGAATACTTGAGATTCCAAAATTTCGTTTTGATATTCATTGCACAGGTGAGGAAGGGTTCGATATATCTCAAATTTGAAAACCCCTTTCGTAACCAATTAATAAACATTCTTTTACTGTGCTGCTGATCCTAATTTCTGCAAATTCATAGGAAGTAATGATGTCAAGCTCCAATGGCTGAATAGTAATTGAGTCTGTTATCATTTGTAGAATAGAAGGGATGTAGCTTGTTATGGATTCCATGTTTATTGCCTGTTTAATTATATGGAATTTTTTTATTTAAATTTAACTAATACTTCTGTCCTTAAGTGAACGATTTTCATAATAAATATGACGGCTTGGCCCGGGCTAGCCTCAAGGAAATATTTAATTATATATGGAGAGGTTTTGCAAGCTCAGAAATGGACAGCTATGATTGATAAGAAATTACAGCAGTGTGTGTGGAGCCAGCCTTAGTCAGCTTTTAGGGTTGCATTTTAACTCGAAGGAAAGGGAGGGATTGGAGTTGGAAAGTGGAGCCTAACAAGGTCTACAGGTAATTCCCTAGAATAAATCGGGAAATGCCTGGCTTTAAACCAAGAACTACACCTCGGACTTCGAAATTTTCCCTTTTGCCGAGAAGTTGATCAATCAAGCAGCCCCATAAGTCCATAATCCGCCCACTCAGCCCTAGAGCTACAAGGTAAGGAGCAGGCATAGGAGGAAGAGAGAAGACTCCGGATGTCCCATGGCGTCAGAGGCTAAAGGAGGAGTAAGGTGGTGCTGATACTTTTCTCTATGAGAGAATCATCTCAGCCGACGGTATCGGAAGCAGATGAGCCCTCGAGGAGGTCTTGATGGCTGAGTTACCAACAGGTGGAAGCCACCTGCAAATAAGATTAAGACCGAACAATTTTCATATAGAGAAACTCCAGGCCCACTCCCTATTCAGCCCCAAATCTAACTATCTATCTTTGATAATAATGAATCTTATAGATTATACTGTATCATCGCTTTACACATGCTGAATGCGATTTTTAGCATATTTGCTAATATATCACATACCTTATCTCTTGTAAATAACTTTCTAAAATATTTTACATTTAAAAAAATTTTGATATAAAATTTTTCAGGTTTGTATATAACTTTTTCCTCAGAAACCTTTACATCCTCATCCTTGTTCGAATGGCAGCAACTGTTTAATCAAGAATATTGGGAGTAAGCATTTAAGATTATCTTGACTTAACACCTAACCCTGCCTCCGTGAATTAATTTGAAATTTTATAAAAAATTATGTTATAAAAAATTTGATTTTAAAAAGATTTTAATTTATAAATATTTTAAAAGAAAATATAATTTAATTTCTAAAGAATATAAGTCTAAATTAATAAATTAGCAAGTTTTTAATATAGTTGCTATTGTATAATTTTTTGCCCACTTATGCAAGCAGACTAATCCCAAAATAGCATTATTTTTCCAATAGCTTTATTTTTTGCATGGGAGATAAGCAGAAATAATAAAAAATATTTGCAAGCAGTCTTCCAGTCCTATAATCTTCGACTGCAGGATTATATTCAGACATATCCATCAAAGATACTTTATTTGAATTCCCACTCAAAAACGCTATTTCTAACGCTTCTTCAGCTGTAAGTCCACCATCCACACTTGGGCAGCTAACTCCAGGACAAAAAGCGCTGCTTATCGAATCTACATCAAAAGATATAAAAAATCTGTGGTTTTCAGGAAATCTAGCAATAATGTCTTTTAAGGCCTGCCCAGCCTGTGTTATCGGTTCTCTCAGGCTTTCCTTGAGCTCTAAACTTCTTCTCCTGATCTCTCTCATCCATATAAGTTCTCCTCCTTTTGATTTTACATAATTTACATGTGCTTGTGCACACTGCGACCCTTGACAGGCAAATTCGAAGAATTTGCCATTCATTCCTTGGAATCTTTGGTCTTCTAAAATCATTCTAAATGGACATCCAGAATGAAGTCTACCTTCATCATCAAGCTGTCTGACATCTAAATGTGCGTCGATATTGACTACAACTGGGGTAAAGTTATTTTCTAAGCAATAGTTGAAAAATCCGCTTGCATTTGACCAGCTTTCATCATTTCCACCTCCAACTATAACAGGAACTGGGTGATGTGGCTTGGAAAGGACTGTTTTCACTTTTGCTGCTAATTTTTCATGGGCTTTTTCAAAATTTTCTGCTTGAATGTTCCCATAGTCACTAATTAGAAATCCTTCTAAGCTGATATTAAGTTCTGGGTTTATAAGTGGGCCTATTTTAGGAATAAATCTTCTTAATGAGTCAGGGCCATAGTCTCCACCACGTCTTCCAAAATTCCTTATTACACCTTCGTCAAATGGAAAGCCAATTAAAACAACATTTCCATGAATCCCATCTTCTATAATTTTCCCAAGCTTGGGGTCATCTCTTTTGAATAAAGGATCTTCTGCCATATTATTAGCTTAAATTATTTAGGTTTAGCTATTTATTTGGATTGAGGTATATCTATAACTCCATGAGACAGTCAAAATAATTCCTAGAATTTTACAATGGGAATATTTAAAGCGGCCATTTTTCTAGTTTGTACAAAATAAAACTCTGCTCATAAGGAATTGCAACATAATCCACTTTTATATCAGCGGATACACTGGCATTTGGGTCAAGAAAAGAGCACAAAACTTCTTTATTTTCAATTTTCCCTTTGATAATCCCATTTTCTCTATCCTCTTCCTGAATTTCACTCCAATCATAATCACTTTCTAAGAATTCTCTGAGCTTTATAAGCCGATCCATATTTTATATGTAAACCGTTTTCTATAACTTTTTTATTTAATACCAACAAGCTAAAAAATTTGCATAAAGATATATATTTTAAGTAATTATTTAATATGAAAAGAATATAAAACGATTTAATTTTCCATATTTCCTGATATAATTAGATGGGAAGACATCCATCTGTAGTGGAAAGGGCTTTAGAAGATATAGGATGGAGCAAATATCATAACAAGCTATTCTTCAACTGTAGTTTTGTACGTTTTATTTAGGGATGGGGTTGTGCGCTTATGTGGCTAAGCACAGTTTCAAATATTTTAACAGAAAATAAAGATTTTGATGTATTTGATAAGGCGATTTTAGGAGCAGCTATCAACTTTGGGGCTTTTATAGGGTGCTTTGTCTTTTCCAGCTTATCTGATCATTATGGAAGGAGTTTTATCTTCAAAAAAATAACAATCGTCACTTGTGTCAGCTCAATTATTCTTGTTGTGTCGTGAAATTTTTTAACAACCTTATTAGCTGTAATATTTCTTGGTCTTGGAATTGGAGGCGATCTTTTTGGTTTTCTTTTTTCCTTTACCTCCCCTTGATTAGTGGTCATTTTTGCTCTGATATAAGGGCCTGTATTTTTTACTTTATTGATTGTTAATTTTAGTTCTAAAAAATCGAAAATGTTAATATTGAAAAGGAAATCTAATTTCACTATAAATTACATTTTAAGAGTTTATTTTATCTAAATATAAGGTTAGGCCAATAATTTCGCTGACTAATCAAGGAGGAGAGTTAAAAAATATCTTCCTCTACCAATTTCTTCATTAATAATTGAATTTTTTAATAGCATTCAGCTTATTTTTAGTAAAAACTAAATAATTATTTTATTAATGCAAAAAAATAAAATAGCAAAAATTTTTACCTTATGCCAATCTTTCTACTCCTCCATCTGTCATGATTGAAAGCATTCCTCCAAGTTATCGAAAAAGAGTCGTCTTAATGAATATGGGCTATTGTATAGGGCCTATGATAAGCCAGCTCATAGCGCTTGCTATAACTCTTTGATGGAGTTTTCCAATAGAAAAATGGAGAGCCTTAGCTGGAGCTATAGCTATCATAACAGTAATTATTGCTGTCTTTAGAGACGATGTCATGGAAAGTCCAATCTATCTCTTTAAACATAGAGACACGGAGTTCATATCAGTCATTGTAAAAATCGCACAAAGTAATAACAGATTAAGCTATGAATATAAAGCGCCTCTCTTAGTAGCTCACTCCTCTCCTTCTGCTAACAAATTAAAGAGTACTAATTATATAATAACTCCCCCTTTGCGGATCAATAAAACCATTGGAACCCTTCTCGAGCGAACAAAAATTGTAATGAAAAAAATTATTTTATTATATATAAATCTTTACCTAATTCTATTGAATTTTAAACAGCTTGCGTTTTAAATATAAATTTTACAAATTAATTATTTTTTGTTTCCAATTTTTGTGAATTAGGATTTTTTAAATTTTGAAGAAAAACAAACTTAGCGAATGAACAACATTTTTTGTTCCTCACGGAGGGCAGGGGAGTAAGACATTAATTTTATAATTAAATTAATTTTTCTAAAATGAGCAATATAAGTATAATTCGTTGCACTAATATCTGATCGAGTTCCACAAGTGGAAAATTTCTTCACATGTGGCATTTTCGTCTCATACATGGAGACATTCTCACCTGTGGTACCCTCCAGATATTAGTGCTACGCACTATATAAAAAACATGAGTATTTTGTTTACAAAGAGTTAGCATTCCCGACATTCTATGGATGAATCTGAACCTAAAGCTTCTATCAAAGATATATTTAAGAGCCCAAACTTATCTACAACACTAATCCTATCAGCCTCACAATTTTTATTTTACTTTGGCTTTGTAGGATGTCTGCTTTCATTTCCTCAAATATTGGCTTCAAAGTCTATGGAAACAACTTACATAGTCTTAATTTCCCAACAACTCTCAGGATTGCTAGGGCTGATTTTAGCATCAAAAATGGTCGATTCCTGCTTTGGGAGAAAATGGACTATAAGTGTAGGATTCTTTTTCTGCGGTATGATGGCATTTCTATTTATATTTGCAGAAAATTTTTATGTTGTAAGAATTATATAGTCAATAGTATTTTCCATGCTGATTTACTTTGGGTTGCTGATGGGAATTGCGTCTAAAAACTTAATAACTCCAGAAAGCTATAAAGAAGATTTAAGAGGTGCTGGAGTTGGATTTGTGATGGCAGTGTCAAGAACAGGTGGAATTTTAGTGCCTATTTGGGCTGGATTAATAACCAGGATTTTTGGATATCAATATACGACAGCTTCATTTGGGGTAATTTTTATCCTTGCTGGGCTGATAAGTATATTTTTAAAGGAGACAAGAAAAATAAAATTCAAGCTGCCAAATACAATATTAATCTCTTAAAGACTATTTTTGATTATTTTACTATTTTAAAATAATTTCAATATTCAGCTTATATCATGAAATGATTAAAAATGCAATAAATTGTGGAATAATTAACATTTTCAAATTTTGTAAGAGAAAAATGTCTTATTACTGGTAAGATGCAAAACACAGTAAGCAAAAATTACTCAAGTGACGAGGTTAATTAGTAATAAATTTATTATTATAACTTTATTGTTAATAGATTATAATTAATGAAAAGACATACTTCAATAGTCGAGAGAGCATTAGAAGACATCGGATGGGGCTCATACCATAACAAATTATTCTTTAACTGCAGCTTTGTACATTTAATTTAGGGATGGGGTTGTGCTCTAATGTGGCTAAGCACCATCTCGAACATTTTAACAGAAAACAAAGAATTCAATGAGCTAGAAAGGGCAATTTTAGGAGCAGCCATAAATTTAGGCGCATTTGTAGGGTGCTTTGTCTTTGCCAGCTTATCTGATAAGTACGGAAGAACTTATACCTATTTATAAGGCACTTAAGTTTTATATTTTTATGAAAAATAATTATCAGGCAAGTTTTAATACGTATCAATGTGTGTATATTTTCAAAAAAATCACTATAGTCACTTGCATAAGCGCTGTTGTTCTAGTCACATCGTTAAATTTTTTAATGACCCTTATAGGAGTAACATTTCTTGGTCTTGGGATTGGAGGCGACCTTTCTACTCCTCCGTCAGTCATGATTGAGAGCATTCCTCCAAGCTATCGAAAAAGAGTTGTCTTACTACCCCTTGCTTAGCAGCAAAACCACTGTAAAATATTTATTTTTGAATAAATTAATCCCGTTCATTAATAAGCAAAATATTCTACCCAAAATATTAGTTTGATATATAGCTATAATGATTTATTATGATGAAATCTTTAGCTAATTATAATAAGTTTTTGATAGTTTCCATCCTAAAACATAAATCTTACTAATTAAATTAGATTTTATTTCAAACATTTCCAATTTTGGATTTTTTCAAGTAAGAAAATTTTTTTTTAAACAAAAAAATTCCATTAACGAGAAAAAAATCATGCTCGCTAGTGTGGGGAGTTAATGAACATGGGTTATTGTATAGGACCAATGATAAGCCAACTCATTGCACTGGCAATTACTCTTTGGTGGAATTTTCATATAGAAAAATGGAGAGTTTTAGCCGGAGCCGTCACTGTCGTTACACTCTTAATTGCGTATTTTCGAGATGATGTATTAGAAAGCCCAATATATCTTTATAAAAGAAGAGATACAGAATTTATATCAGTTATTGTCCAAATCGCACAAAGTAATAACAGGTTGAGCTATGAATTTAAAGCGCCATTACTTATATCAGAGCACCCTCCTGGCACAATAGATGATTTTGGTCACCATGTTTCTATTAAAGATATATTTAAGTCTCCAAACCGCTTTACCACAATCATGCTATCCCTTTCACAATTTTTGTTTTACTTCAGCTTTATTGGCTGCTTACTTTTATTTCCCCATATATTGGCATCACAGTCTATGGAAACAACATATGTCGTCTTAATCTCACAACAACTTTCAGGATTATTAGGATTAATTCTGGCATCAAAAATGGTTGATACTTGTTTTGGTAGAAAATGGACTATGAGTGTAGGGTTTATTTTTTGCGGAATAATGACGCTTGTATTTATATTAGCAGAAGATTTTTATATTGTAAAAATTATATAGTCAACCATATTTTCTGGTCTGATTTATTTTGGATTATTAATAGGCATCGCATCGAAAAATTTAATAACCCCAGAGAGTTATAAAGAAGATTTAAGAGGAACTGGGGTTGGCTTTGTCATGGCAGTATCAAGAACAGCGGGAATTATCGCTCCTGTGTGGGAAGGATTTATAAATGACACATTTGGACCCAAAGGAACTACAGCTTCATTTGGATTGATTTTTATATTTGCTGGAATAACAAGCCTATTTCTGCATGATACTAGGAAAATCATATACAAGATGCCAAGAACAATTGCGATTTCTTAATATTTCTCCTTAAAACTAATAATATGTTCAGACTTTACTAGATTTTAAGCTCAATTACTAATGAACAAAAAATTTTCTACAAAGGGGATTGATAGATAAGTAATAATTATTAGTATAATCAAATCCCGATGAATTCTGTTTAATCTTAAACAAATTGCATTTTAAAACCTAAATTTTACAAATTAAATATTTGCTTCCCAAATTTTTACGAAATTGGATTTTTTAAATTTCACAAAAAATTACTGTAAAATTTATATATATAATTTTTGCTAAAAAAAATTAAACCCTCTTTGTAAGTTAACAAGATATTTTTGTTCTATCATAAAGGGGGGTAATGATTTTCCGGTTTCATTTTCTTTTTTTTAAAACTTGAGCTTCTTATTATGCAAAAATAATTAATGTTTAAAAACCCCTTCAATTGATGGAAACGACGCGTTGTCCCTTGCAACACCCCAGTTTTTGCATCAGAAAGCCCATCAAACTCCTCTTTAAGAGCAAGCCATGAATATGTGAACATAAACTTTGACTCAAGTATTAGGGATAGAGATAGAACAGCCTTAGTGGATGACTTGTCATCACTGGAAAAACTCTCATTTTTGCCTTTGCCGAATGGGAAAAGTGTAAATAGCTATTCAAAGTTCGATTTGAATAATTTTTCACTCAATTTCAACAACATGTTGGTAAAATCTAAACAGAATGACATTGGAAAATTGCCAATCGAGTACTTTGACGTCATTCTTTATGACTTTTGTCGAGAAACTCTAAATAAAGACCTCGACAAGAATTGTATAAAATTAATCAAAAAACTCCATCACATTTATAGGTTACAGTCAAGTGCAATGGACCTTAAAGAAGCTGAAGCGGTTTTGCTGAATGAAAATTTACAGGTGATTACTGAAAAAAATCCAAACGCAATCAACGATTATAATTTGGTAAAAGAAGCTTTAAAAATCTTATCCTCCATTGCAATAAAATGAGGCTTCATAAGAATAGAAGATTACTTGTATAGGCTAGTTGGGAATGGAGCTAATGTATGTATGCTTGATTTAAAAGAAATAAACTCAGAAATATTTTCAGCTGAATCGATTTGACTAGCAATAAATCTTCCAAAAGAGCCTTTGTGTAACTTAGCCGATGACCAGCTAATGCAGAATTCACAAACATTGATATCACAGCTGCCAGAACTGATTGGCGCTTTGGTCGCACTCAATAAAGACTGCGATTTCTCTACAACTCCTTCTATAGCTGGATTAGTAGCTTCAAAGAACTCCGAAGTAGAAGTTTTAACAGGAATTTCTCCTGATTACAATGCAAATATATACCATTCTTAATTATTTCACAATTTTTTTCATATAAATCCTCCTCCTTTTTGCATTTTAATTAAATCGCTATAGTTGACTACGCCCAATTAAAACTGAAGCACGGGGTGTTTAAATGCTTCAACAAAAACAAATTCAGAGACGCTGTCAACAACTTGTACAAAAAACTCAAAGAATTCGAGTCTGTCTTCCGACATTTCGAATATGGACTTATTTCAAATCTGGTAACAATAACTCAAAATAATGAAACTTAATATTAATAGTTTAATTTAGACTTCAAGTCTGTCATCGTCTTTATCAATTTCAGCTTTTCTTTTTGGCTGAACTTATGGGAGTTCGCAAAATCATGAGCCATCTGCACAGGGTCATCGCCTGGCCTGATTTCGAATTTTTCTGTTTTACCTGGGCCGAGGTTAATTTGTATGACGACTGGTTTTTCTTCGTCAGAGCTTTTGTCGCTTTCGTCACTTTCGTCGAATTCTACTATTTCTTGGACGTTTTTGGGAAGCTCGTGGTCTGATTTAGATTCTTCGCTGTCTGAAGAACTTTCTTCGTTTTGGGAAGGAGCGAAGTATTGGTAAGGATATGTTGAGACTCTTTCTTTGTCTTCTTCAGGATGAGATTCGAAGTTTTGGGGTGTAGTTTGGATTGGTGAGTCTGTGTGGATTTCGATTTTAAGATCTTTGGAGTCTAAGGGTTCAATTTGTGCTGGACTAGAAAATCCTTTGATGGATTCATAATCTGTATTTTTTTCTATATTTTTTAATGATTCTAAATTTGTATTGATTTCAGTGCTAATAGGGTTTTCAGATTCCTCTATTGGAGCAGCTTTAGAACCTTTCTGTACATTTTGCTTTTCTATCAAATCTGGCGATTTTATCTTCAAGGAAACTGCATGTGCTTTTCATTCTTCTTCAGATTTTCTGCTTCCATTGCTATTTTCTTCTTCTACGCTGTCAAAAATAGGCTCTAATTTAAGGTCCACAATCTTCACGTCATTTTGTAAGACATCACTGACCTCACTTTCTGTCTGAGAAGGCCGTCCTCCTATGCTATCACGTGCACTATTAATAACATTAGCATTACTTTCCCTTTCTGATTTCTCCAAATGTGCAGATTTTTTAAATTCAATGTCATCAGTAGATTTTTTTTCTTCAATAATTTCGCTTTCTTGGTTAAAATGAGAGCTTTTTGTACTCAGACTTAGCTCACTTGGCCTAATATCATTTTTAGCTTTTTTTCTATTTGAGTCTTGAGTGGAGTTTTCAATATTCGGATTACCTTTAGTTGTATATGGCTCATATACATTTTTTCTATCAAAGGCATTTTTAGATTCATCTTTTACGGAAACTATTTTTATGTTTTCTTCTCGTAGCATTGATCTGATTCCTGCAGTTATCAATAACTGTTGTAGTTCATCTTCTTTGTAGAATTTTTGAATAAACTGAGAAGAATTTATATTTTTTTCTGATCCCATTATTTTTGATGCGAGCCTTTTAACCAAAACTGGCTTACTTTTATACAATTCTTGGGCATATTTTTTTATTTCGCTTTCAGTCAATTTTCCTTCACCTTCAGCTAGATAGGGAGATACAACAACAGCGACTTCAATCAAATCTTCAATCAGTTTACGGGTATTATTTTCATTTATAGAGCTTTCCCCATCTATTTCAAAGTATTTTGAGAGTAATTTAATTTTTTCACTCAAACTGCCTTGTCCCATGAGAGCTGAAGATAAATAAAGTTTTTTAGTGAAAAAATTTCCATCTTCATCTTGAAGGACATTGGAAAAATAGTGGAATGGAGATTCTGGGCTTGCTAATAAGTCTACTTGAATGCCAATATTCTTGCAGGCAAGTTCTAGCTGTGTAAAGGTCAGTTTTCCTGATTTTCCTTTTAGCAAAAATTCATTTGAAAGAGCTTTAGCAGATTTGTTGGAAAAAGGACCTTCATTTTCATGCTGGTTGATTATAATTTCTTCTTCAGGAAGTTCTTTTGTTGGGGACAACTCAGAGCCTCCAGTTCTCCCATTGCAGCATCCCATTTTCAATTATTATTTATAATAGAATATTTAAAATGGAAGTTAGGTTCTAGTCTTATTCATCAGGCTATCCCTATTATAAAATAGTCCTCGCTTCTTGAGAGTCTCGGCTTAAAGTGAAGAGGTCTGTCCTAAGTCTGCATGGACTAGAGAAGTCTGAAAGTACTTAATAATTTAAACGGTTCAACGCTTGGGCTGGTCCACCTACTGTTGTTTAAAGCCGTTATTGAAGCTGGAGTTATTATAAGCGCTAGAGAAATTCCCTAAAACTAAAATTATTTAAAACAATCAATCTGCTTGCCCATTACAAATATTTTATCTGTCGTTATGATTATCTAAAATTTTTCTAAATTTTGTAACGATGACCCCCCCCTCGATCTTCATATCTATTGCAACAAAAATTGTTTTTTTTATATAAAATTTTATATTAAAAAATTGCATTTTTGTTGCAGCAGACATGAAGATCGAAGGGGGGGTCATCGTTATTTAATCAATAAATTATTAAAAAAAACATCTAAATCTATCAAATATGCATTGAAATTTAAAAAATTAATCAACAGTCCATAAATTATTCATTCCAATAAATTTCAGGACTTTTCTGGAAGAAATTAGAGCGCATAAACAATTTAGGGAAAAGTAACAGAAGTTTCTGATAAATAAAAAAAAATTTATCTTATAGTAACACCATAATGGCTGTGAACTTTATATAAATATATGATTTCTATCTTTGAAGAAACTGATATCAAAGTCAATGGCTGTTCATCATTTTGGCATTCCATTGATGAGCGATGGCTAGAAGACATTAAAGAAAATAAAATTTATGAAGGCTCCCTAAGATTGCCAGCCTCAAACTCAATAGGCAAGGAAAGACATTTCGTGCTGACAAAAACTTCAATATACTCAATGAATAAAAAGAACTCTCGGTCTCCTCAGCTGATGTCAAAAATCAATTGGAAGCTTGTTGAGCCTTTTATCGAGCATAACACAGGAGATGAACGTTACGGTTTTAAAATTTTTCAAAATAAAATCTTTCAGGATTTTTATGCAAAAAATTCTGATGACCTAGATTCATGGCTTCACCATCTTTCTTATGTGTCGATAATGACTGATCTTGAAGATGATTATTCAATCATAAGAGAGGTCGGCAAGGGGAGCTTTGCAAACGTATTTCTTTCCCAAGATTTAGATAACGATGAAAAGTATGCTATTAAGGCAATTTCTAAAAGCAAAAGCTTTAAAGACGCTTATAATAGCATTGGGATGATCAATGAAATTGAAGTCATGAGAAAAGTCAAGCATCCTTATATTCTTACACTGCATAAAATATATGAGAGCGAAAACCATGTATATTTGGTTTTAGATTATGTAGAAGGAGGAGAACTATTACAGAGATTAATGACGCATGGAAAAATCCCAGAATCATCTGCAGTCAAATTTTGTGCGAATTTATTGGATGCTCTCGACTATCTGCATTCTATGAATATTATGCATAGGGATATAAAACCAGAAAATATCCTGATGGTAGAGAGAGGTAATGATTTTGAATTTAAAATTTCAGATTTTGGCTTAGCGCTGCAAACTGAAGAAAAGCAAGACTTAAGGTGTGGATCTCCAGGATATGTAGCTCCAGAGATATTGAGGAAGGAGCCTTATGACAAAAGAATTGATGCGTTTAGTGCTGGGATTTTGATGTTTGTGATATTGTCTGGGAGAACACCATTTCCAGGGAAAGATACAAAAGAAATTTTAAGTAGAAATAAAGAGTGCATGATTCACTATCAAAGCAAATATTGGAGTGATGTCTCTATGAAAGCAATCGATTTAATCCAACGCCTTACTGATCCTAACCCAAATTTCAGGATTTCTATAAGTGATGCTAAGCAGCATCCTTGGGTTTCATTTTTATTTACTCAGCTCCCACTTATGTGAGTGAGGAAATTTTTATTCGCTAACGGAGGGGTTTAATTTTTTTTTTAAATTTTATAATAAATTTTATATACAAAAATAAAATTAATTTGTAAAAATTTTTGTTTTAAAATGAGAGCTGTTTAAAATTGTAAAGAATTAGTTAGAGATTTTATTATAATAATTATCGCTTATATATCAAAATATTTTTTTCATAAAAATTTTTATATTAAAAAATTTATTGCCGCTCACGAATGGTGGTTTTGACCAAAAATAGAGATTATTATAATAGTTTTGTTCGTACACAGAGTGCGTGAGGTAGAAACAAAAAAAATCAGCAATTTCCGAAACAACAGGAAGGACAGCTAAGAGAAAGATATGCTGCCCCAAATAGTGAAAATTCAAGTATGATTAAAGTAAGCCATAGAGTTCATAATGATAAAAGAAGGGAACAAGGAACTGCTACAGAAAGAAGTGGACGAACTGCACAGAGTTTGTTTGAAGTAGCAATAAACAAGCATAAAAAAATAGTTTCTCCTTCAATCAGAGCTAAGATGGCAATTTCTGTTGGGCAATAAAACTTTTTGATTATCAATAATATATTTATAGGCAAATAAAGTTCTAGCTCTTCTCTCCATAAGTGAGCAAACATTTTATACGAAAATTAAAAAATCTCAATTCGAAAATAATGGAACGTCAAAAATTTAATTTTAATTTGTATGTTTTATGTTTTAAAATGTTTAAAATCAACATAATTGTCTAGAGATTTATTATAATAATTATCACTTACATACAAAAATATTTTTTTCACGAAAAATTTTTATATAAATCTTTGTTTCCTTACGGAGGATGGTTTTTTACCTAAGATTAGGGATGCCTCCAATGGCGATGTTGATAACGGAGGGGGGGAGTTAATTAATAAGCATAAAAAAATTTATTAAAAAATTTTTATCTGAATTTATTATAAGGAGTGTTTTTAAATTGAATTTATGGCTTGTGATGCGAAAATATAAAATGCCTTAAAGAAAGCCTGCTAATTCCCTGCCTCTCGGCGAGCGAACAAAAATTTTTTTTTAAAAAGTTATATAAAATTTTTATCTTAAATTTTTTTTTCAATTTTCGCAAAAATTTAGAAGTAAAAATTAATTTAATTTGCAAAATTTATGTTTTAAAAAAAGTTTAACAGAATTAGCTAGTGAGTTCATTATATTAATTACCACTTATATATCAAAATGTTTTTTCAAAAATTTTTGTTCGCTTACGGGAGGTGGGTTTTAACTGAAAAATAGATATTTTTCCTGTGTTTTGTTCTCTCACGGAGGTAGAGAAAAGATTAAATAGTTAAATATTATTTAAAGAATTAAAACACATTGATTAATTGTCTTCTTTAGATTCTAGCAGCTTTCAGCTAACTTTTTGTTCTTAATCCAAATATTTTTATACAGCTTAATAACTATATCTTGCTGATGAGGGAAAAAGTGTAAATATGAGCAAGTAGAAAGTATTGGTCCGAATATTGAGTGTGATATAATATGATTTTCTCCATTTTTTATAGCTTCACATATTAAAATTTTCACATGCCAAATACCATAAGCAACTTAGGTAGCAATATTATATAGGGACCTCAGAATTTTAAGCTAATCTTAGAATCAACTTCAAAATTGCTATATCATATAATTTCTCATGGCCATCTGCCTGCTATTAACTTTTTCTAGATTATGATTATATCATTCATATTAAACAAAATATAATAATCCGTAAATGCATTGGGAAAATTATTAAAAGGTGAGTTCCCATTTAACTAATTACAAAAATCATTCATTCTTTATTCTTTATTGAATCAAAGAAATGCGTTTTTTATGAGAATATCAAGTCAAATACCATTTTACTTACTCTATCACAGTTAAAGAATATCTCATGAGTTTTCTTAACTTAATAGTGAATTAAATCTTATTGTAATAAAATTGATATATCATTAAACACTTTTTATGTCTAGCAAACATGAAAAAAGAGAGTTTGAATTATTTAACTGATAGCCTAATTAATAAAAAATAAATAAATCTTATTTTACAATTAATATTCTTCTTTACATAATTCTCAAGTTTTATCAAAAACCTAAAATATTGTGAATTCAACTTCTTATTGTTGAAAAAATGGGTAAAAAGCCTTGGGTAATCGGTGGCATTTTGAGTTGCTGCGGGATTATTATGATCCTTATAGGTGCAGTCATCCCTATCTTCGTCAAAAGTGCAATGCGAGAAGGAATCATAGCTGGGACTGTGCTTACCGACGAAAGTGAGTGAAAACTATGAGGCCAAATTCCAGGAAAAACCAAAGATATCATCATTCACGAATATCATTTCTACAACGTCGAAAACCCTGACGAAGTCCTATATCAAGGTGCAGTTCCTATTATTACTGATATGAATGGTTACACATATCAAGAATTCGATGATTTTATCATGAAGGAGCATACAGATTACAAAGGAACTGATAAGGCCTGGATTCATTATTTCCTCTATATGAGAGTCGACAACTCCCCTCATTGCGTATGGAGAAATAACACTCATCCTAGTGACAAAATAATGCAGATAAGCTTAGGATCTCTGGGTGCATGGTATGGAATGAAAACAACTCCTCCAGAGTCTTTAGCATTAGCTGCTATTTTTCAGCTGGTAGAAGGGCTTAATACAGCACTTGCCCTAGGAGCTTATACTCAAGGTGTTGCCTCATTGTTCCCTTCTTATAATGGTGCTCAGAATTATATATTCAAGCCAGCAGGAATCAGCCCTGAAGTCGGAAAACAGATATGGGAAGATAAATACTTTGGAATGGGAAATTGGGTTACTATGCAGACCTGGGTGATGGCTTTACAAGAAAACATGGTCGATGGTTATGTTATGTTATGTTAAGATAAATGTTTAAAGTCACTACTTCCAGTAGGGTGTTGGCACAAGCGAATTGGGTGGACTTCCACCTCTGGTACCTCTGAGCCCGGGCCGAAACCCCGGTTTCTCGGTAGTGGGTTGCCCTATTTGTGTCCGAAGACCCTTACTGGGCACCACCATTTCCAACTCAGTCCCTTCGCCCGTCTAAGGCCAACTGTACCTACCCTGGCCGGTGTCGCCACATTAAAGGGCCCTTTAAACCGGAGGGACCGCCGTCTTGCAAGTCTAGCCTGCCTCCCCTTTTACCAGGTCATCCCTGAATAAAAACTCAACAACTTCCGTCGTTCGGGCAAAGCCATCGAAAGCAGCCTGAGCAGGGAAATCACCCTGCTCCATTTCGGGCACCCACTGGCTAGGGCGCTGCTGGAAAAAGGATTCACGATTAGCTGCCCAAGGATCTGGCCACAAATCAGCGGGTCTGTGCGCTCGCCCATCGCCTCTGGGCTCCAGATATTGCTGGGCTAAATCATTCCTCCTAAAAACCATGCCCGGATATACATGGGTTACCGTCACACGAGAGGACGGGTCGGACGTCATACGCCATTTTATGTATATATGGTCGATGGTAATTTTGTGTTCCCACAAGTCATCAGTGGCTCTTTATATGTGCTATGGCAAAACTTCGGACTGTCCCAAAGCCAATTTACCTCAATTTTCAGTGGACAATGGAAAAAAGTGTATGATATCGTGGTCATCGCATTTTATAATAACTATCTCTGTGAGTCCATAGTAGAAAATGGCTATGTATGTGACCCTGCTTATCTTGGAGCTTTACAATGGACAAACTCATTGGTCACTATGGAGCCACCTCTAGGCGCTCCATCTCAAGGGCCTTCTATTGTATCCGCAAACAGCTCCACTTTTGGTTTCCCAGAAATCAGCTATTTTATGAACTATACAGGCACTTATGATAAATACCCTGATGTCAGCTTTACAGTTGATGACTATTTCCAGCTGTTTTATTATGACAGAATTACTGGGTGGCCGAAATGGAGCAATTATACGCTGCTAGACGTCGGGCATATGAGCCTTTTCTTTGCAGAAGGAAGAGCTGGGAACTTTGAACAGATGAGAAAAGATTTTAATCTGAAGTCAGTAGACCATGCCAGAGTTTTGTGGGACTATATCAATGAAATTGTATCTTTAACAGCTTTACAAGGAAGAACTGATCAGTCTATTTATAATGTGGAAAATCGAGGAATAGCGTCAGAAGCTTCATTAGGTACTGTTGGAAGCCAGGCGATCTATCAGCTTTGGACATCTTTAGGTGAACTATCTTTATTAATTAATAAAAATACTTTTCTTTTTTTTTATTAAAAATAATAGGAATTTAGTATAGAAGGATTAATTCCGCTTAATATTACATGTGCTTATGACTATATTAGACTGACTTTTGAATTGAATCTCACTTGTGAAATAATTGTAGGAGATGCTCTTCCAGGACAAGAAAATATTTGCAATATCCCAATGCTTCAGTGGGGTAATTATACAGCAACTATGGCATTATGGATCTTGCCATACTGGAACGGAATTAGTTCAGAGTATGGAATGCTGTTCCAACAAATCACTGGTCTTTCTGATGAAGATATGGAAGCACTATACTCTCCAGAAAGCCCACTTGTTACAAACCTCACTTCTTTAGATTTTGAATTAAAAGACCATTATAACTGCACAAATTCAGGATTAAGGTGCTTTGGGTGGGATTTGGCTGCTAAGCAATGGGGAAGAGGCTATGTCACTGAAAACCTCCCTTCATGTTTCAAAATTTTAGAACTGTATAACACCTCATCAATTTATTACCTTTTCAAAGATGTCCAACAAGTCCTAGTCACATACCCAGAATACTATGCTTATGTTTTGAAATGGAATTTAACCTCAGAAGGTCTTACAGACGAACAAATCGACAATGCTCTTACTTTTGACAAACTTCTAGGAGCTTCGACTTTACAAAATTTCTTTATTATGGATTTTGAACAAAATTATACAGGAATGAAAGAAGTTTATATGATGGATAATCCTCTGGATTTATTGAACTGGGTCAGATACTGCATTGATAAATTCGCTTTTGGAGGGATGTTTAGAGCTAAAACAGTGGAAACTATATTATGGACTGACTATGATCCATTTTTAGCACAAATTAAAGCTACAAATCCATTACTGGGAGGACAGCCTAATGTAAACCCAGCTCAAATTCAGCTTGGACAGAATGTAACAAGAGAGCAGTTTGAGTATATCCCATTGAAATATAGACATGCATTAAATACAGGAGCTAGAGATCTTGATGAAGTAAGATGGTATAGACTTTATACACTTAAAAAATGTCATGGCTAGTCAACCTGCCTTCTTAGTACATTTAGCAAGATAGGAGTCTGGGGACCTTGTAAAATGGAGAGGGGCATGTGGTGAGAGTGTCTGGCTGGGGTTTACTTGGCCTGGCGGAGAGCGCAATGTTGAGCAGACTGACCGCAGGCTCACATTCAGGGCAAAGTTTTACCTCGAGGAAGAATGGACTTGGAAGTTTTGAAAGGGATGGTCCAAAAAGCTAGAGGGTGTTCGCTTAGCCAATCGGACATTTTTCCAATGCGATACTAGGAGCTGCGTCCTAGGCTACAAATTTCATTTGAGGCGATAGCCTGACTAGAAAATTGACTTTGAATTTTCTAAAAAAAGGCAACTCCATTGAATTATGGCACGGTGATCCAGTATCTTTACCTCCAGCTGCTAGTACAAGTACCATCTGGAGAGTGCAACACATGCCTTTAGGCCATGCAATCTGACCTGAAAGCAAGAGAGTTAGCTAATCAAGCCGCTTTTCAAGCTGACATGGCTGGCTGGGAGCTACTTGATAATAATCAAAATTAAGTTAAGGTATAGACTTTATAATGGAGCACCATTTATTAATATTCTGCAGGAGCAGTACTTTGGAGAAAGCCCTTGGGGATCGCTAATTGAATGGGTTAACTTTAACCCATGGGCTGAGTATGTGCAAGTTAGTGGAGGAGATACATGGAATTTCCAGCCATTTTTATATATCATTATTATGAATATTGAAAATAGCAATTAATAATTTTTTTAAAATTTATCTATGAAAAAGTGAATATACTCACTTAAATAAATTTTGTTTTTTAATATAAAATGTCAATATTTTATAAGTTCTGAAATAAATTCCAAGCTGAGAAGATTTATTGCCTTAAAACCAATTTAACGCAGCATAGATAAAGACTCAGACATCATTTTCTTCTTAGACCAAGCTTCTTTAGTTTTCAACGGCAAATACATTGACGAAACTGAATACAGAGGCTTTACATGCCTCAGGTTCGCTCTTGACAACTCTGCCTTACAAAACGCCACTCAGAACCCTGCACAAGCAGTTTTCTACCAATTTGCCCCATCTGGCCTGGTAAACCAAACCAGTGTTATGGGAGCTCCCCTATTCGGAAGCAAGCCTTATTTCTTAGACTGTGATCCAATGCTTCAAAATTTAGTAGTCTATACAAGGCCAGAATTAAACGTCCCATCTGAGTACGAGTCTTATCTAAATTAAGATTAAGATTAAGATTAAGATTACGCTGGGTATTTAAGGTCCCTACTACGTCTGAGGTCGCATGCCACGGTTTCCCGTGTGGTGGCAGAGCGTTCACCAAGCCCGGGCCGAAACCCCCGGTTTCTCGGTAGAGGTATTGTCAAGGGCCGTCTCATACCGGCTTTGCTGACCACCTCCATTTCCAACTTGGATCGTCGCCTAAGTTTACGCCAACTCCGCTTCGTCGTCCGCCAGATCTGCCCATTGAAGGGCACCTTTTTAAACTGGGAGAGACCCCGTTTTGTCGTCTAACTCGCCTCCCCTCTTTTCCGGTCATCCCGAGAAAGAACTCAACAGCTTTCGCCATTCGGGGCGAGCCACAAAAGCAGCTTAGGCAGGTAAGTCGCCCTGCCTCATTTCGGGCACTCACTGGGCTTAGCGCTGCTGGCAAAAAGAAGTCACGAGTGGCTGCCCATGGGTCTGGTGGCAAAAACAGCGGTTCTCGCGCTTAGGCCTCTCGCTTCAAGGTCCCAGACGTTGTTGGGCTAACTCTTGGCTCCAAAAACCATGCCCGGATATACATGGGTTACCACCACTGAGAGGGTGGGTCGGTCGCCATACGCCATTTTATGTATATACGAGTCTTATCTAAATTTAGAGCCTAACACTGGAGCTTGCTTTTATATTACAGAGCAGCTTCAATATAACGCTGAACTTAAGCCTGATGCCTTATACCCAAATCTAGGTAAGCTAAGCCTAGAAAAATATGGATATAAAACCTATATGCCTATGTTCTTTATGATGAAAACTGAAGAGTATGATCAACATATCGTTGATAAATACTGGGGAGATATAAAGATGGCACTGCTTATTATTCAGTTATGTGAAATTATTGGATATACAACTGGAGCACTCTTATTTGCAGCTTTAGGACTTTATGTGTTGAAATTGAAAATCAATGCGAGAAGGAGAGAAAAAGGATGGACACCTGATAATGGAGAAATGAATGGAAAGCTGATTGAAAGCAATGGAAAAACAGAACATAAAGATCCTTGGATGAATGGCAAGCTGATTGAAGAATAAGATTTATATCATTAATGGGTTTTAAACAATTATTATTTGTTAAAAATTAGCTGGTTGATATTAGGTTTTTCTAAAAAATAAATGCATAAGTATTCTCTTTTTAATTAGAAAATGTTAAAAAATGCTTCTTAGAAGAATATGGAGGAGAATAAGCACAGACGACCCCTATTCAAAAATTAAGCCTAAAGAAGCTGGCCGAGAATTCTACTTAAACCCTAAAAAGTTTTACAGGTACACTCCTAAAGAAGAAATTATTTTTGACAATGGTAAAGCCTTAGTGTACCAAAACAAATCTCATACCTTGAAAATCTTTTATCTTCCCAAACTAGTCTTTATCTTTTTATTTGGTTCGAGCTTTTGATCCCTTAACAAATTTCTAAATGCTATAGCTTGGTCATCCTTATGGATCGCTCAAGCTTCTAACTCCACATGCCAAGTGGAGAGCTTGCTTATTCAACTCCATTTGGCAAGTCAACTCTAAATCTGCGATATCTTGTAGATTTGCCAAATTGAGAGGCAGCTCGTCAACTGGATTGAATAAGAAAAATTTTCAGTTAATAAGTGGAGCTGAAAGCTTGAGAAATCCATAAGGATGCTCAAGCCATACTCCTATATTCGCCCTACTTACGATGCCAATAATTTTAGCTGGCCTACATGCAGCTATCGGCACAAAAGTCCTTACACATATGTATTTACACCTAGACGGAAAACATATCGACTTACGATATCGACTTTTCCCTTTTATTTCCTGAACAAAAACATACAAAATCACTGATTTTGCAGGCCAAAAATCAAATTACTTACATATTGTGTATACCCTAAATCCTGTCCCTAAAAATTTGCTTGGCTTTATGGAGTGTAATCAATCAGAACTTTTCCCTTTATATTGGCAAGAAAATGATTGGAAATTTTTTATTCTTGCAAGGAAGCCTTCAGTTATAAATGAAGACCTATTCCCAAATATAACAAATGGAGTCGAAATAGACACAAGCAAATTTAGAGGAAGAGTCAATTTTTTTAGAGAAAGATATGTAGAGATAAATCCTGAAGATAATTAATAGCATTTCTTATAGGAAAATAAGAAATTATAATATCTTTTATATTAATAGAACCATGAATTCTTTACAATGCATTGATTACTCTTTTCTAAGAGCTCCTTATGAAGAGCTAAACAGCAAGTTCCACACCACTAAAAGAATGCTGGAAAAAGAAATTTCATTTGCCGCTTCCCATTTGAAGCTTATGAAAAAATATTCAGAAAATCTTGATAGGCAGCAAGCCAAAGCTACAATCCAAGGCTTAATTAATAGACTTAGACTCCTAAGGTCTTCACTTGAAACCTGCTATGAAGAAGAAGACAATTTAATTGAAATAATTGACGCAAGAACCAAACACCTGAGCACCAAAGAAAATAACGCAATTTCTAGGTTTTACAGGCTTGTAGAAGAACATTATGCCCGACAAGGCGATTTAGACTTTGTCACTAAGCTCAGTGAGAAAACCCACACCAGCCAATTTGTTGATATAGAAATATTTCAAAAAGGAAAAAAAATAATCGCAGACCTCCAAGCTTGTGACGTGAATTCTGCTTTAGACTGATGTGATGCCCACAAGTCAAAGCTGAGAAAGCTAAAATCGTCTTTAGAATTTGAGCTGAAGCTTCAAAAGTTCGTAGAAATGATAAGAGATAGAAATATGATGGGGGCAATTAATTATGCAAGAAGCCATTTTGGACAATATCCAGACAATCAGAGCAGAATTCAGCATGCCATGATGCTGCTGGCTGTGGTGCATAGAAAAGATGATTTTTCTGAATATTGTAAACTTCTAGATGACAGTCGATGGAAAGAATTAATTGCACTTTTTTGGAAAGAAATGCTAAAAGTCTATAATATGACTACAGAGTCGCCTTTTGCGATTGCATTGAGAGCTGGGCTGGCTGCTTTAAAAACTCCTCTTTGTGCCAAGATTGAGTGCAGATCTGAGGAATGTCCTATGTGCCAGCCGAATTTTCAAGCGCTGGTTTCTGATATCCCACATGCTCATCATTCACATTCGTCGTTGTTGTGTAGACTTATGGGGACTGTAATGAGTGAAAATAATCTGCCAGTGGTGCTTCCCAATGGGCAGGCGTTTAGTGAACAAGGGATAAAAAAGATAATAAAAGATGGAAAAGTTATTTGTCCAATATCTGGGAAACAGTTCAGTGGGCAGCAGATATCGAAAATATATGTTGTTTAAGATAAATTTATTATTAGAATTATATATAAAAATAGTTTAAATGTGTTATAAATAATTATAGCCTAGGATTGTGTAAGATAAAGTGAAAATCAAGCTATTTAAATATAACTAGTCATTATAAAGTATGTATTTTTTCAACACTCACCAGCTTACACATGCTTAGCCCCAGCACAATTACCAACCCTACGAGCCCTGAAAAAATCCACACAAATCTATACTCATTCTGTATTTTCTGGTTAACCAATTTTGTTTTTTCATGCGATCTATTAGCAGCTTCTTCCAGCTGTTTTCCAGTCCCTAATGTATTGCTTGCTTGTTCATCCACAGTATTCTGTATCGGTTTCAAAATCCCTTGTCCTGACACATAATCCTGCAAGCTTTTCACCTTATCCAAAATCCCTGCAGCCTTTGCCCCTACTTTCGTTATATATTCATTGCTATCTATTGCAAAAGTATCATCTACATGCAAAACCATAATAGCGTCCCTCACTTTTTCAATCCTTTGCTTCAGATTTTTCGCCATCAGCTTCATATCTCCAATTTTATTTTGTATATCAATCAATTCTTGGCTTTCAGAAATATTTTGTATCCTTTGTGTAAGCTCAATAGTTTCATTTTTCACCACAGAAAGCTCAGTTTTGAAGTTTTCCTGCATCATTTTTAAAGCTTCGAATTGATTTCCTTCTTGTATTGGGATTTCTGACCTGATGCTTGAAATATCAAATACAGCGAATGAGTTTTCTCCTGTGTTTGCGCTGATTCCTATATAGGGTTTTGACATTAAAGAAGTGGCGAAGTCTATGCATTTGGTTTTGGGTTTGCCTTTTTGCCAGGTATAGACTGTAAGTTTGTTAGGGATACTTTCTATTTCCATATGGAATTCACCTTTCATTTGAGTTGTGCAGGAAGGAAGATTACTGACAAAAGTGAGGTTTAGAGGGGGATTTTCGTTGTATTGGTAACCCATTATTTCTTGCTTGCCTGGATTTATGACGACGGCGATGCCTTTGAAATCTTCGGTGACTCCATAAATGATTCCAGTTGCAAAAAGCTCAGGGTTGTGTTGGGAAAACCAGAATGTAGCGCCAATATCTTCTACTATGCTGGCGCCAGAGATGAACATTTCTATTTCAATCACAACTAGACTGTCTTCTAATGTAGTTTTTGAGATAAGTGCTCCGACTTTATGCTGCAGCGGAGGTGCTAATCTTACATATTTCTTCAATGGGACCGCAGATCCAATCGAGTCAAACTTATGTGCATGCTCCGGAATAAGTGGACTTTTAAAGCTATGCGAATCCAGCTCTGCATCTGCAAAGAAGAATAGCAAAAAAAACCTTAAAATCATTATAAAAATATTAAGATGAATTTGTTAAATATAAGTAAATCCAGAGAAGGAATACTGTTAGCACCCAAACCTTTGACATTTTTGAGAAAAATCCTTCGCCTCTGGCATTTGCTATACTATGTAAGGTTCCATCACTTCCTGCAGCAATTAAATTTCTGCTTCCCCATGTGAAATTTAATGCGGTTACTTTGGCGCTCATATCTTCTTTATCTTGCTCGAATTCCATTGTTCTTGTATTCATTATTTTAACAAAGCCATCTTCTGTCCCGATTCCTAAATAGAAGCCGTCGAGGGAAAGAGTAAATGCGGTTATTGGTGAGGCGTGTAGCCTGTGCGTAACGATAGGTTTATAGTTTTCAAGGACATCCCAAAGGGTTATGTAGGAATTTTGGTCAGCAGCCACAGTATATAAAAAGTCACCACTTCTTGAAAATTTTACGCTTAAAATGGGTATTTCCTATTAATTAATATAATTTTAATCTAATTTAATAGCAAAAGCTGTTTTAATGATGAATTAGGCTATAAATATAGAAAATAAGCTTAAATTATTTATACAACAGTATAAGTTCTTAGTATCATCATGTTCTGCAAAGTAAAGAGTTTTCACAAGCTGCTGGTTTTGGAAATTATAGATTTTACAAGAGCAATCTCTTGATGAAGACGCCAACAAATTATTTTCTGACGAGAAGTCAATACAATTCACAGAGGCTTCATGGGCTGCACATTCCCATAATTTACTAATAGACCCTTCATTGAAACCCCAAAACTGGATAATTCCGTCAGCTCTCCCAGTTGCCACAATTTCATTTGTGTAAGAAATAGCTGAGGTTGTAAGTGATATGCCAGGCCTCCATCTACAAATTTCGTTGATATTGCTAATTAGTGGTTACTTTACTTCGTCTATTTTATAAACGACAACTGAATCTATGGAAGTTGCAATAATTATGTCTTTCTTAGTGCCCTGCTCAAGGGAAATATATGGGGATGGAGAGTTAAGGGTTGATAATAAAGGCAAATCGAGCTCTCTTAGAGAGTGTAAGGCCAAAGCTTCAGGGTAGCTTAGCAAAAGCTTGTCCTTGTAGCATAAAGCGGAGAGAACACTGGTAGTAGTTTGGTTTCTCTTGGGGCTGGCCATTAAATTATGGACAAATCTAATTAATACTTCCTCATACTCAATTCAATTTTGAAGTTTCCCTTTAGATTATAAGCATTGAAATGAGGCTAAGCTTTATTAAACCTATACTTTCAAGTCATTTTAAATAATTTAATTTTCAATATGAATATTTCACCTATTTATTTTTTAAAGTGCTCAGCTATTATATGAGCTATGGGGAATATTATATAATAATCAAATATTTAATTTAAACATTTTGAAATGCTTTATGGATATAATTCACGGCTATATTTAAATTAATGGAAATTCTTTTTAAAAATGGCAATATTTTAGCTTCTTAAAATTTTAGCCTTTTTAATTTTGTTCTGTCTTTTAAAATTAAAACCCGAAGAATTTTTTAAAAATAAATGGAACTTGATAAGAAGACTGTGATTTATGTAGGAGGAGCACTTATTATATCAGCTGCAATCTATTACTTGTATTGCAAAACATTAAAAAAGACAAATCATGACATCAACCAGAATCAGCCAAAATTGGATTGTAAATTCAGAGAATTAGAAATTTTAATTTCTGAAGGAACCAATGAAGGTTGGAACGAAATCAAGAAAACTGACACTTTCAACGTTTACAAAAAAGACACTGGAGACTCTCCAATTGCTATAATTAAAGCCTTCATTATCATAAAAGACACCTCTATTGAAGATGTCCATTTTGCTATATGAGATGGCGATTTCCGAAGATCATGGGATTCTGTCGCACAAGATTTTCAAGTAATTGAAAAAGTTGATGATCAGAACGACGTCATTTATTTTTATGCAAAAAGTCCTGTACCTTGGCTTGTATCAAATAGAGAATTTGTCCAGCACAGAATGTATAGAAGAGATGGAGATAAAATTATGATTGTTTATTGGTCAGCTGACAGACCTGACAGAGCTGTCCCTGAAAATTGGGTGAGGGCAAATACTATTATTTCAGGATATATTATTGAAAAAGGTGAAAATCCAGGAGAAGTCAAGGTGAATTTTATTACACAAAATGATGTAAAAGGAAGCATTCCTCCACAACTTATAAATACTTATGCTCCAATTAAGGCACTTAATTGGGTTAAAGAGCTAGGAAAAGCGTGCAAGCTACTACAAAATAATCGTCATAAAGGTATAATTCATGAAAGTTAAGCTGATATAAATTGCTTGACTAATATTGTTTGAATTTTTTTAAATATTGATTTTACTGAAATTATTTCTTAAATGCCTTGATATAAGCATAAGCTCTGATATAACCCTCCATATCATTAAATGATTTATCATAATTTCCTCTTCGGCCTGATGATCATGCCAGCATATTTTGCAAAATTTTTCTAAGCCATTCAGGTGTGATATACTTCAATTCTTTAAATAATTCATTATTCCAATCTGCAACAGATTCAAGCTTTACCATTTGCAAAAATACTAGACCAAGAGAAAAAATATCTGATTTTTCAATATCGTCAGTGCTGGATAATTCTTTATTGATGTTTTCTGGAGAAGAATATCCTTCCTCGTTTTGGATGAAATTATTAAAATTTTCAGGAAATATGCATTCGCTATATATCTTTGCTTTTGGAATAAAAAATCCTGTTATTTTTATACATGATTGCGTGCTAAATACTATATTATGGGGCTTTATATTGCGATGACAGTTAAAATTTTTTTTTAAGGCAATCAGTCCTTGAAAAATCATTAGTGCATAATGTAGTAGCTCATCTTCTTTATATTTAGTTTTATCTTTGCTTTTTTTTGAAATTTCTGACATTAAGCTCTCATTGCATCATTCCGTAACATTAGAAAATTCACAGCAGCTTTTATATGAATAAATTGACCCATAATATTCTATAAACGTGGGATGGTTTCCATTTAATTTTTTTAGTACTTTAGCTTCTTTAACATATGGAAGTAAATTTGTGAAATCTTGGCTTCGATAAGTTCTTATAAATACTAACTTTTCTTTGTAAAGACCTTTTAAAAATTCAACTGTAACTTCATTTGACAAATGCTTTAAATAGTTGGGTTTTAGGCAAAATTCAATTGAATGTGTGCTGATCATTTCGAGATTTTTTAAGTACTTATCAGCATCCATATTGGCATTTATTTGACTTTTATTAATAAATATTTGCATAGGTAAGGAATATTCATTTTTATTTTCCTCATAATTCATAAAAATATCTAAACATTCTTTAAAATTGGCTCTTTCAGCACTATTTATAGCAAGCATCTTTCTTAATAAATTTGCTACATTTTTTGGTTTAAAAGTTGATACATAGTAATCAATTTCGCTCCAAAATGGAGGAGTGTTTAGCTCAGCAATTGGAAGCAAAGAGTACATCTGCAAAAATATTAAGCCTAAAGAATACACATCACATTTTTCTAAATTATCTAAGCTTTTTATCTCAGAATACCCTTCTTCATTAAGTTCAAAGATCTCAGGTGCTCTATAGTTGTCTTTTCATAAACAATATGTATTATTTGAATATAATGTAGGTCTATTTATTTCAAATCTTTCTGACAAACTAAATTCGGCAATTTTAAGCATTCGATTTCCAGTTATTAATATATTATGAGGTTTAACATTTTTGTGCGCGATTCCTACTGATTCCAAAATAGAAAACGCATCTAATAAGCTAACAACTATTTTTTGGTATTCTTGGTATGTATATTTTTGATTTTGCCTGCTATGCTTGATAATATCATTCATAAGTGTGCTATCAAATGCTTCACTAACAATAGCAAAAGCAGAGTAGCATTGTGAATTTTGAAAATCTGAAAGCTCCTTATACCAGCCTTTGTATTTCAAAAAGCATTGTCATTTTTCTGAAAGGTAGCTGAAGAGCTTGCATTCTTTTATAAATAAATTTGATGGACTATTGGACTTTTGATGGTAGAGCTTAATGCAAATTGGTATGGAATTGTCTAGAAATCCTTTGTAAGCTGAAATAAATGACCCTTCTTCATTGCATTCAGAGAGTCTGCATATCGACCCTCTTTTTTTAATTCTTTCAATTGATAACTCTGTTTTTTCGAAATCGTCCATCTGAGAGACTCCAAAACTGTTCGATTGGTTTCTCTCATCAATGCCCCTTTTAAAGAAGCTGGCCTTTATATCATTAAGTTTAGGTCTAATGTCCTGAGCTATCACATGCACTTCGTCAATAGAATCGATAAGGCCTATAAGCTGCTCTGCAATTTTTTCAAAGCTTTCTAAATCATCATTTGTAATAAGATCTTGATCAAGCAAAGCCTTTTCGGATTTAATTCATATTAAAGTGGAATCTACAACTTCTTTGGTTAGCCATTCGAAACCGCACTCTATTTCTGGATTAAATGATAATAGAAAGTTTAGATTTTCTATTAGCTTATCTTTATCTTCTGTTTGTGCGATCTGCTTTAATCTAGTGTCAATTTGAGTTTTAAGATTATTTCAGTCGGAATTTTCATTATGTTCCTTGATTACATTTTTTAATTTGTATCAGCTTATTGCATCCTCTAGCTTCACACAAAATTTCATATCTTCCTTGATCTTGTCTAATAATCTCGATAGCAAATTTTGACTTGTAAATTCAGAAATGCACCTTAGATGCACAGCAGCTTTCAGGGCTGATTGACACGAATTAAAAGTCAGAGGTCTTTGTATAAGGATTTTAGAGATTTTGCAGGATTTGCACAGAATGATCATCAAAGTTTGTAAATTTTGATTATCTGCACAATTTTCTTTTATATTTTGTCTACTTTCTTTAAGATGGTCTAAATTAAGTGATTCCAATTCCTTTATAAGTTTATCTATATAACTGCTTTTTTTAAATGTGTTTCTGGTGTATTTTGTTATTTCATATCACAAAAATACTTGGTTGATCATTTTATTTTTAATTCTATAAATTTTGATTAATTAATTTTATAACACTGCTATAGCAAATCTTTATTTTCTAAACTGGTTTAAAATAAACAATTAATTGGTTCCTACTTTTTGTATAAAGTCCTGAAAGCTTTAATCTATGAAATATATCTTGACACTTCTAATTCTTTATGCGAAAGAAAATTAAGATGAAATACAAACCCAAAAGAAGAAATCGCTATGGCTATTTTCAAGCATAAAGATTTATCCATTTCAATAGGATTAAAATAATGTGTCCTATTGTTGAAAAGTTCTAAAACGCATGAATAGTTGATCTCAGAATTTTAAATAATGTTAAGCAAATTATTCAATTCTAGATATATTATCAGCAGCTTAACAATTAAAAATACCTTTAATAAAAGCATTTAGCTTCTAAAGATTTCTAAACTTTCTTTAAAACTAGCCCTTTCGTTACTATTTTCAGCAAGCATTTTCTTCAATAAATTTGCTACGTTCCCTGGCTTAAAAGATGATACATAGCAGTCTATTTCACTCCAAAACGGCTCTGTGTTTAGCTCAGCTATCGGCAGTAGAGAGTACATCTGCAAAAAAACTAATCCCAGCGAATATACATCACATTTTTTAATATCTATGCTTGTTCCATTAGCAATGCCTTTATGAATTTTAATAATTTCTGGAGCTAGATATTCGTCTTTTCATAAATAATCAGCATTGTTTGAGTATAGAGCATGGCTATTCATTAAAAAAGCATCTAAAAAATTGAATTCTACTATTTTTAGCGTTCGATTTTCAGTTATTAGTATATTATCCGGCTTTATATTGTTATGCATTATTCCTCTAGATTCCAACAAAGCAAATGCTTCTAAGAGACAAATAACGATTCTTTGATATTCTTGATATGTATATTTTTGATTTTGGCTACTACAATTAACAATTTCGTCCATTAATGTATAAGTAAATCCTTCTGTAACAATGGCAAAAGCAGGAACATTTGCAGAACCTTTAAATTCTAAAAGCTCATGAAATCAGCCTTCGTATTTCAAAAAACATTGGTTTGTTTCAGACAAATTTCTTATTAGATCTAATTCCTTTAAAAATAAAACTGGATACTCATTGCGGTTATGATAATAGATTTTGACACAGATTGGTATGGATCTGTCTAGCATGCCTTTATAAATTGAAATACTTGATTGCTCTTCTTTAGACTCTGAAGCAGAAGATATTGATTCAGTAAATGTAATTCTATTAAATGCTATCCTATTTTCATCAATATCTTTAGGAAATGTGCTACCACTATTCTCCTTATCATTTTCATCAACAGTTTTTAACTGAAAATCATGAGTTGTATTATCTAGCTTATCTAAACTTTTTTGTTTTTCCTCTCTTATTGCTGCAATAAACTCTTCAAGCTTTTTGAAATTATTTTCAAACTCAATAAGAGTTTCTTCGTCGCAAAATTTCGCATTTTCTTTCTCAGTTTCAATTCATTCTAATGAGACGCTGACAATAAAATCGATTATTGACTTTAATTCAACTTTTTCTTCTTGATTAAGTTTTATAACAAATTCAAAATTTTCCTTAAGCTTAATTATATCATTTTCTCTTGCAATCGAAAATAATATCTCTTCTACTTGGGTCCTCAGAGACTTTTCCGAAGGACCATTGATATTAGAATTAATTCTTTTTATTATTCTTCAGCAATCTAGAGCATCACTTAGTTTTTTACAATTTTGTATATTTTCTTCGAAGCAATTTATCAATTCCTCTATAGCCTCTTGAACTGCATTTTCAGAATAACAAAGCAGATGAGTTGCAGCTTTAAGAGCTGAAATGCAATGCTTTAAATTCAAATTCCTTTTGTTCAATATTACACAAATTTTACAAGCTTTATAAAGCACTTTGCCATACTCTTGATTGTCTTCAAAAATTGTTTTGCTTTTATCCCATCTGCGATTTAAGGTCTTTATTTTAGCGCCATTTGAAACTTTTAATAAATCTTTTAGATTCGCATTTTGATCCCCAGCTTGTTTTATTATTTTTCATCACAAGTGCTCTTCCTTCATCTTTATTATTCTATAATAATTTAATATAATTGTTTACCCATAAATTTGCTAATTATTTTATCAACGGTATGTACAATCAATGACTATTCATATCTATAATAATATAAAATTATGCTAACTATTATATTAAAATTTTTATCTGTCTGCTATTTACTATTAAAATCTATAAGATAATACTGATTTTATGGATAAAATATTATTTTACTCCTTATACCCAGAGTAATTAAATCAATTTACTTTATAAAATATGTCTTCATGCTTCTCATTCTTTTTGTGCAGGAGAAAGAAAAGCCAAGATTTAAGCTATAGAAAACCATCCAAAAAAAATAAAAGCATTGATCAAAATACTGTAAAGCTTCATTATGATTCAAAAATAAGTACTCTAATGGATCAGCCGCCTAAATTAAGAGCTTCTTTTCCATGCCTAAACTCTTACCATAGCACTTCTATAGCATCTCATCGATCATCAATAGCAGTAAAAAACTCAGCGAAATTTCTCCCATTAATTCAAAGCTCAGAAAGAACAGAGACCTCGAATTGTGAATATACAATTAATACTAACTCACAAAGAATTTCGACAGATTCAGCTATAAATGGAGTTCCACTAGCTCAAAAATCAAGAGCTGCTACTCTTGCCAATATAAATTCAGTAACTTGGTCGAAACGGTATAGTAATGAAAATCCTTTGACTAATTATAATTCGCCTTTTGTATCGAACTCAGCAACACATAAACCAAAAATTGTTCCGACTACGCCAGAAAACTTCTTACTCCCCCCCCCCCCTCCGTGAGCGAACAAAAAAATTTTGTTCGCTCACGGAGGGGGGTTAATTTTTTTTTTTTAAAAAAAATTTATATATAAAATTTTTTATAAAAAATATTTTTTTCGAAATTTAAAAAAATCCTAATTTGCAAAAATTGGGAAGCAAATATTAATTTAATTTGCAAAAATTTATGTTTAAAACGCAATTTGTTTAAAATTAAACACAGAATTAGCTCTAGATTTCATTATACTAATTATCACTTATATATCAAAATTTTTTTCCATTAAAATTTTTTCTATTAAAAAAATTTTTGTTCACTCACGGAGGGTGGGTTTTTGGTCAAAAAATGGCGATTTTTCTAATGGTTTTGTTCGCTCACGGAGGGGGGGGGGGGAGTTAAGAAGAAAACTATTTCCGAAAATTTCGAATAATAATGATGCTCAACTATTTAACCAAAACTCAAATAAACAGTTCAATTTTGATATGAATATTGATGAATTTGATGGTGAAAGCTCTAATAGCTTACTCCCCCCCCCCCTCCGTGAGCGAACAAAACCATTAGAAAAATCGCCATTTTTTGACCAAAAACCCACCCTCCGTGAGTGAACAAAAATATATTTTTAATAGAAAAAATTTTAATAGAAAAAAAAATTTGCTATATAAGTGATAATTAGTATAATGAAATCTAGAGCTAATTCTGTTTAATTTTAAACAAATTGCGTTTTAAAACATAAATTTTGCAAATTAAATTAGTATTTGCTTCCCAATTTTTGCAAATTAGGATTTTTTTTAAATTTCGAAAAAAATATTTTTTTATAAATTTTTATATATAAATTGTTTTAAAAAAAAAAATTAACCCCCCTCCGTGAGTGAACAAAAATTTTTTTTGTTCGCTCACGGAGGGGGGGGGGGAGTTAGTTAATTTATAAATTTTGCTTGTAAATAAATATGCTAATGCTAGCATGCTGTAATGTTTTATTTTTCAATTTTTGAGCTTTATTCAAAATATTCCTAATTGATTATTGTCTATTTAGTTACAACAAACAAAATTTTAGACATTTTATTCTAAGAAGTCAAACTATTTATCAGAGAGAAAATTATTATATTGCTATCATATAAAATACATAAATTTGCTTGTAAAGCAGCATTAGCCTTAAGGATAAACTCTAAAGCTTAGGGAAAATGCAGAAAAAGCTAAAAACGAGAAAAAGATTCAACTTATATATCTCTTATCAAAATTTTAATTAAACTTCTCACCATTTAGCTTATTTTTTCATTTTGATCCAAGTCGATAACAAATTGAGGCTTCTTCACTCCAGCCTTCATATTTCTTAACGTTACAGGGCAATATTCTGCTTTTTTAGCAGAATTTAATATCGGATTATTCCTATTTCCAAAAGAAGGATTTGCCTCCACATCTTTAAATATATGTTCTTTTTTGAAGCTGCTCATACTTATAGACAATGGATCTTTTTGTTTATTTTCTTTTTGCCCTTTCAATAATGAATTTGCCATCGCCACTTTTTCCATTGTAGAATCTAAAGAAGCTGAATTCTCAGTATCATGTGCTATAGGGATTATTTTAAAATCAGATTTTTTATTGCTAAGTGGTGGTTTTGTAGCTGGCGATTCAGGGTTAACTTTAAATAATTCATTTGATGCCTGGGGTTTATAAAAAAATTTATTGGATTGAGGAGAACTAAGTGAGCTTGTTGGTTTTGCTGGCGACATAGCATTTTTGGCTTGGATCTGGTCAATTATTTTGTTTTTATTCATAAGTGATCGATATGATTTTGACTGTGTATCACTAATAGACGTAGACGATACTGAAGATGATCTTTCTGATCTTAATCCTGACTCAAAGCCTTTGATTTTTTCTATGGCAATTTCATATTGATATTTCAAATCTATAAAATTTCTCTCTACCTCCTCACATTTTCTTTTATAAAGTTCTTTTTCTTCTGATATTTTCCGATTGTAGTCGTTGGTTTCTTTAGTTGTAGGCTGTTTTACTGTGGAATCTTCAAAATTGGCAGTCTTGTATATGTTTTTATCTCACTCGTCTTTATAAAATCCTTCACTCTTTATAGTGTCTTCTTGGCTAGAAAAATTCATTTCTGCTTTGATCATTGTGGATTTGGCATCTCGGTATTTTTGCTCAAAAATATCTTTCATTCGTTTTGCGTGCTCAAATTGGATTTTCATATCTGAGATGTCTTCGAATTGGTTTAATTGATTTCTTCTTGTTAAATTCTTTTTAATTGATGGAGATATTTCCCTTTTATTATATTGGCTTTAGCAATATTTTTTCTTGAAAAAGGAAGAAGATAGTAATTGATTTTCTTCTTCAAGAGCTGCATTTCTAGACTTAAGCTGACTTAGCTCTTGATTTGAAATATTAGCGGAATTTCTAACTCCCCCCCTTCTGTGAGTGAACAAAACCATTAGAAAAATCGCTATTTTTTGCCCAAAAACCCACCCTCCATGAGTGAACAAAAATTTTTTTTAATAGAAAAATTTTTTTGATATATTAATGATAATTAGTATAATGAAATCTAGAGCCAATTCTGTTTAATTTTAAACGAATTGCTTTTTAAAACATAAATTTTATAAATTAAATTAATATTTGCTTTCCAATTTTTGCGAATTAGGATTTTTTTAAATTTTGAAAAAAAAATTTTTTATTTAAAAAAAAAAATTAACCCCCCTCCGAGAGTGCAAAATTTTTTTGTTCACTCACGGAGGGGGGAGTAAGTATTTCTTCTTCTTGCTCCTCCAAGCTATATACTCTTTTCTTTAAATATGAAATTTCACTGTCTTTAGCTTGGACAAGTGCTTTTAGTTCAGAAATTTTGACTTCCATCTGGCTTACTTGTGCAACATAAAATTGGTTGCTTCTGGCTAAATTATCAAGCTGTATTTTACCTTGAAAGCCATTTTGATCCTCTTGAGTAAAGCTTTTCATAATTATTTATCTCAAAATTTTATACTAAATTGTCTGAAAACTGTGCATTATTTTCTTCTAAAAAATAAAAAACTGATTTTAATAATAAATTTACTTATCATTTTAAAAAGCATAATTAATTACTAAAAATATTTCGCTATTTCCATTACCAGAGACAGCGGCAGCTTATCAATATTTCCTTGGCATTTATTTTTCTTAGCCATTCTCCATACCCAAATAAAGTTTGCTCTTTTTTTCCACAGAAATTCCGAATAAAATTTCCATGAGCTGTGTCTTTTATTATAAACATGCAAATTTTTATTTTCATCCATCAATCCTATCAAATCCCCTGACATTGCGCACGATGTATTTCTAAAAAATCCATTTCTATACAAATATGGTGCTAAATAAATTTTTTGGTTTTCCATTTCAATCCAATAGCAAAAATTGCTTAAGCATGAAGACTCAGTCCTTCCTCCTACAATCATTAAATTGTTATCAAGTGGAAAGCATCCACAAGCTTCAAGTCCTAATGGAAGTTTAAGCGGAAGTTCTATTGTCTGTTGTGTTGCACACTCATATTGATACACTTTGTCAGTGATAAATTCTTTAGCTCCACCTATAAAATAGATGCTACCATTCATATAGCATTTTCCTGGGAATAAAACTCCATTGATTTTTATATCTGCAATTCTGCATAGTTTGCTTTTAGGAGAAAACCTGTAGCTGACGTTCCCAATTATGTATATTTCTTTATCAGTTGCGACTAATGAATGATAATTGTGAACTTCAAGCTCGTTTAAGTGGATTTTATGGGTCCAAATATTAACACTCCATAAATTTGAATTGTCTAAAATGTATATCTTGTCGTTTAGCAAAGCTAAATCTAATGGAGAAATGATTCCACGCTTGTTGATAGGGATTTCTTTTATAGTTAAACCATTTCTGATATCTTTTGCAGTGATGCATAAGCTTGTTTTTGATATTGCCCAGACACAGTTTTTTAGCTCGTTTAATTCCATTTATTTATAATTTCTATTTTCTATATTTTTTTAAATATTAATTTAATATCAAAATATTTTAGCCTAGCAATATTTCAAATAAAAACAGGCACTAATATTTAATTTTGTGTCTATAAATTCTATACAAAAAGCATATTTAACTTATAGCCCCTTATCTAGATCTCAATGACGGCCTAAACGTGCATTGTTTCACTTCTGCCATTTCCCTCTCCTCTCTTTCCTTTACCAACTTCAACTGTTTTAATTGCTGAGTCATTGTTAACCTCTCATAAATATTCTCTGGTAAATTCCCTCTAGACTTTTCACTTAATTTAATTGACATTTCACTAATTCTTGGTTTTTTCACTTCTTCAGGCTCAGGTTTTGTTTCCCGTTTGAGAATATACGCCTTTTCTTCAATATTCAAATTTTTCAAAAGCTCATTCATTTTTTCAACAAAAGCTGCAAAATCAAGGGTCAGATTTTCTTCTTCAATTTCTTCAAATATTGGTGCCATTATTTCACAAGTTTTATCTTCAAGCGTATCAATAGAAATATTTCCTGATGAGATGCTGCCGTCTTGATCAGAATCTAAAAGCTTAAAAATCCTTTCCAGTTGACTTGTTTTGAATTTTTCGAATATTTTTTGAGAGTTATCACTGGGCCTTCGGCCTGATATAGAAGCTTCTGCAAGTCTTTCAGTTTGCATTCTTAGCTCTTTATCAATATTAGCAGCTTTTACGTCTTTTAGAGAATATAAATGTTCCCAAATAGGAGTGTCTGCAGATCGCTATATAAATCTTACATTGACTTTACTATAGGTTTGAGGCCGGAAAAGCTGTTGACCTGTGCTTTCGTCGTGGGTGACGATTTGGCTTTGTCTGGCAGCTTCCATTTCTTCTTCAAATTTAAGCTTGGAGTTAATTAGCCTTTCGACAAATTCTTCTTTGGTTTCGGTGGTCCTTTGCTTTGCAATGTCAGGTCTAAAACTGAACTGTTTGATGCTATTGATTTCTTGTTCAAGCTTCTTTTCTTTTCGTTTAGAAGCTTGCTGGAATAGCTCTTCGTGGACAGATTTGCTGTAGTCTCTTGATTTTAGCTGCCTCTCCTTTATAGCTGGCACGAATGAGCATTCTTTCATTTGTTCCTCTTCAACTTCTGCTTTAATTTTTTCTTTATGCTCTTCATATTGCTTTCCTTTTTTTATTAAATAATTTTCTAGTTTATCTTCATTTCTAAATAAATTGGCAAAAATAATGAGAAATAAATATAGTCTTTTGGTGTTATTTCTGATCTGCTCCCACGAGCCAAAAATGGGTTTCCACATGGAATTTCTGGATTTTCACGCGTGGAATCCATCTTTGGCTCGTGGAGCCGATCAGAAATTTAAGCAACCGATCATATAATATAGAAGACAAATAAAGGACGAATGCAAATTTTTTATAATAATTAACTTAGATTTAGCTTATACTTCATTTCTAGATGAGGCTACAGATCCTGATGTCTTATTAATTGACGGTGTAAACGTAAACTCTTTGGCGGATTTTTCTTCAATTTCATTTTTTTTATTTTCGATTTTTTGTTTTGCTGTTTCTTTTTGTTTTAGGCCTTTCAAATACAACCATTCCCCATAATTCCTTTTACTAGGATTCTGCTTATTTGTATGCAGCTGACTAGTTGACGCTGAAGAAGCTGTTTTTGGTCTTGCAGTTTTCGATTGTTTTGCTAGTCTTTCATAGATGCTACCGCTTGAGATATGTGGAGCATCATTTGGGGCATTATAATTAAAGTCATCTTTTGCAGCTGCCTTTGGCTTTTTTTTCTTATTATCTCGCTGTTGAATGACTTCTTGTTGACGGGAGCTTGAATATGATCCATAAAAATCTTGGACTTTTCCTGGGTCTTGGAGCTTGGCATTTTTCATAACAGCTTCTTTGTTTTGTTTAATTAAGGACTCTAAGGAATGTTGCATGGATTTGTCAAGAAAATGCTTTTTGGCGAAATCTTGAGCAAGTTGAGAGGGGTCGTCATTTTCGTAAATGATAATGATATCTTGTCGGCCGTCACCGATTTCGACGGTCATTGCCAATAGCTCTTGGTTCTTGACTTCAGACTGACTGTTTTGATCAGGTGCAGGATTTTGATCTTCACAACTGTTTCCTTCTTCTAGCAGCCCCATCCATAAGCGAACACCCATTGGAAAAATTCCTATTTTTTCGGAAAAAAAATAAAAAAATTTTTATTAAATGATAATTATTATACTGAAATCTCTAGTTAATTCTGTTTATTTTAAACAGCTTGCATATTAAAATATAAATTTGACAAATTAAATTAATATTTGCTTTAAAGCTATAGAAATTTTCCCATAGATGGCACTGTTTGCCCTTGATTTGCCCACTGTGAAAATTTTTTGTTCGACCAGTACCATATGGTTTGGCCAAACCAAAAAATTTTCCTAGTGGGCAAATCAAGGGCAAACAGCGCCATCTATGGGAAAATTCTATATTTCGATTTGGGATTTTAAAAAAAAATTATTATAAATTTCCATATAAATATTTTTAAAAATAAACCCGGTAGGCTAACAAAATTTTTATTTGCTCACAGAGGAAGGAGAGTAAGAAGTCTTCTGGTTGCTCCATTATTTAAACAATGAAAATGGTTGGGAATAGTGTTTCCTTACGGAACTGATTAAAAATTGAAAATAAATTTGAATTATTTGTGTTTTGAGGTTGCATGGATGACATTTATGGCGAAGGAGATTAAAAATGCTTTTAAATTTTATCATTATATTAAAATTGGATTAAATATAAACATTTAACTGCACAGAATACAGTAGGTTAATATTTAAAATTATTCCCAAACACTCCTGATAACTTTTTTATCATTCTTTTGCTCTTTTATTTCTCTTTTTGAATCAATAAATTTGATTAACAAAACACTCTCAACCCAAGTTTATACCCAATATATTATTTTTTCATCAAATTAAGAATTTATGCTTCAATTAGCAACCATTTGCATATATGAAAAAATATTATGGATTCTTCTTTAGATTCAGATAAATATAGCCCGAACCTTGCTTTGGATAGGGCTTGTCTGATGTCTCCCGAAGTCAGTTGAGGAGTTGATAAGCCAATGCTCGTTGGTGAAGTCAACTTGCATATGGCAAATCCTCTTTGCTGGTGATATGCCATCTGTGAGCTAACCTTGCCAACAAACCTTGGTTTGTCAACTCCCCATCTTACTTCGGGAGACATCAGACAAGCCTTATCCAAAGCAGAGATCGGGCAATATTCTTCATATATCGAGGAAATTGATCAAAGTCCAACTCGCCGCGTCAATTGACCTCAAAACAGCAACTCAATCCCTGGCCCTTTTCCTATCGAAAGGCAAACTAAAACCCCAACAATTGATCTTAAAAGCCCAGCAGAAGAAGCAGGTAGAATGAGTGCCACTGACTCCCCCCCCTTTAAATTGGAACTATAATTTTTTTCCAATTTAAAGGGGGGTTAAGAAAATTTTTTTTTAAAAAAAAAATCATTATAAAATTTTTTATAAAAAAAAAATTTATATAAAATTTAAAAAAACAAAAAAATTTATCGAATTAGATTAATAAATTTGTTTAATAAAACGCTATTTGCTCTTTATCCTTTAAAACAAAGCAAGATATAACTAAAATTTTATTATTAATTGATATGCCACTATTAATTGGTATCAAAACTATTTACACAAAAATTATTATTTTTATTGATAAAAAAAATTTTTAGAAAATTTATTAATCAGAGTGCTAATTTTGTTTAAATAAGATGTTATTTATACTCTATTCTTTAAAATAAAGCAAGAGATAAGTAAATTTTGATTTTTTGTAAAGAATTCGTATTGAATTTATATCAAAGCTATTTAAATAAAAAATATCATTTTTTTATTAAAAAAAATAAAATGTTTTAAAAACAAAAAAAATTAAAATTTTTTTAAAAATTTACAATTAAGGATAATAAATTTATTTAAATAAGATGCTCTTTATACTCTATTCTTTAAACAAGAGCAGGATATATCTAAATTTTTAATTTTAGTTAAGAAGAAATATTTAAATTATATCAAAACTTTTTACATAAAAATTATGATTTATATAAAATAAATTTTTTATTATAAAATTAAATTTTGTTCCAATTTAAAGGGGGGTTAATTTACCAAAAAAGTGGAAATTTTACCTATATTTTATTCCAATTTAAAGGGGGGGGAGTGAGAGTTTTGTAAGTATGAATATATTTACATCCAGATCTCCAGACCTAAATGAAAGCCCATTTGAGAAAAGAAAAAATACTGAAGATATTTCGATAGAAAATATTTCAGTTCAGCAGCATATCTTTTGTGCGGATTGCAAATGCTCAAGACAAATTGTATGTAGCCTGCTTTAAATTAGTTCTTTGGAAATTGAATATTTGGTAAACTAGTAAATCACAATTATTTAACTTATTTTTTGAAAAAATTATCTCTTCTACAGAATTTTTGAAATTTATTTTGTTTAATTTAATTCTGCTCTAATCGTTTTTATCTGAAGCTTTATCTGATGGCTCTTTTTTCATTTTTCCGTTTTCCCAGACTCCTTTTCTAGCTTTGCCTTTCTCATTATACAAAGTTCCTTGTCCATGTTGCTTGCCATTAAGCCAGTTTCCTTCATATTTTTTGCCATTTGGCCATCCAAAAATGCCCCATCCTTCTTTTTGGTCCATCACATATTGTCCTTCATAATATCTTCCATCAGACCACTTGAAAATGCCTTTGCCATGCATTTTATTGTTTTTCCATTCCCCTTCATATTCTCTATCATTATTCCAGACATATTTTCCTCTCCCTTCGATTTGATTATTTACTTACTTACTTAGTTACATAGTTTTTAAGGTGTCTAGTGCCCACACCCCTTAATGAAAAAGGGTCAAAGCGACAACTAGTGACGTCACCAAGCCATCTTGGAATATGTGGTCAGCCCACACCCAAGCCTTCTATGAGGCTAGTCGCCAGATAAATCGCCGCACATCTCACCCGGCGCGTTGCCGTCGCTCGTCCAGACTCAGCTCCTGCGCGTGTTCCGCCTAAGGGTCATCCTCCCGTGGGGACGTGCTGAGAGGTAAAACTCCGAAATCTTGAGTGCACTGAGGAGTCGTGTGCTTTGGTTATCCCCAAAGTTAAACGACTATTGCTGTGCAGAAGTTCTCGAGAGAAAACCCAACCCCATAAATAAAATTCCATGAGGGAGAGAAAATTGGCAGAGCCAATTTCTCTCGAACCGAATGCCATTTTATTTATGATTTGATTATTTACAAATTCTCCTTCATAATGACTTCCATCAGCCCAAGAGAATTTTCCGAACCCATTTTTCTCTCCATCTTTATATTGTCCTTCATATCTTGACCCATCAGGCCAGCTTTCAATTCCCATTCCTGACTGTTTGCCCATAGCCCATTCGCCTTCATATACATTTTTCATTGCATAAACCATTTTTCCTTTCCCTTGCATTTGGCCTTCAACCCAGTCTCCTTCATATACATCTCCAGATGGGGAAATTCTTCTAGCTTTTCCATGAAGTTTGCCTGATTTCCAATATCCTTCAGAAATAGATCCATCAGTTGCGTATAGTGTCCCTTTCCCATTTTGCAAACCTTCTGAGCTCCATTCGCCTACATAAACGCTTCCATCAGGATTTTTGACTGGGCCTTTTGCAGTTGCTCCAGGAGTGGGGCTATAGTTGAAGTTAAACGGCCCTAGGCTTGATATACTCTGATATACAAATTGTGTGCCGGCTCCACATATGGGAAATTTTTCCATGTGTGGAGCCAAATTCAAAATGTGGAACCATTCAATTGTGTAGACTCAACATCTGAATTTGGCTCCATCTAAGAAAAATTTCCCACATGTGGAGCCTGGTACACAATTTGCGTATCACAGAATATCATATCTTTGGCAAGAGGGCTTATAAGGTGGCTTGGAATTTCGTTCAGTTCTTGGAGACTTGGAGCTTTAGTAGGGGCTGCTTGTTCTTTTGCTGGAGGTTGAGAATTTATGGTAACTTTGGAATTTGCTGCAAAAGATTTCCTAGCGAGATAGCCTCTGCAGGCAGATTGGACTTTAATGGTGTCTATTTTGGATAGAGCTGGCTTAATAGGCTCAGGAGATATTGCTTCTACTTGAACGTTGGCTGTAGTTACAGCTGATGGAGTAGGCGAAGGCAACAATTCTGATTGAAGCTTGTAATTCTTATTAGTAGGAGCAGGGTTGTCTAGAGCTATTCCTCCTTCTTCTTTTTTTGAATGCATACAGTTGCACGAACCCATTTTTGTATAGCTTGGAAATAGTTTATTGACGATTAATTTATTTAAAAATGTTAGCTTGACTTTGAATAGATGCAAGCTAAATGTGAACTTTGGAGATTTGTGAGACCAAGAGATTGAATTTTAGAATACTGAATAAGCTTTATGACAGAAAAAATTAGGGTAAATATTTTTGGTTATGAATTGCTTGGTTTTTAAAAATTTTAGATCAAATCAGTGGAGAAAGCTATATTATGAATAAAGATAAGTAAATTATAAGAGCAATTTTTATAATTTTTATTGTGCATTAATTAAAATTAAGAAAATATTAATAAAATTCGAATTCAATAGATTTTTTGAACTTAATTTTATTATTGAAAGATTTTTTAAATTTAATAAGGCAAACTTATTTAATTGTAGCTTTATTCTTCGAGGTCAAAATAATTAAATTTATATTGAAATTTAAAGCCTTTATTTGCAACAGTTTAATTTTATTTAATTAGTTTTGTAAATAGATTGAAAATTAATAAAGATAGCATTTTAGAGAATCTATTTTTTGCTAGGAGGCTATAGAAACTATCTTTCAAGCTTATATCTACACTTATAAGCTCTAGATATTAGCAACCCATCTATATGATTTTTCTATATCCTTCCTATTATCAAATCAAAATTATTTTTTGATATCTCATTTAATGCTAAGCAACATAAAGCCATTGATATAAATTTGTCTTCTTTCTTTACTTACCAAAACTCATCTTTTCGTATATAGGGACTGATTTTTGCATTTTTTCTCTCCGGTTTGACTTTGAATCATCAATTACTTCTGGATTTAAAATCCATTTTGACGACTTTTTCTGACCCATTTTATATCCCATCACTCTGAGACTTATATCTAATATTTCCATGAGCAAGCCACTCCATTATTACCAAGGAGATAATACTTTCTATCCATCAGGACAAGAGAGAGATGTTACTTCAATGAGCTTCCGCCAACAAATTATTTACCTCATGCAGCAAACACGTGATGAGCAGCCTCGGTCACAAAGGATCTCGTTAGAAGAAGATGTAGATGAGCTATTCTCATTTTTTATTAAATAATTTTACCATTAATTATACAATTTACCTTAATTTTTATAAAAAAATAATAATTATCCCTAATTTTATTAATAAAAACCATAAATTTACAGTATAAACGAATATTTACTTCAAGAGAAAATTAGAGTAAGCCATATATAGAACACCCTCCCTAGCCCTTCAAAACAAGCCTTACGAAATAAGTATATTGAAGAAGCTTGCAAAGTTTTTAAACTGATTAAAAAAAGTGTATATGCAGAGAGAAAACCTATAAAATTGGGATCCAACGAGATCATGGTGTGCACCTGTAAGCAGCCTTATCGCATTCCAGAAGGCAAACATGCTGGAAAGCTTACGATCGCATGTGGCCGCACTTGTTTGAATAGAGTTATCAGTACTGAATGCTACTTGGGCAGTTGCCCGCTCGGTGAACTTTGCACAAATAGAAGATTTCAGCTTCAGCAGCATGCCCAAGTTTATCCGATTAAAACAGAAAACCGTGGGTGGGGGTTGGCAGCAGGGCAGTTTATTAAAAAAGGTACTTTTGTAATCCAGTATCTTGGTGAAATATATTCAATAGACTCGCCTATCGGAATCAAAAGACTTGAAAAGTATAGAGGAAAGGAGTGCACCTACCTGATGTCAACTTCACACAATGAAGTAATAGATCCTACCAAAAAGGGAAACCTAGCTAGATTTATAAATCATTCATGTGAGCCTAATTGTGAAACACAGAAGTGGAACGTCTTACTCCGTGAGCGAACAAAACCATTAGAAAAATCGTTATTTTTTGCTTAAAAACCCACCCTCAACAAAAATTATTTATGGGAAAAAAATTGATATATAAGTGATAATTAGTATAATGAAATCTCGAGCTAATTCTGTTTAATTTTAAACAAATTGCGTTTTAAAACATAAAATTTTACTAATTAAATTAATATTTTGATTTACAAATTTTTGCGAAGTAGGATTTTTTTAAATTTGAAAAAAAAAATTCTATAAAATTTCTATATAATTTTTTTTTTTAAAATAAAAATATTAATCCCGCTCCGAAAGCGAACATATATTTTTGTTTGCTCATGGAGAGGGAGTTAGGAGAAATATGTGTCGGGATTTTCGCAAAGAGAGATATATATGAAGATGAAGAATTGACTTTTGATTATATATTTGGCTTAATCAAATTCGAAATTATTTTGCTAAATAATATATAAATTTTAATAGAAAAATAGGAAATTTTGCATCCCTATCATCCTAAAAAATTATTATAAACCAAAATAGGTTTGATACACACAAAACATCACTGACCAAGTGCTTATGTGGAGCTGCAAAGTGCAGAAAGTACTTAGGACTGATCCCTTCAGATTACCAATCTTCTGAAGATTGACTTAAAAGGCTTGATAAGATGAAATGCAGCATTTGCAAAAAAAGCAGCGAAGAAGACGAGTATTTAGTCCTATGTGATGGCTGTAACAAAGGATGGCATATATATTGCTTAAAACCGCCGCTTGAGGAAATTCCAAGTGGAGAATGGATGTGCCAAAAATGCACATTAAAACATAAGCCTAAAGGAGAAAAAAAGCCAAAAAAAGAAAAATCCCCAGAACTTATAGAAGATCTTATTAAAAAAATTGAGCCACCACAAGAAATCCTTATGATGGTAGAAAAAAGGACATTAGATGCTCTCAGGAATCATTTAGATGATATTTTAGAAAAAGATGTAAAGCTTTTTTGGGGAAAATGTAATGACCAAGGACAATATGAAGTCACTATAAGAGGAGCGAATTCTCAGTATGTAGAAATGTTTATTGAGCAGCTGTCACAAGAGGTGAAGCCTGAAGTGCAAGTGCCTGACGAAATTACTGAGATTGAGCTGAAGGTAGAAGCTCTTTATTTGAAAAAACTTGTGAAATCATTTTCTAATATGCAGCATAAAGGTATGATTTTTTAATAAAATTGACTATGGATATTAATACTATATTAAATATTGTTTTTAAAAATATTGAACCTGCACTATGAGATTTCTAATTAATTCAGCCTAAAAGAGAATAATATATCTTACGACCAGACGCTATTGACTGATGATATCTATCCCTTAGACAAACTTACCAGCATATATATTTCAGGACACAGACAAAGTATTGAAGGATTTGCAGAAGAAATTTTGAATATTTTAGACACATTTCAGACCTCTACCATTTATTTTTCGATAACTGAAGCTTCGATACTGATGAGGAATATAATTAACTTCAAAAATTTATTACATCCGGCTGAAATTAGAGTATCAAAAGAGCAAGTTACCAACGAATCTCCCCACCCATTTTATTTTTATTCAAGACTAGAAAGAAAAGTTGTATTAATAGGAACAGAAAAGTAATTTTTATTTACTCCCTACCTTTAAATTGGAACAAAATATCCTGTTTTAATTTAAAGGGCTTTATTGTTTTTCTAAAAAAAAATTATATTGAATATTTCTTGATAAAATAGCATTTATAAAGTTTTGAAAAATTAAAAAATACAAAAAATTAAGTGTGAAAACTGTTAAATAATATTCTACTCGCATTTTTTCCATTAAATTATGTTAAATTAATTTTATTTCAATTTATCAAATTTTTTATATTAAAAAAAAATTACTTCAATGTACCAAAAATGGAAATTTTGTTCGGGGAGTTAGGGAAATTGATGAAGCTTGTAGAGTGATCACAGCATGGTTCAATCAGCAGCTTAAAGGAGAACAGGAGCACTCATTCAATTTTATACTTCCAGTTAAAGTGTGCAAATATCTAAATCGATACAAAATGGGAAAGAAATATTTAAATCCCAAAACATTTTTAAATGTAATAATTTTTTTTTACTTTTGATAAATAAGAAATTTTATTGAAAAAAAATTATAAAGACTATCACTAATAGAATGAAACCATAAAATGGACATCATCAAAGAGCTAAACCAAATGCATGCATTTGTCATACCTTTAATCAAATTTTTCGAACCACTGCCACCAAGGAAGTACCTCACAGTTTACATTGTTGGAACATGAAAACAAATAATAGCAGCAAAAATAAAAATTATTGAAATAGCAGATAACTATACAGAAAACAATGAAATCAATAAATTTTTTTCTTTTGTTACAGCTCAAATGTTTCGCCATATTATTAAAAACACAGCAAAGTTTATTCATGCAATGGAGAAAAGATTTTTCAGCAGAAATGCTCAGGAATTAGAAGTTTGAAAATATTGCCCACAAAGGCACTATATTCTTGGATTTTGGGATGTATATTCCGCTGAACTGTTGTGTGGTGAGCAAGGGAATGAGAAGATAGAATCATTTAGAAGCCAAGTCCTTATTTTTCCAATGAAAATATTTAATTAAAATTTAACTGCAAAATATAATAAAAAAAATTTATTATTATTTTTAAGGATGAAGGCTAGTCATTTATTAGAAGACGCAGATACACTAATTAACTTGCTTAGACTTTCAGGCAGCGAAAGTCAAATGCAATATCTTATAGAAACCAGATGGAAAATCACTCTAGAAGAAGCTCTCCAGTTCGGCATCAATTTTTTCACAAGTTTTAACAAAAAATTTGAAGGCAATGGAAAAATGGGATACGTGAACAACAGTCTTGAAGAGCTGAAAAATCAATTAATTGATATGAGCGAAGATGAGCAATGAGAAGAAAACGACCGTTTTAAAATTATAGATAAGGCCATGAGAGAAATAGACCAAGATATTTCTTTTAAATCTTTTACAGCTCTTCCTACCAGCTATGGTGTAGACTATGATAACTCAGCTCCATCTCCTGATGTCGAAAGCAGACTTAGCAATTTTTTTACGTCTTTACAGCAAAGGAAATTTATTATGGGCGATGAAAACCCTTATCCACAAATAATTGAACCTACTCTAGTAAATCCTGAAGTTAGAGACAATGCTGATATTGTTGTTGGGTGCTCAAAACACTCCAGAAATTTTCTTTATGTGGTTTTCCCTGAGAAAGCTCGAACATTAGGCATTCAAAATTTGAGGTAATAATATTTGTCATAAACTTATCTTAAACGGAATATAATATTATAACTATATATGAGAATGCTAATAAAGCCTATATGATAAGAGCTTATATAAACATAATATATATGTTCTTTTTATATATATAATGCTAACCTATTATATAGATACTGTATAAGTGTTAGTTGATTGCACATCATATATGTGTTTTGATTACTCCCCCCATTCTTGATCGAACGATTGACTGTAAAGATTCCTAAAAATTGGTAAAATTAACCCCCATCCTTGATCGAACGATTTCATATCATGCAAATTTTTATATATATAAATATATTGTCATCAAAAACTTGGGAAGATGTACCTAATGAAGTTGTTGTCAGAGGCTTTGAGATGACAAGAAGCTACGGAATCAACCATCCGAAGTGCTTTAGTCATCAACCTAGGCTTAAAAACTCAATAATCTAAAACAAGAGCTTCTTTAAAATTTAAAATTTTTAATTCAATAAGGATCAAATTAAAAATTTATGCAGTTTAAAGGAGTAAACAAAAAATCAAAATATTAAAAATTGAAATTAATTCAATTTTTTGCTGTAAAAATAATTATTAAATACTCTTAATCTCTTATTTAAAAGTATATAAAAAAAATATATTTTTTATTTTATATATAAAAATTTTTTTCCCAACAAATTTTTTCTAAACCCCCATCATTGATCGAACGATGGCGAGCCGTTCGATCAAAGATGGGGGGGAGTTAGTAATTTTTGATGAATGAATATATATGTGAATAAGAAGAGATTATAATCTTCATGCCATCGTGATATGAGCTATCGGGCGTATCCAAGCATATTCGATGTATAAGTATAGTAAAGAAAGTTAATGATACAAGTTTATAACATTAATCTAGTTATGATTTTAAGTATTGGGAAAATATGAATTTAAGCACTCCAATTTTTATTTGTTCAATTGATTTATTCTTAATTTCCAGTATTTTATTATTGGGAATAAAAGTATGATTTATTTTTGTCATAACTTTTCTTATAAAATGAAAATAAGGTCACAAATGTTGTTTTGGCTACTGACTGGGCTAATGTTTATAGAAAAAGGAATAGAGTCTTCGACTATTTTAATTTCCCTCCTCTGAAATAGTTGTTGCATCATACCCACAAAGCCAATTCAAATAATCCTCGCATTACCGATTTTATGTGCAAATACGTACAATTTTGATCAATCTCTCTACACTTTTGCATCGTTTTGGCTGATAATTCTTTTCACTCCACTCTTTGTAGATTTTCATAAAGGCAAGTTTTAATTAAATTAGTTTACTATGGCGTCTGCTTGTGCCCCTGTCTGCATTATTTTTTATTTATTTTCTTTATTATGAATTATTGCATACACGCTTCTAATTTTCCCCCATTTTATTAATGATAAAAGCAAGCTAGAAGTTATTTTGTTTATAGAAGAAATCTTTAACTTCGTTTTTTATGGGTTCAGAGGCTTTTGAATCGAGTTTTCATTTTTACTACTATCTGGCTATATCCCTCTGAAGTGAACTGAATACACAAATGAAATTGAATCAGTCAAAGCCAAACTCAGATCTCAAGCAGAGCTCGTCTTCAAAGTGAGAGACGAATTAAAAGGGCTCGTAGAGGAGCAAGAATTCAAACATTTCACAGAAAGCCCAAGCTTAGTAACACAAAAGAGAAAAAGAATTGTGGAGAAGCTTACTCCCATTATAAATTTAAACAAAAATATCAGTAAAAATTTCAGTTTTTGGGACTTTAACTCCTTTAAATTGGAACAATTTTTTTTATAGGAAAATTTATAGTAGAAATATTCATTTTTATAATTAATGTTGGCCAAGTATTAATGGAAAAGTTCTAGTAAAATTTTTTATTTAAACTGTTTTTCACACTGTATCGATTAATTAATTATTTATTTATAAAATAAATTAAAATCCCAAAAATTTGCGTCAATTTATATTTTTTTTATTAAAAATTTATTAAAATTGTTTTTATAGAGAAAAATTAATATAATTCTTGTTTATAAAAAAAAAATTTAAATTGAAACAGGATTTTTGTTCAATTTAAAGGTGAGAGTTAGGAACATGAAAGAAAGACGAAGCTCATTTAGCATAAGAAAACAAAGTGTCGATTTCCAAAGCACTAAAAACTCTGACAGTGAAGAATCAGACAGATTTAATAGCGACAATGAAGGCTTTTATGGCGAGCACGAACTTCATTTATTTTCTGATTTATCTAGGTCAGGGTCTTTTGACGAGCTTTCTAGTAACGAAATTCAAAATATCATCCAAACCTTAATAAGCCAAGAATTTTTATCTTGACATACAAATGGCACATTAAATGCCCAAAGCTCGACAAATATTTTGTCAGAGCTTCAAGAAATTTATTCACAAAATTTTGTTAATAAAGAAAAAACACTAAAAAGACCAATGAAGCTGAAACAGACAAAAAGTGCTAATAGGATCAGAGAAGGGGTTCAAAATAATGCAGCTTTACTAGAGTTGTTTGAGTCTATTGGAGAGTGGAATTTTGACACACTAGGAGCTATAAAGCACACAAAACAGCCTATTTTTGAAATAGGGCAATATATTTATGATTCCCTTGGGATCACTGAACATTTTTCTATTTCCAAAACAAAAATCACACAATTTTTAACAGAAGTCGAGGAAAAATACCGACCTCAAAATTTTTTCCATAATTCTATTCATGGGGCTGATGTGTGCTGCTCTGTTGTATTTTTACTAAAAAATGGTTTACAGCTATGCGGCTCGTTATTGGATTTAGATATTTTTGCTATTATAACCGCAGCTTTATGCCACGATATTGGGCATCTTGGTCTCAATAACGCATTTTTAATAGCTTCATTTCATCCATTAGCATATAAATATAACGATCAAAGTGTATTAGAAAACATGCATGTAGCGACCACATTTAAAATACTCCATCGGACAAATACCAATATATGTGAGAGCCTTTCGAAGGCTGATTTTCTTGCTTTTAGGAAAACACTGATACAAACTATTTTGGCGACAGACTTACAGAAGCATTTTATTAAGCAAGAAGAGTTTAGGACTGCACTGAATAAAGAAGAATTCCCAAGTTTAAATGATGATGGATTTAGGTCAATTGTGCTACAGATTGTGCTTAAATGTGCTGATCTTGGGCATGTAGCTAAAAAATTAAGATATTATAAAAAGATCTAACTTTCTGCTAGGAAATAAAACACTTATTTATATAGAAAAATAATTTATTTATTATAGCTAAAAATATCTGCTTTTATATAAGGCTATAGATATCCATAAAAGATGGACAGCTTTGATTACGAAAGAGTTATACTTGCAAGGAGAAAAAGAAATAGAGGCAGGGCTACCTTTAACACCTCTTTGCGATAAATCAAATTTAGATATCGGCTCATCACAAAAAGGATTCCTTACAGTTGTGGCAAGACCTCTGTTTTTGCTCTTTGAAGAGTATATATTGAAATGCAATGATGGAGGTGAGGATGAGCTTCCAATACAAATTTGTTGCCAATTGATCGATGAAAATACACAATTTTGGGAAGACGAGCACAAGAGATATGAAAATAAACAGCCTTCAGAATTTTTACTTGATAATAATGGCCCACCTCTATTACAAGAGGATCAATTAAAATAAAAAATGGTCAATTTTGGATAAGAATCGATTTTTCAATATGCTAAAAATAAGCTTAACTTAAAATTAAAAAATTAATAAATTCTATTTCAATAATAACAAAATGGGGTGAAAAAACTGATATTAAAATAATTATGCTGTCTCCAAAAAGCAGTCCTAAGCGGCGCTCCACTTTTGTCAAAAATTTCAGAAAAAAGAGACAAGCAACCGAAATCAAGCTTAGGGATATGTCGTTCACTGCTCTCCCTCCTATAATTGAAGAAGAAAAACCCCGAAAAAATAGTTTGATTACACCAAGAAGCAGCATGGTTGACGAAAAGTTCTGTGAAAGCTTAGATATAAAAAGCTCGCTATATGATGATGTAACAACCCAAGGGTCAGTATCTGGCCGTAACTCAGTGCTATCTAACTACTCTATGGATAACTTTGATAGGCTAAACAATTCAACTATTGATGACGACATCAGGGAGGAGACAATCGAACTTACTTTACCCAAAAAATATGGGCCATTTCCAAGAGAAAAAGCAATAACAACAGATAATCGGAGCGAAAATAATAAAGCTACGCAGATTACGGCAGAAGAAAATTCAAACTGCAGTTATGAATCTAACGATTCTTATTCATGGAAGGTGAATTCGTTGACTGCCTTCTTGGCGGCATCGTCTGCGTTAATAATTGGCTTCTTTTAGAGCCATTGAAATTGATAATATAAAGCACTTGGTGTCTATATACTCTCTCTCCCTTTAAATTTTTAACAAAAATCTGTTCTATTTAAAGCTTTTTTTTAAAAAATTTTTAAAATAATTTAAAAATAAACACCCGGAGTGTATTAGCCTTTTTATACTACCATTTCATAGCTATTTAAAATAAATCTTTTAGGTCTTTTGATAGTAAATCATTATCAATGAAGAAATCTTTTGAAAAAAAAAAACCAGCAGAAACTGTATATTATTACCTTAAGAGTTTAGCCAAGATTATTTATATGCTATATAATTAAAATAATCGTTCAATTTATAACAATCTCTTAAAATTTCCTTCCATTAAGTGCGCAGTTTCATTCTTATTTAAATAATGAGAATTTTAAAAAAAAATTTAAAATTCTGCATTAAATCAAGCTTTCCAGAATTTTCCGGTCTAATCTGATTTAAAGCTATTTAAGGAAGCATATTATAACTTGTATATATGGATTCATATATTACATTAATGGTATCACTCACAAACGAAGAGGTCCGAAATAACCCAAGTATTTTAAGTTTATACGTCCCTAAGGCTGTTTTGTCTCCACCAGTCCTTTCTGATTTGCTCAGCCTCGATTGGCTGTCCCTTTCCTCTGAGATTCCTCATCTCTTGCATGATCTAATATCATTGACTAATCATATCCTCTCTACCAGCAACCCTACACACATCCGTTCACTACTCTCAACCCTTATCAAGAGCCTAATTGAGTATAGTACTAATCCATATATAGCCTGATAAATAATTTAATAATATTTATTGGAATATTCTTAAAAAACAGCATATTTCCTATTTAGTCCATCATTTGAGAAGCCAAAAGGAGTTTTGAAGCTGAAAAACAAAATTTTTTCATCAGCCAATGAATTAAAATTTTTCATTGTAAGTGTGCTGAAATCCCATAATTTAAATGAAAAAATCACTGGAGAGGCAGAAGAACTTATTTATGCTCTGTTTCAATACCACCCTTCAAGTAAAGATAAATTTGAAAATATAAAAAGTATAAGCATTGGAGTTCATAAAGAAGAAAATCGAGAAAACCGATGCTTTGTTATACATACTGAAACCTCAGAGGCCAAAATTTCATATGTTAAAGCTATTAATGGATTTATCCAGTCCATGGACCAGCAAGCTGAACAATCAATACTTGACAATATACATAAAGTTGCCGATAAAATTATAGAACTCATTGTACAGACTATTGAAATGAACCCAGTACTAGTACCTTTTCTTAAGTCAAAAATTAACGATTCATTCCCACACAGGCGAATTGATGCTGCTATCCAAAAATTTTTCCTTCGAAATATTCTGATTTTAAGCCAAAAATGCAAAATACTTCAAGATTTTATTCTGCGAAAAGTTATTGAAAAATTAATAGAAATTGAGGTAGAAGACAGCTATGAGAAATTAGACACTTTATTGCTTGTAGTCTTAGAGCATCTTCAATCCAAGGTTGATGATTCTCTATATAACTCAGTAATAAAAATTTTTGAGGAGCTTATACTTCCAACGCATCATGTGAAGTATATTCTCCTTATAATCGTCAATATTTGTCAATCTGGAAAAGAAGAATATGCAGAGGTTTTCCTTAGCATGCTTATTAAAAAGATTTTTGCTAATGAATTCATTGAGTCTTCTACAGCTTGCTTGGTTTCTTTTCTGGTAGAATACTCCGAACAGGTTTTGCCCTGTGCAAAATACCTTATTTACTACTGCCTCAGGGCTATTATAATTAAAATATGGCGTCTTCGTCTGGGTATGGCCTCCCTGCCATACAGCCTCGACACATATTTTAATTATATCCGGCAAGGTTTTACCATTTCAGAGAAGGACAGCAATGCTAGGTAAGCAATTCTGGTTGTGTGCAGAGCCTAGCCCTAGTCCAATCTCAGAGGTGGATTTTTCCTCATGGGGAAGGAGGGTACGGGAGTTGGGAAAGGGGAAGCCCAGTAGAGTCCTCAGGACCAATCGGGCAACTCCCTAGCGTGAAACTGGGCGTTACGTCCCAGGCTACATATTTTTCCTTTTTGCCGATAGCTGACCAGAAAATCCATTTTTTTGGGTTTTCGGATAAGCAACCCATGTTACAAGTCAGTAGCTCATTCATGAGCCGTCGAAGCCGGAACACTCGTCTGGAGGCGCACCTATTGGTGTAACAAAGCAGGCCAGCCCGGTGGTCTGTGGGCCCGATGCGGCGAAAGCGAGCGGCAGGTCTGGGACTATGCCTACCCCGTAGTGGACGTAAAACGTTATAAATCATAATCTAATCTAATCTGCCTCAGAGCTATTAAAAAACGATCAAGCAGTAAAAACTGCTTTATTGTATTAAAATATATGCTTTATTTATTTGCTTGTAAGCCAGAAGTATTAGATGATGAAAAACTCCTATTAAAATTCAAAAAGCTTTTAAAGCACCAATTAAGGCCATTAAAATACGCTGCGTTATTAGAACAAGTGAACTATCAGAAAGTGTTTGAAATAGCTGGAATCAATGAAAAATTGTGCAATGGGAATTTCCATTTGCCGTTCAAGTATGATTTAAGGGAATTAAGAGGAATTGCAGAATATATGGGAAAGACTCAGACTTCCTGGTTCAGGAAAAAGAGGAGGAGAGGACTGAGCTTTGATGATTCAAATGAGAGATATTTGAAACAGAGAGGCTTTTCGATGGATGAGACGAAGCTAAGAGAAATAAGTGACAATGTGAGTAGCTCGACAACGAATGTTCCATAATTTAATGGTAAATTCTTATTGAAATTGAGGCTTACCACTGAAACTTATTTTCGTCCGAGAATTTTTACTCCCACTTCATGAGTGAACAAAACCATTGGGAAAATCCCTATTTTTTTCCAAAACCCATACCGTTATCACACAAAGTTTTTAATATATAAATTTTTTGTGAAAAACATTTTGATATCTAGGTGATAATTATTATAAAGAAATCTCTGGCTAATTCTTTTTTTTTTAAACATCTTGCATTTTAAACACAAATTTCAAATTCAGATTTTTTTAAATTTTGAAAAAATAAATGTACTATAAAATTTTATATATACACGCAGGATCATTAGGTGATTAAAAGTGAGTCATGAAGATTTAATGATGGAAGCGTACAATTGCATTGAGGAATTTATTTATTTGTTAATGCGTACACAAAAGAGGAAATTCCCATAAAAAGCCTAATGATAATAATATTTAGATTTTTTAAAAAAAAAAACATTAAACCCCCCTCCATGAGTGAACAAATTTTTTTGTTCACTCATGGAGGAGGGAATTAGTTTTTTGGAATTGATTGAAGATTTTTATAACGATTAAAATTAAAGAGGAAGGCAAATGCATAAAGAGATTAATTATCCAAGCATAATAAAGATTAAATCGTTAGAGGCAGCTTCCATATCTTAGGATGCTATTTTTCTAATTTTATTGCAAAGATTTATTATTAACGCTTATATCTTATTTTGGAAATTGTAGAAATAATCTCAAAACATCCTATTTATAATAATCTTTATCATTCTTTAACGATACAATTGGCTCTAAAAAAGAAACGTAAAAGAGAATAATTTATTTTTAATGACAATATATCTCCAAGCAATAAAATTATGTTAAAGTAGTTAAAATTTAATTTTGCGATGTTTAAACTTGACATTGCCAGTCGGCGAATAATTTTTATTCCCAAGCAGCCAAATACTCGTGCTTCAATTTCATCAAGTTCAACAGAGCAAAGCAATACGAATCGAAACATTGAATATGAGAGAAATGACGCAGTTGATCAAAAGAAAAGAGACGAAATAGAGAGTAAATTTCAAAAATCTTCACAAAAGGCTTGCTATATGTTTCCAAGGTATAAGCCAAAGCCTTTTCAAAAGCTTCCAGTCATCCAGCTCAAATCAAGAAGAACTGAATCCAAAAATTATGAAGAAGTATAGAATTTTCCTTTAAATAGCACAATTTATGAATAACTGATTGATCGCTATTCAGGAAAAAAAAAATAAAGGTTTTCGGCGGGCTCTGCCCGCTATAATTAATAGATAGATAAATAGATTGATCGTTATCAATTTTGAAAACGATCTCAAATTCTTTATGGATATTTTCAAAAAATTTAATATCAATCTAAATGATTTTTATTTTTTAAATGTCCTTGGTGCAATGATATTTATAATTCATCACCGAGGTTATTAAATAAGTAGGCTATTATATGGAAAAAGTCTATAAAATCTCTATGTACAATCAAAAACTCCTCTATCTCACTCTTTTCTATAGAGCTATTTTCTCTGCTTAACCTTAAAAAGGTTTGTTGGAATTTTAAAAATCCATATGGGTTAATAAAAAAATTTTCTGGTTTATAATTTAATAGAACTGTTTGTCCATTAATTATTTATAATTATTTTCCATGCTAAATTACAGATTTTTCCAATAATTAGGATTTTACAAAGGATTTTAACTCTTAAATCAGGAGTAAAGTAAATTTCTTTGAAAGAAAACCCCTCTCAAAATCTCCAATAAGTCTAGCTCGCAAAGAGCTTGCAAAAAGTGAACTAAAGACAAAAATCTCCCAAAATAGTAGCTACATAAATATCGCCCCAATCGAAACCTTTCATAAAAACGACCTAAATTACTACAACCTCTACAAAAAAAATCGCATTAACCGTCAGAATTCTGACCACAAAAGCTTCTCAAAGCTCTCTGAAGTGGACGAGCTAAACACATCTCAAATAACGACTAAATCCAATCTATAAAAAGTATAATTATTACTTATAATATCCTCTTGCCATCAAATGTCTTCTTCTTATTTCCTTTTTCTTTCTCGAAATATCAGCATAAATCCTATCTCTGTACTCTCTTATCGTCAGTTTTCTGTTATCATCTATAGAAATTCTTATAGTATTCGGACAAGCAGGCTCATCGTCTGAGTTATGGAATTGAGCCACATAAGGGTGTCTGAGGGCCTGCTCAACAGTCAGTCTTTTTAGAGGGTTAAATTGAAGAGTCCTTCTTATTAAGTCTAATGCATCATCTGAGGCAGATGGGAAGAAATCGTGGAAGCTTCGGGTTCTGGTTGGCGGCAGACTTTCCAACATAGTTGCGGCAAGGTTGCTTTGGATTGAGTCAATGTCCTCTTGGGTTGGCCTTCCTGTTAGTTCTAAAATTCTGTCCAATTGGTTTAATGTGGAGGTTCCTGGGAAAATGGGCTTCCCTGCAAGCATTTCGCCGATTATGCAGCCCATACTTCACATGTCGACTGCTTTTGAGTACTTGGTAGAACCAAGAAGAATTTCTGGGGCTCTATACCACCTGGTGGCGACGTAGTCGGTAAGAACAGGGTTGGAGCCTTCTTCTTGGGCTGCTACTGAACGGGCAAGACCGAAGTCAGCAACTTTGACGAGACATTCTGAGTTTAGAAGAACGTTGGAAGGCTTGAGATCACGGTGGAGAAGCTGGCCTGAGTGCATGTATTTCAAAGCTTTCAAAATTTGATAGCATATATATTGTTTGTGAATGTCTTCAAGAATCCCTGCTCGGATGACTGCATGTAGATCTGTTTCCATGAAGTCAAAAACTAATTCTTTTTGGTTAAAAAAAAATAAAAAAAATGAGAAAAAATCATTTTATAAATAAATGTTAAAAGAATGGGGTAAATAAATATCCCTGTCGTTTTCAGCTCTTATCACATTGAGAAGCCTCACTATATTTTCATGTCCATTGAGTTCTTGCAAGAACATGATCTCTCTGAAGGTTCTCTGGGCATCAGTTGCATTTTGAAAAGCATCAAAAACTTTTTTTAACGCCACAACCTCACGGGTCTTCTTATCAATGGCTTTCCATACGATCCCATAAGCTCCTTTGCCTAATTTTTGAAGAATTTCGTATTTTCTTAGGATATGTGATTCGATTTCCTCACTCATTCAAATTATTAATTTTCATTTTAATAGTTTTTCGATTAATTCCACAGATCTTTTTTAAGAATTTCTTCATAAAAAAATTTCCATAATAAATTCAATTTCATAGAAAAGGTCTATCAATAATATTAATTATTCGGCGGCATTAATTAAGTCTCGACTCTCTTCTTTCCAGTTCTTTTTCCTTCTCCGCCAATGCATTTTCTTTCACTTTTACCTGCTCAAGTCTTCTTGACAAAATCAGCTGGTCTCTATCCAAATATTTCTGTTTCAGCTCCAGCGACGTTTTTATCTCCTGAATCCTTAGCATTTCTTGCTGCACAATTGGTATTAATTCGTCAGCATTTGGAATTTTCATCCATGTATTCTGCAGCCTTGTTTCTCTTTCGTTTAATTCTATTTCTTTTTCTTTTATTCTTTCTTCTTTTTCTTTTAATTGTTTTTGCAGTACATCAGTTTCTTTTTCGGCCTTTGGGTTAGAATCTCTTTTAAGCTTCATTATATTGGGCATTCCTAATGGAGGCTTATTTGCAGGCCTGACTGGGATTTTTTCTGATTCAGGAGTTGGGGGTGTTATAGGCTCAGGGGTGTATGATAGAATTCTATATGCAGAAAGAGACTCACTAAAAGAAGGCTCAGTGAGAAGAACACTGCCTCTTGGGGATAGACCAGTTATGGGGGTCATGCAGGCAGATCTTGGCCTTGATATAGATCTGCGGGTTTCACTGTTTTCTCATGATTTTTCTAGCCCAGCCATAATGTTTTTTAGAGAATTTGATCGTGATAAAGAGTTGCTGATTGCTTTTGTGGATCGGAGGGTGGCTATTTGAGTTTTTAGTTTATTAATTTTCATTTTTGTGTTTTCTTTTTCTTTCCCAGTCATGTTTTCTACTGATGAATTTAGTTTTTCTAATTCTGATTTTAGTGTTTCCATTGGCTTGGTCGAATTTTCGAAACTATCTAACTCCCCCCCCCCCTCCGTGAGCGAACAAAACCATTAGAAAAATCGCCATTTTTTGACCAAAAACCCACCCTCCGTGAGTGAACAAAAATTTTTTTAATAGAAAAAATTTTAATGGAAAAAAATTTGGATATATAAGTGATAATTATTATAATGAAATCTAGAGCTAATTCTGTTTAATTTTAAACAAATTGCGTTTTTTAAAACATAAATTTTGCAAATTAAATTAATATTTGCTTCCCAATTTTTGCAAATTAGGATTTTTTTAAATTTCGAAAAAAATATTTTTTATAAAATTTTATATATAAATTTTTTTTAAAAAAAAAAAATTAACCCCCCTCCGTGAGCGAACAAAATTTTTTTGTTCGCTCACGGAGGGGGGGGGGGGGAGTAAGCAGATAGTTTTTGGGTATAAGTTACAGAAAAACTTTTAAAGAAAAGGCAAGCTAATAATTTAATAAACTATTTGAGGAGATATGAAAAAAATGATTTTATATATAATTTGATAGTAAAATTTTAAAAAATTTTGATACTAAAATAGAAACTGCCGAGGCAAATCGCTAGTATATAATAGATAGGAAGTCTATTTAAAAGATCCCTAGGATAGTCCGATGACGAATTATAAGGAGTGAGTCGTCAAGGAAACATAGGAGATAGTATCAGTAAATTTTAATAAAGGGTTAGATAGGTATTTATCTGGATTCCAATTACAGGTATTTATAGAAATAGCAAGGGGCATAACTTTAGTAACTATTTATTTTTCTTCGTCCGCTCTTACTGTTTATTAAAAAAGTATTTAATGTCTTTTAAATATTCTAGCTGGCGCTTAGATATTCTATAAATAAACGCGTAAAGTTCAGCTCAATATAAAATATAAATTTTGCGCGAATTAGCTTAACTTAAAACACTCTTCAATTTATTTAAATTGTAGTAAAAATCCAAAAGTAAACTAACCGCAAAGGCACTTTAAATACTACATATCCTAGGTCTTTTCCGAACTATTGGTAAAACCATAACAAAAATTTAAACGAGGAAGGCCGTTTTTGAAATTTTTTTTCTAAAAAATATGTGGCAGCATTATAACTTAAAAACACTCTTCACTGTATTTAAATTGTAAAAGTCTCAAAGTAAACTATCTGCAAAGGCACTTTAAATACTACATATCTAGGTCATTTCCAAACTATCGGTAAACCAAAACAAAAATTTTAAACGAGAAAAGCCCCTTAAAGAAATTGTTTCTTCAAAAAATATATTGCAGCATTATTGCAGATTTACTGTAATTAGAGAAGTAGCAATATAGGTAATTTCTCATACAATAGCTAATAAATGGATACTTAACTCCTTTAACTACAGTAAATCTGCAATAATGCTGCCACATATTTTTTTAGAAAAAAAATTTCAAAAACGGCCTTCCTCGTTTAAATTTTTGTTATGGTTTTACCAATAGTTCGGAAAAGACCTAGGATATGTAGTATTTAAAGTGCCTTTGCGGTTAGTTTACTTTTGGATTTTTACAATTTAAATAAATTGAAGAGTGTTTTAAGTTAAGCTAATTCGCGCAAAATTTATATTTATATTGAGCTGAACTTTACGCGTTTATTTATAGAATATCTAAGCGCCAGCTAGAATATTTAAAAGACATTAAATACTTTTTTAATAAACAGTAAGAGCGGACGAAGAAAAATAAATAGTTACTAAAGTTATGCCCCTTGCTATTTCTATAAATACCTGTAATTGGAATCCAGATAAATACCTATCTAACCCTTTATTAAAATTTACTGATACTATCTCCTATGTTTCCTTGACGACTCACTCCTTATAATTCGTCATCGGACTATCCTAGGGATCTTTTAAATAGACTTCCTATCTATTATATACTAGCGATTTGCCTCGGCAGTTTCTATTTTAGTATCAAAATTTTTTAAAATTTTACTATCAAATTATATATAAAATCATTTTTTTCATATCTCCTCAAATAGTTTATTAAATTATTAGCTTGCCTTTTCTTTTAAAGGTTTTCTGTAACTTATACCCAAAAACTATCTGCTTAGATAGTTTCGAAAATTCGACCAAGCCGTTTCCATTTCATGGTCTATTTGTGGGAGATCTTTTTTTGGGAGAGATATACTTTGGCTTTTAGATAAAATTCTACTGGTATCTAAATTTCCTTCTGAGTAAGTATACCTAATTTGAGAGAATATAAGCATTCATACTGGTTGCAGTTATATATTTTATATAGTAAATATAAAAACGGCTGGTCTTATACTGCTAGTTATTTAGATTTTAATTCTTCAGCAGGATGTTTAGATCTACCCGATCTTTAATTTCTAAGTGGTGATATCAGCAGCCATCTTGCTGAGTAAGCATTCAAGAAGAACCACTAAAAGGGCCAGAAAGTTTTTCAGAAGTCGAGCTTGACCTCGTTTGAACCTGAATCCAGCGCTTTTTCGCCAAAGATCACCCTCCTCAGGTGCGATAGGCATTAATAATAATAACTTCCTTTCTTTATGAGGTCACCGAATTACCCTACGCGATAGTTCCATACTGGCATTAAATATAAAGGTCCTCGTTAAAGCTGGACTCTATAATAATAAATATCGTGGAGGAGGTAGGGCTGTGGCGACAGCCACTTCCTGCATATCCATTTTATAATTATGTAAAACGGTTAATCAGCAGTAATGCTATCATTCATAGTAAATAGTATATGTCCTCTGTTAAGCTGTGATCTAAATACCCTTGGGCTTTCTGATACTTCACATTTCACTTCATCAATCGAAATTTCTAATGCATTTCTCTTTTTCTCCCAATCAGATTTTTTGTCTTGTTCTTTATTTTTTCTTTCGTTAAATTCTCTAATTTCATCTTCAAGTTGATCTCTGTCCCATTCAAGCTTTTTCTTTTCATCTTCAATGTGCAATTTTTCAAGCTTTATTGTAGCTTTTTTGCTTTCAATAGCATCAAATTCTTCTTTGATGTTTTTATATAATTTATTAAATATTTTATTTAGATGGAAACTTGTTTTATAATGAAAGAAATTTTATAAATGGTTTTAGCATACCAAATAAATTTTAAATGCTATAGGCCACATAATAATACTCAAAAAGATATATTTTATTTGGATTAAATTTTTGTCGCTTTCAATTTTTTTCTGCATAGTTTCTAATTCTTGCATTTTTAACTTGATAAGATTGGTTTGCTCTTGGAAATACTCTTGTTTTTTAGTCATTTCATCTAGTTTAGTATGATATCTGGACTTTAGAATCTGGGTTTCATTGATTTGCCATTCAAGCTCAGATTTTAATTTTGCATAGTCTGCGTTTTTTTGCTTAAAATTTTTTATATCTAGTTCTTTTTTCTTTAATTCTTCTCATATAACGAGCTAAAATATTGGAAAATCCTTCCTTTTTAAAACATCCTCCTTCAAAATAGTAGTTATCATAATGGAAATTCTAGTATAATTCTATTAAATTTCAAGCTAAAACTTAAATTTTGCGTTTTCAGTTGGGTATTTCTAAAACAATTTAATATAAAACTTTAAAAATAAAATTAGTTATTGTGAAGAGTAAAATAGATCACAGATTGGGAGTAAGGAAAAATTAGGGAAAGAGTCAAATGCACTTTTAGATAAATCTATCGAAAAATCTTCATCTGGTAATATGCTTTTATATGAATCAACTAGGCTTTCTTGGAGAATCTGACCAAACTCAACTATTTCTTTCGGTAAAGCTATTTGCAGTTTTAAATGCTCTACTTCATTCTCGAGTTGACTGATATACGCTTTGTATTTCCATATATCTGAGCTATTCTTTTCCTTTCCTGAAGTCGAGCTGTTAGCAGAAGATACTTTCGCCAACCATTCTTTGTCTGGAACAACAAACTCTTTGTGATTAACTGATAGAGTTAAATCAAATTTTCCTAGTATGATGTTTCTCTCATGAGTGCCATTCATCTCAACTTCATCAATGATACTCTGCAAGTCATTAAATAAGTTGTAAATATCGTATAAGCTGCATTCAATTTTCTTATTTCTCTATCATTATCGCAAAATTTTTTACTTTTTTTTATAAATATAAAAAAATTATTTTTAAAAAAATATCGTGGGAGAGATAGAAAATGGGTCTTCATCACTTTCACGATATTTTGCTTTTACATTTCCAGTTTCCATGTTTCTTCATTCATGGGCTCTATAATCTTCACAAATCATTGCTTCTCTGTCAATAATGGTACACAGATTTTCAATTCTGCTATACAGTTCCTCATCCTCTGACTCACTTTTTTCTTCACTGTCGATGTCAAAGTCTTCAAAATTAATTATTTCATTATCTTCCTCTATTTTATATTCTTCTGTATGCTTTTCCAATATCTTGTCTGTAGCGATAGGCTGGAAGTCTTTCATAATAGACTGGATAATTAAGTTTAGCCTATCGATTTGGCAATTAATTGGCTCAGTATCTGTAGAATAGAACTTTGTGGGACTTTGCTCAAGCACCTCTAGCTCAGATGGGTGTTTTGATGAAAGAAATGGGTTTCGCTTTTTAACACTCATTTAAATATCCTTTAAATACAATAGAGAAATAAAATGGAGATGCTGATAGATATTGGACTCCAGGAGCTCTTCCTATGAATTAGGTAGGAACCATCTGAAAAAAGCGCTTTTCCACCTTTGAAGTAGCTTTGGATTGGGAAGCTTGCCGAAAAAGGGAAGCTTTGTGACTCCCAAAGATTTTCTTGTCTCTGCCAAATGGGCTAGACAGGTTTGGCCTACTCCTCATTGAGACACTCAGGGCACTCTACAGATGGGTGATCTGCGCTAGAGATTTAATCCCTTGGATAGATGCTTCAGGTTGGAAATCCAAAATATGTCTTTTTGGGAACCAAGATTAGCGGCAGTTAGTATATTTACAAACTTATGGTCATAATAAATTTTAACTTTAAATATAATAATTTAATATTATATTCGTTTTAAATTTAGAGCAGTTTATTATTATCTCTATCTTTATTGCATGATAGTTGGAGCTCATTTAGGTGAATTAATGGCTTTTATTGCTCCCCTCTACTAACGAACAAAAGATTAGAAAATCCCCATTTTTGGGTAAAAACCAGCCTCAAAATTTTTAATATAAAATTTTTTATGAGATATATAAGTGATAATTATTATAATGATACATCTAGCTAATTCTGTTTAATTTTAAACAGATTGCATATTAAATATAAAAATTTACAAATTATATCAAAATTATTTCGAATGGGTTTTTTTAAATTTGAAAAAAAAAATTCACTATAAAGTTTATATATTAATTTTAAACAAAAAAATTAACCCCCTCCACCGAATAAAATTATTTAGTTTACTAACGGAAGTGGGAGTTAGAATTGCATAATCGAAGTTAAATTCTATTCTTAATACTTTTCATTTCGCTTGATAGCAAGAAGATTCGTTTTTCCTAATTCTAAAATCAATTATTTTTGTATAATATAATTTTTGGTGTGAAGTAACACTTTCAGTCTTTGATAAAATTTTCTCTGAATAACTTGCCAGAAATTATAGGAGGCACCAATATAAAATTATATTCATGCTATATGGTTTACATTAATGCTTATATTTAATTTCTAATTTTTATTTGCCATGCACAATTTATAATTTAATGTTCAAAACTTTAAGCTTATGTAATATTTGAGATTAAATTATGCCAAATTGTTAGAATGAATAAATTTTTAATCAATATAGATCATCTGCATTCTTTATTATTAGTGTATTTGAATGGCATATCTAAAGATAGAGAAAAGGGATGTGACCAGAGTAGTCTGAATTAAGTTAACAATGTCTTTGCGCATTGTACTAAGTGGCATGCCTTATGACCCTTTCAACACAGTTTATGGCTTCAAGAGCCACTGGTTTGTTTCTGTTGATCATTTCAGCACTCTCGTGCTTTCCCTCTCGGATGATGGGCACCTCAGACCTTCCCAGGTGATTCTTACCGTGTTTTCTCAGAATATAATAATTTTTTCTGATACATCTTGATATATTAAAAAAAATTATAAAAATGGATAAGAATTGTTATGTTGATGAGATAAAATAGGGTTAGTTTATTAAGAGAGCGTCTGCAATATCTGGCGGCACTGGCTCTAAAGACCTTCTGTACAGGAGGCTGTCCGCTATTCTATGAACTACCCATTAGGTCTTGCTTCAGCAGGCGGAGCAGTATTCAGATTACTTTAAAGCTCGGTCTGAAGTGGCCAAGAGGAAAAAAACTGCTCCTTGTTGCATAGGTTTGGAACTTGCGGTTTCTTGATAAAGGAATTTCCAATCTTTAAAGGACATTGCTGAGTTTCTCTATTCCCAGCCACAGGAAAGTAGCCAAAATCTGTCGGATATACATCACCTAAGGCTGCAATTACTTCTCAGCTTGGAGTTCGTTCCAGTTTGCCTTAGCCTTAAGGTCCGTACAGCCGTGCCAAGAAGGCAAGCTGATATATTTTGCCGTTTTAATATATATGAGATAAAATAGGGACTTTCTAATTTGTAACCATTTTTATTATTTAAAGAAAAGCACCTAGCTACCATCATCTTCAAGCTTTTATTTCTTAAAACTTGTATAGCATTTCTGCTTTATGTGCTCACCTAAGCGCAAACTTGGACACATCCCACATATTTCTCTCATTTTTCTCTAAATATCTCCTCAGAATTGCCAAAACATATTATGGGACACTATCCTAATTTATATTCCCAATGCTTTTCGATTATTTTCAAGAACCTTTTCCTATATGCATAGTTCTCACTCCTCCTACACAAAAATTCACTCCATCTAGCAAATTCTTACTTTTGCATTAAAAAATCTTAAATTCAAGATTAAACGATTAGTTAAAATACGCTTAATAATATGGCTGAGAATAAGCTGAAATCTCACCTTGACTGGTTTACCTGGGAAGCATTAATACGGCAAAACATCCCTGATCATATGATCGGCTCAATAAATTCCCACCCCACCAAGCTTGTCCGCACCAAACAAGAGCACGATGAAATAATCAAAGAGTACCTACAAACGATAGATTTCCTAACTCCTCCTTAAAATTGGAACAAAAAATCCTGTTCCTTTTATAAGGGAGGTTATTTTTTTTTAAAAATATTTTTTAATTTTAATTTATTTTAAGAAGAATTAATTAGTGTAGAACTGTTTAAATAATAACTACTTTCGCTTTCAATTAAATTAGGTCAAAACTAATTTTTTAAAATTATTATTTCCATCAATAAATTGTTTTCTATTGAAAAAAATATTTGGTTGTGTTTTAAAGATACCCAAAAATAGAAATTCCCCTATATTTTTCCAATTTAAAGGGGGAGAAGTAAGAAAAGAAAACGACGAGCTCAAAATGGCTAACCAAGCCAAAGACATTCAAATTCAAGACTTAGCTGAAGAATATGAGCCTATGAAAGAAAATTTGCTGCTTAAAATAGGCATGCTAACTGAAAAATTACAAGAAAAAAATCCTGAAGAATGAGAAGAATGGAGTCAAGAAATTGACTCAGCAAGAATAAAGTCAAGAGTCCAAGCAGAAACGTTGAGGAAGCTGGAATCAAGTTTGAGGGATTATAGAAAGAGGATCGCAGAGCTTGAAAGTCAGCTTGAAGGAGCTGAGGTTAATAATAAAGAAATTAATGCCAAAAAAGTCGAAGAAATGCCTGCAATTCTAGATATAGGAGAAAATATTAAACTGCAACAGAGGATTGCTGAGCTTGAAAAGCAAGTAGAGGATTTGCAGAGCCATCTGCAGAACGGGCAAAATCAAATTGCTACAATGATAGCAGAGAGTCCAGCGAAAATGGCGAAGTTGGTAGATATGGCAGAAGCGGTTTTATTAGATTCATATCATAAGCTTCATATTGATGATGAAAAAATATCCTTATTCCTATTATATAATATCATATATATTATTAATAAAAATCATATTTTTATATTAAATAAGGTATTTACTATAAACATATAATTTTTTTTCTATGTTATGATATAAAAGAAAACCTTCAAGAACTTCTTGATAACAGAAAAAGCTTAAGAATACCTGCAGAGCTTCAAAATGTCCTTCTAAACCACCAAATCTATCTCGAAAAGCAGCTGGACGCCATGCAAGAGCTAATAAACTCCTCTGACAGCCTGCAAAACCTTATAGAATCCTTTGAAGGCATCGAAAAAAGCCAAATAGAAATTCAACAATTATCCCAATTAAATTTAGACAAATTAAAAGCATTATTAAACAAGCCAGCACCAGATAAAAAATATCAAAGGAAAAAGACTTATCTCAGCATCAGCCATGCTGAGTCTTCTTCTGCCAGAGAAGGTCTTGATGTACTAAAAGATTTATTAGGAAACATAAAACGAAACCAAAGGATGATTGGTGACTTAGAAAATGAAAAACAATATACCTTTCCTAATAAGCCTAATAAGTTTTATAATTTCCACATACAATACCTATTTTATAATACCAGCATATCTTTTATCAAATTCCGATATAGGCCAGGAACAAGAAAAAGCAGCCCAAAAAGCTGAAGAAGACCTAAGAAATATTGCGCAGCTTATAGGCCAAAATCTTGTAAAGACAGATATGGTAGGTGACACTTTAATCGACATTCAGCCTGACAACAAGCTTAAACAAGAAATGGACAACTATCAAAATGGCTTTGAAGCCCTTATGAAAAAAATAGATGATGTCGGAAAAGCTTCAGTGGACGATATCCATGACCTATTAAATTTGCATTCATCTTATGAGTCTGCAAATATAGTCCAGGCTTCTAGACTAGTCGGCCGCAAAGAAGAAGAAATAATTGAAGACATTATTGCTGTAGACCAATCCTCAAAACAAAGACCAAATATGAATAAAGCTAAAAAAGTCAGGTCAGCAAAGCCTTCTGAAACTTCTCTTGATAAAATAAATAAGCTTTCTATATCAATTTTACAAGATTCTGGGTCAATTTTGTATGAAACTTCACCTGAAGACCCGATTTTTGAAGAAGCCAAAACACTTTTAGATAACCCTGATCCAAATGTCAATAATTCAATAGTTGATAAACTTACGATTTCTTATGAGATTATACAGAAAATCCAAAAAGATGCAAAGTCAAGCGTTGAAAATACAGGGAAATCAGCACTTTTGAAAGGATTAAAGCCATTGATTTCTAATACAGAGCAGGATATTAAATTAGCTGAATTAGTAAATCAGTTGGAAAATGGAAATCCAGAGCATGTCCATACTTTTGAAAGCGAAATAAAAACAATTGGACAGAATGCAGAGGCAGGGAATGATTTGTCAGGGGTTATTGAACAAGTTATTGATTTAAGTGAAAGGGTTAATGAATTTAATTTGAAAAAATTGAAGGAGTATTGTGCAATTAAAAATGCAAAACCTGAAGAAAATAAAACTGATGATTTATTAGGGCTACTAGCTGATGCTGAAGAACTTTGTAATGACTCAGTGAGAAATGCAATAAAAGAAGCAAATGCAGCAATTGCTATAAGTGACGCTGTTTCAAAGAAAGTTTTGGAAGGAATTAAAGCTGAAGCGCAAAATATAGCTAATGAGCCATCACCAACAGCTGCAGAAAAGATTGAAAATATTTGCAAAAATAACAAGTTGCTAGATAAATTAGAAAAATTAAGAAAAAAGGTAACTTTTCTTAATTATTTTAAAATAATTATTTTTCAAAGGAAAATATTTATAAAATTAAATATATAGAATTAATTTTTTGTATCATAGATTAAGAGAAGAAGCTCAAAAACAATTTAACGCTCTTAAAAGCGAATTACAAGCAAAAGAAGCAGCATTAACTGAAGCAATAAGCATTGCAGAAGCAAAATATAAAGACTATGAGTCATCAATTGCCACTTTGCAAAACATCATGAAGGAAAGAGAAAATATGGTCAATAAGCTTGCACAAGAAGTCTCAGATAAAGAGCTAGAACTGTCAAAATTAAGAAACCAAATAAATGATATGACTCAAGCAGCTGAGTCTGCCCAGGAAGAATATAGTAGACTTGACGAAGAAAATTCAGATAATAAAAAGAATATTAGAACTTTAACTCGTTGATTTATTAAAAAACAAATTATTAAATAATTCTACTAAATTGAAGAGATTTGTTTTTTTTAGTACTTATATTAATCTCTACTATAAATCAAAACAAAATTACTAGCAATATACAAAATTTTAATTAAATAATATTGCATTAAAATGTACCAGGAGTAAGAAAACAAATTAAAGATAAAGAAGATGAAAACCAGTCTTTGCATGACAGAATTGTAGACCTAGAAAAGCAACTAGCCGGCAAAGGAAACGTTGATGAAGGCCTCATAGACCAGCTCCGCAAAGAAATAAGAGAACTAAAGCAAACAGTCTCCGACAAAAATCAAGAAATTGAAGAAAAAACTGTAGAATGCACCAAAATCAAGAGAGATTTCGAAATCCATCTCAGCGACTGCAAAACCCAACTTATCATCATCCAAAAACAAAAAGACGAGATCGGGCAGCTCCAAATCAAGCTCACAGACCTCGAAGTAAAGCACAAAGAAAACGAAGAACGATCCCAGCTCAGTGCAGGAAACTCTGTCAATACTGACATCCTTATAAAGCTTATAGAAGACAAAGATGCAGTAATCAACCAACTCCAAAGCCAAATCAACCCTCTCGTCAAGTACAGAAAAATGTACTCATTAATGATCAATGAAAAAGAACAAGACGAAAAAGAAAAAGAAAAACTAGACATCGATTTCAGTGAACTTCTAACTCCCCCCCCCCCCTCCGTGAGCGAACAAAAAAATTTTGTTCGCTCACGGAGGGGGGTTAATTTTTTTTTTTTAAAAAAAATTTATATATAAATTTTATAAAAAATATTTTTTTCGAAATTTAAAAAAATCCTAATTTGCAAAAATTGGGAAGCAAATATTAATTTTAATTGCAAAATTTATGTTTTAAAACGCAATTTGTTTAAAATTAAACAGAATTAGCTCTAGATTTCATTATACTAATTATCACTTATATATCAAAATTTTTTTCTATTAAAATTTTTTCTATTAAAAAAATTTTTGTTCACTCACGGAGGGTGGGTTTTTGGTCAAAAAATGGCGATTTTTCTAATGGTTTTGTTCGCTCACGGAGGGGGGGGGGAGTAAGGAGAATTAGAATGCTTACACACGAAAATGAGCAGCTTAAATATAAGACCAGAATGATTGAAAAATATCAAAGAGACTATTTGAGCATTGGACAAGAAAATGCAAGAATCGCGAAAAAATTGGAATATTATAATGAATTTTTGGAAAAGGAAGGAAATGCGAATTTCAAAGAAATGAGCGAAAAGTTGACGAATGAGCTGTCTCAGAAGATGGGGATGATTAATGAGCTGAAAGAAAAACTTGATGAGCTTACAAAAGAAGTAAAAGCAACTAAAGAGTCTAGAGAAATTACCTTAAAAAGACAAATCATGCTGAGACTTCTACAGTTGGGAAGAATGGGAACTATTCTTTATTAAGCTGATTTTTTTTTAAAACAAAAATAAATAATTTTTTTCTTATTTAGCATAAAAAGAATAGTTTAAGATTTTCTCAATGGAAAGCTGTAACTGAAGAGCCTACTCAAGACCAAAAAGAAGACCCTGCTTTGGTATCTCAAGTCGTTCAAATCCCTGCACCTAAGTTTGAAAGAAACTTAGCAGAGCTGTCAACCTCCCAAATCAATGGCGATCTACTTCCTTCTATTGAAAAAATCGTTATAGACGACCGCAAAAAAGAGCTTGAAAAAAATGAACTCCTTAATTTCTACAGACATAATGCAGTAAAAATCGATAAACTTATGAATGATAGCAATTTGTTTGGGATATTTGAAGATATGGTTGATAATAAATACGAATCAGACACCAAAGATCTCAGCAATGACAGGCTGCCTAAAGCCATTCCTGAGTATTTTATAGAATATTTAATTAGGTGTTATGGGAATAAAAAGAAAACACTGCCATATTTAAGCCAATTTGTACAATCATTGAAAAAGAGATATGATGACGGCGACCTGTATGGTAAATTAGCCTCTAAAATGCTTCAGATATTTGACCCAACTCCTGTATTAGGTGATGAGTCTTATATAATCATAAAAGCATTTAAAGAAACTAAAAGCTGCACTGAAAAAGTAAAAAATCATATAAAATCAAGAAATACATCAGGAGGAGATATATAAGGATCCCCCCCCCTCATTTGTCCAATTTTCTAGTCTTTTATCATTTGCCCATTTTTCTAGTTTTTTTTTTATAGGAAAAAAAAATTTTTTTAGGACCTCATTTGTCCAATTTTCTAGTCAAATTTTTTTTTCAGGGCCTCAATTGTCTCATTTTCTAGTTTTTTTACAGTAAAAAACTAAAATTTAGGACATTCGAAAAATCCAAAAATGACTAGAAAATGGGACAAATCATTTTTGACTAGATTTTGGGACAAATGAGGTCTTGAAAAAAAAAAATTTTCTCAGAAAAAAAAACTAGAAAATTGGACAAATGAGGGGAGGGATTCTTACTTTGCAGATGGAATTAATTATGTCCATGATCTATTTAAAGATGACCAAGAGACTGGGAGACTTGTAATTTCTTTATTAAATCCAAATAATTTGGTATCAACAGATTCAACAGCATTCAAAATAATGCATTATCTGTATAGAGCAAGCAAAACACCTGAAGAGCTCTTCAATGAAATCAAAAGTGGCCCAGAACTAACAGAATCCGACTTCCTCAAGCTTGAAAGCTCTGGATTCTCATGGATCCCTGCCAAAGAACTATTAAACTTATTTACCTCCCTCCAGCCTATATCTCAAGAGAAATTTTCACAGGTTTTCAGTCCTCAGACTTATGATAGTTTATCAGAACTAGAAAATGAGGCAACCTTAATAGCAAGGCCTCAGTTATTACTAGCAATTCTTGAAGCTTTAGCAGAAACCCGCATAAATGATATTGCGTGGTGTCTTTCTCTGACTAAAAACCAAAAAGCTATTAAATTGCCAGAATTTAAAGAGCTTATAAATGGATTTTCCCCAGAATTAACTGAAGGGCAGATCGCTGGGATGTATGATATAGCCGTAATGTGGAGCAGTGACCCAGAAAATGGTGTCACTCCAGATTCCATATATAAAATATTGAAAAAATATCAATTGGGAAGGCTAAGCAAGCGCACTATTGGAATCCGAATTATTATCAAAGAAAAAGTGATAAGGACAATAGAATTCGAAGAAATTAAAGAGTCAAGATCAGTGGAAATAGAAGAAACTAAAGACTTATCAGAAGGAGATATTAGCCCTTCAAAATCTCTAGAAGCCACAACTCCTCAAGGAAGAAGAATTAGGACTGAACTAAAGAAAACAGTCAGAGAAAATGTCATAGAAAAGACTATTGAATCAAGCACAATTGAGCATGAAGAAGAAGAGGTCAAGAAAACTGTGAAAAGAAGAATTGTGAAAAAGAAAACAGCAAAATAAAGATTAATTAAAATTCCATCAAAAATAAGTTCATTTAAATTTTATTTACTCCCCCCCCCCCCCTCCGTGAGCGAACAAAAAAAAATTTTGTTCGCTCACGGAGGGGGGTTAATTTTTTTTTTTAAAAAAAATTTATATATAAATTTTATAAAAAATATTTTTTTCGAAATTTAAAAAAATCCTAATTTGCAAAAATTGGGAAGCAAATATTAATTTAATTTGCAAAATTTATGTTTTTAAACGCAATTTGTTTAAAATTAAACAGAATTAGCTCTAGATTTCATTATACTAATTATCACTTATATATCAAAATTTTTTTCCATTAAAATTTTTTCTATTAAAAAAAATTTTTGTTCACTCACGGAGGGTGGGTTTTTGGTCAAAAAATGGCGATTTTTCTAATGGTTTTGTTCGCTCACGGAGGGGGGGGGGGGAGTTAGGAAAAGTGATAATTTACTGCCTGGATAAGATTTTTTTTATGACAGTCAAAGCCATAAAAATTTTCATAGTTTAATGTCATGGGAAAATTGGCAGTTGAATACCATAATATGCGTTTTTTAATCATCATTGATATATAATTAGATATATACTTTTTTAATTAAAGTTAATATACGATAATAAAGTACTTCTGTAAATATTTTTATTTAGATGAGAATATGATTTAATGAAACTAGGATATAAATATATTCTCCAAGGCTAATTTGGCTTTCAAATCAACTTTTTGATATCCTATCCTCAAAGCGGCTATTTGAAGCTGCTTTATGGTCGTAATGAAATTTTAAGACAGTATTTAATTATTAATTTGTTGAGCCCGTTTTAAGTCGCTAAATCATATCTTTTTAGGTGAAAATGAACTTTCGTCTAAACAACACCACAAAGCCATTTTGTTCAGAGCTTCGATGAGTTATCCGTTTATAACTATCCCATTGCATTAGCTCATGTTTTTTTTAAAAAAAATTATCTCCAAAATTAACCCAATTAATTTCAATCAATTATAATGATAAATATATTTTTGGAAGATGCAAGATATATACAGGTGGACTATTTTTGCCCAAAGTTTAGGAAATAATTCGCAAATTTTTGAATCAGAACTTCAAGCCGTAGGAGAAACCATTCAAGTATCCTTTATTCAGTCCCTAGAACACGAAGTTGAGCTTTTAAAAAACAAGGTCTCAGGATTGGAGAATAATACCCTTATTACTGATTTGGACATAGAAGCTCAAAATTGTCATCTCCACCTTCTCGCGCAAATCCTTTATAGGAAACGAAAGGCAATTGTGCTTCATGCGGTTTGCCTGTGTATAACACAGATAAAAAGATTACGATACGAAGTGGACTTAGGGAAGATTAAAAACGCAAAAAGACTATGTAAAGAGATTTTGGAACAAATTTTGATATTTTATATTAAAATAATTGCAGTAAAAATATTTCAATAGACTTTTTCTAATAAATTTAACGGAAATGGTATAGAATATGACCTCCCAAAAAGTTTTCAACTTGGGGCCAGTTTTTCGAAATTAAAAAGAACAATAGCCAAAACTCTAGGCTTCTTTAATAAAAGCAGCCCAGCCCATTTAAGAAGTAAAGTACTAGAAGAAGAGATTGTTACACATGCTTGCTCCCCCTCTCATAAGTAAACAAAAAATTTATATATAAATTTTTTTTTAAGTAATAATTATAGAAATTGCCGAGGATGGCGCAAAATAGCGCCATCCTCGGGCAATTTCTATAATTAATTTGTAAACTATGTTTAAAATTGAACAAAATTAACTAGAGATTCATTATAATAATCACTTATATATAAAATTTTTTGTTCGCTCACGGAGGGCGGGGCTTTTGGGCAAAAAATAAGGATTTTTCCAGTAGTTTTGTTCGCTCATGGAGGGAGGGTTAGTGACTGTAAAATGTTTCGTTAATAATATTCAAAAAATAAATTTTGCCAATTAACCTTTGCAGCTGATTCAAAATAGGTCAGCCGTGTAACTGTTTCGTTTATGCTAAAAAATTTCACTGTATAAGATATCTTTAATTTAAAACGTTTGAAAAAATTCTTGTGGATGCTGACTTCCCACCTCCGTGAGCGAACAAAACCATTTGAAAAAATCCCTATTTTTTGCCCAAGATCCCACCTTCCGTGAGCGAACAAAAATTTTTCATGAAAAAAACTCTGATATATAAATGATAATTATTATAATGAAATCTCGATCTAATTCTTTTTAATTTTAAAACTAATTGCATTTAAAAACATAAATTCTACAAATTAAATAAATATTTACTATCCAATTTTTGTGAATTGGGATTTTTTATATTTTAAATATAATTTAATTTATAGTAAATTTTTTTTGTTCGTCTCGGAGGGGAGTGAGCAAATCGGAATATTTGGATAAAAAATGAAATTTATTAACGCTTATGCTGATTTTCATATAAAAATTTTTTACATAATTCCGTTAAATATTTAAATGATTTTTAAGCTGAAGATAAATGATAGTTATTAATTAGCAGCATCCTTGTTTCTGCTGTGCAATGGATCTTCCAGAGGTAAGCTTTGACCCTCTTCCAGTTCCTGGTGGGCTAGATGTGGTAGATGTCGCAATTCTTCCTTTGATTTCACTTGCCATTCTTAAAAAGGACTGTTCGACATTTTGAGAAGTCTTTGCTGAGGTTTCTATAAACGGGATTCCAAGACCGTCAGCGAACTGTTTTCCTTCTTCATAAGAAACAGCTCTTTTTTCTTCAAGGTCACATTTATTCCCAATAAGTAATCTATTGACGCTGTCACTTGCATAGCGTTGGATCTCTCCTAGCCAGTTATTGACATTTGTGAATGATTCCCGGTCAGTGATATCATATAAAATTTGCATTAATTAGCCTTTTTTATTATAAAAATATAGCCGGTGTTTATTCATTATAGATTGTCATAAACAATGATAATCCCATGAGCGCCTCTATAATAAGAAGACGTGATAGTTCGGAATTTTTCTTGTCCAGCTGTGTCCCAGATCTGCATTTTTATTATTTTTCCTTCATGTTCTACTGTTTTGATTTTCTGAAGTAAAACTTACAAAATCAACTCCGATTGTGGAGACAAAAGACTCAGTGTAGCTATTTTCAGAAAACCTTAAAAGGAGAGAAGATTTCCCGACTGAAGAGTCGCCTATAAGCAGAAGCTTGAAAAGGTAGTCGCTGATTAGGAATTATACATAAATATTTAAATACCACTAATGGCCAAAAAATGTACTTATCAGTCTATTTAAAAAAAATGTTATACTATTCTGGGTTAGCCATAATTATAATGAATCCAAACTTTTGATTATTTAAGGATTTTTTTTATTAGAAAATCCGCAAAAATAATTTTCTTTAACTCCCCTCCGTGAAAGCAAAAAGAATTTATGAAAAAATATTTTGGTATGTAAGTGATATATGCTCAGTGTATGTTGCTGATTGTCCTGGGTTATACAATTTCTGCCCAACTGATAGATTTGACTCTGACAACATTAGTTGCCAAGTCAAATCCACCAGCTGACAAGTGGCATATAAGTTTCACTCGTCAACTGATGTTGCCCGAGCCAACTCCATCAGTTGGACGAGCATGCATCTTATACTATAAGATGATCAATAACAATCTGAGCTATTATTATCATAACAAAATCTTGGGTAATTAAGTTGAAGTTTAAAGAAATTATTTTCTAAAGTAGCAATTTTTAAATTTCAAAAAAAAATTTACTATATAAATATTTAAAAAAATTAACCATAAGCGAGCAAGATTTTTTTTGTTCACTCTTAGATAGGGAGGACTAAGAAACTATGAGTTTCCTATAAAAGAAATCGATTTATTAACATAAATGGAGCCTCAGCTTTCTCGAAGATCTTCTGCGTCAATTTCTGGATCTTCATGCAATACTTCGTTTGAGCATATCCTTATGCATCCTTCTGAATTTAGAAACTCATATCAGATCCGCACAAGCCAAAGTCTGTCATCAATTAATAACGATCCTGAATCGTCATTTATAGGGAGTGTATATAACTTGGTATCAAAAACGTTGACAATTAATCCTGATCCTAGTCCTTTTTTGGAAGAAGTTAGTGAAGAAGAGTTTCAGCCTTATCTAAATAAAATTATGCCACTTTTGCATGAGAAGATGGAACAGGATAGCTTGGGGATAACAAGTAGGCTGGAAGAATATACGCCTGAAAAATGCTATGAACTTGTACCTGAAGAATTTTTTGATCCCAAATTTCGAGCTGAAAGGCATTTGGAGGAAAGATCAATAGACTACCAAGAAACTTTAATATCCCTTTTAGATATGGCAGATGTCTCGATTTTTCACAAAATATCAGACAGATGAGAAGAATTTATGAACGCTGCTGACAACTTGCAAGGCCTAAACTCTCAGGTAACCGACATGATACAAAGTTTAGAATCAATCTTCCAAGCCAATGAACAATTGCTAAAAAACTTGTTAATTAAGTCAATAAAAGCATATAGACTACAACGCAGGCTTGAAAATATCAAGAAAGTTGAAGAAAGAATCGGCCTAATTGCAGTTGTAAAAGAAACTCAGCCAACAGTCCAACAGTTATTAAGTATTGCGCAGTATTCATCAGCTACACAATTAATTATTAAAACACAGCAGACTTTAAATAGCAAGCTAAAAGGAGTTAAAGCAGTAAGGCACCAAGAGCAGACGCTTACTTCTCTTTAAATTTGAACAAAATATCGTGACCTTTAAATTAGATTTTTTCAATAGAGAAAATTTTATAGGTCAAACTAATTTTTATAAAATAAGATTTTGTCCTAATTTAATGCAAGAAGAATTTTATTTAAACATTTCCATACTGAATCGATTCATAAGATAAATTAAATTCAAATATTGCGTTAATTTATTATAAAAAAAATTAGCCTCTCTTTAAAATGAATAGGATTTTTTCAATGTGAGCTGGGAAGTTAATGAAATAAAACAGCTAGTAGATAAGCTGCTTGATGATGAATTTCAACATGTGATTATTGAAGATATACTCTTATTAAAGAGCTCGACGTCCTTGAGGCTGTCGGCTCAACCATATGAGACTTATGCAGGGGAGCAAACGGTCATCTTCGACGACTTCCATGTGATCAGGCTCCAAGGAAAGCCTTTCAAGCATGGCTTCAATGTTTGCACACACGTATCTCTTAACAATTACACTTCTTCTTACTCTTGGCAATTGTGCACTGGAAGCAGCAGTCATGTGCGAATTTAGAATTCTTATCTGCACCATGGTGCCCCCTCTAGAAATTTGGTTTTCCTGGGTTTCTCTTCTTTCTGGGTGGAACACAGAGTTGTCAGGCTCATAAAAGCACGCAATAGTTTTCAAATAGCTCTTTCCAAGCCTCCTACATTTATTGTTACGGCGTAAAGAGTATCGTCGGGTTATGTGCAAGCGCTATTTGCAGGTAATCGTCTCGCTTGCCCTTGCACTTAGCTGGAGGCAGCTGAACTTGCGATCTGAGAGGCAGTGGAGTTGTTGAGATATAGGTTGATGCCAAAAAACTAATTGATGCAAGTTGGAATTCAGGCAAAAATATTCGATGTGTTGAAGCAAAGCGTAAAGGCTGGCCTTATTATGATTTCCAAGAGCTTGACACAACGGGATCTAAGTATTTAACACTTCTTGCAAAGTATTATTTCGATCTGATCGGGACATTTTTTAGCTATAAGCCATTTTAGCATGTCAATTTTGCATAGATAAGGCGCGATTTTATTTTCTCAATTTATCCCAGATATAAAATTGCTATTTTTTCGAAATTTTTTTTAATTTTAAAACCCCTTGAAGAGGAAGCCTATAAATTAATAAGTTTATTAAAATCTATCTAGCTCCCTTTCAGAATTTCTTCCATCAAATATCTTTATAATTCTATTTTCATCGAAATTTTTAGATAGCTAAAAAAGCTTCTCCATAATTTATTTGTTTCTAAGCAGTCCATTTTCCCAACTACTCAGAGAATATGCTTCGATCTTGTAAAAGCAACATTTAATCTTTTTTCGTCAGATATAAAAGCATAGGGTGGTTTTGTTGCTACTGACGAATAAATTATAGCGTCCTTTTCATTTCCTTGAAAGCCATCAACTGTTTGAATGGCAATATTTTTATTATTTGGGTCATCTTGAGAAAAATATTTTTTCAGTTCTTGTTCTTGAGCTTTATAAGGTTTTATAATCCCAACTTCAATGCTTGGATTTAAATTCTGAAGTTTTTGGACTAAAACTTTTATGAGCCTGATTTCTTGGATCAAGTAGATACTCGATAAGACTGAAGTCATCAAGTAATGGTAAGATTGCGAACTCTCTGCTCTCACTTGAAAATTGGCCGATTGATATCATTCTTCATTCTTTTATATTTTCTTTCATAAGGGTTTTTTCAATTTTAAAACCTATTCCTCCACTGTAGTGACCTCTTGATATCCCAATAAAACTATATGGAATTTCTTTAGAAAAATCCATGTCATAGTACCTTTTAAGAAAAATAGTTATTTCATTTTTTTCGACATTTAAAATCATTTGGACGATCAATATGATAGTTTCCTTCAATATCTTTTTTAATATTTACAGTTTTGATAAAATTTTGATTTTCATAGCATCTTTGCAAATGGATTTAGAAAATTCGTGCAAAAATGAATCAAGCAGTCAATTTCGGTACTCTTCTATGTTATTAAATATTCTGGGACTCTGACTTCTCTTATCCAATTCATAAAAATATCTCAAGTCGAAAGACATTATATATTCTTCAAAAGATTTATTCGAATCTTTTATTAGATTTAGCTGCTCCTTTAGGCTTCTGCATCCTTTTGATGATAAAGCATTAGGGTTTGCATCTTCTCTATCTCTTTTTTGAAGCTTCTGAGGCATTGGATCGTAAGAGAAGGCAGGGATCCACTCTAAAGATCGAGATGAGCTGGTGAGAACATAATCCACCCAGAAGTTTTGCTATTCAATTTTTTCTTTGATTTCCTTTTATGCTTTAAATTCAATGAATCTTCTTGAAGTGTTGAGTGAAATACTTTCAGTCTTTCTTCCATCATAAATTGCTGATTTTTCATTTTAATTAAATTATAAGAACCTTTACCGCAAGATGAATCCTTCGAAAATTCACATCTTTCTATGTTTTCTATGTGTTTTTTAAAATAAAAATTAAGCCCCAAATTCTGTTTTAATAAAATGGCATTATTTATATATGAAGTATATTGAAAGTATTTTCTGGTTTTCTCAAATGTTTGATGCGACCTATAAGAAATATTGCTAAAGCAAATAGAGAATGAATAGGCACATCTAAGTGTAATCTTAGATTTTTGCACTTCTTCGTCTATTGAAAAATATCCTTCATATAGTGATTTAAATATTTAAAATAATTCAAAAATTTAGTTATTCATTATCTGCTTAATTAATGAGGGTAAGGCTTTTAAGTTTATTCTTTCGAAGCTTCCAGACTATTTTGAGTTTAAACAAATGAGGCAGACCTCAAGATCCTTTAAACTAATACACTTTTGTAAATAATAGTTTGTCAAAAGTAATTGGATCTTCGCTCCAACTATTAAAGCAGATAATCCTTTGCTTATTAGCATTGCAATAAATATGGTGCTTTTGCAGTCCAAGCTGATCCATAACCAAAAATAAGTGAAGCTCTTCATTGATTTTTATATCTTTTATCCTTGTTCCAAGATTCTTCGAATTAAGTTTTGCAATTTTTTTCACTCCGCAAAAGCTCATTGTATCTCTAACTTTCAGCTTAGGAATTTTCAATAGATCTTTGCTAATAGGTATTCCTATTCCAATACAAGCTGTAATGAGGCACATTCCTTACAACTTAGTTCTCCTGGACTCTGAATAGGCTTTTCTCTCAAGCTCAGTATTTTTTCGTTATTTTCTTCAGCCCAATTAAATATCATAGGCTTTCTAAAATTCGTTCTTTCAGGGGACAAAAAAATATTGTGAGAAATTTGTAAATAAAGGTGAATTATCATGCCAAGGGTTCAGACTTTTAGGCTAATAAATTTCAAGCAGAATTTATATTTTCCACAAAAATTAGAATCATTATTATCATCATATATTTCAATATTTTTAAGCTGTCTCTGGAATAAATTTGCATATTCTTCTAAAATTTTCTTTATATATTGATACTGCTGTATAATTGATATCATTTGCGTCTAATTCATTAATCTTTAATATTGCTGAAATGATCTGGTCCATATCAACAAGCTTCTTACAGAGTAAGCAATTTGAATTTTTAAATTTCAGACATTTTTGGCTTGCTAAAATGGCTTATAGCTAAAAAATGTCCCGATCAGATCGAAATAATACTTTGCAAGAAGTATTAAATACTTAGATCCCGTTGTGTCAAGCTCTTGGAAATCATAATAAGGCCAGCCTTTACGCTTTGCTTCAACACATCGAATATTTTTGCCTGAATTCCAACTTGCATCAATTAGTTTTTTTGGCATCAACCTATATCTCAACAACTCCACTGCCTCTCAGATCGCAAGTTCAGCTGCCTCCAGCTAAGTGCAAGGGCAAGCGAGACGATTACCTGCAAATAGCGCTTGCACATAACCCGACGATACTCTTTACGCCGTAACAATAAATGTAGGAGGCTTGGAAAGAGCTATTTGAAAACTATTGCGTGCTTTTATGAGCCTGACAACTCTGCGTTCCACCCAGAAAGAAGAGAAACCCAGGAAAACCAAATTTCTAGAGGGGGCACCATGGTGCAGATAAGAATTCTAAATTCGCACATGACTGCTGCTTCCAGTGCACAATTGCCAAGAGTAAGAAGAAGTGTAATTGTTAAGAGATACGTGTGTGCAAACATTGAAGCCATGCTTGAAAGGCTTTCCTTGGAGCCTGATCACATGGAAGTCGTCGAAGATGACCGTTTGCTCCCCTGCATAAGTCTCATATGGTTGAGCCGACAGCCTCAAGGACGTCGAGCTCTTTAATAAGAGTATATTCTAAATAAAGTGTTTGAGCAGACAGATAAACTTGTGAAAATGTTGAAAAGCTCGCAGGGGGAAGATAATTTGGCAAAACTTATTCCAAAGGATTTGGATAAGCTCAGGCTGGAAAGTTTAGTTGATAATAAAATACACTCTGGGACTTTACAGCAGAGCTTGGAAACATTGACTGATTTGCTAGTTAAAGATATGAAAATAAACGGGCCATAATTTATATGATATACAATTTGTGCATAATACTACATATTATTGTGATATATAAAGAAATTTATTTATAATTTGTCAATTTTTTATATAATTCCAATTTTTAGTTTCATTATTTTAAAATGTGCAAAATCGACTGAGCCAAATAAATCTAGTCAAACTTATAGGTCAGCTAGGAGTAATAAAAACTGACGAATCCTCAAAATGGCTAAATATCAGCCACCCTCATCTTTTAATTGTTTTCAAAGCTTTTTATTACGTTTTTCAAGCAACTCTACAACGTTTAAGTATTTTTGGAACAATTGTCCTAAACAAATTAGGAGCAAATGGCGATATGAGTTATTATGATTTAAAGCAAGTCCTATACAGCCAAACTAATTCTAGGCAGATAATTTCTGATTTAAATCAATTCGAAACTACATTAGCAGGCTTATTTTTTTCAAAATATACCAAAATTTTAAGAATCCGCTCAGAATCAATAAAATCTTTAAATCTTTTAGAGCTCTGTCAGCTTTATGAACAAATAGAAAAACTGTCTTCAGCCTGAAAAAATTTCTCAAATCAGCAGTCAAATTCTGCTTTAGCTAGTTTTCTCCAGCATGAAAAAGACTATCCCTATATAAATAATCTGGCCATTTTACAATACTTCTCTTTATAATATAATAAATATTATAATTAACTATATATTTCTGCGTTCCATGAGAAAAAAATTGGTGAGCTTTCAGCTTTATTAGAAGGCGAAACCTGGGCCAAAGTCGACGTCCCTGAAGACATGCTCCAAATTATTATGTCCCACCGGTCAGAATCAGCAAGAATTGGAGGTATGAGACTAGAAACCCCAGACTTCTCAGCGACAGCTTGCTTACTGATGTTTTACAAAATCATTTATGAGTACGTCAAAATGTGTGAAGAACTTCAAATCCCTAACGAAATCGGAAGCAGGATGGTCGAAATGCTTAAGTTTTACAACTCAAAGACCTTCCACCTCATAGCATCTGCAGGAGCAACCCAATTTCGGCTTAAAAAAATCACTTCCAAGCATCTTGGGTTATCTGTACAAGGGATTACTTTTATTTTAGAAGAACTCCCATATATAGAAATGAGACTTTCCAGCAAAATTAAAGACTATGACACCTTATTATCCCCTGAAATCCAGTCTGCCAAAGATGACTATAACGCCCATCTTAAAGAAGTCTACAATAAAATCACCCGAATTATTACAGAAAGGGTCACTAAAAAGTGCCAAGAAGCCACAAAAGACGCCAAATGGGAAATGATGATATCCCCTAACCAAACAGACAAAGATTACTATATAAACCAAATAATATCTGACGTGTCTTCTATGAACAGCATTTTATGCACAGTTTTGAATGCTTCACAAATGCAGATAGTCTTTGGGCAGATTTTTAGCTCGATACAGGAATCATTGATAAATTTGTATGGGTCGATTGTGATTGATTCGTATACACCGGCACAGAGGGTGAAAAATGATATGCAGAAACTTGTGATGAGCTTGAGGGAAAAGCTGGGATCGAGCAGCATACAGGAATTTATTGAAGATTTGGAAGAAAGGCTGCAGAAGTTTGTGGCTGATAAGTGCCAGGCTTATTTGAATGTGTAGATATAGAAGGATACTTTAAGAATTAAATATTAAGTTAAGATGATATAAAAATATAAAAAGTATAATAAAATGAGAAAGTCTTAATCGGAAATTAAGGTCACTTTAAATTATAATGTATTGCATAAATTGTTTAACCCATTAAAGTTGCTAAGAGCATCAGGCTTAATTTATCATATGTGGTCTCCTCTTAATGAAAAATTAGAATAGTTCATCAACTAGAATTTGTTTCAAAAACTTATGCTATCTAATGCCATTGTTAAGAGGGCAGTTTTATGATCTATGATGTGTGATGATATGTATTATTGATCTTTCCAGCAGGCTATGTGCTATGTTATGGTTTGCAATTGTGGGATAATAATATAGCTCACTCCCCCCTCCGTGAGTGAACAAAAAAATTTTGTTCACTCACGGAGGGGGGTTAATTTTTGTTTTTTAAAAAAATTTATATATAAAAATTTTATAAAACATATTTTTTTTAGAAATTTAAAAAAATCCTAATTAGTAAAAATTGGAAAGCAAATATTAATTTAATTTATAAAATTTATGTTTTAAAAAGCAATTTGTTCAAAATTAAACAGAATTAGCACTATATTTCATTATGCTAATTATCACTTATATATCAAAGTTTTTTTTCATAAAAAAATTTTTCTATTAAAAAAAATTTTTGTTCACTCACGAGGGTGGGGTTTTTGGGCAAAAAATAGCGATTTTTCTAATGGTTTTGTTCACTCACGGAGGGGGGGGGAGTCAGCATTTCAATTATGGCTAAGCCTCACCGTGAATTAGTAACACTAGGAGAAGGCTGGAATTAATACTGATGCAAAAGCATTTAAATGATAAGACTAATTTATTGAGAAAGATTTTTTTGGATATATTTATCTAATTGATTTTATTGCATGCCTTTTGAAAAATAAAAACATTTTTTGCTCGTTAAATTAAAGTATCTCTACCAAAAATATTTTTGGATGCAAAATATGATTTTCAGATACCCTGTCTACTTAATTTGGTTCACTGAAGCTGAGCTTGACTCGTCAAAAATGGCCGAAAAGTGGATTTTAACTTTCATATAGAAAAATAGTTTGAAATTCTGGTCGGATTTAATTGGACAATAAATTTTTCCCATGCAATCTTTCATCGAAAGCACCTTTAGTTCTTACTAATGCATGCTCACCATCCTGGCCTAGCTATTAAACCTCAATAAAACTTCGTAATACCACGCATATAAAAATCTAGGATACAGCAGTGACACTTATCCAATTAAGTGCATTCAAATTTGCAATTAAGCACTGCGTCCGTATACTGGAGTTTTGCCACATAAATATCATTAAAATCGCATTTCATCCCATAAAACGTGCATAAGCATTGAAAATTAAATAGATTAGCAAAACTCTGAGTCACAAACTGAAACTGAAATCGCATCTAAAATTTGCATTAAAGTTGTTCGATCAAAAACAATGCTTTCAACCAACCAGAGGGTAATAAATTTATCTAATTACTAATATTAAATATTGAGAACTGCTAATTTAATTTGTAAATTTTTGTAGTTGTAACCTTTTGCGAATTACAGTAAACCGAGAGCATTAGAAAAATTGGTTTTTAACTGTATCATTTTTATTTATTTGGAATTGGTAGCTTATATGAATATATGGCAAAATTACTATTAAATATTAAATGCCAACAATGTTATGTATATCATAAAGCTACCAATTAAAATATAAAAATTTTGCATAGTTAGGCTAATAAAGGTGTCAAATTTTAATATCTAAACATTCTATAGAATTAGCATAAACACCAAAATTCTTATTTTTTTATGGACTTTTTAATCAATTTTCCTCAAATTCTCAAATTTCTTACATTTTCAATGCTTTTGAAAATTCTGTCACCTTTTCTTTGTGAGTTCCATTTTTACTGGATAATTTACTTTAAAATCATGAGTGATGAAGACTCTCCTATAGATGAATACGAAGTCATCATAAAGAAGCAAACCAGCCGCACTTCAGAAGATAATGAAGGATCTGAAGAAGATGAAATTGACGTCAAAAAAGAAAAATTGAGACTTTCTCCACAACAGCTGGAAGATATTAAAACAGGTCCTGATGGGCTAAATAGTGATGAAGTGAGGGAAAGACTTGCAAGAGATGGACCGAATGAACTCCCTGAAAAGAGGGTCAACCCCTGCTTAAAGTTTTTGTCTTATTACTGGGGCCCAATGCCGATTATGATTTGGATAGCGTTTATCCTTGAAGTAATCAGGCAATCGTATATATACTTAAAGGATTTAATTTATATCTAAATATTAATAATGAAATTAAATTTATTAAGTTGTACGATTTTTTTCAATGCTTAATTACATATAAAAGACATAGATTTTTGTGTCCTTTTCATTCTACAATTTTTCAATGGCTTTGTAGGCTGGTATGAAGAAAAAAACGCTGGAAACGCCATCGATGCGCTAAAGAAAAATTTAGCTCCGAAGGCAAAAGTAAAAAGAAATGGGGAATGGGGAGTAATATTATCAAAAGAGCTAGTTCAAGGGGACAGAATCAATATTAAGCTTGGCGACATTATTCCTGCAGATTGTGTCTTAGGCCCTGGATACGCAGAAATCGATCAGTCTGCGTTGACGGGCGAATCATTAGCCGTAACAAAATTTGAAGGCGAAATGGTATATCAAGGCTCAGTCTGTAAAAAGGGAGACTTACTTCCCCTTATGTTTTTTATTTTAAATATTATTGTTTTTTATGTTATTTTTTAACATTCCACTAATAAATGAAGAAGAGTTAGAGGCAATTGTAGCGGCAACAGGCGCAAATACATTTTTTGGAAAGACTTCTACCTTGGTAGGCCAAGCTCAAAGTAAAGGAAACTTCCAAAAAGTCATATTAAAAGTGACAGGAGTCCTTATGGTAGTTTCATTAATCCTTGTGACCATAATCCTAATCGTTGTCCTCACCAAAGGAAATGATTTTTTAGAGACTCTCTCACTTTGTGTAGTCATCCTCGTCGCTTCTTAAATCTTAATTAGCAGATAGACGTGATCGTATTGGCTACCCGCCACCAAGCTTAATCTACTTTGCGGCGTTCCTTGTCAGATCCTTGAGATGAGTTGGCTGGAAAGTTGCTCTGGCACCACCTTGCTTGGAGGAAAACCTGGAATCTAATAGGTGATAAATGCCTGCCCTCAGCTTTAGCTGCTAGTTCGCCTTTAAGTAAGGCTTAAAAACTTTATGTCAAGAGGTTGTCGAGATATGATCGCCATTTTATGTATCATCCTCTTCGCTTCAATTCCTATCGCCACACAAGTGGTATGCACAGCTACAATGGCTGTAGGAGCCCATGCACTAGCTAAACGGCAAGCTATTGTAAGTAAACTAAGTTCTATCGAAGAGCTAGCTGGTATGCAAATCTTATGCAGTGACAAAACAGGCACTTTAACAAAAAATGAGCTCACAGTAAAGCACCCTATTTCACTAAAACATGTAAAGCAGCAAGAAATTTTTGTAGTTGCAGGCCTTGCTGCGAAAAGAGACCCTACATCTCAAGACGCTATCGATAAATGTATTACTGAATATGCAGTAAACTCTTTAAAATTGACGTTTGAGAATTATGAAGAATTAGAGTTCATTCCTTTTGATCCAAGCAATAGGAGGACTGAAGCGACAATTAAAGATAAAACGACGGGGGATGTATTTAAATGCACCAAAGGAGCTCCACAAGTGATATGGCGTATTATTAATTTTTTTAATTTTTTACGTTAAATAAATCCTATTTTATAAGACTCAAAAATTGTTCCTGCAACTGATAAGAAAAATATCCAGGCTGTATACTAAAAATGTCAAATGACCAAAGCATAGCTGATGAATGCGCCAAACACATCGAACAAATTGCCTCAAGAGGCTACCGAACCCTAGGAGTCGCCAAATCTACAGAAGAAGGAGTCTGGGAAATGCTCGGACTAATCCCTCTCTACGACCCTCCTAGAGACGACACCAAAGAAACCATCCAAAAAGCCAAACAAATGGAAGTTGCCGTCAAAATGATAACAGGCGACCAGCTCGCAATTGCAAAAGAAACAGCCCGCCTTCTCGACCTCGGCGACAAAGTGTATAATTCAGAATTTCTAACTGGCAATGAAAACGTCATAGAAAAAGAAGTCGTGAAATCTTTGATCCAAGACGCCAATGGTTTTGCTGAGGTTTTCCCTGAGCATAAATTTGGGATCGTCAAAATTCTTCAAGAAATGGGAAAACGTGTCGGAATGACAGGAGACGGTGTCAATGATGCCCCTGCCTTAAAGCAAGCTGATGTCGGAATTGCAGTAGATGGCGCAACGGACGCTGCCAGAGCTGCTGCAGATATCGTCTTGACAAGCCCAGGCCTTTCAGTCATTATTGAAGCTATATATAGAGCTCGAAAAATATTCCAAAGGATGAATAATTATTGTATTTACCGTGTAGCCTGCACAGTGCAGCTGCTGGTATTTTTCTTTATTACAATGTGTGCTATAAACCCTCAAAACTTTGACTGTGGCGTAAAATCTCCAACTGATGATTATTGTGATAAAGTCCCTAATACTTTTTCCCTTCCTGTAATTGCAATTGTATTGATCACCGTGCTTAATGATGGGACGATTGTGTCAATTGCGTATGATAAAGTAACTGTGTCGAAAAAGCCTGAAAAATGAAATTTGACACTGATGTTTTTTAATTCCTGCACGCTAGGGGCGATTGCTTTGGTTTCTTCAGTTACGTTAGTGCTGCTAATGCTTTCAAATATGGATTATTATGACTCTTTTTCATTCTTCAAAGCTTTTGATATTGATGCGTTTAAGTATGGAGAAATTTTGACGGCTTTGTATTTGAAGGTGTCAATATCTGATTTTTTGACACTGTTTTCAGCTAGGACTAGTAGCTGGTTTTGGACGAGGATGCCAAGCAGAATACTTATATTTGCATTTATTTTTGCGTGCATGACTGCAACGCTGTTTTCTTGCTATTGGTGGCTGGATTTTACTGATGCAGGTGGAAACATCCCTAATATGAAATCAATATCATGGAGACTAGCGGGATGGATCTGGGGCTATGATATAATATTTTTTATTATACAAGATGTAGTCAAAGTTTTTGAGCTGAAAATGGTCGAAAAGTACTATAAACTGCAAGGAAAAGAAGTTGGGTATTCAGGGTCGCTATTGTCTGATAGTTTTCTTACTTTTAAAACAGGCGCTGCTCAAAATATTATAAGAAAAGCTACTTCATCTATTATGAGTCAAAATTCTTTGATGGATTATCACCACAGCAAAGCAGTTTCTTCAATTATGAGCAAGCATTCCTCAATGGCCCATAATGTAAAAGCTAGTAAAAAAACAGCTATATAAATTTTACATTTAGTTTAATTATCTGAAATTTTTAAATCTTAATCTACAATATAAACTATCAGAATAACTTATATAAAGCAGTCAGTTGAGGCAATAAAAATGTCAAAAGCATTCCAAGAGCGCTTCAAAACAAAATCAAGCATAATGAGCAAATCAGGAGACATTGATATTGACACTCTTCACGCAATCAACAAAAGTGAACTGAGATCGTCTATAGATTCTGCTCGCTTGCCATCAAATCCGTTATTATTTCCTCCGATCCAAAAATCACCAATTTCTGAAGAGGTTACCAAATTGAAAAATTTTAATCCTTCTATTACAAATAACAGTAATAGACTCAACCCTATGTATAGATAATTTAGAACCTCCCCAAGAAACCAAGAAAACTCGAATAAAAGATACTCAAAACTCAGTGTCAGCCCGAATAAGTTATACAAAAATTTATCACAGCATGCTATTGAAGAAAGAAAAGGAAATTTGGCTAGTAACGTAGATATACCTGTTTGCCAAGAATAGCTCACTAAGGAGCGCTTTTTGGTTCGCCATTCTTAAATTTGGTTAGCCAGAAAATATGCCAAGCCAGCTATAGCCCGGCCAACCAAAAAATACTCCTTAGTGGGTAATTCTTGGTAAAAAGTATATTTCAATGGATAGTAGCGTATACATAGCAAGCCATAAGGATTCTTATGTAAATAACTATTATTGGCAGGCAAACCATAAGCCTTCTTATGTGGGAGGCGAAAAGTGGCTTATTGAAAAAAGCAAAAGAAGACAAAATAGCTACGCGGAAAGAATACAAAATGTAGTAGTCGGAGCTAAAATTAATGCATTTAGCTTTCCTCAACACATTTATCACGGAAAAAACAATGTGGAACAGAAACCGAGAGTTTATTTTTAACTGTATTAATTAATTTAATGCTTAAATCGATATTTTTGTAAAATTCATTTAAAATTTGATAAAAAAAATTATATAATTTTTTAAGGTATTTTACAAAGAATTTTTTTTTGATAAATTAAATCTGGTATAAATCTGGCTACATTGGAAAGGCTATAGTGTGTAAAATTAATAAAAAATATTATTTAAATGTTGAAAAGAAGAGAAGAGAAAAAAGAAGAAAGAAAAGAACAGCCAGGAGCTGTTTTAAGAGCTGATAACCCTTTTTTCGGAAAGCAGCTAGCTGATATCCTTGACGAGCTGGATAATTAATATGGTGATGGCGACAAAATATATTCTTACCGACAACGCACCACTGTGGGTGCCAAAATGGCTTTATTGTCTATAAAAGATCCTTTGATTCTAACCCTAAGAATGTTTAGTTGCTGTATGGGGTAGGGTGGCATTGTGAGTCAGCTGGTAGCCATTTCTGTCCAGGTATTAGTTATTGGGTGGATTTTAGGTCACAGGCTCGGTCCCGGTCTATTCCGGACAGCCGTGCTTTTTGCCTGGGTGTCGCCTTTCCTCAAGGTGGCTGAGAGGAGGTATTGGACTGACCTTTACCTCCATAGCACCGCAAGACGAACAGCACCAGGGTCTTCCGAACCCATCCAAACTCAGGGGCAAAGTGTAATCTTACGAGCTGGAAGGCCCATCTCCGAATATGAGAAACCTTGAAAGTTTAAGAGACAGTTATCTAAAAGACCCTGAATGAGCAGTATACAACCCCCAATCTTCTGCAAGCCTAAAACGAAAAACTAAAGATGTCATGACTGATCTTATCGAAGTCCAGCACAAACTTGGCGCCGCTATGGCAGCTATTCATGAGCTTAATGAAAGATTAGGAAGATTTAGCTCTTAATTTGCATTATTTACTTAAAATCTACCTAAAAATCAATGAAAATACGCCAAATTCTGAGCAGTCTTTAACCATATAACCTTTAAATCTATTTATTGATTAGAAATTCCTTTTTTCACTTTTTCCAAACAAGTCAACACATGTCGGCCATACGGAAAAGTCTTTAAAGCAGCTGAGTGCTCAGTGACTTTCAAAATCAGCTGATTTTGTACCTCACCTCTTGAAACTTCCAGTGCTTTTTGGATCACAAAATTGGCAAATTTGTCAGTCATAAGCTCAAATACATGCTCAGGGGCAAATAGTTCTTTGGCAAAAGCCCTTATATGTTCAGGGTTGCCTACAATTAAGCATTTTTCTATGACATTGCTGGCGAATTTATGTTTGCTAAGCTCATATAGTCTTCCAAGGAAAGAGACAATTAATTGGGATTTTAATGGGGCTTGTTCTTTGTCAAGGATATGCTGGATAACGTAGTTGCCATAATTTTTCTTGCTGAGGTCAACAGCATTTCTTATAATTGCATTGACCATATCCATGATGGCTTCTTTAGGACAAAATTCGATAATTCTTTGGACAACTCTGCAGCCATAGGCATGCTCAGCCCAATAAATGGTATTCATTCTTAAGTCATCTACAATAAAGCTCATATAAGGATAAGGGAGCACTTCTACGCATTTTTGTACAACATGATTATACCATATATCATTAATTTTGGCTAAAAATTGGCTAAATTTAATAGGCTTATAATTAATTTTCTATAATATAGCATTTTGGTCCTCAACGCATTTTTCCACATGTCCTCTTAGTTCATGAGCCAAATATCTTTTTTGGTCTATTTCTACCACTTCTAAAGCCTTTTGGACAACTCTGCATCCATACATGTGGGTGGAGAGCTCAATGACTCTTCCTGACATCAAATTTGCAATTGACCTTCTTTGTTCTAGATTTCCATATTCTAACACTTTCTGAACTACGTAATTTCCGAAGACATCGACAAGCAGCCCAAAACCAGCTCTGTAGATTTCTTCGAAAATCAGTTGTTTGTCTTCTGGGAGTACTGTTTCGATCTTCTGCTGCAAATATCTTGATCCTGCCTGCTCTCTAGACATCTCGGCTATTCGGCCTCTTATATCTGCCAACTCACTACGTTTCGGTGGAGGCATCGATACTTGGAAGTTCCCTGGCACAAACTCAGCCGCACCTAAATTCAGCGATGGCCCATACACAGATGGCTGTGCAGGCTTTGGATCTTCATTTATACTTAAAGCTGCTAAATCATTCGTAGCTTTCGGAATAGAATATTCTTCCTCTTTTTCTGGCCAAAACACTTGTGGAAATGGCAAATATTGGGTTTTTTATTTTAAATAATTAAAATTTTTATTGTAAAATACTAATAATATTATAAAATCCATCTAAAAATTGTTATTTAAAAATAAGGCTAATTTTCTATCCCACAAATATACAGAAGGAGCCGATGTCGGTCTTTCAATGAGTTGGTCAAGTTCATCTTTATTGAGGAGCACATGCCGCTTGGTTTTGGTGAACCGTCTGAATTGTTCTTCGTCTGAGTCGTTGTCTTCAGCAAGAATATTTCCGATTAGTTTAATTTCGTTCATATCTACAGCTATTATAATAATTCTCAGATAATAAATCCATGCTGGGCATTTCTTTGGTATTGTTTAGTTAAAAATTAAGGAAAACTTAAAGAAATTAGACTGGAAAATATATTAGAATAAATATGCAATCTGAGCCTCAAAGCATAGCCCATGAAATCGTGATTGACAATCGATCAAATTCTTTAAGTGATATCAGCGAGCTGCCAAGCTACCTTAATGTAGCGGTAAACCAGAACAACCTTGACAACCTTGATGAAAGTAATTCCAATGATATTTTTATCAACATTACAAACTGCTCAGCACCTGTACATCCAAGTGTATATAACTCTATTCCTATTAATGAACTTGACCTAGGTATTGAGCCTAACTGAGAACTCTCACAAACCTGCTGCAGAGCAATCTATCGTGTAGAAGCACCCAATGGAGACGCAAGAAAAGTTTATGCCTTGGCTCAGCTTAGAAATAGGTCAAGCTGCAGAGTTTTGATGAGCAGGAATAGAGAAATCCCTGTAATAAAAGAAGCTCATTATGAACTTCAGCCAATTGAAAATACGTTTTTAGAAGAAATATGCAGCCAAGAAGAGTTACAAGATTTTTGCAATGGGGCAGCGATTTATTGTAAAGATATCATACGCAAATTAAACCATTTAGTTTTATTTTACAATGTGACCTCCTATCTATCCCTTATAATATTCGTATTTTTAGCTTTTCTGTTTTTAGCACTAAACCAAGTGGTGTTGACTTTTGTACTGGTAGGGCTTTTTATGCTATTTATATATGCCTTCCATCATAAGTTTTTTGTTTTTATAAGAGGATACCCAGAAAAAGTGAATCAAAAATTGGCTGAATATTTGACTTTTAATAAAATAAACCTAGCACAAATCGGCATAAACCCAAGACCTGGGCCTTTCGGGATTTATATTGAATTTACTCCTTATGTATAAATAAATGATTAATGCAGTAAAATAGTTAATTATGGTCAGTATTAGATGAATTTAATGAATCTTCTTCCGTTGCAGAATTTTGATATCATGCCAGTGGTGACAGGATGAACTCAAAATTTTTGCCAGGAAAATAAAAACTGGCTGGAAGGCCACGGGGTCGCAGGTGGCAGAATTCTCGGATGGGTTGCGGTCTGGGCTAACTGGGCCTCCCCTCGACCCACAGGCAAGAAGACTGGCGGCGCAACACCAATCGAGCACTTCTGGAGGTTCATTATTGTGTCTGTAAATGGCAGATATAGTTCCATAAGGAGGCATCAGACGGTACCCTCACACCCTGAGCACTGTCAGAGATTAAGAGAGTCCTTTGCTGAAATTTTTTGGTTCAAGCAGGTTCGGGTGAGTCTCCCGAAAGATGTGGCATCATCATTTTTGGTGACGTCGACAGAAAAGGGCGTAGGTGGCTTTAGTGATTAGCTCCAGATGAGCGTGAAGCTGAAGCTCGACTGGATCAGGGGCTGAAATAAACCCCGCTTTAACCCTCTCTAATCCTAACTCTCTCTCTTCCGTTGCTTCTATATGTACAACAGAAGTTGATCCTCTTCTCAGACTCCATTTTTTGGACAAATTATCATATACAGAAACATTTTCATTTTTAATCACTGTTTTGACCCTATTCCTATGCCTCGCTGACTTATATTCCCAAGACCTCATATTGATTTTTAGCTGATCCATACAATTTGAGTCAATATATGACGACTGCAAAAACTGGTTAAAAGCTTCATATAGCGGCATCACAATATTTTTCAAAAACCCAGCTTGCGATTTTGCAACGTCTGTGGTCTCTCTATCACAATACATAGAAATTGGCTGATTTTTAAGCTTTTCTATGTCCCCTTGGTTAAAAAATTCTTCAATTACTAGCAGGCTCCATCTCTCATGCAGTTCTCTGCTTTTTGCAGCATGGCCAATATCAGCGGATTTTACCATAATTTTCATGATATCGATTCTAGTTTCATAGTTTTCAAGGACTTTTGGAGAGGAATTCATTAATTTGACGCGAAATTGGCCTAAAATATCGAAGTGCTTTTGCATGTCAGTGGCAAGGATCATTTCTACAATTTCTTTGCGGACCATAATTCAGGTATCCGAGCTTAAGGTGCTTAAAATATTGGCATTAGTCTGCTTCATTATTTGGAAAACGGTGGAGCAGTGCATCATTTCGAGGACTGAAGTGTCATTATAAAGAATTGCAAGCTCATCTTTATTTGTGACTAAAAAACGATTAGAAAATGCAGGATGGCCTACATCGTGGCCTAAACATGCAATTATTGTAGCTAATATATCAAATTCTAAATAAATATTCTACTTAAGGCAAATTTTAGCTATATTTTTTGTATTAAAAATATAATAAAATATATCATCATGCAGAATAATCTGACAGAATAGATTTGTTAATAAAATAAATGGAAGACGCCAGCATATCTGCAGCATGTGAAGAGTTATGGAACGGATTATTTTTATATAGCGATTCCAATTTTTCAAAAAAGCAGGTATACACTGATTCAGGTATGCTAAAAGTGTCATCAAGCCTATATTTTTTTATGCAGTAGCTCCCAACAATATGGAGAGGCTTATCATGGGTGCAGTCCTTTAAAAAAAACATATCAAAATTCCAGTTTTTCCCAATCTGGCTGAGGACACCTATAAGCTCATCTTCATGATACTCTTTGCGGAGCTCTGAAGTTTTTAAAGTTCTCATGCGGTGCCTTATTCTTTTTTCTGGCAAATATTGCAAGCCAGTTCATGTTTCTTTGATATAGCGGCGGTCTTCTGGGTCAATTCCATAAGTTATCGCTTCTATATCAGCAGAATATATATTCTTTATATGATAATTTATCATTTACTTCTATAATATTCAAATAATTATCAATTATTTCTCCTATTATATTACTTTTTGACGAAATTATCCCAATTACTGTGTTTGCTAATTTTATTGCCCCATTAAGTTTCAATTTCAGTTCTCCTGATAAAGAATCAGCGACATACTGGATAAGCGAAATCGACTCTTTTATTTTAGAGGTAACTTTTTCAAGCTCACTTGTAGCTGGCTCATTATCATGGTTTTCTGGCTCATTGGACTTAGAAATTTGCTCAATTTGGAACTGTTCTCTTGCAGAGTGCTCAATGGTATAAAATTTTCTAGTTTCAAAAGAAATCTGAAGTAAATAAATTGATATTTCAATAAATGTAGCTAGGTAAGACTGCTCTGTCAATATATGAGAAACAAAATAAATCAAAGCGGTAAATAAATTCCAAAGCGCAAAGCATAAATAGCTTGTGTGGAGAGTAAATTTAGAAATTATTAGCATAATGATTAGACCTGGGATACAAGAAACACTACCACTTATATCCCCTTCAAAAACTTCATTAAGAACAGGCGCATCATTTAAAACCAAAAATAGTCCAGTAAAAAAATAAGTCAGCTGGAGCAAAAATAAATTGTGAAACTTAAACTTGATGTAAAAGATGAGGAAAAATGTTATAGAGTTTATCAAAATAAGGCCTCCGAATAGAGAAAGCTCAAATATGATGATTTTTGAAGTGCAAGCTGAGCTAAGTGCGTTATAAATATACACAATAAGGTATAAAATACATATCAAGTAGTAGTTATAAAAAAAGTGCTTCTTTTGTATCTGAATTTCTAAAAAAGCTTGAAATAAGTCAGAGCCAGAAAGGACTTGGCTTTGGTATGCTTTTTCTGTAGCTTCATTTGAAAATTTCAGAGAAAAAGCTTTTTTGCTTCTGCAAGGTGAATCGCCGATGTATGTGTTAACTGACGCTGCATGTAAGCCATCATCATGGCTAGGAGAAGGACCTATTTTCATTTATAAGCTAGAGATTAATTTTTCATTAGATATTATAGTGGAGAATGTACAATTGGAAGATAAAGATTGAGGGATAAAAATAGCCTTTTGCTTGAATTAATTTTGGAAAATAAAGGATTAATTCTCTCTATAATTCTAAGGCATCAGCCATAAATTTCACTGATTAAAAAAGAATTTTAAGAAGGTTTAAGATAAGTTGAAGAAAAAAAGGAGCGGCTTGGCTTGTACAGGCAGGGATAAGTGATTAATAAAATTATTATTAGGTGAGCTGTGGGAAAAGCAGGCACTTTTTGTTATTATATATTATAGAGTTCTCAGAGCAAATAGGTCTCTGCCATTATGTAAATTAGACATTAAACCAAGTTGATTTATAATTTTAATTTATACGATATTTTAAGGTTTTTTTAATAAATTGCAATGATCACTCTGGTCTCAAAGAATTATTTTATTCATTCCAAAACCTTAATATTTTTGTACCGTATATCTTAGAAATGATATATAAATTATTTATTTACAGTCCACAGCATTTTTTATTTGTTTTTTTCTTTTTCCTTACCATAGGAGAATTCTTTTTTAGGCATACTTTGATTGCTTCATCAAAAACTTGTTTAAGTCCTTCCTGAGTTAGTGCGCTACAAGGTAGCCAACTATAAAAGCCAACTTCTGCACAAAGATGCTGAGCTCTATTATCAGGGGCAGGTTCTTGTCTATTGTTTCTAGCTTCAATTGAATAATGATTGATCTGGTCTTTTTGTGTTCCAACTAAAATAACCGGGACATGATTTACATTATTTTCTTGGATTTCTGGATACCAATAAGCTCTTACATTGAGAAGGCTAGGTAAAGAAATCATAGAGTAGCAGACAATAATGATATCTGAAGCCTTTATTATGGGCCTTCTAAAATCTGCATGCTCTTGGTCTCTTCTCCCAGATGTGTCATAAATACTTAACGTGACTACTTCACTTCCAGCATTTACAAGAGCATTATAGTTATCTAAAATTGTAGGAGTGTAGACCTGAGGGAATGTGTTGGCAGTATAAGAGGCGACCATACAAGTTTTGCCTATATCTGAGTCTCCGAGAATTGTGCATTTTATTTCTCTATTCATTTTTTACTATTTTTCAAAAATTGAATAGGATGAGAAAATTGAAAGTTAAGATAGAAAATATAAAAATAAAGAATTTTTAATGTTCTAGGATACACACATTTAATAATATTTTAAATTTAGAGGATTTGGAATTATTATATACGATTTATAAAGAATTTTATTTCTTTTAACAAAGCAATTATATTTAATATGATATAGATTTAGGCATTAGAATAGATTTTTGCTTTATTAAGTTCCATTTTAGCTATTATTCATTAACTTAATAACTCCTCACTTGAATTAAATGAAAATATTTTCTAATCAAATGGATTTTAATTTTTATGAAAAAATAATTTATAAGACTATTCTATTCAAAGTATCAAATTATTTAAGTCTAATTATGCTCACCGAATTAAAACAGAGCAAGATATAGGCAAATTTTCGATTTTGGTGAAAAATTAGTACTGATTAAATTGGGGATAGCTATTTTCATAGGAATTATTATCATTGTAAAAATTACTAATTTTGTTCAAATTTAAAGGTTATAAGTAAGAGCTGAACCATAATCGTTTCATTTTTATAAATTCAAAAACTCCAGCATAAATTTTCAATTTCGCTTATATTAAGCATCTATCTAAAGCCACAAAACATAATTAGCCTCGCTCATGCTGAAACATTGAATAATATCAACAAAAAAACAATTAAAAGAGATAATATCATGAATCTCCATATTTAGCCTAAGATCATCAACTTTAAAAAAGCTGGACAAATAACTGTTTCAAATTTAGAATTTATCCCTTTTTTCTTATTTTTCAAGCGAATTATTCTATATTTTTTTCACCTTAATTTCCGCTAATTCATTTGCATCATCTATAAAAAATTATTACCAAACTTCCACAGCTTTTTTCTCTTGCATTTTTCTATCAAAATTGTCCCAAAATAATATCAATTTGCATAGAAATATTCTCCAACCATTCTCAATAATTATAATTAAATAATGAACATACTAAAAAAGCTTTACAACACTAGACTCCTAGCCCATTTTCTTATCACAGTCGAGATACTAGTAGAGCACGCACAAGTAATGTCCTTCTTGAAGTCCGCTCCTGATCCCACTGACAATTTATGGAACTCAGATGCCGTAGATGCCTTTGATGGGCTGAAAAAAATTGCCTTAAGATTTGATGACGATGCATTTATGGGGATCTATATCACCTCAATTGCCATTGTGGGAGCTACTTTTATCCTTTATTTGATCCTTGCAACAAAAGTCCACAAATGGAATAAAGGACAAGACACATGGGGAACCTTAGCTATATGGTTTGTGGAGCATATAATTTATGGGATTGGCTTTGTCCCGATCATATCACAATATGTGGCTCCTCAATATTGCAATCTTTATAGTGAGCTGAAATCTTATAACCTTTTTGATGATAGGTAAGCCAGTTTTTGAATAAATAATTAATATTGAAAATTCAAAAAAGCGAGGATACCTCACTCGATTGCTGGAAAACAGACCAAATGGCTATGCTGGAATTCGGATTTATTTTTACCGGTATTGCCTTGTTTATGGCTGGAGTTGTGGCACCAGTCCTTAAATCTGAGCGCAACGGGATCGAGAAAAGGTGGGGCAATGAGAGCTATTTCCCAGGAATGTACAAGTTGTATGTGATTGGGGTCGCATTTTTACTAGCACCAGTGGGCGTTCCTTATGCTGGGATTATTGTGACGATTTTTATTATACTGTACTTATTCTTTTTCGAGTGCTACAAAAGTTTACATGTTGCTAGTATGAGAATGTCGGTGCTATGGGGATCTTTATGGGTTTTCATCTGTGCTGAATCACTGAAAGAATCGACAAGCAGAGGGTCTGACATGCTTGCAGGTTGGATTCCTTTCTTAGTGTTTGGCTATATCATTATGCCATTGAAAGCACTGATTGTTAAAAGAGAGCTGAAAGTCTTGCCAATAGAAAAATATGCTTTATAAGAAAAATGAGGAATTATCAGAAAAAACTGCGACTGATTTTTTTTTTAAAAAAAAAAAATGATTGGAAAAGCAAATATGGGAACTATTAATTATTGGAATAGAAATCATATGGATTTAAGATAAATATTCATCTATACACAGTCTTATAAAATATTTAATAAATGCTAATGTCATTAAGGGGAAGGGGAAGGACTTACTCCCATACTTCTAAAGAAATCATATATTGACCAAACATAAGTTTAGATCGTCCTTTATAATCATTTTTGGCGAGAAAAAGGGGATTTGGTTTAACTAACTTTGTGTGAAAAGCCAACTTTTTAAAATTAGAGAAAACTAGCAGAATGGCTTAGTCACTGGGAGTTGGTTTTCTAACAAAAATTGTCCAGACCAATATCATTTTTCTGTTAGAAATGACCTAGAGCTAGAATCATACTCAGGCTATACAACTTTTCCCATATTTTTTTGGTCTGAAGTTAAAACTTGTTTTGGATTGTCTTTTATGGAGTCAAGCCACACAATAAAATCTTGGAAATTTTGCTGATACTCCTATATATAATTTACAGATTTTTCCGAGAATATATGAATCCATTGTAAACTGCCGATATCTTGGTTAAGTTCTTTTTCAGAGAGATCATTAGGCCTGAGGTTTATTATATCTATTGGTTTTCTTATAAATCAATAATAAAGAGTTAATTTCCCTATTAAATTAAAAATGAGAAACTGAAATTTTAATATAATTAATATATTTACTTTAAATTAATATAAAAACTGATTGCTTTTATAATAAATTTCAATATAAACCATATGGAATTTCTTTCTTGATACTGAAACTCCTAAAACTCTTACATAAGAGTGCTTTGAGCCAATAAAAGTTCCTTTAAAGCCCCTTATTTCCATTGGGACATACAGAGGGATTATCAATTTTAACTGCTCAAGTGTCTTCGCTGATTCAAAAAGACCTGTATAATCGAAAATTTTGACCTTATTGTCTTTAAACTTGCTGAGCTTAGGTGGTGATTTTGCTGATAAATCATTATTATCTCTATTTGTTTTGCAGGTGCAAGCTTCAAACAAATTCTCTGTGTTTCCCATTATAAATAATACAAGGGGAGAAAATTAATGAATATTCACAAATATGTAGTTCTATTAGAAAGAGTATTCTATTTAATTAGAATAAAAACTTGAGTGGCAAAGTCTATAAACTTTTGATGCTCAAGATTTTATTCTTAATAATTAGAATACATATTTAAGTGCGTGATTTAAAATAGTCGTTATAATTTTCTTATTAATTTATTATTTGTCATTTTTGGAAATTATTTTAGATATATTTTCCATCTCATATAAATTACTTATTTAGATCCTGCATTTATCATATACTTATTAAAGCTTTGATACTCAAATAATTAAAATAATTATGATATTTTAGCTTGAGAATACAAAAATTAGCTTCAAAATGATAGCTGCAGCTGGCATTAAAATTGCCCAAAACATGAAAATATGTAATATGAAGCTTCTTATTTTATATGGTTCACAAACAGGAACTGCAGAAGAAGTTTCATATGATTTAGCAAGAGAAGCAGCTCACAGATCAATAGAATCAGAAATATTCCCATTAGACTCTTTTCCTTTAGAAAATCTCATATACCAGCAACTTGCTATTTTTGTTGTCTCAACAACAGGCCAAGGCGAACCTCCTGACAATATGATAGTCTTCTGAAGAGCCCTTATGAATAAAAATCTGCCTAAAACTCTGCTAGAAAATATGAATTTTACTGTTTTTGGGTTAGGAGATTCGACATATGAGCAATTCAATGCTATTGCACGGAAGCTTTGGATTAGGCTAACACAGTTAGGAGGGAAAGGGTTTTACAGAAAAGGACTAGGTGACGAAATGCATGATTTTGAGTATGAGGCTGAATATCACCCTTGGTGTGAAGGATTATGAGAAGCGCTGGCTGGTTATTTTCCAATTATCAATGAGGTAGAAATCAATAATGAGCTATTTCCTCCGCTATATGTTATAGAAAATGTAGACTTGGCTGAACAATCGTCGAAGAGAAGCCAATTATCAGTTGTATCTAATCAAATTATCGCCCAAAAATATTCAATATCAAGAAAAATCGTATTGAGTGGTGACTTCTCTATAAACCCAGGCGATACTTGTTGCATTTATCCAGAAAATAACCCTTCTGAAGTTTCAAAACTAATGGAACTAATGGGCTGGCCTAATAACATCCTCTCAATTTCCATAAATCCTTCATATCCTTTACCCCCTAAAGATCTACCCTTCAACTCCCCTATAACCCTCCAAACCCTTCTTACAGCCTACATAGACCTTCACAAGCCAGCATCAAGGTATTTCATATGAATAATTTCCCATTTCGCTGATGGAGCCCAAAAAGAAAAATTAACTGAAATGAGCAGTAAAACTACAGAAGGCCGCAATGAATACCACCGATATGTGGTAAAAGAAAAACGCAATATCATAGAAATCTTATGGGATTTTACTACAGTTAGGAATCTTCCTTTAGAATATTTTATTGAAGCTGCAGGATTTTTAAAACCAAGAGAATTTAGCATTGCAAGTCCTCCTGGGAACTGTGGCCAGCTAGAAATATTAGTGAGCGCAGTGGAGCATTTTACCCCTATGGGAAGAGTTGTAAAAGGACTTTGTACACATTTTTTGGCAAAAATGCAGGCAGAAGAAAAGGTGTCTGCTTTTGTTAAAAGGGGGAGAATGCCAATTCCTCCTTTTAATGCACCATTAATAGTGATAGCTACTGGAGCAGGCTTAGCACCATTAAAATCACTGATTTATCATAGGATCCAAAATAATGCTTATGATAATACACTGTTTTTTGGATGCCGACATCCTGATTACGATTATCTTTGTAAAGACGAGCTTGAATCATTGCAAATTAAAAATCAGCTTACGATTTATATGGCGTTTTCTCAGGTTAGTGAGCATAAATTTTATGTCCAAAACAGAATAAAAAATGAATGAAAATTTTTCAGTGAAAAAATTTTAGCTGGAGCTTTTGTTTATATTTGTGGGAAATATAGGCAATTAGGAAAAATAATTGAAGATGCTACGAAATTTACTTTGGTTCAAGCAGGGATAGAGGAAGATGCAGCAAATGATATTGTTCAAAGGATGAAAAGAGAAAGAAGATTTTATTTGGAATCTTGGTAATTTAATTTCAAAGTAAAATAATTAATTTTCTGTGCATTATACATTGGAAACATAAATTTGAGGTAAATAAACAGAATAAATTTGGTTTAACCAAATGGATTAGATTTCTTATAGAAAATCTTTGAATTATCAATGAATGGAACACACTAAATTATAAAAAGGATAACAGTTGTTATGAATACTAAAGCTGCAAATAATTTCTATGATAATATTCATTATGAAAGAGAAATTAATAAGGCTAAAAGAATTATTGAGAACCGTTTTAAGGAAAAAATTTATTTTTACTAATTTTAGCAAGAAATTATTTTTGGAAATCAGATTTAATATAAATCCATTATTATTAATTTCTTAAAATGCTCAAGAGTATGGATAATGATCAATTTTTGCAAGAAATATTGCAGAAAAACTACAGCCAACATCTCCGACAGCTCAAAACCCCAATAAATATGCCCAAAAATCTCAAAAATAATGAAAAAATCCATAAATCTTGCAAGTGTCTTGTAGATTCAATAAATTTTGAAATTGACAAAACAATCATCCGTTTCTACAATAAAGATTTCGAGACACATAAAAAGGCTAGCTATGTTCTAAGCCCTAAGCCATCAAAATTCTATAATGATAAGTTCAAGACATCTCGGCTTTTTGAGCCTTCCGATAACTGCAATTTTAAATACAAAACAAAAAGCTTAAGTAACTTCAATGCAAATCCCTTGAAATATAAATTAAAGCAGCTTTCTGTACATTTACCTCCAATAATAAACAGTCCAAAAATAAGAAAAACTAAAAGAATTTCTCTTGGAAATTCTTCGCCAAAGCTAAGCAAGTTATTTGGCAGCAGAAGCGTGAATTTGCATATTCAAGGAGAAAGTCAAATACCATTATATATAAATCATGATAAAAGTAAGCAGCTCTATGATTGCCTTTTTACTGAAGATTATAGTAAAAACCTTGAAGGGGAGCTAGAAGAAGAAAATTTTGGAAATTTAGAAGAAGAAAATTTTGGAAATTTAGATGAAGAAAATTTTGAAGATTTAGATAAAAATATTGCTGAAATTTTTTATCCTAATACGATAAATAAAAATATTGATACTGATCAGCCACTAGCCTTTTTATATGTAAAAATATATCGTTAGCCAGTAGATATGCATATATTAATTGTTATCAGGTATAAGAGTTGCACAACATTAAGAGTATTAATTAAAATTTTGTAAATATATTATTCAGGTTTAATCAAATATAGCCCGAGCCTCCTTATGGCTTTAGGTTATATATAAAAAAATATTTTGCTTACTCCCTCACTTTTAAAGTGAGTAAAACTTTGTACTTTAGCCCCTTTAAATTTGAGAAATAGAAAAAATGCAAATAGAATGTTATTTAATCAGTGTTTACACCATTTAAAGAGAGAGTTAAATTAAAATCATAATGACACTTTTATTCTAGACGGTATAAATTTATAAAGAATTTTCATGGCGGGAGATATTTTTCGCATAATGATAGCAACTGATAATCATTTAGGCTATTATGAGCGTGATCAAGTGCGTAAAGATGACTCATTTAGAGCTGTAGAAGAAGTCCTATCAAAGTCACTTTCAGAAAATGTTGATTTTTTATTATTAGGTGGCGATTTATTCCATGAGCATAATCCTACAAAATATACATTAAATCGTACATTTAGGCTATTTGCAGATTATGTTGTAGGCCAAAGACCATTAAATTTCGAAACTTTATCAACTTATACAAATCTTAATTACCTGAACCCTTCAATTGATATAAAATTGCCTGTCTTCATTGTTCATGGCAACCATGACGATCCCTCTATGGATACTCATATTTCAGCTGTAAATCTTATGCAAAATGCCCACTATGTGAATTATATTTATGCTGAGCAAACAGAAGAAACAATTCAAATTAAACCGATTATCCTCAAAAAAGGCACAACTTTATTAGCAATCTATGGATTAGGACATTTAAAAGATGAGAAACTTAATAGGTATTTCAAAGAAGATGCAGTAAAATTTTTACCTCCTCCTGATGCTAATAAATATTTTCAGGTAAAAATTTTTTGTTTTTAATTTATTTTTAATGTAAAAAATATAGAAGTTTATTATATTTTTTATATAAAAAAATTCAAAAACCCAATATTTTCATATTTGTGTAATTCATCAAAATCGATTTAAAGGCCACAGCCTAGGCGCGCCAGCCAAAAACTGTGTGATGGATTGGCAGCTTCCGAAATTTATTGATTTAGTAATATGGGGACATGAGCATGATAGCTATCCTGAAGTCAGAACTCCTGACGGTGCTGGATATGTGATTCTGCAGCCAGGTTCAACTGTAGCTACATCTTTAACTGAAGGGGAAGCCCTTCAAAAGCATATGTTTTTACTTGAAGTAAAAAATCTTGGCTATCGACACCGTGGAATCCCAATTGCAAACACAAGACCGATTCTATACAAACAAATTGAGCTAGATTCTATGTGTAGCAATGCTCTAGAAGCTGAAGAATTTTTAACACAAATTTTCAATGAAATGCTAGCTGAAACTCCAGCAAGTCCTTTAATGCCACCTCTTGCGAGAATTAAGGTAGAATGCAGCGGTTTCGAGGAATTGAGAGTTTTTCACCTTAATTCAATTTTTTCTGAAAAAGTAGCTAACAAAGATGTGATTTGCACTTGGAAAAAGGCCCATGCTTCTCAAGATACTTCAAAGGTAGTCCAAACCAATTCAGGCTATGGAGATATTTTACAAATTTTAGAAGAAGATGCAAATGAGTTAAATGATGGATGTTCAGTTTTCCATCCTGAAGAGTTTGTAGAATATACTCGCAATGTAGCTTTAAAAGGAGACAATAAAGCGCTAGAACATCTATTTGACGCGAAAAAACAAATGGCTATAAATTTATTAAATACACTAATACCACAAGAATATGATGAATTAGCTATGGATCGATTAATATCTAATTTAGATATAAAAAACTCTGAACCTACCTTCAAAAGACAAGCATCCCCTAAGACGTCCTCGAAAAAATCTGGGAAAAAAATTAAAAACACTTAATTATACACCAGCTGACAAATTAATTAAATATCTATATCTTGAAATTTAATTCTTCTAGATACAATATTTAAAGCTGTTCTTTTCTTTACTATTTTTACAGAATTTATAAGTTTCGCATTCAGGGCTTTATTCCTGCTATCTATCTTGAATATTCCTGAAGAATCAGGAGTATTATTATTTTTAGGGGAAACTTCCTGGCTTATAGATGGTGAATTTATTTGTTTTGCAGAAAGCTGCTTGTTTAGCCCTTTCCTAATTTTAAAAGTTTGAGGTGCATCAGGTGAATTCCGAGACATTCTGACGGTAAGGGTTTTCAATTTTGACAGATTTTGTCTCTCCCTTTTTTTACTTTCCAGCTCAGATATTTGCTTGGCTATCCCTTCACGATCAATTATGCCTTCTTCTATATTTCTAGGACTTTGATAAGGAGTGGCTTCAAAAATGCCATTATTTTGGGACTCAGTTTCTTTTTCTTTAATAATTTTCCGAGAGCAATTATTGAGTTTTAATACTTTCATAAGTGCTTTTTTACTTTCAGTGCATGACATATTTATTAGTGAATCATTTTTTCAGCTAAAGGTTGTTTTATTTGTCTGGGGTGAAAGGAAGCCTGAGTTTGTAGGAGAGTTATTAACTGAGCAAGGATTTGTCTGTAAAGCTTTTGGTAGTTTTTGCCCTTTTATAATATTCAATTTTAATATCCTAGGTGATGTCTCAGTATTATTCCAAGTTCTGCACGATTTTTTTATAGGTGATAGCAAGCAATTTTTAAGCGGCTCATTTATTTCTTGTTCACCAGTTTCTTCTTCGTCTATTGGAAGTAAAAACCTTACTGACCTTTGGCTTTTAAATGGCTCTGTATTTATGCAGCCTTCATAAGAAGAAGCTCCAAACTGAGCTTTTGATTCATTAAGTCCTGGAGGTCTATTTAAAGATATCGTGGATTTTCCAGCACCCATACTTCAATTCTAATTATTTATTTATTCTAATTTGGCATTAATTAAATTCATAAATTTTTTACTAAAATATTTTAGGGTTCTAATTCCGCTCTTTGGGTTTCCAGAATTTTCTGATATCTAAAAGATTATATAGAGGAAAATGATATTAATGATAATTAAGGCATAATCTATTATGATTCCACCATTTATATGATTATTACTTCTACTTATATAAAAGAATATTAATTTTTATTTCCATTAAAATAGCAGGAAGATAATCATAAGCAGCTCGAAAACCAAAGCACCAGCTTGATTATTAGCGGTTGGAGCTCTTGATGGTCTTCTGCGTCTGACTCTCAGCATAAGTCTTTTATTTAAGGGCTGGATATTTCTATCGCTCCTTATCATACCTTCAAAAGTATTATTTTCGCTTCATTTTTCGACGAAAAACTTAAGCTGATCCATTGCAAGACTTTGGACGTCAGATAAGACTATCCATTTTACGTTTTCTTGGCATGGATAAGTATATATTTCTTATTAAATATAGATAAATTAATGGTAAAGGAAATATTGTTTTAAAATGTGTTTTAAAGATACAATTTATATAATAAAATATAGTCATTGATCCTTCAAATTCATAGAAATCTCCAATAGTATCAAAACCTCCAAAAGCGTCCATCAAATTAATATCGACTACTTCATTAGAAGATTTTATCACTTGAGATATAAAAGGGCTGTTTTCTTTATTGGAGACTTTAAATAGCAAAGCTAAAATAAAAGTTTGGCCCAAAACATTTGGATTATACATAGTAAGCCTTTTTTATTAACTTATACAAATATTTTTACATATTTTTAGATATTATGCCATATTCTGTGTAGATAATTGAATAGATTTTAACAAATTTCAGAAAATTTTATATAAAGTAACAGAAAATAGTATAATCTGCATCTCTAAATCGAATTTTTCGTCGTTAATTGTATGCTCAGATGGCGAATGAAATTGAGCAAGTTGGCTTTTTAAAGTAATACTTACTCCCCCCCCCCCCCTCCGTGAGCGAACAAAACCATTAGAAAAATCGCCATTTTTTGACCAAAAACCCACCCTCCGTGAGTGAACAAAAATTTTTTTAATAGAAAAAATTTTAATGGAAAAAAATTTTGATATATAAGTGATAATTAGTATAATGAAATCTAGAGCTAATTCTGTTTAATTTTAAACAAATTGCGTTTTAAAACATAAATTTTGCAAATTAAAATTAATATTTGCTTCCCAATTTTTGCAAATTAGGATTTTTTTAAATTTCGAAAAAAATATTTTTTATAAAATTTATATATAAATTTTTTTTAAAAAAAAAAAAATTAACCCCCCTCCGTGAGCGAACAAAATTTTTTTGTTCGCTCACGGAGGGGGGGGGGGGAGTTAGCATCTCAGAGATATAAAAAGTTAATGAGCCCATATCTCCGTATAATTCAAAAATATTTGAATTTCAGATCCCTTTGATTGGTTTAGGAATAAACTGCAAAGAAATAGAAGAGCCAGTACTGGCTGAGACTGTGACAGCTTCTGACTCATTGATGTTCACTGGGGATTGAAGAGTTCCTGATGCGCATTCTCCATCCCAATCGTCCCCTCCGCTCTCATAAGAGAGCTCATATGATACAGCAAGGCAAAACAAAGTGATTAAATGCCTCATTTTATTACAGTGGTTATAAATTCTGATTAGAAATTCAAAATTTGCAAATTTTGCTGACAATATGGTTTCTATTGCGATAAAAATGATATTTTAAGGAATTTTCAGCATTAAAAAATAATCCTCGAATAATGAACAGAAATTATTATAATCTAATTATTATAATCGCAGAATATAAAATAATAAATTATTGAATTATTTTTAAAATTTCTTCAAAATAATTGAATTTTTAAGCACAAAGCTTATTTATTTTAAAAATTATGCTATATTAACTGAAACATATCAAAAAATAAAAAATAAAATTTTATTTCGACATTAATCTTCTGCTTTAAAACCTTAAAATTCTTCATCCCAATTCGCAGGGATCTGTGCTTTTGATTTGCTCGGCTGCATTGGCGTTTCTGCTGAAATTTCATCCCTCAAAATATTATCCAAGAAATTTTTCTTTGACTTCGCTGCCTTTGAAGCTTCCGACGTCAATGACCTCAATTTTGGCACATAAGGTGGCGTGATCCCTCTTGAAAACAATTTTTCCCACTTAAACCCTGACAAAAACTTGTGTTTTTTCAGCTTAGAAATGCTTCCACCAGTCCTAGAAGCCGCTTTTACGCTCAGAAGTTGTGTGATAATCGATTTCAGTGACAAAGTATGCTTAATATTTGTAGGGAACACTAAATTATGCTCGATAACTTTTTCGTAAACTTTATATGTATCTTCTTCATTTTCACCGAACGGAACAGTCCCAAATACAAACTCAAAAATCATGACACCTAAGCTTCACCAGTCGACAGCAGAGTTATAGCCATTCCCCATGATAACTTCAGGGGCCATATAATGAGGAGTTCCTACCGTTGTGTAAGTGCGGCCGTTGACGATTTTAGCGATTCCGAAATCAATAAGTTTTGGGTATCCTTCTTCATCAATCATTATATTTTCAGGTTTTAAGTCTCTATATATAATTTCTCTTTTATGGAGATATATTATTTAGAATAAATTTATAAATAAAAATGTTTATTTTTTAAATAAATTAAAAGGAATTAGGGCTGATAGAAGTTTATAAATTGAATTTGTAGAGAATATTCAAGAATCACTACTAAACAAGCTGTATAAAACCTTGCATCATCTTCTTTTAGCAGCCCTAACTGCCTTAATACGTCAAATAAATCAATTCCTCTTACATATTCCATAAGGAAATAAATTCTTTTATTGTCTTTAAACGTCTTTACAAGCTTTACAATCATTGTATGGTCTAACTGCAGCAGAATTTTTCTTTCAAGAACTAAGCTTTCATATATCCCATAAGCTACAATTTTGGCCCTTGGGACTGTTTTTAAAGCGTAAAACGCTCCTTTTTCTTTGTGGGCCATTAAATATACATTCCCGAACATCCCTTTTCCAAGTGGTTTTATCATAACAAGCTGATCCAATGCTATAGTGTTATCTTGTAGCTCAATCCTTTTAAGTAGCTGTGTCCTCATACTAAAGTCTATAATACTTTCAAAGTCATTTTTCTCTAGTGTCCAGCACGTCACGTTGCCTTCAGCTACAACCGTCGCGCTTCTTCTTTCATTGAATATTCCTTATTAATTTTTATAATAAAATCTTTATATGAAATTAATAAATTCATTATAAAGTGATATAAAATTGACCTTTCTCCAAAATAATCATGTATAGTAAGAGTCCTGACCTTTACATTTTCTTTGAAAATATTCACCCTTCCTGTTTTCACTATATACAAAGTATCCCCTTCTTCGTTTTCTTGTACAATAGCTTGTCCATCCCTGAAATCAACAATTCTTAAAACATGTATCAAAGCTTTCAATCTGTCTTTAGGCAAGTTTCTAAGCAGTTGGACCTGTTTTAAAACAACTAAAGCAGCATTATTATTTGTAGCAGGCACAACGACGCCGCCTAAGCATTTTTCAAATTCCTCTTTAGAGATTTGGGCTATATCCACCTCAGAATCTGCCACATAATTTTCTATATTATTTTGGGTACAAGTTTGGTTAATTTTATCGTCTCCTATACATGCAAAAGTTTCGTAAACCCCTAGAGGCCCTCTTACCCTCCCTTTCATAATTATACACAATTTAGCACCTTGTAAAGAATTTTTGGATACCACAACTTCGCCTGGGCTGAATTTGGCGATTTTCATAGTGTCCATCATTTGTTGGGATTGGTCTTTTGTGAGGTTTTTTAATGATTCACTTTTTTCTATAGCTTTTTTTTGGATATTTCTATATATAACTTGTTGCAAATTCTCCCCTAAAGCTTCAAGCAAGCTTCCTCTTCCTATGCACAGTACTTTTACAGCTCCTACACAGGTAATTGTCGCTGTCCTTTTCGAATTATACAGCAAAGCTTGTTCACCAAAGAAATCCCCTTTGACCATCTGCCTAATCTCGACCCCATCTTTTGTACATGTAACAACGCCTTCTTTTATTATATAAAATAAATCTCCAACTTCTCCTTCTTTCACAATGGTCTGTCTGTTATCCCATTTTTGTGTTGTGATAGAAGCAAGTAATGCTTCTTTCTGTTGGGTGGTTAAAATTTCAAAAATTGGGACACTATTGATAAATAATTTATTTTCTTCATAATTCATCCTATTTACAGCTTCGACTGCTTGCTTAAAGGTCATTCGGTCGACCCCTCACAAGGTCGATTTTTGTGCTGATTTAATTGTGGCTGTCCTTGGTTTGTCATCTAGCAGTGCAAGTTCTCCAAAGCTGGTGCCTGGCTTAAGCATGTTCTGTCGAATCCCGTTAACAATCACTTCAAGCCTACCTGTGGCTAATACAAAAAAATATTTCCCAGGCATTCCTTGTTGGGTTATAACCTCGCCTGAGTTAACTGAAAAGTGCTTCATTTGGTCTATAATATGCCGTTGACTATCTTCATCAAGATTCCTTACTCCCCCCATCCTTGATCGAACGATTGACTGTAAAAATTCCTAAAAATTGGGGAAATTAACCCCCATCCTTGATCGGACGATTTTCATATCATGACAATTTTTATATATATAAAAAAATATATTAGTTATCAAAAGCATAGGAAGATGCACCTAATGAAGTTGTTCTCAGAGACTTTGAGACGACAAAGCTTTGGAATCAATCATACGAAGTGATTTTGTCATCAACCCAGGCTTAAAAACTTAATAATCTAATAAAATAGAGATTCTTTAAAATTTTAAAAAAAAAAATTTAATTTAACAAGGAACAAATTAAAATTTATACAGCTTAAAGGGGTAACTAATAAATCAAAATATTAAAAATTGGTATTTTTATGAAATTAATTCAATTTTTTGCTGTAAAAATAATTATTAAATACTCTTAACCCTCTTATTTAAAAGTAAATAAAAAAAAATATATATTTTTTTATTTTATATATAAAATTTTTTTTCCCAAAAAATTTGTTTTTAACCCCAATCCTTGATCGAACGATGACGAGTCGTTCGATCAAGGATGGGGGGGAGTTAGGATAAAATGACTATTCAAAGCATTATTAATCATCCCTATATCTTCGGCTGTTTTAGGACGTGCTGTTATGACGGCTGTCACGGCTTCGTTGACTTCTTTTACTTTTTGCCAAGTCACAGCAGCTATTTTTGGCTTTGATTTACGTTGGGCTGAGGATTTTGGCTCCTTTGTTTCTTCGTTAACTCCTTCAAAGCTTATAATAGGTTTGGAAGAAATAGGCTGAGTGGAGTTGCTGGGGTCGATTATTTCTTTTTGGAAGCATCCATTGCAAGCGTTACCCATTTATATATTGACAGTAAAAAATTTTTTTAGGATGAATCCATGTTTTCAGGAGGAAAAGCTATTTAAAAGAATGAAAAATGGAAAATTTGGCTGGAAAATGAAATTTGTGAGAAAAACAGAGAAAAATACAAATAAATAGAGAATCGAATTTTTTGAAGAATTTATAGGGTGGATTATTAATATTATTTAAGGCATGATATTACAAATAATTTTTTGCTTGATTATTTTCTTACTTCAATTGAGTCACATTAAATCAATAAATCTTATATATATGATAATTCAAAAATTATTTTTTTAATGAATTCTGGTGGTTTAGGTTTTCACTAGCTTTATGAAGAATTGCAACAAGCTTGAGCATACCTTCAGGGGTCTGTTCAATCTTCTTCGATGCTATCTGATTCTTTAGCTTTTTACAATAATCCTGCAGTTTCACATACTTTTCTTCCTCATCTAAAATCTGCCTCTGCAATTCTCCATTTTCTTGCTCTTTTTCCTCGTTCATCTTTTTAAGCCCCTCATTAATCACTTTCATCTTATTAAGCTCCTCCTTATATCTCTGAAAATCTTCTAATATTTCTTCATCAGTATTCCCCCTCTTCAAAAGTTCAATTTCTCTTTCATTTCACGATTTTTCCAACAATTGTTCTTTTTCTCTCATTTCTTTGGCTTCTAGCTGAAGATTTTCTTTTTGTGTCAGAATTTCTTGGCAATTTTGATAAAGTTGGTCATATTCTTTTGCCAATTCTTCTTGATTTTTTTGGATTTCTAACACCTTATGCTGTTCATTGAAATAAGAATTTTCTAAGCTCAAGCATCTTTTTCTCTCTGAAATTAATTCTTCTTCATACTGTCCTAGCTGAAACTTAAGAAGCTCTATATCTTTGTGTGTTTCTGCGAACTCTCTTTGATGACTAAACACGTCTTCAATTAAACACAGATACCTTTCTGTGGTATTTTGATTTTCTTCAGACCTTGCCTCTTTTTCTGAAAATGCTTGTAATTGCTGGTTTAAATAGTCATTTTCGTTTTCTAGCTCAATTTTTTTTTGCTTTATTTCATTTAACTCCTGCTGAAGAATTTCAATAAAACCTTTTTTTTCTTCAATAAATTGTAAGGCGGATTGGTATTCTTCATTTGTTTTGCATTGATAAAACTCGATTCTGCATTTTTCGTTCTCTTCTTTGAGGTTTTTATTTTCAGCTTCTAAGGCTTCTTTAGTTTCTTTCCATTCTTTTTGGGTTGATTTTAGCTCTCTATAAAGGTCGATTTTTTCTCTGATGAGTTTTTCTACTTGTTTAGTGTTATTTGACATGTTTTCGAAAAGGAGTTTTTCTTTTTCATGGACGATTTTTTGCATTTGGTGAAGTTCTTCTTTGATTTTGTTAACCTCAGCCCTTAATCTGTTGTTTACTTCTTTTTCATTGTCAGAAAGCTCTTTCGTAGTTTTTATTTCTTTTTCTTTTTGCAGCAATGCTTTCCTGAGTGAAGCAATTTCAGGTTGAGCATTGATAAAATTTTCTTGGGTAAATTGGAGCTGTTGAGCTGATATACCTTTTTCATATTTATACTATGTTTGATAAAGCTATGCAATATTTTTAAGACAATTTTATTATTTTTTATAAGGAGAATTATAAATATTACATTAAAAAAGAAAATAATAATATTTTCAAGCTCAGCTTTTAATTTTTCTAGGGTTGCTGATAAAGAATTTTTTGCAGCATTAGTTGCCAAAACTGTTTGCTCTAGCTCAGCATTTTTCTTTTTCATCTCAATAATCTCTTTTTCACTTTGTGCATAAAATCTTTCAAGATCTGAAAATTTTTCAATTCCAGTTTTATACACATTTATTGGTGTTTCTTGATATTGTTTTACTTTTTCTTTATACATCTGCAATTCTTTCCCAAGATTTTCTATTTCTTCAATAAGCAATTTTTCGTCTTGCGAATATTCGTCAATTTTGTTTTCTTTTTTGGCTATTTCTTTTATAATACAACTTTTTTTAACTACATAAATCTTCCTTTATTAATTCTTTGGCTCATGTTTAAATAATAAAAATTCAATTTGGCATACTAAATAATTTTAATTAATATAGGCATATTACTAAAAAACCTTATTTACTATATAAATGCAAATAAATCTTTCTTTAGCGATTCTCCATCAATTATTTTGGCATTTGTAAGAAAATTGTTTTGGAGCTTGAATTTTTAGTTATCATAATAATAAAATTGCGATATGTGAAATTTCCCGGTGGTCCATTTATTATCATGAAGTTCGGTTTTTCAAATGAATCTTGATCCAACAGCATCAGGTAAACAAGGGAAGGGTGATCAGCCTCTTGGAGCAACTAGCTCCCGCTCTGCACACCTGAGGAATATAAACTATAGGCAAAACACTTGAGGAGCAGAATGGTATGCAAAGATAAGCTCTGGATGAAAGAATATGTCAAAATTTAGCTAATATTGCTGAATGCCTGCTCATTTTGTACACCATTTTAAGTGCAGAATTGCCAGTGACTCCAGGAGTATGGCTCTAGACATCTTAAATGCTTAATATAATCGTAATTGAACTTTTGGTTCTCAACGATAACTTGACGGATTTGCTCTATTAAATAGTCATTGACGTTTTTTACTATGCCATTCTCTTCAAGTATTGCAGACAAATACTCCTTTGTTCTCTGCAGCTCATCTATAGCAGCTTCATACTCTGGGACTAAATTTTCATGGTCAAATTTTAGGTTATTGTACGTGATGATTAAGCTTTCATAGTTTTCTTTCTGCTGAGCTAATATTGGAGCTTTAGCTTCATAACTGTGTATATATTTTTCCAATTTAGCCTTTAAATCATCAATTTCTTCTTGTGAGTTCAAATATTTTGACCCGAATTCTGTGAGTTTTGATGTAAGATATTAAAGGCTAAGTGGTTTAATCACGTTTTATAAAGCCATATTTTTTTGGGGTGCTGAGCTAGAGAATTTAATATTTATTTTGTAAAGAAAAAAATTGAATGTGAAAGAATATAAAGAAAATTATCTGCTTAATATAAGTGAATTGCTCGTTTCTGTCTTTTGGGTAATTTATAACTGGAATATTCATGTCTTCAGTTTCTGGGATCATTGCTTCTTGGTTTTCATTAGAGCTTTCTAGCTCAATTGTGTTTTCTTGATGGTTATTTTTGTTTGATACCCTGTGCTTGAGCAAAGACATTTTATTATGGAATTAAGAAATGGAACCCCAAGCACTAATTTTGCATATACTTGAGAAATTTATTATTTTATATTTTGATTAGTATATATGCTCACAAAATTTTACATTTAAATCCATAGAAAAGGATAGCATAATAACGTAATTTTATATAATCAATACAAATTCATGGAAAAATATAATAGCTGTTATTAAAAACAAACTAATAGAAAGCATTATATTTTAAATAAAATTTGGCCATAAATAAATATGCCTTATTATCAACAATAAAAATCATCTTAAAAACTTATTAAAATTACGAGTTTAAACACAAGCACAAATATATTATTTTGAAAGGCTTTATCTATTTAATTGAGTATAAAAAATGTTATTACAATCTATGATTCTCCTAATTTTCGTCACTTTCTCCTCCGACTTGAATTTTAACCTGAGCATCTTCTCTATCTTCAATCCTCTGCAAATTATCAGGAATTTCCCCTGATAGCAAAGATGGATACGTAAAATTCAACGTTGTGTTAAATCCAAAAAATGGAGAGTCATTTCGAATCAAATTTGGCAGGTTAGAAACAGGCGAATTTAAATCATTATCACTTTGATTGAAATTATTGCGATTTGCATTATTTCTGTGATCAGTTCCATTGCATGGACTATTACCTCAGATATCAGGGATTTGAAAAGGTCCATTTTGATTAGTAGAGTTGCCAGGTGGACTATAAGAATGAGTGGTATTTACAGATGTATCATTAGAGTTGCCTGTATACCAAGTCAAATAAATAATCATTTTAAATAATAATTTTGAAATTTAATTATTCAAAAATTCTATTCAAATTTTATAGGAAAAAGAATATTATTGGATGGTCCAGTTTGAGGATCGCTTGAATTTGATGACTGAGAGCTGCCGTTTGAATCTGTAGAGTTTGTATCTGATTGCTGATTAGTAGCGTTTGAATCTGAATGGCTAGTAGATGAATTATCCTTTATATTATTTTCTGAGTTGGATGTATTAGAGTTTGTAGAATTTGAGTTTTGATTACTAGAAGTAGAGTTAGTTCCAGATCAATTAGAAGTATTATTGCTAGCTTGAGAAGCATTTGAAGGATTTGTGTTATTTGAATCAGGAATATTTGACTCAGATCCATTATCAGTACAATTTGGCTAGCCTTGCCTCCGCGAGCGAACAAAAAATTTAGATTTTAGAGTTAATTTTTTTAATTTGGATAATTTATAAAATATATTTTTTATTTAAAATTAGCTATAGTTATATTGACAATTCATTATTATAATTATTATTATTATTAATTATATATCAAATTTTTACATTAAACAATTTTTTGCTTGTGACTAATTTAACAAAACATAGGGAGTTTTCCAACGATTTACTCTTGCACAAAGGGGGATTGAGAAGAATTAGCATTAGAATCGTTTGGTATCGACGAAGTTTGGTTTGATAACTCGTTTTTAGTTGTATTCACTTCGGAGTTCGATGAATTATTTTGCAAGATTGAATCTGATGCGTTATTATTGGTATGATTTGCTTCTTGGCTATTTGATTGATTGTTGTTAGAAGTTGAATTTGATGGCTTTGAACAGTTATTGCTTTCATTATTTTGCTGATTATTTATAGTAGTGCAATCAGTATTGTTGGCCTTCGAGCAACATGTAGGATCTTTGCTATTTGTTGGAGCCTCATTGCAATAGCAGTGGCATCGGCAAAGATCAATATTTTCGCACTCACAGCTGCATGCACAATTTCCAGGACCTCAAGTTCGTGTTTCAATTAGTCGTAAATTATCAGCTTGATCATTGTTGCTAATATTAGTAGAATTATTGTAAGAATCAACAAAATTGTAATTTCCATCAGTATATCCATGATCACAAGTGCATACATTTCGTTCTAAAAGAGGATCCTTAACAAAATCTTCGAAATTATCATCTTTCCCAAAAGTTAAACTAACCGAGCATATCCTATTTGCATTAAATAATAATAATTTAAGATAATTTTTTTTAATTGAGAATCAAAAATGAAATGGGCTAGAAAAATAAATAGAAAAATCTTCATCAGAAAAAAAATAATATGTCGACAAAAATATCCATTTATTTAATTAAATCGAAAATAACGGTATTTTATACGTTTAAAATAAGAAAAATCTTAAATGTAATTAAAGTATAATAAATATGCAATCTTCGATCTTAAAAGAGTTAATTTAATTCAATAGGTGATTTTAAGAAAAACTCAATCAGAATACAGTAATTATCTGAAAATCCGAATAGAAGTCGTTTAGAACGTAAATAATATCAATAATAAAATTAAAAAATGAGTTTATAAAATATCTGGTACTTATTTTTATTTAATTTGAAGAAATTATATTTTCTAATTTTGTATCTACTTTTAAAAATCTTTTAAAATTATTAAAAGCAAATTTATTATATCTATAAATTTAAACAATATAATGCACTTAAAGCAAATTGAATAAAAATGAGCACTTATCGTATGTCCCATAATAAAATAATTCAAAAAGTTATTCTTTGCCATTTATAATGTGAATAAATAATTATCTTAAATTATTGAAAATAAGAAATCTTAATCGCAACTAACTAGCATATTATAAAAAGAAATATGAAAATTATATTCAATTACAATGGTTGGAGTGAATCATTGATCAATCAATACAATCACTTAGGGTGGAGCAGATCCTTTGAACACTGATTTCTGTAAAGCCCTATAGCTTCCCGCTTGGGTTGCTGACTATACCTTGTCTATTTAAATCGTCTTTTATTTTCAAAAATTCACCGCTGATGATATGTATTTCTATTTGATTTGAGACAATTATTATATTGCCTTTCTAGGATTTATTCAATAATTTGATTAATAAAGTTTACTAAATTTCTGGTAGTGGGGATGTGTGCTTGCCGCCTCCCCGCCTTCAATAATTAACGAAATCATAAGGTACCCTTCGGAAAAAAATAAAAATTATTTTAATAATGTGAATATTTATTCAAAGAAATAGGATAAATTTAAATAAAATAGTTAAGGAAATCTTACCTAAGAACCTATTTTAAATTTTATACTAAAAGGCTCGCAAAAATTTTTGGAAAATTAAACTAAAAATAATTAATAATTTTACTAATAAATTAATTATATCTCTACTAAAATATTCATAAAAATTCTATAATGATGACAAGAAATCTCCCTGTCATTGATGACACTACTCATCCTTGCACTGAATAAAATAAGTATACCCTTTCCCATAATTTAACATCATAATTTCAAAATTATTATAGGAAAAATAATAAAATTCAGGGGCTCTAATGGAAGAAGCAGAAATTATCGATATTGACTCAAGCAGTGACAGTTCAGATACCGACGAAGCCAAAAACCAAGACCCAGATCCAGTCCTAGTTATTTATCCTCCAGACTCTAAATCCAGCATCACTATCAGAGAGTCAGATTTTTCTCGACTAAACCCAATTGAATTTTTGAACGACAATTTAGTTGATTTTTTTATCAAATATTTCATCACAGAAAGCAACAAAGACAATTTTTTCGCATTCAGCAGTTTTTTCTATGTCTCAATCGTAGAAAGTGGCTATGATAAAGTTTTGAAGTGAAATAAAGGCTGCGACATTTTTGAAAAAGATTTTTGGATTATCCCAATCGCTGACAATAATCATTGATTACTTTTAATTGTCGCTTATCCTCAGTATGTTTTTATAGAAAATTCTGAAATTCAACCAGCGATTTTATTATTTGATTCTCTAAGTTTTGGAATGGAAGATCTGGCCCATATGGTCAGAATTTATATAGGGCTTGAATGAGCACAAAAACAAGGGCTGGAATATGACTCAGTGCAAGAAGACGATATTCCACTAGTTATCCCGTCAGTTCCTCAGCAAAACAATTGATGGGATTGTGGGATTTATGTGATTAATTATGCCAAAAAATTTATTGAAAGCCCTGAACCATTTTTGCTGGATTTAAATTGTGAAGAAATTTTTGATATGGATGAATTTAATAAGGGTAGGTGGATTTATAAGAATATTTTGAACCAGCTAGGAACAGGAAATATTGTAAAAGAAGGGGTCAATATTTATCTGAAAAAATCAAAGAGAAGACATAGGAGGAAGCCACAAAGGCCGTTAGATGAAGAATTTTATTATGAAAATAACTAATAAAAACTCAAAATTTTTTACTTATTCCTTTAATTTTCTAGTGTTTTTTAAAAATTAATTTTTGAATCTCTTTACTTTTTCTCACAGGATTTCTTAAAAAGCCCGTTTTTCTTAATTCTGATCAATAGCAAATCTGTTCCATCTGTCTGATCAGTTAAAAATGGAACCATATTCATATAAACTTATGGAATAGTTCCTACATGTTGTTACTCAAGATCTAAGCAAATTCCCATAGCCAGGTCTTATCTAATATAATCGCATAAAATTATTCAGAAATACAACAAACACAACAAATAATAAATAAATTTAAAATCTTCAAAAGTAACTTATATTAAACTTTCTAAATATGATAATCATACTTGGGATAAGAGAAGTGCTTTTAATCTTTTTTCTTGTAATTGAATTCACCACATTTAGTCTAAAATAACTATTTTTTACTTAATTTTATGACTTAAAATGGTGGCCATCATTAATTTAAAAAAATAAAATGAAGCTATTAGTTCTGATAATCCTTGCAGGCTCCAGCTTTGCTTATGCTCAAGCCGATCATAAAGGAAGAAATGCTCAAGACGATTCAGGTCTTTGTTTATGCCAAGGCAACCAGTCTTCAGTAGTCGTGAATAATTCTTCTGGAGTAGAGACTCGGACTCAAACAAGACATATTCAAGGAGGATGTATTCATAAATTATTAAAAGAGCCAAACAATTATATTTATCACTACTAATTGCATATTAATTCATTATAATAACCTTGTGCTATATTCGTCTAGCATGGTATAATTGTTCTTGCATATGCAATTGCACATCGCCAAACATGTGTAGCTGTGATTGTTCATGCTTCAATGGTTCTGCAGTTAACCAAACCAGTCAGCCTAACCAAACTGGCCAAAATGCTTCTTCACAAAATCAATCACTTTCTAATCTAACTTGCAATTGCAACTCGTCTTCTGCTAACCAGACCGTACAAAATTCTTCAAATTCCTCACAGTTTATAGTGATTATTACTAATCAATCTGAGCTTGGAGATCTTATATGTGAATGCAATCAAACTAGAGGAAATCTAAGCGGTGGAAATCTATTGAATGTATCTGGCTCGCCACAAGTGATAAGAGTTCCCGCAAATGAAACGGATATATTCTGACTTATAGGGCTTAATTATTTTTATCGTGTGCTGAAAATCATATTTCTATAAAGTAGGATTCTTATGGTTAATGCTAAAATTTGTAATAATTTATAATTGAATATTGAATTTTGTATTAGAGCGCTGAGATGCCGTTTAAGGCTTTTTAGGTATTTTATCAAAATATAAAGTTAATTATGCAGAAATAAGGTAAAATTAGATAAAAAAGCATAGAGTGTGTATGCAACACAACTACTATTGAAGTAAATATTACGAATATTAGTGAAACCCAAAATCAAACTGTTGTTAATAGGAGCAATACAGCTAATACGACTTCGTCATGCCGATGCAATGTTAGTATTCTGAATTCAACTATGGCGAATATTAGCAGCAGCTCAAGAAGACTTCTGGATATCCCTGAATTTATGAGAATTAAGAAAGATTTCAAATATACTGAAGATTTCTTGAAAGATAGGAAAAGAAGACTAAGTATGCATTATTAATAAGCAAATTAGCTATTTATCAATATATAAAGCCTTTTTAAATTAAATTAAAATTTTTTCTCAGGATAAAAAATTATGCTTTGTTCTGTTTTGGGTAAGCAAAATTCCTTACTCCCTATCCCCCCTTTAAATTGGAACAAAATATTGGTTTCCATTTTTTGGGCACTTTAGCCTACCTTTAAATTGAAAGAATTTTTTAATAGGGAAATTTTATCTATTTATAAAATTATTTTTGACCTAATTTTAATGGAAAAAAACGCAATTAAATATTATTTGAACAGAATCAGACTGAATAGATTAATTTTTGGATTTATTATTAATAAAAATAATTGCAATTCAAAATATTGCGTTTTATTTATATTTTTCTAAATTTTTTTCTAAATTTTTATATAGAAAAAAAATTAAGTTTTTTCAAATTTGAACAGGAGTTTTTGTTCCAATTTAAAGATAGAGTTAAATAATTAATAGAATAATTTAATCAAGATAGCAACACCTTATATATCTGCCAAGGCAAATAAACATATATAAATATTTTTTTTAAGCAAAATCATAACTTATAAATAATTATCTTAAATGATTTATGCAATAAATTGCTATTAATATCTGCGTTGACTAAATTAATGCTTTCATACAATGACCTTTAATTCTTGATCCTCTGTACTTGAAAATTATAAAATGCTATGCCGCTTTCACGGCCTGAAATAGCTCTAAAATTTAGAAACTAACTCACCCTACATGGAAAAGGAATGTAAGCGTGCAAAAATTTTATATAAAATAAAATGGTATATAACATATTCTATTAAATTATCCAGCTCATTCTAAAACGTAAATTTTATAAATTAATCTCCATCAATGAGCTTTGTTCAGCTGCAGAGAGGAAACTAAGTGTCTCTATCTAATTAAGCTTATTGCCATCGGAACTCTAATCATTGAAATCAAATTTTATCCTTCTGATATCTCTTATTTAAGCAATAGCTATTTTCATTAGTGCTATATTTGTTAAGCGGCGTATTAATAAAATATTTTTTATAAATTTTAAAAATTCAAGCTCAGACTTATTTTTAAAGCAATTCTGATTTAATGCCATAATTTAAATATTATTTCTAGAGCTCACTTTCATTTTCTAGATAAAATTTCTATTGTTAATTGCGAGATTTCCCTTTTGCTTTTTATCATAGCTTCTAGAAAAGTTCGATTACTGCTTAAGTTGTTTATATCTAATTTTACTTCTCTCTGCCTAATTTCATATAAGTAAATATGGATATTAGCCAAGAATTTTCAGAAAAACCATCTCCGCTTCCTCATCCAATAAGTTTAATACTAGTGAAAAGCACAAGAACCCGAAATAGCATTCCGTGCACTACTTGTGGCATGCTTTTCAAGCTTAAATCAGATTTGGTTCTGCATAGATTTTCCAATCAGGAGGTGATGATGAGCAAAGACATAGCAAAAACTTGTTCAAAATTAGTGGAAAAGGAAGAGTCGGACCTTGAACTTTCAGATGACGAAGAGGGTAAAGAATTTTTTTGTAAAGAATGCAATATTGAATTTAAGTCCAGAAAAGGAATGAGACAACATATGGGGAAAGTCCATGATACAAAATACAAACATTCAAGATGCTCGATATGCAAAAAAAAATTTCGTAACAAGTATGCTGTTAAGTTTCACTGAAAGCAGGTACACGAAAAATCAACGCGAGCAAAATGTGAGAAGTGTGGAAGAGTTTTTTACAACAAATACCTTTTAATTAACCACTCTGAAAAGTGTTAAAATAATCGCCATTTATGGATAAGTATGTTTAAAAATAAATTTTCGACCCTCATGAATTTCACCAAAATCTCGTTACAAATATTAGAATATTAAATATGCCGAATACTATACTTATATTTTTTCTAGCTTTCAATTTTAAGCCTATTGAAATAATAACTTATTTGGGATTAAATAAAAGAAATTAAAATTATTGATATTAGCCGCAGACAATATAGACGAGATTTATTTTTAGATAAACCTAATATATGATTTTATCACCTAAAGTGGAGTTTATTTGTCATTTCATGTCAAAAGATTTTATCATAAAAAGTAATTTTAAACGAAAAATACGAATAATCAGAAATAAAAGCGATTTTTTAATATAAATGTCTGACTTAATTGCAGGGATTTTAGAACTTTGCTTTAGCACTGATATGTGCTCAATCTGCTGCTCACTGCCAGCTCATCTACTTAAATATATTGGTAATTGCACTTGCTTTATAGCTCGTGTATGCTGCAATGATATAAAAGCTTGCCATTGTTCAGGCTGTGCCAATTGCATATGTGAAAGTTGTGAACCTGCTTTAGATAATTTTTCTTTTAGTGTAGGAGAATGTACAGGCTCTTGCTCAGTTTGATGTGATTGGTTTTGCAATAATGTGTCATCTTATTTTTTAAAGTTTTGTAATCCATGCAACTGCTTAGAACGCCTTCATGTGCCAATAAGAGATTCAGATGAAATTCTAGGGAATATTGATAATCCAGTTTTACGAATACTTACTCCGAATGATGCTATAGGTGTGCTAAATTTATTTAGTCATCCAACTTTTAGCCCTTTTTACATTTTTGACAAAAATGCTTTTGTTCCTGCTGATATGGGTGCCATTAGAAGGGTAAAAAGCGCCAAAGGAAGAGTAAACCAAAATGAAGAAAATGATGAAAAGCACAAAGAAGAAGCAAAAGAAAATGGGATGGGAGGAAAAAGACATACTTTTGATGCAAGTGACTTTAAAATAGCTCCTATTTAAATTATTCACGAATGAAAATTACAAGGCAGTCTCAGAAAAAAAATATTAAATCTAATATTTACTTATAGTAGCCTCGATATGTTAAACTAGAAAAATTCGAAATTAAAAAAATTCGAAATTGTAAAAATCCTCACGCATATAAGATTGATGCGATATCCTGAATAAAATATAAAAGGATTCATTATAAAATGATTTTATTATAAGCGATTTAATTCACTAGAAGATTTGAAGTATATGATTTTAGTTTTAAGTGCTCAAGGAATTAAAATATCATTTTATTAAGAGTATTATCAAAACATTGCTGCACCTGTAGTAATTTTAAGTTATTTTTCCATTATAGCTTATCAGATTTGTATATGAGCATCCTTATTCTTCAGAATCTCGAAGGCTGTTAACTTTAACTAAAATGGCTTATTTTTAAACATGGAATGTCGAAGTATAATTTAGGATAGCATTATTAATATAGAATATAGTATCAAGATTATTTATAATAAGCAAAAATAAATTTAATATAGACATATATAAATCTGATAAGCAAATTATTATTAGCAAAATAATAATTAAAGCTTTTACAAGTAATAAAAATTAATAAAAGAGTTTTAAGAACAATTCAAGGAAATTAATATATATAGCTGTATTAAAAATACTAACTTTTACAGCAAAATTTACATATTAAAATTTATCTTCTATGTTTTACTAAAATAAGCATAAATCTAAAATTTTTGCATATATTTTGTGATTTTCCTTTAAAATGATATCAAATTATCCATAAATAATTGCTAAGATCTTATGCTAAACATTTTTCTAATATCTTTACAGATAAAATTATAATTTATAAATGGAAGTGTCTCAAATTTCTCTTGATTTGCTAATACACAGCACATCATTAACCAATGTATATTTATGCCCAACCCCTGTGCTTCCAGGGCATATTTTAATCGCCCCCAAATCAAGAGTCCGTAATTTATTTCAGCTAAGTGAAGATGAAACATCTGATTTGTTCAGAATTATATTGAGAATAAACAATATTTTAGAAAATGAATATCAGTGCAGTTCACTTACTCTTGATTTAAAGGACGGAGTATATAATCATTTATTTTTTAGCTTAATTCCAAGAAAATTCAATGATTTAGAAGAAAATGACGAAATTTATTCATTGCTTGAAAAAATGGAGCTAGTGCAAGAGAATTCAGGGCTTAATCAAAAAGCTGAAGAATTAAGAAAAATAATGATTCATTGTGAAGCTTAATAAAATTTAATTTCTTATTTTACAGTTTGTGATAAAACCAAAACAAATAGGCTATGATTATTCAAGGAATTCAGTCTGAGAAATAGCTGATTGTTCAGAAAAGTGACTATTTTATTGGTTCTTATAAGCAGGGATGAAATCAAAGTGCTGATAAAGAGAAAGCGTCCATGATAAATATATGCTAGATGAGCTATTAAGCTCAAAATTCAGGCACAAATAGTTTCAAAAAGAATAAGCAAGCAGAGATGATATAGATTCTCATGCCTTTAGGACAAATTCTGAACGAGAAAACAATTCTAAGCAAGTAAGCTATTTCGAAATTTTACATGGCAGGCTAAATAGCATTCTTAACGATACTGAAATGATATCTGGTGGAAGAATTATCGCAATAAATGCTTTAGGTGCTAAAATTTTTATCCTTTCTATGACAATAAAACTTACTCCTTAGTGTCAAGATACTCAGAGGGTTGCTTTGAGAATAAACCAAAATAATATAAGAGTGATACAATAGCACAAGGGGATCAAATAATCCCGAAAATGATATTTTATTAAAAAAAGAAGTGATAACTGCTCTAAATAGCGAGGATAAGATCAATATTATTTAATCCAGCCTTGGAGATAATATTGATAGAATTTTTCTTGATTTATCAAAGCAAGCCTACATATCCGGTTTATAAAGCTTTAAAGATATGCTATTGAAAGCGAGCAAGTTAAGAAAAAAACTAATTCTAGGCAATAGCTTGTCTTCGTATAAATCTTGTAATAACACAAATTAACAGTTAGTTGCAAAATATTTTTGATTAATGAAGTGAATATCAAAATCCACGATTTTACAAGCCAAGACTGCTTATTGCTTCCTAGAGAATCTAATGATAACTCCCGCCTAAATCTCAAAGTCTTAACAATATCACTAATTGAGTTTTTATTATACTAAACCATTAATAAGTTTTTAATTGCATTAATTTATTTGTTATTGCATATAAATCTATTAATTTAGATAATTTTTATTTATTAAACCTTGATTCATTTAAATTCAGAAAATCATTAAAATAATTTTTCTATATTCAAATTTCCTCATTTCTCGAAAACCCATTAAATTTAATAGTAGAATCTCACAATAAATTTTTGGATAGAATATTATTTAAATCCATAAACAATTGTATCAAAATTTAATGGATTTTAAAAGTTACCTGCTATCAAGGATATAATATCTCAATAAAATTTAGCAAATTATTTTTCTTATTATATTTGGTCTTCTTTTTCCTTGACATTTATAATAATCAAAAATTTTGCACTGCAAAGGAAGTAATGTTTTCTATGGTTTCTTTGTATTAATGGCCCACATAATAAATGTTATCTAGAGCCAGGCTGATTACTCGTTTCGTAACAACTCAAGCAGCCCCTCAAACTGAGTTATCAGAAGCAACACGAAGATATTGGAACAGAGTTGGAGACTGGTACCTCAAATATAACTATGAAAATTCCACAAAGATGTACGAAACCATGGCAAGTTTCCTCAGATTAGAAAAAGCCAAAAAAGTCCTAGACGCAGGATGTGGCGCAGGTAACGGGGTTCCAGCTATGAAAAAGTTCGCTGGCCCAAACACTAAATTCACCTTAGTGGACATTAGTGATTACTTTGTTCAAAAAGCTAGAGAATCAAACCCAGGGGTAGAAGTTCTCCAACAGGATGCTGAAGCTTTGTCTTTTAATGATTCATCGTTTGATGTTTATATTTCCAATGGACTCTTAGAAATCGTTAAGAAGCCTGATTGGGTTGTTAGTGAAGCTTATAGAGTATTGAAACCAGGCGGAGTTGCATCATTCTCTATTTATGGAAGAATGGGTATATGCAACACTCTAAGAATTTACAAATCAATTAGAAACAAGCTAGGAATCAAACGTGGAACTGCAGAGCCTAAATTTGAGCTTGCTGACCCAGAAAAAGTAAAAGCTTTGGTAAAATCTGTAGGATTCAAAAGAGTGGTTTATTTCTACGAGCAGTATCATTTCAATGTAATTGAGCCAAAAGATATTTTCGGGATGTATCTAGATAACCCAGTCCTAAGAGAAGGTGCAACTCAAGTCGGAAAAAGCCATGAATTCGAAAATTTAGTCAAACAGGAGCTGGAAGAAATCTTATTTGAAAAAGAAGAGCCTCTTATTTACGAAGCATTAGTAGTAACAGCTTATAAAGAATAACTTATATTTCTCATAAAAATTAAATTGCCAAAATCTCAAACTATTCTAGAAATAATTTCAAATATTAAGATATTGCTGAGAGGAAATTTCAGTAATGCCAAGGTTTTTATAAAATGGAAGTATTGATGTCACAACCGAATTTCGCACAAGAAAAATCCATAAAAATATATGAAAAGACGTCGGAGCATAGTTCTTATCAAGACTCATTGCTATTTATTAGAGATTTAGCTATCATGCTCCGATTGTCACAGCAGTGTGTCGCTACTGCTCAGTTTTATTTTAACTCAGCAAATATAAGTTTTTTTTCTATAAGTAGCGACATTTCTTCTTATGATAGCCTTTTACTGGCTACTTCTTGCTTATTTATAGCAGGAAAAGCTTTAGAACAGCCTAGACATTTAGAGCTATTTTGCAAAGTTTTTTATGATCGACGTTCTGCGATTCAAATAGGTAAAAACTCAAGACTGCAAATTCCTCCAATGTCTAAGGCAATGCTTGAGAAATTCAAGCAAAGTATAATATATTACGAGTTCATTATTTTAAATACCATCGGATTTAGCACATATATCCCACTACCTTATTCCTATATCACAAATTTCGTAAATTTAACTGATTTGGACGTAAAAACGAAAGATAGTTTGCTTAGATGCGCAAATAGCTTTGCTAATGACAGTTTTAGAAGCTTAGTTGCATTAAAAAAAAACGCTGAAAATATTGGGAGGGCCTGTATATTTTTAGCTTCAAAATATTTACAAATTGAAACTACCATTTCAGCAGACCCTGAAACGATAAACTTTATATTAGAATGATATAATAATTAATGTTTATAATTGAAATGGCTTATCTCCAAACATATCTTCCATTTCATCCACATCAATTCCACTTTCCCTTTGGTCGTACTCATAAAATAGTCTTGCATCGCTAAGTATTGACACTATTGTATCGCCAACCCCACAGCTAATCAGATCATCTAGTGTAATTGCATAAAGGCACTTAGGCTTTGCCATATCCCAAATTTCGTCCTTTATATCGTCAACTTTAAACCCGAATTTTTCTAAAGATTCTAGCTTCGCTATAATTGACCTCAAAAACAAATTAACCACAAAAGTATCAATTGCCCCTTTTTTATATATGTCTAAAATCTTGAAAAAATATTGCAGGCTTGGCGTTGTTTTTTTATTTTCCATTGCTAATACAAAATCCAGGAACGTTTTGTAGTCCATTTCTCCTTCAAAAGTTTGGTATTCTTCAAATAAACGATCCACAAAAATGCTTGTAAGTCCGCCTGAGTAACGTGTTAATTCTTGCTTTCTAAGCATTCCATTTCTATCTAAATCAAGCCTTAAGTAATGGTCATATACCCTCAATGTGTATTGAACAGAGAACCAATTTTGAGCGGCTTCTTCAGGGCTCATATTTTCTTGTCTCAGTTCATAAAGTTCAGCCAGAATTGGCGAAGTCAGCATATCTTTGATCCAAATCCTCCCTGTCTTTTTAGGATCCAAGAAAAAGAAAAATTTCCTCACAGCTGTAATCACATAAAATGGATAAAAATTTTCCTGCAGACTTGATAGCTGTGCAAAAGAAGGAATCAGCTCAAAAATAAAGTTTTCTAAGTCTTTTTCTTTTAAATAGCCATATCCAGCGCTATCATATAGAGAAATTTGGATTCTAGTTTGGTGTAAATTTACTTTTCTTACAATATAATGGAAAAAAGGAACAATTTCAATTCTTCCATACTCATCACGATCGCATTTTAGGAATACTGAAGGCTGGAAGAATTGCCTGTATTTTGGATGTAATTTGTTGGCGACTTGACAAAATTGATCATAATTCATTCTTTCAGAACCATCATCAGGGAAACTAGTATTGTTTTTCAATAAGTATCATAATTTCTCTAAATCCTCTTTATCTAGGACTTCAGCTGATTTATTATGAAGAAATCTTGTCCTAGCTTCCTGTCTAAGTTTTAAATATAATGGATTTTCTAATTGAGGCTTTTTGAAAAAGAAGCGAGGGATTTTTTTAAAGCTTTCATTGCGTTTCTTTTCTTCTTCTTTTTCTTCTTCGAGGAGATTTAAAAAAGCAATGTCAACTTCTCTATCTAATTAGCTTTTACCGTTTTCAACTGCTGACTTGCGGGGCTTGTCTGCGAGGTATGATTCTAATAAGCTTACCCAGTTGGCCATTTTATAATGATTTATTTGAATTATTCTTGAATTAAGCTTATCTTTATCTCCTACTTTAGAAGTCAGCAAACCATTAGAAAATTAACCCCTATTTAAGAACAGCAAATTTTTTTTATATAAATATAATAGTTAAATAACTAATGCTTATTCTTTGATGATTCCTAGGATAAAATCTTTATTTAAAAAATTTTAATAAATTTTTTAGTTTAATATATAAATAGCATAATGAAAAAATCAGGGCATAGTCCTTATTAAGATTCATTGCTATTTATTAAAGATTAGCTATCATGATTTGATTGTCACAGCAGTGCGTCGCTACTGCTCAGTTTTCATTTAACGCAGCAAATATTAGCTTATTTGCTATAATTAGCGAGATTATTTCTTATTGCTCTTTTTACTGGCTGCTTAATTTTTATTTCTAGCAGGAAAAGCTGTAAAATAGCCAAGGCATTAGAGCTGCTTTGCAAAATTGTTTAAACTAACACTCTGCTATTCAAATAGCTAAAACCCAAAACTGCAAATTCCTCCAATGCCCTAGGCTATGATTGAGAAATTAAATGCATTTTCTCTTATATTTACTGCTTAAATTTACTATCAAGCAATAAAAGCAAAGGTTATAATATATTGCAATTTCAATTATTTTAAATACCAGCGTATTTAGCAGATATATCCAACTATCTTATTTCTATATCACAAATTTGGTAGTTTAACTAAAGTGAACGTAAAAACGAAAGATATTTTGCTTAAGAAAAATTTGTGGTCTGAAGCAATAAATCTTATATTAAAATATTATAAATACGATATTTATATTTGAATTGGCTCATCTCCCCAAATATCATCCATTTCATCCACATCAATTCCACTTTCCCTTTGGTCGTACTCATAAAATGCTCTTGCATCGCTAAGAATTGACACAATTGTATCTCCAACTCCACATTTAATCAGATCCTCTAGCGTAATTGCATAAAGACATTTAGGTTTTGCCATATCCCAAATTTCATCTTTTACATCATCAACCTTAAAGCCGAATTTTTCCTTAGATTCGAGCTTCGCTATAATTGACCTCAAAAACAAATTAACCACAAAAGTGTCTATCGCCCCTTTTTTATATACGTCGAAGATCCTGAAAAAATATTGTAGACTTGGCATTGTTTTTTTATTTTCCATTGCTAATACAAAATCCAGGAACGTTTTGTAGTCCATTTCTCCTTCAAAAGTTTGGTATTCTTCAAATAAACGATCTACAAAGATGCTTGTAAGTCCGCCTGAGTAGCGTGTTAATTCTTGCTTTCTAAGCATTCCATTTCTATCTAAATCAAGCCTTAAGTAATGGTCATATACCCTCAATGTATATTGAACAGAGAACCAATTTTGAGCGGCTTCTTCAGGGCTCATATTTTCTTGTCTCAGTTCATAAAGTTCAGCCAGAATTGGCGAAGTCAGCATATCTTTGATCCAAATCCTCCCTGTCTTTTTAGGATCCAAGAAAAAGAAAAATTTCCTCACAGCTGTAATCACATAAAATGGATAAAAATTTTCTTGCAGACTTGATAGCTGTGCAAAAGAAGGAACCAGCTCAAAAATAAAGTTTTCTAAGTCTTTTTCTTTTAGATAGCCATATCCAGCGCTGTCATATAGAGAAATTTGGATTCTGGTCTGGTGTAAGTTTACTTTTCTTACGATATAGTGGAAAAAAGGAACAATTTCAATTCTTCCATATTCGTCGCGGTCGCATTTTAGGAATACTGATGGCTGGAAGAATTGTCTATATTTCGGATGTAGTTTGTTAGCGACTTGGCAGAATTGGTCATAATTCATTCTTTCGGTACCATCATCAGGGAAACTAGTATTGCTTTTCAATAAGTATCATAATTTCTCTAAATCCTCTTTATCTATACTATACAACATAATTAAATATATTAAGCTTTATATTATAATTATTTTATATAAGTTTCAATAAATTCAAACCAGTATAGGACTTCAGCTGATTTATTATGAAGAAATCTTGTCCTAGCTTCCTGTCTAAGTTTTAAATATAATGGATTTTCTAATTGAGGCTTTTTGAAAAAGAAGCGAGGGATTTTTTTAAAGCTTTCATTGCGTTTCTTTTCTTCTTCTTTTTCTTCTTCGAGGAGATTTAAAAAAGCAATGTCAACTTCTCTATCTAATTAGCTTTTACCGTTTTCAACTGCTGACTTGCGGGGCTTGTCTGCGAGGTATGATTCTAATAAGCTTACCCAGTTGGCCATTTTATAATGATTTATTTAAATTATTCTTGAATTAAGTATCCTACTCACCCTTTTTAATCCGAACAAAACTATCAGAAAGTTTCCTCTATTCAGTAAAGATTTTTGTATTTAAATATATTTTCGTATAACTTTTTATATATAATTAATAATCATAGTAATGAACTCTCAAGTTAAGTTTATTATATTTAGATAGTTTGCATCCTTAAACATAAATTTTATAGATCAAATTAATTTTTCTTTCAAATACTTGCTTTTTGGGAAATTAAAAATATTAGCCCCTTTTTTAGAGCAATTAAAAATCCTTGCTCGCTCTTAAAGGAGTCAGGAGTCAAGTAAATAGCAGAAGTATTACTGTAACTTTCGATATAAAATAATTAATTATTTGATAAGAAACATATTTTCGAAACTATTAAAATATAATAAATGAAAATTTTTATACTTTAAGTAAACTTTAATAATTAATAATTGATGAATGGAATTGAAGAAAGTCCTAATGGAACTAAAAAAGAAGCAGCAATGTAATTATAAATCAGATCAATAGATAAGCTCAAAAAACAAAACCAGACTTTAAGAAACAACCTTAAAAATCTATACTGATTTATTCTGACTAAAATCACTGCATAAATTTTTTTAATCTCTAATATACAATATGAGCTAATTATTTTTAATCAAAAAAAGTAGAATAAGTCAAGCACTTGACGAAGCTCTTGATAAACAAGCCAAAACTAACAACCCCAAAGAAAATCCAGAAGTCGCTGAATTTTCTGAAAATCCAGAAGACAAAGGTGTGTCCCTTGCAAGAATCAAAAAATACAAAAATCAGATTTTCAGCATGAAAAAAGAGCTAGAAGGCAACAACGAAATGAGAATCGCCGACCTGGAGAACCAAGTCTCCTACCTAAAAAATAAAATCCAAGAATACGAAGACGAAAACGCTGCTCTGCTGAAAATCGAGCAAGAACAAAGCGAAGCTGCCTCATCCAATCTAAACACGCTTCAAATAAACTCAGCAAAAGTCGATTCTTTAAAAGAAGAGCTAAAATCCTTAAAAGAAACACACAAAGATCTCCTTTTAAAACAAAAACAAGGCGAAAAAACTCTTATCCCCCCCCTCCGTGAGTGAACAAAAAAATTTTGTTCACTCACGGAGGGGAAAATTTATATATAAATTTTATAAAAAATATTATTTTTCAAAATTTAAAAAAATCCTAATTCGCAAAAATTTGAAAGCAAATATATTAATTTAATTTATAAAATTTATGTTTTAAAACGCAATTTGTTTAAAATTAAGCAGAATTAGCTCTAGATTTCATTATGCTAATTATCACTTATATATCAAATTTTTTTTCTATTAAAAAAAATTTTGTTCACTCACGGAGGGTGGGTTTTTGGGCAAAAAATAGCAATTTTTCTAATGGTTTTGTTCACTCACGGAGGGGGGGGGGAGTTAAGGATTTCCACGAAAAATATGTGAATTTAGAAGAATTTTGCAGAAAAACAAAAGCATTGATAAGGCAAAGGAAATTAGAAGAAAACCTACCGCCACTGCCTGAGGTGACTGATGAAGAAATAAGAGAACTTGAGGATAAAATCAAGGAAACGGAAAAAATGAAAAAAGAAGAAGAAGGGAGTTTGAAAAAGAAAATAAAAGAACTTGAAAAACAGATAAAAGTTAGCAAGGCTAATATTAATGATTTGCAGAGCAAGCTGAAAGAGAAGGATCAGGAATGCAGGGCGACGATGCTGAAAATTAAAGAGCTTAGAAGAGCTGTGAGGCAGTGCAAACTAAGCCCTATTAATAGGTCTACAAATACAGAGGTAGCGCCAAGGCCAAGCACGCTGAGATCTTATGAATCGAAAATTGAGATAAAAAGACCAGTAGCTGTTGAAAGATATGGGAGAGAAATAAATCAGTATAAAAGTGTAAAATCAAACAGAAAATCAAGTAGTCAAGATCGAGACAATTTAAAAGTGACCCCATTTTCTGAAGAGAATTCAGATGGGATGATGCCTATGAAGCCTTCATCTTTTGGGGATATGGGGAGCTCATTTCTCACTCAAGACCACCAATAAAGCTTTATATTTTGCCTTTGCTAGCATAAATATACCTCAAAAATTCATAGTAAATAATTATCCTACTGAAATTCAGATAATTTTTTATTTTAATAAAAAAAATTCCAATTTAATTCACATTATTTATATTTCACATCATTTTCAATTTTAGCATACTCCAGCTCAAAATTCGCTTTTTTTTGCTGAGTTCAATTAATTTCATAGTCAAAATATAGATAAGTTCCTTGCTCTTTTTCTGGAGTTGTTACTTTTGGAGCGCCTTGTCTTTGAAACCAAGTTTGATATTGCATATGGTAAATCCAATCTTTGGATTTTATATTTTTTTTTTATAAATTATCCAAGATATATATGAAAAAAATAAAAAATATTATTTATAATGAAAAGGATAGTAATTTGCTGGCAAGAAATTGCTGATATGTTCCATGCTGATGATAAAATATAAAGAAAAGGGCATCTTGGTCAAGCTTTTTATACTGCTCCAGATCGTTAAATAAAGGTCTTTTAGGAAAGCTATTATGACATTGGTAAGGTGACTTCAAAATCTGAAGTTGAGACTTTTTTCTTTCATCTGGTCTTATTCCATATCTGCACGCTGAGTCTAGAGCTTCTTTTGAGTCTCCTGAACTGAGTTTTATATAATCCTAAATTCTATCATACTTCAGCGGTATCTTCTTGCTCTTCTGAATCCTCTTGGCTTCTTTCCATTTTTTGACTTGAATAATCTATATATTAAAATGGTGCGGAAAACCAGCCTGCCCTCTTAGAGCCTGTAGCCCCTGTAAGCTGGGGACCTTGTGGAAAGAAGGATGATGTTTGGAATTTGCATCCGGAAAGGTTTTAATTGGTTTGTTGTGGAGCGCAATGCCGGAATAGATCATATATAGGTTAATTTTAGCCAAAAAGAGGAGGCTCAAGGTTGAAGGAAAGCCCAGCAATACCTGTGAGGTTCCTTCTGGTCAATTGGGAAGAGCGATACCTAAATTTGCTTCCTGGGCTTTAAAATTCCATCTTGATCATCATCAGGTGACCAGAAAATTCGATTTTTCGAATTGACCTGAATCTGAACCTTTTATGGCGTGCGGCATGGTGTCCCAGCGTCCTGGACTCTTAGGCAGTGAGTGCAAGCCCTCTTCAAAGAGGAGCAACACAGTGAAATGCAATTCCGGATTCTCAAGTAGGCAGTGTGAGCAAAAATAGTGGTTTTCAAGCCTGTAGGGAGTTTCTCAATAATTCTAATTAAGAACTAAATGAAAAATCTGAGAGTGAGGGTTTATCAATCAATAGATTTATTGGTATTAGTGATAAGAGACAAAATGAGCTAATAAGAAATTTTAGCTATAAGTTACTGTGATTTTTAAAAGTTTTTAGTTAATTTTTAATAATTTTGCATCTGGAGAAGTTGACTAGCCACTCCAAAATAAAAAAAATTGCAAAAGAATATCAAATAAAATTAGGAAATTTTAAAATTTTTTGAGCAATATTGCCAATTTATTAAGCTTAAGCACATTAGCTACCTGACTCAATAAATTAATTTTAGTTAGTTTCATTAATATTTGCAATAATTATTCATAAAAAAGTTTCTGTTTCTCATAATAAATTCATAGATTAAAATTATAAATAAAATGTCAGGTCATGCTGGTCTAAAGTCTTACTATCTTTCTAAGATAGAAGACCTGACTCATAGAGTTCAAGCCAAAATGGCTGAAGTAAAACGCCTTGAAGCCCAGCGCAACGAAATGAACAACCAAGTCCGCAATCTTCGTGAAGAAATCCAGCTCTTGCAAGAACCGGGCTCATACGTAGGCGAAGTTGTCAAAGTTATGGGCAAGAAAAAGTGTCTCTGCAAGGTGAATCCTGAAGGAAAGTTCGTTGTAAATATAGCCAAAGAGATCCCACTTGACAAATTGACCCCTAACACTCGTGTTGCCTTAAAAAGTGACTCATATCAGCTTCACAAGATTCTTCCCAGCAAAATTGACCCTCTAGTCAGCTTAATGAAGGTCGAAAAAGTGCCTGACTCGACCTATGACATGATTGGAGGCTTAGACCAGCAAATAAAAGAAGTCAAAGAAGTCATTGAGCTCCCTATTAAGCATCCAGAAATATTTGAAGCCTTAGGAATTGCGCAGCCTAAAGGAGTTTTACTATATGGCCCACCAGGAACAGGGAAGACTTTATTAGCAAGAGCTGTTGCCCATCATACTGACTGCACATTTATCAGAGTTTCCGGAGCTGAATTGGTCCAAAAATACATAGGAGAAGGCTCCAGAATGGTAAGAGAGCTCTTTGTGATGGCTAGAGAGCATGCACCTTCTATTATATTTATGGATGAAATTGACTCTATAGGTGGTACCAGGATTTCAGGGGAGCATGGAGGGGATTCTGAAGTCCAAAGAACTATGCTTGAGCTGCTAAACCAATTATTCCCCAATCCCTCAGCCAAAAATAATTCCAATAAGCAAATTTCTTATTTTAATAGAAAAATATTTTCATTAAAGCAAAAAAAAAATATAATTTCTTATAGAAAGAATAGACGGATTTGAAGCCAATAAAGACATCAAGGTTATCATGGCCACCAACAGAATTGATATCCTTGATGAAGCTCTATTAAGACCTGGAAGAATTGACAGAAAAATCGAATTTCCAAACCCCGACGAAGACGCCAGAGCCCAAATCTTAAAAATCCACTCCAGAAAAATGAACCTAACTAGAGGAATTGACTTCAAAAAGGTCGCAAGTAATATGAATGGCGCTTCAGCTGCAGAAACCAAAGCAGTTTGCACAGAAGCTGGGATTTTTGCATTAAGAGAAAGAAGGGTGCATGTGACTCAAGAAGATTTTGAGCTTGCTGTCGCAAAAGTGATGAAAAAAGATACAGATAAGAATTTATCATTTGCTAAGCTATGGAAATAAGGTAAAAATATTCTTTATATGTCCTGTCCTTAATTACAAATAATTTTTATATATTATGGAAATTAAAAATCGTCATCCCAATGAAGAGGTGCAGCTTTGTTTCGGAGCCTCCTGGCGTCAATGGTATCTTTGCTGTCTTCTCGTTTCATATATGGAAAAATGTCTTTCGGGTTTCGCAGTTCTCTAGCAATCTCACTGTCAATACTTTCTAGCTTTGGGACGTGAGGGGCTGGGATCTGTTTGCCGAGCAGCCCATCTCAATCTAGCCCTTCAAACCACTGATGCTGCTTAATTGTTTCATATGTTCCTCTCATCGCGGGGGTTTTATTCAGCAAAACCTCAATTATAGGGGCAGCTTTGAAATTTTTTCCGATAAAGTTAGGATAAATGAGTCTTCTTTCTAGGACTTTTTCGTAGATCTTGTAGGGGTCGTCTTCTTCTTCGCCGAATGGGACTCCTCCACACATAAATTCGTAGATCATAATTCCGACCGTTCAGTAGTCTGCAGTTAGTCCATAGCCTTTGCCCAAAATTACTTCAGGTGCCATATAATGAGGTGTGCCAACAACCGTATAAGTTCTATTATTAACAAATTTCGCAGTGCCAAAATCAATCATTTTAGGATAACCGTCTTCGTCTACCATGATATTTTCTGGCTTAAGGTCTCGGTATATGATTTTCCGCTCATGCAGATGCTCAAGCATCAGCATAATGCAGCCTGCGTAAAACCGTGAATTGTCATTGCTTAAAATATTTAAGATTCTGAGGACATCAAATAGGTCTTTTCCTCTGACAAATTCAATCAGAAAATAAATTCTGTCTGCGTCTTTAAGTGTTTTTACCAATTTCATGATCAATGGATGATCAATCTGTAGAAGAATTTTCCTTTCCAGCACCAAGTTATCATAAATTTCAAAGGCCTGGATTTTATTTCTGGGGACTGTTTTTAGTGCATAAGGAATTTTAGTTTTTTTATTAACTGACAGATAAACTGTACCAAACATTCCTTTTCCTAGCCCTTTGACAATGCAGAGGTCGTTTAGCGTCACTGAATCATTCTGCAGCTGAATTCTTTTCAGTAATTGGTTCCTGATCCCTTCGTCAATCAAGTTTATAAATGCTTGTCTGTCCAGCACCCAGCATGAGGCGTTTCCTTTAGCTATAACTGTGGCTGTTCTGTTTTCGTTATGAATAATTGACCGCTCCCCAAAAAAATCATGCTTTATGATGGTCCTTATAAAGATATTATCTTTAAATATGTCGACCCGACCTTCTTTTACTATATAAAAAGAGTCTCCGGCATCGTTCTGCATAAAAATAGGCTCTTGGTCGTGGTATTCTTTTACCTTTAAAACAGCAGAAATGGCTTCTAGTTTCTGATAAGGAAGAGCTCTAAGCAGCTGAACTCTCTTTAAAATTCCCAAAAGCTCATTATGGTTAGATATCGAAGCCAGCTGACCACCTATGCACGCCTCAAAATCCTTCCATGTGATTTCTGACAATGTTGTGTCCCCTTGTGTAATAAAATCTGTATCATACACAGAATTTTCAGATTTTTCACTATCATCACCTACACAGCCAAAAATTTCGAAAATTTGACTACTATTTGCAGAGATTAACCTACCTTGAAGAACGATTCAAATTTTTTCTTTTTTTGGGGTTCCTTGGTGGATGACGACTTGGGAATCAGAATAGGAGATTATTCGGGTATGGGCTATGACGTTTTCTACCTGTACAGATGTGAGGCATGCTAGCGTTTTGCTTTGGTTTAGGGCGATTCTTTGTGAATTTCTGTATAGCAGCTGCTGTAGCTCACCTCCAAGAACTTTTTGTAAGCTTTCTCTACCAATAGATAGAACTTTTACTTTACTTCCTAGTAAGATTTTTTGATTATTTTAAATGTATAATTAAAATATGGCGTCTTCGTCTGGGTATGGCCTCCCGGCCATACAGCCTCGACTCATATTTTAATTATATCCGGCAAGGTCTTACCATTTCAGAGATGGACTGCAATGCTAGGTAAGCAATTCTGGTAGCTTTCAGAGCCTAGCCCTAGTCTGTTCTCAGGGGTGGATTTTTCCTCGTGGGGAAGGAAGGTGTAAGGTTGGAAAGGGGAAGCCCAGCAAAGTCCTCTGGACCATTCGGGCAACTCCCTAGCGTGAAACTGGGCGTTACGTCCCAGGCTTTGCATTTTTCTTTTTGCCGATAGCCGACCAGAAAAATCCATTTTTTTTTGGGTTTTTCGGAAAAGCAACCCATGTACAAGCAAGTAGCTCATCCATGAGCCGTCGAAGACGTGGACATTTGCCCTAGAAGCACCTTGGCGATCGAAGCGAGTTTGTCTCCAGCAGGCTGGTGGCCCGATGCGACGAAAGGCGAGTGATAAACCTGGAGTTGTAACCCCGTAGTGGACGTTAAGCGATATAAATTCTATAAGATAAGATAAGATTATTTTAAATGTGGTTTATTTTTTCAAAATTTATATTAAATTATTTTGCATAATTAAAAGAAAATCTAATTTAATTTATAAAATTTATATTTAAGAATGTAAAGACTTGGTTTAAATATAATTAGCAAGAGATATTGCTATAAAAAATTATTAATTATATATGAAATATTTGGTAAAAAATATAATGCTTTGCATTATTTTTCTTATGGTTCTGAATAGGCCAAAAAGGGGGTTTCATGGGAGAAAATTTTAAAATTTCACATGAAAATTCTTCTTTTGGCTTATCAAAACTGTTAAGAAATTAAAGCGACAGATGATATATTAAAACATATTTTTTGCTTGCTTTTAAAGCGGTTGATTTTTTCAAAAATAAGCATTTTTCTATTGCTTTTTCACACTCTAAAAGGTAGAGTTAGAAATCGCTATAACTGTTGCAGTTCTGACAGTATCATAGAGAAGAGCTTGCTCTCCAAAGAACTCGCCATGACCTAGCTGTCTAATTTCATTTCCTTTATATGTGCAGCTTACAGTTCCAAGTTTTATTATATACATTAAATCTCCTGGATCTCCTTCAGTTACTATTTTCTGACCAGGGGAATATTCCATTGGGACCATTACAGCAAGTAATGATTCTTTTTGAGCTTCAGTTAATAAATTAAGTATATGCTTTTTAAAGTGAATAAAGGAAAATGCCGTAAATATGGGGTATTTAATGAAAAAGGCATAGGGATGCTTTCCAAAAATTGCTTATTTTCACTATATTTTTTAGCGTTGACTGACTCTACAGCAGATCTGAAAGCTTGGCGGCCGATTCCTCAGAGTCTTGCTCTTTCTACTGTTTTTATAGTTGCAGTTCTCTCTGAGTCATGCAGTAATGCAAGTTCTCCAAAGCATTTGCCCTTTGTGAGAAAACCTTTGGGTTGATCGTTAACTATAATTTCAACTCTTCCAAGGGCAATGATAAAAAAATTATTTCCAGGCTGGCCTTGCTCAAATATACCTGGCTAATGCGCCTTATAATAAGAATTTTAATAAATTTTAACCAATTTCTAGTCCTGTATATTTACTCTAATAAGCTATACGAATTCTCTTGGTCCCATTTCAAAAAGTTTCATCTGATCAATCACCAATTCCACATTTTCTCTTGGCAAGTTATTAAACAGTGAATGTGTCGAAAGTGCTTCACGGATGTCTTCTTTTTCACGATCAGTTTTAGGTTTTTCTGTGACGATGGCAGTTGCAGCGTCTACGTCTTCAACGCCAATTCGTCTGCGATTGTCTGCAACTGGAGCCTTTTTTTTGATGTTTTTGCGACTTACTCCCATGATTGTTGATTAAATGACTGACCCTTGATCTATCAAAAATAGAGTTTCTAGCAAAAAAATTATAAATATTATTTCAAAATTCTCTCATATAAGCATTAATGTGCGAGAGTTTAAAAATAGATATGAAAATATTAGCAAATATGCTAGAAATCACATTGAAATTGCGATAAGGCAATTATACTGTAATATCTCTAATATTAATTATTATAAAATGTAGGCAGTCATATGAGTCAGATGGATTTCAAACTGGCATATTATATGATGATTGGGGAAATTTTCGCAATTTTTGGTATAATTGCTACGGAATTAGCTGAGTTTCGTATTTATAGAAATTGCCCGAGGATGGCGCTATTTTGCGCCATCCTCGGGCAATTCAAAAAATGGCCCCACACGGGAATCGAACCCACGTGTGGGGCCATTTTTGGTACGTGTAAGTCGATGTTTTACACATACCAAAAATGGCTCCACACGTGGGTTCAATTCCCGTGTGGGGCCGGTTTTTTGAATTGCCCGAGGATGGCGCAAAATAGCGCCATCCTCGGGCAATTTCTATAGTTTCTTCTTTTACAAACTTTGGAAATGAATGATGGGATGGAGCTTGCGAAAAATCGGTTTCTTGGGTTTTAGGGTTTTTTACTTTGGACTTTGAACATACACAGCCCATTTTAATTCAATATTTTATTTAGAAATATATTTTAAAGAAGCAATTAACTCCAGTGCTAAATAGCAATAATAATTTCTATGTAGTATTTGCATTAAAATTTTAAAAATTGCTTGCTGAAAATTCAGAAAAAGTATACATCTAAAGAATGAAATCTAGCACATTGCGATATTATAAATTAAGAAAATAAGCTTATTTAGAATGCATATATAAAACAAAAATTCTTACTTGCTCTCTTTACGAATAAGGGTTTAACATATTTTTTAATCCATATCACTGAAACCTGCTCTTTTAACTCTGAGTAGTGCCGTCATTGGTATTCTTCCTAGCATATAGCGCGCTACTTTCCATCACAAAGCCTCTCAAGGTGCATTGTCTCACTATGTGCTTGATTCCTCTTCGTGCTTCGCCTAAGGGCTCCAATCTCAGTAATGTCAAGGTGCAATAAAATAATGCAAATGATCAACGATAAGGGTAAATGCAACATTAAAAATAAATTCAATATTAAGCTTTTTGTAAAGCAAATTATATAATTTGCTGAAGTTTTTATACTCCCTTTGATTGCTATTGAATTGAAAGTTATTTATGCAAAAATAAATATTTGATAAATGGAAATTAGGTTTTATAAAAAATAGCTAAAAACTTTCAGTTTATTTGGTGATAGCTTAAAGTAACAGAAATTCTATGGTTTAGTAAATATATTAGCTTATATTGAATAAAAAAGCCTGCTGCTATTTTTTATCCTATTTTCATATATTAAATAGGAAAACTGCTAACCAGTAGGAATGCTTATATTTATTTTTTAAATGCATAATACAGTAGTTATAATCAAAGAATCAGTATGATTAAATTTTTCGAATGAGCAGTAAGATTAAGATGTTATACAGCCATAAGTGAGTTAGCCACTATCTAATTGCCTTGTCTCGGCTCAAAAGCTAGTCTACATAAACCTCGGAGTTTGAATGAGGAAAATGGAAGGCTACCATTTTGGATTTCGACCTGAACTATCTGCCCAAGAGACTAACTCCCTAGGTCAGAATCAATTTCCGATGGAATCGATAAGAAAAGATAATGCAGAAGGCAAAGCCTGCCTAGCCCGCCTTCCAAGGATAGGAAAAACCTTCAGGGGAGAAATAAATATTTTCTCTTCGGCAAAGCTTCCCACCCGAAGGCCAACTTCAAAAGTGTGAGAGGCTCAATTTTCAGCTTCAGGTCAACATTTATTTCTTTGTGAGCTGTAATGGATAGAAATAATTGAGAATTATTTAAACCCCTCCCCTGGCTAGCGAGCATAGTCTTTTTTGTTTATTCCAAGGAATTTACTTATATATTTTTAAGTGGATTTATGAAGTTCAAATTTGCAAATATTTGAAAAGTTTAATTTATTAAAACATTATGTGAGTTTCATCTCCAAATAAATTTTTATCTTTAAGAAAAATATTTGCTGAAACAAGGGTTTAATTTTCCCGAAAATAGGCTTCTTTTTAATGTTTAAAGGGAAGTAAGCAATTAATCAAGCTTTCCTAATTTAAGTTGTGTATTTCTTCTATCAGACTTCCCTTGCTATTCTCTAATTTTAAATCCCGTAAAAATTCATTTTAAAATGGCTCTTAAAATCAGGGGTACCCACAGGCACTTTTTCCTATACCCTTTTAAAATCATGGGGTATCTATCACCTCCTCTCTCACTTTCTCCCCAACCCTTTCCCATCATTTCTTATTTCCACCATAAATACTCCTCTATCTCCCAAACAATTTTCCCATTTTTTCCTCCCAAGTATAATTTTCCATATTTTTTATTTAAGGCCACCATAACTCCCAGCCATAATTTAAAGAACCATGAGAGAAGTTATTTCAATCCACGTCGGCCAAGCAGGTATTCAAGTCGGTAACGCTTGTTGGGAACTCTACTGTCTTGAACACGGTATCCAGCCAGATGGTCAAATGCCAAGCGACAAGACCATCGGAGGAGGAGATGATGCCTTCAACACTTTCTTCAGCGAAACTGGAGCTGGCAAACACGTTCCTCGTGCCGTTTTCTTGGACCTCGAACCAACAGTCATTGATGAAGTCAGAACTGGAACTTACCGCCAACTTTTCCACCCTGAACAATTGATCTCAGGCAAGGAAGACGCAGCCAACAACTTCGCCCGTGGTCACTACACCATTGGAAAAGAAATTGTCGACCTTTGCTTAGACAGAATCAGAAAACTCGCTGACAACTGCACTGGTCTTCAAGGCTTCTTGGTCTTCAACTCAGTCGGAGGTGGCACTGGATCAGGTCTTGGATCACTACTTCTTGAAAGACTTTCAGTCGATTATGGCAAGAAATCCAAGCTCGGATTCACTGTTTACCCAAGCCCTCAAGTCTCAACAGCAGTCGTTGAACCATACAACTCAGTCCTCTCTACTCACTCCCTTCTTGAACACACTGATGTTGCAGTTATGCTTGATAACGAAGCTATCTACGATATCTGCAGAAGACAACTCGATATTGAAAGACCTACTTATACCAACTTGAACAGACTTATTGCTCAAGTCATTTCTTCATTGACAGCTTCTCTCAGATTCGATGGTGCTTTGAACGTCGATGTCACTGAATTCCAAACCAACCTTGTCCCATACCCTAGAATTCACTTCATGCTTTCTTCATACGCCCCTATCATCTCAGCTGAAAAGGCATACCACGAGCAGCTCTCAGTCGCTGAAATCACCAACTCAGCTTTCGAACCAGCCTCCATGATGGCCAAATGCGACCCAAGACACGGTAAATACATGGCTTGCTGTATGATGTACAGAGGAGATGTCGTTCCAAAGGACGTCAATGCAGCTGTCGCCACCATCAAGACCAAGAGAACCATCCAATTCGTCGATTGGTGCCCTACTGGCTTCAAATGTGGAATTATTCTTTTTCCAAAAAACTGATTTTTATACTAAATAATAATAAAAATCCATTTAGTTTCTATAATAAGGCATAACTACCAACCACCAACAGTTGTTCCAGGTGGAGATTTATGCTGTTCTATATTATTTACTATTTAAATTATCTTTTAAATAAGAAGCATTTATTTATAGTAAAAAGTGTAGCCAAAGTCATGAGAGCTGTCTGCATGATCAGCAACTCCACTGCCATTGCTGAAGTCTTCTCAAGAATTGACCACAAGTTCGATTTAATGTACGCTAAAAGAGCTTTCGTCCACTGGTATGTCGGAGAAGGTATGGAAGAAGGAGAATTCTCTGAAGCCAGAGAAGATTTGGCCGCTCTTGAAAAGGATTATGAAGAAGTCGGCATTGAAACTGCTGAAGCTGAAGGAGAAGAAGAAGGATACGGTGAGGAACTCTAAGTTAAGTAAAATTCTTAAAATAATTGTGGGTAAAAAATATAAATAGCAGAAAATGATGAGTTGATTATAAAAAACGAATAGAAAAGTCAAATTATAAATTTCAAATAGCTCAGTCAAAACCAGTTTGAGTCTATTCAGCTCTTAAAAGAACTATCTCCCTATCTGCCATCGGTAGCACAATCCAAAAAGTTGTTTCCAAGGACAGATCCTCTCCTTGCAGTGTATAAGCTCTTTTACTATAAAAAAGAATTTCTCTGATTGAAGCTAAACCTATTTCAAAATATGCCAAAAGGAGGAATTCTATTGAAAAACAGAGTCCCTGAAAACATCATATTTTGATTATCTCATTTTGAAATCAGTATAAACTTTCCTAGGCTCTATTGAAGTCAAAGGATTTTAAATTTTATAGATGAGCTACTCCAGCAAGTTTCAACTGGCCACAAGTTTTCTATCAAAAAGTATTATCATCCTAGTCAAATTAGTTCTCAGGTAACCAGCTTATACATTAAGAGCATGCATCTGGGTTTCTTCGTTTTAAAATTCTGTATCTCTCATAATTCTCTCCAAGTATTTTTAATTATGAGATATCATAACGATGACCCCCCCTCAATCTTCATGTCTATTGCAACAAAAACGCAATTTTTTTAATATAAAATTTTATATAAAAAAAATAATAATTTTCATGTCTCTTGCAACAAATTATATACATTAAAATGGCGACACGTGTCAACTTGCCCTCTTGGCGCAGCAGTCCAGACCTTATGGCTACGGCTAATTTGGACGGACTCCGATCCGAGAATCAGACGCAGGCTCAAGAAGTGTGTATCCGGGTAGGTTTTGGGCTGGTTTCCTGTGGTTGGAAATGGAGGTGCTCAACAACGTCCTTTGTATCCGAGACCCATGGGCATTCCTCTACTGAGAAACTGGGGGTTTCGGCCCCAGGCCACAGGGGAAAAAGTTTTTTTCCTGTAGCTGTCGAAGAAAAGCACTTTGACACCCGATAGACTCCAAGGAGCTGATCCTTGGAATCAAGCTACTCCAATCGCCCGTAGCAGGCCGCAGAAATCCATAAGCCGCCCACTGAAGACTGAAGCTGCAAGGCAAAGAGGAGACAGAATGTACCGGAAGAGCACTCGTAAGAGGGATAGATTCTCTGGGCTGGAGTCGAAAAGCGGTAGAACCTTCCGTACGGGAGGTCTTTGGTGACTGCGTCACCAATATGGCTAGCGCCTGTTTGTAATAATCCTAATCCTCTTGCAACAAATTTTTGATTCGCATCTTAAATTTTTCCGTACTTTTAGTTAGATAAGTTTAATAAAATGGCGAGCAATAACAATATCCATCCAAATCTCGATGAGAAGGTCATTGGCAAGCCTACAGCAGCGCTGTTTTATGTTTTTTTAAGAAACTCACCTAGAGGAAAATGCATTAATTGTTTTTTTATAAAAAATGTTGAGTTGCAGTAGGCATGAAGATTTTTTCGAAAAATTTTTGTTGCAGTAGACATGAAGATTGAAGGGGGGTCATCGTTAGTTTAAAATCCTTCCAAAATTCTTTCAAATATTTTCCAAAAACCATCCCCTTATAAAACTTAAAAAAATTTTTAGTTTTGCCTAAGAATTTAAATTCCCTTCAATATATAACCTTGAGCGCTTTTCAGTATTTTGTATAACTGCCAGGAAATGCATGGCTATAATAATAAAATGTCAGAGTGGAAAGCTCAATTTTGTGACTGCACACAAGCATTGCCAGCATGCTGCATCTCGTGTCACAGCACAGCGATTATGCAAGGAATTACAGCTTATGAAATGGGGAAAGGAAATGGATGCAGCGAGTGCTGCCTTGTATATTGTCTGGGGTGCATCGGAGCAGCTATGAATAGAAATGCGGTAAGAGCGAAATACGGCTTAAGCGGAAACTGCTGCTTGGATTGCTTACTTTACTGTATCGGCTGTGGTGTCTGCATGGCGACTCAAGAATTCAGAGAAGTTTACCAGAGAAACAACGGTCTATAAGCTAAATAGTTTAATCGAATTTAATAATTAGGCATTCCCTAACTCCCCCCTCTGTGAGCGAACAAAAAAAATTTTGTTCATTATGGAGGGGGTAATTCTTTTTTCGAAAAATATCCTAATTCACAAAAAATTAGAAAAACAAATATTAATTTAATTTTATAAATATGTTTTAAAAAGCAATTTGCTTAAAATTAAACAGAATTAGCTTTTGATATCATTATAATAATTATCACTTATATATCAACATGTTTTTCCATAAAAAATTTTTGTTCACTCACGGAGGGTGGGTTTTTGGGCTAAAATTAGCGATTTTCTAATGGTTTTGTTCACTCACGGAGGAGGGGAGGAGTAAGCAAATTGCATTAAATGTAAAAACTAGGGTAATTAGTAAAAAATAAGGGGGAAAAAGAGCCAAACATTTAAAGGAATAAAGAACCTATAGAAAACCTCCTAAAATAATAAGAAAATGAGAGTTAAAGGATATTAAAGATATCTTTAATTATAAAAATATTCAACGCAAAAACTTTAAGAAATTAATCCAAGAATAATAATATGTAATTGAAATTTTTAAAGAGAAAACACATCTATTTATTGTGCTATAGAAGTCTTTAGAAGTAATTTCATGGCCATCAGAAGCAATTCTTTCAAACAACTTATTGATTTCGTCACTATATAGCTTTCTCAAAGCTCTTTCAGTTTTCTTAAGTTATTTAAATTATTGGCTCAAGTTTTATCGTTATGAAAGATGTCAAATATATCTCTCAATGCTTGGTTTATTTATCACAAAATTTATCTATAATCTAATCTAAGAACATACCAAAATCAATTGCAAATGATTTTACTAAATCTTATATCATTGAAAAAATAGCTGGATTTTTATTTTCAAGGTCAAACAATTGGGCTGCTACTTTAAGTTCTGCAATAATAAGCATTTATTTGCAGTAATAATAGCATTTTATATATAGAAATTGCCCGAGGATGGCGCTATATTGCGCCATCCTCGGACAATTGGAGACACGCTCCACACGGGAATTGTGTTCCACGTGTGGAGCCATTTTTCCACGTGGGGAAAATGTGGATTCCACACGTGAAAAATGGCTCCACACGTGGAATACGGTTCCCGTGTGGAGCCAATTTTCGCTTGCCCTAGGATGGCGCCATATAGCGCCATCCTAGGGCAAATCCTATAAATAATTATAATTTTCTTCTTAAAATATATCTAAAATTAAGAGAATTAACTAACCACAAAAAGAGATTCAATACAAGCACATAATCAATTTTTATTTTATTAAAAAATAATACAAAGTTATCATGTTGCCATTTTTAACTTATCAAAATAATTGAAATATTAAATAAATGACTACAGTCACACTAAATGAAGCTTATTCAATTGTGGCTGTTTACAAAGACCAAATTGCTGTAGGAGGAACCAATGGAATTTCTATTGTAGACCTCCAAGGTCAGCAAGAACACTTGTCTGATATTGAAACCCAAAATTTAAGCTGAAGCAAAGATGGACTTTTAGCAGCTTCAAGAGGGAAAGTTCTAGACGTTTATAAAGGAAAAGAGCTTATTTGGTCTGTTACCAAACACATAAGGAATATCCGAGATATCAAATGAAACGATGCAAATTTAATTACAAGCTGCAGCACAGATTCTAAACTTTTTGCATGGGATATCAGAACCAAAGAGCCTGCAATCACTTTTAACGCTACAAAAGGGGTTGGGGTTTATCGCCTGGCATGGTCTCACCATTCTTCTGATATTTTGGCTTCAGCCCATGACACTGCTTTAAAGCTGTGGGATGCTAGATTGCCTAGAAAATCATTAGCAACTGTAAAAGCAGCGCACCCAGGAAGAATCCTATGCTTGGATTGGCATCATACAGATTCCTCTAAATTACTATATTATTTTCCATAAATAAATCCCAACTTTTTTTATATTAAAAATTTCAAAATTCAGCTTAAAACTCTTATCATCTGGCGTCTTATCCTATATAAAAGTCTGGAAATCATCCTCTACCAACGTTTCTGTGCTAAATTCTGCACAATATCATCCTCCTATAGTAAAAACTTTATTTACCCCTTCTTCTAATAGAATTGTATGTGTCACCGAACAATCTGAAGGGAAATTGCATATTTTGGACGCTGATGATTTGAGGCCGAAACTTTATTATAACTTAAGATCAGCTTCAATAGAAGACGTCGCGTGAGGGGAAAATAAATTAATTGTATTATCAGCTGACCGTGTTTTAAATGTTATTGAGGGACAAGCACTTATAGAAGAAAAAATAAAAGAAGACGAGGACTCTGCTGAGGAGGAGTTTGAAGGGGAAGTTTCGAATTTATATATTGAAGAAAAAGGCTCTATTTCATTAGAAGAAGAGCTAAATAAAGCAGAAAAAAAATTCAGAGGTCAAGGAATGAATATAGAAGACAAAGGAATGGGTCAGAGATACTGTGTAGTCAGAATCTCTAACGAAAGAAACTATATCCGCTACCTTTTCAAGTTTCCTCAAGACTACCCTAAGTCTCCACCAATTTTGACCCTCCAAGGATTTTCAATTGATGTAAAAGAACACATAAAATCAATAGAAAAAAAAACCTTGAAAATCTCCACAAATCGAAGCAAAAACAGTCAAAATTCCTTCATCAAGCTTTGTGATTATATCTTAAAAAGTATTAACAAAATATTATTTTTTCCCTTATTTTGCCTATTTTTATATAGTAAAATTGTCTACTGGGCTATCTAAAGGAAAAACTTATATCGCCTCCACCTGAAATGTTATTTGATGGCCTTGAAGCTGATATAGTCCAAGATGAAGAAGATATAATAGAAAACACGTATCGGTCTGCACTAATTTCAAGCTGTCCAGCGTCCTCAGGACACTGCTGGCACCCTAGTGGGAAACTATTCACTTTTATTTGTTATAGACCTACAGAACAGAATACTGACGAAAATGAAAATACGACTGACGACTTCTTCGAGGACATCAAAGCTCAGCATTTTGAGATGGGAATTAACGCAGAAGAGCTAAACCCTGCACAAAATAACGAAAATAACCAGAATTTAGGGATTTTATTGGTAGAGTTTATGTAGTGGGCGGATTATAGCTGGCTGCTGCCGTATACGCCGGTATTTGTAAAAGAGCTGTCGATGGACCCGGCGGAAAATTTGATTAATATATGCAAGGTAGTTTTTATATAGAAAAATGCAAGTGTCTGTGAAAAATACGGGCATGCTGAGGTGGCTAAGTGCTGGGAACTTTTTATACCTTCACTAGAGCTTTTTGTGAACGTCAGATCTTGGGTTTCTCATCCTTTAGGGCTTTCACTCGCCGCAAAATTTCTTTCTCATTTCTGCCAAACTTCTAATATCACAGGCCGCCTTATGATCTGTTTATTCTGTATTTTAGCTTTAAAAACTACAAATTCTGAGGCATGCTCTATAAAAAGGAGCATAACAATATCTTCTTCAGACCAATCTTCTCCTGAATCTATTGAAAATTACTATAAAAGAACCCCCTGCCGATATCTGATATTTCTAACCCTTAAAGAATTTTCTGAAATTTTGCTGTCTTGGGGAATGCAAAGTACAGCAATAAAAATCTTAAAAATGATGAATGTGCTTTCCCTTAATAATATGCTTTTGTCTGGTGAAGAAAGCTTAGGATTTAACATGATCCATCCTAAAACTACCCATCTACAGGTTAATTGCAATAAATGCAATACAAAATTCCTTAAATGCAGTATCTGCTTAAAAGCAGTTTTAGGTTTAAGCGTGTTCTGTGAGATCTGTGGCCATGGCGGACATTTGATTCATCAAAAGCAATGGTTTTCTAACGAAGCTAAGTGCGCAAGCGGTTGTGGCTGCAGCTGTGTATTCAGAAATTCAACATAAATGAAGAAATTCCTAACTCCCCCTCCGTGAGCGAACAAAAAATTCTTATTTGCTCACGGAGAGGGTTAATTTTTTTGTTTTTTTAAAAAAATTATATATAAATTTTATTCGCTCATAGAGGTGGGGTTTTGAGCAAAAAATAGGGATATTTCTAATGGTTTTGTTAGCTCACAGAGGGGGGAGTAAGAAAGCAGCCCTTCAGTGCATAACTTCTAGTTTTGATAAAAATTTAAAATATTAATGGAGTCTAATTATGTAAGAGTCGGTGGCTGGTCAAGCACAACTGGGATCCAGGGAGCCCCCACCCCCCACATAGCATGTATAATTAAGACTATGAATATTTGCATAGCAAGTATACAAATGCAAATTCTAAGCCAAATCTATCATTAATTTTAAGAATAGAACTGTTACATATAAATATAGTTAGGGTGTCTGATATCTTCATCGTTTAAAAAATAGTTGATAGATATAAATTTTCTTTAGTACCAAGCAGAATGTGTAAATATTTATTTAAGTATAGCTTCTGAATAAATGCTTTGAATTAGATAATTATTGACATTAGATAAGGTATTTAATATGAATGAAAGTTTTTCTCTTATTTTTTATTACAATTTTTTGCCTAAAAGTTAGAGAAAGATGCAAAGAAAGAAGTATATTTTATTTAAATTGAATATTAATCTTTAAAGATTTCATGCAATTAAAGTTAAGGTGGAGAGAAATTATATTAAACCGAAGTAAATGAATATTAATAATAATAAGGATTTTGACTGAATGGCATATAAATGGTCAACACAAAACAGAATAAGTATGAATCCCGGAAGTAGGGTACAAGAGAATCCATCCAGAATCGCCAAAAAAATTCAAAAAAGTATAAAAGCAGTAGAAAAGCGCTTTCCATAGAGTGCACTCCTTATGAAGTGCATGTGCAAAGCTATATAGCATTAAATTGATTTTATAAACAAAGGGTAGAATGTGTATCATGAATAAATTAAAAAAGAGGTAAGCCTGCTCCACATAATAATATTTCATCTAACGTATTAATTAAAGGAATATTATATGGAGACTATATGCGGAATTCATAAATTATTATTATATTTTTTATAATTTATTAAATGCTTTAACTTTTTTTGATGCATATATTTTTTTATAATTATCACAATTCGCTATCTTTTTACTAATATCCCAGTGACTGTGTGTGGGGGAGGTGGGGGAGGTGGGGGAGGTGGGGGAGGTGGGGGAGGTGGGGGAGGGTGGGGGAGGTGGGGGAGGTGGGGGAGGTGGGGAGGTGGGGGAGGTGGGGGAGGTGGGGGAGGTGGGGGAGGTGGGGGAGGTGGGGGAGGTGGGGGAGGTGGGGGGAGGTGGGGGGTCCCGGGGTCCCAGTTGTGTCGGACCAGGTGGCAAATACGTTTTGAGAAAAAGAATAGGCGGAGGATCATTTGGAGACATTTTCTTTGGGTCGAATTTAGAAACCCAAGGAGATGTGGCCATTAAGCTAGAAAATTTGAACTCAACCTTTCCTCAGCTTGTAAATGAAGCCAAAATTATTAGAAGTCTTAGAGGAGAAGGAGTCCCAAAGGTGTTCTGATCTGGAACTGAAGGAAATTATAACATTATGGTTATGGAGCTGCTAGGGCCATCATTAGAAGATATTTTTAAGACGCAAGATAGAAGAATGTCAACAAAATCAGCATGTATGATTTGTGATCAGATGATACAAAGAATAGAAACTATCCATAATCAAGACTATATACATAGAGACATAAAACCTGAAAATTTTTTATTTGGGCTGAACGACAAAGAAAGCACTGTTTATATTATCGATTTCGGACTATCAAAAAAATATAGAGAAAGTAAAACAAAGCAGCACATTCAATACAAAGATAAAAAGAGTTTAACTGGCACTGCGAGATATGCGTCAGTATATGCCCATCAAGGCATAGACCAAACCCGTAGAGACGATTTAGAAGGAATAATATACGTTTTCATATACTTTTTAAAAGGCGAATTACCTTGGCAAGGCTTGCATTTAAAAAACAAACAAGAAAAATACAACAAAATTATGAGTGTAAAAATGAGCACCACTGTAGAAAATTTATGCAAAGGCTGCCCTTCTGAAGTAGCACATTTACTTAATTACTGTAAAGGACTGAGATTTGAAGAGAATCCAAATTATAATTATATGAGAGAGCAGCTTGCTTCTGTTGGACGAAAAGAAAATTTTAATTTTGATTTGATTTTTGAGTGAAATAAATTCAATCATGCCCGTGCTCCAGAAAAAAAACAAGCGGGCCAGCCAGCTTTGAAAGAAGCAGAACCTCAATCACAACAAAAACACAAAAAACAATTAAAAAAACCAAGAAAAAAACAGGGAAATGCACAGCAAGAAATAGAAGGCGAAAAAAATCCAGAAAACCAAGGAGAAATTAGAGAAGATGACTGCGAAACTGTAGCAGGCCATAGATGACCAGAATTCTGTGACCGGCAAAAAATTTTCAGTTTTAGGCTAAAAAGTGGAGAAAATTCTCCTATGAAAGTGGAAACTGAAGAAAATACAGTAGGAAAAAGAAGAGATAGTGGCTGTATATTGTTTTAATAAAAAAATTTAATTATTCAAATAAGGAAGCTTAGGTCGGTTTGTTGTTTGTAAAAATGAAGGAAATCTCAAGTGATTTTCTTTTAAATATAATTTGTATTTTTTAATGCTTGGGAGGCCTCGGAGCTGCTTTTGGACAGTCTCATAACGAACTGAGGTGACATCGGGGGAGTTTTCTTGTGGAAATAAGTGCTTTGGAGAGTGTAAGTGATAATAAAGATTGACAGCCCTTTCCACTTCGAATTTCTGTTTTGCAGCATTAAAAAATTCAATGCTTTTCTTTGATTTCTCGATCAATTCTTTGTTTATTTCTGTTTTTTGTGCAAAATGTTTCGGTATTATTATTGAACCTCTTGGTGAACTTGCCAAAGAGTTCGGACTAGTTTCAAACTTAAATTTTTCTAATATAGGGTTATCGTTTATTTTGAAATCCTCAATATCTTTCTCCTCAAAATATTTAGCGGAAGTATGCCGTATAGAGGAATGTTTTTCAGAATGGAGTTTTTCTATTTCTAAAAGTGATTGATTTACTTTTGAAAATTTATATCTTCTTCAATTTTAATGACGAGCGGGGTTAGGATCTTATGTTCTGTTAGTTGATATTGGCTAGAGGAAGGTGGATCCAATTGGTGATAGTTCTCAGGGGGTTTTTTAGTGCTAAAACTTTTTTTCTTGACCTACAGATGACAGATCGAGGTGTAAAATCCTTCCATACTTCTTGGGAGTCAATATTTAGTCTGCAATAGGGCTAAGGAAGGCCAAGAAAGAGATTCTGGGCGAGTCAGCAAATTATCAAGCCCTGCTCACAGTAGGCAGTCCTTAATATGGTCAAGGATCAAAACCTGAACGGATGAGCCTCCCCTTCAGTCTGACACCATTTTTTAGGTGAAGTTGACGAAAAAGGGCGTTAGTTTGGAGAGTGGCACTAATTCCTGAAGGGTTAGGGCTGAAATAAATCCTAGTGACTGTTAGAATTAATCTTAATTTTTAATTTCTTCAATTTTATTGGTTTTTTATTCATTATTAAAATTAAAATATCAAATTTCACAAAATTTCTCTAAGCTGGAGGCTCTGGTGTCCCATCCAATGTATTGCAAATATTTCCAAACGGTCCTTGAGCTAAAAAATGACTAAAATGCTGTTTTTGAACTAATGGCTTCCCGCAAAGATTGCAAAATGGTTGCGTACCTCTGCATATTGGTGATTGGCAAATGACATAATTGCAGCCATCTTCTCGCATACAAGCTGCTCCACATTTGGGGCATCTTTTTCAGTTTCTGCTAAGCATCATTTCATCAAGTTTAAATTCTGCGAACTGGCTTTTATAAGCCTCACAGGTCATTCCTGGGTGAGCTCCATTCTTGCAAACCACACAAATTCCTGCTTTACATGCACTACAGGCTGTATGTATATCATTAGGAGAAATATATCCAAACCCTTTGCAATCTGGAACAGGGCAATGAACCGCTTTATTTTCAGCCACAAGTTTCAGCATCTTTATATTTACCCTCAGTTCATTTATTTTAGTTTGCTGATCTTGAGAAATATGCTTGTTTACGAAATCATCCGAGATCATTGTATTGCAGTTTGGGCATAAAATCTCTTCTGGCATAACTCGGCCTAGGTTTATCATGTTTTCAAATAATAAAAGGATACATTTTTTGCAAAAAGTATGGTTACAAACAAGTTCAACCCGTTCTAGTTGTGTGGAAAAGCAAATAGAGCAAAATATCCTGATGCTTGGTGCATTTGAGTCAGATGTTATTGTGGACTCTAGGTATATCATTTTTTCCTCCTCTTTATTTTCTACTTTTTTATGATGACCAATGGAAGAATCATGGCTTTTAACTAATATATCTTTAGGTTTTTGGTTCTGTTCTGAAGGCTGTTTTTCATTTAAAGCAATTTTTGGAAGAAGATGTGGTTTTTTAAACAAAAATCCATTAAAATTTGCCTCATTCTCTGAAATTTCTGAATTTTGATTACTTTTCTTTAAACTTGCATTTTCTCTTGGCTCCCTAGCTCGAAGCTTTTTAGAGCTTTTAGGATCAGATTTTTCTTTAAAATGATTTAAGCGCTTCGCGGCAATGAGTTCTTCATGAACGTCATCATTAGTACTAATTTCATCCATATTCATTATTATGCATTTTTATCAGTTGATATTTACAATTTAAATGACCAAAATTGGTGGATTTTCATATAAACTAGGAATAATTACTCCCCCTTTAAATTTATACAAAACATAGGCAATTTTTCATTTTTTTCGCTACTTTAAACCTCCCTTTAATTTTGGATAATTATTTTTTTCAGAAAAAGTGCAAATAGAATATTATTTGTATAGCTTTCAACCTGAATCAATTAAGTTTTTGAATTAATTTTTCATAATTAAAAAACATTGAGTTTAAATTTATCACTTTTAAATTTAAAACTTTAAAAAAATTTTCTTTATAAAAAAAATGACCCCTTTTAAATAGGAACAGGATTTTTTGTTCTAGTTTAAACGGGGTGTTAGAAAAATTTTCTTGTGGTTTCCATGCAATCAGGAAGGTATTTACATTTAATTATTGAAAAAATCCTTATAAGTATATTAATACAATAGCCAGATTCTGACAATAAAAATAATTAGAATATAAGAAAACAGAATAAAAAATAGCTATCAATTACTGTTTGCTTGCTTTGCTTGCCTGTTTAGGAGTGCAAACTAATTGAGGGACAATCCTAGATATTTATATTATCCGCTATTATTATGCATATTAAATTAAGTGATCATACACGTTTACAGAATGCTTCCAAATCTTAAATATATTAATATCTCACTATTTTTGATCTAATTGTAATATAAATGTATTAGAAAGCTTTATTAGATTACAATTATTATTGTGACTTCATGTAATGATATAAAGCCAGCTTTTTCCGTTTAATATCCATCTAATATTCTAAATATTATTTACTTATAATTCTTCAAAAACCCTAGCTTTTAGGGAAATAGTATTAAACGATATGTTTAAATTAAACTTTTATAAATACAAGCTTATTCGTATAGTGATTGTTGCAAAGCTTGCTCTAGCATTTCATCCTCGTTCATAGTAAAGTCCTATATAATTTTTACTGCAAAATTATCATAATCAAACTGATGACTTGTCTGCAGATGGTCACATATATCAGGAAATTCCTCTTCAGGGTCTCCCCATGGTAATGCTTTGCATATCGTGCAAACCCCGGACATCCCAAGGTGCTCATTATCTACATGAATTAATAAAGACTCCCTATCAAAATGACTTAAATCACAGCAAGGGCATGAATAAGTCCATCTATTAATAACAGGCTCGCTAGGCTTCGGAATTTCTTGGCTAGCTTTTTTAATTAAATGCTGAATATGGCTGCAAACAGCTAAATGATCATTATAATTTACATAAGGTAAAATTGCACCACATTGACATACGAAATTCGTTGATTTTATGCTTTCCCAAAGCTGACTTTGAAATCGGAACTGATCCGACGTCAGAGGTGAACGGCAAATCGGACATGGAGATGTTGTCAATGTAATTACATTCTTTATGCACTCTGAACAGAAATTTTTCTTGCATGGAATATGCAGCCTAGGCTCAATTAAAACCCCAAGGCAGATGTTGCATTGGAACTCTTCCTTTATATCAGAATCCATTTAAATAATTTATTATTATTCGAAAATATTTTGGCTTTGTAGAGTATTCATTTATAAGCTATTTTTATGCTAAAATGCCAGAAAACCTCTATTTTATTTACAAAAATGTGGAATTTATACGCTATACTGACCTTAATAATCTAAAATCATATATATTAAAGTGGGCTTAATGATAAATACATAAGTGGCGAATTTTCTTCTGCTTTCTGCCTTTTTCCAGGCTTAGCAAAGGAAGGCTGGCAACAACTGATATCTTTGCATGCAGAAGTCCCTGGCTCTTGTAAGAGCTTTAGCACATTTTCTGGTATATTTTCTCCTTCTTCAATTTTTGTAATATATTGCTGCACAGTTTTGTATTTTTTTACATAGGCTCGTAAAATACCTACTCTGTCATCTTTGTGCTCTTGGAAATTAAATCCAAATTTTTTAGCTGACCTAAGCTGTAGTAAATAATCGTCAAGTGATTTTTTTGCGATCCCTACTTTTCGTGCAGCGTCTTCCAGAGTCATTTTTTTTAAATCTCCTTTGCCATCGATTACTCCAGAGTACAATTTTCTTCATTTCATAACTTTATCTATAATATATCCAATTTTCCTTTCTGTTGTTCTCCTAGAGATTTTCGGTACCAATGTCGTTGGCTCCTCTTCATGCATTTTCTTGGCTGCAACTGAATTCTGTGCTTGCAAAACTGGCCCGATTTCATGACTGACGACTCCATAGCATAAAAGTACTAATTTCCTATCTTTGATTTCAAAAATAGGGATAGAAATAGAAGGCGGAATTGGGTCTGTTCCACAGTAAACATTTAGTTTTGCAGTTGGGGAATAATACCAAATCATAGATTTATCTATTGGGTACCCTTCGTTTTTCAAATAAGTTATGATTGCTGATAAGTTAACTTCTCCTTCTCTGCTGAATGTCAGAATCGGCTGCTTTATGTTTAGGATTAATTCTTTTTCCTTTGTGAATTTATCTCCAAAACTTAGCTCGATATTAATCGTATTAAGCTTGTCATGTGAAAATTGGTTATTTTCATCTCGGTCAGATTCCATGTTTGTTATGTAAAGTAATGAATATAAAATTTTGAATTTGTTAAATTAAATTATAAAACCAAAAAAAGCTATAATTATAGATAGTCAGAGAGAAATTCATTGTTATTTGCAATTTATTAGTATATTTTATACAGAATGATTGTTTCAATAGCACCAAAGGCTATTAAAATACTCATTAAATTATTATGATTTTTATATTGAAATTGGCTTAAATTCTAAGATATTTAACTCTTATAATCATTTCTTATAAATCTTGTTTCTTTTTTTCAATAAAATCAATAATAGAGCCTTCGGAAAGCCCTTTCTCATAGGTTATCTCTATAGCTTCCGTGTTTTTAATAAAATAAAACGAAGGGACCTGGGCTGGACTTATTGTTTTCGGCAAGCCATTTTTAGATGCATTAATCTGGGCAATATTAACTTCAATTTTCTTGTTTTCCTTCAATTTCTTAATAAATAATTTTGCTTTTTCACAGCCTTCGCAATCATCTGCAAACACCAACAAAAGAAACTCAATTTTAGGTTCATTTATTGCTTTTATCAGTGAAGTTCCTACATAATTTATTATTCCATCATTGTCAATAGGTTTTGGCAATTCTGATTTGAGGCTCGGGGAAATTTTATTATTTTCGAAATCTTTGATGGTGCTAGGAACCAAACCAGTGCTCAGTACTCCATGATATCCTATTTTTTCCTTTTCTAAAATAAATAAATGAGTAGAGTTATCAATTGCTAATATAGGTAAATTCTATATAATAATTACATTCTTATCATATCCATATTCTGCTAAAAATCATGAATAATCAGCATACCTTGCGATGGCTATTTTATATTTTTCGCTATCAATTCTTAATAATATCTGAACTATATCCTTAAAATTGTTCTCTTCTTTTGAAGGAGAAATATCAGTAAATAAAGTAATTGAAGTTTTTCTTTCTGAAAGCAGCCCTTCTGTAAATGGAGTAAGCCATAATACTTTTCCAAAATAATTCTTATAAATTTCATCTGCTAGTTTATCAATATCATCAATATTTTTTATTTTATAAGGATCTGATAAAGGATTATTTCCCAAAATACTTGGCCTAAGCAGTATGACTCCGTTTTCTATGTTAAAGTGTTTTGCAATGTCTTGGCTAAAAGTGTATCCGAAGCGATAAAATTGTTTAGCTGAAACAGCAAGACGGATGAATTCCTCTTTGGCTTTATTGCCACTAGTAGAAAATACTCCTAAAACAAGCCCCTCAAATTTTAAATCATCCTCAAATTCTTTCAGAGTATAATATTCAGTTATTGGCTTAGCCATTCTACTTGTAGTGGCTCGAATTTCTTCAGGATCTATAGATCATAAATAAGCGAAATGATTTGTATCACCTTTTAAGGTACAAATTATATGAGGTAAGCTAGTTATCGAAAACTCATTCTTTATCTGATCTTTATCTTCTTCTGGGATTTGATAGAGGCCAAAAACTGAATCAGTGGTAAATTCGCTATTCAGTAATGAATCTCTTAATGGCCTATAAGAATTAGAATCTTTGAGGGAAAAAACTAAAAACCGATTCTTATTAATGCTTTCACTAAGGAAAGCTCTTGCAACTTTTATATCTTGTATGTCAACTACTCCCACTACTACCTTTAGAAGAAATAGCAAAACCAAATAAATCATGTTTCTATAATTATTAAAAAATGTTATTTTTGCTAATAAAGCTGCATAATCTTAAATTATTAGACACTTTTAGTCACCGAAGCCCCTGAAGTAGTCACTGCAGTTGATTCTGTTGTTTCATGCAATGGCTTTTTATTGCATGCTTTATAAACTCTGACCCAAATAGTAAACACAATCAAAAACCAGCTGATTTTTTGTTTATATACCATTAGATTGTAAAACACTGCGTCCAAAAATTTTTCTTCCCCTTCATGCTTTTCTAATAATCTGGCAATTTTTTCAATAATAAATGCTATTTAATTGAATGATATTTTTTTTTTAATTTTAATATAAAAATACTATTTTATTAAAAAATAGCATAAAAAATTCATAAATAGCGACTACAGATCCACAAATACACATAGGGATCAAGATCCACTTATCTAAAAATATCGCCATAAGCACAAAGAACCCAATAAATATAAATAACGCCACAGCTCTTCCTCCATTATATCTATAATGCCCCAAAGCAAGTTGAGAATACATTGCACAAGCATACATAGAAACGGCATAAAGTGCTAATAAAAGAGCTACTAATTCTGCTTTCCAAAACATCGCGATGAAAGCTACCAAAACTGCCTCACTGAACATCAAAGTGGCTACAAAAAGGATACAAGAGCTTGAAACCCTTACTCCCCCCCCCCTCCGTGAGTGAACAAAAAAAATTTTGTTCACTCACAGAGGGGGGTTAATTTTTTTTTTTAAAAAATTTATATATAAATTTTATAGAAAATATTTTTTTTCGAAATTTAAAAAAATCCTAAATTTGCAAAAATTGGGAAACAAATATTAATTTTAATTTATAAAATTTATGTTTTAAAACGCAATTTGTTTAAAATTAAACAGAATTAGCTCTAGATTTCATTATACTAATTATCACTTATATATCAATTTTTTTTTCCATAAAAAATTTTTCTATTAAAAAAAATTTTTTGTTCACTCACGGAGGGTGGGTTTTTGGTCAAAAAATAGCGATTTTTCTAATGGTTTTGTTCACTCACGGAGGGGGGGGGGGAGTTAGTCTCTTTTTAAAACGCCATATAATTAGGAAACAGACAATATAGACAGCAGCAGCAGCCACAGGTAACCATCATAATGGCCATATAAGCGGTACTAAAATAGTGTCAAAAATCCAAAACACAAAGGCTGCGATCATTCCAAATAAAGATTGGCTTGCTGCCATTGTAAGCACTAATGATGATAACGTAGTTAGTTAGCAAATGTTCCTCAAATTGACTAATTCTTGTCTTCCCTGTGAACTGTTAATAGAGAAGGACCTCAGCTCTAAGCAACGACGAGCCAGCATTTACTCGACCGTAATAACTTTATTCGCCCCCAACTCTTTTGCCACTATCCACGCGACTGGATAGTGTCTCTTGTGACCCAGACTCTCAGAGAATAAAGGATTCTCTTCATTAAGCCAAATAAAGAATTACCCCTTACCAGGTCTCGCCATTTTAAATTGTGATGATAACGTAAATTTTCCTGGCATCGGCGCTGCTTTGATTTGTGTTCTTACCCCCATATGCTGTTTTAGTAAAGGTCCCAAAGGAGCTCCGAACTGTTTTAAATCGAGAGCTGGGTTATTTGCTATAGGAAGCAATGGTGTTGTAGCATTATCCTTATTATCTTCCATTTTATTAGGCAGATTTTAATTTGAAAACTAATTAGGCTTAGAGGTAAAAGAAGGTTAAAGCTAGTTTGGTGTCAAAGTCAGCTTTGGTGTATTTTCCTACCAGGTAAGCAATTTTATGAGCAAACATACACGGTGCAGGGACTCTGATTGCTCCTTGCCAGTTATAATAAGTGTGGCAAAGTCCATATGTTAACTCATATAAAGCCTTACACGGAACTTGGCTATCATTTACTATCACATTATAATGTGTCGGAGTTACTGTTCCTGCTGTTACACTATGAGAAATCATGTAAAAATTGTAATGGGGAACTACCACTTCGTCTTCAATTACAACCCCAGGGCTGGGATTTGATAAAACTCCGTTATTTTCTAAGAAAAACCTTTGGTTTATCCTTTTATTTACTATTACAGCCATAATTGAAGGGCTCCAATTCCTATCAAAATCCCTGATTGAGTTTACAAGCTGATTTTATTAAGGTACTATATGGCCAAAACGGAGTTTGCCACTAATCAATTGCTTTGTATTGGCTCTAAAAAGCCATTCTCCATAACCTTGAGTTCAAATTAGAAAAATGGAAGTTTGCCCCCTTTTGAATTTCCGACTTGAATTACCTGTCTAGGGGCTAGCTTCCCAGGTTAGAGCCACCCTAGTCCGGTGCCTTCCTCTTCTGCAAGGCTTCCCAAACCTGAAGTTCTTCTTCAAACAGTGACAGAGGAACTATTGTCAGCTTCATCAGGATGAGTCCAATCTGCTCCATAGTTGAGCGTCTCTGAATCCATCTTCCGTCCGTCATCATGTTATTTCTTACAAGCTGAGGGATTTCTATATTGACTACTTGGGAATACTGAGAAATCCCGACCCCATCTCTATATAGAATTATGCATTCTGGTTTTTGTTTTTTGTTATATTTATAGAACTCTTTTAGAGCGTCACGAAATATTGGAGCAAGAACTGTAGATATTTCTTGGATGCCATCATGAAAAGCAATACGATTATAATATTTCGTAAAATTGGCGTCGACTGAAGAGCTGAAGCCTAAAACACTACCAATTTTGGTCAAGCTGGTATCATGACAAACGTCGATCCCTACTATAGTCCTAGAAGAGACCATTATATTTTTCGATAGATAATTTATTATTTTTATAAAGGAAATTACTAATGCATTATTTATAGAAAAATAATAATACTATAGCTAAGAATACCATTGTCAGTGGAGGGATATTTCTAGGCACAGCAATTGACCATTGTCCTGAGCCTATCTTTGTAGCCATCTGTGTCAAAATTTTTGAATAAATGCTATAGTCGTCTCTTTTCGCAGTCTCAATCAGCACTACTTGACTAGGGATTGGTCTCTCTTTTGTGAGTAAAACCTTAATTTTTTCATAAAGCTTAGTAAAAGACCTAGGTATCAAAGTTACTATAAGCTGGGCATTTGGCTTTACATTAGTAAACAATGAATTAACAAGGTTTTCTTCAGTAAGTTTACCTGTAATAGGAATCGCCAGAGGGTTATTTATAAGAATCCCGCAGCCGTGGCTAGCTTCTCTAAGACCTGCAGTCAAACTTTTGGCGACTTCTACGTCTCTTTCAGGGTAAAAAAGCATCCATTTTTCAATTGACGCAGCATTTCTCAAAATTTTGTTTGTCAATTTAAATGAGCCATTATCGTTGACCCTGACTGTGCCTTCTCCTAGTCTTATAATAGGCTTTTCTAGCATAAGTCCTCGAGTGATTATTGGCTGTCTAGAGTACTGGATTTTTCAGTCATCAGGAGGTAGTGCTTCAAGCCTATCAGCAATGCTCTGGATTTTTGATTTTCGTTGGTCAGGTCTTAAAGTTGTAGTTAAGGCCAATTCTTTTCTAAATTGAGGAGAACTATCTAAAGAATCAGCGCCAGCAAGTTTGCATAACTCTGGGATCAGCTTTACAGGCACAGCGTTTTTCGAAATTTTCGCTAACTCCCCCCCCATCCTTGATCGAACGATTGACTGTAAAAAATCCTAAAAATTGGGAAATTAACCCCCATCCTTGATCGAACGATTTTCATATCATGCAAATTTTTATATATATAAAAATATATTAGTTATCAAAGCTTGGGACAGAAAGCTGCGGAATCAACCATCCGAAGTGATTTAGTCATCAATCTAGGCTTGAAAACTCAATAATCTAATAAAATAGAGATTCTTTAAAATTAAAAAAAAAATTTTTAATTCAATAAGGAACAAATTAAAATTTATACAGTTTAAAAGGGTAACTAATAAATCAAAAATATTAAAAATTGGTATTTTATGAAATTAATTCAATTTTTTGCTGTAAAAATAATTATTAAATACTCTTGACCCTCTTATTTAAAAGTAAATAAAACAAATATCTATATATATTTTTTATTTTATATATAATTATTTTCCCCCCAAAAAAATTTTTTTAACCCCCCCATCCTTGATCGAACGATGGCGAGTCATTCGATCAAGGATGGGGGAGGGATTAATAAAAGTGGCTGATTTCTGACTTTAATATCGATTTGATATCTTGTGCAGAAATAATCAGTGTAGCTGATTTCATCATTTCCTTTTGGAAATGTAGATGCAGGACTTTCCTCAAAAAGGACATCAATTATTCTGTAAAGTGCCTGGTTTCCATAGCTTGTCACTATAAGTGAGCCATTTAATGTATTTTTAATAATTTCTCTAGGATTATTGTTTTGCTTTTTAGAAATTTCTTGGATTACGTCTAACACGTTATCCTCTCTTACAAGCTTAAAGGCACAGTCTAAAGTAATTTGTAGTCCTGAGCGCGCTATATTTACACTAGCAAAGTACCCAGGCCAGACTGTGACAGGGTATCTTTGGAGTGTTTTAGTGTTGTTTGGGTCATATAGATGACGGTCATTCCCAAGCTGAATTAAGCCAAGCGATTTTAGCTTCTCTTTGAGCAGTAAATTGAAGAACATAAGGGTAGCTTCATTCATAGTCCCAAAGTCTTTGAAGTCAATAGTTCCAGCTTTTTGTATCCGAATTCCATATTCTTTTTCGTTTATGATAGAATTTACAGTTATTCTATGTCTGATTGAATAAAAAATAAATATATTGGTCAATTATTTTATTTAAAAAAGAGTAGAATTAAATTAATTAGCATAGGATATTTTGACAGAAATCATAGAGCGCTGGGTCTGGACTGAGCTCTGGTGGCATCTCAAGGTTATTTAGTGAGAAAAAACACATGCCACAGTGAATGAACTTGTGAAGGAACAGGTTTATAGTGCTTCTTGAGTCTCTGACTATTCTGCGCATGAGAGACTTGTTGTTTAAATCGACATCTGGAAAGAACTCTAAACTGTAGATGTAGATTTTGAATGGAGGCAGGATGTGGAAAGAGTATTGATTTGTTATCAAGTCCACGCGGCGGTCTCTAGGACTTCTAATTAAAGTTGGGTGGGGTGGTAAAGCTCTGACTAAGTTCATTTAGATATTATATTAGACTTCAAGATACTCAAAAAAATCAGTGCGTTAAAATGGATTTTACTATTAAAATTTTATTAGTAAATATTTTACTTAAAAGTTTAATAATTAAGGCTAGATAAAAACTATTAACAATACTATAAACTTATATTCACGATTAATTCCAGAAATCCATTTGTGAAGTATGTGGAGAAAACACACTGCCTGCTGGGGTGGATAATGAAATTCTGCTATTCAGTCCTTGCATAAATGACGGAAAAGGACAATTCATGTATTTTTCTCTTGATGAATATTTACTCCCCCCCATTTAATAACGAACACTTTTTTTGTTCGTTATTAAATGGTGTCTAACTTATAAAATTTTTGCGAAAAAAATCTATATAAAATTTATATTAAATATCTATGACTTTTATATAAAAATTTCAATTAAAGGGTTAATAATAAAAGGAGTCAAATGATGGCAACAGAAAGAGAAAGCGCGCCTAATGCAGGCGAAAAGATAACTATTGCTAACTCCCCTCCGTGAGCTAACAAAACTATTAGAAAAATCCCTCACCCTCCGTGAGCGAACAAAAAATTTTTTATGAAAAAAAATTTGATATATAAGCGATAATTATTATAACGAAATCTAGAGCTAATTCTGTTTAATTTTAAACAAATTGCGTTTTAAAACATAAATTTTACAAATTCAATTAGTATTTGCTTTCCAATTTTTGGGAATTAGGATTTTTTTAAATTTCGAAAAAAAATTATCTATAAAATTTTTTATAAATTTAAAAAAAAATAAATTATCCCCCTCCGTGAGCGAATGAGATTTTTTTGTTCGTTCACGATGAGGGGAGTAAAGCACCAGCTTAAGAGTAAGCCACTAGTAACTTATTAGCTCTTATTTATTATTCTTTGCTCGATTATGCTTGTCCTTATCTTACTCTAACTACTTAAAATTAGTAAACTGTAAAGACTAAATTAGCAATATAAATTTTATCGTAAATTTTGTTCGTTATTAAATGGGGCCTAAGGAAAAATTTTTAGGAAAAAAAATGACGGTTTTGTTCGTTATTAAATGGGGGGAGTTAGTGAAATCCAGTTTCAGAGGCCTGTGAGTGACTAAATCATACTTTACGTCATAAGGGTCAGGGATGTGCCTCAAATTTTCACTTTTCCTGCCTATTGATTTTTCTAGAGATATTGATTTGACTAGCTTTCTCAAGAAAGGCTCTTTGTTTGCCTCGTATTCTGGAGAGCAATCAGAAACCGTATGAAAATCTTTTCTTGATAGCTGCTTTGATAGGTCTGGAACCTTCACTTTTTTAAACTTTGTACACACTTCTGGCGATAAATTCTGCTGGATAAACCTTTTTTCATTATAGCCCGTTCCCGGCTATAGATCGGGCTTAGCCCGATCTTTGCTGGGAAACTCGGGGGGTTGTCTCAGTCACTTTGAGGTGATGAGTCAACTCCCCGAGTTGGCAAATAGCCGCTATATGGTGATTTGCCAACTCGGGGAGTTGACTCGTCACACTCAAAGTGACTGAGACAACCCCCCGAGTTTCCCGGCAAAGATCGGGCTAAGCCCGATCTATAGCCGGGAACGGGCTATAACAGACAGATTATAAAACAATCCTCTATCCAGCTGCTTATTGAATGGAATTGCTGACTGCAGATGAGCACTATGATAATCATTATTTTCTATTTTTCTTTTGAATCGAAATTCTTTTTCTGCCTCTGTTGTCGGCCTTCGTTCGATTTTTGCTTTAGTAAGCCTAGGCGACTGTATATGTTTTCTGGTAACTTCGAAATTTGGGTTTAATAAGATATTTTTACATATTATTATATAAAAAAACTCAATTAAAAAATAAAAATAATTAGTATAATTTTTTAACCTGAAAATTCGGGTTATAATGGCCACATGGAGGTGCACAATTTTTCCCAAAAGTGTGTTTATAATAGTCATCACGCGTTTGCGCTTTAAAAAAAGATGACAATTTCGCAGCTTTCGGATAATTTTCTTCAGCAGCTGCTTGAATCATTTCTTCTTTTTTAATTAATTCACTTATCACAACCGCTTCTTTTGGCTCATCTTCCTCTTCTACCGAGCTGAACCTGAACTTTCTCTTCAGAGTTTTCCCTTTAATAATTTCTTCTCTTTGCCCTAAAATCATAAAGCGATCTGCGCTATTTTTGCCTATTCTCGAAATCATTTTTGGGGTAAAATTGCTGCTTGGGGTAAATGTTTTTGACATTTTATGATTTTTTTATTATTTATTAATTAAATCTCAAATTGGAATAATTTTATTGTTTTTTATGGGCAGTTTATGAAACTAAGGAAATGAGAAAATTCCATTTCTGTTTGATTTTCAATTGCAAATATAAATGGAAGACCCGATTATATGCTTTGGGGCATTTTTCTTCGGTCTAGCCATGGGTTTAGTGAGTTCCAAGCCTAATATAGCTCCAAGTCCTCAGGTGAACGCACAAGTTCCAGCGAAAAAAAGAAAACGCCATAGAAAACGTCATAGTGTGTTAATATCTCCGCCTCCTCTTGTTTTAGATGGTCCTTCTTCTTATGATATTCAAAAAGAAGAAATGGAAGCCTTAGCTGCAATATACGAAGAAGATCTAATAATCCTGAAGCCGCTCACAGAAAAAAGTGAAGCTTCGTATAAAATATTTTTACGTCCAAATTTAAGATCTTCCCAAGACACATTTTGTTCTGTATATCTATTGGTAAAATATTCAAATAAGTATCCTCAAATTGCTCCAGAAATTGACCTGATAAACTCAGTGAATATTCCAATAGAAGTTATCAGAAGAACTAAAGAGCAGTCCATTTCTTTAGCAAATGAAAAAGCGAAGGTAAATGAGCCAATGATATACAGTATCTGTGAGCTGATCCAGTCTGAACTTTTAAACCAAAACTCTTTGCCCACAACTGTGCAGCCTTTTATTGAAGAGTCTAAAGTGAACTCAAACCTCATGGATGAAATATATGAAGAGTTTAAAAAAAAGCGAAAAAGGAAAGAATATGAAGAGCCAATGCAGCTGAACACTGTGATTGATATAAAAGAAATTGACAGACAGCTCGATATTGACCTTGAGCCTGGTGACTGCCACGCAATCAGCGGGTTTGACTACAAAAGATACTTTGATGAAGAAGTAAGGATCGGACAAGGTGGTGGCGGAAGTGTTTATAAAGCCAGAAACAAAATTGATAAGTGTTTTTATGCTATTAAAAAGATCAGATTAAAAGGGAAAAAGAAATCCTACATTAATTACATCTTAAAAGAAGTTTTATTGCTATCCAGACTTCAACATCAGCACATTGTGAGGTACCATAACGCCTGGTTTGAAGAAGAAACTGAAAGTGACAAAGAAGACGAAAGCAGCGAAAGCGAAGAGTCCAATGAATCAGAAAGCGAATCATCAGAAGAGTCCAGTGAGTCCAGCTCAAGTGAAGACAAAAACTGGATCCTTGCTTTTGAAAGGTCAAGTGGGCATGTAGAACCTGTCGTCTGACAAGATGAAGGAGACATGACTTCTAATGCTAGCAAACTTTATATACAGATGGAATACTGCGCAGGAGACACGCTCAGAAGTGTCCTGGACGAACGTCTGCCAAGTGCTGTAGAAAATTGAAAAATGTTTAGGGAAATCTTACAAGGATTAGTTTACTTGCACTCAAAAGATATGATTCACAGAGACTTGAAACCTTCCAATATCTTCTTAGACGGTAATGGAGAAGTAAAACTTGGCGATTTCGGATTAGCTACGACTACAAATTTAAAGCAGGAAAAAAAAGATCAAAATAAAAATAAATCAGGGACGGAAAATTTCAGTGCAGGGGTGGGGACACCTTTGTACTGCTCTCCGGAACAGCTAAATTCAGGTAAGTATGACCAAAAATCTGATATGTATTCATTAGGTGTTATTTTTTATGAAATGTGGAGAAATTTTGGATCAATGATGCAGAGGATTGATGAACTTAATCAGCTGAAAAATGGACGGAAATTGCCAGAAGACTTCGAGAAAACGGTTTCCTCTGAAATTGTAAGAATCATTATGTGGCTGACTGATCCAAACCCAGAAAAAAGGCCGACTGCTCAAGAGCTGCTACAAAGCGGCTTATTGCCACATAACATTGATAAGCAAGCTTTTGACGATTTTGTGAGGGTTTCACTGAATCCGATTAATACTGAATATCGAATGCTGATGGGATCAATATTTTCTACCTCTTTGAGCTAGAATCATACTTTTTAATTAAGATAATATATTATATATATTTTTATAATGAAATCTCCGAATATTAAAAAATATATCAAATTTAATATTAAAAAGAGCAAAGCAATTTTTAAAGAAGGATTAAGCCAAACCCAAATACGTCAGAATATACCTATAACATGACAGAATGGATTACTGAAGCTCCAACAACAAAGAGGAGGAAGAAAAAGGTAGAAGCAATGCTGAGGAGCAATATCACAGGAAAAATTAGAAAGGTATTAAAAAAAGCAGGAGCAGTCGAGCTTGATGCACCATTAATTTATCCTTTTTCAGGAAAAATTTCGGTCTCTTCGCAAGACCGCAAAGGTGTAACAAACCAGAAATTGATCGATTGCCACGAAAGCATACCCAGGTTTATGGACCAGTCTGGACTGATTGTTCAACTTAGTAACAACACTGTTTGCCCTTGGACCAGGATTATTTCAAGGAAAAATCTTGGAGGTATCCTTAAGCGATACTCAATTACAAATGTTTACAGAAATCATGGAGAAGGTGAACAGCCAGAACAGATTGCAGAAGCAAGTGTTGATATTCTCTATGACCCAGACTCTTTGGGAATGTATAAATATTGGTTTGAGGCTGAAATTATAAAGCTGACTCTACTGTGTATTGAGCAATTTAATAAAGAATTGCCACTAATTAAGGTTGCAGTCAGCGATTCTCGCATCTTGGATTCAATTTTTGATTTTTGTGAAATCCCTGCCGAAAAAGAGACGATGGAGTTGAGGCACAAAGTCCTAACTCCCCCTTCCGTGAGTGAACAAAAAAAATCTTGTTCAATCACGGAGGGTTAATTGTTTTTTTAAAAAAAAATATATATAAATTTTACAGAAAATTGTTTTTTTTAGAAATTTAAAAAAAAATCCTATTCGCAAAAATTGGAAAGCAAATATTAATTTATTTATAAAATTTATGTTTTAAAAACAATTTTTTTAAAATAAACAGAATTAGTTCGAGATTTCATTATACTAATTATCACTTATATATCAAAAATTTTTTTCCATAAAAATTTTTTCTATTTTAAAAGATTTTTGTTCAATCACGGAGGGTGGGTTTTTGGGCAAAAATTAGCGATTTTTCTAATGGTTTTGTTCATTCACGGAGGGGGAGTAAGTACTTATGCAAGTATAAAAAGAAGAAAATGGGCAAAAGTGAAAGAAGATTTAATCAATTTAGGCATCCATTCTGGAACTGCTGAAAAGCTCGGGGCATTGTTTAAAATGAGAGGCAGCAGAGAAAGTATTATTGAAGGGTTAAAAAAGCAGCCGATTTGGAGAGATAGAGCACTGGTAAAGATTTTGGACGATGAGCTCAAAAATCTAGAAGAGAAAGCCAAAGAGTTCGGGTTCGATTTTGAAGTAGACCTAGGACTAGTTCCTGATGAAATCCTTCATTATTCAGGTCTCCTTTATAATATCAGTTCACAACAAAATATCGCCAAAGGGAATAAAATTTCAAAAGAACGAGTAATTATTGCATCTGGTGGGCGGTATGACAATCTTCTTTCTCATTACGCATATCCTGAAGAGCTCAACAAAATAAAGCCAGGTCATATATGTGGGCTTGGTTCAAGGATTTTTATTGAAAAAATCTTTTTAATTCTATTTCAAGGAGACTTTGATCATTTAGTCAAAGGTCCATTGATTTTTGTATCTTGTAATTCACAACTACAAAAATCATCAAAACTGCAAGACGACAATACCCTTCTCAACCGTGAAAAAATCACCTTAATCTTAGAGCTCTGGAAAAAAGGCCTTGCTGCCATCTACAACTACAACGACATGTCAGACGAAGAAATCATCGACTCCTGCCGACGGTATCGCATCAGATTTTGGGTGTCCCTAGAAATCGCTCCACAAGAAGAATCCAAAGACCTGATCAGAGCCAAAGTAAAAGACTTCGGCAGGGCCATCACAGACGAGTTCCGAAAGGACCGAAGCGATTTTGGCAAAGAGACGTCAAGAATCACCACAGACAGAAATGGGGTGCTAGGCTTCATACAGGATCGCATGAAGAAGCACTCAGGAGACCTGGCGATGACTTATCCACAAAGTGCTATGAAAGTGATTAATTAAATATGAATTATTCTCTTAATAAGTAATGGAGGAAGAACTCTTATTCAGAGTCATCATTGTAGGAGATACTGGGGTTGGGAAATCCTGCGTATTGTTAAGATTCAGCGAAAACATTTTTAAGGAGCAGCACAATGTGACGATTGGGGTGGAATTTGGCACAAAAACTGTTAGGATTAATGATCAGCCTATAAAGTTACAAATTTGGGATACAGCAGGGCAGGAAAGTTTTCGAAGCATAACCAGGAGTTTTTATAGAAGGGCAGATGGCGTTTTATTACTCCCCCCTCTGTGAGCGAACAAAACCATTAGAAAAATCCCTATTTTTTGCCCAAAAATCCACCCTCCATAAGAGAACAAAATTTTTTATGGGAAAAAATTTTGATATATAAGTGATAACTAGTATCATGAAATCTCGAGCTAATTCTATTTAATTTTAAACAAACATAAATTTTATAAATTAATACTTGCCTTCCAATTTTCGAGAAGTGGGATTTTTTTAAAATTTCAAAAAAATTTTTTTCTTTAAAATTTATATATAATTTTTTTTTCCAAAATTAACCCCCCTCCGTGAGTGAACAAAAAAATCTTGTTCACTCACGGAGGGGGGAGTTAGTATATGACACAACCGCAAAACACACCTTTGAAAATTGTGAATATTGGCTAGATGAGATACGCCAAAATGCTTCAGCTGATGTTGTTTTATATCTAGTTGCCAATCAAGTTGACCTAATTGACTCTGGAGAAGCTAGAGAAGTTACTACAGAAGAAGGCCGGAAATTCGCTGAAAGACACCAGCTGGCAGGCTTTAAAGAGACTTCTGCTAAAAGTGGCCTTAATGTTGAAGAAACATTTATGGACTTCACAAGGGTTCTGTATGAGAGGTGGAAAGATAGGAAAGAAATAGAGCCAGCACCACAGCCGAAAATTGAGTTAAGGGCGACAAAGTTGAAGAAAAAGAAGAAATGCTGCTAGTTCTTTTGATTATTTAAAATAATATGGATAGTGATATACACGGGGTCGTCGAAAAATACCTGACGTCTGGGCAAGATATTGATCAGATTTTAAAGGAAAATAAAGAAAGAATTCAGACTATCACGCAAGCCCTTCAGGATATCATGAATGCTGGGTATTTTGATATACTAAATAGTGCCCAGGATTTAGTAGACTTAGCAAACAGCCAAGACTGCAAGGCAAGCTTAAGTATCCCAGAGCCGGTTAAAATCCTAGAAAAACCTGATATGACTGAAAAAACAGAAATTTCTGAAATAATTTGGAGAGCTGTGGACTGTGAAAAATACTTTGAAGCTATCGAAATGATAATAAAGGAAATAGAAAAAGAAAGGTCAGAAGAGCTTATAGATATCCTTATTTATATTTGTGACCCAAAACAAAGATCATTATTTTTAGAGGACGAGGAAAAGACCAGGGAATGGCTAGCTGGGTTTACGCTTATAATTAAAAATTTTGAAAAATTGCCTGAATTGGATTTTGAGATTGGGAAATATTGTGAAGGCGATTTATCAGAATCTTTGTGCAGGTTTTGGCTGGAGCAGTTTAGTATATGTTTAAAACAAGTTACAGATAAATCTAGCATAGATGATATCCAAAAAATTTTTTCTATCTTCTCCTTGGCTAGGGAAACCACAGGCAAAATTTCGTCATATGGCTATAGAGCAAAAAAATATATTAATTTTTTGGTATAAATTATATTTTAAAGTATAAATTTTAGCAAAAATACCAAGATTAATTTTATTAAGCCCCTTTGTTAACGGGCATAATTATTGCTTGCTAGCCAAGGGGAATAAGGCAATTTCTGTACTAAAATATGAGTTCCACGAAGGAAAACTCCAAGATTTTTTGGCTAATAAGAGTTTTGATGTAAAAATTCACCTAGAAAACACAAGTAAGATAAGTGATTTTATATTAAAAGACTCATTAGAAGCTATAAAGCCACATATTGTCAATATTATCCAAAACACACAAGATCTCAAAAAACTTATGATTTTTTTAACAAACAGAGAAAAAAGTGATTATGGCATTCCTGATTTATGAGACATAATCAAAGACGACTGGCAAGAAAAATTAAAAAATATTACTATTGAAGCTTTATTTTTTTTAAATAATTTAAATGCAGAAGACTCTGAAAAAGACTTTGAAAAAAGGACTGAAGGTATAGTGGAAATATTAATGATGCTTAAAACTGAAGAATTTGCAGATTACTTTGAAGAGCTAAGAGAAGAGTGTATAGATAAGCTTAAGGAGGAATTAAAAAAATATGAAAATAAGCTCTATGTGGCTTGTCTGCTGCATCATTTGCAGACTTCTAAGTTTGTGAATACACTGTTCCAAGAGATTGCGCAGTTTTCAGAGCTTCAGGAGGATTATTTGATGGAATGGATAGAAAATTCGAAAAATAAAAGTGATTTTGAGGTAGCAAGAGAAGTTAGAAAAATGTGTGGGGATGACACTTTTATTTTGAAAGGGAAGCATTCGAGCTTATTAGAAATTTCGGAAGATAGAAAATTATTTGCTGATATTCTTGGATTACAAATATCAGAAAAAGAAAGTGAAAGCATTAGTCTGCCAGAGAAAAAGCCAAGAATTGAGAGGTTGCAGCTTCCTCCACGGTTTATTCCACATCTCATCCAAGCTTAATAATTAACACTGAAATTTATTTCTTAGGTTATTCAATAAAAACAGTTATTTTATCTGCAAATATCTGAGTTTTTATATAAAATTTTTGCAATAAAATATTATGATTCTATAGTACCCATGTTTATGTAAAATTTTCACAAATTTTATGCTGAATTCTAATAAATTATGACGTGGTTATTCTTAAATTAATTAGAAATAGAGCTCTGATTATTAATGGAAACAGGCCAATAAAGCATATTTTAAAAATTTCCCATTTCAGTCACAGAAGATGAACTCAAATCTCCCTATCCAAATCAAAGTTGTAATTCTCGGAGACTCCGGCGTTGGCAAATCCAGCATTATCTTACGTTTTGTCTATGACGACTTTAAAGGCGAAACAGATTCCACCATAGGAGCAGCTTACAAAGGCAAAGTCTACCAGCACAACAACTGCAATATCCAGTTCAATATTTGGGATACTGCAGGTCAGGAAAAATTCAAAAGTTTAGCAAAAATGTACTATAGAGATGCAACAGCAGCAATTTTGGTTTATGATATCACAAATTCACAGACCTATGATGGGCTGAAAGAATGATACAGAGAACTTAAAGAGTTTGGCCCAGAAGATATTATTCTGTGTATTGCTGGAAATAAAGAAGACTTGGTGGATTCAGAAAGTGTGCAGCTTGACACTGTTGAAGAATTTGCAGAATCGATAGGAGCTTATTATAAGAGGACTTCTGCAAAAACTAATTATGGAATTGATATGATTTTTAAAGAAATTGCTAATAAAGTATGTGCTGATAAGAGGACAACCCAACAGACGATTTTAGGCTCAATGACACTTTTACAAGAAAATATACCTCAAAAGAAAAAAGGATGCTGCTAACTCCTTATTAATATAAATATTATTAAGCAGAATTATTGAAAAAAAACAAAATTTAATATTATATCAAAGATTTGAAACATATTAAAATATCTTAATTAAAATTAAAGCCAGCTATCAATTTTTTTAAGAGTTGGGCTTAATTTTGGGAAGTCTCCACACATGGAAGAATTTTCCACGTGTGGAGACCCTCCAATTGTGCCAACAGATAATATTAAAAAGAAATTTTTAAGTTTTGAAAAATAATAGTTTTGTATTCTCAGCAATAGAGTAAGAGATAATTTTTATTTCTTAAAATGCGTTTTTTATAAATGAATTAATTTAATAATCACGAAATGCTTTAAAATTTCAAATAAAAATTTTGCGATTTTTAATAAGATAATTATTTAAAACAAGCATTATTCTTGTTTAAAACTAATAAGGTTGCATACGCTAAATATACTATAATACCAAATTTAAATAATTCACTATAGATTTTAAAGAAAGCTGCATTATATTGCTACGTCACATTATTTACAAAATGGGTCTTGAAGAAGAGAGACAAAAAGTTAATTTTTGTGTCACGAACCTTTCCCGTTTTTTAATTTCTCAAGTACTCCCAGAAGTTTCTTTTGAAAGATGGAGAGAGCTAAAAGAAAAAATCATTAAAGTCCCAGCCTTAATTAATTCATTAGAATGCTACTCAGATACAAGAGAAGATGCCCTCAATAGAGGAATCAGACACGGCATGGCTTTGAGAGATTTTAGCATCAGAGAAAAATTAACCTCTGCAGAAAGAAGAATTGTTATGGGTTTCTTTCCTCAGTTGAGCCCTTACATTCTTCACTATGATTTCTTTATGAATGGCTTCTTTCTTCAGGCTAGCGAGGAACAAAAAGCTCAATTTGCAGATAAATTTGAAACCTTATATCCTATCTAAATGAATTTTAGTCAAATTATTCTTTTTCAGTATAAAGGCTAATTAATGGTTAAGGTATAGAAGTTGTCGGTTGTTATGCCCAAACTGAGCTTGGCCATGGCTCAAATGTAAGAGGCCTTGAAACTCAAGCCATTTATCATGCTGAACGAGATGAATTTATTTTAAACAGTCCTACAATAACATCAATGAAGTGGTGGATTGGAGGACTAGGCATTGCTGCAACACACGCATTAGTCGTTGCTAAACTTATTGTCAAAGAACAAGATCTCGGGCCACATACATTTTTTGTCCAAATCAGAAACATGAAGACTCATTCTCCATTGCCTGGAGTTTTTGTAGGAGATATTGGCCCAAAGCCAGCAAATCACGCCACAGATAATGGATTTTTAAGGTTTGAGTTTGCTAGAGTCCCAAAAAGTGCAATGCTAACAAGATTTGCAAGAATAAACGATAAAGGAGATTATGAAATTTTAGATCCAAACGCTTTAAAAATTTTATATTCCTCAATTGTAAGAGCTAGAACTAATTTAGTCAAAGACGCCTGGCATTTTTCAGTTATCGCAGCAACCATTGGTATTCGCTATTCACTAGTAAGAGAGCAATTCCCAGACCCAGAAAATCCTAAAGCTGAGCGAAAATTAATCGACTATCAAATCCAAAGATATAAGCTATTCACAGTCTTATCAAGACTCTATGCGACCGTATTTGTGAGGTCGTCAATTACTGAGCTTTATAATGAATCTGAAAGATTAGATTAGATTAGATTAATTAGTTTTAGCCGGTCACGGAGGTTTATTTCAGCCTCTACCCAGCGCTGCCAGCTTCAGGCTTGCGCCCTAAGCACCGGCTCTGTTACTCACTCCATTTTCTGTCGACGTCACCAAAAAATGGTGACGTCGTCATCTGACAGGGAGACTCACCCAGGTACTCCTTTGATCAGGGTCTAGTCACCCGGCGCCGTCCTTTCTGGGGAGGGGGGAAAAGTAGCCTTCCGGAGTCTTCTTCAGGTCCCCAAGCTCCACTACAAGCTTCCTCACTTCCTTCTAGTCCTGAAGTGTGACTCCTGATTCTGCGGCTCTGGTCTTCTCGTCTTTGTGAGAGGCAAAAAACCTTGTCGTGGTGTCCCGACCAAGGTAAAAAAACCCACCCTGGACACAATATCCAGGCCCCGTTTACTTCTTAACCCCGTAGTCCCTGAGGGTACAGGAGAAGGACGGGTCGGATGGCTCGCCATTTTAATTGTGTGAATCTGAAAGAAGAATGGTAACTTTTGACGGCTCTTTACTAGGAGAACTACATGCTTTATCGTCACTTTATAAAGGATATATCACAGCAATAACATTAGAAAATATTGAAACATGTAGGAGATGCTGTGGAGGACATGGATACTCCATGTATTCAGGCCTCCCAAGCTTATACGCTACCTATTTGCCGTCAGTCACTTATGATGGTGACAATAGTATACTAACCCTTCAAGCAGTCAGATATATGGTAAATACCATTAAAAAAATCAATAAAGGTCAGCCTGTCCCTGATAAATATTCATTTTTAGCTAAACCTATCCCCAATCTTTCAGGAACCCAAAACCCAGCCTGTCCTAATTTCCACCAAGCTTGTTTCCAGGCCATTTCTCATTACACGCTACATAAGCTCGCCAAAAAAGAAGCCGACTATCTCAAAATTGGTGCGAAAAAAGAAAAAGTTTGGTCAGATTATTTACAAGTAGAAGGGATAGAAGCTGCAGAAACCTTTTTCTATGTCTCGTCCCATGAAGACTTTATTAAAGGACTGTCATTAATTACTGATCAAAACACTAGACAAGCTGTTGAGTATTTGCGTCAAATCTATGCTATAAGTGAGATGGAGAAATATAATGGACTTCTTTTAAACCTAGGAGCCTCTGTAGAAACAATTGAAAATATGAAGCAGACTTTATTAGAAGCTCTGGATAAAGCAAGAAATAACGCGATTGGACTTATAGAAGCTTTTGATGAGCCGGATGAAATTTTAAATTCGGTTCTTGGGAGAAGGGATGGGAATGTTTATCAATCTATGCTGAATGCAGCAAAATATTTGAACCCTATTAATAAGACTAGTGTCTACCCAGGGATTCAGCAGTATTTAAGGCCTAAAATTTAGATTATTTAATCCTTCCTCTTGAAAAGAAAAGTATTGAAAAAATTATAACTCGCCTAAAAAAAGCAAAAATTTATGATTTTTAAAAAAATATTACGATATATAAGTAATATTATTGTGCGAAATCACTAGTTTAAACAGATTACATTTTAAAACATAAAATTTTATAATTAAATTATATTTTGTTAATGAAAAAAACTAATATAAAATTTTATATATAAAAATAAACTTTATTAGAGCTAGAACTTTTCTTAATTTTAAGATTTTTTGAATTAACCATCATCAATTGAAGCATTTTTTCTAAAGCTTCACATTCATTTGTGATCCTTTCTTTATAAAATCCGTAAATTCCGATATACGTTATGCACTGTTCAAATTCGAGATAGGAAATTCTATCAGCAACTGTGTCAACACTCATAACAAGTCTAAAAATTCGAGCTGTTTCTAGATTTGTGACTAGTCCAGGAATGAATTTTACATCTATTCCAAGCTGGACCATATTAGCAAGTTTTATCATTTTTGGAGAAATTAGTTCTTGTGTGGAATATCTTATGAACAAAAATTGTAATAATTTTCGATTTTTTCGTAAAATTTCTTCAATTTCAACTGACTCAAAAGCTTGCTTCCAGTTAGAAAAATTTATGTCAATATAATCCAGTCTATGCCCAGGTATCGTTATATTACTCAATAAAGCTTCTAAATTACTTTGTATGCTTTTTCCTTGAACATTTAGCTCTGATATCTCTACCATCAAGTTTATAAACTTAAACAAATCGACTTTTCCTTTGAGGCACACCTGATGAAATATTAAATTTGCTTTTTTTATAGTAAAATGCTTTGATAATAAGTTAAGCTCGGTAACCAAAATTCTGAACTGTGTAATGGTTATACAATTTTGGCTTCAGTCTGAAAAGCTGGAATATTTCAAAAAAATTTCCTTTAAAATTTCTAATTATTTCATACTGAAATTCTGAAAACCAATTCTAAGGACTATTCTGTCGACTTCTGGGTCAGGGGTTGCTAGATTTCCTGCACATGTGTTTGCCCGTGATCCCATCGTTAGTGTGGTTTGGCGAGAATCAGGCCTTGAAAGGTTTCCTGACTGAGTCCTTTGTAATGTGGTTCTTTCTAGGTCTACTCTTAAGTCATTCAGCCCGTTTAGTTCATTTTTCAGCTTATTCAGCTCTTCTGCTTGTTTTGCTAAATAAGGAGTTTGCATATTATCTAAAGTAATTAACTTATTAAGTTCTTTTAAGCATCATTTCAGTGAATTCTCTGAAGTCAATGACTCCATCTCCATTTAAATCAACCTCGTTTATAATTTCCTGCCACAGTTCTTCTCTATATGCATGATGCTTGCCTAGCACCCCTTTAAGCTCATCAGCTGTGATAGTCCCATTCCCATCCAAATCGAAAGCTCTAAAAGCTGCTTCTAATTTTTCTCTGCAAAGAAGCCTGGTTTTATTCAAAGTCGCTGCTATGAACTCGTTATAATCAATTTCGCCTGATTTGTCTATGTCTACTTGTGACATAATTCTGGAAACTTCGCCATCTATATCTTCGAACTGGTTGCTGTATAAGATTCTGAAACCTTCTATAAGCTCATCTCGGGAAAGGGTTCCGCTGTTATCTGAATCTAAGGATTTAAATAATGTTAGCATTTCCTCCTGCTCTTGCTTTGTGGACAGCTGGCTTGCCATAAAGGAAAAAGTCGCTTTTTGTAGTGCTCGCTCAGCTCGGAAAGTTTGCAAATTAGTGAAAATGCTGCGGGCTGTAGCTGGGTTTATCGGAGTTCTGCTTGCATTGTGCATCCATGGGTGGTTTAGCGCTTCTCTTGCAGAAATCCTTCTTTGTGGCTCAAAGGTAAGCATTTTCGATATCAAATCTTTGGCCTCAAAGCTGATGTTATCCCACTCAGGGCTTGGGTAGCTATATCTCCCTGCTGCAACCCTTCTGAGAATTTGCTCATCAGTATTTCCTCCAAATGGAGGATATCCAGCTAAGAAAATATATACGAATTACTTTTAATTAAGATTATTTTATATAAAAATAAATCTTATTATTTGCATTTATATATATAAGGAATACATATTCACCCCAGCGCTCCAAATATCGCACCTCTCATCATATGATTTTTTCAATACTTCAGGCGCTATATAATAAGGAGTCCCAAACTTTTGAGTTAGCTGGACCCCTGGCGTAAAAAATTGGGCAGTCCCGAAATCAATGACCTTTAAATTTGCGTCCGGTTCTGGGGTGTCCAATAAGAAGTTTTCTGGTTTCAGATCTCGGTGGACTATATTCCTCTCGTGGCAGTATGCAAGTACAGATAGAATTTGCCTCATATACTCTGCTGCAACCGCTTCTGAAAATGAGCCGTTGTTGATGATTCTGTCGAATAGTTCACCTCCGTTGCATAATTCAGTAATTAAATAGTATAATTTATTATATTAGATTTTCTAAAAAATATAAATAAGCATTAATTTGCCTGAAATTAATATAAGACGAAATAATTCTTTTCATCTTGGTAAAATTCATAGAGTTTCAACACATTTGGATGATCCAACGCTCGCAGGACAGAAACTTCATTGAAAAAAGTTTACATAATAACAAAATGGCTAGTTCTCTCTGAGAACTATACCTCCTCTGCAAATTTTATTATTATTATAGGGCTCAACTTTCTAGAAAATTCCTATTTTTGCCCTCTTATAAAATTTACATATAAATTTTTTTAAAAAAAAATTAGCCCCCTCTGTTAGCGAATAAAATTTTTGGTTTGCTCACGGAGGGGGAATAAGTGAACCTTTATCCACAATGCCAATATGAATTACCGCAATGGGGAATTTCAACTGGACCAAGAAGAAATGAGGCATATGATTTTTACTGTTTAGCGCGCCAAAGGAGGGTAGCCCTTAGGCCGAAGATGAGCTGGAGCCAAGTTAGGAGTTAGGTCAATGACACCAGCGAAGGCATCTGGCCCTTTTTGTGGTGTCCTATGAAATTCTTGCTTGACAAGATATCGATATTATCAGTTGGGAATTAAAAGGGAGTACTGAAAAAAGTCTGTCTCTCTTCTTCGGTGCGAAGAGTCTTTTTGTGGATGGTTTTCACAGCACGAGCTTCCCCAGTAACTCTATGAGTGATTTTTCTGACACTCCCAAACGCTCCATCGCCTAGTTTTGAGCCAATTCTATATGTATCTCTCAGCTTCCCTGTCCTTTCGACTACAAAGTCACCATGTGTTACACGGATAGACTCCATTAATGTTATTGATTTTTTTTTGATTTTTGCTAAAGGGAGATAAAGGGTAAAAAATACAGTAAATATTAGCCTAACTCCCCCTCGGTGAGCGAACAAAATCTTTAGAAAAATCCCTATTTTTGACCGAAACCCCACCCTCTGTGAGCGAACAAAAATTTTTATGAAAAAAAAAATTGATATACAAGTGATAATTAGTATAATGAAATCTCTAGCTAATTCTGGTTAATTTTAAACAAATTGCAATTTTAAAATATAAATTTAGCAAATAAAAAAATTTTTGCTTCTCATTTTTTACAAATTGGAAAATTTTAAATTTGAAAAAAAAATTCTATATGTAAATTATTTTAAAAAAATAGCATTCGCTCACGTAAGAGGGAGGGAGAGGGAGAAGTAAGTACTACAACCTAACATTTTTTTTGGATTTTTAAATTTTCCGAACCTGTTTATTGACTCTTCATTGAAAATTATCAAGCAACAGGCAAGCGGCAACATAAGGATTTTTTTAACCTTACTAATATGACAATATTTTATACTGACCCAGCTCATGAAAATATAGCCTAAGAGCTATAAGCCATCCTTGGTGATAGGGCAATCTTTTATATTATTTAAGGAGAAGACAATTTTCAAAATTAATTATTTAATTAGATTTTAATCTTAGAAAGAATAATGCGTTTAATTCGCGATAAAAGCTAATATTATTATTAGATTTTAATCAACTTCATCCATATTTGAATTAGTCGTTTCTTCCAAAGGTGGCAGCTCTTCTACTGGCTCCATGTCTACATCTTCAATGCTCAGCCCAAGTTTTATCATTCTATGTATTCTATTGGCAAAAACATTAGGCTCGTCTAAGCTAAACCCAGAAGTCAGCAGAGAAGTTTCAAAGAGCAGCCAAATCAGGTCTTTTACAGTCTTATCTGACTTATCTTGATCGCTTTTTTCTTTTAGCTTGACTATTATTGAATGATTTGGGTTGATTTCCATTGTTTTCTTAGATTGCATATACATTGAAGTTGTCGGGTCTCTAAGGGCTTGTGCTTTCATGATTCTCTCCATATTGGCAGTCCACCCATATTCCCCAGTAACCAGTACACAGGGTGAGTCCGAAATTCTTGACCCTACGACTACTTTTTCCACCTTATTCCCTAGTACATCTTTAATTAGCTTGCAAAGTCCTTCAAACTTTGCTTTGGCTTCCTCAAATTTTTTCTTTTCTTCTTCCCCTTCCTCAAGCTCCAGACTTCTTTTGTGCAGTTTTTAAGTTTTTTCCCGTCAAACTCCTTCAGCTGCTGTACTGCATATTCATCTATAGGGTCGACCATATAAAGAATTTCATAGCCTTTTTTCTTCAGCGCTTCTGTAAATGGTGAATTTGCGACAGCTTGTCTGCTTTCTCCAGTAATATAATATATATCTTTCTGACTTTCCTTCATTCTTGCTATATACTCTTTTAGCGAAACCATTTCATCTGCACTTTTTGACGTGTAAAACCTCAATAATTCGGCTAGTTTTTGTCTATTTGTGGAGTCTTCGTGGATACCAAGCTTCAGGTTCTTGGAAAACTGCTCGTAAAATTTCTTATAGTCTTCGTCATTATTCGCAATTTCACTGAAAAGCTCAAGGCATTTTTTGACTAGGGTTTTTTTGATGACTGATAAAATCTTATGCTGCTGGAGGTTTTCTCTGGAAATTGTGAGAGGGAGGTCGTCACTGTCAACGACACCTTTTATAAAATTGAGGTATTCAGGGATAAGCTCAGAGCAGTCGTCCATTATAAAGACACGCCGGACATAAAGCTTGATATTGTTAAGTTTTTTGCGGGTCTCGAATAAATCAAATGGAGCACGCTTAGGGACGAAGAGGAGCGCTTTAAATTCAAGCTGACCTTCGACTGAAAAATGCTTGACGGCAAGATGCTCTTCCCAGTCATTTGTAAGTGATTTATAAAAAGCGGCGTATTCTTCTTTAGTGATTGACTCAGGTTTTCGCATCCATATTGGCTTGTTTTTATTTACCTGCTCAAATTCATGGGAAACTTCTTTGATTTTTTTCTTTTTTTTCTTTTTCTTCTCTTGCTCCTCTGTGATTTCTTCAATTTTTTCGTCTTTTTCTTCTTTTTCCTCTTCGTCTTCACTTTCAGAAACCTCTTTTTCCTTAGTTTTTTCTACATAAAGTTCAATAGGAAATCCAATAAACTGGGAGTGTTTTTTGATTAGGTCTTTCAGCTTTCTTTCTTCTAACTCCACCCTCCGTAAGCGAGCAAAAAAATGGAAAAATCCCTATTTTTTGGTAAAAATAACACTCTGTGAGCGAACGAAAAATTTTTATGAAAGAATTTTGATATATAAGTGATAATTAATAAATGAAAATCTCATGCTAATTCTGTTTAATTTCAAACAGTATGCATTTTAAAGAATAAATTTTACAAATTTGGTTTTCAATTTTTGTGAATTAGGATCTTTTTAAATTAAAAAAAATTTACTATAAAATTTATATGTAAATTTTTTTAAAAAAAATTAACCCCTCTGTGAGCGAACAAAATTCACTCACGGAGGGGGGAATAAGTATTCAAGCTGGTCTTCTTTTAACTGTAAAATAATCTTGGTCCCTCTTGTCAATTTTTCGACAGCTGGGTCTTCATCAGCCATAACAGTAAAAGTCCCGCCAGCGGTAGATTCCCATATATATTGTTTATCATCATTATGCTTACTAATGACAGTCACTTTATCAGCCACCAAGAAAGCTGAATAGAAGCCTACCCCAAACTGCCCAATCATGCTTATATCAGCGCCTGAGGACAGCGCTTCCATAAATGCTTTAGTTCCTGACTTTGCGATAGTCCCCAGATTTTTGACCATTTCTTCTTTAGTCATCCCAATTCCAGTATCTACAATTGCCAGTGTTTTATTGATTTTGTCAGGAATAATTTTGATACCTAAAGCTTGCTCTAAGTCCAATACAGAGTGATCTGTCAAAGATAAAAATCGAATTTTATCAAGGGCGTCTGAAGCGTTAGATATAAGCTCACGTAAGAAGACTTCTTTATTCGAATAGAACGTATTGATTATGAGCGACATAAGCTGCTGGATATCAGCGTTGAATGCATAAGTCTCAGTTGACATTTTATTATTATAAAAATCAAAAGGGACTGAGAATTTATGGGGTAAGGAAAATTCTAGAATTGGGGCTTTGTATGGAAGGAGGGAAAGAGAGTAGGAATGATGACGATAGAGAGGAAGGGAAAAGGGAATGGAGGTGCAAGGAGAGGGCAAGAGGAGAAGTTGGAGGAAAAAAGGAAGTGTATCTTTGGAAAGAAAAGGGTGGATGAGATGGAGTGTTTATGAAAAGAAGAAGGAAGAAGGAGTTAGGTTTACAAAAAAGATAAAAGAAGTGAAAGAGAGTTATAAATTAGAGTTCAGCATGAGGAGCACTTTTATTTATTGAAAATTATAAAATTTGCGTATAATTATTGATTTTAGTAAAATAAAATTTGAAAGTATTAAATCATCCTAATAACGCATAAGATACATAATAATTTTGAAAACATCATTTTTTATCTATATTTTTAGCATAATTGTATCTATACATTTCTTTTTTGTCTAGTTTAGTTCAACCCACATTCTTCTCTCAGTATCTTAATCTCTCCACAATTTTATAAAATCCATATTATACTTAAACACGTATACAAAAATGGAAACCTCAATCCTCCTCTTTGATGTAGATGGCACTCTCACCCCTTCAAGACGCCCAATTACCCCTGAAATGAAAGAATTTATGAAGGAAGTCTGTTCAAGAGTCCACGTCGGATTTGTAGGTGGGTCAGATCTCCCTAAAATTCATGAACAGCTTGGCGATGAATTATTTGCTCTTGCTGAATATGTTTTCGCAGAAAACGGCTGCGTAGCTATTAGAAAAGGCCAAGTTTTTTCAGAAGAATCAATTTCAGAAAAAATTGGGGAAGATAATATAAAACAGCTTATAAATTTCTGTTTGAGATATATAGCAGATATATTGATATTCCTATCAAGTATTTTTATTTAACAATACTTAGACAATTATGCAGTCGGAAAACACCATTTTTATGAGAAATCCTCCAAAAAAAGGGGGTGCTTGCCGACTTTAAAAGATTGTATCCTTATAATTGTCTTGATTTATTCTTTATATATAATAAGAAAAGCAAGCCAAATTAATTAATTGATATTCCTATCAAAAGAGGCACATTCATTGAATACAGAAAAGGAATGCTAAATGTATCACCTATTGGGAGAAACTGCAGCTTAGCTGAAAGAGACGAGTTTTGGAAAGTTGATAGTGAAGGCAAAGTCAGAGAAAAGTTCGTGGAAGCTTTAAGAAAAAATTTCAGTCATATGGGGCTACAGTTTTCAATAGGCGGACAAATAAGTATTGATATCTTCCCTCGAGGATGGGACAAAACAAATTGCTTACTCCCCCCCCCTCCGTGAGTGAACAAAAAAATTTTGTTCACTCACGGAGGGGGGTTAATGTTTTTTTTTAAAAAAATTTTTGTTTTTGAAATTTAAAAAAATCCTAATTTGCAAAAATTTGAAAGCAAATATTAATTTAATTTATAAAATTTATGTTTTAAAATGCAATTCATTTAAAATTAAACAGAATTAGCTCTAGATTTCATTATATTAATTTATCATTTATATATCAAAATTTTTTTCCATAAAAAATTTTCTATTAAAAAATTTTTGTTCACTCACGGAGGGTGGGTTTTTGGGCAAAAAATGGCGATTTTTCTAATGGTTTTGTTCACTCACGGAGGGGGGGGGAGTTAAAGTTTTTAGAACACTATCAGACTGTTCACTTTTTCGGTGACAGAACTATGCCTGGCGGAAACGACTATGAAATTTTTGCAAGCGAAAGGACCATAGGGCACACCGTCACAGGACCTGAAGATACCAAAAATCAGCTTAAAGAGCTTCTAGGGATTCAATAAAAAGTAATAATAATTTACTAATCAGCTCCATTTTAATTGCAAACCTCATTTAACACATAGAAATCTTACTGTAGCTTTATCAAATCTTCATAAATAGCTTGCTTCTGTGGAAATGAGTACAAGTTCATAGGAAAATGGAATCCCATCACAGGATGGATATTTGTCCTCCCATGTCCGGGTATCCACGACCTTGTCCGGACCATCTCGCTTCTATCCATCAGCTTTTCCGTCAAATTATTCTGTTGGAGCTTCCTATTTCAGTGGGCCTTGAAAAATTTGATACAGGTAAAACAAAGCAAAAAATCGAAAATTAAAAAGGCTGTGACCCCCACTATCATATGCCAAAGCTGTATATCGTTGTCGTACATAAAGTCCACTACCATGTCAGGTGTTTCGGTAGCGCTATTGGGATTTCTGGCTGTGTTGGTGTTTTCTGAAGCTGAGATGATAAATAGAGAAAAGAAAATAGCCACTTGAAGGGATTGCAAAGATTGCATTAGACCAGACAAAGATAGGGCTCTTATTGTGAATATGGATGAATAAAATTATTTCAGTGGGAAATTTTGGATCGAAATTTCGATTGGAAATATGGTTTAAAAATGCATGGGAGGTATCAGAATTTTTTAATGAGTGATTGAATAAAATGAAGAATATTGGCTTTTACATGGTAAATGGGCTAAAAAAATATGATTTAGATTTAAAAGAATTATATATTTAGGCTGTATGGACTTTTTTTCGTTTTACAATGAAATAAGCCCCAACAGCAACAAGAACCATCAAAAGGATTGTAGGGATACCAAAATAAAGTCCGAGTTCTCTTTTTAGAGTCTGTTCAACGTTTTCCACTCGTCTTTTAATTTCTGTTTTTACCCTATCTTTAGCTTCATCTACTATATAGCTTGCATTTGGCTGTGGTACTTTATCTCTTAAATCTTTTATTGTTGGCTCTATTTTTTCACTATAAATTTTTTTTCCCCCTTCAATAACAGGATCCATTGTTTCTTTTATTTTCCCACCCGCATCTTCTGCAAAGTCTTTGTAAATTTTTTTACCCCCTTCAATAACGGGCTCCACTGTTTCTTTTATTTTCTCACTCGCATCTTCAGCAAAATCTTTGACTTTTTCAGTAAATCCTTTAGCTTTTTCATTAATATCTTTATTACTTGGTAGCTGCTGCTTTACTTTTTCAAACCCAGCTTTCACTTCATTTTGTATTCCCTCCATAAGTTGTTCTGTCTTTGGTATTATTTCTTCTTCATAAAATCCTTTTAAGCACTCTTCATCGCCTTTGCATTTTTCTCGTATGCATTCATCACATTCGATATTTTCCTTTCTGCAAGCCTCACATAGGCTTTCTGTGAAATTTGGCTTTACAAATTTTTTAACATTTTCGTAGACGTTTCCAGCGAACTCTTTTGAGCTTTCGACGAAGGATTTAGATTTTTCTTTGGTTTGGTCCCAGGTTTTGCCTAATTTTTCTTCGGCTTGCATTACTAGTGGCTCCACATTTTCTTTGTAGCCATTTTTAATTTTCTTTTCTGACTCTTGATATATTTTTTCTGCTTGGGTCTGTATGCCTTCTTTTCTTTCACATATGGTGTTATCATTGCAGACTTCTTTATAGCATTCTGCGTCCGTTCCACATTCTGCTATCTTTGCTTTGCATGCTTGGCAGAGCAGTTCCGGTGTTGTTTCTATTACTTCGTCTTCTAAAAGTGCATTTAATGGTATCAGAAAAATTAGAAGCAGTATCTTTAATTTCATTAATTTATATTGAAAATACACCATTAATTTAATGTCAAAAGCAAAATATTGTTTATATCACTTTTTGAATAAAAAGCTAATAGCTTCGTCAAAAACGCAAAAATCTTAAAATTTGGTTTTGAGAAAATATGGAGCATAAAGTAAGTTCAAATTTTAATTAATTAAAGAATTAGCATTCGTCTCCCCATCCTAAAATTGAAAAAATTACCTATATCATGGATCGAGCGATTTAATATAGTAAAGTATGAAACCCATTCCTCTACCCTTTCAAATCTAACTACACATTTTTTTAAGTAACGAATCTTTGAAATTATTCTATATAACCATTTGTAAACAACTCAAGCATGATTTCGAGAATATTTGCTAATGTATTGCATACTCAATTTCTTTTGAATAGCGTATATAATATTAAAAAAAAAATTTATATTTCATTTTTTTCCCAATTTTTTTATACCCATCCTTTATCGAACGGTTGCTATCGGCTCGGCTCGATTAAGGATAGAGTTAAGTATATTATCTAAAAGATCTAATACAAAATTTTCAAAGTTATCAATTTTTGTTAGTTTCTTACAAAAAACTAATATAGTGATATAAAACGTATATATTTGTAATGATTTGTTTTCTTTTTGCCAAAAAAAATCATTAATTATTCAAGGAAAAATTTAATTTACTGTTTTAATTTACTATTTTAATTTAATCTATTTAAAATAAGCTTCATATTTATCCTTATTTTTTGAACCCAAAGAGCTTATCTGAGTAGCCAGTCATATCAATCAGCACCCTGTCATTATGCCCTGTGATAAATCGGTTCAGCATGTTCATGTAGCCTTTATTGATGTTCCATGGCTCCCACACTCTTGCAAAGTGAAGTACACTGATTGCAGCTATAAAAAGTCCATCAATGATATGAGGAATTTTCGGTATAGAGTAGGCAAGCTTTTGGATTGCCCTTATGTTTAAGTTTCCACAAAAAATGGAGCATTCGCTGGCAGCCTTAAGTGTAAAATCCAGGCATGAGGTAAAACTGAAAGCTTTATCATAAGAGATGCCAAACGCATGCTAGCACTATAAGTATCCATTAGCTACCAAGTGCTTGACTACTGCATCTCCAGCTCTGACTAATATATAAAGCGCGTATAGTACTCTTGATTCCCTTTCCTCAAACAACAATGGGATCCCTGATGCGAAACCTGCAAGGAAGCTGCTGATTTTTTCGTTCCCAGTTTTTTTCCTCAAAAAGCACAAAACTGCTCTATAAAGCCCAATCATCCCTGAGAGAAATCCCACCATTCTAAGGTTATTTTTCTTGAAAATGTTGAGGATGTACAGAGGGTCTTTGAAAATTTTCTTTTTCAGCAGCATCGTCAATAGGGTCAAAAACGATCGAACAATCAGCCCAATGATTGCACCTCGAGCAAAGCCAAATAATGTGTGTTTCCAACAAGGCAATTCGTGCTTGCACAATTGCTGACTTGGATTCGACCCTGTTGGTTCCATATTATATTAATTATCCAAATATTTTTAATAGCTGTAAAATTTTAGATGATGATACCATAGCCTCATATCATTTAAAAGAAAATTCTAACTCCCCCCCCTCCGTGAGTGAACAAAAAAATTTTGTTCACTCACGGAGGGGGGTTAATTTTTTTTTTCGAATTTAAAAAAATCCTAATTAGCAAAAATTGGAAAGCAAATATTAATTTAATTTATAAAATTTATGTATTAAAAAGCTATTCGTTTAAAAATTAAACAGAATTAGCTCTAGATTTCATTATACTAATTATCATTTATATATCAATTTTTTTTTCCATAACAAATTTTTGTTCACTCACGGAGGGTGGGTTTTTGGGGCAAAAAATGGCGATTTTTTTAATGATTTTGTTCACTCACGGAGGGGGGGGAGTAAGCTAGCGCTTACGCTTTTAACTCTTTGGGTCCATAATCATATATAATTAGATTTAAAGAAGCAATAAAGTGACAAATGGATATGCACAATTAATATTAAAATAATGATATAATGTGACCAATAATTTTGCCTATAAAATAATAAATCTCTTAATTATTATCTGATAAAATATACTTAGAATAGATGAATTTTATAAATTATTTTAGGAATAGTTATAGGCGCTAAGAATATATTTCAGTAAAACACTTGCGCTATCAAAATTTGCATCTCTTCAAAAATCAAAATAAATTTTATTTATATGCAGAGTGGCAAGCAATACCTTTTATTATGTAAATAACTTATTAATATGTCTAGACCCAGACCTTTAAGTGCGTCAAAATCTTGCGCTTTTGTCAAACCTGTGCAACTAGGGCGCGCCAGCATAAGATCAGCTCAAATAAACACAGCCAGTTTGATCTTTATGAGGCTTTCAATGCACATAAAAATGGTGACGACATGTCACCCGACCTCTCGACCCCTATTTCCTCAACACATGCAAGCAATGTTGGGGATCTAGGTGGAAAGGAGTTGGAAATCCTTTGTGTATGTCGGGCTAGGTTTAACTCGGGCCCTATGGAGCTAATCCATGGGACTTGGGCTTTTACCTCCAGAAAAACCACTGAAAGGACAAGATCGGCGACAGTCCCAAGTAGAGGCTGTCTCCTTCGAACAGGACTCAAGAGATGGCATTTGTCCAACGATAAACTGGGAGTTTCGACCCAGGTGGTTGACCCTTAGGCTCCAGGAGCCATGGAAGTCAAGACTGGTTGTGCGAATCCCTTGTTTGCGGCAACAAGGAGGGTGCCCACCGAGGCTCTTTATGGGCGAAGAGCGTGTAGGAGTGCAAATCCCCGGCCCTGCAAGTGCGAACGGCTAATTTTAATCTTTATGAGGCCTCCAAAGTTCAGACACAAAAAATTATCTCAAGAATCTTTACAAAAAGACAACCAACTATGGGAACTCACACAGGAGGTCAAGAAACTGGAAGAGCAGCAAAAATCATTTATCAATAAATTTGAAGTGCAAAATGAAAGCTTACCTAATATGAGGCCAAGTCTAGAGATAGAAGAAATTAAAAAAGAAAGAGATGAACTGTATGAATCAAAAATAAATAGCCTAAAATATATTGAAAAAATAGAAGAAGAAAAGAAGAAAATGCAAGAATCATATGAGAAAGAACTTAAAAATATGAATGAGTATATTGGGTTACTAATTCCTCTTCACTCTTATATAAATAAATATATTATCGTTTTTAACATTTTTTATACAAAAAATTATTACTATCACGAAGAGGGATTAATTTCTTTAAGTAAATGCTTTACTTGCTCACACAGCAGGGGAGTAAGAAGAAAAATCGTAAGAAGTTCTATATCATTAACGAATTCTCCACAGCCTTCTCATAACGACAAATTGAGCAACTTCGAAGATCTTTTTTTAAAAGAAAAAGAAAAATCAAGTATCCTTTATAACACCCTGAAAATGAAAGAAAAAGAATGCGAAAATTTGCATAAGAGAAATGATTCAGAATCAATAATTTTAAGAATGGAACAGCTAACAAACCAAAACAATAATTATCAAAGTGCCCTTGCAGAAGCAGAAAGTGAAATAAAAAGGCTTCATCAAGAAATCGCTAATAAAAACGAACAGATTTTTCAAAAAAAACAAAAAATTGAGGAGTTTGAAATACAAAACAGTGTGGCACATGCTTATGAGGAAATAAAGCTAAAATTAAAAAAAAGCTATGAGGAAAAAAGGCAATTAGAAGAAGAAATGAAAAGAAATAGCTTAAAATCAGACGAATTAGAAAAAATAATAGAAGAACTAGGAAAAAGCTTATTAACGATGACCAAAGAGCTTGAAGATAGAAACTCTGAGTGTCAAAAATTAGAAAATGAATTAGAAGAGCTCAAATATACAGATAAAAATAGCGAAAAAAATATAGAAAGGGAAAAAGAAGAGTGTCTAAAAATGATAGAAATTGTAGCAAATAAAATAAATCAGGAAATAAGTGGGCTAATGCTAAGAGTAGAACAAGCAGAAGACCAAGTTGACAAAATTTTAGAATTTTTTGAAGAATTTAAATCGTGAATAGACCAGAACATCAACAATCAATCTATGAAAAATGATGAAAATTTGCTAAAAGAATTGGCCAAACTTAGGGAAGAAAATGATGAGCTTATAAATAAGCTTGGCATACAAATGAGTAAAAAAATGAATTATGAAGGAGAAGTAAACAAAATGAAATTATTAGTAAAAGACTATGAAAATCAAATATCGATTTATAAAGAAAATTCCAAATTAGAAAACAGCAAAAGTGAAAATGAAGAAAAAAATTCAGATAGTAAACAGCAAATACTAGTAGAGTCTGAGAATCTTCGCCAAGAATATGAAAATCTGAATGAAATATGTGAGGAAAAAAAAGAAGAAATAGAAAATTTAAATAACAAGTTACAGACTTTAGAAGCAAAGCTAAAGGAATCTCAGTCAGCATTTAATTCATTAAAGATGAAAAATAAAGAAAAAGAAGATAAGTATATTAATTTACAACAAACAAGCATTGAAAACCTTGAAAAAATTGAAAAATTAACAATAGAAAATACAGAGCTAAAAGACCAAATTGCATCTATAAATCACCAATTTGATAAGTTAAGTGAAAAACTAAAAGAATTAAATCAGCAGCTAAGAGATAAAGAAATTGAGGCTGACGAAGCAAATCAGCTATATGAAGCTTTGAAATCAAAAACTGAAGAAATCTTGAGGGAGCAGCTCAAAATGAAATTTGAGTCACAAAACATTAAAGTAATCAATATTTAGGATGAATTTGAAAATGAAAAAATAAGGCTGCAAGAACAGATTAATAAAGCTATTGAGGAAAAAACACAGGAAGTCGAAATACTTCAAAAAGCAATTAAAGAACAGCAGGATGAATTTGAAAGGCAGCTAAGTGAGCTAAAATGGGAATGCCAGCAGGAAAATGTCAATACTGAGCTAGAGCAGAAAAATAATGAAATTAGGATTTTGAAAGAGGAATATAATGGGATAATAAAGAGAAATGAAAAAGAGCTAAAAGAATCGTATGAAAAAGAAATAAACAAATTGAAAACAACCTCAGAAGCAAGCCATAATGAATTGATGGGAAAATATATTGATGCTAAAAATAAATACGATAAAAGTTTAGAAGATATACAAGGATTCGAAGCTTTAAAGCAAGAAGTAGCATTTGTGCAAGGAGAATTGAGAGAAAAAGAAAAAGAAATTAATAAACTTAGAGAAGAATTATTTGAAGCTGATGAAAAAATTGAAAATTTAGAAAAAAATCGGTCTATTCAAGAAGGAGCTGTTTCTGAGTACAAAAAACAACTAGAATCTCAAGAAAAAGAAATAATTGGACTCCATGATGAATTAGACAGCCACAAGCATAGAAAAAACTCAAACTCAATAGAAAATAATACAAAACTGGCAGAACTTGAAGACCAGCTAGACAGCCTAAAACAAGAAAACGAAAATTTAAGGGAGAAGCTTGCAAAGTCATTTTCTGACCCAGAAATCGCTAGCATGCAGTCACAGATCTCTCATCTAACCCAAAACCTCGAAAAGACTGAAATAGAGCTATTAAGAAAGTCAGAAATAGAAGAAGAGCTCAGGATTCTTGAAGACAAATACAATAATAAATCTCAAAAGCTCACAGTCCTGAAAAATGTTTGCAGCGAGCTTGAAGTAGTCAACTCTACTCTAAGGACAAGCAAAGTTGAAATAGAAGGTGAATTAGGAAAAAAAGAAAAAATCATTAAAGACATGCAGAGAGAATTTGGAGCCCAAAATGTTGAGGTCAATAAAGTAAAGCAAAGAGCAGACCAATTTGAAGATTTATATAATTCGCTGTATGCAGAAATGGAGGAAAAAAATAAAAAAATCGAAAATTTAGAAAAAGAGCTAGAGGAGCAAAGGGATCTAAAAAGAGCAGTCAATCTTGGAATAGAAAATATAGAAAATATTGAAATTTATGGAGAAATGAACATCAGTGATGAGGAAAATGAGAAAGATAATAGCAGGGAAGAAAGCCAGAAGGATAATAGTGAAAATCATAAAGAAAATGCTGATGAAGATAAGCAGAAACTCCAGCAGAGAATAAATGAATTAAACGATGATATTGAATTATTATTGAGAAATGAAGAAAAATATAAAATTATTATTGGAAAGCTTCAAGAAAAACTAAGCGAGGAATCTGATCCTGAAGGACTCAAAGGCCGCATAGAAGACTTAGAAGCCCAGCTAGGGGATTATCAATACAGATATGATCAGCTCTTTGAAGAGCACGAAGAACTTATTAATAACCAAAAATCCAGGCTCGACACCAGCCAAGATGAAGCTTCCGTTCAAATGCTATCAGATGAACTCAGCAAAGTCATTAATGAAAAAAATGAACTGGAAATGGAAATAGACGCTTTAAGAGACCTTCACAGCGAAAACGAAAAAATAAAGCACTACCAACAAGAGGCTGAAAATATAGCCAAAATCTGTCAAGAACTAGAAGTACTTTTTATTTAGAAAACCAAAGAGTTTAGAGTTAATTAAAATTGCATTATAGCTCATGCGCATTAATAGATTTATATATATAGGCGATTTGAGATTTGTGGTTGAAGTGCTTTTGCTATTCATTATTATATAAGTAATCTTGATAGCCCTGATTAGTGAGGATTATAGTAAAATAGTTTAATTTTAACTAGAGCTCTTAGAATAATAAAATTTAATTAGAAGCGCATAACAGTGTCTTTATCATGGATTCTGGAAGCTTGATACAATAAAATCTGACGAATTCTTACCTCATGAACAACGGGATTTTGTTTTTGCTCTTTCGATTTTTACATCAGACTCTGCCAAGCCAACTTATTTGACAAACCAAATAAAAAGTAAAAATGGAATTAAATTTCTACATAATATGTTTCTTTTAATAAGATCCATAAAAATTAAATCACAGTTAATGCAAATTCCTTATTTGACTTGAGACAATTATCTATCAACTGTTGAGTTCAACTATTTTTCAATAAAATTACCTCTCAGCATATGAAATTTGGTTCAGTCTGATTCATAACTTCACTTTTTATTTGGCTTGCCAAATAGTTGACTTGGCAAAGTCTGATTTAAAAATGGAACGAACACAACAAAAGCCCTTAGTTCATGAGGTAAGAATTCATCAGATCTATTGTCTCAAGTTTCCAGAAATCAGGATTAAGGCTTCTTATGCACTTCTAGTTAAATTTTATTATTTTAAAATTTATAGTTAAATTTTAAAATATTTTTCTATAATCCTCAATATATAGGGCTATATAGATCACTTATTTAACAATGAGTAACAAAGCACTTCAATCGTCTATCTCAAATCGCCTATATAGATATCTATTAAAGTGTGTGAGTAAAGCCGCTATTCATGGGGACGCCTTGCTAATTTCTATTTTTTATCTTTTTCAACCTAATAAATTTGCTTTTGTAACGCTAAAAATTTTCAAATCCATTTCTATCTCCTGAATTTAAAAAATTTTGGCATTGCTTGCTGTTTCTAATTTGGTTGAAAAAATATTTTTAAATTCACTTTTGTCACAAAGTCAGCTTCTTGCTAAATATTTTCCTAAATTTCTAGTTCAGACACGTTGTCAATCATTCATTCGTATGGAGACTAGGCTCTTTCATCAACTTGATCATTTAGCTTGCTAAATCCAAAGAGAGAGAGATTACAGTTAGAGATGGAAACTGGTTATTTAAGCCCCTATCCAGTCAGGCTTAACTTCACGTTCATGTGGCGCTAAGAACTAAAGCCAGCTAATGCCCTTTTCCCTCTGGCTGCCAGTTTGGGGAGTTTGGGGAGTTTGGATAGTTTGGAGAGTTTGGGGATTTTTGGAACTCTGGAGTTGCTGATGGAGTCGCTCTTGGAGTCGCTGATCTTTGAAAGAAGGGCTCGCACCCGAAAAAATTAAACAAAAAACAAAAAAACAAAAAACTCTGCAGCTGAAGTTTTGCGCCGCTAATTTGTGGCCGTGAGAGGTTGATGTTTGGGATTCGTGGCTGTTGGGAATCGTGCCGGCTAGGAGCTACAGCTTTGGAATCGGGACGCTTGGCATGGGAATGGCTTGATTTTGTTAGGGAAATCTATAATTAGGGTAGGGATAAAAAAAAAAACTATTTTCTTTCTTTCTGGCTGCCAAAAATTGGTGGCATAGTAAGTCTAACGAGGGAAGACTACCTAAACCTGACCAAAAATTGCAGCGCAGAACTCTCTTAACCCCTTGTAGTGCTCAGGGTATGAGGGAAGCATTCATGGCCTCCTTCTGAAACTACATCTGCCATTTATAGGCAGCATAAAGTTCCTCCAGAAGTTTCCCGATTGGTGTTGTGCCGCCAGTCCTCTTGCCTGAGGTTTGAGGTTAGGCTAGTCAGCCCAAGCCTGCACCCACTCCAGAATCACTGCCACTTGCTACTCCGTGGCTCCTTGTGGCTGCCTTTTTTCTATTTTGGCCCAGAGTTCTGGTTTTTGTCGTTCCAAAGGCAACTTATTGCCATGATGGCAATGTTTCTTAAAACCAAAGAAGATTTAGAAGAAAACTACAACGACAACTTAAAGATGCTTAAAGCAAAATATGAAGAATTTATCAAACAAAGAATGGAAGAAATTACAGATCAGTACGACGAGCTTCAGGAAAACGCAAACAGACTAGAACTAGAAAAAGACGAGCTACAAAAAGAGCTTTCATTTGAAAAAGAAAAAAATTCAGATCTCCAAGAAAAGCTCTATAAATATCTAAATAAAAATAATTAATTTGTTTAACTTAATAAAATGGATATGATAGAAGATCGTGCAGATCCAGCCCTTACTTATGTCCTGGCGTCCCAAAAGTCATCTCCAGAGCAAGTTCTTTTATTGACAAACGACATATCTCGCCTTCTCTACTCTCAATTACATTATCAGTGAATTTGAAATTATCTCAGATCTCAAGCGCTCACTCTTTCTCCATCAATTTTAATTCCTCAGTCATTTCCACAAGAAATGAAGATCCTCAACCGAGTTCGGCTGCATTTTATTAATGAACTCAAAGATTTTCCTCACCCTTGCGAAGCTGTTTTGCATTTAAAAGTCCTTGTCGCTTTGATTACTCGCAATGCAATCCGCTTAACTAATGATGATTTTAAAGAGCTGTATAGCATTTTAGAGACTTTGTCCCAAGACTCCCACCTGAGATTAATAGAACTGATTTTTTACTGCTTAATGATTTTGGTTACTTTATTTGACGACTACAGCTCTATGCTGTCGGTCCATGCAATTTTGTCGAATATTTCGTTTAAAATTGAAGGAAAAAGACTGCTGTATGCGTTGAAATTTAGAGAAGGAAAATGGGCTGAAATTTTGCAAGAAATGAATGACTGTTTTGGGTTTGATGTAAAAATGGTTAAGGTCCTGGGGATAAATTTGGTAATTTTCTGGATTTAAAAAAATAAAATTATTTTATAGAACTTTAATATTAATGTTTTATGGCAACCCTGTAAAAATGCCGGAGGAAATTGTGGAAAAAAGTGGAAGAATGCTTATCGGGTGCATAGGAGGTGGAAATCTTGATGTTTCTGAAATGGATGATAAGTGCTTGGCTGTATATTTAGGCTTGGGCGGCAAAGATGTAGGTTATCGAGCTTTGATAGACTCTATTGTAAATTCCACAAACTTGCATTTTCAAAATTTAATAGAAAAAGCTACTGAAAAGCTGCAAATTATGATACCAGAGCCAAACTTACTAGAATTGCTCTCTAAATACCCAAACTTGCATTATAGAGTTTTGTTTTATTCTTTACTTTATAATGGAACTGTAAAAAGCCCACAATACCATTTTACTTTTTTTTTCAAAATCAACGTGCGAGCTTCTTTAAACCAAGCCTCAGGAGTTATTTCAGAAAGGCTCGTCCAGCTCATCACTGATTTAATGCCTTGGTTCTTTATCCCATCCTTATCAGAATTCACAGACACCAGCGAAGTTTCTGATAATTTTATCTACAAGTTCGCTAACTCCTTACACAAAATAAGCTCAGAGTCGCTGATTCAATGGAAATCTCTGTTGAATTTTCACCCGCTGAAGGTCTGTTTAGAAACATTAGATGTGTTGCAGCAATTAAGGTCAAATGTGCCTCATGAAATTTTATGCTTTTTTGAATAATTATTATTATTTTTTATATATTTTTAAATTATGATAATTGATTCAATAGAGAATAAATCCTCTCAGAGTGTTCAACTGCATTAAAATAGAAAACGAAAAAACTGTAGAGGTCCTCACAAGTATCCTAGAAGTCCTTTTAAGCGCATGGCAGCACTATGTGCTTAAATATGAAAGCCCATTTAACCTAGACGGCCGTCAGTCTTTTATATTAACCATGCAGAGCGCATGTGTCCAAGACTTAATAAATTATCTTGGCAAAACTGAAGAAATTGATCAGGTCATCTGTGAGTTCCTGCACAGCTACTGAATAGAAAATTCTTTATTAATCAAGCTTGTCCATTATCAAGGCTATCCAGACCATTTACTTCCTATTACAGTAAACAAAATAGGGAGCTTAATCTGTACGTGGGACTTTATTACTGATCTCGTCAGAAGTGGCACAACTAAACAAAAGCGATTTGCCTTACAATTAGCTGGGCATTTATCATATAAATACCCGACACAGAAGCTCCTGGACATAATCAGAGAATGCATTCAGTTTATTGAGGACAATTTGCAGTATTTTTCAGAAGACCCAGAGCTAGACTCAATTTTGGAATTATTTTTGAAGGCTTTTCCACAACTAAATGGAAGGATCAGAAAGCTAAAGCGAAAATACCCCAAGCAGTTCTTTAATTACGAACTTGCACCTGTCCAATTAATAAGATAATTAGGTTCATTTTTAATAAATGTCAAATGACACTGAAAAGATTGCTGCAATTCTTGTATTAGTATTATTATGTATCTGCTGTATGGGCTGCTGTTTATGCTTTTGCTTTAAAGCTAGGAATGATTCAAGAAGAAATGTGAGGATGTTTAGAAGATTATTAATGGGTATAATAAGTAATCATGTGTATTCTGTAGTACCTGACTCCCCCTAGTGATAAGCTAATCCTTGCTTATTAGTGGGAGTTTTAGCACAATTTCAAAAAAGTAAATTTTATATGAGGATGCCAAAAATGCAAATTTTGAGCATTTATACCTAATAAGCAAATTTCGATCTATCATATAAAATTTACTATGCTAAATCCATGAATAAGCTGGAGTTTGCTTATTGCTGGGGAAGTGAGCATTTTTCAATGCATGATCTCAATCTGGAACCTTTTTTTCCAAAATTTATGTTTGGTGAAGATTTCAGCATAAAAGCCGAGCTAGTATGCTGCATATGTTTTGAAGAGTAAAATTAAATTTAGATTTAGTTCGATGTCATATGTAAGAAGACTGCCATGCTGTCATGTTTTCCATGACCAATGTATAGATGAATGATTCAAAAGACAATCAGAGCCTCATTGTCCACTCTGCAAGCATTTATTTATATAAATGACAACGATGCACAACGAATCTCTTGACCTCATGACCACGGCAAGCTATTGTTTGCCTGTATCCGGTAAGTGCTGGTTTTATACTGTGGCTAGGTTTAGAGTTGTCAGCATCATGAGATAATTTCCTTGCACGGACAAGGAATATACTCTGAGCCTTGAATTTTCTTATAACCGCCAAGACATGACACTTATTCACTATCAGACTCTAAGTTTCCCTGCTTGGAATTAAGCTGCTGTCCTCAAGCTAGAAGGCCGCAAAAGTCCATAATCTGCCCTCTCAAAACACTGGACCTGACAAGGCAAGTAGGAGGCGTTCAACCAATCGTAATGTTTTATAGGAGTCATTTTACTAGGAGGTGATGAAGGAGTAAAGTGACATTTGAGCTAATTTGCCAATGGAATTTTTCACAGATCAAGAGAGAGGAAGACATCTCAAATAGAATCAAGCACACTATGTGAGGTCCTTTGACTGTGTAACCATATAACCTAGCCACGCCTGCATAATTTTAAGTTTAAGCCCTCTCTGTAAGCAAAATCCATTTTTGGTGCCTGAAAAGGCTCCAGCTAAGCAAAGCCCGACTCAAATTCCGAGACCCCGAAAAAGAGGGGAAACTGTAAAGCAGCCAAATGTTCTTTTAGCTGCCGAAACCGACGAAAGCTCTAGACACTCATTTAGTCTACCTTAATCTCTCTATATAAAATAAAATTTGTATATATTTTACTTATTTGAAAAACTGAAAATTCTCCAAACCTCCCAGCCTTCTTGAGCACCTCTTGCAATAATGCTCTACATCATATAACCCTGTGCAGAGAAATGCCAAGCACGAGCATAATGGAAATACGAGAAGTAAAAGTATGCATAAAACTCAAAGTAATATATACTTTTTTACTATAAATTTAGCTTTTTAATTAGCTATTAGTAATTCCTTCATTATAATCAATTTAGTATGCCAGGCTTTCTTTCTATCCTTGTGAGTTCTCTATGATTACAATAAGGGCAAGAAATCAAAACCGGTCTTTTAGATAATAAGAGCTCCTTGTCTTTGCGGGCACTTGTGCTTTCAACCACAACTATATTGCTGCCCATAGGAGCTTCAGGCTTATAATTAGAATCGACATAAATTGTAATTCCAGGGTATGCCCCATAAGGATAGTTGCTTGAAACCATTTCGTTATATGGAATTCCTTGCCGATAAAATCCTGACTGAGAATTCATATTTACAGGCTTGTTTTCTTGCTTTCGTTGAGTTAAAGCTTCATCTTCTGTATGGTCTTTGGACATTATTAAAGATACCACATCATCACAGTGTAAATGGCAGCAAAATCTGAATAAAATATCTGTGTTTTTATTGATAAAAAATAATCAAATTTCAAAAACTAAAGCAATAGATTGAAAATTGTATACAAATTAGACAAATTCTGAAGAGACATATGAAACTGACACATAAAGGGATATTGAAACGAATTATGAAAAATATAAATATAAGCATCATTAGGCTTTTTAAATGGAATTTAAGGCAATATGATTGAAATCAAAAAAATTGGATTTCATTATGGTTTTTTAGCTATTTCTTTTCTATTTCTTCAATGCTAGGAGAAGGTGATGCTTCTTCTTTTTCAAGAAGTTCTGGTATCAGCAGTCCAGGGGTCCCGTCAACTTTAAGATTTGTGGGATCTTTTACATCGTAAACTCCTAGAGTAAGCTCCATTTGGACATACGGTCCTTCTTCATTCATCTCCAGTGGCACCGGCGCTGGATCATTGCTCTCTATTTCTCTCATAAAAGCTCTGGCTCTTTCCAGTACGCTGCTTTTCGGTGCTTGTTCCATTTTTACAATATTTCTAACTATTTTTAACTTATCCATTAAGCTATTCTTTTCTTATAATTTTTCAGCTCAAGAATCATCGGGGTGATGTTTTTGCCGTTTTCTGCCCATTCTTTCAAGCATTTTTCAGCATAAGAATTGAACTGATTTTGCTCGTCTTCCATGATCTGTGCTGACTGCCTGGCTAGCTCTTCTTCTAGAAGCGCTTCTTGCTCTACCTTTCTTGCCTTGTAGTCCATCTGTTTCTTATGGTAAAGCTGTTGGGCTTTGGCTCTATCTCTTCTTTCTTCTGCTTCATTTTTTTCCATCTCATTCAAGTCCTGCATTCTTTCTTTCCAGAACTGCGCGAATTCTTTATCTTCCATCTTTTCCTGCTCTTTTTCTTGTTTTTTTCTATCAATTTGGTGCTGGCGTGACCTTTCAATCTGAGTCATCATATCATTGTGCCTTTGCTGCTTCTTCTCAAAGGTCTCTTTGGCTTTTTGTTCAGCTTCTTGGACTTGGTTTTGCAGTCTTTGGTCTTCGTTGCTTTTAATCTTAGAGAGTTCTTCAATTCTAGCGTCAATCATCTTTTGCCTTGTTTCTAGCTTTTCTTTGAATTTTTGTTCCTCACGCCTTTTCCTCATATTCATAACTTCTTCTTTCTGCTTAGCGTATTCTTCAATTTTCCGTTCTTCCTCTTTGATTCTTTCTTGCTCAAGTCTTTTCAGCTCCTGGAAGTGCTCATTCATTTTTTTAGTCTCATTTTGGGCAGCAATTGCAGCTTTTCTTCTTTCGAGCTCTTCTCTTTTTTCGGCTTGCAGATCTTTGATAGCTTTTTTTTTCATTAGTTTGCCTTCAATGTATTCGTCTTGTAACTTCCTAACAATTTTTTCTTTATTTGAGACAAGCTGATCTTTTATAGAAAAATAAATAAATAGTTCAATATTAATTAATAATGATTTATATAATAATTCATGTGAAAACGTTTAGTATTTTTTGGGTTTCCTTTTTCTTTCTTTCCTCTTCTTCTATCTTTTTTAGTAAAGCTTCGTCATACTCTTTTAGCTGCTGATGCTCCAAGTCTACCCATCTCTCTTCAACTTCTTTCTGGTTATCTTTCTTTTTCTTATTGATTTCCAATTGCAGCTCTCTTTCCTGCAAAACGTCAGATAAAAACATTTTGCTATGAAAAGCTTTGACTTGGTCACCTTCATCATGAAGAATTTTATTCGCGTACTCAATGGCTTGACGTCGTTTTTCTTGGTTCAAGGCTTCTTCTTCAGCGTCAAGGCGGCGCCTTTCAAGCTCTTCGGCTTCAAACTTTTTGAATCTTTCGAGTTCCTTTTTCTCACGAATTGCATCAACGCTGTTTCCCCAATTTTTCATACGGACACGAGACTTCTCGTGAAGTTCTTGGCGTTCAGCTTGCCTAAGCTTTTGCTCTTGTTCTGCTGGGTCAATTCCTAGGCAAGTTCGACGCATACGATCTAAATCGGAGGCGCTTATAACTGCAACATTTTTAGCCAAATCACGAGACATTTAAAATTTATTGAGAAGAAAATGTTGATGGTAAATTAAATAACTTCTTTACTTCTCCTTTGAGTGAAAAATTTTTTGGAAAAATACTAGTCCTCTATGAATAATTTATATACTATTTTTGAAATACTTTTGTGATTAAAACTCAGAGAGCTTTTTCTTCAAATTGAAATTTTTTACTCTATATAAAGTTTAAAACAGTATATATCCATCATTAGAAAGAAAATAAATCTTGCTCGTGCTTATAGAGAGTTAAGAGAGAATGGCCTACCTGCGACCGAAAAATATTATAACGAATAACGCTAAAACTATCATAATTGTTGTAAAATTGGCTTTTAGCCAGGAATATCTCTGATCTCTTATGTGAATTCTATCAATTTTTTTGCCAAAAGTATAAGTCCTGCAGATTTCGTAGCGTTCAGATTTGCTGGTTGAAAAATAAGCTTTCAAAAGATCTTCATGTGTCAAATTCAGCATTGCACAAGCATAGAAGCTTTTATCACAGCCATTCACAAATAATCCTCGCATAATCCTTTGTTCATCAATTCCTAATAGGTTGATGCACCCTTCAACAAAGCTTAATATTTCTCCCTTTATTTCTGGTTCGTAATCATAAGCATCCCTAATAAAAATCGGCCACCCAAAATAAATGCTTTCACTATTATATTTTTTTGTCTTAAGTATCTATAATTATTTATTTTAATAATAAAAAATACAATTTATTATTATCAGAATAATTTCATTTGGCCCTAATCTATTTACATCAATTGTACGAGACTCATCTTGATCAGGAAAAACATTCTCAATAATAAACCTTTCTTTTGCTACCACGTGTACAACTACATTTAGAGGGTTATTTATGTCAAGTGACGTAATTTCTAATAAAGAGCCAACCCATCTTCCATTATAAGAAGAAAGCATGCCAAACACTCTGTTTCCCATCATCGCGTGCTGCACCATCATCAAATATTTCATTTCTGGATTGCTTATTACTCCTACAGCCCCTGGAAATAGTAATAAATTTTCTTTAATATAAATCGGAATAGGATTTAGAGACCTTTTAGCTTCCTCTCTTGGAGTTTCTTTGCTTCGCTTTTTAAATTCTTTGGGAAAGTTCTTTTTGGCACCAGTGATGTTACAAACTGAAGGTACATTCATTTAAACAAATTACTTCCCATGGCTCTTTTCTGAATTAATTACTATATAAAATTATCGTGCTCGATGATTAAAAGATATAAATTTGTCGTCTATAAAAATAATGGCAAATTTTTTAAAAGAATAAATATATTATAAACTTATTCAGTTTATTAACGCCAGCGGTGCCAGTTCTTTTCTATAAGAGATTGAATTAAGATGTTGGGCTTGCTATGTGGGGAAACTTGAAATGTGGAGTCACAGTTTGGGCATTTTCGCTGGGAATTTGAAGAGCGGGTAACGCAGGGTTTGCAGAAAGTGTGACCACAGGAAACTGTGATAGGCTTCAACAGAATTTTTCGACAAAAAGGGCAGATAAAATCGTCCATTTGGGATATTATAGTGGATCATTCAATTTAGTAATAAATTAAGGATTTAATGGAAAGATTTGGTACAGATATTATAATATTAAAATGGTCGACAAGAAAGTTATTATAGCAGGAATAGCAGGGTTTGGGGTTGCAATGATAACTCAAAGAATCTTTTGTTGCAATGGAAAATCATGGAAGAAAGAAGGAGGATGCCACTTCAAAAAGTTTGAGCAAAAGCCACAAGAACAGCCTAAGCAAGCATAAATAAATAATGATTTTTTTTAAAATTTAAAATCTTAGGTTGCTTATCAGAGGAGGGCAGCTTTTCTCTATTTTTGGCCCATATTTAATCTAATAAAAATGTGAAGGGGTTATTAAGCTTAATTAGAGGCTATTATTATGCGTTTGATACCATAAAACAAATCTTCACTTAAGTATTTTTTTACGAAACAAATATTGTAAATCTTAATTTAAACTGCGTTATAAAGACTTATTATATCTCTGTTCAAAATATAAAAATTAAGTTCAGATAAATTTAGATAGAATCTACAAAAATTAGTTCAACTATACTAAGAGATTGAATTAAGATGTTGGGCTTGCTATGTGGAGAAACTTGAAATGTGGAGTCACAGTTTGGGCATTTTCGCTGGGAATTTGAAGAGCGGGTAACGCAGGGTTTGCAGAAAGTGTGACCACAGGAAACTGTGATAGGCTTCAACAGAATTTTTCGACAAAAAGGGCAGATAAAATCGTCCATTTGGGATATTATAGTGGATCATTCAATTTAGTAATAAATTAAAGATTTAATGGAAAGATTTGGTACAGATATTATAATATTAAAATGGTCGATAAGAAAGTTGTTATAGCAGGACTAGCAGGGTTTTGGGCAGCAATGGTAACTCAAAGAGTCTTTTTTTGGAATGGAAGATCATGGAGAGAAGGAGGATGCCACTTCAACAGATTTGAACAAAGGCCACAAGAACAGCCTAAGCAAGCATAAATAAATATGTTTTTTTCAAATTTTAAAATCTTAGATAGTTTGTCAGAGGAGAACAGTTTTTCTCTATTTTTGGCCCATATTTAATCTAATAAAAATGTGAAGGGGGAGGCTATTATTTAACGTTTGGCTCTATAAATAAATCTTTAACTAAGTATTTCTTTATGAAACAAAATAGCTTAATTTAAATTGTGCCTTAAAAATTTATATCTCTGTTCAAAATATAAAAATTAAATTCAAATAAATTTAGATACAATCTACAAAAATTAATTCAACTATACCTTTTATAATAAATTAAATGCTCTCTGTTATTATATAAAATAGATTTGATGGTCCAAGCAGATAAAGCGACTCTCAATAATAAGTATAAAAAACTGAAGGCTCATTTTTGGCTTTAAGATATCGCGTAATCATAAAATTTTTAATTATACTGATAGCCTCCATTTAAACTTTCAGCTATCTATTCACTTATTTTAGTAGTAAAAATGGCCAGATAAATATAAGCAGTAATATCAAATGATCAGCAAAATAAGCTTTCTTGCGTTACTTGCAGGAATAACTGTCGGAACTGCTATTGGGACAAAACTCGATGATTTCGCCGGATATTTGGAGGAGAATGGATATGGAGGATATCTATGGGCAAGCAAATCGAAAACCAAAGAAAATGAAAACTTGAAAACTCCAGTTCAAGAGCTCCAAAAGTAATCAAATAACTGCAATAATTAACGATTTATTTATATATTGATAAAACCTTTAAAGAGTCTGTGGTTTTCAAAATTTGGGATATCTATAAGATTATGGGAATAACGAATGCAATTTTTAACGTTTTTTGGATTTTATGTTATATGATCCTTATCATATCTTAATATTCAGCAGGACGACCCCCTCACATTTAACTTTTTCTTGTTTTGCCTTTTTAGCTCAGTTATATCTTTCTAGAGACTGATATGATTCAATATAAAAATGATAATCCGGATAATGATCGCTAAGAAGGGTGCAATTAATAGCTTATAAATTAAAAACCATCCGAAAAGAAGATATAAAAGTTCATTATAAAGTGCAGACAATAAAACATTAATGTGAGAATACACGCAACAATAATTAGATTAGATTATTAGTTTTAAATTACAAAAACAAGAAAAATTCTCAGATAAGGGAAATCTGCTTAAAACTAATTTTAATCTCAATACTCCCAGTTATCAGAAATAGATTAACATGAAAAGATATTTTACCCCATATTTAATATGCCAAGCTACTGGCTGTAATAATTTTCTGATCTCTCAATCTACACATATCAGCTTTCTTAAATTAAATTTAACGAATTAATGGATTTATCACAAAAGTTTCCAGTTGCGGCTGCTCTTCATCATGCTCATCTAATTGATTCATATCAAACCCAGGGCGCTTCATTATTTCTCATACAGACCCGTTTTTGTCTTTAAAATAAATAGCCTCTTCATTTTGGTCACAATTGTCCAATATCTCTTGCAAAGATGCACCTTGAGTTGCCACAACCTGGAAGTCAGTTGGCAGAATACTATTTTTAATCCCTCTCAGTCGTTTTAAGTCCTCGTCCAGCTTTTTTTCAGTATCTCCCTGTGCTACAATTTTTTGCTCAGCTGCCTTAATTTTTGCTTTTAAGTCTTCTACCGTTTTATCATATGAGGAAGCATTTTGGATCAATTCGTCAAGCATTATTTTATATCGTAAAGACTGCTCTTTTAGCTCGCCAAGCTGTTTTCTTAGCCCTCCATTTTCTTCTCTTTGCTGGTCTATATATAATTGAGTGAGTTTGCAGCGTTCTTCAATTAAATCTTGATCTCGGTTTTTACCAAACCACCCACTCATATAAATTAAATAGGGCGCATGAAAACAGATCTTAAATTATAAGACAAGTCATTCATAATTTATTAATTTTTTATTTGATTAAGATTTCTTGTGTATTTTGCTACAACTTTGTTTCGCTCTTTGAGATACTTCATTGATGTGTATAGGATTAAAAGCAAAATAATCAATAAAAAGGCCATTGTTTTTAGCGTCATTTCTTCACAGAATCTATTAATAAGTTCTCCAAATAGCTCTGCGCTAACATGAAGGAAAATTACGTCGTTCTCTGGGTTCTTTGATATGCATTTTTCCTTTTCTAAGCAGAATTCTTCTGCGATAGGGATTCTTTTGTCTGGCTGACACTCATTTTCGTAGTATTCTTTTATGCATTGCTGCACATTGATGTCCATCTCTCGTAGTAGTAGGTCTTTTGGTAGAGGATTTTTGCTATTTTTATTTAAGATTTTTCCGGGAAAGATATTTCTCAGCAAAAATTGTAGAGCCATTTCTCTTGATTTTATCTTTATTTTTTTTTGAATATCAGAGTAGGTGTAGTAAATTATTACCCCAATTATGCTAAACATTAAAAATAAACTGAGTAATCGGGTGTTTTGTGCTGGAGGTGTAAAAGAAGTGATAGGAGGCTTGATTGTATTTTGGGAAGGTTGAGGAACTTCTGAAGGACGAGGGAAGGTTATTTGATACTCACTAGCGATTTTCTGAAGTCTTTCCTTTGATGGGGAGTGTTTGATGACTTTTTTAGGACTAATCTGAGATTTTTGGGACTTAGACCCAGAAAACGCAGCAATGTTATACTGCAAACTTGGCACATCAATTTGGATGCCATGATACGGAATTGTTACGGGTGAGGTTGAATAAAGTACAGAAAAAGCCAACTGTTTTAGAAAAGTATTATAAATATAGTGCTGAGTAGATAAGTTTGTTTAATGTTTAGAAAAATTATAAAAAACGGCCAAAAATCAAATAAGTTTGAAGAAATTGCTTCATTTATCTTTTAGATTTGCAATCATAAACTCATATTTATTTTATTATACTATTAGGCAGATCGTTCACCTTTCTCGATTATCAGCAATCTCGCATATAGTATAATGAGAAGAAACTACCAAAGAGAAACATGAATTAGTCAAAATTAATCTCAGAAGACCCTGCTCATATTGCTTGCAAAATTGAGTTAATTCAAGAATAAAATATAAATTCGTTGCTTATCATATTATTCTAATAACAAATTAGAGTGTTTTTATTCATAATAGCATAATATTGATATCACATAAGTAATTATGTATTGGTAGTAATGTAATCCTAAAAATTAGTATAGATAATTAGAGTACTCCAATTTATAAGGAGGGTATATTTTCAACGGTCTTAGGATTAATGCGCTATTTTTAATATGTGCTTTTAGATAATGCGGGATCATATTTTATATCATAAAATATGGTACTGGTCAACCAGAACGAATGCTTTTGTCCTAAACAAAAGTGCATAAAATTAATTAAAATTTATTTAAATATAATATTTGCATATAAAAATCAATGCATTTTTTTCCTCTAATTTTCTTCCCTTTTGTTCTTTTTTCGTACCGAATTTGCACCATTAAACATTTTATTATTATTTTTTTTTCACTCCCCTTTCGTATATATAAAAAATAGTATATTTTTATTCATTTATTTTCACTAATTTATTTCATAATCACCTTTGTATTTCTTTATAGCTTTGATTTTCTATTTAATATAATATATTTAGCTTTCTAACAGAATTATCTGTGATTATCAGCCTTTTATGTTCAACTAATCAGTGTACTTTTTCCCTGCTATTTTAAAAGACAAAAATTTATAATTGTGCATATTCTTACATTCATTTAGGTGATATTGTTTGCCATAATGTTTATTATATAATCCCGTCTTAAGCTTTCTCTGCTTAAATGTGCTTACTCCCCCCCCCTCCGTGAGTGAACAAAACCATTAGAAAAATCCCTATTTTTTGCCCAAAAACCCACCCTCCGTGAGTGAACAAAAATTTTTTATGGAAAAAAGTTTTGATATATAAATGATAATTACTATAATGAAATATAGAGCTAATTCTGTTTAATTTTAAACGAATTGCTTTTTAAAACATAAATTTTATAAATTAAATTAATATTTGCTTTCCAATACTTGCGAATTAGGATTTTTTTAAATTTCGAAAAAAAATATTTTTTATAAATTTATATATAAATTGTTTTAAAACAAAAAAATTAACCCCCCTCCGTGAGTGAACAAAATTTTTTTGTTTCACTCACGGAGGGGGGAGTTAGTCTTAATAGATTATAGATTTTTATTTGTATTTTTTCCTCTATTTTTTCTGTTTTAAAATCGTTTACTTTTTTTGCCCTGCTTAAAAATCCAAAAGTGCTTTTTTCATACTAAAAACATTTTGAAAATTATGATCAATTTTATAGGTTTTGTTAGGGGGTTGAAAAAAGCATAGTCTACTTTATTTAACTTCACCCAATTGTTACATCATGTGTATACAGGTCTTCATAAGTTTCCATTATTTATATATATATGCATATTCTTTGTTTAATGAATTCTTAATTATTGTATCCTATTAATATCTGTGCTTCGTTGAATAGTCTTTTGGCGAAATCGCTAGCCCTTTCCCCTTTGTCGCTGCTCTATAAACGTTTTCTAGAATATCCCCATTTATCATAAATATCAACATTGGTAACTTTTTTATATAGTTATAAAATAACTCAACGCTTATATTCATTATAAATGGGCATATCAATCAATTCCTGCTTATCTGTAAGTAAAAAGTTCAATTTATAATTATTCCCGGTTCCATAGTCAACCATAATCAATTTATTCCTAAAAAAGAACATAATCGAGCAAGGATCATACAATTCATAAAAGCTATTAAAATCAGGCACTTCTGTAATATCCACCAAATAAATAACCCCGAAATTCTTTATGTCGTAGGCAATTGAATACAGCAGCTCGTCCATCTGCATGCAAATATTATCATAATCATGCCCAAACCTTATTATAACTACCCTATTGCCTTCACTCAAGATCGCCTGATCAACTTCCCAGCCATTATGCAAATGCGGCAATAAATATGACATTTTATTGGAATATTAATTAACGGAATGCTAAGTCCTATAACTGAAGACTTACTAGTAAGTTTATTTCTCTCCATTGCAGAAAGAGAAAAACAAGCAGACGCCATAAGGCAAGTTCTAATAGAGCAGCCAAATTTTGACATAAATGTGATTTTTGAGTTTTTGGACCGTAAAAGGAACAGTTATATCACCTTTTCTGACATTATTTTGTTTCTCAGGGACGAAGGCCTCAGATTTGAAGAAAAAGAAGCATATATTTTGCTAAAAGAGTGAGATGTAAAAAATGAGGGAAAATTGGATTTTGAGGACCTGAAAAGGTGGATTTTGCCAAGTCGCTATGAAATGAAGAATTATGATGTCGGAAGTGCCAGGATCTCTTATGAAGTGGAATATACTCTGACAAAAGTGTTTGAAAATGAACTATTTCTTACTTACTTAATTATCTGGTGTTTAAGGTGTCTAGTGCCGCAGCCCAAAAGGGCCTATGGCAAAAACTAGTGACGTAGGCGAGCCATCTTGGCACGGGTCAGCCCCATCCAAGCCTTCTATCAACTCCTGCTTCACCAGCCTTGCTGCACGTCTCACCCGGCGCGTTGCCGTCGCCCTTGTCGCTCGACTCAGCTCCTGCGCGTTTTCCGCCTAAGGGTCATCCTCCCGTGGGGATGTGCTGAGAGGTAAAAGCCCGAAATCTTGAGTGGACTGAGGAGTGGTTTCCTCTGGTTATCCCCAGAGTTAAACCTCTATTGCTGTCCAGAAGTTCTCGAGTGAAAACCTAACCCTATAAATAAAATTCCATGAGGGAGAGAAAATTAGCAGAGCTAATTTCTCTCGAACCGAATGCCATTTTATTTATGAAAATGAACTATTTCATATTAGAGTAAATGAGGAGACAAGAATAAGGCTAGCTGAAAAGCAGGATTTTACATTGATAGATGCGTTTAGGAGCATTGATGATGATTATTGTGGGTATATCACGCCTCAGAGCTTGGTGAGATTTTTGCAGAGAAATGGAATTAAACAATGTGATGAACTAGTTCATGGAATATTGCATAGACTGGATAAGGATAATGATGGAAACTTAAATTATGCAGAGTTTCTAGATGCATTAATACCTAATGATCCTGCATATCAGCCAAAATTTTTAGCAAGAAAGATTGATGAACCACCAATAGTTTATTATACACCAAATAGACCAAAAAGATCAAATAAATCTCCTCAGAGGAAAAGGCCGAAATCAGCACGGCCAAAATCAAGCCAAAAATCCAGCAGGTACGAAAGCCCAACAAAATCAAAAAATATAATCACAAGAAATAAGCTTCAGGTCTCCAAATCAAAGCTAAATATCAGCAATCTGCGCAAAACCCAGAAAAAAGAACTTGTAATGCTAGCAAATATTTTCCAAGACCACATTATATTTGATAAAGACCTGGAAAAAATCCGAGACCAGCTTGCATTAAGGCTTGACTTCACAATCCCGGAATTATTTTTTTTATTTTCTCCTGACTCCAGTGGCCACATAAGTGAGCTTGATTTTGAAAACGGCTTACGCTTATTTAGCATTCTCCCTCAAGGAAACCAAAGCTACTTATTATTTAGACGCTATGATGGAAATGGGGACGGAAAGCTTGACCTTGATGATTTCTACTATATTTTTCTGCCACGGTCTTGTAATTATTCACATTTACTTAAAGAAAGAATAGCTGATCCGAAGTTTAAAGGAAGACTATCAATAGAGACCCAGAATCTAGTAAGAGAATGCTTCAGAACACTTTTTATCGTTGAAGAATCGTTAGAAGGAATGCGGCAGAAACTCAATTCACGGCCAAATTTCGACTCTTCAAACCTCTACGAAGCGCTAGTTTCTGGGCAAAGTGACTATATCACAATCCATGAATTCCGCGACGTCCTGCGGAGAAACAACTATTTCCCAACTGAAAAAGACTTAGACGCATTATTTTCCTTTTTCGACACAAATCGAGACGGGAAAGTAACCTATATAGAATTTATCCAGGCTTTGTCTCCTAAGTTTTCCTAATACATCTATTTAAATGTCATATTTACTTAGTTTTCCGCTAACTTGTACCAGCTGAGAGAGCCGACTTTCTTCAGCGTAATCACGATTTTGTTTTTCCTCACTTTGTAGCTGGACTGGGTTGGGCTGATAGTGTTGGAAAGCTTCTTCAGCCAGAGCTTCCTGGTCTCAGTGTCTGAGAAAGAATAAGTCAAGTCCACTTCTTTTGTGTCAAATTTGCAAGTTACCAGATCAGGGTCCACATCTTCTTCAAATGGAATATAGATGGTTACTTTGTCGTTTTCGTCGCTCCACGAATAGTTTCTGATGTTGAAGATGTGAGGCTGCGGGGTGAATTGTTGGTCTCTAGCAATCAGCTTTGGAGGGCCTCCTGTGATGATTCCGTCTCCTTCCAGGACTATTGCGTGGTCTGGAACTTCGTCTGGCCGGGGAGCGTGTGCGTAGTAATAAGAGTTCTCTCCTTTTCGTCTAATATTGTCTCTTAGAGCGTTTTCACTCTCAACCATTTTAATTATTATCTAGAAAACTCGGTATTTTTTAAATATGCATCTATTATTTTATGCCCTCTTTTTCCAGCTGTTTCTTTACAATTTCAAGTGCATTTGGAAAAGCTTCAGGGAAAAATTCTTCCATGGTTTCCTTAATAATCTGTTCTCTCTCCTTTTTTGTGAGTCCTCTAATAGTTGCCCTCTGTTCTTCCTTCCTAATCCTATTTTGCAGCTCATTAAAGAACTTGACTCTTCTCTTATTAAATTCTTCCTCTTCTTTAGTGGGGATAATCTGTATAAGATCAGTAAGCTTGTCTCCTTTCATATTAAAGGCTTCTTCTTGCTTTCTCCTATTCATTTCTTTCGGGGAATAATATTTCATTGTCTCTATCAAGTATTTCAAAGAACTAGATGTTGGCTTGTATGTGTAGCTGCTGAAATCAGATCACTGCGCTTCTGGGATGCCGAGCCATACTATAGAAAACCCTGCTGCAAAACCAAATGATGATTTTAAGAGAAATGAGGACATAATTATATTAAATTAAGGCTTGATCTTGATTACATATTGGTGCTATATAGAAATTACTAAAAAGGTCCTCCGTTGCCTTCTGGCACTGTCCATTTGATGAATTCTCCTACAGCTTTGATGTCACAGGTCTTGCAGTGGATGCAGTTCTGGGAATTTATGTGAAGCTTGTTGTCGATATACTCATAAACGCCTGCAGGGCAGAAATTCTGTTCGATACCTGCGTAGTATTTGAGGGATAAGTCTGGCTTGCCTTCCATTCCTGGCTTAATTGTTAGGTGGCATGGCTGATTTTCGTGGTGGTTTGTGTTGGTTTTGGAGACCTGGGTTAATAAGTCAAAGGTAAGCTTGCCGTCTGGCTTTGGATAATTAATTGGCTCAAAATCTCTTGCAAACTGGGTAGTGGCAGCGTCATTCGGATAGTTCTTTTTGTCGGTTAGGCCAACTTTGTTACCTCCGAATAAGTTGTAGCTGAGCCAAGCTTGTGCTGAACCCCACCAAATATTGTGCGCAAACCCTTCTCTTGTGTTTCTCACCTCATAAAGTTCTTTCCAGATCCACGAATTTCTGTATTTGTGGTAATATTTAAATAGTTCTTTTCCTTCAGCTTCACCTTTTTCGAGGGCTTCATGGACTGTTTCAGCAGCCAGAATTCCTGATTTCATTGCAGTATGTGACCCTTTGATTTTGGCAGTGTTCATAAATCCAGCAGCACAGCCCAAAAGCATCCCTCCAGGGAATGTAAGCTTCGGAACAGAGTAAAATCCACCCTCGTTCAGAGCTCTGGCGCCATATGACAAGCACTCTCCTCCTTCTATATGTTTTCTTATATCTGGGTGAGTCTTATATCTTTGCAGCTCTTTAAATGGGACAATATGGGGGTTGTGGTAATCTAATGCAATAACCAACCCAACGTGGACTAAATCAGGAAGCTGGTGGTATAAGAATCCTCCAGCCGTTGTAAATGAGTCTGTTGGTCACCCAATTGTATGCTGGACGTATCCTGCTTTGAATTGGGCTGGGCTTACCTTCCATACTTCTTTAATTCCGATGCCATAAGTCTGCCTCAAAACTTGCCGTTCTCCATCATTAAAGTTCCTAAGATCGTATTTCTTCATGATTTCTTCACTCAAACTTCCTCTACAACCTTCAGCAAATAAGCTCTGCTTTGCCTTAATTTCGACCCCTGGCTGGAAATCTTCTCTTGGTTTTCCATCTTTGCCAATCCCAAAATCCCTTGTAATAATTCCTTCCACATGTCCATTAGGACTCAACAATAGTTCACTAGCAGGGAAGCCAGGATAGATCTGCACACCTAAATCTTCTGCATATTTCCCAAGCCACCTCACAAATTCACTGAGTGAAATGACATAATTTCCAGTATTATCCAAAAATTTGGGTACAAATGCATGAGGAACATCAATCGAATATTTTTCTGTCAGCACACAAAACTTGTCAGTGGTGATTGGAGTTTTGATTGGGGTGTCTAATTCTCGCCAGCTAAGACTAAGTATTGACATAAGCCACAGAGCCACTTGCCGTCTCCTTGTCTTGGCTTCAAAAAAGCAGAGCTACAATAACCTCAGGGTGCAATGGGAGGCTAGCATTAGATTTATAACTAGGATTGCCTGTCACAAGAATTAGCTCCCCTAGAATGTGCCAATAAGGAAAGGCTGTACGTAGGAAAAACCTGACTAACCTAAGCAGAAACAGAATCTTTCGTATGAAATACCCTATAAGGATGCGCCTCGGAGTCCAATTTCCGTTAGCATCACCAATTTATTTTTCTCACCAGTTCGGAATCAATTCATCCATTGCTTTTGTTTCAAAACAATTTCCAGAAACAATATGAGCTCCTACTTCTGATGCTTTTTCTACAACACAGACCTCATAGCTTGGATTTAACTGCTTCAATTTAATAGCTGCACTTAGCCCTGCAGGACCTGCACCTATGATTACAGCATCGCACTCAATTCTTTCTCTAGCTGCTTGGCTTGCGAATCTCCGTGCTGCTCTCCACATTTATTAACTCCCCCATCCTTGATCGAACGACTCGCCATCGTTCGATCAAGGATGGGGGTTAAAAAAAAATTATATATAAAATAAAATATATATATATATTTTTTTATTTTACTTTTAAATAAGAGGGTTAAGATTATTTAATAATTATTTTTACAGCAAAAAATTGAATTAATTTCATAAAATACCAATTTTTAATATTTTGATTTATTAGTTACCCCTTTAAATTGTATAAATTTTAATTTGTTTCTTATTGAATTAAATTTTTTTTTTTTAAAATTTTAAAGAATCTCTATTTTTAGATTATTGAGTTTTTAAGCCTAGGTTGATGACTAAATCACTTCGGATGGTTGATTTCGTAGCTTTCTGTCGTCTCAAAGCTCTGAAAGCAACTTCATTAGGTCATCTTCCCAAGCTTTTGATAACTAATATATTTTTATATATATAAAAATTTGCATGATATAAAAATCGTTCGATCAAGGATGGGATTAATTTCCCCCAAATTTTAGGATTTTTACAGTCAATCGTTCGATCAAGGATCGGGGGGAATAAGAAAATTATTTAAAAATCAATATTAGACCTCCTGAGCTTATCAAAATGCGGCAAAGAAGGCTTGTTTTCTGGGTCGTAATCAGTAAATCTCGTCTCATAATGTGAAAATGACATTTCTGGATCAAAAGTCCTAGAAAGGTATTGGTCTTTTGTCTCAGTTTTGTCATGGCTTGAATGGATGTCCTTGCGCGACTCTACGTCAACATAAGCTCTTTCTGTTTCTAGTGAAATCGCATGTCGTCTCCTTTCAATTGTTTCTATTTCTTTGAGCTCTTCTTCCATATTAAACATTCTTCTTTTGTAGGAACTTTTTAAAAGAGTGATTTGAGAAAGGTCCGGAGTGACTGGTGAGCTGATCCCAGCCTCAGGTGAGTGGATCCCTTTTTTAGGAGTTCTGGGTTTTACCTGATCAAGACTCCATGATAGGCTTTTTTACTGTCCCACAGGCGAAAAATCAAAGCTCCCACTTTGGGAAGCAATTATTACCTAATTGGGCAAGATAGTATAGGAGGTGGTAGGTGTTTCTTTCGTATCCTTAGAGCATAAGGGCCACTTGAGCAAAGCCCATGATGGAGCGGCGAGGGACTGAAATAATCCCCTAAGACCTTCTAGAACTTAATCTAATCTAGCCTTTTGTGGGACTGAATCTGAGAGTCACAGTTGTTTAGCTGAGTTCGTAAAGATTCGACCTCTTTGCGGACTTGAATAGCTTTTTCTTGCTGGCTAGACCTGGCAAGGCTTCTCATTTCTGACTCTGAACGGAGAAGTTGGTTTTCAATGCGAAGTTTTTCACGGTTCAAAATTTCGATCTCACTATGGCTTTTCATGATGTCGAGGAAAATCCTTTGGATGTCCTGGGATGGGACTGCACGTTGGAGTCTTGATAGTAAACTTTCTAGCTCTTTTTTTTCTTTTAAGAGGAGGTTGGTCTTTTCTTCAGATGCGCGGATTGAGAAGGAGTCACTGCCAGCTGTATTTCTGAACTGGCTAATTTCAGAAGTAGAGAGCTTCAGCTGATCTTTCATACGAATGTTTTCTTCATATAAGGCTTGGTAGTCCTTTTTAAGGCTATTAAGCTCAACTTGAAGAGAGCGGATTTTATTGATACTTGTCTCATTTTCATATAAAAATTTTGATTTTTCATTATTTAAAGCGGCTACTTGCTCTCTTAAATTTTGTTCTCTATTCCTAAGTGCCATTTCATCAACTGACAAAGCATCATATTTCTGCTGTGTGCTTCCAAGTTTTTGGGTAGTATAATTATAGTCCTGTTTTGCATCAGAAAGTCTTCTTATAAGTGCTTCAAGTTCTTCACAAGATAAGTGAAGCCACTCCCCAATAAATTGGACGTCTTCAAGTGAGTTGGCATTCCACTTAACAATCAGATCTTTGAATTGGGAAGAAACGACAGTTCCATATGCAGAGGTAGCTGCACTGATAGCTCCAAAGTTACTTGTAAAGATTGAGATGATTTTGCAGCAATTTCTGATACTTTCCTTTATTTTCTCATTTTCTTTATTATGTGAGTCAATAAGGCTTATTTCGCTTTTATATCTGCAAAGCTCCTCATAATACTGCTTTTTAGTAAAGATTTCTCTTTCGATTTCATCCCGAGTGCTTTTTAGCTGAGATTTTAAAGAATCAATTTCATATAAAGAGTTTTGCAGCCTCATATCCCTGTCTCTATAAAGTTCATTGGTCTGCTGAAGGGAACTATTTAGGTTTCCTGCCATATTTTTAATTGACTCATTTTCTGCCTTAAGCAGCTCGCTGCTTTCTATTTCTTTTTTCAATTCAGCTGTTAGTCGATTTATTTCTCCTTCCATTTCGCTTTTTTCTTGAGAAACTTCGAATAAATGAGAATTTGTCTGATTGAAAGTGTTTTTAAGCTCAGAAATGCCGCTTGTAAGCTGTAAATTTTCAGAACTAAGTTTTTCAATTTCTTCTTGCATTGTAAGAGTTTGCTTTTTAAGCTCATTTGTTTCTTTAGACAAGGCAAGTTCACGCTTAAGGACAGACTGGTACTCAGTCCAAGATTTCTGTAGCTCTTGCTGGACATTTTCAAGCTGCTTGATCGATTGCCTGACTTCTGCGTCTTTTTGAGAGCTTAATGTTTCTTTTAGTTGTTTTTGCTCTTTTTCTTTGAAGATAAGGGTTTCTTCAAGCTCTTGGATTTTCTCATCTCTTGATTTTTTAATGTCTTTTAATTTATTCTCTATATTTTCTAAATTTTTGCGCAATTTTTTAGCTTCAGATTTTGCCTCATCATGCTCTACTTGTAAAGCATCCATTTCTGCTTGTGTTTCTTTCAGTGTGTTATTTAATGTAGCATTATTAGCCTGCAATGCCTCGTTAATTTTCGAAATTGCTTTCAATTGTTCTTTAACGGCACTGAGCTCATTTTCATATTGATCTTTGAGATCCGCAACCTCTTTAAACTCTTCCTTAGACAATTTCCAGGCGTTTTCTAATTTTTCTTTGTCATGTTTTACTTTTTCCAGCTCATTTTCATAGGAATTTCTTTTCTCGATTTCAATCTTGAGCTCATTCCCAATTTTTCCTAAATTTTCTTTTATTCCTGCTATTTCTCGATGACTATTTTCTATTTCTTCAAGATATTCCTTTTCTTTGCTAGTTAATTGGTCAGCATACTCTAGCAATGCAGCTTTTTCTTCTTCCAATTTCTCGACCTCTTCCTCAGCAAACTGTAAGGCATCTGCAGCTTCTTGCAGATGCTTATCTGAAATTTGCCTTTCATTTTCATATGCTTCACATTGTTTTGACTTTTCCCTTAGTTGATCCAATATTTGTTTTAGTTTTTCTTCTTGGTTTTCAATTGTAGCGGCTAATTTTGAATTTTCTCTTCTGTTTTTATCATTTTTTGTTTTTGACTGAGCGAATTCAGCAAAATCATCAGTGGTCCCAACATAACCAAGATCTTCCATTCTTGTCTCTAATGCTTGTTTCAGGACTTCGATGTATGTTCGTTGTTCTTCAGAGGTCAGCATTTCGGCCCTCAAAGACTCTTCCAAAGCATTTTTCTCTTTGATCGTATCATGATGCTGATAATATATTGCAGAATACAGCTCTTGCAGTTGATTTAGTGTCAATTGTGTGCTTGGTGGGGGAAACGTATAGTTTTCAGCTAATGGGACTTTGATTTGTTGCTGAGCCAATTGCTGTTCTAGTTTTGCAATCTTTTGTTTGGCCAGATGAAGTTCTTGAGAATTTTGAGAATTTAAATTCGTTCCTAGATGTTCAGGCTTAAGCGGAATTGGGTGTCCTGGGCTGAGTTGCTGGATTCTTTCTTCGCATAGAGCTCGATATTGCTCAAGTCCTCGTAATCTTTGAGCTTGGGATCTCACTTTATCTCTAACTTCCTCCCCTCCGTGAGTGAACCAAAATTTTTGCCCACTAACGGATGGGGTTAATTTTTTTCAAAATTTAAAAAAATCCTAATTCGCAAAAATTGGAAAGCAAATATTAATTTAATTTATAAAATTTATGTTTTAAAACGCAAATTTTATAAAATTAAACAGAATTAGCTAAAGATTTCATTATAATAATTATCACTTATATATCAATTATTTTTCTCATAAAAAAATTTTTCTATTAAAAACATTTTTGTTCGCTCACGGAGGTGGGTTTTTGTGAAAAAAATAGGGATTTTTCTAATGGTTTTGTTCACTCATGGAGGGGGGAGTAAGCTGATTTAGCATGTCATTCTCTTCACTTGGAGCATATTCAACGCCATCTGCAGGCTGCTCGTATTGAGAAGGGCGGAAAGATTCTTCCATTTAAATAATAAATAGTATGACTATCTTAGCTTGATACCTAAGTAGAAAATAATAAAAACTATTTAAGCAGCCTTCCAGTCCTATATCCTTAACAGTAGGATGCATCTATACTATCAATGAAAGGCATCTTATTTGAATTTCAAACTGGCAAGCGGTCTTGATTTGCTCTACTGTCTTCTTCCTCTGGCTTTTATTTGTTCCCTTTATCTCCTCATTCATACAAGTTTTCATTCTATTGAATTTGAACACATTTAATGTGTCTATGCATCTTAAAACCTATACAGATATTTAAAAAATTAGATTTTTATGCTAAAATCGTTATTCTTTTAAAATCGTCTAAATCGGGCATGCCTTATTATCAAAATCTCTGGATCTATAGCGCTTTCCCGAGGATGGCGCCATTCCGCGCCATCCTCGGGAAAGCGCTATATATAAGGAAGAATAAATTTAATTTCCAAAAATATTAAAAATGATATAGACCTGATTAGATTTATCATTTTCTTCCAACTATTCGTCCGATGAAGATTGGAAAGAAACTTTTAACTTTTTCCTGATATTTTCATATGCCTTTAAGCTTTCAGCTTCAATACTCTCATACCAATTAATCATAACGCTTTTAAAGCAAACGTCGAGCTCTGGGCTTATAAACCTTCGTAATGGCTACTCAATGCCTTTCAAATTTCTATAAAATTAATTTAATATTAAAAAAAAAACCCTAGCTTTGACAAATTTTCTGAAATTACGAAATAAATCGCTTTTCAATTTTTTGATATTAAGCCAGCATTGCTCGTATGCACTGCATAATAAATCCATCCCAAAAGCGTCCTACCACATACTTTTGTAATTCTAACTTTTTTTTGAAAATTTAGAACTTTCCAAAATCACTGCTATTGATTTTATTTTTTTAAGTCCACCATTTTGCCATTTATAAATTACCAATAATGGCCTAGAATAATCTGAATTTCTGATACAATAGAAGTGCTTAAGATATCTCTTTAACTCGATCCTGAATTATTTAATCTCTCATAAAATTTTATAAAATCTTAATATAGCTATATTAAGCCCTAAAAATTTCAGTTATCCCAATTTCTTCTAAGTCGTTCATTAAATTTCGTACCTTTACCTGCATTTCTTGGTACTGGGAGATGACAATTTGAGCAAGTTCAGAGCTTTTTTGAAGCAGTCTTATAAGTTCGCTCTCCAACTGTTGCTCCATACATGGGAGTCTTTCTGGGATATTTTCTTTTTCATCTTGGACGTTTTGATGCACTGGTTGCTCTTTCTGATTAGACATTTCTAGATTATTAGTGGAATATTTACTTGAATATATGTCATTAATGAGCTTTAGCTGCATGGATAATAGACTATCAGGCTACCAGTTTCAATGAAGTTCTCACTGATAGCTTATAAGAGATATTTTGATATATAACAAAAAGCTAGAGCTACAAGTATTTATGGCAGATATTAGTATCGGACTACTATGCTATTAATTCTATGAGCAAAACATACTGAATACTTGTGTTAGTTATATAAAACTTTAAGATGACCTGAAAATCATAATTCTTTAATATGGGTACCTCGTAAAAATTGATTTTTTACAGATTTATGACAATAAATTTAAATCGATAAATTTAAGGCGATTATGTAACAATTTTGGGATATTTTGTTGACAAAAATCACTATTTAGAGAAGATGATCAGGAAATTAGTAATGGGCAAGTTGGCGATTTTATTATGCATGGTAATGAGAAAATGCCGCGCGAGAAATACAGCTTGCCTAAAGAGACTAGAATTCTTTCAATCTCAAGAATAGTTCACTGCCTCACATTTAGATTTCTGATGAAGAATTAAGATCAATGCTTAAAGTAAAGACAACTATGGTAATATGTCAGAAAATTCATGAGTGTTGTCCAGCTAATAGTTAATTTTGATAAATACAATGGACATTTTAAAGTCTATTATTAAGGCTAGCTTATTAATAATTTAATAGAAAGTTATAAGTAATAAGAAAGCCATTTTTGGCTTGCACATAAACCTAATATTAGGCTGCAAAAACAGATACTGAGAAAGGCACGAATAATCCGCTAAATGGGATTAAATATATTATAATTAGCAATTAATTAAAGCAATACACATCCGTATCTTATTTCTTTTCATCAACTAGAAAGCATGACTGACCACATCACTTCTGTCTAATTTCGATTACTTCAAATGCAGCGCGAGATTAAAAAATTATATTAGCATATAGATGGGTTTAAATCAAATGGATTTTACCGAGTCTACTTTTATGCTTATTTTGCTCTTCAGCGGCAACTGCAGAAGGAAGTGCGGCTTCTCTTTAATGATAATCCCCAAGATTATTTTGGAAATTATTTAGCGCCTTTATCTCGAACCTGAAAATCCTAGAATGTTAATAAATCTTGATATACTCCTGCCTAGAGTCAGTAGATGTCTAACTTGTATCGTTATTCCAAAATATATTAATAGCTGTTGTTCAAGGCAAATCATTATATCGTTAGTTTCTTTGAGTAAGCAATTCTCGCTTCTTTATCACAGGCATTCAACTGGGTCGGATAAACCGATAAAATGATGCAGATACTACCCGTTTGCCTGATCAACAGTTTAATGACTGACTCCTCACTTAAGAGCTACCTGATTTTTGGATAATCTAATTATTCTATTAATTAAAAAAAAATAAATTAGATTTTTTTTAAATACGAGTAAAATAAATTTTTTTGATAAAAATAGCTAACAAATATAAAAAAAATACTTGCTCACCCTACTGACGAGTTAGACTAGAATTATTGAAAACTTTATTTGTATAATCGATTTCATCCTCGATCTTGATTTCAGGCTTCACTTCTAAGTCAAAAACTTTTTCTTTTTCTTCATCATTTATAGCGATTCTGGAGATTTTTATTCTACAAAGATTTCATTCATATCTCCTCTGCCTTCTGATCCTCCAACGTTTCTTCTAATTTCTCAAAGTACTCTGCTTCTTTCCTTAGCTTGACATCTAAAAAATGATCTTTTTAAATCATCAAAGACAAAAAATTTCTGAGCCAACTAAGTCTTTATTGGAGATGAATCCCGCTGAGACTCGCTTGCAGGATTTATTTTTACTTTATGCCAGGGAGTCTCATAAATAGTAATTTTATTATGGAAATAAGCAAGGCTGAAATAGCTCAACTCAGCAGCAAGCTAAAAACTTATAAAAAGAAGCAAAAGTTAAGCAATCATGCAAAAATCGCTTTGTTTCCGAAAGAAACAAAGACTCTTACAAAAGAAGGCTTTGTTATCAAAGTCCTCGACGAGTCACAAAAGGCTGAAAAATTCACAAAGACTAAATCGATGTCTTTTTATGATGAGATGATGAATAGACATACAAGAAAACCATTCAAGAGAAATAAATAGTCCTATTTTAATTCACTTTTCCTAATAAATTAATATAGTGGATGTTTGAGGAAATCTTGTTGTCTTGAAAGCTCTAATTAAAAATAAAGAAATACTTGAAATTATTATTTTCCTAATACTGAAACATTGCTGATTATTAATCTACCCCTCAAAAGTTTTATAAGCAGAAACTATAGAAAGAAATTGTCCTAGATGAATATCATTGGAAATAGAAAACAAAACCTGCTCTTCTGGGGAAATTTCAAGTTTGAAGCCCATCTGTTCATTCTGGTATTCAATTTCTTCATCCTCCACTAATTTTGGCTGTTTTAGTTTCTGGCACAAAGCATCCTATTTAGCTCCTACCAAATTATTATAATCAATCACGTCTTGCAGCCGGTTGCGCATACTTAAGTGGTTTATATACAATTTTATATTCCTTGATGCCACATGGCTCTGGTCATTATTAAAAAGCATTTTCCCAAAAGGGCTATAAACGTAACGATCAATGCCTTCTTCTGGAGTGCTGGAAATAGGTCTAAACTGTTTATATTCCGAGTAATATATATTTTTCATTGAGTTAATTCTGATTTCTAGCCCCATTTTTTGCACCTGGATCCAAGTACAAGGCAAAAAGGATCTCTGGACAAGCTTTAGATCCTCTTCTAAAATATAAACTTGTGCTGTATATGGATAGCTTGAAATTTCTTGGTAAAATTGTTCAGTCAATTTTAAAACCTTTTCATCCAGAAACTTATATTCTCCATCTCCTGAAAACCCTGAATGATCAATGAAATGAATATTTAATTCATTTACTGATAAATCTAAAACTGCCTGAATTCCTTTCATCATAACACTTATAGAATCTTCTTTTGAAGCTTTATTAACTTCTCCTTTAAAACATGGGCATTCCTTTACTAACAAGTTCCTTTGATTTTGCAATAAGGTGAATATGGAATCTAATATATGCTCTTTTAGCCTATAGAATACATTTCTTCTCCATATAATTAGCATTAGCCTCATGACTGTAAAAGGAGGCATCTTCGGGGCATTCAGCCAATTTGCATCGTATACTTGATTGATGGCGACACTAAATGCGAAAAATATTCTGTCTATCCAGTATATGCTTGCACAAAATGCATCCCACTACGTTAAACTTACCCTTATACAGTACTCAGTTAACAGCTCTGAGGCTTCTTCTATTAAATTTAAACAATTCCAACTCGCCACACAGTGAATTTTTATTGTTTTTTTTAGCGTACAAAACAATCTAATAAGTAACGGATTTGCATTGATCATTTTGTTTTGGAAATAAGTATTCAGCAGACTGCTGCCGAAATCTCCTGATGAATAGCATGTTGATTGATTTCCAGAACTTCCCATTGACAGGCTTTTATTTATGTTGCATTTATTTCCTTTCAGACCTCATTTAATTATGACTATTTGATCAATGCTGACAGTGTCGCAAATCTATGTAAAGCGTACTTCTTCAAGCAAACTTTGGCTCATGGCCCCTTCTATTATCATTTCAGATTCAGTCGGAAGTGAGAAACCATTTTGTATGGGCTCTTCAAATGCGTGAGCTAATAAGTCTTGAATTATTGTAGGAAAGGTTTTAGGTTCTCGGCGGAGTGGGGGAGGAGGTAATAATGGTTCGTAGAGGGCTAGAAAAACTTCAGATCGCAATAACTCTAAATCATCAGATGTAAAGTTGTCACCTTTAAGCAGTAGCCAGGAATGACGAATTTGGGTAAGCTTTTTAAGTAAGTGTCGCCAGTTTGGCTCACGAGAAGATTTATAAAGTCAGTCGTCTCCTTTAAAGACAGAGCTATATATGCTCTGATATATTAAATTTTAGCTATGTATAAAAATAGTAAAATAAATTTTTCAAATCAGTCAAAAATAGCATATTAATTACCCAAAAATATCATAATTCCCAAAAAAGACCCTCAAGCACTCGCGTTTCCATAAGTCTTCTTTTTTTGATACAAAGTTGAATATTTTATTTACTTGGCCAAATGAAAGCAAATCTTTGTATGTCAAGTGATGAGCAATAATAAAGAGAATATTTGCTGTGTTCATATTTTAGGTATATATTAAAACTAATAGTAATTTGAAAAGAATCAAGAGGTCACCTATATATTATAGAAATTAGATTAATAAGAAATTCAAATCTGCTTTAAAGACCATTTAATGTTTGTCTCTCAGAAAATTAATGCACTTTGCAACGTTAAAGGACTTGGCAGGTTTCCAGAAAATATAATTAAAAAATATTTCTATATAAATGAGGGTAATAAATATTTATAAGTTTATTTTTGAGTTATTTAAGTTTTTAAGGGTTATTTAATCTGGATTTATTTGAGTCTCCACACAAGAGAGGAAATTTTTAGGCTAAAAGATGAAAAAAAGAATAGGTATAGCGCCTTTCTTAAGATGGCGCGCAATGCGCCATCACCGAGCCATGTCGGGAGGGTTCTCCACGAGGAATGATTCCAAGTGTGGAACCCTCTTTTTGGCTCGTGGAAAAAGAGGGTTCCACACGTGGAACCATTCCTCGTGGAGAACCCTTTCCCGACATGGCCCGGTGATGGTGCATTGCGCGCCATCTTAAGAAAGGCGCTATAAATTAAAACGAAGAAGTCAAAAATTGTATTGATTTGGATTAGACTCGGAACGCAAGCACGTTCATAACTTTATAGTTGCGAATTCTTTCAAAAATAGCTGAGCCTTGGTTGATTTTAGCTGCAGATATCACAGAGGTGTTTTAAAAGCTGGCACTAAAAATGAAAAATTTTCATTTACCTAAATATTGAGAAATATATGCACCTAGCTTATGAATAATTTGTTTTTAAAATTTTCTATGCCGTCAAACTACCATTAATTCAAAATTTTATGATTTCCATTTTAAATAATAACTTTTTTAAACAATAAACAATTTTTTGATGGTTTCTTGGCCTTGAAGGCTATTACAATTCTCCAATATAAAAATGAACCCTTCTCCGAAAGCTTTTAAATTCAATATGGACAACGTAAGTTCATATTCCTTTTCAAATATTAGAAATAAAAGACCACTCACAAAGACTCCTCGCTCTAGGAAGAAGGTTAATAACCCAAGATCATCATTTGAATCCTCACAGCGAAAAAGCGGCATAAATGTCGATTTTATATCAAAATTTAAGCAACTCTTGCGCACTGTAAGATGCGATGAAGATCATAAATCCACAAAGACATTAATCAAGTCTGCAAAAGCAATAAAACCTGCTCAATTGTACGAAAAATCTCCAAAAATAACCTCTCCAACACTGTCTCCTGTCATCTGCTACTCAGAGAACTTCAATCAACTTTACAAAAAGAAGTTTAATTTCAGTAAAAACGGTTGAGAATATTGGAGAAACAGCAGCATTAGAAAATCTCCTAAAATTAATCAAAAAATTATCTTACTCCCCCCCATCCTTGATTGAACGACTCGCCATCGTTCGATCAAGGATGGGGGTTAAAAATATTTTTTGGGAAAAAATTTTTATTTATAAAATAAAAAATATATATATTTATTTACTTTTAAATAAGAGGGTTAAGAGTATTTAATAATTGTTTTTACCGCAAAAAATTGAATTAATTTCATAAAAATACCAATTTTTAATATTTTGATTTATTAGTCACCCTTTTAAACTGTATAAATTTTAATTTGTTCCTTATTAAATTAAATTTTTTTTTTAAAATTTTAAAGAATCTCTATTTTTTTAGATTATTAAGTTTTAAGCCCAGGTTGATGACTAAATCACTTCGTATGGTTGATTCCAAAGCTTTTGTCGTCTTAAAGTCTCTAAAAACAACTTTCATTAGGTGCATCTTCCCAAGCTTTTGATAACTAATATATTTTTTATATATATAAAAATTTGCATGATATAAAAATCGTTCGATCAAGGATGGGGGTTAATTTTCCCCAAATTTTAGGAATTTTTACAGTCAATCGTTCGATCAAGGATGGGGGGGAATTAGAAAAGTCTATAGAAAAAAATTATTTTGATTCCTCTGTCAAAAATTTACAAAAAATCCTTGACACAAGGAAAAGAAGATATAAGTTTTTCACAGACAGTGAAGAATCTATTGAAAGATCACGGAAGAAAATTCTTGATCTGAGAGTTGACCCCGGGGTAAGTTCTGAATCTTCGCTTGATTTTGCCAAAAAATCGCACTTATCTAATATCAATAGTGAAAATTTTAAAGAAATTTCATTTAAAAAAGCTTCATCTCAAGGAAAGATTTGCAAAAATCAAAAAATCAATGATAAAATGAGCAGGAGCAGCTTATCACCTACGTGCATTGGTGCCGAAAGTGAATCATTTAATAGAGCACCTCTTGCAAGATCGCAAACATATAATCCATCTACTAGAATTAAATTAAAGAGGAGAAGCCCTGAAAAGCAAGAGAAATCTTTAGAAGAATTTGGTGCATGGGAAATTTCTTATTAATATTATATTAAACGGAAAGTCAAGTATTTTGCTATAATTCCATTCTTTCTTTATTATAAGAGTTTTATGCTATTTAGGATATATGGATTATAAAGTTCTATATCATCAGAGCTATTATTTTTATTTATAGTTCACCATCACCAATATGAAATATTTAAATTGCTATAAAAATAAAAATTAGGTGTTTTACAATTTTTTATATAAATTTAAATAGCAGTTAAAAATAAATTGAGCCTTTTAAATGATCAGAAAGAAACGGAGTTTTTAATATTTTTTTAAAGGAGAAACATGAGGAAAGGTTCCAGAGCTGACCTCTAAGGCAACCAAAAATAAGCCTTTAAATTTTAGTTTAACGCTTAATCATACAATTCTGAGATAGGGATTATGAGATTTACTCACTCTCCCCCTTTGATAGTGAACAAAACCACGAGCAAAAAATTTTTTATATTACATTTTTTTAACACATAATAATTAGATCTCAGCCAAATTACTCAACATAAATTTTATAAATTAAAATAAATTTCTCATTTCAATAATATAAAATTTGTATCTTAAAAAAATAAATAGTTCTCTTAGTTAGCAAACAAAATAATCTTTCTCTCTAAACAAGGTGGAATCAGCAAAAAATATAATAATTTAATGAAGAAATTAAATAGATTCTTCAGAACCAGTTAGAAAATTAGACGCTTAGCATAATATAAAATTTCTTCAAGCATCTTTTAGGTTACAACCTTATATTAAAAAATATAGCCTATACACATTATTAACTGGTTTTTAAAAACTCATGAGATACTTCATCTTTCTTCTGAAAGAACCCCGAAGAGTTAGTTAGGTTATTAAAGCTAGGCGCTAGCCATATTGGTGACGCAGTCACCAAAGATCTCCCCTACTGGAGGTTCTACCACCTTTCAACTACAGCCAAGAGGGTCTTTCAAAGTGGATGCCACTTCTGGTACTTTCTGTCTCCTACTTGCCTTGCGGCTTCATTCTTGAGTGGGCAGCTTATGGGTTTTTGCGGCCCTACTAATGGCAATTGGAGTAGCTTGATTCCAAGGATCAATTACTTGGAGTCTGCCGAGTGCTGAAGTGCCTTCCTTCGACAAATACAGGAAAAAGACTACTCCCCTGTGGCCTGGGCCGAAACCCCCAGTTCTCGGTAGAGGAATGCTCAAAGGTCCTCGGATCCAAAAGGACGTTGCTGAGTACATCCATTTCCAACCACAGGAAAGCAGCCAAAACCTACCTAGATGCACATCTCTTGAGCCTGTAGCCGTGGCCATAAGGTTTGGACTATTGTGCAAAGAGGGCAAGTTGGCATGTATCGCCATTTTAATTTATGTAATAACCCCGAAGGGACTAGAGAAGTAATCGATTGCAGTCTACTAATTTTCCTTTTTTCAAAAGCCACAAAAGGAGTATAAAAGAAAATATAAAGCAAGACACAAAATACGCAATATCCTGCAGTAATGTAAATAATATCATTTAGCCTTTCTTCAATCACTGTTTTGGATGCTATATCAGCCATATCAGTGATATTTTTGATTGCGTTTTGCAATATGCTTGCCCGAGTATATCACAAAGCTAAGTCGCTTGGAATTGCCGCATTGGAAAACGCTTGGTAATATGAATCAAGAATAATTACATTAGAAGCTGGAAAAGACCCGTATTTCCACATAATATTTTTTGGATTTGTCTGATTTTCGAAAATAAACTGTATTAAGTAGCTTGAGTACATATTTCGGTTATCGAGGTCCTCGACATCTTTACTGGTGATCATGAATTTTTTAATAGCATTGAATAGCTCATTAGGAGGCTTCTGAAAATTGTAATGGCTATTGAGCAGCTGCTCAAGTGTGTTGTTGCCTCTTAATGATGTCTCTCTTGTTCAAAAAGCTACTTCAGATATCGAGGCGCTGCGGACATACCAAAATTCCATGAAATCGAATCTTTGGTCTAAAAGGGAAGTGCAAGACGGATAAAGCCAAAAGGTGACTATTATGTAATATCCAGAAGAAAACAAAATAAATACAAAACAAAGGAGCATTAAATGATATCCTTCTCTGCTCTTGATTTCAACATCTTGAAATTTTGGTCTTTTCAGGTCTTCATTGTCTTGGCTAAAGTCATGAACTGTTGAAAGTCTGTTCAAGCAGTTTTGGTGCAGTTCATAATACGAGCTATGAGCTAGTTTCTTAACATGATTGAGTAAGCCATTAAAGTTATCCTGAAGCCGCTTAGCAATTGGAATTAAAACCAATGTACAAATTCCTAAAACACATAATCCCATAATTGTTAAATAATTGATATTCATAGTTTCGCTAGCAAGACGGTCCTTTTCGCAACTTATGAACCCAGAGAAAGAACCATTGACATAATTGTAAAATTGACCCAGGTGGTTCACAATCAAATAAAATTCAGAGTCCTTATGGTCTAAGTCATTTTCGATTAGCCCTGAATATGGGTAGGCCTGCATAAAAATTACATAAGAAAGCATATTTGAAACAGCATCATAAAGATTGAGATAAGTCATATTCTCAATTGAATTTGGGTTTCATATTGGAATTATGCTTTTCTTAATGATTTCAGAGCTGGAGCAATAATCTCATTTCGGTAAATCTTCAAAAAGAAAATTTCTATTATTATCAACCTCTACAACTGCGCCATTAAATAAGTTTTTATAATAAGTGTAATTGAAATTCTTCCTATTCTTGCCTACTTCTAGAGCTCTTGATAAATAGCCAATTTTACTGGAATCAAAAAGGATAACGCCAAGATGCTTAATCGCGTTCAAATCATTTGAATGATTAATTTGGCTTAATATAAAGCAGAGAATAATAATGTTCATCGCCATTGCTACTAAAATCTGAATAGTTTTTACTGTAATGAGTAATGTAAACTTAAATATTTTAAGATTATTTTCTGACCTTAGCGCCATACGGTTGCTTAAAGAGCCTAAATAAGCATTACTTGAAATACTATAAGAAGCGCTGCTGGCTGAAAGTTGCGATTTTGTTATTTCCTTTGGAATTTCAGTCTCTTCCACTGATATATCAAGGGTGTTAATAATAGCTTTCTTTTCATTTGAAAATGAATGACTTAGAGGTACTTTTTTATTAGGCACTTTTAATGTAGCTGAATTTAATTCTTTTTTGGCTTCTGAGTAAAGATAATCTTGACTTTTATGAGCCCACTCATCTATTTCATGCTTTTCGTGAATAAGAAATATAAAATGAACGATTGTTTTGTTTATTGAATACTCTGAGTGAACTAGGAGGATTTCTTTATTATTGATTGAGAAGCGCTTTGGAACATTTAGTTCTATTAAGGAGATATCGAAATTTGGAATTAAATCAGAAAGCAACTTTCCTTTTAATGTGTCTGAGGTGTTATCAATAAAGTGAGGAAACATCTCACTGTGGCTGAAAATCATTCCACTCGCTGAAATTAAGGCAATTTGGCGAGATTTATGAATCTGCTTTATGGAAACCATATAGTAGAGCTGACGTCTTGCTGATGAAAGCCAGATTTTTAACCGACATTCTACTAACTTTCCCCTCCTTGAGCGAGAAGAGCATTGAAAAAGTCTCTATTTTGAAAAAAAAATAACCTCCTCAAGAGCTAGAAAAAGCTTTACTAGTTCATTTAGGGAGTAAGTATCCTCTTGCAGTTTGAAGACAAATCGCCATACTGGAGCCTACCTCTGGATTAACGCAGTTCTCTATAAAATTTTCCATGTGCTTATCATGGTTTTGATCAAATGGGGAAGGAATGTAGCTACTTAGTTTTGAGCCAATTATACCAAGAGCTGTTTGTTTAAGTATTTGCGCTGCTTTTTCGTTAACATATGTAATTGCTCCAAATGATGCTTTCTCTGCTGAAACCAGCATAATTCCATTGATTTCATTGAAAAGCACGAATTTATCTTGAGAATGCTGGCTATCAACTACTCTCAAGCTTTCCCTTTTTCTAAGCAGCTTTGCGCCATTCTCATAATCTCCAAGCAAGTCTTGCAATAAAGATCCATACAATTCATTTAAATTGGCACTATGAGGAAATCGTGCAATTAAGCTTGCATACTCTTTTTTCACTTTATCCAGGGTTCGAGTCAATTTAGCTGAAAAAGAAAAAACTGCGCTTAGTTTGGGCCCCTTTGTCGTAATTTCTCTCCAAAATCTCATCATATAATGGCAAAGCAGCTCGTCGTCTTTTTTTACTTCTTCGATTTCTAAAAGATAATAAATCATATTAACATCTTCATTGTTTTCTACTTTTGCATCTTGAAAGCTTTTCAAGCATAGTCACTCTTGAAAATTCCCTTCCATAGAAAATCCCATTTCTTTCGCCTTGGCTAGCTTGATCCTCGCCAGCCTTTCATCCTGTAATATAAACAGACAATAATTTGTTTCCCAAATAACTATAAGCTTATCATGTATAAATCGATAAAAAGATTTTACTTCTTTAAAGTCATGCATAATAATCTCTTTTTGCTCAGATAGCAGATTTCTAAATTTCAACTCAAATTCGTATTGATTTTGCGGTATTGAATTGTTTTTTCCTAATTTTGAAAAAACATTTTTAAATCTATCGAGTAAAAGTGCGACCGTAATTGGTATACAAATTAAAAATAATAAAAAAATGGCTCCTGCATTGCTTATTGCTATTCCAAATAGGAAGATTGCTGTTGCCGTACCTATCATTGCATTTTTTGTTATATAAATTTCGTTTGCAATTGAATTATAATACGGAATCAGGTAGAAAAATTTTCATACTAGTCTTATTGGGAATAATAGTAACACATATTTATAATAAAAAGTACTGTAAGTATTTAAATAGGTAAAGCTAAATGTGCTCACCAATGAAAAAATAACCATCTCAATATCCAAAAGTGAGTGGGCTTTTGCTTTTATATTTTCTTGTTTAGAAGTATGTCTTAATTCAGCAGAAAAGATCTGATAAGTGACAGAAAATAAAATTACTATACACAAACAAACAATGCTTGCAAGAATTTCTTCTGGACTTCGGTTTAAATTGCAGGAATTGCAATATCTGTACTCATATACCTGGTTTCCATTGTTTAGAGAATACTTTATTGTTAAAGTAAAAATTGTAATTATTGGAATAAGCCCAATGATGGAAACAAATTTTATACAGTTTCTCGCCATAAATTTTAAAACTGAGCTAACTCTCTTGTTCATTAGCTTCAAAGAGTAAATAATTGAGACTAAAACAGCTGTGATAAATATTAATAATAGGCTCCCAAAATAGCACCCTAAAAGAAAATCTGAATCTGCGCAAATGTTATCAAAGCTTGCATATCCAAGGAATTTTCAATAGTTTTTGTATGAATCGAAATCATCTATTTCTGGATGAATTTTTCAGTTTAAACTGATGAGCTGGAGAGCTATTATAAAGCTCGATAAAACTTCCAGTAGCTTTTGAGATGTTATCTTAAGCGTTGGGAGAGAATCCCGAGAATTCAAAATCAGAGAGAAGCACTCATATATTGAGCTTTGAATCGCATATCATCGTGCCTTGCCAGTTTCTGAGTATTCAGTTTTTCGTTCTGATTTTAAGTTTAAGGTTTCAACTACTTCTGACATAGAATAAATTTATTAATTAATTTTTAGTATGCTTAGAAAAGATTATAATACGAGAAAGAAGAATGCATCCACAAACTATAAGGCAAGTTCCATTATTAATTTAATAGCTATTTTAAAAGGTTTTATTATAAATAATTAAGAGCGAATTTTTTTTTAAAATTTTAAACTTAATTCCTAATAACGAAATTATTGAATAATTTTGAGTGACTTTGGGTTTCCCAAATAGGAAAAATATTAACTCCAAGTTTTGAATTATATTTTATCTAATATCTAGTGCTGGGTTTAAGGAGATTGCTTTGGGCTCTTCCCTTGCCAGTTTTATCACTGCATATATTAGTTTATACTCTTCAACGCCTTTGCATACAGCTAGCTTATTCTGCTTTATTACAGCATAGGATGACAAAAATCTGCAAGGCTTTTCATAATTTTAATAAGTCTGCTCGGAATTGCAATATAATTAAATATTTTACTTTCTTTCTGATTAAAGAGATAAATTTTCTGTTTCTAATAGAAAGTGAGACTGTTTACGATTTAATGGGAATTTCATAGTTTTAATTAATTTTAATATTAGCATAAAGAATTTGATAATCATCGATCTAACTTAAATTTTACTTAGTAAAAATCATCATTTACTCTTCTTATTTTTATACCACAAAATCATTGAATTAAACTACTTATAAACTTGATGGTAATATATTCCAGCCTTCTTGCTTGACAAATTCTGATTTATCTGAAATTTGGATCGCTGATTTAAATACTTTTCTTGCTTGGCCATGACTTATGGCATCTTCTGGGTTTTTTACAATGGAATTCTGTGCTTTGTCAATAGCTAGACCCAGTACACACCCTAAGTTGATTACATCCCATGGGGATCTCTGATCATATAAATCTTTAGCAGAGCTGCTGAAAATAATATTCCTGCCTTTAGTAGCTTTTATAATGTTGGTAGCATTAGAAATGAAAACCCTCCTTGCATTGATGTCTCTTAAAGCCTGCGAGTAGCATAGCTCAAACATAATGCCTCTTTTGATAGCTTCTTGGACCAAATTGAGCTTGATTCTCATACCCAATCGATCGTGAAGTTTTAAGGAGATAATATCAATTTCAGCCTCCATGCAGCAATAATGGAAGTCTTGATCATTGCTAGGGCGAGCTGCAACAATATCATACTGGGAAAGGAGCTCTGTGTTATTCAAAATCTGGGAAAAGTTCACTTTCACAGTCAAACGTTTGAGTGCTGGAATCGAGTCAGTGTTGGGATATGGCAAAGAATGCATAGAGTAGTTCAAGGCTTGACATTCATATTCTGACTCCCCTAGAATTTCGTGGACTTTTGTTTGACGTGCTTGACCAATTTGTTTTTTGTCATTGAATCACTTGATATAGAGGTCATAATAAACCATTTTTGATGAGAATGTTTATCTAATTCATATAAATCTAAATTATTTTCTAAGGCAGTATTAAAATAAATGCATAAATAAATACCAGATTAAAATAGCTTAGGTGCCACAATAAGCTGTGAGTTAACTGGCCCTAATAGTTTCAACTTATCATCAGACTGGCAGCCAACTTCTTGATAAAAACTTGTCTGAACTCCAGGCATTACCTCAAAAAGCTGGTCACCAATATTTAGTACCATTTTCCCACTCTTAAATACTTTTAATTTTCCTATTTTCCCATGCAAATTCCCATCACTACTCTTTATTGGTAAAGCTTGAGGCATTTGTACAAAAATTAATTGGTTTTCTTTCACTTTTCTATTTTCGTCCAATATTTCTTCGCTCCGATTCATTTCTGATTCAAAGAGAGGCTCAAATAAAAATGGTATGGAGAACCATCTGTCCAGTTAGCACCTGCAGCCAAGATAGAGTTTGGGACTGTGGAAGTGAGAGCGGCGTTCAGCAAGCATACCTGCTGGGAGGATGAAATTTGGGAAGTTGGAAAAGGATAGCCCAGCAAAGGCGAGAGGGCATTCGCTTAGTCAATCTGGCATTTTCCTAGCGCGAAACCAGGAGCTGCACCATGGACTTCAAGTTTCATCTTGGTCAATAACCTGACCAGAAAATTCGCTTTTTGAATTTCCGGCAAAGATAATCTTGTTGGCGACCCAGCTTCTTTACCTCTAGGTTGAGTACGAGACCTCGTCTGATCGGAGCGAAGCAGCGAAGGGTCGTGCTCGCATGAAGGCGGTGGAGCGAAACAAGGGACTCGAAGCCAATATGGCTAGCCTAAATAATCTATATATAATTTAAGTTAAACTCAAAGAAAAGGCAGTGTCAAAGGTGTGTATTGGTCTGAGTCTGCATCAGTGATCCATGTATTTTCTTCCAGCTCTTTCTTTTGTGCCTGTTCAATGGTTTCTTTTTTTGGCTTGGCCTCAGGCTGAGTTAGTGAGAATGCGACCTTTGCAGGGGGTCTTGACTTTTTAGTTTTTGGAAACATTGATTGAGGGTCTCTTTCTTGTTTGCCTGCAAGATAAGTACTTGATAAAGACTGCTGCAGTTCATGCACAGCTTCGCTTGCAGCTCGTTCTGAAGATGCGAGCTCTGAGGATTTGCGTCGGAGAACTAGTTTAGGAGCTCTTGCGGGAGGAATGACAGGATTAAATCGCTTTTTTGGGGATAAAAGTTCTGATTTTGGAGTGAGAATGGACTGCAAGCGAGTTGGAAGCTCGCCTTCCCTTTGATTTGGAGTCTTCTTCGAGCTAGCAAATCTACTTTCTTGTGCCATCTTACTATTAAATTTAAGTAGGAATTTTTACATTTCAATAGATTACTGTATTGCAATTAATTATTTAATAAACACACAAAATCATTGAAATAGATTTTATTTGCTTTGGTCATTCCAATTTCTTTCAGCATTTTTTTGATTTTTTGCTCTAAAACATCGCCAGACCGATGGATTGCAGTTTTAATGTCTTCAGAAGTGATGAACCCTTTTCTTTCTACATCAAAATGATTAAATAATGCCAAGACTTCTTCCTTTTGTAAATGGTGTTTAGACGATATGGCAGCAGCTAAAAACTCTGAGTAGGTAATTTTCCCTGTTTGGTCCACGTCAATAGCTCTTATCAGCTCCTTAATTTCTTGTATCGACAATTGGAAACCCGACTTTTGCATAGTTTCTTTTAGTAATTTTGCAGAAATTTCCCCTTTATGCTCATCGTCTAAATTTAGAAATATTTGATCCAAATCTTTTATCTGGCTTAGATTTGAATGCTTCACAAGAATATTTAAAAGCTCTTTTTTGAATAAAGAGATTTTACTGTACTCTTGGAAGGATTTAAGTAAGGCATTATCTATAAAAGGCTCATGGCTGATGCTAGTGGATAACCAATCATGGTCGAGTGCTTCTTTCGCAGACAGTCTACTCGATGGATTCATGCAAATTAATTTTTTAATTAAATCTCTTCCTGCATGAGATATAGCTTTCCAGCTGTCGCATTCCTTGTCAAAGCGGCCTATTTTGATTTTTTTGAAGGCTTCAGAAAGTCTTCTCGAGTAAAATGGCAACTGTCCACATAAGATTTGGTACATTATGATGCCTGCACTCCACAAGTCACATTTGTAGTTGTAGGATCCTCTCAGGACTTCTGGAGCTATATAATAAGAAGTTCCGGAAACTGAGTGGAGATGCTTTAAATTTCTGAATTTTTTTGCAAACCCAAAATCAATAAGTTTTATTTCAAAATCGCCTTTCTGGGATTCTAGTAAAAAATTTTCAGGTTTGATGTCTCGGTGTACTATTCGGTTATTGTGAAGGTAATTTATTGCCATTAGGATTTGATGAACCAAAGGCCGAGACTGGGATTCAGTAAAGTGTCCAATTTTTATGATTTTCTGACCTAATTCACCTCCAGAGCAATATTCAGTGACTATACTGATTATATTTGTGTCTTCATAAGCATCATAAAATCTTATTATATTGGGGTGGCTAACTATTTTTAGAATCTCTACTTCTCGATTTAATTTTTTCAGCCTATCTTTACTGAGATTTGAGGATTTTTGGATTATCTTTATTGCTACCTTACTGTTTGAGCCGATTGGGTAGGCTTCTCTTACAACTCCATAGTTTCCAGACCCAATAACTTTGCCTAATATATAAACAGATTCTATTTGAGTTTCATGAATGGCACTTTCTATTACTGGTGCCAATAAACTTTGAGTTCTTCTGCTTGCATTCTGTCCCATAAATTAATTTTATATTTTTATCAGCTGGTTGCTATTTAAATTCTGGGAATTGGAATACGATTTTTATGGTAAGCAATTAAAATGAAAACAGAATTTTTTTAAAAATGAGCTTGATTTTAATTGAGATGTTTCTATTTATAAAATATTCATTCTGATCTTATAGGATGTCTTAATTGATAAATTCGTAGTAATCCCATACTTTTTTTACTTTGATTTTTGGTTTATTTCATATTTAGCAAAAAATTACGCGAAGCTATTTTACTATTTAATGCCTTATAGCTTGAGTAATAATTTACTACTTTATTTAAACAATTTTATCTCTAAACTAAGAACTCTTTAACTAATTTAACACTAGAAGCGACTTCTAAATTATTGTCTAAATACATCAGAAACTTAAGGATTTTCGATGAAAATACAAAATTTAATTTTTGAATTGGATTGCATCTGATATTGGAAGCAAAGAGAGCTCTCAATTTTAGACATAGTTCTAAAATTTCATTGCTGTCATCTTAAAAACTTTCCAAACCAATATTGTATTATTTCCAAATCTACAGCCAATTAAATCCATTTGCTTTATGCTACAATTTGCCTAGCAAATCTTATTTTTATTTCGTAATATGAATAATAGCTCAGAAAGCTCATTTATTATTGACTCAAATAGACATCTTAACTGTTAGACTTTATAATTTTATTATCCTTTTTCAAATACTATTTTTCGTTGCAAGCCACATTTTCTTCGTATGAGATTCGCTTGGAAAGCAATAAATTCTTATTAAAATAAATTTCGACCAAAAACCCCCGAGGAAATGTCATAGAAGGACAGAGTAAACTTGCTGAAAAATATGATATGAAAGCAAACTATTGAAAAAATTAGGTCTGAATTTATTTATGATTGCTGTCCTTTTTTAAAGGATTCAATTCTAATAAGTGCAATACCTCTAAAAAATTTTATTTTATACTATCGCCAAAAATTCCTATGAAAATAGAATTTTTGAATATATTCTTCAATTAAACTTGGCTTGCTACCAAGAAATTGCTATTTTTAGAATAAAATTTTATTCAATTTTAAAAATATATATCTCAAGCTGAACTATTATTGGTACCAATAGCATTGAAAATAATGGTTTACTTCAGCCAAGTACTGTAGACTATGAAGGTTGCTTTTATTTTGTCCATTAAGGCAAAAACACTGTAAATTTTGATCTGGCTTCAAAGTAAAAATTTCCCAGGCCATAACTGCTAAATTAAATAATTAATATAAGCAGCTCCTTATGTTAATATTCATATATTTTATAATAATTTTATTCAAGATATTTACTATAATAGGGCACAATTAATTAAACATTATATGAAAAAGGGTTATCAACTGTGTTTTACCTCCAAGAGCAAATTATATTACGCTTAAAATTAAAATTAAACTTTAATAGATTTAAAATCTACCAAAGGCATTGCTAATTCATTTTTTCCCTTAAGCAATTGCCTTTTATCTGTTTTCCTATTCCTTGCAGATGATATAGAAACAATGGTATTTCCAATAATTACAATAATTCCTCCCATTCATGTGTAAATTGAAGGAATACCTTCTATCCCAACACATCACCCAATAAATGATCCTATTAAAGGTTGAAAATTCATAAATACAGATATCACCAATGCTGGTATATGCTTACTCCCCTTCCTCCACAGATATGCTAATTTTTATTTTTTCAAAAAATTGTTTATATAGATTTATATTAAACTTTGCTTTTCTAAACAATTTATAAAACTAATACAAAATTATAGCTTTATTTATCAATTTATCTTTAAAACTAGTAGAGCTAAATAGTGTTTTAGTTATAATAATTATTAGTAATATATCAAAGGTAAAAATGTTTATATTAAACAAATATTGCTCCCTCATAGAGATTTTTCTTGTCAATCATGGAGGAAGTTAATGAGATGTGTAAAAGCAGCATTGCCCAATGCCCCTGGGATTAAACCTAAATACATAGCCATAAGTCAATCATCGGTATAAATTCATTGAATTCCTGCAATTGGCTCATCTCCAGAAATAAGAGCACATATATAAGATATTATTGCTGCCTGCAAATTTACTATAGCAAGATAAGTTCATAAGGGAGCTTCACTCGTCATAACTGTCTTGTTAATTAAAATATAAATCGCCAATGCAATTGCACAGCCAAAAGCTAGAGCATCTCCATATCAGCTTGAACTCTCACTTCCTTTGCTTTCAAAAATGCACACTGAAAGCCCCAAAAAGCCTACAGTAGGGAGGGATTTATTTAGATGGGCCGGAAATCCGCCCTCCCTCCTCGACCTTATGGGCGAGTTTTATAAAAATAGCTGAATCTAGCCTAAGTCTTTCCTCTAACAGAAAGCCTACAGCAACTCCTAAAATTTCAAAAACAGAAATTTTTTCGCACTTAAAAAAGAAAATAGCGACTATAACTAAAGGACTTGCTGATAAAAATAATAAAGAGTGTGAAACAGAAGTCAGATTTAAGCTGACACACCACAGACAAAATAAAGCAGCAAGACAAATCCCAGATATTCTGGAGACTGGCCAAAATCTGATTATCATCTGTTTAGATTCTTGCCAATTGTTAAAGCATTCAAAGAAGCCTGGAATAAATTGAAATAGAGCTGTTAGTTGTAAACGCCAACAAGACTTCATATAAGGAGAAACTGATACTATTTTTTCAAATGCTGCAGCAGCTGATGATCCAGCAGCAATTGCAAGAAATAGAGTTGTATAATATAAAATGACCCTTATTGACATTTTTATAAATATTATTTTATTTTTAGCAACATTTACGAGCGAATGCATTACTTTCTTTACATTTTGAAAAATACTAATCAAAGAAATTTATGATGCCTAATAGATTTGATTCAGATAATTCGAAATCATCTTCAGTTTCTTTATCTTGGAATTTTTGCAAGTAATCCAGAATTGTCATTCAGAAGGTTAATTTATTGGAAAAAATTGTTCCAATTTATAGGGGGTTTAAAGCACCCAAAAAATGGAAATTTTACTTATATATTTTGTTCCAATTTAAATTCGACTTTTAATTCTCTATCATCGTTCGATAAATTTATTGCAATCAAATAAGGGATTTTTCTTTTAGAAGAGCATAAATATCGGATTGCGTCATATTTTTATTACGCATTAAAAGTATCTGCACTATATAGTTAAATCTATAAGAATAAATTGATAGATTTTATGACTGTAATATAGTGCGTACCCTTTTATAGATCTTTCAGGTCAATCTCTAAAAAGTAAAAATTAAATTTAAAAAATTTCATCTTATATCTCCTAATCGCCAATTGACTTTTCAAAATATTTTAAGTAGTCAAAAGGAATTTTTCTATAAGGTTTTTTCCTCAAAAATAGATAAGAAGTCAGGAGCTATATTGAAAACTATATAATAGCATTCTACTTCCATTTGTCTATTAATTTAGTTCAAAGCTAATTTCATAAAAATCATTTTTATCGATAAAATTTTCCTATTTGTCCATTTTTAAGGGGTTTATACTGCAATTTTTACCATGTTTTATTCCAATTTAAAGGAGGAGAATTTAGTTAAAATAAGAATGCTAGAAGAACAAAATACTTCCCTTAAAGAAGAAATATAGCATTGCAGCAAAGAATTAAAGAAATGAGAAAATTAGGCGTTTCTTCTAACTTATTAGCAAGCAGATTTTTTGTTCGCTTGAGAGCTAATTTTTAAAAAAATGTAAATATAAAATTTATTTGACTAAAAAACTTATGCTTATTAAAATAATTGTATAACTAAAATAAATCTCAAAATATATAAAACAAAGCATAAAAAATGATCTATCTCTATTGGAGTTGTAAGAAAAATCAATAATAAGATTTTAATAAATAGTCTGAAAATTATTTTTATGAAAATGCTAGCTGAAAAAGATGAAAACAAAATGCAAATAGAGCCAAATATGCATCATTGCTATTATTTGCAATATTTTTTGAAATTAAAGCATGGATTTAAAATTTAAATTATGTTCAATTTCTATTTTCATCTCTTTATATTTTTAATCGCTAGCATTATTCTTTGTTGACTATTCTAATTCTCACTGTTGTGCCCTTCTTCAATATAATTTGCAATTAAAAATTAATAAATTATTGATTCAAATGTTTTCAAAAAATATCGTCTCGAAAATTCTAGTAATCAGAAATAAATAGAAAATAATATTTTTATAAAAATCTGAAATCTGATTGGCTGCTCCTTCATATTTAAAGTTTCTCTGAGGAGCCCTGCTATAATAAAAAATGCAAATATTTGTAAAAACATTGACTGGCAAAACAATCACTTTAGATGTAGAATCATCAGATACCATAGATAATGTTAAGGCAAAGATTCAAGATAAGGAAGGGATTCCTCCAGATCAGCAAAGGCTCATTTTTGCGGGAAAGCAATTAGAAGATGGAAGAACTTTAGCTGATTACAACATTCAAAAGGAATCAACACTCCATCTTGTGCTAACTTTCCATTTATCATTTTGCATAATAAGAAATTTGTGGAATAGATAATATATTAATATAAACATACATTTTTTAAAAAAAAATTTAGAGTAAGGCTTAGAGGAGGAATGCAAATCTTTGTTAAGACCTTGACTGGAAAGACAATTACACTTGATGTTGAATCTTCAGACACTATTGACAATGTCAAGGCTAAAATCCAGGATAAAGAAGGAATTCCTCCAGATCAACAAAGACTCATTTTCGCTGGGAAACAACTGGAAGACGGGAGAACTCTTGCTGACTATAACATTCAAAAAGAATCGACCCTCCACCTTGTACTGCGATTAAGAGGAGGAATGCAAATCTTCGTTAAAACCTTAACAGGCAAAACAATCACTCTTGACGTAGAGTCATCCGACACTATTGATAATGTAAAGGCTAAAATCCAGGATAAAGAAGGAATTCCTCCAGATCAACAAAGACTCATTTTTGCAGGGAAGCAGTTAGAAGATGGAAGAACATTGGCTGACTACAACATCCAAAAGGAGTCTACTCTTCACCTTGTGTTAAGACTTAGAGGAGGGATGCACATCTTTATTAAAACATTGACTGGCAAGACAATTACATTCGATATCGAATCTTCAGACACTATTGGCGACTTCAAAGCTAAAATTCAAGACAAAGAAGGAGTCCCTCCAGATCATCAAATACTAATTTTCGATGGAAAGCTATTGGAAGACGGGAGAACTCTTTCAGACTACGACATTCAAAAGGAGTCGACCATTTCATTTGGGATAAGATGCGGATGGGGCTATCGAGCTAATTAATACTTATTATAATTTCTTTTATGCAAAATTATTAAATATATCATTTAAAAATGGAATTTAGATAACAGATTGTAATTGATCTATTATCTGAAGATACTTGAAAATAGACTATCAGCAGTGCAATTAACAGATTTTAATGCTATTTTGCAGTTATTTAAATTAATGCTACCAATTGAGTGAATAGCTTGATAGCAAAAAAAGAAGTAGCTAGCTGAGTCTACCTAGCTCTACTAGCAATTTGGCTTTGTCTGGGGTCTGGCTCTACTTGCTCTACCTAGCTCTATCTGCTCTATCTGGCAGTCAGGTCTGGCTCTACTTGCTTTATCTGGCAGTCTGGAAGTTTGGCAGTCTGACTCCACCTGACAGTCTTGCTCTACCAGGTTTTGCCTGGCTCTACCTGGCTATACATGGCTCTCCCAAAATAAAATTTTCTTGATTTTTGGAGTAGCAATTTAATGAAATTTGCGATGATGTATAAAATAAAAATTTAATAGTCTGTATTAGCATCATGCCAAAGGATAATTCTTTAAAGATACCTGAATCTATATTACATTAATGTTAATATAAGGATCCCCCCTCATTTGTCCAATTTTCTAGTCTTTATCATTTGTCCATTTTTCTAGTTTTTTTTATAAAGATATAGCCAGAATAAGTGTCTTGCGTGTTTTTCCCGTACTTCAAAGTAAATTTTATCTAAAATGGTGATAAAACCAGTTAATGATTGATAATCCTGTAAATATTGTTATAGATTATTCCTTTACTTAAATCTATTTTTATTTTGATATAGATATAATTGAAGTATAGATATTCAAATGATAAATGTTCTTTAAAGATCCACCTTAATGCATATGTGCAATATTTTTTATTGTTTTGATATTTAAGCTAAGTTCTTTATTCTTTATTATAGATATTAAAACTTAAATGCAAGATAATAAATTTTATTAGCAATCTGATAAGTTATGCTTAGATAAAACTTATGCTTTCAGATCCCAGGCAGTAAATATAGAAGTTTCCTATGTTTGGCGCTGTAAGGCCGATAAATTCTGATCGGAATTTATCGGTAGGTTGCACCAAATCAATGCCTTGGTCGGACCAAAAAGCGATTTTGGTCCGACGAACTTGGAAAGCTCCTGGGAAAATGTCTGCGCTTTTAGCGCTATATAGAGGAAACCTCTATAATAAAAATGTCTAATATAATTCTATAAATTTATTATGATGGAAGAGCTTAAAAAAGCAGTTTATATTCTTGCAACACTCAGTCAACATATAGAATTTCCTTTCGAAAATCAAGGCTTAAGCAGAATTATTAAAAATGCTTTTACCTCAGGCATTGATAATGAAAGCCTAAGAAGATTAATAGGATTAAGCCAAAGCAGCGCCTTTCCTTATGTAAGAGAAATTATTAGATCCCAGAAATGAGAAGATATTTTTGCTTCGCCAAACAAATTGTTTCAACCATTTCAAGCTTCTGACATGCCTAAAAAAATTGGAAAAGTTGCATTTTTTATTACTTGCACTAATAAAGATTATATAGAGGAAATAGAAGGCTACACTTTAGTTGTAAAACTTTTTCTACCTGCAGGGATTTTAATATGTAAATACGGAGAAGAATGAAAGAATTGTTCATCTCAGATAATAGATATAAATGATAAGCCTAAAAGCACTTCTATGATTTTTGGCTTTGCTAAAAACTGAGCAGAGATTCCCGAAAATGAAGAAACGGCAGAAAATAAAATGGAAAAAGTTGAAGATAAAGAAACAAGAACAGAAACAATTGAAAATAACCCTGAATATTTTGAAGAAAACGATACTAAAAATATAAACGCGGATCAAATAAATGAAAAATTCAAACAATTAGAAGAAGAATTATTTAAATGCAAACAAAGCAATGAATGTCTCAAAGCTGAACTAAAAAAAGTAAAACTAGAAAATAAATAGCATGCAATGATATTAGTGAAGTAAAAGCAATGACGGAGGATGTGAAAAATTATTTGAATAAAAAAATAGATGAAATTAGTATGGATTTAAAAGAAAGCTTAAATTGTTTAAAAGAAGGACAGGATAAATGTCAAAAATTTATGGAAAATGTCCTTGAAAATTGTCAAAGTAATTTAAATCAACTTAAGTCTTACAAAAATGACTTCACTAGCTCAAAAAGTGAACCAAAAAAGAAAAATGACGATTTTTCTTTATCTTTTAATGTTGTTTCTGATTATTTTCAATACATCAATAAAACTGTTCAAGATTACATCCAAAAATACAATGAACTGGAAATTAAATACAATTCATTAGTAGATATGTGCAATAAAATAATAATTGAGACTAATAACAAACACTCATCATTAGAGGCGAAAATTAGTGAAATCGAAGAAAAGACCAAAAAAATTTCAATACCAAATGGAAATGAATTAATTTCAAGCCCGAAAAATGATCCTGACTCAAGAAATATGAATAAAAACCCTCCAAAGAGAAAAAAAAAGGGGTTAATCAATATAGGTAACAGTTGTTATATGAATTCAGCTTTACAGATCTTTGCAAGTGTTCCAAGTTTCATCGAAAATATAAGAAACATTGAAAATGACTTGTTTTATTGTTTAGGTGACATACTATCGTCGATAACAGATCCCTATTCTATAAAAATAGACGAAAAATTAAAAAAACTAAGAAGCTTGCTTGCCAACAAATACCCTATGGTAATTTATATTTAGTTTGGTGGAAATACAGAAAATGATTGCAAAGAATTATATGTTATCATAATAAATTTATTTATGGAACTTTACCAAAGCGAAATGTTTTTAATAAACAAAAACCAAGCGATAATTTGTGAAAGTAACCACAGGTTAGAATTATCTGAACATCAACTATTTTTAACTATAACTGATAATGAATTGTCAATTAAAGAGTGGCTAAATCAGCTTGAAAATGAAAAAACAATATTTCATGGAGATAATAATTTATTTTGTGAAACTTGTGGGCAGAGATCCGATTCAGAGATGGTGACAGAAAGCATTGAGCCTCATGAAATTTTAGCTTTTTATAATGCTAAAAGTAAAAACCCGATTGAAAATATTCCTGATTTTGTATCCTTAGGGGAAAATCAGTATGAAATCTTTGGAATAATTTGGTACAATAGAAGCCACTACATAGCTTATACAAGAGAAGAGGGAATTTGAAATGAATACAATGATAGCTATGTCACAACAAATAAGCATCCAAATCCAAAAAATATCTATATGCTTTTTTATAAAAAAGTTATAATTAATTAGTTTTTACTTTATTAAGTTTTCAATTTAGTTGTGTTAATTTTAAATTTAATTTATTTTTCCTTGAATGTGTAGACAGCTGAAGAAATTACAGCTATAATATTCCCGAACAGAAACTAAATGACTAATTCTACTTCTAAACACTTTTATAATGTATTCACCTAAAAGATTTTAATATTTAATAAAGCTATATGCCTTTAATCTTATGCAAGGGAAAGCTAACCCTAGTCAGTCTATTTGACGTAAAGAGCGGTAAGCCAATTGCTATGTTCTCTACAGAAATGACTCTTATGTCTCTAGAATTTTCAATTTTTGGCCAACATATATTTTTAGTAGAAACAATAAAAGGAGTGGGGACTTCTTCTTATTTTCAAAGCTCTGTATTTAAGGCAAGTGAAGCAGCCTTTCATTTTTCAGCTATAAATTAAGTTTATTATAATTAAATCCAATTCCAGCTTTATCACTTTAATTATTATGAATATCTGTATAAATATTTATTTTAAACTTTTAAATAATATAAATCAGAACGATGCTATTCAAAATACAAGAGAAAATAATATTTGAGATTTTAATAGTATAGAGCTGAATTTTTTACTGGGAATTGTAATAAATAGGTTTGCTTCAGGTACTTTTGCAATGTGATTACAAACATGACAATTCAAAGTTTGCTTATATAAGATTGTAAATAAAGGATCTACATAAGTTAATTCTGATAATTTTCCTATGAGGATGACCATTAATTCTTTAGAGTCCTGCTGAGTAAAATTTCCAAGCTATATAAAGATTACCCAAGGGAATTCTGCATCAAGTTGATATTTAAAAGAACTTATAAGCTTATGAGTATCATTAGATAGGTTTTCTAATACTCAATATAGAGACGATAAAGTAGAAAATAATCCATATTCCAAAATCTGGATTTTTTTATAAAATTCATTATTGCTTGCAAGTGCTTGGAGGAGAGAATTAAGATAGCATGTATTTTCTATATTAGGATCTGATTTTTTTTGGTCAAAAATTAATGGATAGTTTATAACCTGGGGAGGTATTATTGGTTCAATTTTTTTAAATAATAATTTGAAAAATTTTGGTTATATTGCATTAAGATTTGGATTTCTTGCTTTAGAATTTGAATTTTAGTCTTGTGTTTTTAGATTTTGCCTGTAGAGTTGCATTAAATACTTCTGAGGACTGATATTTATCTATTAGTATATGGTAATTTTTTAATAATTTATCTATTTCTTCAAGCAATTCAGCATTTTTTTGATATTCTGCTGATTGAGTCGCTGAAATTGGCTTTAATCCCATTTTTTTACCTATTATTGTTTTAAAGAAAACTTTTCATTATCAAGGTCTTCTATATTGATTTTTGTATAAACATAAATAGTTCCTTCAATGATTACTTTTTTTTTACCGTTTGGGTTTTCACTAACTCCCCCCCATCCTTGATCGAACGACTCACCATCGTTCGATCAAGGATGGGGTTAAAAAAAATTTTTTGGGGAAAAAATTTTTATATATAAAATAAAAATAATATATATATATTTTTTTATTTACTTTTAAATAAGAGGGTTAAGAGTATTTAATAATTATTTTTACAGCAAAAAATTGAATTAATTTCATAAAAATACCAATTTTGATTTATTAGTTACCCCCTTTAAACTGTATAAATTTTAATTTGTTCATTATTAAATTCAATTTTTTTTTTTAAATTTTAAAGAATTCTATTTTATTAGATTATTGAGTTTTTAAGCCTAGGTTGATTGCTAAATCACTTCGGATGGTTGATTTCGAAGCTTTTTGTCGTATCAAAGTCTCTGAAAACAACTTCATTATGTGCATCTTCCCAAGCTTTTGATAACTAATATATTTTTATATATATAAAAATTTGCATGATATGAAAATCGTTCGATCGAGGATGGGGGCTAATTTCCCCAATTTTTAGGAATTTTTACAGTCAATCGTTCGATCAAGGATGGGGGAGTAAGATTTTTTCATTCATCTTCAAATTTGCAATACAACTTTCTCTGTCCATTGTCGGTAAAAATTGCTATTAATAAATAAACGATTCCATACTTTCAAAATAAGGAAATGGCTTTTCCTTGCTTAATCTTTTGAGAAAAACTAATGGTTTTTCTTTAGATATTATTTGTTCAAAAAATGATTTTTCTTCGTCTTTTTGAGGTAGATGCATTATGCAAAGAGAGCTATATTGGTCTCTTTCGAAGTATTCTAAATTATATTGGTTAGAATATCCTCAAAAATTTTTTCCATTAGACGTTCATTGGTAAATGACAAAGAATCTTGATTTGATTCATAGTTTCTTAAGAAAGTGCCTATTTCTGAATTTTGATCTATGCCTAGACGAGCCTTATTGCACAAAAGGATATTGATAACTGCCTTCTCAGCAAATGAAAGGGGATTTCCTTCTTAATCATAGAATTATTTTAAGAATCTATAAATTATAAAAGTATAGAAATATGGAGAAAAAAAAATAACTCAAATCCTTTGTGTAAATAATTTTTGACAGAAATTAATAAAAATTGTCTGTTTTTTATGTGTAGCTAATGTGCCTATTTTTTCTAACATCCCTTGAGCTGCTGTAGCACACGAATGACGCAGTTATCAGTAAATCTTAATTGTTCCAAAGTAGCAGTTCCTTGAGTGACTATACTCAAATACTTATTCCCAAAAATCACATATGTTGTACCACCTCCAAACATTTGCACAAATTGGTTGTGAAGCTGAGCATAAGTCCACGAGCTATTTACTTGTATTTTGTGCTGTTGGCCGTTCATCTCTTCTACTCTTATCGTCAAATTCTTCATCTGCTGTAGCACACGAATGACGCAGTTATCAGTAAATCTTAATTGTTCCAAAGTAGCAGTTCCTTGAGTGACTATACTCAAATACTTATTCCCAAAAATCACATATAATTCACCACCTCCAAACATTTGCACAAATTGGTTGTGAAGCTGAGCATAAGTCCACGAGCTGTTTACTTGTATTGTGCGCTGTTGGCCGTTCATATCTTCTACTCTTATCGCCAAGTTCTTCATCTGCTGTAGCACACGAATGACGCAGTTATCAGTAAATCTTAATTGTTCCAAAGTAGCAGTTCCTTGAGTGACTATACTCAAATACTTATTCCCAAAAATCACACATAATTCACCACCTCCAAACATTTGCACAAATTGGTTGTGAAGCTGAGCATAAGTCCACGAGCTATTTACTTGTATTTTGTGCTGTTGGCCGTTCATATTTTCTACTCTTATTGTCAAATTCGACATTTAATTATTATAAGGAACTGAGATTTGTGAAAATAATTGTAGAATCTTAATGAAATAAGTTCTTTTATAAGTAAATAAGGAAAAGATAATTATTAAAATGAGAAAACTGCAAATAAGGGCAGCAATAGAATTAATAAAGAATTAGAAGTATATGGATTAATATGCTAGTATGGGAATTCGTGATGGGCATTATTCGAAATATGCACGGGATACTAAAAATTGGACTGAGTATAGTGATAAAGGTGTAATAAATCTAGTGACGGCAGCATTGATGTGGCATGTGGAGATTTTGCCTTTTATATAAGGGCAGGAGATCTCAAATAGGAATAATGATTATGAAAGAAAATAATATTCACAAATATTAATTGTACCTAAGGAGTTATAAATTGAAAAGTATTCCAGAAGATAAGCAAAGATAAATTCTATAAATTAATCTAGCAATATCATTTATTTTATTTAGGATTCTATAATAATATTAATATAGCTTTTGGACTCTTAAAAGTTGTAGGCGGCAGGCTCTTGAAAGGTCCAGCTGATAAATCTTGAAAATTGCATACTTCTCTTTGTGATTCTCGCTCACTACAGCCTTAATTGTTTATAAAAAAGCATTCCAAAGTTTAAAAATATAAAACAAAGCCATCAGGACAAAGAAAAACCAATATCATCCAGGATTGTTGATATTTTATCAAAAAATAATAAATTCTTTAAGATCTTCAATTTATATCAGATAACCACGTGCGCAAAAATCGCTGAAAATCTTAAAAGAGAATCAATAAACAGATTTGAAATCACTTCTTTTCCCCCATTGAGCTTGGAAAACCTGGAACTAATGCCATAGTGGAGGCAGAAAATCGAAATTGATATGATAAAATAAAAGATGATAAAATTCCGGTCTTTATTGAATGGGAAGCTGAAAAGGAAGCATTAGATTGTATTAAAACTGAAATTTTATTACGAAATAAGCCAGGAATAATTATTCTATTTTATAAAAACAATGAAGCTGCCACTAAAGAAGAGCAAAATTTACTATGGATTACGTCAAATTTAGATTCTGAGTGCTATGACTATGAAATCGAATTCAATAAAATTATTGAAACAGCAATTAATTGGGCAGAAAGTAGGAATTATCGATTGGAGCAAAAATTACTCCAAGGGTTGCCTAATATTGGAAATACTTGCTATATGAATTCTTTAATCCAAGTTTTCTGAATTATGCCTGAACTTTATGAAGTCATTAGCACCATAAATTTGCCTCTATTTCAGCCTCTCACAAGCATACTCTGAGCATTGAAAATGAGAAATAATAATTTTAATTACAGATATTACCGGAAAAATTCCAAACTCAAATTATTGAAAACTTTCATATGGTAGGTATCATTTATTTAGTTTACAGCCCAAAAACAGCATGATACTAAAGAGTTATTTAATGTTTTTATAGACGATGTAGTATCAAAATTTAAAGAGCACCAAGATAAATTTGCAAATTTTATCTCTCAAAAATTTTATTGTAAAGAAGGCCATCATCCTGCAGAGAAAAAGGAAAGTCAGCTATTTTTAATCATCCCTAAAAATTATCTTGCGGAAATTGATACTTATGTAAAAAGGAATCAAAATTTTAATAATGAAAATCAGATTTGGTGTGAAACTTGCGTGAAGATGACAGATATGCAATTAAAAGTTGAGAGCGTGGAGTATCCTTTGAATCTGACTATTTATGTTCCTGGAAATGGATCGATTGGAAAGCTGGATCATCAAATTAAACTGAATAATGACAATTATAGATTATATGCAGTTATTTGTCATGCAGGAAGTATACATACAGTCATTAATTGCATCAAAATAATATTTTTTATATAATAAAAATTAAAAAATATATAAATTGAGTAATTGATTTAATACTGTATAATTTATTTGGTCACTATTGAGCACATTTACTTAAAGATGGCAAATGGATTGGATGTAATGACAACATTGTTCGTGAAAGCCCACCCAATTTATCAAACTGCTATATGCTCTTTTATTCTAAGAATTAATTAAGCCTCAAAATTAACTTTTATTTAAAATTTAAAGTTTTATTAATATTTATTATGACCTATGAGTTTATAAAAAATGCAAGATAGCACGAACTGAAATCTGGCTGCCAGATCTTCGAGTTATTATCTATTCTATATAAAATTAATAAAGCTACTCTGCATTTCTATAATAAACTATGAAGCCACCGATATAGATCTTATATTAAAAAGTATAAATATTCTCTCCATGTGCATCCATCTTTTGTATATGCGACATATTTCTTCACGTTTTCTATCTCATAAAGACATTTTATTGCTCCATATATTTCATATTTTGATCCCATATAATTAAATTCTTCAGGAAGAATGTATTGATTTCCTATTGGCAATTTTAATATTAAAAATGATCCTGTTTCAGTGTTTTCTATTGAACTGCTCACCAATTTATTTTGATTGCAAATACTGCAAAAGTCTTCACATCAAGTAGTTGTTTTTATATTTTGATCAATTTCTTCATAAATTGGCTTATTTGTAAAATTCATAAGCTCAATTACATTTATATAGTCATTTTTTATATGCTCATGCCCAGCTCCACAATTAACTCTTGTCGTTAATATAATGTATGCTCTCTTTTAGAGAATTCTTATGAAAAATGCTTCAAAAAGGATTATTATATATAAAAAATATATTTTCGAAATCAAAATTTAGCGAATTTGAACACTATTTAAGTGATTTTAAAAAAAAAAAATAAACATTTTTAGCCTTTTTTGATGAATTATTTTTCTAAAGGATCCAAATTAGGGCTTACGGTATATAGTTGAAAATAATTTTTGATTTGGATAATATTCATAAAGCTTATTTATAAGTCAGTTGATCACATTTTTAGGATCTTTTTCAAAATTAGTCTATATAAAATTTACATAATAAGAGTTCTGTGCTAAAGTTATGCTAAAATCTGATAATAAATTATCGACGAAATTTTGGAAATTTGACCTTTTCATAGCATGAAATAAAATATTTAAGCTCAGTAATGTTGGGTCCATTGGACTTTTTGATAATTCAACGAATAGAGATGAGCTGGCAAGAATCTGTAACGCTGAGGCGAGGTAGGAATTATCATTTATATCAGAAAATCCATGTTTTTGGTCAGGAAGAAGCAAAATCATTGAGGTAAATAAATCACCATTTCCTACTGTTAGGTAAGCTTGGCTTGAACTGAGATGCTGATTTTCTGCTTGAAAGGTATAATAATTCCCTGGCTCATAATAAGCACTTCTTGATAAATTTAAATTACTTAGAACAGGCCCCTTATCTGTGCTTACTTGGCTTGAATTTTCAATAATTTGGCTGAGTCTTTTTACCTCATTTTTCAAGTCAGCCACGTCTTTTTCTAAGCATTTTATTTTTGCTGTGGTATTTTCTATATTACTTTCTATTGCCCTACCATTTCCTGGATTTTGTCCGCCCAGCACACAGCTATAGGCAATATCCCCATAATTAATAAATTCACTTATAAAGCTTTCTAACTGTATTTGGACTTCATTAGGATCATTAAGCAGTAGGATTTTTAGCAATGGGTCTTCCTCATTTGTACTTATTTCTTTTGTTGTCAAAATTTTTCTTATATATTTGTCAATTGTTCTGATTCCTGATTCTAGCGAATTTAACCCATTTTTATTGATTTCTTCAAGGTTTTTCATATTTGTAGAAACATATGAGAAGAATTGTGATTTAATATTTTTTATTTTTGATTTTTCTTCTTGAAAAGATCGCAAAATGCTTATTTGAGCTGGCTTGACAGGCTCACGATACAGATATTCAAATCTGTGAGTTAAAGGGCTAGAATTGGAATGGGATTTTTTATGTCGTTTGCAAAAAATTAACTTTTCATCCTGGCAGTCGCAAATGTATTTAGGCTTTTCGTGGCATGATGGGATGCTACAAATATTGTAGTTCATGATTAAAGTTTATTAAGAAATTTTAGTTTTGATCTTATAAGAATCACTAGGAAGGCAAACTCATAATTTAGCAATATCTTCAATCTCTCCACTGCTATTAAAAATCTTCATAAAATGCTTCAAACAGTTGAAAAAAATCAAATAATTGCAAGCTAAAACATGTAAAAATCAATTTCCTAAAAATTTCGCTATCCTGATTTACGTCATCTAATTCTTTAGATAAACTTTGCAAAGCAATCATCCATTGCAAGTTGATGCTATTTTTGTAAAAATTAGTATTCTTTGTTTAAATTGTGAAAAAGTAGAGATTAGACTTAAAATTCCAATATTAATCATTTGCGCTTTCATTTTTATTTGTAGACTCAAGCCTTTAAAAGCGTAAGGTAACGAAGGATTATTTAATAAGAATTATAAAGAAATTTATAATTTTGGTTAATTTTTGGATTTTATAAAACCTCCATTCACTTGCCTCAATACTTTAATGGTGCAGTTATTATTAATTCCTAACGTTGGTAGGTACATTTCCCCATTGTTAGTTAGAGAAAGGTACTTATTTTCTTTTATAATTGTCAATTCTTGGTTTCCAAAAATCTGCAAGAATCTTTCATAGAGGTGCTTAAATTGCAAATTTGAAGGAACTTGAATTGTCTGTGTATTTCCTTCATTATTTTCAATAACTATTGAAATTTGATGAGGAGCTGAAGGCTGCTCAGGAGTAGGTGGGTTAGAGTTTGGAGGCCTTTGAACACTGGCAACGCGGATAATTGAATTATTGGTGATATTTAGCTGCTGCAATGTGAGATCTTGGGAGTTCGGGCCGATGTGTTTATTTCCATAAATGACTGTAATTTCGACTAAGTCTTAGGGTCCTCACACTGCCTGAACGCTGCTTAAAGTCCAATTTTAATCAACTCGCGAATTTAAATTATCTTACTGAAATATAGAAACTAAGCTAAAATAAATGCATTTCTAATCAAAAATTATTATTAAAAATTAGTTTATCTTTCGGTAAAACACCAAATAAAGGCAATCCCAATCAGGGTTTCGCCATTTAACCATTGAATCGTTAAATTCCTTCCATAAGCCTCTTTTATCATCTTTAACAAACGCTATAAAATGGTTTCCATAATAACATATCGCTCCAAATATATTATATCTGAACTCTTCAGCAACTAAATTAGGATATGGGTTTTGTCTGATTTGAGATGGCTTTTGAGATGGTGGCAGATAGAACACCAAAATATTAGGCCAATTAATACTAACAACCTCCACAACAAAGTCACTCAATTTTTGACATTCCTGGCAGAATAATTGATTATTTTCAGCAAATCTTATTTTGGTTTTGATTGCTTGTACAACATTTTGCAAATCTCCCTGCTTGTCTTTAGGAACAACCAAAAAATTGTTTTCTTCAGGATTATTTGATTGATGGCCTATAGAGCAGGTAAATGCTTGAGTCTTGGTTAATGCAAACTGTTTACTGTTGGGGCTGAGCTGGTCTGCTTCATATGCAATAATACTAAAAAGTTCTTTTGCATCGTTTTCTATAGGACCTTTAAACTAAATTTTTTTTACCATAGGATATTCTTGAGCAATTATATTTCTAAAAGCAACCAAGTATGACACTGTATCAAGAGCTAAAGAGTGGTGTGATAAAAGTACGGAAATCACATTTTTAAGGGCAGCTAATAGAGGAGAGCTTGCTGAATCTTCAATGGCTGCATTAAATTCAGGAATGCTTGCAAGTATCTGTATTACAGAATTCATATAGCAAGAATTCCCAATGTTCATTAACCCGACATTCCTATCAATTTCTAACTTGCTCTCATTCTGTTCCTTTTCAGGTATTTTTGCAATTTTTGATTTATCATTATTTTCCAGGGGTTTTTTGGCATTCTGTGTGCCATCATGGATTGCAGGTATTTTAGGAGATGTGATAGATTCACTAAGATCATCTGAATTTTCAGTCTCTTTGGGCGTCATTTTTGGAGGGGTATTATTTCTTGACTCAGCTTGGTCTTTTTGTGCTATCGAAATATTTGGATTAGATTGAATTTTTTTACTTTTAGAGCTTCGCTTTTCTTTTTTCGGACTTTCTAACTTACTCTCAATCTGCTCTTTTTCAGGTATTTTTGGGATTTCTGCTTTATCATTATTTTCCAAGGGTTTTTTGGTATTCAGTGTGCCATCATGGATTAAAGGTATTTTAGGAGGTGTGATAGATTCACTAAGATCACCTGAATTTTCAGTCTCTTTGGAAATCATTTTTGGAGGGGTATTATTTCTTGACTCAACTTGGTCTTTTTGTACTATCGAAATATTTGGAGTAGATTGAATTTTTTTACTTTTCGAGCTTGGCTTTTCTTTTTTCAGACGTTTAGAACTTATTGTCTTAATGTCAATGGCACAAATAAAATAGCATTTTACTGATTTGCCCTCTCCAGAACCTTACAGAACCTTGGAGATTTTTGCGACCTAAAGTTAAGTTGAGAGGGTAATGGAGTCTGGGAATTTTTTTTGGTTTAAGCTAGACTGTATCTCTATTACCTCAGAAATGAAGACTTCGTATTTCTCATGGATATTTCTAATGCTAAATGGCAAAGGCATAATTGGTACCGATAAACGATAGGGTTTTTTGCCCCTATCTATAGCTCTAATCACTGAAGCAGTGGCTGAAAATTATGTAATTGCTTACTTTAAGGTCTGAGGCACACGAATAAAATAGAGAAGCCATCATCCTCTGTTGGATCTGCTGAGAATTCTAATGTTTTCTGCAGCCTGAAGCCAAATTGAGTAGAAATGAGTCTACGAATACTGAGTCCACCCTCCCTCTTCGGAGGCAATCAAAAAAATTGGAAAAGTCTGATTATATTTTTTGGAAAAAACTCTGTGAGAGAGAAAAAAAATTAATATATGATGATCTTTATAATAAAATCTCTAACTAATTCTGCTCAATTTTAAACAGCTTTATTTCTAAAATAAATTTTACAAATTAAAATTAATTTCTCCTTTCCAATTTTTTTAATTTCGAAGAAAATTTATGTAATTTTTTTTAAAAAAATAACCCTCTAGTGAAGATTCTTAGTTAGGCTGAATCCCAGAGGAGAGCATACCCAGGGAGTTTCTCGTTCAGCTAGGCAAGCCTTCTTTATGTCTTATCTTAATGCGATAAAGCACTAATCTTTAATTAGCAGATTCTTCTTACCGTCATCAGAATATATAATTGCTAGGATTTCTTCATTGAGGCCTTCCTTTGAGTTTGGCTGGATGCTGCTTTCAGGATATTGAGGCTCATTCATTCCTGGCAGCTCAGAAGGTAATTCAGGATTTTCAAGTTTTACATTATTTTCCAGAGAAGACTCTTTTTGTCTCGGCTCCTGATTTTCTTGCTTATTTTTTTGATTTTGCTTATAACTTTCAGGAAATTGAGGCATATTCATTTTTCCTTCAGGATTTTCAAATTTTACATCCGTTTTCAGTAAAGGTTTGATTTGTCTTGGCTGCTCATTTTCTTTTATATTTTTTGGATTTTTCTTATAATTTTTAGGAAAACAATTGCAGCAAGTAGAATCTTCTTCATCTGTCATTTCTTCAGCAATGCTTGGAATTCTATAATTTATATATAACGTTTAATATAAAGCAATTTATCTGAGCTTTTCTCTTGAATAAAAAAACATGGCTAAACGAGAAGTAGCTTAATGGGTACATTTACCTAGCCAAAAATGATATTTTTATAATATTGTAGGGCATTTCAGCCAATTAAAAGGGTATACATTTCTTGTAAAAACAATTGTAGAATCCTAAAAATGTCAAACTCCTCAAATATCCGTGCTGCAATTATTATCATAAAATCGCTCAGTCAGTTTATTGATATTCAAGTCATTCAAAATACCTTCTCAGAATTTATTGATTTATTACTTACACCTTTTGTAATTATTCTAAACCATGATATAGCTTGGGCATCCTTATGAACGGCTCCAGCCTTCAGTTCCAATTGCCAAGTTCGTCAACTCTGCGAATTTGCTAAATTAAGAAACAATTTGTCAACTGGAGTTGATGAAGAAAACTCTCCACATGGCAAGTGGAGTTAAAGGCTTGGGCCGTCCATAAGATGCCAAAGTTATATATCCTGTTAATGAAATGTATATTATATAAGGAATATCGAGCATTTAACAAATTTAAAGTGCTTATTTAAAACCATCAGGAGCATCCCAGATAAAGCAGTGCTTGTGTATACGCTTTTATTACTTTGCCAATCTTCATCCCATGGTTGCAAGATTAGTGAAAATACCAAATAAGCTTCAAAAGCTGCACTAATATGCCGATCTATATAGGTATTGCTATATACTAATATTAATAATTATAAATTCTAATAAAATCAATCTAGGCATAAAATCTACTTTAAGTCATCAAAGGAATTAGTGAAGATCCTTTTATTCTAAATCTGAATAATCTTTATAGCAGAATATATCAGCGTGTCATTTAATCGGAACGTTTTCCTTGAATGGCATTTCCCAGGGACTTTTGGTCGAATTTTTTCCCTAATGGTACATTTAAACGAGTTTTCAGGCAAATTTTTCATTAGCCAAAATTTCCGAAAAATGTCCCGAAGGAAATGCAGGGGAAAATTATTTCAAATGTCTTGAATCGGAATAAATCAATGTGGAGATTTATTTAATAAGTCTGTTAGTGACTGCTTAGAGATTTTAGTAAGCTATTTAGGATGCGCCAATAATTATCAAACAAATTTTGTAGTGATGGATTATCAATGGCCATTTTATTTTAACAAATCAGAGTTATATGTAAAAATTGCAAGCTTTACAAATCAATCAGGGCTATTGTATTGCTATTGAGATGGAAAGTGAATGAATTTAGGCATATCCTCTCCTCAGAATACGATTAAAGAAAAACCTTATAATGTTTATTGAAAATTCAGAGATCCCTATTATGCTTTAGATGATTTTATATTATATCTTTTATATGCTTTTTAAATCATATGCGTCTAGCATACCAAATATTCAAATCAGTATTATAAATATAATAGCTTATCCAGTTTTGCTTAATTAACTCAGCCCAGCAATTTCAAGATAAATGAATTGTAGCCGCAATAATGAGTTTTACTTTGAATTTCAAGAGAATAATCCTACCTAATCCTAAAATTGCAATTCATATATAAGTTGAATAAATACAAATCCTTCTCAATTATTATCAGACTGGGTTTCAAAAAACCCAAAAAGGACACTAGGCAACACAAACACAATGCCCGCTTTAACTTCCAGTGAATATTTAGCAAGGTTTGAGAAGGAAATCGCTGAATTGAGGAATCAGGTTCAAATTAAGGATCAAAAGATTCATGAATTAGAAACTGAAAATAAAAATGCAATAGAAGACATGCTTCAACAATTGCAAAGCAAAAATCAAGTTAACCCATATGCATCCCAAAGCATTAGTTCAATTGTGATAAATAATCCTGTAGAGCTAGTGGCTGCTTTAAAAAGCCCGTCAAAGCATCCGTTGCCTAATTACGGAAACACTTGTTATTTAAATGCAATAGTCCAAGTCTTAGCAAGTATGAATATTTTCATTATAGAGCTGATAAAAGCGAAAGGCCCAACCTTAAAATTGTTAAGAAATTTACTTATAGATATGAGATTGCCAAACAAACGAAATGAAGCCGGTTTAGGGATCAAACAGCTTAAGTATGATCTGAGCATTGAATTCCCCAGTGTAATTATAAATTAGCTTAATACCAATGACCAGCAAGACTCAACAGAAGTACTAGGAATGATTTTTAACAAGTTTGAAGAAGAGTTCCCGAATAGCATCTTATTTGTGACTAATTCTGTTCAGACATTTAAATGCAAGTATCATGACTACAGTAGCATAATTAAAGACTCAGACACTTTTTTAGTAATTCCTCCGCTTTTTTACAGCAATGTTGAAGAATACCTTCAAAGTTGAAAAAACCCAACAATTTTCAGCGACAACGATTTATTAAAATGTGACTTATGTGGCTCAAATTCGATTTCCATGATGAGGAGAGTCCTTATAAACAAGCCAATTTACTTGATATTGTCATTTCAACGCATAGATGTTGCAGTCAGACTTCCTGAAAGCTTGGATTTTGAAGAAAATAGGTACTTGCTGTTTGCGGTTGTGTCTTATACAGTATCTGGGTCTTCTGGGCATTATACAGCATACACAAAAGAAAATTACTCATGAACGCATTATAATGATGAGCATATAGAAAATATTGATTTTCTAAATGGAATTCCTGGGGTTTATTTAGCTTTTTATGCCCTGAATTCTTTGGCTTCTTACTAAAAGCACAGCTGCATAATTAGATTTAAGTGCGCATTGCACAAAAATTGGAGCTTTATTAATTATTAGTATAAAATATTGTTTTTATCTGTCTTTATCTATATGCGTCCTCATATGTTCTTTCTCTTGCTATATCAAGCCAGACTTCTCTGCTTATTAAGCAAACATCAGTTGCCTCACCCATAAATCCATTCTCTGGATCAGGCCTGTTCAATAATTCAATGAGATAGTCAATGATAACCTTGGAATGGCAATTTGGGTTTCACATATGATTAAGAAAAGCATGACAAACTCTTCCACTGTCAGGGTGAATATTTGGGTGGAATATGGGTGTCTGGAAAAATACTTTGGGAGGCTTGCTTGGGTATTTCTTAGGAAATTTTATTACAAACTCAAAAACACCGCCTTCAAAAGCAGTGTCTTCTGGCCCATTGAGATTTCCGAGCCATAAATAGTATTCTCCTTGATAAGTATTCACAGAAAAAAATGTCTGAGAGCTTGCTTGCAAATCATTTAGTTCAGTCATGAGCCGCTGTAGTGCTGCCATTCTAAGCTTATAAATTATAATTCTACAAAAGTTAATAGACTTGAATTATTAGTTAGCTATATAAATGGATATTCACTAAAATAATAATCATACTCATACAAGCCTAAATTCTTATTTGTAAGTCTCACCATAGAAAAGTACGGCAATTTAAACCAACTTTTCAATTTCACTATAGCAACTACACAATATAGCTCTAAAATTAGAGTTTATTTATTGTTTGCTATGGATTAAAGCTTATTTGTACATCATCAGCTTAATCTAATAACTCTAAGTTGGCTGCAACTGTTTAAATTAATCAAAATTTTATTAATAAGCCCTTTCATTCAAAGCTTTTAGATTTATAGATTTCCCAGGCTCTTTATAAGTATGCTCTCTTGCCTCCTAAAAAAAGCTAGCATTTCCCATTTAAGCACTCTCTGCCACGACAGCATAAGATCTCATAAACGTGGATTTCCTAATGTTGGGAATACCTACTATTTAAATGCCCTTCTACAAATAATTGTAGAATGTAAACAAATATCCATAATAAAATGATTAAGTTAATCGAAGAGTTCAATAAGCTCAAACAAACTCCTATACAAGGAATCGAAGTTAGCATAGGACAAGATTTTTTCCATTGGAATGGATTGCTGATCGGCCCTCCAGGAACTCCTTTTGAAGGTGGAAAATTTCGCTTCGAGCTAATTTTCCCATCTAATTTCCCAGCTTCTCCTCCCGAATTTTTCTTCAAAACAAGAATTTTCCACCCAAATGTGGACTCTGAAGGGAAAGCATGCATACAAGTTCTCAGCCTTACTTGGAGGCCAAATATATCAATAAGCTGCGTCTTGAATTCTATATGCGTTTTGCTAACTACCCCCCATCGTGAGCAAGCAAACCATTGGAAAAATCCCTACATTTTGACCAAAACTTACCCTCCATTTTTATATTATGGAAAAATATTTTGGTATATAAACGATAAAGCTAATTCTGTTGAATAAACAATTTTGCATTTTAAAGAATAAAATTTAAAAATTAAATTAATTTTTGATTTCCCAATTGGGACTATTTTAAATTTCGAAAACAATTTTATTATAACATTTACAAATAAATTTTAAAAGAAAATCTCTTTTAGAGAACTTTTTTTTACAGGGGGAGTAAGAGAGCCCTACCCTGATGCAGGGTATTTTAACGACGCATCCACTGTTCTTAGAGCTGATAGATTAACTTATGAAAGAGTTGCAAGACAATATACAGCTAATTTTGCAAAATAATATCAATAAATAAAAAATTTATAGAAACAAATTATTATAATAATATGGTTAAAAAGCTGATTTTCGCAGAGTCTGATTGAAATATTAAGGCAGCGCTTTCTTTGATTAACGCCCTAATGTCTTACAAAACCAATGAAATTTTGGTAGAGAAATCAAAAGAGTCAGAAATTTGGTTTTCAACAGCATAAACAGTGAGAGGCTAGGGAGTTTTGCAAAAATACTAAAATTTCGTTAGAAACCAAGATTTGCAGAGCTATAGGTTGCATTGGAATGCAGACCTCTGATTTCAGCTGGTTTAAGAGATCATTTATCATGTATGCACAAACAAACATTGGTGAGTTTGAAGATCGTGTTGAAGTAAAAAATATTGTAATTGCAGAAATGAAGTCTTATTTCCATCTAAAGCAATGCCTACAGACCAAGTGGGGGTATTACTTACTAATCTCAGTCTTTTCAGATTTCTCAAAAGAAGCTTATTTCTACGGAAATTGCAAATCGATATCTCTGATCTCTAAAGATTTGAACCAAAATTGACTGACAACAAAGAGTTCAAGTTGGCTTATCTAAAAGTTTCAGAGGAAGACCTCAATATTATAAAAGCCGATTTGGAAAATGAAGTCGAAATTCATCTAGAAAATTCAAGACAAGAAAAAATGATTAAGACAGTTAAAGAAGACGAAGAGTATTTTAAGGATCCTAAGAAAAATATAAATAAGTGTGCAATAAAGAAAATCTCTTCAAATTATTCTCCTGCAGAAAGCCAATGATATGGAAAGAGTCGCGGAAAGCCAAAGAAAAGAAATACAAGCTCACAAGGAATTGATTAAAAAAGAAAAGGAAAAAAATAAAGTTTTGCAAGAAGAGAAACAAGAAACTAATGAAAAGATCCAAGAGAAAAATGAAGAGTTCATTAAAGAAAAAAAAAAGCAGGAAAGGCTGAGGATAAATACAAGGGAATAGCAGAAAAAGAAAAAGATGAAAATTATCCAGAAAATGAAAAAGTTCAAGAAGAATCTAAAAATGAGCAAGAAAAACCTCAAAAACTGTCAGAAGACTCTTTCGGCCCCTATGGTCCTTTCACAACTTTAACCAAAGAAAATTAGGTCTGCCAAATCTTATTAATACCTGCTATTTTAATGCAGTTTTGGGCCTTAGCAAGCAATGATAGGTTTGTAAACTTCATGAAGAGCATAGGCAGCCACTCTTTTGCAACGGTTTTATACGGCGTTTTTAATATTATGAGAGAAAAAAGAGGAAATACCGAGCAAGCTTTAAGGAGTTTTAAAGATCAAGCTAACCAAGAATTTCCGTTCGTAATCTCTATATAGCTTGATTCATTAGGCCAGCAAGACTCAAAAGAGTTTTTAGTCTACCTATTATCAAAATTATGCCTTTTTATATTATTCTCTAGTTTTTTGCAATAGTAAATTAATGATTCCTAACGATTGCAGATGAAATAAATGTAAATATATTATAAAAAGATATAGAAGAGCTTTCCAGCGTTATTTTGTCAAATATCACTCTGATTCAAGAGTTTCTATGCATGACGTGTAGAAAGTCCTACCAAAATCAAGAAAATCAAAGCTTTTTATGATTCCAAATAATAAAACAAATCAAATCAGTACATTTAAAAGAGTTAAAAGCAAAGGTACAGTACTTTAGAGGAGATAATATGCTTTACTGTCAATTTTGTGATTCTCCGAGGAACATGAGTATTGCGATTAAGAAAGTTGTATGCTCTAAAATGCTAATTTTTTATCTGCCAGCTAATACAAATTTTTCTAATACCAAAATTGAGGAAAAATTGAAGGTAGAAGATTATGAATTCAGTCTGTATGGTGTTATATGCTACTATGTTCTGGAAATAGTGAGCATTATACATCTTATATATTGTATTTGATTAATTTTGAACAAATATAATGTAGTAAAGAGGTTTATCAGTGGCTTTTTTAGAAATTATCATTTTAGGATTATGACAGCTTAATTCAGTGAATTATACTAAAGATGGGAACGTTTGGAAATTATATAACGACTCATCAGTAAGTGATAAAAATTACGATGCAGGAAATAGCTATTTAAATTTTTATTCATTAAATAAGCCAAAAATTTAAAAACAAATTATTAATTTATATCAGATAATGTAAATTTTCTTTTATTTCTAAAATAAAAAAATATTTTAGCTTAAATTAGCAGGATATCTCTTTGTGAATTATAAAAATAAATACACATGTACAAGGTTTAGCATATAAATATCGATTGAGGCCTAGCTCCATTATTAAAATTTATAGAAATCAAAATGCAACGACTTACCTAGCATGGCTGCCCATTTATTTATCTGACATTTTCCACCCAAGCCTAAGCTAAATAAGTGCATTGTATAAGAATCAGATTGATCATTAACAATATTTAAAGAGTTAATAGCAAAATATGATTAAATGAGACTTATTTATTCCCAAATTATTTTAATCCAGTTTAGTTAATATTTTTGATTCTAAATTAAATTAAACTTGAAATAACTAATAATTGAATTTGCTTGAGTATAGCTAATTTCACTAAAAAATTTTAAAAATTTACTTCGTATTGCAACAATAGACATAATGGCAGAACTAACCTTAAGAAATAAATTAGCTGAGATTTTGAGCAAACCAAACAATCCAGAACTAGAGATGGATTTCAGAGCAACTTGCTCAGCGATTCAACTCGATACTAGTCTTGATGACCCACCAGTAATGCAAGCTTACGAAGATTACCTTAATGCTTATCAACAAAAAACATCTCTTTATAATCTTAAAGGTGATAGATTAATTATTTATAACACTGAAACTGAAACCCAAGAAGTCAAAATCTTGCAGACTCCACAACCACTAGACTTATACACTTGCACAACTCAACTTCCAAATGGCAAGCTATTCTGTTTTGGTAATATCGCACCTTTTGGAAATGCAGCACTAATTGATTTAAATGGAGGAATCGAAGTGCTGCCATCTGGAACTTCTTGTGGATTTTCATCATGCATCTGTTTCAACAAAAGCGTCTATTGCTTTGGAGGATATAATAAAGGCTACTTAACTCTATCTAGTAAATTTGATTTGGATCAAAATCGATGATTTCAATTAACTCCGATGCCAAGATCTGATTATCAATGCCATAGTATAATGTTTAATGGAAATATTTTGTTTTCTGGATATTATAATAGACATCTTTTTTTATATTCAATTGATATTGACTCTTTCTCGACAATTCCTTATGAGTTTGCTATAAGGAGAAGAAAGATCCTGATAAATGCAGAGAGACTTTATTTGATTGAATGCGATAAAGGAGGAGTAATCTATGAAAGTGAAATTGGAAGTTACATGAATTGGATACCAATTGAAAAAACAATAAAAATTGATTGGAGTACTCAGCAAGTGTATTGCTCATATAATAAAGGAGGGATATGCATTGGAATAAAGGGATCTGACTACTTCAAGTTTGATTTGAAAGAAAAGAGAGTGATTGAATTAAAAATCTAATTAAATGGCTAGTTAAAATTAAGTAAGTAGTAATCTAGTTATTGCCTGACAAGTTCTGCCTTTTTTCGATTGGCTTATTTCTTTAGGAATAATTTGAGGCAATAAAATTGCTTCTTATCATAATCCTTACTACCACTACCTTTTATCTCCGTGTCAATTCTGTTTCTGCCGCTAAATATTAACTATGAAAAGAACTGAACTAATTTAATTATTTATAACACTGAAATTGAAACTAAAAATGCCAAAATCTTGAAGACTCCAGAACAGCTAGACAGATTCACTTACATAACTTAGCTTCAAAATGGCAAGCTATACTGTTTTGGTAATTATTTACATTCTGGATATACAGTACTAATTGATACAAATGGTGGAGTCGAAGTGCTGCCATCTGGAACTCCTTCTGCATGATCATCATGTATATATTTCAACAGGAGCGTCTATTGCTTTGGAGGATATAATAAAGGTGCTTTAACTATATTTAGTAGATTTAATTTGATTCGAAATCGATGAATTAAATTAACTCCAATGACACAAGCTGATAATAAATGCCATAGTGTAGTATTAATGGAAATATTTTGATTTCTGGATATTGAAATAGAAATCTTTTGTTATACTCAATTGATATTGACTCTTTCTCGACAATTTCTTATGAGTTTACTAAAAAATAAGAAAGATCCTGATAAATGCAGATAGACTTTATTTGATTGAATGCAAAATACAAGGAGATATCTATGAAAGCGAAATTAGAAGTTACAGAATTGGACACCAACAGGAAGAGCATCAAAAATCAATTTTAGTACTTATCAAGTGTATTGTTCATATAATGAAGGATATATATACATTGGAATAGATAGATCTGACTACTTCAAGTTTTATTTGCAAGAAAAGAGCTTGATTGCGTTAAAAAAGTCATAAAATGGTTAATTAAAAGTAAATCAAATTTTATTACTTTATATGAACAATAAACTTTTTCAGGATCATAATCCATTACTGATTTTCCTATTCTTCTCCAATTCGAGTAACTGCCAACTTCGCTTTCATAGAATGATCCCTCTTCGCATTCAATCAAATAAAGTCTCTCTGCATTTATCAGGATCTTTGATTTATTCTTTTCGAACTCACAAGGAATTGTCGAGAAAGAATCATTATCAACTGAGTATAACAAAAGATTTCTATTTCGATATCCAGAAATCAAAATATTCCCATTAAATATTACACTATTGCACTTGTAATCATCTATTGGCATTGGAGTTAATTGAATCCATAGATTTTGATCCAAACCAAATCTACTAGATAGAGTTAAATATTTGTCATTATATCCTCCAAAGCAATAGACGCTATTGTTGAAATAGATGCATGATGAGTCATGGCAAGGAGCTCCAGAATGGGTACTATTTTTTACTAATTTCTTTTAATAAGTGCTAGATTGAGTTTATACTGAGTCGGGAATTTAAATGATAGTGGAGACATTTTAGAGGATATTTAAAGTAAGAGAGATTACTAAATTGGTAAAAAAATAGGCGATTTTTATGTTTCCAGATGGCAGAACTTCGACTCACCATTCACATCAATTTGCACTGCAATTCCAGAATCTTTATAATTACCAAAGCAGAATAGCTTGCCATTTGGAAGTTGAGTTATGCAAGTCCTTAAGTCTAGTGGTTCCGGAGTCTGCAAGGTTTTGAGTTCTTTTTCGATTTCAGATTCAGTACTATAAATTACTAAATAAGTAATGTCGTATTCATTATCATCTTGTGTAATGCTATAAAGAGATGTCTTTTGTTGATAAGCATTAAGATAATCTTGGTAGGCTTGCATTAGTGATGGATCATAAAAACTAGAATTGCTCTGAATTGCCGAGCAAGTTGCTCTGAAATCTATCTCTAATTCTGGATTGTTTGGCCTGCTCAAAATCTCAGCTGCTTTATTTCTTAAGGTATCTATAAGGTTTAAAGCGCTTTCTGCATCCTTGGGTTTACTGTTGAGATCATTAGAATCAATGCTTATTTGAGAATTAAGCAAGCTCGCCTCATGCTCTGGGGCTTTTTTTATTGGCTTTTTTTCTTCTTCAGTCCCTTTTAAACTCTTACTGTCCTCATTTCTTATCAAAGAAATCGAATCCTTAACGTTTGCTGGCTCTATATTCCCATCGCAAGGCTGCATAAAAATTGACTCAAGATTGTGAGCTCTATTAGGCAATTTTAAATGCTCCACAGCATGAACTTCACAAGATAAAGTCTCAGGAGAAGAGCAAAAGCATGCGTGCTCAACCTCATTCGTGCACCCTGGCTCGAAACATTTCTTCGCCATCATATTATTATTATTATTATTATTATTATTATTAGATAGCTGATTTTTTAAAGCATATGAACTCTAACCCTTCTTCAAATAGCATATAAATATAAAGTATTATCACAATAAAATAAAAATTTGATAATATCTAGAAATCAAAATATTTACATTAATATTTTATTATGGCATCAATAGTCAGCTTGTTGCTTCGGAGTTAGTTTAATTCATCAATTTCGAGCCAAATCAAATTGACTAGATAGAGTTAAAGCACCTCTATTATGTCCTCCAAAGCAATAGACGCTGTTGTTGAAATAGATCAATGATAAATATCAGCAAGGAGTTCCAGACGGCAGCACTTCGAATCCCCATTTGTATCAATTAGCACTGTAATTCCAGAACTATTTCAATCACCATAACAGAATAGCTTGCCATTTGGAAGTCGAGCTATGCAAGTAAGTACATCTAGTTGTTGTGGAATCTGCAAGGCTTAGATTTCTTGGGTTTTAGTTTCAGGATGATAAATAATTAAATTAGGTTGCTTGTAATCATGTAAAAGATTATATGAGATGCTCCATGCTGACAAGTATCAAGATAATCTTGGCAAGTTTGCATTAGTGGTGACTCATAAAGAATACGATTGATTTGCGGCACTGAACAATTTGCTCTAAATTCTGGATTTTTTGGTCCGCTCAAAATCTCATCTGATTTATTTCTTAAGGATAGTCCTCCCATTACGTCTATTATTGCAACAAAAGTAAATTTCTAAATTTTTTAGTAAAACTAGCTATAGACAAGAAACAATTTATCTTGCCTTATTACTCCTTAAAAAATAAGCCAATCGAAAAAGAGGTAGAACTTGTCTGGTAATTCTTAGATTACTGCTTGCTTACTTTTAACTAACCATTTTATTACTTTTTTAATGCAATTAATCTCTTTTCATTCAAATCAAACTTGAAGTAGGAAAATTCAGATATTCCAATGTATACATATCCTTCATTATATGAACAATACACTTGATTAGCATTGCTATATATTGTTGATTCTTTTCTTGTTAGTCTCCAATTCGTGTAACTTCCAATTTCGCTTTCATAGATAGTTCCTAAGATTCATTCAATCAAATAAAGTCTACCTGCATTTATCAGGATCTTTCTTGCTCCTTCACGAAACTCACAAGGAATTATCGAGAAAGAGTTAATATCAATTGAGTATAACCAAAGATTTCTATTTCGATTTCCAGAAATCAAAATATTTCTATTAATCATTACACTGCAGTACTTGTAATCATCTATTGGCATTGGAGTTAATTGAATTCATCGATTCTGATCCAAATCAAATCTACTAGATAGAGTTAATCAACCTTTATTACTATAGAAATTGCCCGAGGATGGCGCTATTTTGCGCCATCCTCGGGCAATTCAAAAAATGGCTCCGCACGGGAATTGAACCCATGTGTGGGGACATTTTTGGTATGTGGAGAATATTGACTTCCACGTACCAAAAAATGGCCCACACTTGGGCTCAATTCCCGTGCGGGGCCAATTTCTATATCTCCTCCAAAGCAATAGACGCTGTTGTTGAAATAGATGCATGATGAATTTTGGCAAGGAGTTCCAGATGGCAGCACTTCGACTCCACCATTTGTATCAATTAGCACTGTTATTCCAGTTTGTCAACAACTACCAAAACAGAATAGCTTGCCATTTGGAAGTTGAGTTAAGCAAGTGTAAAATTCTAGTGTTTGTGGAGTCTCAAAGATTTTGGAAATTCAAGTTTCAGTTTCAGTGTTATAAATAATTAAATTAGTTCTGGCGTTTTCTCTGCCAAGATTATATATAGTTGTTCCTTGTTGACAAGCATTAAGATAATCTTGGCAAGTTTGCATTAGTGGTGGGTCATAAGGACTAGGATTTATTTGAGGCGCTGAGCAAGCTGCTCTTGAATTTATCTCTAACTCAGCTGATCTCTTTCTTAATGCTAGTCCTCCCATTACTTTTATTATTGCAACACAAATAAAATTCTAAATATTAATCAAAGCTATGCTCTTAAGTAAATTCAATTACTTAGAAAAAAATCTAAACGCTGTCAAATTGTATGAAAATCGAATCAAAGATGATCCAGACTACGCTTCCTCTTACATTTCACAAGGCAACGCTTTTTATAATTTAAAAAGATATCTTGAAGCAATCGAATGCTATAGCGAAGTAATCAAACGAGATCCAAACATAGATATCTACTACGATAAAAAAGGCAACGCTTTTTATAATCTCAAGAAGCAATCGAATGCTATGACGAAGCAATCAAACTCGAACCAAACAAAGCTGATTTTTACTTATATATTTTAAATTAGCATAAATTAAATGGAATCGTTTCCCTTGCAGTGTAAAATATCTAAAATAGTCAGCAAGAGTTCTTCCATCTTACAGTTGTTTCCCAGCGAAAATGAATCCTTGCTGATCTGGAGAAATTCCTTCTTTGTCCTGGATTTTAGCCTTGATATTGTCAATAGTGTCTGAAGATTCAAAATCAAGTGTAATTGTCTTTTAGTCAAGGTCTTAACAAAGATTTGCATTCCTCCTCTAAGTTTTACTCCTCTAAAATATAAAATTATTTTTTTTAAAAAATGTATGTTTATATCGATTCCACAATTTATTATTATGCAAGATGATAAAGGGAAAGCTAGCACAAGATGGAGTGTTGATTCCTTTTGAATATTTAATCAGCTAAAGTTCTTCCATCTTCTAATTGCTTACCTGCAAAAATGAGCCTTTGCTGATCTGAAGGAATCCCTTCCTTATCTTTAATCTTTGCCTTAACGTTATCTATGGTATCTGATTATTCTACTCTAAAGTGATTGTTTTGCCAGTCAATGTTTTTACAAATATTTGCATTTTTATTATAACAGGGCTCCTCAAAGAAACTTTAAATTTGGAGAAGCAGCCAATTATATTTCAGATTTTTATAAAAATATTAGTTTTCTATGCTGAATTCTATTTATTTCTAATTACTAAAATTTTCAAGATGAGATTTTTTGCAAACATTTGAATCAATATTTTATAATTCTTTAATTGTAAATTATTTTGAAGAAGGGTACAGCAGCGAGAATTAGAATAGCCAGCAAGGTATTATGCTAACGATTAAGAATATAAAGAGATAAAAATAGAAATTGAACATAATTTAAAATTTAAATCCATGCTTTAATTTCAAAAAATCTTGCAAATAATAGCAATGATGCATAGTTGGCTCTATTTGTATTTGATTTTCATCTTTTTCAGCTTCAATAGGTCAGCTAACTTGAGGCAAGTTTTTCATTAAATCTGTGCATGTTTTCCAAGAAAGCCTTATATGCTGAGAATTGAAGCCAAAAACAGGATCCATGTTACTTTTCAGCCAATTCTGGGTTATTGGATCTGAAGGGTATCCGCAACCAATTTCTCCAAGGCTTTCAGCCATATCTTTAATAAATGAATCTCTTGTAACCTTTGCACATATACTTGCTGCTGAAACAACAGGGAAAAGGCTATCAGCTTTTGCTGTCACATGAAAATTTATCCCTGGAAAAGAATTTTGCAGTCTTTCTTGATAAAATGCAGGGTTGCCTACAGTATCAACATAGACATTTTTTATATTTATTTTGCTGTCTAATAATTCTTGAATTAAATCTCTTGCACTGTCCATGGATATGACATTTAAGCTTATTTTTTGTCGACTGAGCATTGAAGTCGAAATGATATCACTGCTCAATGCTTTAGTACGATAAACTACATGCTCTAGATTTTTGATTATGCCAAATAGAGAATCTCTTTGCTGTTCGGTTAAAACTTTAGAATCTGCAAATCCTAACTTGCTGTATTCTTCCTTGTTGGCTATAGGCCAGCCGCAACATGCATATACCATTGGACCAATTACTGGGCCTCTTCCCGCCTCATCAATTCCTACCTCGTATTCCATTTTATTGATATTTCAAGTGTTATATGCAATTAGAGAATTAGAGCATCCGTTCTGAGTAGAGTTGGCAGAAATATTTTTGATGGACTTTTCTGTTTAAATATCGCATTGAGATATCTTTTACGAAATTTCTCACTTTCGAAATTAAGAAATTAAATAAATTTACTATGCAAATTTAACTAATACAAAAAGAATCTAAATAATAAATATAAAAATAATTATAAATATTAGCATTTCATAAAAAATTTAAGACAACTTATTAATATCTTATTATTGATTTTTCTTAGAAGAAATGCCTAATTTTCTCATTTCTTTATTTTCTTGCTGTAATGCTATATTTTCTTCTTTAAGGGAAGTATTTTGTTCTTCTAGCATTCTTATTTTAACTAAAAGTTCTGGAGGAATTTCATCTTTGCTTTTACTTTGATCCTGAGAGGCTTTTTCTTTTTCAGCTTCTTTCAATTTCTTTGCTTCTAAGTCCATTTTCCCTAAAAGGTCCATATAAGCAGTTTCAGTTGCTTTACTTTGTTTTTTAAGAAACTCTAAGTTCAGATTGGCTTTTTGAACTTCATCTAATAGACCTGCAAATGCTGAATTGTATGTAAACAGGATGAATAAAGAAAATAAAAGAATTGCTTGGTAATGTCCAGTCCCAGACTGATAGATTGTGAAAATATAGTTGAGGTCCATCAATAATATCAACCCAAGTCCAATATTTTTGATTTGGCTTGGCAATACTTGAATAGCTTTTTTTGCAAAATTCAATCTAAATCTCAAGGCAACATATACCAATGTTTGTAGCACGACAAATGCGAGTCCAATAATTGAAATCAAATCAGATGTATGAGTTAATGTCATTTAATTATTATATTGATATTTAATTAAATGTAAATTAATATTACAGTCATAAAATTTTATCAATTTATTCTTATAGATTTAACTATTCATATAAGAATTAGCGTCTAGATATCTTATGTCATCCATAGATGCTAATATTAATGATGCTTGGAAAATTCAAATTTTAATGTTTATTGAACATAAAACAATACACAAAAGGTTTAGTTAATAAAACGGATATGAAGAAATTTATATTTCTGCTGCTGGTTCTTGGCTCAACTTTTGGCAATGATACCTCAGGCAGCATTTTAGACCAAATGGATTCCAGCACATCAGACGCAGAATACGAAGAAAAACTTGACAATTTAGAAGCAACTGAAACATTAGGCTCGAGCTCTGAAGCATCATTAGTGGACACATCACAAAGCGCAGACGATGCTTCAAACGGTCTCATCAGCGAACTGCTCGAAATGGGCGTAACCAATACTGAGATGTCATCAGAAAACGTTGACCTCCAATCTGAGTATGATTTGTTACAAGAACAATTAGCGGATGCAATTGGAAAAGCAAATACCTATAGAATTGACAAAGAAATTAAGTCTAATATCCTCAATAGAGAGATTTCTTCTCTGGATAGTTATAATCATCAACTAAGGCAAGAAGAAATTGGACGTAGTGAAGAAGTGTCTGAAGCAAGTGACGATGACGATGATGAGTTAGATGAATTAGAGGTCTCTGGGACCATGATTTTCGTGATCGGTCTTGGGTTCTTATTCTTACTGCTCCATGGTGCAAGACTGGTGGTGGGGTATAATATTGACAATTTCTTGAGTCCTGCCTTGTACACACTATTTGTCGATATTAGCATTCTGCTCGTTATATGCACATTGACTGCTTTGGCTTCTTATTTTGAGATATTTGATGACGATTACTTGGACTATGAAATTATTATTGCTGGAATAGCTATTTTTACGTTCTTTTGGCTGGTTCTAGGGCTATGGTTTATCATTGCTGCTCAATCTTTTTCAACAACGTGGATTCGGCATGAGAAGGCTTGTCAGGATATGCGAGCCTTGACACAGATTTTCCAAGACGCTCAGATTGATATGGATGGCTCTGCTGCAAAAAGAATGAATTCTATCATGAGAAGTTTCCACTACGCAATTATGAGACAGCTTTTTATATGCCCCACTTATCTTCCACCTGTAACTGAGTCTTATTTAAGAACTGATTTTGATCTTTCAGAGTATCTCAGCAGAAGCTTGGCTAGCCTTTTAGAAGAAATTTTCCAGCTGACGTGGTTTGGGTATTCTTTAATCGTGATAGGGATCTTGATTTGGAGAGTGATTGTTACTGGAGACGACCAAGCTGAGTTTTTAGCTTTGTGGGCAATTCCTGCTGTGATTATTTTGATTTGTCTGATGATTCTGATAAAGCTCCGATCAATCTACTATAAGCTAGTGCCAGAACCAACTGATCAAATAATTTTGAATTTACCAAGAGACAACTTTGGCAGGTCACCTGAAATGAATGAGGACATTATTCCTAAGCCACAGTACCTCCGAGGCCATATTTACCCTAAGGACAGAGAGATCAATTTTGTGAACTGGTGCTTCGTCATATAAATAAATATGGCGTTTCAACGCTTCACAGTCGTTTTGCCAGTTCATTCGAACGCATTTTAATTATATCCGATAAGCTTTTGCCAATCCAGAATGGACAGCTATATTAATTAACAATTCTGATAATGTATAGAGCCTAGCCCTAGTAAGAGGGCAGGTTGACACATGTCGCCTAAATTAATTTATAAAAGCAAAAGCCCAGAGAGCCTGCAGGCAATGCCCAGATCATTTAGGCAACTTCCTAGAGTGAAGCAGGGAGTTACGCCGCAGGCTTCGAATTTTTCCTTTTTGCAGAAAGCTCACCATAAATTCCATTTGTTTGGATTTTTGTACAGTTAACCTTCTTTCAAACCCAAACAGTATACTGCAGAAGTCCACAGCTTTCCCACTTAATACTGGAGCTGACAAACCAAGGAGGAGACAGAGACACATTATCCTAATTCGCAGGTGCGAAGAAGAGAAAAGATGGTGCAAGAGCTGTTAATCACCTGGTGAGTCATCTAATACGATGAAGTAGTCCCTGCCAATATCGAAAAGAAGGTAAATACCCTGTGGATCTTTGGTGACTACAATAACAATGGGCAGCAGCTAAATCTGTAATAAATTTGATTTAATAACTGTTGCTTTATCAAACTTCATCCTTTAAAACTGACATTTTCTTATATCTTCGCAGGATCTTTCCCAAATCGACACGAGCTGCTTTTTTGGTTTGACCGATACGGCGTTCCATTCATCATAGGGGTTCTTCAAGCGATTTCCATTATTTTGACGCTCTGGATAACAGTGATCATTTTATACTATGCGCCTGTGCTGCAAGACAACTGGGACTCACTCGGAATTCTTCTGATAGGAGCAGCCATAATTGTATATTTATTTATGGCCTGCTACCTTGTCCCTGAAGCTATCCGCTATCTTACTTTGGCCAGCAAAATTGAAATGAAAAAGGACAGAAAAATTATTGAAGAGGTAATTCTGCATGAAAAGGTTGAAAAAGCAAAAATGGTTGTGAGGGTCTATAGGCAGTTCAAAATGATATATCGAGAAAGAGTTGAAGAAGCAAAAGGCCAGCTTGACGACAATATCAGAAGGTTCAGCAACGAGATTTTCTTTTTAATTGCTGACCCAGATACTAAAACAGTTTCAATTTCACAGCTAGAAGACCTCTTAAGCTTGTGTGGGGTTCGGCTCAATGAAGACGAATTAAGACTCTTCGCTAAAGAGTGTGCACCTGTAAGTGCTATTTAGGATAATACAAATGAAATCAAGCTTTCTGGATTCCAACAGGCATTCATTAAATTATTATAGAGAAACTCAGGTAAGCTTGAAAAAGTTTTTCTTGGCTTTTGTTTTACATCATCTCCTAATCTGATTCCACAGCCTAAGGCTTGTGTTGCTCCCTCCAGACAAGCCTGCCCTCGCTACCCAGAGGTAGAGACGCTGTGCTGGGTAAGCGGCATAGGTCCAAGAGTTTACCTCTTCTGAAAATTAAAAAAACAAATTTTCTGGTCAGGTTCTTGACCTAGATGAAAATTTTAGCCCAGGGTGCAACCTCTGGTAGCACGCTGGAAAAATTCCGGATTGGCCAAGCAAACGCCCTATGACCTTGCTATGCTATCCCTTTTCAGCTTCCACGTTTCATCCTCTTCAGGGTAAAACCTCGCCCTGGATGTGAGCCTGCTAGCCCGACATTACCAAGAAACAACTGACCAGATACACATATCAAAACGCTAATCTCCCTCCCACAAGTTCCCAGACTCTAATATGGCTACAGATGCTAAGAGGGCAGACTTCGCCACACCATTGTTTATCCATAGATTCTAACAGGCAATTGCAGTACTTTTGGCAAGTGCCGTTCTCAAGCCGCAGATTGTTGTGAGGGCCGTGCTGACTCAGTACTTCAAATCAGATAAGGGGGAAGTGGTGAAGGATATTACGTTGGAAGAATTAAAGCAATTCTTTACAGATTTTGGGTGGCATTTTACGGATGAAGACGTTGAAGACTTCTTATGGGAAGCGAGGTTCTTGCTAGAAGATGTAGGATCGGCAAATATAGTGGAAATTGCTGGCTTCATAAGGAACAATGTTGAGTCTTTTCCGAAGTAATATATTAATTTTAATTCTGATTTACTGCATATCATTTAATGGAGAAAGCAGAATGTAATTTCTTGTTACTAAACTATATTTTAAATTTAACATTATAAGAATTAATTATATTAAGCCACTTATTCCCCTTTAAACTGAAACAAAATTCTGTTTAAATTTAAAGTGGGGTTAACTTTTTTTTAAAAAACATTTTATATTAACAGATTTTAAAAATTTTTAAAATCTTAAAAAATTTAAATTGAGACAGTGCTTTGGATTTTAATTTATTTTTATGAAGAATAATTAAAAAATTATTCGATTCAGTATGAAAACTGCTTAATATGCATTGTAATTGCATTTTGCCTATTAAATTAGGTCAAAACTAATTTTATAAAAATTAGTATTTTCATCGTTAAATTTTCCTGTTGAAAAACAATTGTTGTTCAATTTATAGGGGGTCAAAGTATCCAAAACTGAAAATTTCCCCGATGTTTTTTGTTCCGATTTAAAGGGGGGAGTTAGTGCTTAAAAGTATGAATAAGATTGTCAATTCTTCTGAAAGTATTGTTGAGAGCGTTTTCAATTTCTTTAGTGAACTTATTATCAGCTTCCATTTCGGTAAGCTTCAAAGATAGCATTTCTCGCAAATAATTGATTTCATTCTTGCTTGGGAGCTCTAGAATTCCAGCAGAAATCATCATCAAGAACAGGTTAATAAGCCTCCTTCCATGCTTTCTTACAAGATTGTATGCTTTGCAGCAGTAATCCTTAAACAGCACAAACCCATCACTTTCTTTTCCACCCATAACATAGGCCATTTCTTCTGTCAGCACGAATTTACTCCTTTCTCTTTTAATACCGAACTTTTGCTTAAAGTTTCCTAAAAAGTGACCGAAGTCTATGTGGAATAGGTGCCCAGTCTCAGTGAGCATGATATTGTCGTTATGCCTATCACCAATTCCAAGTATATAGGTAGCAACACAGTATCCAGCGCAGCTCCTTATGAAATTGTCAAATGATTTATCGTACTGGTCTTCTTTTGGGTTGTGCTCTTTGAGATACTCTTTCAAAGGTTGCTTTTTCAAGGCTCCTAAAGCGCCACCATATGATGTTTGGATGTCTGCTGTGGTTTTTGACTGTGGAACCACTTGGATGACGCCTGATTTGTCTGCAGTTGCCACCACTCTATAAGGTTTCATACGAAGATCCAAGCCATTTTCAAGCCAAATCATATCCATCACCCTTATCATTTGCAAAGTAAGCACGTCTTGTCTTAAGTCGTCTCCATTCTTAAAGATGATGGGGATGTCGCCTGAGTTCATCTCAGAGTTAATAAGAGTAAGCCAAAGCGGCATTTTTTTTGAGCTCATGACTTTACTTTTATCTATTTTTATTAAGCATTATACGATTTAGCTATGGCGCTTACGTGCATATTCCATTTTGGCACGTGAATGTCAGAAAGGGGAGTCTTCGCGTTTCAAAATGGAATTGGCAAATGAAACATATGTAGAAATTTTGCAGTGTGCAATATTCCTTTAGCTTCCATTGCAGAGTCAACAGGCTCAGTGAAATAATCGTCAATTCTGCTCATATTTTCTGATAAAAGCTTCCTTAAATATGCAATTCTTTCCGCATGAGTTTCTTTGTCTTTGATGGCAATGCTCATATAGCTGAATAATTCTATCATATTAACTTCTTTGAATAAATCTTCTCTATATGACCCACAAAGCATCAAAAATTGTTCTAATATAAGCCCAAGCCTTTCACAAAGAGCTTTCACATGTAATTGGCTCCGGAGCTCCCAAAAAAGCTCATGCCCTACAATGTAAGGGTTTTTTAAGGATCTTTCTATTAGAAGCTCACCAAGAGGACTATAGTGCTGTGACTCAAAGCATAAGGCTTGTGCCAGCTGAGGCATATAAAGTGCTAAATCGTCGTCTGGGAGCTGAGCAATTCTTCGGCATGCATAAAGTCTAACATTTTCATCAGGAAAATCTGCATTAAGAAGACTTAGTGCATCTTCTGGCTGCATCTGGCTCCAGTTTTCAAGCATCCTGTAAGCTTCTTTGACCTGCAGCGGCCGACTTCAGTTGACTGATTTCAAAAATAGTGGTAGAGCTAATGGAAGAGTTTTATAGTGGTCTCTACAAATAAAAAGTAGCCTTCTTTCTTCTTCAGTCAGCTCACTCAATGGGTCATGCAGCAGGACTTTTTCTAGGCTTGCAAGCTCTTCAATTTGTGGACGGGTTTCTAATAATTTCCCATCCTCTTCCTCATGCCCGTCATCTCCAAGATATCCACTGATCCCTGCATTATTATTCATGCTAGTTTTCGTTCTTGTTTGGCGATTTTTTGCAGCTATTGTAGACCTATACGGCCTTGATAACCTCCTATACACCTTTTTCATATAATTATAGTCCTTTAGACTCCAGGTTACTTCTGAAGTAATGAATTTTTCGAATTGAACATAAATTCTTGCATATTCCAAATTATTTTTCAACATCACATTAGACGGTCTTGGACCAGTGATTTCGGTGCTTATCCCATGGTATTCTTCCATACAAGCTAGCCTGTCCTCCACCCTATAAAATGGTCAAATATTAAGCGCTATTAGCCCAGTCCTCATCACTCCTCGCTCATCAAAGAGCGTTTTTATCGCACACCCCAGAAGAGCAGTTTCCCCACTATGCCCACAAACATATATAGCGCTTTCCCGACGATGGCGCGGAATGGCGCCATCCTCGGGAAAGCGCTATACATTAAAATGGCGACACTTTAGCCTGCACTCTTGGAGCAACAGTCCAAACTTATGGCTACGGCGAACTGGGATGGACTCTGAGTTAAGAATCAAGTGCAGCAAAAGAGATGTGTATCCAGGTAGGTTTTGGCTGCTTTCCTGTGGTTGGAAATGGAGGTGTTCATCAACTCCTTTTGGATTCGAGGACACATAAGCATTCCTATGAGAAGCTGGGGGGTTTCTGCCCAGGCCATAGAGAAGTAGTCTTTTTCCTGTAGCTGTTGAAGGAAGGCACTTCCATACCCGACGGACTCCAAGGAGTTGATCCTTGGAATCAAGCTACTCCAATCGCCCGTAGCAGGGCCGCAGAAATCCATAAGTCGCCCACTCAACTGAAACTGCAAAGGCAAGGAGGAGACAGAAGGTACGCAGTTGCACCAATTATTGGGGGGATAGACCCTATGGACTGGAGTAGAAAAGCGGATGAACCTCAATTGGAGGTCTTTGGTACTTAGTCACCAACATGGCTAGCATCTGTCTTTAATAACCTAGTCTAACCCCACTATGCCCAACAGTATATATATTGATCCCCAGCCTCGTTTCCTTCGGCAGCTCTGATATTTTGATTTTCAAATCTACAAGTTGATAGAACCTTGAGTAGTACTGGAACGGATAAAATTTAATTTGCTTGTAGCATGAAGGTCTAAGAATTGAATCCCCATAAAGAAGCATTACTTCGAAGCTAAGTACATACGGAGTAAACGGAAGCCTAAATTGAGCTGAAAGATCTTGAGGAATATAGCAGGAAGGTCCATGATTTATGTGTGCAGATGAAGCCAAAGCTTGAAGTGCATTTCTTGACGACAGGCTGGTTCTTGAGCTTGACTTTTGTTTTCTGTTGAGGAGAGGAAGACTGGATTTCCTGAAATAGGAATTCGTGCTTCGGCTTCTTCCACGGTTGCTTTTGTCTTTTCCTTTTTCTTTGGCTTTTGGCATGATTACATATGCAGGAGTGTCTTCTCCGTTTTTGACAGCGTTTCCTCAGAAGGCTTCTGTGTATAAGTTATAGATCCCTTCAAGCCCACATATTTTGACCCGAAAAGGCCACTCACATTCTCCTGTGAACATTTCTTTATTTGACGCTACCCCTTTCATTAGTTTTTCTGTGATTTCAGTTCTTACTTGTGTTGGATTCATTTTATTTAAATGAAAAATTCTCGGCATAGACAGGAAAGGCTTCTTCTGCACAAGCTTTTCAGGTTCATAAGGCAAAGGAGCTGGAGGATATCAAAACATAAGCGGATGCTTCCCGTGTTCTGCTTCCTCAGCGTAAGGTGGGAATTTGGATTCTCATTTTTTTGGGACTTCAGTTAGCGTTACACTGAGATACTCCAATCCTCTGGCTCCCCTCCATTTAATGAACATCATTCATAATCGCTAAAAAAATTATTCTTCTTGGGCTATAATAGCAAAGGATCAAGCATTTATAAATATAAATCATACTTATATAAATCCCAATAAATAAAAAATATTTAATTATTTTCGAGCCCCAAATATCCCCAAAGAGTTCGATATTAAATGGGGAGAGTAAGAGCAATTCTAACTTGCCTGTACGCGAGCATTGGGTAGTTTCCAGTAAAGTATTCTCTTCTTCCTTTTACTTTAAAAGTAAGTTGATGCAGCTGGCTCTTTGGTCTTAGTTTTATACGATGGTTTTTGTATACATGTCTTACCATATTTTTAATAACTTCATTCGAGCACGTAACCAAGCTCGCCTTCACCCTTACCGTTTTTTCTGCCTTACTAAAAATAAAATTGGTGGTTTCATTATAAAGCCCTTCATCGTCTGAGTTTGGCGGAGAAAGCTCATCTTCATTGATATAATCGCCAATATCAACTAGTAGATTTATATCAGTGACATCTGCAAAGGCTGAGCTCAGCTCTCTACTTGTAAGGTTCCTTCTTACAACGCCTATTTTACAACGACTATTTTTTTGGCCTTTTTTTGCCTTTTTTTGGCCTGTTTTTTTTGACCATTTTTTAGGCTATTTTAATGGAAAAACTTTATATATAGCTTCTGTCAAAAACAAAAGACAAAATTGATTGAAAATCACCTCGAAATAGTTTATATGAAATCTTTTCTAAAGCAAATGAACAAAAAAGTCCAAAAATAATTTCCAAAAAAAAGACCAAAAAAATACGTAAAAAATAAGGCCAAAAAAAGTCATTATGAAATATTCGTCGTTGAAGAGACGACTTGTAATATAAGCAGGGTATGGATACGCATCCTGCTGCAATAAATAATTTCATAGTGCCCTTCTCCTATAATTTCAGCAGGCCTCTGACTCAAAAGTCCAGACTGAAATATCGAACCCTTTTAACGTCTCCAAGGTTTTTGCTTGGGCTTCGTAGCCTTCTTTGATGCTATCTGAAATTCCATTTTCATATGTAACTTCGTGACTTTCAAGGTTGAGCCTATACACCAGCCTAGTCTGTGGGTCCACGCATATCAGAAATTTATGCTCCATGTTTATAATTAAATTATGGAAGAAGAGCTCTCACAAATCAGACTTGACGAGATAGTAAAAATCATCACTGGTGACGAGCAGGTGTTTTACATTGAAAAATGCTATGCAGACATGTCGTATAATATGAAATGTGGGCTGAACTGTGTGAATATGGAGAGCATCAACAAAGAATTTAGGTTTCCCGATATCAGAGGTGAGGTCATGGAAAAAGTAATCCAGTATTTGCACTATAAGCTGAAGTACCAGCAGCTTTTGGACAGAGACGTAGTCAAAATGAACCAGGTCCCAAAGTTTGAGTTAGACCCAGAGCTTGCCTTGGACGTTTTAATAGCTGCTAACTATCTTCAATGTTAAGTAACTTAAAATAAGATAAAATGGATGGGGAAGAGCAGGCAGTTATAGTGCTTGATATCGGCACAGGCGTCAGCAAGTGTGGATTTGCTGGAGATGATGCCCCGCGCAGCATTTTCAGAACAAAAGTGGGGAGGCCTCGAGTTCCTGGGATCATGGTGGGGATGGATCTGAGAGATGCCTATGTTGGCGGCGATGTGATGGACAGACGAGGACTATTGAACTTGACTTATCCAATGCAAAAGCGGCAAATTGAAGATTGGGAAGATATGATTAAGGTCTGGCACCATGCCTTTTATAACGAGCTCAAGGTCGCACCTGAAGAGCACACAGTTCTTTTGTCTGAATCTCCACTTAACCCTCCGAAAAAGAAAGAAAAAACGATGGAAATTATGTTTGAAGAGTTCACAGTGCCTTCATTTTATACAAGTGCAAGCGCTACTCTTGGTCTCTTCGCAGCTGGCACTACAATAGGATTAGTTGTGGACAGTGGAGAAGGCGGAACCCATACAGTCCCAGTCTACGAAGGGTACAGCTGTGTCCATGCAATAAATTCTCTTAAATTCGCAGGTGGGGAGTTAACAAGCACGTTAAGGGGTCTTTTAGACGAAAGAGGTTACTCTTTTACAACTTTGAAAGAAATTGACGTGGTTAGAGACATTAAAGAGAAATTATGCGCGATTAAAGAAAATTACAGTAGCGCTGCTGAAAGCGAAGAAGTGGCAGGGGAAGACGTGCTTTATGAGCTTCCAGACTCGCATACAATTCTGATCAAAGATGAAAGATTTAGAGCGCCTGAAGGACTGTTTAACCCAGGGATGTTTGGAATTGAGGACGATGGGATTCATCATAAGGTGTATCAGAGTGTGATGAAATGCGATCAGGACATCAGGAAAGAAATGTACGACAATATTTTGCTAGTTGGAGGCACAACGCTAATCAAAGGACTTAAGGAAAGGCTAATTAAGGAACTTATACCTTTAGCTCCTGTGGGGACCAAACCAAAGATCGTGGATCCACCAGAGAGGGAGTATACAGTGTGGATTGGAGGCTCAATTTTAGCATCTTTGAGTAGCTTCCAAAGGATGTGTATCACAAAGCAACAATATGAAGAACAAGGTTCTAGGATTATTCATATGTACACTGAGCATAACAATAGCTTAGACTTCTCTATCTTCTCTATCAGGAATAAGGAGCTGGCTTTCCAATATTGTTGGTAAAATATTTCACAAGCGGAAGAAGCTCATCCTCAAGTTATTTTGTCCATTGGGAGTTTTTTGGGCTAATAAAACTCGTTCATTTAACTCCCTATACCCGTTATAAAAAATAAAAATGTCCAAGCTATAACCATAGCTAAGTAATAAAATGCTAATTTAATCTAATTTCTGACTCTTGCTATATGTTTTTTGAATTTTTTTTGAATTCATAAATAATGTCAACCCAAGAGAGCTCCTTGGAAAATAAAATAAAAGAAGTCCTGTCCCAGTATGCCTGCTATAACTGTGGAACACCTCTACACATTTCAGAGCACACTCCGTTGAGCACATTTTCAAGAGAAATGTATAGACAAGATTCAAATACTTCATGTGTAGGCAATGAAGAATCTGCTGATAAACTTACCATGCAAGCTCCAGGATATCCTTTTAGAGCTTTTAAGTCTAATGAAGATCAGCTGCATATTGAAATGATTCGTCCAGGAGGGATGGCTGGAGACACAGGCAATGAAAGTTATCGTACTTCAATTGACAGAAATGGAATAGGCAATATTGATGAAGGCTCAAACCAATATTATTCTCCACGGTCAGCTTATACCCCTAGCACCCCTAGCACTGGGATTCTAATCCCTTTAGGAAATGGCGAAACTGTAATTTCGCATGGAGATGGGATCAAAAAATTCAGAACCAATATAGAAAATAATCGTTGGCTAAACGAAATAAAGCCTCCTGGATCTCCAAGTAAGGCTAGGAGTAAAATTTTACTCAAAAGTGCCACGCCTAGTGGCTTTCAAACAGCCCGAACACCAAGCACAGTGATAGTTCAAGTAAGAGAAAAAGATAAAAAGGCTCCTCAAACTGTAAGAAGTCTGAGCTCCCAAAAGCCAAGGAGAATTAAGGAGGTATCAAAAATGAATATCAGCTTAAAAGACCTTACCAAAATCGAGCCAAAATCAAGCTTCCGATCATCTCCACAGCCTTCTTCAAATAATTTATCTGTGAAAGCAAAAGTTCAGCAAATCAACCTAGTAGAAGAAATAAGAAAGAAAAAAGAAACTGAAGGACAGTCTAAAGGAAGCTCTTATAGTGGCAAAATCTCACAATTGATGATACAAAATAGCAGAGTACGGAATCCTATATATCTGCAAGCTAAAATAGTGAAAACAGATAGTCAGATAAATATCTGAAGTGAAAAAAATTCTTTGTGTAGTACGCCAGTCGAGCAAATTAAGCAATAAAGAGTCCTGTAAATCTGAGTAGGTTCAAAAATAATAATCATTTTTGCATATAAAATTTAATTTGGTTTATAATGATAAATTAAATAAATTAGTAAAATATTGTTCAAGTTGTTTTTAGGATTTTTTCTAGAGATGGGTAATCTCAGTTTAATACAGATGTCTTTTAGCATAGCGTTACATTAAAAATTCGATCTCAATAATCATAATAACTGCTTATTTAGTGTTAAGAAAATTTAGGTTGAAATTGATGTATTTTTAAAATAGTTTAGCTCTTTTACTTATTATATAAAAATTTACCATGTAAAAATATGTAAAATTGGTGAGCTTAAAGTTATACTATATATTTAATTATATAGATATGTTTCGTTCTTTTACGCTAGTGATAATTTTTGCTTTTCTCTCGTGCTCAGCAGTCACATTAGTATCATTTGAAAGTGTTGACATTGTAAGTGATGAGTCATGAACTGTTCAAGGCACAAATTATATGGGCAAAGCGGTTGAGGCATGGAATCATCCTCAATGAACTTCAATTTCTGGAGCAAAATGGATCTGGAAAAGCTTTTATGCTGAAGATCCGTGAAATGGAGAGACCTATATGTTCCAAAAGGAGTTCAGTATCAATGGGCTTCCTACTCAGTCTTCGCTCACAATTGCAGCTGACGATAGCTTTGCACTTATTCTTAATGGAAACTTAGTAGCATCTTCTCAAAACTGAAATGAAGGGCAGGCTCAAACTTTTAATGTGCAAGGCAAATTATTGCAAGGTAGAAATACTGTGCAAGTCGTTGTAAGCAATTATGTTCGAGATGGGCATTCGCAGTTCAATACAGGTGGTCTTCTCTTTAAGCTAACTGTTACATGACTTAATATATAAAAGTTATGATCTTCAAGAAATTTAATATCAAAAAAACATAAAATTGTCTATTTGTTTAAAGAAAAATACTTAAACTTTTATTTAAAAAAAAATACAAGCGTTTACAATAATCAAATTAAGAAGCAGCTTTAGCTATTATTGATTGCATATGTTGGAAATCTTTTTCAAGTGCTTGAAGATCATGCTTTAGCTCCTCCACCCTCTTCTTTCTCACTTCAAGGTCGGTATTTAGTTGAGTGCTATTAACAATTCCAGTCTCTTGCTTATGCTTCATAAATCCTGACCTCACCTCTTCTTGCTCCAATTTCTGCTTGTGGAGCTCTTTCCTTTGTGCATCGAGCGACTTGGCAAGATCGTCACGTTGTCCTTGCAGTGCCAACTTTTCAGCCAAAATAAACTTCAGCTTCTCTTTTGTATGAGTCAAAATTTGTACTGTAGTTTCAATTTTCTTTCTCAATTTGTGGAGCTCTTCATTTCTTTCTTCTATTTTCTCATTAAGCGTTTGGTTTTCTATTTTAAGCTGTTCATAATCAATAAGATGCAGCCCTTCTGCTAACTTTTCTTTATCCTTGCTTTGTTCTTCCAGCTTCATAAGCCTATTTTTCAGAGTAATATTCTGTATCCTCACTTCTTGAAGAGTTTTATCCCTTTCACTCTCCGCGTTTTCCCACTCATCAATCGTCCTCTTCGTTATCGGCTTTCCAGTTCTGCTGAACTCTGCCCCTTTTGCGACCTCTCTCTTAAAATCTCTAAAATAGTTCTGTATTTCTTTGCACCTCTCTTGCTTCTCTATGATATTTTCCTCATACACTTGAGCCCAGTTGTTATAAGTGTCTTGCAGTTCTTGCATTTTGAAGTCAACTTGATGCACATTTGCCAGCGTATTTAAATATTTATGCAAAGTCATAGAGTCCTCACTCCCCCCCCCCCCCCTCCGTGAGCGAACAAAACCATTAGAAAAATCGCCATTTTTTGACCAAAAACCCACCCTCCGTGAGTGAACAAAAATTTTTTTAATAGAAAAAATTTTAATGGAAAAAAATTTTGATATATAAGTGATAATTAGTATAATGAAATCTAGAGCTAATTCTGTTTAATTTTAAACAAATTGCGTTTTAAAACATAAATTTTGCAAATTAAATTAATATTTGCTTCCCAATTTTTGCAAATTAGGATTTTTTTTAAATTTCGAAAAAAATATTTTTTATAAAATTTATATATAAATTTTTTTTAAAAAAAAAAATTAACCCCCCTCCGTGAGCGAACAAAATTTTTTTGTTCGCTCACGGAGGGAGGGGGGGGGGGAGTCAGTCGTTTTTTCTTGGAGTCCTCCCATTTTTTGCCGAATTCCGATGACTCGTTTTTCTAGATCTGCGTTTTCGTTTCTCAGTCCTCTTTGGCCTTCCATGAGGTCAATTATAGAGTTCATGAGCTCTTCTTTTACGAGCTCTTGGGACTCTTCAGGCTCATCTTCTTTTTCGCTTTTCAGCGACAGCTGGGACTCATTTTCGTCGGCTTCGTTTTTTTCTTTGGATGATACTACTGATCCTTTTGCTTCTGGGGTGAGGACTTGAGAACCACTGAGCTTTTGCTGAGATCCTCGAGCTACTGAAGATGTAGCACTCTGAGGTGGCTCATTCTCTTGGGCAATTCTAAGTTTTTCCAGCTCTTGGAGCTCTTTTCGCTGCTGCTCTCTAGTAATATATCGTTGGTTCGCTTCGACGTTTTCTACCTTTCTCTTTTCTTCTTCGTATTCTTTTTGTCTCTGCTGAAGCATGGCTTTTCTTTCTCCTGATTTTGCTTCTTCGTATAAGTGGCGAGGGTCTGGGAAGATTTCAAGCCTCATTCTTTGGACGAGCTCTAAATGGTCTACTTTTACCTTTTCGTTGGACTCAACTCCATAAGGGATCGTGTTTGGGTTGCCTCTTACATAGATTTCGACATAATTCAGGCCTTTACCTTCTGCATCATACTGTATGCCTTCAGGGAAGTTAAAGGAAATGGTGAATTCTTGGTTACTGACGTCGAATTCTATTTGAGATGGGCTGACTATGGCTTTTTCTTTTAAGTTTTGGGCATCTACAACTCTCAAGGCGTAGACTCCAATATTGGCTCTTTTCATGAGTCCTCTTACGTAGATCCCTGAGTCTTTTTTATTGATTTCAGTTATTTGCACTCCTTTGTGGCTAAAAGCATAAACAAGCACAAGTCTGAGATCTTTTGCTGCAACTCCAATACCAACGTGATTTACGCCAGGGTCCAGAATCAAACTTCTTTTAAGCTCTACAAGCAAGCCGTGGGCGTCCACAAACGGTTCGATTAGATGTTTAGTATCAGTTGTTTCTTCCTCCAAAAAAGTGATAGCTGTGCATGAGCTGAATTTTCCAACCCCTTTTCCTTCACTAATGATTTTTTCTAAAACATCTGAGTCTTCTTCCTCTTCTAGCACGTATTTGGTGTACTCTTGAAGCGATTCTGTGGTTAGCAAGTCTAAAGTGATTTCTTCTAGGCCCACCCCGTCTTCTTGCCGAGTATTATTGATGGCCCTTAGTAACTCCCTTCGAACTTTTCGAAGTGGATCAAGTGGAGGGAGGTTTTTATATGCAGGGATTTCGTCAAAATTGATATCGTCATCGTCGAACTCATTCTCTTCTTCTTCATTTCTTTCCTCTCCACCTTCTTCTGCATACTGATACGGCGACCCTTCTTCTTCCTCTCCATATTCCCCTGAGTATTCTCTTTGCTGGCCTTCTTGCTCCATATAGTCTCCTTCCTCTTCAGCATATTCTCCTTCTTCACCATACTCTCCTTCTTCAGCGTAGTCGCCTTCTTCCCCTTCGTAGTACTCTCCCTCTTCCTCTCCTGAAAACTGCTCTTCCTGGACTTCTTGAGGATCTTCCATTTTAAAAATTTAATTGAATAAGAGAAGTTACTTAATTAATCGGCGTCTTCCCATCCTGCAGAAGCACTTCCGTCCAAGTCGATGGCTGAGCAGTGGGTGATTGCGTAAAGAAGTTTGTTCTTCATTGCGTCCCTGGTGGTATATGGAGGTAGATCAATGGTGAAGAAGCAAGTGTGAGTGACTGGCAAATAGTTGTTTACGGCGCCAGGCGGGTTGTACCTTGTGATCTTCATGTGTCTCCAGTCTCTTCCTGAAGGCAGTCTGGATCTTCCCCAGATGAACTTGATTAATAGAGACCTTTCTTTTTGTGACATTTCTCCAACGACGTCCCAGAAGAGCTGAATATGTGCATCATTTATGCCGCAGCTTTCATAGTCAGTGTTGCCTTTCAGAATGTCGATGTCGATGGTAGGAGCTCCACATACCAAAGTTTGGACTTGTCTCCAGCTGAATAAGTTCAAATAGTCAAGAGGAATGACCGCGCTGATGCCTTTTCTGATCATTTCGTATGCTTTTGCACCTTCATTGAGTCTGAATTTCTCAACTAGTTCTGCGTATTCTTTGGCATCGTCAAAAGTGACTTGTCTATTGGCTCCGTTTTCAATGAGCTCGACGTCTCGGCCGCTGGTGTCCTTGGTTGTGAATTTGATATCATATGCGTCGCTGAAATTGTCCTTCGTTATTGAGTTCGCTTCGAGATTTCGCAAAATTTCTAAAATTTGGACAGTGCAGACATCAGTAGCTCTCAGATCTCTTATATCGACTGGGTCAAGTAAAAGCCGTTTCCAGAACAGAGGGGAAAGAGATAGATTGAGGTTGTTCTGAGTTCTTATAGCTGCTCCCATGAGTTTTCCAAGGAATAGGTAAAGCTCCATATCGTTTTTGGTTTCAGCTGCAGGATTTACAATCCAGCAGTCTCGGTTTTCTCCCATGTTGTTGACATTGTTAGGAATAGGGATCAGTAATCTCAAGAAAGATGACATTAATTCGTCACACATATTGCTGATTGTTTCATTGTACGGGCCGCCTGCATCTGTTGCAGCCTCTCCTCTATAAGTGACTCTGAAGAATCTTTCTGAGTTCCTGTACTCTCTGTTGCCTTTAGTAAGCATTAGTCTATAAACTTGGCCAAAGACTGAGAACTGTCCGTTTACGTCGACATCTTTTCTGTGTCTGTGTCTTGCTGCTTTTGGCCTGTCAACTGTGATTTCAGTTCGTGACTCGCAGGCTGTCTTGGATAGTCCTTCTTTTAGCAGCCCATTCTTAAGCTTGAAGAAAATGTAATTTCTGGAGCCCATGAAGACGCGCTGGAGCTCTGTCATGCTTGAGTAAGACTCAACATGGAGATTAAAGAGGTAGAGCAAGTTCTCTATTCTTGAGTTGAAATTGACCAAGATCTTATAAAGCTCAGTAATGTCGTCTTTAGAGAGCCTTTCCAATTCAGGGTAATAAATAAGTTCATCTGCGGTAGGATTCAGATTTTCTGGGGTCAGCTGTAAAACTTCAAGACCTTTAGCTTGAGTCATTTCATCAAGATAAATAACAAGTTGATCAGCAGCTCCTGACTTGAAAAGCTGAAGGAATTTAGCCCTGTACCCATCTTTCCACTCTTTTTGAGTCTCTTCACTTAAGAAGCTGAGAATTGACTCTGTGATCTTTGCATTTCTTCCTCTGAATGAAGGTACAACCTTGACTTTGTATCCCCACTCCTCTTTATCAGGTGCTTCTACTGGATTCAAGATATCGATTTCATTCGGGATGTTTGGATCTGCTATTATAGCAAGTGATTGATTTTGGACAGTTAAAACAGCCCCAAATTTGTAAGTTTCTCCAATTGCTATGTTTTCATTTATAAAGCGTATCAAGAAGATGCCATTTTTGAAGAACATGATTTGCTTTGCTTCCATGTCAATATAGCAGCCAATGGTGTCTCCAGTAGTAAAGCCATCTGTCCCAGAATCATGTGAAGATATTTTTCCAGTCGAATAATAAATCGCTTGTCTTTGGTCTTCTGCCTTATTTTCTTCAATGGAACTCTGGTGGAAGAATCCTACTCCGACTTCTTCTTCTGAGCAAATTTTTACTTCAGCGTAGTGTCTTCCATTTTCAACTCTTGCAGTTGTTGAATGTATGGTTTGGCCTTCACCTGTCTTCGAAATCGTAAGCTCATCTGCGCTTTTCACAGAATTAGTATTGCCTTCCCAGAAATACCGGCTGGTAAAGCCTTTATTGATAGGGAACCACAAGTAGACTGAACTTCCAGCTACTTCGATTTTCTTGTCGCTCATGCTTGCATTTCCAGCTGAAGAAACCTGCTCGACTGACCTGATAGTCACTAGCTGGTTGGAGCCGCCAAAGCATATGACTGGGACGACGGCATCAGCGATATCAGTGAACTTGTAGACTTCAACGTCATTTTTGAAAAAAGTGAGGACCTTAGAGTTCATGTCAATCTGCATGCCGACTAAATCTCCAGTTGTATAGCTTGGCTGACCGTCTTGGCTACTTCCTTTCTTGCAGAACTCCCCTGAGATCTTCCAACTCCAGACTGGGGTAGGTGAGTCTGTGCCTATATATGTGCTTAGAGAGTATTCCTCTCCAGCTTTGAAAACTCCAATGTACAGGTAGGTGCTATCTCCTGAGTTGTCGATATAGAACTTAATAGTTGTCACTTTGCTTGAGTAGGTTTCGTTCCACAGGGCACATCCCCATCCGCTGGAGTTGGTTCGTGTCACTGTCATGTTATTGTTGGAGAATGAAATATCTGGGCCTTTTGGATCGTTTGCCCATTTGGCGTCCTTAAGCTGCCTAATAGAAGTGAAGTCTTGGGCGTTTTTCAGTCCTGCTTCATCATATGATAAGTAAATATCATCATATGGAAGCACCTTGGTCTGAGGATCGAAATCAAGTGTTAATGAGCTGGCTCCTTGGATTTCTAGTAAGTTCTTTTTCATGATTCTTTCATAAGGATGGCTTGACTCAAATATCTTTTCAAGGGCATTTACCTTAGTTCTGAAATTCTCGAATAAAAAGTCTTCAAGCGAAGCATCCTTGTCAGCAAGTCCTTTCATATCTGAAAGAAGTTCGCAGAAGTCGACAAACCAATTCTCGTTGATGTCAATTTGATACCTATCTTTATTTTGTGCGAGCAACAAGATAAGGGCTTGCAAGAGCGGGTGACTAGACTTTGCTGACTTATTTGCGTTGTAAAGGGTTGTGGCTTCTTGCAGGAGAAGCTGCAATATATTTTTCATAGTTGAGTGCTGCTGTCCTCTAAGAAGTTTGCGAATGATATCAATGGCTTTGCATTTTTCATCAGTCTGACTTGCTGTAAGAGAGAATAAGAATAAAGGTTGAATCAGTCTTGGAGACAGTGAAAGCTCCAAGCCGTTGTCTAGCTCAGCAATTTTCGCGATTTTTTCAAGCATCCAGAGAGCAGAATCTGGCCTTTCAACTGAATCTCCAGAAGTAGAGCCGACAGGAATTACAGTGAATTTATAGCCCCAGTAGTGGACAGACCCATCTGAATGGAAATAAGTATAAACAGTATCTCCAGGAACGTCAAGAGGCTTCCATACTGATTCTCCTTGTCCTGTATAGCAAGCTAGCTCTCCGCTTCTATTAGGACCTTCGTAGAACCTCAGCTGGTCGCAGTTGTTTTCTGTGTAGCATTGAGAGTCAAACTCGATTCTGAGTGCCCTTGCCCCGCGAATAGAAATTACGTCGTCAACGTTCATATTGTCTTCATAAGGGTGGTTGCTTTCGATAATTAAAGACGCCAGCATTCCTCCGATTGCATCTGAAGGCTGAATGCAGTATTTGAGAAGCTTCTCAAGCGACTCCTTGACGACTTCTTCCCTGAATTTAACCAGAGAACTGTTACCAAGAAGTACATCAAAGGAGTTGCTTACTCCCCCCCTCCGTGAGTGAACAAAAAAATTTTGTTCACTCAAGGAGGGGGTTAATTTTTTTTTTTAAAAAAAAAAATTATTTATAAATTTATATAAAAAATATTTTTTTTTCGAAATTTAAAAAATCTTAATTCGCAAAAATTGGAAAGCAAATATTAATTTAATTTATTAAATTTATGTTTTAAAAAGCAATTCGTTTAAAATTAAACAGAATTAGCTCTAGATTTTATTATGCTAAATCATTTATATAGTACCCCCCCCCTCGTTTGTCGCATTTTCTAGTTTTTTTTTATAAGAGAAAAAAAAATTTTCAGGACCTCATTTGTCGCATTTTCTAGTTTTTTTTTAAGCCAAAAAAAAAATCGGTTCAGGACCTCGCTTGTCGCATTTTCTAGTTTTTTTTCTCTCTATAAATTCCTAAAAATTAAAATTCGTCAAGGGATCAGTTAGTGAAATTTCATCATTTCTTCCTTCAAAATCCTTGCTCCCATTCCTCAATCCCCACAGCTTGCTTCCCATTACCTGCTCCCATTGCTTAAGCCTCACCACTTGCCATTCACCATTCTTATTCCCCTATCTTCATGCCTATTTCCTTATTTGATAGCTTAATTTCTAGTCTTCCATATTAATTAATGGAGTTGCGCGAAATTGAGGACCAGCCGATAAAAATCCGGCAATGATTCAAAGCATGGCCTATGGAGAGAGGCTCAATGCAAAGCAGATCCAAGAGCGTCTTGCTGCTTGTGGCAAGGACATGAGCCTGACGACGATCAGGCACTACACCAACAAGTTCAATCCTGAAGAGCACACTTTAGAGCTCAGGCGGAAGCTTGTGGACCATGGACTATCGCCTCCTCCTAAGAAAATGGAATGATGGAGAGAGCATAGTCAAGAGGATCATTGACGTAGGTTTCTTTAAAAACGAAGAACTTGCGACAATCTTGGGGACTTCTAAACGGACTATTGAGCGAATTGCTGCAGAGAATACTGAGAGTGAATCTGACGAAGCGGCTGGAAGAGAAGAGGCACTATCCAGATCTCCCCTAAAGCATTGAAGTGATGAAGACTTTGCTGAGGTCATTAAGGAATGTGAGAAGGATACAGGCTTTGTCAGTAAGGCAAGTTTGAGGGCCCAATTCAAAAGAAAGACAGTTGACATCAGCGAAGAACAGCTAGGAAAAGAGCTGAAGAAGAGGGGATATGTCTATAGGAAGAAGAGGACTGTTCTACAGCTAACTGAAGCTCATAAAGAGCAGAGAATGTCCTGGGCTAGGTCTTTGATTGACTCAGATATCGCTTCATGGATCTTCAGTGATGAGTGCTATGTGCATCTCTTTCGTAACTCTAATTTGTGCAAAGAAGGGATAAACGCAACGATTGAAGAGCCTATCAATTGAAAAACCTCAATTATGATCTGGGGAGGAATTTCTATCGTTTTTGGCAAAATGCTCTTCATAAAGAAGGAGAAGTATGCAATCAATGCCCAGGTCTATATCAGAGACATTCTCCAGGGCTATATTGAGCCTATGGAGACTACACCTTCGTTCAGGATGGGGCAACAGCCCATACTGCAATGCAGACTATGGAATATTGCAGAGAAAGCGGGATTGATGTGAAGACTCAATCGCCGAAGAGCCCAGATCTCAATCCAATTGAGATGATCTGGGCCAATTTGAAGAGGAAAGTGGAGAAAAGAAGGCCTGACAGCAAAGCCAGACTAATTGCTGCCATTCAGGAGTCATGGGACGAAATTTCTTTTGAGGAAGTGAAAAAATTCCATTCTTAAGGTGAAAAATGAAAGAGCAAGGCAGGTCATTGAAGCGCAAGGAGAATGGAGTTAATAAGCTAGCTAATTTAATCTATTCTCTAAAAGGGGAGAGTAAAGTGGGAAGGGACTGGGAAGGACTGGGAAGGATTGGGAAGGACTGGGAAGGACTCGGGCCTGCTAACCCTCTGCAGGCAAATGTAAGGTAAACTCCTCTATAATTACTCAATTAAATTAATCAGAAACTATTTTTTTAAAAAAACTAAGATTTGCGACATCAAAAAAAAATTAAAAAAAACTAGAAATTGCGACAAATGTATTTGCACTAGAAAATGCGACAAACGAGGTCTTGCAAATTTTTTTTTCCCTTAAAAAAAAACTAGAAAAATGCGACAAACGAGGGGGGGGGGGGGGGGGGGGTACTATATATCAAAAATTTTTTCCATAAAAAAAATTTTTTTCACTCACAGAGGGTGGGTTTTTGAGCAAAAAATAGGGATTTTTCTAATGGTTTTGTTCACTCACGGAGGGGGGAGTTAGCATGTTCAAGTCTTCTCCAAGGAAGTCAACAACTTTTCCGAACCCTTCTTTATCTGAAAGAGAAAGCAAATAGGTTTCTGAGGCCTTAAGTAAGCTTAATAGTAGCTTTTTTGATGATTTTTGAAGTCTGCTTTCTTCAACCCTCCAGAGTTTGCTGAACAGTTCCATGACTGATAATTGGTCGTATTTCACTTCTTCCTCTTTTCCAGCTACCTTCTTTTCTCCGCCTTCAAATTGATCCACAATTCCAAATGCGGAAGCTGTGGCACTGACTGAGCTGAAAGGAGTGATAAAACAGTCGAGCAAGCTTTGCTGGTATTTTACAGCCACAAATATATAGTAGTTTTTCTCATTTTTAGGTGCTACGTTCAGAGCTTTTCCTTCTTTATCACAAATAAGCAAAAATCCTCTAGGAACTTGCACAGAGTGGACTTTGGCAGTTTTGATCAAGGCAATGTCTTTGATTGAAGTCTCTTTTTTGGAGATAGGAGAAATCTTGGCCCATACAGGGAGGCTGCGATCATTAGCTGTTGAAATTGCGAATTCGCCTAGGTTTTCAGCATCTCTAATGGATTCTCCAATGCAGAATCCAGTACATACGTTGCCTTCAGTCAATTTTTCTTTCTTGAAAGCCAAGATTTTGCGATTAGGGATGTCGTACTCAATTGCTTTACCATCTTCATAAACAGGCGCTACAATAAATCCTTTAGGCACATCAGCCAAGGTATCAAAGAGCTTGACACTAATAATGCTTTCATAGATCAAGGACAGAGTTTCTCCGCTCATTGATTTTTGGTCATGGTTTGCATATAAATAATTAATTGCAGATAATAAATCGTCATTTTTTCCTAGTGCTTCAGTTATTTGCTCGTCAGAGTAGCCCATCATCCTGAGTCTCAGCCTATCATTTGAGTCTTTTTTGCACTTCACAGTTACGTAGTTTTCTCCTCCAGCATTAGGAGCTGCTTTGTTGTACTTATTTTTGAAGGCTCCTTCATATTTTCCGTCATGAATTTCAAATGCTAGCAAGCTTGCTGATTCCCCTTCCATCATAAAAAGTCCAAATTTGCCGAGTTCTAGGCCATTAAAAACTGAATTCGAATGCACATCAGTGTGGCTTGTCCCATAAACCACTGACAGATATCCAGAGGGTTTCGAAAAAATCCTCAATTCGACAGGCTGTGATAAATTGACCTCGCACGCAATGTCTCCATTGACCATAAGGCAAGCGAAGCCAGGATCTTGAGTGATCCTTAGTTCTAAGTCTCCTAATTTGAGCCCATAATTAAGCTGGTCACCAGATGGAGTTCCTTCTAATGCAGCCAAAAATGTGAGGGAAGAACAGAAAGTTTCAAGATTATGGAATATGGTGGCAGGAATGGATGCTGTGATTTCTTTTCTGAGTGCTGAGTCACCTGAGTTTGAGATAACAAAGTGGCTTTGCTTGTTTTGGAAAATTTCTGCATGGCCCTCAGGGTCCTTTGTTTGGAAATTAATGCCGCCAAGGCTGTACAGAACTCCTAAAGATGCCTTTTGCTCTTTTGCTGGGTCTTGATAGGAAAGGATCTTATCCATTTCTTTGATGCCTTGCTCAAAACATTTGACGATTCTTAAGACTGGGATGTCAAGCGAGAGGAGTTCAGTTGCAAGAATTTGGTCCTCTTCTTTCATCTGGGCGAGCTTAGCCATTGCTTGCTCTTCAGTCATTTCTTTTTCTTCTTCCTCTTCAGCCTGCACATTTTTCTTGAGCTTCTTATTAATTTCAGTCATAATTGTGCTATACAAGTCTCTGGAAAAGTTCTGGCTTACATTTTTCTTTTTAATAACCAGTCTTAGGACATCTTCAATTTCTGACTCATTTGCCATATCTTTTTTCTCAAAGAGATCAGAAATGCATAAAAGTGCATACATATCAATTTTGGTGTAGAGTACTCTCAGCTCTCCTAGCATGTCTGCTTTACCTTTAAGCGGTTTTTCGTAAGATTCTTGCAGCGCTTTCCAGAAGTCCATGACGGATCTAGCTAGATTCTTTTTCTCATCTAAACTTAGCTCTGTATAAAAGTTATTCGTTACATACGGTTCTACTGCTTCAATATTTGCTTCAGGCTCAATCAGTTCAGAGTCTTCTACAACTGAATAGACAGTGATATTAACTCCATCAATATTCTTTATAGTTCCTTGGGCGAAGTTGCTTGATTTTAGTTTAATTCTGGAGAGCTCTAAAGGCACACTGTCAACTTGGTCATTGTTTTTAGCAGAACTTCCTAAGAAATAAAGCACTCCAATATGGCTCAGATCAAGAGGAGTTCCAGAAATTAAAGAAGAGACTGCTTTTTGCAAGCTTTCAATTACTTTGTCAAGTATATGAGCTCTCCACCTTTCAACGGCACCAAGAGCTAATATTAAGCTGATAATCTCATATCCCCATCTATAAAGAGCTTTTTGGTGCTCTTTTTGCCCATACCAAAAGCTAGCTTTGCCGAGTTTATTGAAAAGCAAAGTGGTGAAGTCAAGCTTGCGCTCTGTTAAAGGTAAATATTTGGTGAGATTGTCCCATGCTTTGGAAAATGATTGACTCCCCATTCTCCATAAGTGATAAACATGTTTTTGCCTCTCAGCAATTGTATTAATTTTTTATTGAACAATTTTTTCTTTATTAGCGCAATATTAATTAATGTATAAGTTTATGTGTTATAAAGCAAAAAAATTAAACTCAGCAGAATTATTTAGATATTTATCATTATAATTATCATGTATATTAAAGCATTCATAAAAAAATTTTTGCTTGAGTTTTTTTCCCAAAATTAGGGGTTCTTCCAATGGTTTTGATCACTCTCAAAGGAGAGAGTGAGGAGAGTGCTGACCTGGAAGTACTTTGGCAAGGATTCTTGCACCTATTAAGATGGTGTTTTCAGATGAACTGAGGAAGGTAAGCTTGAGAAGCTCTTCCAAATATTCTTCTCTTGCCAAAACCGATACGATGCAATTAGAGCCAAAGCAGCCATAGAGTGTCCATAATAATGACCCAATATAGTTGGACTGCCCTTTCCTTTCTTTCAAAATTTCCTCACAAGAAGCTGGCAGGTCATCATAAATCCTAAAGACTTCTTGAAGCTCATTATAGTAGCTTTCGAATTTCTGCTGATTTCTAATAATTGCATGGAGAGTCACATACAAATCAAGGTTTTGTGATGAGTTTTTGAATTCATTCGGAGTTTTCTCGTCCAATTGTGATTTGTCAACAATTCCTGGTGTTTCAGACTGCACAAATCTTTCCAAAATCTGCGTAAAAGAATTCTCATCAGTCCTCGTCAGTCTTGCTGCAATGATTTCTTGGATCCTCGAAATGTTGCTCATATCATAGTCTCTTGAAGCTGTATAAAAGTCTTCAGGGAGTGTCTGCCACAGTTTAGAGTTTTCTATATATTCTTGGACATCCAGTGGGAAGTCTCCAGCCAAGCTCCTCAACACCCTCAAATATCTGAAAAAGTCAAATTCTCCTTTGTAGTTCTTGTTCTCTTCAAATGATTGTAAAGTGGATGCAATGACTTCGTCGACATAGACAAGGTCATTGTGAGTAAGGACTCCCTTCATTGCAGGGTCAGCTTTTTCTACAAATTCATTGATCACGTCTTTGATCACAAAGTCTTCATAGTGCTCAATCTCAAATTTAAACTGCCTGAGCCATTCCACCATCGGGTTTTTCTGGTACCCTTTGGGAACTAGCATTTGTCCAATCCAAGGAGACCCACTGCTGAGTTTGCCGATTTTGAAATCTTCTGAGTCTGGCTGATGCAAAGTGTCATCCCATTTGAGCTCAACAAAGAGGACTCTGACGAAAAGTTCCTGGACAAGGATTTTTTTGGATTCGTTATATTCATTCATGGAGCCTACAATTGAGTACATAAGAATTTTGAATAGCGACCAAGCGCTCTTGCTGAGTCTTTCTTTCAGCCTTTCTCTTTCCTTTTTCTCTTCAGCTGGCTCTGAAGCAGCAATTTCATCCCAAGAAGTAAAGGTAGGATTGCTAAGGTCAGGAATATCAGTCAGATACTTCCCGTCACTTCGCGGGTCTTCTCTTTTGACCATGATATACTTGGTTTGTCCTGCAATTACGATAGGCCCTGTTGCATCTTCATAGTCTTCTAGCTGAGAATCAGAAATGATAAGCTCAGATATTGGTAGCACATTTTCGCCTCCTTTATCCAAAGAAATTCAGGTTTCTGTTCCTTCTTCAGTTCTGTTTGCTAGAATCTTGGCGGATTGGATGCCTGATGAGTCTCCTTCAAAAACGCCGAGCCTTGTGATGCACTTGTTGAGTTGGAATGGTCTGTTGATGACTTCTTCACCAACATGTCCTTTGGCCCAACTGAGAAGAATGTTTACAGTTGAGGTCAGCTGCAGCTCGAGGATCATATAAGCGTCAACGCCTCTGAGAGGGCTGCTCATTGCTTCTAAGACACTTAAATAGTGGTTGTATGCATGCAGTGTGAGTGGTCTTTGTCTTGATCTAATTAGTTCTTTTTGTAGAAGTCCAAAGATCTGGTAGAATGATTTTTGGACTATTGAGAGCAAGCAAGGATCAACTCCTTCTAACCCATTCATTCATAGAATTTAAATAAAAATTGATGTATTAAAATTATTTTTATACAAAAATTTAAATAAAATAAATTTTTAGATAAAAAACCATTCAAAACTTGTAGTAAGCTATGCCAATAATGCTTCTTTGTTCCTTTACTTCTCAAAGAGTCTCCAAAAGCTCTGATCAAATTAGTTTCTTGTCTTGGAGAAATATTGACAAAATTTGCCAGTGAAAGATATCCAAGGGATAAATAAAATGGCATTCGGTTCGAGTGAAATTAGCTCCGCTAAATTTTCTCTCCCTCGAGCAATTTTATTTATGGGGTTAGGTTTTCTTCTGAGAACTTCTGTACAGCAATAGCAGTTTAACTCTGGCAGATAAGCCGAGGCACTGCTCCTAGTACATCAAGAGACTCGAAGTTTTACCTCTCAGCACACCTGAGGAAGGAGACCCTTAGGCGGAAACACGCGCAGGAGCTGAGTCAAGGAGCCGAGGCGAACGCAGCCCGTCGAAGCCGGAACATCGTATTTACCCGTGCCCTGGCGAAACAAGTGGATCAGTCCAGAGGTTCATGGGCACGACACGTGGATAAATATGGTGGCAGCCATGGAGTAACGGTTACCCCGTAGTGGACGTTTAACGATATAGATAATAATGTAATGTAATGAAAGATATCCAAGGACTCTTGCGATTGCTCTTGTTCTTCTCTGATCCAACAAATCAACAATTTTTTCAACAGAGCAAGGCGATTCTAACTCCAACCTCTGTGATCGAACAAAATCATTCGAAGAGTCCCTATTTTTGGATAAAAACCATCCCAGCAAGCAAAAACATTGTTTTAGTATCAAAAATGTTTTATGAAAAATATTTAGATATATAAGTGACAATTAGTAAAATGAAATCTCTAGCTAATTTTACAAATTTAAATTAATTTTCACTTACAATTTAGGATTCGAAAAAAAAATTAATATAAAATTTATATATATAATTTTTTTAACAAAAAATTAATTCCTTCCATGAAAACAAATTTTTTTTTGATCTCTCATGGAGGTTGGGGTAGTAAGAAGCTATTGACTAACTCTTGTACCCTTCCAAATTCTTTCATGTCATCATTTTCATCTCCACCTGATTTTGACGAAATAGTAAGCAAATTTTTTAGAGTTGAGGCAACTCCAACAGCTTCTTTAAGGATGTTCCATTTACTATCTTCTTTCACTTTCACTTTATCACTCTTTTGAGCCTTTACTACAGATGACAATAAGTGTCTCATGACTTTGCTGACACCAAGCTCATTAAGAGAAAGCTTATATTCAGACCCAAGCAAAATGGTGCATTTTTTGACGATGTCAAGGCAAATGTCTGTATAAGTGATGTCGGGGTTTCCTTTGTCCATCAATAATTGCTTATGCTTCTGTGCCCATCCTCTGATAAGGTTAGTTTGCTTTACAATGTTTTTGAGGGTGATTCCAATATCTGAAGGATTGTGGAACAGTTTTGAGACTGTATCGACCATTTCAAAGAAGGCAGTGTAAACTGCAAAGACTGCTCTTTCAGCTTGGTCCATTTCGGAACCACCAATATTTGTGGCAGGCCCGACGACCCCTGATTTCTTCTTAATTTCTTTCCAAGCTTCTAAACACCATTCTTTGCCTTCAATAAATTCTTGCAGGAATGGAACATCTGACTCTTCCCCTTAAATCGTAACTAGCAATTCTGTGCCAATTTAAATGTGGATAATTTTTTAAAATTTTAATCTAGTAAATTAATTGTTTTCAAAATAAATTTTTGAATTTTCAAGAAAATATAATTTAAGTAATAATTTGAATGTTAATTTAGAATTATATAAAAATATTCTACTTGCTTTTTGTCTATTAAATTAAGTCAAAACTAATTTTATAAAAATTAGCACACTCATCGGTAGAATTTTCCTATTGAAAACAAAATTGTTCTAATTTAAAGGGCTTAAAGTGCCCTTTTAAAAACATTACATTTAGTTAAATTATAGAAAAGCTCCCTGCTGAGACTCGAAGATCCTTATTCCCTTCCATAAAGTTCCGTTCGTTTCTTCACCGACAATCGTCTCATGACCTTCTAAGTATTGCTCCTACCAGATATGGCCTGCATATGCTACCTGGTAGTCAGGAAGTTTTTTGACACCGTGACGTATATTAGCAGGGTTCCACCATTGAAAATTCAAAAGGGTTGAATTGTTTGGTCAACTCTCAGCTAAGATAGAAATCCGTAGCCCAATGCGCAGCTCCTGGCTTCACACTGAGTAATAGTTCCGATTGGTCAAGAAGAACGCTACTGACACTGCTGGGAAACCCCTTTCTACTTCTGGACCCATCTTCTGGCATTGGAGTAAAACTTGCGGTTGACTAACTCGATATTGCACAGAAAACCTAGCCGGACACACTTATCGAGCGCCATACTCCCTTCATCAAGGTCTCCAGCACCCTTTCGCATTTCGGCTACAGGAATTTAAGAGGGTGGAATGATTCACCATGCCATTTAAATCTATCGGGCTAAAGTGCCCCCAAAAATGCACATTTTACTGATAATATTTTGCTTCAATTTAAATGGGGGAGTGAGTATGTTGGTGATTCCCAATATCCATAGTCAGAGACATAGTCGTCAAGAGTTTTTGCAACTTGCTGACTTCTAATAACTCTTCTGCTGACGTCTTCTGAGTAGCTTCTGGTAAGCATTGCCTTTTTGAGCTTTTCTCCAATTCCTGGAGTTGTCGATAAAGTCATCAAATTTTCATTGATTTTTCCAGGCTCCTTTGCAATGACTAAGCAAGAGTCTTTGATGCCATACATTAATAGAGGATTGCTGAGTAACTTACTCCCCTCTTCGTAAGCAAACACAAAAACTGTTTGTTCATGAGGGGGGGTTAATTTTTTCTTTATAAAAATTTAATTATAAATTTTATAGTAATTTTTTTTCGAAATTTAATCATTTTTAAAGCAAATATCAATTTAATTTAAAAAATTTATGTTTTAAATGCAGCTGCTTAAAAGTAAACAGAATTTAATAGAGATTTCGTTATAATTATATATCAAATAATTTTTCTTAAAAACATTTTTGCTTGTTACGGAGGGTAGGTTTTTGGGCAAAAAATAGAATTTTTTCCATGGTTTTGCTTGCCACAGAGGGGAGAGTTAGACGCTTCTTCATCTTCTTGAGCAAGCTCAAAGTCTCCTGAAATTAATTTAGTGCTAATCAGCCCAAGCAACATACCACAGGCTTCTTTGGTTGTATCTGGCCACTGTTTCTTATAGTAAGACATCTCAACAACAGCTTTGATCTCTATTTTCCATCCCCAATAATTGACTGACCCGTCTGAATGAAAAGTGAAAAACATCTGAGTCTGATTAACTTCAAAAGGCTCCTTAGGGAAGTTTTCTCCTTCCCATCTTGCAATTTGAGAGGACTTGGATTCGTCTGTATATAAAATCAAATAATCACAGCCATTTTCTGTTCTGCATTGTGGGTCAAAAACCAGGGTATACTTAATAGCTATGAATGACCGAGAAAATCGCTATTGAAAAACCTAAAAAACTATTATTGGACCACTTACACTCATTAGGTATATACTTCTTCGCTTGTGGAGTTTTTACCAAGTAAGTCAAATCAAGGTTGTTATCATAATTGTGGGAGCTTTCGTAAATAGTGGTCACAATTCCAGAGCCTAATGTAAGTTTAGGAGGAGTCGACATAAAGAAAGCTAATGAAGCAATAATATTTTGGAGCAATGGCATAATTTTGCTTAAAAAGTCCAGTCCAAGCTTGCTTAGCATCAAAGAAAACAGCAGCCCTTCTAAAACGTTTTTCACAATAGTTTTGTTGATTTTTTCAACAAGATTATCAGGCAGCAAGCCTACTTTATGCTTTTCAGACACGTGCTTCAGCACATCATCACTGGCTTGGCAGACTTTAATTGAATAAGAAACCAAAATATCTTGCCATTTCCCTTGGAAGTTCGCCTTTGCAGCTTGAGCAATCCTAATCTTAATTAATCTATACACGTTTAACGTCAATTACCAGGCTGTTCGACCCAGCTACCTCCAACTTTGCTCTGGAATAAATTTCGTGCTATTTTCCTCAGGCCCACCAAAGGTGTGACCACCTCCGACTTTGATCATCAAAAGAGGACCCCAATCTAGAAGTTTAGGTTTGACAACTCTTCTTTGAGCTTAGGCATCCTAAAGGTTCCAGTCTCCACCTCCTGGGGTAAGTGGTACTTCTAGAAAATTCCATTCCCTAAAGTCAGGAGTCTGGTAGGAAAACCAACGACTCCTTCTTCATTAAAATAGATGGGATAATTCCACCAGGGGAACCAAACCTCATTATTAAAATACTCTAGAAATAAATTCTCAGTCGGGAACCAGAAAATTCGATCGATAAAATATTTTAATTATGCCACTTGAGCAATCAGCACGATCTGTGATGACTCCAGCAGCTTTATGATCCCAACTGTTGTTTCAGTTCCATCAATAAGCTTAATTGAATGACTCGCTGCCAAATCGCACAAGAAGAACAAGTATTTTTCTATTGTAGCTGCATATTCGTCGTTAATCAGCTCAAGAGCAGGGAAAAGCACCTCAGGTGAAGCCATTTCGAGCAGAATTTTGTCTTCCAGCTCTTTGAAAACCCCCGATTTTTCTTGCCCTTTAATCATGCCTTCTAAACTTTCGACAAGGTAGGCCAGTTTTTCTTGAGGCTCGTCATAGAAAACTGAAAAACAGGAAGTCAGGGTAGCTGTGCCTTGTTCTGAAGCTTTGGTATTTGGTAGGAGGTTAAGGATTTCTGTGGTGTGCTCTATAATGTTATGGCGGAATTGTAAATTTAGGTCACATTCTTTGATAAAGGCTGAGCCCAAAAGATGTGCTTGCAGCAGTTTAAAAGCAGAGTCAAGGATTTCTATGCAGGTTTCTTGGCTAACATCGCTTTGGTGCTTGGAAATTTCTCCACAGTAAGCTATAATTGAGTCAAGAATTTCAATTGTTGGGACTTGAACATCGAGAGAAATCCCACTTTTCTTTGAGGGAAGTTTTTGGCCGTTGTTAAGCTTGGCTAGATGCTTAGAGTTAAGGTTCGCAAGCTTTTTAAGGACAAATGCAGTGATTTCGCTTGGGCTAACCCCAGCGAGACTTTGATTGCTTTCTATCAATTGTGCGACCTTTGAGTCAAGATCAATTGGGATAGCACTATAAACTGCATCATAAATATCGCTTGGTAGCTCAGGATAATCTACAATAGAAATCTGACAGTTTCCATAAGTGACCCCAATTACTTTTGCGCTCTCCAATGCAATGCTTTGTGATCCTTTCGGGTCTTTTTCTCCATTTTTATAAAAAGTCACTGTTTTTTTATCCATATTTAAAAAGACGCCAAGTCTGTCTCCAGCCATCAAGCTCTGCCACTGGTGTTGAGAACTGTCCTTAATATAATAGTAGCCATTAGTTCTATACGTGTAACTTTGGACCCTGGAGTCATAATTGCTATCAAAATTTGCGTAGGCAGAATCTGCAACCCCAATGTAGTAATCGTCATTTCTTTGCTCAATGAGGAATTCGAAATAGTGGACTCCAGTAGTATAGACGTCTGTGGATAAGGCTGCACTATAATTGGAGACTCTTGCTGAAATAGTCTTTTGGTTGCCTGAAATAGTCATGTTATTGTATGATCTGCTGTTATCCCAGGTTAGGTCTTCGTCGTATATTTTCAGCTCTTTAAAGCTTTTAAGATGCGGAGTCAGGAATTGGACAACTGAAGCAAATTCAGGCTCGTTTTTCAGTTTGAGGAAATGATTAGCAAGGGCTAAGATAGAGAGAAGGTTTCCTGAGGCAATGGCAAGAGCAAAGAGAGAAGAGATGCTGCTTTTCTTGTCTTGGTCACTAAGGTTGCCTAGTTCTCCACTTAAGATCTTTTCGAAGAAGACGACCATTTTATCAATGGTAGCATTAACACTTGGATCGTCTGTTTTTAGCGACAAAGGCTGCATTTCTGCAAGGACTTCTGAGGTATGAGAAATCATGAACTTGTAGACGTTCGGGTTTTTGGATCCCATCATGTTGACAATTCTTAGCAAAGTATTGAACCCAAATCTCATAGTTGCTCTGGCCAAAGGAGGCATGATGACGGTTTTCTTAGGTGCTTCTTTCTCTTTTTCAGCCTTATTTCTTTTTTCGCGCTCTTCCATTCTCAACAGAGCTTCAAAAATCCTGCAGAAGCCTTGCATTCTCAGTATCATTTCTTTGGAATTCGGATCATCCCCTCTCTTTCTGAGAATTTCTTCAAGGAGAGACTTGATAGTGTCCTCGTGCTTTTCACGTAAGCGAGCACTATTGATTAAGCTGCACATCATTGACTCCTCATCCTTGGTTCCTACATCATCAATCTTCAACCCTAGAGATTCTGACCCTGGCACATGATAACTATCGAGGTCACTTCTCACCAAGAGCTCACTGACGTCAAACATGACTTCTGGATTTTTCAAGAGTTCTGCGTCTTTTCCAAGAGTTTTAACTAAAGCGTCGTTACTGAGCGATCCAACTCTTTGGACAATGTCACTTGCTGAGTTTCCCATAATTTATTATTAGATAATCACCATTTCTTTTCATTGGAGCGTAGGATGATATCAGTGCTCATAGAAGTTCAAAGGCTTCTCTTTGGTGAAGCTCAATTATTTTTGGTTCAAAATGATTTTATTGCAAATAAAGAAATTAAAGTGGGATTGAGATTTATCTCTGAGTGCTTCTGTAAAAAATTAAATTTTAATGATTCTTGATTTAGTAACTTTTATTCATATTTAATCAGATGATTTTCAAGGAAAATTTATTTTATAATTATAGTAATTTTATTAAAATATCTTAAGGCATTTTTATATTTAAGGATTTTACTTTTTAATACTTATTTAATAAGTCATAGTAATGACAGCTAAATTTGAGATCATCTTGAGGAAAACCCAGTCATTATTATTAAACTCAGATTAATAATGCGGTTTGTTATAGAAGTGCCACAATATTAAGAGTCATGCATATTACTCAAATATGCGCTCTAATTCTTTTTAATCTCTTGCTCCCCTTACTTCAGAGCACAAAATTTTTTTCTCGATCATGCAAGTATAAAAATTTATATATATTTTGTTTTCTAATTGTATCACAAAAGCAATTAAAAATTTTTGTTTTACTCTCCTTTAAATTGGAACAAAATATTCTGTCCCAATTCAAAAAGAATAATTTGAAAAGGACTCTAGAAAGTTTTCGTTATAAAAAATTATATAAATTTTTAAAACATAGTAAAATACTGTTTATTGGGCTTTTTTGGGCACCAGTAACTGGCTAACTAGCTGTAACCAGCTGTCTATTTCCCAGCCAGAAAACTACAGAATAGACTACTCGCTGCGACCAGTTAACCAGTTTACTGCGCCCAAAATGCCCGATAAGTAATATATGTTTTTGGTTTTAATTTATTTTTATGAAGAATTAATCAGTAAAATTAATCGAATTAGATGCCAGCTGCTTAATAGGACTCTGGCTGTATTCCTTTCAATTAATGCGGGTAAAAACAACTTAAATAGAAGTTATATTAGATTTTTGATTGAACAGTTCAATTTAAAGGGGGGATTTCAAATTTTTACCCATATTTTGTTCTCAATATAAATAGTGGAGAGTTAAAATGCAATCTATTTAAAAATTGATTAGATTAGATTATTAGGGGGCTTAAGGTCCCCCGCTTCTCATTCTGTGTAACGCGAGCTGCCTGGCAAGACAATCGAATTGGGCTATTTCCGCCCTCTTCTAGCGTTCCTATCACCCCTCGCCAGTTTCGCTCTGCTGAACTGTAGAGGCCACCTATTTCATCTAATCTGCCTTCCTTTGTTCCAGATCATCTCTGAAAAAAAACCCCTAAAATACTTCCGCGAGCTTGATCAGATAATTCACCCTACTCCATTTCGGATCCTCGCTGGCTTGAGTGCTGCTGGCAAAAAGAAGTCATGTGTAACTACCCATTAGATCAAATCACAAAACAGCAAAATTTGTGCTAAGTCATACCAGATACAGAGGGCCAATCCTAGCTCAAAAAGTTCGATAAGCATGGATAAACCTTCACGCGAAAGGACGGGTCGGACTTTTATCGCTATTTTATGTAGATCAAAAATTGAAAGAATTAGCTATAAAACTATTGCTAGTGTATCTAAATATTCTAGAAAAATAATATTAAACATTAATTTATTGAAAAGGAGGATTTTTCAATGGTTTTACTTATTTGCTTGAGAGTTAGCCCCTTAATAATCAGTAATCACTATGACACTATACAGCTATTATATTCTGCATATTAAAAATCCTTATCAGGTGTCTAATTTAAAATGGACGTCCAACTCTTATCAGGACTGCTTCTCAAGCTCGAAAGCTACCCAGCTCTCAAGGCAAAAATAAAATCTCTCTACAACGAAACAGCCGAAAACAGCGCTCGAGTTGAAGAAGTCTATAATTCCTTGATCTCTCTAGTTGACTCAATTCCTCTGCCAGTCGCCAAAGTTCGGCCAGTCAAAGTCTATATGGCTGCCTGCATGGACATAATTCACTCAGGCCACTTCAACTGCATGAGACAAGCCAAGAAGCTCGGCGATATTCTTGTCATTGGAGTCATTTCAGATGAGGAAATCAGACGATGCAAAGGGCCACCAGTGATGAACCAAGAAGAAAGGAGAATCATGGCTGAAGCTTGCAAATGGGCTGACGAAGTAATAGACGGGGTCGAATATTATGTGACTCCAGACATACTGGAGAGGGTTGGCTGTGATTATGTAGTCCATGGAGATGATTTGGCAATTAGAAAAGACACAGGGACTGACGCATATGCTGACGTCCGAGCTGCAGGGAAACTAAAGATCATTAAGAGGACTGAAGGGATTTCAACCACTGATATGGTTGGGAAAATGCTTTTAATGACTTCTAATGAGCTTGTAACATCACCTCCAACACAGATTTCGGCATCAACCAAAACTCAGTTTTTGTCAACTACAAGGAGAATCAACCAGTTTTCGACTCCCAAAACCCCAGCTCCCACTGATAGGATTGTATATATTGATGGTGCCTTTGACCTTTTGCATCGTGGACATGTGGAAACAATAAAGCGAGCCAGGGAGTTCGGCGACTATTTAATTGTAGGAGTTCACGATGACAGGACAGTAAATTCTATCAAAGGGCTTAACTACCCTATAATGAACTTACACGAGAGAACACTCAATCTTTTAGCTCTCAAATACGTCGACGATGTGATTATGGGAGCTCCTTGGGAAATCACTGAAGACATGATAAAGACCTTAAACATCCAGGTGGTCGTTCAAGGGACCAATCATAAAGACTCAATGGTATCCACTCCTCACGAAGACCCTTACACAGTCCCTAAAAGGCTTGGAATCTACCAAGAAATTGACAGCGTCTGCAACATCAATGCTGAAGACATCGTCGACAGAATTGTAGCCCACCGTCTTCAATACACAAAGAGAAACGAAAGAATGACCGCAAACCAGCAGCAGTACTACGAGAACAAGCAATTCGTCCCAGAAATTTAGCTAGCTTAACTTAACTCAAATGGAGTAATAATTATTGGCGAAATAAGATGGACTTCCTCAGCCCAGACAACTATTGTGGCCAAACCTTGCTCAGGCTGGTATCACGAGGTAGTGCGATCATCACAGAACTTCTTAGACTAAGCGACTATATCCCCCCAGCCTTCTGAAACAAGCCTCCACCTGAAGCCCAGGTTTATGCTCCGATAATATCCGATTTCGAGTACTTCAAGAACCTTGACGCATACGAGCAGAAAATAAATGACAACCAAGAATATTTCGAGCTGGACGAGAACTTTAGAGAGTCCAACATAAAGATCCTGGAAAGGTTTTACACGCTTTTTGAAAGCATTTACAAGTATCACAAAGATTTATCGTTTTTCTTGAAAGAGCTCACTGATAATGTCTACATTCATTATACCCCTGAGATCATTCTGGAGAACTCGGAAGGCAAAAAACTGCTGGTTGAAGCGGTCTATTTGATGGGAGTCATGCTGATGCTGCTAGATTTCAAGATACAAGGGAGTATTAGGGAAAGGATGCTGGTCAGCTATTATAGATATAAAGGACACTCAATTATTCAGAATATTGATGAAGTTTGCTCAATGCATAAAATGGCGACCTAACCGCTCCTGACCTCTTAACGCAATTTTCTCGATCTTATGGCCAAGGCGGACTGAGAGAAGCCAGTCGAAATTCAGGTCTGATATGCGATTATGCATATCTGAATAGGTTTTGACTTAGTTTCTGTGTTTGAAAGGAGTAATTTAGAACTTTCCTCTAGGAATTAAGGTGAACTAACTACTTCCCAATGTCAGGGTTGCGCCTAAACCCAGAGATTAAGTCGTTTTACTGTGCCTATAAGGGCAGGCTGCAGTATTCGTTAGATCTATGTTTTCTCCCCGGATTACCAACCAATCTATTAATTAAGATTAAGATGAAGTTTGTTCATTGTGTAGAAATACTGGATTTATCCCTGGCAAAAATGTGGTGCCTGAGAAAAGGCCTCCGAATTATCCTGAAGATTTCTTTAACAGGTGCACGCTGCCAATGGATGTGATAGAGTTGTGTATTGGGCATCTAAAAGATGATGACTTTTATAATCAAGTTGCTGTTTATCCCTCTCCTGAGCATAGGCCGATAGCGCTTTCCCATCAAGCTGCAATTTTGATCATTATTCTTTACTTTAACCCTACTTATTTAGAAACTGAGCAGAACAAAATGAGAGAAATAATCGACAAATTCTTCCCTGATAACTGGGTAGTAGCTTACTATTTAGGCTTCACTGTAGATCTAGCTGAGCAATGGGCTCCTTACAAAGCAGCGAAAAGTGCTCTTCTGCAGTACACTTTGAACGAAGAAAGTGTGATAAGCACCAAAAACAAGCATATCCAAAACCTCAAAATCCTCAACAAGCAAGTAAACCATTACTTAAAAGAAGGAGTTTTGACTGAAGAATACATTCTTTCTCACTCGTCTAAACTTATGCATTGCATGAGAGACTGTAATGTTACCCTAAAATGGCTTCTTTTATCAAGATTAAGTGCAGTCAAAAGAGTACTAGAAGTAGTTACAGCTGATCTCAGTATGGAAGCACTATTGGAGCTTTTGATGAATGTGGCACAGTTTGAAAGAAATTTGAAAGCAAAGCTAGAGGTGATGCTGGAAAAGAAAGAAACCACTTGGCAAGAGGACAAAATGCAGGCTGCCGTAAGGATGAATGAGCTTGCTGAGTATTTTTCAGGGACAAAACCACTCAGTAGAGGAGTGCAAAAGAATGAAGGGTATATGCAGTGGTTCCAACAAATGGAACAACAAATCAACTCACTTAACCTAGGTGACGAAAAAGGCTCATCAAGGAAAATCCAGCAACTGACTCAAGCTCTTGAAGATGTAGAGCAATACCACCAAATTGAAGGAAACTTGCAAATCAAGGTATTTTTGAATGAGACCAGGCAGTATTTAAGACACATGTCATACACTGTTAACCTTCAGCAAGACATTTTGCAGAGAATTGCCAGAATCACTGACTTTTCCTATGCTTGGCTTTGTATGGATGACTTTTTAGACCTCATGCAAGAAAAAATAAGGAGAGAGCCTGTCAGTGTAAGACTCCTTGAGTCCACAATTTTAAAGCTTTCTTCAATTATGGACATTCCTCTGCTACGCATCATTGAGTCAGACTCTCCTGACCTTGAATCCGTATCAGAATATTACTCAAAAGAGCTTGTAAAATACGTTAGGAGGGTGCTGCAGGTCATCCCACACGCTGTTTTCATGCTTCTCGACGAAGTTGCTGAACTCCAAAGCTCCAGCTTCAAAGAAATCCCAGAAAAGCTAAAGCGAGACGCCATAAAAGACTATGCCTGTCTTGAAGAGCGGCACAGACTAGCAGCGCTGACTCACGAGATTTCTGTTTTCACCAAAGGAATTCTGATTATGGAAAAAACCTTTGTCGGGCTTATTGAAGTGGACCCTAAAAAGCTGCTTGAAGACGGTATCAGAAAAGAGCTAGTCAACAAAATTTCGAATATTCTTCATAAGTACCTAAACTTCAAGGATGGGACCTTGGAAGATTTTATAAGGAGAATTGACGAATTAGGTGCAAAATTGACAAGCTTTAAGCAGGCTTTTGAGTATATACAGGACTTTATTGGGCTTTATGGGCTTAAAATATGGCAGGAAGAAATGACAAGAGTGATTGGGTTTAATATTGACTTGGAAGCCTCCACTTTTCTTCCTATGCAGCAAGCCTTGGACACTTACCAGTCTGCAAATGTACCAATCCCCAAGCTTCCTTGCGAGGATCCCAATTCACTTACCTTTATGGGCATTCTACTCAGAGAGTTGCTTAAATTGTGCGATATAAGGAAAAATGTGTATATTGAGTGGATGCACGGGTGGTATGATTTCCAAGGAAAAGAAGTAATTGGGCTTGATATCATGTCAAGGCTTCACAGATCTCTTGGAATTCATGGACTTTCTGGCATCGACAAGCTTCTCTGCTGTACCATTGTGCAAAACTTAAAATTATTCGTCAAAAAATGCAAAAGCTCTATAGACGCTGGCAACATTAACAACCTCTGGAGAGAGCTTCAGCCAATGTCCTGTGTTCCAGAACGAGGCAAACAGCTATACCAAAGCGTTTTTTTGCATATGAAAAATATGTCAAATGAGCTTAACATGATCATTCTGAGAATCGGACAAATGAATCTTCTCAGAAGACTTATAGCATATGAAATCAATTTCCGAGGAAGAATCGATTCTCCTCTGCTGTGGAGTGCCTTGATGACTGTAAATCAGTCTGTCGTCAATGATGTCAAGTCAATCCCAGAGTTCCCAGCTAAAGATGACAAGCTAATAGGTCAGCTTGAGCCTTTCCTGAATCAAATGGGCTTTTTATCTGCTTTTGAAAAGATATTTTTGAAGCCAGGAATTATTATAGAAAAATTCCCATTGATAATGGCTTTATATACAATTTACCAGATGTCGACTGTTCACTATGAAAAGAAAATAGGAGGACTTATAAGGAATAAGCAAGAAATTATTGATGGAGTCCCGTTCACTGCTGGAATTTTAACGATTTTCAGACAGTTCCATAGGGACCACTTCAGCTGCTATTTAGGCTACATTGGACAATTTGTAAGCACCGGCGTCGCGCTTGCCAGAGACAAAAAGACTCAAGAAACGCCTGCCGAACTGACGAATATTTTAGTGTTTATTGAAGAATTAAGAAAACTTGCAGGGCTGCCGAGGCAGTATGCTGAGAATTTCCTGCCAAGCTATATTTTGGACCGACTTTTAACTTAATGATGGTTATTCTAAAATTGTGTATCTGATTTTTAAGCTTTCTATATGCTCTTTAGGGATCATTGACGTCAGTTTGGTGCTTGAAAGCTTTAAAATGACTACGTCTTCAGAGATTTCTGAGAAATTAATGACGTAGTAGCCTAGATCTGTGAAGAAGCTGCTGCATTCTTTATCATTGATATTCTCAATAAGAACACTTCCGTTATTTATCAACTGTTTTAAGGCTTGGGTGTCTCTACAGGAAACTTTTCGCTTATTTATGTTTTTAGAAATAAAAGGCAGAGCATCTTGCATAGGCCTGTAAATGCAACTGGACGAAGACTCTTTTTCTCTGTTTTTTGTGAATGCTTGAACACCGATGTTAAAAATGGAAAGTTTTCTTTCTGGGTCATTTTCTAAAAGGCTTTTAACATATGAAGAAGCATAAAAAATATTTTTGCAGCTTTCATTTGTGTAGAATAAAGAGCCTTCTTGGGAATTTTCAAAGCCATAGCAGTCTTTTATTAGTAGGTAAGCTTCACTACTTTCTGGGAGTTCTTTGAAAACTACTGCTTCCCTATTGTCATTTTTGTGTTTTTTTGGTGCTTTGGTTTCTTCATTGTCAATTTTCATTGTGTCAGCTTCACAAACTTCAGTGGGAATTTCAGCAGATTTGTAGAGCAAAGCAATATAGAATCCTCCTGTGTTTTGGTCATTTGGCATAATTCTTATTGTGTTTTCAATATCAGCAGGCACGTTAATAGGGAACATTTCTTCAGTTATATATTTTGTGGTTTCAGGGATTTCTTGGTAACTTTTGTACTCTTCAAATATTTTTTGCTCTCTTTTTCTGTGCCCTCCCAGCATTTTCCAGCTCCTCAAGCCTTTCCTTATAATAAACCCAGGACAAATTTCAGCCATTTTTTCATGCAAATTCATAATTTTCAGACTATCCCCAAATTTTCTAAAAATTCCAGCAACAACTGCTTCATTTTCAATAGGATTAAGTGAGCACGTTGAATAGCAAACAAACCCTCCCACTTTGCATAGCTGAAGAGCTCTAGTCAATATTTCGCTTTGCAAGCCAAACATTGAGTGTCCGTCTTTTATGTTCCAATTTTTCCACCTCTGTGGCATTTTTCTAATAGCCCCATCCCCTGTACAAGGCACGTCACAAAGCACGCGGTCAAATTGAAAAGCTAAGCCAGCATTTTGAATATTTGGCAGATTTTGTGCAGGATGGTTGACGACCACCATACAGCTGGTATTGCTTCTATGAAGCTGATGAATAAGCATGTATGCTCTGTCTTTATCAATTTCATTAGCCACCACAAGCCCTTTCCCATTTATAAGCTCAATGATTTGGGCTGTTTTGGACCCTGGGGCTGCACATATGTCGAGAACAGTTTGGCCTTGTTGGAGATTAAGTACTAGAGGAGGGATCATGGAAACTAGCTCTTGTCTTGTGATAAGGCCACTGTCATTGGCTTTAAGCAAATATGAATGGAAAGATTTGACGGATTCCACCTTTCTCAGCTCAGTTCGATTGCTATTTGCTTCGTAGGCGAGAAGGCCTGGATATCAAGGAATTTGTCTGACTTGGAAAACTTCTGTATTGAAATCTGGAGAGTTTAGCTTGTCTATAAGCGCTTGGTAGTTTTTTTGGGTTGGGTTTATGCGAAATGTGACAGGTAATGGCGTTTTTATGATTGTTCAAAAGTCCTGGAAATCAGCTTCACTTATGCTGAGTTGGTTTCAGTAGAATTCTCTTAAAATAGAATTTTCTTTTGTGTCGCGATTTTCTGTTTTTTGCTTCTTCTTAGGAAGAGATGGGTCTTGTTCCATTTATATCTGATGCTTTAGCACTAAAATCGATTAGTGATGTTGAAGAATTTATAGATTTATATAATGAATTAGATATTATTTATATTAGTAAATCAAGCTTAAATTTGCATATGACTATAATTGTCTTTTTATAGATTAAATCCTTGAAACTAAAATATTGCGCTCAATTCTAAATTTAACTCTTATGTTCCATGATATAAATTATAATATATCCATTTCCAATAAAATGACTATTCTAATTATTATAAAAATAGTAGTCGTTAGCAATCATAGTTCATTAAAAATAGATATAACCATCTATTCCTCATTAATCTTCTAAATTATTTTATTTTTTTAAAGAACTTTGCCAGGCTCATTATTTCTCAAAAACTTATCCCCTGAGCTTTTCATTTTTTTATATCTCTCTCAATAACATCAGATATTTATAAAATGAATGTTGAAAGTTCACACAAAATCACACAAAATTCTGAATTTTTTGACGCTTTTGAAAACATAGATGACCTTCTCGATCCATCGGAATCTGCATCAGTCTGCATGGTTTCGAAAAAACCTCCAAAAGAAAAGAGTTCTTCCAATTCCTTTGACATCTACACAAGGCAAGAGACTCAGTCCACCTATTACACCAGCCACCGGTCATCAGGTCGAGCTGCGGACCTGAAATTGCCCCCATCTCTCCCTCTTTACAAAAAGAGCACAAAGCCTCTATACGCTAGAAATTTCACAAATATTTGTCTGGCTCAAGAAATCGATCTAATACAGACTGCTGAAAGTAAGCACTGAATTTTTAAATTTTCGCCTGACTGCAAAGCCTTGGCTGTAGCAGGAGGGTCTGGGGTTATATGTGTGTATGAAATATTCCCATGCGGTTCAAATGCGTCTCAACTGATAGCGAGTGTGCCTAGCGTTATAATGGCAGAGCATGTAGAGGCGATAACAGAAATCAATTGAAACTCTAATGGGTTACTTATAAGTTCTTCGTTAGATGGCACAGTCAAGATTTGGAATAAATACACAGAGCACTCTTTATGCACCTTAGAGTGCTCGAAGCGTGCTTATTCTGCATGCTTCCACCCTATCTATCCTGATTATTTTGCAGTAGCAAGCCATGATAATTTACTTACTCCCCCTCTGAGCGAAAAAAAAAATTTGTTCGATCACAGAGAGGGAGTTATTTTTTTTTAAAAATTATATATAAATTTTATAGTAAATCTTTTTTCCGAAATTTATAAAAAATTCCAATTCGTATAAATTGAGAAGAAAAAATTATTTAATTTGCGAAATTTATGCTTTAAATTGCAAACTGTTTAAAATTTAAAGAGAATTAGCTACAGATTTCATTATACTAATCATCACTTATATTAAAAAAATTTTTAATCGCTCACAGAGGGAGGCTCCGGGAAAAAAAAGGTTTTTCCCATGGTATCGTTCGCCCACGATGGGGGAGTTAGAGTTATGAAATACCCAGAACTTACTAGTGAAGGCTTTTACCATGTCTCACAAAAAGTAATGTCCCTCTGCTATTCAAAAAATGGAAATTTCTTAGCTGCTGGGCTGGAAAGAGGAGAGGTTTTGATTTATGAGTCTAAAATTGACTGCAAGCTGAGGCTCAAATATAAGCTAAAATGTAAAAATCGATTTGGGCTGAAGGTTTTAGGAAGAAAAGTGGTAGGCTTGCAGTTCATGGACGACGATTATATATTAGCAACTACCAATGATTCGAGAATCAGATTATTTAGGTTCAAAGAAAGCTTGATGGTGCAGAAGTATAAAGGAAATTTAAATTCAAAGTGTCCGATAAGGGCTGATTTATCCTATGATAAAAAGTTTCTTATTTCTGGGTCAGAGAATGGGCTGTTTTATATCTGGAATTCGTTAAGAGCCTTTGAGAAATCTCTAGGGAAAAACGGAGAGTTCGAAAGCTACGATGCGCGAGGGGTGAAAAAGCCGGAATTTTCATGCTTTGCTCCTGAAAAGATCGTAAAAGCAGTCAAATCAAAATACAAAGCAGAAACAGGCCAAAAAGTGAAATACGTGATATTATCAGCTGGCTCACAGTCTAATTTAAGGGTGTTTTACAGCCTAGAGTAAGCATTCCTGTATTATTTTAATAACTCATAATGCAAATTTTCTTTGCTTCTCTTTACCTCATTTCATTCAGATTAATATGGAAAATCCCATTCGAAAGTCCAACAATTTTATTAATTTATGAAACCCAAAGTAATCAAGGCTCCAAAATTCAAGAAAAGTGTCCTAGAGCCGTCTCCCAATCTGACCCCAAGTTTGCCTTTTATGTTTCCAGTCAGTACGCAAGAAGATGAATGCTCGACCACTAGCTCATCAGATCTAAAATCAAGCGGAGAAAGGAGCGAGACTTTAGAAAAGAACACAACTCAGACCAGCTTTAATAAAGAGCTAGCCAAAATAAAGCCAAGTTTAAAAGGAATAATGGACAGAAATCCTATAAAAAATAAACGACAGAGGAATCGATCTCCTGAAGTTAATGTTTTGGCTGAAGGCTGTGGATTGCCATATCAAAGAAGAGCACGAAGTTCTTCGCCTCCAAGAGAATCTTTAAAAGTCTTCGAGAGAAAGAACTTTTTGCCTTTCGCAGTGAGGAAGCCAGTAATCCCAATTGTAAATAGAAGATATAAAGATGAGTTTTCTGGGATTTGCCCTGAAGAAAGTCTGCATAAGAAGCTAGAAGAAGACGAGGACGAAGATTTAAAAGCAATCAAAGAAAACTATTGAAAATTACTAGAAGCTGCGCCAAGGCCAGAGATGCAGAAATGCATTGCTGAGGAGTGGGATGAAGAAGACGAGCTTGACAATATAGAAAACCTTATCAGTGGGAATAGGAAAAAACTTCTTGGATTGTATTAGATGCTTAATAATAAATATTGATACATTCATTTTATCAGAAATCTTATCCTTTTTTATGGCATATCTTACTGACTATTAAAAAAGCAGAGATAAATAAACGTTTTATGGTCTATCTATTTCATCTTCCTCGTAGCTGCTTTCTTCGAATTCTGACTCGCTTTCTTCAGGCTCGTTTTGGTATGTATCTACTACGTGAGGAGATCGTCGAATTGACGACAAATCTTCAAAAGTATGGTTGTCATCAACTCTGTGCACGTTTCGCCCTGGCTGGAGGTTGCCATGTCTTGGAGGTTTTTGTGAAGAAATTACTGGAGAACTTTCTTCTTCCTCTTCGTCGGTATACTGGGAATACTCTACGTCTTGCTCGCTTATGCTTTGGCTGTAGCCTTCGTAGCTGTGCTGAATGGCTGGGATTTTCTTTTTATTTGGGGAATAAGCGAGCATGATAGGTTTTTTTATTTTCGGCTCTGAGTACATTTCGTGGGTGCTCGAGTCTGCTTTATTCAGCTTGTTTATCAGCCATTCTTGATAAGCCAGTTCTGCCCTAATCCTGTCCTCTTCTTTTTTTCTCTCAATTTCTCTTTCCATGGCTTCTTTAGCCTTTTTTTCTTTTCTTTCTTTTTTTTTCTGCTCTTTTAGTTTTATTAAATTTTCTCGTAGCCATTCTTTGTAATGGGCACTGGCTTCCTCTCTTTTTTTGTTTTTATCATTTTCAATTGCTTTTTCCTGTAATTTTTTTTCTCTTTTTTTCTGTTTTTCTTCTTTTCGCTTCGCTCTTGCCCAGTCTCTGTAAACTTTGGATTTTTCAGCTTCTAGTGAGATTTTATCATTGATTTCTCTGATTTGTTGTTCTTTTTCTATGCTGAGGGCTTCTGAGATAAGTCTTTTCTTAAGTCGGTCTTCTGCATCTTTTTTCCGTTTTCAGTCATCATAGGTGATTTCTTTATTTGCGCTTTGATTTTCGGCTGCTTCAAGCCTTTCTAATAGCATTTGGTTTTTTACGGCTTCTATTTCTTCACGGTCTTTGGAGTTTTCTTTTAAGGAAATTTTTTTAAGCTCCATTTCGACAGCAATTAATTGGGAATGGTCGTAGCCAAAAAGCCCTTGTTGCATTCTTTGACGGACAGCTTTATCAATAGCATATTCTGTAGTATCAGAAAGCAGCTTCGGCTCTTTTTCTTGTAACGATAAGTGCTCTTTAAGGGCCCTGAGATACTCTAGTGACGCTAATTTTTGAATTGGCTGAGTGGCTTTAACTGAATCCTGAATTACTATTACAACTTTGCAAACTATGTTTTCTATTTTTACATTGTGCCTTTTTTCGCTTCTGTGTTAGAATTACCCTTCAATTAAGCCCATTATGTGATTTTAAAAATTATTCAAATTTTTATTAAATATTTGACACAATTTAAGACCTGGTAAGGGGCAGTTCCCTTATCCGGCATAGAGAAGGAAACCTTGATTTCTGAGAGTCTGAGTCAACAGAGACTATCCAGAGGTGTGGGATCATACAAAAAGAGGATTCTGTGGAGCTGGAGGTGATTGAAGTTCTAACAGTCATGCAACTCTCAGCTTCGTTGATCAAAGCTGAGGTCGTTCTCTATCAACATCCCAGGGAAAATCAAGAATTAGTTAATTTAAGCAATCTTATCAATCAAAATATTTGAAAACAAATGGGCAGCTGTTGCATTAACTCAGAAAAAAGCCATCAAGAGCGAAGTGCGCTTCCCCATTCTATCAGTATGATACCAGTAAAAAAGATTTTTAAATTCGGGAAAACGTTAGGAGGAGGCAGTTTTGGGATTGTAAAACTTGCACATAGGATTACTGATAAAGATCCAGTTGCTATCAAAATCATCCCTAAAGAAAAAGTCCAGCATAAACTAAGTGTTTTGCGTAGAGAAATTGATATTTTATTGACTGTAGACCACCCCAATATAATTAGATTGCTGAATGTATATGAAGATGACGAGAAAATTTATTTGATTATGGATTATTGCTCAGGCGGCGAATTATTCACCAGAATTACTTCAAAAGGACTGATATCAGAAGATGAGGCAAAAAAAATTATGAGAAAAATGCTCATGGCAATTAATCATTTGCATTGTAAAAAAATTGTACATAGAGACTTAAAGCCTCAGCATATTTTATTTGATAAGGCTGGGGAAAATGGGGAGGTAAAAATCATTGATTTTGGGTTGTCAAGCAAACTGGCAAATCCTTTGGAATTGATGCACTCCCAAGTGGGGACGATTTATTATACGGCTCCTGAAGTTATAATTGGGAACTATGATGATAAATGTGATATGTGAAGCGCAGGAATTATTTTATATACAATGCTGTCAGGGAATATGCCTTTTTACGGAAGCTCGATCCAGGAAGTCTCTAAAGCAATTTGTAAAGGAAGCTTTTCAATGGAAGGCGGAATATGAGATCATGTTACTGAAAATGCGAAAAATTTGATAAATAAATTAATAGTGAAAGACCCTGCTACTCGGTTATCAGCAGCTGAAGCCATTCAGCGCCCTTGATTTGATTTATCAAATGAACCTACTTCAGAGATCGATAGTGACATAATAGAGTCTCTCAAAAATTACAGAAAAACCAGCGCTTTCCAAAGAGAAACTGTTAATATTCTTATTAAACACCTGCCAGAAAGCCACATGGTTCCTAATGTAAGATCATCATTTTTAGCATTAGACAAAACTGATACAGGGCAGATCTCTAAAGACGAATTTTCGAAAATTATGCTTGACCACAATTTAAATGAAGAAGAAATTGATGAGTTATCATCTGCAATTGATATAAGAAAAACGGGAAATATTAATTACTCAGAATTTATAGCAGCACTATTTTCAGGGAAAAGCATGGATGAAGATATGATTAAGCGCGCATTTGAGTGCTTGGATATAGAAAATAAAGGATTTATTGTGAAAAATGACTTTAAAATTGCAGCAATAAAAATAGGCAAAGAATTAACTTCTGATGAGTTCGAAAAAATTTCTGAGAATTTTGGAGAAATAAATGATAGGATTACCTATGATCAATTTAAAATGATGATGGGAGCTTAAAGCTTTATTTTAGCTATTATTACATTATAATTTACCAACCTTGTAGTAAATAATCTTCTGCTTTTTTCCCTTTTCCTTTTTTGCTTGAATTTGTTTTTGAAATATTTTGAATCTCAGGGGAAGGGACATACGGGTAATATTTTCTGACAGATTTCGGGCTTGAAATCTCTGTATCGGTGCCTATTGTGTTGCTCATTGAGTCAGGTGAAACACATTTCGATGTCTCTATAAAAGCATCAATTTTCTTTTTCTGCTTGTATTTAAAAAAACATTTAAAGCTGCAGTAAATTGATTTTTTTTTGAAAATTCCAATCCCTCTAGCGAAACTTTTTCCGCATTTGCATTGTATTTCTGTTGAATCTGTAAACAGTTCTTTGCATAGCATTGAGCAAAAGCATTGCTTACTGTCCACTATTCCGGTTTCTTTGATAAAAGATTTTCCACAAGTCCAGCAAGTTTTATTTTTATCTACTCCTTCCCCTTTAGAGCTCCTCTTAAAGGCGAGTTTAAAACAATTTTTAAACAGGGATTAGTTTTCCCAAACTATGGATTTTTCAATGGATTTGCTCGCTTTTAAAGGATAAAGCAGCCTGCTAAGATTCCTCAGGTACTCTAAGATAAATGTCCCCCGCCTGGATAGGTGGCAGACTTCTAAAATCAAGGGTTTTCATATTTGGCATCAAGATAAGTTCACTAGGCGTAGCCAGCAAAATATAAATAATTAAGTTCAATTCAGGATAAAGCTTTATTGGCATCTTATTTTTGGCATACAACAAGTTTTATCACAAAAGTATGCATTATCATCAATTACTGGAGATTCGATTGGTTTAATCAACTGGCCATCAAAGGAATTTCTTATCAAGTTTAAGCCATTTTTAGCAATATAATTTTTGTTTAGAGATTGTTTTCATGAGTTTCCACTCGTTTTTAAATATTCAAGTGCATCTACATAAAAGGATGGGACTCCTTTACTACTTTTCCCTTTTTTCTCAATACTTTCATTGTCAGATCCTTTTGTTGATATAGATCTCAAATGTGAGCTTTTTCCATATTTACACTCCTTGATTTTTTTAACTCTTTAGCAAGGAAAATTTTTGTGCGCTCATATAGGAGGACTAAAATCCAATAATTTTTTACTTCACAGAGAAGGATAAGTATTTTCAGCCGATGCCCAAGTGGCAAGTTTAAATTCTTAATATCAATTTCTGTTAATCCTAACAGCAGCTCAATTTCGTTTATTCCATTAGTAATGAACAGTGAAAAATATTTTTGAAGTCCACAAGATTTCAAGAACTCTTTTATAGCTTCTGATTTATTTTCTGTAGCTTTTTCAATGGAAATAATAATGAATATTTAGCAACTAAATAAGATATACTAATTGCCCGAGAATGGCGCTATTTGCGCCATTCTCTGGCAATACGGAAAATCGGCTCCACATGGGAACGATTTTCCACGTGTGGAGCCATTTTTTTCACACGTGGAAGTCAGGATTCTCATGTGTGAAAAAATGGCTCCACATGTGGAAAAAATCTTCCCGTGTGGAGCCGATCCTCGGGCAATTTCTATATTTTCGCAGCGGGCGGGGAGCAGCAGAAGGTGGTGTGACATTGGGCGATAAGCAAGGAATTAAATCCTATTAATTTAATATATTCAGCTTTTTCAGTAGATTCCAGCTCTGTTTGTGAAGGGGAATTTATAGAAGTGGAATCTTTAGTTTTATTTGTTGATTCTGAAGAATTGAGAAACTGTGATAACTGGCTGCGAGATCTTACATTAAACTCGTGCTTTTCAACAGATGGTTCGTTGCTGCTCTTCGATTTCTCTATCGATGCTTTAAGCTTGACTAGCTTGAATTTCATCGCTTTGGTTTCTTGTTTTAAAATGCTCTTTAAATGTTTCAAGTTTTGGTTGACTGTGATAGAATTTTTCATTATTTTAACTCCTGCGTTTTAAAAAAAATATTGTTTTTTGAAAATATTTAAAAGTTAAATACTCAGAGAGGATCATTTTATTTATTAAAATAGTAAATAATAGAGTTTTTATAAATAATGTTTAAATTTTAAAAAGCATCTAAGAAGGACAACTATTGATGCTTATTTACAATTTTTTAAACAAGTTATTGAAAATAATAAAATATATTTAATTTACAAATATCACTCAAAGCCTAAAATATTTTTATCAGATTTTTTTAGCCTTAATAATAAATTGATTTTCAATTTTTTACAAAAAGTTATTAGCCAATTGCTGGAGATTTTGTTTATATATGGGCTCTCTTTCAATAAATGTCTTAAGAACAACTCCTTTAATTTTAAACGAGGCTTTGTAATAATATAGATGTTTTAACCCTCTGCGATTGATTAATATCTTACTTAGATTTTTAAAAATCGTTATCAAATTTAAAAAATAAAAACTTAATTGATCTACAAAAAAAAACCCAGCCCATCTCGATATCATATCTCATCACCATGATTACCCAATAATCTCTGGACCCTTTCTTTGATCTTATTGTTCACCAAGTAATTTATTGATTTAATCTGCCATGAAAAGACTTTTCCAGTCAAAACAAGCCCAGCCTTATTCTCTTATTCATCAAAAATCATATTCCTTCAACCAAAATTTTCCACTATAGGTGAGAATATAGATTATATGCATATGTTGAATTATTTTCTATTGGAATTGGAGGGATTTTAAATGACCCAAATTATTCAGGTCAAGTTGGGTGTAAAGGTCTGTCACTCATCCAGTCTGTTCAATTATTTAACTGATAAGCCTTAATAAAGAGCAGAAATTTCCGAATTAAATGCGATTCCGGACAATGATACTTTATAGCTACTCCTCTTAGATGGGAATGCTTGACATCAAACGTAGCCAGTGTGGATCTTCTTATATAAAACTTAAAAATGATATTGCTCACTTTATGCAAGTTAAGCATATGCAAATAGAGATTTTTCTTACATAGGATTGCTCCCACAGCATATCACAAGATCGATAAAATGGTCAAGGCACGATATAAATTCAATTAATTTTAGTATAGCAAAGACATCTATACACATTTTGATGATTTTGAAACATTGCGTCCTGAGGCTAATTGCTCTTTAAAAATAAAAACTTTACTAATGGATTTCAATAATGTAATGCTTAACTAAATAAATGAGAAAACTCAAGAAATTCTTAGTCGGTCAAACTTTTAATTGGCATGCATTAGCATTTTTGGAAATCTTGTTGTATGATCCAGAGTCAATTTAAGAAATTAATAGAGGTAAATAGTTAGGGTAGAATATCATCAGCTTTAAAAATCGCAAATTCTAAAAATAAAAACAAATTAATGTAATTGCATACTAAAGATATGATATCCTTATAATTCCTTTACTCCCCCCCTCCGTGAGTGAAACAAAAATTTTGTGTTCGGGGTTAATTTTTTTTTTTAGAAAATTATATAGAAATTTTTTTTTCGAAATTTAAAAAAATCCTAATTCGCAAAAATTGGAAAGCAAATATCAATTTAATATATAAAATTTATGTTTTAAAACGCAATTTGTTTAAAATTAAACAGAATTAACACACTATATTTCATCATAATAATTATTACTTTATATATCAAATTTTTTTCCATAAAAAATTTTTGTTCACTCACGGAGGGTGGGTTTTTTGGGCCAAAAATAGCGATTTTTCTAATGGTTTTGTTCACTCACGGAGGGGGGGAGTTAGAGACGAAAGGCTTGTCAAGTCAGCTTGCATTCTAGCCAGGGATAAAAAAAGTTCTAATTCTTGAATTCCTTGGAACATTAATCGCCCTTGAGCTTCATCAATAAGTTTATAAAGAACATTTATGATTCTGATATCTTGCAATAACAGAACTTTCTTGATTTCCCTGAGTTCTTCATATATACATTAAAATGGCGACATATGTCAACCTTTCCTCTTAGCGCAATAGTCCAGACCTTATGGTTATGGCGAATTGGGAAGGACTCCGAACCAAGAACCAAGTGCACCCTCAAGTAATGTGTATCCGGGTAGGTTTTTGCTGCTTTCATTTTGTTCAAAATGGAGGTTACCGCAACGCAGTTTGGATTAGAGGGTCCATGGGCATTCCTCTACCAGAGCTGGGGCTTTCGGCCCAAGCCACGGGGGATTCGTCTTTTTTCTGTAGATGTCGAAGGATTCAAGCTACTATATCGCCCATCATAGGGCTGAAGAAATCTCAAAGCTGCCCACTCAACACTGAAGCCGCAAGGAGGAGACAGAAGGTACCGAAAGTTGCAAACGTTTTTTTGGGATAGACCCTCTGGGCTGAGTCGAAAAGCGGTTGAATCTCTCTATGGGAGGTATTTGATGACTGCATGAAAAATATGGGTAACGCCTAATTAATTCGCCTAGCCTAACACTAAGTTCTTCATAAAACATATCAGATCTAAAATAAATTTCTCCAGATTCTTTCACAAGTGAGTAGATGTATTCTGCGATTGCTTGTATATCAGAATCGCTTAAACTCTGCAGATCATACTTTTTATATCTATTAATTTCTTCCATAACAGCTAAATGGTATTTAACTTCATAATCATCATCCTTTTTAAGATCTATATTGGAAGTAGATTTAGGTTTTGCCTTTGTGAATAGATTTTGAATGCTAAAAATTTGAAAAATACTCCAGCAGCTCATTTTATTTATTATAATGGCAAAAAATAGACTTTTGGTTAATAATTTGTTGGCAATTAAAAAATCTAGACTATTTATTCAAATAATAGGCTAGCAAAAAAGCTATAAATTGATGCTTGCATCGAAAAGATATATTTGTTTTAAATATCACTCTAAAGCTTGAAATTATGTTTTAATCAATGTATATTAGTCTTTTTGAGCTTTCATACAAGTAGCTAAGCTAATAAACCAAATTCTACTTTTTGAGTAAATAAGCACCCTCCAGGATCGATCAAAAAAATTTTATAAATATCCTCTTTTTAATAAGCTAGACACCCTTAAACCCAATGACTAACCAGCGCTAAAATATTGTAAAAGCTGTTAATAAAATTTATTGAGTGCATCAATTAGAATTTGTGCCGATATTTGCATGATCTCATGCCACGGGTAATATGGCAATTTTATGATCTATTATTCGCGATGGCATATATGAATGATTTTTATTACAGCCTATGTATTAAATGAGATTATAATTGTGGGACAAATGATATAACTGCAGTTTCAATTATGATTTTTTATTTGTGTTAATGATTAATATTAGGAGAAGGCAGGAATTAATTCCGAGGTAATAGCTTATTAAAAGTTTTTTTGTATATAGTTTTAATATTAGTGTGCAGATAAAAAAATGAAAACACCATTTGTCTCGAGGCTGAAGCCTCGAGTAATTGCAAAGGAAAAGATTTATGCAATGATACAAGTTTTTCATATATAAGCCTCATAAAAGCATGAATTTTACCTGGGAAAACTTATATAAGATCTGTGACTAAGCCATCGTGTTGAATTATTTAACTGATAAGCCTAGCTTAATAAAGAGCAGAAATGTCCAAATTAAGTGCGATTCCGGACAATGAAGATTTTTAGCTACTTCTCTTAGCTTGGAATATTTGACGTCTAACAATGCCAGTGTGGGTCTTCTTATATAAAACTAAAAAGGGATATTGCGCACTTTATGCAGTAGCTAAGCATATGCAAATAGAAGAGTTTTTTAACACAAGATTGCTCCACAACATACCACAAGATCCATAAAATGCTCAAGGTGCCATATAAATTAGTATAGCTAAGAAATATATGCATATTTAGATGATTTTTAAAAATTGTGTTCAATTATTGTTTGAAAAATAAAAACTTTACTAATGGATTTCAATTATTTAATGATTAACTGACAATAAATGATTAAACTCAAGAAATTCTTAATCAGTCAAACATTTCAATAGCATTTTTGGAAATCTTGCCGCATAATCTAGAGTCAATTTAATAAATTAATATGGGTAAATAGTTTAGGTAGAATGTAACCACAAGTATAGCTTTAGAAATCGCAAATTCTAAATATAAAAACAAATTAATGTAATGCATACTAAAAATATTTTCTTCCATAGCATCCCTTGTTTTCTAGACAGACGTACAACATGATCTAATTCTCAAATCCCTTTGAATATTAATTGCTCTCGAGCTTCAACAATAAGATTAAAAAGAGCTTCTATGATTCTAATATCTTGCAATAGCAGGACTTTCTTTATTTCCCTTAACTCTTTATAAAACATGTCAGATTTAAAATATATTTCTCCAGATTCTTTTGCAAGTGAGTAGATGTACTCTGCGATTGCTTGTATATCAGAATCGCTTAAACTCTGCAGATCATACTTTTTGTATCTATTTATCTCTTCCATAACAGCTAAATGGTGTTTAAATTCATAATCATCATCCTTTTTAAGATCTATATTGGAAGTAGATTTAGGTTTTGCCTTTGTGAATATATTTGGAATGCTAAAATTTTGAAAAATACTTCAGCAGCTCATTTTATTTATTATAATGACAAAAAATAGATCTTTTGATTAATAAGGACCTGCACAGTCTAAGATCAAATAGATAGCAGGTGCAGGCTACAAACTTTATCGAGGAAGCAAGCTAGATTGACATTAACAGTATGATTACATTTTAACTAATAAAATTTTAGTTAAAGCATAAGCAAAAGCCAGGAAAATTTCCCAAAGAGAACTTATAATTTCTACTACCATGAGAGGTCTTATTTGATTTTTGCCTTTTATTTTTATAATTAAATAATCCCTTAAATTTAAAAGGGGCTTTGCTATCATAATGTATGAGCACAGACGAAAAGATTATTTTAAACACGTTTCTTTCAGATCTGCTACAATTCGAGTTTACTTCTGATCTAGAATGAAAACTGATGCTACAATCCCAAATAAGGAAAACTTACAAAGAAGTGTTCAATTGTGCAGATAATAAAGCGATATTGATACTGCATTATTTAAGGCAGGAACCATTCAAGCATCCCAAACTAGATATTTTAGAAGTAAAGCTTGGTCAAAGAATAATACCAAAGCTTAATAACAACGAAGTCGGTTGTCAAATACTTGATTATATAAATTTTATATTATCAATTTTATCTGGATTTATCGCTTTGTTTGTGTGGCTTTTATTTGTATTTTTTAGCAATAGTTGAGATTGGTCGTCTTTAGCCTTGCTGATGCTGTTCTTTTGCCGATTTTAGGCTTAAAAAGTTGATATTTTTTGTCAGGGATTGCAAGAAAACACCAAAATTGGAAGGATAAAGTACTCAAAAATTACACACATAACGAACTCAAGTGAAACCCTTGAAAGAGTCCTGAAATTGATGTGAGCGCTTTAGTCAATTATTTCTCAATAAACCACCGTGCATCTGAAGCACACTCAGAACATATTTCCATTGAAACAGTGTTCTAGGCAATTCTGATTGGTATGCAAATATAAAAAAATTAATTCATTTATTAATAAATTATGGAAATTCATGTGCTGCTATTAACACCTTTCATGCAGATGGTTGACAATGATTTTTGCGAAAGAATCGAATATGTAGAGAAAAAAAGTGAAAACAACGTTTTCTTCGAGGCTAGTATCTTAAGTAATTGCAAGGAAAGATTCATGCAATGATACAAGCATTTAGGATATAAGTTGTATAAAGAAACCAATTAAAAATATAAAAAATTGAGTAGCCAATTTAATAGAATGATATTGTTAAATAGCTTGAGTTGAATCATAGCAGCAAGTGCTGGTTTAGAAATTACCAATGCTAAAAATATTTACTTCCATCTATTTTAAAACCGAAAGACTCAACAAGTTATCTTGCAAATTATCCAGCTTATAAGATGTTCTAATTCATATACCCTTTGAACATGAATAGCTCTCGAATTTTATAAAAACACTTCTCTGATTTTGATACAATAAAATTTATTATAATTTATCAATAAATTATGTTTATTAGTCTACTATTATTCACAGCTTTTCTTGCAGACGGTTTAAGGGATGAAAACTGTGAAAAAATCGAGTGTGCAGATAAAAAAAGCGAAAACAACGTTTGCTTTGAAGCTGAAGTCTCAAGCAGTTGTGAAGGAAAAAATTCATGCAATGATACAAGCTTTTTCATATATAAGCCGCCTAAAGACATGAGCTGTACCTGGGAAAACTTTCATACCAATGAATATTTGTCAGGGGAAAGAGCGAAACCAGTTCAAAATATAAAATTTGAGTATTATCATCAAGACTCGCGATGCGAATGTAATCCATCAGACGAAACAGTTGGATGCATCAAAGAAGCTAATAAAACTTACTGTAGTGCTGGATATTATTGCAAAAATTCGGAATCAAAAGAGTTATGCATTCAAGCTAGCCCATACTTAGGCTGTAAAGATGACTCACAATGTCCTATAGGCTATGGCTGCAATGAAAAGACATGTGTAGAATTATTTTCGATTGGAATTGGAGGGTCTGTCAGTGACCCGAAATTTTGCAGGTCAATTTGGGTGCAAAATGGGGTCTGTGATTCAGTAAGTGTCTATACTTATTCAGGAACTGATAAGCCTGGGACTAAATTTAGCCCAATCAAGAATGAACGTAAAATATTTCCAGATTATGATTGCGATATAGGACATTGGTGCATTTATAGCTACTCTTCTAAATTGGAAATATTTGACATACAAAAATGCAGGTGTGGATCTGCTAGTTATAAAACTAATAAAGGATACTGTTCACATTATGCAACAGCTTCGTTTAAACATATAGAAGACATTGTCTCAAATAATTTGAGATATAAGGTGAGTAATTGTACGGGACCTTATGCGCATTCAGGTGATTTGGAAACATTGTATCGTTGTGGGTCAATCGATAGTGAAAAATATGAAAACTTCACTAACTCTCCTACTCTGTGAGCCAATTAAACCATTGGAAATCCCATTTTTTGAGTAATATATACCTCTGTTGCTAAAACAAAAATTTATGAAAAATGTTTGATATATAAGTGATAATTATATAATGCAATCACTTTTTAATTATGCTAAAATTTTAAACAGCTCATATTTAAAGCATATATTTAACAAATATTAATATAAATTTGTGCTTCATTTTTTGCAAATTAGGATTTCTAAGTTTCGATTAAATATTATAAAATTACATATTTTTTAAAAAGAAAATTTTTTGTTTGGTAACTGTGGGTAAGGAGTGGAATCAACTCAAATTTTTCTCGGTATTTTGGGGTTTCAAAGAAATAGGTTATGATTCCACTCATTGTCCTAAAGAATTCGGTGGAAGCGCATATTTTACTGCTTTTTCAGTTCTATTTCTTCTAATAGTTTAAAGATTAGTATAACTTATTTGAAAGTATTTAAATATTAATTTTTATAAACAACAATAATAAAATCTATTTAATTCTTATTACTACAATTAAGTTGCAAAGTATTTCATAAAGTCTAGAAACTCCTAAATACAGATCATTACATATACGCATCTAAATTTAAATATTGCCTAAGATACGCTGCTTCGCTCGCCATTTCTACATCAGTCCTATCTCCTCTATCACTATCCACTTTTAAAACAGATCCAGCTTCCCTTGGAATTATATGAACATGCACATGATCTACGCTTTGCCCTGCCTCAGGACCGTCTTGTATGGCAATCGAGCTTACACCCCTGGTCAGTTGTTTTGAAATAATTGCAGAAGCCTTCATCATTTCCTTCAGCTCATTTGCATTCAAGTCTGAAAATCTCGACACTGGTCTAAGTGTGCAGACTAGAATATGGTTTGGCCTGATAGGTCTGAGATTGACCATTGCATAGCAATATTGCCCTTTCCAGAAGACTTGGTGGAATGGTATAGGAAACTTTCCAAATACGATGGACATCACCAAAAACGGCCCTGAATATTTATTTAATGGCTTGATATTATATAGTGAGGCATAATAAATGCGAATTTTGTAATGGAGATCCACATTAATAAAATTTTGCGGATTTATTTACCTTTTAAGGGATAAAAAATGCAAGTTTACCTCAACGTTTATCACATTGCGAAACTTAGCAAATACACTGCCACTGTTGGGATGGGGATTTATCATAGCACAATTGAAATAAACAGTAATATATAAGCAGATTTAGAATATTCCTTTGGAAAAGGAGATGAAGAAGGAAGTGGAATTTACACTATTGTAGCAGGAACATCAAATGGATTGGTGTTATGTGAACGAAAGCTTCTCGGAATTTGTGATAAAACTATGTAATCCTTTAAAACAGCATGTAAGTCTAATTTTTTATATATAAACTTTGCCTTTTATTTATCTCAAAAAATATATGAAATTGAATGTATTTTGGTAGAGTTGAAAAAAGAGTTTTTCAGCGAAAATTACCATCTGATTCTTCGAAATTGTAACCATTTTGCTCAAGCCTTTGCGTATTCTCTGCTGAAAACGCGAGTTCCAAGATATATAAACAGGCTTTCAGACATGACCCATTGCTTGACTTGCATTTTGCCTCCAAACATATGAAACAGATTTCTCGATGAAAAGCGGCCTTTGCTTGACAATAAATCCTCTTGCTATAGCTAAGCAGCTAACTAATACGATTTCTAATTAATATATTGATAAAATCATAAAACTAGAAATGGAAAATCGGCATCCAAAACATCCTTTTGAAATTATTCCTAGTAAAAGCAGCTTAAAACCAGAGTTTACTCCACATAAAGAAGGCTGGATTCATTTCAGGCCTAACGGTAGCTTTAAGCATTGAATGAAAAAATTCGTAGTTTTAGATGAAAAGAAAATAAGGATATTTAATATTATTTTTTATATTTATTTCCTCGAAAAGTGCTGAAAAATAAAAGTTATTTTTTGGAAAATTATTCAGATATTAAAGGTATAACCAGCGTAAATCATCATTTTATGCAATTTTCGACTTTGACCAAGCTACTTTCACAATTCAAGTAAGAAACATTGAAAATGCATGAGAATTAATACTGTACCCTCTTGGCCATAAAAGACATTTTCATTTCAAAACTTATGATATAGAAGATTGGGCAAAATGCATATTTTATCATATAAAGGTTTCAGATGGGTATAAAAGAGACTTGGTGCAGGGAATCCCTGATTATCCATTTTGAAAATATATTGGGATATCAGATCATCAGTTTAGAACTCAGGCTGAAACTGGTGATATCATGCTATTTCAAGGGAAAAATAATCCATTTTTAATCTATTTTGCATTTAATTTAACTATATATTCCTAATAAATATCAAAATAAATCCAGAGCTTTGTAATTCCTAGTCCATATTTAATATTATTTATTTTATTTATATGTCGGATGCAGCAGATTTTTACTTTCAACGAATATGACCACGTTGCTATGGTTCTTAAATATTACAATGGCAAAATTGCACTACTAGAAGCCACCTTAGAAAACGGAGTTTCTATTGCATTTTGGGATGATTTTTTTAAATACAATTGGTTTGATTTATATGAAAAGATCTCTTTCCGACATTTAAAAGTAGATCGCACTGAAAGTATGCTTATTAGTCTTGAAGAATTCCTCCACAAAGTTATAGGGAAAAAATATAAAATTACTATGAAAAAACTCACAAATAAAATTGGGAAGCACAAGTTTATAGAAGAAGATGGCTATTTCTGTAGTGAGCTCGTTGCTAGTGCTTATAGAGTAATGGGATTGGTCCCAAATAATGTTTCTACTTCAAAATATTGGCCTGGCGATTTTTCAGAGAAGAAAACTTTGGATTTGGTTAATGCTCAGCTTGGCCCAGAGCAAATAATTGATGACACTGCATAATTATTTAACATGATTTTATTATTACCGAAGTGCCGGGAAATCTTTATACAGTTCTATGACCCTGCTGTGGGCTTCAAAGTTGTAGCTGAAATCTTCAAATTGGTTGTAACTTTCACAGTAAATTTCAGCTTCTGCATTGACAATCCCTCTAACTTCAACGATACCGTTTAGGGTGATTGGGATATTGTGAATTTTAATGTGAGTTTGGTCGTCAGCTATGTAAATACCATTTTCATGTGTGCCTTCGACTTTGCCAACAACACTGACTTTTCTGCCTATTGTTAAATCTTTTCCTAGTGTAGTGGGGTAACTTTGCGCCATATTTATTATAACTTTGCCAGAGGGCGTTGTAAAAATTAAAATTGTAAGAAATTATACTAAAAAAAATTTTAAAAACTATTTGGATTGAGAAGTAAGATTTTGCTAGGATACCAGAAATGGATAGTTAGATAATTTTTCCTAATATAATTATGCATATTTTGACAAAGAAGTACTTTTTATTTAATTACGATTTTAATAGAAAATGAGGAAATTTTTAAAATAAAACCTTTAACCTTAAAATTGTTGAAAAATTCAATTTTTAACGACAAAAATGGGTTGTTGTACATCACGCTATACCATAACTCCAGAAGAAAGATGAATTTGTTACTATGAAAGGCAACTTAATTTTAAATCAATTTCTCCAAAAACAATTGAATTTGTATTTAAGAAGTGAGTTGGCCCAGAAGGGTGAGGATTTTAACGTATAATTTAATTGCATTTAAAAAATATTAGGGTGTTAGGGTGTTAAGGTGTTAATTTTATCGAACCATTTAATCTCAGAAGGCCTAACTCTCAAAAGATTTCAGAAATCAAGTGAAAATCTTGGTATTAATATTGGAGATTTATCAAGCCCTGATGACAATATCTATCAATTTTATAAACAATTTAAAACCAATGACACTTTTAACATAGACGAACTTATTATTTTCGGTGTTTTTGAATGCTCGGCAAGACCCGAAGACAAGGCTGAAGTTTGATACGATATTATTGATAAAGATTTATCTGGCCGTCTCCTAACTCAACAAGTAAAAGACTTCATAAAATGTCTCTACAAGCTCACCTATAAATATCTCCCAAAAATTGCTTCAGGAACAGACGACAAGTTTGTTTCACCAGAGCAAATCCAAGTCTACATCGAAAAGGCCGATCTCCACTCAGAAAAATTTTCTGCACATATTACTGACTTATTAACCTCCAATATTGCATTAGACAAACCTGGCTTCCAAGAAAAATTAAGGGAACACTACAAAATCACATATCCAGAAGGATTTCGAGTCCTCGTTAAAGAATTTTTAAATAATGGCAATAAATAAATTAGTCAGGATTTCACATAAATGTGTTATCAATTCACTGAATAAAAATAATGGTGAGCATTGAGAGAGAGAAAGAAGTGCTGATTGGTCCTCTCAATAACGATCACGATTTTCTAAGAGACAATGAATTTATTCATACAGGGTATCGTTTGAACTTTAGTTCAACAAAGCGAATTTTGAAAAGTCTTTTCATGATCCATAACGAATCGGTCAATGTATGGTCACATCTATTTGGTGCAATTCTCTTTTTGATGCTATAATTTAATGCTATATATACCTTATTTTGGCTTTACAAGTTATTTATGACCTATTTAATTTAATAAATTATAGTTGTATACACCCTGTACTGAATTGGCTTTTCTGACGAAAGTCATCATGAGGCTGGCCAAATGCTGTTTGATTTGAAAACCAGTGCCCTCCACGCCTACAAGTCAAGTGTAGACGCCTTCGATACATTCAGTGAAAGAGCCCATGAATTTGCTCATGATTATGAGACCTCAATTCAGCAAAAACTTTTAGCTCTTTACGTCGACGCTCATCACTATTCCGAATCAATAGAAGTAAGGGTCCACGATTTCTATGAAGAGTTTAAGCATTCTAACGAAACAGAAAGGTTTAAGCCTGTCATGGAAAAAATTGAACAAATGATGCAAACAGTGGATAGCAAAAAATATGATTGGATGGATATTTATAATCCTTTTAATGGACCAAGACTGCAAGTGGTCCATAGATGGCCTGTGCTTGTATTTTTAGTCAGCGCTTCTGTATGCTTAGGATGTTCTACACTTTATCATCTGTTTAAGGCTCATTCTTTAACACTCAATTTGTTTTATTCAAGGCTTGACTATGCTGGAATTTCGTTTTTGATAGCGGGATCTTGTTTTCCAGCTTTTTATTATACGTTTTACTGCAGAGAAGGTAAAAATTATGCAGCTTTTATATGGATTTATTTGGTTGGAATTTCTGTAGCCGCAATTATTACATTTGTATTGTCGTTGACGCCACAGTTCCAAAAGGCTGATCTTATATGGTTGAGGGCTTTGGCATTTATTGTTTTGTCTTCACTTGGAGCGATCCCTGCTGTGCACTTTTTATTGCTGTAATATACATGTAGTCCTGAGGCAGAAAAATTTTATTCTTGCTTTGTGTACTTTGTGGTGGTTGTTTTTCTTTATCTTTGTGGGGTTTGTGTTTACATAATAAGATTCCCAGAACGGTATTTCCCTGGGAAATTTGATTTTTGGGGGAACTCACATAATTTATGGCACTTTTTTGTTTTGAGTGCAGCATTTTTTCACTATTTAGGAGCTTTGGATTCTTATCACAGAAGAGAGAGGTTGCTTTGTCCTGCATAAGCTCGATAATCTAACTAGCAGGTTTTCTCAATTACATTAGTAAAATAATATTTATTTTAAAAAAATATAATCGAAATAAATCAAAAGAGAAAGTAAGAACTTTTAAAAACTATTTATTCTAATAAATGGCTTCATTTTCCTACCTTTTTAAGTACGTCATTATCGGAGACTCAGGGGTTGGAAAATCTTGCTTCATGCTACAGTTCATTGACAAGCGGTTTAAAAACAACCATGACCTGACAATAGGTGTAGAGTTTGGATCTCGGACTATAAAAGTTAATGACAAAAGTCTAAAACTTCAGATGTGGGATACAGTAAAATTAACATAGGCTGGGCAAGAAAGTTATAGGAGCATCACAAGATCATACTACAGAGGAGCAATCGGTGCTTTGCTTATATATTTTTTTAAGTTAATTACCCCCATATATTATTATTTAAAAATAATTCATAAATTAATAAGAAAAAGTATATATGATATCACAAAAAGAGAGAGTTTCGTCAATCTAGAAAGATGATTAATAGAAGTTCAAAATCATGCCAATAGTGATATGGCTATAATGCTGGTTGGGAATAAATCAGATTTAGAAGCTGAAAGAGCAGTTTCTATTGAAGAAGCTCAAGAATTTGCGAGGAGGAATAATATGTTATTTATGGAAGCCAGCGCTAAGACAGGAACAAACGTAGACAATGCATTTATTGATTCAGCTGCTTTGATTTTGCAAAAAATTGAGCATGGAGAGATAAATCCAACTGGCCAACACAATGGAATCAGAGTGGGAAGCGACTTTAAAAATGCATTAACAGGAAAAACTTATAATGTCGAAGACTCTAAATGTAAATGTTAATTATTCTATTTTATTATAAATTTGTCTCAACTCATTTCTTTATATTGCTATAGCAATTATAATCTTTCTATAGTATAAATTTCTTCATCAAATTGATCTGGCGGCTGAATATAGTCTGTTTTTAAATACTCGTTCATAACCCCTGACAGCGCTCCAAGAATGGCTCCAATTGGGTAGCAATAAAGCTGCTCTTTCATCAACGCAATTCTTAATTGATACGCAGTCTGGTCCTCCACGTCTAGAATCCCAAAAATCAGTCCAAAAATGACCCCCATAATAGACGATAGCACTAAAATAGCTGAAATTTGTTGAGGGTTCTCTACTATAACTTTTCCTGAATACCCACTAAAATAGCTGGAAAAATAGTTCATCAAGTCTACGATTGCAAAAGTCAAAGCAAAACTTACAGAGATCCCTAAAATTGCATAGAGTGGAATTTTCAGATGAGGACCTAGGCCAAGCGACCAGTTTTTTTCTAATAAAAAGCAGAGAATTCCTGAAAGGACGACTAAGACCCCAAAGGCAAAATAATATTTTCGCTTACTCCCCCCCCCATCCTTGATCGAACGACTCGCCATCGTTCGATCAAGGATGGGGATTAAAAAAAAAATTTTTCGGGAAAAAAAAATTTATAGATAAAATAAAAAAATATATAGATATTTTTTTTTATTTACTTTTAAATAAGAGGGTAAAAAATTTAATTTATTTCATAAAATACCAATTTTTAATATTTTAATTTATTAGTTACCCCTTTAAACTGTATAAATTTTAATTTGTTCCTTATTAAATTAATTTTTTTTAAAAAAAATTTTAAAGAATCTGTATTTTATTAGATTATTGAGGTTTTAAGCATATGTTAATGACTAAATCACTTCGGATGGTTGATCCGCAGCTTTCTGTCGTCTCAAAGCCTCTGAAAACAACTTCATTATGTACATCTTCCCAAGCTTTTGATAAATAATATTTTTTTATATATATAAAAATTGTCATGATATGAAAATCGTTCGATCAAGGATGGGGTTAATTTCCCCAATTTTTAGGAATTTTTACAGTCAATCGTTCGATCAAGGATGGGGGGGGAGTTAGTTTCTTCGTTAGACTGCTGCTGGACTCGGCTAATGATGACTGCGCCGACTATCATGAAGAGAATGCCAAAGTACTAAATGAAATTTACGACTGAGAAGAATGGATTGATACTGATTTCAGCCAGTGTAGAATTGATAATAAAGCTGACACCTATTCCGAGACCTGCACCAATTGCGCTCGAGATTGAGGCTTTTCGCCAGTTTAGTTTGTCGCCTACAGTCTTCATTAGGTCTTTGTGGAAATTCATGGAAAAATTATTTGTAAAGATGAATAGTTAGATAATCGTTTTATGATGGAAAATATTGAAAAGATTCGAGCAATAAAATATTATTTATTATTGTTTATAGAAATTGATGCGATAAATAATAATTATTAGTGCTTATATCATAAATAATATCTTAGAAAATCTGTTAATTTTCACTAATCAATCTATGCTTAAAGTAAATAAAATTTCAATAACTCTCTAAATAGACAGCAAGCCAAATAATTGTGTTAAAAAGCACATATTTAATGATTTATTTCATTCTAAACAGAGTCTTAACCAAATATTTAAATGATTTGGAATTGATTTAGCTGCAATAAAAGTTTTTAGCTTATTAGTTTTATGATCTTTTATAAGTGATTTATAGGCTAACTATTAATGATAAACCTTCATTCCTATAATTTGGTCCGAATATAAATAAATTCTTTATTAGCCTTTTGCTTATTTTTATTAATATCATTAATTAAAATAAGTTGCAATTATAATTATAATAAAGCTGATATAATCAAATATTTTTAATTTCCAAGATTTATATAGAGAAATAAGAGCCAAATATATAAACCAACAGAATAATTTGAATAATATTAGCTTAAGCAAATGATTAATTGCCACAACAATTGGTATTTAAAGCCTCTAATATGTTAAAATTCAAGTTATTTTTCTATCAAATTATTATCCTATTATTAATAGCGACACAAATAAAGATTTAACAATATCGCATGTATTCAAATGACACACTATCAAAGAGTTGAAACTCTGGACGTCTAGAAGACTCCCACACAAGGCCAACTGGCATCTCTCTGACTCCTAAAAGATCCAGTAAGCGATCTGTAACAGCGAAACAATCCAAAACCCCTGAACCTCTCTCATCCCGTCCTAGATCCGGAAAGGTCCAAACAAAGTACTTAAACCCTAACCTATATGGCAATTCTTTGCAAGACAATGAAAACTCTCAAGGATCTCCAACAAACGTAACAAAAGCCACTACTTTTTTGCACATTTTAAAAACAATGCAAAAATTCAAATTAGGGCCAGGCCAATATTACTATGATTTAAGCACACTAGGTGGCCCTTCATTTCATTTTTCGTCTGAAAAAAGGTGACCGAAAATTGATCATTTGATATCTCGGCCAAGACTGAATTTTGATGATGCAAAAAGAAGGCAAGAAATTTATCATGATAATAAAAATGTTAGAAAATATTCCCCTAATGAAAGAATGAAAGCTATAAAAAAAAAAGCAAGCCTAGAAGCAGCTAAAATTGTGGGAATCAAAGAGAAAAAACAAATGATTTATAATACCACGAAATCGGAAAGACTACTTAGGCTGAAAGATAAAGAAAGAAGATATGAGTGAAATAGAAAGAAATTTGAATTAGCCAAAATTTCAGAAACGTGGATTGCTATCGATGTAATTGTTGGGTTTGCATCAATTGCAAGAATAAAAATGAAGCTTAAATATAAACTGCATCTTAGGTCGGCAAAATTGCTAAAGAAACTGTATGTTATTTGTGTATGCTATGGAAGACTAAAAAGGAAGCTTCATAAAATTAGGGTTAAACGCGCTTTAAATGTTTTGAGAAGAATGGTGATACCGATGAAAAAATGGCTGATGATAAGACGTAAAAAATTAGCTGAAAAAATTGTTGACATAAGCGAATGAGCCATAACAGGCGACAAAATTTTTAGCCTCATGCACGCTTTTATACGAATAATTACATTTATACAGCGAAAAATTAGAAAAATCCTCAAAAGAAAACATTTTTCTTTAGCTGTAAAAAAGTTATTGTGGAATAAAGTTGAATATAAAATGTATATAGAGCATTGTGTCAAAAAATACACCCTTCCACAGTCAGAATTATGGAAAAAAATAAATTATGAGGCAATACAAGGACATTCTTCTATTCCTGATAGCATAAAAGACATTGTTATAAAGAAAGTCTTGAAGATGAGGATGCAAGAATATAGAAAAAAATTAAGGGAATATAAAGAAGAATGTAAAAAAATATCAGAAGAATACGAAGAAACACATTATAAAATTTTGGGAAAAGTAGCTGATGGTGGACCGATTTATCCACTTCATCCTGTGCCGCATTATATTATATCTGAGTCAGAATACAGGATCTTGATAAATGAGACTCTACAAAAAAGACTTGAGTGGGAACCTCTTGTCAGAAAAAATACAAGAAGGAGCTTGTTGAGACTTAATACCATTATAAAGCCTCAATTTAATTAATATATAGCGTAAGAATTTTGATTTATTTTTAGTTCTTTGATTAAAATAAAAATTAATCAATTAATTAGACAATTAAATTTATTATCACCAATTAGCTATTTTGAAATTTCCACAAACAATGACTATAATATTTTCAAAAATAATTGCTTTTTACACAATTTCTGTACTAGTAATAATTTTCCAAATTAATAGCATTAATGCGTAACTTATAATTTAAATGGAGTTTGGATTTGATGTCAGGCGAGTTTTACGTCCAGATGAGGATGGATTTACAATTATAACCCCACAGTCAGATTCTATTCAAAATAAAGAACTTTGCGAAATAATCAATGAAATGGGAAAAGCTTCAGCAAGAGCTCAATCATTAGGGGCAGTCATTACAACTCCATCGAGATTTTTTTCTTCATCAGATAGCAAGCTTTATATAAAAAGCGAAAATCAAAAGGTCATTGGAATCTTGAAAACTGGACGAAGAAAATTATTTTATACAGACATGATTGGGAAAATCACTGAAATGACTCCTCTATGTTTACTAGATTTCTATGTGCACGAGTCCATGCAAAGACATGGCCATGGAAAGCTAATTTATGAAAGAATGCTTGAAGAAGAAAATGTCTTACCAAACAAAATTGCTATTGACAGACCTTCCAACAAATTAATTAGCTTTATGAGAAAGCATTATGGACTTGCTGACTATATCCCACAAAATAATAATTTTGTAATTTATCATCAATTTTTTGATGTAATCGACAAATAGACAAATTTTAAGCTGCCTAAAAGAGCGGGACATAACAGCTATGAAGAAAGAAAAGAAGCCTACCATGAAAAACCTCAAGAAGACTTACTTCTCCCCTCTTTATGAGTGAACAAAAATATTTTATTCATTCACGGAGGGAATTAATTTATTTTTAAAAAAAAATTTTCGAAATTTTAAAACAATCCTAATTTGCAAAAATTAATTTAATTTATAAAATTTATGTTTTAAAACGCAATTTGTTTAAAATTAAACAGAATTAGCTTGAGATTTCATTATACCAATTATCACTTATATATCAAAATTTTTTTCATAAAAATTTTTTTTATTAAAAAAATTTTGTTCATTCACGGAGGGTGGGGTTTTGGGCAAAAAATAGGGATTTTTCCAATGGTTTTGTTCACTCACGGAGGGGGGGAGTTAGAAGAAAACTACTATGAGCAGCCCTATCGCAAGACTCAAGATCTTCATCATAGGCCTCAAGAAACTTATAATGAGCCTCAAGAGCATTATAGAAATGAAGCACATAACGAGAGAAATGAGCCTCAGAGGAATTATCATTATTTGCAGCAAAATAATTATGGAAGCTCTTCTCAAAGGTGCAAATCAAGGGAAGATAAAATTTTGGACCAAATTAGATCCAATATTGTGGTAACTGAGGATCAGCTGAAAGAGACAAGGGAAAGGATTACGAAAATGGAGGCTGAGACGAAGATGAGCGGATATCAGCCTAGAGCGCCATGGGCTACGAGTGGGACAGGAAGAGAAAAGAAAACATCTTCTTCTGATTATGGAGCTTATTTAAATTATCAGAAAAGGTATTAGTTTTATGAAAATCCAAATTAATTTATTAGATAATAGAATTATTATTAGCAAATGTGATAATGACTCCAAGCAGTTATTTATGGATGGAAATACATAAAATGCTTCTTTCTTCTCAACTAGAATAAAGTCAATTATAAAAATTGCTCAAATGTTTTTAAATATCAAAAGTAGATAAAGCTGTTTGAGCTTTAATATACATTAACTAAAAAACCCTATTATTATAGGATTTTATTAAGCTATCCTAAAAACTTGTCTTTTTAGGAATAAAAAATGTCGAAAAAAGTTGAATTTATTAGATTAAATAGTAAAAATGAATCATTCAATTTTCTTACTCTCCCCCTCCGTGAGCTAACAAAAAAATCTTGTTTGCTCACGGAGGGTAAAAAAATTTATATTAGTGCCTTTTCCAAAATTTTTAGAGACCTCTGACAAGTGGAGATATTTATTCTCCACATCCCAGAAATACTTCCACATGTGAAAGCAGAGAGATATAGTAGCTTCTCATGTTGAAATATCTTTGACATTTGGAGGATATCTCCAAATGCCAGAGGTCTCCCAAAATTATAGCAAGGTGCTATGCTATATATATCAATTTTAAAGATTTTTTTGCGAAATTTAAAAGAATCCTAATTCGCAAAAACTGGAAAGCAAATGCTAATTTAATTTGTAAAATTTATGTTTTAAAACGCAATTTGTTTAAAATTAAACAGAATTAGCTAGAGATTTCATTATAATAATTATCACTTATATATTAATTTTTTTTCCATAAAAAAATTTTTGTTCGCTCATGTTTTTGGGCAAAAAATAGGGATTTTTTTAAATGGTTTATTCGCTCACAGAGGGGGAGTTAGAAATAAAATTATACAAAAAGAATTGAATTTAAACCTGCGACTTTAGCTTATACTAACAAAAGCTTTCTCTTTGAGAAATTTTCCTTGATTTCTCTCATGCTTAAAAATTCGTTAAAATGTGATCATATTGATAATGGCAATATAACTCGTTTCCTCGATAAAGTTTCTATTTATATTAGACTATGCAGGCCCTTAGCTAAATTTTAAAAAATATAATAAAATATGTATACTTTTATATAATCAGCATATCCAATACACACCTAGTCAAACCTGGCTGGATATGTCTGGCTCTCAATCTGGCTCTACCAAAATAAATTACAGAGGCAAAAAAATAGGGATTTTTCTAATGTTTTTTGTTCTCTCACGGAGGGAGTAAATATTTTTTAAATTATAAGAAAATAAAAGCATAAAGGCTTACTTCCCTGTCCGTTTGCGAACAAAAAATTTTTGTTCGCTATGGAGGAGTATAGGCTATATTAGAATTGCATTAGTATCTGGATAATCGAGTATTATTTTGTAATTTTGCAGAGCTTGCTCTTTGAAGTTTTTATGTGTACTATTATTTCTTTTAAGCTTTTGAATCCTAGAATTGGAGCAAGAGTGCATCCGGATATAATCAATAAAGCGAGAAAAGTCCAATCGCATCTATTACTAAAGCAGATAAAAACAATTCACGCAAAAAGAGTAATGAATCCTGATAAAATTGACAAAAAGCAGTTTAAAAATATTCCAATATTTCAGAACCTGTTCCCTTAAAAATTTAGCTTTGGAATCAGTTTCTGGGAAAGCTTTGATTCTAAAGCTTCAAGTGTAGGGTGCTTAAAAGGCTCTTACTCTAAATAATGAAGTATTAGAATTACATTAGTATCTGGATAATTGAGTATTATTCCGTAAGTTTCTCTTATAGTGGCTTGTAGCTTTAATTTTTTCTTCAAGGTCTGAAGAAAACTCAAATTTTAGTAGATCTGAGAGAAGAGTATTTAGAAGAGTCTGTTCGTTTTGTGATCATTTTATTGTTATAAGAAGCCCCTTTTTAATTTTTTAAAATTATTTAGTTATAAGCTCTATGTTTTAGTGTTATATATTAATGCTAAACAGAAATTGTTTTAGGTTAGTCAAAATATCAATTTAAAATATTTTAATATAATATGCTAAATGTAATATTATTTTCTCTCTATGAATTCTTCTGTTAATAAATTTTTCATATTCATATTTTCCAAAAATAAATTGGCATTATTCAAATATTACAAGACATTATATAGTTAAAAAAATCAATTAAAGTAATAAAATAATCCATCTCTTAGCTTAAATATAAACTATCATAATGCCCATTAATACTCAATTAATAGCAAAATTAAATTCTCCAGAACTGCTTCATTAATATATATACTTACACATAGACCCCAAATCAATCAAATATAATTAAATTTCAACTATTTTATGGCCAGAACTCGTCCATAATTAATCTTATTCCATCTAAAAATCCAGTAACTCATGCGTCAAAATTTTGCAATAAATTCACGCATCATTTTCATAATATAAAATTCATGCCAGAGAGCTTACGATCATATAAATCTCGGATTCTTATAGAAGATACTCAAAATTCAGGGTTAATTGTGTTTGGTGTATTATTACCAATTGTGCTTATTATTATAGTGTAAAATTTACATAGAGGATTTTCGTGTTATTTGATAAGAAAATATTCTTTTTAAATAAAAATTACCGGAATATCACATAAATTACCAAATTACCATATTTATCATAATAAAAATATAAAAGAAGAAAAAGCACAAATAAAGTCAAACCGCACAAAGAGTCAATAAATTTAAATTTGGCTGGAGATCTCTCAGGTGACGACTCTAAGCGAGAACGAACCGACATAACCCTTGACCGAACCATTTCAAGTGCATTGGATGGGCAAAGTGAATCCAAACGAAAAAACAACCCACACCAAGGAGAGTTGCTTACTATTTCAGTGAATCGGGCTTCATCGAATTCAGACCAAGACGAGTCTCGCAGGATTTCGCGAGTGACCGAAATTCATTACTTGTGTCCACAAGAAGAAGATTATATCAGTCCAACCGAAAGGATTCCGGACCATTTTGATATTTATGAGTTCAGAGATATCACTGGGGAAGTGTGCAATGTGTGTAACTCAGTGTAAAATTTGATATATGCCAATTTATATAAATAAAAAGCATTCTTAATATAACCCTTCAGCCTATAAATCTACGATTAAAAGTGCTTATATCTCTATAAAATAATAGATTCGAAAAAGGAGATATGGGCCTTGCCGGAGAGTGTAGGCACAAAATTCATTTATCGTGCTGAGCAGAGTTCATACAAAAACATAGAGATAAATCAATGCTTTGCCCTATGTAAACGATATGTAGATGCTGTAACAAAAGTTAATTTTCAATGCAAATATCGTAAATTGAGTATTTGTGCTGAATTAATTTAAATCGTAATTTAATAGAGTAAGTATTTTATAAGAGTTTATTAGAAGGAGCTTTTGGAGTTTATGCTAGTCTCTTCTAGAGCCCAATAATTGTCAATTTTTAGCAGTTCTTCTGTGTCTTCGTCCATGTCTAAAAATAAGTGAAAATCGTTGATGTAGTCTTTGACGTTTAAATCTTTTAAATAGCAGGCTATTTCTATACAAATTAAAGTTTGGAGGGGATATAGGTCCAATCGCTTAGCAGCGAGTAGAAGTTTGAGCTGGTTTTCTTGGGAGGTTTTTTCGAAAAAGTACCTGTCTCAAGGATCAATATAAACTGTATTAATTCAAAATGGTCGGAGTTTTTGGGTGGAAAAAAATAATATAAGGATAATAAAAGTATTGGTAAAGATTAAATAAAACAGAATATGTTTTTATATCAATATCTTTAGCAAGAGCTCTATATACTGGTGGATTGTAACGGTGATAAGACAAATAATCAATAATCATGTCCAGTGTTTCAGAGTCAATTTCTAGAGCATCTAGATAAATAGGAGAAGAAACATCAGGGATTTCTAAATGAAAAATACCACGCAAAAATTCTGATAATTCGACAATCTCGTGTGGAACTTTGTAAGATTTGCCTTCAAATGAAATAAGCTCTATTGTTTCTCCCATAGCTTTATTTATTTTTAAAATTAATTATAATCAAAACTTGTATATATTGGGCACATAATATGAACTGCATTTTAATGCTTGTTATTTCCCAGAACTTAAAGTGTCTTTACTGATTTATATGAATTCCCTCTTATTTACAGATCTTATCTTAATTTTTTATCAATTTAACCCTATGTAAGTCTTTAATCTCTCAACCTATAATATTAAAAAGACTTGTTTATTAGCCTAAAATTTAGCGGCTTCTATTCAACGTTTCAACAAGAGGGTTTTAGTACCTGGCTTTCTGCTGATTATATCCTCAGAAGGCCAGTCTTCAAATCTCAACTTGGGTCTGTCATGCTTCCTAAAGTTCCCAGCCTCCACTGCTGGGGATGATTGACCCTTTCCAGCGATTCCATTTTCATAAAGGCAGCTTACTTCTTTTAACGGTAGAAGCCAAACCTCAATAATCAAAATTTATTCCTGCTCAAGTAGATGACAAATTATTTATTTAGCATAAAAAGACAATTTTTAAGTGAACCTGCAATAAATAGGTTATTTCTTTAAGTCCTCTTAAGAGCGGAAATTCCACCAAACTCCGAAAAAGAACAGTCCCAAGCCCGCAGCAGTCGCAGTTCTATAAGCTCCAAAGTACGTTTTAGAGAAGTTATTCACCAAAAGCCTTTCAGTCCCATTGCAGAAAGGCGCATTTGCAGATTGTTTGCAGTTGCAAATCTTGTAGTATCCTGATTTATCTACGTTGAAAGCGATTGGTCTATTTCTTGATAGCATGTAATGGCATTTATGATCGCACCACGGTTCATCCCAAGTGGCTCCACATGAGCACCATTTGTAAATTTTACCAGCTTCTAAATGAATATTGGTTGGGATAAATCCCCCTCTGATTGGTAATGTTGGTGGCCTGTATTTTCCTTCAGGATAGTGATATTCTTCTGGCATTGGAGTCACTGTTTGTTTAGGGAAATCAGTGACATCAGTAGGTTTTTTCTCTGCTCTAGGGGGTGGTGCATGAAGAATTTCTGGCTTTGGGACGAGAGGATCCAGTCTCCAATCGTAGTTGCAAGGGTCAGACATATTTTATTAAAGATTTGATTTTCAATGGTTGAATTAAAATATTAGAAGAATCTTAAATGATACTTGGAGCGATGTTAGCTGCGATTTCGCTGTAGCCATTATTTAGGACTAAAATGTCATCAGTGAACTCGATGTATTTGATCTTAGGCAAAGAAATATTAACTTTTCCTAAGTCATTATTGATAATTGGCACCAATATGTCAAACAGGTTTTCTAATAGCATGCTCAAGACAGCTGTATTGACGGTTCCTACATTGGAATTTATTACGGAGACTTGCCAAAGGTCAAGGGTGTTTATATCAAAGTTGAGGACTGTGCCGTTAAGGTGCAAATTGGCATTGATGTAGATTGATGTTAATAAGTCCAATGCATTTGTCCATGCAGTTGAGGAGGTTTGGACTGCAAACTTAGTTTGTAAAGTTGCGTTGAAATTCAAAGAATTGTTGGTCCATACTGTTGGGTACTGGTAAGCAGGGTCTGAGTTGAAGGTAAGTGCGACATTTTTCCCTTTTCCGTAGGTCTGTTTTAAGTTTGGTATCAAAAATGCCAGCCCATCAGTTGTCAATTTCAAAGGAATAGTTGGAGGAAGCTGCTTTAAGTCAATATTTAAAAGTCCCCAATAGGCGACTACCAAAGAGTTCAGGAAATAGTCTGATAAAAAGATTTGGAAGTCCAGCCCATCAGCTCCATAAGCTGGGAGATCTATAGCCTTGAATGGGATAAATGAAGATTTAGTAGTAGAGTTATATACTTCCCCTAAGAATGGAATGCTAAGATATCCATTGCTTACTGAAGTATTTTGGGTTAAATGTAAATCTATGATTGAGCGGAGTGATTCCAGTTCAAGCTCGTAAGTTAAGTTATTAAGTATCCGGCCATAAACGCTCCGCAGGCGCTGAACATCTGCCCCGTCTCGGCTCCAAAATGGCATCCGAGGATGCCATTTTGGATTTCCATCCTGAACCACCTGTCCAGGGGATTAACTCACCCTGGACAGAGCCTCCTTAAATAGCACCCCTATGGTCCCGATGAGGAAAGACCACGTGGTAGGCAAAACCTGTCTAGCCCAGGACAGGGAAAACCTTCGAAGGAGAAATAAAACTTCCCTCTTCGGCAAGGCACCCCCAAGCCTGAAGGCCTAATTCCATCGGGACAGAGGCTCAACTTTCAGCACATCAGGATGTTCCGTCAACGTCACCATTTTATTTCAAGCTCATAAGGGAGGATGTATAACAGCATATTAATATCATCTGTTTTATTAGCAACGTACCCTTCTATTGTTTTTTCAAGGGTAGGGATTTCTGATATCATCGCTTCCAGCAGCAATTTCTTAATTGTACTTGACAAGCCAGTTGTGGTGAGCTCTATGTTGGTTATAACTGCAGCCAGATGTCGGATAAGGATTTGGGCTTTGTCTTTAGGCTGAGTCTGTATGACTGTTATGAAATAGTCAAAGTCGAGACCTAAAATGGTAAGAGTCCCTGTCCCTTTATAAGTTAATCCGTACTTTAGGAGATAGTTGAAGGTCACAACGATTTTTCCATCGTTTATAGCTAGCTGTATTTCGTCTGGCTCTTTAAATGTTAGCCCTGAAGTTGTCAGGTTTGCAGTTACACCTTGAAGCTGGACGTTCATCAGTTCCAATTCCCCTTTGAATCCAGCGTTGAAATTGAATGTAAAATTTCCTAGCGTGTAATTGATGGAATATCCTTCCCCAAATGCTAGTAAAATCTGCACAATTTCATGGAGTGGAGCTTGGTTAATGGAAAGCGATAAGGCATTGTCACCAGCGAAAATGAGAGCAGGCAAAAGTGCTAACAAAAAGAACTTCATAATTATTTAGTCAACAAATAAATGGTGAGATATTCGACGCACAACAATTTTTGAATTTCTTGTGATAAGTGCGTTAGACAATAAATAGGCGAAATAAAATGACAGAATTTAAATTCATAGGAAAAGGAAGCTGTCTAGGTAATAAAATGATAAATTTTTTAAGATATTCTAAAAATAGGAGAGAAATATATAGATTTTCTTTTTTAAATTAAAATATGCTAAAAATTAGGAGAATTTACTCTAGTTATGCTGCCAATAAGCCTTTAAATTAATTGAAAAATTTATTATAAAAAACAAGATCGATAGTTGAGGTCAACCAGATTGATAAAAAATGGTAAATGACAATCATGTAAGATTTGCCTTTTATTATTAAAATATTATCTTATTAGAAGCGTTATCTTTAAATATAAATATTGAATTAGTTAATCCTGCAACTAATAATAAAAAGAAGTTTCTACACCTGCATGATCACTTATTTGCGTAAAGACTTCTCCCTCAGTGCTCAAAGGTTCAACTTTTGTGTTTTCCACATTTATTTTCAGGTCCTACTTTTATCTTACAGTCCTATCTTCATTTGCTAGCAAAATATAATCAAGAGCTTCATCAGCACAAATTTCGTGATTCATTGTAAGGATTTTTTCTAAAGCTTCTCCTTTCTCATTGATTCTCCCAAATGTTGCTGGGCAGTCCGAAAAAATTAATAATATTATATACAAATTTTAATATCAATTTTTTGGATAAAATAATACTGTATAGGCCCGATTTTATAATTTTTAGCCTAATAAAATCTTAAATAAATAAAAAATACAGTATAAATTCCTAGAGCCAATGTTGCAGGAGAAAATCCATATTTTCACCTCAACAAGTCTTTCATAGCAACTTTTTTTCCTCGCAAAAGGAGTTTGCTGAGATGTTCATAATCGTCTAAACACTCAATATCTTTAAATACTGGTGGCTTTAGCTCCTCTCTCCCATCCACATTTAAATCCCCACATATAAAACCAGGCTCTTCAGCTAGCCCTATTTTTTCGTCAACAAAATTTCGGAGATCAATTAGCTGTTTTCTCCTAGTCAATCTATACATAAGATATTTTTTGCTGCTTTTAGTAGGGTGTTTTGACTGTAAATGAACGTTAAAAAGATGCAAAGGCTTAGAATTTATACTATATTTAGTAGAAATTTTATATAAAAAAGGGAAATAAACTACCTGATTTATATCTAAAAATAATTTATAATCAATATGTGGAAATAAATTCATAATAAATGAAAATACTAAGATTTTTGCATATAAAGCTCCCTTATAGGCCAATTTATCTGGATAAACTGAGTCATTGAAAGGCCTAAACGTAGATTCCAAGATTTTATGCTTGCTTAGTATTACCAGCCCACAGTCGGCTATATGAGTTGAAAAAATTTTTGGAAGAGGGCTGATTGCGTGATACAAAAAATTGTGATTGGCTGCTTCATGCAAAAGTTTCTTTTGACGTGAGGTATAAGCTGCATATGTCTCTTGCAAACAAATGATATCGTATTTCTTTATGATCTTGCTGATAAAGTAAGAAAGGCGCTGATTTTTAAAATCTCAATTTTTGTTATGAACTAGAGGCGGCCTCATAAATAGATTCAAAGTCAATAACTTTGTTTGAGACATATTTATATAGCACTATACTAGTCTTATAAAATTTTTTTAAATAAAAATGATTCTGATAATAAATATATAAATGATAAGAAAATTCACCTCTCAAATTAAAGTTTCTTCTATTTCTGATATCAAAAATACTTTACCCAGTTGGAATATAGCTCATGATGCTTCTGAGCTTAGTAAAACATATCGTTTTCAATCTTACACAGATGCATGAGACTTCTTCCATCTTGTAAGTAAAGTTGCTGCACAAAACAAATGTCCACCATCATGGTCATTTTCTAATTTAAACGTTAATGTGAAATTTCCTCCTGAAGAGCACCAAGATCTTACACTCGGCCAAGTCCGTTTAGCAATGTTTATGGACAAAGCTCAAGAACACATACAATCTGATCGTAATTTTAATTAATTATTCGAAACCATTATTTTACATTATTCTTCAGCTTGTTCTTCTATTATATGAATACTTATATCTCTATGTATATGTGAATGCTCGGGGATAGACTCGGGATTCTTTTCATGAAAATAGCTTAATTTCAATAAATCTTTGGCTGATGGCCTTCTCATAGGATCTCTTTGTATACACTGCTTTATGATATTTTTTAGCTGATTTTCGCATTTTGGGAAGTCTGGGAGCATCTCATTAGTCGCGATCAGCTTTAAAACTTCTCTGGCATCTTTTGAGTAATTTGACCATGGTGGTCTTCCTGATGCCATTTCTATTAAAACACACCCTAGGGATCAGATATCGGCAGAATAGCTATGCCCTCGCCTTAAAACCACTTCTGGAGCCATTCAATAAGGGCTCCCCCTTAAGCTTTTGGTTAGCTCTAAGTCAGAATGTTCAAACTTTCTTGAAGATCCAAAATCAGTCAATTTTAACTTCCCATTTGTCGATATTAAAATATTTGCTGATTTTAAGTCTCTATGTATAACATTATTTTCATGAAGATAAGCTAGGCCTTTGAGTAGCTGCCTGGCAAATGTTTTAATAACATTATCTTCAAAGGTGCATTATATTTATCATTATTTTACCTTTAAAAATTTCATGAAAATAAATTTAAAATTTGTAAAAAGGGTTTATATTAATAAGTTAAATTAGCTCAAAACATTAATATTATAAAAATTTGCAAAAATACCAAAAAAATAATTCCATCTTCAAGAATTCCATATTTTTGAATTAAATGTCTCAAAGTCCCACCAGGGACATACTCAATCACCACATCCAGTGAATTCATTTCTGGCGATAAATCAGTTTGGTAATATTGAACTATATTAGGATGATCTAGTTGTTTTAATAAAGAAACCTCTTTTTTCATAAGGGTAAAGTCCTTTTGTATTTTTGTTGGGTCGTCTGTAAGCTAAATAAAGGTTACTTGGAAGTGTTTTACAGCCAAAAGTTCGCCAGTTTCGATATTCATGCACTGGTATACTTTGGCATAGGCACCTTCGCCTATGATTTCTCCTCTTTTTCATCTGATTAGTCTTCCAGTCCGAGGAGTGGAAAGCTCCACAAAGGTGGATTCGGAATCGTCGGTTAAAAATAGCTGGGATTTCTTGCGGCGGATTAACTCTGCATTATTTCCTGGGTTGGAGCTATTGAGGGAGGTAGCACGAAATCCCATTTCTTGGATTTTCACTGATCCTTTTGAAAGACATCCGTGTCCCATTTTAGAAGTTATGTATTATACTTTCTGAAAATGAAAAAAATATCCAAGGACTTATAAAAATAAATCAATAGGGTAAACCTGCAATTTATTGATTAATTCTTAGATAAATAAACTTAAAGACATCATAAGCAATCGAAAATAATGGATGTTTTAACTATGTTAGATATAGTTAAAATAACGAAAGCCATAATTTCATAGAATATACCATCAAGATTATTTACAAACCACGCTTTAAGAATTATCTAAATTATTATCACCATTTTCTTAATTATCAATTATTTTACAATTTTGTATTGGCAACAGAAAACAAGAATTATTTAAAATATTTATTGAAATAATATATTTTCTCTATAGGTCAGTTGCTTATTTTTGGTTTTCATCATTTGAACCGTGCTTTTCATATTTTAAATCCGATATAACTGAGTAGCTGTTTCTTCATACTGAAAATCAGGTTGCAACTCTTCAAAAATTAAGATAGATAATCTGATACTGACTAAACTGAAATTGATCATCATTGAAAACTTGGCTTAGCCCAACATAAGGTGAGCTCATATATCTTATTTAAAATCAATATTTATTTAGCTGTCATACTGAAATAAAAGAATCTTGAATCTTTTAATTTAAGATCGTCTTATCTTACCCAGCAATCCACTATAAATATTAAAAAAGTATTAAAACCAAATCTTATTTAATGATGCACAAAAAAGTAATTTAAACGCTTATGTTTATGCAAATTTATATCCATATAGAGTTCATTATTATATTTATTTTCTTTATATTTATAAATAGAAAGATAATAGTAATTCAAAGAAACAAGTCAATTGAATATTAATGAATTAAATGATTATGGATATTATTAATTATTAAAGATATCCAATATATGTATAAAGAGTCTAATTATCAAATTTCTCATAACTCTTTTTCCCTTTCATTTTGGTAGATATCACTCCTATGCCTATCCCTACCAGTGCTCCTAGAGACAGAAAAACTATCATATGTGTAACATTAAACCGAGTTTGTGTGCTTTCAATTTTATTTCGGTTTTTTATATTGAAATCTAGCTCCTCAGCCTGTTTTTCTAGATTCTCAAAATGCTGAATATTGGTTAAAGTTTGGTCTTTTAATATAGATTTTATATTGGACGTAAGCAGAAGAATTTCTTGGGTCTGTTCTTTTACATACTTTCTAAGCTCCTCAATTTCAATTCTTAATGCTTCGAATTCTCCTTTCCATTTATTAGAAAACTCAGCAGATCGGTCTTCAATCACAAATTCATACTGTACCGCTTTCTCGTGCTCAATTTCTTCCTCTTCTTCTGTATGCTCATGGTGATTTTCTTCGTCAGGCTGCTCTATTCCATCATGTACATCACTCAAATTTTCATTTATTCCTTGATTTTTTTCGCTATATTCTTCTATTTGTTTATCAATCCAATTAATAAAATTTATTTTCGTCCTTTCTGAATCAAAAAACGAGAAAATTTTATTAGAAAAAGGTGCGATGATCCCAATTGTGGGGTATTCTCGGATTTGGAAATCATTCCCCATTTTGACGTTAACTTGCATGTTTGCACGGGAAATTTCGAGGTCGTCCCTTTTTCAGTTGCTTTGAGGGTCTTTAAAGTGCTTTCATACTGCTTCGTATTCAGGAAACATGTGCTGGCAAAAGTGGCATCATGGGGCGTAAAATTCTAGGACGATAAATTTGTTTGATCCAATATGCTGCAGGTAGTTATTATCTGTTAGCTCTAATGTTAAAGAATCTTCTCACCAGCCACCTTTGCATTCGAAGAAGTCACCTAAAAGTATTAGAATCATCCACATTCTCTAATAAATTACAAGACTTTTAAGATTTCCATTTTTTCTGTCCAGATTCAAGCTGATGTTCTTGTTAATATAGAAATACAGCAAAACATACCTTTTCAAAATATTCAGAATTTAGAAGCTAAAAAAAATAAGAATCAAATGAATGCAAATGACAAGAGGATAAAAATTCCGCCTATTAGAATTGCATAATCATTTGACTTTAGGCCAAAAAAATATGAATAATAATTATAGTCTCATAAAATAAGAAAACAAAAAAGTTAAAACATTTTCATTCTGCAATGCCTGCTTTAGATACTTTAAACAAATCATTAGATTAATATGGTTATTGCTTTAAATTTTATCAAAGGTAGATTGATAAAAATTTCTTAATTTTTATGAAATACGACAATTAAAATTTTGGATAATTACGATTTAAGAGCTTGAAAAGCAATTAAAATAAGTAACCCCTCAATAAAATAGCTAAAATTTCAAGATATGAGTTGAGAGAAACTTAAATTGTAAAAAACTCTATTGAAATAATTTTGAGTTCAATATACTTGCTAAATGATAATGCGATAACTCCTTCTATAAAATTTGGTTTTAATATCATGACTAAGAATTGATTAGAGGTATAATTATTTACTAAATATCACCAAGTCACTTATTTCTTATATTTATATTTTTTCAATATTTTTGGCATCTAAATATAATTTTATATATTTTATTTGGTAAATGGAACATCCCTCTTTTGCAACAACTGACCAACTCGTTTCAGAATCACCTCCAAACACACAGCCTGAGCAACTCCGCAATTCCTTTACTCTACAGATGACCGAGGATCAACCCCCTAGAGTTGAAATCGTAGAGGACCTCTCAGTGATTCCCCCAACCCCCAAATCTCCAATCCCGCCATGTTAGGCATCCCCAAATTCGAATGAGACAACATCAAACTAGAGATGCTACCGAACTATAAGGGCCTGAGTCAGGATCTGAACATGGATGAGCCCTGAGGTCTACAAAATCCATCATCGTCAACTGGCGATTTCCTCTTTGGATGCCACTGTCAGACGGTACAGAAGGAACGCGATACTTCTTAGGAAGTGCTTATCTTACGGAAAAGACCGTGCGGATATGGCAATGCTACTCGGGTACTTGCGCCAGCTCGCCCCAATCCCTTGGATACAACTACATGATCGAATTGGAATTCTATATAGTGCTCTAATGCACTTTGCCCCTGGATTCAACAACGATGAATGGTTTGAACTACTAAATATGAATAACCCGCAGATTTTAAAGAGAATTGAACACCGACTGACTCAAACAGAGGACTCCAGGACCTGGTGGAAAGACATAATCAGTGTGTATAACGCCATACCAAATGCTTGGAAGTGGGAAGAAGAGAAGTTCGATTTGATCAGAGCACTGAATGATCCCGAATGGAGTAGCCAAATTAATACAGTCAAAATACTGGACGTCTCAGAGATAGCCCACAACACTTCAAAAGAATTGCAAGAGTTTAAGGCGCAGATCGAAAAGAAAATTGAACTACAAAATCAAGAAAACCTACGACTTGTACAGAAGGTAAAGGAACTGACGCTCAAACTAGAGGCTATCCACAAACAACTGGATGATAACTGTAAAACGATTTATTCCTCCCCACCCTCTTCTAACAATTCTCGGAGAAACTATATTTCTCGCGACAATGCACACCCAGCAAGACAACCTACACCTGCTTCACTGACAACCTCTCTGATGCCTCAGATAAACGCTCCCTTAACGCCCCAAGCAAATTTCCAATTCGTTCTCGGATCTCAGGTGAAGACCTCTGCTGAGTCCACACACAGCAAAGGAAACTTTGTCAAGCCAGAAGCGAAACCCCTTTCGAAATCTATAGAACTTTCTCTTCAATAGCGCGATAAAGCGTGCTTCCTGGTTTTGACTAAAAGGTCTTTGGACCATGAAAATCTGCTGTTTCCTTCCCGGTAAGAGATGCCTATAGTGAAAATAAAGAGTTTTGGCTGATTAATCTCGAGAACTTAAAGAGAGGCTATTTGCAAATTTACATTTTTGGCTCGTCAAATGGCTCTGGCGAGCCAATTCTGGTCGTTACTTGAAATTATGAATGATAGTTACCAGAATTTTATTAATTTTCTGATGGCGAGTATGATCAGAATTTTAATAAATGGCACAGGATCAGACAACCCACTTAAAAAATATTCATTATGCTAAATTGATTAATGTCTTGATAATAAATGCTTTATCTTGGCGCCTATAAATACAGCTGAGTATAACGATCCTCCTGCTCATAGCTTCTCTGAAATTTTGGGAGCCAAGCTCCATACAAAATGAAAATATCAATGGTAAAAAGCAATTTTCACATGATGGGGGCAGGACTATATTAGCAAATATGAATTAGCTATTGACTATGTGCAAAAAATTTTCAATGTAAGTGCATTATTCGAGATATTGAAGAATTATATGAACAAAGCGATAAATATGATTGATTTAGGCGATTAATTAATTTGTTTTGCAATTAGTTTAGTTGTCAATTTGTGGGTTAAGAGTGCAAATTTGCTTTAAACTTTTTGGCTCGTTTAAGCAGCCATCTTGATTTTGACGCTATTAAAAAAATTTAAAACTCTTAAGTCACTCATGCGGTTTCATTCAAAACTTGCAATTTAAAGTCTTAAAATAGCTACTTGATGCCTGTATTTTCCGCTTTCTGGATTCGAGCACAAACTCATCTTTAGACATTTTTTGTTCGTTTAAGCCGCCATTTTTGATTTTATAAGCAATTAAAAAAATTAAAATTCTTAAGTTGCCTCATGCAGTTTCATTGAAAGCTTGATATTTAAAGTATTAAAAAGCTATTTGATACCTTTATTTTCAGCGTTTTGGACTCGAGCACAAAACTCATTTTTAGACATTTTTTGTTCGTTAAGATTTTAATTATTTTGATGGCTTATAAAATCAAGATGGCGGCTTAAACGAACAAAAAATATTTAAAAATGAATTTGTGCACGAGTCCAGAAAGCGGAAAATAAAGGCACCAAATAGCTATTTTTAATACTTTTAAATTAGAGGTATTGGATGAAACCGCATGAGGTGACTTAAGAGTTTTAATTTTTTTAATGACGTACAAAATCAAGATGGTGGCTTAAACGAACAAAAAATGTCTAAAGATGAATTTGTGCTCGAGTCCAGAAAGCGGAAAATAAAGGCACCAAATAGCTTTTTATTGTCATCAAATATCAAGTTTTCAATGAAACCGCATGAGGTGACTTAAGAATTTTAATTTTTTTAATAGCTTACAAAATCAAGATGGCGGCTTAAACAAACCAAAAAAAATTTAAAAATGAACTTTTACTCGACTCCAGAAAGCGGAAAATAAAGGTATCAAATAGCTGTTTTAATATTATTATTATCAATGGAATTATTAGATCGGTTTGAAAGGAATAAGTTGTCTGATTATGTGCCATTTATTAAAATTCTGATCATACTCGCAATCAGAAAATTAATAAAATTCTGAACTATCATTTTTCATTTCAAGTGCTGGCTAGAATTGGCTCAGCAGATCCATTTGACGAAATTTTTTACAAAGCCTCTCTTCAAGTTCGAGATTGATTAGACAGAATTCTTTATTTAGGCTGTTTTTCTCCCCATGAATGAAGAATAGCAGGTTTTCATATGTTCAAGATCCTCCGGTAAAACCTAGGAATGCGCCTTATCGCGCTATTGAAAAGAAACTTCTATACATAATCCCATACCCTTTAATTTAAATTTCTATCTTATTATCGTTTATTATTTTTGCAATTTTTAATAAATTTCATCAGTATTATTTCACATTTATTTTTTCTTCTTCAATACTAAAAATTGCTTCTTTATTTGATCAATAAAGCTCCTTGTCAAAGAATTTGGAATTATCACATAGCAATGCACCTTTTTGCTACCACTAAAATAGAATGTCAAAATTTTCTGTGTTGAGTTTATTGATGTGATTTTTAACAGATCAATTATCTTGAACTCTTCTGTTACTCTAGAATCTGTGGATAATTCAGGGTCTCCTAAGATACCAATAGTTAAATATTGGGATTTTAAATAGAAAAAATAATTTTCATCATAGATGGTGTTAGAATTTTTGTCATATTTCTTACTGATAAAAAATGATGATGCTGGATCAGATTTTTGAAGGTTGTTTTCTGACTGTAACTTTGCTTCAAGAGCAAGCTTTTCTAGATTTGAATCCAAAGAAAAAGTCCTTCTCATAGTGCCTAGCATTGATGATCTAAATTTTTTTAATTTTGACTTCATTAGACTTGCAATATTCGGGCCATCAGGTGTGCAAACTAAGCAATATTCCTCTTGATGATTTTCCAACTGCAGCTTATAATGCATTGCAAATTCATGGCATTTTTCAAAGCCTCCTTCAGCGAGACTTATATGTGAAAACCCATTTTTTTCAAAGCAAATCAATAACCGTTCGAGAGTATTTAAATCAGGGTTTTCTTGGTTCATTTCATCATAATTTGTGTTTGCTATTCATTTAATTATGCTTTTAATTTTTTTTATTCATTTTTATTATTTTTTTAAAAAAAACTATTTTTGCTATCGTTTCTTCTGAACTTAAAATACAAAAATGAAAAATTTCTTTCATTTTTTCATACTGATCTACAATCTGCTGCAAATTTTCATCACTTACAAAGAACGGGACACTGACTACAATAGAGTTTGGGACTGTTCCAGCTTGTTGTTCATTTTCTGTCCTAAAATCAATTAAAAATAATGGAATGTCGTTAGTTTTGTTTATGCACCATGCACAGTCATTATGCTTACAGTTGCAGATGCTCATTTCTGGGTATGCTCTGTGCATGATTTCTCTTGGATGCACAGTAAAGCACAGATCTTTTTCTAATGAAGAAATATATGAGTCTACATGGTCTATGTTATAGATATTGATTTGGTTTAGTTTTATTTTTATTGAGTAAGGCATATTTGATTTAATTCGAGATGCAATTTTCAAAATTTCTGTCAACTCCTGCATGCTATGTATAGAAAGCTGCGAAAGTGTTTGTGGAATCGATATTTCTTCCTGTGCCAAAATATGATTTTTGCTGTAAGTAAGCAAAGCAACTGCTATATAAGCTACAAAAATATAATCTTTTTCTTTTATCAGGGTTTCCCATAGTTTATAGATAATTTCTATATCATTGATTTTGCTTGAAAATACAGTGATGAATCAGCAGGTAGAAAACAGCTCAGGAGATATCCCATGGGTATGGAAATAAGAGCTTAAGACAGGCTCATGATATCTGAGTAGCAATTTAAAAATTATGAATAAAGCATGGAGAGGCTTAAAGTCCTAAATATAATTTACAGTACCAAACATCTTTGGCAATACTTGCTGTATGAAGCTTTCGAATAAGCAGTATGCTTGCTGCAGAGAAATCCCTTCTCTTATCATTAAGACAAATAAAACCATAATTTCATTCATTCCTTGGGTGTATGGGGTGTTTTTTGCTTTGCAGTAATGAGTTAGTAAGATTTCTAACTTTTAATACAAAAAATCATACCTTTTTGCAATGAATAGAAACATTTCTTAGCCTATTATGATAGCGGCTACCTGTAGGATATTTCATTGAAAAAGGTATATTATATTTTTTTTGGAAAAATAATATTTATTATAATCAGTTGCTTAAATTTCTGATCTGCTCCCACGAGCCAAAGATGGATTTCACGCGTGAAAATCCATAAATTCCACGGAGCCGATCAGAAATAACATCAAAATATTATATTATTTAAGCAATGGGTTAAGTATTCAATTTTATAATTCATAGCAGACAACAATTTTTTATATATAAATATTATAATTATTTTATCATAAGCTATAGTAACCTTTTTCTTGTTCTGTAAGAATAGTTGTTCTTGTCCTTTCTACATCCAATTTTATGACCTGCTGATTAGGCAGATCAAAGTTTTGGCTAAAACCAACATTTCTGATTTCAGTGATTTGTAAAAGATCCTGAATATTCCTCACCTTTCAGATATCAAATCTTCGATTTTTTGTGCTTTCCATAGCTTTATATGTTAATTTTAACTAAAACTTATTTATTTTGATTTTTATTAAATAAGTTTATTTTCAGTAGTATTCTTATTCTATTTTATAAATACAGAAAAGAATACATATTTAAACTTTTCATATTTTTCTTTTATTGATAAAGTAGCTTAAGTATATCTCAATGTCTAAATATACTGCTTTATATGACTTTTATAATAAATAAAAAATATACAATTTTATAATTAATAAAATAAAAGCACTAGGCATGTTAATGGATTGTGTATTTTTTGTGGAGCTTAATATTTCTTTTCAGTTACAATAAATATGTACTTTCTCGCACTTCTTTTATCTGCAGCTTCTGGAGCTACCTGCCCTCTGTGGAGCTGCAGTACTTCACTGGCAACTGGAGTCTGTGTTGAATACCAGGATTCGAGCACCTACTTAGTCAACTATAATGGCTGCCCTTCAAGTGCTCCTTACTGCAACTACGAGTCTGTCCTAAGTTGGATCCCTAACGCATTCTCAGGCTACACCTGGAGCTGTGAAACTACTATACCTTCCTATCTCATTTATTGCTATTTTTATTATCAAAATCATTCAATAAATCTTATTTTTTTATTATTTTAAGCTTTATTATGTATAAATAAACATTAAATATGCCAATAATAAACCCATTAAGTATAACACAACTGACTATTGGACAGTTCCATCCAGCTCCAATTATTTAGCCTGCAAGCCAAAATATTACAATAAAAATCTCGCATCCGGCTCTCACCCAAAAGAATGCAGCACTATAGGCTCTACAGACTCTAATTGTATTTTAAAGGACGGGAGCTATTCAGAATGCAAATGTGGACTAAATGGAAAAGCTTACTGCGTCCCTGAGCCGTCATCTGAAGCGTTTTCCGATTACTGGACACAATGCTGTACAATTAATTGTGGACACATGGATACGTTTAAGCATTACTTGTATTGGTATTTGAAGATGGAGTATTATGTGGAGTATATAAGTGGGTATAGCTGCACAAAAATATTTACCCAGTTCTCAGATATTGATAATTTGGATTATGTCGGAGATGGGGCCATTGGGCTACTGATGGGACTGGGAGCAGTAATCTTACTATAATTCTTTAGATTTTTAATTGTAATTTGTTAAACTGATTGAAATTTAAATTAATTTGATAACTAAGCTAGATTTATTAGGTTTTTTGAAGGGTAGTTATACAATTTATTATATTAATAAGCTTTTTATCATTTTTCTATATTTTTACTGCTTTATTTATTATTGCCTTGAATAGATAACAAATATTCACATTAATTACTTAAAAAATCTTTCTGAACTCTCAAAGATTCCAGAAGCAATTAATTCTTGAATAGGAACACTGTCTAGTTTTACAGCGAACCTTGGGTTTAGAGAAGTTATACATGTCGCGTTTCTAAGACAATGCCCAAGAACGCTTTCAAACGATGAGCTTCTTCTATGAGAACTTGGATAAGACGATGACTTTACACCTTTATCTGAAAAATTAGACGAGTGCCTATTGAAGTTTGTATCATCGTGAAAATGATAATTCAGATCATTTCTAGGGAGAAGGTTAAAATCAAAGTCTTCGTTTGAATCTAATGTACTTACATATCCGTCTAGGTTATCTGACGCTTTATTTACCATTTATGATTATTAAGAATGAGGATTAGATGGAGGTTATAGCGTTTTTATAAATTATGGGGATTGGGAAATTTTTAATAAAAGAAAAGAAATTATGCAGAGCTGTGGAGGACTATAAAAAAGGTATAGGAGTTTTCCCTATATGGCCCGATAAGGGCCGTGGGTTCTCCGAGAAATCCCTCTGCTGGTTGAGCCAACCAGTGAATTGGTCTAACCAGCGCACTGAATTGGTTTGACCAACAGAGGAATTCCACGGAGAACCCACGGCCCTTATCGAGCCCTATAGGGAAAACTCCTATAATTTTTATTGGGTAAATAGGAAAGTTAATGTATATTAAATAATTAAGACTTTGGGATTTTTTCTTTAGCAGGCTTTGGCTCGCTTTTTTTCGCCTTTTTTGGTTTTGCAGCTGCCTCTTTTTGAGTAAGATTAAATTTCCTGAGATTCATAGAATTTCCATCTTTAAACCCAATTTCTATTTTCTTATCTAATACTCCTAAAGCCATTCTTGAAAACTCAATTTGTTTATTTTTTTCTTTTGCTATAATGGCGCTTTTACTTTTCTGTGTATTCCAATTATATTTTTCTACAAGATCCTTTAGCTCAGAGTCGCAAAAAAAGCTTGATTTTCCAACTTTGACTTCTAAAAAGCTTCCTTTGTCATCAATCATGTATCTGTATTCGTTATTAATCAGTTTTTTGGATTTGCAGTAATCATTTAGCAATTTGTTAGCATGGACTAGTGCTTTTTCATTTGACTCATGATCAGCAATTGGGACTTTTGCTATGAGGCTTGACCTATACATAAGTTATATAGTAATGTAATCAATCAAAATGCTCTCTTAGCACCTGCAGCTGGAAAGGTTCATTGGGATACCAGGACCTTATAGAAGAGAGGAAAGTGTTTGGAAACGTACATCAAACTAGATTTTGGTGGCTTGGGTGGAGGACAGCGCTGAGCTGACGAACCAATGCTCACATCCTGGGTCATTTTTTTTTCCCACATGGGGGATGGGACGCTGGAGTAGAGTAAGATATTGATCTCTTAATCAATCTGGCAATTTCCCTAGCGATAAAAAATGTTTATCTGGGCTGGCAATGGCCAGAAGATTCGATATTCAAATTTTCTGGAAGGCAATTTCGCTGACGCCCGGCATTATAATCCAGAGCCCCTGATTATTGGAAGCGAGTGTAACCCTGTCCTTTAGCAGAAGCACAGCGGAAGGCCATGCTCAGACTGATAAGCAAGCAGTAAAGCAGAAATAGAGGCGAGTAGTATCCTTCTGGGAGCTTTTCTACAATAAGACTTATACATAAGTCTATATGTTTTATTTTGCAATTTCATTGTGGCTAAGTTTTTGCCGCCAATTCATTCCCCTATTAGATCATCTGGCTCTGGAGATTTATCATCTTGAAATTGATGATGCGGGATAGTTGAATATGGCATGTTTGAAGCTAATAAGCTTGAAAATAAAGTATTTCCAGCTAATCCTGAAGCTAAATCATTAGCGACGATAGAACTTTCAGAAATCGATCTCAAAATCTACATTATAAGTACTTTGGCAAACTTAAAAACCATAAATAGAGAGGACATAATTAATGATAAAATACAAGGGTGGAAAGTCTACCATGTATATACAATTTTTTCAATATTAAATACAAATAGTAATTTTCGCACTATATTATTGGGTAATATTTTCCACTCAAAATAATCAAAACACAAAAATAGTTGGAATTTAATTTAATTTCTTTAATAAAGTATTTTCATATTATTTCTTTATTAATATTTTAGTTGATAATATTTTTAAAAATTCTTGGAATGAATTATTGCACAAAAATGATTTTTCAAATCCAATTCCTTGATTTAAATTTTTCTGATATAAATTCAATTATAAAATATTTTTTAATTAATTTGTTAAATTTTTATTTCTCGCCTACCCAATATAATATCCAATAACTATCTCAATAGAATTTCCAGCGATTAATTTTAAATTCATTATGCAAGCTTATGGAAAAATTTTCCATATTGTCTTCCCCAAGTTCTGCTTCAAAAAGTTTCCTTGTTATATCAATAATTTCGTCTTACTTGGCCAGCATAATCTAGCATCATTATTCTTTCATTTAGAATCATGGTTACCTCCAATTATGTCCATTAGCGCACCAGCCAGTATAGGTTGCGCTTGGGTAGAATTCGCCTTCATAAGAAATATCATCGCCTATAATAAAGTTCATTCATGGAGTGTTTAGACATTTTTAAGCCTGCTAACATATTTTTTAAGGAATGTTATCAAATATTGATGATTTTTATAATAACTTAATATTAATTATTCAATGGCCATTTGCATATCAAACCAGCAGAAACTGGAGCTCTCTCTTGCTGCCTTATCGCAAGACGAGAGAACTAAGGTATTCTACATTTAGCTCCAAGGCCTACTTGAAAAATGTATCAAGACTAGTGTGGACCCAGTAGAAATCCTATTGAATTCCCGAACCCCAAAACTGAACGATATCTCAGAACCAGATTCGAAGGATCCTGATTTTTCACAGTGCACGTGAAAAATTTATAATGCCCTTGGTATTTGTTATTCAGTCTATGGTAAACAATTTCCCCGCTGACGGTGCGCTTCTACACTGGTAGAAAATAATATCTTTATTTTTGGAGGTAGAGGACAAGAAAATCATTCAAGGAATTCTTTTCATATTTTAGACCTTGAGACCAACCAGCTAGTGACTTTAAAAACGAATGGGATACCAAGACCTAGGGAAGGACATTCAATGGTCACATATGAAAATTTTGTTATTGTATTCGGAGGCTGTGAGGGTGGAGAAGAAGCTAAGCCTTTTAATGATGTGAGGGTTTTTGATATGAAATCAAGCACTTGGGATTTGTCCAAAGTAAGAGGGCAAAGACCTCAGGGAAGATATAATCATGGAGCAGCGTATCTTAACAACCAAATGTTTATTTATGGAGGAAATGGAGGGGAAACTATTTTAAGCGACATGTATTCACTGTTATTACCAAGCTATGAATGAAGAGAGCTAACACAAGAAAATTCCCTTCCTGGGCCAAGAGAAAATATGGGTTGTACAGCTGCATGTGATAAAATTTTTATTTTTGGCGGAAATCAGCAGACAAATGGGACGAATTTTTCTAACGAGTTATATGAAATAGAAATTATAGAATATACTGCAAACTGTATTAAAAAAATTCCTAATGGTCCAAGTCCACCAAAAAGAGTATTTCATACACTATTGAATTTAAATGATAAATATCTAGTGCTGTTTGGCGGGCAAAATGAAATATCCATGCTTAATGACGTTTGGACTTATGAGATTGCTCAAAATCAATGGGCTGAAATACACATCTTGAATGAAATTGCTGGAAGAATTTCTTTTGGGTCTTGCATCTACAAGAATAGTTTAGTTGTCTTAGGAGGTAAAGCCTCAGATGGAGTTGTTCAAAGTGAGTTTTCTGTGTTAAATTTTAGTAAATATACTGCTGATGAAACCTCTACGATTTCTTCTATAAAGTCTGTTCAAAATTCATCCTCCCCTACCTATTTAGCTTGCCAAAATTGTCAGCATTCTGATGAATCCTGCAATTTCACAGAAAAATTCCCTGAAATTGGAAATTTTCGTTCCAATTTTTACGTTCTTACTCCAATTCCTAACCCTGTGCTTAAATATTTTTCAGAAGAGTTTGATAATCCTTTATTGTCAATTCTAAGAATAGCTGAAATCATCGGGAAAGAAGATTTTAGAATTAAAAATATAGGAAGAGGCTTAGTGAGAGGGTCAACTTATTTAAAAGTGACCCCAGAGCCTGCTAAAATTGATTTTAATTTTCTTCATGCCAAACTATAATTGTTTTATTTGATTGCTAGCTGAACAATTAAATGCAGATTGAGCTAAAAATTGGTAGCATAATTACAATTGATAGGCTATTTACTAATAAAAGATATAAACCAAGAATATCATTTAAGACAAGAAATGATAGCAAATTGGAAATCTTGTAAGACTGATAAAAACGTAATGATTTTAGGCTTAGAAACATCTGCGATGTATACTCCTGAAGAAATCATGGGATTTTGCAATAATCCAGGCAAAAATAACATTATTTTCCCTCTGATGAGAATTTCTGAAATTGCAGCCATTGTGAGTAGAAATGAAGAATTTTTAAGTGCTCTGGTAATTGAAAGGCAAAATCAGTTTTCTCCCTGCTTTTTTGTCGTTTTTGACAAGAGCAATAAGCCTGTTTACCCTATAAAAGAAGCTTATAATGGGAATATTATTAATATCACCAGAAGGAGCCATTTAGATTTACCATCTATTTTATCACACAGTTTCGGTACCACAATTTATGTATACTCCTCTGATTTTGAAAGTGAGCTCAATGAAATTTATTACAAAAACATCGAAATGACCACTTTTTTAAAATTTGCCTATTTAAAATCCCCATTTCCTCTAAAATTCTATATAAATTCCACACTTATTGAAAAAGACACATCAAAAAAGAATTTTTCAACCGGAATTGCTTCGAATTCTCAATGGGAAATATGAAAAACAGAAATCGACTTTTTTTCACTATTAATTTATTCCAAAAATAGACTTATTTATTGGGAAACTAAGAAAAACAATATAAGACGATGTAGGGAAAAGGAGTCAATAATTGTGAAACTTTTAACAGATGAGCTGATATCGCCTATTACAAATCAAATTAAATGGGAAAAAGAGACCATGTACTTATTTGCTGATATATATAGAGAAGGCACAAAAAGAAAAAAAGGTTTAGCTTCTGATGATTATGTCTATACTTAATCTATACAATAATATATGAAACTCTGGTATAAATAATAAAATTTTGTAAGTGTTCCAGCATGGCTGTTTGCCCGAGTGGTTAAGGGGGCAGACTTAAGATCTGAGGTAATGAGAATTTAACTTTTTTTTTGAAAAACTCTTTTTAAATTATAGAAAAATAAATAAATAATGACATAGAAATTATCTAGATTTATTTTAGCTTTACCTAAGATCTGCTGGATCAACGTCCGCGTGGGTTCGAACCCCACAGCAGCCATTTTTGTAATTTTTCATAAAATTTTTATTTCGCCTACTTTTGACGATTTCAGGACTCAGCTTAGTCTATACAAAAAATAGAAATGAAAATATATTAAATAGACTCTTTAATTAATAGGAAGCCAAGAATAGCATGGATATCGACTTCTAAATGTATCTGGATCAGTTTTCAGCTGTTCTGAGTATTCATCACGAACTTCTCCTCATTTCGATGCATAAACTTTGACTACAAAAGCCCTATCAATAAACTTATGCACCGTAAGCCAATTATTAAAATCTTCAATTTTCAATTTTTTCAAAAATTCAATTTCCTTTTCCCTTCTGTCAAACTCAAAATTCCTCTGCAGAATTTCTTGCCAAAAATATTCACTTTTGTCGTTTAAGCTATGAAAAGGCTCTTTTTTCTTCGAAATTACTGCTTTTTTATGCTCTTTGAAATTTTCACTTAAATCTTCTTTGCTTTCTCTCAAAAATTCGTTAATTTTTTCCATTAAATAGTCAGGATTATACTCTGTTGAGCAAAGCTTGATTAAAAATCCTGACATTCCTCTAGTCATTCTCGAAGAAACAGCCACATAATACCCCAGCTGCTGATTAGTCCTTAACTCATCAAAAGCATCCTCATCTAAAATTTGTTCTAATAAAGATGCCATTGCCCTTTCTTCAATTGTAGCTGTCCCAAATTGGTAATAAATTTCAATGACTGAGCATCCATTTGCTGGGTCTACTGCATTTAATTTTCACTCTAAAATTTGGTCTCTAAGAAGCATTACAGTTCTGGGTGAAAAATTTTTGACTCTTTTGCCTTCAGCGGCAAATAATAAACCTTCAGTAAATTCACTTAAATCTGAGACGTCACTTTTAGGGATATTTCCGGTCATATATATGAGAACTTTTACATGGGCTAGGTTGCATGTAATTTCTGATGTTGCAAGCTGCTGGATTACTTCTAATTTATGTTCTTCTAGATATTGTTGGTGCTGCAAAAAGACAAGTCGTGCATTTCTTGAGTGAGCTTTTGGGTCGATGTTAGCGTTTTTGTATTTTTGGATTAGCCTTTCTATGCTATTTATCAATAAAATAAACTAATTAATGGTAATTTTTTTTTTTATTATATATTCACCTATAACAGCATATTATAAGTCTTATAGAATTTTCATTAGGATACGATGTATAAATATATTCCATTATTTTTTCAATTAAAGCTTCAAGCTTATCTGCAAATCCATTGACTTTGATTTCAAAGCAGTTATCAAGAGCATCAATTGAGATATTAAACCCAGCGTAGCTTGCCTGGTACCCAAACTCATCATTTATATCATTTTGTAAGACTTCAGCTATGACATCTACAGTCACTGAGCGTAGAGCTGTGGATCTGAAATTTGGAATAAATAAAGCAATAAATGCATTCGCACGGGAATCTCTATATGAAATATCTGTGTTATACCAAGCTTCTACCATATCAGAATTATAGACTTTTACTGGTTTTGGCTCTTCTAATTTCACTAAATTAAAGTTTGTAGGGATAAATTCATTTGCTGCTGGGTAGTATAGTTTTTCAGCAATTTCTGGGCTGTTAGGGATTTCTGGTAAATCTTTTATACAGTATTTTGTGCCGAACCATGTTTCTACCATATTGGCTTCATTTTCATAGAAATTTGAAGTTATATCAATGCGCGCCCTTTCAAAATTATTTATTTTATACATGAATATGCAGATAATTATTTTTGATTTGGATAGAAAGACCTAATATAATGGATAAATAATAAATTATATTAAAAATAATTATAAATATAAGGCATAATATATTCAAGCATATGGTTTATTGCATCTGAGCTTAATTCTTCAATTAAATCATAAATTCCTGCAGTCAAAACTCTATCTGCTGGGAAATGCTGAAGGGCGTCACTTATTTTTGAGCAATAATCAACAGGCTCCATTCTTTCAAAATATTCAAATTCTAACTCCTGCATTTGTTTTAGCTCGTTATAGAAATACATGCAAGGTGTTTTTGATGATTTCAGCAAGTTTATATATGTGAAAATTGCATTGATAACAGCCCATATCTGCTCCAAGCCTTTTTTGGTAAGTTTTACTTGGATTCCTAAAGAAAATCAAGATCGGGTATGCTCCATAAATGGCCCTGCACTTAAGCCAGTTGCCAGTCCATTTTGTTTTAGAAAATATAAAATACTTCCTTTAGATTCATGTCCTAATAGACTTTCTAAATAGCAGTCTGGTCTCGATGTATAATAGCTTCAAAACGGAGGCACCATTCATGTAATATCAATGGTTTTTATGTCTTTTACAGGGACAATACAAAAATATTTATTATTGTTTTCGACGGAAGGAATTCCTAAGTCTGTGTATAAAGGAGAAATATTTTTGTTAGGAATTTCTGCAAATTTCGCAGACACCCAAGACTCTAAAGTTTCCATATCAATACCAGGAGAATAAACACACAGTGTCATTATATTCGCTGAATAAAATTGACTATGAAAATTCAGCGTCTCCTGATGCAGATTAGGCTTTTGTGCCAAACTTCTGATATTTCCCCAAGAAAAAGAGTTTATCTTATGCTGAGAATTCAATGAAAACCCAAAAAGTGACTCTCTTCTGACAGCATCGTTTTGTATTACTTCATTAAACTCAGCCTCAATGGCTTGGATTTCCCTGCTAGAAGATTCTTCTTTTATAAGCGGAGAAATAAAAAATTGAGCAAATCTATCAAGGGCTTCTTCAAGTTCTTCTGGGTCAACTTCAAATAAAGTGCTAATTTATGAATATTTAAAAAAAAATTAAAGTAATTTTGAAAATAATTATTTAATTTAAAAAAGAATAAAAAACTTGTGGACCCTCATTTAGTCTCTGCATTGCAATATCCACCATGCTGTGATATAAATTGGCTGAAACTTTTTTCGTCTGGGTATTTTTCAGTGCCAAGAAAGCACATGTGTTCTAAGAAATGGGCTAATCCTTGCAAATCTTGAGGATCGCTGAGAGAGCCGACGCCCACTGTTAGAGAGCATGCAGCTTGACCTTCAGATTCTGGCTCGGATATGAGGATTGCTTGAAGCTGGTTAGGAAGAGTTATGTGTTTATATTCTCTAGGGTCGCGAGTAGGCTTTCTCACCATTTCTTATATAAGTTAAAGAAAAGAGAAATGAAAATTGAGAATTTTATATGAGTTCTATTATAGTGAAAAATATTTTTATTTTAGAAATTTTTCAGTTAAATTCAGAACAACAATATAAAAATCTCCTAAATATCTTAATTATAGCTAGCTGTTTAAGTATTCAACAAAATCATCGATCAGCACAGGCCAAGCTCCACTTGGATCGTACCCTTGCAGTCCTTCTCTTTCTACAATTATTGCAAAATCCAAAAACATTTCCCAAGTGTCCTTAGAAATATCATGCTTCTTATCCCTGCTTTCTAAAAATCCAATCCATCGATTAACAAGAGGATATTTTTCCCCAAGCAATAATCTTCATAACGCTATAGCAGTCTCAAACCCTAAATTCCTCACCCCTTGATCTCTGCTAAAAGCAAATACATAATTATAGATTTCTTTAAAACTTTGAGGGTTATTCAACTCCCGTCTTAAATCAGGAATCTTTTGTCTTAGTTTAGAAATTTCATCACATCCAAGGGCTTTCATGCCATTGCAAAATTCGTCTTTCGTGTAAATTCCCATGGTCGCTGCATTAAAATATTTAGAAATCACTAAAATTTGTATATCATTTTTTTTAAAAAAATAGTTATTTTTAAAAAAAAAATAAGGAAATTTATTCGAAACCTAAAATTACGACATCCATCGGCTCAATCCCTATGTCTCTGCAAAAATTCTCAATTCCTTCCCCTTCTATTTGGGCTGATGTAGAACTTTTGTATCTTGTAAACAGGCTATCAATTTTTTTCTGATTTGTGGGCGCAGGTTGATCTCTGGATACTTGAGCTCCGGAATTATAAAATTCATCTACCGCTAGCTCAAGATCCCAGTTTTTAGACGTAAGGAACTTTTTAGCAGGGACATCCTGCATTCCAGTAATCGACATAAATTGAGCTAGTTTTTCACGTTGTCTGCTATTTAGAGACTATATAGCGGCTTACCATATCTAAATATTCACAATTTATAAGATGATATTAGGTGTTATTAGTATGTTATGGCTTGTTAAAATGCCTTGATGTTTACAGAAACTAAGGTTAGTGTTATATAAAAAAATTAGCTTCCAAAATCATAACGAGTCCTAACACGAATTTCTGGCTTATCAATTTCTGATAGCTTTTTGATAATAATTTCTTCTTCAATTATATGCTCAATATCAGCAGCTATCTCTTTCATAGGACCATCTATTATTTCTTTATTTTCTACTATTTGCCTTCCAAAGTTTTGTTGAGTTTCTTCTTCCTCTTCTATTTCTTCCTCATCTATTTCATTTTTATCTAGTTTACTGCTTTCTAAATTGCTGATTCTTTTATCTTTTTGTTTACTATTGGTAATCAAAATATCCCTTTCTTTTTCACATTTAGTTAACTCTTCAGTCATTTTTGCCTTTTGGGCGTCTAATGCTTTAATTTCATTTTTATATTTTCCTTCTGCCCCTTCTATGCTCGTTATTTGATTCATTGTTTCACTTTCTACCTTTTTTCGAAAATCATGGTATTTATTAATTAATTTTTTTTTTATTTTTTAAAATAATTATTTTTATTATTTAATCACAAAAATCATCAAATTTTTCATGTGCGGCTTGTAATTGGCTGGTTCTTGAAATAAGCTCAGACTGAAGCCTATCATTTGAATTTTCTAAAAGCTGTAAACGAGAAGCTAACGAGGACTTTTCTACTGATAATTGTTCTATTAACAAAGTTTGGTCTGCATTTTTATCCTGAAGGTCGAGTATTAAAGAGTCTTGGGACTCTTGAATTGTTTTAAAATCTTTCAATTGTTTCTTATGAGAAATTTTTTGTTGTGTTTTTAATGACTCGCTTAAGACTTCTATACTTTCTGCATGATCTCGCTTTAAAGTATTAATTTCATCCTGTAGGCTTATCAATTTTGTATGCTCAATATTGCATTTCTGCTTATTTTCTTCGAATTCTGCTATAGTGGTCTGTAAGTCTCCATTTAATTTTGCATTTTCTATTTGCAGCTGCATAATAATTTCATCTTTGTTTATTATAATATTTATAATAAATTCGGTTTTTATAAATTATTTGTATAAATAATTTGTTTTTCTTATTAAATTAGACATAATTAATCTAAGAATCATAATTCATTTTTTAACTCATTATAAACTGTTTCAAAGGTCCTTGTATTTTCCCTATCCTTTGCTATTTGTATAGAAGTTTTCAATGTAAAAGAAACGTCATTTAACTGACTAGTAGTAAAGCCATTGATTTCTCCTCCATAAAATTTGGAATCCTCTATAATTCCTTGTATGAACGGTATTAATTCTTCAGCTAAATCCAATTTCACAGAATAATCCTCTTCATCTTGATACTCCTCTATTAAAGCTTCTAAATTTTCGATGTTATAAGTGTAATCTTCGTGGATTTTTTCCCCAAAATCTATCAATTTAGACACCTGTTCAATCTGTTTTTGCAAATTTGTATAAGCTTTTTTTAATTCTCGGTTTTCTTTTTCTAATTGCTCTAATAAATTTTCTGCATAAACTCCAAAAATCAATATAAAAAATAACATATTTTTAACGTTAATGAATTATCTATTTATTCGAGCATATTTTCAGTATTTCTTTTTGTTTTGCAAAAAAGCATCTATTGGCGTCAACAATTCCTACATTGCAGGAACATTTATCAGCGACTTCATTTTCCCCTAGAAGCCTTGCTGGTTTTATAGCAGAATGGAAATACTCGCTTGAAAGCTCCCAGTCTTCAAGCTTACTAGTCAAAAACCCAAGGGCAAGCAATGTGTCTAGCTGAATTTTAGGATTCCTTATCCTCGTCGCAAATTGAATGCAAGCTTCTAAATTTTGTTTCGCATTTAAATCTTCTCCTAAGCTTAAAAATGACATTCCAAGCTGCCCTAAGCTTATGCATTGTGACTCATAATCACCTCTTTTATTAGCCCAATTTAAGGCTTTGGTAAAATACTGTACTGATTCACCATATTTTCCTACTAATCTTGAAGTTATTCCTAAATTATAATAAGCTGCAAATTTGTTTTCTTTGTCAGAAAATTCACAATGTTTCATATGAAATTGTATGCTCTTTTCAAGCTTATTCATATTGTAATAAACAACTCCTAGACGGTTTAAGGCTAATGCAGCACCTACAGGGTCGTCAAGTAGCCTTGCACAAAAGAAAAATCGCTTATAGAACCTTGCAGATTCCTTGTAGTTTTGGTTTTCTTCATTCATAGCTCCAAGGCAAAAGGACATGTGGGCTTCTTTTTGGACGTCGCCAGCTTGAACCCCAGCCTTTGCGCGTAAAACTAGATCTTTTAAGGATGTATTTTGTAAAGCGTCGTTGCCAGCTGGTATTGAAGGTGCCCAACCTCCACCAGGTGTTAAAGGAGCTGCAACAGTTGCATTTAACCCTTCAGGAGGCTGTACTTGTATTTGATGATTAAAAAAGCATTTATCCCCTCTTACTTGAGCTACTTCGTTTTCTATTTTATTTATTGATTTTACAGTTGATTTTGGGCTCAAAAAATTTTTATTCTATTTTCTATAAAAATTTCCTAATTTTTTTTAAAAAAAAATTCCCAATAAAATTCATTTAAATCCAGTATATTCTTTTTATCCAGCAACAAATCATCAAATTGTTGGGACGCCAAAATTGTTTTAAGTTTCATTAATTTTTCTTCTTTTGGCTGTACAAATATTTCTTTAAATAGAATCATTTCTCCTTCAGCCTTAGAAATTGGGACTTGCTTTGGCTTATTTTTTGACGGGGTATTTGAACTTGCCCTCGATTTTCTTGGCATTTTTTTTTCCATGCTTAAGTTAAGAGGGGTAGGTACTCGATTTTGTTCTTGAAGATGGGCCAGAGATTCAGCTTTGGTCAATTCAAATTTTTTTGAGGAGGCTGAGTTTAGGAGAAGTGCAGCATTTTTGGAATGCCTGCCTGGGGTTTTATGAATTGTGCTTGCTGTGTGGTAGACTTCTGGGGTAACGATAAACTCAAATTTCTTTGAATTTGATGAAGATGTCATAGGTCTGGAGTCTGCGAGTTTTACAATTTTTGAGCGGCTTGGGGAATCGATTATCCTTGTAGACCTGTTTCTTTTGAGATCAATTGACATTGTTGATAATAATTAAATTAGAGAGAAAACTATAATTTGATTTTTTGTATAAAAAGCTATTATTAATAAAAGAAAAGATTTTAATTAAATAAAGCTGTGGAAATCATGAATATGCTTATTATATGTTTAGCAATAGAAAATGATCATTTATTTTGATAATAAAAAAGTGTATTTTATATAGTTACAGCGAAATATTTTTTATTGATAAATAATCTTGTAAGGCTCATTAAGCAGTAATTGAAAATCGTCAGGATCTAAAGACTGCTGGGCTTTTGCAATTTCAAGCCCATACACTGCAAGATCTTCAAGGCTACGCAAGTCTCCTTGATGAAATTGAATTTTTAAATATTTGCAAGGCAAGCTTCCAATACTTATCCTTCTTTCTCTTGTATAGCTTATATCCCTTTATAGATTTCTTTATCGAGCAAAATGCACTGGATTATTGAACGACCAAGAGAGACTCTATTAAAGGAACGGGCTGGATATCTATATCAGGAAGTGCTAAAAAGTGACATGTCAAAAAATGGTGACAAGTCTGAAAAAAGTTGACAAGTGAACGCGCCAATTTTTAAAATGGATTTATTATTAAAATAATTTTAAACTTAAGATACCCAATTAGACAGAAGATATAATTACACATTATATATTGGCTTTAAATATTTTGATCTATATATATTTAAACTTAATAATAGCTGTAAAAATCAAAAACTTGCAACTCGATGTGCATTTTTCCGGCTCGATGGAATTTCTTTTATTTATGCTAATTTATTTATGAAGACTAGAGCTATAATTTGAAAAGTGCGTGGCTTGTGATTCTCAATATATATAAAGTTCTTATCGACTCATATGAGAAGTATTTAGCAAAAATTCAAAATGGTTTATAAGTGAAAATCATAAACTTGCAACTCGATGTGCATTTTTCCGGCTCGATATAATTTCTTTATTTTATGATAATTTATTTATGAAGACTGGAGCTATAATTTGCAAAGTGCGTGGCTTGTGTATCTCGATGTATAAGAAGTTCTTATCGACTCATATGAGAAGTACTTAGCATAATTAAATATTGATTAAAAATTAAAATATCTTAAGTTTAAAAATTATTTTAATAATAAATCCATTTTAAAAATTGGCGCGTTCACATGTCAACTTTTTTCAGACTTGTCACCATTTTTTGACATGTCACTTTTTAGCACTTCCTGATATAGATATCCAGCCCGTTCCTTTAATAGAGTCTCTCTTGGTCGTTCAATAATCCAGTACATTTTGCTGGATAAAGAAATCTATAAAGGGGTATGAGCTATATGGGTTAAAATAAAATCTTTTTCAACCACAATTCATTTCCCGGTTCGATTCTTTGACACACTTACAGTAATAATTGCTCTTGTTTTATATACCAAATTAATATAAGCCAAAGATGTAAGCTCTCTTAACTCAATTACCAGCTCATAAGGCGAAATATGATGAGTTGCATATGATACTTGCTCAACTTGCATATTTAAAATTATAATAAATTTACTTAATTTCTATATCCATAATTCACGTGAACTGGAGAATATTGACTGAAATATTCTCTTGATGACTGGAATGGCCGCTTGAAAGGAGATCTTGTCGGCGACTGCTCAATTTTTGTATGTACAGTAGGCCTATCATAGGCTGGAGTTGATGCTCTAGGACGGTCCACTGAAGGTATTGGTGAAGACTGTGGTGTCCTATGGGCTTTTTTGGCTGTCAAAAGCCTTTGGGCTTGTCCTTGGTCTCCATATACAGCTTTAGCTCTATCTGAAGGAGAATACTCCACAGAAAGCGCTGAAATTTGATTTGTTATATCCCGGACGCTATATGTCCTATGTGTCTTCAAGTCATACTCAATCAAAAACTGCTGCTGAGGCCCAAGCACAGATCCAGGCCTACAAATTCTACACCACCCTATAAATTCTTCAGCTGGAAAATGATAGTTTTTTATAGCATAACACCCTATAAGAGTCCCAGTTCTCCCAAGCCCTGCTTTACAATGTACAGCGACTGCCCCCATTTCCATTTCCACTATTGAATTAAACCTATTTACAATTTCTTCACTGGGGACACTTCCGTCTACAAAAAAAAGCTCAAAAAGGTTAATACCATTCCTAATAAACCTCTGCTCATCATATGTTTTATTGTTTAGCCTCACTACAGCTGATACACCTAGTTTTCTGAATAATAAAGAATACTCTTCTGGTGTATAATTACAAATCCCCATTTCTTTTCTTTCACTAGGGCAGCTAAATGCTATCTTTTCCTATAAGATTAACCAATTTTTTATTTTTTTAAAACAAATTCTTACTCCCCCCCCAATCCTTGATCGAACGATTGACTGTAAAAATTCCTAAAAATTGGGGAAATTAACCCCCATCCTTGATCGAACGATTTTCATATCATGCAAATTTTTATATATATAAAAATATATTATTTATCAAAAGCTTGGAAAGATGCACATAATGAAGTTGTTTTCAGAGACTTTGAGACGACAGAAAGCTGCAGAATCAACCATCCGAAGTGATTTAGTCATTAACATATGCTTAAAAACTCAATAATCTAATAAAATACAGATTCTTTAAATTTTTTTTAAAAAAAAATTAATTTAATAAGGAACAAATTAAAATTTATACAGTTTAAAGGGGTAACTAATAAATCAAAAATATTAAGAATTGGTATTTTATGAAATAAATTAAATTTTTTGCTGTAAAAATAATTATTAAATATTCTTTAACCCTCTTGTTTAAAAGTAAATAAAAAAAAACATATCTATATATATTTTTTATTTTATATATAAATTTTTTTTTTCCCGAAAAATTTTTTTTTAAGCAGCCCCATCCTTGATCGAACGATGGCGAGTCGTTCGATCAAGGATTGGGGGGGAGTTATATATAATTAAAAAAATATAGCAATTTCCCTGGGATCACCCAGCTTATATCCCCATTTTCTATTTTTTCATGAAATTCTGAAAACTGCAAGTCGAATCTCTGATAGTCAAACCAACCCAATCTGATAGCTCTATCTAAGCCTCTCAAACAATGTAAAATTGTACATTCATAATAACAAGGACCATAGCTTGCATCTCGAAATGCCATAAAGCTTGGCAGCAGTGCAAATGGTCTTCAAGCCTCGTTTGCTGTTTTTTTCATGATAACGATTTGAAATGCTCCCATTAAGAAGGCTGCATTAGCACGCTTTGTGGGATCTACAGAGCAGTAGTGGTAAATGTGATAGTCTCGATATCGGGGGTCCTTTAATAGCCTGTCTAGCTGTGTGCAAAATCGATAAACCATTGATAAATTCACTGGGCCAAAGTCTTCACAAAAAGGCTCATAGACAAGTTCCTATGTGAAAATTACGTTATCAATAGTAAAGAAACAAGATTTTGGCTTATTCCGAGGAGGAGAGCGCTCAGATATCCAAAAAAGACGATCTGGAATTATTTCGGCTGCACTTGACATAGAAAAATATGATTATTTAAAATGGAAATCGTTAGAGTGAATAGGCTTAGGATTTGAAGATAATTTTGAATTCAGTGAAAATAAGAAATGGATACTTAAAAGTAAAGATCGTTATTTAATTCCCTCCTCTTTAAATTGGAATAAAAAATCCTGTTTAAAATTAAAAGAAGGGCTATATTTTTTTTAAAAAAAAATTATATAAAAATTTTTAAAATTTAAAAACATAGAAATTGAATGCGATATTTTTGGATTTTAATTTATTTTATTAAAAAAATTAATCAATTCAATATGAAAGTTGTTAGAATAATTTTCTAATTAAATTATGGCAAACTAATTTTATAAAAATTAGTATTTTCCTTTCGTTGAAAAAACCTTGTTCAAATTTAAATGTTAAATACCCAAAAAAATGGAAACTTTACCTAGTTTTGTTCCAATTTAAAAAGGGGGAGCAAGATAATAGAGAGGATTAAGTTGATTTTTAATGGTTTTGTTTGGGTTTTAGAAGGTATTTTGCTACAGATTATTATAAAAATAGTTGAAATTCTGATTATAGCTTATAGTAAACAATTATGGAAGCAAATGATTCCAATAGCTTATTACAAGCTGGGATCACTTTTTTAAGGACTTTTATGCAAGAAAATATTTCTGGGCCGCCCTTAAATCTTCCTCGTACAAACGCAGAAAATTTATATCCGTTTTTATTGAATTTTCAATAACTCTCCCTTAATATTGATAAAATTTCATTTTGGGGTACTTTTTACCCTCCTTTAAATTGAAACAATTTTTTTTACAATAGAATTTTTTATAGGTAAAAATGTTAAATTTTTATAAAATTAGTTTTAATTTAATTTAATGGAAAAAGTGTGCAAGCGAACACTTTTTAAACTAATCAATTAATTTTTCATAAAAATAAAAATAAATTAAAATTCAAAAACTCATATTCAATTTATATTTTTTAATATAAAATTTCTTTAAAGAGAAACAATTTTCTAAACAAAACACTAACACCCCAAAATTGGATCAGGATTTTTAATGACGAGGGACTAAATCTTTTTTATTAATTATATATAATATACCTAAGCATATCACTTGACGGTGAAGATGTGATTACTTATATTTTAGGCAGTGAAAACTTGTCCAATGCCAGAGATATTTTTATTAATCAGTTTTCCTCAATCGAGCCTCTTCAAGATTCTTATCTCTGGAGAGCTCGCTATGCATTTCTCCATCAACAAATATTGACTCACCAAGTCGAATCTCTTAAATCCCTCTCTTTATCATCATATGAAAAAGCATTATCTCACGATTTTCCACCATCAGAGAAAGCTCTTTTATTAGTAGAATACAGTAGGTGTTTACTTTATTATTTGCAATATGAGCAATCTGAGCAGGCTTTGCTTCAGGCTCAAGAATTGGCTGGTTTATCTTTTAATTTGACTGGGAAATTAGGTGTCAGGACAAAATTCCAGACTTTTAAGACAGCTCAGCTTGTGCTGGAAACCAGAAGTTCTGAAGAGATCACAAATGTGGCAGCAGAAGCACCAGTCTCAATTAAATTGGATGAGGATTGTCCACTTCATGAGACTCCTCAATTATTTCCATTATACTGAATCACTATATAGATATTTTATTTAATTAAAAATAATTTTTTAAATAAAAAAACAGTATAGACCAACCTTCATTAGAAAATTGTTCTATTGCAGATCAAATAATTTTGCTAGCTTGGGTGAATTATTTCTTTAAAACTAAGCCAAAAGATGAGCTTCAAACAGAAATCATTGCAAGCTATCTAGACAAAATTCTAGAAAAGCCTTTAAATTGGCTTGTTTATTCTGAAGCTTTGTTATATAGGTCAAAAAATCAATTTGAAAGCTACAAGCACAAAGAAAGGTCTGCTTTACAAATCCAAACCCTTTTAGACCAATTCTCCGACGAAAGCCCAGACGTGGTAGAAAGGCTTTCCTACGTATTTTCCTTAAATTATCCTCTAAGACACTGGCTAAAAGTCGAGCTCGGCGAAATGTTTATGAAACTTGGCGCCCCTATGAGCGCTTTCCAAGAATTCGAAACAGTCGAAATGTGGGAAGACGCCGTCGAATGCTTAATTATGAGCAATTATTCAGGAAAAGCTGAAAAACTTGCGAATGAAAGACTAAGTATCCACAAAACCCCACGAATGTTATGCGCATTAGGCGATATTTCAAGAAACCTTGAATGCTATTTAGAAGCCTGGGAAATTTCTAATCATAGATATACAAGGTCTCAAAGGTCCCTGGCCAGAATTTCATTCGATGAAGGAAATTTCGAAAAAGCTATAGAGCACTATAAGCTTGCCTTAGAAATTAACCCACTTTATGCGAATTGCTGGTTTACCTTAGGGTGTGCACAAATGAAGCTGCAGAAATGGGAGGATGCAGCTTTAAGCTTTAGAAAGCTGGTACATGTAGATGGGACTATAGCTGAAGGTTGGAATAACTTGGCAGCAAGCTATATACAGATGGAAAAATATGAAGAAGCTTTTACAGCGATGTATCATGGTGTGAAGTATGACAGAATGAACTGAAAAATGTGGGAAAACCTATTAATTTTAAGCATACAAGTCCGGAAAATCTCACAGACCATTGAAAGCATAAGGAGCTTGTTAAGGTTAAACCAAACAAGAAATATTGACGAAAAGGTATTTGTCGCCTTGAATTGGTATAGTAATGAAACTCAGAGGTGGCAAGAAGTTGAAAAAGTTTATAGCGAAGTGGTAAATAAGATCAGCATAAATGGAAGAAGCTGAAAATGCTACGCAGATTTTGTTGAAATGTATCAAGGTATAAATGAAGATTTTAGCATAGAGAGAGTGCTGAATTTAAGGCTAAAAGCATGTAGAGCTGTATTGGGGACTCCAAGCTGGGAAAAGGATAGTAATTTGTGTAGTGATCTTATTTTATTTGGGACAGAACTTGCAGAGTGCTATAAAAGAGTCAATGAAAATATGAAAATTGAAGGAAGACTATTCATAGAGAATATAAAAAAGAAATTTGAAGAAAAACTAGAAAAAGAAGTAGAGTTCCCTAATTTTTAACACAAAATTTAAAAAATATTCTAACTTCTGAGTTAATAAAACTATAATTATTCCTTACTTCTCCAAGATAAAGTAATTGGATACTTATCTTCTTCTTCACTTGGCAAAATCGTCTGAACATATTCTCCAGCGACCACATTCCCATTACAGAAATTCCAAACCCCTTTGCCTTTTGGCATATTATGATCGAATTGCCCTTCATAAAAGCTTTGGTTCTTGAAAATCCATTTCCCCTTCATAATTTTCCCATCAGCCCAAACTCCTACTAATTTCGCGCCACTTTCTTTTACGATGTAAGTCCCTTTTCCTTCTTTTTTGCCACTTTTCCATTGGCCGCTATATATATCGCCATTGGCATATTTGAAAACTCCTTCCCCATCTTTTAGTCCGGCTCTGAAATAACCGTGGTATTCTCCTTTTTCATTGTAAGTCATTTTTCCTATGCCTTGTTTTTGGTCATTTTCATATGCTCCGACGTATTTGTCGCCATTTGAATAGGTATAGGTGCCTTTTCCGTGCTTTCTCCCATCTTTGAACTCTCCTTCATAGATTTCTCCATTGGGATAGGTAGCTGTGCCAGTCCCTGTGTAAAACCATGAAGATTTTACCTGTGTGCCATCTTCCTGGACTAGGAGGTATTCGCCAAGTTCTTCTTCTGCGGCCATTTGAGTAACTGTTAATTATTTAACATTCTAAAAGATAAATTTATAAAAATAACAACTGATTGCAGGGCTTTAGTAGGAAAGCTACTACCTAAAATAGTAAGAAGAAGGTAAATAAATATACAAAAGTTATTGTTTATAATGCAAGATAGAAGATATAGTTTGAAGCAAAAATTATTTTTGTATCTTCATTTAGGAGTTATATTAAGAATGATAATCATTCAATAATTATTTTTGGAGATTTTGGAATGTTTAGATTTTAACTTTTTAAGTTTTGGATTATCCTGGATTTATTTTTTAAACTTTTAGGTTTTTTTGGATTTACTCCGATTTTTGGATATCTTAAACTAATTTTTGGCCCTCCCCTTATTCCAAATATGCCATTCATTATTATAATAACAAGATATGCGACTTATCTTGAGTAATATTTGTATAAATAAGGAATTTCTGCACAATTTTGGTTAATTTCTAAATCTTTATTTAAATAATAATATTCGTTAATAGCCAATTAGTAAACCTTATCAGAGCGCTAAATCTTGCAAAAACTTCATTAAAAAAACTATAATAGGAGTTTATTATATCTCAGGCAGCATCTTGATCTATTTATTTTAGGATTTATTTTATCAATTAAGCAAAGGCTATACCAATTTCAACCAACCTTTATTCCTATTGAACAAAATACCACATCTTTTAATCAAAAGAGACAGTTACATCAGATGTCACCAGAAACTGCATTTATATGGAAGATAATCTCTATTATCAGTAATAAATGGAACCAACTGCAGACACATCAGAAAGCGCTGGGAGCGCAGAAGTCCCACAATTAGATCCAACTGCAGACACACCAGGAAGCGCTGGGAGTGCAGAAGTCCCACAATTTGATATTTGCATTATCCTTGACTGTACAGGATCTATGGGCTCATCATTCCCCCAAGTTAAAGAAGCTATTACTTCAATAGTAAACATGTATATGCCAAGAGGTGTATCTACTAATTTTGCTATTGTTGGGTATACAGACCATGCCGGTGACAGTGGAAATTTAGATGGAAATAATCCAGTTATTATATATCCACGGTCAAAAAATATCAATGATTTTGTCAAAGATGATGCATTGCAGTTTTTAAATAATTTAGTCGCGAATGGAGGTGGCTCACAATATGGAGAAGCAATGATTGATGGTATGTATAATGCAAACCATTTGGTTTATAGACCAAATACACCAAGAATGTACTTTATTATTGGTGATGATACTCCGCATGGCAGCGAGTTCCACCCAAATACTCAATATCCTAATGGGTGTGCTTGTGGACATGACTGGAGACAATTACTGAGAGAAATGAAAGAGCAAGAGGTCTTGCTTAAGTTTGTAAAGCTCAATGATATTATGAATAAAACAGCAGAACTTTTTGAAGCAGAGTATGGAGAAGATAATATGGAAACCTTTTCACAAGCTTGCATAAAGAATTTATCGTCAATTGTGGCAGATTCTGTTGGATCAGTTATTGAATATTATCTTGAGCAAGCTCGAAATAAAAAAAAATAAATTAATTTAGAGTTATTTTAAAATTTAATTATATAAAAACTGGATTTTATTCATTATTTTCAATATAAAGAAAGCAAAACGACCTCTTTTATCAATAAGGGATTGATTTATAATTTTAATTTCTGGACATTTTTCTAGGATTTTATATATAGTTAATTATCAAATGGAAGCTTTACAATGCCGATTTCTTGATCACATCCCATCAGAAATTCAAGATTTTTCCATTTTAAATGACTATTGCTTAGTTCTTTTCAACGATTCTAAACTTCATCTTTACAGAACTTCATCATGAACTTTGCTTCACACATTTCCAGGCACGCAATCTCTTTCCCTACGAAAAGTTCGATTCCACGATTCATCTCATTTTATCTCTGCAGGTACAAGCGGTGCTTTAATCCTATGGAATCTTTATAACCCAGCTCCATTAGAAATAATCCAAGTCCCAGGCTCAGGAATTTGGGATATTTCTAAGGCCAATTCTGACTACGCTTTGGCAGGGGATGATGGAATTCTTCGGTTATATGAAATCGAGGAGGATCATTTTAACCATACTCCCCCCCCCCCTCCGTGAGTGAACAAAAAAATTTTGTTCACTCACGGAGGGGGGTTAATTTTTTTTTTTAAAAAAATTTATATATAAATTTTATAAAAAATATTTTTTTTTTCGAAATTTAAAAAAATCCTAATTCGCAAAAATGGAAAGCAAATATTAATTCAATTTGCAAAAATTTATGTTTTAAAAAGCAATTCGTTTAAAAATAAACAGAATTAGCTCTAGATTTCATTATAATAATTATCATTTATATATCAAATTTTTTTCCATAAAAAATTTTTCTATTAAAAAAATTTTTGTTCACTCACGGAGGGTGGGTTTTTTTGGACAAAAAAATAGGGATTTTTCTAATGGTTTTGTTCACTCACGGAGGGGGGGGAGTTAGCTTCTTATTTCAGCGACAAATAGAAGAAAAATTGTTAAGTGTTATATGGTATGACGAATTTATTTTTACAGGGACTCATAAAGGCAACATCATAAAGTTCAGAAAAGGAAAAAGCTCTTATGAAGATCGTCTCGCAACAAGATCAGCTGTATGGAGCCTTTGTGCCATAGGAAAATTTTTAGCCTCAGGAGAAGCCAATGGCCACATAAGCTTATGGGATCCAATACACGGTACCCAATTCCAAACCATAAAATCCCATGACGCTGACATACTTTGTATGTGCGAATTAGACGGAAATCTCTATGGAAGTGGCGTGGACTCCAAGGTCGTAAAAATTTCTTGGACTGGGCATAATTGGGTAGTCGCTGGAAAAATCCGAGGACAAAGCCACGATGTCAGAGCTCTTGCAGCCTGCAACAACACAATTATTTCAGGCGGCGTCACAAGTGACATATGTGTCTATACCCTCGATCTGTTCGAAAACGAAGGAAATATGATGTGGAACAACAAAATCCAGCATGTGATTTACAAGAAAAAGCCAATTCGGCACATAAGCACCCTCCCGTACACATCTCCAGTTTCTATATGCAAGACCCATCAAGGTATTCATATATTACACAATAAATCTAGCTCCCTAGATTTATGGCAAATAGATACACAAGCCCAAACCCTATCAAAAATCATCAGTTTAATCCCAAAATCAAAGTCCTCAATTACCTGTTCAGCGATTTCTTATAATTCACAAATTCTTGTATATTCGACACTTTATTCATTTAAGGTTATTCAATTGTCATTAGAAGAATTAAAGGCTGAATATATAAAAACCAATATAAAGCCTTGTAGTGAGCTGGCTTTGTCAGGAGATTTCTTATTTACAGGTGGAAAATCAATGCAGTTTGTGAATATTAAGACGATGGAAATTATTGATGTCATGGAATTTCATGAAGATTTGGTAGTAAAAATGAATTCTAAAGGGAAATGGTGCGCAGTTATATTAGCTTCTAATAGAGTGTTGGTGTTTAAAGAGGCTGCACTTATATGTGAGCTTCCAAGGCTAGAAAAAAGCATCACGGCTGTAGGCTTTGGGCATAGAAAAAGACTGTATTTAGTAACTGAAGACAATTTTTTGCATGGGTATAATATGAAAACACAAGAGCCTGACCCATATACTCATAAGTACGGCCACAAGCTCCCAAAGAACTTTTTAAATGAGGCAAATAAAGTGATAGGAATTGAATATTTCCCTAAAAATTCCTTAATTTTATATACCCATTACTCCTTTACTTATATAGATTTATCTAAAAAACCACCAAAAAGAGCTGATATTTTGGTAAAAAACAGCTTCCCAGAGCACAGCCAAACTTGGCAAGGGGTTTTAAACACCCACCCTCTGCATTCTGATAGAAAACAAGGATCAACTATACAGGTAAAGGACTTAGTAAATTTTGCCATAAATAAGAGATTTGGACCAATTTTGAGTTTAAATATAATGAAAAGTGAAATGGTAGTCACTGAGCTGGCCTGGGAAAATATTTTGGAAGTGAAGCCTAAGCCTATAGCACAGCATAGATATGGATCTTAAAGTTAATAGATTTTTTATCAGCATTTTTTGGTATTAATAATCGTAATTGTAAGAAAAAATCAAATATTTAATTCATATTTATGCCAAATAACGTAATTTTTACAGTATAAAGGTTTATTAAATATTCAGTTTACTCTTTCAAAATGAAAGCATTAATTAATTGGTTTCTTCGATTATGCCAGTCAAAAGAAGAGAAAAATGAAGAACAGCAAACAAAGCAAGAAATTGAGACAAAAATTGAGCCAAAAAGTGTCGATTTAACAACTGCTAAGTTTGTTGTGGAATCAGTCAGTAAACGTAAAAAGCATAAAAAGAGGAAAAGAAGCAAATCTAAAGAAAAAAAAGTGAAAGCTAAAGAAGAAAAAAAAGAAGAACACTCAGAGAATACACCCTCGCCTAAATATCACCGACCTTTGAAATTCCAATCGCTTTCAGTTGACACAACAGGAAACTCGATACTTAGCAGAAAATCTATTGAATCAAGCATCACTAAATCTCAAATAAGCACAGTAGTTTTATCACCTGGATACACAAGCTAAGCCTGGTATCATATCTTCTATTTAAAGCATTAAAGGCTAAATTTCTTAAAAATTTTTGATAATTATTACGATATACATCATTTTTTACGTATCGCAAAATTTATTATTTTTTGATTAGAGTAATAAATTAATTAATAACTAGTTTTACTCCCTTCAGGTGCAATCAAGTCTCCATCAACTTCTACCCACTTAGAAGTTTTTTCTGCATTATCCAGCCTGATTTGCAACAATTCTCCAACATTATTCACAATTGTAGCTCTACACCATCGTTGCCCATTATTTTCTAAAGCATCAATTTTCTTATCAACCTGCAGATCTTCATCTTTCATATCTTCATCACTATCCCAATCGTCCATTGCAGGTGCTACAGTTCCTTTCAAAATTTTTTTATAAAATTCAAGCTTTTCTGTATCCTTTCTCATATATATTAAAAATATTTTTAAACAAAATAAAAATAGATAATAAATATTTTTAAGAGGGATATTGTTTTTGGAAATATAAGCAGAGGTAGCTCCCCACTGTGTGCTGTTTGGCTTATACAAACTCATTGTAGGCTTCATGCCAGAAGGTGCTGTCGGGAACTGGTTATCCTTAAGCCAAGCTTCAATCCACTTGAAGTCTTTTACTTTTTTATAAGCCCATTCTTTAGCAGCAGGGATTCTTAAGACTGTTTTGAAGAAATATTCAATGCATAGCTCAGTGGTTTTATAATATTGCTTGTTTTCTTTCATTTCAGTCAATATATTATAATTGGTTGATTTTACTAATTCTTTCTGTTATTAATTTATATTATTAATTAGCATAATATAGCATAAGCTCCTTAAGCCATAATCAACACGATCGTCAGTCAAATCATCCTGAATTTTCAACAGACAAGTTAACTGTCGAAGAAATGGGCGCTGGAAATCATAGTCGTTGTCTGAGATATGCTGAATCAGCACGTCAACATAATTTTCTGAAAGTACTCTATTTTGGCTGCAGAATTTGGCATAAAATTCACCTACTGATCTACAACCAATTTTATTAGTGCAAGATGAAGAAAGCTTGGATACTATTGATTTCTGCCAAAAGGTCGAAACCAGCTCAGATGAGAGATATTGAGAGCCGAAATTCAGGATAGCGAGAACGTAGGATAAAGAGTTATTGTCATCATGGGAAGAAAACTTGTCATGAGATTCATCAGTAGTAGCATGTTTGTCGTAGCCTAAATAAATGTCGGAAAATTTATATAACATTTTAAGATAAATTTGTGATAAAGGATAGTATTGTTATGCTACATTTTATTGGAAATAAAAAAAAATTATAAAAATATTATAAAGAATTCAATTTAAAAAAAATACCGCTCTTCATAGAGTGGAAAATCAATTTTTTCGCTAACTCCCCCCTCCGTAAGTGAACAAAAAAAATTTTGTTCACTCACGGAGGGGGGTTAATTTTTTTTTTTAAAAAAATTTGATATAAATTTTTTTGTTTCGAAATTTAAAAAAATCTCACTTCTATAAAAATTGGAAAGCAAAAATTAATTTAATTTATAAAATTTATGTTTTAAAACGCAATTTGTTTAAAATTAAACACAAATTAGCTTGAGAGATTTTTATTATAATAATTATCACTTATATATCAAAATCTTTTTCCATAAAAATTTTTTCTATTAAAAAATTTTTGTTCACTCATGGAGGGTGGGTTTTTGGGCAAAAAATAGGGATTTTTCTAATGGTTTTGTTCACTCACGGAGGGGGGGAGTAAGTATAGCGGGTACCCCTTTATAGATCTTTAAGGACAATAGCTTTTAAAAGAAAAAAATTATGAAAAATTATCTAAAAGTCAAAAATTAATCATCTTATATTTCCTATTTGTCTGTTTTAAACTTGACTTCTCAGAATATTTTAAAATGCCAAAAGGACTTTTTCTTTAAAGTTATTTTTCCTCAGAAATCAATATAAGGAGTCATGCGCTGTACATAAGCAGTTAACTTTGCTATCAGCTGCGTCGAAGGCATCAAATGTGGACTCATCTGCACAGTTCTATAAATAACTTCAAAATACTGTGGAAAATGCCTTGAATATGGCGATTTCGCAATTGACAGCTTATTCAGCAACCTCTGCAAAAACTGCTCATGCAAATATGGATTCACCGTCTTCAGCGCTGCATGAATTACCCCTACAATGACCCTTCTTTTCTCAACAACAGGGCAATCCAGCAGCAGTTCTTTCAAAACCTGTGGCACAGTCACAGTCTCCAGCACCCACTCACTGATTTCTTCATTTTCTTTCAGCTGATTTTTCAATAAATTCACAAAAATTGGCAGCCTCGTCACGTCTTTGCTTCTTATCATAATAGTCAAAAAGAAGCTGGCAGCGAATTTCAAAATTTCATTTTTTCCATACTTAAGCAGCCTTGTAATAAAATCAAAATAATCAGTGCTAAAGCTGGACTTGCAGCGCCAGTACCTTTCGTTCTCTTCTTTTACTTCTTCGAAATCTTTGACTTCTCCTTGGGAGGTAATTGTGGTTAATGGGATAATTGTGTCATCTTCATTGCTTTGCTTTGAATATAATGTATTAAAGTAAATAGGGTAATTGATAGATAAAAATAAATTAAGGGAAAGGGCTGGATAAAAAATATAGAATTTTTCACGTTCGTAAAATAGTAAATAGGCATTTCGGTATTTTTCACGATTTGTGGTAGAATTTGAACTGTATGATGAAGAAAATGACCATTTTTCTTCGCCTCCAAAGGCTTCGTTAGGGATGTCTTCTGGGTTAAAAGGCCTCACAATGGTATCGTTAAACTCATTCCACTTCCCAGAGCTCCTGTCCTTTATGAATGAATAATAATGACCGCTTTCTGCAGTTCCCATATGAATCACAATTCCTTTCAAGGTAAATTTATAATATTCTTCTGGGTATTTTTTATTAGGAATTTCTTTGGTAAACTCTTTGCCTTCTTTGATGGCTTGCTCTTTCAGCTTGAGGAGTTCTTTACGCTCAAGCCCTTCTTGTGTATAAGCTTAAAATTAAATGGCTTACGGTCTTCCAGATTGATGCCTCCGCACGCTTGCGACCGCCGAAACTTGCTTCCCGAGGTAGCCCAGTTGCCTGAGCCCTGACCCAACAGCGATTTACTCCAGGACCTAGGGCTTGAACAGATATCCCCCTAAGTCTTGAAGGATTAGAAAGACTCCTCTTGCTCAACGTCATTCGGATGCCTATATAAAGGCAAAAGTCAGCCCGATGCCTTCTGTCCGCCACCTTGAGGGGAGGTAACACCTAGGAAAAAAAGAACCGCGGCCCTTCTGAATTGGTAGGGAAAGAAACCATGACCCAAAAATCATGCTTGGACTGAGTCGCTACCAGCTGGCTCCCAAGGTTTACCCACTCCCATACGGCAGCTCAGGCATGGTAAGAATTAAAATTAAAGAGCCTGAGCCTTGGCTTAGGCTATAAAGTGACTTTGGCTCCCAAAGTGGTGCGTCGCCAAAGACATATTTTGTCGCTACCACCACATTAATTATCTTGTGTATAAGGCTCCATATCAATTTCCATCGGAAACTCGCAGTAGTCATTGACCTTTACCCTTGCCATGGTATCAAAATCGAATTCAAAGCGCCGCAGACTGATAATAAAGGTGTTTGGCAAATATTTTATGCAGACTCGTCGCAATGCAGGAACTTTATTGTCACAATGGTCACATTGATACATATTGTCGCCTTCTAAAAGTTCGCCTTCTATAAAGCTGTCTAAGCTTTCATAAAGATTTTTCTTGTTTTTCACTTGGACTGGAAATGTTAAAAAGGGCTCGAGACGCTCACTGCGATGATTACAGGTGTCTTTTCCAAACATTTCTGTGACTTGGAAGCCTCCAAAATGGTTTTTGATGATATGCTCATTAGGGTCACCTTTAAGCTGGTTTTCGAGACGGTCCATAAATGTGTTGAAAAACTCTTCAGCGTCCATTTGTTCAAAAACATTGACAGGCCGGCCTTCCCAGTCCTTAAAAGCTCTACAAAGACCTTTAGGATTTATATGTTGCTTATCACTATTTTTAAGCCTTAAATTTTTTTTTAATTAAAAATATTGTTTTATATGAAAAACTTATTTTTATTATTTTTTAAGCCCAGAGAAAATATATTGAAGCTGATATAAAAGGCTCTCATCCAAATTCTGACCACTCAAATCTTTAGCTCTTAAAATTCCTTCTCTAAATGTCGGCACATTAAACATCTGCTGTATAGAAGAATTCATATAACAAATACACCCTAAATTTTTCAGCCCAACAAAGCCTGTCTCAGACTTTTCCAATGCTACTGGGGAATAATTCCAATCAGCAAATCTTGACGTTCTCCAATGAGGGTCTTCATGAAGCTTGTTTAAATACTCCACAACTTGGTATAAAGCGTCACGACTTATTACACAAAGCTTATAGAGCAGCCTAAAAGCTTCTTTTCGTGTGTCGCTGTTTTTGCATTTAGGAGGAGGGTCTAATTGTGATGATGAAGGGACCTCAAAGAGGCAAGAATGAAGAATTAAATGGACAATTTCTTTGGTTATCTTTATATTTGATTTTCTAATCCCAGATCTTATCACTCTTAGTGTGCCCCATAGTACATGATCATGCTCTTTCGAAGATTTTTCTGGCTTTTTTTCTTGAAGTTCTAACAATAATCTTTGTACAAGAGGAGTCTTTTTTTCTTTATCATTATTTCTTTTCAATAAATGTGACAGCAGTGCCCAATAAAAATCAGACGCATTTTCTTCATAAGCTGTATTTATAAGTTTTATATGGATATCCAATATATGAGTACTCAGTTCTTCACTTAAATTTGCAAGTTTGTCAAATAACGTCATCATTGACGCCCCAAAAAAGGTATTTGGGCAGCTTAATATAGAAACCCTAATCAAACTTTCCAATTGTTCACATTTTTTAACTGTATTTACCAAGAGACTTTCATTCCAGTTTCCTATAAGTAGCAGCATTTCTGTCGCATGGACCGCAACCTTTGAGGCTTCTTCTTCCGAACTTTTGCAGGCAGACGCAATAATCATAAGTGACTGGAAAATTTTTAAAATTAACTGAGGGGATGGCTCACTTGAGGTTTCTTTGAAAATTAAAGAAAGGAGGCTGATCATGACTGAGCAGTATCTTGAGTTCAAAGATATACTTTTTATATTAGAAGTGTCAGTATTTAAATAAATATCAATAAGGTATGGCAGTCCTCCCGCTTTTTGGAATTTCTGCATTCATTCTTCGTCTGAAATTAGCTGTTCTATGATAATTAGTGTATAAAGAAGCTTATAAAGGGAGCTTGAATCTAAAAGTTCAGGCAAAGTCTGCTCCAGCTCTTTTATTTGGATTTTTATTTTTTCATTTATAGGGAGAGCTGTAAGTAAATTCCAAGCCAAACCTGCAAATGCTTTGTCAGGGACTGATAAGAGCTGGAATAGGACGTCGACCAGTTTTTGGTGCTTTGAAAGGAGCTGGACTTGGGTAATTTCGTCGGATTTTGGCTGCAGAAAATCAATGCTTATAACAGAAGTTTTTATGCTAGATATAGGCATGTCGTCATCATAAGAGTCATAACGAATCCCGCTCAGTGTAAGGAGGACTGTGTTTAATGGCTTTTTATAAAGCTCAGAAATTTTACGGCGCAAACTGCCGACTGTTTGGTTGGAATATGCGTGGATTTTTTTGTATTCGTTCTCCTGCATTGTTTTGGCGTAAAATACTTGAATAGGTCCTGATGGAGATTCTTCACGGTGTCCAGAGTCGTCTAAAAAGCATAATAGCAGCTTTAAGACCCTTTCTGTAGTTAAATCTGATTGGGAATTTTCAATATAGGATAAGGACTGGTTTATAAAAGATGTCCAGATTTCTTCTTTTCTAGGCTTAAGAAGACGGCCTAGACGTAAATTCAAGTTGACTACGAAGTAAATCGCTTGTGAGGATACTTCTTCTTTTGATTTTAATAGGATGTCCATAATTGCATCAAAACCTATCAGAGTGGCCTGATTCCTGCTTAAAAGGCTGTTTCCTCTTATTTCAATATTCCTTTCATTATGATTTAGTGCTAACTCTCCCCTCCGAAGCGAACAAAAAAATTTGTTCGCTCATGGGGTTAATTTTTTTTTTAAAAAAATCCTAATTCGCAAAAATTGGAAAGCAAATATGAATTTAATTTGTAAAATTATGCTTTAAAATGCAACCTGTTTACAATTAAACTGAATTAGCTAGAGATTTCATTATACTAATTATCACTTATATATCACAATTTTGCTTTCATAAAATATTTTTATATTAATTTTTTATTCGCTTGGAGGAGGGAGTAAGAAAAACTGGCAAAAACACTGATATGCCTCTATACTTATAGTTTCTCTTGGGAAAGCTAGAGGATCTACAAAAAATACTTCAAAAGCTTCAGCAATCATTTTTGTGGTAAAAATATTTCTAATAATCCTTTGCAGCCACTTGAAGAACGCAGCTTTATCTCTATCAGACAAAGGATTTTTCACAAAAATTTCCCAGACAATTGAAAAATGTGCCCTTGAAAATGCAAAAGACCGACTGCTTACTCCCCCCCCCTCCGTGAGTGAACAAAACCATTAGAAAAATCCCTATTGTTTGCCCAAAAACCCACCCTCCGTGAGTGAACAAAAATTTTTTTAATCGAAAATGTTTTATGGAAAAAATTTTTGATATATTAATGATAATTAGTATAATGAAATCTAGAGCCAATTCTGTTTAATTTTAAACGAATTGCTTTTTAAAACATAAATTTTATAAATTAAATTAATATTTGCTTTCCAATTTTTGCGAATTAGGATTTTTTTAAATTTCGAAAAAAAATAATTTTTATAAAATTTATATATAATTTTTTTTTAAAAATAAAAATTAACCCCCCTCCGTGATTGAACAAAATTTTTTTGTTCACTCACGGAGAGGGGGGAGTCAGCACATATTCAATAAATTCAAATCTTTTCTTAATATTTTTGTTATGTGTATATCTTCCTTGTAGTACTTCTCTATAAGGATTCTGAAGCCCCTTTGCCTTTTCTCTCGCAATTTCATAGTATTTCTCTAAATTTTCAACAACTCTTTGTATTAGTCCACCTACTCTTTCATCAAGAAGCTTCAGATTTTCATCTTTATTTGATGATACCTTATATGCACAAAAGCTTTCTAATATTAAAATTGCTAATTTTAATGACTGGAATGTCGAGTGATTTTCCTCAATATTTTTTATTAATTGTAGCAAAATTTGTCACAGTTTGTCTTTTCATGGAATATTTTTTAAAATTTCAGCCAAATTGTCTGTAGCTATATCAATAAAATTGATAGGGCTGCTATCTAAAATTAGTGAATAAAAAATTGGGATTGCAAAATCATCATTGTCTGAGCGGGTTCTAGGGCCAAATTCTATAGCTTTTAATGTAAATTCTTTAAGCATTTTCAAGTACATTTCGTCGTATTCTTGGATAGGTTTTTGCTTCATTTTTTCAAATAAAAATTGGTGGAAAGAAGGAGAAAGGAAAGGGGTTATGTCAACAATTGCTTGTAAGGTAGCGATTACTAAAGAATCATGGCGCCCTTGGCCTGAATTTCAAAGAAGAGTCAGCTGGTCTTCTGTAAGAGCTCCAGTTTTAGCGAGAAAAATAAAAATTTCTGACACTCTTTTAATCATTTCTACATGATTATAGTCAAGGACAATTTCTATGATATTTTCTTGTAAAAGCCATTCCTTCATAAATTCTGTAGTAATCCATCTTGTACCTTTGGTAAAGCCTTGATAATAGACTCCTTTATTGTTGACTTTTTCGATCATGTCTTTGATTTCATTAAGCCCTCTCAATCTTTTTTCCATATAAGGGCACTTCAAAAGTTTTAGGGCGAGCTCTAGCTCAGCTCTTTCTATAAACTCATAGGTTTCTCCTCTTCTATCAACTTCTCCACTCAATTTTCTTAATTTTTGTAAAATTTCGCTAATCACATCTTTGTCAATATCTTTAAGCTCCCTATTAGAAATCGTGCTAATCCTCTCCAAAACTACTCTCTTAAACTTTGGGCACCAATCATCAGAAAACTGTTTTGATAGAAACTGGTTTATTTCATATAAAGGCAAAGCTGTAATAAAGCTAAAAGGCGCTTTTTGTTTTTCACTATATAAAAAATACTCTTTTTCTGACAAAATTTCAAGAATTAAGTCAAAACCGCCGGATTCCGCAAAATGGTCAACTAGGTATACAATTGTAGAGCTGGGGGAGGTTTTATTGACAAAATTAGAAGGCTTGAACTCTTTAGGGGTATACGTAGAAGTCTTGATTCTGGGCAGCCTAGGGTCGAATCCCAGCAGTCTTTCTAATGTAAGCAAAAGTTCAGGCCAAGCCATAGCAGCAGCAACTCCATTATCAGTCAGAAATAGTTCAGGGTTGTCTAAGCCATTGTAATACAAAGGAAACATTTCTTTATAACCCTGAAACCATAAGACAATATAATCAATCACATGAGTAAAAAACTCTAAGGAAGCATGGATTTCTGCTTTAGTTTTAAAGGAGCCTGTAAGTAAGCAGTCAACTAAAGTAAAAACTTCGCCACGGATAAATTGGGTTGTTGTAAAAGCGTCGCTTGCTTTGAGACCAGATTGGATAAGCGTGATAAGAATTGAATTTACACGTTCAAGCTCTTCTTCAGAATATTCCCAAGAGCGGATTGCGAATTTTTTTTGGCCAGTGTACAATTGGCTGTTTTTTCTAAATGGAGAAATCCTACTGGAAGATAAGCTATCCTTTTTTATTTATTATTTAAAAAAACAAATAATTTTTTGGGGTCTATTTTTTGAAAAAATAGGTTTGGATATATATATAAATTAAGGGGCATATAAGTCGCATCCCATTTCTCACTCCACCCATCATATCGAATCAGAATTGCGTTTCTTTCAGGGTAAAATTCAATGATTCTTGCGACGCACCAAGCATTCATAGTATCTTTTGCATCGATGAAGACACCTGGCTTAAAAGCTTGATTTATATTGGTAGAATTGCTTTCCATTAGCAATAATTATAAATAAATAGAAGATGGATAGATGATAATGGAAACAGGGAATTATAAGAATGGCAGAAATTGATGAAAGATACATTAGTGATATATTTTATAACAAATAAATTATAAATTTATAGTGAACTACACTGACTGGCACGGGGTGCTTTTTGCTCAGTTTCGAGCCAAAAGCACCCCGTGCAGTCAGTGTAGCTAACTATATATGTGTTATATAGGATATGAAATAGTCACAATTATTTTGTTATGATAGTTTATGAAAAAAATTCTATTTTATCTAATCATCATGCTTTAAATTGAAACAAAAAATTTGTTTTAGTTTAAATTTATATAAATTTTGAATAATTAATTTATAAAATTTATCACTTTAAAGTATCAAAATCGCATTTTGTCCTTTCCGCCGTATATAATAAAGCAATTTATAAATAAATGTCCGATTCCAAAGGCATTAAATTAGGTATAAAAATGCTTTTCAAAGAATTGCTATTTCACCTATAAAAACAAGCTTAATTTTGACAATATTTTGGCTCCAATTTAAAGTGGGAAGTAAGTCGCATTTAATAGAAATTTGATTTAAACCTGCATTTTATAAATTTTTAGTGCTATTTTATAGTCATTTACTTTAATTCTTTTTGGGTCTACCTAGACAAAAAGGCTTTAATAATATCTGAACTTATAAAAAACAAAAGGAATTAAAAATGCAAGAAGTTCATGTCCTTGAGTTAGGCCATATTCAAAAACGATGGTGGCTTATCTTATTTTCATAATCTGGGCTAACATTTATGAACGACGCTGTTCATTGAACTCTTTCCCTATTGGTGAAAATGCAAAAAATTATTATAATGCTTCACAAGATGCTATATCCCTATTTGCGGTCAGTTTTCTTAATATATCTTCCATTATCACCCTTCTCTACATAGCTTCTCGGAAAATCCTACCATTATTCAATTATTATAGCTTCGTCTCTTAATTTTTTAGGCTGCTGAATATATGTTTTAGATATATAAGTGATAAAATTTTAACCTTCAATTTAGGCTATACCTCAGTAATCCTCTTCTTACTGACTGTTTTCCTTGATTGAGAACTGTTACCTGTATTCTGAATGGTTCAGCTATAGGTGTTCAGATCACTTAGAACAGGAAATTAAGCAAATGTTCAAAGATTCCCTTAATTAGAAAAGGTCATTGTGGCAACTTTGAACAAATACGTCTAGAACAGAAATAATTCAAAATCACTGTAAATTATTTTTTGAATTTCATAAAAATATTAAATAACAATTTTTTAAAATAGTTATACTTTGCAGTTAATCTAAATATTATGTCTTTTCTATGTTAATTGCTTAAAAACTTGTGAAATATAAAATGTCATTTTCCCAGCGGCGCTGGGTAATGCTGACTCTATATTGTGCGGTAAGCTTTATCAATGGTGTCGCCTTCTGTGCATTAGATCCTGTAGACCGCCTTGCAGAAGAGTACTACGGCGTCGGGACTTCTCTAGTATCTCTTTTTGCTGTGAGTTTTGGTGCAATGTATCTTCCCCTCGCACCTTTTGCCTCCTGAGGACTTGGGATTTCCTATCACTGATCTATGATGATATCATGAATTGTTACATTTATTGGCTGCTGGCTTAAATATTTAGCATTTACCAACTACACCCTAGCCTGCATAGGAATATTTTTAGTAGCCTCTGTCAATGCTCCTATCCTTGCTGGCTGTTCACCTTTAGCAGTCCGATGGTTTCCTCGTAACGAATGAGTCTTATGCACCAGCATTGCAAGTATCAGCAATTTTGTGGGGATGGGCGCTTCCTTTATCGCAAGTCCTTACCTAAATGACATGGATTTGATAAATCTCTGACATGCTATTTTTTCAACGATTTTTTTGGTACTAAATGTAATTTATTCCAAAAATGACCCAGAATTTGAAAAATCGACAGGGTTAATTGAAGGGTTTAAGAAGGCTTTGAAAAATAAAATGATTATGTGGATCGTCATGTGCTCAAGTTCAGGGATTGCAGCTAGTTATACAGTTATAGCGATTTTATTAGTAATTTTAGAGCCAGATGGGCTGAGTGCGAAACAGGTAGGATGAATAGGGTTTGATATGGTTATGATGGGAATGCTTGGAGGGCTAATAGCTACGTATTTGGTCGCAAATTATAATGCAATTACGACACCGTTGAGGATTTTTTTGGTAGGGTCGATTTTGTCTACTATATTGTGGGCGTGCATAAGGGCGAGTTTTTCGCTTTCGATAAGTGGAGCTGCACTTCATGGAGCTACGCTGATTGGCCATTTACCGCTTGGAATAAGTGCTGCTGTTATTGAAGATAGGACTATTGAAGAGTCGATAACTACAAATATGATTTTCTTTATGCGGTAATAATAGAATGGCTTATATACGGACCTCAAAAAAAATTATTATTATAGGGCTCACTTTTCAAAATGAGCCTTTATCCACAATGCAATAGCGATGACACGTAGGGTAATTAGGTGAATAAAGGAAGAAAGGAGAAGACATATGGGTTTTATTGTCTAGCACCCCAAGATGGGTAACCCTTAGGTGGAATATGAGATAAAGATAGTCTCAGAGGGATCAAATGTGATCAGTAAAAACTTTCAGGTTCTTTTGTTTCGTCTTCTGTAATCCTGATTAGTCAGGATGGCTGATGGCATCATCAACTTTCAAAGTATTTAAATAGTATTCTATTTGTACTCCTTCCATTAAGCTAGGCCAAAACTATTTATGTACAAATCACTATTTTTACTATAAATTTAACTAATTTAAGAGGGGTTAATATACCCAAAAAATGGGAAATTTTACCTATATATTTTCCCAATTTAATTGGGTAAGTAAAATAATTTATTAACTAAATTTTCTTTATGGCAAATTTGCTTTGCACTATTTACACTTACCCAGTCCAGTATTATTATGAAATCACAGATTCTACAGGGCTATGGGCAATTGCTATATTAGTTTTAGTTAGTTTTCTGCCACTTATTTTTATATATAGAAGTCCAGTTGAGGATAAATCTAGTGTAAAACCATCGGAAAATTTATTATGTCTAATTTCATTAATTTTTATATTACTAAAATAAATATATTCTACGCATAATAAGATATATAAAAATACTATTTAAACCAAATTTATATACAAAATTAAATCACTTACTAATTATTTATGGATCCTTAACCTCTTCCATCACAATCGTAGCCTCATTCCCTGTCGGAGCTTTTTTCAAATTCTCCACAATAAGTTTTACTCTATTGATTTCATGTGTCAGTGAATTATTTGTATAAATCTGCAATGCCTCTTCAAATTTCCCTTCTCCTTCAAAAAACATAGCTTTTGCATACTCATCTAAATTAATTTCCCAGAAATTTTTTTCGTCTAAATACCCCCCTTTTCCTAAAGCGTCGTTAATATTGGTAAGATTCATGATTTCTTCATAGTCATTTAAAAGAAGTGCATAGTCAGCAGACGTCATAACTCGGCCTGTTTTTTTGATGATTTCTTCAATTTCTTGTTTTGGGCTTACATATTCTTCGTCCATCATTTCCCTTTCATATTTTGCTAGTGTTGCTATACCTTTAAAGCCTTTGAAGTCAGCTAAATAAGAAATATCATTAAGAAGCCTAATGCTACGCAATTTTCTGCCTAATAAAAAGGCTTGTTCGTAGTTTCCGATGCTTAGCAGCTGGTAGCCAAGCCTTATCATAATGTCTCTGCTCATAGAGTCTACTAATTTTGTATGGCAGGATTTGGTTCAGATATCTTCTAATACTTTTACATATTCAATATCTATGTGATTCATTGTATATTCGCATAAAGAAAAAAATCCTTCTTCAAAGTCTTTTTCGTTTGATAAGGTTTCAAGGCATTGGACTGCTTCATTGAAATTTTGAGAATTTAAATGGATGCTGACGAGAGATATTTTTGTGTGGAGAAATGAACAGTAAGCTAAATTATGAGGAGTTGATAAAATTATTGGGTCTTTTTCAGCATTAATCGAAGTAATTTTAGAAAATAATGTATCATTGTTCATTGGAAGATACCCAAGTTCTCTACTTGAAGAAATAATTTTTAGTTTATTTAGGCAGCAGTCTATAAGATGAATGCAATTTTCTTCATTAATCAAAATAATGATAGACCCGCATGCATGCCAGCGTAGCCTTATAAAATGTGACAAAGAATCCACTTTAATCCCCGACGTTTTATTTCCTTTGAGGAGATACAAAAATTTTTCTTCTGTAATAAAGGCAAAATGGTCTTGATTATTAACATCTAAAGAAGCCAAATCTGACTCAAAACTCAAAATATGCAGCCGGCTTTCACTAATTTCTCTATTATCAATGATGCATTTTTTAAGAATATAATCTGCGTTAGTCTCTTGAGAAAATCGTATGTTTTCAGTGACTGGGTCTTTTGATTTGTCTATGTAATAAAATAAATTTGCATATCTTTTTGAAAAAAACACTGGGTTTTCGGAAGTAAAGGATTGGGAGGTAGGAGAAAAAGGCGCAAATGAAAGCAATTCATTTTTTTTATTAAATGCCATTACCTGTATGAATTGCTCAGAAATTGCTAAAACAATCCTTTGGTTTAAGTTGAACTCTAAAGTTGATAATGTGTTTGGAGCTTTTTGGATTGTCATGATTAATTCTCGTCCTTGTGCTGTGTGGATGTCTGCTCCTGTACTTCGTATATACATTAAGGTTTGGTTTTCCAGATAAAAAACACATGGAAAATCTTCAGTTAAAATAGCGCAGACGATTTCACATGTAAAAAACTGACTTCATGGATTTTCTATAATAAGCTTGGTTCGAGGATTAGCTGGGTTAAATCTAAGCAGCTTTCCTGATGAAAGTAATATTGTGATTCGTCCATCTCTTTCAAATAGTGTGCCTACTATTTTGTTTCTGCGAATAGCTTCATAAATATCAACAAAATTTGGCGACTTGCTTAGTTTAACGGTCGTGTATAATTTACTCTGCACTTTTGACAGTCACTCTGAAACTGAACACAATTACAAAAAATTATTTTCATAAGTTTTAAGTTTAACTACACTTAATCCTATTGCAGAGTCTTCCATTGAATTTATTTGATTTTTAGTAAATATTAGGACTACCTTCTGCCTATTTTTTAAAAAATAAATGCTGCTTTATATTTACCCAAGCATCTAAAACACTTTGAAATAATAAAAATATTAAACATATAGAAATTAACTTACTTTATCTTTGCAGTTTTCACAAAATCAGCTTGGATCTTCAATATTTGCCTTCACACAATCAGGGTGGAATAATTCCTGGCAATTATCGCAACTAATATACAAGACATCAGGGTTTATAATGGCGTTACAAACACAAGCTTTTTTTCATTCTGTAAGTGGAGGTATCACACAATCCTCTTTAGTGATATATTTTGCTCTGCAAAAATAAACATCTTCATCTGCTTCATCCAAGCTGTGATATTCTTCTAAGGTAACAAGCTTTATTTTCCCATAAACACATTGGACATTTATATCTTGGATAAGGTCAGAATCTATTAATTCTGCAGCTGAAATAAAATCATGATCTGCATGAAATGCTTCACTTGGCTTGTAAAATCATCTGATATTTAGCTGAGGCTCTAGTTTGGCTGAATCTTTAAATATTCGCTGGATTGTGGCAAAACAGTCTTCGTCACTGTATTCCTTGACTTGAACGACATCGCCTACACAGAAATCGATTCCATTAAGCTTGAGTTTTTTGAATTCTGATATAGTTTTGGATTGTTTTTTGGCAACGGGTTTTGCGTTCATTATAATTAATTATAAAATTTTCAAAGCCCCAGAATTTTGAAAATTTTAAATAAAATTTTATTAAAGAAATTTTCTTTTAAAAAGGCAATTTTTCTTTAAAGAAGATCAAGTAAAAAATTATTTTAGTTCCTAAAGATTATTAAAACTCAATATAACTATGTTTATCATTAAAATCATCTACAAATCTTGATATTTCCCTTTGAAACCATGTTTCTATATTTACTTGTATAAATTCTTTCAAATTAACCTGATATTTCGGATTGCTTAATGTCACTTGATCACCTCCTCTTCTTTCCCTATAATTTTTATAGGCTGTCTCAATAATTTCATTGTCCTCAGGTGAGTAATCCCACCAATTTCCATCCTCATTTTTCCATTTTCATGAAAGCCCACCTCCCATCTTTATGAATGGCTCACTGTTTGTCTCAAGTTTCCTTAATTGGGATTTTTTTAAGTCCAATAAATAATCCCCATCATTTAGTGCCAAGACGATATATTCTTTATTTTCCTCATAAGCTGTTTCTATCATTTTACAATTAGATTGTGAGAATTCGTTGTAAATCCCTTGTTTATAGCAAGCCCATTTTGCTGAAGAGGGGTTTATTACTGGGGGTACCCTATTTGGTTGATTAATAGGCGGTGTGTATGGTTTGTAATATCCTAGCTGGCTTGCGGATGATGGACCGTCATCAGGCGCTGTATTTAGACGATAAGTTGATGAAGATACTTGAGATTGCTGGCTAATTGGCTGGATATTGGGCTCTCTAATAGGCTGATTAATATTGAAGGTATTAGGCTGCTTTGCAGGTTCATAAATTTGAGGCTGTCTTTCAGGGCTAGACTGATTAATAGGGAATTTAAAAGGCTGATTCGTAGGCTGGCTAAAAGGCTGATTCATAGGCTGGCTTTTAGAGATATTAAAAGGCTGGCTAATTTGCTGACTAGGCTGAATAGCAGGCTTGCTTACCATCCCAATTTGTTTAGGGGCTGGGATAAATTGAGCAGGTGTATTTAAAGGAATCGCACCTGGAACTTGTCTCGAATTTCCCAACATCTGAGGTCTATAGCTTTGGTTGAAACCATTTGAAATATAAATAGAGCTGGACTCAGAAGATTTCGAGCTTTCTATAGAACTCTCTGGATATTCGTTAAACCTTTCTACTTGGCGTGGCTGGTTATTTATAAAAATAGGTACTTGAGCTTGCTGAAACTGCTGACCTTGAAGCTGCATACTTTGGCCAGAAAAATTAGGCTGTGAAGGATTTACAGGCATTCCCCCAGACATAGGAATATGTTTAGGTGCATTATATGAATTATTCTGCTCATAACTAAATATAGGAGGAGGTGCCGGCTTAGGGGGAATGATAGGTTTTACCGGGTTCATTCAGGCTTGGTTTTGTTGATTGTTGAAAGCTTGTAGCTGCTGACTACTCATCTACAAAAATTATTTCTATTATTCTAATTATTTTGATTTTTAAATATCCTTAGGCAAATTTTCAGGGTCAATATTCTGTACCAGCGGCAATAAATTCGTCAGTTGTTGTAAAGCGACTGAATGGTGGAACATTTCTGCGTTCATTAGATGCAGTAAAACTTGTTTAATGTCATTTACATGCCTGTTTTCGAACTCTTTAATGTTTCTTTGTGTTTCTTCATTCATCATTTTGAGCTCTTTTTCATTTTCTTCGTTTTCTTTATTGATTTCTTCAGAATTCACAGTTTTTTGTAGGGATTTGGACCTTTCTTGGGCCGTTTTTTCGCGGTTTTCGCGCCTGGATAGAGATCTTTTTTGCTGCTTTATTTTTAGGGAGGCAATTCTTAAGGCGTCTTGGATATAGTCTTTGAGAATTCCGAGGCTTTCAGTGTGCGCGCTTTCTTTGGCTTTTAAAGAGTTTGAGTAGCCTAAAAATACATTGGCAAGGTCATTGTGGCGTTCAAGTTCGGCAACTTCTTGTCATTTTTGTTGGAATTCGAGATGGTTTTCAAGGCTTTCTTCTTCGCTTTTGATGAGTTTTTTGAAAATTGAGTGTAGAGATGCGTATTCGTTGGAAATTTGGTCAAGCTTGTCTTTGTAAACTCTCCCTCTTTCTTGGTTCATATTTGAATTAGAATTAAAATTAAGTTGAAATTACTATGAAGGTTAGAAAATTTTGTTTTTTATTTGCTTAGGATTATTTTTCTAAGAAAATTATTTATTTTATTTGCTACTAGCGACATCTACGCCAATATTTTTTAGTTCATTTATTAAATAAGCTTCTATGTCATCCGCAAAACATGGAACACGAATCACTTTATATCCTTTTGCACTCATTAAATCAGTTTTGTATACTGCTTTTCCCCTAAGTAGTTTGAAGCTGCTATCATTATATTTTCTAATAAAATGTCTAGGCCCATCTATTTCAATTGCAATGTTTGGCTCAAGAAAATAATCTGCAATATAATAATTACTAATTATTTTGTCGAATTCATATTTCAGTGAGTATTTTTTAAATATCTCTTTTATACTTATCTCCAACGGAGACACTAAATTCTGTGTTTTTAAATTTTTTGGATCATAATGGCATTTGGCCGTAATTTTTCTTAAAAATTCTACATATTTTCCCATGTTTTCTGGCGCAAAAGTTTGATGGGCATCAATTATTTGGAATATAGACATATCAGTATATATTCTCCAAGGAGTATAATCATGATGACATTTAGGGTAAACATAAGCTAGCATTTTAAAGTTATTTGTTCATAAATCTGTATCCTGTAAATGCTTTAAAAAGACAAGAGATTTTGTAAGTCCTATTAAAGAGTTCATAGCTGACTCCTTTTCAAGATCATGTTGAGAAAAATTCTTTTTGGTAAGCATCACTTTTCTAAATCTATCGGGGTTTTTATGCTCAGGATTTTCTAAGAGTCTAAAATTTGCATAAAAATTGACAATTACTGAGTATTCAGCTAAGCTAAATTGTTCGCTGTTATTAATAATTACTTCTTCAAGCTTTGAAATATATGAAAATGAAGGGATGATGCAATATCTCCCAAAAATTTTAAAAGCATTTTGCACTAATTTTCATGACAATTTGTCTGGTGGCATTTTTACAATTTTTTCTTCTAATAAGGCGTAAAATTGAGGAGACATCGAAGTTTTTTTATTATACGTAAGATTTTGTAGGTAATACGAAAAAGCAGCACCTGAATAAGCGTTTAAGTACTTTGGACTCTCAAGGACTTGAAATACGTCTTTATTCCTGCTAAAATTTGTGCAAGCTAGCCTTATTAATTCCATCCCTTCATTTGGATATTTCTTCAGCTTGTCAAATTGGGCTTCATTTAAAATTTCCACTGCTTGTGATGGATCTGTTACGTTTTTAAAGGCTTGGATAAGTTTTCCAAGGCTTTTAGCCATTTTTACAATGTTAATCAGCGATTATGAGAAATATAATTAAATAGATTATTTTAAACTATTTACTAGTAATAATAAGATATTTGCCTATGATAGACCGAGTCAAGAATTAAAAATTGTTTACATAAGGTTTTCTTAGTCTTGGTCTTTTGAATATAATTTCACTCACAAAAGGATTTTTTCTTTTCAATTTTTCATTGCCTGATGAATTATTCATCAAAATTGCATCTAAAAAATTATGCTTTAGAGCCTTGTTTTCATTTTTAAGAATTTTTAACTCATTTCTACAAGCTTCTAGCTCATTTGTAAGTGTATCATTGGATCTAAAAGCACCTGATAAGTGAAAATTCGCAAGAGAGACTAGTGAGCTATACTCTTGCTCCAACACGCTTATTTTATTTTGCAAATTTATATTGACAAAATCACAGTAAACTAGCTCATCTTCTAGTTCTTTTTGATAATCCTCAGTGATTTTCTTATAATCCATAAATTCTTGCTTTAAATTCTCAAGTTCTTGCTCGTTATCACTTGTAAAAAATCTTTTGAAGCTCATATTTATTTTATTATTATATTTTTAGCGTTATAGAAAGATAAAATACCTCTAAATCTGGATTTCATAGGCATTTGTAAGCTTGAGCTTTTTTTGAGATTTACTTTTTTAACTCTATTAATTAAACCCATGTTAATAGATTCTATTTTTTATTGAAAAAATTATTTGTTTTATTATCATTAAGCTCAATTAAAAGCTTGTTTAATTCTGCTCCTAGTCTAATATTTCTAAATACCTTTAGAGAGTTAAATGCTATAAATCTATGCCATTCTTCATTTTTCAATAGCAGATATTATCATAAGCAGTAAAGATAATAACTTGAATTTCTGATTTTATTAATCGCTTTTGATTAATGTAACTATGAATTTCATTATTCATGGATTCGTTTAGGAAAACAGCTAAAAAAATTGTAGAAATTAATATTTTCAATATCTTTGGCCAAAATTCGCTTAGATTTATCTTTATTGATTAGATTATTAGGATATAATGATTTGCCCTCCTACAATCAAATAGCTAAAATTAGGCAGCTCAGACATCTTAATTCTTTAACTTTGTATTTTTTAGTATACAAATTTTACAAGCAAAAATGGCCTCTAATATTTCTCTCCCAATCCTTAATACTTTGAGCCAAGGCCATTTCAGTTGACTTTTGAAAATTATTCCTTAGTTAGGAAAGATTTTAGTTAAGAAAACTAGTAAAACTTGCAATTTTGCAAGAAGTTATTTATATTATATGACACATATGTTGGCTTCTGCATTGCTAATATTGGTCTTACTTTTACCTCATTCTAGAATCATATAAAATAGGTCTTTAAAGGATGCTAAAATGCTTTGGAATCACTGCTTAGAATCCATAAAGAGGCACTATTGATGTTTTGCTATTTCTATGATATGCGAAAAACACAAAGTTTTACACTCATTTCAATAAATTAAATTTTGTTAGTGGCCTTATATTTTTTCTACAGCGATTTAAGATTTCATTCACGATGCCCTTTATGGTAATTTTTCTTAAAAAAGGGAATCAATAACTGTTTCAGATATTCCCTACAGATTTTTGCGAATAATATGTCTGAAATATAATATCAATTATTCAAATATTCAATTATTTTGGCTAATTTTATTTTCTTTACTCTTAAATTTTATTAAGTGGTCATTGAGATAAAAATTAGCAGCAAAATTACTATCTAGTAAGTCTTAAACTTATTGAGAGAAGCTGACTCTCAATTTGTTAATGAAGTTACCAAGGATCACCTAGAGTTTCATAAGCTTTATAATGCACAGTAAGAGCTTGATAGTTGAGATGCCTCGCCTGGCCTAGCAACACTTACTCCTTCTTCATTACCCATAACATGATCACTATGAACTTTCCCTTGCAATGGCACCTTATCCTTTGCCTTTGCGATTACAGTGTTGAGTGGTTAGGCTATGAAATCTGGGGAATGCTGCTTCGGCTGAATGAAATTGTCTACACAAAAATCAAAAAAATGGATTTTCTAATCTGCAAAAGGAAATAAATAAAGCCTGAGACGTAAATCTGGTATTCACGCTAGAGATTCGTCTTATTAACCTAGGTATTGCCTGTAGATTTCGCTGGCTATGCCTGGATAAATGCCATATTTAACTATCCTATCCACTAAGCCAATAATTATCATTCTGCATTCCTTTTCCTCAGAGCAAAATTATCACACTGGTCACCATATGCAGCATTTTCATTATTGGTGGGAAAAATTAGTCCATTTTTATAAATAATTCAGCAATCTTTGCAGGATACTTTTATTATTTCTGATCAACTATGCCTATCCCATTCTAGAATCTTAAATGAGGCGAAGTAATTCCTCAAATCCAAAAATAATTCTAAAAATTCCAAAAAAATGACTGATCTCCTTGCTGAATTGTTTCCTCTTTGCTTTTAAACAAAATCGAGTTATTTTATTGTCTAATTATCTGATTAAGCTAGTTATAGAACTTTGTTCTAGTTTCCACACGACTCATGCTGTTCCATATGCAATTGCATTTCTTGGTTACCTTCATGATGCTCGTCGCAAATAGGACAGAATTGCCTATTCGGCGTGTGGCGCAGATTATGCTTCTCCAAATCAATTGGATTATTGAAATTTAGGCTGCAAAATATGCATGCATAAATTTTCTTCGGGCTTACTATTATTGGCTGTCTTACGAAATAGTAATCAGTTTCTTCCATTAAAAGATCTTGGCTATTCTGTCTTAGTCCGTCTCCTTGGACATCTATGACAGTTTCCTTTATCTCTATCTTTCCGTCACAAAAACACCATAGACTTGACATATTTTGTAATGCAAGAGGGAATCTCACATTTATTTGTCATATTGTTCACCTAAATAATTCAAAATGTCAAGCTCTTTAACCAAGCTAAATGAGGTAGAAATTCCTTCGCTGATGAGGCACCTTGATAAATTCACTGCATTCTTTAGTCGGCCTGCAATTACGCAAAGGACGTCGATTGCAGGATCAGAAGAGTTCGTAGAAGAGCTTATTACCGAAATCACAGACTGCTATAAAAAAGCTAGAGAATGCATAAACGTGGCGTTCAAAATCCACCAAATTTATGAAAAAACAAATGAAAAACTGCGAAAAATTTCATATAAAAAAATTTTTTTATTTTTCTTTTTTTAAAAAATAAAATATTTTTTTAAGAAAAAAATTAAAATTCATATAAAAACGAAGCATTAAAGAATCAAGTGGAAGAAATGAAAGCTCACATCCAAGACCAAGCTAATGAGTATATAGTCAAAGAAAAAAGGCTCGAGAGCTTATCCCATGATTTATATGATACAGAACAAGGATTTAAAGCTATGCTGAGCGAAAACAAACAGCTAAAAAGAGATTTAGCTATGCTTAAAAAAGAGATATCACTGAGAGAAGAAGGGACAAGAGCTAGAGCATCAAGCCAAGAAGTAAAAAGGCCTCCGCCTGATTTAAAGCAAGAACAAATAAATGCCTTACAAGCAGAGCTTAAAAAACAAATAGAAGAAGGCGAAGGGCTAGTTTTTCAAATAAAGGATCTCGAGAATTTATTGAAGATTGAAAAAGCAAACTCAGAAAGGCTGAAAATTTCTAATGGAGCGTTAAGAAAAGAATTAGATGACACAAATGAAGAAGTTGAATATCTACAGAACGAAAAATCAGAGTTGATAGAGCAATCTGAGGTTTATAAAAGTGAAATTATTCAGCTAAGAATGATGATCGAAAATCTCAAAAGGATCCAGGAAAGAGATAGAATGAGAGCTACATTTACATCAGAGGCTGGATTCAGCAATCATGCAGAAGATGAGGAGTCACCATCAGCTACTCAAGATGCCATGCAAGACCAAAGCCCAAATCCATATAAAATAACCACAAATTTTAATGAAAGCGACAGCCCAAGAGGTTTACTTGAGCGAAAAATTAATCAATGAAGAAAAACAATGACTGAGAACCTTGGAGAAATTTTTGAAGTAGAAGAGGAACTTGTTGACGAAAAACAATTGTTTGTACTCAGTTCGTCAAATTCTGTATATGGACAATTTCAAAGCTTTGTAGATTCTGTTAAAGATAGGCCAAATTTGTCTGAAGAAACCCTTGAATCTATAAAAATTGAGGGAAAAGTTAAAAGAAAAAGCGAAATTTCTAAAATTTTTGAGCTGGAAATTAATAAAAAACAGCAAAAATTGAGGATTGTAGAATTGGAAGTTGAGAAAACTTGTAATGTGAAGATTTTGCCTTTTAAGGATTTTTCTAGATTAAGAATAGAAAAGCAAAATGATGCTTTTATTTTGAAAAATATCATAGAACTCTCTATAGAGAATTCGCCAATTGTAGCAGTATCGGAAGATAGAAAAAAAGAATTTTCCATTAAAAAAATAGGAATTATTGAAATTCTAAAGCAGGAGGAAAAACTTGAATTAGAAAATTTGCCGATTGCAGCTGTTATCGACCACCGTAAAGAAACATTCTTAATTAAAAGCATAGAAAGCATTGAAATAAAAAAGCAAAAGATAGATCTTGAGATAGAAATTTTGCCGATTGTAGTTCTTATGGAATCTAGAAAAAAGGAATTCTCAATTAAAAGCGTAGAAAATATTGAAATACCAAAACAAGAGGTTGAGCTCTCTGCCGAGAATTTGCCTATTGTAACTCTTATAGAATCTAGAAAAAAGGAATTCTCAATTACAAACGTAGAAAATATTGAAATTCCAAAGCAAGGGATTGAGCTCTCTGCCGAAAATTTGCCAATTATAACAATTATCGAACATAGAAAAAAGGAATTCTCAATTAAAAGCATAGAAAATATTGAAATATCAAAGCAGGGGGTTGAGCTCTCTGCAGAGAATTTGCCAATTATAACAATTATCAAACATAGAAAAAAGGAATTCTCAATTAAAAGCATAGAAAATATTGAAATACCAAAGCAGGGGGTTGAGCTCTCTGTCGAGAATTTGCCAATTATAGCAATTATCAAACATAGCAAAAAGGAACTCTCAATTAAAAGCATAGAAAATATTGAAATAAAAAAGAAAGAAGCAGGGCTCTTTACTGAAATTTTGCCTGCTATAGAAATAATAGAGCTTCAAAAAAATGAATTTTTTATTCAATCCATAGAAGCCATTCATATAAAAGCACAAGATCTCGAACTCTCTAAAGAAAATTTGTCTAATATAGCACTCGAGCCTAAAAAAAAGGAAGTATTAATTCAAATTGCAGATATTATTGAAATTAGGAAGCATGAGATCGAGCTTAAAATAGAAAATTCACCAACCTTGACAACAATCGAGCATAGAAAAAACGATTTTTTGATTGAAAGTATGGAAACTATGGAAATACAAAAGCAAAAAAGAGTACTAGAAATAGAAAACGTGCCTGAAGTTTTTATTAAAGACACAATTTGCAATCTTTCGATTCAAGAAATACCATTGATTGCTATTAAAGAAGAAAAAAATCACCTTTCTATTGGCAGTGTTCCTACTATATTTATTAATAAATCACAAATAGAAAATAAGATTGAAGAGCAGTCTTCAATATCTATTGATTCAAAAGAAAAAGAATATCTTTTATTTGAGGATATTTGCAAAATAAGTATAGAAGACAGTAGCAAAGCCAGCTTTTCTATTGAAAATATGCCCTTACTTCCCCACTTTAAATTGGAACAAAGCATCGGAAAAATTTCTACTTTAAACCCATATACATAAAAATGGCACGGTGAGCCAGCCCAAACTCCTAGCACATTCAGCTGGAATCTTGTGGTAGGGAGTTTTGGCGTTCGGTATCCGGCCAGGTTTTACTTGGTTTAGTGGAACGCGATGTCCAGGTGGCTGACCGCAGGCTCACATCCAGGCCAAGGTTTTATCTCGGAGCAAGATTGAGTTCGGGTTGGAAAAAAGAGTGTCCCAACAATCTCAGTGAGGTTTGTCCTGGCCAATCAGGAGTATTCCCAAGCGCGATGCCAGGCATTGCATCCTGGACTACGAATTTTCATTTTGGCCGGCAGATGACCAGAAAATTTGTTTTTCAAATTTTCTAGAAACTAAACCCCGTTAGCGTGCGGCACGATGACCCAAACTTTTCAATTACCAGGAAGCATTTGCAGGCCCATGCCTGGTAGTAGCAAGACTTTGAAGGTCATGAGACGATTGTCGGTGAAGCAGATGAGTGGGGTATTGTGAAAGGAATAAGGATCTTTGGATCTGACAGGGATTTTTCTATAATCTAACTAAGTTCAAGTGTAAGGTTACTTTAAACACAATTAAATTGGAACAAAATTTGTTTTTCAATTGGAAAATTTAAGATGAAATACTAATATTTTATACAAAATGCAATTAGAATACTATTTAAAAACTTCCCACACTGAATCGATTAAATTTTTTTTATTTGATTCCTAGTAAAAATGAATTAAAATTCAAAGTATTGTAATTGATTTATAGTTTTAAAAATAAAGAGGAAAATATTAATTTTTATAAAATTAGTTTTAAACTAATTTAATGCAAAATTGCTGGTGAAATTCTATTTAAACAATTTTATAACTAATATTTTAATTAACTCTTCATAAAAATAGATTAAAATTCTAAATATTGGCTCAATTATATTTTTAATTTTTTATAAAGAGAACAGAGTTTTTGGTCCTATTTAAAGGGGAAAATTAATAAATATCCAAGATATTTCAATAAGTATTACAGGTCAAAAGCCCCAAATCTCAAATTCTCTTATCCCTCCCCTTTAAGAACGGAAATAATTTTTTTTGCTTGCTTTAAAAAATCATAAAATGGAAATTTTTAAACAGAAATCTAATGTAAAATATAAGCTATTAAGCTGGTTAAAATTTAATAGAATTAGCTTATAACAATTATTAATCAGATATAAAATATTTTATATTTTTTAAATAGTTAATTTCCTGTTTTGCTAACTCTTAAAGAGGAGTTAGAAACTCTATAGGAGCTTCAACACTGGATAGCTCGATTTTCTTTTCTAACGAATCGCATGAAATATCTATAGAAAGCACACCCATCCTGAGTCTAAAAAATCCAGCTAAAATTTTTACATTTGAAGTTAAAAATCAAAATCAAATAACCGTCGTCTCTCGAAAATCAGTAGAAATGCTAATAGAAACAACTCCAATATTAAGGCTTGAATCTCAATCAACAGGACATTCCAGTCCTTCTCTCGAAATACATACCCAGGATGAAAGCATTTTTATTCAGTCTCCTAAAGCGCAAAACCTTATTTTGGAATCCATCCCTATTATAAAATTTGGGTGTGAAGACAAAAAATACACTCATACTTTTGCAATAGATTCTCAAATAGATAAAGATTTATCAGTAGAAATAGCGTCCACAGTTAAAAATGATGGAGAAAAATTTTCACAAAAAAAAATAGCTGAGAATGAAAAAGAACCAGAAATTTTGACACAAGAAAATGTTTCAATAAAACAGAAGAAATTGGGTAAAAAAGGTGAAAAAAATGCAAGCTCGAAACCAAAAATTTCTCAAACATTTGCGTCTGCAGGACACAAATCTGAGACCTTTGAGCTTGAATTTTTAAAATCTTTAAAATCGCCTGGAATAGAAAATTTGCCGCAAAAGAAAAGTAAAAAAAATCGTCATACAAATAGAGTAATTTTCACAAAAGATCCAATTAAACAATTTTTTATTTTGGTAAAAATTATTTAGACATGTGAGGCAGCTAAGCTGAATAGCGAAAAGCGAGACTATATCGGACAAATCCCATTTGATATATTATATAATAAAGTCTTTGAAGAGCACATCCCGTTTAACAGCTGGCATGACTACATACAAAAATTCTTACACAGTAAGACAAGTGCTATAAATGTTTAATTTATAGCTTAATAGATAGCAAGCCTAAAAATAACTTAATGGATTATGAAATAATTTTGTTTATAGAATTTAATTATAATTGAAAATTCAAGATCATTAGTAATTATTGAGAATATTATTTAAAAGCAATTATATATTTAAATTCTGGTATACATTATTAAACTAGAATTACTTAATAGGTCTTCTATGAAGCCTTCACTTGAGAATTTTCAATTTTATATGATAAATAAAATTTAAAAAGATTTATCATTAAAATCGATCAAGGGAAATTGAAATTAAATTGGGCTTCAAAATCATTATAAAATAAATGTTAAAATATTAATTGATATATTTTTTCGTTTTATGTTTCAAAGTTATTTAAATTCTTGCATTTTCTTATCTACTTACCGTAAATTAAATAATATTTCTATCCTAAATCTAAGGCTAATAATCCTCCATATTTAATTTTATTCTGATAATTAAATGGAAACCAAGGAAAAAGCTACTATGTCTTCACCATTTCAATATGAAGCAACTCTTCTAGATCAAAACCCAGGCATTGTGTGGGGAATGATAAAAAACCTCCAATTTGACGTTCTTTGCCCAAGCTGAATCGCAAATGTTCACTGGGAACAAGGAGAGCCAGGAAAAGTAGGCTCAGTCGTGACTTTTGAGTATACCGATGGAGCTAAATGGCAATTTCAGGTATCTGAAATAAGTGATATTAAAAATACAATTGTTTTTGAGCTAATCGAAGCAAATCCTCCAGCTATGGCTACAGGAATTCTTAATCCTAATTTAAAAGAAAAAAATAGGTAAAATTTCCATTTTTGATACTTAAAGCCCACTTTAAATTGGATCAAAATTTTTTCAATCGGAAAATTTTATAGGTAAAAAATACTAATTATAAAATTAGCTTTGACGTAATTTACTAGGAAAAGTGCAATGAAAATGTTATTTAAATGATTTTCTCACTGAATCAATTAGATTTTTGGATTAATTTTATAAAAATAAATTAAAATTCAAAAACATCTCTTCAATTTATTTTTTTAATTTATATAAAAAATTTATTATAGATAAAATTTAATATAAATTGTTATTAGTTTAAATTGGAAGAGAATTTTGTTCCAATTAAAAAGGGGGGGATTTAATAAAAATTACAATCCATAAAGAAACACTTAACAATAAAACATTTTTGATTTGGGAAACAATTTTTTCGACTGATACAACAACAGAAGTTATTTTAGACAATAAATTCAAAAAAGTTGATTTTTTAGTATCAATGTCAAGATATTTTCAAGCAGCATCGCAATAATGTAAAATTATAGAAATTATATGATAATTTGATTCAATAAATAAATTTGATTGTTCAGAGTATTTTAGGTATTGATTTTATTTATTTAAATAGTAAAAAAATAAGTTTAAATCGTCTAAAATTATTTTGCTAACCTAAAAATTGGAAAAATTATAACCATCATTGATGACCAAAAATGACGCATTTCCCTGCCTGCCTCAAATTACCTATCTTTGATAATATAAATCTTAGAGATATATTACAGCATAATCGCATCTACGCAATTATAATGTGATTACTAGGATATTTATTAATATATTGTATACTCTATCTCTTATTGCTAACGCATAAACAATTTTATATGAAAACATATTTATGGGTGAGGCGAAAAAAACCCTGCTGGGATTTTTTCCGCCAACTTTTTCACCGTCAAATTTTATAGGAAAATTTGAATTTTCTCCAGATGGCGGAAAAAACCCCATAATAAAAAAAAAGTAGTGGCGGAAAAAACCCCAGCGAAAACAAAAACCGTCAAAGTCAGAGGAAAAAGCCCCCAAATGGTGCTAAAAACGGAGGAAAAAAACCCCAATATCCAATATAATTAAATGCTTAAAATGATAGGCAAATATTAGAGAAAATACAAATAAATATTTATAATTTAGTTACAATAAATCAATTAAAACAATATTAATATATAGATGTATAGATTTATTCTCAAAGTAACTATAAAGCTATGATTAACAAAAATAATGGAAAAATATAAAAATCAACTATAAAAAAAAATTTACATTAGAGGAAAAAACCCCGAGTATGGGGTGAAAATTGGCGGAAAAAAACCCCAATGTTTTTTTTTTTATAATAATTTTTTTTCAAATATTGTCAGCGAGGATAGATTTTTATATAGCGATGACCCCCCTCAATCTTCATGTCTATTGCAACAAAAATGCAATTTTTTAATATAAAATTTTATATAGAAAAAAATAATTTTTCATGTCTCTTGCAACAAATTTTCGATGCGCATCTTAAATTTTTCGTACTTTTTAGCTATATAAGTTTATAAAATGGCGAGCGATTACAATAGCCTTCCAAATCTCGATGAGAAGGTCATTGGAACGCCTACAGCAGCGCTGTTTTATTTTTTTTTGAGAACTCACCTAGAGAAAAATGCATTAAATTTTTTTTATAAAAATGTTGTGTTGAGTACGCATGAAGATTTTTTCGGAAAATTTTTGTTGCAATAGACATGAAGATTGAGGGGGCCATCGTTATGTTTGTGGATTTATAAATATTCAATACAATGGGTGAAGCGGATACAATTCAGCATATTTGCTCCAGTCTCATCAATCAGGCTAAGACTAAGTTATATGCTTCCTTTATTATGAGCTTTTCAGGATATGTCGAGGATGAATCAAAGGTGAGCTAGTCTTATGCGTTGCAGGCGGATACACGTTTTGCTAGTACAGGATTTGTCGTAGTGGATACAAGGTGAACTGGCATAGCCCCTATATGTATTTTGATCTCTGTAGAACAATATCTAAAGATCAAAAGTAGCTATCTAAAAATTCTTCTAACAATGGCAAAGACCATTTATATGGCCAGTTCACGTTTGGCTTGACAAATACAATCTATAGAAAAAGTTTGCAAAGCCAAATCTGTACTTGCTATAAAAATAACAATTTTCATTGCCATTTTTACTTCTAAGATCGCTATTTTACCTCTTAAGGTATTCTTTCATAGCGATCTATATAGGATATATCGCAGTTGGATGCAGGATGATCTCTAGAGGATGTGTCGCAGGCGAATACAAAATAAGCAAGAACAGGATGTGCCACAAGTTGACACAAGATGAGCTAGTGCAGTTTGTGTCGCAGGTGAATATAAGATGAGCTAGTACATGATGCATCGAAAGTAAATATATGGTTTAAGTATTGGATAGTATTAAAAACTAAATTTTTCACCTTCTTGTTTATTATTCAAATAATTTTTACAATTAGAACGCTGAATGATTTAGCAATATATAAATAGCTCATAGATTGACAACTAGAATAAAATAGTTTAATAATTAATTAATTAATTTATTAATTAGCCGGTAATAAGCATTAAAAATCTATCCTCGCTGACAATATTTGAAAAAAAAATTATTATAAAAAAAAAAAACATTGGGGGTTTTTTCCGCCAATTTTCACCCCATACTCGGGGTTTTTTCCTCTGATTTTCGCACCGTTTCGGGGGTTTTTTTCCGCCAGGTTTTGAATGTAAATTTTTTTTATAGTTGATTTTTTTATATTTTTCCATTATTTTTTGTTAATCATAGCTTTATAGTTACTTTGAGAAATAAATCTATACATCTATATATTAATATTGTTTTAATTGATTTATTGTAACTAAATTATAAATATTTATTTGTATTTTCTCTAATATTTGCCTATCATTTTAAGCATTTAATTATATTGGATATTGGGGTTTTTTCCTCCGTTTTTAGCACCATTTGGGGGCTTTTTCCTCTGACTTTGACGGTTTTTGTTTTCGCTGGGGGTTTTTTCCGCCACTACTTTTTTTTTATTATGGGGGTTTTTTCCGCCATCTGGAGAAAATTCAAAATTTTCCTATAAAATTTGACGGTGAAAAAGTTGGCGGAAAAAATCCCAGCGGGGTTTTTTCCGCCTCACCCCATATTTATTATAAAAATAGAAAATATTTTTTAATCCCATCTTTGATCGAACGATGACGATAGGCTTGATTAAGTATGGGGTAGAAAGTGAATGCTTTGTAAATAATAAATATCTATAAAAATTATAAAATTTCCCAATATAATCTTGTAATATAAATCAAATTGGTTTTATTATTTTGTAGTACTCAATAACTACTAAAAGCCCCATTTGTTATTTATCACCTTTTTAAATATGGTTATAAATATGAAATTAAATATTTTCCTATTTTTGTTTTTCGGATTTTAGTTTTATTAATTCAGAAAGCGGGTCTGGCGTAATCGATACATTGGTGATGAAAATGCTTAAAAGAGTATGAAACACCTAACCGGTTTTCCGACTTACAAAAAGTGCTTGCACAATGTGAGAGATAGCGCAGGAGTACTCACATTTTCATAATTTAATAAATAGTTAAACTTATTTTTTCCTTCTTTAATTTTAGCATTATTATGTCCTTTTTATTAAGACTTCTTATTTGACTAACCCAAATTAACAGCTTTATTAAAATTATATAATATTGCACCCTGATTTATTTCCTCTTAGCCCTATTTTTAACTCTGCTATAAGCTCATCTGCAACTTTCAGCTTCCTTGATTTTTTCTTATAATTCTCAAACATCCATAAATAAATACTTTCTTTTTCTTCCAAAAACGGACTCTCATCACTAGCGCACACAAATTTCACATTTTTCAATAAATCATGGTTTCTTTCTTTCATTATTGCAGTATAGCCTGATCTCTGCTTTAGATTAGGCTTGTTGAACGTCGGGAGATGCCAGATGGGGAATTGACTTTGCCAGCAAGCGTTGGCTTGTCAACTTCTCCCGACGTCAGGCAAGCCTTATACAAAGCAGGGATAGGCTATAGTTTTTCTTTCAGATCCTATTGCTACCATGATCCCAGCCCCTAAATTAATGCTTGGCTCGATTTCATATCATAAATTAATTGTATTGAGCTCATCATTTATGACTGGATAAGCAGGAACTCTTGATATTTTGTGAGGAAGCTCTTTTGATGGCAGCATGCTGTCTTGTAAATATTTGTCATATAATTCTCTAGCTTTGTGAAAACTGGCTATATCGTCTACTAAATAAGTAATAATTCCTAAATAGCAGTCTTCTTGAATTAGATTTAAAACATGCTCAAATGTGCTTTCAGTGACGAACCAAAAGTTAAAGTGTATTCAGAGCTTGTCAGTGCTCACTATACGCGTGACTTGACGAATTGAGCCATATTCATTGACTTGATAAGAGTCTGGATTTCTTCTGAACATTCGAAGTAGAAATTCTTCAGATCCATCGCCAAGGACTATTGCATCTATATCATCATATAAAATCGGCTCATCCATATTAAAATTATATCAAAATTCTAACTTGCATAATACTCTTTTTAATTGGGATATCTTCAGAATTATGTTTAGGTAGGGTTGAAATTAACTACTTCCCTCCCCTCCGTGAGCAAGCAAAATTCTTGTCTGCTCACAAAGGGTTTATTTTTGATTTTAAAGAATTATTCACAAAATTTAAGACATTTAAGCAAAAACAGTGCATGCAAGGACTGTAGATGGAATATAGAAGATGAATTTCATCTTTTAAATGATTGTTATTTATACGAAAATTATAAAGTGGAGTTACTAATGCAATTAAAAAAACGAAGTTCTTAAAGGAATTATTAAGAGAATTTTAATTTGCATGAGGTTGTACTGTATAATTTTTAAGTTTATTAGATGGTTAGAGGGGATTCGTGGAGATGTAGTGATGGAAATTGGCAACTATATCAAGAATTTTATTTATTTGTTAATATTTCCAAAATATATAAATGTTTGATCACAGAGAAAAGTCTAAATAATAATAATGATAATATATAAATTTTAGGGTAAAATTGCTTTGTTGAAATTTTAAAAAATGCCAATTCGCAAAAATTGGAAAGCAAATATTAATTTAATTTGTAAATTTTATGTTTTAAAATGCAAGTTGTTTAAAATAAATAGAATTATTCATTATAATAATTATCACTTATATATTATATACATAAAAAAGGTGACGACAGACCACCCGACCTCTCGACCCTATTTCTTCATCAGCAGGCAACGGCCCAGTGTTGAGGATTTAGGTGGAAAGGGGTCGGTAATCCTTTATGTATAGTCGGGCTGGGTTTTCCTCGGGCCCATGGAGCTAATCCCTGGACTTAGAGTTTTTCCTCCGGTACAACCATTGGAAAGGGCAAGGTCGGCCAATGTCTGATGGGCAATATGACCCTCAGACCGTGAAAACAGTATTTGCCTAACGAGAAACTGGGAGTTTCGACCCAGGTGGTTGGTCCTAGACTCCAGGAGCCATGGAAATCAAGACTGGTGCGCGGAGCCTCACCTGCGGCGGTGGGGAAGGGTGTCTGCCTGATCCCTCAGTGATGATGAACGTTTAGGAGTGAAAATCCCCGGCCCTTGCGAAAGCGAATGGAATAATCTAATCTAATCACTTATATATCAAATATTTTTCATAGAAATTTTTCTATTAAAAAAATTTTTGTTGAAATGGCGGAGAGAGTTAGTGACTTTAATTTTAATATAAATAGAGGTTTAATTTAGTTAGCCTTGATTTAAGAATAATAATAAAAAATTGAATAAAATAGTTAAATATTTACTCTGATGAGTGATTGTCGTTTTTTTTTATATAGCTCAGGCGCATTTGTGGCTTGAGCTTCCCGATCTTTCCGAACTTGATTATAGGGGAGTTGCTCGAACCAATGAATGCTGGCTTAGCCAACTCCCCCAAATGGTAAGAACCCTGCATCATTTCATTTTTTATCACTTGGGGAATTGGTCAAACCAATATTAGTTGGTTTAACCCACTCCCTCTATCACTTCAGGAAATATCGGGAAGCCCGTGCCATAAAGATGCTCGGCTATATCATTTATAAAGAAATCCAAAAATTCTTTATACGTAATTTTCCCTTTATTTTCTGTATCAATTAAGCTCAACAATCTTTTGGACTCTTCCTCATTTTGAATATTAATCCCAAGAATCTCTGTAACTCTCCTCAAATCTTTAGCATCAATATACCCAGTTTTTTTGATATCCATCAAAGCAAATGCTTGCATTAAAGATTCCTCTAAATTGTTTTGTGACATAATCGATTCGTACATTTTTGAGAAGGCTTCGAAATCGCATTCACTTGAGCCATCAGGAAATGATGAAATCTGAGAAATATTAATAATTGATAAATATTCCTGAGTCTGCCTTATTTCTGGACTACTTGGTTCTGAATGGACAAAAAGATTGCTGTTTGCTGGGTTATTTAAAGTTAAATATCGTTCGCTTGAATCTTCAAGCTCCATTAAGGCGTTCTTAAAGGGATCTATAGTAATTTTTCCATCGTTGTCTGGCTTGAATAAATCAAATACAAATTTCAGCTCAAGTTTTTGATAGTCAGAGAGCGTAAATCCTTGAGAATCCATATTACCACAATTATAAAAAAAATCAACATAGATAAAAATAAAGGGTAACATAAAAATTTAAGACTTTCTTACTCTCCATATTTAATAACGAAAATCATTGGGAAAATTAGCCCAGAGAAAAATTTTTATATTTACACACGATAAAATTGTTTTTATTTGATAAATATTTTTTATATAAAACATTTTTATATATAATTAATTATTGATATAGCGAGATCTCCAGCTAATTATATTAATTTTAGCATTCTTGAAGATAATTTATTAATTAAATTAACTTTTTTCTTTTCAAATATTTGTAAACTTGGATTTTTAAATTTCGAAAAATAATTTATATATAAAAGCTTTAAAAATTAACTCCAAATAAGCTTAAAGGGAAAGTTAGTGATATTATGTGTCTTATACTTGCTGGCTCTTGGATGACCTGAACAATATTGGCATTAAGTCCCCATAGCTGTGCTTCTCTTATAAATAGCTCACTCCCTCCTCCAACACCAAAATAATAAGCTTTACAAGCTACCAAGCACTCACCTTTTATAGTTGAATTTATTGCTTGCAATAAATTAGGATAATAATCTGTATTGTAAATGCTGTCACTTGTTAAAATTAAGTCAAATTTTCCTAAAATGCTCATATCTTGCCAAGCACCTGCATAATATTTTGCAGATTTCCCTGGGCAGTTTATTTGAACATTATTCATAGTTGTTAGTTGAAGGACAGCTGCATTGTAGTCTTGAAAAACCACCTCAGCTCCTCTAGATAAACAATAAATCCCTGGAAGCCCGTGGCCACAGCCTAGCTCAAGCACCCTTCCTTTAATTTCAATATTTTTCAGATAATTAGTTAAATCAAGCGCACATTCCCACAGTCTAAGTCCTCCTTCATAATGACCTGGAATGATATCTGACATCTCAGAGAGCCCCACTTCACTATTTGAGATATCTGCGTATTGGAAACCACCTGTCAATTTATATCGAGGGACTTCTATTTTTTCATCAAGCTCTATCAAAGGCTCAACTGGTATAGGAGCTCTAAGTTCAGGAGGACTAAATAATTTCATTTTTCTGAAGTAGCTTTATTTTAATTAAAGAAATATTAAAAAATAAATTTTTATATATGATTTTGCACTTCTTGGGATGGATTTGGAAAATTATGTAAATTATCTAAAGTATCAGGGATATCTGGACTTTTTTTGATATCTCAGTTTTGAAGGAAATTTTGAAATTGCTCTAAGACTTCATTTGATTTATCATTTGAAATATTTTTTCATATTATAGAGAATTCTTGGACAATGTCTGCCATTTGTTTTAGATCACTTAATGATAAAGTTTCATTTAAAATATTTTCTTCTAGAGGCTCTTCTTTTTTGATGGATTTTTGATTTTTTAATTTTGAGGAAATTGTTTCTTGGATTTTTATTATTAATTGAGTGGCTAAAGAGTAGTGTGAAAATTTTAAGAGCTGCTGAATTGTAGGCTGAGTTTCTTTTACAGCTGCAATCAATTTTAAACTTTCTTGTGCGGCTTTAATATTGTTTAATCGCCTTTTGAGGAAAAATAATCTTAGGTATCTGGATTCAATTTTATTCAGAAAAGCATTACTAGATGCATTTAAATGGTGCAAATTTTCTAAGCACCCAGAAACTTCAGTTATCAAGCTTTGCATTATTTTAATTGAATCCATAATGTCTTCTCAATTCTCCCTCATTTTATGGAAAACAGATAAATCAGTGCAATCCAAATATAAATTTAGCTCTTCTGCTTCTTCTTCATTTATTTTTAAATGTGGCAAGATTTTAAATTTCGGATTAAAAAATTCTTCAGGTACAAAATGATAACAATTTTCTGGTGTAAAATATTCGCTTTCATCTTTATTCTCCATTTTTTCTGGTTCACCAATTATCTTATCATATTTATGATATTTTTCTAACAGTGCCTCAAATTCTTTTTCCGTAACAGTAGTTTCTGATTGTCTTATTTTGTTTTCGCTGAAGAAAGTTCTTACTCCCCCCCCCCCCCTCCGTGAGCGAACAAAACCATTAGAAAAATCGCCATTTTTTGACCAAAAACCCACCCTCCGTGAGTGAACAAAAAATTTTTTTAATAGAAAAAATTTTAATGGAAAAAAATTTTGATATATAAGTGATAATTAGTATAATGAAATCTAGAGCTAATTCTGTTTAATTTTAAACAAATTGCGTTTTAAAACATAAATTTTGCAAATTAAATTAATATTTGCTTCCCAATTTTTGCAAATTAGGGATTTTTTTAAATTTCGAAAAAAATATTTTTTATAAAATTTATATATAAATTTTTTTTTAAAAAAAAAAATTAACCCCCCTCCGTGAGCGAACAAAATTTTTTTGTTCGCTCACGGGGGGGGGGGGGGGAGTTAGAAAACTTTTATAAAAATCTTCAATAATTGATTCATCTGGGTCATTATTTATTGAAGTCAAGTTCTGACTCATTCGAATTTCTCTAGAATTTCTCAATTCATAAGGATGCAGCAATATGTGCTCAAAGGATGAATTGCAATCTGAAAAAGATGCTTGACTGGTAAGAAAAGAATCCATAATTAAAAGTAATGGCTGGCTAATTTTCTCCCTAAATTTGTAATCTATCTCTATTTAATTGCAATTTTCTTCTAAAAACTATTACTATTTTTATTAAAATATATAACTATAATTCCTAACACAAATAGAATAAAACTTCAATTTCAAAAGTCTTGATCATTTTGAAATAATTAACAAAATAATAAACGAATGGGTGCATGCTGTGGAAGTGAGAAAAAGGAAGACATGGTTAGAAGCACCGAAGCAATCCAACCCAAACTTGTTGAGCCTGCCTATTGTACATTCGAATCTCCTAATTTCCGTCTCGAAGATTATTCCAAAAAGATTGGGAACATGGAGATGATTGAAGATATAAGAGATTTAATTTTTAATTATAGGCCGGCTGACATTCGGTGCCAGAGATACCCTAACGATCCTCCCTCAAGGCACTCTTTTATTCTTATCACTGGAGAAAAGCAAATTTCAGAAGAAACATTGGAAGACAGTGGGTAATTTTAATACAGCCTTATCATTGATTATTCAGAGAATGGGTTTCGAATTTTATTAGGGGACGAAAAAATCATAAGCTTGGCGCATAGCAATAATAAAAAAATCGACCCAGTTGTAGAGCTTTTGATTTTCCCTGGGTCAGATTCTAAAACTGATAAAGGATTCCACGAAATAATTGAATGATCATATGAGCATAAAGATGAATTATGCACAGACCCTAGTGTGACTCCAGAACTCAACATGGGGAAGCGTCTTTATAAATATATAGTAGATATGCTTCACTGGAACTCTAAGTAAGTTAATGTAAGATTTTATAATTCTCTAAGATTAATAATATGGTCAGGTTTAAAAATCGATATTTACTCTGTGAGCTTAAGTGGGAAGACGAAAAATATGACCCAAATATCAAAAATAAAGATGTTTATGAAGCAATCAAAGACTCAATTGGCATGAATTTTGGAGATTTTGGAATAGGGCTTTCAGTGATTTCATTATCAATAAAATATTGAAATCCTGTGACGAATTTGTTTATTTTAAGGGTATCTAGAGAATGCTATAGGCTAGTATGGGCTGGACTTAGTTTGATTACACATATAAGATCTAGAAGGGTGAGGCCATCAGTGATATATTGTGCAGGGACTATTAGAACTTGTGAGAGAAAAGCTGCATTATTTATAAGAAATTGGCTATCTAAAAGCAAAAATCCTTTAGAAAGGCAGCTGAAAGAGCTTCAAGCAAAATCAATGATGAGCGAGCTTGCTGTCATGATTCCTTTAAGTTTAAGTTTAATAGAAATCTCTAGCATATTAAGTGCCTCAAAGTCTTCATTCTTGAGGTTCAGCTACGATAGCAGCTCTGAACAACGGTAGGTGAACCGGCCTAACCGTTGAACCGTTAAAGTTATCAAGCCCTTTCAGACTTCTCTAGTCCGTGAGACCTCACCTCTTAAAGCTAAAGCTCTCAAGAAGTTAGACTTCTCTCACTGAGCTCGGTACATTGGTCCCGCTTGTTGGATCAGGACTGTGGACCCATCCCTAACTGTCATTTTAAATATTGTATGATTCCTTAAACATAATATAATAAAATTCTACTGGAAAATAAAAATTTAAGTAAGCTTAGGAATATATGCAATAATAATCGTCATATCATCAGCTGTATTAGTCCCACTAAGCAGCCATCTCATCCACGATAATGCAGCTAATTTTTCAGCTGCCTGCTTCGGATACCCACTTTTTGCTACCAAATCTACTGCTTCTTGATCTTTAATAAATTCCCATATCCCATCACTACAAATGACCAAAAACTCGTCATTTTCTTCCAGCTCGATTTCTTTTATTTCTGGCTCAGAAATAACTCCAGCTGGATGTGATGCTAAATCTCCAAGAGACCTGCTCATGGCAAGTCCAGGAAATTCTTTTCCAGGGAAAAAAACCCTCCAGTATTTTTCTCCTCACATTTGTTTGACTTCTCCTCCAGTCTCTTCAATCCTTTTTTTCTCGTCAGGAAAATTAGGCTTATGATCGTTTGTTAAAGGCACAGCCAAATAGCCTTGTGATTGTTTTTTAGCTAATACAGCACGAGAGTCGCCTACATGGGAAATATAAAGGTGGTTTTGTTTTACACAGACTGTTACAGCAGTGGATCCAGAAAATTTGCACTCGAAATTGGAGGCTTCAGAATTGGATTCTTCGATTAAAAGTGACTGAGAGGAAAGGTATGATTCTTTTATAGAGGATAAAGGGTCGGATTGTCATAAAGGATTTGACAGGGCAGTTTGAAGCAGACAATTTGAAAGAAATTCAGATATGAAGTGGCCATGCTCACCATGGCCATCGAAAACTCCTAATAGGAAATCAGAGCCGTCAATAATGATACAGAAATTGTCTTGGTTTGGGTCTTCAGTTTTTAAACCCTTTTTGCAGGTAACTCATATTCCAATACTTTCTAAAAAGGTAGGGTCGATTTGAGATTCGTCGAGTTTCATACCTTTTTCTTCGAAACCTTGATGATGCTTTGTTATGGAGGCGCCTCTGAAAATATATCGTTGAGTTAGCAGGGATAAATCCCGACGCTTGAAGTATTGATGAGTGTCGTGGGTTGATTGGTCTGATGGATGAATAGTGAGGCTTGATCGAGGCTCTTTTTTACTATAAAGCCGCTGGCAAGCTGAGTCATCTAGTTTTACTTCTGATTCTTCGTCTAATTCTTTAGTTTTATCTTGAGGTTTATTCTTTTTAGATATACAAGGGCCCATTTATAGATTTTTTTAAAGATTTATTTCTTTATCCAAAATTATTCTCTTATAGCAATTTGCAATTAAATCATTAACCAAAAGAATTATGCTAAAAATAAAAACAATTATTATTTGGGACTAGAAATATTTGACAGTCAAAATATATAGGTGTTTTCTCTATATAGCCCGATAAGGGCCGTGGGTTCTCCGTTATCACTCTTCTGGTTGAACCAACTATTAATTGGTCAAACCAATGCACTGAGTTGGCTTGACCAACAAAGGGATTCCACGGAGAACCCACAGCCTTATCGGGCCATATAGGGAAAACCACTATAAATGTTAACTGATATACAAAATATCAGCAAAATGATTAAAAAGCGTGCTAAATCTCAAAAATAATTTTGACGTTTTATCTTAAATAAATACAATTATAATTTCCTATAAAAACAATTAATTTCCAGTTTTAACTATGTCAACGTTATATTAACATCATAAATCATAACATCATAAAACTTTAATGGGCGATTTACGCAAAAAAAAGTCTCTACAGAATATTCACTTTCCAAAGCCTAATCATTTGGATGCTAGAATAGGTTCCTTTGTGAAGCGCAACCCGTTCTATGAAGAGAGACTTCCCCCATTAAAAGTATGTGCCCATGAAAATCAAGAACAAGATTCTCTGCTAAAAGAGCTTAATATAATCCTTACTCCGTAATATCTTTTAATTCAGATTTTTTTTATGAATTGCAATAACTTGTTGTCGCTTTATTTAAATAGCATTTATGAAAATTTTAATATTAAGCCTTCATATTGTGCTAACTTTATTAGCGGAATACAGCTAAAAAAATGGTAGAGATAATATTATTTATTTTTTTAAAAAAAATTAATATATCTGAAATGATTTAAGTATAAAAATAGGTCCTTACTGGCAATTATTTATTAATTTTTATCTAGAATAAAGTAGCACCAGAGATTCAGCAAGCCATCAATGCCTTTACCGAAACTTTGAAAGAAATCTCCATCCCCTGGTTTTGTTCAAAAACATCAAATTGAGCGCCCTCCAAGTCTAAAGATGAATCCTATAGTTCTTGACGAAAAATTCCAAGAATTAAATTCTTCTATGAGCACTTGTGGAAGTTCTAAAAATTCCAGTTTTGAGAATTTGCTGTAATTATGTACGACTTTAATTAATTAGTTAATGATTTTCAAACTCGATTTTATATTTTCCCATTTTAAGGATAAAAAGCCCCGACTTTGGGAATTTTAAATTAATAAAACTTGCAGATATTTTAAGCGATATTTTATTGGCAAAAATTTTTTGGCAATACAGATTTTTTTTATTTTTTATAAAAAATATCTATATATATAATTAGATAAAGGATTAAATTATAATTTATGGTTTAGAGCTAAATTTAAAATATATTTTGAACCTATAAACACAGATCACAAAATGTTATAAAATGTATTTAATATATAAATTTAATTTTATTAATATGAAAAAATATTAACAGTTAAAAATAAATTCACTTTCTTCAGGTCGTTTAAATAACTATAAATATCTAGAATTTCAAGCAAAGAAATATATTATTGAGCTTAGGAGTAAATTTTTTCTTTTAACTGATTACTGCTTATCTAATACTTTTTTAGGCTAATGAGTTTTTATTTCTGACCAATACTAAGTGCATTTTATAGATTTTCTAAGTTGAAAATTACATAGTGGCCTTATGATTTTTGAAGGCCAAGCCAAGCAACACATTTAGATAGCCCAGTCTCTATTTTTATCCTATACTTGTGAAACAATTTTTTAGTCTTTATTCTATTTATTCATATATAGTTTTTTCTTTTTATTTTTTTAGATAGATAATGATAAGGGAATTTTATTGAATATCAGAGTTATCAAATGATTTATTTAAAATCATTTCATCAACAAATCTCAAAAAAATTATAAAAAATGGCTGAACATTCCAACAGAAGCAATCACTACGTTTCATCTTCTTCCGTTATGTCCTATCCTCGTTCTCTTCCTCGAGCCCTTATATCACGTGATCCCCCATCTGACCGTACCCATAGAATTCAATATCGTCAAAGAGAAACAGATCTGACACCATCTGCTAGACTAACTGAGCGTAAAGAAAGAAATGAGCCATATTTTGTTTCTCAGTCAGTCCCACGCAGCATTAAAAAAGAATATAAATCTGATACCATACCCAGACCAAGACCTATTCACAAGCTATCTTGTCCTGTTTGTTTGCATGATTATACCAATGAAATTACCCCCAAAATCCTAACCTGTGGTCATACTTTTTGTTTAGTCTGCCTTGAAAAATTGCAAAAGACGTCACAAATTCGATGTCCTCTTTGTAAAAAAGCAGAGCTTAGGCTAGTTTCTGAACTTCCTGTAAATTTTATAGCAAAAGAAGTAAATGAAGTAAATAATGCTATTGATGAATGCAAAATCCATAGAAGAGAAATCGGAGCATTCTGCTCAACAGATAAATCGTTATTATGCTGGGAATGTTTAAGCCCTCATACTAAGCACTCCATTTATTCAGTTTCTGATCCGAAAATTCAACTAATTGCAAATGAAAAACGAAAACACATTGAATCGATAGGAAAAAAATTAGCTACAAATATACAAAAATTACAGGAGTTTGGGTGTAAATTAAACGAGAATTTAAAAGAAATTAATTGCTTGGTAGATTCACATATAGAAGGGTACAAAAAAGCAAAAAATGAAATAATTCAGAAAATTGAAGAAATTTTTGAAAAACGTGTAGAAGAGATAAAAGAGAAGGCAAAAATTCCTGACGACAAAAAAATTGCTGAAAAAATTAATATACAGATAAGTAAATTAAATGGGCATGTAGAAGAATTGAACAAAGAAAAAGATGAATTCGAAAAAATGAGTGCTTTGAGAAAATTGGAGTGGAAAGAAACTGTGCCTTTTAAAGAGGAATTGATGCCACAGATTGAAATGGATGATCAATTAAGAGAATTTTTAAAGAAGCCGATAAAATACAAAGAAGAGATTTTTACAAAATTAAACCAGCTATAATTATGCCAAATCAATTTTTAAAAATCTTAGATTTTAACATATTTTATGTACTTAAGTTTTTTTTATAAACAATAGAGAAATAAGTAAGATAGTAAATATTTAGCAATTAGAAAAAACAATAAGAAAATCATTTTTATAGATTTTTTTCCATTTTTATAGATTATAATCCCTTGCATAAATTTCATTTTGCTTATTTATGATCAAAAAAAATTTTAGCATACCATAGACTCAGTTTTTATATATAATGACATGTCAAAATTTTTTTGACATTTTAAAATCAATTTACCATAAATAAGCAAAATAAAATATTACCAATACATTATATCAATTTCAACACCATTTGAAATTTAGGATGGTCTACCAATAAAACATAAAATGTCAATTAAGAGAATTAAGAATGAACTTTTAGACTTAAAAAGAAATCCTCAAATAACTCGCACTGCTTGGCAGACAAATGAATCAGATTCAGATTGATATAATATAACTGCAGTAATCACTGGCCCTGAAAACTCTCCTTATCAGGGTGGTTTATTTTTCTTACAACTCAAATTTCCTACAGATTACCCATTCAAACCCCCAAAAGTGCAATTCTATACTAAGATTTATACCCATCCATTGGCGAATGTGGGGATATGTGTAGTGCCCTGGAAAGGCAACTACATCCTAGTCCTGCTTTTACTTTTGTCACATATTTAGAGCATATTAGGTCGATGCTTAAAGATTTTACTCCTTCGTGTAAACATAATGCTGATGCAATTAAATCCTTTGAAAATGACAGGCAAATATTTGACTAGAAAATATGCTATGTAATTAGAATAAAAATATTTTTAATCGTAGAGAAATTTAGTTAATAAATGCTATAAATAGCGCACGAGAAGAATTTTTCAATATAATTAATTATCATAAAATAGAAGAATCATAAGGCATCTTAAAAGTTTAAATAGTTTAGAATACCCACTTTAGCTATATATATGTTTCGAGATAGTCTATAGCAAAAACTTTATGAATTTATTAAACTCCCATCATTTAATTATATTTTAAATGAGCTCCCTGAAAGGCTGAGAAAATTATTGGAGCTGCTATTAATTAATAACGAAATAAGTAAAAAGCTAGGAGCAAATCTTCCAATTGATTTAAATTCTGGGGCTTTACCTTTGAAGGTATTTAATTTATTTACCGGAAAGTATATTGACAACTTCTTCTGTGAAAGTGCTGCATTATGCAAGATTGTTGTTAGCTTAATGAATAAATCTCCAAGCTCAAGTAATAAAATTCGATCAGATTTAGACAAAAATATTGAGCTAGCTCGAGGAAATAATTGCAAATACATTTGGCAAAGAATTAAAAAAAATAAAAGAACCTCTATCCCATCAACAAAGTGAAAGTCTTCAAGAATTTACCACGTTTCAAGAAAATCAAAATAAAGTCAATAGTCAAATGCAATTTCAACATGATTTATGACGATAGTCAAGCAAATAAAAGAAGACTCCCTTTCGTTTTTTGATAAGATTTCTGAAAGCACGTCAAAGATTTTTACTTCATTTTTAATTCATAAATAAATTAGCACAGTTCCTTTCTTAATATCCTATAATTTCATTAAATTAAGATATTTCCTTAAATCATGATTATTATTTATCAAATAATAGCTCTTAAAAATTCCATATACAGCTTTTTATGTATTTTAACTCCAGCTGGCTTCAATTGTATATACAAATTAACCAAAATCAAGCTTATTTGTTATCTTCCAGATTGAATTTCTGCTATTTTTGCCCTTAATATCTAATTTCCATACCTAAAATATCTCCTATTAATTAAGATCTTTATAATAAATTATGAAGTTCTTTCTTATTATATTATCTCTCGTTTTCGCGAAGAACTTAAAGTCCACCATTTCTCTTTCAAAAGAGCAGCCAGCACAATATATCACAAAATTCGGTGTAGATCTAGGAACAGGGCATTACGACATACGTTTAAGAATTTCGAAAGGAAAAAAAGATTACACATATGGAAAAACTTACCCAATTGAGCTGCTTTTATATAGAGACAGCGACTGAGACATGTCAGCTTTCACATGTGAGTCCAAGCATAAAGCTGTCAATATTACCTTAAATATCCCTAGTGACGGAAGATGGTCTGAATCCTTTTCTGGAGAATTAGGCGAGCCAGATTTCCCTCACATATGATTTTTCACTATTGCAGACTGCAATCTGACACTTGGAGACTCATCAAAGCTAAGAGTCGAGCTATCAATCCTAAGTGGCGACAAATCAGAACTTTCCGTAGAAATGAAAGGTATGAAGCGAATTTATATTTTTGTATGCATAATCTTTGTACTTATGCTGGGAAATAATATATGAAAGCTGTACAAGTACTTCACAGCTGTAGAAGAAATCGAAACAAATTTAGTCATGCTAAACCTCGCAGTTGTTTTTCAGTTCATTTCTATGATATTCCATATCTTACATATATCCGCCTATGAAGGCAATGGACGAGGGGTTGGAGCTTTTGTATTTTTTGGAAATGCGACAGGACTGATATCACAATATATTATGATAGTTTTATTATTGTTAATAGCAGATGGGTGGACTATTTTATATAAAAATTTCCCTTCTCCTGAAGCCTATTTATCAGTGATTATTTTGGTAGGGCTTTTAAATTTGATTATAGCAGCAGTTGAAAGGACAAGTGACGACGCTTATTATCTATTTAGCAGCTTTGAAGGAACCGTTGGCTGGTGCTTATTGGCATTTTACACGATCCATTTCGTATGATTTGTTTTAAATATCCGCGCTCTTTTTACTAAGGTTCCTGGAAATATGAGGCCATTTTTACAAAGATTTGCGGTGGCTTCGTCTATTTATATACTGTCACTGCCACTTTTGATAGGGATTGCACAGTTATTGCTGCCTTATAAGAGACATAAATTTATTAGTGGTGCGAATTTGTTGGTAGAAGGTTTGACGATGCTGATATTGTCATATTTGTTTACGAGGAAGACTCAGTATTATAAACTTTCCACAATGGCGGATTCAATGCTTCCAACTTCAAAATCACATTCAAACTAGCTTATTTAATGAGTCTTTTTAGCAATATTGTTTTAAATGTATATAGTTTCATAATAATTCTGAATTTTTATTGTTAATTTTATATTATTAAGCTGAGATTATACCCATAAGATTTCTAATTTCGATTATCGTATAATTCTAAATTTAAAATAATTTCTTGAGTAATACTGCTTTTAAATAAGATCTAACAGTTTATCACTAGACATTTTTAACTGACTTTTAATTTTATATTGAATTTATGTTAGCGTGATATATTGTGGGAATCCTGACTTTTATCGGAGGATTTATTATTACTTTGTTTGCCTTATTGAAAACTTTGAAAATTTCAAAAATTTTGCAAGACATATTTTTTTACAAGTCATTTGATCTTACTCAAAACGAAGAAGTGCTGCAGCCTCTATACATTTCATACTCTCAAGTATGCAGCAGATACATCCCGATTATAGGAATATTCAAGTATAAACGTGTGCAATTTGAAATTCCACCTTCATGCCATCTGCTTTTATTTGCTTTTTATTTGAAATTAATATTCTGTACAAATTTGATTTTTGCGAGCTTTTACAGTGAACTTGTGATATATGCGGCAGTGTTTATAGGGATAATAATTTCAGAAATATTTATTGTTCTGACTGAAGTTATTAATAGAGTCTTTTTATCAAGCTTTAATGTGCCAATTTCGAAAGCTTCTGATTATGCTCTTGGAAACTCTGGGTATAGCTATCAAAAACAAGTAAATAATACGATGGGGAATGAAGGTTCTGATAAAGAAACATTTAAACATAATAGATACTTAGAAGGAAGTCTTTTAAGTTCAATTATGATTATTATGTTTTTAACTCTGTGGGGAACTCGTTTTATTAGTATAGAATCAGAAGACGAAATAAAAGCATCAGTAATACAGTCTTTAATTGGCATTGGGATAGATTTTCCCTTGAGATTTCTGACCTGCTATATTTTAAAAGCCTTTAGAATGGTTCCAATATATGAAAAGAAATATGCAGTTTTCAACGTAAAAATTCAGCCAGAAGACTTAAAAAAATATCAAAAAACTCCTCTAAGAGCTTGCTATGAAGATATTACATTAAATGGGGTAGAAGTGTCCTTATTTGCTGAAGAAAAAAAAGATATTGCTTTTATTCCAAACAAAGATATAGATGAAAATAGCAAAACTTTATTTACCAATGAAGAAGAAAATTCTTTCGTTAAAACCATTCTTCCACCAATAAAGAGACATCCAAAGCGTATTGAATTTTTAAAAGGCTATGATGCCTTTTTAGAAAACATGAACAAAGTTTATTGTGAAGAAAGCGAAGAGAATATTGAGAGCTTTGATGAAATGTCGTTGAGAAAACATAAAAGGACTGACAGTGATGAAGATACTATTGCGTCTCACAATGAGCTTTCTGATAATGAATTTATATTATGCCCTGAAGAGTTTTTTTCTACTCCAAGGCCTGCGAAAATAATTGAATTCGCATCTCCATCACCTCAAAGAAATAGAAGCCCTGATAGAAAAAATTATTCGCCTGATAAAAGTACTCTTGTGCTGACACTATTTAAATGTGAAGCAGAAAATACTTTAGCTTTTGATATAGCTGAATCAGAAAATTACCCAAAAAATGAGTATAATCCTGACATGACATTTTCTAATGGAATTTGTAACGAAAATACTGACGAAAGTATACCAAAAAATTTAAAAATCCAAAGCGAAGATTATATTGTAGTCAAAGCACACGAGAAATTAGTTATAACAAAAGATCCAAATGATTTAAGCAGAGTCAGCAGCTTAGTTATGCTGACAACCCCTCCAAAAATGCCTAAAAGACATAAGCGTTCTCTTAAAACCAAACAAAAAAACCAAGCCGAAGACTATTCAATTTTATACCCCCAAATCTCTAAATCTCCTCAAGACTGAGGAAAAAGAAACCCGAAAAATCTGATAAATACCCCAGAAAAGCAAAAATCTCTTTCATGCGACCCTAATTTTCGAGCTCCAACCCCTGAAGAAATGATATCAATAGCTTGCAAAAATAAAAAAATTTATGTAGACGATAAAATTTTCCAACGAAAATCAGAGCAAGATATTCTTATGCACGTTGACGAAATTTTACATGAAAATGAGAAATCTCCTGCTGTCGAAAAACTAAAAATGATGCTTGAGTCAAGAAAATCGTTTCAGAATAAAACTAGGGATGCGTCGCTACATGAGCTTGGATGCTATGAAGAAGATTATAGCTCTCCTTATGCAAAAGCTGGCTATAAATCACCACTCCCGAAGTATCAAAAACCACCGAAAAATGCGAAAAATCAAGTTTTGTCACCATCGAAGTCTGATAATAGACTCAAATCTGTTGTATATGAATTTTAATATTAATTATTTTACCTTCTGCAAATATTTTTAGATATGTTTAAATTTAAAATCCATATTTTCGCAAATAAAATCGGAAATGATGGCTATAAGATTTTATCTGCATAAATTTAATCCTAATTAATATTCAAGCTTAACGTTAAATCAGGGATACTTGAGGTAGGTAAATTTGTCAGGGTACGATGCATGATTTTAATACTTGCTGACACCAGTATTGAACTTTGGTTTCGAAAAGTTTTATTTAAGCTCAGACAACTCACTGGGGTCAAAGGGCTTCAGTCTAATTTTTCTCACCTGGCAAGGTTTTTGCTCAGCTGAAAAAAAATTCCTCAAGTCAAACTCTACCATCAGGTAAGCGGACCTAAGCTCCTTGAATAGGATTACTGGTGAAATGCAGCGGTATTTTAAGGCATATGAGACTAAGACTGGACAGTATAGGCTTGTTGAAGTTCAGCGTCAGCAGAGAGCCAATCTGCAGCTCATCGGACTCAGATAAAGGGATGCAAGATTGGGCCTAATCGTATTGAAAACAAAGCCAAACGGATCTAAGATGTGAAGATAAGCCGCACTATGTCACTAGGGGCAGGTCATGACAGCCTTAAGGTCTAGTGCAATGAGCTTTGACTCTGCCATAAAATGGTATTACAACCTCTAAATAAATTTCCTTCCCTTCCCTGACTTAGGAAGAATAAATTTTCCACGTGGTAGTCGTCACTACCCAAAATATTTATAGAGAAGAATTTCTATTGGAAAAACACGCCACTTTTCGATTTTAATGAATTTAATCGGCGTTATTTTTGATTTATAAATTTATGCTATTAATAATATATATAATAGCCATATTAGCTAAAAATAATAGACTGAAGCAATTACTATTAAATCAAAATAATATATTTTTATCAATAATTAGGCACAACTAAACCTAAGTCCAGAATCCCAGCTCGTTTTTATCCTCTAACTAATAATCTCCTTTTATAAAATGTAATGTATTTTAAATTATTTGACGAACGAGGCATCCTGAAAAGCAAGTCGAAGGTGGAAATAAGTGTAGTATCATTTAAAGGCTGATCTCAAAAGTCAAATTACCCTAAATACGCAGTTAAAAAGAAATTCCTCGTCAACGCAACTAGAGGAAAACATGAAGTTGAAATCATGCAACAAGTAAATAAGCTCCATCCTTGAACAGTGAAATTATATGACTCAGAATTCGATGATAATGGTATTTACTACATCCTCATGGAATATTGCCCCAAAGGTGACCTCAGAAAATTTATTAGAGAAAATAAATCGCTAAATCAGAATCCTCCTTATGACATCCTGGTTAGATATTTTTTGAATTTGGCAGACATTGTCATGGTACTGCACAGTAATAATATTTGGCATAGAGACATAAAACCTGACAATATTTTTCGAACTGAAGACGGAGAACTGAGATTAGGCGACTGAGGTGTATCAAAATGATACACGAATGGAGATCTAGACTTCGTCTATCATACCATAACTGGAACTCAGCCTTATATGTCCCCAGAATTAGAATCAAGAAAAAAGCACAAAAGGCATTCAGTTTCTTCTCCAGATTCTGATGATATTTGAGCTCTTGGCCAAACTTTTTATGAGATGTGCACTTTTGAAAGGGTGAACTATGCGTCTGACATCCACTTTTCGATTTATAGCGAAATGGATAGAAGGAATTACCCAGAAAGCTTTGCAGAGCTAATATCAGGAATGCTGAAACCAGATTTGCTATCTAGATGGAAAATAAGAAATGTGTGGGATCAATTGATGACTATTATAAACACTATCAATATTCAGCCTATGTATAAGAAAAATGATGAAGGGGGTGAAGAAGAGATGAATTTACCTGAGGACACAGAAAACAATATATTTGAAAGTGAAACCTGTAGCATTAGGAAGCTTGAATTTACGTCTATCAAGCGTATAATTGATATTAAAAAAGAGGATTTTCAGTTGAGCGTTACAAGTTATAGCGTTGCATCAATTAATGCAAGCATAGAGCAGACCGTAAGTTCAGAAAAAACTCAGGAAATTTTAAAAGTTCCAAATGACCGAAGTATGGCCTTTAAAACTCTAGAAATAATTGATGAAAACCCTGAAATAGTCAATGGAAAGCCTGGGATATCTGATAAAAAATCTGAAAAAGAGACCATGGACACATATTATAATCCTAATGCTGAAGAGCAAGTATTTCAAAATGCTGAAACTGGCTCAAATCTAGCAGAATCTATCGTCCAAACAGTAAAAATTGCCACAAAAATTTTTAAAGACATAGTTCCTGACCTGCCTAACGAAACAGTTTTATCCTTTTTAGCCACTTTATATAAAGAGAACGAAATAAAATTAATTTGTCCAATTTGCAATGCAGACTCTTGGGTTAAGCTAAGCCCCAAAAATTGGAAACCTTACAAAATAAAATGCAAAAGCTGCCGATCAAACTTCTGCTCTTTCTGCTTATACGGAGGCAGCCACAGAAAATGCCCTGACTACCAAAACCTCTTAACAGGTATATGGAAATCTACAAAACACCCAAAACCAAAACCTTTAAAAATAATTTAATAATTATCATTTGAAACTGATTTGCATATTGGGCATCATCTTTTCCCATAATTAAACCAGTTTTCAATGCAAGTCTTATGAAAAGTATGCTCACAGGCTGTTAAAAACCCGATTTCTTCCCCCACTTCTTTTGGCTGCAGACATATTGAGCATAGGTCGTCTTCCCTTATTTCTAAAATTTTAGTCCTGATTCTGGTAATCAGCGGTCTTTGAATGTCAGGGATCAAGCTGTCATTAAAATATTTTAAGTAAAAATACAGCAAACAAATAGCTGTATTAATTAAGCAGAAAAAAAATAGGACTGCTCAGTGGAAATCTCGCAGGATTTGTGCGAATTTCTCTATTTAAAACTTACACAGTCAGAATTTTCGCTGCAAATATCCCGATAATTGATAGAATCTAACAGAGCTCCAATGATATTTAAAGTGACACTTAAAGGCCCAGCAGTGACTAGATAGGTAGCTATAACGATTTTATAATAATTTGCCATAAACCTGCGAATCCATTTTAATACACATATCATAAGGCATAAATCTGATACTAAAATAAGCGAGGAAATACAATTTCATACAAGGTTGAATGAGAAACTAGATAAAAATTACTCGTAAAGAAACAGCGCGAAGACTGATCTTAATAGTCATTCTACTCCGAGCAAGGCAAGCAGAATAAAAATTGAACTGGCATAGCACACTACACAGTCCATGCAATCCATATTTATAAGTCCTTTAATAGATAATGAGTAATTTCCTTATATTTGTTATAAATATGTACAAGAAGATTGAAGAAGAAAAATCTCCTGCGAAGAGCAAGATTGTGTATGCGTGTGTAGCTCAAGATCAAGATATCAAACTGCAGTTTTCATTGCCTGGGAATATAAAAGATACAATTTCTAATCTGATTCAGTCAAGTGCAAATAAAAACACTCGATGTTCATTTAATTATGAAAATGCATTCCATGTTCACATGTATTTTTTTTAATATAATTTTTTTTATATTAAAAATAATCCCAATGCTTATTTTCATAAAATAAAGAAAAATTTCTATATAATATATAAATAAAATTTGTTAAATATAGTATATAATATATCCCCGAATTCATATGTGGTTGTAACTGAAAGCTCTTTTTCACGCAAAATTGCATTTGAGTTCTTGGAAGATGTCAAAGAAAGTTACTTGTCGGGATCATTGAAAACGCTAGATGCAAAAGTAAAAAAATATAATGAGCATCAAGATGAAGATAAATTAAACAAAATCAAAAACCATGTGCAAGAAATCAATGAAATTATGATGATGAATATTGATAAAGTTATTCAAAGGGGAGCGAAAATTGAAGTTATTATGGATCAAACGAAAGAACTTGAAGGAAGGGCAAGAATGTTTAAGAAAAACGCTAATTTCTAATACAAAAATATTTATTAAAAAAAATACATTTTTAAATTAGAGTTTTTTTAATATAGCGCTTTCCCGAGGATGGCGCGGAATGGCGCCATCCTCGGGAAAGCCAGGAAGGCATCCACACGGGAACTGGGAGTTCCACGTGTGGATGCCATTTTGATATGTGGAAGTTTGGATCCCACATGTCAAAAATGGCATCCACACGTGGAACTCCCAGTTCCCGTGTGGATGCCTTCCTGGCTTTCCCGAGGATGGCGCCATTCCGCGCCATCCTCGGGAAAGCGCTATAAAATAGGTTGATAAAGGATTAAGGAAATTGAAAGAGAATTCAAATGCCAAAATTATAAGTGGTCTTTTATGTGCATAGCTACTTGTGGATTGCTAATTGGAATTTTCGCGGTGATTATTTATTATGCTCTTTAATTGTTTTCTCATATATTTTGTATTCCTACATAAATTTAAGCCTAGAGTTATAGTTAAAGTTCATGAATTTCCCATATACAACATTTTAGAATATTGGTACCGGATTATTTATTAAGCTAGAAAAATTCTGAAATTCAGTATTAATACCTATATTAGACAAGCTAAAAAACTTTATAATCCCTTGGCAAATTTCTTATGCCGTTACTCCATTTTCATATAAAATTTCAAATTATGAATTTGCCGCACTAAAATCTGCGTTTTGAAGCGCATATTTGGCTTCCACATATCAAATTCAATATGGCATGCATATGCATGATAAGAAATTTATGCAATACATAATATCAATTCTAAACTACATTAGTAGACATAGCTTAATAAAATGGAAGAAGAAAAATTCGATGGACTTCTAATGACTGTGGTTCAGCAATCACAAGGCATTAACGGTTTTTTCGATGCATTTTTCGGCTTCCTTCGACGAAAAACCGATTTCTATGCCCAGCCAGAATCAGGTAAACAATTGCTTGACAAATCTTTTAATTCCCAACTTGAAGCTTACAAAGAGCAGCAAAGAATTAAAGAAGCCAAACAAAAAGCAGCTGAGGAAAAGAAAAAGAGAGAGCAAGAGCTTAAGAACCAAAAAGTCGTTGAAATTACTGACGAAGAAGCAGAAAGAATCGCAAAAGAAGAATCTGCTAGAAAAGCAGCGCAAGCAGCACCATCTCAGCAGGTACAAAAACAGGCAGAAACTGTAGAAGCGGAACCCAAAAAAGAAGGTGAAGAAGAGGAAGAAGAAAAAGGCCAAGTTCCTGTTGGAAATGGAGGGACTACAGATAGGTATATTTGGACTCAGACATTAGGAGAGCTTACAGCCAATTTCTTCATCCCAGCTGATGCTAATGGGAAAAATATATAGTACATCGGCAAGCAAAACAGCATATTTTTTAATTAATTTTGGATTGCTATACAAAATTAAACTTTTAATGCCAATAGAATTTAATATTAAGCCTCAATAAGAAAAAAAATAAATCCTTATAAAAGTCGACATTGGGGTACAAAAACTTAAGGTCACATATAAAGGCCAAACCTACATAGAAGGTGAATTTTATAGTAAAGTGAAGCCAGATGAGCACTTATGGACAATCGATACAATTGATAACAGAAAAGTGCTTATTTTGACCATTGACAAATTTGAAGGGATGACATGGTGGAAAACTGTACTAAAAGGTGACACAGAAATCAATACCAAAAAGGTGGAGCCTGAAAACTCAAAACTCTCAGATCTAGATGAAGAAACAAGACCTACAGTCGAAAAAATGATGATCGACCAACAAAGAAAAGCTATGGGGCTGCCTACGCTAGAAGAAGAAGGTAAACAAGACATGCTTAAGAAGTTTATGGCTGCACATCCAGAAATGGACTTTTCTAAGTGCAAATTCAACTAAAGTAAGAAAATCCATTAAATGAATTTTTCTATTAATATTAGCACTACGCAGATACTTCAGAAAGCTTTAAAATTTGTCGGATTGGGCCTCTACATATAGGACAAAGCTTTTTAGCATCTGCTTTCAAATGCTCTGCACAGGCAGCGCACAAGCAGGCATGGTTGCATGGCAAAACTACCATTTCTTTCTTTTCGGTCAAACAAATTGAGCATTCTAGTCCTTCTGATTTATAACCATATAAATCTTTGAGCTCATGTATAACTCCATTAATTGATATTTTTTGTCTTAAACAAGTCAATGAGTATTGGTCTTCGCTTTTGCATATTTTGAAATAAGAAGTAAGGATTTGAGGCATTGTTTCGCTCTCTGGGGTCATTTCTATTATTACTGGAAAAGTTTTTTTGTCTTTAAAATCCAGCTCGTCATCGGAAAATCTTCCGATTTCAATTGGGCTTAAGTGAGAAAAATGCTGTCTATCTCCTGGCTCAAAATAATGGCTTTCTGGAGGTGGATATTTTTCTGGATCAACATAAAAATAGTAACTCCCCCCATCCGTGAGTGAACAAAACCATTAGAGAAATCCCTATTTTTTGCCAAAAAAACCCACCCTCCTGAGTGAACAAAAATTTTTATAGAAAAAAAATTGATATATAAATTATTATAATGAAATATCAAGCAAATTCTGTTTAATTTTAATCAAACTGCGTTTTAAAACATAAATTTTATAAATTAAATTAATAAATTTCGAAAAAAAAAAATTTCTATAAATTTATATATCAATTTTTTTAAAAAAATATCAACCTCCTTCTTGAGTGAACAAAATTTTTTTGTTCATTCACGGAGGGGGGAGTATTTTGAATTGGGTCAAAAATATCTTTAGCAAAATAATAAATTGTGATCCTGCAATTTCGCCTTGTGGAAAAGAGAAAATCCAGAAAATAAATAGAAGGGTTTTCAGGGTAGTTTTCAAGTTTGGCAGTTGCTTTGTAAATTGTTGAGTCTATTTGGACTTGGTTTGCTTCTGGAGAATTTTGTAGTTGGGCTCTGTTTGCTCGTGGCTGCGCTGAGTTCTGTTGTTCACTTATTACAACTATGGTGTTTTGGGGTAAAGAATTTTGATTTCTTGCTCGACTGCTATTGGAGCTATGGTCTAAACTTCTCCTTCTTGAAGAGTTTCCTACACAATTTCCCATAATATTTAATAATAAAAGACTAAACTTTTCACCTAAAAACTTTCTAAGAAATTAGTTTGAGATAAAGGCAATTATAAATTAGCATAAATAATGCAATTTCAGAAGTCAAAATTTATTAAATGTTATTTTATAACTGATAGATTGAAAAAATATATTGCTGATCTATTATTCGCAACATTTTTAATGCCTTTGCAGACTGTAAGCTGATATTGTGATACTTTAGCATTAACAAAAAGAATAGAAGTCTAAGCAACTGGGTATATTTTAAGTCTATAAAAAGGCATCATCTATAATATCCCAATTATCTTATGTTCGATGTGCTTTTTATAAGCCTAAAAATAGTCAAGTTTTGCTTTTTTCCATTTAGTAGTGAAATTTTCAATTTATAAAAGGGCTAAATACTCCTCCTTATTATTCTATTTTTTTCATTATAACTAAATTTTATAGAAAAACGCTACTCATTCTATACACTTCCAAGCTGTATTATAATTCTTTGAAAGCCCTCAGCTTAGTTGAAATAAATTGATATTCCCATAAAGCAATTAGCCACAAAATCATAATATATTAAATTTAATCACTAAATTAAATTAAGGTTAATAAAACCAAGGCAGCTGTTTAAGATTTGGCAAATATTCTTCCTCATGGATGCATTGGCCAACAATATAAGCTAGCTTATGGGCCATCATTGTCGGTGCAGGGACTTTGATCCCTCCACTCCAATTATAATACATATAGCAAAGCTTAAAGGCAAGCTTTGCATATGTTATAACGTCGGTTTCCTTTATAGGACACGTATTTTCGATGACTCTATAGAGTGTAGGTGACGCCATTCCTTGGGTGACTGCATGAGATATAAGATAAAAAGAGTTAGGGTCAGGAACTATAACAGAATTTACAACAGTTCCAGGTAATGGATTTCCAATGCCTCTTTGGGAATTTACATATAATTTTGCACTGGTTTTTTTGTTTATTTAAATTTTGATTTAATTGCAGCATCTTTGTCTATAATACCAGTCATGGCAAATCTCAATTAATTCAGAATAAGGGCTTAGGGCTATAAAATATTCTATAGATATTAAAATAAAGCGGAATATAATTATATAAGTGAAATTTGGGTTGTAATTATCAAATCTACTGATTGCTTCTTTCATTCCATCAATTTCAAAAGTTCTTATAGCTCCTATTTGTGAGTCCGCAACACCATCTCTATAAACAACAATGTGATCTGGCATAAATCTTTTTTTGGTGTTTTCATAAAATGCTATAAGTGCAGCTTCCAAGCAAGACCCTAAAGCAGTCGCAATTTCTTCCCCATCTATTGATTGGATTTTTACAGTGTTAAAATACTGGGTAAATACAGGGTGTATGGATGCTACAAATCCCACGACACTTTTGGCTTTTTTCACTACATCATGGAATACATCAATTCCAACAACCATAGTCTTTGGTAATAAATTTTCAACAGGGGTAAGTGCCCACAAATAAGATCCAGTTTTGGTCGCTATTTGGAGGATTAATTTGGACATGATGGATTCAAACCGCTTGGGATTTCTCACATTGCTTCCTAAAATTACTTGAGTAGGGATCCCTGACTGCCGACAAGAAGCTAATTTTATATCTTGATAAAGATTTTTCATGTTTGGCGGCAATAAAATAACTCCAATTTGGGGTACTGGCAAGTTTTTTGGAGGGCGGTTTAAAGCTGCTACATAGGGTGCTAAATTTTTAGAATCGAAATTAAACTGGTAAGGAGTCCCTAGAACAATACCGATCTGCCGAGCTTTATTTTGGAGATTTTTTACAAGCCTATCTCTGTCTTCTTGATCTCTTTGTGTAGAAAGGACAGCCCATGTATCAATGTTGATAGGGTAAAAAATAGTTCCTCTGAGGTTGAACCCACCTCTGTCATCAAGAGTAATTATTTCATTATTGCCAATTCTTATTTGCTCCATTGGAAGCCTCATACCGCTTACTACAATTGGCTCTGAAGTAGATGCTATCTCTTTTTGGTTAAACTTATTATTATATTGATTTTATTATAAATAAATAGGTAGGGGTAGTAAGGAAAATTTATCTGAGAGCTCTCTAGTTTCTTCGCTTTCAAGCCTAACGGCTAGCTCTTGGCTTCTGTCTAACTTTCCCTCTGTGGGCTAACAAATTACTAATTATTATCTTAAAGCATTTAAAGCAAAAGATTTCTGGCTTAATTAAATTTCCACTTTCAAACATTTGATTTAGAAGATATTTTTATAAAACAAAAAATTAACCCTTCACGTCTGAATAAAATAATTGTGCATGCCACCTTGGAGGATTAAGCGATTATAAGGCTCAAGTCTTGTATGCTGGGCTATATCGTTCATAGCTCTGTAATCTTTGCGCATGTCTTCAGAAATTCCAGTAAGATTGCATAGCTCAGGAACTAACTTTATCTCGTTTTGGCCTCTATTGATAGTTGAGATGAGTAATGGTTGTCTTAAATCTCTTATAGTAACTTCATATTGTTCAAAATAATAATTTTGGTAAGAAACTTCTACTTTATTTCTTAAAAATGTGCTGGTAGGGCTGCTTTCAAAATCAATTTCTTACTAAAAATGGTAAATATTAATCTCCTAGTGGGTATTATAGATTAAAAGTTTTTTTTATAGGCAATTATATAGTCAGGAAACACCCTTTTTATGATTTAAAAGATTTTATAATAATTTTGTTAATCAAGTCTTTTTTAACTTTGTGTCGTTAAAATGGAGTATACTCAATTCACCCTCATAGCCATGGTCTAACCCAATTTTGACGATTTTGAATATTCTAGCTTATTTAGCCATGAAAGAAAAAGCGGATTCGTAAAACTGCTTTAAAAGTCAAGGTCACTAGCCAATTAAAATCAAGCCAAATGATGGGCTATAGCTATCAAATCTGCCCTCTCAACACTTGCAATCTGCATCTCATTTATAGAATTGGAAGAGAGGACATTCTTCAGAAATGTGTATGCGGACTGGTTTTTGTTGTTTTGGAAGGGTGAAACGTCGATATAAGCAGACTGAATATTCACTTCATATAAATTTTTACCTGTACGAAAATGGCTCATGAAATTAGAAAAGGAAAGCTCAGCAAGGCCAAGGTGGTCGCTTGGCTAAATGGGCAATTTCTCAAGCGCTCCATTTGGTGGTCGATAGTCCAGGTAGAAAATTCGTTTTTCGATTTTTGAAAGACAAACCCCGCTTGCTCTCGAATAGTGAGTGCAAGCGCTTATTCTGAGGGACAATACTGCGGAAGGCTGTGCCCAGACTGGCAAGTAAGCGATGGAGAGTTATGCGAAGGCAAGTGGTAGCCTGCATGAACTTTTCTATAGTAAGCAAACTATCAAGTCCTAAATTGATTACTTTGGTCCAGCACAAGAGTCAGGGGTCAGGGTTTAAATTAGCGGGCCGGAAAACAGCCCCCGACTCGCCCTTATGGGTGAGGTCCACCACAAGAGTATGCTTATTAATTAAAGCAATATATCAATTCCTTCAATCCTATAGCATCTATAATTTCCATAGCCAGCCATCACTATAAGTCCGTACAACTGATCCTCTATTGCTTGCTTCCAATTAGGTCCAGAATTTGCTTTAATTTCTTGAATCAGCCCAAGTGCTGTCATATTGCGAATAATTTTACTCGCAAAATCGATATTCAAAAGCATTCGATCATAATGATGTGCAAAAGATGCTGTGTATCCTTGCCATACTTCAAGCCCAAGCCCTGGTATTTGTTTAATTAGATTCGTATCATAATACACTCTCTAATGAAAAAATCTGTCTTATTTGAATTTTCAGAAAAATATCTATATAAGCATTTTTCATGTTTTTTTTATATTTTAAATAAAATAAATTAGGGATATGTACTTCGGAAGGCGGGTTACTTGTAATAAATTAAGGTTACGTAGCATTTTTTTAAGCACTACATTGCAATACATTCTATAAGCTTCAGGATTAGAATCATCTATATATGCTGTTTTCTTTGATTTTCCATTATTTTTAACATTAAACTATATTATTCTAATACAAATAATAAAAGGATAGCCAACATTGCGAATTTTAAGTTCAAATTCTGTATTTTTATTATCCTTTGCTTTAACTATAAAAGGTTCATCTTTATGCGTTCAAGCTGCGATGTTGTTTCCCAGTTTCATAAACTCGCCTATCTGTGCAGTGATAGAAGATTTCGCAGACTCAATCAGAATCCCGATTAGTCTTCGATTATCAGCTTCCACATTAGGCTCGAACTTTATGAAATAGAGAGCAACATTCCCAGCTGGAGTGCGGTTAAGTCTGAAAAAATTAGTAACAATTTGAAGAGGTCTGCTTTGAGGGATAGCAACGCTCCTTTGGCTTGAAGCTGGTTCCATTTCTAGATGATGATTATTATTACCCATTTATGGATAAAACTCTTGAGGGCTTATTTTTAGCTGCTTAATTGAAATTGATATTTTTTATGCTGCTTTAATAATTATTCCCTCTTTTTATATCTAATATTGAAATAAAATGGCCCGTTTTAAAATTTATCAACATTTTGTTGATCTATAATTTTCAATAGAAGATTTTCACATAATAAAATTCAAAGCATATATCATATAGATATATTGCAAATTCGATTAATTAACAATAAAAATTTTGGAAATATTAAATCAGCATTTTAAGTGTAAATTAACTAAAATCATACCTTAAAAATTAAATCTAACTACTGCTGATGAGTAGCTATATTTTATTTTACAAAATTTCTATCCACAAAAAACTGAACCAAAAATATTTATTTTATACAAAAATGTATTTAAATATTAAAACGCTTCAGAAACCTTACATTTTTTCAAAAGAAAAACAATTGATTTCTGATTTTTTTTAAAAGTTTTTTCATTTTCTCATGCACTAAATATGGATCAAGCTGCACTAAAACACTTCCAGCAATTCATGAACTGCTGGATGTACTCTGCATTTACTTTTTCTAAAATACTCGCATCATCCGCTCAAAATCAAAATCAAAAACCAGAGCCAGCTCCTCCAGGACCTGCCAAAGAAATAGAGCCAAAAGAATTTCCTTGCTTTAGTTGCGACAAAAAGTACAGCACCTATAAAGGCTTAAAGCAGCACATGGGAAAAAGCCACAACAGCACAGTCAAGAACTTTCTCTGTGACAGCTGTGGAGGATTATTCAGCAACAAGTATGCTCTAAAATTTCACAGGCGGCAGGTTCATGAAAAATCGACAACAGCAAAGTGTAGTATATGTGAGAAGACATTTTATAACAAATACAAGCTGAAGAAGCACATCCTCAGGACGAGTCATTCTGCTTACTCCCCCCATCCTTGATCGAACGATTGACTGTAAAAATTCTTAAAAATTGGGGAAATTAACCCCCATCCTTATCGAACGATTTTCATATCATACAAATTTTATAAGGACCCCCTCATTTGTCCAATTTTCTAGTCTTTTATCATTTGTCCATTTTTCTAGTTTTTTTTATAGGAAAAAATTTTTTTTTTAGGACCTCATTTGTCCAATTTTCTAGTCAAAATTTTTGATAGAAAAAAAATTTTCAGGACCTCAATTGTCTCATTTTTAGTTTTTTTAAAGTAAAAAACTAGAATTTAGGGCATTTTGAAAAAATGCAAAAAAACTAGAAAATTGGACAAATCATTTTTGACTAGATTTTGGGACAAATGAGGTCCTGAAAAAAAAAATTTCTTATAAAAAAAAGACTAGAAAATTCGACAAATGAGGGGGGCTCCTTATATATAAAAATATATTAGTTATCAAAAGCTTTGGAAGATGTACATAATGAAGTTGTTTTCAGATACTTTGAGACGACAGAAAGCTGCGAAATCAATCATCCGAAGTGATTTAGTCATCAACCTAGGCTTAAAAACTCAATAATCTAATAAAATAGATATTTTTTAAAATTTTTAAAATAAAAATTTTAATTTAATAAGGAGCAAATTAAAATTTATACAGTTTAAACGGGTAACTAATATATCAAAATATTAAAATTGGTATTTTAATGAAATTCATTCAAGTTTTGCTGTAAAAATAATTATTAAATACTCTTAACCCTCTTTTTAAAAGTAAATAAAACAAATATATTTTTATTTTATATATAAAATTTTTTTGAACCCCCATCCTTGATCGAACGATGATGAGCCGTTCGATCAAGGTGGGGGGGAGTTAGTAAGAAACTATAACTATTAAAAATTACTGTTCTTTATAGCTTATAGGGTGAAATTTTAATCCTTGAGAAATATGGAAATGTGATGAATAATCACCTTATAAAAATGAAATAAATTTTCATAGGAAATTAATTTAAAAACAGGCCAAGAGAGATTTTGGAAAATGTTTAGAGTCTAACGAAATTAGTTTTATAGGTTGATAATGCTAAATAGCACTGATATTTCGATTTTTTAATTCAATTGTTTTATTGGGTTAGGCTCTTAATTATAATAAATTAAGTAATTTAAGGGGAAAAATCATGATTGATGGCTAGATTTGATAAAAATAGAGCAACCTAAATTAAAAGATCGGCGAACATAAACTTTGAGATTTTAACTATTTTTGATCTCAAGCATGATGCTAATTCTGCAACTCAAAATTAAGTTATTAGACGAAGACAACGACAGAAAATTGCTCTTTGGCTTTATTTAAAAAAATTCTGTTAACTTTTCAACCCTTATAAAAGATACCAAAAATTCAGCTTATTCGTTGAGAAATGTGTATGCTTAACTTTCATCATTTTTTTTGTATATCGGCCTAATTTAAACCTATTTTGCTTTCAAATCTTAGACTAAGAATAACCCATTACTGTAAGATTATCCACAAAGCATAAGCATATAATTCCTGAAATTAATTACATTCTCAGTTATATGATGCTCTATATTCCAGATATTTTAGCGGGATTTTATAGAAACTCCATAATCTATGGATCAAAAATCCTTATTTTAGTGGCAATGGGGAACTTGGCCGCTTAATAAATAGAAATTGACCTATTAGATACTTCAGACTGCAAAAACTATAATCCATAAGAAAAGTACAAAACGGAAAATCTGCATTTTACCATTTATGATGCATATATGAGGATAAGAATTAATTTGGTCTTAAACTAATGGTCCAGCATTTAATTATTTCCAAATTTTTTAATTTTTATTAGCATGTAATTCTGCTTAAGGATTATAGCTATCGCCATTTTAAATTTGGGAAAATATTTAAGTAAATTGCTTATGTCTGATTTTGATTTTAGCTATTATTTTATTATATTATTGTTCTTTTTTTAGGCTTGCAAAAATGAAAAGCATAATTTCAAAAAAATATTTGCATAAAAGGATAGACATTTAAAGATTTTTTTAATCTATGCCTTTAAAATATCTGCAGAAAACTTGCGAAATTTCATATTGTAGGTCCATATTTTATATTTAAGTTCATAAGTTTACAGAAGGAATTGCTATTTGATTAAATTTTTTTATCAATTGATTAAAAATCGGCAATTTTTAATTTTGCATTAAGGTTTATTAGCTTCTCTAACTCCCCATTTGTGGGTGAGCAAAAAAATTTTGTTCTCCATGAGAGGGTTAATTTTATTTTTAAATTTTATAATAATTTTTTTCAATATTTAAAAAACCCAATAATTTTAAACAAATATTAGTTTAATTTGTAAAATTATGCTTTAAAACGCAAACTGTTCAAAATCAATTATTTTTCTAAAAATTTTTATATTAATAAATTTTTTGTTCTCTCAGAGAGGGTGGGTTTTTAGCCAAAACATAGAGATTTTCCAATGATTTTGTTCGCTCATGGGGAGGAGTAAATATAATTGATAAATTTCTATTTGTTCAAAATTATTTTAAATTAAGAAGGCGATTAATTAATTTTTTAAGCTGTCCAACTCCACGCTCCCACAAAGGGACTTAGTAAAACTAGCTGTGTGTCACGTATTTTTTAACCTAGCCAAACCATCACAAATAAACCGTCAACTCTCAATCAATCTAACAGATGTCTCTCAACTGGTGTGATGCTTTCACTCTCAATGACTCAGATCCTGCGCATGTTCCGCCTAACGGTTACCTTCCTCAATTGTACTGAGTTGATAAACCCGAAGCCTCTTGAATGTACTTGGAGCAGTGCCCTAGCCTTATGAGACTAGAATTAACACTGTTTCTATGCAGAAGTTCTCTAGTTAAAACTAACCCCATAAAAAATTTCATGAAAACACCATTTTTTAATTATCTTTAAATTACTTAGATTACAAAGCGCTCATTCTTTGTTGCTATTTTCGAAAAAACCCCTTTCCTCAGCTGCATTTTTATGCTATTTTTCGATTTAATTAGCTCTCTATATTCACTCCTACTTGATAACTTCATCTTAATTGGTTTTGGTGTAGTTGTGATCACATTTGATAACATTTGTCCTGAAAACTCATAAGGAATTGTCTTCAGCTCAACCGAAGTCTCCCTTCTGAGCTTTGTTGGTGAATCAAAAGAATGCTTCCTACAAAATCCTCGGAAATTCATATGATGCGGATTTGGTGAAGGTGGAAACTTGTAAGGCTCTTTAATTCCTGAGCATCTTCTAGCAATAAATTGGTTGCTTTGAAAGAGCTCCTTTTTCTTTTTAGTCCTAATAATCGAATGATAAAACGACTTCCTTCTATTAAGGTCATCAAATGAACTATTTGTGTTTTCTAGTTTATCTTCCTCAGTTGGTATCCTAATTATGAGTTTTCTTTGGGATTTTGGAGAAAAAGAATGCTCGGAATCTAGAGATTTAAATCTTTTGTTCATAATTCATATGGATTATTTATAGTCTAATTACCCATTTGGGTATTTAGCCATTTCTATGATGGTCATAATATTAAGCAGAGTGTTTTGGAGGAGTTTTATAAAGGAAAAGTTTCATAGTAAAGAAAATAAATGGTTTATTTATGAAGGAAATTACAGCAAAAAATGCTTCTCTTTGAATTAAATTTGCAAAAAAACATCATTGAAAATTTTAAATGTTTGGATAATTTGTGGGGATTTGTGGATAAAATTTAAAGAAAAAAAGATTTTGATGCAAAAAAGATGATTTTGAGTAAGATGTCCCATATGTATGGAATAAATTAATAAATTAAGTTTTATTTCAAATAATATCCATCAAAAAGAAATAAGCATAGATCTTTGTTTTCTAAAGATTTTTATTAATATTCTAAACCATGGCCTTATTAATGTTCATTCCACACAATAAAACTTATTTTTCTATTATTTTAATGTAAACAGCATAAAATATAGCATGAGCCTCCTTTTGCTCAAGCTATACCGACATCTCCCGGTGTCGGAAGAAAATGGTTCTATCAGTATTTGCTAGTAAAATCAACTCCCCAGATGGTTTAATCTCCGATATATAGTGATCTGCCATCTGAAGAATAGGTTTTATCGACAAATGCTGATAGAACTAACTCCACTTCTGGCATGAGAAGACATTAGTATAGCCCGAATTAAAAGGAGGCTTGGGTATATTACCCGTCGATCCTTATGATACTTTCATTCCATTCAACGTTAACTTTCCATCTTTAGCCACAGGTGAATAAAAATTTAATAAGTATGATAACTCCTGAACCACTCCCTAGAGAATTCGAAAATTCCTTCGAAAAAGAAAGTAAACGACTTAGTAAAAAGCCAAAAGAGCAAGATTTTCAAATTAAATATAAAACAGAGATTTGTAAAAATTGGGTGAATGGCCACTGTCAGTTTGGAGAAAGCTGTGCCTTTGCCCATGGAAGGGAAGAATTACGAGAGAAAGCTTTGTCTAAGAAAGAGTGTACACACTTTGCGGAAGGCTTTTGTGTCTATGGAGAGAGGTGTCTATTTAAGCATACAGTAAATACAAAGCGGCGGCTGCCTGTTTTTATAACCATCTCGATGAAAGGACAGATTGAGACTCAAAACTAATATTCGTATATTATTTAGATAACGTTTTCACGCTAGATTAAATGTTTTTATAAGGTTTTAGAATAAGCATCATAGTTTAGCTATTCTTTAGGCTCTATAATGCTTAGATTTGGCTTTGTATCTGTACTCTTACTCCTCATGGTTATTGAGCACTATTTTATTGCTCTTTAGGCTATTTTTTTTTAAATTTTAGAAATTTATTAAAATTTCAAAATATTTAAATTTGGAACTATTTCAAAAGCAAATGTTTTATATAATTTGTTTGAGATTCGTTACTATAATAATCAATTATATATTAAAATAATATACATAAAACGGCTGGGATGAGCAACCCATCATCTCAGTGATAGGGTGGCCCTTATGATATCCAGACGTGGTTTTTTGAGATCTAGCTATGGCTTATCGATAGTCAGTAGCCTCAAAGTGAAAGATGTGAGATTTTTTTTCCGCTGAACTGAGTCCTGAGCCTTAGGCAGTTAATTGCATATATTTTTACAAGCAGCATCTGCCGGCTGACTTACCTACTCAAGCTGTTCTAGTGATTTGCCTCGAATGGCGAAAGCTGCTGAGTTTTATTTTTACGTAATCAGGGAAAGAGGCGGGACAAAATTAGATAGCAGACTGGGATCAACAAAGGAGTTTCTCCAGTTGAAATTGGCTCTTATCTTGAGAGCAATCTGACCTGCGAATATTCCAGGGCATGCGTTAAAGCCGGTGATGCTTATGATTGTAAATGGTGGTGATCAGCAATATACTTTGGACCTTTGGTAACGCCACTACTTAAAAACCAGTATTTCGGCCCTGACTGCAGAAGACGGTAGTATCCTGACACCCCACAGCACATCAATGTGGAATGGAGCGATCAATAAAGTTGGGATTTAAATAATTTTTAAATTAAAATAATCTAATATACAAATAATAGTTTGCAAAATACATATTAAATAAATTTTTTGCTCATTAAAATAAGGGGACTGATTTTTCAAATAGGGATTTTTTTTTGAGTTTTATTAAATAAAGGCTGAGTTAACAAAACCTTTAATTAAGGATACCTTTACTTAGCCTTTTTATTTAAATTTTATATATGTGGCTTAAAGGTTATTTTATCTTCGCAATAAAATGCGGAACAGATTTAGTTCAAAAAATTATTTATAACTCTTTTTCAATAAATAAAAATTATTTTTCTTGCTATAGAAGAGTTAAATTTTATTTTAAATTTCTTAAAGTAAACTAAAAAAATTTAAAATTTTTAGATCTATTACAAACTTTATAATATTTTTATATGCTTAATAAAATATTTTTTATAAAACTAATTATATTAAAACATTTTTGGCTTGTTACGCAGGTTTAAATTCTAAAAAAGGTATGATTTTTCCAAATCACGGGAGGAGTAAGGGTTGGCATGAGATGATTAAGTTTGAGTATATCGAAGTATGGGGGATTTATGATAATATAAATTGTTTCTAGGAGAAATTTTTTATATTAAAAGCTATAGATAAGTGTAAGAAAAATTATATGATTTAGAGGCTCTGCATCCAAAAAAACGTTAAACAGATCAAGTTATCTGCATGGATAAGGAATTTCAATCAATATTAATTTAAGCTATATATGCAGTCTGTATAATAATCTAACCACAAAACTCGCACAGAAAAACCATTTTATGTCATCATTTAAATAAGTAAATTAACTAATCTAAAAAGAGTCATAATTTTTGAGAATTTGGGAAAAATAAATAATTTTTTCCCACCTAGTATTGTTATGCATAATTAAGTTAATTATGAAATTTATTATATCTAGTGGCTCTAAAATAATAATTGCTTACAAATAAGCTAATTTCGCAGATATAGCTGCAGAAATAAATTTTATTTTCCCATAATTAGGACGGTTTTTAAAAATAAACTAATTTTTAATCATTTATATAGAATTTTACCATAGATGGCGCTGTTAGCCCTTGATTTGCCCATGAGGAAAACTTTTTTGGTTTGAGCAAACCATATGGTACTGGTCGAACAAAAAAATTTTCCCAGTGGCAAATCAAGGGCAAATAGCGCTATCTATGGGAAAATTCTATAATAGAAAAATCTCATTTTCTGTTTAAATTATCCAATTATTTAGTATAAGAGCTAATGAAATATCAGTTTCTCCTAATAATTAAATGGAAAATAATGAAAATTTTGTGTGCTACTTATGCTGCACAAATCAAGCCGAAGTCCAATGCCACTGTTCTAACCCTTCTTTATTTTTCTGCAAAGAATGCATTGCAGAGCACATCTTTTCCCAAAGTTCAGTAATACACACCCAATCATCATTAGATATCACCGGAAACTACTATACAAATTTCATATGCAAAGAATGCTGCAAGTTTAATGCTGAATACGTCTGTTTATGCAGCGACTCGATACAAACATTTTGTGACTCTTGTCTTGGGGCTCACATTAAGAAATTCTCGTTATCCAAAAGAAGCCATGAAATCGAGCCGATCGAATCCCTTGAATTTTTACATGAAATTGGTGAAATTTCTGAGTTTTTGGATAGGAAAGTTATTGTGAGGAAAATTAGAGATGCTTTAGAATTACAGATAAAAAATCTAGGAAGATTTGGAGATAAAATTATAGAAGAAAAAAATGAGCTTATTAAATTGATAGAGGATACAGTGAATTCTAAGCTGGAAGTGTTTGGTAGATATAAAAATTATTATTTAAGGATTATAGAGGAACTTGACCAGATAAAATTCTCAAGAGAACTGGACAACCAAACCTGCCTTGGGCATTTGCTAGGAATCAGTTTATCCCACATCGATAAAAGCTTGAAACGAGCTTTTGCAGTCCAAATGCATACAAATTTCGACTTAGCATTCAAAAGCGTTTCTGACTTAATCGAATTTGAAGGCCCGAAGCTTCCTGAAATCGTATCTGAGAGAAAAATGTATTACTTCAAAACTTTCAGCCAAGAAGTCACAATTTTTAACCCTTCTGACAACTCTTTTGTCACAAGAGAGCTCGACCACTCCATCACATTTAAAAATAATTCCTCATGATGCATTATTTCCTCTGAAAGTCTGCTATATTGTGGCGGCTCTTTAGGATCAAATTATTCAGGAGAAACTTATATCATAGACCTCGTTACCAATAAAATCAAACAAGCTGGGAATATGCTGATTCCTCGATCTCAAGCTGCTATAGTTTACTATGAAAATGAGGTCTATATATTTGGCGGCTTCAACGGAAGCAATATAAAAGCTTGTGAAAAATTATCACTAAAAAATCTGAAATGGGAAAGAATTCCTGATATGAATCATGCAAGAAGCAGCTTTACAGTAGCGATCCTTAATGGATTGTTTTATATGGCTGGGATGGGAGGCCCTGAAATAGAGGTGTATAACCCTTTAGACAATTCTTTTCAGCTTTTTGGACTATCTTTGCCTAAAAATTGTGTTAGCACTATGATTAGTGTGGAAAATAAAATTTTTATATTTTTACAAGACAAGCTAATATCGCTAGACCCTGAATACAAAACTTTTGATTTGCAGTGCACTATTAGGTCTAATTTGTGGTGAAGTGGGTGCCCACCTTTGGTTTTGGAAAGCAGGATACTTTTATATTCATGCATTTCTGCATATGAGTTATGGCAGTATGATTCAAAAAGCCAAGTGATGTCTTTAATAACTAAAATTTAATCTATATTGTAAAGAAATAATTAAAGTAAGTAATTAAAGACATTTATTATATTTTCTATAGAAAATAGGCCAATTATTTGAAATTTGTGGAAATTATGATTAAGAATAGTATAAAATATAAAGAATATGAAAACTAGTCAGACCCACTTGCAAGCCATAAGCTTATAAGCCAGAGGTCATCGCCCAATGACAAGGAGGTAAACCTCCTTGATTGAGATATCCCATAGCGGCTGCAAGTGCACGATTCATCATCCTAGAGCGGGTTATCGCCTTTTTTGATAAAGTAAAAGAGGAAAAATCACTATAGAAGTGATCCTGTACGAGTACAGTCCTAATTTAAATTTCCAAATTTCCTTTTTATCACTAATTTAGTTATTTTTTGTTATGGGACATAATAATTTCATAAAAAATTATAAGCAATTCTCGATCTTTCAGCCATTAGACTTGCTTAATTACCATTAAATTATTTTAATTTTCCTCCAAATTATAAAATAATTTTAGTTATTGAGTATTATTAAACTCAAAAAGAGGCAGCCCATCTTGATGTAAAATATTGAAATTCAGAAACAACATTGGACTTTTATAATCAGGAAAATTTTTCTCAAACTCTTCTACTCCACAGTAAAACTTGCTCATGATTTCTTCAATTTCTGGGAAAATTAAATCATGGTCACTCAAAATCGTTCTTACCACATCAATCCTTCTTTCTGAAAAAGCTGCCATAATAAACGCTGTGACTGCTTGCTGCCTGGGGTCATAGTCCTGGGCATTATAATAAAACTGCACCAGGTAAAGCACTATTCTTGCAATATTACTAATACTGCAATTTTCATCATATCTGCTTTTCAGGCATCCCAAAGTGTCAAGACAAGTCTGAATATTGACCTTAAAAGAAAGCACTTCTAAAATCCTCCCTTCTAAAGCTCTGACTTCTTCTTCACTATGATGACTAAACAGAATATTTTCATGAATTACCTTAAGTTTCAATGGAGTCACTTCATCAAATTTTGATGCTATAAACATACAAGTTACCCCTATTTTTATTTTATTTTATAATAATTTTAAAAAATTATTAAATTTAAATTTTATGTCTTTTTGACCCCTATTAGATGAAGGTCATTATTTTCCAGGCCTTCAGTGAGCTTGAGATAAGTATCCATGAGCCTTACAGTTAAAAAAAATACATTGTCACTACAGCCAAAGGATGAGGTGACTTCAATCATCCAGTTGAGAAGTCTGGAGCGATGATTGATAGTGATGGAGTGGTTGAGTAAAGATTCTTTGGTAGAAAGGTCAGGGGAATTTTTGAAGTGATGAAGGAGAAGGTCTGGAAGTGTAGTGTTGTAAAAGTTGGAGTCGACGGAGACTAAGACTTGTCTTCCATAATTGTTTGGTTTCCTCGCCTGAAGTAAAGGGAGATTTTCCTTGTCGTTATTGTTAGAGTTAAATGAGCTCATATCTTTATAAAAGCAGTGAGAAGCGATCGCTATTTATAGACAGAAATATCCTGAGAGTGACGTTAGCAAAGATTTTGCTAATGCCTTTTATGCAATAATTTAGTTTACTCCGCCGCTCTTTGAGCGAAAAAAAACATTGGGAAAATCCTATTTTTTGTATAAAACCTATACTGTGTAGACAAAAAAAATTTTTTATATAAAATAAAATCTCTGGCTAAATCTATTGATTTTTAATACATTGCATTTTAAAACATAAACTTTCCAAATGAAATTAATCGTTACTTTTCAATATTTGCGAATTGGGATTTTTATTTAATTTTAAAAAAAAAAATTAGCCTGCCCATGGGCTAACAAAATTTGTTTTGGCTCACACAGGAGGGAGTTAAATAGATTCTAATTGGAAATAATAAAAATTTTGATAAAATGAGTTTGATAAATTTTATTCTATAAAGACTTTGAGGATTTGTGCAGAATTAGCTGAGCTAATTTTTTTTAAAAATAAAATTATTTAATTACAAAGTTTAAAGGAAAATTAGCAGCTTTATTGAAATTCAAAGCTAAAAATCAATATTTATACAGCTTCTGCATAATGTTTAGCGAATAAATATGTTTTTGATTAAAAAGGGTAATATTTAATTACATTTTTTAAGGTAAAGACTCAATTCAGCAATTAATAAAATTATTTATTTGTAGTGCATATATGCTTGTAGATATTTAGCAAAGAAAAAGAATCGATATAGCTCAAGAGGCTATTTAAAGTATTTCTATTGGATTTTATTTTTGGAACTGCAAACATTGAAAAGACACAGAAAAACATATAAGTCAGATCATTAAAATATGGAGGAGCAGTCTAAATATAGCTTTTGAATAGAAGAAAAATTTACAAAAAATTACTGACTAGATTTCTATTAAAAAATCCTAATCTCATAAACTTAAATATGGTCAGCTAATAGAGCACAATCAATTAGCAATCAACAAAAAAAATAAGTTCAGCTTTCCTAAACTTTGCCTAGCGTCAGCCTATAAATCTTGAAAATTACCCATAAAAAATCAAATCCAGGCTAATCTTTAACCCTAAAAGTTTTGGAAATGTGTTTGATTTTGTAAGAAATCAGAAAATGATCATTTTTGATGTATTCTCAAATAAACTGCATTTCCTTCTTACTGCCCCCTCCGTGAACAACCAAAACATCTTGCTCGCCCACAGAGGGAGTTAATTTTTTTAAAATTTATATATATAAATTTAAAAAAATCCCAATTTGTAAAAAAAATAAATTTAACTGCCAAATTTATGTTTTAAAATCGAGCTGTTTAAAATTAAATAGAATTAGCTACAGATTTCATTGTCATTTATATATAATTTTTTTTTCTAAAAATTTTTTATATTAAAAAAATTTTCACGGAGTGTCTGTTTTGAGCAAAAAATAGGGATTTTTCCAATAGTTTTGTTCGCTTGCGAAGGGGGAGGAGTTAGAATAAAATTCCAACAGGCTTTGCTCCATAATTTATATAAAACTTACAATCTGATCACCCCAATTCCAAATTTAAATTCCTTTCTCCAATCTTCCATTCTGGCCTTCCAATTCCTACAAGTTAAAATAAAAATAATTTAAATTAAGCCTATTTTATCGCAGAACTGATAATCCATATTTCTTCCATTAATTTTAAGCCATGCATATTAAAATTCTAGATCAGCGAAGAATAAAATCAAAAACCATGGAAAATAAAGCCTTCTTCGGAGATGGCAAATTTATAATAAATTATTACAAATAATATGAACAGCATATCCATGTCAGAATCTGGATCTGAAAATGAAATTCCAAGAAGCCCTCAGGGGAATTCTGGAAACTCTAACGACGATCCACTTTTATCTTTGTTCTAAGGATATACATAAAATGGCATATGATGTCCAGCCGGTCCTCCCAGTGACGGTAATCCAATTATATCAGCATGTTTTTTGGGAGAAGTGAGTTGGGCAAACAACACCAGGAGGCTAGAGGCGATAGGCTTAAGCACGAATCCGCTGGTTTGTGATCTGACCCATGGGCAGCTACTCGTGACTCCTTTTTTCCAGTAGCATCTTAGCCAGTGGATGCCCGAAATGGAATAGGGTGATTTGCCTGCTCAAGCTACTCTTGATAGCGGCCCCAAATCACGGAAGTGATTGAGTTCTTTCTAGGGATAACCTGAAAAGGCTAGCTAGACATAAGTAAAACACTGCGGTCCCTCCAGAAAAGGCTCCCAAACGGAGCCAATCTGGCCAGGGTAGGTACAGTTGACGTAATAAGGGCGAAGGGACTAAGTTGGAAATGGTGATGCCCGGTGATGGTCTGCGAATCCAATAGGGCAACTCACTATCGAGAACCCAGGGGTTTCAGCCTGGGCTCAGAGGTACCAGAGGTGGAAGCCACCTAATTCGCTTGGGCCAACACGCGCCTGGAAGTAGAGACTTTAAATATAGCTCATAATCTAATCTAATCTTTGTTCCAAGGACCTTCGTTAGCAAAACTAATGACCCATCCTAAAACAAAGGAATATTTCCATCAAGAAGATTTTGTCCAGTATCTTAATGCTTTGAATGAAACTATTTATCACAACATAATTCAGCCCTTATCAAATACACCAATTCTATATATTTTAAATAAAAAACAGCCTTTTTGCTATTATTTAAAAAATTATTCTCATTAAATACTATAAAAATACCTCACTTGAATTTATGAGTGACCCAAGGTTCATGGAATGTGTGGGCGTCTTAATGGGTGTTGACTGCTCAGGCCCTAAGAACCATACTCCTCAGGACCAATGTCAAGAGGATGGTAACAGCGATAGCCATGACGAAGAATACTATAACAAGCAAGCTGCCGAAGAAGAGAAAACCTTGGGGAATTCAGCATTCGGCAAAAAGAAATGAAGAGTCGCCATGGAGCATTATGACCGAGCAATCAATCTAGATCCTTCGGAAATGACATATATAAACAATAAAGCTGCCTGTTTTTTCTCAATCGGAGAGTATCAAAGATGCATAGAACTCTGTGATAAAGCCCTAGAAATTGGAAAAAAGAACATGGCAGACGGTAAAAAAATCGGAAGAGCCTTGTCCAGAAAAGGCCACGCACTAGAAAAACTAGGAAGAATAGACGAAGCCATAGACAGTTTAAAGCTCTCTTTATTTGAGCAGAATGATGATAAAGTAAAATTCGAGGTGAGAGATCTTGAGAGGAAAAAGAAAAAAACTGTGGATGATAACTATACTGTGGGATATCAATTTTGCATGAAAAATCTATATAAAGCCTTAAGTTGTATTTATATAGTAGAGAATATAAAAATCCTGGCCGAGCTGAAGAAAATAATTTGGCTGCCAATGAGCTTTTTGGTGAAGGCGACTATGAAGAAGCAATCAAAGAATATAATGAATGCCAAAAAAGGATAAATAAATGAAATTCGGTCCATGAGGAATTAGCTTTGCTAATTTTCTCTCCATAATGGAATTTTATTTATGGGGTTTGGTTTTACCTTGACAGCAACAGCGGTTTAATTTGGGAATAATAACCAAAGAAACTGTCCCCAGTGCATCAAAGGCTCAGGATTTTACCATTTATCACATCCGATGAATATGACCCTTTAGTGAAGCACGCGCTAAAGCTAAGTCTCACGAGAGCGACAGCAACGCACTGGGTGAGATGTGTGGCCTTGCCTGATGATGGTATTGCTTTAGAAAGCTGCTCATATGGTGCACCAAGTGACGGGATGGCCTGTGACGTTGCTAGCTTGGCTAAGTCCCTATTTTTTGGAGTGGGCATACCTCAAAATACTTAAGTTACTGCAAATGAATATATTGAATGTCAAAAAAGGCTTCCAAACGACATTAATTACTTATCGAACCGCGCTGTCTGCTTTATCAAGCTTAAACAGTTCTACAAAGCACTAAAAGACCTTGATAGGATTCTTGAGATTGACCATAATCATATCCAAGCTAATATTCAAAAAGCCTTTATCCATACTGTTTTTAAAGAGTATGGAAAAGCCCTTGAATGCTACGAAAAAGTCCTTCAAATCGACCCAGACAATCAAGAATGCAAAGAAGGCTTTAAAAAAGTGGTGAGGTCTCTGAATTTCCAAATTGATTGTAGCGATGAAGATAGGATGAAAAGAAGCTTACTAGATACTTCTATTAAGCATATTCTATGTGATCCTCAGCTCATTGAATTTTTATATTATTCTATGGTGAATTTTGATAGATATAAAACTGGGTTTATTTAATGGCCAGGCAAATGATATAAAACAATATAGCTGTAATAAATGATTGAAAATTTTAGTAAAGGCAAAATTATTCATTTTTTATAGAAAAAAATAGCAGCTAACCGAGAAAAAAATTAATCGCTATAAATAAATATAGAAAAAGTCAATTTAAATAAGGAGCAGACCACAAATCCTGCTATCCTTGCCGCATATGCAAAGTTAAAAGAAGCAGGCCTATTAAAAGCGACACCTTAAAATAATGTTTCTTATTAATAATTAATGTCTAATCCTTTTCACTTTATTAGTGAAAATTTCTCTGGGGAATCTCAGAACTTTGACAGGAGAACAATTTTCGCTTTTAGGAAAATTTGAATCTTCCCTTGTCAATTCTTTTGTGTCAGCCACTCTAAAGGTAAATAAAAAATCTTCTTTTTTAGATATTTTTAGGTCTAAAAATTTAACTCGATCTGTAAAGGATTTTCCTATAGGAGATTTTTCATGCCTTATCAAGGGAAATCGACTTTGTATTTTTGAAGAGAAACTGCTATCAATTTCTGACTCATTTTTTAAGCTTTCTATTGTTTTTGTTGGAGAGGATATTTGAGTTTTAGTTAAAAATTGTTGATCTGTGAGATTTTCAAAAAGTTTTTGCAAGTAATTAAGCTTTTTTCTAGGTGTATGCAAATAAGGAGAGGCATCTTCATTGTTGTAGCTTGATAATAAAGAATTTTCTTCAGGGAGAAGATATTTTTTATTCAATTTGTGAAGCCTTTGTAAAGGCTTAAACTGCAATTTGTCAGGGAATCTATATGATGAAGGCGGAAATGAGTTTTCTGAAGGCTCTTCTCGGCTTGTATGTACAGAGTTTACAAAAGTCTCAATGAATCTTTTCTTATTAAACCTTTGAGGGGTTTTGGAATGTGGTTTAGAACGCTCAGAAAGAGGAGTGGTGATATTTTTAATGAATTTCAGTTCTAATTTTGGCTTAAAAGTGGACTCAGTGCTAATTTCCATTTTTATAAATTAATCGATTATATTTGTGAGTTAACTGCATGATAATTATATGATGAATATAGAAATTATTTATTCTTGATAAAGCTAATAACTGAATAAATGTAAAAATTAATTTAATGATAGGACTGAGAACTTAACTTATATTTTTCATTACAAAATAACATCATTATATATTTATTTCTTTGTAGCTGCTCTGCACTTACAAAAATTATTCGCCATATTGCATTCTGTACAGAAAATAAACCCGCAATTACATCTTGCCAGCCCTGGATTTCTTACAGACACCATTTGGTTGCAATAAGGGCATGTCCTTACAATCCTTTTATTCGACAGCTTCATTGCTTCAAACTTGTCTTTACCTGCATGGATAAGATTTTTGGCTTTATCAATCAAACTGCGCTCATCAGGCGTTTTCAGCGACTCTTGATATTGCTCACAGTTCATCCCTTGATGATAAATGCATTTGCAGTTCAAGCATCATTCTGTGCTGCAAAGTCTGCATATAATCCTAGTCACTCCTTGAGAAATTTCCATAACAGCCCCACATTTAGGGTTAATGCATTTTACTACTGATTCTTTATGCTCTGAAAAATAGCTATCTAGAGTAAGTTTTTCATATCTCTCAATTCAAATATTATCTAGATAAAGCCTAATGTCACTTGTCCCGACCTCTTTTGTGCAGTCTTGCCCAGGACACATAAGAGGGACTTTTTGATGAGAAATTTGGCTTTGGAGGTTTATTGTTAGACATTTGGAATGAAACATATGTGAACAATTATACATAAGCTGATACTCTCTTTCTGGGATTTCTTTTCCACACAATTCACATTTGGCAGATGGAGAATCCATGTTTCATTCATCATGCAATTGTTTTGCTAGCATTTCAGATTTTTCAAGCTCTTGGAATTTGTCGATTTTTTTAGTGACCACAGGGACCTTTCTTTTAGGGAACTCAATTGATTCACGCTTATCTAGATGTTTCAGACGAGGCTTAATAGAGCCAATTCTTCCTATCATTATCTGATGTATCAAATCTAATTTTTCATTATTATCAAGATTATTTTGGCCATACTGCGTTTGTACCTCTGAAACCAGCCTCAAAAATATTTCTGATTTAAAATTTAGTCTTGCATATGCGACTCCAGCTGCAAAAACATCAAGAGCCGACAAATTGGCACTGTAATTTTTCAACGAGTTTTGGATTTCATCTAAATCATCTTTATAATTGGCCTCTTGGCTATCACCCTCATTGAATATATCTTCTGTATCAATTGGTCTTTCATTACAAGTCTTTCTCATCATTTTTCTATAGAATTCAATATTAAATATGACATTATAATTATAAAACTCAAAATATTTTACTATTATATGGAAGGCTTTCTTAGAAGTTTGGGAATCATTCTCAGCTTTCCATATAAAGAGGCACAAATATCAAGAAAAGCCATCATCTGTCCAGAAATTATGGTAAAGTCTAGCATAAAAATATCTTCTTGCTATATAGAAATTACTTTGTAAATTCTCACATCAAATTTTACGTGCTTTCCGTATTGTGTTGGCTGAATATTTTTGGTATCAATAGCTTCTAGAAGGGCATCTTCGTAGCCGACTGTCCTAACCCTAATTTCGAAATTTGTGACCAGTTTCCATTCTAAATCGAGCTCGATGAATGCTTCAAATAAATGCAGCATTAAGGAGTATGCGGAGACGAGGCATCTGAAGCCATAGACTCAATTGTGTAAGAGCCCTGTACTTAAATTGGTGTGCATCTTGGTTCCATTTTTGGGCATTATCATAGGTCCTTCATCGTCTGGAGGGAGCAAAAAGATTCCATTTTTCTTTTTGAAGAGGGGCTCTAAGCTGATAGTCTTTTCATTAAGCAGTTTCCTTTTTTCTTTTAATTTTTCATCTAGAAGAATTTCATAGCAGACAACAAAGAGTGCTTGAGATTTGTTAAGAATTGCTTGTCGCAGCTGCGCTTTGTCTTGTTTTAGATTTTTAAACTCAGGAAAATTCATGCAGCGCTCCAAGAGCTCTTCATCAATTTCTCGATTATTTCGATTTGCACGATATGATGATAAACAGTCAATAGTCCCATTGCAGTCTATGATAGTTTCTTTAAATTGAAGATGCATAGGGATGTTTTCTAGATATCAAGGATGGTCCATAAGCTGCCTCATTGTGATTCTGGATACAGGATCATTATTCAGCATTCTGCACACTAAATCAGCTGCTCCTTTCGAAAAATGGTGGGGAATTGTAAAATTCGCGGCTAAATATCTCTTACCTTTAATTTTAGAAAACAAAGCTGTGATGTTATTCTCATCAAAGGGTAAAAATCCAGCTAACAAAGCATAGAGCACTACTCCAATGCTCCACACATCGGCCTCAGGCCCACAATAATTCGATCCTGATATCACTTCAGGTGCGGCATAATTCGGTGAGCCACACGAAGTCTTCAGGAAAACCCCATCCTGCGTAAAATTTGACAGACCAAAATCTCCGATCTTCAATGAGGATTCTTCATCAAGCAAAATATTTTCTGGCTTTATGTCTCTATGGGCTACTTTGTGGTCATGACAGTACGATATAGCAGAAACGATTTGCTGGAAGTAAACTCTGGCTTCATTTTCTGATAGTCGGCCATTTCGTTCTATTAAGCTGTACAAATCGCCTCCTGGGACATATTCCATCACTAGAAAGATTTCTTTGGAAGACTTAATCACTTCATATCTGGCTAATACTTACAGTCTGATTATGTGTGGGTGATGGAACATCTTTAAAATCTTAATTTCTCTCTTGACCTTTTTCAATAATCGTTCTTCTTGAATAAGCCGCCTTTTGATTATTTTTATTGCGACTTTTCGCTGAGAAACTTTGTGCTCGGCAACTAGGTGGTGTTTTACGCTTTACTTTGGAAAATGAGCCTGATCCTAAAGGTTTGATGATCTTGTAAGCGTCAAGGTTTGACATTTTTTTATGTGTATTTAATTGGGTTTAGCATCATATATATCATGCTACTTATCAATAAAACTAAACTAAAGATTTTTATGAAAAATCCGAGTAGAACTTTAAAATAATGCTTAAATTTAATTAAATATGGGAGCAAGTTGTTCACAAGATTCCGGGGATTCCCAACGAAACCAGAAGCAGCAGCTTGCAAATAGCCGAGGTCGACAAACATATGACTCTCAAACAATTCGACCCTCAGTAAACCCTCGAATTACTATAGAATCCACTAGAGGACCATCTGAAACTGTGAGCTCTCATTTCTCACGAAGAACTACTAACAGGTCCAGACTTTCCACTCTAAACGATTCTTATTCCTTTGAGTACGCCCAGCAGGTGTTACTAGACGCATATAAAGGGAATTTAGATATTGTCAACAAGCATATAAAAGAGGGATTTGCAGTAGATTTTCCACTTAACCAGTCAGGGTGAACTTTAGCTCATATTGCAGCTCAGATGAAAAATCTTGAGATGCTTGAGACACTTATTAAATACAAATGTGATCTTGATATTCAAGAGATAGGAGAAGGGTGGACACCAATTATGGTGGCTGCTATCAATAACTCTATTGAGATTGCAAAGATGCTTATTAAATATAATGCTGATCTTTCAATCAAGGATAACAGCCAAATGACCGCTATTCAGTTAGCAGAAAAATACAGGAGTAGAGAAGTATATGAAGTGCTTGTGGGAGGCGTAAGAAATCGATAGATTCACTGATAAGATTTAATAAATTCTTTCCAAAATGAATAAAAAATCTCTTCAAAAGACATTTTCTAATCTCAGTCATATACTTAAATAAGCTAGATGAAATTGCTTCACCCTCGAATCCTAGTCTCCACCCTACATTTCGCGCTCTTAGCCCTTTCTGGCTTTTTTATTCCATCTCTTCATAATCCTGGACACAATTAAAATGGCGAGCCACCCGACCCGTCCTTCTCCTGTACCCTCAGGGATTACGGGGTTAAGAAGTAAACGGGGCCTGGGTATTGTGTCCAGGGTGGGTTTTTTTTACCTTGGTCGGGACACCACGACAAGGTTTTTTTACCTCTCACAAAGACAAGAAGACCAGAGCCGATGTATCAGGAGTCAAACTTCAGGACTAGAAGGGAAGTGAGGAAGATCTTTATGTGGGGAGCTTCGGGGACCTGAAGGAGACTCCGGGAGGCTACTTTTCTCCCTCCCCGGAAAGGACGGCGCCGGGTCATTAGACCCCTGATCAAGGAGTACCTGGGTGAGTCTCCCTGTTAGCTGGCGACGTCACCATTTTTTGGTGACGTCGACAAAAAATTGAGTGAGCTACAGGGCCGGTGCATAGGGCGCAAGCCTGAAGCTGGCAGCGCTGGTAGAGGCTGAAATAAACCTCCGTGACCCGCTAGAGTTAATTAATCTAATCTAATCATAATCCTGGAGGAATTCATTTTCTATCTTTTTTGGTACTTTTTACTTAGACTCACCGCAATAACTTCAGTTCTCCTTTATTTAATCACAAGTTTCAAAGATCCAGGGTTCATTCCTTTATACTCTGAAGCTTTAACTTCTTCTGAAGCAGCTTTAGCAATTAAAGATTCAACTCATCACAAGCAAACATCGTCAGTGGCAAGTCATCTTACAGCAGCTTCAACAACCCACCGAGTAGACTACAAGCAAAGTCCTAGTACTAATGCAAGTGCGCTTAACCAAGGAAGTAATCAAAACCCAGTCCAGTCGTCCCCTAAACAAACTGACATAGTAAACCTTTCTCAAGAAGGGTCTATTAATTTTGAATGCATGAATTCAGACAGGCTACAAGTAAGTTTAAGTGAAGAGAACTCAATTGTAATTAATATTGATGAGCTGCCTGAAGACGAAATTGTGGTGTTTAAAAACCAGTCACATGAAGAAAATGACGCAATCGATGCTGGGGACAGCTCAATTCCATCAATTTTTAGCAAAAACAGTGAAAACGCTGAGCTTGAAGATATTATGGTAATTGTGCAGCCTATTGGAGATTCTGATTGTCCAAGCTTCCCATCAAGCGAAAACGAAGTACATGAAGCTGCTATGCGGTATTGCACTGCTTGCCATATAGATCAGCCAATCAGAGCTAAACATTGCAGTCAGTGCTCTCGATGTGTGGCTACATTTGACCATCATTGCCCATTTCTAGGTGTCTGCATAGGCGAAAAAAACAGGTTTTTATTTTACTGGCTTCTGTTTTTTGTAGCTGCAGAGTGCTGAATAGGAGCTGTAACTGCCTTGGCGTCGATTAATATTGACACTTGGGAAACTGAAAATATACAATTAATAATCCTAGGAATTGTAGGGATTATTATTGGGACACTTATAAGTATTCTTTGAACTTATCATTCATATCTGGCAAGCACAAATTTAACGACCTGGGAAACTAAAAGCTGGAAAAAAATCACCTACTTGAATGGTTTAGAAAAATCTAAAGGCTCACCATTCTCTAAAGGCTTCATAGGAAATCTTGCATATTTTTGTAAAATCCACAAGAGTATCACAAATTGGGCCTTTATCAACAGAAAAAGTAATGTAAATTTGTAAAAAATTGTTTTAACTATTAAATTATACCATGGGCTGCTCTAAAGCACTTATTTTATAGGGTTATTTATTTAAATATATAAGTAATATTATAGCGTTATTTAATATAATTTTTCAGGCTTCTAATACATTAGCTTGCTAAACTAGTCAAACTTTGTCTTATATTATTTCTACACACTGGGCATGTTGGGTTGTTTCTCATAAGCCATGGATCTATACATGCTGCATGAAAAATGTGCCCACATCTTGGTAAGGCTCTCAATACTTCTTCAAGTGCAAAAATTTCTCTGCAAATAGGGCATGGCAGGTTTAAGTCACTTGACCGGGTAGTAAACGAAGAAATTAGGTTCAGATCTTCATCTGAGAATAAGTTGATTTCTTCATTAATTGGAGAATTCATCAGTCCACTCATAAAAGAATTTCTCAAAGTAGCTTGATAATATCTCTAGTTATGAACTTACTATTGATTTATAGATATTGCAGCTCCATATAATAGCAAGCACAGCGTGACTAAGTGATATTATTAGGAGGACCAAAATGACTCAGCTCTCAATTGTAGTCCCACAGGATTCTCCGCTTGCTTTCATCAAGGCATAAAAAGTCATTCCAATTATAGTTCATATTACTACAAAAGGGCACAGAAAAGTCAGGAAAAAAAATGCGAGAGCTGCGATAATGTAAAAGCTGTGACGTTTTCAAATCACCAGGATATAGCGTCTGCACCGCTATGGATTGCCTTGGCGAGGATTCTCCGCAACTTGGACTCTGGCGAATCACCTAAAGGTGACAAGTCAACACCAAGTTGACAAAAGCGCACCCTTTAGCAAGGATTTGTCAACTTGGAGTTGACTTGTCACTTTTAGGTGACTCGTCAGAGTCCAAGTTGCTGCGGAGAATCCTCGCCAAGGCAATCCATATCGGTGCAGACGCTATAAAGGTACACCGGACGAGAAATATACTCAGGGAAAATAAGAGAATCCAATAGTTGAAAGGATAGACACAGCTAAGTAGAAATTACTCGAAAGAGTCTCATCTTCAGATAGCGACTATAGCTAGTAAAAGAAATGCTAAGGCTAAAGGGACTTCGGCTCTGTCTAGAATTTACAATAATCGAGTATTTGCCATTTCTACGCCATTTTAAAATGACTAAAAATACTTCGACTAAGAAAATAGAATAAGAGTTTCCATATTAAATTTTGGGGAATACAGTAAGTAGAAGCTATATTATTGGCTACTAATTGAATTAAAACCTTATTTAAAGAAAATCTCTCCGAAAAGAGCTATTTGTAATAAAAGTTTATAAGTAATTTAATTTATCCGATATAGTCAGCAATATCACGAATATACCTCTCCTTAATAGGGAGTCCTGAATTCTTTAAACACAAATATAGCGCGTGCTCCCCGATAGATTTTCAAGGAAAATGCCCTTCAAAGAAAAAATTATTTTGAAATTCCAAAAAATTCCAAAAAGCCAAATATCAATTTAAAAATGTCATTATATATGTCCTATTTGTCAATTTGAAAATTGACTTTTCATAATAATAAAATGGCTTCGGCGGATAGGGTAATTCACTCCGTGAATTCCCTCTCCTTCTCACCCGCTTTTATTATTATAGGGTTAGGTTTTTACACGTGGACTTCTGTACAAGGTAGTGTAAAATGGCGAGGACTTTTTATCTCGCCAGCCTTATACAGCGTGTTTTACCTCTTTCCCCTGCTGATATAAAAGGCAGGACCCTTAGGCCGAACAGGCGCTGGAGGAAAGTCGGACAGAGCGAGGCAACGCGCCAAGCCGCTAGTGTTTCCCGTACTTCTGGAATCCCAAATGGCTTCACGGGGATTAGAAGGAGCGAGCCGTATAGCGAGGCCCGACTCGAGTACACGAGTAGCGACAAGACGGAGAAAAAATATGCCCTTGCGGCATTGTGCATCTAGGGGCCCAATTATAGGTCGAGTTAAATTAAGTAATTAAGTAAGTAAGAAAATTGACTTTTCAGATTTTTCCTTAATTTAAAATTTAAATTTTTTATCTAAAAGCACTTGTCCTTAGGGATCTAAAATGAGGCTTGCGCTATACACATATAAAAACCCAGCCTTTCTTTTAAAAATTGACTCAGTATTAGGCTTTAAATTCCTAATCCTGCTCGGGATATACCCTTTCTTGCATCATAATGCCGCACAGCAGTCGCTGCAATAGTCTTTTGCTCTATTCCATTTAGATTTTTGAAATCCGCCCATCAGGCCAGGAAGAGCACAAAAAATAATAAATATGCAAGGAATCACTGATAAAATGCCAAATGGAATTACCCACGTCGCATTATAATCGTCAATTGGGTAATTTATTCCGTCACTAAACAATACTTCAATAGTTGTTCCAGATTTGCCTGGATAAGTAAACTCATCAATATTAGCAGGATCAGTTTCACCGTCATCACTATTTAGATACCATTTACAATCAACTTTTTCCCCCACTAGAAATTGCCCAGCACCTTCTAATGGGGTGCACATCCAGCGTGGCAAAAATTTTTGGCTTGATCTGCATTTATCGCCAAACTCCCAATAGTCGCCACAATGTGAATATTTATAAGCGTAGGTGTTTTCTATTTGTAAGGTGTCAGGCCTGTCATTTTGTCCGCTTGAACTACATCCATATCCAGGATATGATTTCCCGTCAACTTCTACAGCAACTTTATATTGGACATAAGTATGTCATCTCATATAACTTGTTGTGTATGAGGTAATGCCCATAATTGTTCAAAATTAATAAAAAGGTGACGTTTACGGAAATAGGAGTCCAAGGCGGCATCTCCTGATGGAGCGGAGGGGTGGCAGAAGTGAGCTCTTCGAGAGATAAGTAGATTATCTCAATGGAAAGTCTGCTGAAAGAGGGTGCTTTGTTTTCTCCCCCGATGGTTTTTCTATATCCCTCCCAGATAGGCTAGACCGGCTTTGCCTATTAGATAGCATTCTCTCATCGGAACCATTCAGGCACTTTCAAAACGTTGACTCTACCCAAGGGTGCTAATCCCCTTCACAGGTGGTTCAGGCCGAAAATCTAAAAGGGCAGCCTTTTGGAGCCAAGGTGGACGACTGTTATTGGTCTATCCTCTTATAGTTAGCATAATCATTTTAACTTTTCAACATAATTGTGCATGTAGAGGAGTGCCAGGATTTTACTTCGAGAGGATAGTAAATCCCAAAGTAAACGCCACATCAAACTGGAAAACCGATTAAAAAAATTATGAGCATAAGGAAAAGTACTCCGCAGTAATTATCTCTATCCATATTATTATCAGCAGATTTTATATATTGATTAATTATGTTCGTTGCCAACTTGGTTTTTACTAGAATTTTGTGTTTTGTTTAGTATTCTTTTCAATTTTATATTTTGAATAAATCATAAGCTTGCCTTTTTATATGAAAATAGTTGATACTTTTTAAATCTTTTGAAAATTTACATCTGAGAATAAGTTGATTTTTTCGTTAATTGGAGAATTCATCAGTCCACTCATAAAAGAATTTCTCAAAGTAGCTTGATAATATTAACTTATTATTGATTTATAAGAGCTTTTCTTTGATTATCCAATAAGCTGTTTAAGTATTGCCTTATAATAATTATAAGATCTTAGAATAAATATTGCAGCTCCATATAATAGCAACACAACGTAGCTGATATTATTAGGAGGACCAAAATGACTCAGCTCTCAATCGTAATCCCACAGGATTCTCCACTTGCTTTCATCAAGGCATAAAAAGTGATTCCAATTATAGCTCATATTATTACAAAAGGACACAGAAAAGTTAGAAAAAAATGCGAGAGGAGGGAGGGTGTTACTTTAATGGGACAGGACACCCCACCAACTCGCCCTTATGGAAAAGTTTTTTTTTAAAATGCAAGAGTTGCGATAATGCAAAAGCTGTTACGTTTTTAAATTACCAGGATAAAGGTACAACGGACGAGAAATATACTCAGGGAAAATAAGAGGGTCCAATAATTGAAAGGATAGACACAGATAAGTAGAAATTACTCGAAAGAGTCTCATCTTCAGATAGCGACTATAGCTAATAAAAGAAATACTAAGACTAAAGGGACTTCAGCTCTGTCAAGAATATATAATAACCGAGTATTTGCCATTTCTACGTCATTTTAAAACGACTAAAAATACATCGACTGAGAAAATAGAATAAGAGTCTCAAATTAAATTGAGAAGATTTGAGTACTAGTTATATTATTTGCTATTATTTGAATTAGAAGCTTATTTTGAGAGAAAATCTATCCGAAAGCAGCTATTTGTAATAAAAGTTTATAAATAATTTAATTTATCCGATATAGTCAGCAATATCTCGAATATATCTCTCCTTAATAGGGAGTCCTGAATTCTTTAAACACAAATACACATACAAAAACCCAGCTTTTCTTTTAAAAACTGACTCAGTATTAGGCTTTAAATTCCTAATCCTGCTCTGGATATACCCTTTCTTACGTCATAATGCCGCACAGCAGTCGCTGCAATAGTCTTTTGCTCTGTCTCATTTAGATTTTTGAAATCCGCCCATCAGACCAGGAAGAGCACAGAAAATAATAAATATGCAAGGAATCACTGATAAAATGCCAAATGGAATTACCCACAGCGTATTATAATGGTCGATTGGGTAATTTATTCCGTCACTAAACAATACTTCAATAGTTGCTCCAGACTTGCCTGGATAAGTAAACTCATCAATATTAGCAGGATCAGTTTCACCGTCATCACTATTTAGATACCATTTACAATCAACTTTTTCCCCCACAAGAAATTGCCCACCACCTTTCAATGGAGCGCACATCCAGCGTGGCAAAAATTTTTGGCTTGATCTGCATTTATCGCCAAACTCCCAGTACCTGCCACAATGTGAATATTTATAAGCGTAGGTGTTTTCTATATCTAAGGTGTCAGGATTATCATCGTTTCTATTTGAACTACATCCATATCCAGGATAGGATTTCCCATCAATTTCTACAGCAACTTTATATTGGACGTAGGTATGCGATCTCATATAACTTGTTGTGTATGAGGTAATGCCCATAATTGTGCAGGTAGAGGAGCTTCAGGTTTTTACTTCGAGAGGATAGTAAATCCCAAAGTAACCGCCACATCAAATTGGAAAACCGATTATGAAAAATACGATCATGACGAAAAACATCCCGCAATAATCTTTTCTTTTCATATTTATTATTATTAACAGATTTTATATATTGATTAATTATGCTCATTGCACTAGAATTTTATTTATTGTGTAAATAAATCTTTTCAATTTTATATTTTGAGTAGTTTTTATATGAAAAAAAATAACTGATACTTAAAATCTTAAAAAATTATTAGTTCTGTTTTTCGTGAGTCCTATATTTTTGCTTCATTTTTTTCATTTTCGCCTTAATGCTGAATTTATAAAAGAAAAAGCCTTATCTATATTTATAGTTCATTGAATCAAAAGCTGTTTTTACTTTGCTTCTATTAAATGTTCTGTAAATTATAAAGGTTTTTAGCTCTCCATATTAAATTTATTCGGTATTTTTTAGCAATATGCCTTAATAAGTCTAATATCAGGAAGATTAAATTAGTTTTGTATTGGGATTTATAGCTCTTTCATTGCGCTTTAATGCTTCTATTTTGACTTCAATACCAGGCTTATGAGGAACCAAAAGTTTGACTATTACAACAACTCATTCTCGACACATAGGATTTTCCATATCGAATTCAGAACTTTTAAGCAAATCATAGAGATGTGAATCAGCTATATCTGCTGCTTCTTGGCAATTTTCAAGCGTATTGGCGATTATCTGTAAAATTAAAGCTCTTTGACCTGCAGCATGGCAACCAGCTGCAAGAATGTCATAGCACTTTAAAATTGCCCTAGAGTTTAATGCAATACTTTTGATTAAAGGATATTTTGGAGCTTCTCTTGTTAATAAGTTTAATAAGTCTAAGCTTAATTGAAAATTTTCATCAGGTGAATTCAGAAATTCATTTATTATGACAGAATAGTCATCTAGCCTTAGTGAAAATCATTGGGTTTGGGCTTCAGATATAAGCGAATGCTTTTGCTCCCAAGCCTCTTCTAAGCTGGATTTTATGAATTCGAATAGATAGATTTTGTGTCTCCCATCTAAAAATTCAGCAATTATTCCTAAATTATTTGGTAGCAATTTTGAAAATAAATAATAGACCCACTCAAATTCATCCTCTTTACATTCTATTTTTTCTATGAAAAATCTTACTACCCCTCATGAGTGAGCAAACAAATGGAAAAACCCTATTTTTTAGCAAGAAAAAAATTTTTGATAATTGCATAATGAAAATGTCTCTAATTCTATTGAATTTTTAAATAGCTTATATTCTAAAACATAAAACTTGCATCTTAAATTAATTTTTACTTTTCATTTTCATGCGAATTAGAACAGGAAAACAAATTTTACTATAAAGTTTATAAGTTTTTTTTAACCCTCCTTCATGAGCAAGGGAAATCTTTTGCTTGCTCATGAAGGGAGTTATCAAATCTCGTTTTTCTCTGATGAATTTTGCTTTGAAATCTTCTGATTCTCCTATGATGTTGTGGCAGAGCATAAGCAAGAATTTTAAATTTGTATTCTCATATGGGATAGAGCCTAGCAAGTTAAAACAAATTTCAAGATGCTCAGTATTACCAATACTGAAATTTACTAAAAATTGAGTGAATTCTCTTAGACCAGTCTCAGGCACAACTATAGGTTCAAGAAAATCTTTTATTTTTGCTTGAGCTCTGCTTCCTTCAACACAAAGGTTTCTTAAAATTTTATAAAATATCTCTGGACTTGTACCTCTTAAGTTAAGTGCTATAAGGCCATAATCGGATATAGGAATTGCCCGAGGATGGCGCAAGATAGCGCCATCCTCGGGCAATTACTATAGATCACTAGCCCCCTATCTGGTGTAGGCCCACATAACCTAAAAATTAGCATAGGGCTAATCTTGCGGATTCCCACTAAATCTCGACATGAAAAAACTAAGTGTGAGGTAAAACCTGTCTAGCCCATCTGGCAGGGTAGAAAACTTCAGGGAGAGGAAAAGTTTCTCTATTCGGTATCCCAAAGGCCTACTTCAAAAAGTGACAGAGAAACTATTTTCAGCTTCATGGGGACAGGTCCTACCTTGCCCATATGGAGTGTACATCGGAGTCCACCATTAAATTTCTTGCACCTCTTAAAGAATTTAAGTCTTCTAAATATTTTTGCCTTGCCACAGAAGAGTTAAGAGTTTCCTCAAGAATCTTCTGAGAATCTACCATTTTCTTGTTTTTATTGCAAATAGCTCATTTTTATTTTATTAATATATTCATTTTTCAATAAGCTTTTCAGCATAAAAGAATTTATTAAATAAAATCAGTAGCAGGCATAATGAAATAATTTACCTTTTTGAGCCTATTCCAAGTGACCCTTCCGAAATCCCATCCTGCGAAAATATAAAATCTGTGTCAGAAGCTCCTTTAAATAGATCTCCAAATGTTTCCATGCCTGTACTTTTAGCTATATCCAATTTCTATATAAAAATTACCAGTAGTTCTCCATAATTTGCACAGAATGGGTCTTGCCTTATTTGATGAGTAGGCTTTAAATTATACTGAACCCATGGCGTCCCTTCTCTGCTTAAAACCCTTATTAAATGGTTCCCATCTTTGACGACACCTTTATTAATCATATTTCCTCCTTTAATTGCATTTCCTTTCAGCAGCAGCTTAGGAGGCCTATATTTTTTATTTGGCATAGCTGGCAATAGCTCTTTATGTTCTTCAAAAAAATTGCAAGGCTTCAAAGACTTTACATAATCTTGATTAATTAAAAATCTTACTTTCTGAGGCACACCATATCATTTTTGATAACTTTCAAGAGAGTTTGTTTCTTTAATTAAAGGTTTTACATAAATACTTGGCTGAGGCGTATATTTGTATGAATAATTATCACTGAAATCTGTAAAAATTGGTTCACTTTTGATATCATTTATGTTGTTTTGATTATTTACTGTAGTTATAAATGTTGCATCTTTACTGTTATTTTCTGCACCTAGCTGGTCTGTAGGGAGGTTTTCTGAGTCAGTAATATCTTCATTGGTAGCTTGTATGAAATCTGACTGAGTTTTATAGGATTCTCTGCTTCAAATTGACCTCATATCTTGTTCAGTTTTGTTGCCACCTGGAGATCTTGTCATTATAGATCTTGAATTCTGCTCAGTTAATGTATATACAGAAGGTGGCTCAGAGAGAGTTTTTCATTCTTTTTTTGCGACTTTTCGGACTTGGCCTGGAGAGCCTAAAATAAATGAAGGCTTTGAGCTTTCTTCTGAGGTGTAAATTTGTGAGTAGCCTGAACTTTTTCTTGCTGATGAAAAATAGCCTGCTGATGAAGGCTTGATTATTCTTACTTTTTCCTGTTGGGAAAATGATCGCTTTAATGCAATTTCTTTTAATATAGGAGAAGCTGCTTGTTTCGGCTTAAATGGAGAGATTTTGATAGTTTCGGCGACGTTTTTTCTTGTGCTGAAATTCACTCTGGCTGATTTTTTGGGTTTAGGGTCTTCTGATTCAGCGTTTTGTGAGTAGTGCTGCTCATTATCAAAATATTTCCCAGACATTTGTGTATTGGAGGCTAAGCTGTATTCGCTTTGGTTTCTATTAAGTTTGCCATCAACTGGTGCAATTATTAAGGATGATTGGTCATTTTGTGCGTGAATTGACATATCATTTATTGAAGAATCCTGAAATGAAGTCTGCTGAATTTTTGCTGTTAAAATTGGAGGTAGATTTTTTCCATATATTTGGAAAGTTGGTTTTCCTTGCTGCTCTCTTGGGATATCAAGGTGGAACATATAAGTTTTAAATAGTATATTACTTATTATTTAATAAAAGGAAAATTATGCTACAGGAGTTAAGTCCTTGCTTCTGCTTTAATTTATATTTTATATAATTATCAAGAGTAATCAAGCGATTGCTATGCCTTCAGCTATCAAAAAGCGATAATCCGCATATTTAACATTTTTATTTAATGATCAGCTGGTCTTATGATATTAGTCAAAGCAAGCTTTTTTGAGTGTAAGGTAATAAGAATTATTATGAAGTAATAGAAGTGTTAATCCAGGATTTCTCTTTATAATACTTACTCCCCCCTCCGTGAGTGAACAAAACCATTAGAAAAATCGCTATTATTTTGCCTAAAAAAACCCACCCTCTGTGAGTGAACAAAAATTTTTTTAATAGAAAAATTTTTGATGGAAAAAAAATTTGATATATAAATGATAATTAATATAATGAAATCTAGAGCTAATTCTGTTTAATTTTAAACGAATTGCTATTTTAAAACATAAATTTTATAAATTAAATTAATATTTACTTTCCAATTTTTGCGAATTAGGATTTTTTTAAATTTCGAAAAGAAATATTTTTATAAAATTTATATATAAAGTTTTTTTAAAAAAAAAATAATCCCCCTCCGTGAGTGAACAAAATTTTTTTGTTCACTCACGGAGGGGGGGAGTTAGATTTTAATACTAAATGGCCAAGGTCTATAAATATCAATAACCAGTAATGGAATTATTTTACTCAACTAGCTTTATAGCGAATATTTATTATTTAGAATACCCAACTATCTAATAAAAAGCCCTAATATTGTCCTCAATTTCTTTTAGCAATAGTCTTAAAAGCATGAAAAATCCTAATTTTCTGAATTTCTTCTCCTTATTCCTCACCTCTTCTAGACTACTCCTCCTTTATTCCTGATTTTATTCAATTTCTCCCTAAATTGAACTATAAATAATATCTTACTAATGGACCACTTCTTTCATTCTTTTCATATATTTTCTAAAGATGGAGAACACCTCTACTCAAAGAACTCGAGATGAAGGATTAAACCAGTATTCCGTTTCCCAACTTAACGGACCTTCTGCCATCAACCGCCGAACTGCCAAAGTAATCGGCTCCACTTTTCAGCTGGATGCTCGCTATGAAATTATTGACACTCTCGGAAGCGGCGCTTACGGAGTAGTCGTCTCAGCACGTGACACAGTAACAGGAGAGCATGTAGCAATAAAAAAGATCGAAAAAGCCTTCGAACATTCCACATTTACAAAGCGAACTTTAAGAGAACTGATAATTCTGCGGCTTTTAAATCACGAAAACATAATGAGAATCAAAACCATTCAGTTGCCATTATCTCGTGAAGATTTTGATGAAATTTATGTCGTCAACGAGCTTATGGAAACTGACTTAAGTTCTATTATAAAGTCTCCTCAGCCGCTATCAGACGAACACTGCCAATTCTTTTTGTATCAGATTCTTAGAGGGTTAAAGTTCATGCATAGTGCATGTATTCTGCATAGGGATTTGAAGCCAAGAAACTTGCTGGTCAACTCAAACTGTGACTTGAAAATATGCGACTTTGGGCTGGCAAGGCCGAATATGAAGGAGCTGAAAGTAACGTCTACACAAATGACTGATTATGTAGCTACTAGGTGGTACAGAGCACCAGAAGTCTTATTAACTTATAAAAAATATACACCGGCCATGGACATGTGGTCTGTGGGCTGCATTTTTGGGGAGCTTTTGCTCAGAAAACCGATTTTGCCTGGAAATGACGCAAATCATCAGCTGGAGCTGATTTTTAACCTGCTTGGGACTCCTTCTGACAAAGATATAGCAAGCATCCCACACCCTCGTTCCCGAGAAAAAGTGATGAGGATGACGAAAAGATCAGGAAAATCATTTGAAGCCACCTTCCGCAGTGCAAATCCTGATGCGTTAGATTTATTGAAAAAAATGCTGACATTTAATCCTGATGAAAGAATTAAGGTAGAAGATGCGCTGGCTCATCCATATCTGGCTGCTTTACATTTTCCTGATGATGAGCCTACTTGTGATCCGGTTTCTTTGTTTGATTTTGAGTTTGAAAGGCAGGTGCTGACAATGAATGACTTAAAAAACTTGATTTATGAAGAAATACTGCTATATCATTTTCAAGGAAAAAAAGAACAATATGAAAAAGCTAAAAAAGATTATGATAGGCAGCTGCACTTGCCTGGGAGAAGACTTTCGAGAGACAGAGAAGAAAGCGATGAGGAAGATGAGCTAAACTAGTTAATTGATAAAATGTGTTTAAGCATTGTATTAAATCATTATTTCATTTTTATTTGTGCTAATTTATACTTTGTTTGAAATTTCTATATAAAGCATGGAGGATAAATATAGAAAAATAATTATTTTTATAAAATATTTTTTGAAAATTTGTTAAAGCAGTTTAACATTTGCAAAACCATTTAATGCTCTATGGCTTCATAAATATTTTTATTATATGGAAAAAATTATTGAAATTATGGCAAATATCTAGAACTATTTCATATTCTAAATTATATTGCATATTAATGCTGGGCTTTCCATATCTTTCGATGTCAATTTTTTCTGGTATGCAGGAGAATTAGGTAGATTTCCCAATGTGATATAAGCATAATTTTTTTATAAATCCATTTAATTCAGCTGAATAAAAAACATATCAAAGACTATCGCAAAATAATGAGATATAAGATGAAATAAATTGGGGGACTTAGCAAGAGTTATAGTTATGGATTGGGTAATAAATGAATGGTTTATTGTGGAAGAGAACAGGGAAGCAAAAACAACAGCAAAAGAAAGCAGCATTGCTTATCAATGTATCGTTAAAGGATGCAGCCACAAGGTTAAAACATTAAACCAATTAAATTAGAATGCAGCTATTTTTTATATAATAGTAATTAATTTAATTTCTTAAAAAACGAATTTTATTTAATCTTAAATGGCATAAAAAGGTTATGTCACCACTTAAAAAAGCATTTTTTTAAATGCCCAGAAGATAATGGAAAGTTTAAATGCTTTTGCAAGCTTATTCGGCACATCCAAAAAGAGCATTTAGTCTGCCAAGTCTCAACGAATCAAGACCAAACATCTAATTCAAATAAAGAGGAAGTGATTCAGGAAAGCTTAACAAGTTTAAAACCAATAGAGGATGAGATTGATAATAATAAGATGCCAAACATCGCGATTCCTATAAATTTCAGTGATGAAATTCCAAAGAAGAGGCAAAATTCAATAGATAATGACCAAGGAGCGACAAAGAAAAATTTTCATTCAGCTCTTAAGCCATTCAAAAAGAGTGAAGCTGTTTATAAAGACACTTGAAAATCTTGCACAAATGACTTTAGCTCCGCTCCTGATTACGGAGTTCGAAATCTAACTCCCTCCAACCCTCCATGAACGAACAAAAAAATTTTGTTCACTTACGGAGGGAGATTAATTTTTTTTTTAAAATTTATATACAAATTTTATTGAAATTTTTTTAAAAATTTAAAAACTCAAAATTGGAAAAAATTGAGTGGCAAAAATTAATTTAATTTAATAAATTTAAGTTTTAAAATGCAAGTGTTTAAAATTAAACAGAATTAACTAGAAATTTCATTATAATAATATCATTTGTATATCAAAATTATTTTTTTATAAAAAATTTTTGTCCGCTCATGGAGGGTGGGTTTTGGGCAAAAATGGCGATTTTTCAATGACTTTGTTCGCTCAGGGAGGGGGGGAGTAAGTAAATTAGACGGCTCTAATAACAAAGAGATCTTTGAGAAAAAATACTATGAAGGCAATAAGAAAGATTTACCAAGTGAAGTAATGCTAGTAAAGCCTGAGATACCTCAGAAGAAATCAGTGAAGCATGAAAAGGATCACAAAAAGCCTTCAACTGCTTCTAAGAATTCAAATAATACAGTGAGGTGCGCTTTAAACCCTTTTACAGCTAGAGTAGCTAACTCTCTTTCCTCCATGGCATGGCAAGCAAAGCAACCAGAAAATCCTCTTATTTTGGAATTTGACATTTAAATAATAATTATTATAATGAAATCTAAATTTTACTTGTTTAATACATTTTTTAATAATTAATTTATCTAATATTGGAATTCAATCCAAACAAAAAAAATTTAATATAAAATGATTTAAAAATAAAATGTCATCTCCTTTAAAGAAAAAAAAATTAAGTTAGCTTGAGGAGAGAGGATTAAGAAAAGTGCGGCTAAATTTGAAGATATACCTATGATACCTAGCCATAATTCTTTGCAGAAACGCCAATTTAATGATGATCATGCCCGAAGAGTATTTAAATAATTTGTAATAAACCCTTTATTACATTGAATTTTATAAGTTGATCTATTATTAATAATTAATGATATTGCCTAGATTTGATTTAGCTATTTATTAACTTCATAATAGCCAAAAAACGCTATAATAAGAATAAAGTATCGCTTAATATTTCTGCGAGTCATAATTTATTCGCTAACTCTCCCCTGCAAAACCATCAGAAGAATCCCTAATTTATATAATTAAAACTCTGAGCTAGTGAGCAAAAATTTTTTATTATTTTTTAGATTAAAATATTTTGATATGTGATAAGACTAACTAGTGAGATCTTCTATCGATTCGATTAAATTGCAAATGCTTACATTTTTGAATATTAATTTCATAAATTAAGTTAAATTTTTCTTACTTACTTAGTTACATAGTTTTTAAGGTGTCTAGTGCCCACACCCCTTAATGAAAAAGGGTCAAAGCGACAACTAGTGACGTCACCAAGCCATCTTGGAATATGTGGTCAGCCCACACCCAAGCCTTCTATGAGGCTAGTCGCCAGATAAATCGCCGCACATCTCACACGGCGCGTTGCCGTCGCTCGTCCAGACTCAGCTCCTGCGCGTGTTCCGCCTAAGGGTCATCCTCCCGTGGGGACGTGCTGAGAGGTAAAACTCCGAAATCTTGAGTGCACTGAGGAGTCGTGCCTTTGGTTATCCCCAAAGTTAAACGACTATTGCTGTGCAGAAGTTCTCGAGAGAAAACCCAACCCCATAAATAAAATTCCATGAGGGAGAGAAAATTGGCAGAGCCAATTTCTCTCGAACCGAATGCCATTTTATTTATAAGTTAAATTTTTCATTAAATATTTTGATTGATTCTTAAAATCCAAAATTATATTTTATATAAAATTAAACCCCTTGATTAGCGAGCAATATTTATATTGCTCGCTAATCAAGTGGAGTAAAGTAATACATTAACTAATGTCAAAAGAAGTAAAAGCAGATTTTTTAGCAATTCAAGGGCTTCTCAAAAGCAAATCGAAGCCAGTCATTGAGCATACTACTTTGAGCCGAGACAGATATAATGGATGCCGATCTACAAGCACTGGCATCTCCTCTTCAAATCAAGACTTATTTTTTCAAGCCAAGCTCGAGAGAGATTCATTTAACAAGTCAGCAACTCTGAGCTTTCGAGAACAAAATCTCAAGCGAAAACCTGTAAAACTCGAAAAAATGCAAAATTCTCAAAACAACCATTCCAGCCCATCTCCTGATTTCACAGCTCACAGCTTTTTATTGCAACCAAAAACAGTTGACCCAGGAGATCTCTACAAAATTAATATGAGAAAAAGCTCTATTGATCAGTTAATTGACCTAAATCCTGCTGATGAAATAATTGCAAAAGAAGAAGCCTTAAACTTAAACTTAAAGATAGGCGTCTGCCATATTGGTTACGCAGTCACCAAGGACTCTCCCGTACGGGCAGTTCATCCGCTTTGCGCCGTCTTCAGCTTCGCCTTGCTCGAATTGGGGCAATGATTTGCTGGGCAAGTGGGCAGCTCTGACACCACCTTTCTTCTCCTTCAGCGCCTGATGCCATGGCACTTCTGAAGTGAGACTCTGCTTGGACGTCTCCTCCTCCCTTTCGGTCCAGTGTTGAGTGGGCGGACTATGGACTTCTGCGGCTGCTGCATGTGTAACAAGGTTGGCATCCAAAAATCCCAAAAAATGGAATTTCTGTTCGACCTTTCGGCAAAAAGGAAAATCTGAATCCCGGGACGTAACGCCCGGTTTCACGCTAGGCAGTTGCCCGATTGGTCTGGGGATTACCTGCAGACTTTGCTGGGCTTGCCCTTTCCAAATCCAAACCCTCCTTTCCCTTGAGGTAAAAACCTAATCTTGAAAATAGACTAAGGGCTAGGCTCTGTGCATTACCAGAATTGCTTACCTAGCATTGCCGTCCATTTCTGGATTAGTAAAACCTTGCCGGATATAAATAAAATATAAGTCGAGTATGCATGGCCGGGAGGCCATGCCCAGACGAAGACGCCATATTTTATTTATGCAAAAGAAGAAGCCAAAAAAGCGAATTTTTGAAAAATTGCCAAAAATTTGACAAAATCAAAAAACTTCTTTCAAACCAAGATTTAAGGTATTTTGAAGACTTTATTGCAGGATTAGAAGCTTCTGGGAAAATATTTTGTGAATGTGAGTGACTTAATGGAAAAGGAAGGGTTGAAGCTGTTAATACAGTTTCTCATCTTGTCGCTTTGGTGCTTAAAGCAGTTTCAGATCTAATTGAAAAGAAAAATAAAGATAAAACAATGATAGAAACTTTGAAAAGTGAAAATGAAGTCTTGGCAAGTGAAAACAATCGAATGAAAGACTTACAAAACAAACTGGAATATACAAGCTCTAAATTGCAGAAACTCGAAAGCTCAAGGCATGAATTTTCCAATTCTATCGGTCAAACCCAAAGACTTGCTGAAATTGAAAAAGAAAAATTAGTAGAAAAAAACAGCATTTTAGAAAAATATATAGGTGAGCTCAAGGACGTCACAAAAATTGACTCGCTGAATTCAGAACTAGAAAAATATAAAGAAAATTATCAAAAAATGATAAAAGAATATCAAGCTTTTAAAAGAGATAAAGAGTCAAAATTGTATCGAATGCAATTAGAAATAGGAGAGCTAAGAAGTAGCTTACAAAAGAACTCATCTTCAATAGAAACCTATGACACCCAAAAAAAAGTTCTAGAGGAAAGAGCCTATGTAGTTGAATTAAAAAATAGAAGCTTAATGGAAAAATTATCAGAATATACTGATAAATGCTGAATTATAACCCATAAAAATGTATTTAAATTAATAATTTTAAAAAAATAAAAAGGTATATAGAGAAAGAGTAGCAATGCTATATGAAGACTGCCTAAGATTTGTTGTGTATAGAGATCTCTATACAAAACTAGAAGAACAATTCAATACAATGAGACTAAAATACAACCAGCTTGAGCTCAATATTATAGCTGGAAACGTTACTTTAGCCACAGATGGCGTCATTTGGGTTTCACTTGAAGACCCCTTATTCGACCCAGTCCGTGGATTTCTAGCCAAAGGTGTAGATCCAAAAGTATTCGAGCCTCCAGCTCCCAGAAAAGATAAACGCACAAATACAGAAGTTCCAGTCTATGCCCACACAAGGCATGCAAGAACTGTCACTTATTCAGAAACCCAGCTTGACCCATCATTTGTAAATTTAAGCAAGCTAAAGCTGCAGAAGCCTGGCTATGCCAGTTTATTTGAAATTGGGGACAAGGCTGCAAGCTTTGAGCTGCCATTTACTAATTGGCTGGAAATTACTATGAGGGGAATTTATGATTCTAAATACAATGAGCATATCTTTTGTTCTTTTGAATCAGGGAGAACTCCTTCTAAATTCCCTGAATTTGTATATTGCTGGATCGGCCGATTTACTATTGATCCTGGCGCTCGACAAGTCCGAGAGCTTGAATGGTGGAAACGAGAATCCTCTGATAAGCTTCGTTTAGAGCTTTTATTAGCGCTTAAGCACGAAAAAGCTAAAAAAGTGTGGGAAATTCACACCTTTGTCGAGTTTTTAAATGAAGATTTGATGCTTGATGAACTAGCGTTTTTCCTGCACTGCAGATTTCTTTTATTTAAAGGACCACAACTTATGATCACATCTGGGAGGTTTTCTGCTTTACATTTTGTAGCTTTAGACCATGTTTTCGAAATAATTGATAGAGTTATGGAAAAAATCAGCCCAAAGGACCGCTCTGAGCTTAAGTCTCAGCTGCAGTCCAAAGCCCGCAACAAAAACGGCTCTTTGACTCTTGATGCCGGTCTCGTAATTGTTATAATGTATTGACAATATATTTTATTTTGCTTATTTATGGTAAATTGATTTTAAAATGTCAAAAAAATTTTGACATGCCATTATATATAAAACTGAGTCTATGGTATGTTAAAATTTTTTTGGCATTTTAAAATCAATTTACCATAAATAAGCAAAATGAAATTTATGCAAGGGATTATATCTAGGCTCTACGAATTATGCTTGAATACTACATTCGTGAGAAAAAATGCAAATATCTGGTAATAAAAGGACTTTTTAATCTAGCCCCAAAAAAGCCAGATGGAGGTTTGGCGTTTCAAACTTTTAGGATTATCTGTTTAAACCTGGATCCTGAAGCAAGTGAATCTTTGATAGTAAAAATGTATAGAGACCTCTGGGCGTTTGGCAATGGCCAAATAAATCATGATAATTTTTTTGTTTATGCCAATGAAAATGGATTTTTTTTCCATAGCTTAAGACTTAAAGGAAATGAAGATCCTTTACCACTGACCCCATATAATGAAATTGATGAAAAAGCTTCAGATTATGCTAAAAGAATGCGGGAGACTTTTAATACTTATGCACATTTAAAGCAGCCGACTGCGTTAATTAGGGAAGCTTTAAGGTCACTTGGGGTTATTGATTTATTAGATAATTTTGTAAAATTAGAAGAGCTGGTTAAAAATAAGTACCAAGAGCCTTTGGAAAACTATAGAGGAATGAATTTGTTGGATACTTATAAGCATCTTTGGAATCTTGCAATTCAGCTGCAAATCATTTTTGAGCAGGTTTATTCCTTCAGCCCTGCAATGCAAGGCAGTGAAGAAATCAAAGATTTGGAAATAATTTCGCTTCCGAGGGCTTGTGAAGGGTTTATTGAGAAGCTGCATAAGATTACCTTGCAAAAATTGACTACAATTGTAGCTATAAGAAAAATACAAAGAAATTGGAAGGATAAGGCGAGGAAGAGTTTGAGCATTGCGGCAACTGTGTTTAAAGGAATAGCCCTACTAAAGAGAGGGCTAAAGCATCATAAGAATCAAAGCTCGACTCATAGCCAAAATTCAACTTACCCCCTCCTTGAGTTAAGAAATTTTAAAATCCTTTTGGAAAAATTAAACATATTTGCGATAGAACATAAAAATTTATATAAATTTATTGATATAGATGTGACCATTATTAAAATGAAAATTTCTATTAATTTTTTAACTTGTCTTCTATTATAATAAATTTTATAAATAAAATTAATTTTAATGTTAATAATATAAAGCTAAAAAAATTAATTTTGCATGCTCATAGAGAATAAGATTTAGAAAATTTTTTGACATAAATAATTATCATTATTCAATTTTTATTAAATAGGAACTTTTCAAAATTAAAATTCTATGACTCCTAGCAATTCTCCATTATTTTTAAATTTTTTATTGGATGCTGTACTGCTTCCAAAAAACTATTATAAAGCTAATAGAAAGATTACTCAAATATATTCTAAATAATAAATAATGGAAAATCACTCCAAAATCCAAGTAAAAATTTCGTCGCTTCGTGAAAAGTTGCAAACTGCAGCCAAAAGAGGCTCAACACCTTCATCCCCTTTAACTCGAGCACAAACTGAAAGCTCTTCTAGGCTTCCTCACATCTCCAGAAGATCTGCCAGCTCGAATGTCCTCATCACACAAGATGAAGATAGCCCTTTGTCAAGAGATGTCTCGCACATTCATGACAATTTAATGAAAAGAGCAAATAATTATACTTTTAGAAAAAGCATGCTAATATATATTAAAATGGCAACACGTGCCGACCTGCCCTCTTGACGCAACAGTCTACCTTATGGCCACGGCGAGATGTGATGGAGCCGAGAATCAAGTGCAGGCTCAAGAGATGTGCATCCGGGTAGGTTTTGGCTGCTTTCCTGTAGTTGGAAATGGAGGTGTTCAACAATGCCCTTGAGATTCCAGATCCATGGTATTTCCTCTACTGAGAAACTGGGGGTTTCGGCCCAGGCCACAGGGAATAGTCTTTTTCCTGTAGTTGTCGAAGGAAGGTACTTCGGGACCTAAAAGATCCCAAGGAGTTGATCCATGGAATCAAGCTACTCCAATTGCCCGTAGCAGGGCCGCAGAAATCCATAATCCACCCACTTAAGACTGAGACAGAAGGCATTGGAAGTAACACCCATTTTTTGGAATTAGACCCTCTGGGCTTGAGTTGAAAAGCAAATGAACCTACTTTATGAGAAGTCTTTGGCGACTGCGCCACAAATATTGCCAATGCCTGACTTTTAATAACCTAATCTAGAAAAAGCATGCTTACTCCCCCCCCCCCTCCGTGAGTGAACAAAAAAATTTTGTGGGATTAATTTTTTGTTTTTTAAAAATTTGTATAAAAAAGATTTTTTTTCGAAATTTAAAAAAATCCTAATTCGCAAAAATTTGGAAAGCAAAAATTAATTTAATTTATAAAATTTATGTTTTAAAAAGCAATTCGTTCAAAATTAAACAGAATTAGCTCTAGATTTCATTATAATAATTATCATTTATATATCAAAATTTTTTTCAATAAAAAATTTTTGTTCACTCACGGAGGGTGGGTTTTTGGGCAAAAAATAGGGATTTTTCTAATGGTTTTGTTCACTCACGGAGGGGGGGGGAGTTAATGAAATTTTAGGAATCAAAGAAAATGAGAAAGGACATATAACGTTACCTATCAACTTGCTAGAAATAGAAAAAGAAATATTAAAAATAAGGGAAAAAGAAGAAAAGGAAGAAGAAAATAAGTCAAAAACAGACAGAAACCCAATAGAAAATGCAGTGAAGGAATGCGACATTTTATTTAAAAGCAAATTTGAAGATTTAAATATAGAGATAGAAAAGGTTTATGGCAGAAAAATATCTACAAGCTATTCACCCATAAGAGCAATAATAAGAGCTAATTCAGAGAGGCAATTGGCTAGGCCTGACACAGCCCTTACTTCCTCCCCGTGGCGAATAAAACTATTCGAAAATCCTAACGAGAGCGCAAAATTTTATATAAAAAAATAATATATTCTAATTAAATTTAACTGCTTAGATTCTAAAACATAAATTTTTCTTTCTTTCTAGAAAGGATTTAGGGTGCCATCAGGCAGAAAAGAAGTCGAAATTTTAAATTTCTGGCTTGACTATATGATCGACACACAAGTTAATCAAGTGAGCGACATAGAATTTGACAAAAAAATAAAAGTTGCTCAATTAATCTACTCTCGCTGCTTCAAAGAAATCATCAGACAAATAAGTGTCCATTGCATAGAAAGAGGAGAACTAATGGAAAAAGTATGAAGCGGACTGCTAAATTTATTTTCCCAAAATGATATAGAAACTACAGTTAAAATCGAAAAAAAGCAAAAAGTCCTTGAAGAAGTGTTAACTAAACATAAAGAAAAGCATGAAGAACTAATTAAAGCTGAAAGAAGCGAAATAAAAAAGCTTCACGAAACAATTAAATGCAAAGATAAATATATACAAGAAATATCAGCAGAGGTTAACGATTTAAAAGATAAAATCGAGAGCTATAAATCAAGGGTTAGAGAATTAAGTGAATCTTTATCAAAAGCAGTAAGGAATACTTCTTTATTATATCAGCAATTCAGAGATATAGAAAATCACGTCACTATAAATGAAGAAGAGTTTTCATTCTATAGTGAAGAGGATGAGCCAAAAGAAGAAAAACCTGAGTCAAAAATGATAAAAATTGATAAAGCCAAGCTGTATAGGCCTATGATTTTAGCTGGATATTTTGATTTGACTGGAAAATTCCATAGGAAACAACAGTTTATTAGGGATGATGATAATGTGCTAAAAGCAGCTGATTTTTCATATGAAATCGCACAAATGGTGGAATTGCGCCATAAAGGGACATCAACTGAAGAAGATATTGAAGTTATTGTCATAAACAATGCAACGACTCCAAGAGATATAAAAAACTGAATAAGCCCTGGGATACTAAAGTTTATAGTCGGACTTTATTCTTTGCAGCTATCTGGCAAAGCAAAATATAATATGAATAAGTTCACCCAAACTTTTGTTCTAAAAGATATTGCAAGGCAGTCAAAGATTGAAATAAAGCCGCCTTTTAAAAGAAGAGATACCACTCATATCATAGAACTGCCTGGAGAATTTGCTTCTATTGGCATTCAAACAAATGATATTGTAGCCAGCCCTAGAAAAGGCAGAAGCCCTGGAAAAAGAGCTATGACAATTATAAGGAAAAACAAAGGAAAAATTAAAGCTCTTTATTCCAAAATGGAAGAAAAAATGATCAATGAGTATCTTGGAAAAGAAGACGTAAAGAGCAATCTAAAGAAAACTGAATCTGTGCCTGCATTAGAGAGCACTTCTCCTATCTCATTTAAACGAAAATCCAATTCTCCTGATAAAAACAAAATCAGTAATTTGAAAATTGCTTCTTCAACAAAAGGAAGATCAAATACTTTATTTGATAAAAAATCAGGGGAATCAAGCCCAGACAAACCAGAAATCTCTTGTCCAGCTTCAAATAAAGGGTTTTCGTCATCATTAAAAGTCGTAGAAGTGGCTGATAAAGAGTCCTTTACAGCAATAGATGCTAATGAAATACTACCTATAAAAGATAAAGAATCCTTTACAGCAGAAGAAGCTAATGAAGTCCTCCCAACAAAAATGCTTAAGAAAATAGAAAAATTAAAAGAATCAGTCAATGTTATGCTCGTCAAAGAAAACTTCTCATCGGCATCAGTAGCATGGGATGAAGAGACCAAGGAAAACGCCCACAAGCTGCGCGTTATGCTGGATTCTCTGTATCCGCTCCAAGAGTCAAATATTACGACATCTATAACTCCCGTGAAATTATTTCACGCTTATGTTCAAACTGATATTTCTGGAGAAAACATATTCATTGATAGAGTCTTCAGCACAGCAAAAACATCAAGGTTTGACGAGGAAATGACGGATGAGCCTAGCTATAAGTGCATGCCTTCAAAAAGTAAGACGAAAATTTCAGATTTTATTATAGAAAGTGATCAGTCCCCAGAAAAGTCATTTGAATCTGTAGAAAGCCCATACAAGTCCCCCCAAAAGGAAAAGCCGAAGCATACTACAATAGCAAAAGCTTTCGTTTTAGGTCAAATCAAGCAAAGAATTGTAGTTTCTCATCCTGGACAAATTTTCCTAGCTCCTTTTTTCATTCAAGCTAATAGAATTAGTTAGAGATTTCATTATAATAATTATTAATTATACAATATTTTATATATGAAATTTTTTTCCCTGCTCTTAAAAGGGAGTAAATAAATTTATGACCCATTTGATTAGTAATTATGTAAGGAGAATAATGAACGTCCAACAACTCATGAAAATCATTAATAAAGTTTATAGTGAAAAAATCTCATTATCAAGAGAAAGCGTCAACCATAAAAGACATGAGGCAAGCATGGTGCTATATGATGTCCTTATTAATCAATATGGGCTGAAAGATGTAGCTAAAATGAAGTTCCAGCAGACAATTTTAGCCTCACTCAGCTTTAAGCAGTACCCAAGAGTTGCAAACTTTGTAAAGTTTTTAGGAATTGAAGGAAACTTCAGTGTAGATGACTGAAACTTGTACCTTTTTGCAGTTGAATATATGTACTCTTGCAATATAGGCCCTTATATCTACAATAAAGAGACTTCTCCAGTTCACTATTGTCCTTATGAAAGAGCCATAAAATGCACCTATACCTTTTTTGAGAACAGGCTGGACAATAACATCTTCCAAGAGCTGATTGAACAAGTCCGATCCCTCAGAATTGAAGAGCCAATTCAGAAATCAAGCAGACTTGTAAGGACCTCCATCTCCTCCATTGACAAAATCGACACTGACCAATTTTTAATCCTCATTTTAGACTATTATCACAAGCTCAAAGACTCATACCTAAAAAGACTAGCCCCTCGGACTGAAAAATACGCGCTTCTAACCCTTCTTGAGTTTCTACGCCTTTTCAGGTCGAAAGCTGAACTTAAGCTGACAGAAGATGAACTAGTGAAAATATTCCACCAGCTTTCAATCTCAAAAATTGCTGATGACAAACAACTGGTGCAATATATCACCCTTGATAGCTTTTTAAGCTATGTTGTTGACAATGATATAATAATTTTTGATAATTTATAAATTATTTATAAAATTAAAATGGGAAGCTCACCAAGCTGCTTTCCAAATCGACATCAAAGGCCATCGTTCAGATGTTCGAGAAGACTACAAAGAAGTGACACAAATTCCAGTCCTGGAAGAAGGGATATGGACCGTTTTAAAATACTGAGTTCTGCATTAAATGGGTGCAAGATCCATACAAATTGAAAAAGAGAGTTAGTTAATTGGGCTAACTGCTAAGTTCTTAAATAACAAAGAATGTTTTTTTAAAGAATATTGGCGTATAAACAAAATGAAGAAAAAACTAATCCTTGATTTACCATATTTGACCTTTCATAATTAACATTGAGTTTTTAAGAGTTAATGATCAATTTTTAAATAAATTATTTGAATTGAAGTTTAATTATTTCGGGAATGGACTTTTAAGGTATTTATAAACGAATTATTTTGCTTGGTATTTTAGAAATAAAATTTCGTTGGGTTTGGAATTCCGTACTCCACATATCATTGCAAAGATCAAGGATTTTTCTTTCTCGAAAGAAAAAGGTGATTGCGCTAGAAGAGAATGAGCACTCACAAGCCATTTTTAGCCTTTAATTTAGTTGGCAAAATGTTATACTTGAACTTAGTATTTGTTTATAGGAGAGCGTCTCCTTGTCTTTTGATAATTTTCGGCTTTATAAATAAATTTATACAATAATTAAAAGCATCTTGAGTCTTTAGTAGATAAAATATTATAATCAAAATTTGAATAAAAATTGTGATAGATTATGAAGGAGAGTAATAAAATAATTGATTTATAAGGAATATAGAAAGAAACCCGCTCTCCTAGCCAAAAACAAAGCAGATAATAGATTAACTTGACTAAATTTATGTTGTTAAAAAAATTATAACATAAAGATCCTCCTTTAATATCAGAAAGCATAATAAATTTGGGAATATATAAGCCTGCAAATAAAGCGCAATTTAAGCATCGAGTATTGTAGGCATAATTAAATATGTTCACATAAAATATTTGGGGAGTTAAAATAAGAAATGAATTTTTCTTTCAAATTTGCTCTCTTTAAGCATTGTAATATTGCATCAGGAATCATCATAAAATGATTTCTTACAATAGAAAAGCTTAATAGACTATTTATAACTCTCGCTCTCTAAAGCAAAACATTTTAATTATCCATAAAAGGAGATAATTTTTTTAAATTTTTTCAATTTTATTAAACAATTTCCTATAATAAACACAAATATAGTTTATTTAGTCTATTCCCTCATTAAAAATTATATTTAGTATATCTGCCTATTCTCGAAAATAGAGTAAGCTATTTGCAAAAGTTTTTAGTTATTAAATTTTAAGCCTCTTCTTTTATCTCGCCATTGATTTGGTAAGGGATTTTGACTGATCCGAAAGCTTGCTTGCTCCATTCAATCAAAGATTTTGGATTTCCAAGGTCAACTAAATCTTTAACAGTCACGACTCCATCTTGGTCATAATCCAATTTCTTCCACACCTTATCATCCAAATATACGGTAATTGACTCTCCTCCAACAGTATTCAGCATTTTATCAAACAAATTCCTGATATCCTGTGGCCACTGCTTTTCCAAAATATCTTCCTTCTTCATTTCTTTTATCTCGTCATAGAAATCTACAATTGCCTCCAGCTTATCATGTATCCCTAATGCCTGGTCAATTTTCCCATAAACTTTTGTATTTGCTATATATTCTCTTTGATTATCCAAAAAGTCCACAATTCTCAGCCCCATTTCTCTTTGAAAATGCCATATGGAATTTAAAGCCTTGGTGCTTGCGTCAATCGGGACTCTATAAATTTGTTCAATATGATATTTCTCAAACACAGTTGAGCTCCACAAGTAAAGTTCATCAGCCCCTGCCAGTATCAAAACGCTTGTGGACTCGGCCATTTGTTTTGCTTTTTTAAGCCACCCATCGGGCAAGGATTTTTTTTCAAGGGCTTCTTGGGTGAGGTTTATCAGTGAGTCAACTGTGTAATCGATTTTTTCGATGAGCGGTGAGCCGTATTCAGCAACCCTGGAACTAAAAGGCGAAATAATGGGAGAAACCATATCAATTCCTTGCTCGAGCATCGGGAATTTGGATTTTGTTTTGTCGTATAATGAGCTGGCGCTTTCAACAATTCTGTTGATGTATTTTCTCTGGGAAGCGTCCTGGACTTGCTGTTCTTGATCAGACTCTCCGTGCATTGTTATTCAATAATTAAATTTATATTCCTGATGGTTTTCCTTTTATCATTAGTGACGCATTTTTGTGGGTGACGTAAACAATGGTATTTCTTGAAAATTTAAATATATCAGATTTCGATGGCTTATTAGAACCAATGCAAATACTCATGGCGGATTTTAGTGTATCTTAATTCATATGCAAAGTAGAACATCTTGTGGGAATTTTTCTAGCAAATAGCGTTACAATCTTGATGTGTCAAATTAAGGGAAGGGCTAGGAGAAATGAAGACTTATGCTAATTAAAATTACTCAGGATGGTTTTCATAAGGTAAGTTTATCTCTGCGATATCAGTCTATAGAGACCATGGCTTTTCTCTTATATTCCAGAAAAGAAAATATTGAAATTAATTTATAAATCTATTGAATGGTCACTCCCTGAATCGTTTTCCAGCTGCTTGTCGATTTCTTCAAAATCAAACTTGCCTGCAGCTTCTCCTTTTCCGCCTGCCCAGTTTCGGCTATTCGGCTTATTGACTTCTCTGCCTATATTCCCATCCATTCTAGCTCCTTCGACCATATCTCGCAGTTTAGAAACTCTAGACGGTTTAGAGTCTTTGCTTTGTTTATTCTTTATAAGCTCTATGAGCTTCAAAACCTGCCCTGCATCAATCTGCGTCAAATATCCAGGATGGTCTAGATTCAGTTTATGATAAATTTTTTCAGTTGTCAGTGTCAAATCTTCTTTCGATATATTGAAATCGTGATAAAACTGCTCATTGCCGTTATTATAAATTAAGCATAGTCTAGGAGGGTTGTATTTTACAGCAAGTTGCAAAGGCTGAATGTTCATTATTTAATTATTTTAATTTAAACATGGGAGTTTCACTAGGTTTCTCTAGAAAATTTTTTAAACCCAGGCAAAGCAATTACTACCACTGTCACGTTGTCCATTGTTCGCCTATTAAGTGCTAGTTTTATGACACTGTCTACGACTGCACCACATTTGTGGTGCAGGTCGACTGCTCTTACATCTGAAATTGAATTTCAAGCGCAATTTATGATTTCTCTATTGGTCAGCTTGTCGTAAATCCCATCAGATGCGAGTAAGATAAAGTCCATGTCTTTTGTAATTCTAAATGATTTCACTTCCGGATTCGGAATTACCACTTTTGGATTCCCGCCCAGCTGAGGCACTTTGGCTTCAACGTCTCCGAAAGTCCGAGAAACGGACAATCTTCCTGGATTCACTCTAAAAGGTCCTAAAACTGGAGATTCAGCATTGTGCCCAAGGAAAATAGGTGTTTGGTAGACCCTTCCGCCAGCTTGAATGATTCTTGACCTCTCTTCTTCGTCAGAAGGTTTATGATCTCTTGAAAGTTGATGAATTTTGCTCCCTCGCTCAGCACTCATAATGGCTCTTGAGTCTCCTACATTGGCTACATAGCACATATCTCCGAAAATTAAAGCAATAATTGCGCATGAGCCTGATTTTTCTATATATCTTCCTTGACATTGGGCTAAAAAATCCTGCTCAGCAGCCATACATCCTTGTTTTATAGCTACTTTGGGGTTTTCAGGGAAGTTTGGCTCTTTTATGATATACTGGTGCAAGTTATCCCTTAAAAAGTCTGCACAAGCAGATCCCCCATGGCCATCATAGACTGCAAAAAACGAGCATTTCGGCCATATTTCTCCAACTCGGCCTTGTGGTTTTATAATATTGTTGATAATGCTGACTCGGTCTTCATTATAACCACGGACTAGTCCTGCATTGGTGCTTGCAGCATATGCTTTTGTGCGTCCATTTTGCTTGACTGAAATACGAGTCGTTTCATTAAAAGTTTCTATGCCTTTCAGGAATTTGTAATGATCATCTAAAGTACGATTTGTGTCTAGGCTTCCTCTGGAACGTTGGTCAATTGCTGGAAGCTTTTCGGAAGTGTGGCGTAAAGATTTTCGCAGGACAGCTTGGGGATGGACTTTATGAGGCAAGCTGATACTTGGAGTGAGAGGCTCCATTCTCAGCTCTGGAGACTTGGGAGAAATGATGTCAAAAATTGCTGCTCGAGTTCGGCCAGGGATAGATACTCATTGGGCTCGAATCTTTGCACTACAACGGAGTTACTCATCGAGATCTTCATCCACAAAATATACGAGGGTGAGTAATAACTTGAGTTTTAGACATGATTTTTGTTAATATGCATCAACTGAAGATTTTAGACCATGAATATTCTTGATTTTATTATTATTATTATAAATAATTACTTAATGGTTTAAGCTTCTAGATCATACACCATAAAGTACATTTTTCTCAGTCTTGCTCGCAGCCATAGATTGCTCTTGCATCAAATCTCTTGAAGCCATTTGAGAGCCCAAAAATCCTATAAACACTAGCGGCATGGCGGGTTTCTCGCTTCGTCTGACTTCTTCCAGCACCTGTTTAGCCTAAGTGTCTTGCCTCTATTGAGAAGATGCATGAAGGATGCGAGGTTAATAAAGCTTAAATTTGCTTTCATACAGAAGTGCATGTATAAACCTAAACTTATATGATAAGAAAAGGAAGTTCCCTTCTCTCATCCGAAGCCATTTAATTTTTGTTTTCTTTTATTATCAAATGGAATTAATTAGAGCAATGATACTTGTGCTTAAATTGAGTAGGATAAAGCTGTTTAAGCATAGGATAAATATTTTAGCTTGAATTTTATTAGACAAATTTTCAAGAGTTTATTATCCTTTGATTAAATTTTTCTTCAGTTATATTTTAATCAACAATTTATTTATAATTAAAAAAACAAAAAATCTAGTTTCTAAAATAGAACATAATATTCTCTAATGTATAATACAAATTTAATATTCCAAGTCGATTTAAATTAAATTTTCCATTTAAATCTCAGCTCATGGTGAAATACCACTTCGAAACTTATGCAAGAATGAAACCCCTAGAAAAGTAATCGCTAATTAGCCCCGAAAACCCTATTGGCTACAACATTTACGTAGAAGCCAAAGTCCTGGAAATTTTTGTACCAAAAAATGAGTCATTCGGCCATGTAAATAATCAAAAAGAAGCATTCCAATTCAAATTCACAGAAATTTTAGACCAAGACTCTACCCAAGAAGATGTGTTTGAAACAGTTGGCAAAGCCTTATCATTAAGCTGCATGGATGGCTACAATGGCACAATTTTCGCATATGGCCAAACTGGTAGTGGCAAAACATACACAATGTCAGGATCTGACACTTGGCAGCTCCGTGGGCTGATTCCTCGCATTTTCACTTCAATTTTCAACGAAGTAGAGCAAAGGACAAACCTTGACTACAACGTCTATGTCACTTTTATGGAAATTTATAATGAATGCGGTTATGATTTACTTGACCCTTCTCACGCTGAGCTGCCTATGGAGAACTGGACTAAAATCCAGCTCTATGAAGATTTATATGGAAATCTCCATTTGAAAAACCTTTCAATCCACCAAGTCCGCAGTGAGCAGGATGGGATTGATTTACTGATGATGGGAAATTTCATAAGGCACGTCAGTACAACACCTATGAATATGGCATCATCGCGCTCTCACTGTATCTTTACAATTGCTTTTGAAAGCAGAGACCATGAGTCAGAAATCATTAGGACGTCAAAACTTCATCTGGTAGATTTGGCTGGAAGTGAAAGGATCTCAAAGTCTCATATAGAAGGAAAAATACTTGAAGAAGCCAAACATATAAATTTATCGCTGACGTACTTGGAGCAGGTCATTATAGCGCTTCATGATAGGCAAAAAGATACGAGGACACATATTCCTTATAGAAACTCATTGATGACAACGATATTGAGAGACAGTTTAGGAGGGAACTGCAAAACGGTCCTTATAGCTACTATGAACTCAGATGCAAACCAGCTAGAAGAAACTTTAAGCACTGCAAAATTCGCTAAGAGGTGCTCGAAATTAGTAGCAGATGTCAGTGTCAATGAACAAGTTGACAGTAATTTGCTTATACAAAGACTGAGACAAGAAAATGCACAGCTGAAAAGACAGCTGGCAAACTCAAGTGAAGACAGCAGGCTTACAGATTCGCCTTCTTTGACTTTGTCGGACTCTGAGCTGTGTAAAAAGCAAGTGGCAATGTTTCTTGCGAACAATTCACAGCCAAAGCTTATTATATCGACTCTTCAGCAAACTTATAGATGCTTGCAGCTATTTAAAGAAGCAATTCTTATCAAGGAAGAGCATTACCAAGCTGAAATTCAGCAGCTGCAGGACCATATTCAAGAGCTTATGCAAAGACGTATTAGATAAAATAATTAAATTAACATCTAATCTAAAATTATCTTAAACCAACGTTTCAATAAAAAAATATAATGAATCGCTTTTTTCAGAATGGATGTCATTTGGGTTTTATTGCTCATACTAAAAATGGAGTTGAACTCCTCAACAACTCTATTATAGGTAAAAATAGCTTGCGAAAGTTGATTAAAATAGTGCTCTATAGCGTAATTAGACAACTGATAGCCTATAATATAATGTATTTTAATATAAAATGGATTATGAACAGGCACTAGATCAAGCTCTAGGCTCCGGAATGAATCATTATGTTGAAAAAAACTCCTGAAACCCTGTATTTTTTGATGATTGCTTCGGAATCTATACTAAACCTCACAGTAGTGGGCTAAACATCTATATGGCTGAAATAGTGATAAAAAGAAGTGCTCATGACATCCAAGACTACTTGTGAAATATATACAATTATCAGGAATGGCTCACGCAGTATAAAAATTCAGAACTTCTATCAGAAATGTCTGACTCATGCAAGGTGTTTTATTTATGCACAAAACATATTAAGCATATTAGAGGAAGAGAACTTGTATTGGCATCTATTAACATTAACTTATGTTTAGAAACTTCTTTCTCTGGACTAAAGATCCTTATTCCCTTCTGTAACGCTCCAATCGCCCGCTTTGCTATCAATCGTCTCATGACCTTCAAAGTCTTGCTTTTAGCAGACGTGAGCCTGTGCATGCTACCTGGTAGTCGGAAAGCTTTGGTCACCGTTCCGTACGCCAATAATGGTTATCCGCCTTCGAAAATTCAAAAGGGTTCAATTTTCTTGCCAACTTTCTGAAAATCTATATCTCATGATTTCACGCTGGGGATAGCCTCAATTGGCTAAGACGAACACCATTGACTCCGATTTCCACTTCTGGAACCATCTCCCTCTGAGCCAAAAACTTGGCATTGAAGTAAAACTTGCGGTCGGTCAACCCGATCTTGCCTTTACCAAAACAAGAAAACCTAACCTGATGCATGCATCGAACGCCAGCCTTCCTTCCTCAAGATTATGGCACATTTCGGATAACCAGCTGCAGAGGCTAAGAGGGTAGATTGATTCACCACGCCATTTTAATGTATACTTGTATTGGCATCCAAAAAAAGTGATATGGATAGATACAAGACTGTGATTTTTACTAGTGTAGAGCACGATGCAAGACACGTTTTCTATAAGGTCAGAGGATGGGTCTATTTTTTTACTTTTATTATTGAACAGGTAGGCTCTGAAGAGTCAAATGTTGCGTGACTGTGCCATTATGACCCTAAAGGAGTTAAAGTAAAAAAATTTTACGCAAAGACTACAGTTGATTTTCTGAAAAACCTACAAAACTTAAAGTCAGTCCTAGAAAGAGACAGCTCAAGAATTAGCCCTGTGTAATATTTCTTTTTATACAAATAAACCCTTTTCAATAAATTTTCTTTTTAATTAATTCAATATAAGCTCTTCTTGTATTTAAATTAATAATTCATTAACTTTTTTATACTCCTGAAGTAAATGGTTTCTTTTCCTTCAATTACTCATCCTATTGAGCATCAGCCAACTATATAATTAGCCTTTTCTCTATTAAAAACCCCCAAAGTCCTTATTTTCTCTCATTTCTACCCCATAATCCTATATTCTTTATCCCACTCCTCTTTTCTTTTCATAATTCAAAGCAAATTATATTAAATTCAGCAAATGTAAAACTTACTTAGGTCTAATTTGCTCAACACTTCTACAGAGTCTCACTCCCCCTCCAAATCAAATATCGGCCCCTATCATCTTGGCCGCACCATCGGTGAAGGGACATTCGGAAAAGTCAAGCTCGGGATCCACACTTTAACGGGCGAAAAGGTCGCAATAAAAATTTTGGAAAAGGACCGCATCTGTGATGTGGCTGACGTTGAGAGGGTTTCCAGAGAGATCCACATCCTCAAGCTAATTCGGCACCCCAATATAATCCAATTGTATGAGGTAATCCTTACTTAGATCATTGAAACTCCAAAAAAGCTGTACTTAATCATGGAATACGTAAACAGCGGCGAGCTCTTCGACTACATTGTAAAGCACTCAAGACTAGAAGAAGCGGAAGCCTGCAAAATCTACCACCAGATTATTGCTGGGATTGAATACATTCATAAGTTGAATATTGTTCATAGAGATCTGAAGCCAGAAAATCTGCTTCTTGATCACAACAAAAATATAAAAATTGTTGATTTTGGTCTTAGCAACACTTATAAGCCAGATGAGCTCTTAAAAACGGCTTGTGGCAGTCCTTGTTATGCAGCCCCAGAAATGATCGCAGGAAAAAAATACGCAGGGATTGGGGTTGATATATGAAGCTCAGGGGTTATTTTGTTTGCTATGATATGTGGATATCTGCCATTTGAAGACCCAAATACTTCGCAGTTGTATAAAAAAATTTTGGCTGGGGATTACCATTGTCCGAAGTTTATTTCAAATTCAGCGAAAGAGTTTTTGAAAGGGATTTTAAACACTGACCCTGCAACTCGTTGGAATATTGAGCAGATAAGAAAGCACGCTTGGTTTACCCAGGTTGCGCAAGATGTAAGCTTAGGGATTCTGGTGGGATATGATAACATTTCAGTCGACCAAAGCATTTTAAAGCAGCTTGAAAAGTTTGGTTATGACCTGGAGCACACAAGGAAATGCTTACTCAGTTTGATTACTCCCCCCCTTTAAACTGGAACAAAACGTCAGTAAATTTTCCATTTTTTTTTTTGTATTTTAACCCTTTTAAACTGGAAAAAAAATTCAATAGGAAAATTTGATAGGTAAAAATACTAATTTTTATAAACTTAATTTTGGCCTAATTTAATGGTAAAACTGTAATTAGAGTGCTATTTAAACAGTTTCAGACTAAATAGATTAATTTTTTGGATTAATTGTTTATAAAAATAAATTAAAATTCAAACTATTGTGCTCAATTTATATTTTTGTTAAAATTTTTAGAACAAAAAACATAATTGTTTTTTAATAAAAAAAGTTAACCCCCCTTTAAATTCGAACAAGAATTTTTGTTCCATTTTAAACGAGGAGAGTTAGTAAGATATTTTTGTTCTCAAGTAATGTTCATTTAATTTTTTTAAAAATCAAAATTTGAATGTTATTAATATCATATTTGTCGTAAATAGACATCTATTGAGTATTTTGATTAATAAAATTTAAATTTGATTTTTCAAAATTATATGGATTGCCAAATATATTGGCAAGCCACCTAATATCTGGCTAAAAAATAATTCTTTGTTGAGTCATTAATTTTAAACTAATATATGCATCAAAATATTATATAAAAATAATTTTTGAAGTCATCATAAAGTAGATTTTCAATATTTTTTTCTCTTGAACCAAGGGCTTGTTAGAAGCAAACAAGCATAATCATGTGACAAGTGCTTATTATTTATTATTGAAAAAGCATTTAGATCAAGGCGGGATTTCAGTTGCAGATTATTCCTACATGTCTGAGCATGAGCTAGCTCTTATGTCAATCAAACCAAATCTAAAGTTAAACAAAACTCTTGCTGTGGCAGCTCCTCATCCTCCTCAAGACAAAGGCCAAGTCCTCACTCCTTTTCCAAGGCACCGAAAGTACATTGAAGCATCTGTGTCAAGAAGAGCCGAAAGTATAGGGAACAATAAAGATTACGATTTCATCAATCAATTATTTGCAACCCAAAATCTTCATAAGAAAAACGCTTCTCAACACGTCGCAAAAAGTTCATCTAAAGGTAAAGAAAGATATTCAGCTTCTCCGAACACGAAAAACTCGAAATCAAAACAAATGACCTATCGATTTCCTAATAAAAAAATAGCGACTCCAAGGCCACCAAGTGTTTCTAAGAATTTTGAAGAGAAAAGAAGAGGGAGAAGCAGCATAAATGACAGCTTTGGGAAAGGTCTGGACTTAAATATAACCTATAGGTTTAGCCCAAGAGCGTCTTCAGCAATTGATGGGAAAAAAAGATATAGGTCTAAAAGAGAATCTTCTTTGGGAATCAAATAGCATTTTGCCATAAATTTTATTTAAGCAAATCTGATTTCTATTATATCTGTAAATAATGACTAATAAATATGAAATTGCTCGCATTTTTGCTCGCCTCGATTGCATTAGCTGCAGTCTATAACTTAGATGTAGCATCAAACGCCAGAATTAATCCGGGAGGATCGTCTATTCTTGAAGTCACCTCAAATCCGTCAACAGGATACATGTGGTATTTTGTCCCATCAAATTCAGCTAAGATATCAGTGGATGACCCAAGAGGAGCCTTTATTGCTCCAGCGACAGAGCTTGCAGGAGCACCAGGGAAACAAAGATTTACGATCTCATGCAGCCAACTCTGTGTAGAAGGTGACATACTTGAAGTCATTTTGGCTTTGCAGCGCCCATGGGAACAAGCTCCGATTGATATAAAGAAAGTTTCAGTTGAAGTAACTAATGATCAGTTAGATTAAAACTAATCAGAAATAAACTATTGTAGATTTCCAGATTTTTTTGGCTGCTTTTTAATGATTATTTTCAACTATATAAATCAAAGAAAAATCAGCCAATCTCAAAATTTGAAACTCTTTAGATGTATCTAATACTAACGAATTATGATTTTGAGCAGAATTGCAAAATACGATATAGAAAAAATATGACGTCCAACTTTATTCTCTATTATTTGATATTCCAGGGCCAGATTGATTTTATTCATACTTATAAGAAAATGCTTTTTAATTTTTTTGAGTTATACTCTTGAAGGCTATTCTTTAAGATTAGTTGAACTTAGTGATACCATTAAATAAATTTAAATATATTTGGCATGCAAGAACTGAGTTAATAATGACTAATAACAAAAATTCAAAATATTTCTCATACTGAATAAGTTAAGAATTTAATGAATATAAGATTCCTTGAAGTCTTATCTGCTGGTTAGCATGACTGTCCTTCAGCTTTTGGTCCAGCTCGAGAATCTGCTTTTTAATCTTATAAATCTTCTTCAGACTCTTACTTCTTGTTTCCTCAGAAAACTCATCTTCTTGACAAATCTGCAAATACTCTTTTTTCCCATAATTTCTCCTCCAAAACAGTAAAGTTTCTGCTTCAATCAGCATTTTAATGAGCTCAAACGTGTCTGCAGTGATTTTTTGGTCTTCTACTCTGTTAAAAGTGTCTCCCATCAAGTTAATGATCAAATTAAGCATGATAATTGGGTTTAAAACTGTAAACATAAAGAAATAAAGCCAGAAATACATCCCATAATCCTCAATTCCTGGGTAATCTCCTAGGTTTGTTTGATACGCCTGGGTCACCGCATGGAAAAAGTAATGATCATCACCAGGCTCCTGCACAAGCACAAAAGCAATGAGCGCCAGAGCAATTGTGGAGTAAAACAGGATTGATAAGAAATACACGACATCTTTATATACTTCTTGAACTAAGTTGACAAGGGTTCTCATTGACTTAAAAACTCTAAAATAAGTGATTCCTCTCATCCAGGTCACAAAATTTAAACAAGCCAAAAAGCTTTCCATATACTCTCTATAGCCTGTTCAAACAAGTATAGAATAAGCATCCATCATCGTCATTCTTGCAATATCAAAATAATTTCAGCCGCTTTTCCAATAATACCCTCTTCCAAATTTCATGATATAGAACTCATAGACTGACAATACCTGGCTAATCACAAAAGGAGCAATAAGAAAATCATTATGGTACTGGTACAAAGCTGTATATATTGCCATCAATATCAAATAACTCGCATAAACTAAAGCTTGAATATCAATCATCCAGCTAAGTTTCATTCATTTATCCTTCAGAATTATCTGTATTAGAGGAGTCTCAAATGTATCCACATCAGTACATTCCTGCAAGCTTTCCAAATACATGAGACTCTCTCTCGACCCTGGCGTCAAATTTAGTTTGACAAGTGTTTGAAGGAAAATAATTGCCTTTCCTTCTAATGTATAGTTGTCATTCAGCATAAAGTTTTCAGGGTTTGGGATAATGAAATCAGATCTGATCACTATCGGCAGTGATACAGAATCTTTGCAAAACTTTGGGAAGTTTTTCCCATTGGCTGGAGTCAATATAGTAGTATAAAACTTGTCGAGAGACGAAAAGCTGCTTTCGTTTAGAGCTTCAATTGACTGCTCAAAATAGTAAAAGACGAACATGTTGTTCCTAGCCATTCGGTCTATAACTTTAAAAATTGCTGAAATACAGTCTCCGAATTTCTTATCCAGGCAAATTGATAAAGGAGTTTCGCCAGTCTTGGTGGGGAAGAAAGGGCCGTCTTTTGCAAGTCCTAAGCGTAAATGCTTGCTCAGGTTGAAGTAGGAATAGAGATGCAAAGTATTGATACGATAAGGCATGATTATCCATTTATCCATATCTGGGTTGTGTTCAACCTTATCTCCCATAATGACTTTGCTGATATATTTTAAGTAAGCATATCTTTCGTCACTTGGGCCATAAATTGCAAAATTTCTATCAGATTTTAAGGGGTTTCGAAGTAGGCAAATGTCGTATTCTTCAGACACTGCAATTTTGTTCTCATCTGGAGAAATGGCCATAGCTATCATGGGTTTTCTTGTTTTGATTGCAGTCAAAAATGAGTAATTTTTCATGCTTCAAATAGAAAGCAAACAATCCTCTGAACAAGCCAGAAAATATTCTCCATCAAGAGTACAGTAAATGTTTCTTACAATCCCAGCATGATAAATAATAGTATGCATGCAGCTCTGCTTCTCTAAATTCCAGATTCTAATTGAGCAGTCCCTACAGCCTGATATCAATGTGCAGCCATCTCTTGAAATTTCCAGGCATTGAATACGGTTTGTATGTCCCGAAAGCTCAGTTATAAATATCTCATGCTTCAAATTATGGACTAAGATTTTTCCTTCATCGTCTCCTGAAAACAGCAAATTAGTCTTTTCATATAGCGCAAGTGCCCAGACCCCGGATTTGTGAGTTCTGTATATCTTTCTCTTGACATAGGTGCTCATATCTCATATAGAAATTCTAAAAGCTTCATCTCCAGTGATTAAGGTGTTCCCATCACCTATTATTAAAGCTCGAATTGAGCCGTTTTCTTCTATGTCTAGCTCTCTTTCTCTTTGGTAGTTGGATAAATTCCAGATAATCATCTTGTGGCTGTCTGTGCATGAAATCAGGAATTTTTCATCTCTGGTTAAGGCTAAGGCAAACATGCTATCATAGTGCTGAAGCTCCTGGATTTTTTCATATGTTTTTACATCCCATAAGATCACTCTTCCATCGTCTGAGTTGGAAATTAAAGTCCCTGTAGAGGTGAAAATAAGTTTATAAATCGTTTGGGTATGGTCTTTAAGCAGTCGGTTGTATCCGCTTTTTGGCATCTTCCAGGAAAATAGTCTGCAATCTTTTCCTAATGAGTAAATAAAGTTTTGGTCATTGCTAATCAAAACAGATCTCACAGTATCACTGTGACCATTTAAAACAAGCTCATCTCTCGGGATATCGAGGTACCAAACTCTTATGGTTGTATCTTGTGAGCCAGATATTAATGTGTCTTCATTCAAAGTAAAGCACATGTCCCTGATTTTTTTAGTGTGCCCATATAACTCTTTTGCAATTTCCCAAGTTCCAAAAAACCAAAGAGTTATGCTTCCATCAGTTTTTCCAGCTGCTATATATTTTAGCTTTGGAGAAAATTTTACAGAGTATAAGCCAACGTCTAATGCTAATGAGATGTCTTCTTTGTCTTTGCTTGTATTATAAACTTTTACATTGCCATCTTTGCTGCAGGAAATCAAAAAGTTTCCATTATAACTGATATCAACTGCCATAACATTATCATTATGAGAGTAAAGTGTTTTTGAAACCACTGAACTATCGTTTCCTTGGGTTGCATCCCATTTCCTGACTGACTTGTCATTGCTTACTGAGTACATATATCTTTCGTCAGGAGAAAGGGTGATGTCATTTACTTGAAGGTCATGGCCGACGAAATTGTTGTAGATTTCGAAGTTCGAGTAATTGAATTTTTTAATTGACCCGTTTTTGCAAGCTGTTATGATAAACTCTGATTTACCTTGCAAAATAATGCTTGTGATTCCCCCTAAGAATCCGACATTTTTTTCTCTTATCACTTCTTTTTCAGTGCATATGGCAATACGTCCTTCTTGGCTCCCGAATACGAAATTCCCATCATCTGGGTTAAAAGTCAAGCTTTTCCCGCTAAAAGGTGTCTTCAACTCATTTGGCAAAAATCCAGCAGTTTTGATAAAGATGTCCTGAAGCTGCTCTCGTATGTCTCCAGTGTTTCTAACAGCAAACATTTCTCTGAGCACACTGTTTCTGAGATCATCAAATTGCCCTTCTTCTTTATTCTCTGCAGCTTCTCCTCCTTGAAGCTTGACCACTTCAAGTTTCTGAAAGTTAAGTGCCATTTATAAGGCTTTCGTCAGTTTCATTTCGAAAAAGATATGAAATTATTTCTTCTTCTATCATATATATAATTAAATTACTGCTATTTTAATCACTTTTAATAATTAGGAGCGATTTTCTTTGTATCATATGTCACTGACGCCTCAAGAATCTGATTTCCATAAACGAAATTTGCAAAGAGATAGACGACGTAAGCAACTGGGATCAGCAAGCTTACATACTGAATCCAAGCAAATTTCATGGTTTCTAAAAACACCGGTCTATAAACGACAGGCTGATTTGCCGGAATCCTTACTTTCATTTTTATATCAATACTCCCTGTCTGCCCTCCATATAATACAAGAGGCTTTCCATAGTCATAGCTCGTCGTAACATTTCTATCATTATATGCTGAAATAATTGACGGCAAAAACATTTCAGCACTACTTGTTGTATCAATCAATGAATGGTTATATGTAGTCAATACAATTGAAGACGGCCTGATATTCTGAGTTTCTTTAAGATTAAGCCACCCGTCAATATAGATTGTAGAGGCACCAATAGGAGTGTCAATGTCTGCATACCCCATCGTGATCATGTCCATCCTTGCCCTATCTCTTAGTCGGTAGTCATAAAAAGTCATAATTTTGATGTTTCTTAGGTAGCTAGGGGTTTCGTACATAGTGATATTGAATTCATACAGATCTGGCTTACTGTCAAAGTTATAGTCAATCAGCGAACTCTGAATTAGCATTGGTGAGAGATCTTCAAAAAATAAATCATTGATGCCAGCTAGTGAGGAGTAAACTAATGTGCCTTGGTCTGCTGTATAAGCCATTATGATGATTTCTTTGCGGTAGAGGACTACTGGCTGTTCTTCGTAAATTTCCCGCTTTTTCCAAAACTCATGGGTGGAAAAAGCAAGGAAAAAAGGCAGAATAATAACAATTAGAAATAAAACCCAGCAAAAGAAGTAGCTGCAGCTGAATCTTGAAGCTCTGTATTGCTTCTGAATAGGAGTGCCAAATAGTAAAGCCATTTGTTTATTATTCAGAGAGTAATAAATAATCAAAATACGATGGCGTTTGGTTTAATTTTGAGTTGACAGTTTTTAATTTTAAATCAAACCGATGGAAAGATTAGAATAAAGAAATGGGCAGATTGCCTTGAATAGAAAATGAAGCTGGGCTTGGGCTAAATCTTGTTAAAAGGATACTGGAAATAAAAATAGCAAAAAATGAGTAACTAAAAGAATTAAATAAGAGAAAGGGCCCGATAAAAATAGAAAACCGGAAGATCTTTAAATTGATTGAGAATTATAAAGGAAAGAGTTAAAATGTGATTAGTAAATTTAAATTCTTAGAAAAAAATGGATAACTAATAATAATTATTACAATGTCATTAATCGTTTCCACCCCTGCACAAATTGCTAGTGCTCCTACAAACAGATCAACAGCCAAACAGCAATGGTCTTTTTCTAAAGCTGCTCGATTTTCAACCATGAAGCCCACCGAGTAAACGCTATTCAGAGGCCATTTCTATTCAATTCCTCCAGCTTTTGACAAGAGATCAGCTTCGATTGGCTATGGGACTAAATCTGATTTTACAAAAGAGCGAGGCCAAGGAAACCCAGATCCCAGCGCATATAACTTGCCGAGTGATTTTGATACTAAAAAACCACACGGCCAAGCATACTCCTTCGGGATTTCTCGAGAAGCATGTGAAAAAAGGTATGTCGAAGGCCATTTTAGAGCTGACCCCTCAGTCCCAGGCCCCGGAACGTATGCTATTACTTCAAAGATCGGGCAAGAAGGCAGAAAATTTACCTTCAGACCTCGCACATCTATTCTAGGTAACTGCTAATTAGATGAAATGTTTAATAGCAGAAAAAGCCCAGGACCAGGAGCTTATGACCCAAAGCTAGAAGTTGACAAAGGAAGATATACATTAAGCACATTCAAAAATGCAGGAATTACAACATTCTCCCCTCTTTCTTCACCAAGATTTCCAAAAAACCAAAAAAATGGTCTTCCTGGACCTGGTGCGTACTATAACAACGAAGACTTTTTAAAGTCAGGGTATTATTTATCAAAATTCCATTCACCAGGAAATAGGGCTTTTCCAATTTCAGATAGGGATTCATCACCCACTTCAGGGTTTTGGGATACACCAGGACCAGGGAGCTACCGGCTTCCAAGCGAGTTTGGTTACTACGAGAGCAAGCATAAGAGCTTAGAAAGAAGGCCAAACACTCAGTCAGTGCCTAATCTGAAATCTCAAAAGACTCCTGCAATTAATAAAAAGCCAAAGCCTGTCACGAGAAATTAAATAATAAGCAGAATTTAATTAGCTAAACATAGACTGTCTATATAATCACTTGTTTTTCATTATTAAATTGCTCTCTGGCATCAATTAACAAATATTTAGAATTTTTTAAATAAACTTTATAATTATCTTTTATGGTGAGATTCTTTAAAGACAGCTTTGTTGATATGAACCCCAGAGGAATTTATTGGGAGCTTCAATCAAGAGTTTTAAAAAGAAATAGGCTCTGGGTTTCAATGCCTCGCATCCCTCCAATAAGACGAGATGCATTCCAAATATTCATGGTCGCTGTAACAAAACATTGAAATTATCTATTTGAAGGAATTTCGATGTATGTTCCAAGGTCTTTAAGATATGCAGAACTCGGAGCATACGGTTTTTTATGGATTGGTCTTTTAATTGGCATCATTTTTCATCATACAGAAACAAAACTTTGAAGAGAAAAAATTTGGGATAAGGAGCCAGGGGCTGTCATTCCTTTAAGGCGTAATTTCTTTGTAAGAGCCAAAAATTATATTCTCAATTACAATGTGAAGCCTTTTATTTATTATTTCGGGCTGTTTATTAAAGAAAGGGATCTGGATAGTACAATTGATTTGGCCCAAGCTCAAGCAGGGAGGAAGTACCGAAGATTTTTATTTATGGAGTATGCAAGAAGAAATTCACTCGAGAAATTTAGAGACAAAAATTATGACTTTTTAGAAATCAGCAAAATGTATGGAAAAGACTCTCTTTAGATCTCTAAGTTAATGCTACGAATTAATTGATTTCTTATATAGTGTTAGTTAAGAATTAATATTTTCACTAGATCCCATTATCAATTCGCATTCTCTTAGCTCAGAATTAATCTTCTTTGAAGAAGGCCTTAAAGATTTATCGAACGATCAAGTTTCTCTGATGATTGAACAAATAAAAGGGAATTTTCTTTCAAATTCAGCTATTATTAAAGGTTTTCACCTTTTAAATGCCAAATTACTCATAAATTCTTGATGCCGTTCGTTAAAATACTCCAATCCTTGTTGATTTGTAATTTGTATATTTCTTTCAAATGGTTTTTCATTTAAAAAGATCTCAAACATTGTCATACCAAATGATCAAATATCAGAAGATTTGTCAATTATTTTTGCCTGTAATTGTTCTGGAGAAGCATATATAAGTGTGCACTTACCCTTGGTTGTTGTTTTGCTACTTTGAAATTCGCTGATATTGAAATCACATATTTTTGGAGTGTTAAATTTATCAATTAAAATGTTTTGAGGTTTTATGTCAAGATGGCAGATCCCTCTTAAGTGGATTCACATTAAGCCATAACTAGCTCCAATTAGAAGATTCAGCTTGTCTTTTTCTGTTATTTCTATGCTATGCTCCAGTAAATATTGTTTTAATGTTCCACGTTCGCAATATTCAGATATAATCCCAATTTTATTATCGCTTATGACAACACCTAAAATATCCAAAACATTTTTATGATGAGAAAGCATGGCCATTTTTAGTTCTTTTCACAGTGTTTCTAAATTGGGCGTATTCTTAGGAACTTTTATTGCAACCTCTTGACCAAATAAAATATTTTTATAAATTAATGAGTCTCCTCCAATTGCAATTGGATCTCCACTCATAAAATCAGGATTATTTAATTCTTCTTTAGGAATAACCTCCAGGAATGAACTATGATCAAATCATGTATTAAAAAAAATTTCATTGACAGATTCTCACATATTCTGAACATAATCACTTAAAGATAAAGAATTTTCATCCCTTGGCTTTGCAACTTTGTCAATATATCTTCGATCATAAAGAATTCTTAAAGACGGAGTCTTGTTCAGTATAATTGTGTAAACTGGAAGATTATAAAACTCAATTCCATTTTCATAAAGCCCACTAATTGATTTAAGTACTTCTTCAATGATGTCTATAGAAATATCTTCTCAAACGAGAGAATAATAAAAAGTGTGATTTGCAGTAATTGAATCTGAGTCTATAATGATAAATTGGGCTTTTATAGCTTCATTGCTTTCTATAATTTCATTTATGTTCATATTAAAATTATATTTTAAAATATTTTAGAATCTTGAATTTTTAGGAGAGTAAAATAGCATCATTTATTAATTTTCAACTTGTGTCTACCTTATAGCTCAATCATCACTTTTTTTCAAAGAAAACATATAGTAGTTATTATAGGAATATCCTAAACGCCCAATATAGATTCCTCCCTTATTATATGTAAACGTATCTAAGAGGTTTTTATTCTTTAATGAAGAAATTGAGCCCTCCTCATTGAAATAGAAGAAAACTTATATAGAGTCTTTAAGAAATCTATCGATGCTGGAGTCAATTTTTTTGATACTGCTGAAAGATATGGCGCTGGAGCAGCAGAAGCACTTATCGGAAACATTTTAAAGCGAGGTGATTGAGATCGTGACAATTTAGTTATTTCAACTAAATTTCTTAGATGTGGTAGGAGCATTGGATTGTCTCGCAAAAGGCTAGTTCAAGGAATGAGAAATTCCCTTAAGCGGCTCCAATTGGGATATGTTGATGCTATGTACCTGCATAGATATGATCAAGAAGTCCCATTAGAAGAAACTATAAGAGCAGTCAATCATTTGATTGAAAAAGGGAAAGCTGATTATTGAGGAACTTCTGAATTTACAGCTCTTGAAATTCAAGAGTGATATAAGATCAGCGACAAGTATGGCTTTATCCGCCCAGTTGTTGACCAGTGCCAATATAGCCTGATTGTAAGGGATAAAGTTGAAGTGGAATTCCCTCCTTTGTTCGACAAATATGGCATGGGCGCAGTTGCATGAAGTCCTTTGATGGGAGGATTTTTATCAGGAAAATATAATGATATGAGCATTCCTGAAGGATCAAGATTGGCAGACCCTAGTTTGCCTCAAATAGCAAAAAAGCCATATGAATCATTCTTTTTGCCTGAAAATCAAGAAAAGACTAGGAAACTCCTTGGTGGTTTAGGGGAACTTGCTTCGGAGATAGGGTGCTCACAGTCGCAGTTAGCGCTTGCTTGATGTCTAAAGAATAATGATATTAGCAGTGCGATTTTTGGTGCAACTAAACTATATCAAGCTGAGGATAACCTTGGGGCTATCGATGCTTTATCTAAGTTAACTCCTGAAATCTTAGCGAAAATTGAAGAAATTTTTGATACAAGACCAAAGCCTCCTATCAATTGGAGAAATTGGCAGTCAATGCCTTCAAGAAGATAGGTAAACCAATTGATATTGAAAAAATTCTTGTCATTCTCCATTTTAATTTTCATTTTTAATATAATATCATTATTTAATGAATTATAACTAGAAATATCAGTTATGTTATCTACTTAATCATAAGCTTTAAAACAAATTATACATTTTTTAAATTTGACTTTCGACGTTTTTATTATAAATGACTCTGCTCTTTTTACTCACTCATTAATCTACTTTATTTAAAACTAGTTGCAATTATTTTTCTTTCTCATCTGAAATTCTCTATCCTTTTCTCTTGCTTCAACTTTCAAATAAATCCATCTTTCATTTGATTCAGCAAATGTATAATAAGCATCATTCATAGCGACTCTATCACCACATTCCTGTAAGCCTTCATTTTCATCCTCTTTTTCACCTCTAAACCTCCATTTGCAATCAAAAAAACCGCAATTTTCTGCTCTACTGACTCTTTTACCGCAAGCAGGACATTTTAAACTTGTTATTGTTTCTCCAAATGAGAAAACTCCAAATCCTTTATTGACAATAACCCAGTCTCCTCTACTTCCAGCTTCACAATAACTGTTCCTACAATGTGCCTTGAAAGAAATTCCTCTTTTTACGGTCCTTCATCTTGGAGCATTCTCATCAAATCGCAATACTAGTTGCTTTTGCTCGGTGATGTCAGCAAAAGTAAACCCTAATCCAGAAACGCCTCCTAAAGCTCCTTTGTGCCCTTCAATGCATGCTCGATTTTGAATTGGGTAACACATTATTGTTTTATCGTCATCTAGCACAACTCCATTCTGCAAGATAAGTCGAAGCACTTTTTTACCCCTGCATGCCAAAAGCCACTTTAACTCACTCCCCCCCTTTAAATTTTAACAAAATATAAAATTTCCACTTTTTTGGTAAATTAACCCCATTTTAAATTGGAACAAAAATCAATTTTATAATAAAAAATTTTATATATAAAATCATAACTTTTATGTAAAAAGTTTTGATATAAACTAAATTTTTCTTCTTAACTAAAATTAAAAATTTAGTTATATCTTGCTCTTGTTTAAAGAAGAGAGTATAGAGAGCATCTTATTTAAATAAATTTATTATCCTTAATTGTTAAATTTTTAAAATAAAATTTATTTAATTAATTTTTATACAAATTCTTTACAAAAATTCAAAATTTACTTATTTCTTGCTTTATTTTAAAGAATAGAGTATAAATAATATCTTATTTAAACAAAATTAGCCCTTTGGTCGATAAATTATCTAAATTATTTTTTTATCTATAAAAATAATACTTTTTGTGCAAATAGTTTTGATACCGATTAATAGTTGCGTATTAACTAATAATGAAAATTTAGTTATATCTTGCTTTGTTTTAAAGGATAAAGAGTAAATAGCATTTTATTAAATAAATTTATTAATCTAATTCGATAAATTTGAAAAAATATTTTTTGTTAAGTTTTTTTTTATCATTTGATTTTTTTTTTATAAAAATTTTCTTAACTCCCCTTCAAATTGGAACAAAATTTTTTGCTCCAATTTAAAGAGGGGAGAGTCAGAGACTTTTGATGAGTATTTAATATAGAGGGAGAATCCTTCTTCACCGTCAATACGGATATTGACAAGCACATACTTAGATTGGTCGTACACATTTTTTTCAAATTTTAGCTTGATCTTTATCATAGAGTTATTTTCAATAGTTTGCAATTGTGCATCTACATTTAATTTTCCATAAGATTGGAATTCTAACTCTCTGAAATTCGGAATATCATTGAGAGACAAACGCTCATTTAATTTTTGCAACAAGTCAAAAATCGTATTTTTCTCTGGGTATGGAAATGAAATATGGCCTGCTTTTTTGATAGAATTGACTTTGAAATGAATACATCAGGTTGGGACATCTGGATGAAGAATGAATTGAAGCCCGCCTTCCCATTTAATACTCTTTATCTTCTCAGCACGATTCAGCCGTCTGCCATTCGTGTACAAGGTCAGATCCATGGAGTCAATTGATTTTTTGGTTTCAATTATCTTTGCTAAATCTTCAACAATACCATTATCTGGAATTTCATCAGATTCTATATGAAATAAGTCGTCTATAGACAAGACTTCAATTGACTGTAAATTAGTGGTCCGCCTTTGATTAATCATATTATAAGAAATTTAATTTCAATGCTATATAATTGAATTATTTAATTTAGTTATTCAAATTATTTATACAAAGCCTCAATGATATGATATAACAGTCATTTTCCAATTTCTTAGTCATATTTAGGATCAAAAAAACAGGCAATTTTTTGTCTAAACAGTGCATGTCTACATATGAAAATGGACTTAAATTAATTTTTGTAAATTAAGATTAATCAAAGTTACTACAATAATTTAAAATAAATTGCATGAATCCTATATAAATTATTTTTATTATTAAGGCAGAAATTTAAGCATTTTTAATAATAAAATTTAAGCAAGGTCAGCTACTTCTTTGATCCCATTGAAGTTTAAAATAAATTTCTTCATCTCTTTAAAGCACTTTTATGAACCTTAATATTTCTTAGAATTGCATTCTAATTTATTAGCGAAATTTTTTAGCTATCTCTTTTTCATTTTTTAAAGTTCAATAAATCAGCCTTAAAAGCTTCTATAGTTTATTGATTCAAAATAGATGCAAACCCCCTTCTCTCAACAGTTTGATCTGGGTTGTTCCGCTAACATCAATGCTAGTAGTTCCTATAATTGAGGCTTGAAAATTATCATACCCATGCTTCACAATTTGAGATTCATGGCCATTTAAACCTAAGAAAATAATATAATTGATTTAAATTTAAGAAGTCAAATAATTTTAGATGCTTTTAATTATGCTGATACTTCTTCCATCTTCAGCTTTTGCAAAAATTTATCATTATTTATTAGAAATTGCTTTATTAAAATTAGCTATTTAATATATAGCGCCTTCCTATAGATGGCGCGCAATGCGCCATCACTGGGCCATGTCGGAGAGGGTTCTCCACGAGGAATAGTTCCACGTGTGGAACCCTCTTTTTCCACGAGCCAAAAAGAGGGTTCCACACGTGGAACCATTCCTCGTGGAGAACCCTCTCCCGACATGGCCCAGTGATGGCGCATTGCGCGCCATCTAATAGAATTCGCTATATATAATGATATAAAATTATCATATTTAATTAAAGCTAAGTTGGAATATGTTTGCAAATTCAATGATTTATTCACGAATATTAAAATTCAAAAAAGTTAATTTTCTCCCAAAACTACCAAATTTTTTATTTAAATTTTGAAAAAATCTATTAGTCTAAAATGGATGAAGCTATGGTTCTTGTTGGAGTTTACTTACTCCCCCCCCTCCATGAGTGAACACAACAAAATTTTGTTCACTCACGGAGGGGGGTTAATTTTTTTTTTTTAAAAAAAATTTATATTTAAATTTTATAAAAAATATTTTTTTTTCGAAATTTAAAAAAATCCTAATTTGCAAAAATTGGAAAGCAAATATTAATTTAATTTATAAAATTTATGTTTTAAAAAGCAATTCGTTTAAAATTAAACAGAATTAGCTCTAGATTTCATTATACTAATTATCACTTATATCAAAACTTTTTTCCATAAAAAATTTTTGTATTAAAAAATTTTTGTTCACTCACGGAGGTGGGTTTTGGGCAAAAAATGGCGATTTTTCTAATGGTTTTGTTCACTCACGGAGGGGGGGGAGTTAGATAAATTAGGATGGGGAAGCTGCCAATCTCAAGTATTTATTCAATGCGGGCTTGTAAGGTTCATCTAGGCTCTCTCTGCAGTTCAAGTTTGAATTCTATCACAAAGTTTTGTGCTTGTCAGTGCAGGTCACGATTGGGATTTGAGCTCAACTGTGAAAGGTTATATTGGTAGCTGCCTTCAGTTCGGAATGCTTATAGGCTCAATGACATTTGGAACATTAGGAGACAAGTACGGGAGAATCTATTCATTCAGAAAATGTGTCTGGATTAATGTCATAGCATGCTTTTGTCTTGTCTTCTCATTTCATTATTCTATGATGATGTTCTTTTACATAATGCTTGGGATTGGAGTGGGAGGAGACTTGACGCTCGCTGGGACAGTCTTCAGTGAATTCTGCCCACCTCAGAAAAGATAAACCAATTTATATTGATTAGAGATCTATAGATTAGCTGTATTTTACAGTAAAAATGTTTTATAGACTATAAATGGGTATGGCTGCTTGCTGGCTTGTCTGCTTTCTTTCCACTTGGAGGGACTTTTGCTTCTTTGACCAATTTATTTATCTACGGAGTTATTGGGGATGAGGATAATGACTGACGGTTTATCGTTGGGACTTTTTTTGTAGTAGAATTATGCATAGCGACCTGGAGATTAAAGCTCTATGAGACACCTGCTTACTACATCATGATTGGGCATGAGTCAGGGGCTGAAGAAACTTTAAGAAGAATTGCAAAAGAAAACGGCCAATCAAACAGCTTTACTTCGTACCACCAAGCAATGATGTCAATCATCCAAAGAGAAGAATTAGCCCCACATAAAGAACGACTTAAGGGATTCGACAGCATCAAAGTTTTATTTTCAAAAAAATTCAGAAAAACGACCATCTGTATTACTCTGATTAATTTTTTGACCATATCTGGATATATTAGCCTTCTCCTATTTATGCCAACATTCTTGGGAGATTTCTCTCGAATGGAGCGTTATCTCATTATATTGATGCAGGCTTTAGTTGCAATTCCAGGGAATATTACAGGCTCTTTATTGGTCAGATCCAAGTTTGGGTAATTATAACGGATCTTCAGTATTATTTTTAGCCACTTGATGTCCCGTGGATAATTTTGCATTGACGCTAAGCACTGTCCTCATTCCTAGACTTTTACTCTTAACGTGACCAAAAAATAGTTACGAAAGGTCTCTTGGACCTTCTTCTGGGTCCAACCTAACGAGAAAGACTCCCTCTTCCTCCGACAGGGCTCGGAATATGGGCAGATCGCCTTAGTCTCATAACCTATCTCAGCCATATCATAGGCTCGAGAATACTACATGGGGTTCTGAAGGACATTGCGCCAATAGATATGCCTGCAAGCCAAGGATAAAAGGACGAGGGTTAGCCCCTGGACAAAAAAATCCAACCCAGAAAATTACCGCAACGCAGATCTTCTCCTCTAGGTCAGATCAACTCATTATTCATTATAGTCCGTGCAAGATCACTCCATTTTTATAATTCTTAAGTTTGGGAGAAGAAACACAATTGCGATGGGTCTAGGATTTTCAGGGACTTTATGTGTTTTGTTCTTCATTGACGTTGGGAGTGCAGCTGTAATTTTTATATAGACTATTGGATGTGTCACAGCCATAAATGCTTTAGTTTTAATATCAATTGGTGCTTTGACTACAATTACAGCTGAATCATATGATACTGATATTAGAAGTTGTGCAAGTGGCTGGCATACTGCATTTGGAAGACTCGGAGGGATTGTTTCTCCACTGATTATAGGAAGACTATTAGATACATCTCATGGGAAAAATTTATCGGTCACTATTTTTGCAATTTGTTTTTTCGTAGCTGGGATGTTTGCGAGCATGCTTAAAGAAACAAGAAAGGTGCAAAAGAAAGGGATTTTGAGAATGACGATGCAAAGATCAATGGCGATTAAAGCCAGCACTGCGAAGTCCCCACTTCTATAGAACTAACATAACTTGGTTGATTGATGATTTTGTGGTCTTGTCTTATGTCAAGCACATAAAGTGAACGTCTAGATAACCAAGAAATTAATATTTAACCCGTTTTGAATTTAGTATTTTGGAAATTAATTTATTTTATCAACTTCTCAGTTTCGTTTTTGTCGATGATGGTTTTCCTTTTTAGATCTATAGCTATTTTTAATCTCTTCCCATCAAACAGCTCTCTACTCAACTCCAGTGCAGCTGCTGCTTCTTCACTTTTCGAAAACTCGACAAATGCACTTCCTTTAAAGTACCCATTCTTATCATTTTTAAGCCTAATATCTTTTATCTTTCCCATTCTTACGAAAAACTGATTAATTGTCTTTTTTGTAGCGTGCTTGGGCAAGCTTTCGACAAAAAGAACATTAGAGTCAAGCTTTTTTTGTTTTTCTATGTGTCTGTCTAAAGTAGACATAGTCTTTGGATTATAAGTAGGTTCAGTGATTCGTAGTGGCCGATTCATAAAAGAAGCACCATTTAAATTGAGGGCAGCCTTTACTTCTGTGTCATCTTTAAATTGAATGTATGTAAAGCCTTCTGTTTTTCCATTAGGCCTTACTCAACTTTTGGTTAATGTTGGAGTTCCACATTGCTTGAAATATTCCAAAATTTCTTCTTCTTTTGCTTTTCATGGTAAATTCCCAACAAAAACCTCATAGGGATTCTTTATTGTCTCAATTGTTTTTGGCTTCTGGTTAGTATCGCTGCCATTTGAATTCTTTGCTGATGAGAAATTCATAAAATTTGCATTTGAAAGAAAATTGGTTCGATGAAGAGAAAAGTAGCTGAATTTAGAATTTGCTAGAAGTCCACGATTGAGAATACGTATGAGAAGGCTGTTTTGTTTGGGTCGCAGAACAGCTCTCATATTTTATTATGAAAATTTATCATTAATTTATTGATCATTTAAGGTAAAAACTTCTAAAATTAAATTGATGGCCTATGGTTCTATTTTAAGATTAATTTCTTAAATTAAAATAATTTTGATTTATATCGTCTAAATGTATCTCTTACCATCCCTCTGTGAGCGAACACAACCATAGGAAAAATCCATGTTTTTTTAGATAAAAACCCACTCTCTATAAATAAAATTTTTTAATATATAAAAATTTTATATGAAAAAATATTTGATAAAAAGTGATAATTATTATAATGAGATCTCTAGCTAATTCTGTTTAATTCAAACAGCTCCAATTTGAGAGCATTATTTTACAAATTAAATTAATTTTTGCTTTAAAATGATAGTTTTTTCCTATTGTGATCAGATAAATTGACTATTATAATTTTATATTAAAATTTTTAAAGAAAATTAAAAACTTTTTGTTAGCAGGGGATTTAATAGATAAATAAATATGAAATGGAAGGATGATTATCACCTACTTAAGGCAGTACTGGAATCATATGTACCTGAAGAAGTGGAGGCTCCATACATAAATAAAGCTAAAGAAAGCATGGATAGTCTTTTCGTAACATCAAGATTGATTAGTTTGATTGCAACCTCTTCAATTTGATATTATCTTTATATTAGAAAAAATATTTGGCACGGCCGCCGGCCTCTGCTCAATCACTATTCAAAAGTTTTTTATACAGCAGGAATTATTGTGCTTATATGGCAAATGCCTGAAATATGTTATGCTATGAAAGGCACTGAAATGTTGCAAGAAATGTCTCAAACGAAATTCCCAATCAGTTCATTTATAGCATCAAAGCAAATGGAAGGACAAGCTCAAAATAAAGAGAAAAGCTAAGTAATAATTCTTAAATTAATTCAGTTTAATATAAATAATAAGTCCATTTTATTTAAGCATAAATTTGCATAAATATAACACTCTGCATTTTCACTCAAAAATGTATAAGCTTACGATATCAAGTAAAGCAAATACACTGCCTATTTAAAAATTTATTTAAACAGAATTGCTGATAATATAATTAAGTAGATCTAACTCCTACTTTTATCTTTGCAGCTAATAGTTTGACAAGCAGCCTTGTCAGCTTTTCATGAGTAGAAAGCATTATAGCCGAATTCAGCACTGTCTGCACAGCTTTTGAAGATAATCCTTTATATAATGCAAAGATTCCTTCGTTTTTTAACAAGTCAGCAAATACTTCAGCAATGCTTAAGTTCTTCTTTACCTCCAGTTGTGCGCGCGTTCTCAAAGTTAGCATCGGATAGGTGACAAAAGTAGCCAGCAGCTTGCTTATACCAGCAAAAATAAAGAAAACCAAGGCACTTGCATTTTTATTTCTCAACAGCTTTTTTTTTGCATATTCGTAGCCAGCGTATTGGATTATTGGGTTTAAGCATAACATTAAGCTTCCAGACATACCTTTAAAAAGCCCTTGGGGACCTTCTTCACGCAAAATTTTTTTAAATAAAGAAATGATTCCTCCTGACTGTCCTTTCATTAGTCTAGTGTTTATTGTCCAAAGAGGAGTACTTATGAGCACTGAAATTACACTCGAAAATAAGCTAACCAATATATCGTCAAGTGTAGTTAGTAAGTGTTTCCCTTTAATTAAGCTACGTTGGGCTGCACGATAACAGAGGAAATAAATCCCATAGCTTGTGGTTGTGCCAATTAAGGATGATAGAAATCCAGAATAAAGTGAGAGAAGTCCATCTTTGCGATGAAGCTCAGTCAAAAAACTGATTAGGTCTACCTTGGAATGAGTAGATTGCATTCTTGTCCGAAGTGCTTCTAAAGGGTGAAGTAATGCCATTGCGACGAGAGAACTAGTAGCTCCTGAAATGCCATGAAGCACATTTTCGTTCATTTTTATATATTCTATTATATATGAAATGCATGAAATATTTTATTATTATTGCTATCAAGGCAATATAAATAAATGGTGAAATCAAAGAGAACCTCTCTCGGACCTATTCAGAGTTTAGGGACTTTGCTGCAGACTGAAGCCAAGCAGAACAGGAAATGGAGTCTACGGGTACTGGGCATTTAAGTTCCCAGTTGTGTTTGCCTCCCTTATCTGGAAATAAGGATTTAATGTCTTCCGATGAACATTTGATAAAAAGGCTTTTTACCTGGAGACCACTAGTGCCGACTACGAAGGCATAGTTGATACAGACACAATTAGGGAAATTATTTATAGGTAAACTCCAGTAACTGAAGTAGCAGGTAACAAGTCCCTGAACTGTTACACTCCAAGGCTCAGAGACAGCATCGAGAATCAGGCTGAAAGCTTAATATCTATATGGAAATGCTGATATATCGAGGGAGATTGTCTGCAGGTGAGCAAGCCTTCTCCGAAGCTTACCTTGGGGTGTGAAGTTAAGCAATGATGCCCTACTCTTTAATAATCCTAAACCTAAATCTAACTATGAAAGGCTCTTGAATAAGGGAAATCTAGCTGAATCTAGCACTTATTGATGCTATCAAGTTTTAAAGAGCGCTCATATAATTGTTAGAGCATAATTTTTACGCAATATTTGATGACGTAAAAATTAAAAATGAATACTTATTATATATAATTTATGAGTAGGAGCATCCAAATTATAAAATTTATAGATTGAATACTGACTCAACTTGATTAAAATAACTTTCTTAGCAATATAAATAAATATTTAAAATAATATTCGTAAGTTTTTTTTTCAAAGTTGGAAAGGAAAAATTGATTTAATTGTAAAATTTATGCTTTAAAATTAAACAGAGTTAGCTAGAGATTTTATTATAATAATTATTACTTATCTTTCAAAATTTTTTTTTAAAAAATTATTCCGAATTTCATAGCAATGCAAAATCTTTTGTATAAGGGATAAGTGCTTAAGCTCGATTTGATAAATTTATTTTCCTTTTTCTTACTTTTATAATAAATCACAAAACTTTTAACATATTTATTCATATACAGGTATTAATATATGAAAACAGCATTTCTACTCAATTTAGAGACATTTAATTGATTACTATATGCTCAGTTACAGATATGGAATTTCTATTCACAGCTGATTTTATAAAATTAATCGAGAAGCTGGAGAGATTGCCTCAAAATTCAAAGTTAATTAAGACTAATATGGAACCCCGACCTAAGCAGAATTCAAGTGATTCCAACTCTGTATCACAGCTTGGCGGTCCTTGCGCCATAAATAAGCGCGTAACAAAAGTAATAGGAGCTACATTTGCTCTTGACTCTCGTTATGAAATTTTAGACACACTAGGAAGTGGCGCATACGGAGTTGTAGTTTCAGCAAGAGATACTCAAACAGGTGAGATGGTGGCAATAAAAAAAATCGAAAAAGCTTTCGAGCACACGACTTACGCAAAGAGAACTCTACGAGAATTGATTATTCTTCGTTTGTTGGAACATGAAAACATTATGAGGATCCGAACCATTCAACTCCCAGAATCCCGTGACAATTTCGACGAAATTTATGTAGTAAACGAGCTTTTGCAGACAGACTTAAGCTCCATTATAAAATCTCCTCACTCCCCCCCCCCCCCTCCGTGAGCGAACAAAACCATTAGAAAAATCGCCATTTTTTGACCAAAAACCCACCCTCCGTGAGTGAACAAAAATTTTTTTTAATAGAAAAAATTTTAATGGAAAAAAATTTTGATATATAAGTGATAATTAGTATAATGAAATCTAGAGCTAATTCTGTTTAATTTTAAACAAATTGCGTTTTAAAACATAAATTTTGCAAATTTAAATTAATATTTGCTTCCCAATTTTTGCAAATTAGGATTTTTTTAAATTTCGAAAAAAAATATTTTTTTATAAAATTTATATATAGATTTTTTTTAAAAAAAAAAATTAACCCCCCTCCGTGAGCGAACAAAATTTTTTTTGTTCGCTCACGGAGGGGGGGGGGGGGGAGTCAGCATCTCTCAGATGACCATTGTCAGTTCTTTTTGTACCAGCTATTAAGAGGCATGAAGTACATGCACAGTGCTGGGATTATTCACAGAGACCTTAAGCCTCGAAATTTGTTGGTAAATTCTAACTGTGACCTTAAAATCTGTGACTTTGGACTTGCAAGACCTTATATAAAAGAACTGAAAATAAATTCAACCCAGATGACTGATTATGTAGCAACCAGATGATATAGAGCACCTGAGCTACTTTTGGCTTTTAACTCCCCCCCCCCCTCCCGTGAGCGAACAAAAAAATTTTGTTCGCTCACGGAGGGGGGTTAATTTTTTTTTTTAAAAAAAAATTTATATATAATTTTATAAAAAATATTTTTTTCGAAATTTAAAAAAATCCTAATTTGCAAAAATTGGGAAGCAAATATTAATTTAATTTGCAAAATTTATGTTTTAAAACGCAATTTGTTTAAAATTAAACAGAATTAGCTCTAGATTTCATTATACTAATTATCACTTATATATCAAAATTTTTTTCCATTAAAATTTTTCTATTAAAAAAATTTTTGTTCACTCACGGAGGGTGGGTTTTTGGTCAAAAAATGGCGATTTTTCTAATGGTTTTGTTCGCTCACGGAGGGGGGGGGGAGTAAGAAATATACAACTGCTCTTGATATGTGAAGCGTTGGATGCATTTTCGGAGAGCTTTTGCATAGAAAGCCAATTCTGCCTGGAAGTGACGCAAACCACCAATTAGAATTGATTTTCAATCTGATAGGGACGCCTACAGAGTCAGATATAATGTGTATTCCAAACTCGAGAGCAAGAGAGAAGGTTATGAGAATGGCTAGAAGGCCAGCAAGGGCTTTTGAAAGTATATTTAGAACTGCAAATCACAACGCTATTGACTTGCTTAAAAAGATGCTAATGTTTAACCCAGTTAAAAGAATTACTATTGAAGAAGCATTGTGCCACCCTTATCTTGCTCCTCTTCATTATCCAGAAGATGAGCCGACAAGAGAGTCAGTTTCTCTTTTTGACTTTGAATTTGAAAGGCAACTGCTGACAATGAAGGACACCAAAGACTTAATTTACGAAGAAATACTCCTTTACCATTTCCAAGACAAGAGAGACGAGTACGAAAAAGCCAAATCTGAGTACTCAAGGCAGCTGCATGTTCCTGGGAGACTCATTATTTCTAGAAGAGAAGAGAGCGATGAGGATGGAGAAATTTCTTAAGTTTGAGTCTATATAGTTTAAAAATTATTAAAAAATAAAAATTGAGAAAATAAATTTGGAAGTAAATTTATTTTTTTTATATTTTTAATATGCAATATTTTGTTTAATGCTCCAAAATTATTTTAAATAACTGCCACATAAATTAAAATTTTAGCATCATTTTTTGATAATTTCTCAATAAAAATAAAATTGCTGATCGAATTCGAAGAAAATGGAATTCTAGAATATCGCAGAGATATTTAGAACAATAATGGCTTTTATAAAATGATTGAAATTCAGAATCTCAATTTACTAGAATGCCTGGATTCTAAAATGCAGGAAATGGAAGATTTCCTGAAGAATAATACAGAATTGCCTGACCGAGATAATTTCTTACAACTCTTAGAAATTGCGAAGACAAATATGAAAACCATTAATAGTGTTGTTGAAGAAAATCAAAGAATTTTGGGCGAAATCCAAGAATTGCAGCAATATCTAAACGAAATTAAGTCAAGAAATAGACCTCAGATTTCTTAGATGTTAATTTAATTTATCGAGTTTTCTTAAATTGGAATAAGAAATTTCTCTGGTTTTATAAATTCGTAGATGATCTTTGCTTACTAACTCGCCTCCTTGAGCGAACAAAACCATTGGAAAAATTTCTATTTTTTTGCCTAAAATCCACCCTCCGTGAGCGAACAAAATTTTTTTAATATAATTTTTTTTTTTATATAAATGATGATTATCATAATTAAATCTCTAACTAATTCTGTTTAATTTTAAAGAGCTTGCATTTCAATTCTCAATTTTTACAAATTGGAATATCTTTAAATTTTAAAAAAAAAAATTGACCTCTGAGGTAAGATTGTTTTTCAGCTTGATTACGATAACTATGAGAAATGAGCAAATCTCAAAATGATCAAGACTGTAAAAATAAATCTGAAATTTTGAATAAATTCATTTCTGATTTATTTTTAAGCTGAATTAAAAGGTTGGATATAAATTTTAATTCACAGATTTATCCTCTCTTCAATGATTCTGAGCACCTAAGGCAGTCTTTTTAAAATGTTATAGCTTAATGCTTTCACCATGGAAATTTTTTCACAATAATTACATTAAAAATACATTCATCTGTTAAAGTGCAATTTCTTCTGCTGGTGCAAATGATTAAAATTTATCTCAAAACACACTAAAAACTATAGAAAGTGCTAATATTCAGATCGAGAAAATTATTGACGCAGTCATAAATTATAATCCATCAAAATTTTAAAAATTAAAATATGAAAATAAGGCAAAAATATATTAGAAATTCTGTGTTTGCAAGAAATAAATATTTTCAACAATTTTAATATAAAGTAATGCTATTAAGACTTATCGAAAAGCTCTCTGTAATTTCTGCAAGGACTATCTCCACTCATAATACTCCCCTTCGCATGTTTGCCAGTTCGTACATGACCTTACAAATGTTGCTACCCAACCAGATGCACATTCCCAAACGAATCCTTCCTTCCTCAAGGTCTTTGCGCACTCTGTATGATGCCAGCTACAGAAGTTAAGAGGATGGGCTAGTTCTCCACGCCCATTTTAATGTATATAATAATTTTTAATATAAAGTAATAAATAAACTATTTATAAGATAGCAATAAAAGAGAATTAATATAAATGTTTTAAATCTTAATTTCTTTTAACTAAGGGATTAATTAAGTTTTATTTTACTATATAAGCATCTATTAAAATATATTTTAAAGGAAACAAATAATTGCTATATTTAAAACACTATTAAAATAAATCTTACGATTTTATCTCTTCACTTTCAATGAAGCTTTCTGTGTCAAACTTTAAGGTTTTTGTTCGTTTTTCTAAAATGCTCTTAAAAGTAGCCGCTATATCACTATTTTCCTTGCATCTTTGATTTGGTATCTTGTGTCGAAACAAATTTAATGTTTTGACAGTCATCACTTTGCGCGACTGAACTCCGCCCTATTTAAGAATTACGTTAAAAACAGAGTGCAATAAATCAGAAGGTTTGGTTGTAATATAGTCTAGCTTTTTAGATGAAGAAAGCATTTCTTGGGTGTTATCTAAGCTTTCAAGTGCAGTTTTGAATCTTTTTCTCGGGATATCTAGATCATTTCGTGGAGGTCTCTTGCTTCCTGGCATTATTATTTTTAACGACTTTTTTATTAATTAATTTTGGAAATTTAGGATTATAAATTTTGTAAATTTTGATAGGTCATTTTATTAGCCATTATATTTTGAGTCTAAATCTGCTAATACAGATTTATATAGTTTTTTTAAAATATAAAATTCTCCTGCCTTTAATTTATAATTTTATTAAGCCTTTCTAATACTTTTATATTGATGTTAATAGCACCTTTTATTTGATTAAATATAAACAATTATTGACGAGTCTAGCAGAAAAAAATTTTTATATTCTTTTAGACAATTTTACAAGTATTTTAACGGGAAGAAAATTTAAATTAAACTCGTCTAATTAACACTTTAATTACTATATTTCTTTGAGCTCTCTAATTGGTGGAAGCCCTTGCAAAAATGCTCCTAAACCCTCTATGTTTTGATTATCTTCTTTCTTGAGCGAAGTTTCTAGATTCAAAATTTCATTGCGTGTGGAGTGTAAAAGAGTTTCTAGTTGATTAACCTGCTGAAGCAAAGACATCATTTTTACTTCAGGCTCAGATGGTGCTTCAGCCTTAATTTCTTTAGGAATTTGAGTGGCTTCTTGTGACTTCATCTTTCTCGTGGTCGAGTAGAAGCGATTTTTAATAGAATTTTCGGTTCTCCCAGGCAATGATTTGGCAATCAAGGTCCATTTGGGCCCGTAGAGTTTGTACATTTGGAAGATTTTGCCATCATCTTCTGCTGTTCAGTTTCCTTTTTTCACTGCAGGGTTCAATATGTTAAACCACCGCTCACGGCATTGCTTCCCACTGCGGCCTGGAATGCGCTGGGCACAGTTTGACCAGCCGGTTGGGCCTTCTTTCTCGATCCACTCTCGGAGCTGTTTGTCTTCTTGAGCTGACCATGGCCCTTTGACGAGGCCAGGCTTCAAGATTTTAGACCATCGGTGGAGGCACTGAATTGGAGTTCTTCCTTCGACGTGGTCGGCGATGAGCCTCCATTGCTTCTCCCCATAGTAGTTTACCGCGGCCCTGAGAGCTTCATCTTCTTCAGGGCTCCATTTACCATGCTTCATTTCAGGCACTTCTCCTGCCATATTCGTTACTTATATAGCTATAGCGCTTTCCCGAGGATGGCGCGGAATGGCGCCATCCTCGGGAAAGCCGGGAAGGCATCCACACGGGAACTGGGAGTTCCACGTGTGGATGCCATTTTGACATGTGGAAGTTTGGATCCCACATGTCAAAAATGGCATCCACACGTGGAACTCCCAGTTCCCGTGTGGATGCTTAGTTGACTTTCCCGAGGATGGCGCCATTCCGCGCCATCCTCGGGAAAGCGCTATAGCAGAAAATGATATGCGTTATTTAATACGTTTATGTGTTAACTGATTCTTTAAAGGGCTGTCGTTGCATTCACATCTTCATGATATTTATGAAGATAAAATGGTATGATTACTTCATAGAATTCATTATATGATGGGGTTTTATATATTTCTATTGAAAAATTGTTTAGCTTTTATCAATAAATTTTGATTTTTCGCCTTTATATAAGCCAAGCATTATGTTTTTTAAATATTTTATTAAAAAGAGTGCAATAATAATTATGCTATATCCCTTAAATTTAATGCTATTCCAGAAGATGATCATCTTCAAAAAATTTCTATAGAATGTAATTAACTTCAAATTGGCAGGATTCATGAGAAATTTCTAATTAAATAGAATAAAAAGTTTTATCCTTATTAATTTCCAGGTATTACAGCTTTTTTTTATAAGCTATTTTTAATTACTGTGCTTAAAACACAAAAATTTGTCATATATGGAAGAAATCAATTATCTCGTCGCTCTGAAATATCCAGGAAAGCTTATTATTGTACACCTTGACAGTTTAGAAGTTCGAGTCGAGCGCTCTCCCTGCCCATCAACCAGCTTTTATACCCCTGTCAGCTATCGGCACATTTTCTTTGCATGAAAAAACAGAGCAATCTTATATGATCATTTAAAAGCAAAAATTGAAATTGAATACCCTCCTATTCCCAAAACTCTACCATCTATGATGCCAATATGCTATGAGGACAAAATTTGGTTGTTTTCAGGAGAAGACATTGCATATGTAATCGACATGAAAACTCCTTCAGGCTGAGAAATGGAAAGTACTGGCTTCCGGACTATTTCTAAGAATTATTGCTTTCTTAAGCCAAACTCTTTAGCTGTCATCAAATCTTCACTGCTTTCTGACACTTTTGGTTGCCGATTTGGAGGTTTACAGAAAGATGTGAATTTAACAGTGCTAAAACTAGATGGGCTCAGCCATACACAGCATAATATTTCTTTGCCTTTTCTAGGACCATTTGGATGCGTCTCAGTGAACGATAGGACTATAATGATCTTTGGAGGGTATGATGTAATTGAAGACTCAAGCTTTAAACTACTCTCAGAAAACTTAAAGATCGTTCTCCTTAATTACGAAAGAAATACCTATGAGCAAGTAGGGAGTTTGCCATATAAACTCGACGAACCATGTATTTTTCAACCTCCATTGTTGTACAAAAATTGTGTATATTCGATATCGAGTTGGCAATTAGTGAGAATTGAGATATCTACAAATGAAGCCAGCATTTTTTCTCTTAGAGAGCTTTCAAAAAAAGTAGCTTTTAACTTTTTGTGGATCTATAAACAATGCACATTAGGGAAGGCTACAGGATCACTGATGCTTGACAAGCTCCCCCTCTCCATAATCAGAGCTATAGTAGCTGACTATTACCTTCCTATTTTAACCTAATTTTGATACAAATACTTTAAAATTATTTTAATGATAAATATTTTATTATTTAAGCTGCCAATTGATTGGGCATTCTAGATTTTACCTGGATGCCTTCAATTATCAAAGGTGTGATATCGCTTCTGCCATCAGCTAAAATTAACATGATTACTTTTTTTCCTGGGTAACGACTTGAGACTTCTGTGAAGCTGACACGCTTAAATTTGATGCTTTTTGGGCTGTCCAGCTCCTTAGTTCTTGCATTAACCAGAATGGCTTCTCCCTTTGTAGAGAACAGTATTTCCTTTGGTGGCAGCTCATAGGTGTAAACCTTGATTTTCAAAGAAACCTTTCCAAGTTCACAGCTATTTTGGCTTGAAATTTTTAATTTCAATGAAAACGGCTTGTTCTTATAAATAACTTGGCCAATGGCGGAGGATAATTTTATTGAAAAAGGAGGTTCAGGTACTGAAATAAAGCTAGACCTCAGAGATTTAACGATTTCGATGTCAGTTTTTGATTCGTCTTGAAGGGTTGTCCCGTGGGGATTTGCGTTTTGAAGTTGCGTAATAGTTTCGTCTAAGTCTTCGTTAATCTTTTTCCCTTGCTCTAAGATCACTTTCAAGTAACTTTCCAACTGAATTAAATATGACTCGAAGGTTTTTTCACAAGCTTCGTCATTTGTGATGAGCATAGGATGCAGCGGAAGGGAATTAATTTGCATCAGCATCGAATGCTCGGTATGGGAGCTGTGAAGATGTCCATTTGTTTCCATTAATTTTTATATAATGGTAATTGCTTTAACTTATTATATGAATAAATATCGGTATGAATAATGATGCAGCACTTTGAGGCTTTATGTTGAATTCCAAAGGAAATAATAAAAAATTGAAGAGGTCTAAACATGGAGCTTAATTGTTTTTTACTATTCATATTTATTATAAAAGCTTAAATATGAGATTGGGTTCTATGGAATATTGAAGAGAAAATATTAAATTTAATAAATAATTATTAGAAAAAATCATTGGAAAGCATGACTATTGAAAACTCAATATCTATTTGGATATTAAAATTAATATAAGATGGTGCTGGAAAATTTTTAGATATTTCTGTTGTATTATTCGCAAATTCTGGTCTGGGTTGTAATATTAAAATTCTATGATTTTTCTTTGATTAAAGGAAAAAAACAATTTATAAACTTTTGTAAGCTCCTTAATGAGTCAGATCTTATATTTATTTGAGCCTCGAAATCTTAATCAAGGAAAAAATTATCATTTTTATCACTAGCAAAATACAGTAGGAGAAATTTAACGACACACCTTATCAATTACAACTCTTGCTATTTGCATGGTGAATATGCGAATATTGATGACATAAAACGTCAATTCAAGTAGAGTCGCAATGCTAGAATCAAACTAAAAGAAACTTTTTACCAAAAAAAGAATTGTAATTAAGATCATTAAAATTTTTAAAAGGGCCTTATAAGCTAATTCAATGGTAAATGATTTGAACTAGAGATTCTGACTATTTTAATTTTTGTACTAACGCTTCTTATTAAATATTTATGCATATTTGGCAAATAAAGCGTTTAGCTATCAAATGTATTAGTAATCAAAAATAGATATTTATAGTATTTTTATATGCTAAGTTTTGCTTGATAATATTTTAATCACATTTAGTTGAATCTTCATAAGTAATTTAGATATATTTTCTTTATTTTGATATAAAATTTTATTTATTGAGCTAAATTCAATTAAATTTACTGAAAATAAACTAAATGCATTCTATTTTTTTTCTAAATAAAATGGGCTGCTATATGAACCTAAAATCGAAATAGAGAGTTTTTTTAATTTTATCAATATTTAAAAACAAATTCAAAATTAATAGCCATAAATTACTTATTTGATATTAGTTTCTAACTGTTTAATTTTGAGCTAGTATATTAGCCCATAAGTGAAGATATCTTTATTTTCTTGATTCTAAATATTTTCAATAAAGCTAAGCTTGGATGTCTCTAATTAAAATAATTATAGATTTTATTCTTAGTACATGTTCTGGAAGTTAATTAATTCAATATATTAAACAAAAAATTGCATTATAAAAATGAAAGAAGCAAGTTTAAATAAGCTTCGTCAAGAAATCCTCGAAATGCAAAAAGAAAACGAAAACCTCAGAAAAATAGCCTACATTAATGCTATGGAAGAGCTCGAGCAAGCAAAAACAGAAAACAAGCGTCTCCGGTACGAGCTTCAGCTGCTCTCAAGTCCATCAAAGAAGAAAGTAACTATTAAGCCCATAGTCTATCTTGATCCTATCGAAGAAAACGAAGGCAGAGTGTATGCTGTGTCTTCATTAGCCTCACCAATAGCAAAATCAAAGTCTACTAAATTCATACCAGGATTAGAACGGAGTAGCTCAGGGTATAAACTCGAGCTCCCTCCAATAAACCCCAATGCTGCCAGTAAAAAGGCTTATTATTCATCTCAGCCAGCTTTATCTCCTGCAATGAGAGAAATGCTTATACAAGAAAGCAGACAACCAATAAAGCCAAAACCAGTCATTAAATATAACTCCACATCTAATGAAGAAGTTGAGGTAGCAAGATTAGCCAAAAAGCGAAGAGAAACTTTTCAGAATCTCGCAGCCAAGAAATATCACCTAACAGATCGGAACTATACCAAACTTGAAGGACACCAAAGACTTATAGAAGAAGACAATTTTGTCAGAAATGGAATTCTTAATGGGGATTTTGGGAATTTCCGAGACGAAAACATTTATGTTGTTGATAAAGACTCATCAGTCGAGACTGTAAAACCAAGCATCGTTATTAAGCAGAGAGAATTACAAGAAAATGATGAGACACATAAAGCAGACGAAAAAAAGAAAACGATAAAGAGAATTCCAATTGAAGAAATAGACATGACAAAGGCAGGGACTGATGTGAGAGAGTACGAAGAACGAATGAGGAATGATGAAAAAAAACTTCAAGAAGCAAAAGAACTTATTAAAGCTATTGAAACGAGGCAGAAGCAGCAACTTCAAGTTATGGAAGAAGAGAAAAAAAGAAAACAAGAAGCGGATAAAACTCCGAAAGCTACTGAGCTAGGTGAGAGAAGGAAGAAAACACATAAAATTGTTTGCTCTTAAGCGTAGCAATTTATTTTCGCATATATTATAATTAAAAGCATATTGTTAATTCTGCTTACTGATAAATGCACCTATTTAAGCTATTTATTTACAAATAAACAAAACTCTTACAGGATATACTAAAAATCTGCATTGCAATTTGGACATTTAGGAGACTGTGATGCCATTACTCATTCATCAATGCAAAAGCCATGAAATACATGTGAGCAGCTAATTGCTCTTACGAGATCAAAATCCTTTAATTCTACTAAACAAATTGTGCAAATCGGTTCACCTTTATGCTTAATTCTTGATGAAAAATATTTCATAGGATATTTTTCTTCAATCCAATGGCACCCTACAAGCTTTCTGGCAGAATTCATAACTAATAAGCTCGACTCATATAAATAAAAATGGTGACGACAGACCACCCGACCTCTCGACCCTATTTCTTCAGCATCAGCAGGCAACGGCCCAGTGTTGGAGATTTAGGTGGAAAGGGGCCGGTATCTTTTATGTATAGTCGGGCCAGGTTTTCCTCGGGCCAGGGAGCTAATCCCTGGACTTAGAGTTATTTCCTCCGGTACAACCATTGGAAAGGGCAAGGACGGCCAATGTCTGATGGACAATATGACCCTCAGACCCTGAAGACGGTATTTCCTAACGAGAAAATGGGAGTTTCGACTCAGGTGGTTGGCCATAGACTCCAGGAGCCACGGAAGTCAAGACTGGTGCGCGAATACCATGTTTGCGGCAACAAGGAAGGGTGCCCGCCGGGATCTCTCGGGGATGATGAGCGTGTAGGGGTGCAAAGACCCGGCCCTTGCGAAAGCGAATGGCACAATCTAATCTAATCTAATCTAATCTAATCTAATCTAATCTAATAAGCTCGATTCATTCGGAAGAGAAGCTGTAACGACTTCAAAATTGTGCTCAACTTTATTTTTTTTACATACATAATAGAAAACACAGCCAAACCTGCATAGAGCTTACCAAAACGCCCCAAAAGAAATCCCCATTATGACACTTGTAAGCAAAACTGTGCTTGCTGCGTTGTCTGAAGAATTTGAAGCTTTTGATTGTGTCTTATATAAGCAGTCATTATAGTCTGAAATATTGCAGCAAGTATTGTTTAATAAGGATTCACAATCTGTGCTGTTTGAATAATTATCTGAGCAAGAACAATTTTGCGAATGGGAGAATTGCATTAATGTAAAGAATGCAATCAAATGGAGCTTATTCATTTTATAAAGAAATGCGTTTTACTTTAAATAAATAATAAAATTGATATATGGTGATCGTTCAAATAGCTTTTATTCCTTTTAGCTCATTTTTAGGGAATATAAGCAAACTATAGTGGATCAGTTATATTTTATATAATCATTCAGAAAATTCTTACTCCCCCTTTCCATGAGCGAATAAAACCATTAGAAAAATCCCTATTTTTTATCCAAAAACCCACTCTCGAACAAAAATTGATATATAAGTGATAATTAGTATAATGAAATCTATAAATTTTATAAATTAAATTAATATTTTTTTTTGCTTTCCAATTTTGCAAATTAGGATTTTTTTAAATTTCGAAAAAAATATTTGTTATAAAATTTATATATAAATTTTAAAAAAAAAATTAGCCTCCCTCCGTGAGTGAAGGGGGAGTTAGCTAAAATTATTGCGGATTCTAATAAATGGGGAATAAAACAATTATTGTATTAGTTTCATCAGCGGTTTTTGCTGAAAACTTAATATAATCATAAATGACTTAAAATGCAAAGCTCAGATTGAATAATTTCACTAAAATATTATTTACCTTTGAGACTATTTTTCTTTACTGTTCATGTACTTCTTAATTAAGTTTGCTAAAAAATCCCCTCCTATTACCATAAATACCTCTAAAAAATTAGTTGGCAATGGCATAACTTAAATATACTGTAAAGTGATCATCAGTAAATGCCATATAAGATAACGTTGGGTTAGGTTTTGCTTCCTTTCCAATAACGTTTAAATCAACATTAATTAATCATTTACAATATTTCAGTTTACTTTTTTATCTTATTATTATTCAGTGATTTATGAACTTTATAATCTCCTGCTATATGCAATTATTTCTTATAATAAAAAATTTTTAAACTTATGAAGATATCTTGCAATGTTATTTTTGTTAGGATGTATTCTTTAGTTTGTATAAGCACATATACTTTAAAATCGCAATGGTGAGCCAGCCCCTTTTTCTCAGCACCTGTAGTCGGGAGCCTGCTAGGACCCGGGAACCTTGTTGAAGGGGAAATTTGCACTCGATAAAGTATATCCGGCTAGTTTTTGTCTTCGCACACAACAGAGTATAACGAGTATAACGTCAAAAATGGTCGACTGTAGCTCATTCTGACACCAGGGTTTTTGCCTCATGGGGAAATGGTCTTCAAAGGTTGAAAAGGGAAGCTAAGCAGCACCAAGGGCATCCACTGGCTCATTGGGCAATCCCCTAGCGTGAAGCTGGGCGTTATGTCCCAGGTTTTGGATTTCCCATTTTGGCCGAAAGTCCTACTAGAAAATTTGTTTTTCAAATTTTCGGAATGGGCAACCTCTGTTGACGTACTGCAAGGCGGCGCAACTACGGATAGAGAGTGCGCATCCTCATCCAGTAGGAGCAGCACCTTGAAGCTTGCTATCGATTGGTGGTGAGCAGCTGGGTGAAGCGGCAAAGGGTGAAGGTAGACCAGGAGCAACCTTAGGTAATACGGCGGGCCTCTCAATAATAAATTAATGTTAATGTTAATGATTTGCATAAGCACTTCTATAAAACAGTATTATTTTAGCATAGCTAAGCTTATTGCTGTTTGGTCTATACGAATCCTCATTATTATTACAGATAACTTATTTCTTTATAAAATAATATCAATCTAATGTCAGTGAAACTTGAGCACTTAACAATTCAGAAAAGCCCGAAATTGAGAACAAAAAGAGTTGATGATATTCTATCATCAATTGACACTTTGCAAAAAGACCTTAAGAATATCAAAAAGGAGCCTTTTAAATCTTCTTCAATAGGCACTTTGGAAGTCTTAACCCAAGCAACGACACTTAAAAAAAAGCCAACTTTTAATAGATCGAACACTTACTTAAAAGGCAAAGACCGAATTGAGCTTATAAAAAATAAAGAAGAAGCAGAAAAACGCAAACAAAAAGAAAAAAACGCTCTACAAATCATATATGGGGATACTCCTCAGCACAAAAGATATATGACACAAGAAATATTTACTGATAAAGAAGTATACCGTATTGTGCAGAACAATAAAAGAAAATTTGGCCCAGACCGCACAAAGTCGAAATTAAATATCCAATTTTTCGAGACTCCTAAAGCGAATTATCAATTCAAACGGGGAAGAGAAAAAGTAGTTGCCAAAGAAGAAGTCACAAAAGGTCTGAATTCTATTTATTTTAATCATACCTATAGAAATTCTCCAAGAATGCAAAAAAAGCACCTTATCAAACAAATTGAAGAATCGAAATTCAAAACATTTTCTTCCCTTTCACTTCCTGAATGCTTTAGTCCTTCTTCTCCAGCTGAAAGCTGTGGTAAAAAATCAGTGGATGAAGAATTCGCATTTTGCACACAAAACGCTTTTCAAAGCTTAATAAAAGAATCAGAGAGGATAAAGCTAAAGCCATTTGATAATATGAAACCTAAGAGACGTCTGGGTATTTTGAAATAGGATATTTTATTTGAAATTAAAAATTAATATTAATTTACATATTGCGATATTATTTAATTTTCTTATTATATTAATTCTAGTTGGAAAGCTAATTTTTAATAAAAATATCAGAATTAATAAATTATACGATTTTAAGTTTTTAAATAAAATTAAATGGAAAGAAGACAACAACTTCAATTTTATCAGTTAGCATTTAGTATATAAACAAAATAAAAAAATTTGCGTAATTGGACTTGCAAGCTATCATTCAAGGTATTAAACCATTTATTGATATGACCATATATATTCTAATTCTAACTCCCCCCCCCCTCCGTGAGCGAACAAAACCATTAGAAAAATCGCCATTTTTTGACCAAAAACCCACCCTCCGTGAGTGAACAAAAATTGTTTTAATAGAAAAAATTTTTTATGGAAAAAAAATTTTGATATATAAGTGATAATTAGTATAATGAAATCTAGAGCTAATTCTGTTTAATTTTAAACAAATTGCGTTTTTAAAACATAAATTTTGCAAATTAAATTAATATTTGCTTCCCAATTTTTGCAAATTAGGATTTTTTTTAAATTTCGAAAAAAATATTTTTTTTATAAAATTTATATATAATTTTTTTTTTAAAAAAAAAAAATTAACACCCCTCCGTGAGCGAACAAAATTTTTTTGTTCGCTCACGGAGGGGGGGGGGGGAGTAAGAAAAAATAACTCTGTTTTAATTAGGAAAAAATCCATAAAGTGATAAAGAAGTGACTTATGAAGAAGCAAAGCAGTAAATAATCAGTATTAAATGATACATTAGGAAGTGTCTTCAAGCAATGGATTTAATGCGAATTTGGCTTTTGAATTATTATATACAAGCATTATAGCCACTTGCAAAGTCATTAATTAATGTTATAAATTGCCATATAGGAAGGAATAAATTTCAAGAATATAAGACATTTTTTAGGACGAGCTAAACTCATCGCGAAGGATAATAATTTTATTAAGAAACTCAAAGTCGTTGGATCTACGTTTTGATGGTTAATATTTTTCTTTTTCCTTATGATAAGTGATATTTTAAGTAAAAATAATACTGAAAAATTTCAGCAAAATCATCAAAGATTTATTAAACCTATATAAATGGTGGAAGATTTTTCAAATAGTGGAATAAAACTAAGCTTGATAGGAAGCTCTCAATCTGGAAAATCTTCAATTCTTTCTAGATTTTTGAATCATTGCTTTAGTGACTCATACAAACCGACGATAGGTGTAGAATTTGTATGCTTTATTTTAGCAATTCAAGCAAATTCCTTGAAAGGGGAAATCCCTCTCCATACAAGCATGAGACACTTCTGGTGATGCTTCTTGAAGAAGTATGACTTTATCTAATTATATTCATACCCAAGGTTTCCTAATCGTTTACAGCTTGAATGATAGAAACTCCTTTGAAGAAGCCAAAATATTTATAAGCCTTTTCAAATCTCGTGCTAATAATCTAGCTTATGCTGTGCTAATTGGAAACAAATGCGATTTGAAAAGTGAGCGACAAGTCTCGTATGAAGAAGGGAAACAATTGGCTGATGAAAACGAAATCTTATATTTGGAAACTTCAGCCAAAAATGGGATAAATGTCCATTTTTCAATAAAGACATTATGTGAGACAGTAATATTATTGTGCAAATAATTATTATTTGAAATTAAACTTAAGCAATTAAAATATTAAACTTATTTAAATAATGGAAGATGAATAGTATCATATAATTAGCGATTATTTATTCAAACTTCTTCTTATAGGAGATTTATACAGGAAAATCATCATTTTTCTCCAAATTACAATCACATTTCAATATTTCTATACCAAAAGATGCCGCCAAATTGCAAAATTTCAATTCAGTAATGATTATTTAGATTCCGATAAAAACAAAGCACAATGAATTAACAGTTCTATTAGAAATTTATGATCCAAATGGAATTGAAAGATTTGGTTCTCTTCCATCATATTCTATATGAGGTATAAACGGATTTTTGGTATTTTATGATATATCAAGTAAACAAAGTTTTATGAACGCTCAAGAATGAATGAAAAAGATTCATATATCTGCTTCAAATCTGTCAGCATGAATTCTGATTGGAAGTAAATGTGATTTAGCGTTTAAAAGAGAAGTCTTGTTTACTGAAGGAGAAGCTTTAGCTCGTATGATAGGAATTCCATTTATTGAAATTTCTTCACTTGAAAATAAAAATATTGATGTTGCTATTTCTGCTATTATTTCGAGTATAATAACTAAAATTAATATGTATTATTAATAGTCAATTATTTAAAATAGTGGAAGAAGAGTAAAAGAAATTTAGCTACAAAGGAGTAGGCGAAAAATGTTTTATAAAGGCTTTTGTTGATGGAAATTGCCTGGCCATAAGCTCGAGGATTTTGCTTTTGTAAGTTTTATAAAGAGAGTTAAAGCTTCAAATAAAAGGCTTAAAATGTACATTTAGTGATTACCTTCTAGTATGCTGGATTATTTCTATTACTAATCATATTTTAAATTATCAAGTGGGTTATTTATGGTGTAAGATGTAGCCGATAAGAGTTTTTGTTAGCAGATAAGAGAAATTCTTAATGAACTCGATACCCACACATCATGGAGTTATATCATAATGCTAGTTGGGAATAAATGCAAAATATGAGCTAAAAGTCAATTGACTTATGATGAAGGGGAAAATTTGCGGATAGTCGAAATATTTTTTCATGAAAGTTTCAGAAAAATGGAAATTCAATGTATTAATAGCCTTTCAAAATATAATGGTAAATTATATAATTTATAAAGAATTAAATTGGCTAAATAGAAATCTAATTTTTAATAAAATCTAGATTTAAGAGTTATAATTTTAATTATAATTCAATATAAAATATAGAGTAGGTTCACCCAAATTTTTTTTTATTATAAGGAAAAATACTATTCCCTCAGCATAAAATTGATGAATGAAGGGTAAGATGGCCTAATTAAATGTGCCTATAGGATTTAAGAATAAGCTTATATCCAAATATACTTAGATTTAATTTACTTACTTCAGTCCTTTATTGCAGGGTTTAGTCTTAAAATTTAATTTTTTAAATTTCTTCAAAGCTTATAAACTTTTTAAAAAAAACTAATAATTAATTAAACGATTAAAAACTAACCATAAGCGGGTAAGCCCACTAGCCTTTGCTCGTCTAGGCTCCAAGAATAGCCGCCTCAATATAACTCGGATTTCAAATGAGGAAAATGGAAGGCTGCCATTTTGGATTTCCGATCTGAACCTCCTGTCCAAGGGATCAGCTCCCGAGGACAGAGTCACTGCCTATAGATCGCCCTGATGGTCCCGGCAATGGAAGACCATGTGTCAGACAGAGCCTGTCTAGCCCATCTGGCAGGGATGGGAAAACCTCGGGAAGGAACAAAACTTCCCTCTTCGGCAAGGCATCCCCAAACCTGAAGGTCTACTTCAAAAAGGGATGGAAGATCAGTTTTCAGCTTCATCAGGATGGGTACTACCCATTCTATACGGAGTGCATCACAGAATCCAATGTCACTATTTTATTTCTATTTGTTTTAAAAGGAATCTTGCATTTATTTTATCCTACCTTCCACTATAATTCCTTACTTTAAAGTGTAAACCATTTTTGCACTCGTAAAAAAACGTGGTCAAGCTACCGCTTACTATAATGAATTTGACAGATTAAAATCTAGGAAAAAAATTACATTATATGAAGAAATCCTTTAATGATCTACTTATTATTTTGACTTTATAAAATCAAGTTTATATCCTTTAATTATAGAATGCCAGCATTTTTATATAGAAGTATTCATTATGGTTTTTGAAGTATATCAAAAATTAATTAATTAGCAACTAAGACTTTTATATTCTTTTAACATTTAAGGTCATTTTATTGTCTCAGTAATGTAAAAAAAATCATTAAGAAGCTTCCTTATCAATAGCTATCTCTCATTTATACTCAATTAATAGCTATGCAATTATAAACTAAAAATGGAAGGGACTAAAGTAAGCTTTTTGAAGATAGGATAGATATAATTATTTGTGAATCAAAATTTTACACTTAATGCTCCTATGAAAATTGGCATAAATCAAATCACTTCTGAGTCTCATAGAACGCTACATTATCATTTCTTATATAAAATAAGCATAAAAATAGTAATCTAAAAGATCAATTGATAAGGATCAATAATTTAAAATAATTTATCTTATCTGATAATTATAATAATGGTGGATTTCGAAAGCACGATTATTATTAATTTCGTTTTTTATTATATTATAGTAGATAATTTGTGGAATCAAAGAACCAAAATATTTTATTAGCTCCCCCCCTTTAAGTTGGAGTAAAATATAATAAAATTTTCATTTTAATAAATAATCAATTATAATTTGAACAAAAAATTGCTGAAATTTATACTAAAAATACACCTTTTATAAAAACTAATTTTACACCTAATTGAATGGGGTAGTGCTATTTAAACCATTAAACTGATTAGATCAATTATTTTAATTGTTTATAAATATACATAAAATGGCGGACGGCGACCGACCCACCCTCTCAGTGGTGGTTACCCATGTATATCCGGGCATGGTTTTTGGAGCCAGGAGTTGGCCCAACAATGCTTTGGACCTCGAGGCGAGAGGTCTAAGCACGGAGACCGCTGTTTCTGTGACAAACCCCATGGGCAGTTACTCGCGACTTCTTTTTGCCAGCAGCGCTCAGCCCAGTGAGTGCCCGAAATGAGGCAGGGCGACTTACCTGCCTAAGCTGCTTTTGTGGCTTGCCCCGAATGGCGAAAGCTGTTGAGTTCTTTCTCGGGATGACGGAAAAGAGGGGGAAGGCAAGCTAGACAACAAAACGGGAGTCTCTCCAGTTAAAAGGTGCCCTTCAATGGGCAGATCTGGCGGACGACGCGGCAGTGTTGGCGTAAACTTAGGCGACGATCCAAGTTGGAAATGGAGGCGGTCAGCAAAGACGGTATGACACGTCCCTTGACCTTTACCTCTACCGAGAAACCGGGGGTTTTCGGCCCGGGCTTGGTGAACGCTCTGCCACCATACGGGAAACCGTAGAATGCTTCCTCGGACGAAGTGGGGACTTTAAATACCCAGCGTAATCTTAATCTTAATCTTAAATGTTTATAAAATAAAAAATATTGGATTCAATTTATATTTTTTATTTTTAAAATTTTTATAATATAATATTTATTTTTTTCAAATAATGAAATTGGAACAGAATTTTTTAGTCCAACTTAAAAGGGAGAAGTAAAATAAAATCAATTATTTATTTAAAATTTATTTTAACTAGCAGAATAATTAAAGCTTTAGCCATAAAAGTGAAAAATGTCAACTCATGAAAAGAGTTCTAGATGACAGCAAGCTTTCTTACTTACTTACTTAATTATCTGGTGTTTAAGGTGTCTAGTGCCGCAGCCCAAAAGGGCCTATGGCAAAACTGATGACGTAGGCGAGCCATCTTGGCACGGGTCAGCCCCGTCCAAGCCTTCTATCAACTCCTGCTTCACCGGCCTTGCGACAGCAAGCTTTCAGAGTTAAAAAAAGCACAATGGCTCCTACCAACTACCATCTCCCTTTATCGTTCCATATAAATACAAATAAATTTATAGCTCAGAAGATCATCAAAGAGATTCCTAATTGCACTACAATTGAATTTTTGGCCAAAAGCTTCATAAATCAAGCCAACTTTATCAAAAACTATCAATTAATTATTTTTCTCAGAATATTTCTAACTCCTGAGCTTAAAGAGATATTATTCAAAATTATTTTATTTTCAAGAGAATCAAGTGCACTGCAAGTGGCAGCCTCAAATGCTATAACATTTCTTAATAAATGTGGATATTCATTTGCTAATAAAAATTTAGAAGAAATCCAAGTTCCATATTCAGATCTGTCTTGAGGAAACTGAATAAATGTCAATTTCAGAAATAGTAATCTTACTGGGGTCAATTTTTCTAATTCAAATATTCACAACTCAGATTTTTCACAATGCCAAATGAAAAATATTAATTTTGGGACCTTTGTACCTATAGAAACTTATGGATTTTCAATTATTACCTCATTTACTCCAAGTGGAAATTACCTTGCTTATGTCAGTGACAAGAGTAAAATAAATTTTTACAAATTAAAATCTCAGAAAATACAAAAAACATTGAATTTTGAAAAATACGTTATCACTTCAATAGCATTTTTTCCCAACGAATGTTCTTTAGCAATTGGCTTAGAAAATGGGAAAATACTTATTTATGATTGAAATTCAAATTTATTAATAAAAAAACTAAAAAACAAAAACTATAAAAGAGTCTCTGCTATGATAATATCTCCATGCAAAAAGTATTTGATTTCTGTAATTAATGATAAAACAATCAATTTCTGGAATCTTTATAATTACAAGGAGGTAAAAGAAAATTTCACAAAAGTTGACTATTTTCAATTTATTTTATTTCAATTTCAAATTTATTTTTTAATTTACAAAAAGAGAGACAAAAGCCTTCATATCTATAGTTTGTCAATAGAAAAACAGGAATTGGTCAAAAAAATTATAGCTACAGAAGAAAATGTGAATTCACCCACAATTACTCCAGATGGGACGCATCTTTCTATAGGCTATGGAGGCATAAACAAAATATCAAGATGGAAATTATCAAATATGGAAAAATATACCCACTTTTTTGAAAGCTTTTATTTTCTTGACAAAATTGAATGATCACCATGCGGATGCTGCCAAACTAATTCTAGAGGAAGCCAAAGTATTGCATTCTGAGATGTAAAGAATCAGAGAGTCAAGTGAAAGATGTCTACTAATTCTTATATGATCACTGCCTATCACATGTCTCCTTGTGGAAGATATATAGCAGCAATAACTCTTCTCTCACTCCCCCTTGTAAATTGAAATAAAATTCTGCTCAAATTAAAAGGGGTTAAAAAATTATTTTAAATTTTCTCTCTATAAAAAATATAAATTGAATACAATTAATTGATAGAAATTAGTATTTTACCTATAAATTTTTCTATTGAAAACAAAAATTGTTCGAATTTAAATATGACAATTTTACCTGTATTTTGTTCTAATTTAAAGGGGGAATCAGATATCGCAAGTATCAAGATAAGAAATATTGAAGAAGAGTCCAAATATCCCTTTTTTAAGTTTATATGAGAGCCTGTGTCTTCTCTTTCACTATCACCTTGTGGGAGGTTCTTAGCAGGTATATGGAACAGTGATGGAGCTAAAATATGAGATTTAGTAAAAGGGCAAGAAATTAACTTTTTTAATAGAAGTCAAGGAGAATTCACACAAGCAGTTTTCGCGCCTTGTGAAGACACAATTGCTTTTATAAGATCAAAAGAAATCCTATTTATGTCTTCTAAAACATTTAAACTTCAAAAAAAACTTTCATCAAATGACAGCAATGATTTAAGTTTTATTGCATTTTCTAATTGTGGAACTATGTTTGCATTAGGAAAAGTAAATGGTATTATTCAAATTTGGAATTATAATGAAATGCAAATGATTAAAAATTTAAAGGAGCATGCCAATTCAATTTATTCTATCTCTTTCTCTCCATGTGGAAGCAAATTGATATTAACAAGCTGTATACATTAAAATGAAGTAGCGAATTGACCTAAAATCTTAACTCCTGTCGCAGATGACTTCAAGAGCCAAGGAACCTTGAAGAAGAGAGTGAGGTTCTCCAATATGTGTATCAAGATAGGCTTTACAATAAAAGGAAGAGCAACAATAAGGCAGATTTTTCATCATGAAGAAATGGGACACAAAGTTTGAAAGGGCCCCCAAGCAGTTCCTGATGTAGCTTTTTAGCCAATCGGGACATTTTCCTACCACGGCACCTGCAGTTGTGTTTGGGATTTGAGTTTCTATTTAGTTGGCAGTGTTGGAGCAGTTTGGAAGGGAATAGATTCTCATATAAGTTTAAATAATGATAAGGATATCAGCAAGCATGGAAATATTCGTTTTGTGAGATCTAACAAGTTTCACTGGAATACTAAAAATGGATAACAAAAATTCTTCTTGCCCAATTATATTTTCTCCTTGTGCAAGATTTTTTGCTGGAGGAGGAGAAAATTTTTCAATTTTATTATGGAAAAATCCAAATAATGAAATTATAAAAATTGATGGACATGAAAAAACTGTTTTTTCTTTGAGTTTTTCAACATGCGGAAACTACTTGCTTTCCCTTTTAAGAGTGAGCAAAGCCATTTGGAAAATTATCACCCCTAATGAGCTCAAAAAAATTTTTTTAATTATTTTTTTAAAAATTATTATTGAATATAATAATAATTTGCTTTAATGGAATTTCGAGCTAATTCTGTTAAAATTTTGCATAGTTCGCATTCTTAAATTAAAATTAAATTCTTTTAAAAATAAAAAAATAAAATTTAAAATATACTATAAATAAGATTGGGTAGAAAAATCTTGCTCATTCTTAAAGGAAGACAGGGATTTAGCTTCTGGGAGTGCTGATAAAACAATTAAATTGTGGAAAATAAAAGAGGAAGTTTATCTTGTCAAAGAATTTAAAGGTCATCTTAGCAATGTTATGGCTGTTATTATTTCTTATGATGGAAAATGAATTATTTCTGGAGGATCTGACAGGACAATAAAGATATGGAATATTGAAAAAGAGATTTGAGGGGAAAAAGAATTTCCAAATAATGGAGACCATGAAAATTGTGAATTGAAAAATGCATTAGAATGATCTTCATTAAATGGAGATTTAACTATTTATGAATCTAATTTTACACATGCAACACTTAGCGAAAAAAATTTAAATATTATTAGATCGCTGTCGAAGACTGGTGAATCAAATCTCAGCACAGAACCCAAGAATAAAAATTTCAATGACTTTAAGTGGAGCTTATAAAATAATAGACTAATACACCAGCAATCAGGAATTTATAACTTCTATTGAGTAATATTTTAATTTCAATAATTAATTTAATATGGATTTGATTGAAGTAACTAATATAAATCACTATATAGTAATTCTTTGCTTAAAATAAGATATTAAAAAAGACAGCTATAGAATAAATCTTTTAATAAAATATAAACCATACTTAAAATTACTTTGACACTTAAATTTATAATAAATCCTATAAATAATGGAGCAAGCTGAACAAAGACGTCAAGATTAGATTAATTAGTTAAGCGGGTCACGGAGGTTTATTTCAGCCTCTACCCAGCACTGCCAGCTTCAGGCTCGCGCCCTATGCACCGGCTCTGTAGCTCACTCCATTTTCTGTCGACGTCACCAAAAAATGGTGACGTCGCCATCTAACAGGGAGACTCACCCAGGTACTCCTTGATCAGGGGTCTAGTGACCCGGCGCCGTCCTTTCGGGGAGGGAGAAAAGTAGCCTCCCGGAGTCTCCTTCAGGTCCCCGAAGCTCCACACATAAAGATCTTCCTCACCTCCCTTCTAGTCCTGAAGTTTGACTCCTGATACATCGGCTCTGGTCTTCTTGTCTTTGTGAGAGGTAAAAAACCTTGTCGTGGTGTCCCGACCAAGGTAAAAAAACCCACCCTGGACACAATATCCAGGCCCCGTTTACTTCTTAACCCCGTAATCCCTGAGGGTACAGGAGAAGGACGGGTCGGATGGCTCGCCATTTTAATTGTTAGACGTCAAGAAGAAGCCAAAACTTCCACCCTCGGTGACCCAGACTACCCTTTAACTGAAGACATGGAGGTATCAATAACCTAGGACGTCACCTATCTAAATGCCCGGTTCACCAAAATCGAAAATCTCAATCTCTGTCCTAATCTCTTAAGACTCTGTCTCCGTCGGAATTTAATAACGAAAATTGAAGGTCTAGAGCATGTTCCTCAACTAGAAGAGCTTGAACTTTACGACAACAGAATACAAAAGATCGAGAATCTTTCATCCTTGCAAAACCTAAAGTATTAAATATTCAGAATCCTTGACTTGTCATATAACCTCATCAAAGAAATTGAAGGCTTAGAAAATCTTTTGTCGCTGAGAAAAATGTTTTTGGTTGCAAATAGGATCAAAAAAATCCAAAATTTAGAGAGCCTGGTAAGTCTGGAAACGTTAGATCTTGGATCTAATAAAATTGCAGTAAAAATCATATAGAAAATTGAAGGAATCCATAATTTGACTAATTTGACTGAGCTGTGGCTAGCGAAAAATAGGATAACTGAGATAGAAAATCTTGACAATTTGACGAATTTAGAAGTTTTGTCATTGGCTGCGAATAAACTTACAACGATTTCAAAATTAGGAGCTCTGACGAAGCTAAATCAACTATTGTTGAATGAAAATTTCATTGTGGAGATTGGGGGACTTGAAAGTTTGGCTGAGCTGGAATTGCTGGATTTATCTGATAATAAAATAGTTCAGCTTAAAAATCTCGACCATCTGCAATGCTTGGAAGATTTGTGGCTTACAGCTAATAAAATTGAAAATTTCAGCGACCTTGACTATCTCTCAAGAATTCCAAGCTTGAAAACAATTTATTTAGAAAGATGTCCTGTCTATTTTTATCCAAATTATAAGATGAGGATTAGAGAAGTCTGCCCAAATATCAAACAGATAGATGCAGTAGCAGTTAACTAATTAAAAAGCTTATCATCCCAATTAAATAATGCTAAATTTCATTCAATTATCATTATTTATTATCTACACAAATAATTTTAACAAATGATTATATTGGGAATTAATAATAAAATTATTGCATGATTTTATATATTTTTAGTTATGCTAGGTATTCCAATAAATATACGATTATTTGAGAATTTATATTTGATTTCACATGTGGAATCCTCTTTTCACACGCGGAAAAAAATTCCACACTTAGGTGTTAAAGTTCAAAAATCTGCAAATAACGATATTTGATAAAAATAAGTTAATTTATAACATTTACCTCTTTTTTCTTACTCATCTCCCTCCATGAGCGAACAAACCAATGGAAAAATCCCTATTTCTTGGGTAAAAAAATCATCCTCTGTGAGGAAAAAAAAATTTTTTTAGCATAAAAAAATTTTATTAAAAATATTTTGATATACAAATGATAATTAGAAATGAAAGCTTTAGCGAATTTTGTAAAAAATAAGTTTTTAAAATATTAAATTAATTTTTGCAAATTGGGACTTTTTTAAATTTCGGAGGCAAAAATTTGCTATAATTTTTTTTAAATTTTCCAAAAAAACAAATTAACCTCTTCATGATCGAACTAAATTGTTTTGTTCACTTATGGAGGTAGGGGGGCTTAGTCTTTTATTTCTTTGTTGATTCTTTCTATTGAAAAACCTTGCAGTCCATCCTGTATTCCACTTCTTCCTCATTTTATTTTCTTCTTCATTCTTAGGCATCACCATTGATTTCCAAGAAAACAGCCTTCTAAATGCAGATTCACTGAAATTGTCCCATACTTCTGTACCTAACCAGTTTATATAGCTCTTATAATCATTTACGATGCCATCTTTTAATTTTTTGACTTGGGTCGAAACCATGCTGAATTGGCTTAATATAAAATGCATATCTAATGCTTTTGCCAAGGTGGTTTTATAGTTTATTGATAGCAATTCTGAATGATATTTTTGGATATATTCAAGTAATTCCCCAATATAATACATCTCACTCCAATTCTCCACCAAAGCTTTTCTATTTTCAATCGAAATACACGAATAAATAGAAGAGAAAAATGAGGCCTCTATGCTTGTGATAAATTTCATATATTTAATTTTCGATTTTTTCAATTTTCGCAGAGCTCCGTTAGATTGTTGTCTTTTTGCGAGATTTTTAACTTCAGCAAACCATAACTGATTGAGCATCGAATTAGAGTCCTCAATATTCCCATTTTTCACATGTGTGATAAGCATTTCACTCGACTCAATATGCCTTTCTCTGTAGCTCTTCTGTATATCTTGAAGCATAACTGTACTTTTTGCTCTTAAAATCATTTTAATATATTGAGGAATGCTGATAAAAGTAGAACAAAGCTCAATTTTACTTTCAATATAAAGACCCTGGATTTCGTAAAAAATTTCATTAGGTCCATACATGAAAAGTGTAATCATACTTCCAAATAAGTTAGAAAGCTGCTCTTCTTTGATCTCTGGTGATAATGATAATAAGCATATATCATTAATCAACTCAACAACAAACTTGATCAAATCAATTGCAAGAGAATTCGAGCTTCCTTTAATTATACTTTATTTATATAAAATATATACTAATTGACCAAGAATAGCCCACTAAGGAGCCATTCTTGGTCTGCCAGAAAAAATTTTGACAAAAGATCCTAATCTGCCATTACCACTGAGTTTTGGTATTTCCAAAATTTTTGGGCAAGCCAAATGCAATAAAAAAAATTGTTCTTTTGCGATGATGCATTTGGCTTGTCAAAAAAATTTGGCAACATCAAAACTCAGTGGTAATGGCAGATTAGGATCGTTTGGTGTTTCCAAATTTTTTTTGACAAGCCAAATGCATCATCGCAAAAGAACAATTTTTTTTATTGCATTTGGCTTGCCCAAAAAATTTGGAAACACCAAAACTCAGTGGTAATGGCAGATTAGGATCTTTTGTCAAAATTTTTTCTGGCAGACCAAGAATGGCTCCTTAGTGGGCTATTCTTGGTCAATTAGTATATATCTCGTTATTAAGCCAAAATTGTTATCTATAAAAATATGATAAAAGAGGATGGCTATTAAATTAAAAATTATTTACTCCCCCCCACGTGAGCGAACAAAACCATTAGAAAATCCCTATTTTTTGCCAAAAAAACCAAAATTTTGAGATATAAGTGATAATTAGTATAATGAAATTTCGAGCTAAATCTGTTTAATTTAAACAAATTGCGTTTTAAAACATAAATTTTTACAAATTAAATTAATATTTGCTTTCCAATTTTTGCCAAGTGGGATTTTTTTAAATTTCAAAAAAATTAACCCCCTCCTTGAGCGAACAAGATTTTTTTATTCGCTAACGGAAAGGGGAAGCTACTAAAAAATATATTTTCAAGATATATGATATTTTCTGAAATTTTGTGCTCTGGGATATGATGATAAAGATATTTAGGGAGGACTATATCTTTTCCTAGAGAAATTGCCCAAAGAGTTACAGCCCTTTCTATTAGATTTAACTTGTGAGAAATCGACATTTCTTTTGATTGAACTTCAAAAAGAGACAAAATCGAGATTGAGGCATCTTCAAAGCATCGAGTTTTATAATAAACTTCTATATCTAAGTAAGCTAATGCGTATTGATAATTCTGTGAGAGTTTTGATATTTTTCCTGAAAATTTTAATACTGGCCTATACCTTTTTTTCAGCATTTCTTGGAAATAAATCTCATATCCAGACACTTTGCATAATTCATATGCTAGCCACACTGATTCAGTCATAGTTGTATCTTCTTGTGAAGTTTCTGATCTTGCCATTTCAAACTGTGCTTGAGTTAATAAAGCATGTCTTGCAATATCAGTCAATTCTTTGAAGTCCCCATACAAATATTTCGAATTATCAAAAATTTTGGTCAAAATATCATTTCTATTTGATCCCGTTTCATTCCTCTTTTTCTCATAAATTGCCAACTTTTTTTCATATTTTTTTATCTCATTATTTCTGTTAACCTTTACAAAAATCGTAGAAATTTCGTCATCACCAGCAATTTCAAATAATTTTTTAAGCTCTTTTTTAGTTTCTAAATATTCTTTTTCTCCTTCAATATCTAGATTGGAATTTTGTGAATAAGAATTTATTTTATATGGAAAGTCGGCTTTCATAAAATCAAGCATCCACATTTCTCCATATAAATTTGAAGCATGATAGACAATTTCCTGACTCCCCCCCCCCCCTTTAAATTGGAACAAAATATCGGTAAAATTTCCACTTTTTTGGTAAATTAACCCCCCTTTAAATTGGAACAAAATTTTAATTTTATAATAAAAAATTATATGTAATTTTTACCTAAAAAGTTTTGATATAATTTAAATGTTTCTTCTTAAATAAAATTAAAAATTTATTAATATCTTGCTCTTGTTTAAAGAAAAAAGTATAAAGAGCATCTTATTTAAATAAAATTTATTATCCTTAATTGGTAAATTTTAAAAAAAAATTAATTTTTTTTTTTTAAAAATTTTCAAAACAATTTTTGTTTTTTTTTGATAAAAATGATATTTTTTATTTGGATAGTTTTGATATAAATTCAATAGGAATTCTTTATAAAATTTCAAAATTTACTTATTTCTTGCTTTATTTTTAAAGAATAGAGTATAAATAACATCTTATTTAAAACAAAATTAGCACTTTGATCGATAAATTTTTCAAAATTTTTTTTTTTTTTTATTTGTTTTATCAATAAAAATAATAAATTTTTGTGTAAATAATTTTGATACCAATTAATATTGGCGTATTAACTAATAATGAAAATTTAGTTATATCTTGCTTTGTTTTTAAGGATAAAGAGTAAATAGCGTTTTATTAAACAAATTTATTGATCTAATTCGATAAGTTTTTGAATTTTTTTTTTTTAAATTTTTTATATTTTTTAAAAAAATTTTATATTGATATTTTGTTTTAAAAAAAAAACATTAACCCCCCTTTAAATTGGAACAAAATTTTTAGTTCCAATTTAAAGGGGGGGGGGGAGTGAGAAATTTCTTTCCATTTGAATTCTTCATCACCAAATGTGTAAGAATCTAGCTTTTTTGCGCGGCATTTTACTGCTTGCTCAATGAAGGATAAAATTTTTTTTTCCAGATGATTTTTTAAGGATTTTATGGGAACAAGCAAATTTTGGCCTTCAAGATCTGCAATATATAGGTCAGGAATAGAGGAAATTTCCATATTTCAAATAAAGACGCTTTGCTTATTAATAATGGCATGCGAAAGTGAAGGAAGGGCTGAAGTAACTTCTGATGGAATTATTTTTCGAACTCCAAATGGTGATAAAAGCGAGAATATAATATTATTGTATTGTGTTGATTGATGGATGCTTTTTATATCTTTTTGTCTTAAAAACCTCACTATGCCAGATGAACATTGAAGAATGACTTGAAAATCGGCATAAGAAAGTTTTTCAACAATGTCCCAAAATACCCAAGAAAATTCCAAATTCGGATGCTGAATTGTGTACACAGCCCAAATTGAATAAAAGGAAAAAACATCTAAAATTTCTAACTCGTCTAGCAATGAAAATTCTTTCATATTCAAAATTCTTTTGACATCTTTAAATGAATCCATCATGCATTTTTCAAATCCTTCTTTATCTTTATTTATAATTAAATTCCATAAAATATCATTGTACTTGAAGCATGGCAAAAATTTTACGCTTTTGGCATTTAATACAGTTAAAGATTTTTCATATGAGCTCAGCATAGAAATCACAGAGTCAAATGCAATTTTTGTGGCTTCAATTTCTTCTTGATTTTGTGGGATTTCAAAAGGCAGCCAAGAGAAGTCTTCTTTGTTGATTTTTTCTGCAATATTTGATTCTGATCCTGCAAAGGTAAGGTAAATATTTTTATAGTTTTTAAAGTCTCCAAAGGTGCTTGCTAGTGCTAATGAATTTTCTTTATCCATAATGTATATCAATTTTTTCCAATAGCCTAAGAGTAATAGTCCTTGGAATCCTTCTAATCCAAGGTTTTTTATATCTGGTTTTTCTTTAAGTGACAAGTATTCAGGGTTGATCATTTCAAATACATTATGAACTGCAGTGTATGCAATAGCAGCTCTTGCGCCTTGGGTCTGAATGAATTGTGGTCTGAAAATCTCATGGGATTTCAACGTGGTTAAATTTGAATATTTTGCATCCAATAAAATATCTGAAGAATTTGCAATAGGGGATTTTTTATTTAGTATTAAATTCATGTTATAGAAAAATTTATCATGATTTTTAAATTTATCTATTTTTTTATATACCAATATTTAAATGCTAACGAAGTCACGTATACCTTTTACAATAAATATAAAATTCACAATGGTAACTGTTATCCTATTTTCATAGGATGTAATATGTCTATTCTTATTAAAAGTTATATCTTCCAAGCCTTGTCGCCAAATTATATCTATTACAGACAATTAAGCACATTTTAAACATTCCAAAATCTTCAAGTGTATCAAGAATCATTCCAAGTGTTTCTGCACTCATATCATCAAGATCTACTAATGATGCTAATTGCCAATCTTCAGTCAAATGTTGGGAACTTATAAGCGATTCTGCAGATCTTAAGGACTTTAAATAGGTAGATACATCTTCAGAGAACATTCCTACATATTCTATTATTTTTCGCATTGCTTCATCTTCTATAAAGATATCAGCTTTAGTCATGATTAATTTCCCTCCTAAATTAAGGGCTGTAGCATGGACATTATCGATTATTGAATAATCTGATATAATGCTGCCATCTTTTTGAATCGCTGAGCCTAGTGAGTCTACTATAGAGCCAGTTTCTACTTGAAGCCATTTGTCATCATATGTATTAAAGTGGACGTGAACCATTCAAACCCTCTTAAACCTGCAGTTGGGGAAACACATGGACCTTGTAGAAGGGAGGATAGATTTCGGTGATGTGTATCTGGCCGGGTTTTACTTGGTTTGCTGGAGCGCAATGTTGGACTAAACCAACCGCAACTCATTCCAGGTCAAGTTTTACCCTGGGAAGGTCGATGCTCGGTGTTGGTAAGGGAAAGCCCTGAAGAGTCCTCTCGACAAATCGTACAATTTCCTAGCGTGGTACCAGAATTACGCCCTGACCAGCGAGTTCCACCTTATTCGAATCTGACTAGAAAAATTCGATTTTTCAAATTTTCTGGAAGGACAAACCCAAGTTAGGCGTACGGCACGGTGACCCATCCCGCTGTACTCCAGCTATTGTGCGAGCCAATTTTCGGAGGAGCACAGCGGATAGGCAGATAGCAGACAGTTGCGAAGCAAGCGGAGATATATCCTTTTGATATATCACAGTGAGCTTTTCAATTATCTTAACTAAGAACTAATCCATTCATCATCAGGGTCGATATCGTCATCAATAAGTTCAAATTGCTGAGACTGATTATCAGTACTTATGATACTAAAGCTTGCAGAGTTATCTAGCAATACAAAGGAGCTTTCTGACGTTTCATAGGTTTTGTTTCCTTCTTCTTTTTTTACTTCTTCAAGCTGCTCTATTTTACTTTCCTCTTCCTTTTGCTCTATTACTGAAGTTTCTTCACAAATACTTTCTGCCCATTTCACATTTCCTTCCTCTTCGCATTTTCCTCCATGCCTATGCTCCTCTACTTCACCAACCTTGATTTCATCTAAAAAGTTTTCTTCTCCACAAAATGTGTCCTTAACTATTTCTTTTTTTTTTAAAATTTCCTCTTCTGAGTCGCTTTCTTCATCCTCATCAACTTCTTTAATCATTTTTTTTATAGTTTTTTATAATAAATTGCTATAATTCCAGTGGCTTAGTGAAAATGGCATAAATATAGTTTATATAAGTATATCTTCTTCTACAATTTGTGCTTCATAAGCTGTTTCTTTTTCATTTTTAGGCAAAATTTTTGGCATTAAAGCTTCGAGAGCGACTGGGACGTATTTTTGAATGTATTTTTGTCTTTCTTTTAGAGTCATTTCATTTCTGAAGTCGTAAATACAGTGAACTAGTTTGTCCCAGTTCATTCCTCTTCTATAGGACTCAATAGCTCGAATATACTCTTTTTTCTCAGCAAATAAGTCTCCAGCGGTCTCAAAGTGTCCTGATGAATAGTAAGCTTCTGCAGCTTGGCCAATAAGCCCACCTTCTCTAAATAGCCCAGCAGCTTTTTCATGCTCTTCAGCAGAAGCAAAACATCTTGCAGCTTGTTTGGTCAGAACTCTTGAAGATTGTCTTAAAGACAAGTCTAAAAATAGCTCTCCAGCTTGTTTAAACTTGTTTTTCGCTTCTTTTTTCATACTTTTCAGAGTTTTTTTATCCTTGCTTGATAATTTCTTGTTTTCAGTATACTCACTATCCTCAAGCGCAATAGCTTCACATAAAATTTCTGAGGCTTTATTAGCGAATGCATAAGCAAGTGCTTTAGATTCTAAATTTTTATCTCCAGACGCACTAAAACATTTTGCAGCTTGATCATAAAACTTGTGAGACATCATACGCAGCCCTTGGGTTTTCCATGCATCTTGGCTTGATTTTTGTGCAATTCCATCATAGCTAAGCATGTCTAATGGGGCAGATGATTGAATTATATTATTACTACTGATAGCTCCCATGTATTCCCAGTACTCCTCTATAAACCTTCTATTTTCAGGGTTATCATCATATATTACCAGCCTTACCTTAGGCCGTGTAATGGCTACATAAAGGTGTTTTAGCTCAGTGCACAATAGTGAGTATCTGCTTTGATCAATAATTTCTTTGCATTTCAGCTTAGGAAGATGGTTTTCTAAATCTTCTAAAGTTGTTGGAATATAGTTCGGGTAATCTTCAAGCTTTTCCATATGGGACAGAATTTTCCATTTATCACGAGAAATTTCGCTGTCATTGAAAAAGTTGTATAAAATCACGTCGTCAAATTCTAAACCTTTGGCTTCGAAAACTGTAAGACATAGAGCGTTGTTTAGATTAGGATGGAGCTTGCTTTTGGCTTCTTGGGTCCTGACAATTACAACTTGGTTACAGCCGAATTGGACTTCTGATAAGTCTTGAGGGCGATTATTTCCAAATAGCACAGTTAATAAATGATCGGTAGAGCTGCTATCAATGAAAATTGGGGGTGGGCCGTCAAAAGGTGACTTCTCTTTACCCATTTTATCAATTGTTTGTGGGAACAAAGCTTCTAATAATGATACAACTGCATTGGCGAGCCCTAAAATTTGATTATGAGTTCTAAAATTCATAGTCAATTGGCAGACTGCAGGCTTATTTAAATTTGACTCGTCAAAAAGCCCGCTCAAGTCACAAAATCTGAAGCCGACTCCTTTAGCAATTGTTTGTGCAGTGTCTCCTGAAAAGAATAATTTTTGCTGTGTAACAGTAATCAGCAGAGAAAGTGTTGCAGCTGTCAAATCTTGGACTTCATCAACCATCATATAATGTATAGGAATTCCATTGTACCCTGAAAACTTGATTTGATACAATAAATAATTCACAATGTCTTGGAAATCATAAGCCCCTTCTCTTACTTTCCATTTTTCATATTCTATAAATAAATCCCAAATGTCAAGTTTTTCTTCACGGGTTAAGAGAGAGGTTTTTCTTCCCATATACGCATAAGCATTTTTCGGTAAATAATACCCAACGTAGCTATAAGAAGTAGCAGAACCTTTTATGTAAGCTGTAATTTCTGTCCATAAGACAAGCGCTGAAACACTTGCTCTATATCTGATTTTTGGCCAAAATTTTTCTTTGAATACTTTAAAATCTACTTCATAACTAGTTTTTCTCATATGCTGCTCTTTTCTTTTTCTTTCATTTACAAACTGATGCGATAAAACGTTATTCCTAATATCTTGCAGTTCTGCTTCTGTTGGCTCATCTTCGTCATAATCAGAGTCAGAGTCCTGATACCCTTCAATTTCTTGTGTTTTCCTTTGCTGCTTATAAAGTCTATTGATTTCGAGTGCACCTTTATATTCATTATGCCACTCAAAGTTCACACTTGATCCTATCACATTTCCGTCAAGACTTCTGGCGAAAAATGGTTTTCTTAAGGAAGCGTCAATCATGAAAATCAATCTTCTTACAGTAACAAACAAAGGGAAATCTTCATCAGTAAGAAAAGTCATTGAGGAAAGGCCTGTGTGGGCGAATTCTTCGTCTTCGTTTTCAGAATCCTCAATGATTTCTGACCGCTGCTTTTCAAGTCTGATTTCAGAAAGGTCCATTTCTTGGGCTTTTCTTGAGTCTTCTCTGATTTTTAGCTCATTTTTTATATGAAAATTCAGCTTTTCGTGGTATCGCCATACTTCATTTGTAAGGACTGGGGATGCTGTTACAAATACACTGTGCAATGCAGATGCTTTATCGATATCATCTGGGCCAAGCTTACGCTTTCCCTTTTGTGATCTAAACTTATAAACAATTTCTGCAGAAAACAGTCTGAGTAGTGAACAAGTGGTTTTTCCTGTCCCAGACCTTCCTATAGCTAATACATTCCCAGGGCATCCTACTAGATTCTGCTGTTCCTCTGTTAGTCTTACTCATTAAAATGGCGACACGTGCCAACTTGCCCTATCGGCACAACAAACTAGACCTTAAGGCTTGAGTGAAGTGATAAAGACTCCAAGCTAAGAAACAAGTGCAGGCTTCAGCAAATGTGTACTGGTAGGTTTTGGCTGCTTTCCCGTAATTGGAAATGGAGGTGCTCATCAATCCTTCGAAATGTTGGGCATCCTCTACCGATAAACCGGGGGTTTTGGCCCGGGCCATAGGGAATAGTCTTTTTCCTGCAGCTGCTAAAGAAAGACACTTTGACATCCTATAGATTCCGAGGAACTTGTCCCAGGAATCAAGCTATCCCAATCTCCCATCGCAGAGCCACATAAATCTATAAACTGCTCGCTTGCCGCAAATGGATGAATTTCCCGTAAGGGAGGTCTTTGACGACTGCCACCCATATAGCTAGTGCCTGTCTTTAATAATCCTAATTCTTATGATCTGTCAATCTTATCTTAAAATTCGGCAAAGTGTTCAGCAAATTCAAAAAATCAGAGCAGCTCGTAGTTTCTGCTAATCTTTTGACAAGCTTGTTATGGAATGCTTCAGATTCCGCGCTTTCCACTACTTTATTTTCATCAATTGCCACCCATCTCCTCCTATTTTCATCAAATCTTAAATTATCTGTTTCTTCTGCTGACAAATAAAGCCTATGAATAATTTTTGGGTAATAATAATTCCCAACTTTTCTCATAATTGGGTCAAAAACTGAAGAATTTGGCTGGATTTCTTCAATATTTGTGTCTTCAACCCATCGATCTGGATCGTCTTTTATTGATTCTAAAAATGATTCTATGCTGTATTTTCAGTCTGAGCCTCTCGGCAAGAAATCAATGACCTTTAAATAATGCTCAAATGTATATTGCACACATTTATTGTTGCGGACTATTGGTAGACGATCTAGTAAAGAAGCAACCAAGAGGGTATGATCAGGATGACGGTCTATTGGGACTGTAAAAAATGCCATAAGCGAGCATGGGCCTTTTTTGACATATCAAACATTATGCTTGTTTCTTATTCAGTCAATATACATTATTATGGTGACACATGCCAGCCTGACCTCTTGGCGCAACGGTCTAGACCTTATAACAACGGCGAACTGGGACAGACTCCGAGTTGAGAATCAAGATTAGATTAGATTAGATTAATTAGTTTTAGCGGGTCACGGAGAGGTTTATTTCAGCCTCTACCCAGCGCTGCCAGCTTCAGGCTTGCGCCCTATGCACCGGCTCTGTTGCTCACTCCATTTTCTGTCGACGTCACCAAAAAATGGTGACGTCGCCATCTGACAGGGAGACTCACCCAGGTACTCCTTTGATCAGGGTCTAGTGACCCGGCGCCGTCCTTTCTGGGGAGGGGGAAAAGTAGCCTTCCGGAGTCTTCTTCAGGTCCCCAAGCTCCACTACAAGCTTCCTCACTTCCTTCTAGTCCTGAAGTGTGACTCTTGATTTTGCGGCTCTGGTCTTCTCGTCTTTGTGAGGGGCAAAAAACCTTGTCGTGGTGTCCCGACCAAGGTAAAAAAAACCCACCCTGGACACAATATCCAGGCCCCGTTTACCTCTTAACCCCGTAGTCCCTGAGGGTACAGGAGAAGGACGGGTCGGATGGCTCGCCATTTTAATTGTGTTGAGAATCAAGAAGAACCTCATTTAATGTGAATATGCGTAGGTTTTGACTGCTTTCCTGTGGTTGGAAATGGAGGTGCCCAACAACTTTATTTTGATCCGAGGACCCATGGGCATTCCTTTACCGAGAAACTGGGGGTTTCGGCACAGGCTACAGAGGAATAGTCTTTTCCCTGTAGCTGTCAAAGGAAGGCACTTTGAAATCCGCAGAAACAAGGAACTGATCCTTGGAGTCAAGCTACTCCAATTGCCAGTATTAGGGTTGTCTAAATCCATAAGCCGCTCACCAAAGACTGAAACCGAAATGCAAGGAGGAGGCAGAAGTGGGATCCTACTTTGGGGGATAGACCTTCTGGGTTGGAGTCGCAAAGCCGATGAATCTCATATATTTAAGATCTTTGGTGACTGCACCACTAATATGGTTAACGGCTGATTTTAAAAACATATTCTAACCTTATTCAGCCAATTCCTATTTCTAACACTTTCTTTAAAATCGCTTCTTTTATGATATAGGTAAAATTCACTAATCGAGCATAAGCGGACTCAGTAAATCTGATTTTCCATGGCAGAGCTGCTATTTCGTCAAAGAGATCATATGATTTCCAGAATTCAGTGACATTAGAAGCTTTCCATAGCTGCATAGGGTTAAAAGTTTGAAGATTATCTAGTCCTGCAAAGCGATCTTTTTCGTATTTTTCTATTTCATACTCCAATCAGTGTACTCATACTTCACTGTAAGTAGCGAATGGGCTCTTAAAGCGATCTCTCTTAGAATCAAATCTGACAAATTGGGCTTCCAGCAGTTTGCAATTATCCATTACTTGCTGATGGACTTCGTCGACAAGCTTCATAGCAGCATTTTGGATATTCTGCATCTGAATCATGTCAGCACGCTGCTCACGCCTTTCTTGTTTAGATTTGCCAGATGTATGCTTGTTAAACATATTTTTATTATCGGATAATGGCAGTATCTAATTAATATGGGTGTTTCTTAAAATAGTTTTATCATTAGCTATTATCAAATTTCAGAAATTTTGGGTAGAACTCAAGTACAAGGTTTTCAAAAGATTTTTCGACTTTTCTCATACAAATTGTATAGCTGACCATAGAGCTTCTTAAGTAAGGTCCTCGTTCAACTTCTTGATAGCATCAATCAGCTTGATTTTGGATGCCTTTTACTTTATTTTTGTAAGATTTAGAAGCTTTTTTGGCTGCAAAACAATCGGCTCGGGAGTCCTTGTTTGGAAGAGTTGAGCAGTTGCAAGTTTCTCATTTTTCGCCGATTTTTTTAATTTTTCAGAGCTTTTTTAAGCTTGAGACTGATGGATTTTCCATTTATGAAAATATAATCAAATTATCTCATATTTTTATTCAGAGCTAACATGAATATAACTTTATAATTGATAACAATCAGCATATAACTAAAATTAATTCAATTATGAGAGCTTCGCTGAATGAATAAAAATAGAAGACTAATATAGCTCAATTATTTATTATTTCTGGGGTTTTTTGGACATTTCTTGGAAGAACTCATCAGGATCAAAATTAACATCAGCGATTTTCTTTTGTGTAAGAGTTTTTCTAGCTGGTGCTGCAAATTTAGGCTTATTGAACAGAGGTTTTGGCTTTGGCAGAGAGTTTGGCTCATGATTTAAAGTTTCAACTTTTACTTCTTCAATTGATTTTTGGCTGCTTGGTATTTTAATTTCACTTTTCTTTCCATCTTTTGTAGTCTCAATAGCTTTCATCTCTGATTCTGTAGTCTTTTCTGTGTCTGTTTCGATAATCTCTTTGGGTTTAGAATGAACCTCTTCAATTGATTTTTGCAAATTTGGTATTTCATGCTCACTTTTATTTTCCTCTTTTGAGGTCTCAGTAGCTTTTATCTCTGATTCTGCAACTTTTTCTGTGTATATTTCAATATTCTCCTTTGGGAATGAGATTTCTTGAACTGATTTTTCAGGTTCATTGCTCTTTTCCACTTTTATAGGCTCTTCAATTTTCATTTCTGCAGATTTTTGAGAATTTATTTCAATGATTTCAGAGAAGAGTTTTTGATGAGTCTCTACTTTTTCAATATCTTTGCTTTCAAATGAATTAATAATAGGGCTCAGCTCTACAAAATCTTGCTTTGTTTCAATTTTTTCTTCTAAATTACCTTGAATTGGAGACAATATTTCAGACTTTTTACTGATTTCTACGACCGCTTGAAAATCTTCATCAATTCCCCAAACATTTTCATCAAGAACAAGCTCTATATTTTCATTAAAAGTCGGAATAGTTTCAGGGATATTTTCTTTTTGGATTCCATTTGTTTTTGGTACTATTTCTGACTGTTTATGCGATTCAATGTCAATGATTTGCTTAGAGATAGCTTCATGTGCGGTTGTATTTAATATTTCTATATGAACTTCTTCTTTTGCTTCAATGTTCTGGACTGGAATTTCTATATTGATTTCCATTGGAGGCTCGAAATCTATTTGCCAGCTGTTTGGCTCTTCTAAAATTTCTGAGTGTGCCTGCTTCTCTTCTATATGAAAAGAGATGATTTCTTCTGGAATAAGGCCATTATTGCTTTTCTCATTTATATCGAATTCTTGATTAGTGCTATTTTCACCGTTGCTTTGAAGTGTTTTTTCATCTAGAGTTTCTTTTTCTTTGTTTTTCTGCTCTATTTCTTTTTCTCTTAATCTATTGATTAGATTCTCATTATTCATTTTCATTTCCGCTATAGACTTCAGCAGCTCTTTTTCCTCTTCATCTTTCTTTTCTAATTTTTCTTTAATTTCATATACTTCCTTCGTTAACTTTTCCATTTCATCTTTTACTTCCTTTACCCTATGATTATTTTCTATTTCTTTTTCATCAAAAAATTTCTTTTTTCCTAAAATTTGATCTATTTCGTAAATTTCTGACTGATATTTTTTGTTTTCTTCTCCACTTTTCACCTTATAATAGTTTCACTCGCCTTGCAATTTTTGTATCTCTCCCTTAACTTTCCCTTCTTCCTGCTCTATTCTCTCAATCAGCTCTTTTAATTTTCCAATTTCCTTGTCCTTTTTTTCTCTCTCTTTATTGATTTCGCTTATTCTTGGATCATTTTCTCTTTTACCTGAAATTTTTTCGTTTCTTTTCTTGCTTATTTCTGAAATTTCCTCTTCCAAAAATTTAATTTTTTGTTTCTCTGACTAGGAATTACCATTTTCCAGCTTAGTTTCAATCGCAATGCATTTCCTTCTAATTATATCTGCCTCTTTTTTCTTCTGAGATAAAGATTCTGCAAGTGCTGAAGAATCCCCTCATGCAGGGTTGTCACTTTTAATAGACGAATTTTCTAATGAGACGATAGATCCTGATGACTGAAGAGACAAAGCATGTCTGGATCCTGATAATAATTGGGAGTGGTATGAGGAACTTTTAAGTATTTGAGGAGCGTGAGAGGCTGAGTAGAGCTTTGTATGAGTAGTAGATAATACTTGGGAAGAATCTGGAGAGTTGTTCATATTATTTTATTATAATATGGAAAAGGCAAGAAGTTATAGCAGGATATGATGACGTTAAATTTGCAGAGATTACAATATTATTTTTCAAAATAAGAATCTAGCAAATACTATGATAATTTGTTTAATTTTATTAGCCGTTGCTCAGAAAAATCATATTAGTAAAATACTATAATGCATAGAACTCAATTCTTCGTAGGAATATAAAGTTTAATTGCTAATACTAAATTTATATAAGCATTTTTAAGAAATTTTCAAATTTTTTCAGATCTTGTATTTGTATTTCTTCAATAAACTTTAATCGGTTAGCTTCTATTTATATAAAAAACTATTTTATTTAATTTCGAATGATATCGTCACTTTTTATGTAAATTTTAAGGATGAAAATGCTATCAACCAATATTTCCAATTAAAACTTTCAATTTTTCTTATCATAATATAAGAGTATATAGCTGTTTCTTTAGTTTAATTGTAATTTTAACTCTCAAATTCAGAAAAGTTGACCTAAAAATTTTACTTCGTCCATTAATTAATATTGATTATATTAATTATTAATTAAATGAAACCTCCCTAGCTTCTCTTACTCTACCTTTACACAGTGGGCATGGTTCTGATTTCATTCGGCTATTAATAACTTTATTTAACGTCAATTTCATTCTGTCCACCACACATTCTTTGCAAGCTAAAATATGCCCACAAGGTAAAAACACAATATTTTTGGCTGAATTTCTGCAAATCAAGCACTCCAAGTCTTGAGCTTCGAGCTCTGCTTTATTTCGCTTTTTAATCTCTAGACTCTTTTTGAGTGCTTCTATAGTTTCTTCATTTTTTATTTGTACTTCTTTCGCACTATTTGTCCTTTCACTAATCTTGTCAGCAAAAAGTGAGTACATTAGCAACTCTTTTTGCTCTTTATTAAAGACTTCTTTCATATAATGATATTGAGCGATAGTCTCGGTTCTGGAGCTTTTTAAAGATTTGATATAGCCTAGCATTGCACTTATCCCACTCCCATAAAGCTCTTCATAGGAAAATCTAAATATTCCCATTTTGACAGCTGAAATATAGCATCCAAGTCCTGTAGAGTCTTGGGAATGAACTATCAAATAAACAAAGTCTGCTTGGATATTAATATCAGAACATTCTGCTATAAATGCATGTGACTCATCGGGGAGAGAAAGTAAAAGCACCTGCTCGAGAATAGATGTGGAGCTCAAGTACTGGCTTGCGTCTGCATAGTCGTATAGAAGTGCGCACAAATGAGAGCTTATGTCTGGGGCTTTAAGAGAAAGCAAGCATGGGTAGTCATGAATGCTAGAAAGTCTTTCAAAAATAATGGTGGATATTGGAGGAGATGATGTTTGCAAGCTTTGAAATACTAGCACACCATCCAGAAATGATAAATTTACAGGTTCTAGGACTTGTAGAGTTTGCATGTATATTAAAATTATAATAAATTTAAATGACTCATAAATAGTGGTCAATGCCAACCAAGAAAAAAACATCAATAAAATTAATGGCCTTCAAAATTCTATCTGTCAGATGTTCTTCAACTAAAAGGTAGGAAAATGTTTAATTTTCATAATCGGGACATTTAATTTTTAATTATAATTGATAGGGAATTAAAATATTTGTTACATAGCAAACCAATTTTTGCAGTTAGCATTAAGAAATTTTTACTAATAAATGCAATTTATGAAGAATATTGAATAAGGAAAAATAAGCAAATAAATCCGCAAGATGAGAAGACAAAAATCTGCCTGAAGCATTAGGGAAGCTTTTTTAAAGTAATTTAGATAGCTAAATATAAATTATTCATTGATTAATAAGAAAGCAGAAGTATTGTTAAATTCAATTCTAAAGCTATTAGAAAATTGTGCATTAATTGGGTATATATTGATAATTTTAAATTAAAGCCTTTATTAATGCTTATTCTATTTCTATATGCATCGGAAAAATATAAAATTTTACAAAATCATTCAAAGCAAAATAGGGTTTGCTCAATTCCAGCTTATCTTATTTTTGCTTTTTTAATAGCGTTCGCAATTTGCTCTAATGATTCCTGGGAAATTTAAAATCGATCATGCATACATGGTGGAGATAAGTCCTGCTTCTATTAACTCCTGAAAAATATCTTCTGATCATTTTTCTAAATAAATTATATTAGGGTAGCATTATCAATAGAGTAAAGAGATTTTTTTATTATTGCAGGCATCATTTACTAACTTTTATCTTTAAATTGGAACAAATATGGAAAGTTTCGATTTTTTGGGGTACTTTAACCTTATTCATATGAAAAATTTAATATGTGAAAGTATTGATTTATTTGAACGGTTTTCATTAAATTTTTTGAATTAATTCTTCATAAAATAAATTAAAATTCGAAATATTGATTCAATTTTAGTTTTTAAATTTTATAAACTAATCTTTTTAGACAAATAATAAAAACATTTTAAATTATTTTTTTTTCTAATTTAAAGTGGTAACTATATTTAAAAAAAAGCAGCTATGGCAGTTTAAAAATGGTTTCAACTTTCCGACGCCCAATTTTTCTTATTTCCTATCAAATTCCTTTTAAATCCTCTATCTTTATTAAATAATCCTTAATCTGATATTTTTCGGTATTTTATCACTCCTTTTATATTAATTAACACAAAATGAAATTCTCAAGACAAATAGAGTACCATAAAATTCCCGAATGATCTGCCTACTACATTCAATACCGTTACCTTAAAAAAATGCTCTGCAAGCTCAAGTGTCAATACTCCATCTCTTCTGACACAGAGCTCAACGATGCCTTGCTAGATCAGCATAGCATCTTAATGAAATTCAAAGAAGAACTCAAATTCCAAATCAACATATTAAATGCCTTTTATTCAGAGAAAAAGTTGCAAGTTACTGATGAACTTGAAAAAATCTTCAGCTATTTCCATAACCTTGTCAGGATAAATTCCACAATTGACTTAGAAGAAGCAAAAAAACTTTTGTCATTAGACGAAAGAGATGACGCACAAGACAGGGCAACAAGCATGAAAAGAGCATTTTCGGATATCCACAAACAAATGTGATGGCTCGAAGCTTTCTGTGAGATTAATTATATGGCTTGCTTAAGGCTATTAGATAAGTTGGAAAGTTCAGTCGAAATGAGGGATGATTTGGAGCATCAGCCATTTAGGCAATGGGAAAGCGAAATTGGAGGGTTAAGAAATGCATTGTATGAACAAGTAGCCATAGAGTGCATGGACGGTGACATAGAAAAAGCAAAGATGTTGCTTATAGAAAAACAATACAGAACCAAAGATATTGGGAAGATTTTTTTCTGTCTAGGAGTAGTCGTGACTTGTCTGATAGTGATTTTATATATTGTTCTGAAGTTTGGAGATGCAGCTTTATGTCCTTCAACACCAATTTTTAGGCTGACTTTGGCTGTGAATCTTACTTTATTAGCAGTAGCTTATATAATTTATGTATTGGAATCATACTCAATCAATTGGGTATATATTTTTGAAATTGATCCTTCCAATAAGACTTCTTATATGAATCTTGTATGATATTCTATGCTTTTAAACGCAATTTGGGCTGTTTGCTATTTAGTGAATGTTGGAGATAAGCTTTATTTAGCATTCGCGAATAATCATATAATACTTTGTATAGGAATTTTTATATTTTATATTGCACTGCTGCTATATCCTTTCAATCAATTTCACAGAATTTCAAGATATGCTTTTGTAAAAGCATTTTGCGAATTATTAATATCGCCATTTAGCTACGTTCATTTTCGGAATTACATGTTTGGAAGCTGGCTAACATCTTTTGCTATTCCTTTGAGGGACATATACTTATCTTTATGCTTTTTCTTTCAAAATAACCCTTCATCAATCAAGGCTTTATCTCCAGACCACTATACAAACATTTTTGTGATATTTTTGCCTGCTTTTCCTTTAATTTTAAGGTTTTTACAAAATCTTAGTGCTATGGTCAGAAAGCCTTCTCTATACAAGCTTCAGATGATAAATTTAACAAGGTATTTTTTGCCTATTTTATTAGTCTCTATGTCCTATTTTAAGTTATATAAAGAGCCTTATACATCAGAATGGCTGTCAGTTTTTACTATATTGACTATACTCATTTTAAAGAGTTTGATACTCTTGAGACCATCGGCTTAACTAATAACTAAAAATCAGGACTGCATTAAGGGCGTCGAGCTATTTAAGAAGAGTATACATACCATGCATTTTTGGATATGTACTCAGATTGGGGGTTGCTCAGAAACTCAAGCAGCGGGCCATTTTTAAGAGGAAAAATTAGTTTCCCTAAAAATTTTTATTATAAGATTATGGTAATAAACTTCTTTTTGAGGTTTAACTGGACGTTGACATTAGTACCATATGAGGCTTTCAATAATGCTTATGTAAATACAGAGGTGCTGTATACAATTATATTGATTTTAGAGATATTTAGGAGGACGCTGTGGACAATCCTTAGAGTTGAAAGAGAAAACACAGGGAATGTTGAAAGGTATAGGAAAATAGATTATCTCCCAAAACCACTTTCTTAGTTGTAATCAATTTAATAAAGAGGATATCTTTATATAATAAATAAAATTTTTTTATGATTAATTTTGATGGTGAATTAATATAATATAGATAGAATTTCGAAAAATTAACTCTTAAAATTCAGTTAATTTTTCAGCAAATTAAAAAAATAAGAGAAGCTAGAAGTTTCCACTAATCCTATAATAAGCTTATTATGGAATGTTTCAAAGTGAGTCTAACAGGCATTGCTTTATGCAACTAAGTGTTTGAGGAGATTGGGAAAAATATACGAGCTATAATCAAAAAGCACGAGATTTTATTGATAATAAGAGAATTTGACTTCCTTTGAAGTGGTAAATTTAACTAATAAAATAATAATGGAATGCTTGAAATTCTGCACTTATACTGATTTATTCTTATCAATTGAAAACTCATTTCCTCTTATTTTCTTCAATTCTTAAATTATCTGATTAATCAGCTGATAAATGAAGATTGCGAATAATTTTAGAGTAATAATAAATTATAAATTTTCTTGTTATTATGCCGAAAATTTGACTGGATTTCTTCAACATTTTGTCTTTAATCCATCGATCTGGGTTTTCTTTTATTGAGCTTAAGAAGAATTTTGATTTAGAACGTAAAAAATCAATAGCTTTTAAATAATGCCAAATGTATATTGCACATATTTATTGTTGAGGACTATTGGCATATGATCTAGTAAAGAAGCATCCAAGAGGGTGCGATCTGGATCTTTGACTATTAGAATTATAAAAAATCCAGAAGCGGACATGATGGTGATTTTAATATAATATAGATAGAATATATGAAAATTACTCTTGAGTCAGGGACAAGTAGACTTAACTTTGATCCTTTTACAATTGAAATTGAGCCAAATTATGATGTCGAGTATATTCTATCTTTATTATCAGTTAGATACAACACTCTAGACCCAAAGCGTTTGGCACTTTATCTCAATAACCGTCCTTTGCAAGAAGATTTAAATGTAATGCGAGTTGGAATTAAAGATAACGACCACCTCATAGTAAAAATAAAGAAAAGCAGCTGTTGCTCATGCTGCCTACTTTTATAGTGTCTCAATTTTTATATTTCAAGAGCAATTATTAGTAAAGACTCATAACTAAAAACCAAACCTAAGATCTTTATATTATTTCTTTCAAATTATAAATTATTATGAGCTCAATAAAGAATGTCCAGGGAAATAATAAGTTTTTTCTTTTCCAACCTGGTCAAGCCATACAAGTCCTTCCGAAATTAGTGCATCTACAGCAATCTGAAATCTTGCTCTTGGTCAATCAGGAAACATAGCATGATTCACAAATCCTGAGTCTCGAGCTCTTTCAATCACAAATTTTTGGTCAATATTTAGCTCCAAAGGTACAGAAACCAGCATTTTGCAGTCTCCAGTTTCCATGATATTCATCCCATTTCCAAGGACTTTTAAGGTTTCTATAGCTTTATACATATCCTGAATTGTAATTTGATTTTTTCCACGAAGCTTGTTGACCCATTTAAGACAGTCATTGACTTCTAATAGTCCTCCTGTCCTTTGACGAAGTGCTATACATACCGTGGTGATTTGGACAGCCAAGTCATAGTAAAACTGGATATCATTGAACATTTCTGCCCAGTACCCTTTGCTTGCTGAGTAATAATTACATATAAGTGGATCAACGCCTATTTCTCTGCAAAGCCCATAGAATTCTTGTCGAAGTGAAGGGTTTTTGTTGATTTCTACACGATTTTGGGTAAGAAATCTCTCAAGATTTTGCTGAAAACGTTCTAGCTGCTCTTTTAAGCTGTTTTTAAAGGTGGTGTTGAGTTGGTTTCCTTCTTGCTTAAGTCTTTCCTATATTTTCTTTACCTTAAGCATCTGCTTTTGCTTAAGCCCTTTCATAATAAATATATAGTTGAATAAAAAATTATGTCTGAAGACGTCGAATACAACTTTAAAATAATCCTCGTAGGTGAAGGTGGTGTAGGCAAAAGCAGCCTCATAAGACGATACATACACAATCAATTCGACTTCAATAATCCTATGACTATCGGTGTAGATAGTGAAATGAAAAGATTGACCCTTGACGGACACTCTGTTATGCTTCATTTATGAGATACAGCTGGACAAGAGAAATTTGGGTCTTTAACGTCGCAATTTATAAGGGGAAGTCACGCAGCAGTGCTAGTCTATGACATTACAAATCAAAAGTCTTTTCAAAACTTATTTAGAAGGTGAATTGATAAGGTAAGAGAATGAGGCACGAATAATATGGTCTATATGCTGATAGGAAACAAAGCAGATGAAGAGGAGAAGAGACAAGTCACACAAGAGTTAGCAGTAAATAAAGCCAAGGAAAATAATATGCTTTTCTTGGAAACTTCCTGCATGAATTGCTTTAATGTGGAAAAAGCTTTCCAAGAAATCATTGGACAAATGTGGAATAAAAATAGAATAGGCAGCCAAAATTTAAACAGTGTCATATTGGGCCCAAGGAGAGGGATTCAAGCTTTGGATACTGAAGAAATTCCAAAGAAGCCTAAGAGAAGATGGTGCTAATTAATAAAAATTTAAGTATGGAACAAGAAGTTCTTTTCAGAGTAATCATTGTAGGAGACACTGGGGTAGGAAAATCATGCCTTTTGCTTAGGTATAGTGAAAATTCTTTTAAAGAACAGCATAGCGTCACTATTGGTGTCGAGTTTGGGACTAAATCAATTTCCATCAGCAATCAGCCAGTTAAATTACAAATCTGGGATACAGCAGGGCAAGAAAGCTTTAGAAGTATCACAAGGAGCTTTTATAGAAGAGCAGATGGCGTTTTATTGGTCTATGACACAACAGCTAGACATACATTTGAAAATTGTGAGTATTGGCTTGAAGAAATAAGAAACAATTCTTCAATTGATGTCGTTGTATTTCTGATAGGAAATCAAGTTGACTTAACAGAGACAGAAGAAAGAGAAGTCACTACTGAAGAAGGCAAAAAATTTGCAGAAAAGCACGAATTGAGTGGATTTTTGGAAACTTCAGCAAAAAGCGGTTTGAATGTAGAAGAAGCGTTCTCAAAATTCAGCTCAATTTTATATGAGAGATGGAGAGAAAAAACATCGTTTGAGCCGACAATAGTAAAGCCGAAAATAGAACTAAGACCGACAAATACAGTTAAAAAAAGTAATGGGTGTTGTCATTATATTAGTGATTTTACTTTTCTTAATTATTATAAAGATGAAATGAACAGGAAATCTTGCTTATTCACAGCTATGCCATTCATTTCAAAAATAATGGGCATGAAAATAGACTGGTCATAGTTGTCTGATATCAGGATATTTCCAAATAAGTTTGCTTTATTTTTCATTTTTTGATAAAAACCAGAAAAATTGGAATTGGCTTCTTCGGCCAGCTCGAGCAAAGTATGAGGTTTCCAACGCAAAATTGAATCCAAAACAGTTTCTCCATTTGGTGTCAATGTTCATGAGACTTTAAATAGCTCATTATTTTTTGTTAGTGGCATATAGTTTTCTATCACTTTTTCATTAAACAGCATCATTTTATTTATGCTCGGAGTGTTCGCATATGTATTAAAAATAGTATTTTTAGGCCAAAAATTTTTATCAATGATATCTTCAATTGTAATAATCGCTCTTTTACCGCTTTTAATCCATTGACTTATTGTGAAATTAAAGCCTCCATTATTTTCAAATAAAAATTCTCCTATTTCTTCTATAATAATATATTTAATATGCATGAATACCTAATAAAATATCGAAGACTTTCTTGATTATTCTATTTTTTACTATTATTTATCATTTATGAGAATTCAGAATATCTCTTAATTCTTCTCTATTCGTACTATTAATCACATTTTCATTGAAATGTGAAATCTCCAAAATCACTATTTCACTTTGAAAATCCTTTAAAAAATTCGTAATATTTCTTATCACTTCTCTTACAGTAGGTCCTACGACATAATGATGAGTCATCCATTCATGTAAATCTGGATCCCAACCTGCTCTTATATCAAAATATCTAATCCCGCCTTTCATTTGCTCATAGAAATTTTTAGTTTGGCATTTTGATCAATTTTTAATGATAGTTGATGTAGGCTTATACATAAATTCAGCAACTTCTGAGGCTTCTTCAAGCCATGGCGAAGATTCACCTATAAGTGGATGGCTGGTCAGAAAATAGGACGCACTGTCATGGGTTCCAGGCAAAGTAATTTCTTTTAAAGTCTTGTTTTCTATATAAGGTAAAGAATTTTCTATTCAATTTGAAAAGAAATCTTGAGAAAGCGAAAAAATCAGGAAAATAAAAAATAAAAAGATACTGAAACTCATTTTTATAAGATTTTTAAATTTAACACCAGTTTAATTCTGGTGGCTTTGTTGAGAATTCAGCAAAGCGTTTATTAGCTGGATTGTCCCATATTGATGTAGATCTCTGTCTCGGCATATTTTCCACATTGTTCAGTGGAAACGAAGGAGTTTGATTCCCATTTGAAATATCTTCAATTAGTATTTCATCTGATCTTTGAATAGCTTGGGAAAGGCTTTTTCTCTTTTCTGCTCCTGAAAGAAGCCCTGTTTTGGAATTTTCGGTCCAAAAAGTCCAGGGCTCTTCATTTTCTTTATATGATTTTCTTAATAGTGGGTTAACATTTTTCTTACTTCTATCTTCGAGTCTGTTTCTGTCAGTAAAATCAATGCTACAAGAAACCTTTGAGGAAGCTACTAGTTTACCTTCTGGTTCATAGCTTTTTCTTTCATTAATTTCTTCATTAGAAAATCTGTTATTTTTTACGCTATTTACTACATTTTGAAATGCCTCACACCACTTTTCATATTCTGTACTATTTTCGCAATAAAGTGTATATATTTTGGAGGTAGTTTCTACTTTAAACGAAAATCTTCAGTCGGATAGTTCAATATTATCTAGATCTCGAACAAAATTAGTGATTTCATTAAGGGAATGATGCTTTATTGCGTGTCTTCACACGAGGTCTACTCCATAACGACTATTTTTTTTTGGCCTATTTGTTTTTGGCCTAATTTTTTTTGGGCCTATTTTTTTTGACCTAATTTTTTTTGGCCTATTTTTTTTTGGCCTATTTTTTATGGCCTATTTCATGACGACTATTTTTTTTGGCCTATTGTTTTGGCCTATTTTTTTTTGGCCTAATATTTTTTGGCCTATTTTTTTTCGGCCTATTTTTTTTTTGGTCTATTTTTCTTTGGCCTATATTTTTTTGGCCTATTTTTTTTTGGCCTATTTTTTTTTTGGCCTATTTTTTTTGGCCTATTTTTTTTTGGTCTATTTTTTTTTATCTCGAGGATAATTCATGAAGCTGCTTAGAGACTAAATAATTATTGGGTAACGGATGTATTTCCTTACACAATTAATATTGAGTAAATTAAGTGGAAAAATCCTAATTAAATTTAAAATTCTCGAAATTTAAAAAAGCAATGAATTAGCATTCATGGAGTAAGAGATCTGTTAAAGGTGTATTTTATGTTGATAAAATTGTTTAAAATGCATTAAAAATTATATCAAAATCATTAGTATGAAATTAGGCCCAAATATTAGTAAAAAATAGCTAAAAAATGGCCAAAAAAAGTCAAAAAAAATAGGTCAAAAAAAATAGGCCAAAAAAAAATAGGCCAAAAAAAAAATAGGCCAAAAACAAATAGGCCAAAAAAAAATAGGCCAAAAAAAATAGGCCAAAAAAAATAGGCCAAAAAAAAAAGTCTTTCCTCGTGTGAAGGAACCGCTTTATTGGAATCGGCTTGGTGCTATTTTTACAATAATAAAACTTACTTGCTGCTATGTCAAGAACGAACCAGCGCTTAGTAAATTTGCTAACAAATCTTATTAATGCGCGGTCATTTTTAAGCTTCTTTAGGTATCCTTGGACTAGTTTTGGTGTTTCCTCTGAAGCTGGCTGTTGGTTTTGAAATTCCATTTTAAAAATATGATAAGAAAGATTGTTAAAGTGTCTATACAAGGCAAAAAGTTCTGTAAGTGATTTCTTATAATTATAATATGGCTGCAAAGCAAGGGTACGGGCCAGATCTGAAAAAATATCTCAATTTGAATGTGGATATTAAGCTGAATGGAAATCGAAGAGTTTGTGGAGTACTACGAGGATATGACCAACTTATGAATCTCGTATTAGAAAATGCATATGAAATCGCAGGCCCTATTAAAAGAGAAATCGGCTCAGCTTTTATCCGCGGTAATTCCGTAATAATGTGGGAGTGCATCGATAAAGTAGTTTCCTAACTCCCCCCCCTCCGTGAGTGAACAAAAACATTAGAAAAATCGCTATTTTTTGCCCCAAAACCCACTCCGTGAGTGAACAAAAAATTTTTTTTAATAGAAAATTTTTTATTGAAAAAAATTTTTTTGATATATAAATGATAATTAGTATAATGAAATCTAGAGCTAATTCTGTTTAATTTTAAACGAATTGCTTTTTAAAACATAAATTTTACAAATTAAATTAATATTTGCTTTACAATTTTTGTGAATTAGGATTTTTTTAAATTTCGAAAGAAAACAAAAATTTTTTATAAAATTTATATATAAATTTTTTTTAAAAACAAAAATTAAACCCCCTCCGTGAGTGAACAAAATTTTTTGTTCACTCACGGAGGGGGGGAGTAAGTCACAAATAAAATAAAATTCATCTTAAAAATACCTATTTTCTACATGATTTAGACGATTATTTAAATTTGTTGCCAAAAATGGCCTGTAGCTTTGGCTTTCTCAAATTGTCACCTATATGGACATTGGTAATTTTGTCAACTATCAACATAATTCAGTATGTGGACAGAGGTGCACTCTCTTCTGTGGTTTCTAAGCTTGAAGATAAAGATGACGATGGTCTTGATTTAAGCTCAATTGAAGCTGGAGCCTTAGGGTCACTTTTTATGCTTGGCTATATGATTTCATCTCCTTTATTTGCCCACTTCGCACAATATATTCACCCATTGTTCTTGATGGCCATCGGACTTATTGTATGGATGGGAGCTGTGATTATGGCAGGACTGTCCAGATCATTCCTTCCACTTGCGATAGCTAGGTCAATCACTGGGGTCGGTGAAGCTTCAGTTGTGTGTTTGGCACCTCCTTATATCATGGATAATGCACCAGCAGCTAAAAAAACACTGTGGTTAGCTGTATTTTATTCTGGGGTGCCGGTAGGGTATGCATTAGGATTTATATATGGAGCGTTGATTTCTAGTGTTTTTGGAGCATGGTGGTGGCCGTTTCTGATTGAAGGAGTTGCGATGGCTCCATTTGTGGTGATAGCAATAATTGCATATAAAGATCCATCTATGATAGTGAAGAAACATAATAAATTGATTCCAGATGGAGGCGATGGAGAAAAAATGTCGATGAAGGAACAAATATCTGTTTTGATGAAAACACCAATTTATGTTTTCTTGATTTTAGGCTATGGGGCGTACGCTTTTACTATGGGAGGACTCTCATATTGGGTAAAATTTATATAGGGACCTGCCTACTTACACGATTTTTATGATTCAAGTGAAACAGTCGCTGCTTATTCCTTAGGAGGAATTACTGTAGCTTGTGGGCTGATAGCCACTTTTCTAGGATCCATGTATATGGACAAAAAGTCTCGGCCTTTTACACAACAAAAAGAAAGAGGCGAAATCACAGACGATGATTTAAGGGCAGCCAAAACACAGATTGGTTGCAAAATCTTATTTGTGGTGACTACAATTGGAGTTGCAATTGGGGTAGTTGGCGCTATTATCGCAGTCTATATCTTATTTATGATTACTTTAGCTGGAAGCGAGTTTTTCATTTTCTTAGGAACTGGGCCTGTAGGGATGGTGCTTATGAGCTGTGTTCCACCTGAGCTTAGAGGTCAAGCAAATGCAGTTGCTATATTTACTATGCACTTATTAGGTGATTTCCCTTCACCATTCATTATTGGTGTTCTATTCGATTTAATTGGTGGATATTGGACTATGATTCTCCTCATCGCATGGCTTGGATGGGCTGCTATGATGTGGGGAACATGCTTTAACCTTTCGGTAAATTTTATTTAGAGATGGAAAGATGAGCCATTTTGGTTTGCAATTAAAAATACATTTAAGAGAAGTGGCAAAGTCGGAGTTAAGGCAGAAGATGAGGTTTTGAATTTTAGAGATAGTAAAGATAGCACGAATACTAAAGAAAGCAAAGATTCTAAAATTTAATTATAAATCATTTATATATATGATTTCACTAATCTTATATTTATACTATAATCTTGTTATTTATTTAATCCATGCTTTTTCCTACATGCCTGGACATTCTCTTCATATTCTTCAGGGGTGATGCTTAAGCTTCTGAAATCCAAGCTTTCAATAAAAGTAGCTGCACTTTGGAATTGCTGGAAAACAAAGCCTTTAAGCCCAATCATCTTGGTATGGTGCCTGAATTTTGAGATATAGTTTAAATTGGAGTACAGCCTTTGTGGCTTCGCTTTTAATACGACATAAATTATAATAGGCAAAGAGTCATCAGTGCCTACCCCGCCACTTCCAGAAGACATGAGTCCTAATACATTAACTATAATTGACATACAGCCTGCTAAACAATTAAGCTTATCTGAAGGAGCTCTGTAGGTGTCTATAGCTTCTAAGGCTTCTATCGCGAATTTCCACATGTCTTCATTTCTATTGGCTGGCTCTATATCCATATGTGCTGGCTTCACTCAGTCAAGCTCAAGAGTGCGGTTATAGAGGTTGGTGTCTTCTATAGAAGCCTTGCTAGGGAAGATATGGTTATACATATTGGAAGTTATGTGTTTCTCAATTTCGTCAACAGTGATTTCAGCGACTTCTTCACTGTTTCCTTCTTCTATAAGCACGTTTTTGACGAGGTTAATATAGTCGAAAAAGGCACCACCAACGTTGTAAGGGTCATCTTCTTTTTCTGTAGACTGGACTACTTGGTCTAGTTTCATGAATTTTTGATAAAACTCTTCAATAGACAACACATGAGTTTCCTCATTCGCCTGAGTCTTTAACTTCCTATTGTTTCCTAGCACAAAATCTCCAACTGCTGACAACTTAGAATGTGGGCACACAGACTGATGAAATACTTGCGTCGTATAATTTCCTCCGTCCTTAAGTGTCAGTAAACATGCAGGAATTACACCTTTTCTTATAAACGACAAAAAATATTTTTTCCTCTTCAGTGATTCTTGGACTTTTACTTCTTGTTTCATATCATTTACATGTTTTTCCATAAAATTTATAGCTAAAAGTAGCAGCTTTTTATTTTTGTTGGCAATTTTTCTCCTGACTTGGAATCTTTCTTCGCATTCTTTTAGAAGAGTCGTAAAAAGCTTGCGAAAGTTATGGGATTTATATTCGTCTGGGACACATTTGAGGTAGGTGGCGAGAAATTGGGCTAAAAGCTTTAAGGGAACACCTTCTTGAGCAGCTGTTTTTTTATTTTCGAAGAGATAAGAAAACTGGATGACATATTCAGAAATGTCTTTAAGGGATCATTCTTTACTGAGATCAAAGAAAATGGACAAATCTAAGCATACTAGCAAATTTCTTGTTGCCTCCATAACTTTTGTTAAGAGTTTTATACCTTCAAAATCAGAATCTTTCGGGAAATTTGTGATGGATTTGTGAAGGTTAGCGACATAGCTGTTTTCCAAATCATTTTCGCCAAAATTTCGTTTGATAAAAAATAAATAAGGATTTTCATCATAATGCAAGCCAATTTCACTGACATATACATATTGGATTAATGCATCTGTTTCGTCAGCGTTTCTTATTGTTTTTGCGTATCTTAATAAGTCAGTTCATCCTCTTGATACTACCTCATCTTCATTTTCTTTGACAATTTTTGCTAAAAATTTAATATTTTCTAAAGCTAAAACAACAGTCGTGACCTTAAACTCTTTCATTTCGTTCATGCTTTCTATCTGCTTTTTCGTTTTAGAATTAAAATTAAATGGAGACACCAAAGGTCTAGACAATCGGTTTTTGTAGTAATTGAACATGGTTTGATCTCCATTGGAATTTGATATAAATGATGCTGTTGGAGAAGGTTTTCCTGGCTTTTTTCTTCCAGAAAAGCTCCCATCATCGAGAGTTAAGATTTCTCGAAAGAAATCTTTCATATGAATTGATTCTTCAGCTATAAAATTGTTAATAGTTTCGTATTGAGGCTCATCAAATCTGCTTTCCTTGAAAATGTGCTTGAAAATAGTTCCTATCAGTTTTAAGTGATGAAGAGTGGTAGAATGAATTATAACGTTTTGAAGTAAACCATTTTTTATAGGATCAAAAATAGCTGGGATCCACCAAAATGTAAAAAGCATGTTCCCTAACAATGAAAACTTATCAGCCTCACTTACGCCTGGAACTAATACATCTATTAAATCGATCATTTTTTTGCATATCCCTCTAAGCCCATAAGGCATAGTTCTTACATTTTTATAAAGTGCTTGTAGAAGCTGCTTACACTGGCCTATAATAACTTGGCTTCTCCCTTCAATCAATTCTTTGACTTGGATATTTTGCAATGCTTCTTCATCAGTTACTTCTACAACAACAGGGCTTGCATCTTTTTGCTCAACTTTTACTTTCTTTTTTGACCCAAAAAGCGATTTTTTCTTCGGAGGTGATGGCTCTTCTCTTTGGAAGCTTTTTAGCCGTTCAGTCTCAATTTTATATATAAGCTTTGGGTCCAGTTTTAAGTCTTTAATCCTTTCTTGATCATGAATAATTTCTCTTACTCCCCCCCCCCCCCCTCCGTGAGCGAACAAAAAAATTTTGTTCACTCACGGAGGGGGGTTAATTTTTTTTTTTTAAAAAAAAAAATATATATATAATTTTTATAAAAAATATTGTTTTCGAAATTTAAAAAAATCCTAATTTGCAAAAATTGGGAAGCAAATATTAATTTAATTTGCAAAATTTATGTTTTAAAACGCAATTTGTTTTAAAATTAAACAGAATTAGCTCTAGATTTCATTATACTAATTATCACTTATATATCAAAATTTTTTTCCATTAAAATTTTTTCTATTAAAAAAAATTTTTGTTCGCTCACGGAGGGTGGGTTTTTAGTCAAAAAATGGTGATTTTTCTAATGGTTTTGTTCGCTCACGGGGGGGGGGGGGAGTTAAAGGCTTTTTAAACACTAATTTCATATATTTCAATTGGTTTTTTCTTTTCATATAAAGGATCAGCATTTTTCGTAGCAATAGGTTTTCGTTTAAAAGATTTGAGACGTGGCCACTGCTGCTGAGTTCGGTGAGTTCTTCTTTGATGAGTCTATGAATTGCGTTTAAGAGCTCAAGCTCAGTGTTTTCTGGATGGACCAAGTCTAAGAAAAAGGAGTAGCTGAAGCTTTCTACTAATGAGTCAATGTTATCTTTTCTTTGACGGCACATAGAGCACACATAGGCGAATATATCAGGGTTATTTCTGATCTGAGTAACAAAGGCTTCGACGTAGTGATAATGGTCACCTAGAAATGCATGTGCGTCTGGGATTAAATGCTTCTTTTCGTTGGCCTGAATGGAAATTACGTTTTCGTGAAATTCTCTGACTTTTAATTGGTGCTCATAATACCCTCGGTGGAGGTCTTCAAGTTTTGAGAGCAGCTCTTTCTTTTCTATTTCGTCTGGCTATGCTTTACCATGGGACAGGCGCAGCTTTTCGTATTTTAAGCATTTCTGAAGGTAAGTTCAATCTTCAAAGGTTACTTTTCCTTCACTATCCATATTATAAAGAGCTTATCAAAAGGATTATTTAAATATTATTTTTAATAGGATTATAAATTAAATATTAGCTCATCACAAAAAGACTATAGATATAGAGATCAGTTTTTTGGGAAATAAATTAATGGCGGTAAGTTCTAAAGGACTTTTCTAGCAATATATTATTTTATATAAGTATATTAATAGATTTCCACAGTGTTTAAATTATTGAAATCCAATATTTTTATCTCTATATAAAGCATTTAGCCGCTATATTGAGACATTAACATTTTTTTAATTTATGGGAGGAGTAAGTTATAATAGGCTTCGTTATTAAAATTACAATTCGTTTTTGCTTGAGCTAAGAATAGAATAAAGAGAATAGCATGATTGGGCTGATGTCTCTCAATCTCCTTGTTAGAGCAGTATAGCGTTAGGCACATACCGTCTGCGGAAGCCTGTAAAGGGTCTATATGTACAATAATGGAGGCTTATTGCTGACCTTACCTTTTCCAAAGATCTTCCATCCAAAGTAAAAGCTCATGCCCAAGGTTTGTACCTTGAGGCATGGTAAAAACCATACCTCGATATACGCAAGGCTATCCGTCTTTCTTCAGCTGATTTCCCCATCTGGGTGTTCCCTGCAGGTGCTGAGAAATTCGCCCCAAGAGGTCGAGTTGTCTTTTCACCATTTTAATGTATATATTATAAATCACTTTTAATTTATTGCTATAAAGAAAAAATTAATTTATATATTCTACTTACAATATTAAATTCAATGAATTAAAAAGTATCTTTATCACTTTTAAAAGTTGGAAGGACTTCTTTTGAGAAATTATTACTTCAAAATTTGTCCCCAACCATTTTAAATAACGACTAAATAATAATTTTCTATCATTTTCTGTTGTTTGAATGCCAATTCTATAAAGATAATTTCTTAAATCATTATGATATTTTCTCCATCCCACCAATATAAGCTGGATTAAATTTGTCCATAATATTTCCTTCAGCAAGTGAGCTTAATTCAGCTTTTTTTCTTCAAATTTTTTTCAGAATAGAAATAGCTCCACTATTTTTCCTCAAACAGTCTACTGAAAAGTATCAATCTTTTTCTTTTGTCATAAATAGAAAATCTTCATTATTCCGATTAATTCTGATTTTAAAGTTTCCATACTTAATTTTACTGCAAGACCTTGACTCCAAATCTTCTAAACAAAATTCATAAATCACCGACTGATGGATTGATATCCAAATATTTTAAAAACTCCTCAAAATCTGAGATTGATAGTTCCCCTTGGCCATTTTTATCAATAAGATTAAAAAATTATCAGCAGAAAAACTTTAGCCATAGCAAGATTTTGCCGAAAATGCTCTATTCTTCTTTCACAAGTAAAAGTTGAAGGTTTCAATTAGTGACAATTAGTGACAATCGCACCGGAATCTTTTCAAAAGAAAAAAAGTTACTTTTGAAGTACTAGAAGGTGAATCTTAATAGCTTGAACTTTCCATAGCATTTACACCTGTTCCTCAAGAGGGAAGTCTCAGAAAACAAATAATTAAATTTGTCTTTTAAAATTCCTTAGAAATGAACTCTTGAAGAGAAGAAATGATTCTCTCTCCAATGGTCTTTTCTAATCCTATAAGGTTTAGATTTCTAAAGAAAAAATTTTACATTGAAAAGAGTTTTAAGAAATTATAGAATATGATACTAAATAGTGGCCGGCGTAAGTAGACAGCTCTCTCTTACTCAAAATAACTGCAGAATGAGAAGATTTGAAACTTCTTTTTCAATTGAAATTTTAGGAAACGAGCTTTTAGGATCTTCACATTTTTTTTAGAGAGCACAATAAAGAATCTTAATTTTTGGAAAGATCTTGGGAAAAGATGATATTTTAGATAAAAGGTAAACCATTTTAATATATGCAACTTTTCATATTAAATTAATGGCCAAAAATCCTAAATGCTCTGAAAGAAGCTAATTTATTTTAGAAAAGGCTGGGCTATAATATTTACTTCAGAATTGCTTATACTATTTTGTCCATGCAACATACAGAATGCCTAAAATGTAAAATATCATATTGAGCAGGAATAAAAATTCTTCCATTTCTACTTCTTATCGCTTTTAAATCTCAAATTTTCTTTAGCTCTTCTTCATCTGATTTCTTAATTTTCAAATTCAAATAAAGCTTCTCAACGTTGTCTATCTTTGTAAAATTTTTAATGGCGTTCATGAAATATGACCCTGGGTATGACTTCTCCAATAAAGGAATCGATTGGGAAGAATACCAGCGTGAAGTCCGCTTAAGAACAGATGCAGTATGGGAGCGTCAAAAACTCAAAGACTATTTCCGCCTATTTTACAAGATTTTCTATTGGGATCCAAAAACAGAGCAATATTACATCACCATGCCTCTTCATAAAAACTATAACTCTCCAGATGGCTGGCGTTTCAAACCTCATCATGGCTACAACCCTACAGGCAAATCCAATTCTTATCAAAGAAGCAAAGCCAAAGAATTCGGCACTAGAACAGTCTCCCTCAGCTACGCAGATACTTTAAGAGACAAAAACACTGTCTGCTTCTTCCGTTTTAGAGCTTATAAGAAATGCGAAGGAAACACTTTACTTCCTCAAATTCTGGAGAAGCCAGGAGAAAAGTTTAACCCAGAGTGCTATCAAGAAATGCTTGATATGGTCGAATACTGCAGCAATGTACAACTTAACTGGCTTTCTGATATGTGGCATCATATGAAGATGAATCAAGATAAGTCTGTGTTTAGCAATAATGATGAACTTAAAATGATGATTGATGAGTTCGACAACCCTGACGTGGATGTCAAGACTTATTAAGCTAATTTCAGCTTTAAGAAAATTTTAAAGAATAATTAGATGGAAATAGCCAATATAGAAAGAAAATAAATGCTTTTTTATTTTTATTATATCTTAACCTTCAAAGCATCCTTATCACTTACTCATGCCCCTTTTTTGCATCTTCTTCATAAATAAATACCACTGAATTATTAAAGATCTGTAATAAATAATATTTCAATATAGCTTAGCACATTATCATCTACGAAATAAGAATCAATAATAAAAAATAAAAAGAAAATTCCAATTCTGCCATTTTAAATTTCATACCTGCTATTGTAAAGTATCCTTTTTAGCTAATAAATATGATAGAAATTCAGTTTTTTTAGCATATTCAATAAATTTATGTATGAGTAACTAAAAACATTATTTCTTCAAGTATATTTTTAATTCAAAATATTTTCTGGCAAAGCCTAAATAATTCACATATTTTTAATCTTCTTTAAAAAGATAAAGAAATTTTTTCACATAAATCGGTCGAAATTCTCTCTTAAAGCTTTTTAATGTGGATGCCTTACTAGAGAGGACATTTGCCATAATAAATTTTAATATTGAAATCTGAATACTCTCAGTAATGAAAGTTTTGTGCGATTTTGATAAAAGAAGGATAGTAGAATGAACAATTTGTGCTCATAGACTATATTGAAATTTTTATTCAATCATGTGGGATGAAAGATTCTAAAATTCAAAAATTTAATTTATAATATATGAAAAAGAGATACTTGTAGCTTGAACAATAAAGGGCTTCATTCCATTTAAAGCCAGTTTAATCAAGCATTAGTATAATTTTTTTGATTTTTTAATGCCAAAATGGCAGCTAATACTTAATAAAATGAGCAAGCCTGTCAGAAAAAACGGGTTAGATCGCCCCTTTGACCCTCTACAAGTTTCCGGCTGAATCCTAATGTCTTCGAATTTGGTTATTGTTGGGATTATCTTAATCCCAACTTTTGAGCAATCTTTGCAGGTACTCTCAAAATAGATAGTGCTCTCATTATTATTTTATTCTACTCAATTAATTACTATGGTATTAGCGGCAACTTTGACAGCTGGAAATCCAACAGATCCTATTTCAATATCTGATAAAGCAGCAATAAAAAAAGGCAATTTTTTTGATAAATCAATTTCTAAAACAGTATGTACAATATGCTGCTGCAGCGTCAGTCCAAATAGCAAGCACTGTGGCTCTTGCAATCGATGTGTTGATGGGTTTGATCACCATTGCAAGTGGCTAAATAATTGTATAGGAAACCAAAACTATAAAAAATTTATATTACTTTTGGTATGCATTGATATCAATATGCCGATATTAGTAGGATTTGGAATTAAATCTTTATGTACATATTTTAATGACACTGAAATATATAAAGAAAGACTGTCAGATCTATTTGGATGTTCAAATGAAGCATTATTCTTATTTTTTACGTTTACTACAATAAGTGAAGCACTTCTTGTTATAACGTATGATAGCTATTTAATTGGATACCATGCTTGACTTAAATGAAAAGGGATTACAACATATCAGCATATTTTAATAAAAAAGGCAAAACATGATAAAAAAATTCATTCAGATGCGGCTCTGCGCAATTCAATTAAAATGTCATGTTTAATTCCTTCAACAATTGGAGATAAAGAATTATCAGTATTTTCTGAAAATGGTGAAACTCAGCATAATAGGCCTTTAGAGCTGCCTATAACTGGCTCAATTATATATACTTTTATCAAAGAGCCAGACAGAGAAGATGCAGAAAATCATGCTGTTTAAAATTTTTAATTAATATTATAACCTTATAACTGGTTACCTAAAAAGTAGTTTACAAATGCACTTTCTGTAGGAAATATTGCATTTTTTGACGAATAAATCTGGTAAGCTTTGCTGATTTTATCATCTTTGTTTTCATTATATAGAAATTGGATTAGAAGAGAATAGCTATCTAATGACAGAGAATTCAAAAATTCTTCAAATAGCTGACTATTAGAAGATATAAAGCCAATCATGCCGCATTTATTCGGAATCTTCATGATTCCATCTTGCAATGTATTTATTTCTACTCCGCAAAATGTCTCTTCATCACATTCCATAAGTTTTGCATAAAAATAAGCAGATACTTCAATCCCATAAAAATCTGCAAGTCTTGCTGCATAATTGATTCATTTATTGCATTTGATTTCCACTAACTCCCCCCCCCCCCTCCGTGAGCGAACAAAACCATTAGAAAAATCGCCATTTTTTGACCAAAAAACCCACCCTCCGTGAGTGAACAAAAATTTTTTTAATAGAAAAAATTTTAATGGAAAAAAATTTTGATATATAAGTGATAATTAGTATAATGAAATCTAGAGCTAATTCTGTTTAAATTTAAACAAATTGCGTTTTAAAACATAAATTTTGCAAATTAAATTAATATGTGCTTCCCAATTTTTGCAAATTAGGATTGTTTTAAATTTCGAAAAAAATATTTTTTATAAAATTTATATATAAATTTTTTTTTAAAAAAAAAATTAACCCCCCTCCGTGAGCGAACAAAAAATTTTTTTGTTCGCTCACGGAGGGGGGGGGGGGGAGTAAGCACTCAATTATTTTTTTAATTGAGTTTTCATTGATTTCTAAATCAATGCAAATATCAACGACTCTTCCTATTTGTTCTTCAGGAATATCAAGTTTAGCACCTTTTTCATTCAAAAAGTAGATCATTTCTTCGCAGCTTTTTCCTATAATTATATCAGCACTATCTGAAGAAATACTCCTATAAATCCCTTCGCTCCCAAGCCATTCTAGAATATATAACAAAACTAAATAGGCTTTGAACTTTAATAGGGCTTCAAGCAGATTTTCCCATAGCTTTGCATCTTTGAGTTTATAGTCCATACAAATTCCAGCTATTAATTGGATTGTTCGATACTCACTTGAATGCTGCTTATATAAGGACTTGCATAGCGTGAGCTTGTCGCATTTTAACAATGTTTGCAGGTCATAAGGAATTTTAAGAACTTCTAAATCAGCCATATAATAAAGGTGCTGTAAATAAAGCTTTATATCTTCTGTTGGAAATAAATGCTTATAATCATCAAGCTCTTCCATAGAAAAAAGCTTTAGAAGCATTGTTACCGCTCTTGCAATAGTTTTAAAGGAGAGTTTGGAGTTTTTAGGATTTGCCCCATAGTTTAAGAAAGTCTTAAAAATCCAATTTCTGTCAATTGCCCTTGCAAGATATTCTATCCTTAATTCGTTTAGCAAATCAGCATTATCAGCACAATAATGAGTTAAGCTATAAGCTCCAATTCTTTTTTTCCCAATATTCTCATCAGACTCTTTTGGCTCTTCATTTAACCACTGGTATAAAAGCTCGTATTTCAGCTGCACAAGATCTATTTGAAACCTATTTGATATAGACTGGATTAAGTAATCCAAATCAGCTTTTTTAAAGCTTTCTAATCTGTTATAAACTCTTGGAACCAAACGGAAATATAAAGCGATAATCAATTCTTTAGGATTATCAATAACAGCTGAAAATTCTGCCTCAAGCCCATACTTTTTCAGCTCAAATCTTGTTGAATAGACACTCAGTTTCCCTTCATTGATCTCAATAGCATTTTTTGTTTTTACTAGCAGAGCTTGGTTATTATTGTTTTCACATCACTCATACCATGACCTCAGCACTTTTAAATGTGCTTGCTTTAAAGCTAAAAAATCTTCACTTAAAGGGTAGTGTTTTGCAATTTTTTCATAAAGGTCGCATTTTGTTTTATAAGCTTTTATTTGGGATATTGTTTGTTTAATTTCTGAAAATTGAGGACAATAATGACAGCGATTGTTATCGGAGTAGGAATGTGTGTGTTTTTGAAACATATTTTCGATGGCTCTTACTCTGAACCAATCTTCATCCAATGATAGAGTTGAAGCAAATTTTATTAGGGTGTCAAGTGTAGATAATGAGAGTTCTTCATTTAGTATTGACTTGGGATCAGTTAAGAATAAATCAGTAGTACTGAATTTGGTCGTGATTTTTCCTGGCAGGCATTTTCTCGGCGCTATTTGGTCGAAACTTTTTCCTTGCCAGACGTTATCCCGACAAAACCCGTTATTTTTCAAACAATATCTAACTAGAAAAAATTCGTGTCAAGGAATTGCTTCAAGAGGAAAAATTCCCAATAAAAAGATATGTGGCTGAATAAATCAGCTGAAAAGTATATGTAATTCATAGCAGAGTAGACTTTCTGGACTTCTTTGGTGACTCCTCTTGCGTTTTCTATTATAGTCGATCTCTCCTCATGTGATGGCTGAGTGACTCGTCTGTATTGGCTTAAAATTTCAATAGTCGCATAATACTTTTTAAATTGTTGTTGGTTTCTATCAAGATTTACTAGGTAAGAGAATATGAAAAGAATCCTTGGATAGTCTAAGTGAACGACTCTAGGTAAAATTCTGTCTTTGAGATGATCTAATAGCTCTTCAGGCTTAATATCATATGCAGCAGCTACAACTTTATCTTTATATGATTCATCAAAAGGGCTTTCATTAATATATTCAGAGAGCTCTTCAGGATCCAAGTCTAAATGCTCTTTGATTTTATTATTTAGGATAGGATTAAGCAGCTGGAATTCGATGTATGCCAAAAATGCATGGCTCTCATCAATATTATAAGTCCTGCAAAGCTCTAAGCACATGTCTAGGTCTTCAGTTTTATGCAAAATCTGAGGAAATAATTCAATCAATGACTGTTCTCTGCCATTTAAAATAGTTTTATCAAAAGGAATTTTCAGCAAATTCAACGTATGAGTCCACCTTGATGCAGCTTCGTGGTTTTTCCAGTTTCCAGCTTGGTCATGATCTCTCCACAGTATTGCAGAATCCTGACCCAGCTGGCAAATCATTTGTGTCTTTGAGTACTCATTATTTCTCTGAGGCAAAGATCTATTTAAGTACTCAAATGATTTATCATGCCCCATTGAAAGCGTAATCCCTAAAGCTAATGAATAATCAATTTCTCTTGAACTTAACACTTTATTTAATAACACGCTTGCGATTTCTTCAACTGATTGATCTTTTATATTCATATAAAGGTTTGGCAGAGTTTTCACACATCTTTTTTGGAATGAATGTCTGATAGAGGCAGGGTAACTTATTTGCCTAAGCACTTATTTGGCCTTGCCTCGAATAAAGAAGCTGCTGAGTTTTCCTTTGGGTGTTTAAGGGAAAACGTGGACAAAATCTATATGTGATAAATCCTCTCCAGTTGAAAGGGTTCCAAAATGGGGTATCTGACTGACTCGCAGGATTGACTAAAAAATGGCGCTGGGGTTGGAAAAGGATGAGTTCAGCAAAGTCCTTTGAACCAACGGACCTATCTCTAGAAATTGGAGGCTTCGACCCAGGTTTTAGACATTTTGCATTCAGCCACCCCTAGAGATTTGTGATTGGCTTGCTTTCGAACTGCAGAATCCAGAGATTGAGATCTAAACACAATACGCTTAATATAATCTAATCTCATGGTCTTTTATAAGTTCTGGCGATTCAAGCAGAAGATTTGTGGCAAGAACTAAGCAGCCACTCCTGTGTAAAACATCAAAAAGTTGCTTAGTGCCTGCTTCTTTGTGAGAAGATCGGGTTTGAATATAATTTCGAACAAGTGGAATCACTTCTTTGGTGTCAAGAAACATTTGCTCTTCATTAAATACGTTGCGGTTTTCTTTATCTTCGCTTTCTGTTTGTTGATATATCCAGCCTGCACGCTCTATGTCGGTTGATAGTTGGAGAAAATCAGAAATTTCTTCTGGAGGGCATTTGGAAAGGGCCCATCTAATATAAGGTAAAATCATAGCTGGGATGCTTGTTTCAGTGCAGTTTTGAATCAGATTTAATGATACTTCTTTAATTGCAGACAAAATATACCTAATTACTATGAATAAAAAACATACCTCTAGTAACCATTATCCTATTTCCATAATGTCCCTTATTCGTTTTGACATTATGAAAATAAGATAACAGCTAATCAGTATGAATCCTTTTATTCATAGCAATTAGGTATATATTTAGATGGAGAATTTTGAATCAATTCTTGCAGATATGATAGAGACAACATAAAATTTCCCAATTTTGAAGCTTGAATAGCTGCTTGCATTTGAAAAGTATTTCTAGAAAGTTGAAGTAAATCGGTTAAGTAATATAAGCTTGACAAGCTTAGACATTTTTGTTGAAGCCGCTTAGAAGGAGTTTCTCCATCAATTCTTTTTCTTTTTCTTCTCCCTGATGATTTTTCAAAGACATTATTTTCATCATTTTTATTTGACAAGCTTTTCAAGTATGGTATCAGGCACTTTATAAGTACAGAAATCCTTATATTTTCATCAGCGAATTCAGTAAGTGTCAAATGTATTTTAAACTCGCTTGCAAGCTTCTTTATTTGTAAAGCGCAAGCTTGGCTTTTGTTTCAATCCTTTCATGATTTTTTGTCAGATCTTGATATATATTCTCCTAAAAATATGACCCCTCTTATCCCTAAATTATAAAATTCACTGCTCCAAGGAAATGACTCACTAAATTGAGCTTCAACAATAGCTACACATCTCCAATAAACCGTTTCCACAGTTTTAATCCTTTCTTTTTCATCTTTGATCCCTTTCAGTATTTCTGGTATTTTATCTTCCATATTTCTGCATATTAGTTCAAATATATATTCACTATAAGCGTCTTCAGAGTTCAGTCAATCGAAAACTTGTGAAATTTTAAGACCATCTTGAAGGGCTGAGCTGTCACCTGACTTTAGTACATATAGGAAAAAAGCTGAAGTTTGAAATCTGTCTCTGACTATAATGTCATGCTCACTATATTTCGCATTTATTTGTCAAAAATCTACTAGTCCTTTTTGGGTTAGAAGCTGAGATTTATAGCATGTTGGAAATGCAAGAGACTGCTCAATTAAATTAAGAGTCTTACTCCCCCCCCCCTCAGTGAGTGAACAAAACCATTAGAAAAATCACCATTTTTTGCCCAAAAACCCACCCTCCGTGAGTGAACAAAAATGTTTTTAATAGAAAAATTTTTTATTGAAAAAAATTTTGATATATAAGTGATAATTAGCATAATGAAATCTAGAGCTAATTCTGTTTAATTTTAAACAAATTGCGTTTTAAAAACATAAATTTTATAAATTAAATTGATATTTGCTTTCCAATTTTTGCGAATTAGGATTTTTTTAAATTTCGAAAAAAAAAAATGTTTTTATAAAATTTATATATAAAAATTTTTTTTAAAAAAAAAAAATTAACCCCCCTCCGTGAACAAAATTTTTTTGTTCACTCACGGAGGGGAGGGGTGGAGTTAGGGTTTTCCAGATTTGATATCTCCACACTCTTTCGATCGCCGGACCCTTGCTTGCCAGAGGTAGCATAGGTTGCCTGAGTCCCATCAACAGGAAGACCCCTCGGTGCTGTACGCCTTGCGTGCTATCGGCAAAGTGAGCCCGATGCCTCCTGTTAACCACATTTGAGGAAGATTGGTACCTAGGAAAAAGAACCACAACCCTCTGGAACCAGTAGGGAAAGAGCTCGCAGCTAAAAAAAAAAACCAACTGGATAAATAATACTTGGACTGGAATGGTCACCAGCTGATTCCAAAACCACCCATCCCATAAAGCTGCTATCCAGCAAGCCAAGGGTTAGAATCAAAGGGCCTGAGCCTTGGTTTATGCTATAAATCCATTTTCGCGCCCAAAGCGGTACGTCGTCGGCAAAGACATATTTTGTCTCCACCACCATACTAATTATAGTCTACTCAAGGATTTCTACAAATATCGGAGGGATTGGCTTTTTGGAATGAGGCAAAAGATCGACTGTGCCCCTAGCTTTCAATTCTATATCTTGGATATTTTGGATGGCGATCGCTATTTGGTCTTCTAGATTGCTTGTGTATTCCATTTGCTCAATTATATAGTACAAGTGGCTAAGCAAGACTTGGTCAAGATCTAAATGCCTTTCTTTTACATATTCTTTTAGCTGTAAAATTCGTTCAGATAGCTCTTCTCCATTTTTGGCCCTTTTTAGCATTTCTGATGCTATTGAAAAGTCATCGTCTAAAAAATTATTAGAAAGCGACAGTGATAATTTGTATTTTTCTTTCATATCAACTAGTAATTTCAATTTTGATTGAAATGAGAGAAATTCTTCAGATGGAAAATACTGTGAAAATTCTTGCTGGCTGCGGATTTTCGCGTTTGCTATTGTTGAAATTTTTGTTGGGATTCCAAGTCTGCATGCAAAAATAGGTGAATGGGTTATAAGCTTTGTTGTTGCATATGCGTCATGGTAGTTAGAAATGGCTTCAATGCTTTTTGCTCGATTTATGATTGATTTCTCTAAACAAATTAATTGATTTTTTGTTAGATTTGGAATTACTTTAAGCTGTATTCAATAAGAAAATTCATTTAATGGGGTTGTGAGAGGTATGGCGGCGATTATATCTTGTATATGGTTTGGTAAATTTTCAGACTCAGAATTGTGCTTGTTGTAAAGATATATCCCTAGTCTTACATGACCATTTTCAAGCAATGAAGTTAATTCATTCAGGATGTTTGAAGATGATAATCTAAGATTCCTTATATATGATAAAAAATAAAATGGTGACGTTAGCAGAAATTGGCCTCCGAGACTCGCTCCCTATGTGGCTGGTAGGACCCATCCTAATGAAAAAAAAAGCCTCTATCCCTTTTTGAAGTAGGCCTTCAGGACTGGGGAAGCCTTGTCAAGAGGGAAGTTTTGCTCCAAAGATTTTCCTGGGCTAGACAGATTTTGCCTATCACATGGTCTTCTCTCTTCGGGACCATAAGTCACTCTAAGACGATGACTCTACCTTAGGAGCTGATCCCTTGGGCAGATAGTTCAAATTTAAATCTAAAATGGCGAGATTTTGAATTAATTTAATTTATATATGATTTTCAGGTGTTCCCAATGAGTAAGAGTTGGTATGTTGAGATTGAATATCCATTATGCCGCCTTTTTAATTATTTATATATGGATACTTAATTGGAAGAATCACTGAATTTCTAAATTCTCTAGGTTTGATTAATAACTCTTTGTAAAGATTTGTATACTAAATTTTAGACTATCTTTATTTAATTATGCCACTAAATCACTTTAGCATAAACTTTAGAATTACTAATTGTAATCGACTTAATCCCCAAATGCGAAAAAAAATCAAAAAAATTTATTTATGTAAAATTATATAATAAGATCTCTAGCTGATTAAGACAGATTTCATTCTTTAACGTAAATTTTATTAATTAAATTAGATTTTCTTTTCAACCCCCGCAAGCTTGGATATTAAAAACTCCAAAAATTTTTTTTATTTATAAAATTTTTATTTGCCTCTTTAAAAGCGATTTGTGTGTTTTTCTATTAAAGGGAGTTACTTAAATACTTTTTAATTAAGGAAACTGAGCTAAATGATGTGCATTAGTAGCTTCCAAAATCACTTTAAATGCTGGTTTAAGTGAAGCTCCACCAACTAAGAATCCATCAACATCAGGCTGTGCAATCAATTGTGCAGCGTTTTGGTCAGTGACAGATCCTCCATAAATGACTCTTGTATGAGCAGCTACTTCTGCGCTAACATTGGTGCCCAACCAATTTCTGATCATAGCATGAACTTCTTGAGCTTGCTCTGGTGTTGCATTTCTTCCAGTTCCAATAGCCCAGACTGGTTCATAAGCCAAAACAACCTTGCTCCAATCAGTGATTCCTTCTTTAAGTGCAGCCAATTGTCTAGCAACAACGTCAAGGGTAACGTTAGCTTCTCTTTCTTGAAGATTCTCACCAAAGCATGCAATTACGCTGAGCCCGTGGGCCAAAGCTCTATTGACTTTTTTGGAGACGACATCATCTGTTTCTCCATAAAGAGTTCTTCTTTCAGAGTGGCCTAATATGGTCCAGCTGAGTCCTAAGTCAATTATTTGTTCTGCTGCCACCTCGCCTGTAAAAGCGCCTGGGCCAGTCAAGCTGCAATTTTGAGCTGAGACAGAAATTTCAGGCTTAAGAAGGGATCTTGCAAATTGCAAATGGATTGAAACTGGGGCGACAACAACTTGAACTCTAGCAAAGTCAATCTGAGTAGGGTTCAAAACCTGCTCGATTAGCTCTCTGACTGAAGCTTGGGTTCCATTGGACTTCCAATTACCACCAACAAAGAATTGTCTGTGAGCCATTATATTTATATGCTAGATTTATTACAGGGATTTTTGCTGATAATATTAGCTTGTCTGCTCTATAACGGACATAAACTTTTTTGGGAGATTATAATATTTATATTTTTACATTTAATAGAAAACCAGATAAAAAAATGCTTTAGGCATAAAAAATTTATATAATATGAAGGAGTAAGGGATGAAAAATAGTGAGACAGAAATGGAAATAATTTTTAAAGGATTATACTATCGTTACTCTAGTTCTTTAGAAATAAAAAGATTTATGTAAAAATCATCAATATATAAGAATTTTGGTATTTAATTTAAAATCTTTATAAGAAATGCCAAATAGTGAGAAGCTAAAGTAAAACCCTAAATTTCTCTCAAAATCCATAAAAAAATTACTAACTTTAAAATCTTTCTTATTTATTTTTAAAAGGCCCATTTCACTGCTGTTATCCATCAATACTCATTTTTCACCTAGTTCATATGATTATTTCTCCCGGAGCGAATAATTAAAATAAGATGGAATCAAGTGCAGCTGGAATTTCGCTCTCTCCTCAAATTCCTTATCCTTCAAACCTTTTGGAGGAAATTCTCATTGAGTTTTGCGATGGAGAACTAGAAGAATTAGAAAATCTAGTAGAGATGGCTAGACTTTAGGTCATATATTTCTCAAGTTCCCAAAAATCCACCTGCAGGAACCCCTTCTCAGTCTTCTTCTAAAAAACGAAACAAAAACAAGAAAAGACCAATTCCATTAAACCTCGCTGAGCTTTCAAACGCAAGGGTCATCCAAAGTAATTTAATCTATGTAACAAATATCCCAGCCCAATTGGCCAGCGAAGACCTGCTGAAACGCTATGAGTACTTCGGACAGTATGGAAATATAAAGAAATTCTCTGTAAATAAGTCTATTACACATGGAGAAACTGACACTGAGCCCACTTACGTGGCCTACGTCACCTACTCCTCAGACGAAGAAGCTGCTTTATGCCTAAAAGCAGTCAACAACTTCGAACTGGAAGGAAATACTCTAATCGCCACTTATGGCACAACTAAATATTGTGCATATTTTCTTAAAGGAAATCCTTGCCCTAAAAAAGAGTGCCTATACCTACATAAGCTAGGAAACCAAGGAGATACCTTAGCTAGGGACATAATGCCTAACGTCAAGCATATTCAGCCTCAGGATGCAGCTATTGATAGGCTGAAAGTGGTCATTGTTCCTCCTGATCATAACACAAAATTGCCTATAGCGAGGGTTGTGAGGCAAAGAGCGACTAGTGCAGGATCAACGTCACCAAAGAGGTTTAGAAACTCAGATCGACCCAGAAGCCGAGTTTTTCATTTGGTGGAAAGTGAAGACCAAGGGGTAGAGATTCCAGAAATTGTAAATAAATTAAGGAAAATCGCTTCACCTTGTCAAGATGTTGTGGAAGTGCCGAGTGGAGCGATTGAAGAAATTATGAGCCCAGCTAGTCCTGATAGATGGGCTGCAGATATATTAGATATTTCTCCTTATCCTTATCCTCTGACTCCTAATCCACTTCGACTTGTAATTGAAGAAGATAAAGTTTTAGTAGCGCCAAAACCATATAGAGCGAAATTCACTTACTCTCACCATGAATATCGAAACTATTGAAAAAAAAATTACATTCAAAAATAGGATATTTTGAAGCTCAAAAATGTTTGGTATAAATGTTTTATAAAATTTCAATCAAAAAGAATCAATCCAATAAGTTAAGTAAAATAATTTGAACTATAACAGAATCTAATTATTATTTCAATTAAATTTGTTCCGTTAATATTTATCAAATAATGGTTGAACACAATTGCATTTCTATAGCTTTTTAAGACGGTATAGGCATATCCCTAAGATATCCCGATATGGGTGAGGGAAATAGGCCAAAACTTCCCACTTGGTCCGTCCAACTCAGGTTGGTCGAACCAAGTGGTAAGTGGCGAATAAGCCTCCTTCCACTTGGTTCGGCCAATATGAGCTGACCAAGTAGGAATTTTTGGCCTCTATCCCTTGCCCATATCGGGCTATCTTAAGGATATGCCTATATATTATATATATGAATCTTCAAGGCAGCTTATTACACTTGTATCCTCGCCAAAATCTTTTAACCGTGGATCATCTTGTAGCATATTCTTATAGTCGTTTCTGTTATCTAAAAGTTCATTTTTCGCTTTCTTGTGCTTGATTGCTGCATCAGTGTTAGTCCAAGACTTTTCAAAAATCCTCATAACTCCTCCAATGGCACTCATAACTCCAAAAACTGAGCCCAATAAAGTGCTTATTAATGTAATAAAAGTTTGTTTTGCCAGCCTCGTTGTATATAAACTTGTGTCACTTTTATCAAGCCAAATTTGCAGCTTCAAGTCAGAAGTAAATGGGAGCCTAAATAAAAATTACTCTGTTATTGTATATTGTGAGCCTCCAACTGGTGAAGAAGCTATTGATACATGATATCCAGTTATTTTGCTAGCCCAATCAGAAACATATGATCTGAATAGCGATGGAGTCAATTCAATTCATTTAGATTTATTATTTGTTTAAAATCCACTATCAGGCTGCTCGCTGCCAAACCTGCCTCTAATACTGCTTTGGGCGAAATTTCGCACCAGCTTCCTCTGCCCGCCAAAGTGTGACCAACTTGACTTTGTTGCACTATTGAGGACACCAGTCTTGAAGTTTGGGCTTTGATAGCTTTTCTTTGAGCTCAGGTACCTCCTAGGGTCCGTCAGGCATCCTAAAGGTGATACTTTCTGGAAAACTCGATTCCTTAAAGTCACCGACTCTTGCTTCCCTAGCATAGCTGGGGATAATTTCACAAAGAAAAACCAAACCTCATAATTAAAAAAATTGTATGAGATGAATTTTCAGTAGATTCGAGCGACATCATATTTACATTATGAACAGCGAAGGAGTCATAGTAAAATAGAATTTTGTTGGGTTATAGCCTCGAAAAACTGAATTTTCATCTGGAATAAGAACTTCGTTAATGCTACTAATTTCATTTGGAATTGATGATGTCGATGTGACATTTACACTAATTGCAGAAGTGTAGCTAGAAACTTCCAAAAGGTTATACTGGACATAAGCTCCAGTCTCAATCACACAGTTTGTACAATATAAAGTAATAGTACAGTCGTTTTCTGAAGTCATTTCGCATTCCACATTAAGATAGTCATAAGTTATGTAATATAACTCATGGGTTATAGATGATTTGCATACTTTTTTTTCTGAACATTCTCCACCATATCTATAAAAAGTAGTTATGATCATTATAGAAGCAGGGAAGACTGAGACATCATTTTCCAAAGTTACCAATGGAACCAATGCCTTTGTTTCTTCTATATTATTTAGATCATAAGTTATTATGTCAGAGCAGATCAGAATGATGGCAAGAATTATGAAAAAAATACTGAAAAGACCCCCTATTTTGGTTTTCATAAGCTTCATTGGAGCATCAAGTTTGTAGTTATGTTTATCTGAGTATAAGTCTATTGATAATAACTGATTTCTTGCAGTTTTCACAAAGTAAATCAAAATAAATACGAAAAAGGCGACAATCATGACAGCAATAACCATGAAATTCGTTGCACTTTGAGCATCACCGTCAGTTTTGCCATAGAGTTTAGGCTGAATTGATTCAGATGTAGCATCTACAGAATCATCTAAAGGCACAGTGCTTCCTACAGGACAAGTTTTGCCTGCTGGGCAATTCATACACACAGAAGCTCCTTCGTTGTTGCTGAAAGAATTTTGGCTGCATGGATAGCACTGTCTGGCAGTGTTGGCTCCTTTAGATGGATTAAAACTACCTTTACTCCCCCCTCCGTGAGCGAACAAAAACATTGGAAAAATCCCTATTTTTTGCCCAAAAATCCACCTCCGTGAATGAACAAAAATTTTTTATGCAAAAAAAATTTTATATATAATTGATAATTATTATAATGAAATCTCTTCCTAATTCAGTTTAATTCTAAATAAATTGAATACTAGAACATAAATTTTATAAATTAAAACATATTTCCTTTCCAATTTTTGCGCGAATTAAGATTTTTTTCGAAAAAATAAATTTTAAAAAAAAAAAAATTAACCCTCCGTATGCGAAAAAAAATTTTTTTGTTCGCTCACGGATGGGGAGTTAGGACATTGATAGCATGAAGAAAGCCCATAATCATCAGCATAGCTACCTTTTGAGCACTCTATGCATGAATTGCTACTTAACTTTCCTAATCAATAGACACACTAATAAATATTTTTTAATTTTGTCAATTGTAGATGTTTAAGTGTAGAAACTTAATATATTATTTATAATATTTTAAGCCAAGAATTGTAAAATTTTCTTTACCTAAATTTTATAATGCAGTTAATATTTGCTTGCTGGAATTATAAAAGGTTAGATAAGTCCCTGGGCTGCACGTATAAGGGCAAGGACTCATATTGGGACATTTCAAGTCTATTTCCAAAAAGCTTGCTTTTGTCACTGAAGTTCTCATCGCTTGGCCAAAAACAGCTCCTCCTCCATGCAAATAAAGAGTTGTTTTATAGTATGTAAAAGCAGAATTATAGTAATAATCTGGAAGACTGGATATTGTCGTAAAAGTATTTGTGTTGAGGCTTAAAATATAAATATCATTGAAAACATCAGTTGACCATTGCTCACCGCCCATTACAACAATAGTTTGGTTCATTTTTTTAACTGCTGCTTGCGCTCTGTTTGTGAGCGGGGTTGCGCCATTTGTAGTATAGATTTTCGTCCATATTTTAGTTGTGAAATTAAAAGAGTCTATGTCTCCTAATGGAACTTCTCCATCAGCAGTTCCGTACATAGAGATTAAGTTTATATTTCCATATTCATCGACTTGCAGCTCACATACAGGGCCAATAACTGGGGTTGGGCCTCCTTCCCCGGTTCCATCATAAATTAGTGTATATTCATTAGTTCCGCTGTCATATCGCCATACTTCTCTTGATAGCCCTGCACTGGTTTTTCCAGCAAAAATAAAGATATAAGGCATTGATATTTTTATGCATGCTCCTGTCCTTGCGCTAGGACTAGAACTCGAGGTTGGCACAACCTGCTGCCATATTTCTGACAATGTATTAAACTGATACATATCATTTAAATACCCAGAGCTGTCCTTCCCCCCAAAAATGATCATAACGTCTCCTTGAGAGCTTGCAGCATGGCCAGATCTGGCTGTTGGAGTTGTTCCTTGTGCTTTGACTGATTCCCAAAGGGCATCATCTGGATAATAAATCCACAAATCATTCATATAAGCATTTCCATTATAGCCTCCAAACAGATATAGAAGCCCATCCATCACACAAAGAGAATGGCTCTCACGAGAACTCGGTCCATTAAAAAGATCACTTAACTTTTTATAAGTGAGTGGATTTTTGGCAAGATCAAACTGGATAAGGTCATTCATTATTCCAAAAGTGTTACTATAGCCTCCAAATATATAAAAAGAAGTATCTGAAGCAGCATATGCAAAGGAGTCTCTAGGAATGGTACTTTCTTCACCAGAGTTATAAGAGACACTCATTTCAACCCATTTGAAGTCTGGGTCTGTGAAATCAAGCTTCATAATATTTTTTACATCACCATTGATGTTATCAGATCACCCATATAATAAATAGGCTGCATTTTTATAGATAATGCTTCCTGAAAAATATCTGTATTCATATTTATAGCTGGGGTTTGTAATATTTATCCATAAGTTCGATGATAAATCAAATCGAAAAGTATCAGTGTTGGATGAGTCTTTGTTTACGTCTTTGTTTTCGGTGACATCTCCTCCAAATACATAAATAAATCCATTGTAATATTGAACTAAAGGACCGTTTAAACGACTTGGAGCCACTGAAGTTGTATTTACGTATTTTGTCCATGTAGCTGATTGAACGTCGAATCTATATTGCTTTTACATGTATAATGAGTTTGAAAAGCCTGTTGATTTTGACCCGCCAAATACAATGAACTTTAATTTCCCACTCCCATCCAAATACTTACTCCCTTAGTGAATTTTTTTTGATTTCTTAAGAAAGGGTTTAATTTTTCAATAGAAATTTTAATTAATTTATATAAATTAACGAGGTTTTATATGAAAATATTTTATAGAAGGAAAATCCCAAAAGTAGAATTTTTACAGTTGCTTGTTCACAATAAAGAGGAGTTAGAATACCCAAATCTAAATCTTGAAGAAGGAACTGAGCCTTTTTGTGATATTTGTGTTCATTGCAAGCTTGTTAAATCGTAGGCTCACATGTCATTTTGAGGGCCATTATCAGAGTTTCCACCAAAAATATAGAGCATTGAATTATCAGAGTCAACCCAACACCCATGTGTAAACCGAGGGACTAACTTTAAAATTACGTGGAGAGTTCGCAGAAATTGGGACTAAATTTTGTCATATATTTGAAGTCAAATTAAACTCTCATACAGCGTTATACGTTGCAGAAATCCCTTGGTTGCCTCCAAAAATTATAAAAGAATTATCAAGGGCGTAATAGTCTGCACATGAATATTGCCGATAGCTTGGAGGAGTATCAGTTGCAGGGAGCCTTGTAAAACTTAAAGCGACTGCATGATTTACGAGAAATAGAACGGTAAAAGTAACTGATTTTATCATTTATCAATTGTAAAAATTGATCCCAGAATTATAAAATAGGAGATTTCATAATGCGTTGAATTTTCTAATTTAATGAAAGTATTTATTTGAATTAAAACAACTTGAAAAATTTTAGTGAATTAAGTGATAAGATATAGTAAAATATCTTAGAGTAAATAAATTTATATAAGCTGAAGTTTTCATATTCTATTCTAGTATTTAATATTTTTATATTAATTATTAAATGTTAATAACTTCCTGTTTTTGAGTGAGCAAAAATTATTGGAAAATTCATATTTTTTTCCCGTTAGTGAACAAAATTTTTTTTAATATAAAAATGTTTTATGAAAAAGTATTTTGATACAAGTGATAATTATTATAATAAAATCTCTAACTAATTCTGTCTAATTCTAAAAAATATATTTTGCAAATTCATTAATTTTTTAATTCTCAATTTTTACAAAATGGATTGTTTTCGAAAAAAAAAACCAATAAATTTATAATTGTATAAAACACAAACTCATTGGCTAACAATTTTTTTTTTCGCTTGCTGGGGGAGTAATCATTCTAATAAAAGCATCACCATGACTAATTTAAATAAAATATAAATATTAAAATAATAATCGGCAAATCAAAGCTTAGCTCAATCCGAATCAATTATAAATAGAAAGATTAGAAACAAGCTATTTATGCATGCAAATTCTATGAAACTCTCTTCGATTACGTAAAGATATTTATTGATACCAATAATGACAATTTTTTCAGTTAGTTAGACTATTTATTTTAAGAATTATCATTGATATACAAATACATTAATATGGCGGAGGTCGCCACCCGACCTCTTGACGCAATTTCCTCAGGAAACGCCCAGGTTGAGGAGCCAAATCGAGACACAGGTACGGCATCCTTAATATATACCGGCAAGGTTTTCCTCGTGCTACAGTGTATGATACCTGGGACATGGGGTTTTCCTCCTGACATAGAGTTGGAAAGGGCACAGTCAGCCATCGTCCCTGAGATCAGGTATGATCCCTAATCGAATTAGGGACCCTGAAGACAGCAGGCGCCTAGCGTGAAACTGGGATTTACGCCCCAGGCTCCAGCCGAAAGCGAACAGACGCCCCGGAGCAAGTCAGATAGAATAGCCTAAGCAAGGCAGACGGTGTCAGTCGGAGCCTTTATTGTGGTGATGAACTTGTAGAGGTGAAAAATCTCGGCCATCTTTAAGCAAGGTCATTAATCTAATCTAATCATTGAAATAAATGGTAGCTAATTAATATCATATCATTTTAAATTATTTCTCATCTTTAATTGTCCGGGCCACCCAGTCAGATTTAGACAGCACATAAGAAAGTATGCTAGCAGCCATGATTGTACCCAGAAGCATTGCATATCAAATCCCATAAATTCCATACCCAGCATGAAACCCAAGCACATATCCTAACGGTATCGCGAAAATATAATATGACATGAATATTGCCAAAAAAGCTATTTTTTGTTGAGCAATCCCTTTCATAGCACCACAAAGTACTGCTTGTAAGCTGTCTATCATATTAAACAGCATCCCTGGTATAAGTAAAGCAGAAATCATCTCAGCAACTTCAGTATCATACGTATACAAATTTCCTATATACACTCTAAAAATAATAGCAATAATATTAAAAAACCCATTTATACACAGCACAAGAATTGCGGATGCTCATGAATATAATTTCGCTCTATATGACTCTTCGTTCCCAACTAAATTTCCTACTACAGCACATGTTGAAATTCCAAGTCCAAGAGGGATCATGAATAAAAATGTTGTTGTCGTTGCAACACTGACATGAGCTGCTTGAGCCTTAGGACCCAAGAAGCTTGCTTCAAACTGTGTGATTTCAAAATTCAGCTGGTCAAAGATCATTGTCCCTGCAGATGGTAATGCATATTTCAAAAACTTAAAAATTTCAGGACCAAAGTTAGCAAAATCGCAATTTAAGCAGACTTTTCGATCTAAGTCAAAAATCCTGATAATAGATAACATAAAAAAGAAATTTGAAAAATAAGTAATTGCAGTCGCATAGCCGATTCCTCGCTCAGATAAATCAAAATGAACAGCAAATAGTCAGTCCCAAAAGATATGGAGAGTTGTGGTAGTGGCATTTACTGCTAATCCTGGCCAAAAATACCCTTGTGCTTGTAAAAATCTTCGATAGAAGTCAAAGCTTAAAAAGAACCAGAGTCCATAGAGCACCACTGATAAATAATTATAGCTATAAACAGCAAGCTTTTCAGGGATCCCCATAAGCATCAAGACTTCAGTTGTGTATAAATATCCAATTGAAATAGGGATAAAGGCTACTGATAAGACAAATAATCCTCTTTGGAGCCAAATCCCTACCATTGCGTATTGTTTATTTCCATGAGCTTGCGAGCATAGAGTATCAATTCCTCCAGCGAGTCCTCATCCTGCAGAAATTCCAATAAAATTCCCTCACATATTTCCGAGGCCAACTCCATCCAATTTTTCTAAATCAATATTTCCTATGAAAAACATATTGATAAGTTCCACTGTAAATTGAAGTATGAATGATAAAATTGAAGGCCATGCGAATTTTAACAGAGTCATTGCCGCAGATAAAAGTGTTTCTTTTTCAGCATCAACTAGTGGTGTGCTTAAGCCATCCATATATAGGAATTTTATTTGATAGCATTTTGCTTTATCAATTTATTGCTAATATTATTTAAATATTCAAAATAGACTCTTATGAAAAAAATTACTGCTTATAATTTAAATAGGAAGTATTATATTTATCGATATATAAATTATAACTAATCTGAAGATAAAAGTATAAGAGATTAGTAATTCAAAAAAAAACTAAAATGGCAAGAGACTGAATATTCAATAAAACACAAAAATTTATTAAGAATCAAAATTGTTAATTATTAGAGTAAATATGCACTTAACGCCTTCCTTTGTGTCTTCTGAGCACCGTTTACCGATTTTAAGTGAAAATATCGGAGAAGCTACCCCTCCTCAATCTAAAAACCAAACCCAAACATTTACATTTCTTTCAACACATCAAAAGAGAGTCTTAACATCTCCCCCAAAACGGACATCAATTTTTGATACCGAAGAAACAGAATTTGGGAATTTAAATATGCCATTTTATATTAATTACAAAACCAAATATTTCAAATTGTTTCTCAATTTTTGGCCATCTTAGAAAATAAACCATATTATCTCTAAAATACTCACTATGAATCAGATTAAATACCAAAATACACACAGAACCAATTCTTATAATTTCTTTGAAGAACCTATGGAAACTACACCAAAAAGCGACTTTATAGAGACCAAAAGAATTACCACTGACTTCACCATAAAAGAAAAACCCTCTGAAGAGATTGACAGCCGACAAGACATAGAAAAGCAGTCACAAACAACTTACTCCCAAAAAGAAACAGCGCGTTTCAATGATGCAGAACAATCGAACCAGTTTTTCAAACAAATTTCGCCTCAGAATCCTGATCTTCCAAACTTGAAAAGCCCTGATGTTTATCTCACAAACCTAATCAGGACTTTTAAGCACCAGAAATCGATCCCTTCTTCAATGATAGAAAACCTAACTCTTGAGGGCCGCAGAATTATCGTAGAAAAGCTTATCAGTGAGAAATTATCAATGCAAGAGCAGCTCATGGGGCAAGAAAGGAGGAGATTTTCAATAGTCTCACAAATTGATGAAGAATTCAGAGGAGCACTTTCAAGACAGCCAGCGAGGCCTGCAAACCCTTCAATGCTGAAGCTATATGCATTAAGAGGTATCAGCAATGTTTCTCCTATTGAAAAAGATGAAAGCGAAATTGACATTAACTCAAAAATCGCATCTCCATTAACCCCAAAAGACGAAATTAACTCTAAAAAGGTGGAAATACAGCTTAAAGAGTTCACACAGCTAGAAACAGAACTAGTGAGGCTTAGCCAAGAGCTTCAAGAACTGAAAAGCCATAATAATTTATTGCAGAATATTTTATCTTACACAAAAGAAAATGATTTTAAAGCAATTTCAGAAATCATCAAAAATAAAGTAAGCAGCTATGAACAGATGATTAAAAATCTCAATGAAGAGAGTTAACTATTAAAGCTATGCTGGCCTATGCGGGTAAACTCACTACTCGTTGCCTGTCTTGATTTCAAAAAAGCAGCCTCCATAGATTTAGGAGTTCAAATAAGGAAAAGCAAGGCTGCCTTTTGGATCTCAATCTGAACCGCCTGCCAAAGGGATCAGCTCCCAGGGGCACATTTACTGTCTAAAAGGCACCCGATGGTCCCGACAAACTATGCGGCAGGCAAAGCATGTCAAAGCCCATCTTTTAGGAATAAGAAAACCACTGGGGATGAATAAAAACTTCCCTCTTTGGAAAGACATCACAAACCTAAAAGCCTAGTTCAAAAAGGGACAAAGGTCCTATTTTCAGCTTCACCAGGATGAATCCTACCTTTTCCATAGGGAGCGCGCCTCTGAGCCGTTCATCTGTCAGAACTATCATTCTATTTCTCAACGAAGAGAGAGAATAATGCTAAAGACCAAACTAAGGATTGGAGATAGGAGTTTTGCACAATTAGATAAGAGAGAAGAATTAAATGCACTGTGAGATATTGTAGGAGTTGATAAAGATTGTGGGCTGAAGCCTTCAGAAATTGACACTATTAATAAGCTTATTGAATTGAGTGCTTCTGGACCTATGGGAAAATTTGATGACTATGTAAATGATCTGCTTTCTGGTCATGATATAGCAGAAATGGCAAGCTTATTAGTGAGATATATCAAATGTCTTGAAGAAGATGTTTGCATTGGGCTGAGAAAACAGCTTCTGGACTTGAGATTAACCAATTTAAGCCATGATTTAAAAGTCGAGCAGGCTTTTGATGAAAAAGGAACCTTTGAGCAGCAATTTCAACTTATCAAAGAAAAAATGGACTCTATTAACTACAGGCACTCAAGAGTGAACAAAGAAAAGCAAATTCAATTGAGAGAGCAAGACAGCAAGCTGAAAAGATCGAAATGGATCATTCCTGATAAATGGGCAGGCTTATCCCCAACTGAGCTTTATTCAAAATCAATTAAAAAGAACTGTAAATTAAAAATTAGCTAATTAATCGCTTTCATTGCCATCTCCACTTAGCCATCTTATTTTATTTCCATCACGCCATTCTCCTTTCCTTGTTCTGTATTCCTTCAGCTTTTTGCTATAAAAGGTATAGGTTCCAACTCCATGTTGTTTCCCATCTTTCCATTCTCCATCATACACTCTTCCATCAGGCCATACAAATTTACCATGCCCATGCTTTAGATCTTTTTTGTATTGTCCTGAGTATTCTCTGCCATCTGCCCATTTGAAGTCACCAATTCCGTGCATTTTACCATTTTTCCATTCTCCTGTATATGTTTTATGATCAGCCCATATATAAGTTCCAGTGCCTTCAATGTTATTAGCTTTAAAGTCACCTTCATATTGGCTGCCATCAGCCCATTTGAAGAGCCCTTTTCCTTCTTTCATCCCATTTCTGTAGTCTCCTTCATAAACAGAGCCATCTGGGTATTCTTCTCTTCCATGGCCATGCTGTTCATCATTTTTGAATGCGCCTTCATATTTAGCACCATCTTCATGGACATAAATGCCATGCCCATTAGCTCTGTCGTTTTTGAAATCTCCTTGGTATAAGTCATAGTTCACGTGGATTAGGCGGCCTTTTCCTTCTTTTTTGTTATTGGCGAAGTATCCAATGTACTTGGAGCCATCATCATTAATTTCGACTCCACGGCCATGCTTTTGGTTATTGGCATTCCATTCGCCTTCATAAATAGTGCCGTTAGTTAGCTTCAGAGCTGGCTTTTTCTCAACAGCTACACCATCCTTTAAAGGTTTGCTGATATCGAATGGTCCCAGCTCCTTTTCTAGAGCGTCCACAGATGAAGCTTGGAGTTGTGTCATACTTGCATTTAACTGCTCATATAAATCTTCAGGATTTGGGTAGCTTTCACGAGTCACGTGCTTTGCAGACTCTGGCTCAGGACTCTTGGGCTTTTTGGTTTTCTTTGCTTCCTTTTCAACTGTAGGCTCAGACTCTTTATTTTTGCTTGGCTTTTCCTTTTTAGGTTCGCCAAGAGTCACTTTCAAATCTTGAACTGCTTGAAGGGATTCTCTTTCTTTTTGAATTTCTTTGCGGGCAATATAGCCCCTTGCTGCACTTTGAATGGCTGAATCATTATTGACATCGAGTTTTGCATCAAAATTAATTTGGACAAGTCCAGTGTCAGTTGTTGGCTGGATATCTACTCCAGCTTCTTGTTTAGTATAAGGGACTTTGTTTCTACTCATGTCCATCTCTTTGATATTGTTTGCACCTTGAGGTTCTTCAGTCCTCAAACATGAACAATCTGCACCCATTAAAAATAATTTAATAGCCAAATTAAAATTCAAATTTTATTTGCCCTAAAGTGTCAGAAATTTGAAACGGAGCCATGATTTTGAATTTAAACCAAGAGTTTTTGAATTTTGATTTGCTACAGATGATAGGAAAACGAGAATATTTGAATTAAGTTGTGATGAAGTATAATTTATTCAAAGTATTTTAACTAATTAATTATAGAGAAAAATAGGCAGCTTGGCTTTCAATTCTTAGGATAATATCAGATTTTTATTTTAAACAGCTATTTCGTTTTTGAGCTTTTAAAACAATTTTTAAATGCCTCAATTTTTGTTAAACTTTGGCTTGCTAATTATTTTTATTTTTTGACTTTTTCAAAACTAGAGTAAGTGTTTTAAAAATTGCTTTGGAAATAGTATAAATCTGATACCTATTTGAATTTATTTCTAGTTTTTTTGATTGATTTTATTCTTCATTTCTTGAATTTAACTTCTGCTATTCTCACCTTAATATTTAAGACACTTTGTCTTTAAATTTATTATATTTTATTAGTGATTTAATATTAAATTTTATTTCAATTTATGAAATCAAAAAATAAGATGATAACTTCTATTTTCAAAATAAAGCCTATTAATTTAGCCCATTATTCACTTTATTACGGATTCCGTAGCTATTAAAATGCATATATTTTAAAATGGTGCTAAACTTCTTTAATAATAAAACAATTGATTATTAATACTTTATAAGAATTTTTTTTAAATATAAAAAATTTTTCGAGTTGCAAAGCCCTTAAAATGGAAAATATATATTAAATTAAAGCTGATAAATTGACGACATTGCTAGATGCAAATCTCCTTCTCCTATAAAATAATATGTAAGCTCTTGGTGTTATTAATTCTTCTTCAAGGTCTCCAGTAACTTCATATACTTTGTCATCATCATAGAAGAGTCAAGTTTTGTTATTAGCGAGGCAGTAACTGGTATAATGGCCACTTCCAAGGTTTCCTGAATGATTCACAACTGCAAAAAGATCATATAGGCAATTCTCCCTTGTTGTACTCACTGTGTTTCCTGAAGTTTTTTCAGAGCTGATCATCCAAGAGCTGATATACTAATTGACCAAGAATAGCCCACTAAGGAGCCATTCTTAGTCTGCCAGAAAAAATTTTGACAAAAGATCCTAATCTGCCATTTACCACTGAGTTTTGGTGTTTCCAAATTTTTTGGGCAAGCCAAATGCAATAAAAAAATTGTTCTTTTGCGATGATGCATTTGGCTTGTCAAAAAATTTGGCAACATCAAAACTCAGTGGTAATGACAAACGATCCTAATCTGCCATTACCACTGAGTTTTGGTGTTGCCAAATTTTTTGACAAGCCAAATGCATCATCGCAAAAGAACAATTTTTTTATTGCATTTGGCTTGCCCAAAAAATTTGGAAACACCAAAACTCAGTGGTAATGGCAGATTAGGATCTTTTGTCAAAATTTTTTCTGGCAGACCAAGAATGGCTCCTTAGTGGGCTATTCTTGGTCAATTAGTATATCAAGATCTTGCAGAGGAAAAGTAACTTTATAGTTAATTTTTGCAAGCTGACCATTTAGAAAGCTGAAGCGCTTTAAATGAATGATCAAGATATCAGGGACTCTCCAAATTTCCATCTGGGTTGTAAATTTTGGGTAATTGCAGTGGCCGCATTCAATATCAAGTGTTTCAAGCTTAGTGTATTCTTCTAACTCTGCATTCTATCGTTGATCGAACGATCCCAAAGAACAATCAAAGATGGTGCTAAAATATCATATAGAAAAGAAAATACATTTTAAATAAGAGAGTTTTTAGGAATTAAATATCAGGATTAAAATATTATTTAGTTAATCAATGATTGCCATTATTTTGATACGTTCAGCTAAAGATTTACTCTATATTTCATTAATAAAATAAAAATTAAAATTTATTGCGGAAGCACTCTTTTCATGAGAAAACGGTCACAAAAAGGGATATTTCCCAACTGTAAAATCTGTATAATTATATAAAAAATTCTTAACGTATAATATTAAGATGGGGTTAACATTCAAAATTGTGAAATTTTTATACCAATTTCTCGATCAAGGGGTGTTGAGAGTAAGCATTGATAAATTGTATATGAGTCAATATCTTCTCCTTCAAATGGAACATATTCTCTGTTCCAATACGGATTCTTTCATCTAAGGCACAATGCAATTTTACTTGAGTTTTCCATCATTCATGTGATTTTTTCATTTGAGTCTGGGATTGGGCATCCATAGCAATCTTCGTCTCCACATAATGCGCAATCATAAGTTTTTGTATTAAGAAGAGAAATATATACATAATCTTCAAAATCACTTTGCTTTGTAATTGTTTGCCATTTGGAAATTATTAAAATTTTTAATTTTTTTCAAGTGTACCAATTCCCAAGTGAAAGAATCTGCGGGACTCCAAAGAAAGTTTTGGAGTGTCTATATTTTTTCATATGGTATAAGCATATATAGAATATAGAATCTTCATTTGTAGTGTGTTTTCGGTGTGGAGCCAAGTTTCTATCATTTGAATGTGAGGAAATTGCTTTTAATAACTAGCAACTTGGTTATAGAGCAAAAATCTCTCTCTTTATCCAAGGGAAATTAATTTTTTTAAATTTTATTTCAAATCTTATATAAAAAAAAATTGAATTAGCATTTAATTAATTCTATATCAAAAATAACTAGATTAATTTTCCCAAAATAGGGCTTTTTCTAATGGCTTGCTCGCTAGCTAAGGGGAGTGAGTCATTTTCAATTTCAATTTTTATATAGTCAGAAGAAATCTTTACAATTTCTCCTTCAATCCATCCTAAATCGCTCACCATATAGTCAACCATTTGTCCTTTCTTCAAATTATTTCTTCACTCTTTACTTGGTTTGTGCTTTAATGTAGGAATTCCATCATTTTCAACCTCTTGTATACTAGATAGAATTTCATATACAAAAAGATCATATCTTCTCTTTAGGCACTCTTTCACTGTGACTGGGTTAAAAATTTTAACAATGATGCTTTCTTGAACCCAAGCAAATAGCAAATTATTTAACGGAACTCGAACTCTTGATTGAAACCTTTCAAGCAAAGTTTCTAAAGTGTCTGTTGAAGAAACTCTAAATCTGAATTTTTGAAAGTCTTTTGCTGATCTAGGAATAAAACTGACTACCAGTTGAAACTCATCTTGGCTCAATGGGATTGGGACGCTCAAGTCCATGAAATGCTCGAAAATCACTCTTTTGCTTTCGCAATTTGGACAGATCAAACACCTTCTTGTCTGTCCTCCGCAGAGATCAAAAATAACGCTACCCCATGACCCTTGCAAGGATTCCCATTGCTCTTTACTCTTTGCTCTTTCAGTTGGGACGTCAGGGTCGTCTAATGTAATTTGCATAGAACTTTGACCAACTGAAGATTTCGGCCTTCTATTTAAATCTTCATGCAAGCATTGCAATAGCATACTCAAGCATTCGTGACTGTCCTGCTGATCGTTGCCTTGAAATTCTGTTTTTACCTTTGCAAATTCTTCTAGCTCTTCCCCAATCGTCAAAAATCAAAAATACCCTTCTTTTCAAGCAAAATTTTTTTTATAAGGAATATTTGTTATTTATATATGCTTATTAAAATGAAATCTCTATATAATTATATTCAATTTTCAGCAACTTGCATCCTAAAGCATAAAGAGATTTTTTAAAAAAAAATTTAATCCCTTCCATGAGCACGCAAAATTATGGAAGGGGAATTAAAAATTTTTTTTGGAGTTGAAGCTTCATATTTATCACTTTTCATTTCCCTTACTGTAGTTCTTAAAATACAATAACAATGCTAATAGATTTAAATATCAAAAATAAATAATGATTTTATAAAAAAGAAAGCTAGTAAAATCCCCATCTCTTTTGCAATCTTCCCATGAGATCCTTCTGGGTTATTGGTGTTAATAAATTCCATATATGATTCACTTGCAAAAAAATTACTCAGCAAAGGGGTGTTAGCAAGACATTGCAAAACTGCACTAAGATAGCAAGTATTTCCTATGTTTAAAAGTCCAGTTGCTCCTGAGATCTCCTCATTCGTTATAGGAAATCTTGCAGGTTTTCTTAATAAATGTGTTTCAGATTTCAAAATTTTAATAGAAAGTTTCAGCCAGGCTCCACCAATTATGTATTCCCTTTCTGTAACTTCTTTGATATATCCAGGATTCCAGCTTTCTTCATTCATAAATTCTATATGGTCACCTTCTTTATACTCATCAATAATAATATTATCAAAGCCATTATTCTTTTCACCTTCTGTTTCTCTTTCAAACCTACAAACGCAAGAGCCCGCTATGCTAGACTCTTCAAGAGTAGAGCAAGGATCCAAAAGTTGTACAGCTTTATCTTTTATTAGCTCACCCTTTAAGAGCAAGTAAGATTTTTCTGCTCACGTTGGTAATTTTTTTTTTAAAGAAAAATCTAATTTAAAAATTTATATATAATTAATTATATATATAAATTTTATTAATTTTCTTTTTTTAATAGCTTCTCGCTCTTAAAGGAGGATTAAATAAAGCTTGAACTCTCCTTCTAGTTTCTTCATCTTCATGATGGCACTGATAACGTCTTTGATTTTCTTTTTCTTTGAAAGAGTCAGGCAAAGTGGATCTTTCGAGAAAGATCCGTGCTTATTTTGTACATGAATTTTCAGCAAAGGTAAGTCCACTTCAATAACAGGAACTCCATTCTCAAGAATGACTTCTCTTGAAAATTCAGGCCCTCCGCCATATCAACTTACCAGTTCTTTTCATGCCTTTTCTGGTATTAATTCATAATCTGATCCCAATTGATGCATTTCATCAATAACTAGCTCTGAATCCTCACTTTGTATTTCACTATTAGTAATTTCAATAGGTCTCATTCCATGCATAACAGACTTTGACCTAAACTTCGCAAATGCAGCCTGAGGGTTACTTTCATCGATTTTTTCATCTCCAAAATAAAAATCCACATATTTTTTCCATGCCTCAAACCATTTCAACGAAATCACATTTCATTTGTCACCTACCCTTAATCCAGCTTTTTGTGATTCCAATAAAATTTTTTTAATTATTTCTTTTTCGCTCAATGCAGAAGGAATGATTTCAAAAGGCTGTAATAGCTTATGCAATTCCAGATTTTCAATTGCCCAATCCTTGAATTCATTAAATTGTAATGGCTTTCCTTGCTGAATATGCTTTTCAATGAATTCATCATTATCCAGAGATCCTCCAAAGTGCCGAATTGCGTCTTCACAGTACCTTGAAAAGCTGGCTAAATGTTTCCCTTTTAATTCTCCTTCATTTTCTATGTCAAAGACTTTGAAAACAAACTCGCATTTATCTTGCCTTCTTCCTAAAATAGATTTCGACATTGTAACGCAAAAATCTTTTCATGAAATTTTGCCAGTCCCGTGAATGTCAAATAAATAAAAGGCTGATTTAATGGCAGATTGAGGAAGCTGGTTTATTTGAGGCATCATTTGCTGGAAGTTTTCAAAATCAAGGCCACCTGATATTTGATATCGTCTGAATTTTTCCTGAAGCAAGTTCACTTGTTCTGAGCCGAGTCTATCAAGCAAAGAGTTTAGCTCGCCTGCATTGGATAGAGTCAAAATGTTCGAGCTTGAAGCCCTTTTCCTAGTTCCTGTGCAAGAGTTTCCCATCAGTTTATTTAAATATGGGTTAGAAATTCTGACTATTAATTATTAGCTTATATATTATATATCTTTTTTAATTACCTTTCTTATGATTTGGAACTGCATTATGCCTGAAGAAATAAGGTTTTAGTTAGAGCAGAGTGTATTAGTTGCTAATAATCCTGGATAAATTGTTATGAGTAGCAGGTACTAAATATACAGACAGTGTGGCCGCTAAAGTAACTTTAAAAAAATTGGAAGAGATCCCTACTAATGAAGAGGGTCTTAGAATTTAAATGAATTATTGAAATTAAATCTTTAAAAAATAGATAAAATGATTAATTCTTTATGAAATGGTTATTTTTCTGCGTTTATATGAAAACACCTAATAATTTCAACTACCCTTTCTTAAAGAGTAAGGCTTTGCTCGAAAATGCTGGCTAATAGTATCAATTTTTTGTTATTCTTCTCAGAGCATCTCTTACGCAGACTATAAAATGCTTTAGAAGGTTATCCTATTGTCTTTTAGCATATCTCCTTGCTATTCTGAATCCTCTGCTTACATTCCCCTATTTATTTTATGACTTTTAGCCTAATTCTTCCAAACGCATCTCAAAACTCCATTATTATTATTTACTTTTTTAAAGAGTGAAGCTTTTATTAATATTGAGAATGGCAATCTTCTGTAATAAAAATCAAAATAAAACGCTATAAACTCATTTTTTAATAAAACGAGGATGAATTAGTCTTCTTTTTCATCTATGATATATGGAGTATACCCAGAAATTCTTCCAACTATGATATCTATATCTTCTGGCTCAATTCCAATTTCATCTAAAGTCTGCCGCAAGTAAGTGACAAACCTTGTCATCTGATCTTGCGTAATTCCTCTATCTTGATGAGCATATCTAATAACCTCTTCATAGTTATCTTCAGCGTAGCCTAAGCCTGCTTTTAAAATAGCAAAATTAATCATTTGCACTTCATTCGGACCTCTTCTTTCAAAATACGGCCGGAGCATTGCGTCTGAGCGTAATTTCTCGTGGAGCAAAACAATTGCATGGTTCCAGAACTCACTGCTACCATAACGATACAGCATTTTTGAAAAAATATAGCTTAAACTCACAAATAATACAGTAAAGAAACGAATTTAATCTTTTTCCTTTATATATAAATATAGACCTTGCCAATTCATATCTTCTCAGTTAAGAATTTAATGAAAGATATATTTTTTTATTATAATTTAAAGCGCTAATATTTATGAGCTATTCCATGTTATTGATAGACTATTGCTGTTGGGTCTTAATATTAATGCCCATGATATGTTAAAAGGGTATATAACAAATGGAAAGAGATGAATTGGACCAAATCTTCATTGATATGATGCTTGGTAAGAATTACTCAGAAGTCGAGCAAAACTACGAGCCTTTATCGAAGCATGAAAAAGTTCGTATTGAGCAATGGGTGAAATTTAAATAGTCAAAAAAACTTTGCCAAGTAACTTCAAATTCCATTTGGAAAAAGAATAGAAATAAATACGCAAAATGCTTACTCGATATGGTTAAGCTAGGAAACCTCCAAGAGCCTTTTTCCAAAATTCCTCCAGAAGGGCCTTTACCCCAATTTCAAGCCCCAACAATTGCTCCAAAGCAGATTTCAAAGCCTAAGCCTCAGAAAATCCAAGTAGAAGTTTCAGAGCCTGTGAAACTGCCACCAAGGCCTTCATCAGCAAGAGGCGAAACCCAACACATTTCACCAGCTCATGAAAAATATGCCCCAATTGAGACTAAACTGACAATCACAAATAATCGACCTACAGAAGAAACAATGCGATTGAGAGCCCAACTTGAAATATGCCAATTAAACGAAAAACATTTAAAAGAGGAACTTATGGTAAGAGATAGTTAGAAAAAGTCTAAAACAATATCAGATCAAAATCAAGTTATTGAAGAGCTGAAAAGAGAAGTCGAATTTTTAAGGACTAAGCTGGACACAGCGAAGAATTTTAGAAATTATTTGTATGAGGCACAAGAAGCTGCTAGCAATAGTCCTATTCCTGAGATAGAAATTGAAGAGCCTGAATTTTCTCAAGATAGAGAGGAACTTACATTGGAAAATATATCTGATAATATAAGAAGGCTAGAAAAGCTGCAAGAAGAGTTAGGTAGAGGAGAGAAATATTATTAAATTAATGAAAATTTTATTTTTAGGTTTCGTATTTTCAGCATATTACTTTTTAAATTAAATTTTGAATATTAAATGCCTTAGATTGGATTTATCTAAGTCGTTTATGTATTTATTTTTTAATAATGAAAATCTATTTATAGTTAGAAGCTTCCTAGAAATTTTTATCATGTAAAGTTATTAGTTAAATTAATACTCAACAAAAAACAGTTGAGAAAGGCCTGCATTCATTGAGTTTTTAGAGACAAGCATGCATCTTAAAAGGATGATTGCAATGTCATGAAATACTGTTGAAAAGATATAAACCACAAGCAAAGTAAGAAGAAAGGCTGCAAATTTATAATACTTATGTGTAAGCACAAGTACAACATAAGCTCTGAATTTATCTGGAAGCTCTGGGTATACAAAATAAAATAAATCACAGTACGGAAGAGGTAGTAAATTTAATTATTTAAACCTAACATTTTTCTTGACTAGCTAGCAAACATTACCTAGTATACAGCTAACAGAGGATCTAATTATATTTCACTGAGCTACCATTTTATTTATCACTAGTAAATTCACTAAAAAGCTGAAAACAATCAGATACGCAATAAGCGCAAACCCATACCCTAAAGAGTAATTGTGCTCACTCCCCCTTTGAAATTGGAACAAAAAATACTATTCCAATTTAAAAAGGTTTATTTTTAAAAATTTATTTTAAAATTTTTCTCTCAAAATATTTTTTTAAAAAATAAAAATAGATAAATAGATTGCAATACTCTCGAATTTAATTTATTTTTATTAATAGATTCAATGTGAAACAGTTTAAAATAATTAAATTAGGTCAACAATAATTTTATAAAACTTATAAAAATTTTTCCTATTAAAAAAATTTGCTCCAATTTAAAGGTGGGAGTCAATCCATGATCCCACCACACAAATGATCATCACAGGAAATAGAGCTAAAATTCCCCCAATAACTATTAATAATCTTTTTGGTCTTCCACTTGCGATTAAAGATGTCTCTCCAATATAGTCAGGACCTCCTAGTACTCCCCAACCAGGAATGAGCATGAGTAGAATAGGATTGATGAAATTTGAAAAATGATCGTGATATTTGACAAAGTTCATACTTAAATAACTATCATGCGAATGGCCCGCTATTTTAGCCATGGCTGCATGCCCTGACTCATGAATCATCACACATAAGCCCCATGCCAAAATTGCCCACAAGATAAATGCCCATCTCTTTGGATAGCTCAGGAGGACAAATGAGAACACAAATAAGACGCCGACCCAGATTAAGGCTGGTGTAGAACACATTTTCTTCATTTGTGAAGGCTCTTTAAGGATGGATTTTGTTGCCTGCTCTAGTTCAAGTGCGGCTTCTTTCCCAACGTTAGCCATTATTTAATGTGCAATTTTGAGCACAGATTAGATTTCGATTAATTTGAAAAGGGCTTCCATTGGATACATTAAGCCCATAATTTTTTGGTTTTTCTGAAATATTTTCTTATAAACTTTTATGAATTTAATCAATCCAAACATAGGCTTTTTAAATTAAGTTAATCACTATTTTGGCTTATTTATTAGAACTGTTGAATATTTTCATAGAGTTTTAAACTTTTCCAAATTAAAAAAGTCGTTAATTTAAAATGTCAAGTGAGCCAATTCAAGTTTATATACGATTCCGCCCTTTGAATTTTCAAGAAATTACAGAAGGAGAGCTTCCAATATGATACATGTCAAAAAACACCATATCCCTGCTTCGTGAGCACTCAAGCCAGCTAATTGCAGAAAAACGAATTTCAAGTACCTTCAATCCTAATTATCATTATAGCCACGTTTTCACAGGAGAAGATGACAATCGAAAAGTTTATGAAACCGTAGCTCAAAAAGTAGTCCTCTCAGCTTTAGAAGGATTTAACGCTACAATTTTTGCATATGGGCAAACAGGGTCTGGAAAAACTTTTACAATGATAGGGCAGCATCTTCAAACTGCAGAATCCCCAACCTTATGCACAACTCCACCTTTAAAGCAAAGACCAAGAGCATCTCGGGCTGGAACTCCAAGCTCAGCCAGAATTCGTAGCTGCAGCTCAACACCAAGAGGCAAAAGCATGGCTGCTTTACAAATCCCGCTAAGACTAGACAAACCTAGAAAGGTACAAACTGATGGAAAAGGAATTATCTCAATGGCGCTCAATGATATTTTCAAAGCTGCAAACGACTATAAAGACAAGCATTTTTTCTTCACATGCTCCATGATGGAAATATATAACGAGCACGTCTACGATTTATTAAAAGAAACCGAAGACTTAAAAAATGAGGTCCTTGCAGTTAGTGAAGGATCTGATAAAGAATTCTACGTGCGAGGACTGAGCGAAAAAGTAGTAACTTCTATAGAAGAAGTGCTGGAAAAGCTTGGAAAAGGAGAAGAAAACCGACATTACGCAGCCACAAATCTAAACCATCACAGTTCAAGGTCACATACCATTTTTAGACTCAATATCAGATCTTTACAAGTGATTCCAAAAAAGGACTCTGAAACGTTAGAAGGAGACGAAAGCTTTGAAAATATAACCACTGAGTCTGTCATCAATTTTGTCGATCTTGCTGGGAGTGAACGCACAAGCAGCGTGATGGCAATCGAAGACAAGCATAACTTCTCTTACTCTTCTACACGGTCTGAGCAAGATCGCATTGTAGCTGAAAGTAAAAATATCAATACAAGCTTGTTTTATTTGTGCCAAGTTATCACGAAGCTTTCAGAGCTGAAGATGGGGCTTATAAAAAATGAGTCTCATATCCCATATAGAAATTCAAACTTGACCAAAATATTGAGATCGTCATTGGGAGGAAACTCAAGAACTTGTGTGATTTGTGCAGTAACACCTGCTTTGAGCCAATTTGAACAAACATTGAGCACTTTGAGGTTCGGGAACAGTGCAAGAAGTATCACGAATAATGTAAAAGCAAATGTCAAAAGAGAAACAAATGCGCAGCTGCTAGTCGGGTATCAGCAAGATATTGCTACTTTGAAAAAGGAGCTTGAAATGGCAAAAGAACAAGGATGGGCAAGCTATGTAGAAAGAAATCAGGCTAAGCAAGCACTAGAGCAAAAAATTCAAAAGCTAAATGAAATATTGGCTGTGCCATATAAACCAGAGACTTTTCAAATAGAACAAGAAATTTACTCCAACTTTTCCACTTTTTGGAACGGCGGGGTAGGGGATTTATTTATAGCGAATCAGCCTTTTGATCAAGAAGATTCAAAAGTCTTGAGTGAGTCTAAACTTAACTTTGATAATTCAGGAAAGTTTGCACAAGAAAGGAGAATGCAGATTGATAGAGAGCAAATTAATATAGAAAAAGAAATAGAAAAATTAACGGTCGTCGTAAATTCGTTGAAGGGAAACAAAAATACACTGGTGACAGATTTAGAAAAAAATAGCAATTTATATGAAAAATCTAATAAAGAGAATGCATTTCTCAGAGAGGACTTAGCCAAGTCCAGACAGACCCTTTCAAAAATGAAATATATGGCAAAAATATACCAGCAAGGGGAAGGGCTTGATAGTCTTTCAGAAAGCCAGCTTACAGCATTCGAAAAGACTCTCATTGAAAGATTAGATTCTGTAAAACAAATAAAAGCTTCACGTCTTTATGACCATAAAATAGAAAAACTCCAAGAAAGTCTATTGAAATTCCTACCAGAGTCCATGGTCCTTGAAATGTTCTCTGAAAATGAAAGCAGAGAAATGACTGAGAAATTTGAGAGCTTTATGCACGACATAAGCAGCCAGCATGAGTTTAGCTGAAATCAAGATATTTTAAACACGCCCTAATTATTAATACAATTTTATATATAAAATAGTCATATTTTAATAAAAGTCAACAAGGTGAATAAGTTTTTAAATAAAATTATGATGCCTAAAAATATAAGCAGTTAAAAAAAATTTTCACATCACAAAAATCGTGATTATTCATGATACGCTAAATTATAGTTTTTTATATTAATTTATCTCAAAAATATAAAATACTGGAAATTAAAACAGTTTTCAGGTCAAATATTTATTTTAAAAATGATATATCCTAGCCCTATAAGGCTCTACAAGCTTTCAGAAACGAAATCACACAAAGCTGAGATGGTAAGAACAATGGTGAAAAAATTGCACTCTGAAAAGCATATTCAAGAAGAATCAGAAAAAGCGGAAGATTTGAGGTCTATTATGAAGTACAAAAAGGCGTGGAGAGAATATTTAAACGAACTGCTGATAAGGAGCAGGAAGAAAAACTACGCCAATAAAAGAGAGTCTCCTTTAGTAAGTATGACGACAGCAAGAGATATAGGAGTACAAGAAACGCCTAATAAAGAAAAAAACTGCAGAGCTATTGATGAAGACTTAACTCTCTTCCATAAGCAATCATTCATAAAAGATCAAGAAAATTTTAAAGATGAAGGCATTCAAGTGGATACTTCAATAACTAAGTCACCAAAAACAGATTTATCTCCAAAAATATGGAGAAACAAACGGTCGCTTAGCCCGATTGATTTTTTCAAAATGACAAATGAAAGAACTATTATTAAAGTAGCAAAAGTAGATTCTCCAAATCATAGAAAGTCTAATACTCCACTTTCGGATTTTGACAATACATGCAACTCGAATGGAGAGAAACATGAACACTCTAAATCGGTGAAATCAGTGCCAAGGCATGTTTCTTTTGAAAATGACCCTTCAAAAGAAATTTATTCTGCTTTGACCCCAAAACTGAAGCACTTAAATAAGCCAGATTTATATGAAAACCATAAAAATAGGCCTCCAAAAATTCAAAAAACGAAAGAATTTACTGAAAATGTGAAAAGTAATTTTATGCCGAAGAGAGATTTTAATAAGTTCATTGAAGTTGAGGCAAGAAAGCAGCCAAGCGATATTGGGAAGAAATTAAACCGAATAAGAAGACTGAAGCTTTCAGAGCTTAGTATATCTTAAATTTAATAAATATGTATACAGCTCTCTTTAAGATTGAAATTTACAATTAAAAATACTTGTAAAGATTTCTTAAATAAACAAAATTATTTTAAGCTAAAATAGATACTTATAAATCCTATCAATATAAAGCCACACTATTTTCAAAGAATAAATGAAATTATAATTAATAACGATATGGGTCTCCCTTATTGTCTCAGTAGATATTTAAAATGATTTATCTGTTAAAAATTTATTCTAAATCAGTGATGTATCAATTCAAAGTAAAGTTAAAATATTCAAACAGATGATCTTTTAATAATTGGATAAAAATTGATTGTATTAAAATGATAAATATAAGATTAATATTAACCTCATCATAAAATTTTAGGATTTTTATTTTAAGAATTGATATTTAAAGAGGCAGAAGGCTAATTTCTTGTTGTCGGCCATACTATGCCTAACGCACCAGATCCCATCCGAACTCTGAAGTTAAGCGGCATAAGGCGAGGTTAGTACTTGGGTGGGGGACCGCCAGGGAAGCCCTCGTGCTGACAGCTATCTTTTTTATTTATATTTTGGTTCAAACTAAGCATAGATTTCTGATTTAATATTCAGAGCTTAGTTATTAAAAGTTTTTCTATTCAAATCTCTATATTATCTTCCATAATATTCTTTTTTTCATTTTCTTATTGCCTTTGGTACAAGCAAAATTTTTCTGCTTGCGAACTAAGGAGTTAATTTAAATTTTAAACTTTATAAAAAAAATTAAATTTTTTAATAATTTTTTATGCCTTATTAGCAGATTAAAACGATTTCACAAAGAATACTATTTTTATTAAATAAAAAAAACTAATAATACTAAATAAAATAATAACATCAATAGTATACTGGGTAGTTAGAAAATATGAATAGTTAATGATTTCTATACTAAAAGGAAGTTCATAAATAAACAAAAAAGGCACTTTAAAACTTAATCGCTTAAGGCCTAACTGTTTATATTTATATTGAAACATACTATAATCTATAAAATTTGAAGATTTAATTCAATATAATTTTCATTCTCTTCTCTAAAGTAGCATAAAAATTCTTGCTTGCATGTATATTTCTCTAATATTTATTTGAGTTAAAATAATTATCTAATTCACCTTGCTTAGCAAGCAAAATCTTTATAAAAATCCCTATTTTTAAAATTAATCTCTTTATTAACGATAATAATTTTTTATACAAAAAATAATTTAATAAAGAATTAATGATGCTATTATAATTAACTCTCCAGTTAATTCTATTAAAATTTTATCCTAAAATATAAATTTAAAATTAAATTAGATTCTCAATTCAAATATTTTGATTTTTAAAGACAAAAAAAATTATTTTAATTTGTGAAAGAATTAGCCCTTTATTAAGCAAAACCATCTTTGCAACTAACCAAGGAGACCTGGAGTGGAGTAAGTTATTATTTATTCCTATTCCTCATGAGAATTGGAGGAATCAAGATTAAAATTCCCAAAAGAATTAAAACTGTGAGTGACGATGAGCTCAATCCGGTATCTCCAATTGATGATAAAGCCATTCCTGTTGATATATGAATAAAATTCGGAGGAGCAAGTCCAAATAGCGTTGCTAATATAAAGGTTTTCAATGGAATTCCAACAATTGGAGAAGCCAAATTTAAAATTCAATTTGGAACCAGTGGGACTATTCTTAAAAATAGCAAATAAAAAAAGAGACCGCTTTTTTGCTCACTTATTGCTTTATTAAGCTTAACAACTCCGTTAGGAAACCATCTTATTACAAGGCCTTTTCCTAAGTTATCAGAGAGTTTATAGCAAATTGTAGAGCCAACTGTTGCACAGATAGAAACAATAAGTAGCCCAGTCCAGCGACCAAATAAAGTACCTGAAATTAAACTTAGGACAATTGGCCCAGGGATTGCAAAGCTTTGTAGAAAGAGGTAGAAAAAGCAGAATAACGAAAAAACGTACCAATAGCTTGTGACTGTATATTTTGACAAGACTTGGCTCAATTCCAGGATTTCCTGTGGGGTCCATGGAAGTCGGTAGATAATTGCTCTTTCAGACTCTGTTAAAGGTGGGGCAAGCTGAATAAATAAGAATAATCCAAATATTCCAGAGCCTAAGAGCATTAATAAAAGATACTTATTGCGATTGAGATTTTCTTCTGTCTCTTTTTTTAGCAATTCAATGTTTAGTTCCATTTATTCAACTCAATTGAGTAGCACCAAATAATATGGCTCTTAAAATCAATATTTGATATAAAAAGCATTATTTTATACTTTCTAAAGTGCTAATAAGTAAAATATTTTTTATAACACTCCCCAAATAAATTTTTTACAGGATTTCCATTTAAGGCTTTTCTATAAGGAAATAAAATTGAAGACTTCATTATCTGAAATTATTCGTAATATAAGCTTAAAGAATTCAATGTCTTAGCAGATGTTCATTTAAAAAATAATGGCTTTCATTAAAATGCAAAGATAGGGAATATTTTTGATTTTTTTTACAAATAATCTTGTTTTAATATAAAAGTATCCATTTTTATTTATTAATTATATTTGGATTTTTGCATCTTTTTTATTTATAGCTTTCTCTTAGATAATTGATTGAATTTGTTTTATAATAGAGCTCATGATTATTCAAAAGGGACATTAAGTGCAGATCGTTAATTTAATACATATAATTAATTAATTATCATAAAATAGAAGAATCATAATGCATCTTAGAAGCTTAAACAGCTTTGAATACCCATTAAAGCTATGTGTATACTTCGAGATAGCCTATAGCAAAATTTTAAGAATTTATTTATAGATGCATAATAGTTAATTTAACCAAAAATTTAAAACTAAATTCACTTTATTCTCGATAAATAGCTTTCTTTCAAACTAATCAAAACTCCTAGCAGTAAATAAATTAAAAATGCAAATGACTTAAATTCCAAAATATGATGTCAGATAGATAATTATGTTTTTATTCAGAGGTAAAAACACCAAAGATTCTGAAGTCCCAAAAATCCCTGACTCAGATAACCAGGTCCAAATTCAAGCTTTTATTAAAAGTATGTGCTTATTGCTGACAAAAGAATGAAAAATCTCAGAAGAATTTTCTAAAGCTATTGAATTCCTAAGTGAGCATTGTGAGCATAGCCAAGATTACATAATAAAATATCTGATTCCATACTGGGAAGATATATTGAAAAATTCAATTCAGAATCCTAGCTCCCCCCTTTAGGTTGGATAAAAAAATCTATTTAAATTCTGATTAATTTTTTTTCAAAAACATTTAATAAAACAATTTTGAACTTCAAAAAATTTGAAAAAAAATTATTCAAAAATTAACCGATTCAGTATGAAAACTGTTTAAATAATATTAATTTAGTAAAATTAAAATTTTATAAAAGTTGGTAAAATTTCTTTTTGAAAAAAAAACTTTAAAGGTGGTTAAAGTACCTAATAAGTGAAAAATTTTACCTATATTTTGTTCCAATTTAAAAGGGGAGTGAACAAATTTCACCAATTCTAGACATAACCCAATCCTGCTCTGAAAAATTTCCAAACTTATTCAACAATTTCAACCATTTGCATCAATTTTTAGAAATTCTTCAAGGAGAATTTGAGCCTATCGACAAGCACAGAATTCTAGTCACTTTACGATATATCAGTAATTGTGAAAAATCTTTGTTATCAGAATTTGTGCTTCAAAATAAAAGCTTATTGGCTATTTTACAAGAATTTCTTATGAGCACTGCTGATTATTTGAGAAATGAATCAATTATTTTATTGAGGAATATTTCTATAAATAATGACGAATTATGCAAAGATTTAGGATTTCAAGGACTTTTTGAAAATTTATTAGAAATTATTAGACTGGAAGAAGGAAAAATAATCGAGGATTGTTTGGAACTAATGAAAACGCTACTGTCTGAATATAATAAAAATTTTATAAGAGAAATTTCTGTTCTGATTGAAAGATTAAGATCACTTCTTGTCCCAGGGAAAAAAATGAGTGATAAAACGTTAGATTTTATTATTTATGCATGCAAAGATAAATCTGGGAAACCAATATCAAGTAACCAAATGTTTTTTAGTGAGCTTCTCCCTGATATTGCTATCCTAGCTTTTCCTCAAAATCCAAAAGAAACTCAAAATTTGCTTGCGATTGAATTAATGTCGATTCTTTTGCAAGGAAATCTATCATTGATAAAATCAATTATAAACCCAAGCCATATTGAATTATTTGAGCTTCTTGAGTCTATTCCTATTTATTGCTTAATTGGAAACTGCTGAAAAGAGTCTTTTAGTTTATTATGAAATTTGACGAAGCTTAACCAAGATATCCAAAGCGCGATTTTATCAAAAATTACTTGTATGCCTGGGTATGTAAAAACGGAAAATAAAATCCCATCATTTAATTACATTTTAAATGAGTGGCTTGAAGATTCAATACTTCCTGAAAGGCTGACTAAATTATTGGAGCTGCTATTAATTAATAACGAAATAAGTAAAGAGCTAGGTGCAAATCTTCCAATTGATTTAAATTCTGGGACTTTACTTTTGAAGGTATTTAATTTATTATTGGAAAATATATTGACGACTTCTTCTGTGAAGGTGCTGCATTATGCAAGATTGTTATTAGTGTGGATGAATAAATCTCCAAGCTCATGCAATAAAATTCGATCAGATTTAGACAAAAATATTGAGCTTGTTCTCGATTATATACAAAAAGAAGATGGAATAGCTCAATGCTTATGCTTATGTCTCCTTGGAATCATAGGAATAAATAATGATGATGGTATGATAATCCCCAAATTAGCGCTCCGAAAAATAGGCTACACAGATGCATGCTCCATTATTGACAAATTATTCAAACAAAAAGACTTTACTAAAAATGAACAAAAATCAGACCTTTGGCTTGAAGACAGCATATACTCATTTTGCCTTTTAAAAGAATACAGGCCAGTTTCTCAAGCAGTTAAAAAGGTGTTTTTAAAAGAAATCACTGATAGTGCTCCAGAAAGTGAAAGCGACTTAGCTAAACTAGTCCAAGCCCAAGACATACTTATATCAAATCTCCAAAATATGAGAAAAGGCGGCCAATCAGAAGAACTTGAAAATTTATCTACACAAATAAAGCAATTAAATGAAAAAAATTCAGAATTAAAATCTGAGCTTACAAATGAAAGGATTTTAAATGAGGAATTAAAAAGTAAATGTTTATCATTGAATTTAGAAAAGAAAAGAGAAGTCAGAGGAATTTTTGAAGCTATGGTAAATTTGCAAGAAAAATATGAAATTTCTGAGTATGAAAAAGAATCATTGATAAGAGAAAATAAAAAATTATTCGCAGTTAATGAAAGACTGAGAGGAGAAAATAAAGTTTATACAGCAAAAAGACCGGAAATTGTGAGCAGCATACAGATGCTTGAAATTAAAGAACAAAATAAGAGTCTTGAAGCAGAGATTGAGTATTTAAAAAATCAGCTGAGAAATAGAGAAATAGAAAATAAAGATTTATTAGAGCTGGTGGGAAAGCAAAATTCACAAATAGAAGGAATAAAAATTCACCTTCCTGAGCTATCAGAAGATCAAGCAAAACTTGATCAGGAACCTAAAAGCACTCAAACTGACTTTGAAAAAGATTTAAGCAGCCAATCATCACAAACTGAGTCTCTTATAAAATTTGATAATAGAGATAGCAATGATCAAGATACACAAACTGTTGATGGAAATGATAGGCTGATCGCAATTACTCAGACAGAAAAACAAAAAATGGTCTCAGAACTAATTTCTATGCATTTTGTCCCAGGGAAGAAAAAATTCTATAAAAACCAAAATATGCAGTGTGGAGGTGAGCGAAAAATGAAAATAGAAAAAATTAAGCCACAAGTCTTTTGCAGAGCTGTGCCAATTAACAAAAATAAAGAGCCACAAAAGCTAATGAGAGATGAGAACGTTAGAAAAGAAGAAAAAAGCTTGAAGACAGAAGAACCAGTAAAATTAAAGACGTCTGGAAAGAAAGAAGAACCAAATTTAATAAAAAATGAAATTAAAGAGCCAATAAAAATTGAACAAAAAGAATCAAAAGTGACAGTTGCTCCTGAAAAGACCAAAGAACCAATTGCAACTAAGCATGAAAGTCCTATATTGCAAACAAAAGCTGAACCATTAAATCTAGACATCCCACTAAAAGCAGAAGAGCAGCCTATAAAAGCAAACAAAATTGAAGCTATTGATAAAATTAATCCAAACAAGACTGAGCCTCAACCAGCCAAGCCAAAAAAAGTTCTTCCTCCTCCACCTTTTAAATCAATAATAAAAGAAAAAACTCCTAAAGTAGCATTAAAACAAGAAAAAGATACAGCTGAAAACAAAATGGAAGATATCGATTTACATGAACAGCCTTCTCCAAGCAAATCAGAAACTAAAAAAGAATTATCACCTGAAGTTAAAAAATCAAAAATTCATCCAATTATCGCAGAATTTGAGCCAAATATTAACGAAGATTTACTGATGAATCCTACTTATATCTCAGTATTCAATCCAATAGAGGCCAATTCTGAGCCAAAACCTCAATTTTCATCTAATTATGAACAAGCTGAAAGCTTAGATGCTCCTCCTATGAACTTTTTTACTTCCTCATCAAATACAGCAAAAAAAGAGCCAGATAATGTTCCTGTAGAAGCTAAAGAGGCAGCCTCTTTTGGTACAGATGCGCCTCCTTTGCATTTTTATTCCCAAGCAAAAAAAGAAAGTGCTCCTGCGGCTTCGTCAAGCATTTCTGCTGGATCAATATTTGTACATAGGAATTATCTAAAACCAGGGCAATCAAAAGTTTCATCAGCTGGCCCTTTGAAAAACCCATTCCAGTCTGAGGCAATAATCACGAATCCGTTTGGAAAAGATAATCCAGACAGAAAAAATGAAAATTCAGCTGTGTCATTAAGCGAAAACCCGTTTCAAGGAGAATTAGCTAGCAAAGAACTGGTAGATAAAAATCCACTCAAAAGAGAAGTAGTTAAAACTCCATTTCAAGGCGAGCCAGCTAAAAATCCATTTCAAGGCGAGCCAGCAAAAAATCCATTTCAAGGCGAGCCAGCTAAAAATCCACTCAAAGGAGAGGTAGCTAAAACTCCATTTCAAGGTGAGCCAGCTAAAAATCCATTTCAAGAGGTAGCTAAAAATCCATTTCAAGGTGAGCCACTTAAAGATATATTTCAAGGAGAATCAGCTAAAAATCAATTTCAAGGCGAGCCACTTAAAGATCTATTTCAAGGAGAATCAACTAAGAATCAATTTCAAGGCGAGCCACTTAAAGACACATTTCAAGGAGAACCAGCTAAAAATCAATTTCAAGGCATGCCACTTAAAGATCCATTTCAAGGAGAACCAGCTAAAAATCCATTTCAAGCTAAAAATGCAATTCATGCGGAGCCAGCCATTAGAAATGCATTTCAAGGTGAACTAGCAAAAAGTTCAATTCAAGCTGATCCAATCATTAAAAATCCGTTTCACAGTGAGTTATCTACTAAAAATCCATTTCAAGCTGAAGAAGCAAGTAAAAGTCTACCTCACCCTGCAAATATAGCCAAAAGTCCAATTCAAGTTGAGCCAACTATTAAAAATCCATTCCAGTTCGAGGAAATAATTACAAACCCATTTAGCAATGAAGACTCAGAGCCTAAAAAATTAGAAACTAAGGAAGATGCCCTTTCATTTTTTTATAAGATTTCTGAAAGCACACCAAAGAATTTTTCTTCATTTTTCTAATTCATAAATAAACTAGCACAATTTCATTAAATTAAGATAATTTTTTTTAAAAATAAAAAAATTAAGGAAATAAATAATTAAAACTTCGATATCTGAAATTTATTCGTAATATAAACTTAAAGTATTCAATATATTAGAAGATGCTCATTTTTATTATATGCGCCTAATAAAAATAATGACTTTCATTAAAATGCAAAGATCGGGAATATTTTTGATTTTTTGCAAATAATCTTGTTTTAATATAAAAATTGATTTAAAATTATCCATTTTTATTTATTAATTAATATTGGTTTTTGCATATTTTTCATTTATAGCTTTCTGTTTAGACCTTTGGAATGAATTTTTTAAAGCTTTGATAATATTATTAAGTGACAGATTATATTCTTTTAAGCCATATCTTCTGTGTTTAACCCTCTTAAAATAATTTATCATATCTATGGAAAGATAAAGTTCCTCTTTACAAATAGCCTTTCATGCGTTTTGAATATATTCATCGACGACTTTCATATAAACTTTATAATTAATCGTTAAGTAAAATTATCTTAATGCTTCAGATATACTGCTAGAGGACAGAATGCATCTAATATTTAATTTTTATCTTGCATTTAGATCTGCCTTTTTTATTTTTCGTCATTATAATCCAAATGTTTGGGGTTGAATAAATAGCTATTCTTAATTATTTTGATAAAGTTTATGGAATGCCAGTAATTTCATATAGTTAATGTATGAAATTTATAATATTAAATGATGATACTTACTTTTCTTATTAGCTGCACCTTTCTGAGAAGCTATGCCTTGCTACAGCCAGAGCAAATTCACTTGTCTTGAACAGAAAGAGAAAATGAAATGAGAGTAACATGAGTCACAAATATCAATACAACCACGTATGTAGCATACCGTCCTGTGATGTGCCCGTCAGCAGTATACTCTGACAAATGAACAAATGTAAGTGCTAATACAATAAAATTCAACAAAGGCGAAATAATAGTGTTGTTCCAATTCATACATACGGCTATTATGACTGGATTGAAGCATGACTGCTTTTATGAGTATTATATCGTAACAGCATGGGGTAAAAGCGAGCCATACATGTTTAGCGGAAGGACCCCAGACTATGAGCCTCCATATGACGACGCAAAAAATGAAATAGATATTTTGGTCTTTGGTGACTGGGGCACAGGGTCGAATAGTTTATATGTAAAAAACATGCTGGATCAGCATATAAAAATAAGGAACTTTTTAGGGGTGATTCACTTGGGCGACATTGCTTATAATTTAGACCAAGAGGATGGCCAAACAGGAGATGACTTTTTGAATCAAATGCAACCAGTTGCTGCAAGGTTTGCCTATATGGTTATTCCTGGAAATCATGAAAGAACATCTAACTTTACGCATTATAAAGAAAGGTTTAGGATGCCAGTAAACGAAGCAAACGGAGGAAACAGCTGTTTTTATTCTTTTAATTTAGGCCCTGCTCATTTTCTCATGATGGATACTGAAGTTTATTTGCATGACTATCTAAGAGATTCACAGCTTACTGAGACAAATTGGATTGCTCAAGACTTAGAAAAAGCAAACAAAGAGCGAGACATTAGGCCTTGGATTATTGTTACTTCTCATCATGCGTTTTATTGCTCAGTTAACCACGCCTTGAGTCCAGAATGCGGTGTGCAAAGCTATCTTTATAACGCTCTTTTTGAAGAAATGTGAAATTATTATGGGGTAGACTTGTTTCTTGAAGGGCACGTCCACAATTATGAAAGAGATACTCCAATTTATAAGAATGAGACTGTAAAAAGCGAATATGATGACCTTCATATGCATAAAAACCCAAATGCTCCAATCTATATTGTCAGTGGAAATGCTGGAAATAAAAGAGGTCATAATGACCCAATTCCAGAGGTACTGATGCCTTGAACTGTTTTTATGCATGAAGATTATGGCTATGGATTGCTAAAAGTTTTCAATAAAACTCATCTTTATTGGGAACAATATTCTGCAATGACTGGAGATACAATTGATTATGTATGGATTGTAAAAGACCGGCTAAGATACGATAAGCCTAATTACTAACTCTCCCCATCTTTAATCGAATGATTGACTGTAAATATTCCTAAAAATTGAGAAAATTAACCCCCATCCTTGATCAAACGATTTTCATATCATGCAAAATTTATATATATATAAAAATATATTAGTAAACAAAAGCTTGAGAAGATATGCCTAATGAAGTTGTTGTCAGAGGCTTTGAGACGACAGGAAGCTATGGAATCAATCATCCGAAGTGCTTTAGTCATCTAGCTTAAAAACTCAATAATCTCAAAAATAGAGATTCTTTAAAATTTAAAATTTTTAATTCAATAAGGAGCAAATTAAAATTTATGCAGTTTAAAGGGGTAACCAAAAATAAAAATATTAAAAATTGGTATTCTTATGAAATTAATTCAATTTTGTTGCTGCAAAAATAATTATTAAATACTCTTAATCCTCTTATTTAAAAATATATAAACAACATCTATTTTTTTATTTTATATATAAATTTTTTTTTTTAACTCCCATCCTTGGTCGAACGGCTCGCCATCGTTCGATCAAGGATGGGGGAGTAAGCAGAAGCCAAAATAGTTATTATAAATTAATTTTCAATTAATTTAGATCGTAAAATAGAATTTTTTACATAAATAGCTCATTTATTTTTTATTAATAAAATTATGCAATTGGCTCTTCAGAAAAGCGGCAAAATAATTAATTGATTCTAATTTTTGATAATTTATTCGAAAATTAATTAATTATGTGTGTCGGTCATATTTTTAGAAAATTCTTGCTTTTCCATATCTAGTTTAGGCACATCTTGTATCCCTATAGAAATTGCTTGATCTCTCGTAATAAACCTTCCTTTGTATCGCAGTCTTTTATCAGCGACTTTTTTCCTGGAATCATAGTTTACTTTTTTTCGCCATGTCCTTCTTGCCTTCTTCTCTCTATACTTCTGAAGCTTCTTTTGCCTTTCTTCATAGCTGATGCTTCCTATTTTATTACTGTTGCAAGGGATTACAACAAATTGGTAAATAGGAATTGCTTTCTGAGCATCTGATTGATCATCAGAGGTGTATTCAGAAATTGTAGTGCTTGCTACTTCTGAAGGGAATAGATTTGGTTCAACAAGTGAAATATCTTGAAGATCACTGATGTGCGAGCATAATGGATCTTCTTGTAGATTGGGAGGAAAAGGCATTTCAAAGCTAGCTTGAAATGAATTGCATCTATCACGTTCTAAAAAATCCCCATGGATTGCTTCAAGGTCGTATTCGCATAGAAAGTTATCTTGAAAGCGCTCCATTTATGATTTAAATAATTAGGTATAGACCGGATAACTTATCATGAAGTTTGCATTTTCGGTTCAGTAGAACCTCTGTGCAACAGGAAAATAAAAAAAAATTATAAACTCTTTAATATAAAATTTGATAGAATATATTGTAAAGTTCTTCAAATGGATCATATAAATGAGTTAAACAATCAATATATATTTGAATAACAAACAAATTAAAATTTTTTGTGATAATTTAATAATTTTTCATTTTAAATTTGAGCGTGAACGAATATTTAAAAATCCCTGAATTTTAGTAAAATTATTATATCATGAAATACAAATTCTTTATATTTCAATATTAATAATTTTTATAGAAGAATTTATCAGGGTTGCAAGTTTGTTCTTTATTTTCAGCATCGCTCAATTAGAATGGTCAAATAATTAAAATATTAGCAACTCTCACTTATCAACTTTTCAGAAGCTTTATATATAATTTATAATTTAATTACGAGAAACAGAAATATTTACTAATCTAAAAGCATATAAATTAACGATTGAAACAAGATACATTTATTATTTAGACATATATGAAGCTTCAAATTCATAGCTGAGCTTTTGTGCTTCATCATTAGACCTTTCTACATAGAAATATTTTGCTTCTCCTTCAATTCCTGCTTGGGAAGGAGTTTTCTTACTCCCCTCCATAAACGGAGGGTGGGTTTTTGGAAAATTAGGATTTTTGTAATGGTTTTGTTCAATCACGCTAGGGGAGTTAGATAATTGAAATTTAAAGAGCCTCTGGATATCTTGGCCTTTTGCGCTGACTAATAATGATGGAAGATACCTACTCTGATATAAAGTCCCTGCAGCGCCCAAGGATACTCAGCCAATTCCAAGAAGACACTGGGCAAGTATTAGGTTAAGGAGAGAAGTAGCAATACATATTCAGAGCCATAAACATCCAGTCAAAAATATTGAGTACCACATAGAAGCTCTATGATAATTGTATGGCTTTCTCACAAATCATATACTTACTACAAGCCAAGATATTATTACTGTGCAACATACATTTTCTGCAATTTCTGAAGCCGGCAAAAGGGTTGTGTTTAATACAACCAGTACAATTTGTCAAAAACTTTTACCAATTGAGTGGAGTGGCTGCTCTCTAAAATGAAAAACTATACTTTCAGTCTCATCTTGCCAAGTTGGCCTAAAATATAAGCTTGCTGGCAAATAGAATAGCAGAATAACAGACGATAATATTACATATTCGAGATGCTTATCTTGTCAACAAAACACTTTGCAATCTAAATTGAAATAACTGTCTTTGTATCCGTCTCCAATGCTGTTTGTACATTGAAAGGTCAGAAATAAAAACCTGAAAATAGGGAGGAATAGCACATCTCCTATAATTGGTAGACAGTATTTTCCTAGTTCGTCCAAAGCTTCAAAGAGAAGTAATTTACTATTTTCTCCAATTCGAAAAATTCGCTGTAAAAGCAATGCAAGCCATAAAATAGCAATAATGTTCATTAATTTTATTTGGTGCCAAATATCTCACTCGCTACCTTCCGTTCAATTTCTTAAATCGAACATCGACAATTTGGTGAAAGTGGAGAGTCCAGGAAATAATTCACTAAAATCTGGTCCTAATGCTATATATTGTAAGGATTCTATTCCCATAGTAATATAAATTCAAGTATCAAGAATCGTTTCTTCCTCAACAGTATCAAGCATAGGAAACTCTCTTGTGTATAAAAAATCAAAATATTTATAAATAAAGCACACTCCAAAGATAAATGGGATTGAGCCAATTCCCGCTAATAGCAAATATCCGTATAAAAATGACTTACTCTCACTTCCTTTAAAAGGGCAGGGAAGATCAGCCCCCACAATATCGCTAGGCAATTTTCCATTATTTCAAACATACCAAGTGTTAGTATGAAAAGACTGATACGCAATCACTTTGGAGGGGTCTCAGATTCCGCTCAACTCCATCTCTCACGTTGAGTTTTTTTGGACTAAGTTGTATACGCCAAATGCAATTGTGGACCTATCGGCTCCATCAGCATTGATTTTAATTTTTCCAGAGCATCCATTAAATTTGACATACCTTACTGCTTGAGAAATTGAAGAATCTTTTAAATTAGCTCCTAGAGTAATCAAGAAATCTATTGCTAAAGCACCGAGATAGGTAGCATCAAAATGGAGACACATATAATCATAAGCAAACCCATACATATTCAAAATTTCTGTTTTTAAGCTTTCTCCAAAAGTCCCATAATATGATAAAAAACTGAGGTAATTTAACCCTTCCATCAGCTCTTTCCTCTTTAAATATTTAACTGGACCGATTTGGGTTTCATTCAAGTCAGCTGGATTTACCGTGCCATCGCTTACACATAGATAAATATCTCCTTTCCTAGCTCCTGAATCGTAAAAAGATTCAATAACAGCAAGAACATCAGGAGGAGTCACTTCCATAACGACATACCTTGATTTTAAACTTATGATTTCTTCAGCTATAGACTTATCTGTCCCATTATATCCGAGAGGCACAATTCTGTTACTATTCATGATCTCTATATTGAAAGTTTTCGCCTTCTTCTCAAATTGATCTTTAAAATCAATACCTCAAGAAGTATTAGAGCAAACTAATGAGCATTTTGAGATTTCAAATGATGTTAGCATTAAAACAACATTTGAGGCAGTTAGTGTATTTGGATAGGAAACTCTAGCATATTGAGGGTAGTATATTTGATTACTCATACTACTTGAAGTTTGGATTCCTATAATAGATGTTGTTATGTTTAAAGCATGAAAAACTGAGATTGTCCCTACAGTTATTGGCGTTTGCAGCCCAGGAATAAAAAAGTAGCCAATTTTTTGTACGTATTTATTGAAGCAAGCATAGCTATAATTGTAATCAAACACTGAAGCTCCACAATCAGAAATATTTAAGGCTACTAGATTGAAATTGGACAATATTAACTGGTTATAATTTATATAATGTACTGCGAAAACAGATCCAGTTTGAAATATAGCGTTTTCCTCATAACTAGAGCCATCTGGATTTGAGATTCCTCCATTAAAGCTGATAGGTATTTGAATTTTTGAGTTATCAGGTATGTTAGAGGAATTTCCAGGAAAAATGTATGATGATATGATGTCCACTAAATCTTCGGTTATACTTCCAATATTAGTTATCTGACCATTTTGAATGTTATTGATTCAAAATAAATAATCCTGGTCGCTAATTGATTTGATAATAATTCCAAGATTATAAATTGAATAGTAGCCCTGAATCTCACTGGTGTTTATAACTCCTAGAACCCAACTCGCCAATTGGCCAAGAAGATAAGAGAAATAATCTTCGAGGCTCTTTGGGACATATTCATGACTTGATATAATCAGTGAGCCTTCCAAATTTGCTTTTCAACCAGCTTGGTCAAGAAAAATAAAAACATATCCTTTATTATTCATATCTGCATCTGAAATAGCTTTTTGCACCATAACTGATATCTCCGGATTTGTCGCAATTATAATCACTTTGATTCCGAGCGGTTTAATTTGCTTTGAAATTATAAGTTGAAGCGTTTCATACGTTATCAGTGATGGAATTGCTGCTTGAAAAGCAATATTTATATTCCGAATTGATTTAAAATTCAAGTCTATGTATTCTTCTCCTAGTATTACAGCTACCTTTTGTCATCCAAAATAATCTACCAGTGCCAAAGCTGATTTTCTTATTAAAGTATAAGAATCCCTCAAAAAATAAACAAAGTCTATAGAAGCGTCAGGGTTGTTTAAATACACAAATTGGATAAATCCTACCTCTTTTGCATCATTACTTATTAAGGAGGTTAAAGTCAAAGAATAAGTTGCATCAAGAATAAAATCAAAATCTCTAGTAGAAGCGAATAGTTCCCAGTCTGTAAGGTTGTTGATTTCATTTGCAAAGTATAAAACATTTGAGTTCGCTGTGCAATTAAAGTTGACTAGATCGGCGCATTTGTAATTTTTTTCAAAAAAATTTATAACAGATGTAGGTGTAAATCGACTGTATAAAATTGGAATAATTATATATTGGCTTGATACAAAAGAAAGCAAAAAAGCAGCCAGAAACCCCATCTTTTAATTTAATTTTGGCGATTCTTTTTATGAATAAATTACAAGAAATTTCATTGATATATCTATATCATTAAACTTCATAATTATATCATGATTTTACTTATTTTTAAATTATTTAATAGTTCCAAAATGGATAATTCAAAGAACATTTCAAAGCGGACAAATAATAAAAAATAATAGTAGACAATTCTATTAAGCCCTTGTATAATGCTTTGAATTAATTTCATAATGTTTCTGATAAGCCAAAAAATGATTTCACTAGCAAAAATTATAAATGTCCACGTTAAGTTCCTTTTGGTTCATCAGCACATTCAAGAAATTAAAGCAACAAATAGCAGCTTTATTTTTTATTTCTAAATGATCAAGCTGTTTACTAATTTCAATAAAAATAAATTATGATATTTCAAGCCTCAATGAACTAAGGATTAAAAGCATGGTTGCATCAATAGATCTGAAAGTTTCCATTTGAAGACTAAGTTAAGCTATGTTAGCATTATTGAAAATTCCCAACTATGCTGCGCTAGGAGCGAGATTTTTCACTTGCTTCATCTATTGACATCAATCAGGATATTCTAAACTGGTCTGACTGGTAATTTCTTAACTAAGTTTACGAACTCCTCTTAGCTGGGCTTGGTCTTAAGCTTGAACTTATAAAAGGTCTTAGCTTCTTGCCTATTTGAATAACAAACAAATTAAAATTTTTTGTGATAATTTAATAATTTCTTGATTTTATATTTGAGCGAATATTTCTGATTGATTCAATATAAAATTCTCTGCATTTCAGTATCCATGAAATGAAGATTCTTTATATTTCGACATTAATAATTTTTATAGAAGAATTAATCAAGATTGCAAGTTTGTTCTTTACTATCAGCGTCGCTCAAAGCTCAAAAATAAAGCTATAGCTAATATTTGAGAATTGTCAAATAATTAAAATATTAGTAAATCTCACTTATCAACTTTTCAGAAGCTTTACTATTATAAGTTATAATTGAATAACGAGAAACAGAATATTTAATAATCTAAAAGCATGCAAATTAATGATTGAAACAAGATATAATTATTATTTAGACATATATGAAGCATCAAATACATAGCTAAGCTTTTGTGCTTCATCATTAGACTTTTCTACATAGAAATATTTTGCTTCTCCTTCAATTCCAGCTTGAGAAGGAGTTTTCTTAGATAATTGAAACTTAAAGAGCCTCTTAATATCTTGGCCTTTTGCGCTAACCAGTAATGATGGAAGATACCTACTCTGATATAAAGTCCCTGCAGCGCCCAAGGATACTCAGCCAATCCCAAGAAGACATTGAGCAAGTATTAGATTAATCAAAGAAAAAGCGGTGCATATTCAGAGCCATAAGCATCCAGTCAAAAATATTGAGTACCACATAGAAGCTCTATGATAATTGTATGGCTTTCTCACAAATCATGTGCTTATTACAAGCCAAGATATTATTACTGTGCAGCATACATTTTCTGCAATTTCTGAAGCCGGCAAAAGGGTTGTGCGTAATATAACCAGTACAATTTGCCAAAAACTTTTACCAATTGAGTGGAGTGGCTGTTCTCTAAAATGAAAAACTATACTTTCAGTCTCATCTTGTCAAGTTGGCCTGAAATATAAGCTTGCTGGCAAATAAAATATCAGAATAACAGACGATAATATTACATATTCGAGATGCTTATCTTGTCAACAAAACACCTTGCAATCTAAATAGAAGTAACTGTCTTTGTATCCATCTCCAATGCTATCTGTGCATTGATAGGTCAGAAATAAAAACCTGAAAATAGGGAGGAATAGCACATCTCCTATAATTGGTAGACAGTATTTTCCTAGTTCGTCCAAAGCTTCAAAGAGAAGTAATTTACTATTTTCTCCAATTCGAAAAATTCGCTGTAAAAGCAATATAAGCCATAAAATAGCAATAATGTTCATTAATTTTATTTGGTGCCAAATATCTCACTTGCTATCTTCCGTTCAATTTCTTAAATCAAACATCGACAATTTGGTGAAAGTGGAGAGTTCAGGAAATAATTCACTAAAATCTGGTCCTAATGCTATATATTGTAAGGATTCTATTCCCATAGTAATATAAATTCAAGTATCAAGAATCGTTTCTTCCTCAACAGAATCAAGCATAGGAAACTCTCTTGTGCATAAAAAATCAAAATATTTATAAATAAAGCACACTCCAAAGATAAATGGGATTGAACCGATTCCAGCTAATAACAGGTATCCGTATAAAAATGACTTACTCTCACTTCCTTTGAACGGGCAGGGAAGATCAGCCCCCACAATATCGCTAGGCAATTTTCCATTATTTCAAGCATACCAAGTGATAGCATTAATAGACTGATACATAATTACATTGGAGGGGTCTCAGATTCCGCACAACTCCATCTCTCACGTTGAGTTGTTTTGGACTAAATTGTATATGCCAAATGCAATTGTGGACCTATCGGTTCCATTAGTATTGATTTTAATTTTTCCAGAGCATCCATTAAATTTGACATATCTTACTGCTTTATAAATTGAAGAATCTTTTAAATTAGCCCCTAGAGTAATCAAGAAATCTATTGCTAAAGCACCGAGATAGGTAGCATCAAAATAGAGACACATAAAATCATAAGCGAACCCATACATAATCAAAAGTTCTGTTTTTAAGCTTTCTCCAAAAGTCCCATGATATGATAAAAAACTAAAGTAAATTAGCCCTTCCATCAGCTCTTTCCTCTTTAAATATTTAACTGGACCGATTTGGGTTTCATTCAAGTCAGCTGGATTAACTGTGCCATCGCCTACAACAAGATAAATATCTCCTTTCCTAGCTCCTGAATCATAAAAAGCTTCAATAACAGCAAGAACATCAGGAGGGGCCACTTCCATAACGACATACCTTGATTTTAAACTTATGATTTCTTCAGCTATAGACTTATCTGTCCCATTATATCCGAGAGGCACAATTCTGTTATTATTCATGATTTCTATATTAAAAATTTTTGCCTGCTTCTCAAATTGATCTTTAAAATCGATACCTCAAGAAGTATTAGTGCACACAAATGAGCATTTTGAGATTCCAAATGATGTTAGCATCAAAATAGCATTTGAAGCAGTTAGTGTATTTGGATAGGAAACTCTAGCGTATTGTGGGTAGTATATACTATTACTCATACTACTTGTAGTTTGGATTCCTAAAATAGATGCTGTGATGTTTAAAGCATGAAAAACTGAGACTGTTCCTACAGCTATTGGTGCCTGCAGCCCAGGAAGAAAAAAGTAGCCAGTTTTTTGAGTGTATTTATTGAAGCAAGTATAGCTATAGTTGTAATCAAACACTGAAGCCCCACAATCAGAAATGTTTAAGGCAACTAGATTAAAATTTGACAATAACTGGTTATAATTTATATATTGTACTGCAAAAACAGATCCAGTTTGGAATATAGCGTTTTCCTCATATTTAGAGCCATCTGGGTTTGAGATTCCTCCATTAAAGCTGATAGGTAATTGTATTTTTGAGTTATCAGGTATGATAGAGGAATTTCCAGGAAAAATGTATGCTAATTTGATGTCTACTGAATCTTTGGTTATACTTCCAATATTAATTATCTGACCATTTTGAATGTTATTGATCCAAAATAAATAATCCTGGTCACTAATTGATTTGATTATAATTCCAAGATTATAAGTTGAATAGTAGCCCTGAATCTCGCTGATGTTTATAATTTCCATAACCCAACTCGCCAATTGGCCAAGAAGATACGAGAAATAATCTTCTAGGCTCTTTGGGACATATTCATGGCTTGATATAATCAACGAGCCTTCCAAATTTGCTTTTCAACCAGCTTGGTCAAGAAAAATAAAAACATATCCTTTCTTATTCATATCTGCATCTGAAATAGCTTTTTGCACCATAACTGATATCTCTGGATTTGTCGCAATTATATACCTTAGAACAGGTATGGCTTGACTTGAAACTCTCCCTCCCCCCACCCCCCCTGACGGTTTCAGTTTGAATGAAATTGTAATTCAAAATGACAAGTCCCTCACTAAGGATTTGACAAGTCAAATCCAATATGTAGATTTCAATAAAGCTGAAATAGTCAAGGTATGGAGTGAGGGGAGGGGAGTTCTTAAGTTGATCTTAAACCGTGCTTACGGTATAATGACTTTGATTCCAAGCGGTTTAATTTGCTTTGAAATTATAAGTTGAAGCGTTTCATACGTTATCAGTGATGGAATTGATGCCTGAAAAGCGATATTAATATTCCGAATTGATTTAAAATTCAAGTCTATGTATTCTTCTCCTAGTATTACAGCAATTTTTTGTCATCCAAAATAATCTACCAATGCCAACGCTGATTTTCTTATTAAAGTATAAGAATCCCTCAAAAAATAAACAAAGTCTATAGAAGCGTCAGGGTTGTTTAAATACACAAATTGGATAAATCCTACCTCTTTTGCATCATTACTTATTAAGGAGGTTAAAGTCAAAGAATAAGTTGCATCAAGAATAAAATCAAAATCTCTATTAGAAGCGAATAGTTCCCAGTCTGCAAGGTTGTTGATTTCATTTGCAAAGTATAAAACATTTGAGTTCATTGTGCAATTCAATGAGGCTAGATCGAGGCATTTGTAATTTTTTTCAAAAAAATTTATAACAGATGTAGGTGTAAATCGACTGTATAAAATTGGAACAATTATATATTGGCTTGATACAATAGAAAGCAGAAAAGCAGCCAGAAACCCCATCTTTTAATTTTAATTTTGGCGATTCTTTATATGAATAAATTACAACAAATTTTCATTGATGCATCTCTATCATTAGATTTTATAATTGTATCATGCTTTTATTTATTTTTAAATTATTTAATAGTTCCAAATTCAAAGAGGACAATAATAAAAAATAATAGTAGTCAAATTCTATCCAGCCCTAGTAATATTTTACTCTTTTTTAAACTTTAATTAAATAGAAATTCTTTGGATGTGCAATAATTACATATTGTAACAGCTTTATTCTTTACTTCTAAATAATCAAGCTGTTTACTAATTTCAATAAAAATAAATTATGATATTTCAAGCCTCAATTATTAAGTGATTAAAGGCATGGGTTTATCTATAGATCTGCAGGTCTCCATTTTAAGGTAGTGTAAGTTTTTAATTTAAATTATAATTATGTTCATTGTGCATAATATCATAGCAAAATGAGATTTAAAGAAAAATATTGGATAAATCAAGTCTAATCGGGATTCAATAACAAAATTTAAAATGATACCTATTTTAAATAGAAACACATTAATTCAATATTAGAAAATTCACTTCTAGCCAATGCGGTTTCAAATATAATTATAAATATTAGCTAGATTGAATTGTTCAAACATTAAATTTATTATATTTAAAAATATAAATAACTTTTAAATTATCCAAAAATCTAGCTATCTTTGCTGCAACTTGAATTAAATACTTCCAGATTCAAGTTACTTGAGTCAATAAGATTTTTACTTGACTGCATATTGTCTTCGCTCTGGAAATTATTCACTATAAAATTAAATCTTGTTCTATTGTTTGTTTCTTCATCATTTACAGAGCTTTGAGCATGCAAATATCTAACAGACTTAGAAATCCCAGCATCTTCGGGACTCATTGAAAATAGTTGAAACCTAAATAATTTGTGAATATTTTGAGCTTTTTCAGATTGTAAAAGAGAAGGAAGATACAATTTTTGATAAATGAGACCAGCAACTATAATGGCAGTTCACCCTACTCCAAGTAAAACTAATGCTAAGACTTTATCAAACTTTGCTAATGCACAGGAAACCCAAATTAAGAGACTGCAAATTAAAAATATAATATATCACAATGAAGCTCTATCATAGTTAAAAGGCCTTTTAAATATTGAAATAGCTATATATACCGATATTAACGCTATTCCAAGTCCTAAAAAGGTATCTTCTGATGCTGGACGAACAATTGTGTATAGAGAAATTAAAGCCATTTGGACAAAGCTCTTTAAAACACAATGAAATACAGTCTCTTGGAAATGAAAAGGATGGCTCTCTTTTCAAGTTGATCTAAAGTATAGGCTTGTAGGCATATATAAACAAATAGCTATTGAAGAGGTGATTACATAGCTAATATGCTTTCCTTGCCAGCAAAAAGTTGAGCAAGCATGGTCATTGAAACTGTCCTTAAAATTATCTCCAACACTACTAGTACACTGATATGTTTGAAATAAAAACGAGCATATAGGGAGGAAAAGCGCATCTCCAATTAGAGGTAAAAAATAAAGATTGAATTCATTGATCGTCATAATTATAAAACTTTTTGATTTTCGAACTATTCTGACTTTTCTTAATAATAAAAGAATGATCCATAAAAAAGACAGAGCTTCAAATAGCTCAACTTGGTTTCAAAATGTGAACTTATCTTCCTTGATCCAACCCCTAATCTCAAGGGATGAAAGCTTAGTAACATTAGATCATTTAGGGAAAAAATTTGTAAAATCAGGTCCTATCTGCATATATTGTAAACTTTCAATAAGCATAAGCAGATATGAAAGAATGTCATATAAATTCTCTTTTTCTGGAGACGTCAGCTTTTGAAGCCTTGACTCAAAAATATAATAGTAAAATCTTATCAAAACGCCAATTCCTAATATGAAGGGAATAACTTCTATAATTATCAATAGAATATATCCATAAAAAAATGATTGAATATCGATACTTCTGAATGGGCATTCTTGGCCGTCTCCAATAATGTCATTAGGAACTTCACCATCAGTTACTCAAGAAATAGTTTTAGTCATCTGAAGTACAATAAGTTGGCTTGGATCATAGAGCCCGCATGTATTAATTGTCCAGGTCGAGTTAATTTCTATTAAATTGTGGATTCCAAGATTTGTCGTTAATCTGTCACTATCATCTTGACTTATCCTCACTATTCCAGAGCAGCCAGTAAATTTGATGTCTCTAATTATTTTAACGATTGTAGAGCTATTAACATTAACTCCTTCATGTAATAAATAGTCAATTGCATAAATTCCAAGATACGCGGCATCATAGAATAAGCACATATAGTCATACGCAAAGCCATATAATGATAAAAACTCATTTTCAATAGCTAAGCCAGCTTGGTTTTGAAATGCTGGAAAGCTTATATAAATGAGATTATTCATGATTTCTGCTCTTTTTTTATATGAATTAGAGCCAATTCTTTGTTCATCTAAGTCTGATAAACTTATCATTCCATCTCCAACGATCAAATAAATATCACCTTTTCTCATCCCTAAATCATATAATGCTTCTATCACATATAAAATATCTGGCTGATAAATTTCCAATACAATATATCTGCTTTTGGCTTTGATCACTTCCTCTATAATATTGCTATTAGAGCTATTAAATCCTAAAGGAACAGCCATATTTTGATTCAAAATCTTTATGTTGTATGATTTCGCCTGATTTATAAATTGAGATTTGAAGTCTCTTCCTCATATTGAATCAGAATACAATAAAGAGCATTTTGATATACCATAAATACTCAATATAAGTGCAGCTGCAGATGCTGTATGTGAGTTTGGATAAGAGACTCTGATGTATTGAGGATAATACTTAAGATCATTCATAGTAGTTGATGTCTCTACTCCAATAACAGGAGTTGAAAGGTTAAGTGCTTCAAACAATTCAATCACTCCAAGGGCCATAGATGTTTCTAAAGCTGATATAGCTCATGCACCTTAATCGATCTCTATACCTCAGCAGAATACCGACCAGAAAAAAATACTGTAAATGACATCTGCATTATACAGTGCAAGTCTGATTAGGCACCTTAAAATCATAAACAGAGACTCGCCATTTTCGTTTTTACTTTTCAAAAAAGCTGACAAGTACAAATTAATTTTGGAAATTAAAATAGATGGCCAATAATAATCTAAAATATTTCAGGGATATATATGAAAATACCCGAATTCTAAAATATGATTTTCAAAGCATTCATGTGAAGAGTTATATATAAAATTGCTGCTTCCACAGTCAGAAATATTGTGAACAACAATATCAAAATTTTCTAACATTAACTTCTTAGTCTTTATCATATCAATTGTATAAGTAGCTCCTAACTGATTCATGAAATTTCATAATTAATTAAATAAGGCGTCTTAACTTGGGTCTGACATCCCTGCTAGGCAGTCTCGAGCCCTATTTAATATATCTGGCAAGATTTTGCCATATCAGAAATTGACAGCTATGCTAGGTAAGCAGTTCCAGCAGTGAGCGAAGCCTAGCCCTAGTCTATTCTCAGGTATGGATTTTACCTCATAGGAAGGAGAGCACGATAGTTGGAAAGAGGAAGCCCAGTAAGGTCCTTAAAACCAATTGGGTAAATCCCTAACATAAAACCTAAAATTACTCCTTAAGCTTTATATTTTTCCTTTTAGCCGAGAAATGGCCAGAAAATCCAGTTTTGGATTTTCCTAGCAGGCAGCCCATGTCGCACGCACATGGCCATCTTAGTCAGCAACACTGCACACTTCACAGAGGCACACCCTTGTGCAACAAAGCAGGCTGGCCCATCGGTGTGTGAGCCCGGTGTTGCAAAGATGCAGCGGGAAGCCCTGGTTTGGGCAACCCCCGTAAAGGATGTAGAACTTATAAATCTTAAGGTAATGTAATGATTAATGGCATTTCTTCCATCATCTGTTGATGATGCTCCATTTATGCTAAATGCAATCTGCACAACATCATTGTTTGGAACGTTATAAGTTCCTCCAGGAAACATAACAGGCGAATATATATTGATTCCATCTCCATTGATCTTCCCTACTGATATTAAGTTTCCACTTTGGACATTTCAAATTGTGAATCCTTGAGATTCATATGTGAACAATTGCCCTATGAATTGATCCAGTGTATATGGAGAGTATGATCCTTGAATACCATTAGTAGTGATCATTTCGTATATTCCTACAGAAGTCCAGTATATAATATGCTTTTTTGCCTTGAGTGGCGCGGTACGGGCGCCACTTCGGCAAGCTCCTTCTTCCAGTTGGCCAAGCCAACTCAGGTTGGTTCGGCCAACTAGAATTGACAAGTCTCCCCAAAAAGGCCTCACTTGTCAATTCTCCAGTTGGTCGAACCAACCTGAGTCGGCTCGGCCAACTGGAAGAAGGAGCTTGCCGAAGTGGGGCCCATACCGCGCCACTCAAGGCAAAAAGCTATATTATTTATGAAATCAAGAATTCCAGTGCTATGATATCATCGCGCTTCCAATGTAATTGCTCCTTCTAAATATGCACCTCAAGAAGCCTCTTGCATGAATATATATGTATAGCCTTCTTTATACATATCTGCTTCTACCAAAGCTTGCTGGAACATTTGAGCAACATGGGTGCTTGTTTCAAAGAAAATCCATTTTACTCCTAATGGCTTGATTTCCTTTGTTAATAGTGACACAACATATTCGTATGAAGCGGAATGTATAATTACATATTGGGCCACAATTTCAACACCCTCATCATTTGTGAAATCCATCCCGGTAAAATCGCTAGTTATTATAGCCACTGCTTTTTGAATATTATATTTTTTCGCAATAGATAAAGCAGCTTTTCTGTAAATAGAATACGAATAGTCTGAATAATAAACGTATTCTGAAGGATTTTCCGGAGCATTTCCATTAATAAATTGAATAAATCCATAAGTCCTTGCGTAGTAATTTATGAAAGTAGATATACCTAATTATAAAGAATTAAGGCATTCATAGTAAAACTAGCCATGATTCTATTAATATTTGAAGATAGTATTACAGCAACCAATAGAAATCTAGATATTACTGTAATTAGGTATATACTAGCTTCATGCCTTTAAAATCGAGAAATATATTTTTGCTTCCTCTTAAATGGCTAATTTTTTTATTAAAATCTATTATAATTTTAAAAAGATTGGCTTGAGATCTCCTATAACTACTAGTAATTATTTTATACCAAAATATTTTTATATTAAAGATTATTGCTCTAAAGTAGGATTAATTTTTTGCAAAAGGCCTTTTTCACTGACTTGTTTGTTCTTAAAATAGGGAGAGTAAGAGAGGTCGTCCCATCATAAACAAAAATGTAATCAGAATTTTCAAAAATGTTTTCAAAATCTGAGAAATCGTTGATCTCTATCGCTACATATTGAAATGGTGAATCTAAACTGCAGCCTGCTTCAGCGCCTGTTGAGCATACTAAATTGGCTTTAATATAGTCAACAATCCATCAAGGGGTATATTGGCTATATAAAATTGGAATTGTAACAAATTGGCTCGTAGAGAGCCATAAAAACAATGAAAGCAAAATAATCATTGAATTAGATTATAAAATGGGATTTTAAATGCATGAAAAAGAAAACTACATAATAAAAATTCGAGTATCAATTTTTGGCTTAAATTATATTTTATAGAGTCAAGGACAGATAATTTATTCTAATAAATATATATTACATGCTTGAACTTTAAATATGGATAAATAAGGTCTATAATAACGCAAAGGTATTTAAAAAACGTTTCGTCAGCTATTAAAAATTTAAAATTGAATTTCATGATTGTATATATAAGTATCTTATTTAAAGTAGGACATTTATATCTAAAAATAAATACTAGTTTTAATTTCATTTAATATGATGCTAATTTAGTTTTTGCATTTCATATATAAAAAGCGAAAATCTTTTATAATAAGGACTCTATTAGTGTGCTGTAAATATAGCAGATAGGCAGATGACAGGCAGTTGCGAGCGCAAGGAGGATAAAAATACCCATATGCGGCATAACTGGAGCTTCTTAATAAATTAATTTTAATGCTAATGCTAATAATCTCTAAGGTATAACTGCTTCCAATTAGGTTTTTTCAGACAAGAAATTAATCTATTCTATTCTTTTCAAGTTTCAATCTCTTTATCAATTGAGATTTAATAGGAAAATGCGCAAGTTATATATCTAGCCATTATATTAATTTTTATTGTTATAAACTTTATCTCATTTGAAAATTGCTAATATTATATATATCATATCTACTTTTAAAAATGTGCATTTGATAGACTATTAAATTATAGAAAAATTTAGCTACGCTATTACAACCTTAAATTATACCTTCAAAATTCAAATTACTTGAGTCAATAAAATTCTTGCTTGAGTGCATGTTGTCTTCACTTTGGAAATTATTTACCTTAAAATTGTATCTCGTTCTATTATTTGTTTCATCTTCATTTACAGAGCTTTGAGCATACAAATATCTAACGGACTTAGAAATCCCAGCATCTTCAGGACTCATTGCAAATAATTGAAACCTAAATAATTTGTGAATATTTTGAGCTTTTTCAGATAGCAAAAGAGAAGGAAGATACATTTTTTGATAAAAAAGCCCAGCAACTATAATGAAAGTCCACCCTACTCCAAGTAGGATCAATGCAAAAACTTCATCAAGCTTGGCTAATGCGCAAGAAACCCAAATTAATAGACTGCAAAATAAAAATATAATATATCACAGTGAGGCTCTATCATAATTGAAAGGCTTTTTGAATATTGAAATAGCTATATATACTGATAATAAACCTATTCCAAGTCCTAAAAAAGTATCCTCTGATGCTGGATGAACAATAGTATATATCGCAATTAAAACCATTTGCACAAAGCTTTTTAATACGCAATGGAATATTGACTCTTGAAAATGAAAAGGATGATCATCTTTCCAGGTTGATCTAAAGTACAAACTTGTTGGCATATATAAACAAACAGCTATTGAAGAGGCGATTACATAGCTAATATGCTCTCCTTGCCAGCAAAAAGTTGAGCAAGCATGATTATTGAAACTGTCTTTAAAATTGTTTCCAATACTGCTAGTGCATTGATATGTTTGAAAAAGAGTCAAGCATATAGGAAGAAATAGTGCATCTCCAACTAGAGGCAAAAAGTATAGATTGAATTCATTGATCGTCATAATTATAAAGTTTCTTGATTTTTGAACTATTCTTAATTTGCTCCATAACTGAAAAATAATTCATAAAAACGAGAGTGCTTCGAATAGCTGGACTTGATTTCAAAATGTGAACTTATCTTGCTTGTTTCAACCTCTGATGTCAAGGACTGAAAGCTTAGTTACGTTAGATCACTTAGGGAAAAAATTTGTAAAATCAGGTCCTATCTGCATGTACTGTAAACTTTCAATTAACATAAGCAGGTATGAAAGAATATCATATAAATTCTCTTTTTCTGGAGATGTTAGTTTCTGTAGCTTTGGCTCAAAAATATAATAGTAAAACCTTATCAATGCACCAACTCCAAATATGAAGGGAATAATTTCTATAATTATCAATAGAATATATCCATAAAAAAATGATTGAACATCGATACTTCTGAATGGGCATTCTTGACCATCTCCAATAATGTCATTAGGAACTTCACCATCAGTTACTCAAGAAATAGTTTTTGACATCTGAAGTACAATAAGTTGGCTTGGATCATAGCGTCCACATTGATTAATTGTCCAGGTCGAGTTAATTTCTATTAAATTGTGGATTCCAAGATTTGTCGTTAATCTGTCACTATCATCTTGACTTATCCTCACTATTCCAGAGCAGCCAGTAAATTTGATGTCTCTAATTATTTTAACGATTGTAGAGCTATTAACATTAACTCCTTCATGTAATAAATAGTCAATTGCATAAATTCCAAGATACGCGGCATCATAGAATAAGCACATATAGTCATACGCAAAGCCATATAATGATAAAAACTCATTTTCAATAGCTAAGCCAGCTTGGTTTTGAAATGCTGGAAAGCTTATATAAATGAGATTATTCATGATTTCTGCTCTTTTTTTATATGAATTAGAGCCAATTCTTTGTTCATCTAAGTCTGATAAACTTATCATTCCATCTCCAACGATCAAATAAATATCACCTTTTCTCATCCCTAAATCATAAAATGATTCTATCACATATAAAATATCTGGCTGATAAATTTCTAATACAACATATCTGCTTTTGGTTTTGATAACTTCTTTTATAATATTGCTATTAGAGCCATTAAATCCTAAGGGAACTGCCCTATTTTTGTTCAAAATTTGTATATTGTATGATTTTGTCTGATTTTCAAATTGATATTCAAAGTCTCTCCCTCATATCGAATCAGAGTATAGGAAAGAGCATTTTGAGATGCCAAAAATGCTTAATATTAGGGCAGCAGCAGATGCTGTGTGTGAATTTGGATAAGATACTCTAATATATTGAGGATAATACTTAAGATCATTCATAGTAGTTGATGTCTCTACTCCTAATACTGGAGTTGATAGATTTAGAGCTTTCAATATTTCAATCATTCCAAGAGCCATAGATGTCTCTATTGCTGATATATGAAAATATCCGAACTCAGAGATATGATTTGCAAAGCATTCGTATGAAGAGTTATAGACAAAATTACTACTTCCACAGTCAGAAATATTATTAGTAACTATATCAAAATTTTCCAGCTTTAATTTCTCTGTTTTGATGATATTAATTGCATAAGCAGCTCCTAACTGATTCATGGCATTTCTTCCATCATCTGTAGATGATGCTCCATTTATGCTGAAAGCGATCTGTAAATTATCATTATTTGGAAGATTATAAGTTCCTCCAGGAAACATAACAGGGGAATATATATTGAGTCCATCTCCATTGATCTTCCCTACAGCTGTTAAGTTTCCTTCACTTTGGGCATTTCAAATTGTGAATCCTTGAGCTTCAAAAGTGAACAATTGCCCTATGAATTTATCCAGTGTATATGGAGAGTAAGATCCTTGTATTTCGTTAGTAGTGATCATTTCGTATATCCCTACAGAAGTCCAATAGATAGCATTACTTGTAAATTCAAGAATTCCCCTACTATGATATCAGCGCGCTTCCAATGTAATCGCTCCTTCTAAAGATGCGCCTCAAGAAGCCTCTTGCATAAATAGATATGTATAGCCTTCTTTATACATATCTGCCTCTACCAAAGCTTTCTGAATCAATTCAGAGACGCGCGTGCTTGTTTCAAAGAAAATCCATTTTATTCCTAATGGTTTGATTTCTTTTGCTAATAGCTGCAAAATATATTCGTATGGAGCCGAATGTATAATTACGTATTGAGCTACAATTTCAACGCCTTCATTATTAGTAAAGTCCATCCCGGGAAAATCGCTAGTTATTATAGCCACTGCTTTTTGAATATTGTATTTTTTCGCTATAGATAAAGCTGCTTTTCTATAAGTTGAAAAGGGATAATCTGTATAGTAAACATATTCTGGAGTATTTTCTGGAGCATTTCCATAAACAACTTGAATAAATCCATAAGCCCTTGCGTAATAATTTATGAAAGAAGTCATACTGAGAGATTGGGTTCCATCGAAAACAAAAATATATCCAGAGTTTTCAAAAATGCTTTCAAAATCTGAAAAATCATTGATTTCTATCGCTACATATTGAAATGGAGAGTCTGAACTGCAGGCTGCTTCAGTGCCTGCTGAACATGCTATATTGGTCTTAATATAGTCAACAGCCCATGAAGGGGTATATCGACTATATAAAATAGGAATCGTAACAAACTGGCTTGCAGAAAGCCAACAAAGTATCGAAAGAAAAGCTATCATCGTTATTTGATTATAAAATGGGATTTTAAACAAAAGAAAAAAAAAAGGCTTTCATATTAAAATTTTGGTTTAAAATTTGTGCTAAGTTATTTTTTAACAAGTAAAACACAAAAGAATTATCCTGATTAAATTATATTTTAAGATATGAACTTTAAATATGGAGAATAAGAATAAAAATAACGCTAAAGTCTTTCGGCAATATTTAGTCAACTCTATATAAATATGCAAAAATGTTGATTTAATGATTGAGCATCAGGTTTAAAAATAAATAAATCCCACCTTTAAATTATTGCTTAGTGCTCCCTCAATTAATTTATTAATTAAATGTTCTTAAATAATAGATAAGGAATTGCCAATCCTAAGAATTGACTTAAAGTATAAAAATAATTTTTTTCATATGTCTTTCGCAATTTTATGATTACACTTTTACTAAATTTTATAATCAAGACATTTAATGGAAAAGTCAAAAACACAGCAGTTAATAAGTTCAAATGCCTGGTTTTTCAAGATTGGCTCATAGCAGCCTAAAGATACTTCAAACCTTAACATCTAGATCAAAGTAACTTTATTTGTCGAAGATATTGGCTTACAAGATTAAATCCTATATACTCATGTATATAGAAAAGAAATTTCTAGTGATTTATTTTTAAACTCCATCTTATTTTTTGGACGGAATTCCGTCTTTTTGTTACCAAAATGTTTCTCTTTTGCAAAAAAAATACTTCTTTATATAAAGTATCCCAGATTTATATTTCCAATCTTAAGACCTGTTGGCATTGGATTTTTCTCTTCTTTTCTACAGGATTAAACCAATTCCTAAATTTATTTAGCAATGAATCATTTCTCGCATTTTCTTTCAATTCTTTTTCTTTTCTTGAAATTCATTTATAAATGTTTTAAAGGGTTTTCTTCTGTTTTGCTCTTAATTTGAGCATTTTATCAAGAAATCTTTTTCTGAATTTAGCATCTATTCTTTCTGTGGCTAATCTATTACATCATGACTGCCTCTGCAAGTAATTCTTTTCCTTTTAACCATTAAGAAATTATTTTTTAAGCTCCATATATAATTTTAAATGGAGCCGATATAAAATATCTATGATTTTATGCATGAGACTTATTTTCTAGAGCAAAATAGCGTTATATTTCATACTTCTGTTGATTTTAGCTGCGATATTAAAAAGTATTATACTTTTGAAGCTGCATAATCTCATTCTTGCAGAAGCTGTTTAAATCCTAATTACGAGGCAAGAAGGAAAAATGGAACGAAAGAGGATCAGAAGCGAAATTTCTGCCTTGAAAATCAATCAAGGATATGCAATACCTAAGAGCTTTTATTAAAATGGAATCTAATAAAGATAGTTTATTTTGGAATGAACAGCATTTAGAGGAGGTGATGATTCTTCAAAAGATGGGTATAAAGATGTTAATTAAAAATAATGAAGAAATCTAACTCCCCCCCCCCCCTCCGTGAGCGAAAAAAAATTTTGTTCGCTCACGGAGGGGGGTTAATTTTTTTTTTTAAAAAAAAATTTATATATAAATTTTATAAAAAATATTTTTTTTCGAAATTTAAAAAAAATCCTAATTTGCAAAAATTGGGAAGCAAATATTAATTTAATTTGCAAAATTTATGTTTTAAAACGCAATTTGTTTAAAATTAAACAGAATTAGCTCTAGATTTCATTATACTAATTATCACTTATATATCAAAATTTTTTTCCATTAAAATTTTTTCTATTAAAAAAATTTTTGTTCACTCACGGAGGGTGGGTTTTTGGGTCAAAAAATGGCGATTTTTCTAATGGTTTTGTTCGCTCACACGAGGGGGGGGGGAGTAAGCAGAAATTGAAGCAGAAATCGAAGCAGAATTAGATCCAGAAGTGTTTTAGTAATTGATGCAGAAAATTGGAACAGAAATTGAAGTACAATTGACAGAAATTGAGGAGATATAGAAGTTGAAACTCAAGTTGAAGGAAGGGTTGGAAAAATCAGAAAGAAGCAAAGACGATGCTTAGCGAGAAGTATAGATCTAGCTGTGAAATATTATAAAGAGGTGTTCAAACCCAGAGCGAAAATCAAAAAAATCGAGGAGAGGAGAAAATAGCTCAGGCAAGCATGTCAAGGGGTGGCTAAGAAGTTTATAAGGACTTCTGGAGAGTTAAGAGTTCTGAATAAAATTGATTGATTATTATGGGCAAAGCTGATCTATTTCGCGGCTATAAGCGCAAGCCACTTTGATAAATAATTCACAACAATGGCTTGGTTTTAAATTATGCATATTGATTCTATTAAATATTTATAACGGCACAGATCACTACGAATAGGTTGCACTCTTTGTCTTTTATCAAACTGAGTAGAGAATTTCAAGGGTATTATATTTTGCAATTTACATAATAAAAGACGCTTTTTTAGAACTCGAATTAAGGAATCTTTAATTAATCCTTTATAGATGCCATAAAGATATAGAAACTCAGTAGCAAATCCAATATAAAATAAGTACTTTTCAATATTTATATAAAGTAAGCAGCCTTTAAGCTAAAAAAACTCAGGTGCAGGTCAAATGACCTTGCCTTTTTGATAGTGTCCATTTCACCGAAAATTTTTGATACTAGACATTTGACCGAAAAAAGCCGGTAATTTTCGGCCAAATGTCCGCACTAGCAAAAAATTTTCGACCAAATGGATGTTGATGAAATGTACACTGTCAAAAATCTGTAGTCATTTGACATGGAGCAAAAAAACTCATATAAAATAGTTATAAACATTAATCAAATTCGAAACATTCTATCTTTCTAAATTAAAAAGAGTCTGCATCAATCACTTATTACGTTTATTTATTGAGTAAATAAACATTTATCTTTCTTATTTATATTTTCTTTATGATTGCTAAAATGCATACAATTTAGTCTTTTTGATGTCCAAAACAGACAAACATAAATAAGCACACCTTCACTTTCACGCATTTTCTTTATGAATAAAATTGATTTCTTTTCAATTCTCTCTGCAATCATTTCATCTAAACTCAATGAATCTTCATACCTATAATTGTAAATAGCTTAACTTACCTTTTCCACTATGAAGCATTGTGGAATAAATATGAAGTGGGTCTTTTTGGTAGCCCTTTCGATAACTTTGTGCTCAGCAATGCCAAGGTTTCCCCGCATTCAGTACAAGATGCCTGAACAATTACCACCAAATTACGTCCAAAGTTGGTTCACAAGCTTTGTTGACCACTTTGGTTCAGGGATAGAGACATTCCAAATGCGATATTTTAGCAAGAATACCTATTGGACTAACAACACTCAAGCTCCAGGCCCAATTTTCTTTTACTGTGGAAATGAAGGAGCTATTGAAATGTTCATTGAGAACTCTGGCTGGATTGACCAACTTGCTTCTCAGATGGGTGCTGCAGTTGTCTATGCAGAGCATAGATACTTTGGACAGTCAATGCCTTTTGGAAATAGGTCATTTACCAGTCCACAAAACCTCAAGTATTTGTCTCCTCACCAAGCATTGGGCGACTATGCCTATCTATTGCAAAACCTTAAAATCATGTATTACGATGCACCAGTTATTGCTTGGGGTGGAAGTTATGGTGGGATGCTTGCTGCTTGGTTTCGTATGAAGTACCCTAACCTTGTTGTGGGAGCAATTGCTTCATCTGCTCCTATTTTCCATTTCATGGGAAGTGTGAACCCAGAAGAATTCAATGAAATTGTGACTAATGACTATGCGATGGTCGACACAAACTGTGTCCCTTACATTAAAACTGCTCATGACATCTTAGGAGTTTGGACCAGAAACAGTACCTTATGGTGGCAGCTACAGGAGATTTTCAATACTTGCACAGAAGTTATTACTTATAGCACTGCCAGCAATATTATCAATTGGATCGACAACGCTTTAACTTATATGGCGATGACTGATTATCCTTATGAAACCAACTTTTTGGAGCCAATGCCTGCAAACCCAGTAAACGTAGCTTGCAGCAAGTTCAATAATCTTGCTGATGATGCAACTGATGCAGAAATATTAGCAGCAATCAGAGACGCTGTCAATGTTTACTATAACTCTACAGGAAATAATACCTGCAATCTGGTGGACCAACAATATGATAATGGCCTTGGCGACAACGGCTGGGATTATTTAAGCTGCTCTACCTTAGTAATGCCTATCGGCAGCGATGGTGTACATGATATGTTCCTCCCTCAGCCTTTCAGCATTTCTGCAATTGACTCATATTGTTTACAGACCTGGGGAGTTGCTCCAGTCACTGATTATGCCAAAATTTTCTATGGATCAAGCACCAATCCACTTGGACCACTCAGATATGCGTCAAACATTTTATTCCCTAATGGAAGTCTGGATCCATGGCAGTCTGGAGGTGTTCTTGAATCAATCCATGCTAACAGCGTCATTGGCTTTATAATGCAAGGGGCTGCACATCACTTGGACTTAAGAACTCCAAACCCTAGTGATCCAGAAGATGTGGTTACAGCAAGAAACACTGAAAAGCAACTCATCAAATACTGGCTTGCGACCGCGAAATAATAGATAATCAATTTCTAGATAATCTCCATTTTAATATTGTAGCACTAATCTCATGCCAAATAATTTCGAGATAATAGGTTTCAGCTCAAGCTGAGCAGGGAAGTATATAAAATGATCTAAAAAGCTCTACCTCTGGAAGATTCGGCTTGGAATAGAAGTTCACATCCTTCAATTCTATGAAAGCAGAGTTTCGGGACGCAGACGTGCGTTTTTAAATGGGAAATTGGATATTTCAGCACGCAAAACTAGTCAGCTTGGACAATATCCATTACGAATAAGAAGTCATATGATTCTTATATTTGAGAGAAAAGACCATAGCTTTGATTTAAAATTTTTTGATGACTACTTTGGAGCTCTAAAAATTATCCCATTGCCTGAAAGCGATTTATTTATAAGCAAAGCCAGTAAGTGTAGTATCCAGGAGAGCAAGAAACTTTTTATGAGAAGTATTTCTGGATTTGGGGATGTTTCTCCATATGTGATGACTGATGATACATTAGAAAAAGAAAGCTATTTCAGTCAGAGCCACAACTTCAACTCTTATAGAGACAAAGTTGATGCTCTTTCGTTTGTGAATAAACCAAAAAGTCCTTTTAAAAAAGGAATGAAAGAAATAAATGATAATGATTTCATGGGCTTTATAAGGGGATGCGAAGCAATGAGTAGTGTAAGTAAACTTGAAAATGGAGAAAGGAGACTTCCAAGAGAAGCGTGCTCTATTCAGCGATCCAAGACCCCAACTCCATCCAGAAGATAGCAGTAAGATAGTGTTGCTGTTTGCTATAGCAAACTTTTGAATAATTTGATGATTAATAATCACTTATATACTTGCATTTTTTAAAAAAATTAGAAGATCTATGTTTAATTTAAGAGAAAATCATAAAGTTATAATTTATGTATTGCTATAAACACTTATTTAAAGCACATTTAGATACTTTAATCATCAGTGCCTATCAATTCTTTTTCAGTGGGTTTGGCCCTTCAAGTTCTTTCCAGATCCTTTTTTAGTTGATCTATTTTTCCTTGCTGCTCCTGAATAATTGCTCTTAATTCTTTTATTAATTCTTCCTCTTCTTTACTGCCACTTAGCCTTACGTTATGGGTCAATTTTGCTTCATCATTTTCTTCGTTGATAGTTTTCTCCATTTCCCTAAGACTTTTGGCTTTTTCGCCCATAGTCTCAATTTCCCTATTGATATCCTGAATTTCTTTTTCGCAGTTTCTGTTATCCTCTTGCACATTTTTTAATTGCCTATTAACAACATCAAGTTCTGCATTTAATTTTTCTATTTTTTCTCTTTTCTTTCTCTGTTGGCTGTTTTCATCAGACGGTGGAGCTCTTTTTTCATCAAGGATCCTCAGCAACCTTACATTTTCGTCTTGTTTTTCTGCCAACAAATTTCTCATCTCACCTAACCCTCCTTTCTCTTTCAAATACTGCCGAGCTTTATTTAACTCTTCTTGAACTTCTAAATAAACTTTGTCCAATTTACTGCTTTCCAGCTCTGCTTGCTCTATTTCCTTCTCTAAACTTTGATACTTTTCTAAAATTTCGTTTCTTTCTTCCTGAATGCTCTCAATTATCTTCAAATTCTCTTGAACTCTTATTTCTGAGTCCCTTTCTGTCTGGACCAGTTTTTCTTCGAGAATTTGCTTTTCCTTTAAATTGGAAGCCTTTTCAACGAGTTCTTTGTTCAATATAGACTGCTGCTTGAATTTCTCTTGTATGGCTCGGTTGATTTCTTGGTTAAAAGAATCAGATATTTGACTCTCCTTTGCTTTTTTATAACAATTGTTGCACATCCTCTGTGGATCTGGAAACTCAGGATGGTTGACTTTTTGTGGAGAACAGCCTGAGCAGACTCCTCGGTAGCAAAATCTGCACACATGCCTCTTCTCGTGCAAAATCCCGATTCCCATTCCGAATTTCTTTTTGCAAATAATGCAGCACTTGTCTTTTTTGTATCTCTCTCGGTCGTCTGGCAAATCTATGCGAGTGTCTATAATAGACATTCTCATATCCAGAAAAGAACCTGAAGTGCTCATACTGTCTATGTCGATATCTTCATCCATATTTCTAATTAAATCTCTAAGTTTGAATCGAAATAAATAAGTAAGAATCAATAATATTCTACCTCCTTTAATTAATGTGGTTATGGCGACGACTATATTTATTTTTATTTTATTATGCACATTTTTATAAGTTAAAATCTAAGCTAGAATTTATAAGAAACTTATATGAATTATTATAATTTTATTTTTATCAGTAAGACTCAAAGGATTCGTAAATATTTAGCTTATCTTTAAATCAACTATATAGTTTTCATGTATTGTTCATAAAATCTTAATATTTTATCATCCAATATAGTAATGGATAGAAAAACTCTTATCATCCTTGGCTTAATCGGAGCAGCTCTTCTTGTCACTGCAATTTTACTTGCAGTTTCCTTTGACAGTGTAGAATACACTGAATACGGCCTTGACTACTCCTCAATATCAAAATCTGTCGGCACATCTCCTTATCTTGGTGGAATTTACCTATTAGGGATCGGCCACAGCTTTATCAAGTTCCCAAGAACTGTGCTCACAATAGATTTTTCAAATGACGCAAAATCAGACCGCCCTCAAATTGAAAGCCGCACTTCTGATGGGCTTGAAGTCCTTCTTGAAATTTCTTTCCAATACGAGCTTATTTCTGCCAATCTATACGATCTCTATATGAACTACGAGCTTAAATATCAGTATGTAATTGAAAATATTGCAATTGATACCCTAACTGATCAAGCCACCAAATACACTGCCTATGACTTTTTCATGAACCGTGCTAAAATTGGCACAGAAATGCAGCAAGCACTGGACGCCCAATTAAGGAACAAGACTTACACCTCAGTACCATTTTTCCAGCTTCGTGACGTCGATTTGCCAGACGCTTTTGAATCAGCAATTCAGCTGTCTGAAGTGAAAAAGCAAGACATTCAGAAAGCTAATGCAGAAATGAATAAAATTAAAGTTGAAATAGAAACTAAGCTGCTTAAGGCAAATCTCAATAAAAGTGTGACAATTAATTTGGCTAATGGTGAGGCAGAAGCTATAAAGCAAAACAATGAAGCGGAGGTAAATGGGTTCAATGCAACTGAAATGGCTGCTATTTATGGATATCAAGCTCTTAAAGAGTCAACAAATATGACTAACCCAGATCTGTTGAACTATTTGAAAGCCAGCATTGTAGAGAACTATGATGGGGACAAGCTAGTCGTTTCTTTCAAAAAATAATTTTAGTTAATTTATTCCATATGGTCTATCAAGTTCTTAAATTTCAGCTTGTTTGCACCATAAAGTTCGTTTAGTGGATATACACGATTAGTCGATACTTGGAGAGGCTTGGGCACACGATTGTCTTGACGATTAAGTAAAGAGCTAGCTAAGGTTTTATAAGCCTTGACAAGAGAAGCTACTTGGTCTTCGCCTTCTTTAAGCTCGTTCAATTCGTTAATTGTTATGTTGTCTTTTTCTGTAGCATTTGCGTTTATTTTTTCAGTGAAATCAATAATTCCTTGCAGAGGCTCTTTAATTGATTTTGCAAGGAATTTAATCAAGCAATAAAATGGCATAGCGAACTAAATGCCTGCAGCTGGGGACATTGTGAACCAAAGGATGGCGTTCGATAATGTGCATCCGGCTAAGATTTATTTGGCTTGGTAGAGCGCAATGTCTGGCTTAGCAGACCTCATGCTCACATTTAGTCGGAAACGTTCTCCACCACGATGCAAGGTGTTCATCCTTGGCTTCGGATTTCCATTTTAGACAACAGGCTACTAGAAAAACTCGTTTTCGAATTTTCTGAAAGCCAAGCCTATCGGGTGTAAAGCATATAGTGAGTGCAAGCATTTTTCCATGAGGAGAGATGCAATGAAAGGCTGCTCTCAGACTGGCAAGCAAGTTGCGGAGCGTTATAGAGGTGAATATGGTTTGTTCGTCAGACCAGCAAGGAGGGTTTTTTTTTAAAATCTTAGTTAAGTTTGATTGATTTTGCAAGGAAATTAATCAAAATTAAAAGCACAGAAATAGTTATAACTGAACAAATCATAGTGACTCCTAATAAGACCATGCCATATTCTTGAATCTTTGCCTTGCTGTCCTCACTATAAGACATAATTTCGCTTTCTTTTACAAAAAGCATCACTAAATACCATCAGTCATCTCCAGCAACCTGAGTTTGAGCTACCACTGGATACGAGGCCACTTGATATATTTCATGATTAATTACAATATAATGGACTCCGTATGGATCCTTTTTCACTTCCTTCCAAAAGTCTGAATCAGACAGCTTATTCATATTAGTTATATTATTGCTTCACCAGCCCCTTCCCTGCGTTTTTAATATATCGCCATTATTATAAACCACACATGTTTCTCCGCTCTGCAAATATTTTACCAATGAGAGGCCTTCATATATAGCAATAACTGGCAAATCAACAACTAAAACTCCAATTTTATTATTGCCCGCATCATAAAGAGGCATCATTAACGAAATAATAGTATTTGAAGGGTTTCCGATATGGTCTGGGTACCCTGTTGTTCCAATACTAACTTCTCCATGCTCTATATAAGTGCTATATCATACAGTATCCATAGGATTATAATTTTTAGGCAATTGTGTGCCTGGAAATATCACTAGAAAATCAGCATTTTCAAAATATGCAATAAATCTTATTGCAATTTGATGTGTGAGCGCAAGGACAATTCACCAAATATCATTTAGCCTTGATATCTTTTTCAGCAAATTTCTATCAAAACTGTCACTCAAATTATAATAATTGCTGTATCGTAAGCAAACTCTTTGGTTTCCATAAACCGGAGGGTCTTTCACAAGACAGTTTTCAGGCAAATGTTGGTAATCAGTGATATTTGAAGATTCCAAAGAGTAAGCATTCTCATCAAAATCCATAGTCACTAGCATCTGCCTTATTAGCCCTCCCATAACTGAAACTTCTGTTAATTTTGAATATAAATAAGCTCCGGCTTCTCTGACAAGCCCATTCATATTGTCAACAGCCTGAGTTCCTTGTGTATTTTCGATTTTACTTACTGTATTTTCTTGTAAAAAATACAAATTGCTAAATCCTTCTAAATTAACGAGCATAAAATTTTTATTTCCTAACGAGAAATTAAAAATTAAAACTTATAGATGCTTGAGATTAAAAGATTTATTTATTTATAAAATTTATGCTTTAAGATGCAAAACAGTCTTAAAAGTTTAATATAATTTGCTTGAGAGTTTACTATAATATTCATTATTATAAATTATACAAAAATTTGCTTGCAGATTTTCTGACGCATTTGCTTGCTAGCCAAGTAGAGGAGTAAGCATAAGTGTGATAATCAATAAAAGTACAATAGCAATAGCCATTGCATAGCAGACCATCATTTGTCTTCGAATTGGTCAGGTCTTGGTAGCAGACATTACATCTCGTCAAAAAGTCTTAAAGCAAAAGAACATTTTAATTCAACAAATTTTACTCCCTTTACTTTGACTATATTTAATGTTAGTTTTCAAAAATTTCTTATCAAGTATCGCTGTAAGCATAGAAGTTAAATTAATTTGACTAAATAAATGATAAAGGCTTTGCTTCGGTAAACTATTAAAAGGAAAAAGATTATATTTTTGATTGAGAAAGATGGATTAATTGAAAAGCCCTCTCAAGGAAAAAGATAAATAATGATATAGATAAAGCAGCTTATAAGCGTATTATTTATTACCCCAGCCAGCTTTTTTATAATTAAAAGGCATGCGTGGTCTTGCTATAAACTCTTCAACATGAGCTAAACTTCTTACATTGTCCTTATAAGAACTAAAATTTTGAGAATTTTCAGCTAAAATTCCTGGGCACATTGTCTCAATTTGATCAAGCAATTCAAATAAGTAAAAATCTATTCACGTCGGATGGTCTCCAATTAAGAATCTTTTGCCTTCTAAAAACGATCCAATTCTTATCAGCGTCGGTTTTAAGCTTTCCCTACAAAGAGGTATAAGTGACAAAGCATCAGAACTAAGGCATGGCTTTGTTGCAGCTGTTTTCAGATCCTTAAGAACTCCTTGCATCATGACTACATGAGTTTCTTCCATCATATTATTTCCCAGATAGCTTGGACTATATTTTGCTGCAACATATTCAAGTATTGCGAATGTTTCAGATAATTTGATATCTTCATCGATCCAATAAGGCAAATTAGGGAATTCCATGCCCAGGGTTTCCTTGACATTAAGCCATTCACTTCTATCATAATCTGGAGCATCCCCTTGCTGATACATCATATCTTCAAAATCAACCTCCAGATGTCTCAGAAGCATCCTTATCGGCTCTGCATAACCCCTAAACGCCCAATACCCCAGGACAGGTCTTTGCATGCCTTATTATTATCATTTATATTAAATGTCAGGAGATATACAAGCATAAATTCCACTAAAAATTACACTCCCGGACCTCCTATTAATGTGATATGGGATTGATGGTCACAAGACACTTAATTCTCATGAGGAGTTGTCCCATATTTAATATTTGAATTGACTTTTAATTTTAATTTTCGATGATTTCCCTTGCTTTGCTTTCATTTGTGCAGAATAAGAGTTCAAAGTTTTGCTCTTTTGGACGGGCTGCTTGTCTTTCGGGGTAGGTGATAAATTAGTTTTTTTAATGATTGCAGGCGAAAACGTGCACTGCTTGAGCTCTTCCTCTTCTTTTTTAGCCTTCCATTCTTCTATCTGTTTTTCTCTGTCTTTTTTGAGCTGATCTGCGAGCTCATATAGATTCTTTTTGTGATGCATCGGCATTTGTTTGGATTTGTCATCGATTCTCGGCTTAAAAGTGCAATCCTCTGTGATTCTGTTGTCTGGAGGAGTCGCCACTCGATTTTTTTTCTCTTTGGTTTGCTCTAAAGCAATTTCGTAGTTTCTTTTTATGAAATCTTTAAAGTTCACTTGGGGTTTTGTCTGTTTGTTTTCTTCTGGGTTCGGCTGTGGGCTTGGTTTCTCTTTTTTCTTTGGAGTCGCCAGAGACCTGCCTTCTTTTTCCGCATACTTTACCATTAGGAGTGATTTTGGATCTAATTGCGGTTTAAACGAATATGCTTCTTCAAAGAATCTTTCTCTTTTTTCTTGTTTTTCCACTAAAAGCTTCCTGCCTTTTTCATATAAATTTTTAAAAATTACTTCAGCATCAGCTGTTGATAATTTATTTTTCCTCTTCGTTGAAGGTTGAGGAGTTTTGCTTGTTCGTGGAACTTTTGGTGAAGTTGGTAATTTAAATGTAACTTCTTCTATATCGAAATCTGGCATAAGGTCAGGAGTTCTTGAGTGTGGGTTGTCTGGAGAAAATGAAAACTCTTCTTCATCTAAAAAATCTAAAAATCTTTGATTCTCCGCTTTGGGAGGTTCAAGGACGAGAGGGTCTAATGTTGGGGATTTTGGAGATGATGAAGTAGGGGGAGGCGGAGGATTGATTGGGGCTGGAGATGCAAGGGGAGTAGATTTGAATAGGCCCAGAAGCTTTAGGGAATCCAGAGTGCTTGACATATTTTGTTTTTTGTAAAAATTATTGATATTTGAATTTAAGTGGAATTAATAGTGGCAAAATTATTAATAGGTAAAAGTTCTCATATAGCAGTAATTATTTAGAAGACACTCTTGCTGATCTTCTGCAGTTTGGACAATTTATTAATAGACACTCTCACCCTAATTTTAAGCAATCGCCAAGGATCTCGATGCATGAATATTGAAACGCTTTTTTAACTGTGTTCCACCAAAGGATGGCAGTGTCTCCTCCTCGCTTTTCGGCATCAGTGTTGAGTGGGCTGTCTTCGGATTATGCAGCCTTATCTACACAAAAATCTAAAAAAATGGAATTTCTGGTCGACTCTCAGCAAAAAGGAAAAACACAAGAATTGCTTACCCAGCATTGTTTTCGTCCATTTCTGGGATAGCAAAACCTTGCCTGATATACATTAAATATGTGTTTGGAGGAGCTGACCGCAAAGCTGAGATGCTATATTTAATTCTCGCAGTTTGGACAATCAGTTCGATGCTTTAGCCATCTCACGATACAGTCTTTGTGAAATACATGCCCACAAGGTAATTTAATACCTTCAGCACTAGCGCTTAAACAAATAGTGCACTCCCTCATTGTTTGTCCCCTGTAAGTTGGGAATCGTGCAATTTCTTCATCAGAGAGCCCGAAGGTTGACAGTTCTTCACAATCTCTCCATAAAAATTCTAATTCTCTTGAAGGGACATCATAATAAGGGCATTGCTCATAAGAAAGCCCTTGTCCTAATTATTTTTTACTTTGCAGATTGGAAACATGGTCTATGACTGCTTCATATTCATTTTCCCAGTCAATGAAATTTAGGTTATAAGATCCAGAACCTTTAATGGGCCGATTATCTGCATATTCATTGATTTCCCTTTTTCTATCTTCTCGGTGGTTTCTTCTTTCCATGCTCCTTTATATAATTTGCCATTTAAATAGCATTTTCACATATAATTAGATTATTGTACTTTATAATAAAATCCCTAAAATATCATTATAGGTCTAGTAATTTATAAAGCGCGAAAAAGAACAAATTCGAATCAAATCTGTATTAGTCTTGACTCTTTATCTTTATGATTCAGAACAATTTGCATATACCTGTTTTGCTATTTAAATTGAAGTATAATTGCTCGCAGCTTTGGTAAAGTTTAACAATGCCACACTGATGTAAATTTATTGATAATTTTATAAACATATAAAAATATTTATGCTGATATAAGGATCCCCCCTCATTTGTCCAATTTTCTAGTCAAAATTTTGATAGAAAAAAAATTTTCAGGACCTCAATTGTCTCATTTTCTAGTTTTTTAAAAGTAAAAATCTAAAATTAAGGACATTCGAAAAAATCCAAAAAAGACTAGAAAAATGGGACAAATCATTTTTGACTAGATTTTGGGACAAATGAGGTCCTTAAAAAAAAAATTTTCTTAAAAAAAAAAGACTAGAAAATTGGACAAATGAGGGGGAGATCCTAATTAACTCCCCCGTTTAAATTGGAACAAAATTTCTGCTCCAATTTAAAGAAGGTTAATTTTTTTAAAAATATAAATTGAGTATAATACTTCCAATTATAATTTATTTTTAAAAGAATTAGATTAAAGGGGGGATTAAGTGAGTTCTTTATAGTTTTATAGGGCATATATTAAATCCAGATTTAATTTTCATTTTAATACTTGAGATAATAAGCTTTTACAAGATTTCTATTAGAAGACTAATAAATAGTTAAAATTGTGGAAAATTGATAAATCTGCTTTTTATTAGGCCATTTATAAATGGAAAGTAACCTTCCTCTCCAAAGAAAGTGGGTCCTATGGGAGCAATGGGACCAAAACAAGCAAAGCAGCACTCAGCAATTCACAGATACTATGCAGCCAATCGGCGAATTTGACAATCTACACAGTTTTTGGCAGCATTGGAATTACCTCCCTCATGCAAAACCTACAGACCTTTTCACGAACCCAGTAACCAAAACAAAAGTCATCATTGAGCCTCTTAAGAAGAACATCGAAGCAATTGGAGTTTTTGAAAGCGGGATTCAGCCAGCATGGGAAGACCCATCCAATGCTGAAGGTTCTGACCTTACTATTAGGAGAAAGTTCGAGTTTGAAAGCCTAAACCACTTCTGGGACAGATTTGTCTTTGCAGTCATTGGCGAAACCTTCCCTTTCAGCGAAGAAGTCACAGGCTGCCGCATTGTAGAAAAAGTGAACGGAATTTACAAATTCGAACTATGATTAAAATTCAACGCAAGTGACCAAAGATTTACAGAAAAAACCAAGGAACTCAAAGAGCAGATGATTAATCTTGTGTTTTCCAATTTCAGCATAAATGATATCACCGTGAATTCTCATCGGAGCAGATAAGGTGTGTTCAACATAACTTACACCTCCCTATTAGTCAGCAAAAGATTTTGCTCGCATTAATTGATTCTATAAAAATGCTTTTTTGAATTTAAGAATCGCATTTCATAAAATCTTAAAATAAGCATTAGTAAAATTAATGTTTTAGAATGGAAGATATTTAATATTCAACAGAATTAGCTTAACATTTCATTATAATATATCATTAGATATTAAACTTTTTTGCTCACTCACTGAAACTTTCTAAAATAAAAGGATTTTCTAATAGTTTGTCCATTTACAAAGAAGGGAGTTAAAGTAATTATATTTGGTTCAATAAACCTGTGATTAAATAGCAAACAATTAAAATGGCAGAAGAAAATAAAACTAGTAAGGACGTGAAAGATGAGGGAAAAGGCCAAGAGCAGGAGCATGAAGAAGTTGACGAAGACGCAGAGCTTCGATCTATTTTTGTAGGGAATGTACATTTTCGAACCACAAAAGAAGAGCTGACTGAGTTTTTCAAAGAATGTGGCGAAATCAAGCGAATCACAATTTTGCAAGACAAATTTACAGGGCAGCCAAAAGGGTTTGCATATGTGGAGTTTGCTGATAAGGAGAGTGTCCAGTCAGCGTTGGCATATAATGATGCCACCTTTAACAGCAGACAGATAAAAGTCTTGCCAAAGCGCAAAAATCTCCCTCTAAAATACCCGCCAAGCCGATTTCACGCATATCCGAGACGAGGCCGATTTTTCAGCAGAGGCAGGTTCAGATACAGACCTTACTAGTGATAAAGCTAATTTATTATAAACAGAATGACTTAATTTTTATCCTTACTCTCCCCAAATGTGTTTTCTGTCATCTCAATTTCTCTTTTAGGGTGGCTTAATTGTGCATAATCATATTCTTGGGTCTTATTGAATTCTTCTATTGACCTCCTTTCAGGAGTATATAGCCATTCTAATAGAACTACATAGAGATTTAGTGCAGCTACATATACAAGCATAAGCTCTCCGTTCCGTGGAATAGACTGAAAAGCACCTATTCCAACCCCAAAAAAGGAAATCACCATCATGCAAAAATTTAGCTTGATGATAAATCTCTTCCTCGCTGTGAATTTTCTGATTGCAGGAATTGCTCTTATGCAGAGGTAGAGAATCCATATACCAATGATGCTTAAAAATGCAATCGCCGCGATATAGTTTTTGAAGTCTTTTAGATCATTATTGGACATCCATTTTAATTTTTTAAATTAATTTGTACTTGTCAGCTTTTTAGAAAAGTAAAAATAAAAATAATAAATCTTTGTCTATAGTTTTAAGATGCTATAAGACAAGTGTATTTTACCATATTTTTTCTGGTTGGTGTTCTGATAAGTATAGCGATCTATTATAGTGTATAAATTATAAATGCATTTCTATAGCTGGTTTTAAAATCGTTTTGCCAGTCGTAAGATGGATCATATTTTAGCTGCAAATGGACATAACAATACACAATGAATAAAAGAATAAAAAAGGCACCAACTAATATGGCCTCAGCGATAAAATAAATCCATTGATTTTTGAACTGCTTATAGCTTTGAAACTCTGCCATTCAGAAATAAAGTAAGCAGCCCACAAATTGTGTCGCACAAAATACAGAAATAAAGCTCCAAATGTGGTGTGGATAATCGATAGAGAATAATAATAAAGGTTCATTGAATAAAACTAAAGAAAGTCCAAGAATTGCTATACATCCTTATCCTCACCATAAGCAGCAAGAAAAACTAGTTGATCGGAGGAATCGGCTTGAATGATGGCATTTTGGTTAACGAAGAGCCATTTTCGTAAACCAAAAGGTTATTCTATAAGCCAGATTCCTCTCTTAAGAGAGTTTTTCTTGCTGTTTTTGGTGAGGTGAAGGCTGTATACCATTTTTGCGTCGAAATTTCATAAATATGATGGAATCTTTGAGGTCTGTAGCTCTTCCTCTTTTAAATTGGAATAAAATAAAAGTAAAATTTCCATTTTTTGGATACTTTAACATTTTTATTTTTCAATAAAAAATTTTATATGTAAAATTTTTATAAAATAGTTAAAAAAAAAATGTAACTTCTCCCCCTCTGTGAGTGAAAAAAACCATTCGAAAAATCCCTATTTTTTTGACCAAAAACCCGCCCTCCGTGAGTGAACAAAAATTTTTTTAATATATAAATGATAATTAGCATAATTAAATGTTGAGCTAATTCTGTTTAATTTTAAACGAATTGCTTTTTAAAACATAAATTTTGCAAATTGAATTAATATTTGCTTTCCAATTTTTGCGAATTAGGATTTTTTTAAATTTCGAAAAAAAGTATTTTTTTATAAAATTTATATATATAAATTTGTTTTAAAAAAAAAAAATAACCCCCATCGTGAGTGAACAAAATTTTTTTTGTTCACTCACGGAGGGGGGAGTAAGTAAAATATTATTTAAACATCTTTCACACTGAATCGATCAATTTTTTGAATTATTCTTCAAATGATTTAAAATTTAAAATATTAGTTTTTTAATTGTTAACGATTTATAAATAAATTAACCCTTTTAAACTGGAGCAGGATTTTGTTCCATTTTTAGAAGGGGAGCAAGAGAGAAAATAAACCAGAGATGACAGAGAAAATGCAAGAAATCATGATTTTATCATGAGTTGAAAGCGGGTGAATTTTGGTGAAATGTAGCCCAAGTCAAATTTAATATCTTCGGCAGCGATAGGGGAATAAACTTCTATTGACACATTATATATTTTGTAATTTAAGTATGGCTCATAGAAAATCATCAAGCTGTTACATTCTCCTTGCAAACAGTCTATTGTTTTGACACTTCTTGAGTCTATCACTGGATATTGAGCAGACTTCTTTCAATTTTTTCCTTTTAAAATTACTCGCAAATCCAAATCAAATTCAACATTTTCTTTTGTTTCTGGAGTTGCTGTCAGAAAAAGTACTTGATTATATGTACTCACACCTGAAATTACGCCACTCCATGTTTGCACATTTCCAGTATAATTGAAACAATTTGGATCATTATTGCCAGGCTCACAATCATCGACAATTACACTGGAGTAGTAAATCATTTGAGGAGTGGAAGTTGATGCAATTGCACATCCTAAAAAGACACATAAAAATAATGATATGTGCAATATCAGCTTTTTCTTAGATAGATACTCAAGTCTAAGCTTTATGAAATCTTCTGGTTCCATTATTTATAAAGGTAAATTATAATTATAAAACCATAGGAGATTAAAAAATAAATGAAGAGAGATTCTATTCTCATTAGATCATTCAATTATATTGGTGGTCACATTAGATTTTTGATACCGAGTAAAGCTACAAAGGCTTAAATATGGTTAAACAGATTTTAATTTTCATTAAAAATTTTCTCCAAATAAGTTGTAGAATAACCCCATAATAAAATGTTTTAGATATTTTGAAAAAGTAACTCTGATCAGCCAAGATTAAAATTTATTTTTGAGAGCATACTTTTATTTCTAGTTTGAATTTTAAACAATAGTGACTTTTAATGCAACTTGAAAATTTCACTTAATTAGTTAATTTCAAAATTTTATTCCGAGAATCTTATTAGAGATTGCTCTTATCCATTCCTAGAGCTTTAAGCGAACTAAATATTGAGATTGCTGGGAAGAACCAATTAATCTGGATGATATTTATTAAATTTATTTTTTGAAATTGAGCTATTAAAAAATTTTTGTGCTCAAAATTTAAACAATATTGAATTAGAAACTTAAAAAGATATCTAAAATTCTATAATATTTTAAAAATTAGTTGTGAATGCCAATTAGTGTTATTGCTGATGGAATAAATAGTCTAATATAAATATTTCTGCATTATTCTTTAAAATCTTACCAGTAATTTGTAACTCGAATTTATTAAATTTCTCTTAAATGGATTCTCTTGTGAACAGATGAAAATCTACAGTAGATGCACAGAAACAGCGGCAAAGATCACATTCTACCCAATCAAAAACTCACACGCAATCACCTGCAAGAGATTCCTTAAAAAGTTTAGAGAATTCTCATGACGATTCTTTTAATCATTCTAACTTTCCCAATCTCCATAAGCGAGCAAAACCATTAGAAAAACCTTTATTTTTTGACCAAAAGTCGTCTTCCTTGAGCAAAAAAAAATTTAATATAATTTTTTTTTCATAAAATATTTTGATATATAAGTGATATTCATTATAATGAAACCTCTAGCTAATTTTGTTTATTTTAAAAAATTGCATTTTAAAACATAAATTAAATTAATTTTTACTTTCCAATTTTTGTGAATTGGGATTTTTTTATTTTCGAAAAAAAAATTACGGTAAAATTTCTCTATTGTTTAAAAAATAATTAAATCTGAGGGGTAAGCAAAATCATTATCAAGATTACATAAAAGCTCAAGCTCAAAATATTATTGATATTCTTTCAATAAAAGGCCAAGATCCTCCTTCAAGTAATTTTTATTGCAGTTTCGTCTTTCAATAAAGTTTGCAATGTAATTGGAGATATTATCAAAAATGAACGATCAAAATACAATGAAGAAAATAACCCTGAGGCTGCTAGATTGCGTGAAATGAGAGAAAGCCAACGATGAAAATCAGAGTCTATTAATAAAACCGTTTCTGATTTAGAAGCACGCCTTTTTGAATCAGAGAGAGAAAAAATATTGCTTAAAAAAGAAAAAGAGGAATTAAAAACTAAAATTGGCGAGATAAATAAACAGCTAAGCTCAGCCTTAGTAACTCAGGAAATCGTTGGGGTTTTAAAAGAATCGTTTAGGACTGTAGAAAAATCAAATAAAGCACTGATTTCGAGTATTGATGCTATTAAATCTGCGCATAGAGAAAAAGAAAGAACATGGGAGCTGGAGATTGAACAGCTTAACAAAATTTTGGAACATCTTTATAAGGACGAATAATTTTTATAAAGTTAAATCACTAAAGAAAATCTTTATCTATTAAATTATTGATAAGTAAAGCAAAAAATCTTGAGAAGCATTCAACAATTTTTACTAATACTGAAATTTATCATTTACATTATAATAATTTAGCGATTGATTCACTGCCATTTTAATTAATCCTAATAATAATATTCCTCATGATTTCTTAATTAATGTTTAGAAAATAACTTTATTCTCCTTGTACTGACGCTCCATATTCAATATAAGCTAAATAATGGAAGAGTGCGAAACCCCAAGAGTCAAACGTCTTCCCAATTTCAATTCAAGATCACCTAGAAAATATGATGCTCTTTCCCAACTTCCTAAGCTCCCTAAAAATAGGAGCGTTTCTCCTCTATTAATATCAAAGCATATTAGAGACTCCTCAAGGGAATTGCAGACTCACGTTCAAAACTTTCAAATAACATGTATAAATTGCCAAGAACTCATAAATGTCAATAGTATAGAAAGCCACTCCAAAGAGTGCATAAAAGTTACAGAAAACGTTGCAAGTATTGACTCCAGCTCATTTCTGCAACAAACCACATTTAAGCTAGAAAAGCTTGAAAAATGTCTTGAAGATATAATTGCAACTAGAAATCTGAGGCCTGGAGATAAAAATTATTTATCAGTACTCATCAAGTTTTGTAATAAAATTGTAAAGTTTGATTATAATGAGTTTGAAGCATGTGAAGCTATAGTAAAAAATCTTGAAAACTTATTGATTTCTCATCAAGGCTCAAGCTCCTTAAAGATATACGCTGATAAGCTGTACTCGATCTCTAAAGATATGCTGGAAGCTATAAGAGAGTTAGCAATCCAGAAGAAAAAGCAAGAAATCGATAAAATGAGGTTTGAAGTCAAGTTGTATAAAGACCAGGCTGAAATGTTGCAAAATAAAATTAATAAAAGAGTTCCAGGTTTGAAAATCGCTGATATTTCAAAGCCATTGAAAACCGTTGAAAGTGAAATAAACTTAAGAAATCTTAACACTCCTACAACTAGTAATTCAGCTACTGAAGAAGCATCACCTTTACTTGAAGAGCACTCTGAAGAGAATCTTAGTGATAAATCTGATTTACAGAGATATTTTTATGCTCTATGCTTAGGATATAAGCTTAAGCTGTCAAAAAATTCTGAATCTAGGTATGTCTCAATTCAAAAACTATATAGCTCTGCAATTTCAAGTGCAGTACCTGCAGAGAAATGGAAGGACTGAATAGCTCATGAACTTTCCTCACCAGAAAAATGATTTGGAGATAAGCCTAAGAGCAGCAGAAGGTCACGAATGAGGACAGAAACTTCTCGAAGAGCAAAAGATTTTGAAGCGATAATTGAGGAAAGCTCAATCGACCTCTACTAATTTTCCATAAGTAAGTAATGGCTTGCTATTTAACTAATGATATTAGAATTAATCAAAAAGGGACTTAGGGACAGATTCAAATTTTCTGTTTCCACTTCCCCTTTGGCCCTGAAAAGCTTGCTCAATTGACTCTTCTTCGTGCTCGTAGCTCCCAAACTGAGCTCTCAATGAGCTTTCTTGTCCTTTAGGTGTGCTGCTTTCTGATGAGCTTTTTCCTAGGCCTCTGTTTTTTGGTGTTACTGGCTCTTTAACTTCTTCTAATTCATCATAATTATTTATTCTATCTGTAGCAGCTCCATCCATTTCCCATTGGATTTCAGGAGGTGTCGCAGCTCCTTGTTCATATCTTTGTATTTCTTGGACTGTTTCTCCAGTGCTGAGATGAAGTAAATTTTCAAAAGGATCTGGAGATGCATAATGGCTTTCTTTGGATTCTTCTTGGACTTTTGCATTGATGCTTTCTGTGCTTCCTATGTCAGATAATAGCTGCCTTTGGTTGCTACTCTGGGGGTACACTTCAATTATTGGCATAAAGTGGTCTGCAGGAGGGTCAGCTGGCACAGCTTGATTATGTGACAAAGTGATAACTTCAGAAATTGCCTCATTGTCTAATATAGTTTCTTCAATTTGTGTTTTCAAAGACTGGATTATTTCGTTTTTCTCATGTATCAGCTGGTAAAAATTGTCAACTTCTTGTCTCACACTCGCAATATCGCTCATTAATATTTCCTTTTGTTGCAGCAAAGGTGTAAGGCTATCAACAGAATTAACTTCTCTTACATTTAATTTTTCCAACAAACTCCCTCGCTGTTGTTCTAAGCTAACTCTTGCAGATTCACTATTTTTCTTAAGTTTTTGATATTCTTCCCACATTTCCTTTATGCTTTCATTGAATTTTTTCTTTTCTTTTGAAACTTCTTCTAGTCTTGCCCTTAGGCTTTTGGTTTCATTTGTTTTGCTTTCCAATACTTTTTCCAATGCTTCTATTTCTTGTAAGCTGGCTTGCTGCTCTTTTTCCTTTTCCTTTTTCCTAACTTCTAATCGGAGTTTTTCGAGCTCTTTTTCTAAGAGTCCAGCTTTGAGCTTTTCGTTTTCTATTTGAATGCTAGCGAGAACATGGCGTCTTCTGGCATCTAGAGTTTCTTTGCGTTTCTTCTTTATTTCTTCTTGGAGAGCTCTGATTTGGTCAGAACCTGCAGGGTCTGATTGCGAGATTTTTTCTCAGGATGAAAAAGATTGCTGGTCTGAAGGGATCTTGGGGTTTTCTGTATTAGATTTTGAAGGAATTCGGTCAGATTCTTTGCCAGAAAGCACGCTCATATTTATTATTGAGATGAAAATAGAGGAAAATGAAATTAAATTGAAGATGATATAGTTAAGTAAAACTAATTTTTATGCTATTTTGAGTAGATAAATAATGATAGATTGCTAACCAAAGGATAAAGCAAGTGATAAAAAGAAGACTGGCCCATATGATTATTTATATAAGAAATTCCAATTTATGAAGTTTTTCCAATTATTCAGACTATAGGGGTAGATTTATTAAGCTTAATTACAAATACCCTCTATATAATCCTCATCATGGAGGAAAACTTTACTTTTACTTATCTACCTGGCGCAGTTTTTAAGACTACTCAGACCAGAGAAATTCAAGATCTCCTAACTAAATGGGGATTAGCTCAATCAATGAATTTATGGAAGTTCAGATTTGATCATGCATTTAATGACTTGATGTCTGCATCATTTCTCAGTGATTTAGTAAATAGCCCAGACGTCGCCAATGTAGTTGCACCTATTCGAACTGCTAAGACAAGAGACAGCATTTCACAACTAAATTACACAGAGCTAAGGACAACACAGACTTCTATGGATTTTTTCAATTTTCTGGAAGCCAATAGATTTGCTGATCCTAGCGGGTACATCAGTAAAATTATTCCAGATTATTTTGAAGAAATAGAAATATGTGATAAAATAAGACAAGCAATTTTGATTGAAGAAAGCGAAAATTATGAGCTCCTTACTGAAAATATTCGAAATGAGTTTTTGTTTAGGATTTTTCAGCATATTACAATTGGAGGAGGAATTTGCCAATATGAAGATTATACAACTCCTTATATGGATGTTGTAAAATCCTTATATAAGGATTTAATTTCAGTGGGAAAAGACGAATCCGGGCAACTTAGGATTTCATCAAAAGCGTATCAGTTGAAGAATAGCCAAGAATTTAGACTATTTACTGCAGAGCACCCTCAAGACTTTCTTTATGTAATCGTAGACCAACAAAATAGGCATGTAAATCTGTGGTATCATAAGTGGCATGGAATATGGTAATTAACTACATTCAATATAAATTAATGTCATTTAGCTTTGTCTATCTCATGCTAAATTTTCGAATTATTTAGAGGAAAATTTAGTGATAAATTTAGGAAATTTTTACCATAATCTTTGCCAATAAGCATTCCATTACCAGTCATTTTCAGCAGTTAATAATGATGAAAATGATGCAGGAGTTGGTCTGATATTTAATTGCTGATCATAAAAAGCAGTAAAATGAATTTAAGCCTAAACTTAAAAGGAAAATTCCTGAATTACAATAATAGCATAAATAATAAATGAAAGTGCGATAATTTTATAAATATAGTTATGAGCCATAGACTTAACAATTTACCCTCTTCATATCAATTAGCAATCGGTTTGGTAAGACTCTATCTGCAAATTCTATCATAAAATTAATTCAGAATTATATATCTGAATAGCTATGATTGATTCGGTGCTAAGTATAAAACTCATTAAAAAGAGCAGTCTAATCGCTCAATGTTAAGGATGGCTGGGTGTTCTAAATTTTATAGTTCATCGATTTAGTTTCTGACTGCTCAGAGTTTGAATCTTTTTATAGAGATCAATTTACATACCTATTCTGATTCTATCGAATATATTAAAAATCACTTAAGATTATATTAAAAACAATCCTTTAAGCTACTACAAAAAAAAGCCCACAATTCCTATTGTAAAATGGATGACTGGGCTTAGTTTGCGTGCATTTTGAAAACCAAGTTTGTAACAGCTGCGCCAAAAATCTATCATTGTGTTAAAATATTACATTAATTTAGCAATTTCTTACTTAAGCTTCTGTTCTAAAGCCCTATTCCTTCCAGAAAAGTCTATAAACTTCTTAAGCATGCTTAATTTTTTTTGCTGGTTTCCTATCTTTTCTAAAAATAAGGCTTCTTTTGTTTCCGCAATTTCTATGTGTACTACGTTTTTACTTGATTTACTGTAAAATTGTCTTGTTGCTGCTCTGCCTTGCAAGCCATATTAGCTAGCAATTTTTCATAAATCAGTGAAGCCGATCAAATTATAAAACTTAAATATTCCCTTATAAATTAAAATCCCAATAACTGTCTTATATCTATACAGAAATATCTCTCTTTCATATCTAGAAAGTATATGAAAGACGTGGTGTTTAAATGTTCAGCAGAAGGCTGTCCCAGAACCTACACTAATAAATTCAACCTTAAGCGCCACATCGAGGCCTTTCATAGCGAAGACAAGAAGTACCAGTGCAAGTATTGCACGAAGATCCTCTCTTCAAAACAGAACTTGAGAGAGCACGCCTTCACCCATTCTGGCGAAAAACCTTATTTTTGTAAGGAAACAGGATGTGGCATGAGGTTCAGACAGGGGAGCCAACTTTCGGCCCATAAAAGAATTCATGCAGCAATTAAAAGCTATTCAGCTTGCAAACAGGAAGACAGCCCTATTGAGAAGCGGAGCATCAAGCTCTCAGAATATCTCGCAAGAAATCCTAGGATTTTAGATGAAAAATACGAAATTTTTGAGGAAAACTTGGAGAATTTTGACTTCAAATTGCCTCCAATTGCAGTCCCTCAGGAATTCGATCGTTTACCAAGTTATGTCCTTTATTAAAGTCTTTGTAAAAACTAATATAATCACTAGCATTGAAATTTTTGTCAAGTTAAACAACATAATTCAGTTAAATTTATTATTGTCAGAGCTTGATTTGTTTAAGTAGCTAATTTTTTCATAATAAAAAATTATTTATACTTTTTATAATTCAATAGAGAAGGGAATATATTTTGACAAAAATGGCCATTTACGTGAGATGATCATTTAATGCTTATTCTTTTAGGAACTGCTTGTAAAATTTCCTATGATTATTATTTAATTTTTTCAGTTTAGTACACGAAATTTAGATGATTTAGGAATAGATGAACTAATTACTATTTTAGTTCTCAATGCCTTGGGGGCCATTAAGCGCCTCTGCTATATATAGTTTTTATAAAGTATTTATAATTGAGCTCAAAATGCCTTTATATTAGAGGAAGCCTAATAACTTCCCCCAAGTCTTCATCGTTTAGAACCTTTTATCTAGTCTAGATAATCCATATTTGTTGGCTAGAATTTTATAAATTACAAATAAAAGATAATCTATCATAGCTATTAAACTTTAAGTTATGTCATCAGTTACTATAAACTTCCTAATTTTATATTTTTTTCTTATTCAAGAGCACAGTCTTTGATTAGCCTGGATATTAATAATTTATTTAAATCGTTAATAATAGGCTAGAAATATTGTTTGAAAAGAAATAAGCATGATAAAGTAAGTCCTTAATTTAAATAATATAGCCTGAGCACTAGTTTGTTCAAAGCTATGTCCAATCCTATTCATTATGAAAAAGGATTTGCCACCTAGGAGTTTTCAGGTTTATCTATGGAAAGCCAAAGCAAAGTGGGTATTCAGATATATATACAAAATCAACACTAAAATTTGAGTTCAAAATCAAAAAATTATGTATCTCATTTATTCAACATTAGGCTTTTATAAATGCTTTAGAAATAAAAATATTATGAGACCATTTTAAATTTTTTGATTCATAATTTTTATATTTATCCAAAAACATATGGCCAAGCCTGATGCAATTGCTATTTCCTATTCTATGCCAAGCTCATACCCAAATGACTTATTTACTCTCGTTTCAAAAGGAAAAATCTCTTCCCTTTATGATTCAATCAAAGAAATGGCTCCAAGTGAAATTTTATACCAACTCTCTCGTCAAGATCATGAAGGTAAAACTTTAATCCATTATTCTTGCTATCTTGATCTTGAAATTATTTCTCTCTATCTTGTCTCTTTAGGCTCAAACCTTACCAATGTTGATAGAAACGGTCAAAATTGCTTTCATGTCTTAGCTTTCAAAGGAAACTATAAGACCCTAAATACAATTTTAAACTTCGAATTGCACAAATTAAGAAAGAATCTTTATGATAGCATGAATTCTATGAAATGAGACTTTGGTATGGGAAATATAAATCTTTCAAATACAGCTGGCTGGATTTTAACTTCTAGCATCGATAGCGATCTAAAGATCAAGGCAAAAAAGCTCAAATATTCAGTAGAGCTTATCCAAAAGCTGCGTGATTATTTTTCACAAGTTGTGCAAATATACAATTCAGCTTTAAGCCAAGTTGATTCTAGAGGAAGAAATCCTTTGCATTATGCTGCATTATCGAAATTTACATGATGCCACAAAGTTGTAGAAAGTCTTCTTTCCCCTCATAAAGTTGAAAATTTCTCTGAGTTCCTTTTAAACTTTGATAGTTTAGAAAGGCTTAAAAATTCCCCATTCAAAATTGACCCCAAAAAGTATTTGAGTGTCCTTGACGAAGTCAAAAGCATAATAGGAAGCAATGAGTATAAAATTTGTTTTAAAGAATTCAAGGATGCATTGAAAACAGTTATTACAAATGCTATAAATTTAAAAGATAACAAAGCGAAAACTCCACTAAAAATTGCAACAATTTCTGGCGATTTTAAAATAGTGACAAAACTTGTAGACTTAAGAGCAGAGAAGCCACCAGAAGACACTCAAGCTTTATCTAATTTAAAATCTGCCAGCAGCAAGCTTGTGGCAAAATATTTATCTCTTCCAGAGCCCTCTACTATTACCGATAACATTGAAAGTTACAATGATTTGATAAGGTTTGGATACATCCCAGAAAACTCAAAAAGAAAACTTCTTTCAAAAAATATCAGCAAGAAATCCATAACAGAGAGAGGACCTCTACCTGCAGATATTATCAATCAGAAAGATCCAAATTTAATTGGATGAGATTTATACACTCCTTTACACTATGCTTGCATGCTTGGAAAACTATAGGGCTTTCCCTTAAATAGCCCGATAACGGGATGAAGCCAGCTAGTTATCGGGCTATTCAAGGGAAAGCCCTATAGAAGATACCATAGAACTCATAAACCAAGGCGCAGATGTTAATGCAGTCTCTGAATATTCGCTTACTCCTTTACATTTAGCCGCTCAGTTTAATAAATCAAATACAATAAAAGTTTTAATAGACAATGGGGCAATAAAAAACCAAAGAGACCAAAAAAATATGGCACCTCTTATGCTAGCTGCTAAATTTGGAGCTACAGATAGTTTAAAGTCATTACTAGGAAATGGGGCAGACCCTTATGAGATGGACGAGAAAAAATGAACATGCTTGCATTATGCGAGTTTTCATAATAAAGAAAAAATTGTAGCAGAGCTGATTAAATGAGACAGTGATGAAAACAAACTGCATTTAATAAAGAATTTGCATGGAAAAACAGCATTAGAGCTTACTTCCAACCCAAAAACAAAAGCAGCTTTTGATACCTTATGGATGGCTGCACATAAAGGAGACTTAGATTTGGCAAGAAAATTATTTAGAAAAGGCCATGATGTCAATGAGAGAACATTGCTTGAAAGGAATACTCCACTTATGAATGTAAATCATATTTAGGCAGTTAAAAACTCACAAGTAATGATGGTAAAATTGTTATTAGATCACGGTGCTGATATAGAAATTACTAATAAGGATCAGCTAACAGCTCTAGACTATGCAAAAGAAGTAGGACATCCACAAATAATTATGATACTTGAAGCCTATAAGTAGAATATTTAAATTCGTAATTTAAATTAAATTATATATCATTATTGCTTTGATTTATAAATTTCAAACAGTTTTTGGTGCTTTAATGAGAGCGATTTTATGATCTTTTCACTGAGTTCAGGCATAATTGAAGAAATTCGTACTAACTCCCCCCCCCCTCCGTGAGCGAACAAAAAAAAAAATTTTGTTCGCTCACGGAGGGGGGTTAATTTTTTTTTTTAAAAAAAATTTATATATAAATTTTATAAAAAATATTTTTTTCGAAATTTAAAAAAATCCTAATTTGCAAAAATTGGGAAGCAAATATTAATTTAATTTGCAAAATTTATGTTTTAAAACGCAATTTGTTTAAAATTAAACAGAATTAGCTCTAGATTTCATTATACTAATTATCACTTATATATCAAAATTTTTTTCCATTAAATTTTTTCTATTTAAAAAAATTTTTGTTCACTCACGGAGGGTGGGTTTTTGGTCAAAAAATGGCGATTTTTCTAATGGTTTTGTTCGCTCACGGAGGGGGGGGGGGAGTAAGCAGAAAATCATATTTCTTCTAACTTCAGGACTTTGATGCTCAAGAGATGCCACTGCTGTGCGTTTTAATGAATCTTCGTGCTCTGGCAGCTGGCTTTTATAGAGATCTAGGCATTTATTTAGTATAGAAATGAAAACAGCTTTATGAGGCTGCTGGGCGCTATCAATTGCGTGCAGAAAATTAGGGATTGTGTAATAACTTTGCATTATATTGCTAAGGCAGGCATCTAAAGAAGCCGTTAATTCTCGTACTTTGAAATTGTAGAGCGGGACAAGTGAATCAATAATTAGATCTTTGTAGCTCATTACATTTCGAGATTCGAAAAGAAGCTTATTAAGGACATTTACTTTAGCTGTTAGCTCTTCAATATTATTCGTTTTTAAAGAATCCAAAACGCTTTCAATACTTTCGTCTGTTATTGGCGAGTTTTGGATTTTTAGCTCATCATTGTTAAATTCTGTTGTCAGGATTTTAGGCTTTAGCTCGTCAAGTTTTAGCTTTGTTTGAGAAAGAAAACTAGGCTCACCATCAAAAGATTTAGATCGATTCGGAAATTTGGGTGTTTCAACAAAAACTTCTGTTTGTTTTGCTTCAAGTTGGAATTTTGGAGTATCAGTTATAAATTCCATTGGCTTTTCTAGGAACTGGAACTTTGATTCAGCGAGTTTTGTTCCATTAAAATTGATTCTTGACTCTTTTTGAATATTTTGAATTTGGGCTCTTATATTTTCTAATATCGACTCAGCCGGTCTATCATAATTTTCAGTCGGTGAGTCATATTCATCAGGCTGAGTTGCAGACTCAGGGTCTTTAATTGAATATGATAGCTGAAATCTAACCTTTTTAGTAGCTGTGTCTTCTGAAAAGTTGGTGTACACACTATTGTCTATTTCCGACTCATCAGCTGGGGCATCCATTCTTATAGAAGGAATTGACAATTTTTTTTTTGATTTTTCTTTTAAAAGTATTCCTGAAGAAATTGGAGATCTGTTTCTGTCACTATTTATTGAAAATTTCTTTTTTGAATGTGTAGGCAGGTTGCTTTCTATGTGTTCATAAGCTTCTCTATAATTTTCATAAAAAACTTTTACGAATTCTTCTAGCTGTAAATCTGGTAGATTAAGAGTTAGTATTTTCCTCACAATTTTAAAAAGTGTCATATAAAGTCCACTATTAGGTAAGCTTCCTATGCAGCCCAATAATAAATCATTGAATGTCTGGAAACCTTTTAGCTGAATCACAGGATTTCTATCTTCTAATAAATCTCCAATAAAGTCAATGAAAACCCAAGATTTCAATTTTTCATAAATTTTAGCCGCAGCTTTGAGTCCTGAATCTGAGGTTTGTTTATTACTGGATCGAATTGTGTCAGATAAAATACTAATAATTGGGTCTTTAATTTGGATTGAATTTGTGCCAATTGTTTCTATACCAAGAGTCAACAGTATTAAAACTTCTCTGCAAACTGCACTTTTTGGATCTTTGGCAGATACCCTTAAGATTTTTAACTCTTTTCTCTTTGGCTAGCAACCAAGATTTTCGTACTCTCTAAAATGATTTTATATTAAATTTTAAAAATTTATTTCAGCTTTTTAGATTTATAAACGTTTAAATTATATAAAATAAAATTTACGTTTTAGGATAAAACTTAATTTGGCTTGAGATTTTATTATTATAATGTTTAATTATTAGTTTTACCAAAGTACAAAATTTTAATTGTTTTTGCTCTATAATAATGCTAGAGTAAGAATTTTTTGAAGTGGTTAAAAAATCCTTCAATGTTTGAGCCTGCTCGTCAAATTGCTTGTTGCGCTTTTTTTAATGCTTTTATTTTAGACTGAGAGTCTGAGTTTGTTATTGATAATATACTAGAGGCTTGACTAAACGCTTCTGCAAGCATTATAGAAGAAAGAGGATCAATAGATTCCATTATTATAAAAGTCAAAAAAATTGTTTTATTATCTAGAACTTTTAATCTAAAAAATATTAAAAATAAGAATATTTCCCATCCCTTATGTTTATAATTCAAAAATTCCATCACTATTTAAAGGAAACAATTAGAGATATCCTTTGCGATGGATTGATTATCATCAATAACAATTACCTCTCCAATAAAAAGATAATTTTTATACGGAAAAAAATATAACTATAATTAAATATTGTGGAACACCAATTATATATGAGATGCTTCATAAGAGGTATTATAATTCAAATTGCTAGATGCTTCAGATCTTAGCCTTTCAACTAAATTAATTGATTTGTCACTCATATTGCTAGAGTAGCTTCTATGATGAAAACTTGGTGATTCTAGTGTCGAAAATCTCATAAGGCTTGGTGTTCTTGGAGGCGATTTCATATCAACTAAATCGCTTGTTTTATTTAGATATTGGTTGTTTTTTCTATCCTTTATTTCATCTAAGTTAATTTCTACTTGATAAAACTCTGAGCTAGCTTGCGAGCTTGATTTTTCAATTTCTTGAAGTAGATTACTACCTCTTGGATTGATTCTTCTTAAACTTTGCTCTCTCAGAGAGCTTTTAATCATATATTTTTCCTTCAATATTTCTTTTTCAATCCAACTTAATTTTCCTCCTAAATCAAACGCTAAAGTATGTTCTTTAAATCCATTGCTATCGTTTTCCTCTAATAAAAATCCTCTAAAATCGCTTCCAATCGGAGACACGCCACCAGGAGAGCTATCAAATTCAGTTATTTCTTCTTTTTCAGTGGTTTGAAAGCTTTGCTGTTGGAATTCATTAACAGGATTTAGTTCGCTCTTTTTATCATCATTTGCTTTTTTATCACAATCATGACAAAGAATAGACGTTTTCGATAAAGCAGATCCCATATTAAAATTAGTAAACTAAAATATCAGCGATGCAAAGGTTAAATTCAAAATTATTTAAATTTTATTATTGCAACTTAAGAAGGTAGAATGGTTTAAAAGTAGATAACCCTATTTATTCTAGTAAAATACTCTTAAAACGATAGGATTATTTTGTATATGAATGATTATAGATCAATTAAATAATATTGTTAAATGATTTCTTCTGAGGGGTTTGATTTTGCACTTAAGAGTTAATTGATTTATTTATGCATTGGCTCTTATAAGCTCTTTTTGGAGAATATTGAGTCAAATTAGCCATTAGAGCAAGTATAATTCAGTTCAATCATATATTTTTAAATTTTAGCAAAATACGAATTTTAATTGCATCATTCTCGAATTTTTTCCGTTTTAATGCAATTAATAAAATTAACACGAAAATGAAAAAGTTTTATTTGATGCAAAATTTCTCAGAATTTTTCGTAAAGATGTATTCAATTGAATTTAACTAATCACCAAGTAGTTAATTTGAAATTTGACTCATCGAATAAATCAGCAAAAATTCATAAGATGTGCGTTATAACATAATTTTAAATATTAGACTAAAATAAATAAGCTTAATTTGATTCCATTCTTTAATTTTATTTCAAGCTTATTAGCGTATAAATTATACAAACTATGAGCTATTCAAAGCAGAGGACATGCTTTAAGGTATAAAAATAATGATATTTTTTCTAGTAGAATATAACTCCCTTTTTGCTCAAATTCTATTTTAGCTTATTTTAATCAAGTAATGAATAAATATTCAGATCTATATCAAAGACCTTTAACCTCTTTCAGTTCAAGTAACTTCTTCAGTTCAACAAAATCACCCCTCACTAGTAGGGCTGCGCCAGTCGAATTCCAAAACTTCAATGAAGCATTGTCAAGTGACAAATTACTTGCAAACCAATTATTTTCAAAATCATGAGAAGCTCTTTACTCTCCGCGATCATCAGCCTATCAAGACACCCAGAGAAGTGGTAAATCTATTGATGACTCCCAGTATCAAATTTCTGTAAAATTTCCAGATCGACCTAAAACTTCTTCAATTAGTGGTCTTACCTTCCAAGAAAATGAACGAGTTATGAGCAGTTCCAGAACTTTGCTTACTTCAAGAGATAATGTTTCATTTCCATCAGTTTTCAGCTCAACTCAAAAACTGCCAGGCGAAAAAGATTTTAATCGGATTTTAAACAAAATCGAAATGATTGTTTCAAACAAATATCTTGGCAATAGAGGTGCAACTCTTAGAGAAGGCGAACCAATAGAAATTATGGCCGAACAATCTTCAATTAGCTTCTTAAAAGTTTACACTAAAGGGAAAAGATGCCCAATGAGGGTTCATATAAAAAAGTATAGAGGGAAGCTAATAGTTTATACGTCGAGACACAACCCTGAGCCTACTGAAAGTTTGCATGACGAAAGTTTTAAAGTTGACTCATTTGAAATTTCAGACCCAGGTCTAAAATTCAAAAACGAATACATGCATTTTGGAATCCAAACCCTTGAAGATTCCACATTTTCTATAGCAGTTAATTTCGGAAGACTGAAAATCTCTCTGAATAAAAAGAGAAAAACGGAAAGACAAGACACAGCAGTCGAATTAGAAAGCCTCAGAAAAAATGAAATGCTTCAATATGAACTTAACAAAAAAGTTGACAATGCAATCGCAAAGAGAAAATTTGAACAATTACAAAAATTAAGCGAAAAGGATTTTCTGAAAATGAATATGAATATTCTCCCACCGAATTCTCCACGTGTTGCACGAGAAAAAGCAATTTTTCAGAAGAAAATTGAAGAGAGAAGAAAAATAGCAAAAGTGCGAAATAAATTATCAATTCAAGAAAAACAGCAAAGAGCTGTTAATGTTGTAAATAAAAAACTGCTAAGAGCAGAAGAAGAGAGGCAGGAAAGAATAAAACGAGAAGAATTTATTTTATTGCAAAAGGAGCAACAAGAGTGGTTTATTGTAATTAATCTTGCGCTTTCAATGGTTTCTATTAGGGAAAGATGGCTTTCAAAACGGAAAGAGAAATTAGATAATTTTAAAAAAAGCATGGCGGCTAGAAAAATTCAAAGTTTTTTCCGAAAACGTAACAAAAATAATACAATCTCAGACCTTTGTATAAATCGAGCTAAAGACGCTCTTATTTTCTATATTAACCATATAAAACCAATACAAATGAGTAAATTTAGACATCAAATATCAAAATGTATCTATGAGAGTGCAAGAAATCATACTTTGCCTCATCATTTTTCAGCATTTACACAGGGCATTTTTAATGTTCAAAAAGTATGACGTGAGTATAATACGAAAAATAAAGAACGATGGGAAGAATTGACATCACTTTGGAATCAAACACTTGAAAAGAAAATTCTTGATTTAAACAAAACAAAACCAGCAAAAGGGAAAAAAAGAAGAGACGAATCTTCAAAATATCTAAAAATTTCTGCCATAGCAAGAAATCATGTGCTAACTGAATATTTTAGAGATTGCAAGAGAAGCTTTAGAGAAAAAATCAGAAAGTTTATAGAGCTTAGAAAAATGCATAAAGTAATTAGGCAGTGATCATCAAAATATTTGAGAAATGATGACCTTGGACTAGATCAAGAAAATCTAATCTTCACATTCATGCCAGATGAATCAAACATGCTTCTGCTTATTGAAAAAGCTATTGAAATTGCTATTAATTAATATTAGTCATTTAGATAAATTATAGATGTTTAGCATAAGATAAAAAGATATTTCGAATATTAATATTGGCAAGAAATATGAACAATTATTTAATACAATCAGCAAAATTTCTATCCTTTGATATTTCCTTCACTTTGATCAAGAATTCTTAAGCATGCAGGAATCCTCAATTTTTTATTTTCCAAATAAGTTTTATACTTTTGAACAGCTGGCAAGGTCACAAGTTGCGCTTGGGCTTTTTCATGCCTAATATCTAAATCAGTAGCCAGCTCTTTTTTTTCTTTTGCATAGAGATTAAATTTTTTCTTCCTCATATGTAGATTATAATACAAGTTTTTAATCCTTTCTTCTTCATCCTGTACCTTGGCTGTTGAAATATTTGCTAACTTTTCCCAGTTCCTGGGTGAGATATATCAAGGGCTTTTATAGGATTTTTTAAAGTCAAGTTTTCGGGTTGTGCAGCTAAGTTCAGAAGAATGATTATGGGCTAAAGATGATGCTTCAAATGGCTGAGTATTTTCGAATGAGCTCATATCATTAGTTCGTTTCGAAACTTGAGACTTGACTATTCCTCTTTTTTGATACCCTAATTTAGTTTTCTGAGATTTTGACTTGAAATCAGTATCAATTTGGTGAGATCTTTTTTCTATAGATTCAAGAGCTGCCTTTGGACTCAGATCATTTAAACACTTTAACTGCGTTTCGTCATCAGTGACCCAAAACCATTGAGTGCCAAAGTGCCTCATTATACTTCCATTAGATTTCGACATTAAAATTAGAACTTATATTCTCATTATTTTTTTGCAAAAGAATTTTGTTTCAATTTCAAAAATTATTGCTTAAAAAATCTTAAAGAAGACGTCGGCGTCTTCTGAAGCCTATTAACAAGATTATTTTCTTGATCCTTAGTCAGCCGTTTGTGCTTGGTCGACTCTGTTTTTTGTGCTGACATTAAAGCCTCTAGATTTTCCAGCTTTGGATCTTCTATATGCATCTTATATTTATCTTTTGATCTATCTATATCAGCTGGAGAGCCATTACGACTTCCTATTCATTCTTGTGAAAATTTTAAATTTAGTTGTTTTTGTGAGCAGTTTCGTGCTATTGAAAATGGAGTTGTCGGACTCATCGGGCTCTTCATTCTAGGAGTCCCAACTGGTGAAACTCTTGTTGATCTTATAATATTTGTATTGCTATGAATTGAAGCTATATCAATTTTCTTTACTTTCTGTGGCTCATTTGAAGCAGTGGTTTTCAGCTTTTTTAACGTAGAGTACAAGCTTTCTTTATGACTTTGCTCATGCTTTACAGATTTTTTTTCTTCGGGTTCTTTGTGATTTTCATGGCTTGGCTTTCTCGACTTTTGGCTTGGATTTTTCGAGAGTGCTTGCTTGGCTGCAGTGGCGATATCGCATAGATATTTACTATTATCAGCACTGAGTTCTCGTTTACTTTCTTTCATAACAGATAGCTTTTTTGAAACTAAAGGTTGATTTATAGATGCATTGCTGTTAGAAAAACTCATAGAGTTGTTTGAGCTTTGGCCATATTCAAGAGAAGTAGTAAGGTCATTGATCTTAGTTCCGTTAAATTTATGATATACATTTTTTAAATTTTTAGTAAAGAGCAATCTATTAAAGTAAAAAGATTAATTTTTATAAGACATTAGAATAATATTTTTAGCATTTCAAATAGAATTTTTAATATAATAGAAAAAATCTGCCCTATTCTCTCACAATTTTTTATCAAATTAAAATAATTAATTTCGATATAATCATTAATGATATCAAAACCAAAATTAGAACACTTTTAAATAAATTATTAGCCATACCCCAATGAGGGAAAATGAAGGAGAGTTAGAGATAAAATCACCTCGCTTTAAAGATTTAATTCTCTCACGCTCATCATGATAATTGATAAGTCTTATGGGCTTCCAATGTGCTGTAGGACTTTTTGGAGATAATTCTCTAGCTATAGATTGTGTAGTTGCTTTATTATCCATTTTTTATATGAAATTAATAAGTGAGACCAATCAAATAAATCTGTTTTATTATTGATTAAATTAAACAATTTAAGAGAGCCAGCTAATAATTTTTTTAAATTCTAAAATGGTATTGCATTCTTATATATGTAAGAAATATTTATTCAGCACCAAGATTTAACAGTACAATAAAACATAAATTTTATACAATTATTGCTCAGAAAAAGACCATTGAAAAAGTTGCAAGTTTAAATTACCTTTGCATGTTATTAATTTACCATTTTTTATATACTGATGAGATCTATACATGAAGCTTATTCCAAGAGTTTAGCATCCTTGAGCGACTCCCAAAGAAGAAACATGAGAATGAAAGTATATCACGAAACTATTGAGATCGTCCGACAAGGTAGATACCCCTTACCATCAGGTATTTTTGTAGATCTAATCAAAGATCAAGACAGAGAAGCATTACAAAGAAACATGCAAATCAGCCACCCTTCAGATCTAACTCTTCCTCCATTTCAAATGACAAATACAAGAGTAATTGTTTATGATGGAGACTGCATAGAAGCAGGAATTCAGATGAAAAGGCTTGGCTTTAACCCTGTGATTCTTAATATGGCCAATACAAGAACTCCAGGCGGTGGTGTCACATCTGGTGCAGGCGCCCAAGAAGAAAGTATTTTTAGAAGAACTAATTATTTCCAGCATTTGAAGGACAATCTTGCTGTTAGATATCCTATTAGTCTAACTGGCGCAGTCTATTCCCCAGATGTTGTAGTCTTCCGTGATACAGAAGCAAGCCAATACAGCCTATTTGAAGAGCCTATCAACTTAAGTTTTATTGCATGTGCAGCCTTAAGAAACCCAGACTTAGCAAATCAGCATTATAAGCCGAAAGACCTTGAAACAATGAGACACAAAATAAGGGCTATTTATTCACTTTCTGCGGCAAATATGCATAATTGCTTAATTTTAAGTGCCTTTGGATGTGGAGCATATAAAAATCCACCTATAGAAGTGGCAAGGTTGTTTAGAGAACAGCTGGAAACGTCTGAATTTCAAGGAAGATTTGAAAGGGTTATTTTTGCAATTTTTAACGACCATAACTCACAGAGGCAGCATAACCCACAAGGCAATATAAAGCCTTTCAGCGATATTTTCGAGACACCAATTGTCGATTTAAATCAATTAAATTAATATGTCTACTGGGTTATTACTCTGAGCCAGATTGAACTTTAAAAAAAAATTTATTTTTTATTTATATATTTCACCATAATTATTGATGTTATTTGCTCAGGCAGACTATATTAAATTAAAGATCCTCAAGCTCATCAACCTTAACCTTTGTTTCAGGTTTCCAGTAGTTAAAATCGCTATATTCATCTCTTTCTCTGTTGTTTTTCTCGAATAGTTCATTTGCTTCTATCTCTTTCGCAGGCTCTTTAGCTTCTTCTTCTTGTTCTTTATTTTCTGTCTCTTCTACATTTGAAGTAGCGCTTTCTGGCAAGTCATAGTCTTGTTCACTGCTAAATCTAGACCTTGTTTCAGCTGGTTTCCCTCCTAATTCAAGGCAATCTAATCTGTTTTGAGGTACCAAGAAATCATTAACAAAGTTTTTCCATTCGTCTAATTTTGCCAAAAAATTATCAACGGTAGTACATGAGGAGTTTTCAATGACTATGTTCCCTATTTTTGTAGCAAAACCTAAATGACCTTTGCGGATATCACATCTTTGGTTAGAAATTATTTGGAATTGGCTTAGTTCATAGAGTTTGTGTGGGAGTTGGGCTTGAGATAATAGCTAAATAAAAATTACTGTGAGTTTTAAGGAATCTGATTTGCTTTCAAGGATTGACGCAATGAATTTGCAGTAAGCTTGATGCAAAAATGAATTCCAAAAGCTTTGGAACATTAAGTCCTGTGTAAATTTTACGGTGGAAATTTGAATAATCTGTGACTCGGCAAGAATTGTATTGAATCTTTGGCTAGGAATTTTAATTGCTGCAGCCAAAATTTCTATCATTCTGATTTTTCCTTCACCCACAATTGGGATTTCTTCATTAAATGTAGTCTTTATAGTCCCTTCAGGGTTTTTTAAAGTGCTTTCAATCTGTTCGGTATGTTTATAGCGTCTCCATGCTTTTAGCCCCTCTTGTCCCGATGTCTTTCGAGACAATCGGGGATTGGTTTTTACCTGCTTATGCTGGAGAAATCAACCCTCAAAGCGGCAGATCCTCAAGATAGTGTAGATTTAACACTTTATGGGTGGCTTCACCAACATAAGCTGGCCAAACCAACTCTCCAATTGTTCTCGGGAGACATCGGGACAAGAGGAGGCTAAAAGCATGGAGACGCTATAATCATTTCTACAATTATTTTTTGATCTTCTTCATCAATAATTCTGCTGTCATCATCGCTATGCTCAGGATCAGGGATGTCCACATTATTAATCAAACTACACAATAGCTTCGTGGCTTCTTTCTTCACTATTAAATTCCCTTCAAAAACTTGTTTAAACACATACTCTATGCACTGATCTCCTAGCAAGTGTCCAAAAATATACCCCCAGTTCTTTATTTCTATTTTTTTCGACAGTAGCTCTATCAACAAATTGCTTGCATTGAATACAGTTTCTACTGAATTCTCAGGAGAAATGCAAAACAAAATTTTTTCTATTAAACTAAACAGGTCATCTTGAAACTCAGTGCTTCCGTATTCTTCACAAGATAAAAGCCTTCCTATCAGGTCTGCTACACTTTTGCTATAAAAATGTCTGATTGCCAAGTCGATTCGGTCTTCATCATGCAGAAATCTGAGTACTTCATAAGCTTTTGTTGATAATAAAGATTGAAAAACCTTGCAAACATAGCCTAAGGAAGTAATATTACGTCCTTCTTGGCTGCTTAAGTAATTATAAAGTCTTTCCAAAAGTGAATTTTCATTTACTATTCTGTTGTTGATTTCTGGGCACCCACAAGCTAGCAGCTCACAAGCAGTGTAAGGATATTTGTATCTGAGTTTGGCGTCAAGATGTTCAGGAGGTTCGACAATCATGTAGTCTATCAAAATTTCAATTTTCGCATTATCAAGAAAATCCAAGAATTTTTTATTTGAGAACTTGAGCTCTGAGACAGCGTCGTCATCGCAGTCCATTACTGCTTCCAGAGTTAAGCCTTCCTTATCGAAGATTTTGTCAAATACAGGTGGACTTTGACGGAACCTTGCTCTTCCAAAACCCATCACCATATCCTATATTTATTTGAGATAATTATGCATAAATATATTATGAAATTTAATCTATTTTACAAAAAAATTAGAAAATTTGCAAATAATAGTGATTGCTAAAAATTTTTATTCAGCATATTTATTATTAAAGTTAACACAGGAGCTTTGATATCAATCAATTCAGCTCTGATTGAAAATAAACAATTTAAAGAAAAGCTGCCATTATATGGTAACAATAAAATAATTAAAATGGATTAAAAGAAATATTTTTAGTACCCTGCGACCATTTGACAGCCTCTTTTCATATTTTTAACCCAATCTAATGGAGCTCTTGAAGCCATGCTGTTAACAATGCTTTTTGGAACCAGTCCTTTTACATCATTTTGAGAAATAATGGTGACTGTGCAGCTTCTTGCAGTTTTTGGCCGAAGAATATATAGAACTTTCTCTTCAATAGCGCGATGAGGCGTGCTTCCTGGTTTGACTAAAAGGTCTTTGGAACATGAAAATTTGATGTTCCTTCTTTGTAAGAGAGTCATACAGTGAAAAAATAAGAGTTTCTGGCTGATCAATCTCGAGAACTTAAAGAGAGGCTATTTGCAAATTTACACTTTTGGTTCGTCAAATGGATCTGGCGAGGCAATTCTGGACGGTACTTGAAATTATAAATGATAGTTGCCAGAATTTTATCAATTTTCTGATGGCAAGTATGATCAGAATTTTAATAAATGGCACAGGATCAGACAGCCCACTTAAAAAATATTGTTAAAATTAAAGTCCCATTTTATAAAAGATATAATAAATTTTGAAAAATTATTATTTTATTTTATAAAATTTTTTTTTATAAAAAATTTATTTATATTGATATAATTATTTTAAAATTTTAACATTTGAAAAAAATTTAAAAATAATACTATAAGAATAAAATTTTAATATCATTAGTAAAGTTCTTAAAGAGCAACAAGCGCTTAGCACAAACTTTGGCTTTTATAAAGCATTTAATCATAATTAAATTGGCATCATTTGTTTAGAAATCTATCCTTCCGCAAAAAAACACAACTCGATCAACAAGTTTTTAATTATTAACTCCATTTTAATTTTCTAACGAAAACCATATGAGTCATTAGTAATTTCGTAAAGAAGAGCAAGCGCTTAGCACAAATTTTGGCTTTTATAAAGCAGTTATTCATAATTAAATTGGCATAATTTATTTAGAAATCTATCCTCCCGCAAAAGCACAACTCGATCAACAAGTTTTTAATTATTAACTCCATTTTAATTTTCTAACGAAAACCATATGAGTCATTAGTAACTTCGTAAAGAAGAGCAAGCGCTTAGCACAAACTTTGGCTTTTATAAAGCAGTTGATCATAATTAAATTGGTATCATCTGCTTAGAAATCTATCCTCCCGCAAAAACACAACTCGATCAACAAGTTTTTAATTATTAACTCCATTTTAATTTTCTAACGAAAACCATATGAGTCATTAGTAATTTCGTAAAGAAGAGCAAGCGCTTAGCACAAACTTTGGCTTTTATAAAGCAGTTGTAATTATTTACCAAAGGAATTATTAGATCGGTTTGAAAGGAATAAGTTGTCTGATCCTGTGCCATTTATTAAAATTCTGATCATACTCGCCATCAAAAAATTAATAAAATTCTGGCAACTACCATTTTTCATTTCAAGTGCTGGCTAGAATTGGCTCGTCAGATTCATTTGACGAACCAAAATGTCAATTTTTCGCACAGCTTCTCTTCAAGTTCTCGAGATTGATCAGGCAGAATTCTTTATTTAGGCTATTTTTCTCCCCCATGAATAAAGAATAGCAAGTTTTCATATGTTTAAGATCATCCGGTAAAACCTAGGAATGCGCCTTATCGCGCTATTGAAAAGAAACTTCTATATCCAGAAACAGCTGTCTCAGCTCTTATTACTCCTTTTCTAGGTGGCATAGCTGGATCATCAACACTGACAAAGTGAAGAATAATCATGTTTGGCTCTGGATAGTCCCTGATCATTATTCTTCTTTGTAGCCAATCTCTTCTTGTGACTCCAAATGGGGTTTTTATCATATAATACAGCAACTCTGCATCATCTCTGGAGGCAACAATACGAAATTCGTGAAACAAATGGTCCCATTGGGTTCTGATGGAGGTATCCCATATTGCTTTTACTACAGTCTCAGTTGAGTACTCTATATCACAAAACCCTTTTATCATGCAAACTGGGCTATTTTCAGCCTTCCTCTGATAAACTTGTGTTCCAGGCTTATTTACACAATGTCTCCACACTTTATCACCTACAGGCTCTTTCTCAATTTCTAACAACTTATCAAAGCAGTCTTGATACTTATGAATCCTCATATCAATTTTAAAAGTCTCTTTAAGGCTGCTCTCTACGCTTTCTTTTCTTTCCTCTTTATCTGATAATTTTGATGAGCTTCTTGCTGAATTACTTCCAGGACTTTCTATTTTTTCCACTTTTTCATACCTTTCTTCCTTTTGAATCATTTCAATTTCTCCTTTGTCCTCGTCATGATCTGAGTCCTCATCCATATCAACTGCACTGCCTTCAAATGGTAGATGTACTGGCACTGGGATCATGCTGGATGATGGGGTTTTCTCTGGCGAATTAAAATGGATTTTTGCTGGAGAATCAGCCTGACACTTTTCTGGTGAATTAAAATTAATGTCCCCTGGGGAATCAGCCTGGAACTCAATTTTTATTTGGCAATTAACATCTTCACTAACTGAGCCGACTTCAAAATCATCAGCAGTCTCATCTTGCTGGAAAAGCGGAGGATTAAAAGTTTCGTTAGCAGCAGAAAGTTTACTAATAATTTCCAAGCTAAGCAAATCTTTATAGTTCAGCTTATAATGGGGATCATGAGTAGAGTATCCTGGCAAGCTTGATCTTCTGAACATTAGTTTTTCAAAGTACTTTTTGTTTTCGCAGCTTTTGTTCTGATCAGCTTTAGACGTTTTGTATTCTAAGAAATGCTCTATATCAGAAATGGCTTTACAAGTTTGGACATTTTTCCCTATGAGTTTGCAAGAAAGTGCTGGAAAAGGAAGAATCATCCCTATAATGTCTTCGTCTTGTAGGTGGGATTTTTTTAAAATTGCTTTAGTTTTGTCGTTGGCAAGAATTTCTTCAATTCTTCTGACAATTTCGAGTTCATGGCCTTCTTTTGCGATAGGGTCTTTAAGCAGTTGGAGAACTGGGATTAGGATTCTTCGGATTCTTGAAGAGGTGAAATGAATGTTTATCCCAAATTCAATGGAATGAGCTATTTCATAAGCAGAATTTAGAAGAGCTGTGTGGGCTACACTTGTTCTTAGAAATTTTCTTAGCTTTTGGACTTCTTTCATAAAGGCAGGATTATGTAATTGTAGCACAAAAGCAGGTCTGAATTCATCAATTGCTTTTTCTAAAATTCCTGAGTACTCACTTATTGGGATTTTTGTTTTTTTAAGGGTAGATAAATATATAAGCATACAGCTGAGTCTTAGTTGATATTGCATATCTTTGGTAAGAGCTGATTTGATGACTTTATTTCTTTTCCATCTTCTTCCAATTACATGACCAATTCCAAAACCGATTGCACCGCCTAAGATGCCAGCTACTATAGTTGCGCTGGTAAAGATCATAAAGCCTACTACTGCCAAAATAGAACCACCAATGAGGCTGCCTAACTCTTCCACCATCCATGAGCAAGCAAAGCCATCATAACAGCCTATCTTTTGGGAAATTCAATCCTCTGTGAAAAATTTTTAATAAATATTTTTAACAGAATATTTTGGTATATAATGATAACTACTATAATGAAATTTCTAGCTAATATGTTAGCTTACATTAAAAAACATGATTTTATAAGTTTTTTTAATTTTTACTTTCCAAATTTAGGATAGTGATTAATAAATTAAAAAAAAATATTGTATAGTGTTTTATAAAGCAAAGCTAAAATTTTTGCTCAGGTAGTGACAGAGTAAGTATCTTCGATCTGTTTTGGTTATTTCTTCTAGAATTTCTTGGAGGCTGCTTTCCATTGAATCCAACTCGGGTTGGATTAGTAGTGGGAAAGCTAATGAAGTGGAAAGAGTGCTATTGCTCCTATGGTGCCTGCGTGAGCTCATTTTATTTGAATAATCACAGATTACTTTAAAAAAGAAATGTGATATTAGAATAATGATAATTATCTTTATTTTTTGCTATAAATAATATATAGCCTATGGCTGCTTATAGCTCTAAACTTTCGGTCTAACTCGTGGAGTTGGTTTGGCAATTTTTGGTGTCTACAAAATCCACGATGTGGGCTGAAAGTTAAAGGCCTAGAGTAAGCTACAAGCAGCCCTAGGCTATAGATAACGATGAGAGAAAAAATATTTAAGCGGCATTTATCTAAAAAACTTTTCTTCCTCATTAATATTTAATTACTTGATTGTGTTACCATAATTATTTTTCGTCAAGGCCACCTATGTTTGTCCTTAGGTCATCCGAATGCGTTGGCTGAAATATTTTTTTCCTCTAACAAACCTCTTGCCATATTTAGGTCCGGGGGCGGCTGAGACTGATTCATTGCTAAATCTTCTAGTGTCTTCAGCAAATCAAATTTTATTCCTTCGAGCACACTCTTGTAAGACACCCTCAATTCCTTTAAGGAGCCTTCACAGTTATACAAAGGATGGAGTTGCGGATTTTGTATGATAAAAGAAACCAGAAAGATGTAACCATCAGATGAGGATCAAATAGACCTTAAATGATTAAGTTAAGCTTCAGTTCTTCCGCCAACGTTATAAAGCATTTGGATGGCATAAGCAATACAAATGGTCCAAAGCATTATGTTTGACTTATTTAAAATTTATATATTGTATTATTCATACACTCCGTTATTAAAAAGACTAACTCCAGAAACATTAGTATAAATATTAAAATGAAAAAATCCTCATACATTACATTAACCAATTTATTTATGATGATTTTTAATGAATGATATTTGATTTATAGTTATTTATCTTAACCCCACCCTCTGAGAGCAAACAATAATATTTTATTCGCTCATAGGCTTAATCTTTTTCTTTTAAAATTTTATATAAATTTTATAGTAAATTTCTTTTTTCAAAATTTAAATAATTTCAATTGTAAAGCAAAGTTTATTAATTTGTAAGATTTATGCTTTAAAATGCAAGCTATTTAAAATTCAATATAATTAGTTCAAGATTTAATTATATAATTATCAATTTGATAGATAAAATTTCTTTTTCATAAAAACATTCTATTAAAAAATTTTTTGTTCGCTTAAAGGCTGCTATTTACCCAAAAAATAAGATTTTTTTCATGGTTTAGTGCTCAAGGAGGGGAGTAAGTAAATTATATAGTTTTGTTAAAAACAGACAAAATAGCCAAAACATCAATTTAAAAGAAAAGACTAATTTCTTGCTAAATTAATGTTTCAAAAAAATATTTATAGCAATGACATCAATTACGCTTTATTCAAGTAAAACGTCTTGCCATTTTAGGAGTGAGTAAGAAAATAAATTTTTAATTATGGAAGAAACAGCTAACGATCTTTTTAAATTTACAAAGGTTTATCCTGCTGAAAAATTAAAGAGATGCAAAAGTTTGCAAAAGCAAACTCTAAAAGAAGCACTAAAAATTAAAAGAATAGATGAATCTCCTATAAATGGACGAATTTCAAGTACAAGATCAAGCTCTCAGACATCATTTAAGAGAAATTTGATTCCAAAACTACCTCAAACACTTAAAAATTCAACTTTATCTATTAAAAAGCCTTTATCACTTCCTAATACAGACAGATCACACACAAGCACTCCTTCATTAGTGCTCAAATCGAAAAATGGTAATTCTCATATAAATTTATATGAAAAATTACGATCAATTAACAGCTTAACCCTCACAAAAGCCAAAGAAAATTCTAACACTCAATTTAAGACTTTCGGAAGCAAGCTAACTCTACATCTAAGCTCCTTAAGGCCTAAATTTCTTCACAAAGCTTCATCAAAACTCCTTCTTTATCCTCTTACCCAACCTTTTTTTGTAAAAATTTTATTACTGAAGATTTAAAAATATTAAAATAAGATTGATTATAATTTATATCCAATAAATTGCACACAAAATAATCATTCTGAAAAAGTTAGTCATCCGAAACACATCTCCCACTTCACACAAACAGATTTAAGTGAAGAATTCATAACTTTTTAAGTCTTAAAAAAAATTAAATTTATTTTTCGTTCAAGTCGAGAATTAATCCTTCCAAATTTCTGTCCTTCATAATTTTATTGACAATATTGGTTAGAACTCTTTTTGCTCCAACTTCTGTGAATAGATTTGAACCATTTGATAAGCAATACTCCATGCCTCTCAAAAACCATGCAGGATTTGTGATGTTATCGACTAAGCTTTGCTTGATTTCGTTAGGGTCAGTCTATTCTATTAGATTTATACGCTTAACGTCCCTTACGGGGTTGCCCATCCCAGAGCTTCCGCCCGCCTATGGCGCAAAGGGCCAGCAATTGGCCTCTGGGTCGACCAGCCTTGTACACCAGTGCACCTAGTCGCAGGTGTTGCCGACTTCGACGACTCATGACTGAGCTACTTCGCTTGAGGACATGGTTGCCCATTCCGAAAATCCATAAAAAATATGGCTTTTTCTGGTAGGCTCTCGGCAAAAAGGGTAAACACGGAGCCTGGGACGTAACGCCCAGTTTCACGCTAGGGAGTTGCCCGAATGGTCCTAACGGACTCAGCTGAGCTTCCCCTTTCCAACTCTCGTGCCTCCTTTCCCATGAGGAAAAAACATTTCTGAGATTAGACTTGGGCTAGGCTCTGAGCTCCACCAGAATTGCTTACCTAGCATTGCTGTCCTTCTCTGAAATGCAAAACCTTGCCGGATATAATTAAAATATAAGTCGAGTATGCATGGCCGGGAGGCCATGCCCAGATGAAGACGCCATATTTTAATTATTCGTTAGGGTCAGTCAACCCTTTGGAGTGTGCATTAGAAATAACAGGAATCTTTGCAGGCTTGACATCCATTTTCTCAAGCTCTGCTTTGACTCTATCAGCTGCTGGCTTCATGAGTCTGCAGTGAAATGGTGCAGACACATTTAAAGATTTAATAGGGACTTTGTATTTTTGTTTCATATGGTCTGTGACTAAGTCGACAGATTCACGAGTGCCACTAAGGACGACTTGCTTATCGTGGTTTACGCCGGCTATTTCACATATTCCATCGATTTGGACCTCATTTAACGACTTTCTGACAGTTTCTTCTGATGCAGCTACTGCACTCATTCTGATTGCAAGGCCTTCAACGGCTTCTTGCATTGACTTGCCTCTTATATAGGCTAACTTAGCACCCTGTTCCACTGTGAGGGCTCCACTTATAACACAAGCGGAGTACTCCCCTAACGAGTGGCCTAGGGCAAAAGAAAATCCATCTTCACGGGCTCCATATAAATGCTTTAAGAAAGTCCAATGAAGAATTGATGATACCATGATTGCTGGCTGAGCGAACTCGGTCAAGTTCAAATCAGATTCAGGTCCTTCTTTCATCATCTTTGAAAGCTATATAGAATGTTACCGAAAACCCTAGAGCATCGTCAACTTGCTTTAATATTTCGTTACTCCATGGGTAACGCTCAAACTGTTCAATCATGCCAACGTGTTGGATGCCTTGGCCTGGGAGCAAAAGAACACGCCTTATCATAAAAATTATCCGTTTTCAAATAAATGGACTGTTATCGTAGGTAATTATCTAAAACTTTTCACAAAGAAGGAAAATTAACCATGCGATTTAATAACCGTTCTGATAATTAAGTGTTTTAGCTTTAAATTAGATTATTAGTTTGCATAGAAGCTGATAGATAGGATGAAATGTCCCGTGACCTTGAATTTAAGAATTATAAGGAATATGTAAACTATTAATCAAAATAATCGCCAATAAGTTAAAAATAAAGGATTCTATTGCGATCTTTCGCTAACAAAAGTACACCTATTTTATTGGTTATAAAAAAATATTTACAAAAAACCAGAAACCATTTTGACATCGGGTGCTGAAAAATAGAATTACGTCATCAAGTATTTAAAATTTTGTAAAATAGTCTTTAAAAATAATATAAATTTATATTTGATTTTGTTTATCAAAAAATTTTTTATATGGGGAAAATAAAGAATTTATTCGCCTAATAATCCTAAATAATCTTAAATAATTTAAATTTTTCTTAATATCTTAAATATTTTATCAAATAACTTTTCGAAAATGGCTGAGTAATTCTGCGAAATTTTAATTTAAATACAAGTGCAAATAAGTTTTATGTATAATCATATTAAAATAGCTATCTATCTATTGGTAAATATCTATAGACCTTTTCGAATAAGTATAGCTGGCACTACTTCATTAAATTTTTTATATAGAAATGCACATGTGTCGAGAAACACCATTTTTTGTCCTTCTCCTCGAATAATGTCTAATACAAAAGTTTCTTCAAGCTGAATATTTCTTACCTTTTAAATTTTTATATCAATTTTAATTACTTTTCCAAGAGTACAAGGTGCTTTATTTACTCCTCTTTCAAATCCGCGAGAAATTTCCATTCCATATTTAAAGCTTTCAAGGACTCAAAAAGAAAAACCACCAATTCTGTTGCCGGAATTGAGCATCTGAAGCCAAAAACCCAATTATGAGGTATTGGATGATTATTTTTTTCGGATTCAGTCGATGATGTGTCATTTGAACTTACAATGGTTTCATTATCTGGTATCATAAAACTCCCAGCTTCTTCTGGAAAATTGGCTCAACATTAATTTCACTTTGATTAAGGACTTTTTCACATTCAAGTTGAATGGCAAATCAGCATTTTTCATAAATCCTGTAGCTGAACAACTTAAAGCCGGGACCTAGAGGAAGGAAGAGACGTACTCGATATGCATATACAGAAGGGTTTTAGCAATTTCATGGAGCGGCGACACTGGGCTAGCAAGTGGTGAAGTGCTAATGAGAACGAGTAGTTGCCTACGAGCCTGCCTAAGACTTTTGATAAGGACTTTTCGCTTGACTTTTAAAGTAGAGTCTAAAAGAATTGCATAAGTTACTGTAAAAGGGTCTTGCTTTTTCTTCAAAATTCGTTCTTTCAGCTCAACTTTATTTTTACATAAGCCTTCAAATTCTGGATACTCAAGACATTTTTCTAAGACTTCTTCAAATATTTCTTTTTTAGATCGATTTGCTTGGACTGACCCTATGCAATCTAAAATTTGATTTTGGTCAACAACAGCTTCAGTATATTTTAAATGCAAAGGTATATGAGCTTTATATCATGGATGCTCCATGATTTGTTTTATTGTAATCCTTGACACTGGGTCTGTGTTCAACATTCTTCTTATTAAATCTTTAGCTCCTACCGAAAAATTGTGTGGGACAGAAAATCTTCCTGCTTTAATTTTTGCAAAAAGTGAAGGGATATTATTTTCATCGCCCAAAAAATGTATATAAGAAAGAAGATAAAATAGAATTTTCCAACCAAAAAACTCAGCAATAAATGTATATGTAGTATAAATTTTTTATAACCGATAACACTATATTTATTTTATTATATTTTCTGTGCTTCTCTATTAAATTGCACTCTTAATTAATTCTTCAAAATCAATATTTAAAATATTTTGCATTTTATCTATCATAATTTACTCATAACTAAGGCTTCAAATTCTTTAATGTCAATTTCTCCATTTCCATTGCTATCAGCCTCGTCCAAAATTTCAGTCCAGACATTATCAGTAGTATCTAGACCTTCTCCAAGAACTGACCTTAATTCATCAGCGCTTATTGCTCCACTATTATCTTTATCAAACATATTAAAAGCAGCTGCAAGATTTTCTCTAGAATTCATCAATCTTTTATCTAGGGCAGCTCTTAGAAATTCATTATAATCAATGAAACCATTTTTATCAGTGTCGACTTCGTTCATAATCTTGTCTACTTCACCTTCTGTGCCAGATTCTTTCATTATACTAAGGCACTTATTTCTTAATTCGTCTTTGCTGATTTTTCCGTCTCCATTCGTGTCGATAGCAATAAAGACTTCTTTTAGCTTGCTGATTTCTTCTGCAGATGCAATCTGAGAAGCAATATACATTTGAATTGCGCTTTTTAATTTACTTTTACATTGGTAAGCTCTTAAGTTTATTAATACATTTTCAGTTCCATCAGAATCACCATATGGTCTAGATCTTTTAACAATTCAAGGATGCTCTAAACAGTCTTTTGCAGAAAGTCTTGATTTTTCAGGACAAAGAAGTTTAGAAATTAAATCTTTTGCATCTGCTGATATATACAGTCATTGTGGCCCACTAAAACTATAGTGCCCATTTAAAATAGACTTAAAAATTTCATTATTTGAGTTTCCAGAAAATGGAAAGCTACCACTAAGTAGTAAATAGAGAATAACTCCGCAGCTCCATAAGTCACATTTTGAAGTATATCGTCCTTTAATTACTTCAGGCGCTAAAAAGAATGGAGTTCCAATTATTCCTGATACGTTATGATTATTTTCATATATCATTGCAGCTCCAAAATCTGAAATTTTTATATGGCTTGTATTTCCCTTACTCTCTAATAAAATGTTTTGTGGTTTTAGATCTCTATGTATAATGTTTCGACTATGCAAATAACTAACTGCTGAGAAAACTTGCTTCATAACTAGTACAGCATCATATTCATGAAAATGGTTTCTTTCGATCAGCTCATCAAGCAATTCTCCTCCTTTGCATAGTTCCATTACTAAATAGCACTTTTTTGGGCTATCAAAATATTCATAAATCTGAACGGTATTTGGATGACCAAGAATTTTCATCATTTTTACTTCATTTAAAAACTCTTTGGTTTGAAAATCTCCCTCTTTAGGTATAATTTTGACAGCTCTTTCGATGTTAGTTCCTTTGCGGGTTACAACTCTAACCTCACCATAAGCTCCATGTCCTAAAGACTTGCCAAATTCATAAACATCTTCAACAGTGTTTCTATTTAGTTGAACAAAGATTCCTTGTTCTGTAAAAATGTCCCGACTGCTTGTGATTTTTATACTCGAATTGACTTTATTTTTCGTTGATGTGCAACAGCCCATGATTTTATTATTAAGCTTAATAAATGAAAATTTAAATTCTAAGGAAATGCAAATAAATTCATAATTGCTTTTATTTAATTTTTTCAAATTTTTAAGCCAAGGTTGATTATAAAACTTAGCGAAAAAAATTTAATAATCTTTAATATTCAAAATTTATGCGTTTCATTTTCAAATATTTTTACTAGCTTCATCTCCCTTTATTAAATTTGATAATGCAAAATATTTATTGATTACGATTAGATCTCAAATAGGAGTCTTTTGTCATATAGGCTTTTTGTCTTCTAATTTGCTTACCTCTTTTTCGATCATCCCGAGAAAAGAAATTGACAACTTTCTGTTAAAGGTAAGCACAGAAGCATCTAGGCAGATATGACACCCTGCTTCATGCATTTCACTTTGAGCCTAATAATGGTGGCAGAGGCATAAATACAGCTATAAAAACGATTCTGGAACACATAAGAATTACTGTCATGAAGGAGTAGATTGATCATCTCAGGCCATTTTATGTAGTTTTATCCTGATTTATTTCCAAATCATCAACTTATTATTGTGAGATTCATTTTTATTGCAAAAATATTTATTCCTTTCTTCTTATGATTATAAAGTGTTTAATTATAATTTCATCGTAATATTATGCTTATTTTAATTAATGTTTTATAACTTTTGGCATATTGAATAAAACACTTTTAACTAGATAATTGCTAATTAAATAAAGATTTATCAATTTATACATCCTCGATATTAAAAATTATTGTTTTATTTGCAATAGTGGCTTTCCACTTACAGAAGACTTTCTCTGCTGCATTTGTGGAGCTTTAAGTGAATCATTAGATTTTCTAACATCTCCAAAAATATTTGGCTTATCAAGATTTAGCTTTGGCAAACTTTTGTCCCTTTGATTTTTTCCAACAAAAAGAATTCTATTGTTCGGTTTTGTTAGAGGATTTTGCTTGAACCCAGAGCTTTTTCTATTATTGCTTAAAGTTTGCTCAATAGATGGAGTCCTTTTTTCCATGCTTACGATCCACAAGTCTTTTAAAGATGCGATTTCATCTAGCTTTGTAGGTTCTTTATAAGATCCTTGCGACTTTTCTTCAGAAGTCTTTCAAAATTCGTATTCTTCAGGAAGCATAGGTTTTGAGTTAAATTTTTTTTCTATATTCTGCTGAGAAGGTGTAGAAATTTGCGAAGATGTCCTATGCTTTGCTAGGCTGAATTAGACTAAAGATGGTAATAATAAGATATCAGCTTATTTTAATAAAATACAGCTTCGTTAAGTGTATATAAAATTTACTCAATTCTGCTTGCTACTTCTAAACTTTCAGCTTTTTTCTCACGAAGCTGTTTTCTTAAATTTTCGAGCTCTTGATTTTGTTTTTTAAATAACATTTCATATTGCTTCAGCTTTAATTCGAGCTCCTTAATTTTTTGGTCGTTGTGAGATTCTTCTGATATTGATTGTACAAGATCTTGTGAAGGAAATTCCACCTTTCATATTTCATTATCAGAAGCTGAGGATTCTGAAGGGGCAAGATTAGGCCGTTTTTTGGAGAATTTATTATTCTTATGTTTTTTAGGTAAATCTTTCTTTTCGTTTATATTTTTCTCTTCAAACACTGGCTGAACGATTTCTTGAATAATTTGTTTTCCAAATTCTGCTGTTTCAAACTCATTGAATTTTTGTTCTAACTCTCCTGCCTTGAAGTGCAAAAAATCTAACCAAGGGAGTTAATTTATTTTAAAACCTTTATATATAAAATATATGGAATAAAAATCTAACTCAATTTAAAAATTATATTTTAGAAAGTATGTTGTCTAAAGCCTTATTGATTTAGCTTGAAATTTTATTATAATCATCATTTATTATATACTAAATTATTATTTATATTAATTGCATATTTTTGCTTGCTAACTAAGGTGAGTTTAATTCTCCGAAAATAGATCTTTCTAATATTTTTGCTCGCCAGCCAAGAGAGAATAAGTTTTCACTTTTCTTATGTTTATGCTCACTCTCAGCTTTAGATTTTTCTTTATGCTTATGCTCAGATGGTCCTCTGGCATGCGATTTCTTTATTGGCTTATCTCTTATGGATTTTAGGTCTTGATTAAACTCTTTTTCTTCAAGTTCTCCCATTTCAGAGCCAAAATTCGTAGGATTTACTTCTTCAGTTACAGGAATTTCATTTTTTTCTTCGAATTTCGACGAAGCTCTTGAATAAAATTTTTCCTGAGGCAGTTGCTCGTTTTCATAGACATTTTCTACAGGATTTTTATCTTCGCCAAAATTTTCAGTTCCTTTTAATTCGCTGATTTCTTTTTCTAAATTCTGGAAGGCCTGTCTTTGAGGCTCTAAATTATTTGGATTTTCGCTTCCGAAATTGCCGAATTCGTTGAAATTCTCATCTTCTACAATATCAACAAGGTTTCCTCCAAGCTGCTCGATTAAGCCTTCATTAGCTAACTCATTACCTTTTTCTATTTCACTTTCTGCAAAGCCAGGCTGATTTTGAAATTGATCTTCTGGAGGAAAGTCTTGCTGATGATCTGTGCTAAAAATATTTGCCTGCTCTGGATCAAAATTTTCAGGTATTTCCATTCTTAATTTATTTTTATTAAGAAATTGCATTAAAATATATTAACTCCAAACAGTTATTCAGCAAAAGCTGCAATTAATTGCCATTTAATGTTAATAAACTTATCTGTATTTAATATTCTTTTAATAAAAAGAATTCAATATTCAAGCTTTTGATTGACTTCAAACTTAATATATCCATTATTTATTACCAAAAGAAATTGCATTTTTCCTTAATATGTCTAACACCTCCTTCTAATGGTCTATCTCTTCTCCATTTCCTGCACATCTCAGTCAATTGATGAGGATTTTCAAAGCTTACAAAGTTCGCCATAAGCTCTTCTTTCGCTTCAGTGGGCTGCCACTCTCCAATCCATCTGCTCTTCGTTATCCACAGCTCTTTTGCACTATCTAAATTAGGGATCACAGTCCCTCCAACCCACATTAAATGGTCAGGTTTTATATGCTCTTTATTTCCATCACTATCAGAATGTGTGACGCTTGCCTTGACTTCTACTCTATCGACCCCTGCATCTTCAGGAAACCTATTTATTAGCCTATCTTCTAATATATCGACAATGTCAGGAAACATTCCTCCTCCCCCAGTCAATAATATACAATTAGCCATTTTCTTACGGGCATCAGCCTGGTCATACGCAGAGATTGATCGTATAATCATTTGATCTAAACTTAAAACTTTGTCCACTACAGGGTGAGTTGGAGATTCTAATTTTGTTTCAACCAAGTCATCTAAATAGTCGTCGGTGTCATAAGAAAATGCTGGATGCAAGACCAGTGGTATTTTTGGTGGGCCTGAAGAAATTTCTAATAGAGAAGTGTGAAATAATGAGTGGGCGCCGACAATAAGGGCGGGGTTATTGGAGTTGACACGTAATAAGCCACTTTCACTTGAGCATGCATAAGTGATGCTGTTTTCTTGTTGGAAAAATCTGCAGGCTTCTTTTTTTAAAGTTTCGACTATGCGTAGTTGGTCAAGCCCATCAGCGTCTGGTCTGATTAAGACTCTCATTAAAAGGATATCAATATCTCTTCCAGCATAAAATTGTCTTACATGAGTTTTCGGATTGATGACACCTTCATCAATGCATATTACATTTATGTGTGAAGCTCCTATATCAACGACACAGGCACTTGGAACTCCAGCGCCAAATATCGCTGAAACGCTTTCTTGATGCAAAAAAATGCTTCTAAACCCTAAAGTTCTCAATAAAATATCGACAAGGGCTTTGACTTGCTCTTTATAAAATGCGTCCGGAATAATAAGGACCACTGAAAATTGATGAAACATTTCTCTTGGAATTCTTAATCCCTTGGCTAACAAATAAAATTTTTTGCCTACTCAGGAGTTAATTTTTTAACATGAATTTCAGATCTTAAAAATCCAAATTTCTATATGTTTTGTAATGAAATCAAATTAATTTATAAATTTATATTTTAAGACTCAAACCATCTAAATTTAATAGAATTGAATTAAGTTCTCATCATATTATAACTTTTATACCAAATTTTAATTTGTACAATTTATTTTAGTTCATGAAGAGAGTAATATTCTCACAACTGTGTATTCTAAAATTCTTTCTAAATCACTAATAACAGTTCTTAATGATTGTGATTGGCTAATATTGAAATGCCCTCTTAAAATAGGCCAATGTTTTATATAAGGCTCTCCTGGTCCAAGATTGTAAGCTTCATCTCCAACTAGATAAGGAGGATTATGAGAAGCTTCAGTTCTTCTTGGCAATGGTTCAAGTGCTGTTTCGCTTTCCCCTTCATTTTCTTCTTCAATTTGCATATCTGAAGCATTCCTCTTGCTTTTTGATTTTTTCTTTGGAAGTACAATTTTTGGAATGTGGTCTTTAAGGAAGCCAGTGCTTTGCAAGTAATTTTGCACCATTGAGTAAGCCTTAAATAAAGTTTCTGCATCACATGGTGGTAATGCTGATTGCAACTGAGTACCAGGTTGGCGATAAGCGATTACGTTGGGAATTGTATAAGGCTGCATTTGATTAGCGAATCCAACACGTAAATAAAGGGATCCTAAATGAACTACAATAGTCTCTGTAGGCTTGATATCCATTTAGGTCTAATTTATGCAATTAGCTAATACTAACCTTAAAATGAATCATAGCTTTCAGCGTTAATAAGAAAAGAGAATACAAGCCCCCGATAATTATTATTAACTAATGAACTCTTCAAAACAAAATGACATTCCTCAAGATCATATCAGTTTAACAGACTCTTCAGATTTTTCTATTGATTCCCAACAATCTAAATTTTATAATAGCAAAATACTTGGAAAGAGTTTTACCCCGCCAAAACTTACGTTTAAAGACTTATTGGATATCAAGAGAAATAGTGAATCCAGCTCTGACTTGCCTAAAGATCTTCCGATTTATCATGCACCTACAGAATCAGTGACTCCATCTATAGAGTTTCAAAATGAAAGAAAAATAAATCTTGATTCAACACCTAAAACATCGAAAAAGAAAGCACCGAAAATTCATGTACCAAAACTTATAAAATTCAATAAACTTATTGATGATATTGCTATTCCAGAGGAACCTATCAGAGAGTATCAATTTTTAAGAAACGAGCCACTTATTTTACCAAAAAAAGAAAAGAATTCATTAGATTTGAATGAAATTTTATTGAAGTGTCAAAAAGAAAAGCAGGATAAAGGAAGCTATTATTTGGCTAAAAATGTATTGACGGATGCTGATAATAAAGATAACTTTGTGATCGAAGCACCAGAAAGGGTGGAAGGATTTATTTCTAAAAAAATATCAATTGACCCAAGGGAAATTATGAGAGAAAAACTGAAAAATGCAGCAAATGAAAGAAAAACAAGCAATATCAGTAATGAAATGCTTTTTAACAAGCCGAAAACAGAGCTGGAAGGAGGCGATTTTAATGATTTTTGCTATAGCTCTAGAGAATGGCAGCCTGAGATTAAAGAAGCTGAAGGTGAAATTGACAGCTTTCATGAAGATCATGCAAAAATTATTCCTGAAAAAAATCTCTGCACTCAAATTAATGAGAAAATAAAAAAAGCCGCTAAATTGCATAGAAATGAAATTAAGCCAAGAACAAGGAATGGACTCTGCATATTAAGCGAATGGCATGAAGAAATAGGAGATTTAGATCAAGTAGTTAATTTGGATATTAACGTAAATTTATCAAAAAATGATGGAGAAGATTCACTTAAGAGAAAAATTAACAAAGCAAGGGAAGATGTGAATGGTGCTGGGATAAAAAGGATAAAAGACGCTAATGGGACGCCAAAAATCGTATGAGATCGAAAGCTAGTAGATCTTTATTTGTAAATCAAATTTTTAATATAATAACAACTAAAATGTTAGGATTAATATTATTATTTTTTAAGTTCATTACTCCAAACAAAACTTTCACACAAATTTTATTTTGAAGAAATTTAAGTTTAACTGTTTTTATTTAATAATTTTAAGAGGAAGATTAATATTATAATAATTTGCCATAATTTAAAAGGTTTGTAATTTAACGACCTTGGCTATTATAACACCATAAAGAGATTATTGTGAATTTTTCAAAAAAACTTAAATTGGAGTTCGTTCTGGCTCAAGCTTAGATATTGGGCTGTTTTCTATTTTTGCTGTGTACACATCTTCGTTTTCGCTTCTTTTTTGCACTTTTATATTTGATTTAAATGAAAAGTCAGATTTAATCCCTTTCATCACTTTTTCTAATTTACTTCAGATCTCATTTTCTTCTTTATCAGCTGCTGAAAAGTCAAAAAGTGGGTCAAGAGGCCGTTTAACTGGTGCCCTATGAGCACTTGGGAGTGAGATACGGGGATAATTAAACAAATCATAAAAGGCTCTTGACTTATTATCATAAAGAGTATGATAAGCAGTTGATATTTCTTCGTATCTTATAGGTGATTCTGTTGATTTATTTTTATCTGGGTGCCATTGTATTGCTAATTTATAATAAGCTTTTTGTATTTGCTGCTTTGATGCACTCTGCGGAAGGCTTAAAATTTTGTATAGATCTCGCTTCTCATCCATATTTCTGATTATAAAGCATATTCCAAATTTAATGCTTTAAAGATATTTACTCCCCCCATCCTTGATCGAACGACTTCGTTCGATCAAGGATGGGGGTTAAAAACAATTTATATATAAAATAAAATATATATATATATTTTTTTTTTATTTACTTTTAAATAAGAGGGTTAAGAGTATTTAATAATTATTTTTTACAGCAAAAAAATTAAATTAATTTCATAAAATACCAATTTTTAATATTTTAATAATTAGTTACCCTTTAACTGTGTATAAATTTTAATTTGTTCCTTATTGAATTAAAATTTTTAAATTTTAAAGAATCTCTATTTTATTAGATTATTGAGTTTTCAAGCCTAGGTTGATGACTAAATCACTTCGGATGGTTGATTCCGCAGCTTTCTGTCGTCTGAAAGCTCTGAAAACAACTTCATTAGGTACATCTTCCCAAGCTTTTGATAACTAATATATTTTTATATATATATAAAAATTTGCATGATATGAAAATCGTTCGATCAAGGATGGGGGTTAATTTCCCCAATTTTTAGGAATTTTTACAGTCAATCGTTCGATCAAGGATGGGGGGAGTTAGAAAAATCTGGAATCTCCATCTTTATTTTAATATCGCAGATAAATCCATGTGAAGGAAAATCTTCAAAGGATGTGTTTCTCGTTTGAATTAAAGAAATTTAAGCATTTTCAAAGATTTTGCAGCTAGATAATGTGCGAAAATTCTTACAATAAAGAAATAAAAAGTAAAAATTACTTTTTAAAATTATAATAAAGGATTATCAAACTAAATAGCTTAAGTCTAATAAAAGTTATATCGGGAAATATAAAAATATTATAGGTAAAGAAACACAAAGTTATCTTTTATAAATGATCAAAACAAATAAAACTATTATAGTTATTTATTGCCATGGCCTGCATAGGATTTATAAAGCATTTATGCAGCTTTACTGTAAATTCACAGTATTCACATTATTTTATGATTTTAAGAAACCCAAGTATAACTGCAAGTTTATTCAAAAATTCAATATTTTAGCATTCTAGCTCGCCCATATAAATAGAAATAATATTCATTAATTCTCATTCAGAAGCTTCCATAATGATCTCACATAAATTGCCTATTATTTATTTAAAAATATGATAAATTTACATTAATTATCGATTCGAATCGCGACTTCTTCGTACTATTGGTGATAGATCTATCGTAAAATTTTCGGTTAAAGGAGATTTATTTTCCAGCTCTCTCGAAATTTCTCTGTCAAGTATTGAAATGTCATCAATTAGAATTGAATTTTGTAAGCGCAACTGTTCAAGAATATTTAGAGTGGTCTCGCTGAAATTATTTGATTGAGATCTGGTGTGCTTAGGCTTAGTTGCTTGATGTTTAGTTGGTGTTTTCTTATATAAACTTACACTGACACAGCCAGGAGATCGGCTTCTTGCAGAAAATTTTGGCTTTGAAGCAGCTTTTTGGGTGCTTTTGTCTTTGGTTTTTATGGTTTCCGGAAGCGGAGAGAGCCTTTTACGCTGTTTTGAAGCAAATTTAACTGGAGCTGGTGGATGAACTTGGGTTTCAGAGACATCTGTTATTGTTTTAAGCTGTTGAGATTTAGGTACTGGAAATTCTTGGCTATTTGAAAATGTTATTGATTTTTCGTCTCTTAACATGCTTCGATCTGTGCCATATCCTGTTGTTACCCTGGTGCTATACTCTTTTCCTTTTAAAATTTCTAAAAGCGTTAACTCTCTAAATGTCCGGCCATTAACCAAAATTTCTTCTTCTTGCGGCTTTTGGTATTTTTCGTCAAGGGTTTCAAGTGTTTGTACTCTTTCAGTGCAGCCTCCACACACATTTTTGCTTACTCCCCCTCCGTGAATGAGAAAAACCATTAGAAAAATCGCTATTTCTTGCCCAAAAAAACCCACCCTCCGTGAGTGAACAACAATGTTTTTAATAGAAAATTTTTTTATGGAAAACAATTTTGATATATAAGTGATAACTGTTATCATAAAATCTCGAGCTAATTCTATTTAATTTTCAACAAATTGCGTTTTTAAAACATAAATTTAGGAAATTAAATTAATATTTCCTTCCAATTCCGAGAAGTGGGATTTTTTAAAATTTCGAAAAAAAAATTCTATAAAATTTATATATAAATTTTTTTTAAAAAAAAAATTAACCCCCTCAGTGAGTAAACAAAATTTGTTCGTTCGGAGGGGGGTTAGAGTTTTTCCCATTTATTTTTGTACCTCATCAAAACTTATACTAACTAATAATTCTTTTCTTTATAAAACTATCATCAGAAATCACTATTATCTGTGCTATATTAAATGATAAAATTTTGTGTAATTTTATACTATTTTATTGAATGCAAGGCTCCAATTGCTATTTCTAGCCCCAATCTTCCCTTCTTTTCTGGGTATCCTGTGTTTATTGTCACTGATCTCACAGATTTAGTAGCATTTGAATATACATATAAATTTACATAGGGATTAGTTTCCGCATATTCTTCTAGTTCATCTATACTTTCCATGTCAAAATCCTTGCTTCCAACAATAAAATCCTCATTTGCAACGAGTCCAACTTCTTTTGCTGGGCCATCGTCAAGGACTTTAGTTATATGAAGAGTTTCAGATCATGCCTGAATAGAATTTTCATATCTTAAAGCAACTCCTAAAACTCCTTCACCATCTATTGTTCTGGGGGTTACTTTAATTTCTCTTGACTTCTCTTCAATTAAATTATATACTTCTAGAGTTAATTCACAGTTAGCATTTAATTTGACGATGTCATTAAAAGGAATAGTGGAATCTATAAGTTTAGTTCCATTTACAGCTACAATAAAATCAATAAAAGGTTGCAATTTTACTTCTTCTGCTGGGAATCCTTCATAGACCTCAATGATTCTGTGTCCTTGATTAAATTTACTCTCAAAAATTCCCATATTATAATGATAAAGTTATTGAAATTTTATGACTGCCTTATTTATAAGGCGTTAAAAATTCATTATATTGCATAAATCCTTGTGCGTTCAAGCACTGATATTTGGCAATATCTTAAAATTTTTTTAAATAATCTGGCTATCATTGATAATATATCCTTCTAATTATAAGCTACAAAGTGGAAATTATTAGACGCTTATACAAAATAATTTATTTTAAAATTAAACTAATTTCATTATTTCCCATCAAACCTGGTTTCAATAAACACAGGACTTAGCTTCGCCCCTATTTTTGTCAGATTCTCCCTCAAAGATCTATGTCTTCTTTGGTTTTTCCTAGGCGGTAGCTCAACCTTAGATGCCACAATAATTTGATCAAAAGTATCAGGAGAACTCACTGGATCATCAAATCTATTTAAAAACATATCAATTGAAGAATTTCTATGATTTCCCTTTCTTTTTTTATGGTGGCGAATTTTTGGAATTTCCACATGCAAGTTTGAGTGAGACTTTCTTAAGAGCTGCCTCAAGCCTTCATTTGAGAATTTCCTTTGGATTTGATTCTCAGACTGTAGCTCGGTCAATAAGAAAAGATCTCTAGATTCCTGCTTGGCTGGCTTTGGAGGACTTTTCAATGATTTATTTTCAATATCGGGAAACAAGGGCTTACAAATTTTGTGGATGTATTTTTGGGTTTCTTCAAGAAATTGAAGAGTGCTTCTTTTAGATAGAAGATTTCTATTAATAAACCTATGTCTCCCTGCAAGATCAATTCACGATTGAGGAATGGAGCTTTCTCACATATAGGATATTGGGGTTGAATTAGTTTTACGACAATCAAGTGTAGATTTGCTCTTTTTCATAAATTTGTCGCTAAAGGCATCTTCTAAAGGATCTCCATGATTTGGACGATAACTTAGACCTTTCATATAGTTTTATTTATTGACTGTTATTTGATACATTTATGTTCTGAGAAGCAAAATGAAGTAATTATTTTATCATAATTTATGCAATAAATTCTTTAATTTGGTTATCAATTCCTTAGAAATATTTTTAGATGGAGCAAACTATGCATAAATCTATTCCGAATCAATAAAATAATAAAATATGTAATCCTCCAGCCAAAAAAATCTATTACGAAATCACTCTATCAATTATTATTATGCCAGCTAGTTTATTTTAAGTGATTTGAACATTGATTTTAATAATGGTAAAATAATTTGTCCTCTCTATTAAAAAAATGCCTGGATAAGCTATAGATTAAAGAGTATAATTAGACTAGAAATTTTTTAAGACGTTACACATTTCCTAACTCCCCTCCCCCTCCGTGAGTGAACAATAAAATTTTGTTCACTCACGGAGGGGGGTTAATTTTTTTTTTTTTAAAAAAATTTATATATAAATTTTATAAAATTTTTTTTTTTCGAAATTTAAAAAAATCCTAATTCGCAAAAATTGGAAAGCAAATATTAATTTAATTTATAAAATTTAAGTTTTAAAAAGCAATTCGTTTAAAATTAAACAGAATTAGCTTTAGATTTCATTATACTAATTATCACTTATATATCAAATTTTTTTTCCATAAAAAAAATTTCTATTAAAAAAATTTTTGTTCACTCACGGAGGGTGGGTTTTTGAGCGAAAAATAGGGATTTTTCTAATGGTTTTTGTTCACTCACGGAGGGGGGGGGAGTAAGCATCCTCTCTATAAATTTACTTTAAATTTTTGAAACATAAATTTATTAGCAATTTTGCATTTTATTCACATCTTTATGTGATCATTTTTTTATTTTGCTAATAATATGTATTTCAATAGTAAAGAGAAGCTAATATTTCTTTTAATAATAAATAAAATTTTGGAATTACATATATTAAAAAAGGATGGTGGAATTAAATATCAAAGCGGAGACAATATTAGCTCAGAGATTTCAAATTGGCACATTGATTGGAAAAGGGTCGTTTGGAAAAGTTTATTTTGCTATTGACTTGCAATCAAACAAAGAAGTTGCTGTAAAAATTGAAACAAAAAAATCTAAACACAGCCAACTCTCAAACGAATCGACAATTCTTCAGGAACTTCAAGGTATTGTTGGAATTCCGAGATATGTATTTTCTTCTGATCAAGGCGAATATAATATATTAGTGATGGAACTATTAGGAGAAAGCATAAGATCTAAATTTTCGAAGTGTAATAAAATTTTCTCTCTTAAAACAACATTGCTGATATCAGAACAGATGTTGGATCGAATAAAAAGTTTGCATGATCATGGCTATATACATAGAGATATCAAACCTCAACAATTTGTTACTCCATATTGTGATAAAGAAAATTTAATCTATTTAATTGACTATGGCCTCTCAAAAAAATATATCAATAAGCTTGGCTTTCATATTCCGTACACTGAAAACTGTCCATTTGCAGGTACTTATTATTACGCATCCATTAATTGTCATACTGGGATCCAGCAAGGCAGACGAGATGATTTGGAGTCTATGCTCTATTCAATAGCCTTTTTACTCCGTGGAGATTTGCCATGAATCCCAAACTCAAAGCAAAAATTTTCAGCTGCTAGAATTCATGTCATCAAACTTAAAACTTCGCCGCTGAAGCTTATGAAGGATGCACCATATGATTTCTCTGAATTGCTTTGCTACGTTAAATCACTTCAATATGACACAAGACCTGACTATGACTATATTAAAGGGATTTTAAGTGAGCTCAAAAGGAAAGTAAATGTCAATGATAATATTTTTGATTGAAATATACTAATTGAAGTAAATAACAATAGGAGGTTATATAAGCAGAATAAAAAAAAGAAACAAAGCAAAGAAAGAGATGAAAGCGTGGCAATATCGAAGACAAGTATTTCGTTTTACGAGCAAGTAGTCTTAGAATCTTCTGAAGACTCTAAAACTATTGAGCAGTCTAAGTTTCCTGAATTTCATAACAGGAATATTCTCCCCCAAAAGCCGATTCAAGGAATAATTGAATCTATAACTTTACCATTAACTTTACAGTACTCAGATAAAAATGAACAAAGTGTGGATGAAAGCCATTATGAAAGAAGACCAAGAACGCATAGCTTTGATATAAATATGCTTGAATCACGAATTCAACAAAAATCAAATTGCATCATATTTTAAAGCTTCTCCCATATTTTAATGCAAAGTAAGATTATATTTAATAGATTCCTATTTTCTAATTTATGAGAAAATCAAAGTTTCCAACTTCAGTCAAAGCAGATAAACTTTATGAGCTAATTTTTGGCTCAGAAAAGCTCAAACCACACATTAGCCCAGTTCTTTCACAGCTTAATATCTCAATTCACGATATTGAGCCAAAAAGTATAAATGATTTTCAAACGGAAGATTCTATTCAAGAAATTGCCGAACTTAGATTCAATCACTACCAAAAAAAAAGACTTCAAAAGTTAGCTGAGGTTTCTAACTCCTCCCCCTCCGTGAGCGAACAAACCATTGAAAAAATCCCCCTCCATGAGCGAAAATTTTTTTTTGTTGATATATAAGTGATAATTATTATGACGAAATCTCTAGCTATTCTCATTAATTTTAAACAAATTGTGTTTTAAAACATAAAATTTACAAATTAAATTAATATTTGCTTCCAATTGCGAATCAGGATTTTTTTAAATTTTGAAAAATAAATTTTTACTATAAATTTGTATATAAATTTTATAAAAAAAAAATTAACCCTCTTCTCTGACCATCAAAACTTTTTTGTTCGCTTACGGATGGGAGGGGAGCAAGGTTATGCTCCAAAAATATCCCAATGAAAGCGAATTGCAAGATGATTCAAATACAATGAGCACCTGCGATATTGAGGCAGAAGTGCAGAGTCAATTGTCAAGCGAGAAGACTAAAGAAAAGAGGTCAAGCTTGAATGAAATGCAAGAGAAATGAAATAAGGCAACTAAACTTAGACACAAAAGAAGGCAAGAAGCAGCGGACAGAGCTGTTAAACTGATAATGGAGCACCAAACACACTTTGTTGAAAAACTAAAAGAAAAAGAGCAAAGGACAAAAGAACATTTGGAAATGCAATTAGAGAAATTTAATAAAAAACAAAAAAAACTGAAAGAACTAGAATTAAATAGAAAAGCAAGGCAAGGTTTTTCATCAAGAGAGCAAAGCCAAGAAAATTACATAAATAACTCAAGGTCAATTTCTCCGGTCAATGAAAATTACCATAATGTTTCGTTTAATACAAGATCAAAAAGCAGGCTTTCTGGTGATGATTTTGATACCTTAATCGATGAAAAATTGAAGCAATTTCAAATAAAAATGGACCTGGCGCTTCAAAGGCATCAACTTTACAATAAAGAGAAATCAAAAACACAAGAAAAAAGGTGCTATACAGTTATGAAAAAACGAGAAGAATGAGACGAAAAGAGAAGAGCTGATGAAGAAAAAACAGTAAACGCGCTTTTTAAGCTTCATGATAGTCTAATGCAAAGTCATTATAATCGTGAAGAAATAAAGAAAAATAAAAAAATTAAATTGATGCTGGATCAGAAAAAAACAAAAAGCAAAATGATACTAGATCAACAAACAGAAAATTGACTGCAAATAGAAAACCAAATGAATTTGAAAGAAAAAAAGATACAGGATAAAGTGGAAGAATCAAAAATGAAAAGAATGAAAGAGGTTGAAATCAAAAAAGAAAAGAATCGCCTCATAATGAATGATGTGATTGAAAATAAGAGAAAAAAAGAAAAAATTGATGAAGAAAAGGCAAGAAAAATAATTGAAGAACACAATAAAGAGTTGGAAGAATTGATTGAAAGGAAAAAATGGATGGAAACACTTGATCAAATTGCCAGGAAAAAGGAAAATAAATTGATATTAGAAAGCAATAAGGTAAAAACGGAAGTTTCATCAAAAATGATGGAATTGCATAAAAGCCTGATAAATTAACTCGAATTAAATAAGTAATAATGTAAAGATAATTTAATTAATATAGCTTCCAGTAATTAAATAGATTTTTAAATAGCTATCCATCTTCCCTTTAATTAATAAATTATGAGTTCAGCTCTTAAACTTAAATTAAAGATCTTGGCTGTTTGTCTATTGGTAATACAGTAACCAAGTATCTCCCAGGGATTCACCCTCTTTGCAACGTCGACAGGGAGAATTTTTTTGAGTTGAGATGATTAATCTGGAGAGAATAGGGTCGAGTACCGCCTTTCCTTTTCTTCATAGCCTGACGCAATGGCACCTGTGAAGTAGGGTTGCGTGTCTTTGTCTCCTCCTTGCTTGTGTCAGCTCCAATGATGAGTGGGAAGTTATGGACTTCTGCGACTTGCTGCTTGAGTGCACGAAGGTTGCTCACACAAAAATCAAAAAAATGGAATTTCTGGGCCACTTTCGGCAAAAATGAAAAATCCAAAGCCTGAGGCTTGACTCTAGTTTCACACACAGAGTTGCCCAAATGGCCTAGAGAATGCCTGTAGACACTACTGAGCTTCCCCTTTCCAACTCTTAGCCCACCTTTTTCCTCGAGGTAAAATCCAATCCTGAAAGTGGGACTAGTGCGAGGCTCTGTGCCATATTAGAATTGCTTACCTAGTATTGCTATCCATTTCTGGGTTGTCAAAACCTTGCCGCATATAAATAAAATGTATTGAAGGGAGACAATGCCTGGGCTGAAGCGCCATTTTATTTATTAGGAATTCAGTTCAAGATTACTTTATTTCCATTAAAATATATTGATAGATAAGGAAGAAAGTTAAAGGATATTTCTGTTCTACTTTTAAATCATTTTGTTAAAATATTTTGAGGTTATGTTGAATTATATTTCAATAGAAACTAAAAATTGGAAATAGAACCAAAATATTGCTATGCACTAATAATTTAAAAGTCTATTAATTATGTTGAAGTTTTTTCATATTCTTTTAGTTAATTCAGATATTTTGATTTAATAAAATAGAAACTTCTGGATTATTTTTTGGCATTTGTTCTTATTCCCCCCATTGAGCGAGCAAAACCATTGAAAAAACTATTTTTTTCCCAAAAACCCATCCTCGGTGAGCTAACAAAATTTTTTACGAAAAAAAAAAATTGATATATAAGTGATAATTATTATAATGAAATCTTAATTTTGAATTGCATTTTTAAAAAATAAATTTTACAAATTAAATTAATATTTGTTTTCAAATTTTTGCGAAACTGGAATTTTTTACATTTTGACATAAACTTTTAAAAAAAAAAACCACTGTTAGCGAACACATTTTTTGTTCGCACACGAAGGAGGGAAGAGTTAGTATATCTAATTTATTATTTGATTGAAGTGTCTTTAATACAAAACACTTTTTAATTTTCTCTAAAATATTAAATAATGGCTAAAAGCTTGCTATAGTCAATAAAACTAAGTATATAAAGCTGTCAGTTATAAATGCTCAATTTTTATCCTTCAATTTTATCCAGGAACGTTTTATATTTCAATTATTTATTAATACCTTTGAAATAAGTCAATCAATTTTCTGGCATTCAACTTTATATTCGATATCAAATTTCAACTAGGCCTCATAGCAATTTTTTATATTTCATTATCCAGAATATATCTTTGGCCAGATCTCTTAATAAGGGAGTTTCATATAGATATTAAATGGAATCAAGCAGCATATCATCTCAATTCTTGCATTATGGCTCGCTAATTACAATCAAAACCGCCGATAATTTTTACCTATACTCCAAAGGTTTTATAGACAACAACCCTATACTACAAGATGGCCTCGATAGCGTGAGCGATTTAATTGGGGCTGTATTTCGCATAATCCCTCAATGTATGTTTTCAACCCAAAAAGAAATTCTTCGCTATATTTCTGACAGCCGAGGAGGCGTTCAATCATCAAAAGTAAGCCGTCTAGAAGAAGCTCTAGATGGCGAAATCAAGACTAATATACATACCTATAACAATTTCAAAGGAGAAGCTATAAAATATGGTTCTCTTATCCAGCTTGAGCACATTCAAAGCCATAAATTCTTGACACTAAATAGCCAAAAGAGCTCAGAAGTGGAAAGGGAAAACCTAAAGCTTTCTCTAGAAGATTACGGCAGCGAGTATTCACATTTCCGGATTGAGCCGAGCTTTCGGTATCAAAAAGAAGGGAACGGGCTAGTAAGATTGAATGACAAAGTGCATTTTGAAATTGCAATTCCTGAACTCAATAGAATGGCTTATTTACACTCTAGCAAAGATACACTGATTTTGCCTCCAATCAGCAGACTGATGACTGGACTTTCAGCATCAGGAAGTGAGGAGCAGCCAAACTCTTTAGAAATCAATGTTTCACTTGATAAGAAAACTCGCTGAGCTATCAATTTGTATGCTCCTTTTGTAAAAGATAGCAATCAATATTTATCGTGCGGAGATTATATATGGCTGACTAGAGTTGAAGAACAAGTATGCCTTTGTGCAAATTTTCGTCAAATGGGCCATCAACGATTGAAAATGATTTTCAATGAAAATTTGAGCGATACAAATGGACTGTGAAAAATTGAAGCTGAAAATCAATACCAAGGTGGGCTTGTAAATATAGAAAACCGATATAGACTCAAACATATTTCTTCTGGGAAATATCTGACTATAAAAGAAAGAAAAAGTGCTAAACTGGCCAAAGCATCTGTTAAAACCCTTGAATTTCATAAGCTTAAACTAGGAAAGATCTTACATGCTAATAACTTATGAAAATTTGTTCCTTTAGAAACTAAGCCAGGAAAAAAATTTTTAGAATCTGAAGAGTTATGCAAGTTAGTCAATGCAAATCTAGATGCTTCATTTATTGGAAAGGAAGTCTTGTCGTCTAAAAATATTACTAAATTTGCTCCAAGAGTTACTTTTAATGTAGATGAATTGACATATATAAAACTCTCAAGAGCAGGTGGTGCAATTGTATGAGAAACTTTATTTTTGCTTAATTGCTATCCGATTTTATGCAGCTTCCCTGAATATGTCTCAAGGAATTCGTCTTTGGTAGAAATGGATAATAAGGCTGTCAAGGAATATGAAAAATATATGATTCTTATCAATAAATGCATAAATGATTTAGAACTGTTTTGCAATAATAACTACATAAATCGAAATATGGAGTCGATCGATGTTCTCCCGAACAAAAATTCTCCTTATGGCCAATTTTGATTATGAGGTTTGATTTCACACAGCAAATTTATCCCAGTAATATGGCATAGCTTACCTAAGGTGTGCAACATTGGACACTATCTCTAGGGACACCTTCCAGGTGGTCGAGACTCTAAATGGTTAGCTTGCCTGGTGGCGCAAGTTGGTTTTATCTTAGAGCTGGAAGGATAGCTGTCAAAATCTGAGCGCTCAAAGCTGAGGCACCATTCAGATCAAGACCAAATGGTGAGCCCGTCCAGGTAATGTGGGTATTTGACGTTAAACGAAGAAAAAGTATAACTAATTCAGATTAGATTTTGCAATAATAAGCTGCAAAGTATGGTTGGGATGGATAATCAATATGGAGAAGTCCAAAAAGCAAGGCAAAGAATGCTGAAGGAACAGCAGTTCTTTGAAGCTCTAGCACAGATTTTAGATTATGCGTTACAAACTGAAAATGAAAAGTCCAGAGTCGAAAAATTGCAGTGGAATAATAACATGTACGTGGATTATGGCTCCTTAAATCAAGAGCTAACTGATTTCTTTTCACCAAGAGTTCACGACGCTGACCCAGAAAGCATGAGAATCAAATGCCTGGCACTGGTGATCACAAATACTTATCGACTTATTTCAGTGATTTGTCATAAAAACTACGAAAACCAGCTTTACGCTTTCCAGTTCTTCAAAATTTTTATAAAGCATGTAGGACTCAACGTAGGCGCAACAAAATGTATGTTAGATATACTGAGAGAAAACGAAAAATTGCTATTGGAAATCCATGAAGCAAAAAATGACAACATCATTGCCCACTATACGAATTTATTGAAATTTTATCAGCATGACAAAAAGCCTCAGCTTCTTGATTTCTTGAGAACTATTTGTGTCTATAAAGGAGACAGCATTGCTGTAAACCAAGAAAAGATTTTTAATTATATTTTTTCCAGCCAAGAAACTAAAGACCAAGTATTGATTTCTACCAGTATAATAAATGACGAAATTTATATAATTGGAGAAAAAGGAGAAGACCCTGTTCCATTGAGAAGCTGCTTTTTTGAAGGGAAAATCATTGACTACCCAGGAACTATTATTTATTTTATCAAGCTATTGGAATTGTACGCTAACTTATGCTTTGGTAGGAATTATATGTGCACAGAGTATCTCAAAGAGCAGTTTTCTTTAAAGTCTTTGCAAATAATGATAGCAAATGAAAACCTGAGCAAACAGCTGCGAGCTGCACTAGTCAAGCTGTCGCTGTCGATTTATGTTGATACTTAAATATACATAAAAATGGTGATGACATACCACCCAACCTCTCGACCCTATTTCTTCAGCACCTGTAGGCAGCAGCCCAGTGATGGAGATTTAGGTGGAAAGGGTTGGTAATCCTTTATGTATATCGGGCTAGGTTTTCCTCGGGTCTCAGGGAGCAATCCTTGGGACTTAGAGTTTTTCCTCCAGAGCAACCATTAGAAAGGGCAAGGTCGGCGACGCCTGAAGGGAAATGTGACCCTACAGGCCCTGAAGACAGTATTTGCCTAACGAGAAGCTGGGAGTTTAGACCAATGTTTGGCCCTTAGACTCCAGGAGCCATGGAAGTCAAAATCAGTGCTCGAGTCCCCTGTTTGCGGCAATAGGGAGGGCGTCCGTCGAGCCTATTTCGGGAAGGTTGAACGTGTAGGGGTGGAAATCCCTGGACCTGGTAAGCGAACGGCATAATCATAATCATGTTGATACTTATCCAAGAGAAGAGTTTGTAAAGCCAGAACTTATTAAAGTACTTATCTTAAGGGGTGGGTTTTCTTCAGGTGATGAACTTGTGCGCCACAACACAAGATTTTTATCAGAAGATATGAAAACGATAAATTTGACTCCTAAAAGTGTTCAAAACATAAGAAAATCTAAAAAATCCATATTAAGAGGGCTAGGAAAAGCAGCTGAAAAAGTACTAAAATTTAAAGCGCCAGGGATCGTTACACCTTTAGCAGGAGAAATTGACAGGTTTAATGAAGAGGATAGACTTAGCAAAGATTTTCTTCAAACAGTCATTCGCTATTTTGATCATCAGGCAGAGTTGGCAAGCTATGACGTCTTAACTTATGAAATTCTAAGAGTTGCAAACAAGCAGCTAAGATTTGAGCTCTTCGGAACAGTCTGCACAGATTTTGTAAACGAATACGTTATCAGAGATCCAAGAAGTGGAGCTTTTAGAGTAAAAAATATGGATCTTCTCAGATTTCTAACTTCTGTATCCAAAATATTTTTGAAGCAGCATCCATCAGTTTCAGAAAGATCAAAGATGTATAAAAAAAGAGCTTCAAAGTTATTTGCAGAAGATGAAGAAGACTCAGGCAAAAAGACAATTAAATCTACATTTCTGACAGGCTTGCTAAATGATCCTACCAGTTTATCTGACCCTATTATCAGATGTGCAGCCAATTTGAGAAATTTTCTGTATCTCTTAAGACAATCTGCTTTGCAAAACCCTGACCAAAAAAATTACGAAAATAGAATAAAAATCAAAATCTGCCGAATGCTTCATTATTACCTTGACTGACGACAAGAATTCTTAATCAATAATATTACTCAATGGTTCAATACTCTTGAAGACACAAGAAACTGAAAGACTGAAATAAACATAAAAAATCTCCTTCCAAAAGTGATGAAAATTTCTAAGTCTTCAAATATAACACCAAGCTTAGAGAGCATGGTAGCAGAAATCTACAATTCAGATTTCAATAAATATTATAACCCGAAAATCCCAGATCTTAATGCAATTTCTGAGAAGCCGATCCTTTATCAGCTCTTAAAAGTGTTTATTTCCTCTACAGACCATTTACTCCAATCTCTCACAGTGAAGCTTATAATCAGATGTTTTAAACAAAGGGAAGAGTTTTTGCTATCAGTTAAGCGGCTCTATGTTATTAGCAGTGAAGGCGATAAATTATTACTAAGGTGGGTCAAAAAGAGCCTTACTAGTTTTAGACAATATAGCGAGCAAAGTGAACTGTGACTGAATTATTGGAAACAAAATGATTATCTGAAAGTCAAATATTGGGAAAATTTCCAAAGTGTTATGGATTTCCTTGTCAAGCTTGGCAATATCTTTTATGAGGATACTTATATAAAAGATGGAGAGCCAAGCATAGGAAATAAAGGAACGATTTCTAAAGCAAGACAAGACATGCTTTACTACTTAGGCGCCCATAATCTTATTATAAGACTACTAAAAGATGGGATGCATACACTTGCTGATTTATATGAAGCTCCTAATGAGCACATACAGGAGCCAAGACTGCATATAAGAGAACGATGCCAGTCATTTAATAGGAATTTTCCCCTTATATGGCATTTCCTCTGAGTTTTTGTCGTAGTATTTTTCTCGTTACTCCCTGATCGAACGATTGACTGTAAAAATTCCTAAAAAATTGGGAAATTAACCCCCATCCTTGATCGAACGATTTTCATATCATGCAAATTTTTTATATATATAAAAATATATTAGTTATCAAAAGCTTGGGAAGATGCGCCTAATGAAGTTGTTTTCACGGACTTTGAGACGACAGAAAGCTTCGAAATCAACTATCCGAAGTGATTTAGTCATCAATCTAGGCTTAAAAACTCAATAATCTAATAAAATAGAGATTCTTTAGAATTTTAAAAAAAAAAATTTAATTTAATAAGGAACAAATTAAAATTTATACAGTTTAAAGGAGTAACTAATAAATCAAAATATTAAAAATTGGTATTTTTATGAAATTAATTCAATTTTTTGCTGTAAAAATAATTATTTAAATACTCTTAACCCTCTTATTTAAAAGTAAATAAAAAAATATATTATATAAAATTTTTTTTCCCAAAAAAATTTTTTTTAACCTCCATCCTTGATCGAACGATGGCGAGTCATTCGATCAAGGATGGGGGGGATTAGATAATAGCTAAAATTATGTAAATTTATCACGAGGAATAAATTATAAAAAAGGACCCACGAGGTATATTCCGATCAATGACGCAGAGCATAAGAGAACTATTCACACAGTGCCACAAAATCCTCAGGAGATTCGTATATATGCACACTCGAAACCAAAAAAGATTGCATAAACACATTCATGTATTTTTACAACATTTGAGGATCGATGTAGACCAAATCCCTTTAATTTGCGAAATTTATAAAGATAACTATAGCTTGCTGTCACAAATAAATAAAGATATTTTAAAAAGGTTTAAAAAAGTCATATACTCTGAAGGTAGAAGACCTATCTATTTGGAATTTTTAGATGTCATTCAGACATCTAAAGGAAAAGCTCTGTCGCAAAATCAAAGATATGTTATAAACTTCTTTGTTAAAGAAGAATTTAATAGATTTTTGCTGTATATGAGGAAAGAATAATCAAAGTATGGAGCTAAATAATTTTCCTGCTATCTCAGGCAGAAGTTCCTCATTTGGAAAATTTTGATTATCAGGCTTGGCTCCACTATGCGAATTTATCTTGGCCAAGGAATGTGCAGTGCAGCACCCCTGCCTTAGGAAATAAATTTCTGGAAGTTTACCAATCCTAGCAGTGAGAATGGGGCCTTAGGGTTAGTCTTTCGCACTGGCGATCAGGGTTTTATTGGATTAAGGCCAGACGGTCTGCAAAGCAGCTTTTCAACGATAGCTATTATTGTTAATGTGAAAAGAGACATCAAACTATAAGATAATTAAATAAAATAAGCTCGTATATGAATAATGAACCCGAGCCAGAATTTATTTTTGAGGCTGAGAGACCTAAAAATGCCAGTTGATCATATCAGGATATTCCCTATGAATATCATGGAAAACTACTAACTGTATTATCAAAATGTGGATTTGGAGTAAGCGGAATGTATTTAAATGAAGCAAAATGCCAGAAAATATTTAGGCTGCCAAGTATTTTCCGATTACTTGAACATGCAGAAAATAAAAGCAACCCTTTTTATCGACTTAAAATTCCTATCTTAGACTTTTTATTCAATATTTATATTGACTGCGAAAAAACTAATGATGATGTAAAAGAATCTGCTGATTTTATTTCCTACATGAAATCACAGGTCGAGTTTGTTTCAAAAATATCCTCCCTTGACAGCTCTTATGTGATGTTTTTACAAATATGGGTAAAAATCCTGACAAAATATAGTAACTCTCACTTAAATACTCGAGAAGCATATATAGAGACCAAAGAGGATTTCCTAGCAATAAAAGCTTATACGCAAGCTTTATTTGATAATCATAAGATTTTCTACTCAAGGAAAGTTCCAGAATCATTGATTCAAAACATTTCGATCCTTTGCAGTAAATTTGGGCTTGAATTTCCTATAATCCAATACGAAGAATATCATGATATTGCTATGGATCCCTTTGATTCTTTAGTTTTACTTCGGGATGACTCAAAATACGAGCTTAAAGATTATTCAAGTGAAGCAATAGAGTGCTGAAACCAAGTAAAAGAAGAGTTATTATATGATGACGGGATAAAAGAATACTTGAAACTTGAACAAAAAGCTTTAAATATAGCAATATATAGAGCTGAAGATTTAGGAGAAGGCCTTACCTTTGAAAATATTATCGAGTCGCTTATCAATTTTATCAGGTCAAGCAGATCTCAGCAAGATGAAATTGACACCATAGTTAGCGCTATTGAGCTATTGGCCTCATTAATAGAAAATCCTGTATGCAACCCATACGACGATGCTGAAGAAATAAAGGTAAAAATTCAAGATCAGCTGAATAGCTTTGGGGTAAGCCGAGTTGTGCTTGCTCTTATGTGCGACCCTGAAGTCAATAAACAAGTTTTTCACGCTCTGCTTGAATTATCAATTCAATTACTTGACGGAGGCAATGATAAAGTTCAGCAAGAATTTTATCAGTATTTTATAGGAGTTGCTGGATCGGAGTATTTCTTTGAAAAAATCCACAATACCTTGCTTGAAAATGTCTCAAAACTTGCCAGCGGGCATATTTCTGAAATAACAAGAGTTCCTGTATATAAATCGAAAAAAGTTCAAATGAGACGAATCCTGAGAGTTCTGCAGCTTTTTTGTGAAGGCCACTTTACTAAGCTGCAAAACTATATAAGACATCAAGAAAAATCGAGAGCTAGCTATAATATTATTGATGACATTGTATCATTATTGGACATGCTACTGAAAAAAATGTACTTCAAGCACTTTTTCGAAATTTCTCAATGCTTTGACACTCTCACTGAAGCAATTCAAGGCCCTTGCAAAGAAAATCAAGAAAGTATCATTGACGGCAAATTTTTGGAGCTTGCTGCCTATTTATTGTCTCTCGACGAAAATAGTGGTGGAGTCCAAGTTTATGAAGCTCTTAAAGGAGATCGTGATTTTATTCACTTACTCCCCCCCCCCCCTCCGTGAGTGAACAAAACCATTAGAAAAATCGCTATTTTTGCCCAAAAACCCACCCTCCGTGAGTGAACAAAAATTTTTTTAATAGAAAAATTTTTTATGGAAAAAAATTTTGATATATATAAATGATAATTAGTATAATGAAATCTAGAGCTAATTCTGTTTAATTTTGAACCAATTGCTTTTTAAAACATAAATTTTATAAATTAAATTAATTTTTGCTTTCAATTTTTGCGAATTAGGATTTTTTTTAAATTTCGAAAAAAAATATTGTTAATAAAATTTATATATAAATTTTTTTTAAAAAAAAAAAATTAACCCCCCTCCGTGAGTGAACAAAATTTTTTTGTTCACTCACGGAGGGGGGGGGGAGTTAGAAACTATTAAATCATCCCAGTCAGCAGAGCAATTAGAAACCATCAGTGGATGGATGATTTCTCACTTGAAATACAAGTGCATGATTACTCTGCTTAGTCTTCTTGAAGGACGTAACGATAATTACGTTATATCTAGAATCATTCGTGCTTTTAATGTTGAAATTTTTAAAGAAAACTTAATCAGTATTTATGATGGATACACAAAGCTCTATAAGAAAGTAACCTACACTGACCAGATCTTTAGCCATCATGCAAAAAACGATAAATATCAATTCGGATTCCCTGATAATCCTCAAGATAAAAATCCTGAGTATTTTACTGTAATCATAGAGGTGGGATTTATGATTTTCCATCTAATGAAAAGCTTTCACGACAATGATGATCCTGAAAACCGTGAAGTTGTAGAAGAAGAACTCCCAGAGCTTGAGCTTGAAGAAGACACAAATGTTTTCTTTGCAAAAAAGATTTTGGGAGATTTAGGGAAAGTGGGATTTGCACTTGTCAAGGACACCATGAATACTGTTGCAAAAGCAACTGATATGCTATCTCTCAGAGATTCAAGAGGTCCTGCTTTAGAGAAATCAGGGATTTTAGAAGCTGCTTATGAATTTTTTGGGAAATATACAGGAAATATTGAAGTCGTTTTCAATGGATCTTTAACAAAAGTATATTTCTCGCTTCCTCCTGAATTTGTAGGCTTGAACAAAGAAATCAAAGAAAATTTCCATAATAACGCTGATAGAACTTCAGACCAAACCAAGCTTCGATACCTGATGATGAAAGCAGACGGAATAGTTGAGCAAATCAAAAACAATCATAAGATGGAAATGCTGTTTCAAAAGTACCCATTTGTGTCTGTGCTTACTTCCAATGTCACATTATGGGGAGAGTTGGTATTTTACTTAACACTTATTTTGAACTTTTTTATCATTTTTTCATATGCGTATTATGGGGATATGACTCTATACAAGCCTTCTTTGTTTTATGAAGAAACTGGGAGTGATGTAGATGGCGGGCTCAATTCTGATGATACTAACTCCGCTTGGCTAGTGAGCAAAAATACTAACGAAGGAAGATGCATTTTCACAAAATTAGAGATTTTTCTAAATGATTTTGCTCGATAACCAAGAGGTAGTAAGCAGGCAATAGAAGCTATTGGTATAGTGCTGGTGGTTTGCACCGTTTTTATTGTTGGAGTGTTCTTATTGAAAACTGGTCCAGTTCTTGCAAAGCGTGGCTGAAATAAAAATGCACCAACCATTGAGTTTTGGAAAAGCAACCCATCAAAACGGAAAATCGCCTTAAAAAGACTTAAACAATCATTATGAACTCTTTTATATGTATGAAGCAACTGAAATGTGATCTACTATTGTCTTTACTTTGCTATTGCTTTATGCGGAGTAGTTGTTCATCCTTTCTACTTCTCTCTTTTGCTTTTAGATATGCTTTATCGCTATCCTGCATTGCAAAATGTGATAAAATCTATCACAATGCCCAAGAAAGCATTAATTTTGACCTTCATTTTTATGCTTGTTATTGTCTATATCTTTGGCTTGGTTGGCTTTTGAAAATTTTCAGAGTACTTTAATGGTAACTGTCCAAGCTTATTTTACTGCTTTCTTAATGTCTGGGATAAAGGCTTCAAGGCAAATGGAGGTATAGGAGGATACTTAAAGCAATGGACTGACGGCTCAATGAACACAGGCAGGCTTATTTATGATAATCTTTACAATATCATTATTATGATCATTATGCTAAACATTGTGCAGGGTATCATTATTGATACATTTGCAATATTAAGAGAAGCTCATGAGCGAAACACTTCTGATAGAGAAAACAAGTGCTATATTTGTGGAATGGAAAGAGATTTGATAGAAAGAGTTACAAGCAAACCTTTTAGATATCATACGCTTACTCACCTCTTTGGTTAGCGAGTGAAATCGATAGAAAATATCTTTCGTTAGCGAGTTAAAAATATAGAGTAAATTAATTTTTTTATTAAAATATTTTGATATATAATTAATTATGATCATATTAATTCGATTTCTCGTAACTCCTATTAAATTTTAAACAATTTGCATCCTTAAAAATTACTTTATAATTAATCAAATATATTTAATTTTTTTAATCCAAAAAAAAAGTTTTTATTAAAAAAATTAATCCCTTGATTTGATTATTTTCTCACTAGCAAAGGCAGGCTAGGGAACACCATGAATGAAACTATATTCTTTATATAGCTTACTTGAGAGCGAAAGAAGAAACTGAGTACACAGGGATTGAAAGTTATGTGAGAGAGCAGATTGATAACAAAGATTTTCAATGGTTTCCACAGCATCAAGCACTCTCAGTAAAAGAAGAATCAAACACAGAAGAAAAAAGGCTGCTTGACAGTGCTTTGAGGATGGAGGAAAAATTAGCACTGATGGAAGAAGAAATCAAGAAATTTAAGAACATTTATTAAGCAATGTTCCTATAAAAACTAAATTGATAAATTAATTTTATTTGAATTTTGAGAATATAAAATTGAATTTCAAATATTGATAGCCATTTATAGGAAACATATTATTATTGTTATTGGTTTCCTGATTTTTGTTCTTTGATATGATTAGCATTTATTTTCTCATCAGCTAGCCTTTTCAAAAAATTCCGTCATCCTCTCGCTTCAAGAAGCGCTCCTTTCTCATAATTGCAAATTGTATTTATCCAGCTTTCTTCATTAGCATTCTCTCCAAACCATCCAGTAACTTCATCAACACAATACCTTTTAGCTTTTTTTAACTCTTCTATATACATTCTATTTTTTATTTCATTTGAATGGATGCTTTGACCAGTAACAACGAGTCGTCCCAATGTTTCTAGAGAAATATCAATAATTTTCTCAATCTTTTCTCTTATTATATCTATTTCTATAATATTCTGAGATCCAACGTCAAAAATTTGAAAAAAGAGCCTTGCTTTGATTTCTGGTTTTCCTTTACTTAGAAGTATTCCGATAATTAATACATCTTCTAAATTGATATCTCCATCCCGGCTCCTTAATTTATTCCACAAGTCGCTGATCTTCAAATTCAACCCATAGTTGCAGATTCGAAATCCCAAAATTCCAGATGTTCTTTCAAGTTGCCCTTGGTTAAGTTTATTGTTATAACTAAACTTCCTTAATACTAAATCTACTTGAAGTGGATTTACTTTATCAAAGCAAAGTCCTAGCTCAGCGTTTTCTATTGCAAATTCTTCACTATTCGAAGGTCTAGCTTCAATACATCCCATATTATGAATACTTTTAGCTATTCTCAAGAGGTAAGAGAAGCTTTAAGTAGAAACTTGCCAATTGTCGCCCTAGAAAGCACTATTGTTTCTCATGGAATGCCTTATCCAGACAATGTTCGAACTGCTATAGAAGTCGAAAACGTAATCAGACATCATGGAGCAATCCCAGCTACTATTGCAATTTTGCATGGAATTATTCACATTGGTTTGGATAGAGACTCACTTGAAGAAATAGGTAGGGCTGGACTATCATGCGTAAAATGCTCACGAAGAAATTTGCCTCACGTAATCAGCAAAAAATTGCATGGATCCACGACTGTGGCTGCAACAATGTTTTTAGCTCACAAAGCTGGATTGAAGTTTTTTGTGACTGGAGGGATTGGAGGAGTTCATAGAGGAGCTGAAGAAACTTGGGATGTAAGTGCAGACTTAATTGAGCTTGGAAGAACCCCAGTGACTGTAATTTGTGCAGGAGCAAAAAGTATTTTGGATATACCAAAAACGTTGGAGTATTTAGAAACACAAGGAGTCCCTGTTGTTGGATTTGGGACTGATCATTTTCCAGCATTTTTTTCTCCCAGTTCTGGATGTGAAGTTATGTGCAGATTGGACACCCCAAGAGAATGTGCAGATATGATGAGGGCTAATGAAAGCTTGGGGCTAAATAATGGAATTTTAATTGGAGTGCCACTACAAGAGACAGATATTGCGGTGAATTCAGAAGCTGCTATACAGACTGCTTTGGTTGAAGCAAAGGACCAAAGAATTATTGGAGCGAGAGTGACCCCATTCTTATTGCAAAGAGTAAATGAGCTTAGTGGAGGAGAGAGCTTGAAGGCCAATATAGCTCTGATTAAAAATAATGCTATGATAGGTGCTCTTATCGCTAAAGAGTACAACTTACATCTTTTTACCATTGAAACAGAAGTTTTCCTCTTAATAGTCTAGTTTCTATATAGCTAATTTCTTAAATAAATTTATATATATATATGATTCATCAGTATTGAAAAGTTAGCAGATCAAGAAAATAATTCTAATCTGAGGAACGAAGAAAGAAACGATTAGTTAAATATTATTGGCCAAATATTTCTATTTAATTCTGGCTTTAGAAATTTATCTACTAATTATATTGCCAATTAAAATCGTTTAAAACTTAGCTCGTTATTAATGGCTTCGCAACTTTTCTTGGGAATCTTTGAGAAGATTGAAGATCAATCATTTCTTCCCAATTATAAGGCATCAATCTTTCTCCATTATTTCAAGCCAAAACAACTCCTAACTCTGTTTCTGCGGTTGATAAGTAAAATGATTTTGCATCTCCAAGTGAAATGATCCTTGCTTTAACAATATCCCCAGGCTGGAAGCATTTATCAATTTGCAATTTTTCGATTTCATGCTTTCTTACATCAGATAATCTAATAATTCCTAAAAATGAGCCTTTTAAAGCTCTTTCTTCTACTGCCAAAATATTTGCTTGAGCATTGTTAAGTGTGAGTTTGACAATTCTGCACAGCACAATATTTCCAATTCTAGGGATTATCTGGCCTTTGTTTATTACAGAAGCATGGCCGTTTTCAATAGAAACATCTCCGCATACTGTAGCTCGTAATGAATTTTTGTATTTATAAGTCCCTTCACCTCCTTCCATATCAGGTAAAATTGACCCTGGAAAAAGCATTTTTATATTGAAGATTATAGTGTCATATTTAAAACTAGCAAAGATTTTTATATTTGAATTTAATTGGAAATATAAACATTATAATTTTTACAATGTTATATCTTTATAATAATAACTTTAAGATTTTTAATTGGTTAATCTTATTCTTTCTCTTTCATTTAGAACCAAAATCCTGGGATAAAAATTATATTCATTTTATGCAAATTTTTTGTGAAAATCTTTTTACATCGATTCTGAGTGATAATTTTGTTTGAATACTATACTTGCATTCGTCATTTAAAATAAATTTTTTATAGCTAAATTTTTATTTTTTTAATAATAAAAATTGGGTATCAAGCTATTTACATATAAATTATTATTTTTACTGATAAAAAATTAAAATTTTGTTCCAATTAAAAGGAGTTAAATTAAAAAATTTATCGATGTTTTGTTTTAATTTAAATAAGCAAGTTAAAATTAAAAATTAATTACTTCCTCTTACCTCTGGCTCTTTCTGCAAAAGTGGCTATTTTTTCCCATACTCCATCCATCAAAATTAAGATTGCTGCCATAAGTGCCAAGTTGGCCAAGCAAACTTGAAAAATTTCTTCAGTAGGAGCTGAAAATGGGTTATACACAAAGAAATTTCCTAGTAAAATGATATAAAATAGCATTTCGCCCACTTCTTCAACTTTTAACAAAAATAAAATTGAAAAAAGTAAAATCGCGCCTCCGTAGGCTTGTATAACTATTTTGGCATCTGGAGTATGAAGTGTAATATAACTCGCATAATAAGTTGCAGGATTACTCCAGATGAATAAGTATAGCTCTGGCTTTGTAAGCATTCTTAGGCCTATAATGATCAAGATACCCATCAGCAAGAACTTCCCTGACTGTTTGCTTAGTCCCATTTTTATTAATTTAGATATTTAATTAAATTATTCAGGGTTTATTCTTTTATCAAACCAATCTACAACGTCATCTCTGCAAGCATCAAGCTCTCTTAAAATTTTATTTTTCGATAAATTAATTTGTTTTTCTAGAGAGGCTTCTTTTGATTCCTCAACTGAGCATATTAACTGTTTGGATTTTTGAGGGGAGTGAAAATGTTTTTCTCTGCCTTTTCAGAGCCGAAGAGGTTTTAGCTGCCAACTCATTGCTTCTTTTTCTTCTTTATATGATTTATCAAGAATGCCTGATCTTAGAGAATCTAAAATGGTTTCACAATGATCTGAATCAGGTTTTGAAAGCAGAGACTTAGTTCTCATAAATCTATCTCGTATGTTTCTATAATGAATCTTCTTAGAAATCTCTATGTTAGGTAAATGAATTGGGTTACGGTTTTTTATACCTTCCCCTTTTCGTTGGAACAATAAAAATAATATTTCTATGAAAAACAACTCTAAAACTGATTTATATGGTTAGTTTTCATCAAAATCGAAAATTTACCGATATTTTGTTTATTTTACAGGGGAAGTACTAGAATATTTCATAAGCAAACCTTGCATTTTGTATCGAAATTTGCAAATTAATCTTCATAAAAAATTTATTTTATATTTTTAATTAAAAAATTATATTCACTGGAATATTATTTTTGTTTCAATTTAAAAAGAGAAGTAAGGTCTTCTATATAAATTTCTTTATCTGTAAAAGGTGTTGGAGTTTCTGATTTTTTAGAATTTTTGTAGCGAAATGGAGAATGATATTCTGGATTAGGAAGATCAGATATATTAAAAGTAGTCTTTTGCACAGGCTTCGAATTCGCTATAACTTCTTTGTGAGGACTTGGCTTTCGAGGCAAAAGTTTTGATTTTATTTTTTTGATTTTGAAGGTTAAATATTCATTTTCAACATCGGTTATTAGAGCTGGAGATAGGGAAAAGTTGATTTCTTGTTTTCGATACATACAGTCGATTGGGTTGAGCTTATTGCATTTTCATCTTGTGCTTCTTAAATGCAAATCCATTATTTTGAGATAAAAGCATTAAGTCCAAATTTAATAATGTTAACGGAAAATTAAATAATTATTTGCATATGTTCAATTGTTATAAAAACTCTAAACTAATTATTCTTCATAACAATTCCATAAATTGATATTAAATATTAAGGGCTTCATCACTGAAAAGCTTAGTGGCTTTGCTCTGAAATACTAATTAGCTTATTTTATTGCATTTTCTTAAAAACTTCTTAAAATTATAAGCGAATTTATCTTTTATTATTAAAATAAAATAAAGAATGCGTTTTTCTTATTTTTCAATAGATATTTGTTTTGTTGATTACGTATCAATAAATATGGACTCATCTTATTTATGGGTGTCCAAATCTGCTTACAATCAATTCATCCAGCCAGATGGGAAAAATCTCCACTGGACTGATGATATTAATTTTGAACTTCCTATATTCATGGAATCATCAGGACCTGGGGCTAGTCCTCCAATGACGTTCATAAATATTTTTCAAGATGCTTTGCAAACCCATGCTCAGCAGCCTGCTTTACGAGTAAAGCGCGGAGGAAAGTGGGTCACATGAACTTACCAGCAATATTACGATGATAGCTTACGATTTGCAAGAGCTGCAATTAATTTAGGAATTAAGCCTCGAGCAGTCACGAACATCATTGGATTCAATGCTCCTGAATGGCTGATTAGCTTTGCAGGCTCATTAATTGCTAATTTAGTTCCAATTGGAGTCTATACAACTAATGGTCCAGAGGCCTGCTTTTATATATAGGTATTTCCTATGAATTACTCGATAAGAGTAGGATATGGATAGGGAACACTTCAGTTAGTTGGACCAACTCATATTGGTCAAGCCAACTGGAGAGTTGACAATGAGCATCTCTCCTGTAAGCTTTGCCAACCTTAGTGACCCAACCCACTGGATATTTCCCTCTCCATTATCCTTCCCTTATCGGGGAAAAAAACATAGGAAATTCCAACAGCAAATCACAGTGAAGCTGAATTGTTAATTGTTCAAAACGAAATTCAGCTCAAAAAATATCTTGCAATTTGGGATAAACTACCTCGATTAAAAGCAATTATTGTCTATTTGCCTGGAGCAGAATTGGAGTCTTTAAGAGCTGGGAAGCAAATTTTTACATGGGAAGAATTTATGGCAACTGGAAGTGATGCTGAAGGAAAAGAACTTGCAAAAAGAATGAGAGAGATCAGTCCAGCTCAATGTGCAACTGTAGTTTATACATCAGGCACTACAGGACCTCCTAAAGGAGTGCTGCTTAGCCATGATAACTACATTTGGTGCGCAAAATCCTGCGTTGATGATGCCGAATTGATGGCAGCAGACCCCAATATTCTGGTTTCATATCTTCCTTTAAGTCACTCTGCAGCACAAATTATTGATATTTTTGGCTGCATGTATAAGAAAGGAATTTTATATTTTGCAGACGAAAATTGCTTGCAAGGGACTTTAGGCAATACACTTAAAGAAGTTCGCCCAACTTTTTTTATGTCAGTTCCAAGAGTTTTTGAAAAAATCGAGGAAAGAATTAAAGCGATCGCAGCAAGCAAAGGATCATTCGCTAAAAAAGTTGGCACTTGGGCTAAGAAAGTTGGATATGAAGGAACCATCGAGCAGCTTCAGCAGAAGCCAACTTCTTTGAGTTTTAGTATTGCAAATGCTATTATCTTTAAAAAAATAAAGCAAGCATTAGGATTAGATAGATGCAAGGCTTTCATTGTTAGTGCTGCCCCAATAGCGAAATCAACTCTTGAGTATTTTTTAAGCCTAAACATACCGCTGTTAAACGTCTATGGAATGTCAGAGTGTGCAGCCCCAGAAACTATGAACTATCTTCATAATAACAATATATGAAGTGTTGGACAGCCTGTGAATGGGACAAGGCTTAAAATTCTTAGCCAAAGCGGAGAAGAGGTGCCAAGAGGGACCCGCGGAGAAATTTGCATGAAGGGACGTAATAGATTTATGGGCTATTATAAGAATGAAACAGAAACTAAAGCAACAATTGATAAAAATGGTTTCTTGCACAGTGGAGATGAAGGATACCTTAACGAAAAAGGGTTTCTATTCATAACAGGAAGATTCAAAGAACTTATCATTACAGCTGGTGGAGAAAACATTCCTCCAGTTTTAATAGAGGACACCATAAAAGAGGAATGCAAACTAATTTCAAACTGTATGCTAGTTGGAGACCATAAAAATTATTTAGCTTTATTGCTAGCTATTAAAACCGAGCCTGGACCTGACCTGAGTTTGACCAGAGTTTTATCAGGAGAAGCATTGAGGATTCTTGCAGAAATAGGATCAACAGCAAAGACCTATGATGAAGCTATGAGTGACCAAAAAGTCAAAAAATATATACAGGAAGGAATTGATAGGGCGAATAAAAGAGCTATTTCGAAGGCTCAGCATGTGAGGAAATGGGTATTTTTGCCAAATGATTTCTCACTGCAAGGTGGAGAATTAACACCGACAATGAAATTGAAAAGGAAATTTGTAGCACAAAAATATGCTAGTCTGATTGAAGAGCTCTACACTAGTCCTAATTTATAATTAATTATAAAAGTTCTTTAATTGATTATAGAGAAATTCTGATTACAAAATGAGAATTAATTTATTTACAATGGAATTAGTATAAGCATTCTGTATATTATTTATCATTAATTTTTTGGCTTAGTGATAATCCTCTCTTTTGTTGGGTTGCTGAATAACCGATAATTGAGGATCTTACTCCTTTCTCTGTAAGGAGCAATTCATTAGAAATATCCCTAATTTTTTGTGGAAAAACCCTTAGTGTTCCAACAAATATTTTTTTAGTATAAAAAATTTTCTATATAAAATAAGTCTGTTCAAATTTAACCATTACACATTCTAAAGCATAAATTTTACAAATTAAACAATTTTTAGATATAGCTCATACCCCTTTATAGATTTCTTTATCGAGCAAAATGTACTGGATTATTGAACGACCAAGAGAGCCTCTATTAAAGGAACGGGCTGGATATCTATATCAGGAAGTGCTAAAAAGTGACATGTCAAAAAATGGTGACAAGTCTGAAAAAAATTTGGCAAGTGAACGCGCCAATTTTTAAAATGGATTTTATTATTAAAATAATTTTAAAACTTAAGATATTTTAATTTTAATCAATATTTAATTATGCTAAGTGCACAAATATGAGTCGATAAGAACTTTGTATATGTTGAGAATCACAAACCACACACTTTGCAAATTATAGCTCTAGTCTTCATAAATAAATTAACATAAAATAAAGAAATTCCATCGAGCCGGAAAAATGCACATCGAGTTGCAAGTTTTTTATTTTCGCTTATAAGCCATATTGAATTTTTGCTAAATACTTCTCATATGAGTCGATAAGAACTTTGTATATATTGAGAATCACAAGCTACGCACTTTGCAAATTATAGATCTAGTCTTCATAAATAAATTAGCATAACATAAAGAAATTCCATCGAGCCGGAAAAATGCACATCGAGTTGCAAGTTTTTTATTTTCACTTATAAGCCATATTGATTTTTGCTAAATACTTCTCATGTGAGTCGATAAGAACTTCTTATATATTGAGATACACAAGCCACGCACTTTGCAAATTATAACTCTAGTCTTCATAAATAAATTAGCATAAAATAAAGAAATTCCATCGAGCCGGAAAAATGCACACCGAGTTGCAAGTTTTTGATTTTCACTTAAAAGCCATATTGATTTTTGCTAAATACTTCTCATGTGAGTCGATAAGAACTTTTTATATATTGAGAATCGCAAGCCACGCACTTTGCAAATTATAGCTCTAGTCTTCATAAATAAATTAGCATAAAATAAAGAAATTCCATCGAGCCGGAAAAATGCACATCGAGCTGCAAGTTTTTTATTTTCACTTATAAGCCATATTGAATTTTTGCTAAGTCCACATCATATGAGTCGATAAGAACTTTGTATATGTTGAGAATCACAAGCCACGCACTTTGCAAATTATAACTCTAGTCTTCATAAATAAATTAGCATAACATAAAGAAATTCCATCGAGCCGGAAAAATGCACATCGAGTTGCAAGTTTTTTATTTTTACAGCTTAATATATATGAAAATCAAAATATTTAAAGCCAATATATAATGTGTAATTATATCTTCTGTCTAATTGGGTATCTTAAGTTTTAAAATTATTTTAATAATAAAATCCATTTTTAAAAATTGGCGCGCTCACTTGCCAAATTTTTTCAGACTTGTCACCATTTTTTGACATGTCACTTTTTAGCACTTCCTGATATAGATATCCAGCCCGTTCCTTTAATAGAGTCTCTCTTGGTCGTTCAATAATCCAGTACATTTTGCTCGATAAAGAAATCTATAAAAGGATATAAGCTATACCAATTTTTTCGAATTTAAAATAAATTTTTTTTAAAAATTTTTAGCCTTGCTCACAGATGCGGGAGTTAGTATTATAACTTCCAAAGCTTAGTGAGCTGTTCAAATCGCTCGGGATATCCACTGAAGCCCCACAGTCTTCAATATTTTTCAGCTCAAATCCTGTCACGTGCAAACTCTCATTCATAAACAGCTTTCTATTACTGTTATTTGAAGAAAACACCTGTGGACGTCTTAGCATAGGCTTTTTTAACGCACTATCCAACTCGCGCTCTGACTGGGACGCTAGAAGCTTGCTAGGAGAACTTGGAGCGGTCTTCAAGGCTCTATCATCCCATATAAAGCTATCAGGTGTTTGCCGACTTAAAAAATTGTTTTCATTATTGCCAGTCTTCCCAGGTTTTTTTGTGAGGGAGTTGCGACTTGAGAAAGTATGGAGGAGAGTTGGAGTGCTTGGCTTCTTCATAGGATAACGGGCATAGTGAGTATCATGGCCCTTTTTTAACGAACTTTTCGAATTCGAATCCATTTATTTCTTAATAGAACGTATCAATATGTTATGCATAGATTTTATAGATTTCAAACTTAATCATAGAGTGCTAAAATTTAAATTAATTTAAGTGTATTGGTAAATTTACTTTAATTCTGTGATATTTTTGATGGCAATTCAATATAAATTCCATAATTTGCTTTATTCCCACACATTCTCAGTAATTTTTCTCTTTCTTATGTTTCAAATTTATACAAATGGAACCCAAAAAATCAAAAACTTTAAAGTCAACTCGACCAATTTCTGCAGGCAAAAACACGATGGAAGTTATTGCTCCTCGTCAATCCACCACTGAGTCTCAGCGTTCTCGTAAAACTCCTACTCGTAAACTTGAAAGAGTTTCCTCACTCCATCTGCTTTAAATTGGAATAAAATTCTGTTCCAATTTAAATGAGCCTAAAAAAATTTATAAAAATTTTTAAAATTTAAGTCAATCCCTGTTCCTGATTGCCTCAACTTGGACCAAGAGCTCTGATTAACTGTAGATGAGACAATTCTATCCGTCGACCTGTTTCTGTGTCAAGTCTCTTGGACATCTCTTCCGTGCCAGCCTCAGTGCAGAATACTTCTCTTCAAGATGAGACTCTCAAGCAGTCGAGAACTTCTCTCACTGAGCTCGGTTGCAGGACCGTAGTTCTAACCTTAATTGCCATTTTAAATTTTGCCTTTAAAATTAAAAAAAGTGTAAATTGAAGGCGATATTTTGAGTTTTATAAAGAATTATTTAAATAATTAATTTATTGAGTGTATAAATGATTTAAAATAGCATTCTTAAATAGATCAAAACTATTTTTGTGAATAATCATATTTTCACATATAAAATTTTCATTTAAAAAAAATAAAAATCTTTCTCAAATCTAAAGAGAGTTTAATTTACACCAAAAAATTCAAAGCATATCAATATTTTTAAATTTAAAGTAGGGAGAGTCAGGATCTACCTCTCCCAGTACCTCCTTGACTGACTTTTCTTCAATTCGTCCCTCCACTCTTGACTCCACAGAAAGATCCCGTCTCGAACTCTTAGCCACAAACCCTCTAAAATCTTCTACAAGCATCAAAGAACTTTCCCAAAGATCCCAAGAGCTTCAAGAAATGCTGCGAGAAAAAGAGGAGCAAATGAAACAAATCCAATCAATTGTGAGCCAAATGCAAGAAAAATCTGAATTATTTGAGGAAGAAGAAAGCTATGAACAAGTAATGGACGCGTGAAGAGACATAAATGATGAAGGAAGAGAAAAAGCAAGGCAAAAAAGAATCAAAGAGATCGAAGATTTCACAGAAAGCTTGAAAAATCAGAGAGATGAGGAGGGTAATAAAATTGTGGAATTTCCAGAAGATTACGAAGAAATCCTACAAACAGCGACAGACCATGCAGTGCTCGCAAAAGAGGCAAATCAAGAAGAAGAAAATGTGAATTGGATACAGGTGTACCAAGCAAAGCATGCAAAGGAGAAAGAAGACACTAAATATAGGCAAAAGATGGAAAGAATTAAACAATTGGACTTGGTAATTGCTGAGAAAGAAAAGCAATTAAGAGATATCAGAAGCAGGGACTCGGAAAGTGATAGAAGAAGTGTTGATAGTAAGTTAAGTTAAAGGTTATTTCGACATAAGTAAGTAAATCCGCTATCTGTCATCCACATTAGCTCCAAAATGTCGCCCCTTTTGGATTTCTAACCTGAGTCCGCTATCAATAGACTAGCTCCATATACTAGGCACCATCTGTAGAATCCCCGATGGTTTCAATTAGAGAAGACCGTGTGGGAGGCAATACCTGTCTAGCCCATAGTAGGGACAGGAAACCTTTGGGGAAAAGCAAAGATTTCCCCCCTTGCAAGGTATCCCTAAGCCTAAAGGCACACTTCAAAAAGGACAGAGACCCTGCTTCAGCCTCATCAGGATGGGTCCGGCCGCTCCATAAGGAGTGCACCTCTGAGTCCAATTTCTCTCAACGTCATCATTTATTTTTCTTTGTTGGTAGTAAGGAATCTGTTTTCATTACTCGTCCAGGTGCAAAAAGTCAAGCTCATTCTGTTTCTTCTATTAGCACTCGAGCTCAACCGAAGGATAAGATTCTCAAAAATATAGAAGCAGCTTCCAATTATAAAGGGCATTATTCTTTAATCGATAGGCTCGGAAATAGCGACAAAACCAAGCTAGATCGGCTATTACAAGAAGCAGATTCGAAAGCAATACAAGAATATACAGGCATTATATCAAACGATACCTCTAAAAGATTAGAAGAAATTGATGCCGCCCTCAGGAACATGGTCCCCCAAAGTGATTGGGAATCCAGATCAATTTCTAATGGAGCCTCCTCTTCTGAAATAAGCTCCAAGAAATCTTCAACTGCTTCTAAAAAATCCAAAGCAAAGCCAGCAGAGCCAGCAATTTTAGAAGAACAAGAAAGAAGAAATGACTACCAAAGGATAAAAGAAATCAATAAATCTTTGGCTGAACTAAATATGAGACCTCAAAGAGCTTTGACTGAAGAAGAGCTCCAGAGTTTAGTTCTTGATGCTACATTATCCATTGAAAGCAGCAATAGAGAAATCCAAAAAGCAATTTTATATGATAACTCCTCAATGATGGATGAAGCTAAAGAAATAATCAAAAAATTAGAAAATTTGGAAAGCCTTGATGTTGGACAACTAAATAATCTTCTTGGCGATGCTGAAAATGCAGTAGAAAAGTATGAAAAAGCAGTTGAATTACAAGAAAAGGTGATTGAAAATGAACCCCAATTTGTGAAGGCTAGACAAACACTGGAACAGTTTATGAAAGAATGTGATGAAAAAAAGGTTGAGCTTGAAGATGCATTAGAAAAATTAAATAAAATGGATAGTCAGATACAGAAAGAGCTCAGGGCGTGCCAAGATAGCGAAGAACTTGAAAAACTGGCTGAAAATGAGAAAATATATATTCCTGAAGATAAGCAGTTGTCAGTTGAAGAAATAGACCAAGAAATTGAAGCAAAGGTTATGAACAATTATAACCAGCCGCAATCAAGTTTTAGTGATCTGGCTGATATTAATCCAGAAAATTATCCAACTTTATATTATATGTATGAAAGAGTTCTTCAAGAGCCAGATGGCGATAAGCTTATAAATCAAGTGACAAATAATGATGAATTTCGTAATAATGAAGAGAAGAATGATGAAGAATAAAGAAATTAATTTGAAGAAAATGCCAAAAATTAGCATCATTGGTTTTATATATTATTGTTCTTTAGAAGCGCATTTCTTCACTTAATTCTTTTAAATTCATACCGTAAATATTTCTTTCACGATTCCATATAGCATTGCAAGTGCTAAAAAGCCATAAATGATTTCTTTTAATAATTATGTAAGGCAACAATTTTTATAATGGCCAATACTAGAGAGTCAAAATCAAAAAGAATAGAAAAAAATAAAAAGTGGTAAAACCTTAGCTATCTTAACAAATTAAAGCTCAGAATGTGTAAGCAAAGAGAATTTCTGTAATTATTAGTTTTAAAACCAAAAGCTTTATTTTTATTTATTTGAATCACTGCTATCTTAATTTAACTTATAGTTTATATGCTTTAGGTCAAAATGAAATTTTAAATTCTGATCACAGCCTATCATAATTAAATATGGGGTCTCTGCCCAATGCAGCCATGCAGCCTTGAGTATATATTAAATTATATTTGAAAATGTTTTCCCATCCTAGAAATTGACAGCAATACCAGGTAAGCAAATCGGCAGCACGCGGAGCCTGGTCCAAGCCCGTTTAGGATTAGATTTTACCTCGTGAGAAGGAAGGAGACGTTTGAAGTTGAAAAGAAAAAACTCTGCAAAAGCCTTTTAGGCCATTTGGGAGCAGGCAATTCATGTTTAAACTCGAAGAGCTGGAAGGAAAGCCGTCAAAAATTAGGATCTGAAGCTAAGGGACCATTCAGAGGTGAAGCCGAGGTTGTGCATGATCAACGGTCGATGGGGGAACCCCAAAGCAATGATGGAAGTGAGTGCAGATAAATTGGTAGTAGACATTTCGTGGAGGACTTAAACCCTTAAATTAATCTATGTGTGTTTCACAAGCCTTTCAAATTTATATTCACTTCAGTAAATTATTATATTGGCCAAAAAACTTATAAATTCTGTTGAATTAGCCGAAATATTAATAGAAATAAAATGGGTGCATGCATTTCAAAACATGATAATCAAAGCCAGAATGCTTCAATGCTTCCTATTGTGCAACAAATTCCAGAATTTTATTATTTGTCCCGACTTAGCAAAGAGATCCTCCACATAAAGCCGCAAGCGATAACTAAGTATTCCCTTGGCAAAAAATTAAAAATTTATGAAGATTCTGCAATAGGGTATCTTTCCGACAATAAAATTATGGTTATTGGTGGGAGTGATAAAACTGGCTGTTTAGTTAATAACGCTTATATAATCGATTTAGCCAGCAAACAAGCTTCAGTTATTTCGAAGTTGCCTTTAGGGTCAAAGGGAGGGCACATATTTCAATATAACAAATATGTCTATTATATCGATGGGCTGATTGAAGGAGAGAATGAAGATTCTAATCTAATGGTAGAGCCTGCTCCTCTTATGAGATATAGCACAGATGACAACTGTTGGGAATATTATGTCAGCCATAAGCATGCAGTTAAGAAGGAAATAAAAACATTTTTAACAAAAAGAGTCACTGAAAGACATGATGACTATGAGACTAAAAGGTCTCATATCAGAGAGATTTCATACACAGATCTTATAAATTCAGGTATCTTTTTATATAATGGGAAAATTTATTTCATAGGTGGGCAGAGAATCAATACTATAGGAAAATTAAAGTCAACTAAAAAGATTTACTCTTTGGATTGCGATTCACTAGAATTTAAACTTGAACCATGCAGAATGCCTATAAAAATATTAAACCCTCTATGCGCAGTTCGTTCTAATAATGTTGTTATAGCTGGAGGAATTAATCCGATTGATAATAAGCCAAACTATCAAGCTTACACTTTGGTTTTCTCTGAAAAAATGGAATTCAAAAGACTAGAATCAATAAAAGACCCAATTTCAGAAAAATACCCACCTCTGACAACTAAAGAAGCTTCACTATTTTTTTCGTATCCAAAAGTGCATTATATAGATAATGGCTTATTAAAATGGTCTCAAAAAGATATTGATGAAATCTCATCAAAAGCAATTATCAACCCTGATAAAAAAATAGAAATTTCAGAAAACAAAGTTGAAGAAAAGAATCCAGTAAAATATCACCATAAAATTTCTACAGCTCTTCCTCTTGAGGAGCATAATAGCTTTGATAAAGAAGAAGGGTCGCCAAGCTCAAGCGAATATAATGAAGAACCTTTGATTGAACCTATTGAAAGCCATAGAATTCAAACAGAAAATCCAAAAGCAACTCATGATATACCGTGAGCACGGCTATAGATCGACCTGAGAACCCCTCCTCCCCCTCCCCTCCCTCCACCCCCTGACAGTTTCAACTTTATTGAAATCTTCAAATTAAATTTGACTTGTCAAATCCTTAGTGAGGGACTTGTCATTTTGAATTAACAATGTCGTTCAAATTGAAACCGTCAAGGGGTGGGGGAGGGAAGGGAGAGTTTCAGGTCGAGCCATACCTGTTCTGAAGGTATAGATTTATTGAAAAAAGCAATTTTGTTTATGAAGAAATAGGACCTGGAGGGTTGAAAAGATTAATTAGAGGCATGACATTTGATGTAGATGAGTTTAAGAGGAGACTTACAATTATAGAGGAAGAAAAAATGAAGAAAAAAGATATGGCAACTCATAAAAATACAGGGTTCAAAGATTGGATTATTGGGGAAAAAATTGAGGGAGAAGAACAACCTGAAGTAAGAAAAAGAAACGAAGAAATTAAAGTTGTGAGAGATCGCGCATAGATTTGAAATTTTTAATAATTTTCCATTATATTTTGATTAAGAAATATTAATAGCTGAGCTTATAAGCAATATAAAAATAATCATTTAGCATAAACTGATATGACAAAATTGATAATTTTATAAAAATGCTAATTTGCCTTCAAATAAAAATTTGAGTATGAATTTTTAATTAATTTTTTTCTCATATTATCTCATTTCAAATTAAACATTAAAAAAAGCCATTAAAATTATTTAACTGATTAATTTTCTATGCAAATATAAAATCTGACATTTTATTATTTAGCCCATATTACCAGCAAAAATGCCGTTCCATTTTATTCTTTATTTTAAATTTTACTTTCATCAATTTTTTATCTAAGGATGCTTTACAAGCTGAAGTCTAATCGGCTTGAGCTTTAACACAACAATAATTTTTGGTGTATCAATAATTAAAATAAAAATTATAAGTTGCTATAGCATATTTAAGCAAAATACAAAAGTAATAATTTATAACAATGGAATCAAGAGAACCAAGGTCAGGCTCTAGAAACACGAACAGGGTTATTGTAGATGATAATGAAGGAAGTTCCTCAAGCTCTTCTGAAGACGAAGGACCAGAATTGCCAAAAGAGCTCAAACAAGTCCCGAGTAGTTATGCCTCGAGTTTTCAAAAAAAAAGGAAATGCAATTGCACAACCAAATGTTGGAAAGATTGACTTATAATTTTTTTAGCATTTTTGGCTTTTTACTGCTTTTTGGGATTTTTCATGTGGGCAATGGTCGAACCAATGCTATATGATACCTACACCACTCTAATAATTTGGGGAAGCATTTGGGTTGCTTTTGTTATGTGCATTCTGATTGCTGTAATATGGAGGCAACACCAGCTTAAATTAGAGAGATTTAAGCTTGAAGAAGCGGAAAGGCGTGCAGAAGAAGAAAGACTGAAGCCAGTTCAAGTGAAGGTTGATGAAGATAGAGAATAAATAATATAAGTTTTTAACAGAAAGCTTGAAAAAAATAGAGTTGATAAACTATAATGCATTTTCCAATAAATTAAAAAATTTCGATATATAAACCTGAGATCTTAAAAAGAATTATTTTATAATATTGCTGATATAAAATATTATTTAAAGCTCGAGTTTCTTGCATTTAATTATAGGAAAACCGCCTAAAGAGCATGCTTATCACTTTGAATTATATCATTAAATTATTTATTCTAAGTAGCTGAAAGCATCCTTTCAGCATCGTTTGAAGGTTTAAGCAAGAATCTTTCTCTTTTCGCAGATGTGTCCCTTATAGGAGTTTTCGTTCTTTCTTGCTCAGAAGGGGTAAGAGGAATATATTGCTGCGATTCTAGCCTATCTAGCCTCGATTTAAGTAGATGAAGCGTCTGCAATGCCTCAGTATGCTCTTCTTGCATGAGTCCAAGCTGAGTTTTAAGCCTTTTATTTTCCATCTCCAAAGCTTCCACTCTTTGCTCATACTCTGAATGTTTATGAGATTTTAAATCCTTTTTCACTCTTTTTATAATTTGTCTCAAATCTACAAGTTCACGCTGTAAGACTGAGTAAACGTTTTCAGGCAGTTTGTCAGGCATAACTTCAGTTTGTGCATATTGGCGGGCTTTCACATTTGATTTTTGATTTTGAGTTTGTCTGCTTGGGTCTGCTGTTGCTAAAAGCTTTTTTAAGTTCTTTATCGTTTCGTTGTACTCTGTCCTTAGTCTTTCTGCTCTTGCTTTGACAGCTTTCGGTGTCAATGACTCGCTCCTTAGCTGTGAGCACTTAGCCATAACTTGAACCATGTTCATTTTCAAAGTTCTCAATACTTCCACAAATCTCTCTCGAATTTGTACAGGAATTGAGGTATCTTCTTCAACTTTTTCTTTGCAGGACTGAAGCCCTTCAAGCTCTTCTCTCAGCGTGGATTCCCATTCTCTTACTTCTTCCAAAATATCCATGTAATAATTTATTGCATTTCCATAAAGTTTAAAATTTACGAAGTCAAATAATAATTTTATTAACAAAATGGCAAAATTTTAAAATAAAAAACTATAAAATTCGTTATACAATGCATTTAATCTTGTCTTGGACGCTTCACAGGTTCACCACATGTTACTGGAATGAATCCAGACATGTCGCACTGGTTGTTTTCTGAGAAATTCCTCAAAGGCCCATACTGAGAGCTATACCCTGAGGCTTGCTGAGGATAGGAAAACCCTTCATTTGACCTCCAGTAATGATTTTGCTGGACATTTATTGCCTTATTTAATTCTCCCATGTACTTCACGTAAGCACTATATTGCATCATCTGCATGTACTTGTAGTAAAACTGCAAGTGCATATTAGGTTGCAGGTTTGGCTTAGAAATCGCTTCAGGCTGGACTTTTGAGGCTCCAAGCTTCTCTATTTTGATGAAATATTTCTGGGCATGCGATCGAATTTGCGCCCCAGTTCGGGTCACGACATGCTCTTCTACCTTTTTCCAGTTCTTCCCATACAGTTCGATTGCCTTTAAGAATCGTTGATGCTCTTCATAAGTCCAACGGCCTGGCCTTTTCCCGAGCTTTGCTGAATCGCTGAATTCATGGTCCATGTTTATTTATTGGATTTATTGTTAAATGGATGTTAATTGAACTGAAATTTACACAAAACGGTTTTGTTCACCAGCATAAAAATCCAAGGCTTAAAAAATTAATTTGAAATGTAAAAAACAGAAATCTAAAAATAATAACACTCCTTTGTTAGCAAGCAATATCTTTTGCTCTCGAATCAAGAATTTTTAAAAGGAGTTTTTATAAAAAATTTTTTTTTCTCGAATTTTTAAAATGTCAAAATTTGCAAGTGCTAAAACACAAAAATCTGATTTAATTTAGGTCTTCAAATGCAAATTTCTAAAATTAAACAGTAATTTGCTTACTCCCTCCCTCCGTGAGCGAACAAATAATTTGGTCGCTTACGGAGGGGTTTTATTTTTTTTTTTAAAAAAAAATTATATAAATTTTATAATAAATTTTTTTTGCGAAATTTAAAAGGAAATATTAATTTAATTTGCAAAATTTATGTATTAAAATGCAAGCTGCGAAAAATAAACAGAGTTAGCTAGAGATTTCATTATACTAATTATCACTTATATGTCAAAATTTTTCTATTAAAAAATTTTTGTTCGCTCAAGGAGGAGGGAGTTAAGAAAGGTTTCATTACTATGATTATTAAATGCATATTAAATCTTATTTTTAAAACAATATTTTGGCTAATATGAAAGATTTAATTTATCAGTAGGAATTTTTCAATGGTTTTGCTCTCTAACAAAGCAGGGGGGTAAGTATCTTTATTTGTCTAAAATAAGATTCAAGACTGAAAATTTCCCCTTCAATTTCTTATAAAATTTCGTATAAAATTGGCACGTCAAAGTATTTGTAATGTGTTTCAACAAAAAAGAAAAGTCTAGAATCCCTGTTGAATTTAAGATATTAGCAATTTATTCAACAGCAAGTTTAATGGGAATTCAAAATTTAACTATGGATGCGGAAAACCCTTAAAAATTCTTGGCATTTGAGAAATCTCTAATGTTTTACCGATAAGTTTCTAATGAATTCAAAGCATATTACCAATTTTTTATAAATTTAACTTTTAAAAATTAATTCGAATTAAAAGATTTTATGGCACCAGTTCTTTCAAGGCTTAATCTGACAGTTTAGAGCTATCAAAAAATTGCCAAAATTTCCTAAGATCTATATGATATGAAGAAAGATGGATAAAATTCAATATCGTAATTACTGATAGGACATTTACCAAAAATTATAATTGGAAGACTTATAAAACAATTAATAAGAGAGAATAGAAAGATAAAATAGAAAATTTAGCTTATTTAAAGAATTTTATCCTATGGAATGCTTAGCTAATTATCAATTTTTTAATCGCATAAATATGTGAAAAAGTTATAATAAATCAACAAAATTAATCTCAGATATTTAACTTTAAATATTTAATTTGGTAATACTTGGGGGCATTGAGCTAAAATAGTTACTAAAATTATAGTTATGGAAAATTTAGACATATGCTTGACTCCAAATTCTCTGAGAGACATGCTCAAAAAAAGGGCCAAGCTTCCACTCTATTTGCAAGTTCTAAGAATAAGAGAGATAAGACAAACATATCTTAAAATAGAATTATCAGATTCTAGTTGTATTTTTAATGGAGTCGGAACAAAGACAGCAGCATTTAAAAGCTCAATTCATTATGGTTTCACACCTATGTGTTTGATCCAAGTTAACTCTTATGACATTATTACAAGCAAAGATGGAAGCGATAAAGTAATTACTTTAGAGAATTTTTTTGTAGTAAGTCCTCAAACAAGCATCATAGGAAATCCAAAATGAATAAGCAGAGTCAATAATTTTTTTGATGAAAATCCAACAAGTGTTTCAGATAATAACTCCAATAAATCAGTGCAAATAGTTAGTGAGATGGAGAAAAGTGCAAGCGAATCAAATCATTCCGAAGGCTCAACTCTTTTTCAAGGGCAAAAAATAGCTCAACTTATTGAGGATACAAATAAAATGCTATATGAAATTAAAACTGTTTATGATTCAAGATTTAATCAGTTGGAAAGCCAAATGCAAGGATTGCAAGCAGCAATGCAGAAAATTATTGATAATTTTAAAATAAATAGTTAAGTTGATTTAATGCCTGATACATAAAATACTAAGAACCTTAAATATAAATGAAGTCGTTTAGGCCCCCCTTCTCAAGGTAATAAAATAAATGTCTGACAGTGAGAAATAATCTCTAAAAAATATCAACACAAATTCATCTAAAAAAAAGGCTTCTATTCGAATAGGCCCCTAAAATCTTAATAGATAAAAGAAATGTCTGACAGTGAGAGTTCTTATGAAGATAGTAATGTATCTGACGAAGACTATGAAGCAGAAGTCTCCAAAAAGCGATCAAAAAAATCTTCAGCGCGTCCAACTAAAAGACTAAAGAAAACCAGATTTGCAATGAGCAAATTCATTGATGACGCTGCAGAAAGTGGAGATGAAGAAGAAAGTGACGTTGACTCTGAATTTGAAGCTGAACGAGTTGAAGCTGAAAAATTAAGTAAATCTCTTCATAAGAAGCGAAACAACGCTATTGATACCATGGAGCCAGAAGAAATCGCTCGTGAGCTCGAACGCAGAGTCCATAGAGTTTCTTTTTCTGCAATTCCTAAAGATCTCGCACATTTATCTCAGCAACAGCAACTTCCCTCCATTGAGGATCCCAAACTTTGGCTCGTTGCTTGTCGAAGCGGCAAAGAAAGAGAAGCTGCTATAAATCTGATCCAGAAAGCCTTGCAAAGAGCTCAAGAAGGGTATGCCCTTGAAATCTTCTCAGTTTTCGCTTCCAATTATGTCAGAGATTATATATATGTTGAGGCTTATAAAAAAGCCCATGTCATCACAGCTGTAAAAGGGATCCACGTGCTCTTTGACAATAGAATATCAATTGTGCCTATTGAGGAAATGGTTGATGTGTTTTCTATGGACAAGTCAAAAAAGCAGACTATTGAGCAAGGAATGTTTGTCAGAGTTAAAAATGGGGATTATAAAGGAGATTTAGCACAAATTGTATTAGTGGAAGAACATAGGGGTAAAGCAACTGTGAAATTAGTCCCAAGGCTTGAAAAAACTGGAAATAAAAAAATAAGGCCGCCTGCTAAACTTTTCAACCCTAATGATTATAGAGATTATGAAAGAAAAAGAGACACAACCTCTCATGAGCTGTATTTCCAATGAAATGGTATGAGCTTTCACAACGGATTTTTATATAAAACTGTAGCACTTAGAAGTTTACAGATAGAAAACGTCAGCCCTTCTCTTACAGAAATCCAAATTTTCCAAATAAATAATCAAGAAGATTTAGAAGACCAAAAAGCTCCTATAATTCAAGCAAGAAAAATCCTATTTGTGCAAGGTGATAAGGTCAGAGTTACAAAAGGTGATGTCAAAGGTCTCACTGGGATCGTCATTTCTTCTAGCGACGGGATGGCTTCAATCGCTCCATTTGTTGAAGAACTTTGTGACCAGCAGCTAGACTTCCCAATCGACGATCTTTCAAAGTTCTTCGAGATAGGCGACCATGTAAAAGTAATTTCAGGAAGATACCAAGGAATAACTGGAATGGTAGCAGCTTCCAAAGAAAGCTCATTAGACATGATCTGCGATGTCTCGAAAAATGTCATTACAGTTCTCAGCAATGATTTAAAACTCAGCGATGAAGTAAGCTGCGGGAATGGACAAATTGATAATTTAAGGGTCAATGACATTGTATGTTTGAATAATGATAAAGCTTTTGGCCTTGTATTAAAAGTAGACAGAGATTGCATAAAAGCCATCATGGACAATGGAGAAACTCGAACTGTGTGGTCTCATGAGATAGCAAGAAAATTTAACCCGAATAAAGCATCAGTGATTGATAGGGATGGAAATACTTTGAAGTCAGGAGACATGGTGAAAGTCACTTTTGCGAGACATGAAAGACACGACAAGTCAGGATCAGTTAGAAATGCCTTAAGAGGGATTTTGTTTTTGTATATGCCTGATTCGATTGATTCTAACTGCATTATCCCAATAAAAGCGAGCTATTGCATATTATTAGGAAGTGACAAAAACAAGCCACAAACCCAAGGAGTATCTAAAAAGGAATGGGTTGGAAAAGCAATCAGATTAACTGCAGGACCTTACAGAGGATATACTGGGAAAATAATAGATCTCATAGATAAAAGAGCAAGAGTTGAACTAAACACAATTAGCAAGACTATCACTGTAGATATTGAAATTTGTGCTGAAGTAGGATCTGCTGCAGATGGGTTAGGGCTTCAAGCTCCTCAAGACAATCTTTCAAGAACTCCTGCACACTCGCCTGGATATCCAATGGGAACTCCTGCTCATGATATTGCTTCACCGTGGGGCGAAACTCCAAGGCATGACCCGTTCAGATCAGACTGGGCACGCTCTCCAAGTGCGAAAAGATTTTAATATAGGAATTGAAAAATTAACAAATTTCACATTTTTAAGAAAATATCAGTAAATTAATTTTTATCATGTTATACTCTGTAAGCTAGAAGTTTCCTCTAGAATCTCTGCGAGGAGGTCGCGAGTTTGGCGTGGTATCTCTTGCAGGCCTTCTTCCTTCTCTTTGATTGCTATCATACCGCTTTAAGATATTTTCAAATGAGAAATAGTCTTTTTCAGCTTCTTTTTGGTTTTCCCTTAATATTTCAATTGGTTTACGAACAGGGGAGTTTCTGGATATTCCTTCTATTCGATTTTTTGGGGATTCTCCCATTAAATAAGTGCGGGTTCTTGAGTTTGGCCTTAGGCAGACTTCATTTCTCAAAAGTGGTGACTTTCTTGAAAAATCTTCTTCAGGCTTTTCATTTGATCTTAGCCTTGTTCTTTCTTCTTTTTCAAATGGTGATATATTATTATCCCTTGGCTTTAAATCTGCTAATGCTCTTCTTGGAGAAAAATTTGTAGCTGTTGTTTTTTCTCTTTGAATTGTATTTATTTTTCTTGGAGATCCTTTTTCGTGTTTTTTAATATTTGTTTCAGCTCTGTTTACTTTTTCAAATCCTTCCTCTAAAAAGCTCTCAAAGTTTTTAAACCTTTTTGGTTCCTCAACTCCTATATTTTCTTTTTCAGCAATTTGTCTTGCCTCTTTGATTTTCCTTTCTTTTACTTCAATTTCTCCTTCTCTCTTCTTCAAAGCTTCTTTTTGTTGGCTTGATTTTTCTTCTTTTTCTTTAAGAACCTCTTCTTGCTTTTTTAAGTTTGCTGCAACTTCTTTTAGTTGTTTTTCTTTTAATCTCAGCGCAATCAATGGTTTTTGCAGAATATCTTGAACACTAGGCCGAGTTTGCTGATTGAGAGATAACATTTCACTTATGGTGTTCTGAAGTTCTTCAGAATATCTAAATGGAATTCTCTCAGCCCTGCCCTCTTGGATCTTTCTTGCTAACTCCAAATGCGATCTAGCTTGAAATGGCGGATGAAGTGCAGCAGCTTCATAAATCAAGCATCCAACAGACCAAATATCCGATTTCTCGTTATATCTTGACTCTGATATCTGTTCCGGAGACATATAGTAAGGGGTTCCCACATGAGTGTAAGCATAAACTGAATCCTCCCCCATGATTTTGCTGAGTCCAAAATCTCCCAGCTTTACATTTAGCCCTTCATCTAGAAATATATTCCCTGGCTTTATATCTCTATGTATTATTTTCCCAGCCTCTCTTTCATGGCATGCCAACAGCGCAACACAAACCTGCATAAGAATTTTTCATATCAGCTCCTCATTAAAATAATCATTATTCCTCCTATTCCTCTTGATAATGGCCCCCAAATCTCCTCCAGCACAGAATTCCATCACAATATAAATAGTTGAATTCTTTTTATCAATGATCCTATCATAATATCTCACAATATTCGGGTGTTTCATTTCCCTCAAAATATTAACCTCCGCGACAAGCTGCGCTTTTTCCTTTTCATTCATTTTCGCAAAACTGATTTCTTTCCAGACAAGCTCTTTCCCATCCGCCTTCCTGCTTATTCTGGAGACCTCTCCAAAGGATCCTTTCCCAATTCTTTCAATGACTTCATACTTTTCCATTTCAAATTGAATTATGAATTATTTCGTTTGAATGGCATCTATAAATAATAACTGAAAATGTTTAAGAACACGTTCCAGTCTGGATTCCTCTCGATCTTGTACAGCATAGGAAGCAAGCCTCTGCAGATTTGGGACAAAAGTGTGCGAAATGGACACATAAAACGAATAACTGACCAAGACATCCAAAGCTCTGTGCTCGAAATCATGGGAACCAACGTAAGCACCACCTTTATAACTTGTCCAGCAGACCCCAACAGCACCTTGGGAATCAAGCTGCCCTTTCTTGTGATGATTATCAAGAATTTGAAGAAATACTTCACCTTCGAGGTGCAGGTCCTCGATGACAAAAACATCAGGAGACGGTTTCGGGCTTCCAATTACCAAAGTACCACAAGGGTAAAACCTTTTATTTGTACAATGCCTATGAGGCTGGACGAGGGTTGAAACCAAATCCAGTTCAATTTGTCGGATTTTACAAGGCGAGCCTACGGAACCAATTATATTGAAACACTCAGGGTGCAGATTCATGCAAACTGCAGGATGAGGAGAATTTATTTCTCAGATAGACTGTACTCCGAAGAAGAGTTGCCGCCTGAGTTTAAGCTCTTTTTGCCGCTTCAGAAACAGAGTTAATTAACTTAAATAGGTGAGCTTATATAAAAATTTTTGTTTACATTAAGGAGCAGCTGTTACAGCTGGATTTTCCGAATTTTTCTTCATCGAGAGGTGATATAAACGTTGACCTAGAAATTGCGCTTGTGACGTGATTTAAGTCTTGCTCTTTTGCTCCTACATGGTCTGATAAGCAGGCATATAGCACAGGGTCAGCTATCACTTTGTTGTAAAACTCTGAAAATACAACAGAACCGTTTGTGCTTGAAATTAGAGCTTTCATTTGTGTGTAGATTTGCTCAGCTTTTTGCTTAAGCAAAGGGTCGTAGCATTCTCCTAGTGCTTCTATATATGGGGAAAGAAGATTTTGGGTTAAAAGATTTAGTTCGAGCTCGTGCAAAATTCCGGTGTGATTTGAATCATAAGAGTCAAAACAAAGTTTAAGCTTATCGCTGAAAGTGCCTTTGCTTAAAACTGATATGCAGATTGTGAATTCTCTGAACTCACTTTACGTTGTAATTAATTTATGATCAGAATTCTGACCAATATACTGATCAGAACGATTGAGCTCACCCGAGGACGTCGTCTGATGACGCCTAAGCTATTTAGGGACTTTCTGTACAGTTCCCATCCTCCAGGTTCCAGTGTTCTCCTCTCTGGTTGTTGCCGATAACACTTTGAAGGCCCTACTGTTATAATATGCAGGTTTGGGACTTGCTCGCCAGTTGCTACATCTCAGCCTTCACTGATTCTTCTCTAGCCGCTTTGTTTTGACCCAGAGCAGTACAACCGTGGCCAGATTTTGCAGCAGGCAAAAGCCCTTTTGCGGGCAAAACCGACCTGCAGCGGGGGAGAATTCTCTGAAGTCAAGATACCCAGAGCGGTCTTCATCGAATTGGTCAAACAACGATTCCGCACTTTCGGCAAGGCCAGGAACTAAATTTTGAACCAATCTTACGAATTCAGGCTTTGCCAAGCCAATATCTCCGCCTCCATACTTTTCCACCTCTTGCTGAATACTGTCAGGCAAAAACACAGTTCCCCTTCTTCTTATATTTACATTCGGTTTTTCTTTAGGCTCTTTCCTTTTTTGTTCTATCATTTTCGTAAATTCGCTTTTTAAAATATCGATTTCTTCTTTACTGAAATTTGAACAATTTTCCAGTTTCTTTTCCAAAATTCTTTCGCTTTTCTGCCATTGTTTAGCCCTATAATCTCTTGCTCCTCCTCGGAGTCTCCTAACTCGGACTTCTGTGATTTCTTTCATTAAATCATCATAAATTAAGCTCAGTTGAGGAGCAATTCTTTGTCCAGCCATCTGCTGAAGAATTTTTAAAGGGTGTTCGCCTTTCTTGACATTTCTTTCAAAAATAGAGACAATGCTTACAACTCCTCGTATCAGTGCGATTGAGCCCTCAGAAGCTAGTCTATCCCATAAAAATACAAGACTTTCTAAATCTACTGTATTTACAAACATTTGAATAAGAGGCTGCATTGAGAAGAAATCAGAAAATTCATGTGAAGTTAAGCATGAGGATTTCATTCCTGGAATCAAATGGTCAAGCAAGCCTGCAATTACAGTTGATTCAATAAAAAATCCATTTAATGAATTTCCTCTCTTTGCACCATTATAAAAATCAGGCAAAAGCCATTTTTCAATTAAATATGAGAGCATTCAAAACGCTGAGTTATGGTCAAGAAAAACCAGAAGCCACATATAGGCAGGACCTTTTATTGATTGCCCTGGATAATACGATGCCTGCCAAAATGGTGGAGTTGGCTCAGGTAGTATCAGTTGCCAAGTCAATTTCACCAGTTAGCAAGTGAAATTTATATGGCCGCTTGCTAGTTTCATCAGTTGACTGTATAGCTGATATTGGCCTAGCAAATTCCACTCAGCTTGACAGGCATAGCGAAGCTCAAAGCAATCAATAATAGGCCCTCGGCTATACAAATATAATTCATTCCTTGGCAATATCCAGAAATAAGATAGTGATGTTGGTAAAAAGTGGACTCCGTCGAGCACTCCTATGGAGCAGATAGGACCCATCCTGATGAAGCTAAAAGACAGGGCTTCAGTCACTCTTTGAATGTCTATAGTCTTGTTGATGCGTTGCCGAAAAGGGAAGTTTTGTTTCTTTCCCGAAAGTTGCCCTGCTCCTGTCAGATGGGCTAGACAGGTTTTGCCTACCACATGGCCTTCCATCGGGGTTATCGGGGCATCTCACAGACAATAGCTCTGCCAAAGGGCGCTGATCCCCTGGACAGGTGGTTCAGGTTGGAAATTCAGGAAGACGACCTTTTGAAGCCAAGGCGAGCGACGGCTAGTGGCTAGATCCACTTATGACCAGCATAATCATTTGTAATTAGAATTAACTTTACAATATCCAACTTGAGGGTTTCTAGATGTATAAGCTTTAAGGACTTTATAAATATCTTCTCTATATGTACCACCGATGATTCTCAGCAATAATTCATGAATTTCTCAATTGAATACTTCTGGGTCTGATCTGCCAGTTGTGACGTCTTTAGTAATGATTTCTTCATCATCTGTTGATAGAGGGAGAATTAAATAAGTGTTTATATCCCCAGGCTGGTTTTCCATAAAACTTCAGGCTCCGCTGCTTTTCATCCAAGACTCTCCTCTTTTAGTCATCTGGCACCATTTGATGCCTTCTCTCTCAATAAAATCTTCTAGAGAAACAATTAGTGAATGGCAGCCTGTACAAACTTCATATTCCCCTTTCCCTTCTTCACAAGAATATAGCAAAGCTTTATTTGATGCACACTGATGGCAAAATCACTCTTTACAAATTTTACATGCAATTTGGTTATCATTTTCTGACTGACAATTAAAGCACTTTCCCTTTTCTTCTTCTATAACTTCCATTTATGCCAAATCTCAATACTTTTTCAAACTAAAAAAAGCCAATTTTACTTAAGCAGTAATGCAAGATAAGATTAATAATATTTATAAAAATCAATAAATGAGCGATACTAAATGCATGGCAAATATAAATCAATGAAAAGTAGCCTAGCGATTAATGTGATTTAGAAAAGATTCTTATTTTTTGAATGAAATTAATTCAAATTGAAGAAGTTGGGAACTGCTGATTCGGGGATCGTTATTTTGCAATTTAATTACAAGAATGCTAAAACTATAAATAATTACGTAATGGTAATTCACTATAAAAATGACCGAAAAGTTGGCCCAAATAAGAGAACTTATGAGTTCTGAAGGCCTTGACGCTTATTTTCTCCCGAATAACGATTTTCATAATGTAATGCATAACCAGAACGAAAGCTTATGTGACCATGATAAGCGAATGGCATTTATATCTGGATTCCAAGGATCAAATGGGCAAATTTTAATTACAAAAGAATATGCTTTACTTTGGACTGATGGGAGGTTCTGAAAAACTGTAAAACTTATTTAGGCTGAAGAGGAACTTGATCCTGGATGGGAGATTATGAAGATGGCCATAGGCTACCCAACTTATTGTGATTGAATTATACACCATTTACCATCTGGAAGTGTGGTCGGCTACGATCCTGCTTTAATATGTGCCGAAAGTGTACTAGCAAGAACGCAGTATTTTGAGGATAAAGGATTCACTTTTAAACCGCTTACTAAAAATCTCGTCAATTCTATTTGGACAGACAGGCCAAAAATGCCAGATGAGAAGCTTTTTATTCACGAACTCAGGTATGCAGGAATAACAGCCGAACAGAAGATATTTATGGTCCTAAACCAACTGCATAAACTTGGTTCCAATTATCTCTTCACTCCAGTATTAGATGAAATAGCCTGGACGCTCAATTTGAGAGGGAAAGATATCCAATACAATCCTTTATTTTTCTCATTTTTGCTACTTCATGCCACCTATCCTAGCTATCAAGCGATCTTAATGCTAGCAAAATTGCCCTTGTTCGAGTCCAGATTCTTGCGGTCTTAGCTTGGATTGACAGCTCTGAACAAAAACTGGCCTAACCTTAAACTGTACATGCCCAAAGTCCCTTCTGACCTCCCTACCAACACCAGCCTCAGTGTGGAGTACTTCTCTTGACGCCAAAACCCTCAAGAAGGTGCAAATTTCTCTCTCTGAGTTCGGTTGTAGGTGGTCCTACCCCTAGCTACCTTTTAAATGGTTAAGCGATCTTATTTGTTGACCAGGAAAAGGTTAATGGGATTCAAGAATACTTAGAACATAACCATATAGAGGTCCAACCTTATGAGTCGGCTTGGGATTATCTGAATAAAATTGAAGAAAGCGTGATAATTGATAAAAATGAATTAAATTACAGTTTTTATAAGAATATCAAGACTCCAGTTCACTATTCTGGGCTTATTGCAAAAATCAAAGTGATCAAAAATCCAAGAGAAATGCAAGGATTTAGAGAAAGTCATATAAGAGACGGAGTTGCCATATCTAAGTATATATCATGGATGAAAAGCCAGCTGGATGCTGGAGCTGATCTAACGGAATGGTCTTCTGTTGAAAAATTAGACGAGTTTAGAGCTTCAGAAGAGCTTAATTCTGGACTTTCTTTTGAAAATATATCTTCGGTAGGGCCAAACTCAGCTATAATCCATTACGCTCCTACCCAAGAAACCGCAGCAAAAATAACCAAAGATCAAATTTATCTTCTTGACTCTGGAGGCCAATATTTAGATGGCACTATTGATACTACACGAACATGGCATTTTGGCGAGCCTACAGACTGGGAAAAAGAATGCTATACAAGAGTTCTTCTAGGAAACTTAGATGTCGAGCGACTTATTTGGCCTGAATACAGCAGAATAAGTGGCAATGAAGTCGACATGATGGCAAGGAAATGGCTGTGGGAAGTAGGCCTGGATTATCCTCATGCAACTGGGCATGGTGTTGGGTATTTCTTAAATGTCCATGAAGGCCCACATCGAATGTGTAAAGGTAGCACTGAGCCGTTTGAAGTAGGAATGAATATAACAAATGAGCCAGGATATTATGAAGAAGGACATTTCGGAGTAAGGGTCGAAAATATTCTTTTAGTGGTCATGCATCCGTCTTTTCCAGGATTTTTAGGCTTTGAAAATGTAACTATGGTCCCTTATGATAAAAATTTGTTGGATTTCAAATTGTTGTCACATAGAGACATTGCGTATATTGATGCGTATCATAATAAAATTTGGAGAAATTTGAGTCCGATTTTGGAAAATAGAGGAGAAAGCATAGCTTTAGAATGGTTGAGAGAAACAACGTCTCCAATAAATCGTAGAGATTAATTATTCTATTTCTTATAATTGAGAAGATTCCTGTCCTATTTATAAATACATAAAGTAAGTAATAAATAAATCAGACAAGCATTGATGTAAATATGCAATCACAGAGTTTCATAAAATAAGCCAGCCCTTGCCATGATAAAGAAACCAGTTAGTGAGGTAAAAAGTGTCTTCGTTAAAATTAATTAAATAATATAACCTGCCAGCTAAACTCATAAAACTCCAAAAGAATTATATAATAATAAATAACAGAATCTTTATAAAGATGAATCATGGAGTAAGATTATAGTTTGAAATTTGTTAATTTGAGTATATATACAGATAAATACGTGCTGTAATCTTCTTTGATAAGTTAAAAACCGTGAATTCGTTTTGCTCAGGTATTATAAAGCTGTCCCATTGGCTCATGTTATATGATTGCCCATTCAAGCGAAGTTGAAAGCCATGCCGCTCTGAGCGTAGCACCATTCCTCTGATTGAAGCAGAAGACTTTGGAAACGTGAGGCCTTTATGTTTGGGAAAAGAAACTTGTTTTACCTCATAATTAGGATTTGAAAAGATTGAAAAAGTTTTTATTGAATCTTCTATAATGAAACTTGCATTTTTGCTTCTTCAAAAAAGGTTATAATGAGCAACAATGCTGCTTCCTGTGATTGCATCTGCAATAACTAAGCTGCCTTCAACTTCTTCTAAAATAGTCGAATTTGGCTTTTTCCTTTTATTTCCTTTAGTTATAAACTTTTTCTCAACGTTTTTTGCTTTTTCAATTCCCACAAATTTACCTTTTGAATCATAAATCATTTTTTCATTGAGCCAATGCCTCAGCCTTGGGACTCTGTTTCTGACTGGATACCTGCCATTAGCAAAAGTTTGTTTTTCCAAGTTTGTCTCTTCTTTATCTGAATCACTTGTTGAAAGCTCACTTTCGATTATTTCATATCTCTTCCTTTTCCTGCTTTTAATTTTAATTGCTTTTGGCTTTTGTGATGAAATAGAGAAATCAAGCACTTTTTGTTTATATGCTTGAATAACACTAGAACAGTCAGATCTATCTGAAGGAAATTTGATTTTGGTTTGAAAAAGGCTGCATTGTGAGTCAGACTGACTTTCATCCATTTGACTGAATAAGTCATTCATCTCGTTTCTCAATTTTTGGAAGTACATGCTGAGACGAGGGCCTCTGAAAGATGATGAGCGCCTTTTGCTAGATATTGACCATTTCGATGAATGTGAGTGGCTACGATGCCGTTTAGCTGATGAGCATCGGCTTCTTCTGAAGAAATAGAGATCTTCCATTTTAAATTTTCAATTCTAAGCGCTATAACGTAATCGTAATATTAAATATGAGAAGCTAAATTTAACAACAATTTAACTTTGTGAGCACCATTATCTTTCTAGGTATTAATTTTCCATTTCAAAATATTCATTTTCTTAATTTTCTTCATTAAATAAATAAAGAAATTATTTATAAAGGCTTTGCTATAGTAGATTGACTAAATTATTTAGTCGAACGTTTAAATGAAAACTATTTGTGTGTGGAGGTCTTAAAGATTCACTTTAAAAGGTTTATTTCAAATAAATGTGCACATACTTTAACCCAGTCATCATACTATTATTTTCCTCAACATACACAAATCTACTATTTTTCACTTTCAACATGATTTATTATTAAGAAAATTTCATAAATATTCTGGTTAACTTAAAGCACGTCACGTGACCAGTATTGTCTATTTCCACCTCTATTAAAGGTAGGACGATAAATATTGTCGTCTGGGAATGGATATTTCAGTCTATAGTTTGGATCTTTAAGTCCCTGCCTAATTGGGAACAAGTAATCCATGATATCATTATCTTCCTCTACTTCTGCTTTTTTCTCAGGATCAGAAGAATTGATTAGCTCATCAAGAACCTGGTTTCCAGGGTCGACTCCAAAGCTGATGTGGTTGAAGAGCTGTTCCTTTGTGAAGTACATCCCATAGAAATAAGGCATAACTCTTGGGAACTCATTCCAATACTTTCTCAATGTAATATTTGGGAGCATAGCCAAAAAGAAAGTGTCTAACCCTGTATAAGTCCAGTCATCATCAGCCATTCTGAAAATCTTGTTGTCGTAGTCTTGGTATTTTTTGACAAGACCAAGGTTAGGACCTGGCCCTTGCTTTTCAGGGACTTGCATACCCCAGGTTCTCCAGTTTCTTGCTCTCGTGTTTCTTGCCTCCATGAGGATTTGATAGTAAGGATCTCTATTTTTGGCGTAAACTGGGAACCTAATTTTCAACCTATCGTCCGTATGCATATCTGATATGCAGCCACCTCTTCTCTTCAGTTGGCCAACTGTGAAGTCTACGTATTGGGACATGAATCTACGCCAAAGGCTGGACGTCCAGATCCATCTCCAGATTTTGGTGCCATTTGTGGGGTTCCATCTGAGATGAAGGTCTCTGTCCTCAATTTGAGGCATGATATTGTATGGAAGGCAAAATTCACGCTTGATAAAGAACCATTTCCCATTCAATTTGTGAGGAGAGAAGAACTTGAGCTGATACCAAAAGATAGGGTTAAGCCATGCAAATATGGACATTATTTATTATTACAATTCAATTTAGATTGGTTTAAAAATATTTCGCAAATTGCATTGGAGGAACATTAATTATTTCGTCTCGGAAAAAAAAGATCTTGAGTCTCTATACAGTTTGGGGTTGGATTCTGTCACATTGAATCCTTTAGTTTTCAAGGTTTCTTGGAGTTCGAGGCTTGGAAAAGCAGAACAGTTCTCGTTGTAGCTTGGAGATATTTTTTCACTATAGCTCACAAGTGATTTAAAAGAAGCAGACATGGGGCTTAGGATTTTGCCAGAGGAGCCAAAGCTGAGCTGAAGAATTTCGCTGTGCCGATTTCGCTTGGATTTTTCTAGTAACGAACTAACGACTACACTTTCAGCTTCACCTGGAAGAAAATCATCAAGAGACTCTTTGTCTGAGCGAGTTTTGATAGTCTCAGCTTGTTCGATTGCTTTTCTATGGATAGATAGTTTTTCTAAGCATGATAGTCTTTCTTCAAGCTCATTGGTTTCGGCTTTCTTGGTTGATAATGGAGATGTGTCACCATTTGTTAATAAGTTTTTAGAAATTGCTGAAGGAGTAGAAGGTTTGGTGTAAGCTCTTTTCGGAAACTTGGAATAAGATGTAGACATTCTTGTATTCAGTCTTGAAGCAGACTCTGATCTTCTAATAGGAGTGTATGGGCCATTTTCTTGAAAGTTGGTTGAATTGTTAAGTTTTTGGACATTGTCACACAGCTCTTGCTTCAAATCAACTATAGATCTTTGATGGTTCTCTAAATTGATAATCCTTTCTTCGAGTTCTAGATAAGCTGCAATATTAGTTGTTTCTTCTTTTGTCGTTTGCTGCTTGGACAAATCTGAACACTTATGCTCTAATTTTGTAACTTTGTTTCTGACTGCAGTGCTTAATTTTTGATGGTTGCCTCTGACTATTAGAATTTCGTTGCTCATTTGGTCGAGTTTTGCTTTTAAGTCTTCTTGAGCTTTTAAAAAAGTTTCACTTGTGGAGTTGATTTCTTTGGATATTTTGATGTTTGCATCCTTAAAATTATAGAGTTTGGATTGAATAGTTGAAATATTGCTTTGTAGCTCTTTAATCATAGCTTTTAGATTTTCCTGCATTTCTTTTAGGGAATCAACTGATAAAAAGGTTGGTTTCAAATTTTCTTCTAATAAAGTTAGCTTACTTTCTAGGTCTTGTGTCTTTTTGCTGCTTAATATCATTTCAGCTTTGATTGCTTCAATTGATTTGTCTGAGCTTTCCCTTTGTTCATTAATAATTGGTATCTGATCTTTAATTTCTATCAGAGGTTTTAGGCTTTCATTTATTCATTCTTTTACCTTATGCTCAAAATTCTCTTGAAAATCCTTTGCTGAATTGCTTTGATCGGCCAGCTTATTTTCGATGATTGAAATTTTTGTGCTCACTTCTTTATAGTTATCAACAGATTCATTTGAAACTTTGCTTAATGCAATAGAGAAACTCTCAAATAATTTATAAATTTGATGGTGCTCCACATTAGATCGTCTATCAGTGCTTCTTGAAGTTCTCGGATCTTCATTCCTTGATCTGTTAGTATCCATTAGTCTAGGAGTTTCGTTAAGGCTGCTTTCTGAATAGACAAGGTTTCTTAATGAATCTTCAATGGAATAATTTGAGACTATATCTTCACTGAGCTCGGCATCTATTTTTTGGGATAAGTCTCTTGCACTTGGACCATAAGCTTGCTCTATTAGTTCTTCTTCGTTGGTTTTATCTTGAGTGTCAGATTTGGATTGATTATAAAACGTCAATTCGAATTTGTCATTTATTTGAGGATTCTCTTCTATTCTGATTGGCCCGTTTTGATGTTGTGAATCTGCGTCAACAGCTCTTGGAGGAAAAATATATTGATTATAGTTTGGGCTTAAATCTTGAAAAGCGTAGTGAATACTGGGGTTCATGTACATGGGTTTTATATATTAAGAGGAAAATAAATTTAATCATTATTTTATATTTTATCATAAAGGAGTCGCTCAATTTAGGCTACTATGCTACGATATAAGTATATAAAAGGCATGAATATTATATATCAGATTAAGCATAATTATAATTCTTTGTATTTAAGAAATTAAAAACTGCACATGAATAATCCTCTATTAATCTTGAATCAGATTATAGTTATAAAAATATGCAATCTTAACTCCCTTTTGCCATTATAAGCAGATTCAAGATCAGCAACTTCTATATAGAAACAATCAGCTTTTTCTCATTCTCAAAAATTTTTTCTTTATTTATCCTGAATTCTCTATCTCTCTGCATCTCTGCACATTTGATATCCTTAAGTAATGGCTTTGGATAATAATTATAAAATGGTTATGAGAGCACGTGCCTGGCCTCTCGTTCGCTCCTTAGTGCGATTCAACTCCAACCTCACTACAACTCGCAATCCTTCAGCTTACGTTCTCGACCCAACTTCAGATGTTTCTCAATTTTCAAAGAGCAAGCTAGTTTACCACGGAGAGCTCGAGGACGGAGTAATTCCTGAAGCACTCAAGTACTCGTATCCTTGCAACCAAACTACTCTTTCTAACGGACTTTTAGTTGCTACAGAAGCAAGCCACAACGCCTTAGCCCACTTATGCGTCGTTGTTAAAGCTGGTGTGAGAAATGAAAACTTCCAAGTCAATGGTATTGGTCACTTTGTAAGGAAACTTAGATTTAAAGGGACTGAACAAAGAAGCAAACTTCAGCTCGCAGGAGACGTCGAAAATATTGGAGGGGAGCTTAGAATTAAGGCTGGAAAAGAAGTCACTGAGTTCCACATTGAAGTCCCAAAGGCTTATACTGCAAAGGCAATGGAAATTCTTGCAGATGTAGTTCTCAGCTCTAAGTTCAACAAAAATGCTATTGAAGAGCAAAAGGCAGAAAGCTCTGAAGCACTTTTTGACACAGCAGATAATAAAAGGCTGATTTTAGAAAACATCCACTACACTGCATATAGAGATCACATGATTGGACAGCCAATTAGAGGAAACCAAAAAAGCATCCAAAATATTACTCAGGACGCTATTAAAGATTATATTGATGCACACTATATTGCTCCAAGAATGGTATTGACAGCTACAGGAAATGTAGACCACAAACAAATTGCTGAGCTAGGAGAAAAATACTTCGGAAAAGTTGCTAAGTCTGGAAGAGAAATCACAGGAGATGATATAGGCCAATTTTCATATAAATAAAATGGCTTTCGCTTCAAGTGAAATTAGCTCAGCTAATTTTTCTCTCTCTCAAGCAATTTTATTTATGGGGTTGGGTTTTACCTAGAGAATTTCTGCACAGCAATAGCGGTTTAACTTTGGAGATAATCAGAGGAACTGCTCCTCAGTGCAATCAAGATCCCGAGTCTTTACCCCTCAGCACACCCGAAGGAAGGGTGGGCCCTCAGGCGGAACACGCGCAGGAGCTGAGTCGGAATAAAGCCGTGGCGGCAACGAAGCCCGTCGAAGCCGGAACGCCGTACTTACCCGTGCCTTGGCGAATCGAAGTGGGCCGATCCAGAGGTCCATGGGCCCGGCACGTGGATAAATATGGTGGCAGCTCTGGAAACAGCTACCCAGTAGTGGACGTAAAACGTTATAAATAATTAAGACTAAGATTAAGATAGGCCAATTTTCACTCCTTCCACAGTCACAATCAGAGACGATGATGTCGATTTAGCTCATATGGGCATTTTCTTCCAAGCTCCATCATGGAACCATGAAGACTTTTATGCTTTCCAAATGCTCGTAAGACTTTGTGGAGACTATGTTCCTGAAAGAGACTCAATCATAAATCATGCATGGCTACAATATAACTATTTCCATACCTGGTTTGGAGAAATTGAAGATTTCGGAGGACACTCAAATCACTACTTCCCTTATAGCAATGCTGCAATATGGGGGCATTATACTCAAAGCTTAGATTTGTCAGCCTTTATTTCCCCTCAAGCTTGTTTATGTGGAACAAAGCGCTACACTGACTATATTATGGAATCTGAGCTTTACAGAGCAAGAAATCGTTACTACAACGACTTACTAAATAACACCAACTTAGGATCATGGTCAAGCGAAATCGGCCATGAATTATTGTACGCCAAGAGAAGAATCCCAAGATCTGAAGTCGCCAAAAGAATTTCTGTCATGGGCTCCAGACATTTGGAAAAGACCTTCGCTAAGTGGCTCTGGGATTGCGAGTTAGCTGTTGCAATGTATGGTCCAGTCTTCATGCAGATCAGATTCCATAGTGTCTACCGAGGATACATGAATGGAGGTAACGTGTGGTAAGTAATAGAACTTACTTATTTAATTTTTATTCTCATAAATTATATAAGTCAAAATCAAAAAAAATGTCAGGACGTGAATTGTGTTAAATGGACAAAATTGGGTTTTTCACCCTCAAAATGTGAAGTAAATAATATAAATTTATTTTCCAAGTTAAAAAATTATTATTAAATTATCTCCATTTCACTGGCATTCTAATTCCATTCTAAATTAATAAACCATAAATATGAGTTTTCATTGCATTAAACCTGGTATTTAAGGTGTCTAGTGCGTACCCTCGATTAAAAGGGTTATAGCTTAAACTAGTGACGTCACCAAGCCATCTTGGAATAACGTGGTCAGCCCATGCCCAAGCCTTCTATAAAGTTCCATCGCCAGTATTCGCCGCACGTCTCACCTGGCGCGTTGCCGTCGCTCTTGCCACACTCAGCTCCTGCGCGTGTTCCGCCTAAGGGTCATCCTCTCTGGGGATGTGCTGAGAGGTAAAACTTTGAGCCTCTTGAATGCACTGAGGAGCTGCTCCTTTGGTTATCCCCAAAGATAAACAGCCATTGCTGTGAAGTTCTCGAGAGAAAACCCAACCCCATAAATAAAATTCCACGAGGGAGAGAAAATTAGCAGAGCTAATTTCTCTCATTTTATTTATATAAATATGAGTTTTCAGCCTGAATTAAGGCCTATCCTTCCTTCAATTAACCTTATTCCTGCACAAGAAGGCTGTATATACCCTATAATACCCATTTATTCGCCTCTTGTCCCAATTCCCATCCAAAATCTCCAACCAGAAGCAAAGCCCAAATATAAAAGGACGTGGAAGCGTAACCAGGTCGAAGCTTTATATGCCTTTGCAAAGCTCTATTGTGCGCAAAATGGCAAAAGCCTCGAAAACCTGCAGCTTCCTGACTTTATTGAAATTGCAAAAAGCACTGATAAAACTGCTGAGCAATGCAGGGTGAAGCTCCATGAAATCCATGCATCTGGCTCTTTGAGATCTGGGACTTGGTCCGAAGTCGAAGATGGAATGATAAAAGACATGGCTTTGAGCCAAAAACTGAAATGGGGGCAAATCGCAAGTCAGGTGAATTCGAAGGTTCATAAAAACATGAAAATAAGAACAGGAAAACAGTGTAAAGAAAGATGGAATAACCATCTTAATCCACATGTAAATAGAGGTGAGTGGACAGCAGTAGAAGATTTAAAGCTTTTAGAGCTTCATAAAGAACATAAAAATCATTGAAGTTTAATTTCTAAAGAAATGACAACAAGAACTGAAAGTGCAATAAAGAACAGAATCAAGTCACTTATGAATAAAGAAATGCAAGATGTAAATAATATAAACAACCCGTCGGCAGCGGTTGATAGACTTATCATGAAGAAGAAGATTGAAATTTCAAATCTTAAAGATGCACAGGATAACGCAAGTCCAGGAAGTGGCTCGAATTATAGTCGTGCTACAATGAAACAGCCAACCTTTTCTGATCTTGCGATGGGATTGTTTCCTAACTAGCTAAATAGTGTAAATAAAGCATTATATTTAGTGTTTAAACAGAGCCCTTTTCTTCCAGTCGCTTTTCAAAAGACGTATGGGCCTATTGCAAATATATTTTCCATTCATTTCTTTCATAGCTTTTATGTAATCATCAACTGACCCAAAACTTATAAACCCATATCCTTTACTTTCCCCTGATCTCTTGTCTAGGACAATTTTTACTTTCAGGACAGAAGGATATTTCCTGAATGCATTTTTTAGCTTCTCTTCTGTGACTTCGCTACCTAGATCCCCTACAAAAGCTCGATAGTCATTTTCTGGCCAGTCTTCCATAGTGGGATCAGTCCATTCTTCATCTCCAGATTTTCTAAAAACTCTTCTCTGGGTTTTCTTTTCTTCTTTTGTCTGTTTTGGTCTTATATTAGGCTGCTCTGGGGGCAAAGTAGCAGGAATAGGCATTCCGTTTGGAAGCTTAGATAGACCTTCTCCTGTGCTAAGTTTTAACTTCTTAACTGGCTCTCCTTCCATAATAAAAATAATATAGCAGTGATTCGAGAATTATCTCTCTGAAAAACAATCTTATAATGATTTCTCTTAATAATAGGAACTATTTGTAATAAACCAAAAAAACAGATTATATATTGTAGCTCTTTAAATTCGTCAATAGTATTTCCCTAGTATCTATAAGTAATCGCACTAAATTTTCCTTTAATATTAAAGTATTATTAATGTCTCTGATAAAATACACTTTTAAAGTTTGAATTTTTTCTAAAATAATGATTAATTTAACTGGATTTTCAATCCCTGAATCTTTCGTCCGAGGAGAAAAGCCTATCCAATTCCGCACAATCAGGGCGATGAACAAAGACAAGCTCGAAGAAATCCGTCGAAAAGAAGTACGGCTCCGTCAGCAGCTAAGAGAAAGGTTTATTTCTGATAAATACAGTCCTACCCGGATATCAATACTTGAAAAACCCACTAAGCGATTCCATCAAAATGAGCTTTTTATCTCAAGCGAAAAAAAGAAAATTGTGAGGAGAGCACTCGATCTTAAAGCCAAAACAATCAAGTTTTCACGTCCCTCAACTTCCCCTAATAATGAAGGATTGCTATTGCAAACATGTGCACTTGTTCAGAGCAAAAATACTCACTCTGATGATAAACTGAGCATAAATCTGCCTTTATTTTTCTCAACCCCTCAGCTTCCGAAGATAAATAACACATTAGAAAACTGAAAAATCTGCAATGGGATACCGAAAGATTCAAAAATATTCATAATAAACGGGAATTACCCAGTTCTAAGAGAAGCTTTCTTGCAGAGAGGATGAGCAGAGAATACGGACCCTGAAAGCATGCATTTTGATATAAAGTGAGCCAGAAACCCAAGAGTCCCAGCTGATATTCGTGACTGGCAAATGATCAATCATTTCCCACGGAACATTGAGCTGGCAGCTAAATGGAATTTTTGTGAAAACATAAAAAAGCTCCCCAAGAACACCAAATTCAACCCACTGAAATTCTTCCCTCGGTGCTTTAAAATTGGATCAAAAGAAAACGAAGAGTTCTATGAGCACTATAAAGCGTTAAAAGCATTAGGCATTCTTAAAAGCTACGTCGAGGGTAAAGAAGATTACTGCTATGAAAAAATATTAGTCTCTAGTAGAGTGTGCCAACGATGAGCATTTGACATAGAAAAGAACCCAACTGGTGAAAGAGCCAAACCTTTATCATTAGTCTTAACTATTGAGTGGAGAATTTTAAATTCAAACAACCAAAACGAAATGGCAAGCGAGCTTTCTAAGCTTCATTTACAAAGTATACCTTCTGCTCAAGACTTGCCTTCCTATGCAGCAAGCTCCCTTTCTGCTATAAAGAATGCTGATCCACAATTTTATATCAATGGCAAAAGAGATATCTGGATTGTAAAGCCAGGAAGAAAATCAAGAGGCAGAGGAATCGCTTTATTTGATAATATTGACCAAATAAGGCAATACACAAGCGGGTCAAAGTATTGGGTCATTCAAAAGTACATAGAAAACCCTTTGATAATTCAGAAGAAAAAATTCGACATAAGACAGTGGGTGCTTATCAGCAATTCAGACCCTTTAACTGTTTGGATTTACCAAGATTGCTACCTCAGATTTGCAGTTGATGACTATCAGCTTGACAGATTGGAAAATAAATATATGCACTTAACAAATAACAGCATTGTAAAAAATTCTGATAATTTTGAAGATGCAGAAATCGTAGGCTGTATGTGACACATAAATCAGCTTAAAGAGTACTTTGAAGAGAATTGGCAGAGAAATGTATGGCAGGACGAAATTTTTCCAAAAATCAGGAAAATCGTAAAAATGTCACTTATGTCAGTAGGGAATTTAGGAAGAAGGCAATCGTCGTTTGAAATATTTGGGTATGATTTGATGATTGATGAAAATCTACAGCCTTGGTTGATAGAAATTAACTCAAGCCCAGCTATGGATTACAGCACACCAGTGACTGAAGTCCTTGTCAAAGAAGTCTTAAGAGATGCAGTCAAAGTTGTAATTGACCATGCAGCTGACGATAGCTGTGACACTGGCAAATTTGTCTTATGCTATAAAGCAAGATCCCGTATTAAGTAGAATAGATATCCCATATGTAAAAGAATTATATTTACAATAAATAAATATTATGCAAGCAATGATTATTGCAAAATGCTTCCTCCAAGCCTTCTTCGCTGAGTTGCATTTTCAAGCTTCTGAGTTTCAATTCCAAGCTCTTTCCAAACATGCTTTAACAGTTTAGCAGACTCTTTCCAGCACTTTTTGAGGTCTTTATTAGACTTGTGCAGCGTGACGATTTCTTTTTCTTTTTCTTCAAGTTTGCCATTGAGCTTGGCAATTTCATCTAAATAGCCCTGGATTTCTTTGGCAGTGTTTGCTTTGGTGATTTCGTTTATTGTATTGCTTTTTAGACATTTTAATTTAGCAGCAAGCTGTTCTCGCTCATTTTGAAGCTCATTCAAAGCTTCTTCTGTCTGTGTGATCATCTGAGTGATCTTTCTATCGTTTTCATATTTAACTCTGTCTAGCACTTCATGGTGCTCTTCTTCTAGGATTTTGATAGTCTCAGCTTTATCTTTCAAAATTTCTTCGATTCTCTGATCTTTATCGTTTAGTCTCAAGGCAAGGCCAGCTTTTTCTGATTTTTCAGTTATAAGCTCTCTTTCTAGCTCAATGAATTTGATATGATAGTCTTCGTTGACTTCTTGTTTCTGTTTTTTTAATGATTCTATTACTTCCATAGAGACTTTTTCTTTCTCAGTCAGCTCTTTGACCTTATCACTCAGCAATTTCTCATTGAGGGTCTTTTCTCTTATTTTTATTTCTTTTTCATTCGCAGTGTTTTGGAGAACTATTGTTTCTTCTCTACATTCAATAAACCGTCTGTACATTAAGTCTTTTTCCTCATGAAGCTTTTTGATTTCTTGTAGAAATCCTTCTTTAGATGATTTTAATTTATCGTATTCATATTGAAGCTGCTCCATCTTGACTTTGTCTGTTTGACTATTTGCAAGTGACTCTTGCAAGGCATTTACTTGCATTTTCAGAGCGTTTATTTGCTCCATAAGATTACTAATGATTTTCGTTCTTTCAAATTTGTAAGATTCGAAATCTTCTTGAAGCATCTTTAGCCCTTCATTTTGGAGTTTGGACTTTGTTTTGTATTTTTCACATTTTTCTTCTATCATCGATTTCTCTTTGGCCATGGTATCCATGTGCTCAAGAGCTAGCGAGTTTGAAGGCCTTTTAGTTGTTGATCGATTGAAATCTTCTTTTTTATGCTCATTTTTTGCTAGCTCATTTATTTCTTCTCCTAGTACAGTTAGCCCAGTTAATCCTCTATGATATGAAAATGAGTCATCACTCATATTTGACCCACACTCAAGCCTTCTTTCTATCTCCAGCTCCTGCATCTTGGTCTCTGCAAAATTTAGCTTATCTTCCAGATCATGGCATTGCTTTGTCAACTGCTTAATTTGCTTTTCCTTATTTTCTAACGCAAAAGCCAAAGACTCAGATTTTTCTTTTTCATGCACCAGCTGGTCTTTTATAAAATTTGCCGTTTTTGCAGCTTTATTTAGGTCAATAATTTCTTCTTCTAACGAGCTTACCTTTTTTTGCAAATACTCACTTTGCTTCGTTACTTCAGATAGCTTTTTTGTTGCATTTACCATATTTTCGCATTTCTTTTTATATGTATGTAATTGCTTTTCTGCTTGTTGCAATCTAAAAACATTTGAATTTGCGACGTCTAATTCATCTCTTAAGCTTGCAATTTCACTTTCATATCTTCTTTTAGCTTCACTTAGCTCTTCTTGTATTACTGATAGTTTGCCTTCTTTTTCACTGATTTTGGATTCTAGCTCTATAAAAGTAATATTAGGGGATAATAATGATGGTGATTTTCGCACCAATTCGCTTTCTAAATTGCAGTTCATTGCTTTCAGCTCATCTCTTTCACTGGCGATTTCATGCTTTTGTGTCGCCAGCTGTGATAGCTCTTCTTGCATTGCTTGGATTTTGTATGTAAGTCGCTTCTTTTCGTGTCGTAAAATGTGCACTTCTTTCCGCTCGGGGTCTGGAGGTGGTGGCTGATTTGTTGGAAGTTCATTTCCTACATCCCATCTTAGTTAGAAAACAATTTTTTTTTGGCTCTTACGAAAGGAATTAATTTTTTCAACTAAATATTATTATATATACCTAATTGCAATGAATAAAATTATACAACCACCGATGCTATCCTATTTTCAATTATAAGGTCGATTACAGCTAACAAATATAAATATTTTTATTAATTTCATTAGGAATAATTTTTTTGGATTTTTTTAAAACATTAAAAATCTAATTTTATATTTTAAAAATTCAAGCTGTCTAAATTTAATATAATTTATTTCAGATCATTTTATTTATAATTATAAATGAATGTAAAATATCTAGTTTATTTATTGTTAAAAAATTTTTTGCTCGCGAATCAAGAGGGGCTATTTTAAAAAATAAAGATTTTTCTGATAGCTGGCTTGCTAACAAAGGGGAGTAAGACTTTTTGAATAAAGAACATAAGTTGCGTTTGGCATTTTTCATCCAATTGCATTATAGGATGAATGAAATTTTCTTTTTGAGGTGAATTTAATATTGCGAAAACAACGAGCTCCATTAAGCTGACTATATCATCAGTTGACTCTTTTCTTGCTATATTTGCAAGGTCAATTTCTCCAAAACGATCATGAGGAGCTTGTACAACCTGGTCTAGATAAGAGTCAATTGTTTTTTTGAGCCTTCGGAGGTTAGCTAGCTTTAAAGCTCAGTTATCACGTGCATCAAGCGTTATGCACTCTATGTCAAAATGATCTGGCGACCTTTATAAGTTTTACAGTTTAGCCATCAACTCATAGAGCAAAATGCCATCAGATAGTTCTGATATTTTTTCACAAGGATGGCTCAAATTCATTTTGTTAAGCTACATAAACCTTACCCATTGAATCAGACTGTAGGAAATATCGTCCATTTAATTCTAAACTTTCTGTATTATATGCATTCAGTTGCTATCTTAGAAATAAAATGTAAATAAAAAAAATTATTATTGAGGGAATGAAATGATGATTTTTGGGCGATCTTAAGAAAAATAAGCTTTCTTTTAGCTTTTTTCTTGATTTTGACAAAATAATTTAATTTTAGAGGGCGATATTTAATAACAAAATTAACTAACTAAAAATATTAACTGCAAATCTCTAAATGAATAAAAAAAACTTTAAATAATTATAAGCAGCTAATTACTTTTGAAGATATTAATGAATATGTGATTTATTTTGTCTGATTATTTTCGCAGTCAAAGCATAAGGCTCAGATTCATCAATTTCAACTGAATTCTCAATGTCTTCCCACATTTTTCTGACTATGTCAAAATATGGATGGCCCATAGCTTCTTTAGGGAGCAGTCTATCTATATGGTCATACACAAACAATTTTGATAAAAGATCAATTGCTTGTGGATTCGCTAAATGGCTATTTTCATTTGTAACAAATAAATTAAGACTCTGCTTGCTTTGATATACGATTTTTTTCTCAAGAGCCCTATCAATGTCTACCCTATGCTTTGCTATATACTCTCCTAAAGCTTCTGACCCTAAAACTGCAATAATCTTCATGAGCTGGTCTTCATTGTCTTCTCCTTGGAAAAATGGTTCTTTTTTGAAAACTATTCCAGCCATCATGCACGCCAGGCTTCAAGAATCAAGTGAATAATTATAATACCTATGGCCTACTAAGAGCTCTGGGCCTTTAAAATATCTAGACGCGACCCTAACATGATATGGATGTCCATGAATGTAATATTCTGCCAAACCCCAGTCAATAATCCTTATTTTTCTTTTGGGGTGGTCAAACATAATATTGTGTGGTTTGATATCTCTATGGATTACGCCTTTTGAATGGCAATAATCCAAGGTTTTAAGAATTTCATATAGGGCCTTCCTATAGATGGCGCGCAATGCGCCATCACCGAGCCATGTCGGGAGAGGGTTCCACACGAGGAATGGTTCTACGTGTGGAACCCTCTTTTTGACCTGTGAGAAAACTACTTTCCACGAGCCAAAAAGAGGATTCCGCACGTAGAACCATTCCTCGTGTGGAACCCTCTCCCGACATGGCCCGGTGATGGCGCATTGCGCGCCATCTATAGGAAGGCCCTATACATATAGTATCTCACATCAAAGTCCCCTCATTGATTATAAAGCTCTCTGAAATCTTCACCTATAGAATACTCAATAATAAGTGCTGGAGTATTTGTAATTCGGTCCCTTACAATGTCGATAAATCTTGGGATTGATGGATGGCCTGTAAGCGTTTTTAATATGCTGATTTCTCTTGCTATTTTGTTTATGCCGACTTGTCTTAAGAATTTTATAGTGACTCGATCATATGTCAATAGATTAACACCTTCATATACTTCAGCATATTTTCCTTGGCCGAGCTTGTTTACAATCTCATAATCGTCAAGCCTGCCAATCTCAAAGGCCCGAAATTCATAATTATAAAAATCTCCTGGCACTCCTTTATTGACATTAGCGTAAAGTCTTGGTTGCATTCCATAGTTAAACCTCTTTAAAAGGTTTTTGATTCCAATCATAAATTTTTTAATTATTTTATAAAATTAATTAAAGTTGATTACAGCTAGAACGAATTCAATATTGAATAATTAGAAGCTCTTAAAAGCTGTGGGATAGATGATAATACTATAAATTCTTAGAAAAAATTATTAGCTCTATATCATCAATTTGCAATTTATTTATTGCGTAAAATAGCTTTCAAATTTTCGATTTGATTATTATAACAACACCTATAAATAATTTTAAAGTTTTCAAGAAGATTAAAAGCCTATTCAAATATTCTTATATTCCAAACAAAGCAAATATCCCTAAAATAATTTTCCTCTATTGAATTTTTGCCTTTCACTTCTCTGCAAACACTCTTGATACTCCCAGATTAAATATAAATCACGAGTATAATAATACTTAAATGTCAAGCATTTACAATTGGAATGTACCAATCACGGTGCCTCCAGTCCATGATACAACGCCGTGTATGGATTACATGATTGCTTATGAAGAGTGCTTAGTAGATGCAGTTCCCCGCAATATGGAAGTCTTTCACCCTAATTGGCCTACCATGTGGCCTCGCCTTCTTACAGATGGAAAACTAAGACCTGATCTTTTAGACGACGAAACAGCAGAAATTGGCCCTGTAATGGACAGAGCCTTTACCTGGATGAAGCCTCTCTCTGAAAGTGTAAAAGAAAAACTTTGGGAATGCGAAGAAGAAAGATTCCTCTATAAAGGCTGCCTTAGAAAGCTATTATCCAAAAAAAATGACCCTAGAACTAGATATCCATTTTGGCAGCCTGAAGAACACTCCACTAAAGCACTTGGGAGACGTTTATATGTAGATCCAAGAAATAGATATCCAAGTGATATGAATCATGATGTCAAAGAAAGCGACCAAGATTATGTCAGAAGACGATGGGCTAAATTTGTTGAGGAAGGAGGAGACTTATAAACCCAAAACATTCTTAAGACTAAGAATCAGTTTATTAAATACAGGCAATTTATATTACCTAAATTTACTTGTTGTATGGGGACGCATATAAGGGATAGAAGATCTCCAATGTATTGAGGAAAAACCTTTGACTGCAAGTTTAGAGCTAACTTCGCAAAAAATTCTAATATAATTTAAGAGGGTGAATTTTTTTCTTAAAAAAATATAATAGTTTAAAAGGAGTGGAGTGAGAGGATTAAAGTTGCTGAATTTTTCAATACATTTGGAAAAGCTTTCTCCATCAGATTCAGCTTCAGCATAGTATCCTTGTGATTGATCCTGCGTTTTGATTGTTTGAAGAGTGGAGATGATATCGCTGAGAAGTCCTCTTTCTCTTCCTACAATGCAGGAAACAATGTCTTGAGCGATTGTGTTGGATGAAGATTTTAGCATTTCTTCAAGCTGGATGATAGAGCACTTGCCGATGGTTTGATTACGAACTTCTTCAAGCATGTCATTTTCTGAATCGGGTTGTGAAGAAGCGCTGTAAACTTTTTTTCTTTTCATTTCTTTCATTTCAGATAGACGAACTTCTAATTTTTGCAGTAAGGTTCCAGCTTTGTGTGCTTCAGGGTTTTCCCAAGCGTGGTGGCAAATGAATTTATCAATTGATTTTTTCCACTCTTTTCTGAGTCTTTCTTCTGGAATTGTCTTAATAAGATCGATGACCCTTGAAACATAACAGTCTAATCTAATTACTTACTTTGTTTTTAACGTGCAAGCCTTTTCAGCAATGTGCCTGGGCCCATCTCTTTAAGTCCCATCCAGAGATATCGCAGGCCATCCCAATAACCAAAATGGTGTCGACGCCCCTAAGTGCCTACGTCACAAAAAATTGCGAGGGCATTCCAAACTTTGCGGAAGGAAAATACACACGGGGCGCATTGCCTCGCCATATGCTTGACTCCTGCGCGTGCTCTGCCCAAGGGTCACCCTCCTCCAGATATGTAAAACAATAAAACTTATTGAATCCTAGAGTTCTTGGGCTAATCTATCTTGCCTTACCCGATAAGCCATGCTTTGGCATTGTGGATACAATACACCAGAAAAACCAAATCCCATAATAATAAATATCGCGGAAGAGGGAGGGTTTTCAGAGGCAATCACTTTAGTGCGTAGCCATTTTATTATTATGAAGCATAGCAGATCAATACATCATCTCCGGTGACCACAATTTTATCAGTTTGAGGTTGCTTGTGAGTGCAAGGAATTTCTGAAGAACCTTGAGACTTGCACTGTATGCAAGAAAAACTGTCAACTTTGATTTTTTTGTTTGAAGATTGCTCATTAGCATCTTGATTTCGATTATCATTTGCGGGGGGATTGCTTTGATCTACACAGGTGTTTATTTTTATATCCCTTTTTAGCAGCGATGTAGTTTGAGGACGTGTAAAATTTTTGACTGAAGATGATGAGTGGAGATCTGCAGAATCATTAAAAAGAGCATTGTAAAGAGCTTTGTTAATGGGCCGTATTGTTGAAAAATATTGGTCGTAATAGTCACAGTCCTTGGCAGGATAAATTCGTAAAAACCCTCCTCTTCTATCATATTCTTCTATGGCTTCTTTTATTACATCTTTGAGCTTTGATCTGCTGTTCGTATCCTTCCTTTTCATAGATGGAGATTGAGCTCTCGCAGGCTGACTGCTGACTCCCCTAAATTTATATTTTATCAAACAAATAGGAATTATCATTGCTACTCAATGCCAATTTTTATATAAAATAGAGGTGTCACTATTTTTTCGATTTCGCTCTATCTGTTGAGAGCGAATATTATCAATTGCATATTTTGCTCTTTAGCGCTTAAATTTAAATCTATTAAAAATTAAGATTTTTCTATATCATATATAAAACACCACAAAGCAAAACTTCTAAGACATTATATTAGAATATTGGCTTTGCCTAAACCTTATTCTTGCTCTAATCTTACTAGGATTTTCTTTTTTTCTGTCATAAACCCTTACCCCAATTAAATTAAAAGCATCTGCAATCAAATTTCCTTTGATATGCAAATCCAAAGGTGCATCAGTCGCCAAAGAAGGGCTGAGGTTTACTTCTAGCAGCCACGGCTTTAAGTTAGAATCCAGTAAAACATCAAACCCAAACAAATCAAAACAGTTATTTCTATGCAGTCCAAGCTTTCTAGCATTATCAATAAGAATTTCTTCTACCGAAAGAATCGCTTTGACAACTAGTTCATAAATCCTATTCCACATCAGATCAGTATCTATCCCAACGCTTTCCAAATGCTTCATTAGCGCATGTAAGCTTCATTTATGCCCCACATCATCTTGTCTTCAGTCATTGTTCTGCACAAATTTATCATTGTTTTTGTTTACACTATAGTTCGTCAGATGGATAAAATGATTGTTTTTGTTCCCAGGAGTATAAGGTTCACTTGCGAACCTTGCCAAGCCTTCTTCATATATATAAATTTTCAATGGGTCGATACTTGTTATGAGAACATAAAGTCTGATATCAAATTTTAGACCATTGATAAGCAATGGGTTTTGAATGTATTGGGAAACTATACAAGGCTCATCAGTTGGAACATCTTCAACGTTTTCAATCAAATAAATTCCTCGCCCTCTTGAACTTGCAGATGGCTTCAATATCCATTGAGCAGTTTTATCTCGATAAAATTGATTATAAAAGTCAGAATACTCATCAGGCAGGATAAAGGTATCAGGTATAAAATCAAATGCTTGCTTACCAAATTTTTTCTGCATGGCTACAATGTTAGCACACATCCTGTCTTTTCTAGTCAATTCAAAAGAATTTGGGAAATGATTGATTCTCTGATACTCATTTAAACCTTCATATAGGTAAGGCTTAGCACTTGATCCTATTCACATAATATTCCAATCGTGCGAATCTGTATAATTAAACCCTGATGCTTCAAAAATTGATCGGACAAGTTTTGCATCTGTTTTATAAATCCTATATAAGAGTTCGTGTGGCTGCAAAAAATTCCCCTTACAGTAGGAATTTTGAGGCAGAGAATTCTTTACTAATTGCTGCTCACTTACTGGCATAAACAGTATTAAAGAAGGTCGATAGTCTTCTTCTTTTTTTAGTTTGTCAAGCTTTTGTCGGCAGGCAGCTTCAAATAATTTCAAAAATTTTGTAGATGTCCCTCGTTGTGTGTGTAGGCCTTGCCCTGGCCTCCCAACTGTTTCTATAGAGATGCCTTTTCATGAATTTTTTTCGTGTTCTTGATTGGCTTTAAGCAGCCTCAATGCTGAGTTGTCTGAAGTTCCTCCTTTTGGAGCTACTGTGACTATTGTGAATTCTGTGTTTGAAGATTTTGGAGTTCTGTGCGAAATTGACTTAGCTCTAAATGACATTGATTAATATTTCTTTAAATTATTATTCTATTTTTCTTATTTGGCTTGTGTGAGGTCTTAAGAATAGAAATTCATGATAATGAGAATAGATATAAAACGCTTACTCAATGATTGATTTTTAATGACTACTTCTGGAATTAAAACAAATGATTGATTTGTGGTGATGCCATCTTAAGAAGTTTTATGGTTTGCGAATTAAATATAACTGAACAACTTTTAATTTTTTATATTTTAATTTTAAGTTTCAAGAAAATTTTGGAAAAAGTTTTAAATTAGCATAACATCGAAAAATTAAATTATTTCGTAAATCCACATATTTAGTAAAAATTTGCATTCGTTGTTTTCAGTGAAAATGTAAGGCAAAATAATTGCATTGATAAGTATAACTATACGAATTTGCGATGGAGTTTCAAAAAGATAATCTAATAAATAGCTTTGCAGAAATCATTGGGGCTTTGTCATCTTTATAAAAATTATAAAATAATGAGTATACCAAAATTTACAACTGATTCGCATATTATCTTCAGCACAATTTGCAAACAGCTTGAGTGTCCAATATGCACGATCTCTAAATCTACTTCGAATTTTACTACGATTAAAGCCTGTGGACATTCGTTTTGCAGCTTTTGCATTCAGTCTTATTTACTTAATCAGATTGACATGGGCAAATTCTATCCTTTAAAATGCCCAAACTTTGAATGCACGTCAGAAGATATTGATATTGAAGAGTTCATTCTTATTATTATGGAGTTCGGTTTTCCTTGCGCACCTTTCTCCTAGCTATATCAGCAACATCCCAGCCTATAGGCGGAGAGCTGAATCCTTAGCTTTGTGCAGATATAGGGTTTTACCGCTTGACATGGGCATACACAGGAGTGGCACAATGCTGGGGCTTTAGGGCCAGAACGAGGCTCAACTACTTAGGATCTTCGAATCATTCATGTAAATCGTGCTACTTCGGAATTTATCATTTGGAGTTAAGAGAGAGTAGGCTTTTGCTTCATCCTGCGGGAGAGAATAGCTGACTAAACACCCAGCTAATTAATCATCTAAATCCCCACTCCGTAAGCATACAAAATCATTGGAAAATCTCTCTATTTTTAGGTAAAAGCCCCCCTCCATAAGCGAGCAAAAAATTTTTAATATAAACATTTTTTATAAAAAATATTTTATATATAACTAATAATTGTTATAATGAAATCTATAGCTAATTTTTATTTAATTTTAAACAGCTCGCATTTTAAAACACAAATCTCACAAATTAAATTAATATTTGCTTTAAAATTATTTCGAATTAGGATTTTTTTTTAATTTCAAAAAAATACTATAAAATAAATATAAATTTTTGAAAATAAAATAGCCTCCTCTATAGCGAACAAATTTTTTGTTCGCTCACAGAGGGGGCTAAGTAAGCATTGAAGAATTTCAAGGATTGCTTACTGATGAACAATTTCAGCAATTCGCAAGACTAAAACAAAGAGCTTTGCTTGAAAAAGATCCAAACTTCAGGTGGTGCCCCAAGCCTGACTGCAAAGGATATTGCTACATTGAGAACTCAAATATGAACTTAAAATGCAACTTGTGCAGCTTTGAATTCTGCGCAAGCTGCAAAGAAGCTTGGCATACTGGAATCTGTATATCTGTTGAAGATGGGCTTAGACAATACGCAAAAGACAAAAATCTTAAAAAATGCCCTTCTTGTCATTCTTATGTCGAAAAGGTATGGGGATGTTCCACTATTGTTTGCAGGTGTGGAGTAAGCTTTTGCATGAGCTGTGGAAATCTTCTGGACGATAAGCACGACCCAATTGTTTGTACACTCGGAGGAAACTATTCTAACGCTTCATGGGGTATGATTCTTTTATTTCTTGCCGCCTGAGTGATTTTTCCAATTGATTCCTTTATTTTGATTGTTCATATTGGAGAAAATTGGGGAGGGCCTGAAATTGAAGATAAATGTGATCGATATATCTGGGAGCATCGAAAAGTATTTTATGTCATAGCGTTTTTATTGTCTCCAATCTTTACTGTGCTGCTTCTGATTCTGTTTGCCGGAATATTTTCAAATGAAATCTTAAATGAATATTTGAAAAGTCATTACATCGAAGAGAGACTTAACTGAAAAGTTTGGCTTGCAATCAAAATTGTTTACTATATCCTTAGCACTATCATTATACTAGTATTGATTGTTCTAGTCTGGCTAATATTTCATGCTCTTTTGCCTTTGTTTGGTTTAGGGCTATTAATAGCAAAATTGGTTTATATCTGCAAAAAAGCTAAATAATGCATTAATAAAAACTTATTCCAAACTTTGATAATTAATTATTTTTAAAATTTTCTAATTCTCTTCTATACATCCCCAATATTTCTTCATACTTTATTAAAAGATTTTTCATGTAAGCGAACTTTTCTTCGTACTTCTCTTGATCTTCTTGTGCATTCTGTTGAAATTGTAACAGCTTAGTTTTAAGCATATAATTTTCTTCAAGTTTTAACTGTGATTGTTTAATTAAATCATCAAAATATTTGAATTTATCAACTTCTGAAGCTATTACTAATTCACAAAGACTAATCATTCCAGCAAATATTAGACCTATCATTTTTGATTCTTTTGGGATTTTTTTCGCTGCATCATTTAGTACCATTGTTAAATAGTCGAGATATTTTCTATGATTTTCCTCACATATACCTTTGACGTCTAGTATCTGAAGGTCTTGATTAAGCATACCTATTTGTTCTTGAATTATTACATAAATTTCATTATCAGCAGACATGAAATTCTTGAAGTTTTCAGGTCTTTCTTTGCCTTTGAAATTTGGAGTCATTGGAAGATTCGATGATTTTGAGCTATTTCTGCTTAATTTAGAGATACTTGATTCTTCAGCTTCTAAATATGAGTCGACTTCATTATCGATGGAAAAATTAGTATTTTTATTAAAAATTTGACTTCCATGATGCATGTGACTTGGCTGAAGCTGCTGGGAGCCTCCTAAAGAGTCTACTCGCTTTTTTCATGGTATTGTTAAATGAATTAAATTTGTGGCAGGGGTTTCTAGTGATACCTGCGCTGATTTGTTTATAGATTCAACTTTTATTATCTTTGAGTTGAGTTTTTTAGCATACGTTGATATAGATTAGTGCATTATTTGAATAAGTAATCGTATATTATAAATATTTTAAGCTCTCTAATAAAAAATATATGTAGTTTACAGAAAAAAAATTATTTTAGCTTGCAAAGCTAGTAAAAAAATTAAAAATAAATTATACACTTTCGTTCAAAGTTGAGATTTCAAGGAAAAGTGATAAGGAGTTAAGCTTTTGGCTTAAACTTATATTATCAGAATTTTCACAATAGCTGCAAATACGTTTTTTTGATTGAGAGGGAAAGAGGCTGTAGTTTTTACAGCTCAAACACATTTTAGGCACCCCTGAAGTCAAGTCAAGGTCATAATATTTTTTTCTTGGTAATTTAGTGTCTCCATAAGATTTTCCTTTGCAACTGCATAATTAATATGATGGTGGTGGCGACAAATATATACCATTAACGACGATGTACTACTTTAGGCGTAAAATGGCTTTATATCCTAAACAAGGTCTAGACCCTTTAATCCTAACCCTTAGCTTGCCTTGAACGGCCCTACGGGGCAGATAATCTTGGGAGTAAGCTGGCGGCCATTCTAGCCCAAATATTAATTATCCGGATGTTTTTTGATCCACGGATTCTTTCTGCCGGCTCCTGAAGGCCGTTGCTCATTTTTTTCTGGGCGTCACTTCCCTTCAAGGTGACTGACAGGGGGTATCAGGCTAACTTTGCCTTCATACACCCTTACAAGACGAGAATCAAGGAGAAGTCTTTCTAGCAGGCAAACTATATATATCAGTGCAATCTCAGTCCGGGAGTAGACTGCTGCTGAGGCAGGGTTCAGGTAACTGGACGCCTCAGGCAAAAACAGGTTATCTAATTTGAAAGACTTTAACGTCATTTAAGTTTAAGCTTGCAATTGCAGCCACATAAAAGGCAGCATTGAGAAGTTTCATTTTTTTGTACTGCTTCAAAAAGTTCAGCTATTTTTGATTTTAGCGAAGATAAGTTATTTAGCGAAGAAATCAGTTTTTTATAAAGAAACCTTTCTTTTTCATCAGCATTTTCACATGGCGAATCTTCTCTATCCTTCTCATATAAATCCAGTAAATTTTTCGCAATTTCTCCAATTGGCATTTCTTTGCTTAATTTTGACCCTTGTTGCATTTTTTCAGACTCCGAAAATCTTCAAATTTCAGATTTCAGATCTTTTGTGGATTTATTTGGAGTCAACGATCTAGAAGCTCTCTGTTTAGATTGTGACGGAGACCTAGAATGGTTTGGTGGATTCTTATTATATCCAATTTTTTGTAGGGAGCTTCGTCCTTGGCTTATGTCTTGCATTTAATTATTTAATAAATTAATTTATTATTGCATTTGTTTTACTTGCTTCAATGTAAAAATCGTTCTTTTACGAGGACTTGAACTGAAATCTTTTCCATAAGTTGACTTGTATTGGCTTCTTGCAGACTCAGTTTGAGAATAATCTAATGATTTATTCCTTGATTTTATTGTAAATTGCTCTCTTTTAAAAGGCTTGAAGGTATTTCTATGTGTAGTTTCGCCATAGAAAAAGTCATTTATTCCAATTATTCTGCTTGTTGGAGATTCTAATGGCTTATTTTCGATAATTTTATCAGGCAGAGAAAAGCTGTCAGCATATGTTGTATTTGCTTTTAGCTTTATATCAATAGGCTCAGTAAGCAGTTTGGGCAGCTTTTTGAGTGGTGGAGGAGTTTTCCAGTCCTGAAAGTTAGAAGAATATGTCGATGTTGCTAAAAATTTTGGCTTTCACTTATGGTTGTCATCAATATTTAAACTTTTATTTAGTCTTTCCAAAGGTTTTTCGCAAAAATCTTCTTGCTTTGTAGTTCTCAAATCCATCTTCTGTCGACTATGTAGGAGCTCTCCTTCTAATTTTACTGGTTTAATAGGTGAAAAAGGTTTACTAATAAACTCTTTTTGGTATATTGACGAGTACATAGCTTTTGATCACGGCCTATCACGAGGAGTTAAAGACGGGCAGAGATGCTCTCCACAGCTGCATAGATAGCAATAGCAGTTTCCATTTCTATGATTAATTTCTCCAACTGGTGGGATATCTATGGTATCAAGATCGCATTCTCTTTTCTCTTCCATCTTTCACAGTTATCCTCAAATTTAAATTCTACTACAAAGCTGCTATAATAAAAATAACTGAGAATTAATTATTGTTCGTGATAATTATAACGATCGCTATGATACTTTTGCGAGATCGACGAGTTTGACCCTTTGGATTCCTTGGATTAACTTTGTTGGCCAGATTTTATGGTGCCTCATTTCGACTTCCAGCTTATTTTTGAGACTGGTTTGGGGTAAAAACGTTTTCCTAACTTGTGAGTAGTATTCTTTCATCTTGTGAAGCTTTTCGCTGTCTTTTTTTTGCACTCTATATTATAATTACTTTGTGAGGGCTATATCTCTAAATGAGTGGTGATAAGGAATATGCTCTTTTCTTATCCTGCATAAAAGTAGATAAAATATTGGTAACTTTCAATTTTTTGGTAAATTAATCATCTTTAAATTAAAAAAAATTATCGAACCTAATTTAATATAGTTAAATTTCACAAAATCGAAAATTTGCCTAATTCTTGTTTTATTATCAAATGTGGAAAGTTTAAAAAAAATTATCCCTGGAGTAGTAGCTTTTTGTTCCAATTTTAATGCAAGCGAATTTAGTTCGTCACTAGATGAATTCAAATTGTTTTTTACTATACGGGTTGAATTAATTTGTATTAGATTTTTTTGGACATTTATCTGTGTTCAAATTTCAACATAAATAAGGTTGATAAAAATATTTCGGTAATTCATGGGAAGAAGCATAAATAAGAGTCGGAAAGGTCCCTTAATTCTTTTATTGTTGACTCACTTCTTTTGTGAATCTTTTCAACATCATTTCAAGTTCTTTTTTGAGGAGAAATGCTATTTACTGATCTTCCTCCCGGTGATTTCTCATTCTTTTTCTTATCTCACGATTTATTTCCTATCATATGAATCAGTACCGTGTCTTTATCCGATCTTTTCAATATAAAAGGAGGTGGTATTTTTTCAATGATATTCGGTTTTATTTCTTTCATTATTTCAGCTTCATTTGCCTCACTTTCTTGATTTACCAGGCCACCTGGTAACTTTTTAATCGTTTTCTTCTTTTTTAGCAATGAAATTTTTTCTGTTTCAGTTGATTTATGGTTTAAATAATAAGGGACACTATCATATTGTATCGAAGCGTCAGAGACTTGCTTTTTTGGAGGAGAGTATATTGATAAATTATTATTTGAAGAAGCCAAACTGCTTTCTTTCATCTGCACTTTTTCTCGTTTAGCGAGTTCTGCGATATAGCTTTCTTCTAACTCAATAAAGTTCATAAGAGATCCATCAACTGTTTTTTCTTGAGACTCGTCTCAAGAAATTTTGTCACTTTTCCAGAGAGCCCGGGCTTTTCGGATTTCTTCTGCTTGCTTGAATTTTATCATTTTAGATTTCACGATCTTTTGTGGGTTTGGTCAGAGCATTGTGATAATTAGAGTTTATAATGAATTATTTTAATGCAATTTTTGGAATTTGATCATTTAATATAAAGACAAATATTAGCAATAATATATAACAGATTAAATTACCCTTGAAGCATTATTTCTTTATTGTGGTTAACATCATGAAGTTAAAATTCCCAAGAAACAGTTGGCACAATTCCATTTTTGAATGCCTCCCAATCTATCTCTGATAAGAATTCATGAGATTTTATTTCAGCAAATTTAGGACGTCTGGAGGTATCTCGGTCTAGTAGCTTTTTTATTAAATTTTTTGCACATTTTCCAACATAATGAGGGAATTTTAGTTTTGCAGAGACAATTTTGTGAAGAAGGTTTGTCATATTTTCTGAATAGTAAGGAGGGTATCCGCTGAGCATTTCGTATAATATGCAGCCAATTCCATATATGTCGACAGATTTATTAATCCCTGTTTTATTAAGCATTTCAGGAGATAAATATGCGGGAGATCCACAAAATGACATAGAGACATCTTCATCTTTCATATTTTCTTTTGAAAGCCCAAAATCTACTAGTTTTATGTGCCATTTATTATCAAACATAATATTTTCGGGCTTCAAGTCTCTAAAAATGACGTTATTTTCATGCAAATATTCGATTGCCACAATGAGTTCTGCTATATAAATTTTTGCATACCTTTCTGGCAGATAGTTAACTTTCTGAAGTAAATCACTGAGAGAGCCATTCTGACAGTAATCCAATGCTAAATACAACATTCTTGCAGTTTGAAATGAATAATAAAGCTTTATTATAAATGGAAAATCAGCAATGCTTAAAACATGGACTTCAGCAATTGCATACTTTGTGTATCCTTGCCTTATTAACATTAATATGGCAGATGCAGTAATATATGTCCTTGCTGGTGACACACTACTGCCAGGGCCAAAATAGCTTTTATAAACTAAACCAAGGTTCAAGCCCTTTGATTCTAACTTTATGTTTGCTGTATGGCAGCCGTATGAGGTGGATGACCTTGGGAGCCAGCTGGTGGCCATTTCTGTCCAAGCAATGATCATATGGATGATTCTTGGACCACAGGTTCTTTCCTCAAGTTCAGAAGACTGTGATTCTTTTTTCCTGGGTATCACCCTTCCTCATGAAGGAACTAAAATTTATTTTAAATTTTCTAAAACAAAAACATTAACCCCTCCATGAGAGAACAAAATCTTTTTGTTCCCTTTCGGGGGAAGTAAGAAGTTTAATTTAATTTAATTTGCCTTATTAATTTCTCTTTGAGCATTGCTTTTAGTGCATATGTTTCTTCAGTATTTTTTTTTCTTACTCAATTTATATTAATAGTAAAAAACTTTCAAGCTAATAGATTTCTTCTAATAAACGTAGTATAGTATTATATTTATATATTAAATAATGGCCAACAGACTTAGCCAAATAAACGACCCCAAAACTTCCAGTACCAATTTGCTGAATTATTTCAAAATCATCATATCCTACATCACCAATTGTTGAAAAATCTCCTAATGCAGATTCATATTTAGTATTATAAAGGCTACACATCTATTCCTAATGGCATTTCCTCTTCCGGATATTTTTATCGGCCTAATGGTGAAACTTTTTCCTTGCTAAACATATGACAGAAGAATAGCGGTTTTTCGGAGAAAATATCTGAAGAGGATAAAATTGTGCCAAGAAAATGTCTTCAGGAAAAAAATCACAACAAAAAGATTTATTCCGTATTATAAGTTTTCGACCTGTTTTGCCTGTATAGAAGTGCTCCAAAAATATTTCTAACCCACACATTTGCAGCTTCCTCTGATTCCACTATAAAATAATTCGGCTTACCCATTTTCATAGATATCTGAAACCTAAACCCATCTTTTTTATTGAATTTATCTTTGCACCTTTTGATCTCTTGAGCTTCATTTAATTTATAAACCTTAGCTGCTAAAGAATCTCTACATTTATCTTTATTAGCAAATAAACACAATTCTCCTTCTAAAGGCTTTAAAACAGCTCATACTTTTTTGCTTCCAATTAATTTAGGGATGCTTAGATATCCTTCAAAAGTTTCTGGCAAATCTGAAGTATCTCCCATATATTTACACAATAAATCCTTGATATTTTTATTGACTGTAACTTCAACAGGGAGCTGTCCCATTTTATTCTCAATAGAATAGTTTGCTTTAGCTTGTAGAAGGAGATCGACAATTTCCAAGCTTCCACATAAGCAAGCACAGTGCAAAGGGGTTGAATTCGCATCAGTCTCATTATCTACAATAATATTTTTATGTCTCAACAATAAATCTGTAGCTGCTAAATGCCCTTTAATGCAGCTTAAATGTAGAGCAGCCCAATTTCCATCTCGTGTCAATTGATTTACATTTATTTTGTACCCAAATAACAGTTCCATAAGTTGCGTATAGTTGTTATATGCTGCATAATGGATAGAAGTCCATCCTTCAGAGCTATAGGTCATGGCTAATTCTTGGTTGTACTCAAGTTCCCTTGCAATTTCACGATAGTTGCCTGATTTGCAAAGGTTGAAAAATCCTTCTAAAGGATCTACAGTGGAAAAGACATTGAAAGACTGACTTCTGATATTTTCAATTACTGGGATAATTCTGCTTCCATTCAGATTTTGGCTCTGTATCCTTCTTTCATTAGGGAGTCTTAAGCATAGACAAGAGTGATTCGCAATTCCATAAAATTCTAAATTATATTCGTCATCTAATATCAGCTCAGAATCGTTCAGAACAAATTTAAGGATCTGGTCCTGGGCTGGAATTCCTAAGTGGCTTTCTATCATTGTTTTTATGTAGCCGATACTGCAATGTGGCTCAACTTTGAACTCTAGTGTGCGATTATTTTCGCTTTTGATAAAAATCTTCATATAATAATTATTTGAGAAATTAAAAATAGCAGATTATATCAAATATTGATTATAATGATCCTGACGAAATCCATAATTTTCTTCAGATTTTTAAAAGCTACTATATAATAAATCCTAAACTCCTAATTCTTAAATGCATACATTTATTTAAAACAATTTGTCAACAATTAAACTCAATATTTTAATTGTATATGGAGAGAAGGCTTGATCTGCTGGAAACCAAACTTAGCAACCTTACCAACGAGCTGAATGGAGGCAGTTTCCAAAATTATCTGTCTGATTTCATTAAATCTCACATTGATGAATGACTTTCAGATACTCTCACAGTAAGCTGCATAAAAGAAGAAATTGAGAGAAGATATAAAAGAAATCGAACTGAGCTACTAGAATTTGTGAAAACAAACAATAACACTCAGCATGAAGTCAGAGAGCTTCAACATAAGTTCAAAGTTTGCTTTGAAGATATTCAAAGGCTCCGTGTTTCAATAGACGATGTTTCTAACGATCTTAAATACAGAGCATATCAGTCAGATTTGTTTAAGGTTGAAAAAGAGCTCCATACAATGTGCCCGCTGTCTTATGCTCAGCAGCTAGCTGCTGAACTAAGAACAATGGCAACTGCTGAAGAGCTTATATCCTAGAAATATAAATCGTTCAATTATTCTGGCAGTTAATGTAAATAAAATAGTTAGCTGCTTAAAAAAATGAAAAATCTCATGCATATAAAGTATATTAAGACACAAAACAATATAAAAGCTGCAACTGCTGAAATGTACTCAACATTTCTAGACAAAAGTGAACTTAAAAAAGAAATGTCTCGCATTCAGAATCTTGTTAATGAATTGTTCTATGGATATGCAAAAACTGAAAAAGTCAATGAAATTAGCGAAGCTTTAAGTGAAAGATGCAACCAAATAGAGCTTACTAACAAAAAAATCTCTGAGCAGCAAGAAAAATCTGCTGCGAATCTGAAACTTTTAATTTACGAAAATTCCCAAGAATTATCAACTAGGGTCAAAAGAGAAGATATGGATGAAGTTCTGAAAGAGCTTTCATACAAAGCCACAATTGCTGAATTTTGCAAGCTTCAGTCTGAAACTTATCCACGATTAACAAATTTCGCTATTGATTTAGAAAAGTTCAATAGAATCCAACAAGAACAAGAAACCGCTCTAAGCCGACTTGATGAAATTATCCTCCAAAAAGCATCAAAAGTAGACGTTAGAGATTTAACAAACAAAGTAAAATCAATCACAAAGCATATTGATTTGGAGCAAAAAATTGACGATTTATTAGAAAAAATAAAATTCATATCATATCAAGATGAAGAAAGAGATAAAGGAATGAAAAAACTTCAAAATCAATTACATGAGATCTGAGACTTTTATACTAAAAAGAGAAATGATGCAGATGATCGAAAAATGATAAAGGATCAGATCATTGAGCTCAATTCGATACTTTCTTATAAAATTGATAAAGATGATGTTGCTAAAAGTCTAGAAGAAAAAGCTACGGTGGAAAGTGTGAAAAGTTTGTCAGTTTCAATTGAATCGGTTCATAAGCAGATGAAGCTTCTTGCTGTGCAGCTTGGAGCTATTCAAAAAACATTTTCAAGCTCAAATAATGATAAAGGAAGCACAAGATCGAAAAGGGACCATTTTTATAAGATAACACAGAGATTGGTGGAATATATAGTTCGCTCTCAGCCAATTGCTGATAAGTCAGTAGGGGAAGAGTTCAAGTCTTTTCTTAGGCTTCCTGAAACAATAAAAGTGACTTCTCCTGAGCCGTTGAGGACGATGACCCCAAACAATCGTTTGCTGACTCCTCATCGTAAAATTTATTACTCGTTTGAGAATCCTGTATAATTTAGCTGTGCTAAGTTAATGCATTTAAAATACCTTTTGATAAATTTAAGTTAGCTAAAGAGATTTAATATTCTTTGATATTTAAAGTAAATAGTTATTTGACACTTAGTTAAAGAATGCATGAAGTTTACTTCTCTGCCCGCATGATAAAGAAAAGGTTAAAGAGGCGAAAAATAAGCTCCAAGTGCGCAAGCTAGGCAATAAGATCATTCAAATTAAAAAGCAGCTATTTGAAGGAGATATTACCATTTTAAAGCAAAAAAGAGAAGCCTTAATTTCATCTACAAAAACACGAAAATTATATTTGCAATTTAATTTATTTAAGATTCTTTGCTATTCAAACTATCTAATGATTAGATTTTCATATTAATTATACTCTGCTTATTGGCAGTAATTATGATACGCACGTTTTAAAGAGTCATAATCAATTTTAGCATGTCCTTGTGGGAATAATTCTCTTATTAGCTCATTGCTTTCAGTAGTTGAGAGTGGGTAATCTAGCATTTTATTAAACCCTTTTACAGTTTCGTCCTTTGATATTAAGCAATCCTTATTTCTATCAAAAATCTGAGTATATACCTTTATAAAAGCTATGTTATGTGCTTCCATATATTGATCCATTGCTTTAAATAAGGTTGATACACTTCTTTGGCTGGTTTTTGTATATGCCTGAATGTCAAAGCTCATATCATATTTTCTAAAAAGTTCCAAAAACTCATTATATGAAATTCTATCATCGCCTGAAGTATCCACAATTGATAAAAGTGCTTCTACTTCATCATCACTGATATCAAATTTCATTTGACGTAAAACCCTTGCGAATTCTTGCTTTGATATATACCCATCATTGTCAGTGTCAAATACCTTGAAAGCATCATATAAATTGATTCCGCTAGATTTAATAGCGTTTACTACAATTTCCAGAATATTTCTTCTTTGGGGAGCGCTTCCTCTGGATTTTCCTTTTTCTGGGGCTGGAGGGATAGAATCTTGATTGCTGATTACGTCTAAAAATTCATTGTAACTTATTAAGCAGTCTTTATTTCTATCAATTTCGTTGAAAATCTGCTCAATTTCGAGACTTGTGGCTGCTAATTTAAACCCTGAGCAGATTTTTTTGAATTCTTCTATAGAAACGACTCCATCTCTGTTTATATCAAACATCTGGAACATATCATAAGGCGAAATCCCGCTTGTTTTCATCATTCTTTTGAAGACATTTATAGAATTGCCAGTTGGCTGTATAAACTCAATAAATTCATGCAAAGAGATCATTCCGTCTTTGTTGAGGTCTGCAGCTTCTATGAGAGCTTCAATGTCTTGAGTTTTTAAATCTAAATTTAAATGTCTTAAAGCTGATCTAAATTCATCAATATTAAGCTGGCCATTAATATCATGGTCAAATGCTCTAAAATAAGCACCTATTGTAGTGCCTTTATATTGAAGCTGAGACTGGATATGCTCTCTTAGGATTGAAAGAGGCGGCATTGGATTTGGGTCTACATACACTCTATTATTTGAATTATTTGAAATGTAATTCCTGTGATCAAAATTCCCTTCCATTGCATCACAAAATCCTTGATAATCCAAGTAACCTCTTGGATTCTTAGGCAAATAGTCCCACAAGCACTCAATTTCTTTTAAAGTTAATCCCAAGTTCATTTTTTGGAAAACTTTAAAAAATTCTTGCATGGAAATTTGATTGTCTCTATTTTCATCAAAAACTCTGAAAGCATGGACTAAAGTGACTTGGCTGTCTTTAATAATATTTCCAACTCTGATAAAAATAGATGCTGGATTAAACTCAGCTGGGATTAAATATCTTTGGTGAATTATGTCACAAAAAGTCCTGTAGTCAATCATCCCAATTCCTCTGGGGTCAAAATATGTATAGATTTTATCAATTTCATCATCCCTCAATCCAAGCCTCATTATTTTAAATGTTTCTTTAAATTCTGAAGCAGATATAATTCCATCCTTATTGCTATCAAATGCTTCAAAAGTTTGCCAAATGCTGAGATTTTTTTCTTGAATTCTTTCTCTAACCCTATTAAGCACATTTTCTTTCCACTGTTCAAATTCAGCAGGATTCATTATGCTTTGGTCTAAATTAGAGAACAATTCACAAAAAATCTGTTTCGTAATTCCTCCTTGAGCGAGGTCACATTTATTGATGAATGTTTGTATTTCCTCTTCAGAAAGACAAAGATTGAGTCTATTCGTTAAAGCTTCTCTTATTTGGTTTGGAGACAAAATCCCAGCATTTTCCATGTCGAAAAATAAAAAAGCATTAATTGTGTTTAATTGGCGATTTCTTAAAGCATTTTCAATTTTTTGAAAGACTGCTACTTCATTTGGAAGAATTTCCTGCAAATTACCCTGCTTTGGAGGAAGACCCAGATGATATGAATGCTCAGGCATTGGAATATTATATGCAGGATTATTGCTTGGATAATACAGATCTCTATCTTTTAATGTATGGCTCATTGAATCTTGCCTATAATTTTGATTTTCTTCATATCCTGTGGTTGTTTTGGAATACTTCAAATCAGGCAAAGAGTACTCGAAATTATTAGGAGAATGCTCTGGGTATGTAGGATCATAATCACGAAATTGAGGAGGCCTTTGTGCGTTACCACTTCGGTGTTGGAGTTTATTTACATCACGATATCCATCATAAGAGCCAGCCATTTTATTATTGCTTCAAATAAATTAAAATGAGTTCTGGAAGATTTTATACAAAGCTAATTAGCAAAGGCACCCCACTATCACCTCCAGTTATTAATTTTCTTCTTCCAGGAGTTGTGGCAATACAATTAATACCACCTTGATTATCAGCCCCAAAGCCAAATGTGACTTCTTCAGTGTCTGTATTAAAAACAATTACATTGCCATCTGAACAGCCAACAGCTACTAAATTTTCAAATAATTCGCCACAGAGGATTTGGCCTGGTGCATTCATTTTACTTCTAACCCTAAAGTTCATAAAAGCGTCTAGGACGTTTACTGCTTTATCAGAGCTCCCTGTTACAAGGGTATTACTTAAGCTAGGCATTATGAAGTTGATTGCTCCACCATGGACTTGGGAATTGAAAACAGGTGAAGAGGTCCTCATGTCTGTAATAGCGACTTTTCCGTCTTTCCCTCCAGCTGAAGCAATAAAATTCATTTCCCCTCCATCTGAAGAAAGGCATACTTTATGTATTGCGCCATTATGAGGGACTGTTGATAGTACATTATTGCCTGTATTTATGTCCCAAAGAGTTAGCTGTCCTTGCCTATCTCCTGCAGCAACAAGAGAATTGTGCCATGCAAAATCCATGACAGGGCCGGAGCACTGCATTCTTTGTAACACGTTAATTCTATGCAAATCCCACACTATTAGTGTTTTATCATAGCTTGCAGATATTCCGATGTCATTTTCATCTGTTGCAACTTTAGATATCGATGCCTGATGCTGGTTAAGGTTTTCGCATCTTACTACTCTTCGATCTCATAAGCATAATGACCCATCCATAGATCCAGAAAGAATTCTATTATGCCATTTTTAGAATCAATTTGGGAAAAGTATTGGCTTTGCAATTATTTAATATATAATGAGAATATCTTTTAAAAAAGCACAGCAAGATACTCATTCCTGATGACCAAAGTTTTTATTGTAAAGCTGCCTCAGATGTGATCCGCGGTTTGTATCTCATACTCTAAGTCCATGATCAGCAGATGCTGTCACAGCTAGCTCGTTTTGAGTTGCTATGGCAAAAATCTGAAATAATATTTACAGAGCGATCGTGAGGAGGCCGAAGCTCTTTGTCGCTGACTGGGCCTGAGAGTCATGCAGGAGGGTAGCTTTCCATAATTTAAATAAAATAGCTATTTTTCTTTTTGCTTGATATAAACCTAATTGTTTTAATTAGCTTTTAAAAGAGAAATTTAATTAAAATTGTTACTAATAATCCTGCTCCATAGCATCTTCATTGATTTTGCTTTCAAGGTTTTCTCCATATTGAATACTCTGATCAATTTGGTATACCACATTTCTAATAGAGTCTTCATCTGATAAATCCAATGGTATAAATTGGACTAAATTAAACTCAGTCAGAACTTTTGCAATGGACTCTGTAAATGATTTAAATTTCGCAGAATACGCACTTTTAGCAATACCTAGTGCAATTTCACTTGGATCTGTATCAAGCATCTCTTCAAGTGATTCTTTATTAGATATTAAATCACATTTTGTCAATATGTTTGTGTGTGGGACTTCTAATTGATTCATGGCAGCTAAAGCCATTAAAGAAGCAGAAATATATTTTGTAGGGTCTGATAAAAATGTACAGTCAATGCAGTAAACTCCTCCAACACTAAATCCAATATCTTTAACTCCCCCCCCCCCCTCCGTGAGCGAACAAAACCATTAGAAAAATCGCCATTTTTTGACCAAAAACCCACCCTCCGTGAGTGAACAAAAATATTTTTAATAGAAAAAATTTTAATGGAAAAAAATTTTGATATATAAGTGATAATTAGTATAATGAAATCTAGAGCTAATTCTGTTTAATTTTAAACAAATTGCGTTTTAAAACATAAATTTTGCAAATTAAATTAATATTTGCTTCCCAATTTTTGCAAATTAGGATTTTTTTTAAATTTCGAAAAAAATATTTTTTATAAAATTTATATATAAATTTTTTTAAAAAAAAAAAATTAACCCCCCTCCGTGAGTGAACAAAATTTTTTTGTTCGCTCACGGAGGGGGGGGGGAGTAAGTGTCTTTACAAAGTCTTTCATAACTGTCATATGTGTATATAACTCTATTTGTCCAGGGCAGTCTATCAAAATATAATCATCATCTCCTAGCCCATCAAGCTGGTCACGCAGCCAATCTGTGTTTTCTATAAGATATCTGACTCCCCCCCCCTTTAAATTGGAACTAAAAAATTTTGTTCCAATTTAAAGGGTTAATTTTATTTTTAAAAAAAAAATTTCAAAAACATATCGAATTAGATCAATAAATTTGTTTAATAAAATGCTATTTACTCTTTATCCTTTAAAATAAAGCAAGATATAACTAAATTTTCATTATTAGTTAATACGCCAATATTAATTGGTATCAAAATTATTTACACAAAAATTATTATTTTTATTGATAAAAAATATTAAAAAAAAAAAATTTTAGAAAATTTATCGATCAAAGTGCTAATTTTGTTTAAATAAGATGTTATTTATACTCTATTCTTTAAAATAAAGCAAGAAATAAGTAAATTTTTGAAATTTTATAAAGAATTCCTATTGAATTTATATCAAAACTATCCAAATAAAAAATATCATTTTTATCAAAAAAACAAAAATTTTTTTGAAAAATTTTTAAAAACAAAAAATTTAAAATTTTTTTTAAAATTTAGCAATTAAGGATAATAAATTTATTTAAATAAGATGTCTTTATACTTTTTCTTTTAAAAAAGAGCAAGATATAACTAAATTTTTAATTTTAGTTAAGAAGAAACATTTAACTTATATCAAAACTTTTTAGATAAAAATTATATATAATTTTTTATATTATAAAATTAAATTTTGTTCCAATTTAAATGGGTTAAATTTACCAAAAAAAAGTGGAAACTTTACCGATATTTTGTTCCAATTTAAAGGGGGGGGAGTGAGTAAATCTTACTCTATAGCTGTCACTAAGCCTCCATTAGGGCCTAATTCGAGTTCTTGCATAACATCATCAAGTGTGACTAGCTCTCGGATATCAATATCACAGCGATATTTAAAGTACTCAGCAGCCGGATCTAAATTCATCACTCTTACGGTCCTGCCAAGTGTATCAGCATGCTGTTGGATTATATTGCAATACATTGACTTCCCAGACCCAGCTGGACCCATCACTATTTGTGCATATCGAAAATATTGAGTCATTATAATTTTTATTAGGAAATATCACATTATAATCTAATGAAAAGCAGGTCTACGCTGAGAGCCAGGGATAGGTGCCGGCTTGCTTGTGTCTTTTTCCATAAGCAATTTGTATAAATTTTTAGCCAAAAATGCAGCAGGGCTTGGTTTTTCTTGAAGCTGTGCTGATGTGTTGACTTTCAGGAATTTTTTGGTATTGTTTGTATATCTCAGTCTATTTCTGCCTTCGCTGCTTTGTTGTCGTTCTCTTTTTGGTTTTACTTGATGCATATTACTGAACGCTCCTTTTTGCATCTTTAAGTCATAGTTCTGATCTCGCTTAGAAGGAGATGAAGACTTTGCTGGAACTTGTGAAAATGACCTTAATGAGGTAGCGGCTACTGCAACTTTTTGTGAAATTTTTGTGTCTTCAGGTGTTTTTTCGCTAGGGTAGTTTTCGAGAAAGCGGATAGTTTCTATATTTGGGGAGGTTGGCCGAGATCTTGACTGGCTTCTTCTCCTTTCAGTTCTAGCTTGATCAAGATCAGAAATATTGCATTTTATTGGGGTTCTACTTCTATAAATCACTGGGGAGTTTGAAGAAGACAAAGGGGCAGGAGACCTCTGACGACTTTTTCGTTCGCTTCTTGCTTGCTCTAATTTTGTGGCAGCATGCTTAACAGTTTTATTTGATTGGCAAAGACTTGGTTTGGGATCTTCGAGTTCTCTGGAAAAACTGTGTGACTCAGGAGTTCGAAATTCAGGAGAATTAGCTTGCTTTGTTCAAGGTGGCGAATCATGTTCTGGGATTTCAAATTTATTGATAATCTCTTTCAAGTTTATTATTTCGCTTTGCAAGCTTGCAATTATGGTGTCTTTTTGTTTACTTTCATGCTTGGCTTTGAGCATTTCCTCTTTATATGACATGTTTTCTATGCGAAATTTAATGGAATAAGCATGCCTAATTATGAATAGATATCTTAAGCTTATATTAAACGAAAATATATGAGAATAAAATAAATATGATTTAATTAAACTGATCTTACTTGCAAATTGAGTCTTTGCATCCTAGAGCTTCTCAATTTTATCTGCAGCTCCAAAATATCTCTTTTCTTATCTTTATTTAATTCCCCAGCCAATTGCATTAATCTCGTTTTTTCTTGTATATTTTGATGCAAGTTTGCCAGTAACTCTTTTCTTGTATCCTCATTTTCTTTAATAATTTGATTAATTGTCGCTATATATGAATCTTTATTATCATTTTTTTCTTCTAAGGCAGATTTTAATAGAGCTTTATTTTTTTCATTCAGGGCTTCAATTTCTTTGACGTTTTTCTTAATATCCCAGTGCTCTTCAAAGTTGGCTTGCAATTGGCTTTGTAAATCGTAATATATTTCTTCTTGCAAGCTTTTTTCTTCATCAGCATTTTCTTCTATTGAAATATTTGGAGTCTTTTGGTAAGCCAATTTCCAGTTGCTTTCGTCTCGTTTGAGCTGCATTGACAAAAATTCTATTTCTTGTCGGAGGCTTGATATGATTTCTTTATACTCAGAAACGTGAGCTTCCACTTCGGATATATTTTGAGAGGTTTTATTTATGATTTTACGAGCTCTCTCAGCGTACTTTAAAGTATTCAGCGTTTCGTCAATATAATGAAGAGAAGGCGAAATGCAGGCTATCATAATTGTTTTAGTGTTTCCTCCTAGAGCTTCTTTTAAAATTCTAGTAAGCTTTGAATCTCTGTATGGGACAAATTTACCTTTTTTTCTAGAATCGCTTAAGATGTTAATACAGTTTACGAGAGCCAATAATGATCGATTTATGTTTCCACCTTCAATAGACCTAAGAGCTCCTCTACTTTCAGTAGCTGATATTTTTTCACTTCCAGCCAAATCGATTAAAAATAGCTTGGAATATATTATATCTCATTACAATGAATAAAATATTTATACTGATTAGCCGTTACCTATTTCTATATAAAAATAGGATAACGATTACCAGCAGTCATGATTTGATTATAATTAGGTATATCTCTTCGATAACATTTCTAAAATTTGAATTCTTTTCGATAGATATTTGAAGAATGACATGTGAACGAGTTGATGCATGATTGGCATCTGTATAAGCGATAACTCTTTTAGAGTCGCCTTCTTGAATTAGCTGTGAAGCATACTGATTATCATCAATTTGATACTCACTGATACCAGAAAGAATGGTACCTTTTAGGGGATCTTCGATAACTAAGATATTTCTTGACTTTTCATTCAATAAATCTATAACTTTTTCGTTATAGATTTCAAAATAACTTATTTTTATTGTTATATGGTTCTTATCGGATTTTGATCTTGAAAATAAATCCTCTATAGCTAATAAAGATAACCCCGGATCTCTCGTATGAGTGCATGGGTCGCCTATCATTGTAAATGTTTTTCCAGCCCCAGTCATCCCATAAGCAAAACAAGTAGCATTAAATCCATTTAGCACACCTCCAATAATAGGATAAAGCGTTTCCTGATAGATGTGATTATTTCTGTGATTTTCTGAAAAAATCCTATCAAATGTATAACAATGATTTTTTTTATGATTTCACCTCTTTTCTGTTATTAAAATCTATATAGGACATTACAGTAGAATCGTGAATTTTCAGCTTATGAGACCTGCTTTTATTATTTTGCGGGGAATTTTCTCTGTCAAGTAATGGTCTCACTCTTATAAATACTTTAAATGCACTTTCTTCATCTTTATTCATAATATATCTCTAATTAAATTCAACATATATAAAGAGAAGTATTTTGATATGTTTAAAACATTATTAAGCTACTTATTTTCAATATCATTGAATCTCTGTGAAAGGAAAAGCTTTTTGGAGTAGCTTGGACTTGGGAAATTTTTAAAATTGTAGTTCTTAGGGATACTTTTGCATATTTTTGGCCTGGGAATTCGATTTTTACGAATTGGAGGGATCCCATAGCCGGATTTTTCTTTCGTTGCTAGTCCTCTGGGAGTCAATATAAGGTCATCAATGTTTCTCTCTTTTCTATATCGATTTTCAATATGTGAAAAGCATCGAGTTTGTGTTTCTTCAATGAAATCATTGCGGTTTTCGCATTCTGAATTTTTTGAAAATTTATATTTCAGTAAATTATCTTCTGTAATATGATGCTTTTTAGGGCTTTCTTCTAGCTCAACAGGCTGCTCTATAATCCCTGTCGATTTTTTGATAGTAGACCTACCATTTCTGTTTTCAGTTAAAATGAAACTATAACTCTCTTTAGAGCATTTTAAATCTTCATCGTCACTGCTGTTCTCAGTAGACAAACTCGTATCAGTTTCTTTTGTGGCAACTTTAATGAGTCTTGGCTTCAATTTCTTACCCCCTCCGTGAGTGAACAAAACCATTAGAAAAATCCCTAATTTTTGCCCAAAAAACCACCCTCCGTGAGCGAACAAAAATATTAAAAAAAAAAAAATTGATATATAAGTGATAATTATTATAATGAAATCTCGAGCTATTTCTGTTTAATTTTAAACAAATTGCGTTTTAAAACATAATTTTTATAAAGAAATTAATATTTGCTTTCCAATTTTAGCAAATTAAAAAAATTAACCCCCTCCGTGAGTGAAAAAATTTTTTTGCTCACTCACAGAGGGGGGAGTCAGCAAATAAGTGCAAACGTTGCTTTATTTGAGAAATTTCTTGGTTGAGATTGAAGGAATTAGAGAAAAAGTGGCAATTTGATGATGAGCTCGGTCTTGAAGTAAATGGAGCGTGAGAGCAGCTAATTTTTGGAGGAGAATCAGAAGAAGATTGGCTTCTTGGAAGAATAGGTTGGAAAGATCTGTGAATAAAACTCATATATGTCTGTTAAAAATCTAAAGAATTAAAGTAATGACATGCAATTTAAATGAATTTTAATTTAATATGAACAGTCGACAAAAAATTTTACTATCATTAAAGAGTTTTGAATGCGTAAGTGTCATTTTACAGTTATAAATTATAGGATTCAATGCCTAGAAGATGATAACAAAAAATATTTGTATTGAGGAAGCATTTATAAGAAAATATCTTATGGCTGTTATAAAATTAAAAAACTAGGAGATTTAATGAGCAACCTATTATTTGAGCATCTAAATGATACTAATCTAACTATGATAAAAAATTTTTTAGACATAAAATTATCATCTTAAAATATATGTATGAATCAAGTCACTAAAGAGCTCGTTTTGCATCTTAAAAGCTAAAATCATTTCGATTATAATAATACTAAAGCATCCTATTTATTCACTTTTAATTCCTTATAAGTTGAATAAATAAATATATGAATTCCCCTTTAGGAATAACTTGTCATGCTTGGAATAATATCCGAACCCAAATTGTTGTAGCTACCAACTCAAGTGTGCTTGAAATTTACCAAGTGCGTGGCGAAGAATGGGACAAGCTCTATGAGCTTAAAGAGCATAACCAATTAGTAAGTGCTGTTGACTGGCACCCGATCACAAATAGGATCATTTCTTGTTCTCACGACCGTAATGTAGTCGTATGGGAGTTCGCACAAGAGTGGAAACCAAACCTAGTCAACTTTTATCAAAACAGAGCTGTCTTAGACGTGTCTTGGAGCGCAAGAGGAGATAAATTCGCAGTTGGGACAGGCTCGAAGCTTGTTGGAGTTGGATTTCCTAGCCAAGTATTGCAAGGCTGGACAACTAAAAAGTCGAGATGCACCACTTCATCAGTAACTTGTATCAGATTCGACCCATCTGGATTAGTTGTCGCCGCCGGAAGTACCGATATGTCAATCGTGGTGATGACTGCTTATATCCCAGAAGTTGATAGCTCACAAACTGCATCAGGAAGGTTCGCATCAATTAATACATTTGGAGATGTTATTTACAGTTTAGCAGCTGACGCATGGGTTAACTCTTTATGCTGGTCTCCTGATGCTACATGGATCGCTATTGCAACTCATAAGCCATCAATGATTTTCACAGATCTTCAGACACCTCAAAAAATTGACCTTAAAGGGAGACCTTTCTTGTCTACAACATTCATAGGCGAAAATAAAATAGTTGCAGGCGGATTTGATTTCCTTCCTGTTTCCTTTGAGCTTGCAGGCAATTCATGGAGAGAAGGGAAAAAATATGAGTCATTTGAAGAAGCAAAGGCACCAGCAGGAGGAGTCAAAAGCAGCTTCCAAATAATAAGAGACCAACTTGATCAGAAAAAAGGAAGAGCACAGCTAAGCACACGTCATAAAAACTTTATAACGTCTATCAGAGCAATTAACCAGTCAGGATTTTCAACTTCTGATATTTTGGGGAATATTTACTTACTCCCCTCCTTCAGTGTGTGAACAAAATAATTTATTTTGCTTACGGAAGGGGTTAATTTAATTTGTTAAAAATTTATAAATTTTATTATAGTAATTTTTTGCCGAAATTTAAAAAAATTAGTAAAATTAACTTAATTTGAACAAATTTATGTCTAGAAATGAAGCGTTTAAAATTAAATAGAATTAGCAAGAGATTTCATTATAATAATTATCATTTATATATCAAAATTTTTATAATACAAAAATTTTTTTGTTCGCTCACGGAGGTTTTTTTATTCCAAAAATAGGGATTGTTCCAGGGGAGAGCTATGGACGTCTTAATTAATTATTCTGAAAAAAATGAATCATTTCTGATAAATAAAACTTCATAAATTTATAAGTGGGATCAAAGTAGGTGCCTAATAATCCTGCATAAGAAAAATAGAGATATTATAAGAGATTTCCATATTTTTATTTAATAATTTTGAGATAAAATCATATTAATGCTAAGATTTACCAAAAATCAATGTGAAACTCCTAAAGGAACTGCTACCTCTGACCCTCATAATTAATTGAACTACCTGTGAAGTTAGAAGAAGGATGGGTTAAAAAGGATTATAAAATATAAAATGTGAATATTATTTTTATGACTTGAATTTAGTTTTTAAATAAGAGGGTTTAATTTGATATAAAAATAATAATTTATTATTAATCTAACTCAACAGATTTCATTATTTGCCAATTGTCATTTTTTTATACCTTTACATATCTATTTATAATCCTATAATAATTGTTCGCCAGTCAATTTATATGATATAAAAATTGTAAAATTGGTAACAGAGTAAGCAAGGAAAAACCGGAATAAGACCAAGCACAACTCGTGCAAGCTCAAGCAATTATAAATCATTTAATGTAAGCTCTCCTACTAGCAGTAGTCCAAAGCTCTTTACTTCTACTTTATTCCTAAATTCTGGCCTAAAATCAAGCCGAACTATATCAAAAAATCAGCCAGCCAAGCCCCAGCCCAAATTAAAAGCAAAGCCCAGCCTAATAACTCACATTGGAAAATCTAATAGAAACTCTCCAGTACCAGTAAATGATAAAAAAGAGGTTCAGCGCTCGAAAATAAATATATCACTCAATAATTTATCAATCAATTCTGCTAATATAGACGCTAAAACGCCAAGCTTATCAATGGCAAGACCTGAAATCTCTAAAGATCCCTATATTATGAATGAGAATCCCATGTCCTCAAAGTTAATTGTTGAAATTGAGCCTTCTAATGGGAATACAGAAAGATTAAGATTACGATAACTCTCTGTCGACCCCCACTTAGCTTAGGATCTAACAATACAAGCTCACCCTTCATGAATTCCGTCCACTAGCGAACAGCTCTGAACAACGGTAGGTGGAATCGGCCTAACCGTCGAACCGTTACAGTTGCCTATGGGCCCGGACGAGTCTCTCTTCGTTCCTTGAGTGTGATTCAAGCACACTTGGGGCTGCCGGAGCAGTCCCAACGCTGATTTCCTTCAGAAAGAATGTACTTCCCTCACTAGGACAAGTATAGGGGACAGAACCCCTAACTCATACATTCCATATTTAATTGTGAATACAGAAAGAAATACTCAAAACTCCTGAGCAGATATTGAGCTGCCTACAACTCCTGGGACCGTGCTTAAACTATTTAAAGACAAGCTAACTGAGTATGAGCAGGGTGAAATCTTGATTTACAATAATATTTATTATTGCGGTATTAACTCAAAAAAAATAAAGCCAAATCCGAAATCGAATTTTAATTATGGCTATGATAATGAAAGTGGAGATTATGAAATAGTTTTAAATGACCATATTGCGTATAGATATGAAATCATTGAAATAATAGGGAAAGGCAGCTTTGGGCAGGTTTTAAAAGTATATGATTATAAGAGAAAGACATTATTAGCACTAAAAATGATTAAAAGCCAATCGAGGTTTCAGAAGCAAGCTGAAGTGGAAATCGAAGTTTTGAAATTTTTGAAGAAAAAGGACGAGAAGGACAATCACAATATTATTCATATCGAAAGCTACTTTACGTTTAGGCATCATATTGTAAGCTTTACTTACTATCGCCTAAATTAATTACGAGACATTTTACCAAAAATTTATTGGAAAAGAAGAGGTTAAATGCAAATTTTTATAATAATTTTAATTACTAAAACTTATGTATTTTTTTTAATATTGTGAGACTTATTTTAATTATTATTACAATATTAAAAAATATTTAGCATTCTAAAGCTTGAGAAACTATTCAGATAGCTGAGACAATAGCTTAAGAGGCAAACTAGCAATCTGAAAAGTAAAAAATTGCAATGACAATCACCTTTGTTCTGGCAAGTGAAGATAAAACTGACAAATTCTATCTATAGATTCTGTTTGTCAAGCCAAACATAATTTTGTCATGAAAATATTTGCCATTTTCAGTCAAACTTTTCATATCTCTACTTCATCTTTTTAGTATTTCTCTAAAGCGAGCTATGAAAATCTATGCGTTATAAATTAAAATATAATAAATTCTACTTTCTTCTTCATTTTTTCTGGCCAAAGTATTTAAAAATTTAATATAAACATTCATAAAATAATATTTAAAATTTATGCTAGTAATTGGAGCCTCAATAGTAATGGAAAAAAGTTGTTCACTATCAATTATAGGAATTAGTGCATGACTTTCGAGCTTTTAGGCAGCAATCTTTATGAATTTTTAAAGTTAACCAATTTTCAAGGTTTTTCATGCAATCTTATTAGGCGCTTCGGAATGCAAATACTCAAAGCGCTCAAATTAACTGAAAAAAATCAAATTGTGCACTGTGATCTAAAACCTGAAAATATTTTGCTAAAATGTTCAAATAGATCCCATATAAAAATAATTGACTTTGGTTCATCATGCTTTATTGACAAACAAATATATACATATATACCCTGGAGACTGCTTTGGATCTATAAATCTCTTGCCAAACTGATGTCCTGGGCAACTAAAGTTGGCAAGTGAAATTTCTATAGGCCCTTGTCAGCAGGTGAGTTGACTTGGTAGCTTTTATTGCCCAAGCCAACTCCACCAGTGGGCAGAAGTCTTATAGACCGAGGCAGTCTAAAAAAGGATCTGGGCTATATTCAAAGCAGATTTTACCGAGCTCCTGAAATAATATTAGGCCTACCATATAGTTCTGCCATTGATATATGAAGTTTTGGCTGCATTTTAGTTGAATTATTTTTAGGAAGACCCCTTTTTCCAGGCGAAAATGAAGCTGATCAGCTGCTCTGCATAATGGAAGTATTAGGAACCCCCAGCGAAGAATTATTATCAAGATCGACGAGGAAAAAAATGTTTTTTAGTGCAAATAACGAGCCTAAAATTTCTGCTAATTCAAGAGGGAAAAAAAGATATCCTCGCACAAGAGATCTGAGAGAAATATTGCGAGGAGCAGAAGTAGGTTTTATAGAGCTAATGTTGGCATGCTTAGAATGGGATCCTGATAAAAGAATTACTGCAAAAGAGGCCCTAAACCACCCATGATTTTCAGATGAAGGCATCTGTTCTATTACTAAAGTGAATTCTGTAAATAACATTGCAACACTTAAAGGACAGACAGCAAGCGATCCATACAGAAGACGAGCGAGTGATCATATGATCCAAAATCCAAGTTTCCAGGTTAAGCTAACTGCAAGGAAAGTTGGAAAAGAATCTAGCCATTTTTACGAAAACTAAAAAATAAAATAGGATTTTCAATGAAAAAAACCATTATCTTAACGCATGCTTTTTTGCTAAAATAAAGCATTATTATGACTATTTTAGAGAATATTATAATGAATCAACATAGGATACTTGAGGAACTTGCCCAAGCTGAGGAAGATGATTTTCTGATTTTCTTGAGTCTCTTCTTAACTTTTTAGAAAGGCCAACAAATTCAATTTTAGGATCATATGCTCCTGGGCCGGGAACTATTCTCATGTGTTTTTCTTCATTTGTGAGCTCGAATCTTTTACTTTTCCCTATCACCATTGCGTGTGATTTTTCAGTGACCACCGTATCATAATTGCCTGGTCCTGGAGCATCAGTGTTGAGCTTTTCTGTTGATTTATGCCCAAGAGTATAAGCTGGGCCATGTGACTTTAAAGAAGTTATTAAATAATTTCCAGGGCCGGGGGTATCACTTTTCTTCCAAATTTCTTCTCTTTTGGCAGTTAGAGTAGGGGCTCTGATTTCTCTGGTATCAGGTATATTATAAGCACCAGGCCCAGGAGTAAGATCTCTTTCTTTTCGAGGGATTCGACTCATTAGGCTGAACCCAACTTTATCAGTAAATTTCAAAGGGATATTATAATCTCCAGGACCTGGAACATCCTGGTGCTCTATAAAAGGCCTTCTTTTCGAAGTCCCAATTATAGTAGCAGTTGTTGAAGCTCGTTCATTCATTGTATAAGCTCCAGGCCCAGGAAGAGTAATAAAAAAAACCAACTGGAAAAAATTTTGAAAGAGCAGACCTCATAAAACTAATTTCAAAAAATATTTCGTGTGAGATAATTTAAAGAGTAGTATTTATATTTTAAAGCTATCAAGCTATGATCACATATTCGGAAGGAGATTTTCATATAAAAAAATATTTTTAAGTATAATTTTTTTCCTGTGAATTTTAGTAACATCTATAAATTTAAAATATACGTGATTCACTCTTCAGGCTTTTTTATGGTTTCCCAGGAATCTCAGGGTCTGGTCGTTTAAATCTCATTTCTTTTCCCACACTTACAGAGCGCACATACCATTTTCTATTAATGTCATAAGCCCCTGGACCAGGAACATGATCTAGCTGTTTTGGTAATGTTCTCCCCATTAGCAATGCCGCTTTTTTATCAAGACTTACAGGAATATCATAGGCTCCAGGGCCAGGAGAGTTATCCAGTCTCAATTTTTCCCTAGATTCAGTTCCAAACCTGACAGTTGATCTTTCAGTAACCGAGCCAGTTTCATAAGTTCCAGGACCTGGATTTTTATTTAAATTTTCAGGAGATGGGTCTCTTTTTGACGTCCCGAATTTATAGGATGGAACTTTAATATAGGCTAAGGATTGGTTGTACTGCCCAGGTCCAGGAATGTCAAAATTGGGGTCTTTGATGTTTTTACTTGATGCTGAGAATTTCATAATTTAATTAAGAAAAGCTTAAAAATAAAAAGTGACAGTAATTTATATGTAATTTTTAGTTATTTTAAGCTTCAATTTCGTCAGGAGCAGCTGCGACTGGTCCACTCTTTTTCTCAGGTTTTGAAATTCCACTGACTACTTCATCAATTCTTAGCAGCATGCAGGCAGCTTCAATTGCTGTTTTGAATGTTTGCTTTTTAACAGCTAAAGGTTCCCAAACTCCTACAGTTCTCATATCAGCTAGTTTCCCTGCATTCCCATCAATACCCCAGAATGGAGCGTCTGGGTTATCTTCAGCGTGCTTAGCCCTAAGCTCAGTTACAATTCTTACAACATTGCACCCACAGTTTTGAGCCAAAGTTCTTGCAATAACTTCAAATGCTTGGGCAACCGCTTGGAATGGCAATTGCTCAATCCCTTCAATAGTCCTTCCTATTTTGGTTAGTTCATTGGCAACATGCATTTCAACAGCGCCTCCTCCTGGTACAAGTTTAGGCTCGATCATCACATTTCTGGCAACCGCCATGGCATCATGCATATTTCTTTCGATTTCATTGAGAACATCTTTAGTTGCACCTCTAAGCAATATAGAGCAAGCCTTTGGGTCTTCACAGTCTTCCATAAACGTATAATATTCATCCCCTATCAGTTTAATCTCAAATTTATGGCATTTTGTTCCGACGTCGCTTTCTTGCAGCTCTTCAGGACGATTAACAATTGTAGCTCCAGAAACTCTTGCAATCCTATTATTATCAGTTTTTCTGATTCTTCTGATAACTGAGATGTTTTGTTTAAGAAAATAATGTTGTGCTAAATCAGAAACCCCTTTTTCTGTAATAACTACGTCAGGGTTAAGACGCATAATTGCCTGGCATAGCTTTTCAACTTCTTCTTCCTCTAATCTTAATAAAGTATTAAAGTCTTCTTCTTTAGTCATCTCTACATTTGTCATAGACTCAGCTTTTTTATATTCTAGCGGGCAGTCTAATAAGATAACTCTTGGGTTTTCTATATATCTCCTCATCTTAGGATGTGTGACGTCTTTATTAAACATGACTCCTCGTAATACTCTAGACTCTTCTATGTCCCCTCCAGGTATTTTTTCGATTTTTGCATATCTTTTGACGTCTACTTCAACTTTTCCATTGTTATTGATATAAACTGTTTTTACAGCTTCAGTTGCTAAATCAACTATTAAATTGCCCCATCTGCTTGAAAATTTCGTCCCAATGCAGCTTTGGGCGATGACCGATAGAGTTTCTTTGTCTTCTATTGAGACTAATTTTGATATTGAGTCTGCCGATTTTAAGGCGGCTTCTAAGGCTTTGAAATAGGCACTTACTACATTTATTGGGTGTATTTTTTGATTAAGAAAAGGCTCTGAGACTCCCATAAGTTCGCCAGCGAGAATGATGACTGAAGTTGTGCCATCTCCGACTTCTTCATCTTGAGTACGGCTTAAATCAATCATGGTTTTGGCTGCCGGGTGTTTTACGTCGATTTCTCTAAGGATCGCGTTACCATCATTTGTTAGAACAATTCCACCCATAGGATCAAGAAGCATTTTTAGCATGGATTTTGGCCCAAGAGTGGTTCTAATAATGTCAGCAACAGCTTTTGCAGCACGAATATTGGCTAGCTGGGCTTTCTTGCCTTCTTCACGTTGTGTATTCTGGTTAAGAACGATCACAGGAGCTTGATTCCCAGGTAGCATTTTATTATTAAATAGGAATTAAATATTAGTTTGGTTTTAATATCAAGGCTCCACTGTTTTTTAAAAGATATTAATATCTAATAATTTGATTGAATTCATCAAATTGCTTCACTTATAACTTAGAAAAAGAGATTTTTTTGAAATTTAGCAAGTATAAATCAATTTAATTGTTGATTTAGATTCTTTTAGGAATTTGGTGAATAACTAAAGCATTATAGTTTCTCATTGAAAAAAAAATATATTGAATTAGGATTTTGCAGATTTTCACTAATTTAAGTAAAAAGGCAAATTTTATATAGATTAGTTATACACGAGCATCAAAGCTAGCTCAACCTTTACTCTTCGACTAAGTAAAACCATTTCTTGTGCTTTTATTTAAATCTGCTTCAAATAATTCTAGAAAACTCTCTTCCAATGAAGGGTCAAACTCATTCCTTTTTCTATCCTTAGAATAATTTTTTCTTGCACATTCGATATAGATCAACGGCGCCCCAAATTTTAAAATTAAATTCGAAATCCTTTCAGCTTTACTTAGGATCTGATGATTTTCATCCCTAAATATTAGTTTATCATCCAAGTAGAAGCATAGTTGGTAAAGAATATACTCCTTTAATTCGCCAATTGTATCAATTTGATACAAGTACTCTATAATTATAAGTCCAAAGTCAAATTTTAGAAGCAATGGGTTTTCATCAATATATAGAGATAGAGTTTGTACTCCTTCAGGAATAAGATCTCCAAGTTCTATATCTTCTTTTAGGATAGGCTCTAAGGGTGAGTCATGGGCAGGGCTAAATAAAAATATAATCCAATTAGGATCTCGCTTTAGTTCTGATTTTATATACCATCTCTTCAGCTTTCTTAATTTCATTGACCTTTGACATACTTCCTGAATTAGGTTGTCTTTCCGAATTAAATGCACATCTATATCCATTAATAGTATATATGATAAATTAATTGTAAGGCTTTGGTTTCAATGACTCTGATTTTTCTGAGTTAGAATTTATATTTTCATTTTAATCACAATTTTAGATAATTTGTTGGTTGCAACTGAAATACAATCCAGAAATAAAAGCTGGCCTTTTCTGATTTATTTTTGATTGATAATTAACTCATGAGTACAGATATTTAAAATCAATTAAATGAAAGTATATTCGTATTAAACATAAAATTTTAACAACTATACGCAGGAATGCTATAGACCAAGTCTTCAAGATTTTCTAAAACACACTCAAATTCTTCACAAGAGTCTTCTTTCATCTCACTGATAATTTTTAGCATCTCTCCCCTGATATTCTCATTTTTTAAATTAACTTCTCCACACATTTCTCTTAACTTTGCCTCAAATCTCCTTTTTAATTTCATCAGTTCTTCATCTTTTCTCGCTATTTCATGCTTAAAAAATGAGCTGTCTTGTTTAATCTTTTCTTGCAACTGCTGAAATTCAGTTTTTTTCTGTTTCATTTTTTGTTCTAAATGAAGGCGATGCTTTTTTTCTTTCCCTAGCTCATGATTGAGGCTGACTAATTGAGAATTCAGCTGATTTGATATTTCTTCTGATTGGGTTCTATGCATACTTTGATGTGCTGTAATTTGTGTTACTTGCTCTCGAAATTCATGCAAAGCGTCCTCAAGGATCTGCTTTTCTTTCATAACAGCCTCAAGCTTTTGTTCTTGTGTCTCTAATATATTTTTTAGTCTTAAAATTTCTTTTTCTGAAATGTTATTTTTTTCTTTTTCCATGTCTAATCGTTTTTGATACTCTTTACTATATTTTTGTTTAGTTTTGGCTTTGGCTTGATTTATTTTTTCGTCATTAGATTCAAGAATATTTTTTATTTCTTGTAAATGAGTTTCCCTTATTTTCGATAGTCTTTTGCTGAGTTCTTTTTCATTTTCTGAGATTTTACTTATTTCAATTTCTTTTTCTTTGGCTTTTGTTTGCTCGTTTTCAAGTTTTTCTTCAAGCTCGATTATATGTTGTGCTGACTCTTCATGGAGTTTTTGCTCATTCAATAAACTTTGTTTGAGATTTTCAATGGTTTCATGGCTTTCAGATAGCAAATTTCTTAGATTTGCTTCGACTTGTTGGGCTTCTTCCAATCTATTTTTGAAATTTAAGCTTTCTTCTTCCAAAGTAATTTCTTGTTTTTCGCAAAGACTTGTCTTATCTTCCAACAAATGAGTTAATGTATCAATTTCTTGTCGGGCGTCTTCTAAAGCCCTTATATCTATTTTTGATCCTGCCAGCTCTTCTTGCAAATTTTTAACGTAATCCTTTAGGCTTATGTTTTCATTTCTCACTTTATTATGTTCTTCACTGCTAATTTCTACAGTTCTTTGAATTTCTTCAATTGATCTTGTAAGCTCTTGCTTCAGTTCACTCTCCTTCATTGCATATCTTTTTTTTAGTTTCGCTTCAAACTCGTTATATTTCTCTTTCATTTCATTTTCTTTGTTTTCCAGCATTTCTTTTTCTTCTCTCAAGCACTTTTGATAGTCTTCTTGGGCTTGCTTTAAACTGACTGTGACGGTTTCAGCGATTTTAGCTTGAGCAGTTAATCTTTCACATTTATAGACTAAATCGTCATATTTTGTCTGCCATTCTTCAATTTCGCTTTTTAAATCAGAATTTTCGTTTTCGAGCTTCAATGTTTTGGCCTCATATGTGCTTATCTTTAAATTCAAGTCTTGGAGCGCTTTATTTTTTTCCATAGATTCTTCTTTGAAAATTTCAATTCTACGTTTTAGTTCTTCGTTTTCTTGAGCAATTATAGATATTTGCTGAGTATGCTTATTTCCTGAAGTTTTAAGGATTGAAAGCTCTTTTTCAATATTTTCTTTGTTTTCTTTTACTAATTCGTTTTCCTCTTTGTAAGCTAGAACTTTAGTTGACAGCTCTTTATTGCGTTTTTCAATAGACTGATTTTTTACTTCTAATTCTTTGCATCAAAGCTCTGCTTCTCTTCTTTGCCGCTTTTGCAGCTCGATTTCTTCATATAGATTTTCTACCGTGTCTCTCCATTTCACTAACAAAGCATCTTTCATCCCATAAGCGCTGTCTTCTAAATTTTGATAGTCTTGTGTGTTTGAGTTAATGGATGACTGGCTTAGAAGCTCTTTTGGCTCAGTGACAACTGTCTCACTTAAATTGATTGTTAATTTTGACATTTAAATTCTAAAATTGAATATGTCGCAATATTTTACTCTGCAATGTTTATCTATTATCTTGCAAAATATTATTATAAAGCCTGACTCTCCCCTCTGCTAGTAAACAAAACTATTAGAAAAATCCCTATTTTTTGCCTAAAACCCAACTTCATAAGCGAACAAAAATTTTTTATGAAAAAAAAATTTGATATATAAATAATTATTAGTTATTGAAATATCTTGCTAACTCTGTTTAATTTTAAACAAATTGTGTTTTAAAACATAAATTTTACGAATAAAATTAATTTTTACGGATTGGATTTTTTTAAATTTCCAAAAAAAAACATTTTACTATAAATTTATATATAAAATTTTTAAAAAAAAATTAACTCCCTCCTTAAGCGAACAAAGTATTTTGTTCGCTCATGAGTGGGAGTTAGCAGGCACATGGAAATATTAAGATAATTAATGCTAAAAATGAGGAAATTTAATATTATAATCTCTTTAAACTAATTTTTTATTCAATACATTCTGCAGCCAGCTTTTAGCTAATTCAAGTTCTTTATCACTAATTCCATGTGTTAGATAATCTTCAGTTGTGTATGTCAAATTGCACCCTGCTAAACTTTTTTTTGCAGTTTGGGCAGCATATTCTTCACTAACCATAGAATCATTCTTCCCGTGATACATAAATATAGGAACTTTTTTTTTATTCTCAGGGACTTGAAAATCAAAGACATATCCACTTAAAGCAATTATAGCATCAATTTTTCCAGGGTAATGAACAAGTCCAGTATACAACGACATTGCAGCTCCTTGAGAAAACCCACCAAGAATAATTGAACTGCAAGTTTTACTTTCTTCTTCAATAGTTGAAGTTATTAATTTAGCGCTTTCTATGGCTTCATTGTTATTGCAAATTTCTATAAAATAAGTTTTTATTATATGAAAAAATAGGATATTGATTTCATTATTTACTATTGTTTTTCTTATAAACAGGAATAAGAGCTCTAGAGCTGATATCTACAATATCAAATCAACTAGTCATTTGCATACCAAAATTTAGAGTTACAGGCCTAACAGGAGCAGTAAGTAAAACAATTTTTGCATTTGGCAAGAGTTCAAATCCTTGAAAAAGGTCTAAAAAGCCATCAGCAGAGTCACCTAAACCGTGAAGTCAGACTAGAGTATGTGCATGGATAAGTGGTTTGATAATGATATTTTGCCCTACTCTTAAAATGCTCATTTATGGTTTATATCATACTGGAATAATATAGAAATGTTTCTTACTTTCCCTTTATAAATTAGAAAAAGTCCTGTTCCAATTTAAGGGGGTCTAAAATAAAAATTGATATTTTAAATTTTTCTTAAAAATTTTTATGGATAGTTATAAAGTCGAGAAACAGCATTTAAATTATTAAATCAATAAAATTCTGAGGGAAAGCTAAATAGTGCGCGAAGTGCACTCAGAAAACGAGAAATTGGCAAGTAAAACTTTCTGGCAGCAAAAGCAAACTTTATCATCAATTATTTTTCTACGAAGTAAAAATAAATGATTGTGAACACTTTTTAGAGCTTTGAAGAACGAATTAACAAATTTTGATAAAACAATTTTTAATCAATTAATATTATATTTTTAATATGTCAAAAAAATTTTGGCTCGCCAGATTTGGATGGTAAAGTTTTTCAAACTCAAAAGCCTTTTACGGTGCAATTTATTTCGTCTTTCGATTTTTTTAAGATGATATTTTTGTTTATGAGCGAGAATGTTTTGTTGTGTGGGTTTCTGTTGGGTCTCTGCATGCAATTAATACACTAATTTATCTTAATATGAAAAATTTACAACACTGCTTTATTTTCAGTTGTTTTTCGTGAGTGAAATATAGTATAAATAAAATCTTAAAATAATATAAATTAAACCCCATTTTTGAATTTTAATTTAATTTTATAAAGAATCAGTCGATTTAGTGTAAAACTGTCTAAATAGCATTTTTGCTTGTATTTTGTCTATTAAATTAGGTCTAAATTAATTTTATAAAACTTACTCCCCATCCTTGATTGAACGGCTCGCCATCGTTCGATCAAGGATGGGGGTTAAAAAAACATTTTATATATAAAAATAAAAAAATATATGCTTTTTTTTTATATACTTTTAAATAAGAGGGTTAAGAGTATTTAATAATAATTATTTTTACTGCAAAAATTGAATTAATCTCGTAAGAATACCAATTTTTAATATTTTGATTTTTTGTTTACCCCTTTAAACTGTATAAATTTTAATTTGTTCCTTATTGATTTAAATTTTTAAATTTTAAAGATATTTTTATATATATAAAAATTTGCATGATATGGAAATCGTTCGATCAAGGATAGGGGTTAATTTTCCCAATTTTTAGGAATTTTTACAGTCAATCATTCGATCAAGGATGGGGGGAGTTAGTATTTATATTGATGAAATTTTCCTATTGAAAAACAAATTTAAAGGGGGTTTACTGATATTTTTTAAAGAGAGAGTTAGTATCTCAACAGGTTATAGCGCCAAAATAAATTCAAAAACCAAAACTCCTTCTCTTTGCTTTGATAAAAACTTCTACTATTATGACATTTGAATTACTTAATAAAAATTGTGTAGTATAATTAAGTATTTTATAAATTTTAAATGAAATAAGAATTCCAAAAATTTAAATGTCAAAACGAAAAAGTGAATTTTACGTTGACAATAAAATTCAAAGCATTAGAGAAGATTTACAGAAGTTGACTTCAGATTATAGAGCCACAAATGCTAGAGAGCAAAGCCCGATTGAACAATTTTTAGAATCCAAATATTTGGATCCTACATTTAAATTAAGTAAAGTTACTGAGTCCCATTTTCCTGGCTCAAAAGACTCTCAAGACACTGCTGCAGGCAATTATCATAGAGAAAATCAACTAAAGGTCTCACAATCAGTTAGTGATCTGAGAAAGCATAAAGGACCATCTTTGGAATCTGCTCAAAACTCAAAACCATATACCCAAAACTATGATGAGATGGAAACCTATAACAAGAATCCCATGAGAACTTCTGAAATTATAGACCCTACTGTATCCACTGCTTATAGAGGAAAAAGTGGTTTCGCAACTGATAGGAATAAAGCAGATTTTTATAATGAACGAAATATAAAAGATCCCTCTTTGAAAAAAGTAAAAAGGACTTTAGAAAATAAAGAAAACTATATATCACCGATAAGCGATTTGGCAGCCTCAGCAAGGGGATTAGAAGACAAAGCAAATGAACTGGAAACTGCAAAAAATGCATTGTTTCAAGAAAACTTGATACTCCATAAAAAATTAGCAAGTCTTGAAAAAGAGATTAAAAATTTTGAGCCAGAATCATCTATGCAGAATGAAATAAAATTGCTGAAAGCAAATAATCATGAGCTTGAAAAACAATTAACAATTTTAAAAAAGGAAAAAATAGGATTTTTAAAAGAAATTGATCAGAAAAGCTCAGAGTTAAGATCGGCAATTATAAAAATTAAAGAATTAGAAGAAAAAATTCAAGAGCTAAGCAAGCTGCTGCCAACTAGAATTAAGCATAAGTCTTTGAATTCAGATTGGAAAGAAAATACAAAAGGCTCATTAAAAGAATACAAAAATGAAAATAATAAGCTTAAAACTGCTTTAAGAAGAAAGCCAAGCTGTGCAGAATTAAGAAGAGCGAATCAAAAAATAGAAAAACTTGAAATAGCGATTGAAGATATCAGAACGAAAAAGAGAAGGTCAGAATCTGCGAAAAGATTAAGAGAAAAAAGCCCAAAATTGCCTAGAATTAGACCTAGAAGTGAAAACAGAGAAAGAAAACACGAATTATCCCCATCAAAAAATCTTGACTCTCAAAAATGCACTGAAATTATAAGAGAGCTGATGAATGAATTTTCAGTTAATTCACCATCCTCTTTATTATCAAATGCAAAATTACTCTTACATGATACAAAGGCTCAATCTCAGCAGCGCAAATTAGTAGAAAGATTGAAAAAACTGATTATGGACTATTCTCCTCCAGAAATTTATGAGAAAAACCCTTCATTAAAAACTATATGAAAATGAATAAGAAGATTAACCGAGGAGTATATTCAATTGAAGAAAAAAAATAATCAAAATATATCTGAAAAAGAAATTTTAAGTAAGCTGAAAAAGACTTTGTGTATAGAGAATACAGATGAAATTCCTCGATCATTGACTAAGCTATTAGCAGACAATGAAAATTATATGGTGATACTGAATAAAGTGAAGGCTGCCCTTAAATTAAGTAATTTTTATTTAGATACACGAATCTCTATTCAAGAATTGGAAAAAGAAATTGAGAAGAGAATATAATAAAAATATAATTTATTAAGAATTATTTCGCCTAAAATGAACTGAATTAACTAATGTTGAATAAATAATGGGTTTTGCTAACATAATTCAACAAAAATATGTCTCTAATCCAGCGGATCGGATCGAGTACAGAAGCATACTTATTAGAATTGACTATCCATTCTGTTACAATAAATATTCCTTATCCAGCCAAGCTAAAAGTTGTGGTAGAAAGAGGTAAAAAGTATAGAGAAGAGACTCCTGCTGTTGAAAACGATGTTGTTCTAGGAACAACTTTTTTAGAGCACACAGTTTTAATTCCAGTCACCATGTTTAGAAAAAATAGGTCTTATTTGAAGAAATTTGCATCTTTTCAACTTCTTCAGATTGTTAAAAATAAATCTGTAAAGAACGGCTCAGTAAAGCTCGATTTGTCCAAAATTTTTACGTATAGCACAGACTTTGAAAAGGAAAATATCAGACTTAAACACTGCTCAGATAAAAATGCAATTATTTGTATCAGTGCAGCAATGACAAGAGTTGATCGAACTTCAAGCTTAGGATCGCTTTCAACAGATTCAATATCATCAGAAGAAGCAGAAGTAATTGATTTAATTACAATATCTTTTGACTCTGAAATTAGCAGAATTTCAGAGATTTTGCCAGAAAAGAACAATAGTTTGAACTCGGTAACTTCTGAAGAAAACCAAAGCAAGGAAAAGCTAGAAACCAAAGAGAAATTTAAGGAAAGACTGGAAAAGCTCGTAATTACAGAAAAATCACAGACTAGCAGAGAGCCAAATACAGCTTATCCATATAGAGAGGTTGATTCTCCGTTATCAGTTGGTACTATTTCACCTCAGCTAAGAAGGACTGAGTTTTTATTTTCTAATTCTTCAATAGAGTCGGATCCAAGATTACTAAGCCCTTCAGAATTTAATGACTTCCAAGATATCATGATTCTTGATAAAGAAAAGCCAGAGCCAAAACCGTTTGTGATAAAGCCAGTTAAAATAGGGTGTGACGATGAAAAATCAAATTATACTAATAACAACAAATTAGAACAAGAAATGGACTCTGTTTCAGAGTATGAAAATATAGAATCTCTGCCAGAAACTTCTATAAAAAAAGCCAGACCTAATGCACACAGTAAAGAAAATGAATTAAAAGTACGTGAGCGAGTTGGAGGTTTGAGCAATACAAACTCTTCATGTTCTTCCTGTAAAGGATGCATGATTTTTTAATTATAATATATCGTTGTAAATATAAAAAATACTAACTTCATGCAAATATTATTTTTAAAATAATAATAAATTGAAGTAATTTGCATTTTTATAATTAGCTAAGATCAAACAATTCATCAAAATTAATTGTTTGTTTTGGCTCAGGCTGCTCTGACACTTCAGTGCTCTTTGTTTCAGGGCTAAAGTCGAACATTTTGCTTTTTGTGCCTTTTGGCGTTTTTGAAGTTGGCACCTTGATCTCCGGGAGTGTGCATAACTTTGTTAAAATTCCTGCATGCGCAGAATTTGTTCTTGCAAGCTGCCTATGTTTTTTATTAATTACAGGAGAAAACGAGTATTCTTTATTTTGCTGCATTTCCTTTATCTTAATTTTTGAACGTTCGAATCTCTCTAAAAGTCTTATTTCTGGAGGTCTTTTTTCTCCTGATTCTTGGACAATTTTTTCAGATTTTTGATCAATTTGAGGATGGAATTTAAATATTTGCTTCATTTTCTGATCTAATTCGTCTTTTTTCATAGCTTTTTTGACATTATTCATATTAGCCCAATCCTCGTTGTATTTATAAAACTCTAAAGCTGATCGCGGCTTATCAGATTTTCCATGAATTTGAGGTGAGAATGTGAGCTCTTTTTTAAGGAGCTCTTCTTTATCTTGATCTAATTTAGTTTTAAGCTCTGATATTTTCCTTTCCTTTTCCTGAAGCATTTCCGATACTCTGTCTTGAATTGGGGCAATTTTTCCTACAATTTTTTTGGAATTGCTATTTATTTCAGGAGCCTTTTTAACTTCTTCATATCTTTCTTTGTCAACTTGCTTCTTTACTTTCTTGAAATCTTCTTGAGACTTTTTAGTCTTATTTTGCATTCGTAGATAAGTTGTTTTTATAAAATCTGAGGCCCTGATTTTTTTGGTGGATTTTTGAGGATTTTCGCTTCGTGGTGGTTCTGGAGAAGCATGAATTATCTTTTCAGGGACTGGCTCTTCTGCATGAGGTAGGGCGTCTTCATTATTTTCTTGCATGGTAAGATATATTTTCGACATGATGTTTCTCACTGCATCAGTCTCGAAATCCTCCATACTTTATAATAATTTATAATATCTGTAAAACTATAGCGAAATATTAATTAAATACACAGTGATCGACTTCTTTTTGGCCAAGCTGTAGCCATTTTCCTTCGTTATCTAAGGTCCAGTGAAGACCAACTCGGCTATATTCTTCATTTAGCTCAATTAGCAGTTTTCTAAGTCCAGGAAACCAAGCCCGATCCAGCACTTGTGCTCTCCAAACCCAAATTAAAATTCCTGACCTTTTCATTATGTATATTGCCAATGCCAAAATCACTAAATCAAGAATTAAAATTGCTCATATTAAAAGTAATATCAACAACAAACTCATCATCATGCAAACTGCAAGTAAAGTTATTCCAAACTTATAAAAGGCTGAAGGAGGGGTTAAATTGCGGTCATTGTTTATTAAATCAAAATGATAGTTGAACTTTTCCTTGTCAACTTTTCCTTCAATAACTTCATACGTTCTGATCTTGTTTGAGTCAAAATCAAATTTATTCTCCTGCTGAATAAATCTATAAACTACACACATATTGTGAGTGACAGGAAGATTAAGATCTTCTTCACTAATCCCATAATCACTTTCCTGTGTTTTATCAAGTGGAAAGAAAGACTCAGACAAGTTAGCTTCGCTCATTTTACTATAAAATAATGAATTATAAAAATATGTAAAGATAATTCAGTTTACATTTAGCTAGGAGTAATAAATGACCAGCCATCTAAGCGAGGAGCTTGAATTTCTTCGTCTTCTAATCGGCCAAACATTCTTTCCAAACCAACTCCTTTGATAACTCTTTTAATTGGCCTTATTTCGGGAGCTTTTATTTCTTTTCTAGCATAGGCATCCCAGTTTACACCTCTGAAAAATGCGTGCTCTTTGATTTCAGCTGCATCTCTTTTGCTTGCCCCAAGTCTTTTATGAGGGTCTCGGTTTAATAGCAGCTTGATGATGTCTTTTGCTTCATTGCTAAGGCCTTTTGGGATTTTTAGCTTGCCACGCTGGATGTTGTTAAAAAGCTGTTCTCGGTTGCTTGAATAATAGGGAGGTGCACCAACGAGCATTTCATATAGCAAAACGCCTAAAAGATACCAGTCGACTGATTTTGTGTGGCCTGATCTTCGAAGCATTTCTGGAGCTAAATATGCAACTGAGCCACAAAAAGATTTGGCAAGCTGCCCCTCTGTGACTCCTTCTTTTGAGAGACCAAAATCGGTTATTCTTGCATGTCCGTCAGCGTCAAGGACGACATTTTCAGGTTTTAAATCTCTGAAGATGATTTCGTGCTTATGGAGCTCTTCTAAACCTAGAAGGATTTCACATATATAAAATCGAGCTTTTTCTTCGTTAAAATGCTTTTCTCTTGCTAAATGGGTTCCTAGGTCTCCTCCTGGACAGTAATCCATAATCATTACAAGCTTTTCTGGGGTTTGGAACGCATAATTTAATTTCACGATGTATGGATGTTTGATTTTCATAAGAATATTTCTTTCTGCAAATGCGTATCGGATTAAATTATTTTCAAGGACTTTTTCTTTCCTTAAAACTTTTAAAGCGAACTGTTCCCCAGAGTCAATTTTTTCTACTAACTCCTTCATATTAATTTTCTGGAGGCAGATAAAAGTAGATTAGAAGCTTTTATCAGTTATTGATTCAAACAGAAGCATGGCTTTTTCCCCGTAGATACTTCATCAGGACTCTTTTCCCGGTTAGACATTTGTATGTAAAAACCATTATTTTTTGACGAGGAACAAGTTTTGACCAAATAGCTGAAGAAATATTTGTCCTCGAGCAAAAGGCATATGACAAGTTCAAACATATAAAAAATTTATTATAATTTAAACAATAAGGAAGGATAAGTATACTTCTCCAAAACTTCCTTTTCCAAGCTGCAATAGACCTTTAAAATCTCTTGGACCAACTTTACACGGAGGAAGACCAAAATCAGGAGGCTTTACAATTCCTTTATTCAGGCTTTGCGTCTTTTTGATACTCTTTTTAGGAGTAGCCTGTAGCTTCGGTCTCTCTTTAAACGTCTGTAAATCCTTATTACTCGGCTTATGAGAACTCTTAAGTATCAAATTATCCACCATATCTTGCCTTGATGTTCTTCTAAGAACCGAATAAAAAGGATTTCTCCCATACTCAGTATGAGGCACACTCAGTCCAAATCTATTGCAATGCTCTCTAAAGGCACTATATACATCAATATTTAATGCAAGATCCACCGCTGTCTTCCCCAGATTATTCTTTATACTTATATCCGGAATCCTCCCAAGCAGCCACTTCACAATTAACTCATGTCCATGCTTAGCTGCATAATGAAGTGGCGTGCTCAGCTCATTATCAATCGCATTAATATCAGCCCCTTCCCTAACCAAAATTTTTACAACCGGCAAATGCCCATGCAGGCAAGCCAAATGTAAAGGAGTCCTCTGCATAGACGTCCTCGAGTCCACATTGGTCCTTTCTCCATGAAAAATCAGGACTTCAATTGCATCTTTAAACCCATCAGCAGCTGCCAAATGTAGCGCAGTTCAGTCATTTAGCCCTTTTGTATTAGTCTGAGCGACCATGTCTCCATAAAGTTCTCTGTCTAATAATTCTTTGCATCGATTGATATCATTTCTTTCCACAGCTTCCCAGAGCGAGTTATTCATTTTCCTTTTCTGCTTATAAAAATCTTCAAGATCTTCTTGGTTTCCTTGCAAGTTGAAAATTTTGACGACTTGGCCTGGAAAAGTTTCTTGGTTTTCGTCTCTGATGTCGATTTCTTCGCCTGTGTCGAGGTTTTTGATTTTAAAAATGTCTTCAGGGATCACAACTGATCAAGTGTCAGTGTCAGAGGTCAATTGCTGCGAGTGAGTTTTTTGATGACTCCAAGAGTTGGGAGATTTCAAGCCATTTTCAGTGGTTTTTTTGTTAAGAAGGGTTTCTGTGGATTCTCGATCTTGGGATACTGAATTCATTAAGGAACTTTCTTCTGGTATTGGACTCATCCGATAAACTTCAGGATCCATTATTTCGTTTGCAAAATATTAATTTATTATATTTAAATATTTTATAAGGTGAGCTTATTTACTAAACAGATACTGCAAGCATTGCTTAGTAGTTATATAGGCTTAAGCTTAAAATTTTTGAATTCAATATCAAACCCTGTTTCTGAGTCTGGAGCGGCACACATTATCCCTACCTGAAAATTATCAGAATCGCTTAAAAACCCAACCCGGTACATACTGAATTTTTCCCCATCAAGAGAATAAAAGATTTCAAAGGATTTTTCTTTCATGACAAGCTTAAAATGCACTGTCTGTCTAGCATCGAAATTATTCAAATTGATCACTGACCAATCTGAGTAATCTCTTGTGACTACAGCGCTGATATTTGCAATATTATTTACGTACTCAATGCCTGCTTTGACCCAATACTCAGGGCTTTGCCTAATCATTAGCCCTCCTTGGTCATATAATGATGCATATTTTCCTTCAACTGATACGGACATCTCAAAATTCCCTGTAGCATTACAGTATAAAAAATGACCATTGTCTCGAATAAAGCCATAATGCGTTTTTCTTCAATAGTCTGTGCGTGGGTCTGCATGGACTCTTAAGCTGGAAATTGACATAATGCAGCCTTCTTCTTGAGAATAGTCTATTTCAGACGATAAGGGTGGATTAAACCATTCCATTTTATGTGATAAATATATGAAGAAATGATTCTAAGTTATTAAAGCTTTTCGATTTCTTCAAGGCTAATTGCTCTAACTTCGCTAGCTGGAAGAGGGGCTTGGTATCCTGGACTCTTTGTGTCAGGAACATCTTTGGTGAGAGTGATCTCAAAGCCATCAATAGTTCTCTCTTTGACTACCTCATCAAGACCTGGCTCATTTGGAGTGAAAACATCTTTAACGTTTCTCTTGCTAATCTTGTTGACTTGGTGAAGTCCTGCTTCGTATCTCTTAATCTCTTCAACAACTTTGACTGCTCTTGGGAGTGCAAGTCCGCTGGCTTTGATCACAATTGTCCTCAAGTTATGAAATTTATGATAACTCCCCCCCCCCTCCGTGAGCGAACAAAACCATTAGAAAAATCGCCATTTTTTGACCAAAAAACCCACCCTCCGTGAGTGAACAAAAATTTTTTTAATAGAAAAAATTTTAATGGAAAAAAATTTTGATATATAAGTGATAATTAGTATAATGAAATCTAGAGCTAATTCTGTTTAATTTTAAACAAATTGCGTTTTAAAACATAAATTTTGCAAATTAAATTAATATTTGCTTCCCAATTTTTGCAAATTAGGATTTTTTTAAATTTCGAAAAAAATATTTTTTTATAAAATTTATATATAATTTTTTTTTAAAAAAAAAAATTAACCCCCCTCCGTGAGCGAACAAAAATTTTTTGTTCGCTCACGGAGGGGGGGGGGGAGTAAGTAAATATTTTCAGAAAAAAAGTATTGATAATGTTATAGTGAGAAGAAAAAATATATCTTTTCTAAGGAGTAGTAAAGCTTCTCTGATGAAAAGATTAGGGTGAGCTCTTGCGTTAACGAAAATTTCATTTGCGGCTCTTGTTGATTCTTCTGGTTTCCTAGGAGCTCTGGTGTATTTTTCCATTTCAGGTGCTCTTCTTCTATCTCTAGATTCTTAGTAATATGGCGTATTCTGATAGGCCCGTGGTGAACTGTTAGTTGACTCAGGCTCAGGAAGGTGTCCTGAGTAGGATTTTTGATGCATCATGGTACTTAGGAGTACCTTTTTTCCCCGTCCACTTCCGATCGAATGATGCAATGCCTTGACATACTTCTCTAGGCAAGGATAATACGATGATTTATATTTATATGAGTTTGGGGAGAAGAAACACCTACCTATTATATACGGTCCCACCCAAGCTGTAGAGGAGCTTACATACGCTGACAAGGTCCATGTCTAGCTAGATGAGAGCCCCAAAAGACAATCCTACGCTACCATTTTTTGGAGGCTAGGGTTTGAAATGGGCTAGGTGGAGTTAGTGCTTAACTTTACAAGCGTGAATCTAATTTTGACGAAGGGAGTTCCTGAAATAATGAACTGTTTATACCTCGCCCAAACTTAATCTATTCCAGTCTATCTCTAGGCTTGTAGTCACCTTTTTGGCCAGTTGGTCTATTTCCGGAGGACGAAACATTTCCACGTGGTCTTCTTCCCTGAGATCTTCCTCTTGGTCTTTCGCTTGAGTGCCCTTCTTTGGTTTCTTCTGCATCCCTAGTCCTTGGTTCTCTTTTGTTTTGGTATGGTCTGCTTTCAGTCCTGCCTTCTTGTCTGCCTTCATATCTGCTTTCGTATCTGCCTTCAGTTCTACCAGTGCTTCCACCTCTAGACTGTCTGCCACCTCTTCTATTTCCTCTTCTGCCACCTCTGCTACCTCTTGGTCTGGTTGCGCCTTCCTCGTCTGTTCTCCATTCTGGCTTTGGTGGAGCTTGTTTGAGTTCACTGAGGCTTTTTTCTTGGACTTCTGAATCTGGGATTGGGCCTTGGTAGCCTTTATCCTTGGAGTCAAGAGGGCTCAAGCTTAACAAGAAAGTGACTCTGGTCTTGTTGGTTCCTTCAACGCGCTCAAATGTGTTGATTTGGTGAATTCCTTTGACGCGGTGCTTGATGAGTTCTACTAAGTTTAGAGCTTGAGGAATAGCTGAATTAATTGCAGTAATTTTAGCTTTTCCTGTCTCTTCCAAAAGAGTGGCCACTTCAGTAATGTGTTTTGATAAGCCTTGGGTGCTTGAAATCGAAACCTCGTCTTTTGGTGTGGCCATTTAATATTATGAGCCATTAAAAAGAGAAAATTGATGCTTAGAAAATATTTGAGAAATATTAAAATTAAATATTAGAATTTGTTTTTATGTTCGGAAAAATATTGCTTTTATAAAACTTTTGTTTTAAAAGATAGAATGCAGAAATAAATTTTTTTGATAGATAAATAAATCTCTTACCTTTTTAAGCAAGGCTCTAATCCATTAAGCCGAATTCTCTGTTTATTTGCTTAGTAGACTTGAGATCTATTCATCTAATATTTTGACAGATATTAATATGATTTCAAAAACTGTTCAAGGAAGTAATTGTATGATATAATCATTCAAAATACAGTCAGATATGGAGGTCTTTATTTAAAGCTATAATTTCAAATTTCAAAGCAAGCTTACAAAGATAATTATTTTATGATGATTTTTTTATGTATTTAAAATTCAAAAACAGAAATAAAACCATTTGGATGCACCAGCTCAAAACTATGAAATTCAACCATTCTCATAAGCTTTGTAGAATGTATTATAATCGAAAAGTTATTTCATAATAAAGAGCAATTAAGAGGGTAAGTCTTTAAGTTTGATTTTCTATTATAGTCATTGAAGCAAATTATCCAATATTCAAAATAATCTTCTTTTAGCCAATTATTTATTCGGTGCTGCTTTAAAAGCAAAATTAAAATGAATATTATTTTAATTTTCAATTAGTGGTCCGCTTTATCCATTTTAGCTTCTTGTTTAATATTTTTTAAGTGTTTCAGTTTACTTCAAAATAACTTTGAATTGGTTTTATGGGCTTTTGCTCGCTAAAATTCTAAAGCTTTTGCTCTCGTTTAAATCAAATATTTAGTCAAAAGTGATAAAATTTTTGAAATAAATATGCTAGACAACTTGATTCTTCTAATTTTTTGCTCTTTTCTTAGTCATATTATGGCTGGAACCATGACCGTTATTAGTGATACATCCGTATATACAATAATCAATTCTCAAACGATCTATGCGACGAATCCAGCAAACTATTCTTATGCATGGAAAAGTATTGACGGAGCCTCATGAATTTGATACGCTTCTGATAACACCAAAATAGAAGCTGCTTTGTTTATCAAATGCTTTAGTGTCCCAGGAACTCCGACCTCCTCTAATATTAATATTGGAGCAGACGATAATTTCACGGTCTTCTTGAATGGTCGACTCGTAGGTATGAAATCTTTAACATCATTTTTTTTAACAGAAATTGATATGCTGTCAAAAACTGTTTATGGGCAAAACTGCCTACATATTATTGTGGAAAACACTGTAGACTATGCAGGGTTAATATTTAAAGCTACAATATCTTATCAATAAATCATATTTTTAAAAAATTAATTAATAAATAGTAAAATATCAGCTATATGCTAAATTTTTCTTATTCCTCTATTATAAATTTCTTTATGATTATGCAAATATTAATGTTTTTATGAGATTAAAAGTAATTAAACTAAAAATATTGATGAGAATTGCCAAAGTTTCATTAGATTTTTTATCCAGCTTCTTTCATTTTGGGCGTTTATCTTGAATTGAGTCATTTGCTAAATTGACAAATACTAAATCCGCCTAGTGTGATTTCAGAGCCCCATCCGAAAATCTAAACGCTAAAAACAACCATAGAATACATTTTTGTCATTGAAGCTAGAAGGTTTAGGGGATCGTGCTTTTTTATCAGATAAAACCTGCGTATTCGATACCATCATATGATGGAAATATATTGGCTGCAAAACAATCTTTGAGAATAGTCACAATCTAAGCTGATCTAAATTAACTTCATTTCAATTCTCTATAAATATTTTTACTAAAATGGATATTAATTAAATTTAGAATCTAGCACTCTTTAATTGCTTTATACCTTAACCAAGTTCACTGACTAATAAATATGCATACCATCTCAACCATAATAATTATTTCTTCAAAAATAACAATTAAATTGTTTTACTAACCCTTAAAACAGAAACCCATCCAAGTCTCTTCTAATCTATCGTTATAATCATTATCATAATCTAAATCTGATAAGATTTCCAAATTTTGAAATAATCCATTAGATTAATTCATAACTACATTATGGGAACTGCATCCTCATTAGTACAAAACACACAAACCCCTATTCAATTCAAAAAAGGCCGAATTCTACTCATAGCTCCTGATAATCGGCTGTCAAAAATCGGAATTTATTTTGTCCACATCGTAAATACAGCGAAAATGATAGAGCTTGTAGACGAGTGAGAAGACTTATTAAATCGTTATAAGCATTCAGCAAACGCAATTGAGTCTTTATTAGACGACTTCCAGAAGGGTCCTAAATTAAGAAAACTCATTCAGAAAGGAACGCCGTCAAAGTTCAGGTGGGAAACATGGAAAGCTCTTTTAAAAGCAGGGAAAAAAGTAGATTCAGAAAAATATATTAATCTTCCGATTGCTGGAGATCCTCACATTTCAGTGATTAGAAAAGATGTAGACAGAGCTTTCCCTCAACATCCTTACTTTGACCGATCAAAACATGGTTACTACGGCCAAACAGCTTTATATCGAATCCTCGGGAAATTTGCTGAAGATAAAAAAGACATCGGATATTGCCAGGGGATGAATTATGTAGCAGGATTTTTATTAATGGTTTCAGGCGGGCTTGAAGCAGAAGTTTATTACTTCTTAGAAGCCTTATGCAAAAATTTTCATTATTGGGGATTTGTTTGTGAAGAAATGCCACTAATAAAACAATATTTATGGGTCTTTGATAAGCTTTTTAAGGTGAAAAACAGCAAACTTTATGAGCATTTCAAACAGCAAGATGTTTTAAATGATATGTGAGTGTTTAAATGGTTTTTAACCTTTTATACTGCTGTTTTGCCTAAAGAAACTGTTGTACTTTTATGGGACTGACTCCTTGTAGATGGGTTGAGAGTATTATTTAAGGTAGCGTTTGCAATTTTAGAGATGCTTGAAGAAAAGTTACTAAGTATTGATGGCTCAGAAATTTTGATTATGCTGAGCAATATTGGAGATTATATTCCTACATGTAAAGAGTTTATTAAAATAGCGAAAAAAACTTCTGTGAATAAAAGTAAATATTATGATTTGATAGAGGCATACAAGCAAAAGAAAAAAATAAAAAAGCACCCTTACACTTAATTAACTTATATGAAAGCCCGGCCGTAATTCCCGAAGGACTACCTCTACCCTTAATGCTTCTCTCGGTTGCTCACAACCAATCGTAGCATGACCTTTAAAAAGTTGCTCCTACCGGACGAGGATGTGCACTCGCTACCTGTAGTTGGATGAGTTGCTCCACCTTGCAGTACGTCAGCTCCGAAAATTCGAAAAGCAAATTTTCTCGGCTAAAATGGAAATCCAAAGCCTGGGACGTAAAGCCCAGTTTCACGCTAGGGAGTTGCCCGATGGGCCTAGTGGAGTGCTTGGCTTTGCTGAGCTTCCCCTTTCCAACCTTGATTCCCATTTCACCTGAGGCAAAAACCTGTACCAGAATGAGCTGTGGTCAACCTATCCGATATTGAGCTCAACCACGCCAAGTAAAAACCTAGCAGGATATACTTCACCGAGCGCCAATTTCCCTTCTGCAAAGTCCACGCTGCCTTTCGGGCTCGCGGCTACAAGTGTTGAGAAAAAGGGCTGATTCGATATAGCCATTTTAATGTATATATAAAAAGTCACCCAGAAACCATTACTATTATTGAGGAACCTGGACATCTTGAAAATGAGGTGCCTAATATTTCTAGAGCTGATATAAAGGAAGCGAATAGACCAGCGGCACTTGAAATCAAAGATAATACACCAAAGGAACCAGATCTTTTATTATCACCACAAAGAATTCAGCAAGAAATCACAGAAGATTTGACAGGATTCCCATTCAAATCAATAAAAACAGCTAAGAATAACTATACTTACACGCCTAAATATGAGCCAAAGCGTGATTCGTTTCACGAATCTTGAACAGATGTAAATACACGAATAAATGAAGATAGCCATCTGTATACATCTGATGAAGATTTCGATGCTGAGGCTCTTTTAGATCAATTTCTCAATCACAGCAACTGGGGGAGTTTTGAGTAAAAATATAGATAATGCTCATTTTATTTTACAACTTTATAAGAATAGCTATTATTCCATATTAATTGAATATAAAATTCAAAATTTTTTGTGTTTTATTTGCATGCATTTTCTAAAATAGTTTATTTATTCGTCAATTAAATTATAAATAAAAAATTTACAATTTTCATTCATATCAAGAAATTCCAGGATCTATTTTATAGTTCTGATAAAAATTCATACTCAAATAAAATCACTACAGATTTTTCAGCTCATAATGGAACCTCTTTCTATTGCATAAATATGAAAATTGATTTTTGCTTAAGCAGCATCTATGTGTCCTCAGCACTGGTAACAATGACTTATACAATTATTTCCCCTTTCTACCCTCTAATCGCTGAAGATAAAGGAATGCAAAAATGAATGATTGGAGTTATTTTTATGGCAATGCCAGCATGTGCTTGCTTAGTCTCTACAAAAATTGGTGACAATATTTCTCTTATTGGTCGCAAAAGTGTTCTAGCATTAGGAATGATTTCTGGAGTATCTTTTATATAGGCTATATCTCTTGCCATACTAGCTGCAGTTCCTAATTGCTCCCTTACTACATTTACCATTTTAAGTTTGATATCTCGTGCATTTGGAGGTCTTTCTACAGCAGCTATATATATTGCAAGCTTTTCTGTGATAGTAAACGATTATGAGTCAGCTCGAGATCAATATATATCAGTCCTGAACATTTTTTGTGGAATTGGATACATTATGGGTTCATGGTTTGGATCGATGCTATATGAATGACTAGGACCTATAGGCTGCTTTTTATTTTCTGCTATTTTGCTTTTAATTCCAGTGTGGTTTATTTTGCGCTTTGTGGAAAACTCTCATAATATTACACAAGAGAGACATGAAGGAACCTGTTGAAATTTGCTTAAAAAAAGAAACGTGGCTTTGGACGTAATGGTTGGGCTTTTTACTAATGTGGTGTATAATTTCTTTTTTCCAAGTCTTGGACCTTTTCTAGACGAGGAAGGATATAATGAGATAGAAATCGGCTATGTGTTTATGCTATCTACTTTTATTTATACTTTGGCTAGTGCTTTTATAGCATTTTCAATTAAAAGGTTAAATAAACTGTATTTAATGATTTCAAGTGTAGTATTCGCTGTTATCGGACTGGTAATGATAGGGCCATGGGAAAATCTATTAAAAAACCCATCTGCTTTACCTATATTTGGGATGAGTTTAATTGCACTTGGAGGGTGCCTTGGGTTTATTATTCCTTTGCCATTTATTCTAGACTCTGCTGAGGAGCTTGGGATCGTTCAGGATCAAGAGATGTACGATGCTTTGTCAACACTATTCAATTTAATCATCAGCTTCGGAGAAATTATTGGCCCTCTCCTTGCAGGAATGCTAATATCAATCATGGGCTTTGCAAATAGTTGCTCGGTTCTGAGTATCTTTGGAGCTGCGTTTTTTTATTATATTTAAATCTAACTTGGGTTTTTTGTAAGTTTTTAGTAATAATGATTTTAAATAAATACTATTAAGTCATTTATGCATAAAGGAATATATACTACACAGGCAAAAGAAAAGAAAAATCGCCTTTATTATCAAGCAAAGTTTCCCTCACTCAAGACCATCACGAACTATCGTATTTCCATGATCCATAGTTTTTTTCCTCATATTATTAAATAATGTGAATTTACTTTGCTAAATCTCCAAAATAGATTTTATAAAATTAATAAATGGACGGCATGGGTATGGGGAAGAATGTGACAAAGAATGTTATGATGGAAATGGTTTTCTCAAGCGAGCATAATTTTGTGATATATTTTGATAGGTAATAAACATTCAGCTGGACAGTTGATAATGAATCAAAATATGCAGGCGCAATTATCCTTATATTTTTGGCTTCTATGGGCTTGGAATTATTGCAGTTTCTTCTTAAGATAGTTTTAGTGTTCCAAAAAAGAGCTTCACAAACGACGCAGAATGTGATTTTGTTTAATTTAGGGTATATTTGTTTATATTTCCTTTGGGTTTCTTTGGCATATCTGCTTATGCTTGCAGTTATGACGTACAGCACTGGGGTGTTTTGTGGGGTTCAGGTCCAATGATCATGTACTTTTAAAAGTATGCATTTCATCGAAAAATTTTTAAATCGTGGACTATTTGGCTGGAATTTAACGGTTTTTTCGGTCAAATGTCTCATTATCAAAAATGAATGAACAAATTTTCCCTAGAAAATGTCGCACGATCAAAAATACAGGTCATTTGACATGGAGCCGTTTTGTGCAATCATCACTGGGATCACTTTTGGTCACTTTTTGCTAAAAATAATAGAGCCAACGACTCCTTTGGCCAATGAAAGTTTATCACAAGAACTGGTGGTGAAAAATCCATGCTGTTAAGGCTAAGATGGCTAAATAAAAATCGCTAAGTCGTTTAAACTAATTATTTTTAGGCAATATTTTGCCGCTGAGCAAGCATAGCAATCTTACAAATCTTTTAAAGGGAAATAATAAATTTTAATATGTGGCTATTAAAGTAATTATCAAATGGTAGATATGGACATGAACGTGACTATGACAATCAATGTCAATATGCCTTATACCTTCTATAGTAATCACGATTTTAAACTTTACTTTGACAGGTAAAAGATATTCAGTTGGCATGTTGATAATGACACGAAGTATCAAGGAGCAATTGCTGCTTTATTTTTTGCATCAATAGCTTTGGAGCTCTTCTGCTTTCTTTGTAAACTCTTTATGGCATTTCGAAAAAGAGTCCCTAAAACAATGATATATCTGGCTGCGTTTTATTTAGGATATGGATGCTTATATTTTCTTTGGGTTGGACTTGCATATCTTTTGATGCTCGCCGTAATGACTTATAGCACTGGAGTATTTTGTGCAGTCACCACCGGAATAACTTTTGGCCATGTTGTGTTCAGAATGATTGAGATGAACACTCCTTTAATAAGTAAAAGTGTGGATCAAACGCTATCGATAAAAAATCCATGCTGTTAAAAAGGTAGAAAATAAATAATTCTATTAGATTTCAAGTAATTAAATCAAAATTTCATGCTTAAAGCAATTCATTTGAGCAGACATCTTTGAATGAGAAGCAAATGGTTCAGTAAATTTTTAAACTGGACAAGTAGGAAAAAATATTTCCAGTTTTTAAAGTTTGGCAATCTTGAATACATTTTGAGCAAATCAAGCAGTTTATTTGACAAAATTTATTATTCCTTGAGGGAAATCATAAATAAAAAATTTTCTTTTAATTTCGAAAAAAAAACCCTTTAATTAAAATATAACTAGAGTGCTAGCTTATTTAGTTATAAGCCTTAAAACTCAATAAAATTATTTCATCAAGATAAATAATTTACAAATCTGTAAAATTATAACTCGCCCTTTAAATTGGAACAAAATATCATTAAATTTTTATTTTAACCCACTTTAAATGGAGCAAAATGATTTTTTTCAATAGAAAAATTTTATAAGTAAAATACTAATTTTAAATAAAATTATGTTTGATCTAATAATGAAAAATGAAATTATAATATTATTTAAACAGTTTCACAGTGAATTTATTAACTTTCTTAATTAATTATTATAAAATAAATTAAAATCCTAAAATATTACGTTCAATTTTTTGCTTTTTAATTTTTTTTCATATTTTATTTTATAAAAAAAAATTAAATTGGACAGATTTTTCTTCCAATTTAAAGGAGTAATAAAAATTTTAATTCTGATTTAAGTATAAGTTAACTTAAAGCTTATTCTCTTGCTTGTCTAGTCTTCTCAAACTCTTGACTAATCTTTTCAAAGTTATCAGACTTTTTGAGTTCCAAGATAACTTTGCAGACGTTTTTGTCTCCTCCTTCCTTATCTGTGGTCTCGATTCTTTGTGTTTCGAATTTCTTAATCGATCCATATCCAAGAGAAACCAATCTGTCAGCAGCTTTTATCGCGCTAGTTATAGAATTGCCCATAGCATGGAAAGCGACGGTACCAAAAGCCTTGAGTTTTTCTTTGCCTTCATTAATGTAAACTCCTGGTCTGACTTTGGAGCTGACCTTTATGGTATTGTCTGAGCCTTCCATATGCTATTTATTACAAACCATTTATGGGTTAATTGTGTAAAGTTTTTATGCATTAAGTTGGCGTGGCGATTTAGCCTTTTTCTTAACTTCTGTAGACAGAAGGTTTGGCGGGTGCCGGAGAACTGATTAAGAAGCTAGAAAGTGTGCTATGCTAAGTAGCCCTAGCTTACACCCAACCGGATTTTTTTTCTCGTAGGAAAATCGAACTTAAAACTGGAAAGGGGAAGTCAATAGTACCTAGAAAAACCACTCTTTATTCTTGCAACTCACAGGCATAATACCAGGCTTGCGTCCTGGGATTTGAGTTTCTATATTGGTTGGCAAACGACTAAAATATCGATTTTAGGTTTTGTGAAAGGAGACTCTCCTGAAGTGCAGCATCGTGGCACAAGTCCTCTGACTTCCAGTTAGCAGATGCAGATCTTTTCAGGAACGAGCAACACAGTAGGACTGTGCGGGACTTGCAAGAAAAAGTGGAGCCACATGAAGGAGCAGTGGCTTTAGACCCACAGGGACTTCTCTTATATGTAATTAATTTTAGCTCTTAAATGTTTAAGAAGAAAAGCTAAAACTAAAGAAATATGCCCAGATTAAAACTATCATATAACTATGCTATTAAAATATAATAAATAAGTTTGCAGTAACTCTTTTAGATAAGCTAAGCTAGAATAGAGCGAAAAAACTAAAATTGCACCAAAGAGCTAAAATAAAGTTAGAAAGAAGAAAGAGCTATAAAGAATTTACTTCAAAATCAAATGTATTAGAACGCATCATAAATAATAATTAATTTTTTTCCCAGCCTGGTTTGTCACATTTTTTTAGAAATCTCCAGATCTCAAATCGAAAATTCCTTAATTTTTTTCATCATTTGAGCTTTATAAAGTAATAACCTATCAATTTCGTTCACTTTTGCAAATTTTAGCAATCTATTGACCATTCGAGAAATTCTTTATTTCATCTGATTCCTCCATTTAATAAGAATTCTATACTTTGCCGATTGGCGAATTTATAATCTCATACATAATAATCTCCAGCAGCTTCCCTCCAATAGTATATTAAATGGATACAGAAGGAAGTATCTCCACCATTAAGGCTCTATATATTAGAGATTCTGAAGTCCGGCAAGTAGAAGTAATTATTATTTAGTTTATACCCATTTAAATTACTATAACTCTATTATTTATCTGGTATTTTATCTATACAAAAAGCGCATTTCAAAATCAATTTTCCAATCACTATAAGTCCCAATAAATCTTTTCTTTCTATGTGTCAAGGTTTGCTTCAGAGTTCAAGTGACACAAATCAGAATTTATTTCGCACAAAATACGAAAAGACAATAATCCGCTTGGCTGTAGAATGCCCACTGCTTGACATTAGGTCTGCAAGTGAAGAGTTTCTTCAAGCCAACCGAATAGTAAAAATAAATCAGAGTTACGATCCAAGAATTGTTGAAGCGATAAGTGCTTTCATTCCCGCCTATGACGTCAAACCTCTCAATGGCCAGGGGACTTGTAGGTCTGACGAAGAAAAGTCTCTTTATCTCTCCACTATCCAAGAACTTTTCTTCACCTTTGGCCGTGTTGGGCATATTGATAGGATAATGGGAGCGTTTCCTGAGTATATGCAAAATCATTTTGACTTAATTAAAGAACTTTTATTTGAAAGCGGGCCTTTGCAGGTTGACTGAAGGATTTATATCGCTTATATGGCATCTGCAGCACACAAGTGTGACTACTTAATGAGCGCTTGTGAGGAGCAAGGGAAATTATATGGAAGCAAAGCGAGTTGATTTACTTCTCAAGGATTCTCAGAAATTCCAGGAAAAATAAGGGATCTGGGAACAGTTAATATAAAGCTTGCCCACAGGCCGTGAGATTTAGATGAAAATGATATACAGTCTTTATTAGGGAACTGACAGATTTCAGAGCTGTGCCATGCACTTGTGATTTTATGCGTTTTTCACTCGTTGAGCAGCCTGGCACTAGGATTAGGAATATGCCCAGAATATGATTTAATAAGACATAATAGAAGAGCGTCAGTAAGTGATGAATTGGGAGAAGATGAAGACGATTATGATAGAACAGCAGGTGGATACTTAACATATATCCATTATGACATCATAGCCCATAGAAGACCAGTTAGGCCGAGTGATTTCAATTGAAATGACCAAGGCTTCAACATTATTGAAAAGTGTTTGCCTGGGATTGCAGAAAAATTAATGAACCGAATAAGATATATCCTAAAACAAATAAACATGAGATTAATCCGATATTTTTTAAATAAATTTAATAATAAATTAAAATAATTTACATTTGTAATGACTTTCGACTCAATGGGAGGGGAAGAAGGGCAAAACACTGCAAATCTGAGGAGAGCAATATGGATGTATACACAAAGAGTCTATGGACTGGAATATGATGACTATGACTATGGAAATGTCAATGGGCACATAAAAAGGCAAACCAAAACATATATAAAGGAAGTAGCTTGTGTTCCGCATCGGGTCACAAGACGCCATATAGACCTTTTGGATATGAAATTGGTCAGTGAAGACATAATCCATATAAACTTCCTTGTATGTGAAGCAAGACTTGAGACTGAGCTTATATACACAACTAATGCAGTTCAAGCATTCATTTAATTAATAATCAACTAAAAGTAAATTTAATGTAAATCATGCCTATATTAATTTCAGCATTTTTATTAACTCCCCCCCCCCTCCGTGAGCGAACAAAAACCATTAGAAAAATCGCCATTTTTTGACCAAAAAACCCACCCTCCGTGAGTGAACAAAAATTTTTTTAATAGAAAAAATTTTAATGGAAAAAAAATTTTGATATATAAGTGATAATTAGTATAATGAAATCTAGAGCTAATTCTGTTTAATTTTAAACAAATTGCGTTTTAAAACATAAATTTTGCAAATTAAATTAATATTTGCTTCCCAATTTTTGCAAATTAGGATTTTTTTTAAATTTCGAAAAAAATATTTTTTATAAAATTTATATATAAATTTTTTTTAAAAAAAAAAATTAACCCCCCTCCGTGAGCGAACAAAATTTTTTTGTTCGCTCACGGAGGGGGGGGGGGAGTAAGGAATATCCTTTATACTCTTATAAAGCTCAGCTGTTTCATATTCCATGAACTGATAATCTTAATCACTTTTAATTAAAATTAAGTCAAGCTATTACTGTGTAATAACTCGAGCAAACAGTTTTATTAACTTATTTATCTATCCAAATAGCTTGTAATAAACAATTCCAGCTTGAGTCCCTGCATCATAATATAGACCATTAGACAGCGAAGTAAAAAGAGTCTTGATTGCAGTATTATAAAACGAGAAATTCGTGAAGACAATGATAAAAATGGCATCAAGCCCTTCACCTGTTGTTAGCATTGCTTGGAGGGTTAGAACTGTATTTTCAAAGTTGCAAGTCCTGCAGAAAGACACCAATTCGTTGACTGTAGATTTAAAAATATGAAGAAGAGTTGAAAAATCTTGATATCCGGCAATGGCATTTTCGAAAGTGGTGATTTGTGTTACGAGATAAGGATAAGCAGTAATGCAAGGGATTTCCAATGTAGAAGTTGAATTCACACCATGTGCAAAGCCAGAAATAAAGCTGCCAATGTTGCTTTCAGTTAAGACTGTAGCAGAAGAGGAGTAGAATAAGGATAGGAGAAGTAAAAATGAAAGAGGTCTTGACATTTATTTTTATAAATTCAAGTATAAGAATTCTAATCAAACTGAAAATTTATTTCTCTTTTATGCTGAGCTTAAAAACAACGGTGCAGGTGCAATAATTATCTATTCTTAATAGTGTGCATTTCATCAAAGAAAATTTTTAAATAGTGTACCATTTGGTCAATTTAACGATTTTTTGGGCCAAATGTCTCACTATCAAAATGCTTCAAACAAATTTTGCCTAGGAAATGTGATACACATTTGGCATGGAGCCTAAAAACAAATATTTAATATAAGAATTAAAAATATTAACTGGAATTTTTTTTGATTTCATAGGTATTATACAGTGAGTATAATATAAAAATGCAGCTAATTAGCTTCATATTGTGATATAAATCTTTTTTTCTCATCTAAGCTCTATAATTTTCTGCAGTTATTTCTGAGATATTTGAATTTAAATCTGGTGAAAAAAATAAAACCAGTTTTAAGTTTTGGGCAGCAAAAATAAACTAACTCCCCCCATTTTTGATCGAACGGCTCGCCATCGTTCGATCAAGGATGGGGGATAAAAAAAAATTATTTGGAAAAAAATTTTATATATAAAATAAAAAAATAATTTGTTTTTTATATACTTTTGAATAAGAGTGTTAAGAGTATTTTAATAATTATTTTTACAGCAAAAAATTGAATTAATTTCATAAAAATACCAAGTTTTAATATTTTAAATTTTTGGTTATCCCTTTAAAACTGTATAAATTTTAATTTGCTCATTATTGAATTAAAATTATAAATTTTAAAGAATCTCTATTTTTTAGATTATTGAGTTTTTAAGCCCAGGTTGATGACTAAAGCACTTGGATGGTTGATCTCGTATCTTCATATCGTCTCAAAGCCTCTAATAACAACTTCATTAGGCACATCTTCCCAATTTTTGATAACAATCGTTAGTTGCTTGTTTTTGAACATTGCAACCTGCATATGGAATCTTTTCCACGTGTGAAAAGATGATTCCACATGTGAAGCCCTTTTGATTTCACATGCGGAATTATCTTTTTGCATATGAAAGATTCCACATGTAGGTTGCAATGTTCAAAAACAAGCAACTGACGATAATATATTATATATATATATATATAATTTGCATGATATGAAGATCGTTCGATCAAGGGTGGGGTTAATTTTCTCAAATTTTAGGAATTTTTACAGTAAATAGTTCGTCAAGGATGGAGGAGTAAGACTAAATTCTCAAAATTTTCAGTTATTTTTGAGTTGCTATATATTATAGTAGCTTTTATTTCGTTCATACCTCTAATTAATGAAAGTTTCAATCATTATATATTTAAAATGAACAGATCGATTTTCGTAGGAGATTCAGGTTTGATGTCACCACGCCACCTAAAATCTCCTAAAGCATCCCCAAAAAGCCAACCAAAGCACCGGCATTCCTTATCTGCTGGAAGTAACATCCCCAAATTAATCAGTCTGAAAAATCTCAATCAAGAGAGATCAATTTTAAAAAACAATTCACAAAGCCGAGACACCAGCCCTGAAATAATTCAGTCAAAACTTGCTTCTGTAACTGAGCAATGGACACAAATGAAATCAGGAATATCGGCACAGCCACAAGCAGAAAAACTTAGACTAAATAGAAATATAAGTCGGACCCACTCAGCTGAAAGATTTCAAAATGATCACTCACAAGAGCTCTTAAAAATGGCCCTGAAAGCATCATCTATACTTCAAAGAGAAAACTGCTGCAAAAGTTTAGAAAATTCAAGTATTAAGGAAACGCAAGACACTGATTGCTCTATGCATCAGGAAGAAAAATATTTAGCATTTTTGCCTGTTCCTTGCGCTATAGAAGCACCACGGACAACAACAAATAAAGCAAAGCCATCTCTTGTGATGGATAATAAAAATAGGAAGCCTCCAAGACTGTTAAAAAAATCTCCGGAAAACCCAGCTAAATCTTTTGAAAACTGCTATAAAATGTTTTCCGAAACATACAAAAAAGTCAATGTTTCATAATTTTTTGCCAATTTTGTAATTTAATTTCTTCGATTAATTTTAATTCAAATTTTTAATTTAAAATTTATAAATTTTCTTATATAATTTCAAATTTATATAATTTAATTTGATAACTCACTGAATTCAAGTTGCTAAAGTCAGTTTATTGATAATCTTTTGCATATTATAGTTGAAGAGATTGACGAGTTTGCCATTTTAACTTAACTAAATCAAAACTTCAGTCATAAATTATAAATTGAAATGGAAGAAAGGGAAGAAAGTGTTTCATTTAGAGAAAGAAAAAGTATTTCACATTTAGAGCTTGAGCTGATTTTAAAGCAAAAAATGAAAGAACTTCAAACACTTCAAGCAGAGCTTCAAAGATCTGAACAATGCTCATCGCCTGAAGTCGTCATAAAAAAGTAATTTCCAAGAAGTATAATAGAAAATATCTCATTTAAGATGGATTCCGATCCTTTAATATCCAAAAAGCACAAGTCAGGTGGCAAATGCGAATGCAGAGTATTTTAAGCTGTGCAATTAATTTTATTTAATTTCCAAAATTTCTTAAGATTTTATATAAATAAATTAATAAATTTGGCAAGAATGTGTATGAGGAAAAGTCCCCCAATTAAGCCCCGCAAGAGAGATATACTCTGATTCTTTCCAACATGGAGAATTATATAGGGTATCCAAAAATTCTGCAGACTCATATTGTTCGGTACACAAATTGTGTACTGGAATCCACAGGTGGAAATTTTTCCACGTGTGGAGCCAAAATTCCGCAATTGAAATGCTCCATATGCTGAATTTGGCTCCACACGTAAAAATTTCCCACGTGTGAAGTCCGTGCACAATTTGTGTATCGGAGCATACAATATTAGGATTGGAGTCATTTTCCCCCTAACCATTTTATTGCACAAGGTTTCCCAGTTTTCTACATCTCTTACAACTGTATCATCAAGTTTTATTCACTTTGAACTATCTAAGTTTCATACAAACGCAAAATAATGGCCAAGTGAAAAGCATATAAATCCTCTCAAAATATATCTGGTCTGAATTTCTCTGTTTTGCCCGGTAATCGTAAACACATGCGAAAGATCAAGAACAGGGGATAAATGGAGCAAAAAGTCTTCAATCCCTTGGCTTGTTAACTCATTTCAAATGAGAGAAATCGCAAGCACTTTAGGAGCTTCAATCAACAATTTATTAGAATTCATGAGATGCCCACATTTATTACAATTAGTTTCTTTGGCCTTAACACATTTCAATAATGCTTCTTCTCATTCATTTCTAATAAGGCATTCTCTAAGTTCTTCAACGTAGACTCTTAAAATCATATCTTGCGTCGGATTTTCAATTTCTGTATCATCATTGCATGAGCAGCTCCATGCATCACAAGCTTGGTATCCAAATACTTTATGCGCTAGGCATAAAGGAGTGCAAGGGCTATCGTTAGCTAATTCTTGAGCAGTCGCACTTTGGCTTTCACCTTCTTGGAAGTCGATCCCTTCTCTATGCAAATATTTTAAGATTTCTTCAAATGCTTCTGTTGCGCATCCCATCTGGTTTATTAGTAATCTATGAAAAGTAACTGAATCAAGACATTTTCTAATAATTTTTGATGTTAACTCACTGATGTCAGGGACTGAGTTTAGATAGAGCAAATCACGAAGTTCGCATTTTAAACAAATTGTGCCTGCTGGGTGTTCATGTTCTGGCTCTGCCTGATAAGCATTTACAAAGGAGGGCAAATGAATTAAAGCTTGAAGGACAACATTTATATAGCAGCTATAGCTTCCAATGGGATTTTCGATGCCTGTAAACTTTTCCATTGTTTTAGTATATATCGGATTATTATTTTGGTATCTATAAATAATTGTGTATTAAAATGCTACTTTAAGTTAGGTGAATCAAGAGCTATAAAGAAATTATTACTTAAGAAAGAACCGGCTTGTATCTTGGCTGGTCTTTGATGATCCAAACGTAATCTATTTCAGTTAGCGCAACAGCACTGAACTGCTCCCAGAATAAATGGGTTTGGTTATAAACAGTCAGCCTGCCATAGCCATAATCATTACTCAAATACCTTGCCCAAGGCTGAGGAGTTGTAGAAGCTGGATCATTATGCCCATGATTGTTTCCTGCATTTCCACTGACAATGTATATAGGAGCGTTAGGGTTTATGTGGATATTTTGTCCATCATATTGGCTTGGTATTGTTTGGTTTTTATATATAGCAGCATCTCTTTCATAATTGTGCAAATGAGCTTGCAGTGCAAGATCAACACTGTTATTATACCATAAATCTTCAAGAATAGGCTTAATAACAGCTGGCTGCTCTCCACAATCGGTTTGACTTCCTTCTTCAAACCAGTCTTGAGAACAATAAAGAGGGTGATGAGCTAATACAATAATCCATGGTCTTATACTTCTTTGACTATTGGCTATGGCTAAATCGTTAGCTAGTCATTGAGTTTGAAGATCAGCACTTGCTTGGGATGTGTTCTTGAAATAAGGGTTCGTATTATACATTATAAAGTGCGCTGGCCCAAGATTAAAAGAGTAAAAAAAGCTTGTTCCTTGATTTACTCCATTATTTGGCATATTGAACCTGTTTATATATTGAGTGAAGTTATCAGCTTTTTCATGATTTCCAGGGACTGTCATGTAAGGATAAGTAGCAGCTATGGGTTGAATCATGTTTAAGTAGTCGTCTCCTACCTTTCCGTCTTCATCGTCTAAGTCATAGGCAATATCACCCATGTGCAGAATTCCTAAATAATCTCTTGTGAGCGTTTCTTCGCCAAGCAAGTGCTTTGTATATTGTCCAATAGGACCAGTGCCCCAGTCTCCAAAAACAATAAGAGTAAAAGAATTATTCACGTCTCTAAACGTTTGGCTTGTATCTGGAGTTCTTCCATTGAATAAGTAAGTTTTGCTTCATGACCCTAAGTTACTGACTTTATACTCATACCAACATTCTGGCAATAGGTTTTCAAAGACAGTTGTATGAATGTACTGATTCTGCCAAAAGTGAGGGCCTTCTTGGAATTTCTTGGTGTCTCCTCCGATATAGGTGAAGTTGGAGGGTGATGGGACATTTCCGCATAAGATGGGCCGATAAGCTGCATGTGGCGGAGCATTTAAGTAAGTGACCCAAGTAGCTCTCATTTGATTTATTTCTTCTGTCCACGAAAGATGAATTTGCTCTGGGTGGACATACCCTGCTATAGCGATTCCGAAACCAATAATCAATACCAGAAGTTGCATATCAGAAATATTTATAAATTCAAAATTGTATCGAAAATATCTGCACAATGGCTACTATCCTCAGAAGGATAAACTTACTCTGATTATTTACCTATTGGCAAGTATAAATGCTAATCTCTTTTCTAAAACTATTTTACCCTATATTGGTCATGTTTATAGATTCCAATTAATAATTTTTGTTGCTTTAATATTATTTATTCACTATAGAGGTGTAAGGATTGTGCAAAGGATAGAGGGAGAGTAAAATTAGATTTCATTATTTTCCATATTTAATATTCTAACTTCCAAATCCTTAAATTTATTATAAAATAATTCAAGAGAATAATATGAAATTTTATTAATTCAATTATCTTGTTCCTTTTACTTTTAATAATTTAGATATTATGTGCTGCAAATAAAATCATTATAGCGCGGGCCTCTTTTTGGCTTGGACTATATCTAATTAATAATTAAATAAATAATATTTTGAAAAATCATATCATCTGTTGCACATATTTCTTACTGTGCAAGGCATGTGGGAAATTTCCCCCACATGCAAAAAAATGCTCCACATGTGAAGCCTGCATTTATCTAAAACTTCACATGTAGAATGTTTTAGCATGTGTGGAAATTTCCCACACGACTTGCACAATAAGAAATATGTGCAACAGATTATAAAGTAAATCGTTCATTTGATCAAAGAAACCCTTAAAGCATGACATCATAAATAGAGACTAAGCATATAAATTAAGAATAAAAATAATTATATTTATAATTTAAACTCTTTTAATAAATATTTAATGAATAAAGAAACCATATACTATTTAATCAATATTGCTTATTACTCGACTTTGGAAAAGATTTGAGATAAATAAATTCTTTCCTTTACGAAAATGATAAGAAAATAAACATAATTTTAATTTTTTTACATCTTAAATAATAACTTATTTTAGACTTGAAATTTATTAATTTTTTCAATATAAATTTTATGATAATGAGCCGAATATATTATTTTATAATATTTACTCCCCCACTCAATGACAACAAAAAAATTTTGCTCGCTCACGAAGAGGGTTTAATTTTTGAGAGCAAACAAAATGTGTGCATTTCACCAAAGTGCACTTGGTCGAAAATTGTTTGAAACTTTTAAATGTGCTTGATGAAATGAAAACTATCTAAAAGTCGACGATTCTTTTGGTATAGAGTGAATTGCTTTTTAAAAAAATTTTATGTAAATGTAGTAAAGATTTTTTTTCAGAGTTTAAAAAATAATCGTAAAAAATTAATTTATTTGTAAATTTATATTCTAAAATGCATGCTGTTTAAAATATACAAAATTAGCTAGCATATAATTTTAATAATCATCAGTTATATCTAAATTCTAAATGTGATTATCTCTTAAATCAAAATTCCTTGATTTTTCTTGAAGCCTTTATACGTATGATCAGTTTCAGCTCTGAGTAATGAATCAGTTCGACCGTTAGAACCTAACTGCTTCAAACCAAGTAAGAGCTCTCTTTCCAGCACACCTAGTGGAGCGTCACAACTCCTGGAAGCTGTCTCTTGGTTAATTAGATCCTCAATATGAACCTAAGTCCCTTTTCTAAGGAGCGTTAGAGGAGTTGCAACCTCTAGAGTCCCGAAATTTTTAATTGTAGTTATATCAAAATATTTTCTCTTCAAAAAAATTTTTGTTCGGTTAAGTAGGGCAGACTTTTACCCAAAAAATAAAGGCTTTATTTGCTCAAGAAGGGGGGAGTTAGAACTTTGCTTAATGAAAATTTATATTTATGCAAAATAATTTATGAAGGAGCGTCCCTTCTTTCTTCAATTTTATCTCAATTCGCTTTTGTCTTGTTATAAAACAAAAATTTATTTTATATTTCAAATTTTGATATCGAGCCTGATTTAAACTTTCATTTTTATTTGATATTGATCATATTATTATGGCCATTAAATGAAAAAATATATCTATCTAATTAATAAATCTATTATAAAGAAATTATTACTTAAGAAAGAACTGGCTTGTATCTTGGTTGGTCTTTGATAATCCAAACATAATCTATTTCAGTAAGCGCAACAGCACTGAACTGCTCCCAGAACAAGTGGGTTTGGTTATAAACAGTCAACCTGCCATAGCCATAATCATTGCTTAAATACCTTGCCCACGGTTGAGGAGTTGTAGAAGCTGGATCATTATGCCCAAGTGTGTTTCCTGCATTTCCACTAGTAATGTATACAGGAGCATTAGGGTTTATGTGGATATTTTGTCCATCATACTGGCTTGGTATCGTTTGATTTTTATACTATTTTTATTATTTAGAAACGCAAATTAGCGTTTGCCTTATTTTATAATAGAATAATTTATATAATGAACTAACTTTTTTGCTGTTGGATTTTTGAGAGATAAAAATTCTTTGACATGCAGAGGTCTAATTTCATTAAGCCTCCATGTTCCCAAATATTTTGGCAAATATAGTGTTAATAAAAAACTGCCGATTCATTTTATTCCGTTTAGAAGTATTTATTTTGAGATTACTTTTGTTAAGTATATATATAGCAGCATCTCTTTCATAATTGTGCACATGGGCTTGCAATGCAAGATCAACACTATTGCTATACCATAAATCTTCAAGAATAGGCTTAATAACAGCTGGCTGCGTTCCACAGTCATTTTGGCTTCCTTCTTCAAACCAATCTTGAGAGCAGTAAAGTGGGTGATGAGCTAGTACAATAATCCATGGCCTTATACTTCTTTGACTATTGGCTATGGCTAAATCGTTAACTAGCCATTGAGTTTGAAGATCTGCGCTTGCTTGGGATGCGTTCTTGAAATAAGGATTCGTATTATACATTATAAAGTGCGCTGGTCCAAGATTAAAAGAGTAAAAAAAGCTTGTTCCTTGATTTACTCCATTATTTGGCATATTGAACCTGTTTATATATTGAGTGAAGTTATCAGCTTTATCATGGTTTCCAGGGACTGTCATGTAAGGATAAGTAGCAGCTATAGGCTGAATCATGTTTAAGTATTCATCTCCTACTTTTCCGTCTTCATCCTGTAAATCATATGCAATATCTGGTTAGGCATATATCCTAAACCTCTACCCCTACTCCTAGCCTATCCTCATCCTCTGCCCCTGCTTAAATCTCTAATACTCAAAGCCTTATTTGCACCCCTAATCTTTGAAAGCTATTTCTCTTTAATAAAAAAAAAATTAACTCCCTTTATGCTCCATACTTCATCTCTTAGAATATAAAATGAATTTCCGCAGAAATCGCTATATTGGTTTGAAACTCGAATAATAAAGAATTAAATAATTTATCTCTTAGAAGTAAGTCATTTTTTCAAAAATCTTGTAATAGAATTATTAATTTATTTATGAGATTAAATTTTTAATATTTATTTATAGGCTCTAGCTGCCCTAATTAATAGCCTATAAAACAAGACATTGCTTATAAAAATTTATCTTGCTACTGCAAATAACAAAAAATGTTTTTGAAGTCGATATTTTTTTTTTTTAAGCACATGCAAATTTAGTGCTTTAAATATTCAAGTATTTATTAATATTTATTCTACAATTTTTTATTTATATTTTATATTATATTTCCAATTTAAAAGATTGAATTAATTAAGGTGAACTTATGACAAAATAAGTACATTCTAATTTTTTAATATGAAGCAGAAGCGAATCAAAAATATTGAGAATAGAATGACATCAGTTTCTTACCAAATATCGCCCATATGGAGAATTCCTAAATAAATTCTCAAGAAATAAAATGCCGACACTGACAGAAGATGGACTCCGAAGCACACACTCCTGTGGAGCAGGTAGGACCTATCCCGATGATGCTGAAAATAGTGCCTCTGTCACTTTTGAAGTAGGATTTCGGGTTTGAGAATGCCTGCTGAAGTGTGAAGTTTTTCTCTCCCGAATGTTTCCCCTGTAACTGCCAGATGGGTGAGACAGGTTTTTCCTCCCAACTAGTCTTTGCTTATCGGAACTAAAAGGGCATTGCAAGAGGTGGTCCTAACCTAAGGAGCTTATCCGCTTATGGCCCTAAAATTTTACTTTAACTTTAAATAATCTCTTGTAAGCGTTTCTTCTCCAAGCAAGTGTTTTGTATATTGCCCAATGGGGCCAGTGCCCCAATCTCCAAAAACAATAAGAGTAAAAGAATTATTCACGTCTCTAAACGTTTGGCTTGTATCTGGAGTTCTTCCATTGAATAAGTAAGTTTTGCTTCATGATCCTAAATTACTGACTTTATACTCATACCAACATTCTGGCAATAGGTTTTCAAAGACAGTTGTATGAATGTACTGATTCTGCCAAAAGTGAGGGCCTTCTTGGAATTTCTTGGTGTCTCCTCCGATATAGGTGAAGTTGGAGGGTGATGGGACATTTCCGCATAAGATGGGCCGATAAGCTGCATGTGGCGGAGCATTTAAGTAAGTGGCCCAAGTAGCTCTCATTTGATTTATTTCTTCTGTCCACGAAAGATGAATTTGCTCTGGGTGGACATACCCTGCTATAGCGATTCCGAAACCAATAATCAATACCAGAAGTTGCATATCAGAAATGTTTATAAATTCAAAATTGTAAGCTTAAGCCTCTTTTATGCTCAGTCTATGTCAACGCTGCCCGTTGTCACGGGGAGTTGGAAAACCAACATATGTTGATTAATCCAATTCTCTTGATGGCAAATTCGCTTGCAATTGGAGATTTACCATTTGGAGGGTAGTTTTACACACAAATGTTTGCTTACCAACTCCTGGCTGCTTTCAAAGACATTTGCATAGCCCAATCCCAAAGCAGGCTTAGGCTATATTGAAAATATCTGCACAATGGCTACTATCCTCAGAAGGATAAACTCTGATTATTTACCTCTTGGTAAATATAAATTTGAAGGATTGTGCAAAGATAGAGGGAAAGCAAAATTAGATTTCATTATTTTCCATATTTAATATTCTAACTTCCAAATCTTCAAATTTAATATAAATACCCCAAATTATAAGCGTTAACTATAGCCAAAATTTGTATATTTATTTTATTCATTTAAAGTATTATCAACAAATTTTATTATTACATACACAATTTTCATTTAAAAAAATAGATACACCAAATGTAAGTGCAGAATTTGTTATTAATATAGCTGTCTAAATTATCTCGAAAACCCTGAAAGATCAGGCACTCCTTCCATTTCATCCTCACTGCTTTCACAGCTCTCAATTTCCTCTTCTTCATCTTCTTCTGAATTTTTCCTATCCATCCCTGGCGCCATAAAAGAAGTTTCTGGGTAAAATAATTTTTTAATATCCGCATTAAGCTTTGCTTCCTCCTTTGCCACCGAAGCTTCATCAATTATTGACGTTGGCATGGCCCACGCAAGTCCTTCTCCTGTAATTGAAGTATCAAAAAATATACGATTCATCTATTAATTATTTGAAATGGAAAATTCATCAATTTTAGAAGCCTCAACAAACATTGATGAATTGTAAAAGTAATTTAGAATCACTGGAAATACAAGTGAAGAAAAACTACAAAATGCCAAAGAGATCTTAGAAATGATGGAAAAAGAAATTTTCAGGCTGAGGGCTGAATTAAAACGTTCAGAACAAACGGTAAAAAAGCTGCAAGACTCATTAGCACTGCAAGCGCAAAATCAAAATAACACTTCTTCATCATTTTTATTGCCTTCTGAGTTTAAAAAGAATTGGGAAGTGCTGGTTCAAGAAAATATTTTGGATGTCTTTTCACCTTTTTTGGGGTCGCATACTTTATTTGTGAGGCTTGTGCAGAGTTTAATGAAAATTTGTATGGAGTTTGTGGAAAATACCATTAGGTGCAAAATGAGTGAGATAAAGAAATTGTTGGGAATCACTAATGAGGAAACTGAAAATCTGAAGAAATATTTGATGAAGCTGTTTCAAGATTATTGTGAAACAGCGGTTCCGGAAATTGATTTTTGGGAGTTTTTGAAGGTGTATAAAGATAAAATTAGTGATTTTATTGATGAGGAGCATGAAGAAGATTTTGAGTATATGATAACTTCTGATGAGTTTATAGAATTTGTTAAGAAAACCCATCAGCTTGTTTTACATATAGTATTTCATGATCCCTCTTTAGATTTGAACTTTCCTGGAAAAATAGAATATATAACGTTAGAAAAACCTGATGAATATTACTGCATAGATGGTTTTCCAAAAAATTCGCCTCCTTGTGTTATCGTCGTTCCTGCAATTATGAGAGGAAATTTCGCTTATCAAGGCATAAAGCCAGCAGTATTGGTAATTACTACAGAACAAATGAATGAGCAAAAAGAAAAAGCTTCTCAAAAATCTGAGAAATCAGACCAAGATTCTTTGAAAAGTGAACGTAGTTCAAAGCCACCTTTAAAAAATTGTAAATCGCTTAATATAAATTTAAGGTCGCTTTCTCCTCAAGATAAAAACCAAGAAAACCCTATTTTCGGCTTATATTATAGGTACAAAACCAAAATAAATTCAATGAGATCAGATGAAGAAAGCCAAGAAACTCCAAACAAAAGCCCTTTTAAATACAGTGTCGACTATATGCCATCACCAAAATCTATTTCAGAAGATAGCACCCGCTCAATGATAAAAGGGCCTGATTCCATTCCGATTAGCTCTGCTACTTATTACTCTCGAAAAAAACGGCGAGAAGCTTGCACTTTATGCCGGCCTAAACTTCCTTGTAAAAAATGCTCAAAAAATGCTTTATTGGACATAGCAAAGCGAATACCTTCAGGAGCTTATTCCCAAAAACACACAACTCCTATGCGAGTTTATAGCAGCTCTTTCTTTGAATCTTCAAATAGAAATGATAGGTCTTATCCAATGACATCATTGCTTACTCGAAAGTTAAGCGAAGCTGCGAAAAAAATGGACCGAAAATCTTCTGTTAAATCAAAAATAGTAGACAAAGATACTTGCATGGTAATGTAGCTGATATGACTAATTAATAATTTTAAAGCTAATTTTACTATACTTATCTATTTAGAAAAATACTAAGAAGGCACTCTTTTCTTTACTTCAACATTCAAGTCTTGATGCATTCAAAGCAGGTTTACTGGATTCATCCATGTTACTTGCAGATGAAACTTAGGTTGTGTAGAATGTGAAATTAAAACTTAGCAAGCGAATAAACATCAAAAATTTTTAGCATGGATTTTTTTTTCTTTATCTGTGATAGATCTTTCATAAATCTCTATTTGAAATAATTTCTGAGATATTAATTTATAAAATTTTATTTAAATCGCTTTTATTGATTCTAACAAATACTGCATAGCTCTAACATAAAATTATATTGGAACATTCATTATTCGGCCTCGACATTATTTGCTAGGTCGATTAATTACCACATTTTTGTTAGCTATATAATTTTATAAAATTATGAGCAGTGCAACAGTTCTCCAAGATTTAAACGAGGATAACCCAGAACAATATAGGCTCCAAATTAAAAATTCGATTTATGGCGATATTCGCCAGCTTCCATTAGTCAATTCAGGAAGCTCTTACTCCCCCCCCCCCTCCGTGAGCGAACAAAAAAATTTTGTTCGCTCACGGAGGGGGGTTAATTTTTTTTTTTTTAAAAAAAATTTATATATAAATTTTATAAAAAATATTTTTTTCGAAATTTAAAAAAATCCTAATTTGCAAAAATTGGGAAGCAAATATTAATTTAATTTGCAAAATTTATGTTTTTTAAAACGCAATTTGTTTAAAATTAAACAGAATTAGCTCTAGATTTCATTATACTAATTATCACTTATATATCAAAAATTTTTTTTCCATTAAAATTTTTTTCTATTAAAAAATTTTTGTTCACTCACGGAGGGTGGGTTTTTGGTCAAAAAATGGCGATTTTTCTAATGGTTTTGTTCGCTCACGGAGGGGGGGGGGGAGTTATAATACTGTAAGCTTTAGAACCTTCCAGGCTCAGCACCCTCAGCTAGTCAAAGTGTTAACGGATATGAAAACACCAAGTCCATGCAGGGTTACTAGTGATAAGCACCAGCCTAAAAGCGGTTGCTTAAAAAATTCGATGAGAGTTATTCCAAGCAAACAGAGCAATAATTTTGCAGCAGAAAATTCTTGGAGCAACTCAAAAAATAATGGGCTAAAAGCCCCAATAGCATTAAATTTCAAAAGAAGTACAATACTCGCAAGGAGAACACAAATTTAACATTTAAAGTAATTGATAAATTATTTTGATTTTTTAAGAAAAGAGCCAAAAAGCTTTGAAGTAGAAATAGCCAACATGCTTTGCTGGAAATGCTATAAATTATTTGAATATGCGAAAATAGTAATCAGAAGATTAAAAGCTATTAACACAAGTATGCATTAACAAAGCATGCTGAAAATAAGTCAAATTCAAATAAAAACCAGTTTAGAATAATATCAATCTCAAACTAAATTAATGTTCCTAACTCCCCTCCGTGAGTGAACAAAAAAAATTTTGTTCACTCATGCAGGGGGTTAATTTTTTTTTTAATATAAATTTTATAAAAATATTGTTTTTCGAAAAATTTAAAAAAATCCTAATTCGCAAAAATTGGAAAGCAAATATTAATTCAATTTATAAAATTTATGTTTTAAAAAGCAATTTGTTTAAAATTAAACAGAATTAGCTCGAGATTTCATTATAATAATTATCACTTATATATCAAATTTTTTTCCATAAAAAATTATTCTATTAAAAAGATTTTTGTTCACTCACGGAGGGTGGGTTTTTGGGCAAAAAATGGCGATTTTTCTAATGGTTTTGTTTACTCACAGAAGAGGGGAGGGAGTAAGCATCATTATCTTCTTATTTAAGAAGAAAAATATATTAAGTTTTTATGATTGTATACATCTAAGCACCAGATAAATATCTAGATTATAAATAAAAAATTTTATGAAAAAAATAAATTGCATTTTAATTATTACACTCTAGAGAATGCATGGCAAAACGCTTTCCCTCTTGAATTATTAAACTTTTTACATTCTATTATCTTTATTATATAAACTAAAAGTTTATAATAACGCTCTAAATGAAAAATTTATTTCCTCCAAAAATTCAATAAAACCCTTTATTTATCAAGATAATTCTCAAAAATTATTTATTAAATCTTTGAATGTCTTTAGATATAATTAAATATGTAATAATCTGTCTAATCAATATATTTAAAAACTCTAGCAGCTGTTAATAAAATGAGTGATTAAATTATCTAATGCTAAATATAAAACATAATGGCTTTAGTCGCCAACTTCCCATCCGATTAGCGCAAACCCTTCATCTTCTATGCTTTTTTCATTATTTTTCCTTCTATTCTTTCTAGTCGGAGAATCAATACTTGCTAAGTCTTCAACATCAAATGATTTATTTAGTTTATTAACTTTTCTTATGCTCACTTTCGGAGCTTCAACAGAAACTCAAGCATTTTGCTCTATTTGCCTTTTGTTTCCTTGTTCTGGAATTGTGCTATCTGTCCCAGATTTTGGTAGTAAAATATATTTTGACGTGCGGAATGATTTTTTAGCCCCGCTATTTCTATCAACTAAAATTTCATAGGCTTTTTCATTATTATTAAAATTGCCATTAATCGAATTTCTTTTATTTTGGCACAGCCTGGCTTTTAAGTCATTTTCAAAGCCTATAATACCTCCATAGCCATGCCTTATTAGAGGTAGCCTTTCTGCCTCAAAAATATTTTCAGTATGCATTCTTGGTGATTCTTTCTGTGAATCTCTAGTAGAGTAGCTTGTTTCTTGTGCTGATTCTAAATTTTTATTTGTGGAATAATGTTTTTCGATAAACTGCAATATTTTTAATAGCTCTTTTACCTTATCTTTGCGCGAGTATGATCTTGAACTCTCTCTTTTTTGGGTTTTTGCTAAATTATGACTATCAGATTCAGAATAAGGCTTTGGATTTCTTCTAGTCACTATATGTGATACAAAGCCTGTGGATTCTCTTCTTGATTTTCAATTAGAAGGGGTTTCTCATATAGATTTTTTTATCATAGATTTTGTAATTTTTCATTAAATTTAATTGAAGAGTTTTCTGGTTTAATTTATAAAATTTAAACATATATTAGATGCAAAAACTGAGAGGCAAGTTAAACGAACTTAAAATCAAGGACAAAAGGATATTTGTTCACAAGTTTATCAATACCAGCTTACTTATAGCGACTGCACTTATGGCATGAAAAGGTATAAAAGTTTGCTCAAATACTGATACCCCTATTGTAGTTATAGTAAACAACTCAATGATACCTGCATATTACCCAGGAGACATGCTGCTTATTGAAATGTGAAATTCCCCACCTTTACAAGCTGGCGATGTTATTGTTTATAATTTTGATGGCAAAGAATCTTCAATTATAAGTAGGATTATGAGCATCCACGAAGAAAACAACGACTATTTTATAGTAACAAAAGGGGAAAAGAATGAGTCCAATGACAGAGCGGTGCTATGGAACGGCAAGAAATTTATCCAGAGAAAAGATGTTGTAGGGAGAGTATATTTTTTTGTTCCTTATTTAGGAACAATTGTCATATGGCTCATTGATTACCCAGTTTTGAAATATGTGCTAATAGTTTTTATGGCAATCTTCATCGGACTAGCAGCAAAGCAACCTAAATATTAATAACCATTTTAAGATAACAATGGGGAAATAATTAAAAAGAATGAGTTATAAACAAAACTCTTGGGTTACAGTATTCTTACTTACTTAATTATTTATATCGTTTAACGTTCACTACGGGGTAGCCGTTTGCAGAGCTGCCACCATATTTGTTTATGTGTCGGGCCCATGGACCTATGATCAATCCACTTTGTTGCACCATGATACAGGCAAATATAGCGTTCCGGCTTCGATGGGCTGCGTTGTCTCGCTCCTCCTTGACTATGATCCTGCGCGTGTTCCGCCTAAGGGTTAACTTCCCCTGGTGTGCTGAGAAATAAAACTTCGAGCCTCTTGATGTACTTGGAGCAGTGCCTCTACTTTATATGCCAGAGTTAAACCGCTATTGCTGTACAAAAGAAGTTCTCACTCCCCCCTCTTTAAATTGGAACAAAAAATTTTGTTTCAATTTAAAGGGGGTTAAGAAAATTTTTTGAAAAAAAAATCAATATAAAATGTTTTTATAAAAAAAAAAAAATTTCTAAAATTTGTTTAATGAAATGCTATTTACTCTTTATCCTTAAAAATTAAGCAATATATAACTAAATTTTTATTATTAGTTAATACACCACTATTAATTGGAATCAAAACTATTTGCACAAATTATTATTGTTATTGATATAGCTTCTTTCGCGTTTTTTCAGTATTATTATGGAAGATCTATCTTTGAGGGCAAGACTAGCTTCTTCTACATTTTTTATTTTCTTGGACTGTTTAGATAAGCTAAGACCTTTTAACGATCAATTAATTTAATTTTAAAACGTTTTAAACCAAGAAAAAGCTTTTAATTCGTTAAGGAAGGCTATTTTTCAGCGCTCATGCTTAATGCCCTTCATTCATGCGAGTAATGGTCCTGGAGCTCGAAATAAGGAGATCTGCAATGAGGAAACACTCTAATGGGCTCATGGCAGCAATATTGGTGTACGGGCTGGGGAGCAGCAAACAGTATGTTAAGTCCCGGCCTGCTTGTGAAATGCCTGGAAGGAAGTAGTCGATGTAGGCTAAAAGTGCATATAAGCTTCCTTTGCCATGATTTTCGGCTGCTTGAGAAAGCAAGACTATCATAGTTGCTACTTCTTGGCTTACTGGGGGTTCGGTGTGTTGGCTTCATTATTATGACATTTTTAGCAAACCTAATTTTTTGACAAGTCTAAGTAAAAATAGCAAATTATTATGGAGGCCAACACAACAATTATAGATGCCACTGCGATTATTAAAAAAAATTAAAAGAAATATCTAATAAAAGGCTTGCAAAGGAAGATTTTTAGGATTAGTTAATATTTATATGTATTGAATTTTATATTGCTAAAAACCATCTTTGTTTTTAATTTTTAATATTAAGAGATTAATCTTATAGACTCAAAAGTGGGTGAGCCTTCAAGGGTAATTGATGCACATCTCAATCGTATGCTTACGTGGTAATATTAGAGACAAACTCATAAAGACTTGGAGGAATTTAACTTTTTATAATTCTGAAGGCCATCTTTATTATAAAATATTCAATAATAGTCTATATCGTTGGAGACTCAAAAGTGGGTGACGCCTTCGACGGGAAATTTAAGTAGATCTAGTAGCGTGCCTATAGTAAGAATATCAGAGGTAAACTTATAAAGACCTTGGAGAAAATATTTAAATTTCATAATGTCCCTCTTTTTATTGAAAAATTTCATTGCAATTGATGAAGCTTATAAACTTGAAAGTTGGCGATGCCTTTAAGGGGAAATTAAATCATGTTTAATAGCAATCTTACAGTAGTAATATCAGAGGTAAACTCATAAAGACCTTGGAGATATTTTTCAATTTTTTATATTATCATCGCGTTCATCTTTATTGAAAATTTAAAAATCATTGATCAAGCTTATAGACTAAAAAGTGGGCGCCGCCTTTGAATGAAAGTAAAGCATGCTTAATAGCATTCTTATAGCAGCAAGATCAGAGGCAAACTCATAAAGACCTTGGAGAAAATATTTAATTTTTATGATATCCATCTTTATTGAAAAATGTCATAGCAATTGATGAAACTCATTGACTCAAAAGTGGGTGATGCCTTTGAGGGGAAATTAAAGCTTGTTTAATAGCATTCTCCGAGTGGCAAGATCAGAGGTAAACTTCTAAAGACCTTGGAGAAATTTTCAATTTTATAATGGCGCGAAGTCCATCTTTATTTATAAATTTAACACTATTGATGAATCTTATAGATTCAAAAGTGGGTGACGCCTTCGAGGGTGAATTTAAGCAGATCTAATAGCGTGCCTATAGCAAGAATATTATTGGTAAACTCATAAAGACCTTGGAGAAATTTTCAATTTTATAATGGTGAAGACCATCTTTGCTGATAAATTTCATTATTATAGATGAAGCTTATAGAGTCAAAAGTGGGTGATGCCTTTGAGGGAAAATTGAAGTAGATCTAATAGCGTGCCTATAGTAAGAATACCAGAGATAAACTCATAAAGACCTTGGAGAATATTCAATTTTATAATTGTGAAGACCATCTTTTTTATAAATTTAACACAATTGATAAAGCTTATAGGCTCAAAAGTGGGTGATGCCTTTGAGGGGAAATCGAAGCACGTCTAATCGCATTCTTATAGTAAGAATATCAGAGCTAAACTCATAAAGACCTTGGAGAAATTTTCAATTTTATAATGGCGAAGGTCATCTTTGTTGAAAAAATTTAAATTGTACTACAGCAAATCAAATTTATTAATAGTAAGAGTTAAGGAAATAGATTAATTACCCTTATTTAGATATAAATCCATCTCTAGCCAAGTTTATTTGATTTGTAATCAATTGTTCAGTATTTTCTAAGAGTATGCTTGTACAGCGAGTTCTAGCCATAATGGTATTATTATAATCTGTTTATTATTAAAATTTTGATAAAAAGCCCCCAATTTAGTTTACATTTTTATTTTTACTTAGACTTGTCAAAAAATTAGGTTTGCTAAAAATGTCATAATAATGAAGCCAACACACCGAACCCCAGTAAGCCAAGAAGTAGCAACTATGATAGTCTTGCTTTCTCAAGCAGCCGAAAATCATGGCAAAGGAAGCTTATATGCACTTTTAGCCTACATCGACTACTTCCTTCCAGGCATTTCACAAGCAGGCCGGGACTTAAACATACTGTTTGCTGCTCCCCAGCCCGTACACCAATATTGCTGCCATGAGCCCATTAGAGTGTTTCCTCATTGCAGATCTCCTTATTTCGAGCTCCAGGACCATTACTCGCATGAATGAAGGGCATTAAGCATGAGCGCTGAAAAATAGCCTTCCCTTAACGAATTAAAAGCTTTTTCTTGGTTTAAAACGTTTTTAAAATTAAATTAATTGATCGTTAAAAGGTCTTAGCTTATCTAAACAGTCCAAGAAAATAAAAAATGTAGAAGAAGCTAGTCTTGCCCTCAAAGATAGATCTTCCATAATAATACTGAAAAACGCGAAAGAAGCTATAACAAATAAAAATTAAAAAAAAATTTTAGAAATTTTATCGATCAAAGTGCTAATTTTGTGTAAATAAAATGTTATTTATACTCTATTCTTTAAAATAAAGCAAGAAATAAGTAAATTTTGAAATTTTATAAAGAATTCGCATTGAATTTATATCAAAATTATTTAAATAAAAAATATCATTTTTATTAAAAAAAATAAAAAATTTTTGAAAATTAAATGTATTTAAAAATTTAGCAATTTAAGGATAATAAATTTATTTAAATAAGATGCTCTTTATACTCTCTTCTTTAAACAAGAGCAAGATATAACTAAATTTTTAATTTTTGTTAAGAAGAAACATTTAACTTATATCAAAACATTTTAGATAAAAATTATATATAATTTTTTTTATTATAAAATTAAAATTTTCTTCCAATTTAAAGGGGGGTTAATTTATCAAAAAAGCGAAAATTTTACCTATATTTTGTTCCAATTTAAAGGGGGGGAGTCAGAAGAAAACCTAACCCCCATATATAAAATTGCTTGAGGAAGAGAAAATTAGTGGAGAGAAAATTAGCGGAGCAAATTTCGCTCTAACCGAATGCCATTTTATTTATGGGGTTACAGTATTCAGGTAAATCATATTTAGCATATGAAACACAATGATAGGGTCTACAGTTCTTACGATGCCTTGGGGAATGGATCAGGCTGGAGTTCTGGCAGGAATGTGTATACTATAATTTAATACAAATTTTTTCTTTTATAACAGATAGCTTTTATATTAATTTATTAAAATTTACCATAATTTTTAAGCAGTGATGATCATAGGGATAGGTGTGCTGTCTCTTTATACCTGCTCTTTAATTATGAAAGTCTGCACTCGATACAAGTCCGACGATGTTGTAGAAATGGTTTCCCGCATGTGGGGGAAGAAAGGGCAAGTTGCATCGCTCTATATGTCTTGCTTAGTTATGTTAGGTGCTTCCATGGTGTACAATGTGCTGATGAATAGTTCGTTTTATGACATTATTGACGGGATTTCTTTGTGGACTACTGATAACGATATAGGCTGCAAAACCTGCTGGAGTGGATTTTCAAGCAGGTATACACCTTTTATATTAATGGGCTGCTTAATGGTCATGGTTAATATAAAAGAGAAGCAGAAAATCGTGAAAATCAATTCGTTAGGCATCTATTTCGTGTTGACAATCACAATTTTCTTGATTTTTGTAGGACTCAGGGCAATAACTCTCGATACCTTCACAACTGACTCAGAACATATCCCAGATTCTGACAAAAAATGCCACCATGATTGGAATTGCCTTAAACACAACCATAAGGTCGAAATTGACCTTGTTAAGCCAAATTTCCTGCTTCTTTCAGGAATTCTTACACTTTCATATTTCATTCACAACTGTATTGTGATCATTATGAAAAACAATGCAGAGCCAGAAAAGAACGGCAGAGACTTGAGCTTGGGATACTTAGCTGTAGGTGTCTGCTATTTTCTGATAGGAACTCTTGGATATTTTGGATTCAAAGGGAATGGATTCACCCAAGACATAACCCAGAACGCGTTAGACATGTTTGCTTCTACAAACATATTAGCTTTCATTATGAGAATTGTGCTTTTCACCCAGATGTTCACAGTTTACCCAATGATTATGTTTTTAGTCCGATCACAGTTTTTTGGGTATTATTATGGAACGGATTATCCTTCTCGAAAGCACATTTTCATATATAGTTTACTCTCCCAGTAAGTGAGACAACAAAACCATTGGAAAAATTCTTATTTTTAAGGTACAAATACCCTCGGTTCGCAAACAAAAATTTTTTTAGTATAAAAAAATTTTTATGAAAAAATATGTAATAATTATTGTAATGAAATATTTACTCCCCCCCCTCCGTGAGTGAACAAAACCATTAGAAAAATCCCTATTTTTGCCCAAAAACCCACCCTCCGTGAGTGAACAAAATTTTTTTAATAGAAAATTTTTTTATGGAAAAAAACTTTGATATATAAATGATAATTAGTATAATGAAATCTAGAGCTAATTCTGTTTAATTTTAAACGAATTGCTTTTTAAAACATAAATTTTATAAATTAAATTAATTTTTGCTTTCCAATTTTCGCGAATTAGGATTTTTTTTAAATTTCGAAAAAAAAACTTTTTTATAAAATTTATATATAAATTTTTTTAAAAAACAAAAATAAAATCCCTCTCCGTGAGTGAACAAAATTTTTTTGTTCACTCACAGAGGGGGGGGGAGTTAGCAAATTCTGTTTAATTAATAGCTTGCATTTTAGAACATAAATTTTTTACAAATTAAATTAATATTTACTTCAAATATATTTTTAATTAGGGTTTTTGTAAATTTTGAAAAAAGCAAAAAAAAAAATTAAAGGAGGGGAGTTAGTTGTGTGTTCAGCAACCACACTGATTGCGTCAGTTTATCCTAGTGTTGGAGTTATTGCTGGAATTGTTGGAGCTTTCTGTGGACTATATTTTGTGTATATATGACTTATCTAGATAAAACGGCTTAAAATTTATGCCTAGATGGCCTAAATTTTAGAAAGAATAAATTATTTTTTGTGATAAATTGGGCCAGTTTATTAAAGGGATATAGTTCCAGTCTGCTTATATCTTTATTACTACGATGACGATGCTCGAGTAAAAGTCCAAGAAGAGCATAGCATGCAATTGATGGATGATAAGGATATGCAAGCCACTGATGCCATTTCAAATAGTGACCTGAAAGAAGATCTAGGTAATAGAAGGAATCATAAAATCAAATGGACAACTAAAAAATTGCTCCATTTATCTATTTGTGTTTTTGGAGTTGCGGTATTATTATTCCAATTCTTAACAGTTTAATTAAGGTCCTCTTAAGTAAATTTTACTAAAATAATTCCAAACACTCCAAACCCGAAAAATCTAAAGTAGCTTGTATTTTTCTAGTTTTAAAAGAGTCTTTATCAAGGATTATGCTATCTCCCGTCATTCTGTGAATTTTGCTTGCTTGCGAAATTTTTTTTTTTTTTAAAATTTATATATAATAATATTAAATTTTTTTTTTAAAAGAAATCTTAATTGCAAAATTTAAAAAATATCATTTAACTTATAAATTTTTTTTTAAAATAGAAATTTTATTAATAATTATCACTCATATATCGAATTAATTTTTAAAAAATTTTTTACTCGATAATAAAGGCTGGTTTTTCTTGGTTTTGTTCGCTCACAGAGTAGAACGTAGTAAGATGTTGCTCGGTTGTTATAAAAATTAAATAAATGGAGTCAAAAAATGATGAAAGCAAACCAGATGAAAATATGAATTATAATGATATTCAGGTAGAAGAAGAAGCAAAAATCCTGGAAATTGTAAATAGCTCAGAAAATGAGAAGACTTCAGAACCAACAGAAGAGAACGTTGAAGTTAATGCTAAATTTACGTCTAAAACTAAACACTTCACTCCTTCAATCAAGATAAGCCGAGCTTTCACAACGCTCACAGAAGAGAACTTAATCCAAAAAGAAATTATGGAAATCTCAGAAGATAAAGCACAAAACGCTCTTATAAGAGAGCTTCCGAGAAGATCACAATCAATTATATATGCCTTCTTCAGAAGACTGTATGAACAAATCTATGATAAATTTTTAAGTCCGCAAGAATTTTTGACCAGCATCGACCCTGAAAATAAAAACAAATTTTCATTGGAGGAGTTTTGCAACGTCCTTATGAAGAATGGGTACCGGTTCACTACGTATGAATTAAATTTTGTTTTCAATTTAATTAAAGAAGATGAGTATGTGTCCTCAGAAATGATCATAAGCCAGCTGGAGAGGCAGGAAATTGACTGTGACTCGGATAGAAGCTCTGATGTGTCATCTCCTCCGACGAACACGCCTAGCATGCACGGGTTTACTTCATTTGCAAATGCGTTACGTTCATCACTGGGGTGGAAGAATGAGTGTGATTCGAGTTTTTCAAGAAGTGACTCATGGAATTCAAACTATAGTAAAAACTAATTTTCATAGGATTGATGTATATACTTTTTAGATTAAGATAAAATTAATTAAGTAGAAATTTTAACCAGTCTGTTTTATTAATTAGATTACAATGTCAAAGGCTGGTTATTTTAATGTGATTTATATTAAGAATATTTTAAAATGTTTTTTTCAAAAATTCAAAAAAATTGAAACTTTGCTTTTTGGCATCATTTATTGCTCAAAAAATTACTTACTCCCCCCCCCCTCCGTGAGTGAACAAAAAAATTTTGTTCACTCACGGAGAGGGGTTAATAATTTTTTTTTTAAAACAATTTATATATAAATTTTATAAAAAATATTTTTTTTCGAAATTTAAAAAAATCCTAATTCGCAAAAATTGGAAAGCAAATGTTAATTTAATTTATAAAATTTATGTTTTAAAAAGCAATTCGTTTTAAAATTAAACAGAATTAGTTTTAGATTTCATTATATACTAATTATCATTTATATATCAATTTTTCTATTAAAAAAATTTTTGTTCACTCACGGAGGGTGGGTTTTTTGGGCAAAAAATGGCGATTTTTCTAATGGTTTTGCTCACTCACGGAGGGGGGGGAGTTAAAATAATCCTGCCTATTCTCTTGACTACACAATTAACTTTGGAGTAAAAAATGCGCAAAGTCATTAATTTTTGGAATATTCTAAATATTATTAAAGCCAAATCATCTAAAAATATTACTAATCTTTAAAATCAGCATATCTAAGGATCCCCCCCCCTCATTTGTCCAATTTTCTAGTCTTTTATCATTTGTCCATTTTTCTAGTTTTTTTTATAGGAAAAAAAAATTTTTTTTGGACCTCATTTGTCCAATTTTTCTAGTCAAAATTTTGATAGAGAAAAAAAATTTTCAGGACCTCGATTGTCTCATTTTCTAGTTTTTTTTAAAGTAAAAAACTAGAATTTAGGGCATTCGAAAAAAATCAAAAAAGACTAGAAAATTGGACAAATCATTTTTGACTAGATTTTTGGACAAATGAGGCGCTGAAAAAAAAAAATTTCTTATAAAAAAAAGACTAGAAAATTCGACAAATGAGGGGGGGGGATCCTTACATTTATTGCATATAAATCCCCAATATCTGAGCTTATAGCTTAATTTCAAATATTAAAAGTAATTTTTAACCAATCTGGTTGGTATTAAGATTAAGTCTTAGGCATCTTTTTCTGCAAACTGACGCCAGTTTTCCACCTGCATTTCGAACTCTTCAAAGATCAATGAATGAGCAAGTCTGTTTCTGCGAGCTCCAAACTCTATTTGATAGTTAAGATGCGAGTTATGGACTTCAGCTTCTCTATTGATGTGAACACCCCACAAATATCCAGGAATAAACATAACTAAACTAGCCATTGCAATTGCCATGCCATCTCTTGACAGATACTCATCCATGAAGCCGCAGACAAACCAAAATCTAGACCTTAAGAACCATCTAGGTATCATTTTTATTTATTATGAACTTTTTACTTTTAATATATTCCAAGCATTCTTTTCTTTATGATATATAAAGATACAATGGCCTAAAAACCAAACCCCGCCGATTGCTATAAAAATAAACCCATAGGTATAATGACTAAAAACTTTGAGTGCAAAAAATGTGAAAGAGAAAGAAATCGAAATTTGTAATGAAGGAAATACATCTTGTATCAAAATATATGGGTAATACTTGAACAAGTTATAAAAGCTCAATAAAATCCTAACTCCCCCCCCTCCGTGAGTGAACAAAAAAATTTTGTTCACTCACGGAGGGGGGGTTAATTTTTTTTTTTTTTAAAATATTTATATATAAATTTTTATAAAAAATTTTGTTTTGGAAATTAAAAAATCCTAATTCGCAAAAATTGGAAAGCAAATATTAATTTAATTTATAAAATTTATGTTTTAAAAAGCAATTCGTTCAAAATTAAACAGAATTAGCTCTAGATTTCATTATACTAATTATCATTTATATATCAAAATTTTTTTTCCATAAAAAATTTTTCTATTAAAAAAATTTTGTTCACTCACGGAGGGTGGGTTTTTGGGCAAAAAATAGCGATTTTTATAATGATTTTGTTCACTCACGGAGGGGGGGAGTAAGAATCATGCTAAAAATGTTAGCGTATATCATACCGATTGCTCCAAAATCTGAGAAAAATGCTGCAATAGCTAGATAAAATCTATAATAAAAATTACAAAGAAAATCCAAGCATCCAAACTTGTCTTTTATAAAGCTCTTTATCAGTTGATTTAGCTACAGCAATAGCTTCTGAAACCCCATTAATAGCCATTACTAAAATATACCAACAATATGCAGAGAGAGCAGAGCCAGCATCTGCTTCAATTCATTTTTTGTCATATAAAATCCTTATTAATAAATCAGAATAAATTGAGCCGTAAATCCCTGCAAAAAGCCCAACAATCCACATAACTTTTAGCACAGAACGAATTCCGTTCAATGCTTCTTCTTTTCCTAAATTTTTGGAAAATAAGGAATGAGTAATTTCTTCTATAGGAAGAAATAATAATCGGCACACTATTGACCCTAAATTAGAAACAAGTGCAAATACTCCTTGCTGGAGTTCTGGGAGTTTTAGAGCCATTATTACGATTTTTTCTCCTTCAGATAAAAAGAATTTTAGCACTGCAATCCCACAAAACGCAACTGCAGCTTTTTTGACAGGCTCTTCAACTGGCTGATTGAAATTAAAGCTAGGCCGCTCTGCACAACTTCATATATAAACCACTGTTACTGTAATTGAATAAGCAAGCTGGCCTATAGCAAATGCTAATAATCCATATCGTGCTAAAAATATAATAACGATACATTTTATAATAAACCCTGACCCTTCTCCTAATAGTCTACCTTTTGTTTGTAAATTAATTAGCTCTAATATATGGAAAGGTTCTCCAAAAGCTTCTATCATGCTGGAAACTACAATAATTCCTATACAGGTAGAATTTCCTGACCAAACAAAAAACATAATTAGCCCAAATATTCAGCTTGAAAACGTTGATATTCACATAAGTTTATATGAAGGAGTGGTGCTTCGTTGGGCAGCTTTTCTGAAATTTTCTCTGGAAAAATGCAAAATCAGTGTGTTTAATAGCATTAATTGGATATTCCCAGCCCCATATACTTCAGGCTCCATAACTCTCGCAATCAGAACATTCAATGTAAAGTTTGCTATTTTTAAAAGCAACTGAAGAATGATAATTGTTTTTGCTGCTTTAAATGCTTGGAATAAATTAGTCATTTTTAAGAAATTGTAAATGGAAATTACGTGTCAGGATTAAAATTATTTCTAATAGAAACGGGTTTTGTTTAAATATTTTAATATTTAATTTAATAATAACAATTAAAAATGGAGCGCATGAATTAGGGTCATTGTCCCCTAAGGTCATCCTAGTGAGGGAAGTTCAAACTTTCTGAAGGATATTGGCGCTGGAACTGCTCGGCAGTTCCTGGTGTGCTTGAATCAAGTTCAAGGAAGGAAGAGAGACTCGTCTAGGTCATAGGCTACTGTAACGGTTCGACGGTTAGGCCGATTCCACCTACCGTTGTTCAGAGCTGTTAGCCAGTGATGGATGAGCTTGTATTGTCAGATCCTAAGCTAAGTGGGGGTCGACAAAGTGTTATCGTAATCTTAAATCTTAAATCTTAAATTTAATAAAAATATCAAGCTTTGAAATGTTAATTATTTTTTATTTTTAAATAAATCATAAAATATTGATATTTGGTTTAAATATTAGATTTCATATAGCTATTTCATATTAGCAAAGTTTTAAATTCATTTGAGACTCCATATTTCATATCGGTTATCTAACTTTAAATAAATATATGGACTCTTCCAAGCTTCCCAAGCTCCCAGGCTTCTCATTCAACGACCCAACCAAAACCAATTTTCATAAGCATCAAATGTTTGCTGTAAGAGACGGCCACATGACAGAAAGCACAAAATTCCACCAAGAAAATGCTTCCCCGCAGCTTATTGACGAGCTCCGAAATTCTATGACGCAGCTCGCCTACAACACCTCTTCTGGCAAGCCAAAAACCCCTGACAACGTTGCAATTCCAAGAAATCCTCCAGCATGGATAAAATACGACCGCCAAGTCCTTCGCTTTAATGCGTATTTCCAAGAACCTGTCCATGAAAGCTCCACTGAAAATTTCCGCGTTCGTAAGTGTGTTATTATGTTTCATTTGGATGACGAAACCACTTATGTAACTGAGCCACGTGTTGAGAACAGTGGGATTCCTCAAGGCGTTTTTATTAAAAAGCATAGAATTCCTAAAGGAGACGGAACCTATTTCACATGGCGAGATTTCGCATTAAAAACCAACGTAAACATGTATGGACGTGTCTTCAGAATTGTTGACTGTGACGAATTCACCAGAAACTTCTACGAAGAACAAGGCATTGATTTAGGCTCTGGAGAAGGCTTCCCTGATGATAGATTTGACATGACTAGGCTTATGGTGAATTTTAAACAACCTCCAGAAGATGCTATGGACGTTAAAGAATATAATGAAGTAAAACTAGGTGGTGGACATCCTAATAGAAATTTAAGAAGCTTTGTCGAAAATGACAGAAAAGTCCTAAGCTTCGACGTGATGTGGAATGATACTTCTTATGATGGAGGAATCAAGTTTTATAAGATGAATTATTACTTGTTTGACCAGACTATGGAAATTAAAGAGCTTAGACAGGTAAATACAGGCAATGAAACTTTCCCAATGATGCTCAGAAGGATGAAGGTTCCAAAAGCACCAATACTAACCCCATGCCCAGCACTAGCACTTAGAAATGAAGAGTATTATATTCCTAATGATTTGGTGTTGGGGAATACCATACAAGTATATGGAAAAGACTTATTATAAAATCTTAACATGATATGATTATGCTTATTGAGAAAATAGTCCTATTTTTGATATTTTATTAAAATAATCTAATTATTTTGAAATTTAATTCAATCTAATGCAAAATAGTTTGCGATTGTGATGAATACACCAAAAGATGGTACAGAGAAGAGCTTGGAATTGAAGTTAAGCCAGTCCATATTCCGCGTTCAAAAAACATTATGCCACCTAACCCAATTCCTCCCCACAACGGCTATGGTACAGAAGAAGATTCAATAGGAAACGTCCTAAGACTTCAGCCAAATGCTCCAAAACCTGACATGTATAAAATGTTCGACAACGACCAGCATATTCTTCGTTTTGAAGCCAAACTGGTCAGCTCAAACCCTGAAGACGAACTAGGGAAATTTATTTTGTCATTTTACCCAGGTGACGACACCATCAAAGTCTATCAAGTTGTCGATAAAAATTCAGGAGTTGTCGGAGGAAAATTCCTTGAAAGGAGAAAATTCAAGAATCCATATAGCAATCAATACTACCAACAAAAAGACTGCGTAATAGGAAACACTTTGATATTGCAAGGGTACAGATTTTTGCTGGTGCATTGTGATGAATATACGTTTACCTTTATGGAAGAGAGACCTAGCGAGTACCCACAGGCAAGTATTCCAATGATTTTGAGGAAAATTATGGGATTTTCAAGAAAATATGGGTCTCCTCAGGAATTTTTGGTTCTTGTGCTGAGAAATATTGATCCAAGCTTAGGAAAAAATGTGCAGTATAAGGTCTTTTTAGAGGCTCTTGAAAAGCTTGGAATTAAACTGACTTTGCAGGAGGAAGCATCATTGATCAGAAAATGGAATAAAGGAAGCCAGGGGCAATACATCATAAATTTAGAAGAAGCATATAATGCATTGATAAACGCTTAAAGGCAAAGTAGGTTTGCTCTAATAAATGGATTTTAAGTTAATCAATCCGAATAAATAAAATAAATATTAGGCTTCTGAATTCTTTTTATTCTGCTAAGCTAGCAAGCCTAAATTACAGAAAATAATAATTTCACCAAAAGATCAAATTTCACTAATATTTCCCCAAACGAAAATGAGGAGAAACTATTTAAAATTAAAATCTCATTTTCATAATAAATAACAAAATAATCACATTCCAGGATGGAGCGCTATATGAAAAATACTCATACATTTGCTGAAGAAAGTTTAGTGAAAACTTCTTTATTAATTAAAGGTCTTGCAGGCGTAGTTTTTGTTGTGGTTATTCCACTAGAGCTTCTTGTAAGCTCAACACTGCGAGATTGGGGTGGGAGCTTAATTGAAGATATCCAAGAATATCGCACTCAAGCCTGAGATGATTTCTTTAAATATGTATCATATATTGGCGACAGCTGGCTAATTATCGTTTTAGGTCCTGCGTTTTACAACTTTTTTGACACAAGAAAAGCAATTAAATTAATTATCATCTCATCATTTACAGGATTTATTACTAGCTTTTTGCAGCTGCTTTTCCAAGAGCCCAGACCATTTTGAACAAGCAGTGATATTAGAGGAATTACTTGTGACTTAGGCTTTGCAGATCCATCTTTTCATATGATGATGGGAACAGTATTTTTCTTTACACTTGCAATAGAGTTTTTCCATAACTGGAGGGATATTTTTAGATATACTGCTTATTTTCTTTTATTTTTAATACTATCCTTGGTTGGGTTCAGCAGAGTTTACCTTGGAGAACAATTTCCTCATCAAGTTGTTATGGGCTTATGCTACTCTTTTATATATCTGACTGTAGTATTTGCGTTTGATAGGACACTTTTAGATTTGACGATAAAAAGCAGCTTCAATTATAAAGCGAACAGGAAATATATTGTATATTAAAATTATTAGTAAGCTTTTCCCCTAGCCTACAAATTTTTTATATTTTTATATAAATTAATAAATTCTAAATATAATGATTTTTTAGATAATAAAATATATGGTATATATTGGTTTGTAGGAACAATGTTTTTGCTTTTAGCATCAATCACTGTATTTGATATGATCACTTTAAACAACAGCGTCAGCTACACATGAATTAAAAATTCCACCAAGCATTGCAGCTTAAGCTACAAAGTAAGCGGCTCACAATCCTTTTACTACTCTGCATGAATATTCTATAACCTAGGCCTCGTCTCAAGCTCAATGCTTTCTGGAAAATACATTTCTATGTTTTGGTGGTGCACAGAATACTGAAAACGATGAATTCGGTTTTTTATTGCAGTTGCTACAAGTGTCGGGATTTATTTTGCATTTAGTAATCAATAATTAGACCAAATCGATACATCTGACGTCACAACCACCTATGTGTGGCATTACGTTTTCCCTTATTTTCTAATGGCCACTGTATATGGAGGAATCCTTCCATTGATTTTTGTAAAAATGCAGTTGGCAATGAAAATATCTCCTGCAGTAGACCAAGAAAATGAATTAATGACACTTAGCGAGATAGATTAAAACTAAAAATTATTAGATAATGTTCTTAATTGATCTAAAATAGCTGTATATTTATCAGCTTTTCCTCCTCTCATTGTTTTCTTTATTTTTGAATTGATGTTCAATCCGCTGTGCCCAGTTACAGAAAGTCTTGGCATTGTGTTGGGGGTTTCAACTTCTTTCATTAATTCTTGAATTTGTTCATCAGCTTGTCGGAGCTGCTCTTTTATCTTTAAATAATTATTTTCTGAAATTTTTAATTTCTCTGTAAGTCTTTGAATTTTTTTCTCATGAATTCCTTTGTCGACTACTAAAGAAGATTTTTGATTTGTTAACTGACGATACATCATCGAAAGTTGAACCAATCTTCTTTCTAATATACAATTTTTCTTTCTTTCTTCTTGAACGTCAAAAGGCAACGAATTCTCCAAGGCTGTGTATCTTTCTTTGAAATCTTCAAATTCAATTTCAAGCTCGATCAATTGCCTTATTTTTGCATGCAAGTCTTTTGCAAGTTTTTTTCTTTCTTCAAGTAATGAATTTTCATTGAGATTTTCATTAATGGTGTAAATTAAATCTACTTGGTTTAAAGATTCATGATATTTGGTAATGACTGCTATTTCTTTTTGCTCTTTTTCTATCTTGCTTTGAGATCTTGGAGCATATTCATATCTTTGTTTCAAAAAATCGATTTCTGCTTCTTTTTCTACCAATCTATTCTCAAGGAACTCTTTTGTCCCATTTATATTAGTAAATTCTGACTGTATTGATTCCAGGGTTATTTTCAGCTTTTCAATAATTTCATCTTTTTCTTTTGATTCTTTTTCAAAATCAGATGCTTCTTTATACTGTGTCTTGAGTTTTTCATAGTCATTTCTTACTTTTACAAATTCCAGCTGCAGCTGTGTAAGGGTGTCCTTAATTTTTGAATTTTCTTCTACTTCATTTGAAAGGATTTCTCTAGTTTCCTCAAGTTCTTGTATAAGGTCAGCATACTCAGTCCTTGTATCACTTTCGAATAGTCCACTATCATCAATAGTTGTAGACTGAGAAATTGATAGTCCAGCCCTCATTAGTGTTTCTTCTAATTTTTTGATTTTCATGTCTTTTTTCTTTATTTCTTCTTTAGCTTCAGCTAGTAATAGTTTCAGCGGGTGATGCGGGTTGGCTGTCAACGAGCCGACAACCACTTAAAAAAAAAGGTGGTTATCTGCACTTTGTGCGGCTTGGCTGCCAAAAAACCTATAAAAATTTCAAAAAATGTTTGCGGCTTATCTGCAAACCGTTTGTTTTCAGCTAACCCGTCTTGTATTTTTAATATAAAAAATTTACGACATACAACCCTTCAAAAATTAAGTGCTTAGCTGACATTGAGTGCTGCTTAGCTGCGGAAAAAAAAAAGTGCGTGCGGCTTGTATGTCAAAAACGCACCCTTTTTTTTTGGCATTCGGGTTAGCTGCAAATTATAAAAAATTGTATTTTTTAATAATGAATATTGAAGATACTAAAGTATATTTACTGCTACTCAATTAAAATACGATTTCTAATGGATTTGAAAATACATTGAACACTCTATCCCTTATCAGAATATTTATAAAAAATAGTCAGCTAACCCGCAGGTTAAAACATAAGTGAATTTAGCAATATTAAACCTCCGATGCTTTTCTAGAAAATAGCAGCTAAGCCGCACAACTGTGCAGCTAACCACCTAAATTTTTTGTGGTTGTCTTTTATATATAATTTTCAATAGCGCAAATTCGTGGCGGGATATATGCAAACTGTTATTTTTTAATGCATATGTTAAGATTTTTATGTTAAATTTCGACAGACAAACCGCTAAAGTTGCAGATAACAACCTTTTTTTTAAGTTGTTAGCTGCGAGTTAGAACAGCTTAAATTTGGCATGCAGTTAACCGCTTAACAAAAAAGTTGTTATCTGCAACTTTAGCGGCTTAGCTGTCAAAAACATATTAAAAAATTGATATATTCATTAAAAAACAACGGCTTGCAGATATCCCTCCATGAAGATTTTTATATTGAAAAATAAACGACTGATAACCACTAAAAAATTAGGTGGTTAGCTGCAAGGGGTGCGGCTTAGCTGTCGTCCCTATTAAAAAAAGATAATTTTATTGTCCCTGTTTTTTGTAGGCGGGTTAGCTGTTAACTAGCTTAATGTGCTTTTTTTTGTACGCGATAAGAGAGCGCTGGAACTCTAACTACAAGTAGAGTTGAAAGAATGCACGTAAAGCTAAAAAAAATTATAAAAAGCATTAAAAAAAGCAGCAATTTTAAGATATTTATTATTTTTAAAAGTATTGTAAGTACTGAAGATGAAAAGACTACTCTATAAGAATATAAACATACTAAAAAACTGCCTTTAGAATTAATACAATGAGAGCATTAAGTTAGCTATATACTGGATACTGCGTGAATTATTATAAAAATTTTCTCTATGGAATTAAGTCTAAATATAAACGATGATGATAAATGAAGGGTTTGGACTCAGCTTTCTGATAAAATAAAAGAAGAATATATATTAAAAAATACGATTAAGTGCTAATTCAAAAAGTATGAAAGATATAGAATCATATGCTGTCATCTTCTATTTATCTCTAAAATTACTGAAATAAATATAATCGAATTCATCATAAAACATACAGGAAGAAGATGGCTATTGCATGCACAATCGAGGAAATAATGTTTTTATTGAAAATCGTTCAAGACATTGCGAATTACCGTTAATTAGAAATAAATAGTTCATGATGAAAGAAGAAGATAATTAAATTGTCATTATTTTCATATTTTATTTACAAATCCTGCATTAGAGTATCCTATATAACATTGTACTAGAACATCCTGAACTAGCACATCGAGTACTAGGCCATCCTGAATTAAACCATGTACTAACTGATCCTTATTTAGCATATCTTACATAAGCGAATCCTGTAATATGCTTTGTACTACCTGCACTTGCGCAACCAGATCTAGTGCAACCTTTATTATGCCTTGTATTAGTCCATCCTGAAAAAGCATATCCTGAACCAGCACTGACTGTAGCACACCTTGTATAAGCAAATTTTGACTGCATTAGTTAATTCTGTATCACATTAGCTATAGCGCTCTCTTATCGCGTACAAAAAAAGCACATTAAGCTAGTTAACAGCTAACCCGCCTACAAAAAACAGGGACAATAAAATTATCTTTTTTTAATAGGGACGACAGCTAAGCCGCACCCCTTGCAGCTAACCACCTAATTTTTTAGTGGTTATCAGTCGTTTATTTTTCAATATAAAAATCTTCATGGAGGGATATCTGCAAGCCGTTGTTTTTTTAATGAAATATATCAATTTTTTAATATGTTTTTGACAGCTAAGCCGCTAAAGTTGCAGATAACAACTTTTTGTTAAGCGGTTAACTGCATGCCAAATTTAAGCTGTTCTAACTCGCAGCTAACAACTTAAAAAAAAGGTTGTTATCTGCAACTTTAGCGGTTTGTCTGTCGAAATTTAACATAAAAATCTTAACATATGCATTAAAAAATAACAGTTTGCATATATCCCGCCACGAATTTGCGCTATTGAAAATTATATAAAAAGACAACCACAAAAAATTTAGGTGGTTAGCTGCACAGTTGTGCGGCTTAGCTGCTATTTTCTAGAAAAGCATCGGAGGTTTAATATTGCTAAATTCACTTATGTTTTAACCTGCGGGTTAGCTGACTATTTTTTATAAATATTCTGATAAGGGATAGAGTGTTCAATGTATTTTCAAATCCATTAGAAATCGTATTTTAATTGAGTAGCAGTAAATATACTTTAGTATCTTCAATATTCATTATTAAAAAATACAATTTTTTATAATTTGCAGCTAACCCGAATGCCAAAAAAAAAGGGTGCGTTTTTTGACATACAAGCCGCACGCACTTTTTTTTTTTCCGCAGCTAAGCAGCACTCAATGTCAGCTAAGCACTTAATTTTTGAAGGGTTGTATGTCGTAAATTTTTTATATTAAAAATACAAGACGGGTTAGCTGAAAACAACGGTTTGCAGATAAGCCGCAAACATTTTTTGAAATTTTTATAGGTTTTTTGGCAGCCAAGCCGCACAAAGTGCAGATAACCACCTTTTTTTTAAGTGGTTGTCGGCTCGTTGACAGCCAACCCGCATCACCCAGTTTCAGCTCACCAACAGTAAATTCTTTATTAATTTTTGGAGTATTGGAAATTAGCTTTGCCCTGATCCCAAATCTTAACGAACTGATAGTTTCATCTTCGTTATATAAAGAAGGTGAACAAGTTATAATGACAGAGGTTAGCGAATTTCCTCCTAAAGAATCTTGAAGTATCCATGTTAATTTGGAGTCTCTGTATGGGATATGCCCTTTTGCGCCTTTTGATAAAGAGTTTATTACAAGTCCAAGCGCTGTTAATGATTTATTGATTTTTTTGGCTTCTTCTAGTCTTGTTCCTTCTGCTCCTGTTTTAGAAACTTTTTCTGATCCTGCTAAATCAATTAAATGGAGCTTACCTGATTTTTGTGATAAATCAACTGTGTTTGTCTGGGAAACTGTTAAGGTAAAAATCGAGTGGGATCGGGAAGAACGTTCATTCATTCTTGTAAATCCTACAACTCGATTGCTGTTTCCATATTCTAGTAGCTCATAAACTTCTTCTCCAGAAGATACATATACTTCTGTTAGCCCTTCAAGATATACGCCCCTCGCTTTGTCTTCTCTTATTTTTAGCTTTCCTTTGTTTTCATTTAATAAATCTTTTACATCTTCCATATATATAGTATATAAGGACCCCCCCCCCTCATTTGTCCAATTTTCTAGTCTTTTATCATTTGTCCATTTTTCTAGTTTTTTTTATAGGAAAAAAAAATTGTTTTAGGACCTCATTTGTCCAATTTTCTAGTCAAAATTTTTGATAGAGAAAAAAAAATTTTCAGGACCTCAATTGTCTCATTTTCTAGTTTTTTTAAAGTAAAAAACTAGAATTTAGGGCATTCGAAAAAATGCAAAAAAGACTAGAAAATTGGACAAATCATTTTTGACTAGATTTTTGGACAAATGAGGCCCTGAAAAAAAAAATTTCTTATAAAAAAAGACTAGAAAATTCGACAAATGAGGGGGGGGTCCTTATATTGAATGGGATTTTTATAAAAATAATAAAAAATTAATATTTTATTAAATAATAGTGGCATAATTCACAATAAGAGACTTTTACGCTAAACTCAACTGAAGATTCTGAATTATCAATTTCAGAAAAAACTGTTGATATTGTGCGAGGAATTATTCCCACATGATCACTGCTATCTAAGCTAGGTCCCATCATTGTATAGGTTTTCCCTGATGCAGTCTGCCCATAAGCGAAAATAGTTCCATTAAATCCGTGCATTACAGAGTCTACTATTGGTTTTGCTGATAATTCATAAACTAATTCTTGAGAAGACTCTGAAGCGAAAGCGTGATCATAGTTAAAAATCTGAGTGTCTGCTCCTTGCTTTGAGGGTTGGATAATTATAGATTTGCAATCTGAAGAGATATCTATAAATTTTGTTTGAAAAATCTGTGCTTCATTAGTGCTTAGAGGTCTGAATCTGCAAAAAACTCTAACATTATTTGGATTTGTATCTCGAGAAGTTTCCATTGTTTAAGGTATTATTTCAACACCTTTTGGTAATAGTTGAAATATTCCTATTGATCTGATTATATCTAAATACCTATGCAGAACTCAATTCCAATAATCTTGCCTATTGCTATATAATTGAAAAATATGGAATTAAAATTTGTAAGCTAAGAAATTAATTTAGTCTTCCAATGAGAAATATCTTCCAGCCACTTTTTGTTCTCTATCTTTTTGTGAGTTTAATTTATTGATTCTTGGTCTGAAGTTGAGTGGGTCTCTTCTAAATGTAATTTCCAGTTCTGATAAAAATCTGTTCATCCCTCCTACAAGTCCTTCAGGGCTTTTAGCAGTACAATCGACTGAGGGTGTTCCTTCGTATACGACGACTCTGTCAGCTAAATAAGTTGCCATAATGAAATCATGCTCAACAATAAAGGCAGTTTTCTTATGATAACTAGAACTGAATTGCCAATAAAACAATAATAGCCTTTATAATTCATCCTAATACAATCTAAGACAGTATATTATTAAGAATAAATCTCTTGATAACTTTAGCAGTAATAATTCTTTGTTCTGAATCCAAATAAGCTGAAGGCTCATCAATCAAATAAATATTTGCTGGCTTTCCAAGCGCCAAAACAATAGCAACTCTTTGTAATTCTCCACCAGAAAGCTGGCTTAATTCTTGATCAATAATTGGCTCAATTTGCATTGGTCTTACAACGTCTGACTGAAACTGAGGGTTATTGTATATGTCTCTGATTTTTTTATGGAAAAGGCCTCTTACAGTTCCTTTGAAATGAGCAGTAATGACTTGTGGCTTGTAAGAAACTGCAAGCTCTGGGACCTGGGTGCCTTCATCTGGGGTCAGTTTTCCAGCCAGCATCTTAATAAAGGTAGTTTTTCCAGTACCATTTTGCCCAAGCATAACAATGATTTCTGAGTTGCTGAATTCTCCTGGCTCAATTGCCAGCCTGAACCCTTCAAAGCGTTTTACCATGTTTCCATACTCATAATGGGAAGTTCTCGATTCTGTTATAAACTCATCAGCAGCTTCAGAAAGCTTGAAATTCATAGAAGTCTCTCTAAAGCGCAAGTTTTCTGTCGGGACAAAGCCTTCTAAGAATACATTGATCCCTTCTCTGACTCCAAAAGGCAAGGTGACAACTCCATAAGCAGCTGGTTCTCCCCACAAGCAGCAAATAAAGTCACTCAAGTAGTCAAGAATAGCTAAATCGTGCTCTACACAAATTACATAGTTGTTCGAAGCTAATAAACTTCTGATTGTAGTTGCTGCTTTCATACGTTGCTTCACATCAAGATATGATGAAGGCTCATCAAACATATACACATCACTATTCTGGATCGCCACCACACAAATTGCAAATCTTTGCAGCTCACCCCCTGATAATGCTGACACTTCTTTGTCAAGCAGAGGACCCATGTCTAATTCTTGGATCAAGCTGTCTAAAATTCCTTTCTGATCCTTAGTCCTCAGGACATTTCCTACCAGTCCTTTGACAGCTTTTGGGATATAATCAACATATTGTGGCTTGATTGTGGCTTTTAAGTTTTCTTCTAAAATCCTGGTAAAGTAATTTTGCAGTTCTGAGCCTCTGAAATAGACCAAAATTTCGTTCCAGTCAGGAAGGTCGTTGTAGCGACCTAAATTAGGTTTAAGCTTGCCTGAAAGGATTTTGAGGGCTGTGGATTTTCCGGTACCATTCGACCCAACTAGTCCAAGGACTTCGCCGGCTCTTGGCATTGGCAGTCTGTGGAGCTTGAACATATTGTTGCCGTATCGATGGGTTGTTTCTTTTTCTAAGTCTCTTGGAAGATTGATGATCGTGATTGCACTGAATGGGCACCGTTTAACGCAGAGAGCACAACCAATGCAGAGTTCTTCACTGATGTTGGCAATTTTGGAGGTTTTTTCGACGTCGATGCAGAGTTTTTTCGCTTTGTTGATGGGGCAAACTTTTTTGCATTCGAGAGCACACCTGTTCGGCTTGCATTTGTCTTTGTTGACAATGGCAATACGAGTAAGGGTTTCCTCCATTTATTTACAAGAATGGGATGATATAGATCATTATGATTTAGAATTCGGATTTGAGAATTTTCTTTGCCCGGTATTGGAATACTATATTTTCATTTATTAATTAATATAGAGAATGACTACTTAGAAATCTATATTAGGATTAAATAGATGCAATATTAAATAAATTTTATTTTAAAAAGACATTTGACTATTCAGATAATAAAATTGATAAAAGATATCAATGATGTTTAGAATCATTAATTAGGAAATAAATCAATAAATAGACAGATCTTGTGAAAATTGCTATTTATAAGTAATATTTGATATTCTTTAACTAATTTTTATTATGTTTTAATATAAATGGAAAACCCACGAAAAAGACAAAAACTCGATGAATCTCAAGATGAAGGATTATCTAATCGAGACTTAACTTAATTAATTATTATCAAGTAGTAACTGGCTAGCCGTGTCGGGTTTTTTCGTGCCCCTTGCTTCGATATGCCAACTTGTTTGCTCGTCTAAATCCACAGCCTAAAGGCATGTGTTGCTCCCTCAGGGCAAGGATTTGCACTCGCAACAGGGAGGTAAAGATCCTGGTTCAGCATGCTGTCCGCTAGCAGTGTTGCCTTTACTGAAAATTCAAAAAGCGAACGATTTCTGGCCTTGCTAAACTATCACTTTCCAATTTCAAGTTAATCCTCCCTCAGGTAAAATCTTACTTTGAATGAGAGCCTGTGGTCAGTCAGCCCGACATTGAACTCCATTGACCAAATAAAACCCAGCTAGATAGCCCCCGCAGTTCTCTCTTCTGTAAGGTCCCCAGACTCATATCTGGCTACAGGTGTTAAGAGGGCAGGCTTGTTCGCCATGCCATTTTTAAGTGCGTAAACAATCGAGAAACACAAGAGGAAAAACATAAAGAGCCTATGAAAATTTCAATGGACGAAAAGGGTAGACTAATTGATGAAAAAGGTAGATTTATCGATGTTGATTATAAATCGAAATTTTCATTTGACGTGAATGCTCAAAAATACGCCCAAAAGCAAAAAAAAATTGAAAAAAGATATGCCCAGCTTCCTAAAAATACACATTCAGTAAAGCCCAGAGGATTTTTCTTTGACCAAAACTTGCCAAAACAAAAAAAGGATGAAAAGAGATTACGAGCTTTTATGTTTGGCGATAATGAAGCCCCGCTACTTCTACGAGCCAATTTAATCCCAGAAATAGAATGATGGGATCAGCCTTTGCTTGACTCCCCTAATTATGTCAAAAATATTGATTCTATATGACCTCGTAATAATAAGTGGCTTCAGATGAAAAAGAAATTCACACTCCGTGAATTCCTTTCCCTCACTCACCCAAATTTTATTTTTATGGGTTAAATTTTTGCGCGTGGATTTCTGCAAAAGAGGAGAAAATGGCGAGGAATTTTACTTCACCACTTTGTTTATCGTGTTTTATCTCATTCCCGTGCTGATATAAAAGGCAAGACCCTTAGGCTGAGCAGGCGCTGGAGGAAAATCGGATAGAGCGAGGAAACGCACCAAGCTGCATGCTTCCCATACTTCTGAATTCCCAATGGCTTAATGGGACTAGGAAAAGTGAGTTGGACTAGGAGGAGCGAGCTGGACTAGGAGGAGAGAGCTGAGCTACAGAGCCCGATATTAGTTTCCGAGTAGCAGCAAGATGGAAAAAAGCATCTTATTTACTCTGCGTAGCTAGAGACTCAATTAGAAGTTAGTAATATAAGCTATTATTGTTGAGTCTATACGACCTCAAATTGCTGAAGAGTTAAAAAACGTTCCAAAATTCGAGGCTCAAAACAAAATCCAAGAAATATTTTTAAAATCTGGCATAGAAAAAATGCCTTATATAGCTTCAGCTGTTACAGATAAAATTTTAAACCCGGATTTGCCTGCACCAGACCCAGTTAATGCGACATCTCATAATATAACAATGCATTTGACTGAAAAAGAAAGGAAAAAGCTTAAAAGATTGAAGAAAGCAGAAAGGTTAAACCAAATAAGGGAAGAAATAAAGCTAGGATTAAGAGAAGCACCACCAGACAATATAAAACTAAGCACTGTCATGAAGCTTATGTCAAAAGAAATTTCTCAAGATCCAACGAAAACTGAGCAAGATATAATGGAAAAATACAACCAAAAATTGCAAAGGCATATGGAAAGAAATGAAGAGAGAAAATTATCAAAGGAAGAAAAATTAGAAAGGACGCTAAGAAAATTAAGAAGAGACAGCGCGAGAGAAAGAAGAACTGCGCTATTTAGAATTCCTAGGGTAACCTCAAATAAAACAAAATTCAAAATATCAAAAAATGCAAGGCAGCTTGAGCTTGTAGGATTTTGCTTAGTTTTACCTGAGCCACTCCCATCTTTGATTATTGTTGAAGGAGGCAAAAGAGCAATCAAGTTCTATAAACGATTATGCTTACATAGAATAGATTGAACAATTGAGAAAGGATCATGCGACTTAGTCTGGGAAGCTGAAATCAAAGATCCAAGCTTTTTCAAATTTAAGCTTCTTGAGCTGAAAACTGAAAGTGAAGCTAGAAGGATTTTAGGAGCCAAAGGGCTAGCAAACTATTGGGATCTGGTGAAAACGTGGAAAAAACCAGAGGATTAACTAATTTATTTGAATGCTTTATCAATTAGCTCCTTTTGGTAAAAATTTAATTTTTAAATAATATCTTAAAAATATTCATAATAAATATTAATTCATTTTATAATTTCTAGGATCTGTTTAAAGCTCTTCTAATGTATTTGACATCTTTTTTAGTGTGCTTTCAAAAAGTGAGCAGCCACTAGAATACCTTCTGATGCATTCTTCTAATTCTTTCATTTTGTCTGATACTTTTACTTCACTACTCCCCAATATTTTCTGGAATTTATTCATTAAATCATTATCATCAGGGGTGTTTGGGTCTACAAAATTCAGCTGATAGTTATCTTCTTTATTTGTTTTTTTTTTATTCTATATTTATTATATTATATCACGACGACATTATTGAATTTAATATATTAGAACTCTATTTAACTTTCAGCTATGATATCAATCTGCATTAAATAGGTATATAACAAACTTTTTTATCACATAATGCATAGAAATACTCAAAAATATGCCAACCCCCAACACTGCCCACAACCCTCCGACTTCAGTCAAATTGATTGGCATTGTTTCTGTATCATAGCACGGATCTCCATTTGCTTCTAAAAAATAAAAATTCTCTAATGCTTTGCTTTCATAATTTTCTGTCAGCATCTGTAAAACACGATTCAGTTTTGCAAACATTTCAGCATCAAAATCATCTCTAAATATCATTGTATAATAGTCATTTGCAAATATATTCCCAACAATCGCTAACTCACAGTCCTGTGAAGCAAGATAAATTGCTAGTGGCTTTGGCAAGGCAACCGCATCTAGATTTCCATTTTTAAGATCACTTAACATATTTTTGCCTTCAGTTGCATCATTATTATAACTTTTCGAATCTGCTTTAAAATAATTCAGAATTGATGCGTCCTTAGTGAAACAGCCTACTTTTTCTCCTGATAAGTCTTGGTAACTTTTTATTGTGGTGTATTTTAATGATATTGACAGCCTTGTTGCTAAGTCAGCAGCATAAGCTGCTAATAAAATATAAGAAATCAGCCAATAAGACAGCTGAAAAAGCCTTCCTGGGATTGTTTTGATTTTTCGGTCACTTGCAAGGAATAAAGAAGCATAGGTTTGTCATAAAGCTTGCAAAATCCCATCAGGATATGCAAAAGAAATTGCTCCTTTATCAGATCGTTCTAAAATTCATAGCACATGTGCTACAAAAACGCCTGAAAATATCCAGCAAATTCATAGAGTATAATCAAAAGGCTCTAAAAATAGTCACAGAAGATTTCGAGTTTCTTTATTTACAATAAGAACTAACCCAGAATCAATTGTAGGGATTGATAGTGTAAATGAATCATATAAATCACTTGTTATAGAAATTCCTCCTATAGCAAAATCAGCTTCCTTGTTCTTAACTTTGTTTATCATGTCATCATATGATTCGCATTCAACAGTGTAGTCATCACTTATATTAAGGTCTTCAGCCATTAATTCTAGCAAGGCTAGAGCATATCCTGAAAAAGTTGTGGAGTTGGCTCCTATTTCACAATTTACAATTGGAGCTCATGGACTTGTAACTACTTTGTAGCAGGCAACACTAGAAAGAATTCCTAAAAAATGCAAAAACATCATTTCTAAATATTATAGCCGAGCTCTTTTTAAATATTAAATGGCTTGGTTACACCCACCTGCAATCGGATGCAGATTTTCTTTTTTACATTTACCATGTAGTCGATGTGGCCACACTGTGTGTTTATATGAAGATTCATTGGTGCTATTTGGAGGATTTGACGGAAGAAAATGATTAAATGACGTTCATCTATTCAATACGAGCAGCATGGTCTGAACTCAACCAAGGGTTTTAGGGTCAGCGCCACAACCTCGGCAATATCACACAGCTCAAATCATAGGGCACAAAATGTATATATTTGGAGGTTACAATGGCTCAGTCTGACTCCGAGATTTGATTATCCTTGATTTCCACGAAATGCAATGAAAATACCCAAAAGTTAAAGGTGACTTACCTAATGGAAAAGAAGGCCATGCAATGGCTTCTGTCGACAAATATATATATCTATTTGGAGGATGGGACGGTTCAGCTATCGGTGACTTGCATAGACTTGACACAACAACATTGGAATGGAAGCTTATAGAAACTGCTGGAAGCAAGCCTTTTCTTTGTGGCCATACTATGACCAATGTAAAAGGACAGTTATTTATATTTGGGGGATTCGACGGCAATAACTGGGTTAACACCCTATATGTGATTGATCCAAGTTCCTCAAAGCCAGAATGGGTAACTCCTGAAGTGTCAGGGTCGCCAGTTACAAGAGGCTACCATTGTGCAACTCTCGTTAATCGCTATATTTTAATATACGCTGGATACAACGGAAGCTATATCTTAGGCGATCTTGTCGCTTTAGACACTGAGTACTTCACATGAACAGTCCCCGCCTCATGTTTTGGCCATTTTCCTACAGCTAGGCACGCATTTACAATGACGTTATCAGGCTCCGAATTATACATTTTTGGAGGCTATAACGGCGCTAGAGACACCAATGAGCTCCACGTCCTAGAAACAGCCGCTTTTTCTTCTCTGCATGACGATATGTGGATTGCTTTCGAAATGAACTCCTGGCAGGACGTAAAGCTGTTCTCTACAAATGGAAACATCATGGTCCATTCAGTCATTATTAGGGCCAGGTGTCCTTATTTGTATAAATATATTTTGAGCGCATACCCTGATTTTGAAGGTCTGGTAAAGCAAAATCCGGTTTGGGTTGATATGGGGTCGATATCAGAAAAAAGTTTGACAAAGTTCTGTGAGTATTTGTATTGCGACTTGTGTGCAGATCAGATAACCCCAGATATAAGGGACGATTTGTTGCTGCTGGCGTCGAAATATGATTTAGCGAGACTGAGGAAGCTGTGTATAAAGACTATGCATTGAAATGAGCAGACTATACCAGATTCAGCATTAGCTGTTGATATGATGAAATGCAAAGAGTTTGAAGATTTAAGCGACTTAACAGTTGTTGTAGAGGGCACTCAATTCAAAGTCCACAAAGTGATCATGGCTGCAAGATGTCCTTATTTCCGAGCTATGCTCAACTCTGGCATGAAAGAGACAAGCTCCCAAGAAGTCTCGTTCCCTGACCTCTCATCTAAAGCTTTTGAGCTCATAATAGACTGAATCTACTCTGACAAATTTTCTCCACTTTTCTCAGAGCAGCCTATCTCTACTGAGCTTGGCATAAATTTACTATTCGCTGCCAATATCCTCGACTTACAAAGTTTAATGAGGATGACTGAAATTGTACTAGAGCGCTCTATTAATATAGAAAATGTCATCGAGCTCTATGAAGTCGCATTTGCCTTAAGCGCCGTCAAGCTAAAATGCTACTGTGTAAACTTAATCCTCAGAGAATTCGACAGAGTGTCCTTAAAAAGAGAATTTGCGACTATGAATGAAGCTGCGTTCAACGAAGTCAGCCAATTTTTGCCAAGAAGAATTAAGCGGCAAACAAGCTACGCAGTAGCTTCAGATTTAAGCATGATAAGGTGGGAAAAAGAAGAAGAAAAATTCGAGGAAGAAGAAAAAGAAGAGCCAGTCATGGTCTCTGGGCATCTTTTCCAAAATTTAAGAATCCCTGTCAAAGAATTCGTAGTCCGCCCTCAAAATCCTTCATCCCCTGCCAACGAGCTGCCCTCAACTAACGTTTATAACGCAATTATCCCTTCTGACAATTTCAGAGTGCCATTCAGAGGTCGGATAATCAAAGAGCCTGAACATTTTTCTTTAAATATCATGGGCACTCGTGCAGGGGGGTTACAAAGCTCAGAAAAACTCAGCCCAAAATTCACGCAAAAATCATTGTCCCCACAAAGTGTTAGAAAAAGCGCAAAATCCAGCTCCACAAAGCACAGCACAATGCACAGATTTGCGAATGAAAGCTCAGTAATAAAGCCTGAACTAATGATTAAAGGGTTTTCTACGAATAAAAACTCATTTATCAGGAGGCCAGCATCGTTTGTTGAGGACTCTAATGAAGGAAAAGAAAAGATTCCGAACGTCGGACTGCAGATCTGTAGCAGCACTAGGACACTTGGGTCAACTGATGAGACTAAATATTGTTATTAAGTATTGTTATTAATTATTTAATGGAATTAAGGATGAAGCGGGAGAGATCGCCGTCACATAATAATAAAGAAACCCTTAAAGCTGCAAAAAATCCAAAACTTATAATTCAGCCACGGGCGCCGGCAGTTGAGCAGACTACAAATATTCTTAGAAGAGATCTCTGATCAGAAGTCATCAAGTTTCTTGACTTTCATACGTATTTTACTATAATTCCGCTTGTTAATACTTTTTTTTATCAATTAAGTAAAGACAGTGTTGTTACACTTGAGCATTTGGAAATTGAAATTGAGCTGAGAAAAGCAAGGGTGAAGAAAAAGCATGACTGCAAAAAGGAAAACAAATATTTAAAACCTTATGTCAATTTATTGCAAAAAGCTAGAAACCTGGACAAGCTGAGGCTTTATATAAGAAATTCTGATTATCGGCCATCGATTAGATGTGCGAACCAATATAACAGTATTTTATCAGGAATTTTCCCCAAAATGCCTTGAACGCAAAATCTGAAAGTTCTAGATTTTTCTATGAAAAATTACAATAATGTTTTATTTAAAGAAGTCCTTAATTATTTATCATCTCTAGAAGTGCTCAAATTGACCTTTTCTGCCCCTTTTCCTACAGCATTGTCATATATTTTTTGCCGATTTGTGGATCCAGAAGGCTTAAAGCTTAAAGCGCAAGCCAGCAATATCATTTTTTGGAACCGTTACAATGAAAAAATATGTCATCCTAATAGTGTCCCTTTTACTCCTCTAAAAGAGCTGACTTTAAAATATTATTTTTCTTATAGTGCCAGCATAGCGGAAAACAATATTTTTGAAGCTTTAGACAAAAATCTATCATTGACAAAATTTACCTTGATTTTTCCATCAACAGTAAATATTGATAATTCTTTGCAGCCCAAGTTTGCTTATAACCAGACAATGCGGAAATTAAGGCTTTCTAATGCTTTTCAGTTTTCATATGAGTCAGCCAAAGATTTTTCATTTTATTTATTAGGGAATAAAGCACTAAAATCGCTATCTATAAGCAAATCAGTCCTCAAAGCAAAAGATGAATTTTTCACAGCTGTAAGGAACAATAAAATATTAAAAAAGCTAGGGCTTGAGCCATATGAAGAAACGTCAGACTCAAGCTTAGATATAAACACTTTTGTAGAACTGATGGACGCAGTTGGAGATTCCACTTTGACTTCATTTAAAGCGTCGACCTCTGCGTTCATTCGAAGAAACCTAAATTTTGTATTCCACTTTTCGGTAGAGACTGTGCCTGACCATGTACTGTATAAGCACTCAAAATATTTTATAGAAGGCGTCCAAAGAATGCTAACTAATAATTTGGGACTGAGAAAAGTGTGACTTAGTGTAGACGCAATGCCAAGAGAAAGGCTTGATGAGTTTGCAGATGTAGTTTTAAGAATTTTAAGCTCAGAGCAAAGCAAGTTGGAATATTTCAACGGATTTCCGTTGAAAGGGCTGATGAATGATACTATAAATACCTTGCACATAAATCATAGATATAGATTTTTGCAAAGCACCAATAAAGAACTAATTTATGATGGAGATAGTATGATCCTCACAATAATGCTCTGCAAAATAATACCTTTTTGCCGTAATTTAAGATATATAGATACAGGAACAAAACTCCAGAGAAAAGATAATATTTTTAATCAGATAAATCCTGGGATTATAGATATCGAACAGATAAAACAGACAGCAAATGAAGAGCATGAGTTTGGGTTTGAAATTTATTATAAAGATGTCCCCGCTATTATTGGGCTAATTTTACTCCTGACACTAAAAGGGAATAATATGATTAAGAATCTGAATTTGAGCCACACTGACTGCAGCTGCTTATATTTAGTTATTGGAGAAATTTTAAGTGATATGCCAAACCTTGTAACGGTCATTATTGAAGGGATGGCTCATATGATTCATCCGATTTCACATAAGCTTATGATTGATATTCTCAGCAATTCTCCATCCCTACATGAGCTCGTAATTAATGGGATTACTTTTAATTTACAAGAAAATGACCAAATTTTTACATCACTAATAAAGCATCCTTCGCTGATGAAGCTCGAGATTTCAAGGCTTAATGTTTCTTCGACAGTCTCGGCGTTTTCTAATGAAGCTTCTATAGGAGATTTATTAAAAAAAACTAATTTGCAGATACTATACTCATATATTTGTAATAAACATGGGGTTTTACCTTGCAAAAGCTCTTTTATATATAAAATTAGTTGAGATTAGGAAGACTACAATGAATTCAGACAAAAATAGCATAAACCTTTCCTCAAGCAGTTTTACTCCATTAAGTCTTGAACTACTGGCAAATGGCTTAAAATCTAATATGGCATTAAAAGAATTGATATTGGCTGATATTAATTTAGCTATCCCAAATGAAGGACTTGCAAGCCAAACTAATGGCGGCGATTTCAACTTTTGGAGAAATAAAATTGACTGTTTATTAGCCCTATCTGATGCATTGAAAAATAACCCATACATTGAAATTGTGGATATTAGATTTAATGATATACCAAGCTCACAACTCTCAGTACCAAATGAAATAAATCAGCTTTTCCTTGACAACTTAAAACGACTTTTAGACACAAATTCAAGGCTGAGGGTTTTGAATTTTATTTTCCCAATTCCTCCGAATTTCTTAATGAAATACAGTGAATTACTATTAAATTATCTTCAGTCAAGCCCAAACTTGGAAGTTCTTAATAATTATAACATCAAATCAATGGTGTCGAATGAATTTACTGTCTTAACAATTAAGCACTATCATTCAAACCGAGATGATTTCGACTCATTCATGGCTCCCAAGCTATCTAGAGTAAGAGAAGCTATATATTGCCACTATGCTCATTTCGGGACAATAGCTACCATTATGCCAATCATTCTCTCACAAATATATAAAGAAAATTCCAATAAAATAACCAGAGTTAAGTTTCTGTCAAAAGAAGTGCAAACTAATGTACTTTTGAATAAGAAAAAAGGAGAATCAAATTTGGACCTGGGATTTTTATTAAAAGAAACGCAGCCACCAGATGTTACGTTTATATTGAACTGCTTGTCAACACACAAGTTTACGCAGCATCTTGATTTCACAGGCTGTGTGCTGTGCGATATTGATTTTGAAGTCCTTGGAAAAAATCTTCCATGCATGGAGTCTCTTAGGTCTATATCAATCCGTGATATAAAACCAGCCCGGAATCCATACCTCAGCCATATTTTATCAAACACCAGCTTAACCTCTCTTGAAATTTCTAAAGTGAATTTTGAAAATTTTGATATAAAAGACCTGCCTATGAATTTAAGTTCTCATCCGTCCTTAGAAGTCTTAAAAGTGACCAATTGTGATTTACTCACTAAAAGCGCTATGATTAAAAAATGTGAAGACTCTAGCTTTAAAGCTGTCCTTTCTGGCTTTAAAAATAGCAAAATCATCCATCTAGATTTAAGTGGGAATGAAATTAGTGATAATGAATTAAAAAAAATCCTAAAAGCCGTAAAAATGCATCAGTTTATCAGCAGGCTTGTAATCCAGCAGCACGAAATAAGAGGAAAAGATGGAATTGTTGAGCTGGCCTCGATGCTATGTGATCCTGCACATCCTTTAAAAGAACTATCACTTTCTTCATACACATGGTCTGTATCTGATATCCAAAACGCTAAAGGGAAGCTTGATTTATCATATAAGCTTCTTTCTGCTACAGACTTAATCATTCTTTCTACAATGTTAATCTGCTTGCAGCTTAAAAAAGTCCACGGGCTGGATTTATCCCACAACCCTTCATTATTTTCTGAGCCACATGGAGTTTCAGCACTACTAGATCTTATCAAGCATTCTCCAATAAGCTCAATAAGCCTCCAAGAGTGCTGTTTAAATGAGCAAGAAGATAGAATTCTTCATGAAATCTTTGTAGCAGCCTGCAGCTCTTTAGAAACCTTATCCCTTGGCTCTCCTTTTACTGAGCAGCAATTAAACTCAATTTTATCAGCCCTGAAATCTAGTCCAAAACGCCTCAAAAAAGTCAATTTTTCGCCTTGCCGTGATTCTAAATTTAAAGCTCTTTTAACAGAATATATAGAGCAGTCTGGCTCAAATTGGATTTTGAAAGGCTATAATTTATGACTAAAATAAAATTTTAAATGTAGTTATGAAAACTCTTCTTTTATGTCACCTTTAAAGGTGTCTGCTTTTATTATGACTTTTAGTATATCTTCAAGAGTAATGATTCCGAGGATTTTGGATTCTCCGAATTTTGAGGTGGCTTCTGAGACAAATGCCATGTGAGTTCTGCCTTGTTGAAAGATATCTAAAACTTCAAGAACTGTATTTGCTCTCCTAACAAATATTGGGTCTCTCAGCTTGATCCCTGAATTTTCGATAGTTGTGTTTTCATCAATCCCCACAAGTCTTTTTACAAGCAAAATCCCAATGATATTATTTCTATCCTCCCCTCTATATACAGGCACTCTACTGAATCCTCTTGACATTATGGTCTTCAGCATTTGTTTAGTTAGTAATGTATCTGACTCCGCCCCCCCTCCGTGAGTGAACAAAACCATTAGAAAAATCGCTATTTTTTGCCCAAAAACCCACCCTCCGTGAGTGAACAAAAATTTTTTTAATAGAAAAAATTTTTATGGAAAAAAAATTTTGATATATAAATGATAATTAGTATAATGAAATCTAGAGCTAATTCTGTTTAATTTTCAAACAAATTGTTTTTTTAAAACATAAATTTTATAAATTAAATTAATATTTGCTTTCCAATTTTTGCGAATTAGATTTTTTTAAATTTCGAAAAACAATATTTTTTATAAAATTTATATATAAATTTTTGTTAAAAAAAAAAAATTAACCCCCCTCCGTGAGTGAACAAAATTTTTTTGTTCACTCACGGAGGGGGGGGGAGTGAGCTTAAACAATACACATTTTCCATTGGTATTATATGATTTTCAAGTGTTTCCTGCTGTATATCCATTGCACTCAATATAATTTGAACTTGCTCAGGGTCAAATGTATCATCTTCTGTTATATTTGTAGATGATCTTGACCCTTTAAAAGTGACTAAAGCTTTTATATCAGATTTCTTCATTTGTTTATGATTATCAGTTCCTATGACTCTGTCAAGGAATTTTCCCAAAACCCAGCTGATGGGGTAAAAAATTAACATCACGATTTTCACAAGTGGAACTAAGTTACTAGCTATAGAAAGCTGATCAGGTCCTGTGCAAAATGCTTGAGGTAAAACTTCACCAAAAATAAGCACAAAGGTTACACTTATTAAAACAGCCAAGACGCTACCAACCATCTCGTCTAGAACTATAGGCAGAGCTTCCATAGCCACTGAGTTCGCTATTAGTAATGTGACGAGGAGGAAATGGTGCTTGGATATAATTGGAAGAACTTTACGAGCCTGATGCATTTCTTTAGAAGTGCCACTGACAAGCTTAAGTTCGAGATCTAAAGGGTCAATTGACATGAGGCCAACTGTGAGGCCAGACATTGCGCCTGCAAAAAATACCAAAAAGAGAGCGGCTAGTGAGTAAAAGATATAGTCTTCTCAAGGCAAAGAGTGGACGAACTCTGTGTTTGCGGACACTAAGCAAGGTAAAACTGTTAGGAATAGTTTTAATTGCATTATTTTTATTTTTCCTCCAGATTTTTAATGAAGGATTCAAATAATAGCAAATGGAATTTTAATTATATTCTTAAGATAAATATTGATATAATTTTTGTGTATTAATTATAAATCATATAAAACGAAGGTAAATAAAGGAATCATTCTTAAAAATATGATTAATGTTAGAACATTTCTGCAATTAAATAAGCAACTAGTGAATTGTTGTAAGAAAGTTAATTTCGTTTCAAGAAAAAATCTGATAAATAATTATTCATAAAATTCCTAAAAATTTTTATAATTTTAATGATTTGAATACACCTATAGCAATGCTACTATTAGCTTTTTATGTTAACTTTGAAATAATTAGTCTTTGAAATTACTACAAATAGTCACCAAATCCATTTTCCCTTATTTATACGCACATCTTAAAATCACATCGGTAAATTTAATAATCTCTTTATTAAATTCCTCCAAAATAACCACCAAAATTCTTTTAATTATTTCTGACAAATTTAAATCCTCCAAAAGGAACCATATAAATTAACTTCCATTCTTATTTTCTCTATCTCCCTATCTCTAGAAGATTTAAAAATCTTCTTAAAAAGAGTCAGCTTTCAGTTTAAACTTTATAATAAATGAACATTTTAGTGGAAGAAATAGATAAGCCTTGCGAAACTATAAACACAAAGACATCAGAATTTTCGCCTACTGACAAACCTCAAATCCGACTCTACCAAATATGACCAGGAAAGAACAGATTTTTCTTCAATGGATTCATAATGATAGGGCCTTCCTCAGACACGTATATTTGTACTTTTACCTGGACCTTTGTGATCCTTCTAGAACTTTCATTCCAATTATTCATTTCTCCTTATTTATGACTCGAGGTAACTCCTGCTCTTCCTATCCTTTCTGGACATCTGTTTGTGTGTTCCATCATCTTTATGCTTCTTACAGCACTCACAGACCCTGGAATCATCCCTAGAAAGCACATTTTTGAGCTGACTGGGACAATCCCTGAAATATTCAGTACCGAAGGTCCTGAAAAGCGAAGGTTTTGCAAAACCTGCCAAATTTATAGACCGGAGAGATGCAGTCATTGTAAGGTATGTGATAATTGTATCGAAGTTTTTGATCATCACTGCCCTTTTGTCAGTGCCTGCATAGGGAAAAATAACTATCGATATTTTATTTGTATGGTTGTTTTCCTTACTTTGCTGGGCGGTGTTGACATTTCAGGATTAATCCTTTTTTTCTGTAGAGATTTTCAAAATTCTCATAACGGAAGAGACTGTAATATTTTATTTAGTAATTGAAGATGAATCAATATTGCTATCGCTAGCTCTTGTTATAACGGTACCGATTATATTACTTACTCTACTTGTAATGCTATTATGCATTTTCCATGTAAGGATCTGTATGAGCGGAGAAACAACTAAAGAAAATTTATTAAAGCGGGAGAGAGGGGAAAGTGATAATAGAAGCGTAATTTGTGCCACACCTAATGCGTGGTTTAATGGAAGAATGATAATTGATGCAGACAAAACCGGAGCTTGTAAGACTGAAAGCCTTGTTTAAGTTTAAATGAGCTTGTGAAAATACAAAATAATTTTAATTATATATAGAGTTTTTAGATAGAGTTTATTATAATTTATTCATATAGTTAAAATTAAGTCTATAATAGCCATTTTTATAAAATAATGCCAAATATAAGATATCTTTGATTTCTCCTTTAATATTGTTCGGCAATTTCTCAATTTCCATTTCTTTTGAGCTCATTTCACACCGCATATTAAAATTATAAAATGGCACAAAAAGAGCCTTGTCCAGATCGATTCTTTGACGATTTAGGTGGAGCTTTTGCAATGGGTGGGGTCGGCGGGGCTTTATTTTACTTTCTGAAAGGCTTCGTAAACTCTCCTTCAAGAGAGCGCTTCAAAGGTGCAATTACAGCAGTAAAACTTAGAGCGCCTGTATTAGGAGGTAGCTTTGCTGCATGGGGCGGAATATTTTCAACATGTGACTGCTTTTTGCTTTGGTACCGCCAACAAGATTCTCCATTTAATGCCATTGTATCAGGACTTGTCACAGGTGGGGCTTTGGCACTTCGTTCAGGATTCCAGATAGCATGGAGAAATGCAGTTGCTGGAGGCTTAATCTTATTCCCTTCTCACTCATAAAGAGCTTTTTTTCTATTTTTTTTTAAAAAATTCATTGTTTTTAACAATTTTTATATAGTTTTTTACTCATTTATTTAAGTAGTTAGCAATTATTGAAGGAGTAAACACTGGTTACACTTCATTAATGATTAGACAACAAATGCTCATGATTAACGAAATGACCAAATTGCAAGAAGAAAAAAGAAAAAGAATAATGCAAGGCCTACCTGATTTTACACCTGAAGAAATAAATGAAAGATACGAGGCTAGCCAAAAGAAAGCATCATTTTTCGGGAGGGCTCTCAAATAAAGTGTTTTATAATTAACTTATTGTTTACAATCAAAGACTTCAATATCAATTGCTTTGCGTTTTTCTTTCCCATTTTCGATGTATTTTTTGATGTGAAATCTGAATGAGAGCGGCTGCTTGTTGATAATACTTTCTTTGAATTTCTTATGATTGATTCCAGATAGTAGTAAATCATCTTCACATAAAAATATGTCTGCTTGATCTGTATCAAGAGTAATAAACCCAAATCTCTTTTTTAATTGATAAAATTTTAATTTTCCTGTGAATTTTCCTTGTGTCACTTCCTCTTCATTAAATTGTCCTCTTTTTTCTCTCTTTACTAATCCAACCTTTTGAGGAGGACTTTTCAGAATTATAGGAGCTTGCTCAATTTCTATGCTTTTCACTGGTGTTTTCTCAGTCTTTTTAATTATAGATACAGGAGTAGGTGTGAAATCAGAGTCGCTCGAAAGGTCAGCCCAGCTGAATTTCTTTTTTTCCTCTTCAGGTTTTGCGATTTTTTTTATATTATAAGTAGCTGTCATATTATTCACTTTGGTCGTATAGAATTTTCAATTGAATTTTATTATTTTTATAATATGATATAAAAATTTAATATTAATCCTTCGCGATATATTTTTTACTTCCTGAATCTTATCCTTGCTCATAAGCTTGACTACGTTTTCAAAGCCTGGGGGTGGAGGAGTCAGCTGCAAAGGCATTGGATCTATAAGCTTCTGTGATTTTAGCTTTTTCATCTCCTCATGAAACTTGACGGGGTCACTCGGCACTCCAGAGCAGCTCTTAGAAATCCACTGATCCAAGCGTTTACGATTGATTTCCCAGCTGAGTAGGCTTTCAGGCTCTTCCTCTGACTCTTCATCAATTTGATCAATATCGCCTAGAATTTTTAATTCAGGGATAGGAATAGCTGAATTGAAAAAAACATTTTTAGGCTGTTTTTGAGAGCTGTGGTCAATTGGGATATTCTCCACTACAAACAGAGATGGAGATGCTCCAGGAGAAATCTTGGCATTTGTGAAATCGAAAATTGGCCTTTCATGGGTGCTGAATTTCTTTGGGGCAGAGAAGCTGTGCTGTGGGTCGATTCTTGTCATAGAGCTCATGATTTGACAGATATTAAAAATATTAATAAATCGGAAAAGGTATGGCAAATTTATGCTAGAGAAATTAAAGTATTAGAGAAGTAAACATTTGAGTTTGCATGGCATTCTGAGTGGGAAATGATAAAATATAGCATGATGGGCTAAATTGGTGTCATTAAGTAAGCCACTAATATAAAATAGGATTATGGTAAAATCAGAAGAGAAAAGATATCTGGAATTTTTAATAATAAAATGATTCATTACTCCTGCATGAAGCAAAATGGAAAATTTTGTTTCTAGAATATTTGCTATTTAGTTTAGATTTTTATTTAATTACATTGAGCTCAATTATTATTTTCACATTTCATCATAAACCTTCTGTTCCACTTCAAAAAAATTTTAATAAAATATGCGGGCATTTGCAGTATCCCTTTTCTTTCTTTCTGCGTCAAGCTATTTTATCCCTGAAACCATTACAGAAGAAGAGAAAACTGAAGTTTATAACCAACTCAGCCAAAATCTTATAGGTGTAAAGATTCACTACTTTCCTGAAGAAAAGCGCTATGGAATGGTGGCAACAAAAGACATCAAAAGATCTGATGCAATTGCAGGAATTCCTTTAGATTTCAGCCTCACCTCATTTGATCAATATCCTTGGTCTAGCTATCTATCTTCTCTTGGCGACCCTACAGTTCTAATAGGCCGACTTATTTATGAAAAATTTGTAAACCCTACTAAAAGCTGGTCAAATATTTATTATCATACCTATCCATCTGAAGTAGAAAATATTTATAATTGGACTACATCAGAGTATGATTATTTCATAAATATTTTCAAAGAAAAAACGTTGATTGAATTTCCATTGAATTTTGAAAAAGGATATCAAAATTTCATTGCAGTTTTAGAAAAAATTAGATCACTTAAAGAAGACTGCAAAGATTGCTTTAAACGTGAAGTTTGGACGTGGGCGTATTCAATAATGATTTCTCAAAGCTTAGAAATAACAAAAAAACTATGAAAGGACACAAAGGGATACCCTTATAAATCTGGAGATGAAAATATAAAAGGATTATGCATTCTACCATTAGCAGATATAGTAAAGCATGAGCCGCTGCCAAACAAATATAAAAATCAGATAGGAGGGCAGGCTGGGATCGGGTTTCAAAGTAACCCGCCAGCTGGAATTTTGTTTGCAGATCGAGATATTAAATATAAAACTGAAGTAACTTGGAATAGAGCCCCTAAACGAAACTTCGAAATGCTTTTAGGCCACGGAATTGTTCACGATCGAAATAATAACGATTTTGTAGTTGCGCAAATCGCAAGAATAAATGAATGTCCTCCAAGATCACAAGGGTATGGCACTACATGTGGATTTAGAGCTATTATAAACCAATTTAACTATGATTTATTTAATTATGCATTCACAGTTATTGGTGAAGCTCCATCCCAATTTATCAGTAGCATCGATGAATATTTTAACGGTTTGGAAAATAAAAGAGATAAAAAAGCATTTTATGCGGCCCTTATGAAATATAGAGACTCAGTGGCAAGGACAATAGATGAATGCGTTATTTCATATAGAACTATTAAGAGGAAGCTAGAAAAAAAAGAACATGAAAATGAGAGGTATAAAAAGATCGACAAAATGTGCCTTGGCCATCATGAAACAATTTTTAGTCACAAGAAGCTGACTGAAAAAGCTGCACTTAAATCCTTATTATTTGAGTTAAGCCTATAGCTAATCTTTTATGAAAACCGCTTACTCCGCCCCCTCCGTGAGTGAACAAAACCATTAGAAAAATCGCTATTTTTTGCCCAAAAACCCACCCTCCCGTGAGTGAACAAAAATTTTTTTAATACAAAAAATTTTTTATGGAAAAAAAAATTTGATATATAAATGATAATTATTATAATGAAATCTAGAGCTAATTCTGTTTAATTTTAAACGAATTGCTTTTTTAAAAACATAAATTTTTTATAAATTAAATTAATATTTGCTTTCCAATTTTTGCGAATTAGGATTTTTTTTAAATTTCGAAAAAAAAATATTTTTTATAAAATTTATATATAAATTTTTGTTAAAAAAAAAAAAATTAACCCTCCTCCGTGAGTGAACAAAATTTTTTTGTTCACTCACGGAGGGGGGGGGAGTTAGATAAAACTGAAAATTTAATTTCTTCTTATCAAAATTTAAAAAAATTCATTTTTCTTAATTATTCAACCCCACCAGGAGTAAAAAATAATTTTCTCCTGTTTTAAAATTACTTATCATTGCTATGAAATATCTTATTACTTTGAATATTTATTAAATAAAATTTTCAGGTTAAATAGATCCATTATAATTATATATGTCACATCTCCCAACAGTACAGACCATTGAAGATTCAAAAGAAGACCAAAATTTAAAAGCAACTGTAAAAGAATCCGCAACAACCTACGAGCTCATGATAAATCAAATTTATAGCCTAGAGGAGAGCTTACTCTTCACAGATGATCGTAAAGAGATCTGTGATGCTTTGAACAAGCACCTCATAGATCTGTACATAAATCAAGGTTTGCAGTATTCCTTGATCCCATTTGACTCTATAAGCGTCAAAAAACTTTACTCAGGGATTTTTGTATTTGACCTTCCTCCTATTGCAATTCCTATAAAAGATAAATTAAAATCTTACCAAGCTTTTGTTAGCAAATCAATAAGTATCAATTTAATAAAGCTTGTAAGAAACGCAAGAAAGCCTCTTCCTCAGCATTTAAAAATAAGACAAGACATTCAATTTGTAGAGACAAATATTTCATTCAGAGCAAGGCAAAGTGATAGATATCAAACAATGCCAGTCGCCACTATGATGGATGATTCAATGGTTTTCATGAAGCCCCTAACAACTAAATATAAAGTTGAAGGGGTTCCTTTTGAAGGGTTTATTTATTGCCATTTGCAGCATCCAAATATCATCAGATGTTATGGGTATACTAAGCATAATGATCGCACATGCTTAGTTTTGCAGCACGTTTCAACCCTTCTTGAAACTTATGTAAGAGATAATAATTTGAGCCTCCAAAGACGCTTGAACCTTATCATTGAAATTGGGCATGGCTTGTCCTTTATGCATATGAAAAGTGTGGTGCTTATGAATGTCTCGCCATGGAGCATTTTTGTTGACTCAAACTACAGGCCGATTATTGTGGATCTCGAAAATGCTGTTTGTTTAGGGATGAAGTATCCTGAGCTGTTATGCTATAAAGAAGAAGATTATGCTTCCCCAGAAGCATTAGATGGAAAAAGAGATTATAGCTGCGATGTCTACTCCTATGGACTGCTATGCTATTTTATCCTCACAAAACAGCATTATGCGAAAACTAAGGATTTAGACTGCTTGGAGGAAAATTTCAGGATTGTAATTGAAATGATGCTAAGTGAAGACCCATCTGAAAGACCTCATGCTAAGACATGCTACCAAGAGTTTGAATGCATTTATAAAGAGCTTACGCAGTAATTAAGCATAAGTAATTTTCATCTATGAATATTGAGTTTTTTTAAAATAAAAGAATTTATTATTTTAATAATATGCTGTGATAGATCGAATTAAAGCCAGCTATTTTTAAAGCCATTACATATGTAAATATAAATTATCATTGAGGCTCTATAATAATCAATCTACTATGACATAACAAATCTATCACGAATCAATTTTAAAGTTTTATGTATTTAAAATTATTTTATTTTTAAATTATATTTTCTTTGCTTTAATATTTTGATTCAAGAGGATTTTTGATAAATCCTGAATTTGTTGCTAATATATATTCCAAAGAAATGGAAACATTAATTTGGCTATGGAGCTTTGATAGAAGATGGATGTTTGGGATTCCCTGCACAAGAATTTACTGGTGGCTTATAGTACTTTTTCAGCTATGCTTCCTTGCCCTTAGTTTTAACATGAGCTCAACTGGCTGTGAAGTTACGATCTGGATAAGAGGTCGATATCTAATATCCTTACTCACCCTTTTAAAATATAAATTTACTTTTTTAAATTTTTAAATCTGAAAATTTATTTTAACAATGAGGAGTTAGCAATAATTATTTCTGCAACTTTAACAGCCACAATTGTGAAAACAGATAAAGTGACTCAAGAAAGCAGCCTTTCTATGTCATTTCCAGGACTACTGACCCTTTTATTTGGGATTTTAAGTTTAGGATGGGCAGGATTTATCTATATGTACCCTCCCTCGAACTGTGAAGAAGACTTTACATACTTTATGAACTTAGAAACCTTGCTTTATTTCTTAACTCTCCTCCCTATCCTTATAACTATAACTGGAATGGTTCTCATAAAGCTTATCGTTATAATTTTGGCATTGGCTTTTCCATCACTTTTCTTTGAAGCACGTATAAAATCACGATAAATTAATCCTTTTCCCTATAATTTTCCACTCTTTCCTCTATTTTTTTTCTTTTACACATTTATTTTTATAAAGATATAAAACATTATTACCATAAAACTAATTCCAATAAGAACTTTTCTTACTTATTGTCCAGCATATGAGACTGGCGAGTCTTGCCAACGTCATGCATGTTTTGAGCGTCCTGCCTCCAAGACCTGAGTGGGAATTCGAATATATCATAATCTAAAATGAACGCACAAAAAATAAGCCAAGCAATAAAGCGGTAAACAGAGCGCTTTGCATGGTAGTAGCCTAAATCATCATCAAGTCTCTCCATTTCAGCGACTCTTGGATAAGCGTATTTTGAGAAAGGAGGAGCAATTTCAATATAATATTGACGGAGGTTGAACATCTTGTTTAAGTTACTCCAGTTCTTTGCGAATTCAAAGTTAGTCCACTCGGCTGGATTGAGATGGGCAGTCTTGTGCCAGGTGCGTGAGCCCTTAAAGAGTCTAAACATTTATTATGGCCAATAAAATTAAGGAATCTTTAATCCAATTAAACATATAAATTTATAAAGAAAGTAAAGAATTTTCTTGATGCTTTAAATAAAAAATAATTATCTATCCTAAAAACAATGTTAAATATTTTTCCAAAGAGAAAGTATTTAAGCTCAGAAAATGATGAAACTCAAATGGGCTCTGCATATGTTTTAAAAAGACTGAAGACTAGGGAGCACTTTAATGTTAACCAGTATTTTCATTCTTCAACTCCTCAAAGTTTCCTTTCGCCTGATAAAAGCAGAAAATTATCGACTACTCTAGAAAGCCAACCAAAAACGGCCTGAGGGTCGTCAAGGCTACTAAAAACTATCCCTGCAGCTAAAGTCCACAGCCCAGTCAAACTGAACTGAGCCTTTGATACATGAGACTTTGTCGATGGAAGTCAACCGCCAAGGGAAAAAGGTAAAAGAAGGAACAAAGTCATTGTGCAGCATTTAAGAGATATGCAAACTTTTCTACCTCCACCAATAATTAAAAAAAAATCAGACATCGATTTACAGCTAGATAAAATGTTATCGACATTAGATAATAAAAGGAAAAAAACGTCATATTTGTTAAAGACAGGAAAGCAAGTGAATAGCTATTACAAGCACCACAGGATCTTTTAGTATATATTAATTGGAATTTTCATTTGATTAATTAATTACTTAAGAAGATCTGACAGAAATTTCAAGTCCATTAGTCAGACAAGATCTTAAGAAGTTTATATCTAATCTTCTCAGCTGGGTTTCAAAGCCTTGGTTAGGCCATGCAACTGGTCGTCCTCGTCGTACTCTTGCTAAAGCTTCATCAAAGCTTTCGTTGTATTTAGCCATGAAATAGGCGACCATAATAGAAGAGCTTCTAGAAATCCCAGCTGCACAGTGTACAAGGACTCTTTTTCCTCTTGTCATTTCTTGATGGATGAACTTTATAGCTCCTGGGATATGTATAGGGTGAGTTTCTTTTTGGCTTGTCTTTAGCCTGTCATATCCAAATCATTTAGGATTGGCTAAGGCTGTATCTTAATATGAAAAATCCAGCTATTATATATGTTGGCTATTTTATAAGTTCAGCCAAAAATAGGCTTGCAATATACAGTAATATTTTCCATTGGAAGATCATCGATTCTAATTGTGTAATAATTTATATCTGGATGCTTATTTCCAATAGTTGCATCAGAAATAACTGATACGATGCTGTTAATTCCTTTAGACATCACAAGGTCTCTATTGTTTGCAGCGATTATTCCGCTGAGGAATAGCCCAGGTTCAATTTCATTCATAGCCAAAAGAAACGATGTCATTTTATGTTTATAATTCAAATAAAAATTATACTATTTTTTGTTGATTTTTCTATATATCTGTTATCCCTATGCAGATTCAATTAAATATTGCATAGCTATTTATTAATATTAAATCAAAAAATTGACTATAATTTCAATATGAAAAATACACACTTTCCATGGATAATTCTTATAAATGGAGGCTGGTCTTGCTATCTGCTGTCTCTGTGGCTCCAATATGCCCCACAACCCTTCAGGAATGTGCTTAAACTGTTTGAAATCTAGAGTCGATATCACTCAAGAAATCCAAAAAGAATGCACGGTCCATTTCTGCCGAAATTGTGGTCGCTATCTCAGACCACCATGGATGCATATTGAGCTGGAAAGCCAAGATATGTTGCAGCTTTGCCTTAAAAAAATCAAAGGCCTCAACAAAGTCAAATTAATTGATGCAAATTTCCTTTACACAGAACCACACTCCAGGAGATTAAGGCTAAAATTAGCAGTTCAAAAAGAAGTCCATAGAGACACAACCTTAGAGCAGACCTTCCTAGTGGAATTTATCGTCCAAAATTTGCAATGTGACGACTGCCAAAGAAGCTTTACTCCTCACACTTGGATTGCCAAAGTTCAGGCCAGACAAAGAGTTACCCATCAGAGGACTTTTTATTATTTAGAACAATTACTATTAAAGCATGGGCTAAATAATAAAGTCACAGCTGTGAAGCAGATTGATAAAGGCTTGGATTTTGAGTTTTTCAATAAAAGCCATGCAGGAAGGTTTATTGATTTTTTGCATAGCTATATCCCTATACAAGTAAAACAAAGCAAGTTTTTGGTGTCACATGATGCCAGCAATAACACATATAAATATAAATATACATATTTGGCTGAAATTGCCCAAATTTGTAAGGATGATTTACTAGTGCTGCCGAAGGAGCACAACGCAGGAGGGGTTGGGCCGCTGGTGCTTTGTTATAAAGTGACGAATATCATTCATGTGATTAATCCTTATACAATGAGAAGGATGGATATTCCTAATGAAAAGTTTTGGAAGCATCCGTTCACAGCTTTTGCGTCAAGCAGCCAGTTGTCAGAGTTTATAGTTCTTGATATAGAAGAAGAAAGAAATTATGGTAAAAATACAGAATCAATGGAAGTTGAGACGACTTCAAACAGCAATATTTCTTTCAATAAATATATAAATAGAAAATTCAAACAAATTGAAGTCGAAGTTGCAAGAGCTGACCGTGTAGGTGTTCCAGGGAACTCTTTTCATGTTAAAACACATTTAGGACACATTTTAAGGGTCGGAGATAGCGTACTAGGATATGATTTGCAAGCAATGGTCTCTAATTCTGCAGAACAAGACTCGCTACCTAGAGATTTCCCTGATGTGCTTCTAGTAAAGAAAATTTATCCAGACTTGAACAAGCCAAACAGAAAAAGACTTTTCAAGCTGAATAGAATGAATATAGAAGCAGAAAAAGAGCCAAACCACGAGGAATATGAAGAATTCCTTAATGAAGTTGAAGCTGATCCTGAAATAAGAGCAAATATCGTTTTATACAAAAATGAAGCTGCTAATCCAGAAGAAGCTAAAATTGATGATGATACCTTCCCAACTGTGCAGCTTGAAGAACTGATCAGCCATTTGACAATTCATGATAAAGCAGAAGAAAATGAAGAGGAAGATGAAGATGAAGACTAATTTTTTAGTAATTATTTACAAAAAAAATGATCATAAATTATAAAACTGTATAAAAATTGCAGAAATGGCCGTGCATTTCAAATGCAATCTTAAATGTACTATATTTACAGATGCTCTAATAACTTATCACCAGAAATGCATTTTGATTGTCTTCTCTGATTTATTGTTTTAAACGCCAGCATTTGAGTTTTAGTCATTTCATTCAGCTTTACTTTGTATTTCTCCAGTTCTTCTTTTTCTGAAGATTTTAGCTTGATTTTTTCACTTACTACAAAACCGGAAAATCCCTATTTTTAGTCCAAAAACCCACCTCCGAGCGAGCGAAAAAAATTTTTTTTGATATATAAACTTTTTGATGAAAAAAAATTGATATATAAATGATTATTAGATATAATGAAATCTCTAGCTAATTCTGCTTAATTTTAATCAAATTGCATTTTAAAACATAAATTTTACAAATTTAATTAATTTTAATTTATGAAAAAATTTACGATAAAATTTATATATAATTTTAAAAAAAAAATTAACCCCCTTCGTGAACGAACAAAATTTTTTGTTCGCCCACAGAGGGGGGAGTTAAGTCTTCTTGGTTCATTTTTCTAAATTTCCTAATTCCCACCCTGCTATATATATATTTTGATGTTAAATAATGATTATTACAATGAAATCTTAGAATTTAAACTGCTTTCTCACATGCCATAATTATTAATTCCACACTTATATTAAAAATTATGAAGTCTCGAGAATTTAGACAGTTGAATCATAAAGCACAAATATTTTAACGGGATTAAGTAAAAATTCACTATCTTGCTTAAATTCTTTTAATAAAGATTTATTTAAGTTGCTTTCTTTTGTACAATTGTCAATAATATAATCATAACTTTTATTTACATCATACAAGGATTTATTATTTCTTGGTAAAAAATTGTATCTAATTTCACTTGTACTTCTAGTGTCCTTTTGTAAGGCTTTACTTAATTTATTTAGCCCTAGAGAGTGGAAAATTTTATGAATTGGCAGAGAAGCTTCTCTGTGGTATTTTTTGGTTTTTTTACTTTTATGAGATATTTCGGTCCTTTGTGGAAGTTTTCTATATTTAATAACAGATTCTTTAGAAACCTGTAAAGAGCAGTAATCAGAAAAAGCTAAATTTGTAGCGGGCATAGTTTTGGGTTCAAGATTGCTTACTCCCCTCTCCTTGCTAACGAGTAAGATCTTATTGACAGTTATTTATAGAAACTTTTCCTCAAATTGGACTTTTGGTCGTAACTTTTTCCTAATGTGACATTTCCTAGGCAAAAGACAGATAAAATTCTATAGCGTCTGAACCGCTATAGCTTGCCTTGGCGAGGGTTCTCCGCAGCAACTTGGAGCACCTAAAGGTGACAAGTCAACTCCAAGTTTACAAAAGTGTGTCCTTTTGCAAGGATTTGCCAACTTGGAGTTGATTTGTGTCACCTTTAGGTGGCTTGTCAGAGCTCCAAGTTGTTGCGGAGAGCCCTCGCCAAGGCAAGCTATAGCGTTCATAGGCTATATTGGTAAGCATCCATTTTTGTGAGGAAACCCTTACAAAAAAGGCGTTTTTACCCACTGTCAAACCATGCATATCAAATTTTTCCCGATGAAAAAAAAATTCGGCTAAGAGTGCCAGAGAAAATGCCATACTACCAAAATACTCCAATCAAATAGCACGGTGTAGATTTTTGTTTGGTAAAGTGCAGATTTAATTTTTTTCGGATTCTAAGGCATCTAAAATTTGAAAGAAGAATCTAAATTAATTTATAAAATTATTTTAGGAGTATTCTACCTATATTTATAGAATTAGCAAGAGATTAAATAACAGAAATCATTAAGCATAAATCATATTATTCAAATTTATAAAAATATGCTTTCTAATAATCTATTTTCCCAAAAATAGGAATTTATCTAATGTTTTTGTTTGCTCATCAAGTAAGGGAGTTATGCTTTGGTCTTCGAATCCTTGTATATAGAACTTTTTCTTTTTTAAGTCTCCAGATCGATAGTTAATTAATTCTTTATATGATTCTGTATTTTTCATTTCTTTTAGCATATCGTCATTATCTTGGTAAGTTTCTTTAAATCTTAACTTTGGCCTTCGGATTTTTTCTTCTTTCGTTTTATTACGAACTATATATTCGTTTGAAGATTCAGCTTCATCAAAATTTTCTATCTTTGGATATGGAGTGAATGCAGTGCTAATTGTTTCTTTAATTGAGACGAGGACTTCTGGCTTGAATCATATATGGTTGCTATCTCTTTGGATTTGGGATTTGGAAGCTGAAAAATTTATTGGAGAAGATCTCTTAAAATCACTGAAAATAGGTGTTTTTTGGGTTTGAGATGGAGTTGGAGAAGGTTTTTCATTGAATTTTTTGTCTAAACGGTTAAGATCAATATTGCATTTGTCGAATAATTGTTTAAAGACAGGGTTGATATTTAAGACTTGGCTTTTATCCATTATTAAAATCGTTTTATTAAAATGTCCCTTTTATTCTATGCTTTCCAATGCAAACGTACACAAAATATTCTTTATCAATTTATTAACAGCAAATTTATATTGCATAATAAGTTTATTTTGTATAAATTTTTTTTATGGATTTCCCATCTTGGAATTCATATAAAAACATCTCAAAGGAGTTTAAATATTTTGAGCATTACTAATGCATATTGTAGGCTTTGGCCTTTTATTTGCAGTTTTTTTATTGCGCCTGCAATATTTCGTTAATTTTTTCTGATTATTTCCTCCAATGATCATCATTTGTTTATAACATTCTTCATCACTCATCTTGTTCATCATCATTGTTTCTTTTTCTTGTCTGCTTAATCTCATTTTTTCAGGGGAAATGCTTCTTGAAGCATACTTATAACCATAAAGTAACGCATCACCGTCCTTTTTAAATTCAATTGCTAGTGATCTATTTAATGCATGCTCTTTATTGCAAGCATTCATAATATAATCAAAGCTTTTATTAATCTCTGAGTGATTTTTTTCATTTATTGATGGTAAATGATTAAGCTTAATCAAGCTTTTGCTTCTTTTAACGTTATCGAATTTTTTTTCTGTTGTGTCTGTTAGTAGCGTTTTACTTAGCTTTAATAGTCCGAAAGAATTTAAAGTCTCGTGAATTTGAGGGTTTAAAATATTAATGGTAGAAGATTTTGTGTAATTTTTCGAATTTTCAACAATATTTTCTAATTTTGAGGTTTCAAAATTTACGCTTTTTTGAGTGTCAGATAAAATTGATTGTCTTCGATTTACATTTGCTTCTTTTTTCATCCGTAAAGACCATAAGTCAGAAACAGAAATCTTAGATGATTTTTTGGCAATATTTGATATGGAGTCCAGACCGATTATATTTTTTGGTTTATTTGTGGGAAAATTAGGATTGGGAGTTTCGGTTTCAATTCCTTGGGTAATCCGACGTTTTTTTGTGAAATCACCTGTTTTATAACGAGTTATCTCCTGATATGTTTCAGTTTCTTTAATTTCTTTAAGTGTTTCTTCTTTCAACCTGGCAGAAACATCTTTAATTTTGTTTTCTAGTTTGTCTGGCTGTGGAAGAATTTCACATTTGTCGTCTTCTGATGATTGGGAGCTATAATTATAAATTTCCATCGATTTTGTTGAATAAATCGCAAGGGTATCTTGAATTGTTTCTTTCATTGAAACTAGCGTTTCTGGTTTAAATTGAATAGTATTTTGGTCACTATTTGCTTTCCTGTGCAGAAAAGAATTAGATTTTTCAGATTTTAACTCCCCCACCATCCTTTATCGAACGATTGACTGTAAAAATTCCTAAAAAATTGGGAAAATTAACCCCCATCCTTGATCGAACGATTTTCATATAATGCAAATTTTTTTATATATATAAAAATATATTAGTTATCAAAAGCTTGGGAGATGTGCCTAATGAAGTTGTTGTCAGAGGCTTTGAGACAACAGAAAGCTACGGAATCAACCATTCGAAGTGCTTTAGTCATCAACCTGGGCTTAAAAACTCAATAATCTAAAAAATAGAGATTCTTAAAAATTTAAAATTTTAATTCAATAAGAAACAAATTAAAATTTATCCATTGAAAGGGGTAACCAAAAAAATCAAAATATTAAAAATTTGTACCCATCCTTGATCGAACGATGAACGATGGCGAGACGTTCGATCAAGGATGGGGGGAGTAAGTAAAAATTGGGGTTCTTTTTTAATGGCGCTTGCTCCGGAGGACTCGATATTGGATCTCAACTTTTTCTTTCAAACATTATAGGGGAAAGTCCACATTCTTCCAAAAGCGGCTTAAATGCTGGATTTATGTCTAATTTATTGTACATTGTAATTTAATTTTAGATTATTAAATGAGCCATCATAATTATAGCTTTTTTCTTGAATCCCTCGTTCCTTTGAAAAGGACCGATTTTTGCCTTAAATTTTCTCTTTTAAACATATGGCTATCTGTAATTTCATTAACTTTTAGCTGATATTTTTTCATTTCTTCTATTTCTGATTCTTTTAGTCCTTGCTTCCCTGAAGACGCTTTCCTTATAATACACTGGTATTTATTCATAATATTTTTACTGTCTTTTATGAAGCTTGAGCTTAAGCTTCTATTAAGCTCATTTTCGTGCTCACATGTATCTATAATATATTCAAAACTTTGGTTGAAATTTATAGATTTTCTTTTATTAATTGCAGGTTTCCTAGGTTTTAGCTGACTGAAACTTCGGCCTTCCCAGGTATTTTTTAAGCATTTGCTTAATTTTGATAATCCTTGGTCTTTGAGGATTGTAAGTACTGATGGCTTGGAAGCGTTTTTCTTGAGGTAGGCTTGCTCTTGTTCTGCAGCTCGAAAAAATTTTTCGATTTCGCAGAGGTTTAGTTCATGAATTTGGGGGATTGTGGGTATATTGGTCAATTTGGCTCTTTTAGCAGCTGCTTCTTTTTTCATTTTTCAGGATCATAGGTCAGAGTAGCATATTTTGGTAGATCTTGATTGAAGAAGACGCGTAACTAAATCAAAGTTAATAGTGCTTCTAGAGCCAAGGCTGCTTTTGGTTTGGCGAGGATTTTTATCACTGGTACTGATAAAAGATTTATTTTTGATTAAGGATTCTTTCATATTTCAATGAAATCTACTCTGAGTAAAAGAAATTTTGTAGTTTTTGACAATTAATATAGAGATTATTTTAAAACTGATTTAACATATTTACATAATTGTTTATTTTTTTCTAGCTGATAAGCTTGGAAGACTTTATATTTTAAATTATAGTCAAATTGACAATGATTAGCAATAATTACGTCATCTTAATTAAATATTGTCTGTAATAGAGTTAACAAAGCAAATAAGATGAGCCGATTAGCATTCATTATTGCACAAAACTGGCAATTCTTTTTAGTTAAGCAGTTTGCAGTTTGCAGTGTCAAAGTATTATAAGATATTAGCTTAACTTATAGCTAAAGTAGCCAAGCCTTCAATATTGTGCTTTTGAATGAATCCATTAAAAATTAAAATAAGAATAATTAAGTTATTAAATTTTATAAATTAATAATAAGTATTTGGCTAATATAAGATAATTAATTATCTCAAATATCTTATAATTTATATAAATTTAAGCTATTTAAATCTCAAGAGCAATCTCCATAATGATATTAACTTTTCAGAGTTTGCATTTATTTATTATAATATCAAAACGCATTACATCAAAAAATAAAAGCAAAGAGCTTAAAGATATATGGTCAAGCATAGGTCGCAACCCTACACCCCCACCACCTAAAAAATGGTACCCCCACCCCCCCTAAAAAATGGCACCCCACCCCCACCCCCCTTAATATAGCATAAATATATGACAAATGCCAATTTAGAGCAGACGTAATAAATAAATTATTGTTTTAAATATTCAAAATTACTGATTTATACAATATCCACATAGCGTAGCACAATCGATTAAGGAGTAGGTGGAATGAGGTGAGAATTTCCTATAACTACTAAGCACACCACATATGAAAATTTGTTAACAAGTTAATAATGATCTTTGGTATTAATTAGTAGTATATCCTGCATATATTTATGAACTTTTTTGAACAATGGCTAAAGAGTCCAATTAGAGATCAAAAGTAAAATTGACAATAGCAAATACTATTTTTATTACCACTATTGAATCTTGTTACTAATTCAGTCCTGCAATCCTTGTACAATTGTCATTAGATTAGCTTTAATTTATGAATCAATAAATTTAAAGCAAGTTATTGTATTGTGCTAATTTAATAATTAATGCCATTATCTATATCTTTGGCATTATATTTATAAATATAAAAAACAAATTTAATATATTTTCTAATTAATTGCTAACCAATTTAAATTTATTTAAAAAAAAAAAATTAAGCTTTATGGATTTTAGTAATTATAGTGATGAGCAGCTAAGACAGATGCTGAGAGACTTGGAAGAAGACAACGATACCATGCAAAGTGAAAGCAAACTCATCGAAAGTTATGGAAGTTATGAAGACTATGAAGATTATGAATATTACGGAGGCTATGAAGATTATGAGGATTATGAATTTGGTGGTGGAGGAGATTATGAAGTTGAAGAGGGATTAGGATCTGGAGTTGAAGATGAAGATGAAGTCGAAGATCATGAAGGTGTATGCTCAAGTACTGTAGATGAGGATGTTACTACCATCTGTGGTGAACTTGAATGCATAGAAGCCCGCGAAAAAGGAGCAGATTTGAATTTTGGCAGGTGAAATGGAAAATTCGAAAATGAAGCAGTTAGAGAAACTAAGACTGTAATTGAATCAAGGATAAGAAAAAATGTATGGCATAATTATAGAGCCAGAATTGAGACAGAAGTGAGAACGACAGCGAGACTTTTTGTTGCTTTAAGTGAAGGAAAAGACACCTTAGAGGCGAATCCATACATCTGTAATTTTGAATTTATTAGATGATTACTTGTGTTTGTTTGAATCTTTCTAGAAGCTCATATTTGAATTCAATTTTTAAGTTTGGAGATTTTTTGAGTGAATTGTGATTTTTGTGATAGAAGAAAAGGTTGATTAAAAGCAAGTGAAGTGCGGATTTACCGCTTTAAAGGATAAATAAAATAAATAAATAAATTTATTAATTAATCATAAATATAAAATAATTTATGGACTTAATTTAACAATATAGTGTTTTAATTGGCTTATATTTAATTTATTCTGCTTGTTTCCTATCAATTACTTCTATAGAATAAACCCGAGAGAGGGGGGGTGGGGTGCCATCTGTGAAAGGGGGGGTGGGGGTACCATTTTTAGGGAGTGTCTGGTTGCTACCTATGCTTGACCAGATATACATTTAAATCATAACATTTAAAAATTAGCACAAACTCAAATCAGAGCTAAAATAATTTTAACGTTAAAACATGGAAGGTTACACTGAAATCTTCGCTTGGGGAGGTGATCATTTTGGCCAACTTGGTCTCGGCGAATCTAAAAACACTGGCAAGACTTATCCATTTCCTCGATACTGCAGTTACAACGTCCTCATTAAAGAAATTTCCTGTGGAGAAGAGCATTCTGCATTTATAGCGCTATCAGGATATGTATATTCAATGGGGAGTAACAGTGAAGGAAGACTCGGACTCGGTGATAAATCGCTTCGTCAAAGCTCTTCTCCAATTTTAATTGAGAGCTTAGACTCTTACAAGGCAGCCAAAATTTCCTGCGGATGAGGCCACACATGTGTAATTACAGTTGACGGGGATTTATTTTCCTGAGGAGTCGGAGAATTTGGAGCACTCGGAATAGGAATTAACGACACACAATGAAAGCCTATAAGAGTAGACCTGCCTAATAGAGCCAAAGCTTTACAGATTTCATGTGGATCAAGACACACAGGACTTATTGCTGAAGAAAATAAGCGAAATATTTTATTTATGTGAGGCGCAGGAGAAGCTGGGCAGTTAGGGACTGGCAGAAGGGAAAAAGAACTTCTACCAATCCTTATACAGACTAACGAAGAGCCTAAACAAGTTTCCTGTGGGATTTTCCACACGATGTTTTTATGCAAATCTGGGAGCATCTTTTCTATGGGTGGGAATTCGTTTGGGCAGCTTGGGGTTGGGAATAAAAAAAGCACAAGTCGGCCTCAGAGGATACAGTATTTAGAAGACAATTTTATAGAAAAAATTGCTTGTGGGCACCATTCAGCAGCTATTACAGATCAAGGAGAATTGTTTATATGAGGAACTGGGGTGTTTGGGGAGTATTTGTATCCCCAAAGAGTTACTTCTATAGCAAGATTTATTGATGTAAGCATTGGTGGGAGTTTTGGAATTGCAATTGGTTCTAACCACGAGCTATATGCCTGGGGTGCAAATTCTAATGGAGAATTAGGCTTACTCCTCCCCCTCCGTGAGTGAACAAAAAAATTTTGTTCACTCACGGAGGGGGGTTAATTATTTTTTTAAAAAAAATTTATATATAAATTTTATATAAAAAAATATTTTTTTTTGAAATTTAAAAAAAATCCTAATACGCAAAAATTGGAAAGCAAATATTAATTTAATTTATAAAATTTATGTTTTAAAACGCAATTTGTTTAAAATTAAACAGAATTAGCTCTATATTTCATTATGCTAATTATCACTTATATATCAAAATTTTTTTCCATAAAATTTTTCTATTAAAAAAACATTTTTGTTCACTCACGGAGGGTGGGTTTTTGGGCAAAAAATAACGATTTTTCTAAATGGTTTTGTTCACTCACGGAGTGGGGGGGAGTTAGGGAATTTCGAAAACAGAATTAGCCCTACATCTATTGTAGCGTTAAAAGGGAGAAGTGTAAATAAAATCAGCTGTGGAGGAAGCTATTGTATAGCGCTAGGTGAAGATGTAGTAAAACAAAATAAGCTAGGAAAATCAGCTAGGCATGTGTCACCTTTGCAAACAGATCAAAGCTATTATACATCCCGAAATAAAGAAGTCTCAGAAAACAGCAGAAACTCCTGAATGAGGAGCTCTGCAAGAGAAGCTTTTACTTCTAGAGAACCTCGAGCTCTGGAAGACGATTCTGCGATATTTAAAAGTCATAGCGAGTTTAGGCCAAATGATACATTTAGCTCTAAAGAAATATATGAAAGTAAAACTAGAAATGTGTCTTCAGAAAGAAAAAGGGATTGAAAAGAATGGATGATGGTCCAATGATAGTGCAATTTTTCGAAGTACTTTGGGTCGAAAATTGGTTGAAATTTTTGATAGTGAGACATTTGACCGAAAAAGCCTTAAATTACGGCCAAATGCCCTACTATTTAAAAATTTTCGACCAAATGCACTTTGGTTAAATGCGCACTATCAAAAATCCACTGTCATTTGGCATGGAGCCGAAAAAGAACAGCCATTTCTGAGAGAAAGCTTTGAAAATCAATATAGAAGTGTGTCCATAGAAAGGCCAGAACTTAGTTTTGGCTCTACTAATGGAAATTCTTTTAGGAATGGAGCTGATTTAGAAAAAGCTAATATTGAATTAAAAGAAAAGACTCTGGAGCTAAGGGGAGCAAAATTAGAAATAGAAAGACTTAACGAAGCTTTGAAGAATTTTCAAACAAAAAATGAAAGACTGGAATATGAGTACCAGGAATTATCAAACCAGTTTTATAGAAATAAGCCTTCACTAGAATTTAGCAATAAAGAAATATTGCAGCTTCGGCAAAGTCTAGATGAATTTAAATATCAGTCCAAATCAATTGCAAACGAAAATGAAATCCTGAAAGAAGATCTTGCAAAGTTCAAACTCCTATATGAAGAACTCTCCCAAAGTAAATCAACCACTGATGGATTTTATCAAGAACTGCAAGAAAAACTCCAAGCTGAAACAATTAAACGAAAACAAATAGAAAAAGACTTAGAAGTATCCAACAACCACTGGCATCGGCTAGAAGACGCACTATCTCAGTCTCATTCCAATTTAGAAAGTTATATTCAGCAGCTGAATGAAGAAAAAGTTTACAATGAAAAATTAACCCAAGAGCTTTCTGACTTACGTAAAAATTTTCATGGGCTAAACCAAGACAAAGAGACTATTTCTTATATGCTGCAAGACACCCAAAATCAAGCTGAAGACCAGATTTTGCAGTTAATTGATGAAAATAAAAGACTGAAAGAAACAGTGCAAAATTTAAATTATGACATAGAAAAACTTAATAGCACGCTGGCAGGAAAATCTTCAAATATAGGGGAATTTGTAGAAAATCAGAAAGAGTTAGAAGATAGAATGAACAATTTAAAAGATGAAAATTATCAGCTGAAAATTAGCCTTGCTGATTCTGAAGCGAAAAATAAGCAGCTTTTTGAACATTTGGATAAAGAATTAGCTGCGAGAGCGAGGGAGTATAAAGAAAGGACACTTAATTTGATAAGTACCCCAGTAAGAAATTATTCGTCGTCGCCGCTAGTAAATAGACATCAAGGGCAGAGTTCTCCATTTAAAGCAGAAGAGGCACAGTTAGCAACGAGTAGGAATAGAAATTATTTAAGCCAAGAAAGCCAAGAGCGTATTGCGAATGCAACATCAAAAGTTATTGAATCGACCAATATAGAATCCCCTCTGAAAAATATGAGGGTTTCATCACCATCTAGAAAATCTCCAGAAAAGTCTCCACAAATATCTTTATTAAAGAGTTCAGGGTCAACCCCATCGAGAAATGATATAAAAGCTCGAATAGCTGCTTTGGCTGAAAGCCGCTCCAAGCTTGAAATGAAATTAGAAGAGCTTGAAAACTAAATTATGTTAATTTTAAGTTAAATAATATAATTGGCATTATCCATTAGCTCCTTCTAATTTGAATATTACTAGTCAGCATAAAAATTTGAATTCTCTTTAAATTAAAATCGTAAAAGCTTATTGCTACTTATAAATATTACATGCAATTATTGTGAGGACAAAAATATATATTAAAAAACAGAAAAATCAGGAAATTGGCAAATTCTAAAACAAAGAATATAGTTTTTGTTTAAGGAAAATGATAGGGTTTAGAAGAGAGCTAAAAGACTATAGATAATGTGAAGAACAGCAGATATCTTGTAAATCTTCAATATAAGCTGATGCTAATGCAGAGCACACAGCATATATGGCAGAGGCATCAGAGAATTCAGAAATTAGCTTTTGCATAATACCCATCTCGGTAGGACAGATGGTTAAAATGCAGATCAAGCCTCGATAGTTTTTGAAAAAAATAAAGTAAATGCACAAAAGTCTCCTCAATGTACTAAAATCTTCAGAAGCTTTCATGGTTTTGCTATTTTCTTTGTGTTATATTATTCTTGTTAATAGATAATAAATGTCCGAATTTCAACCAATTTTTCAATATATAGTAGAAGGTAGAACCAGAGATCTTGAAGCATTAATTCGTCAATTACAAAAACCGCTTCGCTTTATAAAAGACACAACTGGGTACACGTTGATTCACTTCGCAGTTCTAAACGAAAAAGAAGAAATCATCAATTTATTAGTTCAACATGTAAGCCATATATAGGAAAAAGGGCTTCCAGGGACTCCTGCTAATGAAGTAACTGACTGGGTTAACTCACTTTCACCTGATGGATACACCGCTTTCCATTTAGCAATATCTAAAGGAAACTTTTCAATTGTGAAATTATTGACTTTATTAGGAGCAGATGTAGATATAAAAACGCCTCTAGGTCTCGGGTCACTTCATTTGGCAGCTCAAGGGGATTTTGCTCATTTGATTTCTTATTTTTCAGAAATTGGGCTGAGTGTTATGGAATGCGACTCTAAAGGAGGCACTCCTTTACATTGGGCTGCTTATATGGGAGCTTATTATGCAACTTCTGTATTAATGGCATTACAGGCACCTATTAACTGCCAAGACCATGATGGGCATACTCCTTTACATTTAGCAGTGCTTTCAGCTAATAATAGAGTTGTTAGGCTATTACTGCTAAAAGGAGCAGACCGAGCTATAAAAGATTCAAGGGATAGGACACCTATGGAGATCGCAAAAGAAAATCAATCAAATGAGCTTATAGATATGCTGAAGCCTGAAGGAATATTAGAAAAAACTGGATATAGGCCGCTGCTAAAACCTTATAAAAGAACTGCTTTTCCTTTTTATTTCGTACTCTGCTTGATTATTGTGACTTTGGCACTTATTATTTTATTTTGTGTGCAGTGTAATTTTTAAGCAGACAATTATTATTTGAGCTATTTTTTTACAGCCACTTCAGTCAGTGCTATTTTATTGATGATTTTTTTAGTTAATTCTAACCCTGGCTATATTACGCGACCAAAAGGGATAAAATTATCTGTAAGAATTATTTAGTATTTATATCAAACTTACAAATATTCAGAAATTTGCCCAGATTGTGTTATATTAAGGCCAGCTCGATCTCGGCATTGTCATTATTGTGATAAATGCGTGCAGAAGTTTGATCATCATTGCCAATGGGTGAACAACTGTATAGGAGCTCGGAACCTTGGCTGGTTTTATTCATTTATAAGTTTGTTATGACTTTCAGTCGGTCTTTCAATTGCAATTTCCATAGAAGTCTTTATCGGCCACGAAACAGACCGTGGGATTGAAGACTCTCCTTATGAAATTTCTTTGATTGTTGCTTCTTTTACAGGTTTTCTTTCAGTTTTGACATTAGTCCCTGTCAGTTATTTATTCATCACACACACAAAAAATTTTTGTGAAAATCAGACGACGAGTGAAAGGTTTTCTAAGGGTTCAAAATTCCGAGGCGGAAAAAAAGAAAAGTCTTGTTTTGTGAAAAACTGCTACTCAATGTGCTGCAATAAAGAAGATGACCATAGCTCAAAGTCTTCTATTGTAACTACATCAAGTAAACAAATGGATGATTATCATATGATACTTGAAGAATCGGGCACGAAATAATGATGTAAGAATTAAATTAAATATTAAGATTCTACTAGAGAGAGCCTTTGGAGGATAGCTACTTGTGATCCACTGTTAGAGTTACTCATTGGGATTAGTTCCTATATAAAAATTACTGTTGAAAATAGCGCGACACATTCAGAAAAAGTTATTTGTTGGTTATCATATGGATCAATTATCTGAAGCAGTCTAAAAATGTCAGGCTCTTCAAAGCCAAGCCCTGTAGCGTCTAATAGTTCTCTGAATTCTGGCTCAGAAATCATCCCATTTCTGTCTTTGTCTGCATCTCTAAACATAGCTAAAAAGTTTGATAAAAATTTTTCGTGGCCTTTTAGCTGGAAATCTAATAGGATTTTGAGAAAATCTGCATATAAAATTCTGGTTTTGAGGCTTCTTTCTTTTTCTCTTCGAGTTACAGCTTCTTCACGTGTGATTTTTCCTCTGATAGGTGGCAGATCTGATGGGTAATTTTTATGTTTGATTACTTCTGAGACTAAAGATAGTAATAAATCAGCGTCTGTCTCGTTGTACATGTATTTGACTATGTCAGTTCATTCGTCTTCGCTTACATAGCTTTGAAGTCTTTCATTTAGCATTTCTTGGACATCTCCATTTGATTTTAATGGGAATTTCCCTCTCAAATGCATCTTTAACAGCTCACTAACAGTCTCCTTTACTTGATTCTGCACAAACCTGAACTCTTCATCACACTCATTTGCATAAATTTTACCAAAAACTGTAACATCATTATCTTCTGTAGAAAATCTCTTAACTGCGTCCAAAATTGCATATGAATATTCATTTGCTAAATGCTTTAAGCCATATTTATGATTAAGAAAAGTCATGAGATATTTTTCCATAGTTTCCCTTGGCAGTTTCATATCTACACATTTTTGGTCAAATTTCGCCTTATTCGTATAAATTTCATCAATAATTTCTTTCAGTTGCCTTAAACTTAACACTTTTCCATTAGAAAAATTCTGTTGAGAAGGCGTTGCTGTCCTGCTTCTATCTAAATTTGGAGATTTTCCGCCTAATGCAATTTCTGCGGTGCTTTTAGAGTGTTTTATCAATAAATCTAAATATTTTTTATTTTCTTCTTTTAGCATTTCAAGCTCAAGTAAAATTTCTTTTTTGTCTTCTTCCATCTGTTTTCTCAAAATTTCTTTTTCAATTATATGTTTTTGTGAGTCTTTTTCTATTTGGTCTGCTGCTTCTAAAATTTCGTTATTTTCTTTGAGGGCTTTTTCTATAGGGCCTTCCTATAGATGGCGCGCAATGCGCCATCACCGGACCATGTCGGGAGAGGGTTCCACACGAGGAATGGTTCTACGTGTGGAACCCTCTTTTTGGCTCGTGGAAAGTAGTTTTCTCACAGGTCAAAAAGAGGGTTCCACACGTAGAAACCATTCCTCGTGTGGAACCCTCTCCGACATGGCTCGGTGATGGCGCATTGCGCGCCATCTATAGGAAGGCCCTATATGTCATTTTTCATTGAATTTATTTTTTCTTCACAAACTGAGTCCATATCAAAGACTAATCCTAGGGTTTCCCTAAAGGTGTCGTCAAAAACCTTGTGGATTTTATTCAAAATTTGGCCCATTTTTGGGCTTTCTTTGAAAATCAGCTCAGAACTTTTGTCGAGGCAAATGAGATAGAGTTCATGTTTTGATTTCATAGCATGTGCTTGCAAAAGAGACTGTGAATATCCTTGTTTCATAACGTTAGAAAACTCTTCAATTACGTTTTTTACATGATCATCAAAATCTGCTGCAAGTTTTTTGTCTTCTGCAGGGTCAATTTCATGTCAAACATCTCGAATTTCATCATAAATGCTTGCAAGGTTTTCTAGATCTTCTTTTCTTAATAATTCGTCTGATTCTTCATCATATTGTTCTTCTTTAACAACCTCTATTTCGGAGCTATTTATTTTTTGTAAATTAGGAAGCGCTTCAATTAGAATTTGCTCGTCCTCTTCTTGCAACAAAGTAATATTTAGCTCAATTAAAGAAGGGAGCGAGGAGAGACCAGGGATTATGTCTTGGACCGCACTAAATAAATTGTTAGAAATATCTAGATGTTCTAGAGTTTTTAACTGTGATAAATCGTCTGGTATTGAAGTTAAGCGATTTCCGAATAAAATTAATTCTTTGAGGTTGGAAAATTTAATAAGCCAGGGAAGCAGTGGAGAGAGGGACTCTATTTCGCAGCTTTCAAGGTTTATTGAAGTGAGATCAGGGCTTTCTTCAAGAAGTTTGGGTAATTCTTCCATTTTGATACAAATTGGATTATTAAGGATTTCTATTGAAAATTTAGTTTTGAAATTTCTTTATAAAAGGCTGGATTTTTATTGTTCTTTGTTTTAAAACAGAAAAATTTCTGTTTGCGAATATACGCTGAGAGGATCGGTAAATTTGATACAAACTATAAAATTTCTATAGAAATTCTCCATAACAAATTTATACAAATTATTTGTGTTCTAATAAATTTACTCAAATTTTAAGCTCGTAATCGTCCCAAGTGCCGTCATAAAAGTATCCCTTATGATAAATCTCGTGTTTTCTGACACATATTCCGGGTGATACAAAAACCTCAGCGTCAAATTCGTAGACTGTCCAGGGACAATGGTTTTTCCTTCCCCCACAACTCTTGCACATTGGCTTATAGTCTGAGTATAAATCATCGGCTCATACGAGCTTTTCAGTGTCCTTGCTTCTTTGACACTATCAATAGGTCAAATCAAGCACTGGAACTCAAAAGCTGCCCTTGGGTTGACTTTTTTATCAACCAACACCATTCCTTTCCTCAGCTCGTTTTCCCTGAGCCATTTTTCAGTAGAAGATCCTAAAGTGACTTTAAAACTACAAAATTGTCCTGCACTGACTGAACGTACAGGGACTTTATTTACATGGATGCCCATTATTTGGACACATCTGAATTTACCTCTGTTGTCAGGACCAAGCATCAGTCGTTGTAGCGCGCAGGCTTTGCCTTTGACCATGACCCCGCCTATGATAAGTCCTTCTTTTTCATATCATTTTTCTATATAAAACTCAGGGTAGCTGTCTGTGCTTTCTCAGTTTTCAGCAGCTGGGAGAAGGTTAAGAAAGCTTAATAATAAGTCGAGATTGCAGCCTGTAATAAAGGAAACTGAAAAAACTGGGGCGAGCTGTTCTTGGGCAAATAGCCGAGAATAGAGGACGACATCTTCAAAATTGGTCACTTCCATCATAGTTCTGCGTTGGTTTCTAAGCTCGGCTTGGAGATAGTCTAAAGAACGGTCTATGACAATTTGTGGGTATTTGTCGATTTTGGAGATGACGATAAAAATCGGGAGTTTTAAAGCAGAAGCTAAGGCAAGGTGGTCAGTGAAAGTAGAATTTGGCTCTTCTGAAGGCTCGTAGACTATTAAACAGTAATCTGGGTTTTGGCTTGACATACCATAAAGGAGGTTTCTTTTGTATTTGGCATGGCCTGGGAGGTCGATTAAGCTGATAAGCTTAGAGGATTGGCATACCAATTGTTCCCAGCCTTTTTTGCTTCTAAGCACTTGTCCTTGGGTGTCAAATCCGACTAGATGTTGGGTAACAGAGGTGGTGTAGCCTATCTTTTTTTCGTGCTTATGCAGTAAAGTTGAATTTTTGGCTTTACCTTTGCCATTATCCATAACTCCTTTACTTAAAACTCCGACCAGACTGGTTTTTCCGACCCCAGAAGCTCCTAATAACGCGACACGTATGTCCATTATTACACCTTGTCGCTCTTTTTTCCTTATTAGGAGTTCGCCTACATAGCCTTCTTCTTTTTTCTCTTTTGCAAGCAAAAGAAGAGAGGCATCAAGAGACTCAGCAACGGACCCAAGAACACTTATGCATGAGTCAAGCTCTTCAAGTGTCAAACCTACGGGTTGGCCTTCCCAGTTTAATCCAACGATATATTTAGCTTCTCCACGACCTGCGTTAAGGCGGTGCTCCATTTGGCTTTTTAATCGTTCGATTCTTTGAGGACTTGGCGTTAGGAGTTTAAGAACATACTCGGTTCTGCTCAATGATCGTTCTTCATTTCTCTTAGACTGAAAGTCCATAATAAAACATTATAATATCAGAGAGAAAGAAAGATAGATATTGATTACAAAGAACGAAAGAGGGAGAAGTCAGACAGTAACAGAATCGAAAATAAATATGAAAATTTGATAAGTTAGCAGAGATAAGGAGACGAGAAAGATATAGAAATTTGGAAGAAGATGAGAGTAATAATTGCACAAGAAAAGGTAAGACGGTAAAATGATTCCATTGAGTCAATGGGAGGAGCTAATTGAGATGAAAATAGATATAGCCCGTTTCCCGGCTATAGATCGGGCTATGCCTGATCTTTGCCGAGAAACTCGGGGGGGTTGTCTGCGTCACTTCGAGGTGACGAGTCAACTCCCCGAGTTGGCAAATAGCCACCATTAAGTGATTTGCCAACCCGGGGAGTTGACTCGTCACCTCAAAGTGACGCAGACAACCCCCCGAGTTTCCCAGCAAAGATCGGGCATAGCCCAATCTATAGCCGGGAACGGGCTATACATAGTGCAATATATTTTGAAATTAAAAAAAATATATGGGAGGTTTCAGGTAATTGATATTTTCTAGCCTAAGCTAAGAGAATAATTTAATAGTATGAAAATAACTTATCTACCATTGGAATTTTAATATTGTATCTCTCCTAAAATATATAGTATAAAATAAACTATTTTCCCTTGTTTAATTTTACATATCCAAAACATGAAATTGCACTTTTTAAGCAGCAAACCAATAATAATTTCTTTAATTGCCTAAAATTATTTATCTTATTTTACTCCTACGAAAAGAGTGTTTTAAGTTTTCTTTTAACCTTAAATAATGCAATTTATCTGCAAAATTATTAAAATAAGAGTTACTTAAGCTTGGCTTTTGGCGGCGTTGAGGATCTTTTGTTTAACTCTTTCTTTCCTTTCAGCGTTGGTAAACCTTGAGTTTCTAGGATAAGTGGCAGTGTGAGTCTTAATGAACTGTCCTTCTCTAGTATGCACAGGAGGATGAGCTCTCTCTTTCTTGGCGTGTGATGGATCTTTTCTGATGGCTTCAAAAATGGCTTTGTAAGTTTGTTCTACGGTTTTTCCAGCAAGCTTTTCGTTCCAGAGGGTGAACTGCTTAGAGAATTTTTCTTCGTCTTCTTCCTTAAGTAATTTCATGTACTCTTGGATGTGGACTCCATATATTCTCTTTCTGTGGACTTCAGCGTCGTATTTCCATTTTCCGTCTTCCTTCTTGCTGCCTGGGAATCTCTTTACTGAGTGTGGGATGTGAATTCCACCATCGCAAGCACCTTTAAGAGCTCCGAAGACTTTGTTTCCAGTTGTGGTGCAGACAAGACCAACATCGAGGTAAGCTTTGAATGGTCTCTTTTTGATTTCCTCTCCTTTAGATTCTCTTGCTTCCATATCTTTGTAAACGTCGAAAGCAGCTCCAGTTGGTGCAGCGACTCCTTTGTAGAGGTCATCAAGTCCGAGTTGTTTGAGGGTTCTTCTTGCTAAAAGAAGACCTGTGGCATAAGCAGCTGGGTAATTGGTGAATCCAGTGCCAAGTCCGTATTTGGCAAGTTCTTTAGATTGAGCTTGGCTAAGAACTCTGTCACCTACAATAGTGGAGTAGATGATTTGGGCAATGATGTTTGTGTTGGTAAATCTGACCACGAATCTGTACTTAGGAGTGTTGTATTTGTTCTTGTGTTGGAAAGTAAGGAACTTCCTGGCACGGTAGTCAGTTTTTCCTTCACGGCGTCGTCTGAATTTGACTTGGAAGCGCTTGAAGTAAGCATTAGTCTTTACGACCTTTATGAACACCATTATTATCCACTCATAGAGGACTTCATAAATGGCTTATTGCACACCCAAAAACCAAAATTTGTTAACTCCCCCCCCCCCCCCCCCCTCCGTGAGCGAACAAAACCATTAGAAAAATCGCCATTTTTTGACCAAAAACCCACCCTCCGTGAGTAAACAAAAATTTTTTTAATAGAAAAAATTTTAATGGAAAAAAAATTTTGATATATAAGTGATAATTAGTATAATGAAATCTAGAGCTAATTCTGTTTAATTTTAAACAAATTGCGTTTTAAAACATAAATTTTGCAAATTAAATTAATTTTTGCTTCCCAATTTTTGCAAATTAGGATTTTTTTAAATTTCGAAAAAAAATATTTTTTATAAAATTTATATATATAATTTTTTTTTAAAAAAAAAAATTAACCCCCCTCCGTGAGCGAACAAAATTTTTTTGTTCGCTCTCACGGAGGGGGGGGGGGAGTAAGCAGAAAAACTGGCTAGAAATATTTTCTTATAGAAATTATGCCTAATAGCTGCTTAAAGCGTTTTGAATATATGCTTAAAATTAGTTTGAAAATAACCTAATTAAATTATGCTTCTGATAAGACAATCATTATTTTGAAGTTTCTGGGCACGTCTGGAATTGTAATTAAATGGTCTCAAAAAGGCAGCTTGAAAAAGAGAAAAAGTATTTAGCTAACTCCCCCCCCCCCTCCGTGAGCGAACAAAAAAATTTTGTTCGCTCACGGAGGGGGGTTAATTTTTTTTTTTAAAAAAAATTTATATATAAATTTTATAAAAAATATTTTTTTTTCGAAATTTAAAAAAATCCTAATTTGCAAAAATTGGGAAGCAAATATTAATTTAATTTGCAAAATTTATATGTTTTAAAACGCAATTTGTTTAAAATTAAACAGAATTAGCTCTAGATTTCATTATACTAATTATCACTTATATATCAAAATTTTTTTCCATTAAAATTTTTTTTCTATTAAAAAAATTTTTGTTCACTCACGGAGGGTGGGTTTTTGGTCAAAAAATGGCGATTTTTCTAATGGTTTTGTTCGCTCACGGAGGGGGGGGGGGGGGAGTAAGAAAAGAAAAGATAAAAAGAAAAAGGCAAAAAAAGTTGACACAGTTTCACTAAAAACACCTGAAAATGAAGAAAATCAGCCTCAAGAAAGTATTGAAATTATAGATAATGATATTGATACTTATCTGCAAGAAAATAGCATTGATCCCGCTTTTCATGAAGTTTTCAAAAAATTCTATGCCGAGCCAGCCATTCAACAAGAAAGTGAGCCACAAGAAGAATCTCAACAAGAGCAAGAAATCGCACAAGAGACTATTTTAAGTAAGAAAAAATTAAGAAAACTCGCAAGACCTTCTATTTTCCAATTAAAGCAAGCTGTGAAGCGCCCAGAAGTCGTGGAATGGGTAGACACCACTGCAAAAGACCCCAGTTTTTTGGTGTACTTAAAGTCATACAAAAATACAGTCCAAGTCCCAAAGCACTGGTCTCACTCCCCCCCCTTTAAATTGGAACAAAATATCGGTAAAATTTCCACTTTTTTTGTAAATTAGCCCCCCTTTAAATTGGAACAAAATTTAATTTTATAAAAAAAAATTATATATAATTTTTATCTAAAAAGTTTTAATATAAATTAAATGTTTCTTATTAACTAAAATTAAAAATTTAGTTATATCTTGCTCTTTTTTAAAGATAAAAGTATAAAGAGCATCTTATTTAAATAAATTTATTATCCTTGATTGTAAATTTTAAAAAAAAATTAAATTGTTTTTTTTTTAAAAATTTTCAAAAAAATTTTTGTTTTTTTTGATAAAAATGATATTTTTTGTTTAAATAGTTTTGATATAAATTCAATAGGAATTCTTTATAAAATTTAAAAATTTACTTATTTCTTACTTTATTTTAAAGAATAGAGTATATAATAGCATCTTATTTAAACAAAATTAGCACTTTGATCGATAAATTTTCTAAATATGTGTTTTTTTAATTTTTTTTTTATCAATAAAAATAATAATTTTTGTGTAAATAATTTTGATACCAATTAATAGTGGCGTATTAACTAATAATAAAAATTTAGTTATATCTTGCTTCGTTTTAAAGGATAAAGAGTAAATAGCGTTTTATTAAACAATTTATTAATCTAATTCGATAAGTTTTGGAAATTTTTTTTTTTTAAATTTTTATATTTTATAAAAAATTTTATATTGATATTTTTTAAAAAAAAAAATTAACCCCCCTTTAAATTGGAACAAAAATTTTTAGTTCCAATTTAGAGGGGGGGGAGTCAGAAGAAAAAATTCCTCCAAATGAAGAGAGGCACCGAAAAAATGCCTTTTACACTGCCAGACTTTATTGAAGCCACAGGTATTACTAAAATCAGAGCACAGATGAGAGAAAGAGATGCGGGAAAACTATTAAAGCAAAGAATGAGAGAAAGAATGAACCCAAAATTAGGGAGGCTTGATATAGACTATCAAATTCTTCATGATGCATTTTTTAAGCACCAAACTAAGCCAAAAATGACGATCCATGGCGACTTATATCATGAAGGCAAAGAAAATGAGCTTAAAATGAGGGTTTATAGGCCAGGCCAACTAAGTGATGAACTGAAGCTTGCACTTGGGATGCCTGAAGGGTGCCCACCACCTTGAATTATAAACATGCAGAGGTTTGGGCCGCCTCCTGCGTATCCTCACTTAAGAATTCCTGGCTTAAATGCCCCAATACCTGAAGGTGCACAATTCGGCTATCAAATGGGAGGATGGGGAAACCCAGAAAGCGGGATTTATGGAAATACCTTAAACAATAATGGCAATAACCCTGAGATACCTAATAAAAAGAAACATTGGGGGGAGCTTGAAGATGAAATTGAGATTGAAGAAGAGTCTGAGGGAGAAGAATCCCCAGAAGATACGTCAACTTTTATCAGAAATACTGCATTTTCTGGGTTCTCTGATTTGACACCACTTATTATCGACCAAAAACAGATGATTGCAGGCACACAAACTACTGTTGGATATGAAACTCCAGCACCAGTCGAAATTAAGAAAAAAATAAATAAATAAGTGAAATACCTCGTTTTAATGCTAAATTCAAATAAATTTAAATATCCTAACTATTTTCTAATTTTATCGAAAACCAACTTATCCTTATTTATCTTAATTTGTGTTTTGGCTACTTCAGTAAGAAGTAAACAAAAAGCTTTCATTTTTGACCGGCACATTAAGTGTATCCTTATGTTCTATAGGTCTGAACCCAGATTCCCCAAGATGTTCAAACATTCATGAGTTTCCAAGTCCTCCAACACTTCCAACCGACATAACGCTCATAGTGCTTTTCATAATAGAGTATTCTTCCAAGTTGCTATTTGGTATCAGCATTGAATCTAGCCTTTTTAGTAGTGGATTATCTTGCATTTCTTCTGGCTCTTCTTCACTATTTGCTTCTTTTGCTTCAAAATTCTCAGGCAGACATGAAGTAGTTGACGACATCACAGATTCTTCAAAAAATGAACTGTGAATGCTACTAGGGATTTTTACTTCTGGGGCCCCTTCTGTTTCATGCTGATATGGAGGAGCCATGTCAAGGATATCATCCACATAATAATTATAATTTGTCAGTTCCTCGTCCTTTAATTCTATAGCAGGTTTTGTTAAAACCCTAAAGCTGTCGTTTATATCTTGAAGCCTGATTTTCAGATGATTTTTGTTCTTATCAAGCCAATAATGATAAGCGCGCGAAAACTGAGGGAACTTTATTGATAAATAAGCAAAAAACAGGTCCATTGAGTCGTTTAGATAAGCTTTTATAGCATAAGCTGTAATAAAAAGAATAATTTTCAGAGGTAAAGCAGCTTGAGTCCAGGCAAATCTTTTTAAGTAAATATTTCAGACGATAATTTCAAAATCATTGAACATCATTTCTTGTGTGGTTTCTGATATTAATATAAGCAATGGGTATTGCATAAATTCTCATGGAATTGCAGGGTCTGCCACAACTCTTCTCAGAATTATATGATTTCTGTGGCTAATTTTATATTCCTGGCGCAATCTTGTATAATCAGCGAACAGCAAGGTTTGTTTCTTCAGATGTTCTTCTTGTTCAACGGTCAGGTGAGCCTGAGGTTTTAATGGCACTGGGGCATGGAGTAAATTAATTGGTGGGTCTTTTTCTTTTTTCTTTCTAAGAGACCTTCTAACAGGTATGGAAGGATTTTTCATTCTATTCTTTTCTGATATTTATAAATAATTATTTGATATTATTCTAGCAGAAGCCCTGGGCTTAAAATATTTTAGATTTTTGAGGCAAGTTTTGTGTTAATAATAATAAGAAAAATATTGGAATTTTATTAAATTTAGCCTAATTCAGCACCTTTGGTTTCTGGTAATTTCATACAGAGAAGACCAGAGGAGATACTTCCGATAGAACAGATAAGAATAGATATGGTTAGCCCTCCAGGCATTCCTAAAAGTACTCCAATTATTGCTGGCGTTACAACACCTGCGAATTTATTCCAAGAATTAGTCCATCCTACAGCGATTGATCTGACTTCTGTAGGAAAAAACTCAGCTATCATTGTATATAGTGCAGAATAGCCTAAATAGTTAAAAAAGAACATCAGTGAAGAAAATACTACAAGGAGTGGATAGCTGTCTGCGCTGTAAAATAAAAATATAAGAACCCCCATAATCAAAAATGATATAGAAATTGTCCATCTTCTCCCCAGCCTTGTTTCTACAAGATAAGTTGACAAAAAGATCCCAGGAATACCTACAGACTGTTGAATAATTAAAGTATAATATAATTGTGTATCCCCTGACACTTTCCCTCCTACTTTGTCCAAAAATATAGGCATAAATGACGCCATTGTGCTATAAGCGATTTCTACCAGCATAAGTGTCTATATATTCTTTACAAACGTAAAAAGTAATGTGTATTTAATGTATTTTTTCCCTAGTATCATTTTCAGAGAATCCTTAGTATTTGCTTTATGGACAAGCCTTTCTCTAGTCCCTTCACCTTTTAAAGATTCACTAAGCCTTGACTCTTCGATTTGTACCTCGAATTTTGGCTTAATGTCTGATCTGTTTATTCTTGCAATGTTGCTATATGTTTTTTACCATAAAACCTTTTCACTTTCATCGTCTCTATGGTGAATCAATAGATATCTTGAAGATTCATATAAAAATAACCTGGGAACCCAATTAATAAACTCTATAATCGCGCCACAAAAAGTGACGATTCTTCAGATTTCTATGTCAAAAAATCCAGATACTGTAAAGATCAAAGCAATTAGAGATGCCCCGATTGCTCCGACTATTCAGCAAGCTGAAATGAGGACTAAAGTTCATCTTTTTTTAGGTGGGCATGCTTCAAGATAAGACGGGCCACCTGTTGCTAGTTCTCCTCCAGCTCCTAGACCTTCTATAAAAAGTATGCTATATAAAGAAAATTAGCCTCAAGATTGAAAAATCAAGTCTTAATTTTATTTAAAAATTACTTTTGGCTAAAAAAATTTTTTTTTTATTTATTGTCAGCTGTGTAAATGGTATTAGCATTGCGTAATTCTGTGAAAAAGTCAACAGCAATGCTCCAATTACACTCATAATCCCTGAGATTTTAAAAGCGTAAACTCTTCCATATCGATCTCCTATTAAGCCTAAAATTGCAGAGCCTAGAAAAATTCCTGACATATGAGCTGTATTAATTAAACCGACTTCATAAGACTCCAGATCTCACTCGTCTTTAGCGCTTCTCATTAGAAATGAAACTGCGGTGCTCAAATAAGTTATTGAAAACCAAGCTCCTCCACATACGATAAAATTAAAAGTTGAGTATTTCCCCCAGCCAATTGAGTCAAGGAAGATATTTATTTGTTGAACCTTTTGATTCTCTTCGTCTGACATGCAATTTTAACTATAAATATTCTGTTGCATATTTTAATGCAATAAAAAATAAATTCCAAAGAAATAATGAATAGTTCAGAAAAACGCTAAGTATTAATTGATATTAATGATTATTATAAAAGCTTGATTAGCTATTAAAGAAGTGTTTGCAAATAATTACAAATTAGGATTAATTAGCAAAGTAAATTAATTTTTAAATCTAATTTACTAAATTTATTAGACCAGGTAAGGCCTGTTGTGATTGCCCAAAAAACTCCTATGATATATGCCATTATTGAAGCATAAGTAGATATGATAAGGTAACCCATAGAAAAAATAATCAAGCATTTCCTAAATTAAGCAAAATTGTAGTGTGAGCACTTTTAGGGACTTTTTTAAATAGACTGCCATTATTTTATTGAGGAAATGCACAAGTTCTATCCAATTCTAATTTGTTCAACAATTAAACAGAATTAGCTTGAGGTTTCATTATATTAATTATCACTTATATATCAAAATTTTTATCTATTGAAAAAATTTTTGTTCGCAACTCTAACTTCAAAAATCATACCCGAATATAAATGAGTAATCGCACACTAGTTGATAATAGTCTTTTATTTTATTCTAACCAAATTTTATTTAAATCTGCATTTTTTGGAGTAGTTCAATACGGTCTCGGCCTAATAAGTCGTTAATAAAATTGATATCTGTTTCAGAAAGGTGTTAGGGTGTTAGGGTGTTAGGGTGTTAGGGTGTTAGGGTGTTAGGGTGTTAGGGTGTTAGGGTGTTAGGGTGTTAGGGTGTTAGGGTGTTAGGGTGTTAGGGTGTTAGGGTGTTAGGGTGTTAGGGTGTTAGGGTGTTAGGGTGTTAGGGTGTTAGGGTGTTAGGGTGTTAGGGTGTTAGGGTGTTAGGGTGTTAGGGTGTAGGGTGTTAGGGTGTTAGGGTGTTAGGGTGTTAGGGTGTTAGGGTGTTAGGGTGTTAGGGTGTTAGGGTGTTAGGGTGTTAGGGTGTTAGGGTGTTAGGGTGTTAGGGTGTTAGGGTGTTAGGGTGTTAGGGTGTTAGGGGTGTTAGGGTGTTAGGGTGTTAGGGTGTTAGGGTGTTAGGGTGTTAGGGTGTTAGGGTGTTAGGGTGTTAGGGTGTTAGGGTGTTAGGGTGTTAGGGTGTTAGGGTGTTAGGGTGTTAGGGTGTTAGGGTGTTAGGGTGTTAGGGTGTTAGGGTGTTAGGGTGTTAGGGTGTTAGGGTGTTAGGGTGTTAGGGTGTTAGGGTGTTAGGGTGTTAGGGTGTTAGGGTGTTAGGGTGTTAGGGTGTTAGGGTGTTAGGGTGTTAGGGTGTTAGGGTGTTAGGGTGTTAGGGTGTTAGGGTGTTAGGGTGTTAGGGTGTTAGGGTGTTAGGGTGTTAGGGTGTTAGGGTGTTAGGGTGTTAGGGTGTTAGGGTGTTAGGGTGTTAGGGTGTTAGGGTGTTAGGGTGTTAGGGTGTTAGGGTGTTAGGGTGTTAGGGTGTTAGGGTGTTAGGGTGTTAGGGTGTTAGGGTGTTAGGGTGTTAGGGTGTTAGGGTGTTAGGGTGTTAGGGTGTTAGGGTGTTAGGGTGTTAGGGTGTTAGGGTGTTAGGGTGTTAGGGTGTTAGGGTGTTAGGGTGTTAGGGTGTTAGGGTGTTAGGGTGTTAGGGTGTTAGGGTGTTAGGGTGTTAGGGTGTTAGGGTGTTAGGGTGTTAGGGTGTTAGGGTGTTAGGGTGTTAGGGGTGTTAGGGTGTTAGGGTGTTAGGGTGTTAGGGTGTTAGGGTGTTAGGGTGTTAGGGTGTTAGGGTGTTAGGGTGTTAGGGTGTTAGGGTGTTAGGGTGTTAGGGTGTTAGGGTGTTAGGGTGTTAGGGTGTTAGGGTGTTAGGGTGTTAGGGTGTTAGGGTGTTAGGGTGTTAGGGTGTTAGGGTGTTAGGGTGTTAGGGTGTTAGGGTGTTAGGGTGTTAGGGTGTTAGGGTGTTAGGGTGTTAGGGTGTTAGGGTGTTAGGGTGTTAGGGTGTTAGGGTGTTAGGGTGTTAGGGTGTTAGGGTGTTAGGGTGTTAGGGTGTTAGGGTGTTAGGGTGTTAGGGTGTTAGGGTGTTAGGGTGTTAGGGTGTTAGGGTGTTAGGGTGTTAGGGTGTTAGGGTGTTAGGGTGTTAGGGTGTTAGGGTGTTAGGGTGTTAGGGTGTGTTAGGGTGTTAGGGTGTTAGGGTGTTAGGGTGTTAGGGTGTTAGGGTGTTAGGGTGTTAGGGTGTTAGGGTGTTAGGGTGTTAGGGTGTTAGGGTGTTAGGGTGTTAGGGTGTTAGGGTGTTAGGGTGTTAGGGTGTTAGGGTGTTAGGGTGTTAGGGTGTTAGGGTGTTAGGGTGTTAGGGTGTTAGGGTGTTAGGGTGTTAGGGTGTTAGGGTGTTAGGGTGTTAGGGTGTTAGGGTGTTAGGGTGTTAGGGTGTTAGGGTGGTGTTAGGGTGTTAGGGTGTTAGGGTGTTAGGGTGTTAGGGTGTTAGGGTGTTAGGGTGTTAGGGTGTTAGGGTGTTAGGGTGTTAGGGTGTTAGGGTGTTAGGGTGTTAGGGTGTTAGGGTGTTAGGGTGTTAGGGTGTTAGGGTGTTAGGGTGTTAGGGTGTTAGGGTGTTAGGGTGTTAGGGTGTTAGGGTGTTAGGGTGTTAGGGTGTTAGGGTGTTAGGGTGTTAGGGTGTTAGGGGTGTTAGGGTGTTAGGGTGTTAGGGTGTTAGGGTGTTAGGGTGTTAGGGTGTTAGGGTGTTAGGGTGTTAGGGTGTTAGGGTGTTAGGGTGTTAGGGTGTTAGGGTGTTAGGGGTGTTAGGGTGTTAGGGTGTTAGGGTGTTAGGGTGTTAGGGTGTTAGGGTGTTAGGGTGTTAGGGTGTTAGGGTGTTAGGGTGTTAGGGTGTTAGGGTGTTAGGGTGTTAGGGTGTTAGGGTGTTAGGGTGTTAGGGTGTTAGGGTGTTAGGGTGTTAGGGTGTTAGGGTGTTAGGGTGTTAGGGTGTTAGGGTGTTAGGGTGTTAGGGTGTTAGGGTGTTAGGGTGTTAGGGTGTTAGGGTGTTAGGTGTTAGGGTGTTAGGGTGTTAGGGTGTTAGGGTGTTAGGTGTTAGGGTGTTAGGGTGTTAGGGTGTTAGGGTGTTAGGGTGTTAAGGGGTTAGGGTGTTAGGGTGTTAGGGTGTTTGGGTGTTAGGGTGTTAGGGGTGTTAGGGTGTTAGGGTGTTAGGGTGTTAGGGTGTTAGGGTGTTAGGGTGTTAGGGTGTTAGGGTGTTGGGTGTTAGGGTGTTAGGGTGTTAGGGTGTTAGGGTGTTAGGGTGTTAGGGGTGTTAGGGTGTTAGGGTGTTAGGGTGTTAGGGTGTTAGGGTGTTAGGGTGTTAGGGTGTTAGGGTGTTAGGGTGTTAGGGTGTTAGGGTGTTAGGGTGTTAGGGTGTTAGTG